ACTGTTTCGGTTCCATAAGTATCTTTCGACCACTAGAGTGTGCAGAACATAACCGCGGCATCACCTTATGTGAATCAATTACTGAAGATACCTTGGCATACAATTTAAGGTCCGCTTTTAATTGACTGGCATTCTGCAATGGTCATAAACAAGCCTCCAAAATATGAACCTATGCTGAAAACAATAATCACCAAAAGCATGGGAACAGCATCAAATGCATATATAAAATACTCATGCGATATTATAAATCCATCAAATCCTTGTGCAAATTCTACTAGTCTCACGATAGATCGAATCATAATCAATATACTGGCAATTAATAATGTGTAATTCAGGAATTTCCACCTCTTGGAAATACACCGATAGAAAGGGCATTCCTCTGCAACTCTCCATGAAAATCGCAACTCATTTACAATGAAGAAGGCAAAGAAGACAATTTGGACAGCGAGACCCGCAGTAATGAGGTTTGTACCCGTATTTCTACTTTTCTCTTTTGTCATTAACCCACCACCTCCAGCCTGCATAAAGAAACTCAAAACATCGCCAAATACAAAGAAAGTAGTTCCGTAACGGGCAGAAATAATCATAAGCGACTGACATCTCATAACGTGAAGTAATCGACCAAATATCATATAGATAGTAGCCGCATATAATGCGGGCGCAACGAGTAAAAGAACGGACTGCATGATGTACGGCGGAGTTGCTTCTGGGTTAGAGCTCGAGAGTGCTCTTCCGATGTAACCTACAACTTCCATAAGACAGCCAACAAAGAACGGAATAAAAACTAGGAAATTCGATGACATAGTGAGCTTTTGGTATGTGCCGCTGGGGGACTCACTGATTTCAGAGTAGTATTTTTCTTCTTCATTTTCGAAAGGGTTACCATAAACTACTCTGGAGGCCTCTTTTGCTTCCCAAATACACTGACAGGCATAAAATACTGTCAAAAGTATAAATACTATGGCAACAGCTATTGCCCCGCCTTTGCTTGGAGTATACTGGTAGAGAACCCATCCGGAATCAGTTGAACTTGTAGACATATTGATCTCGCTTTAGTGAAGTTTCTAAACTGAGGAAAGTCGATTGTGGACCAGGTCTTATTATATGTAATTCATTTCCATAGCATAGCAGCCACTATTATCACCTCTTTCTCCCTGCAAGGTTTAGTGGCGAAGTATGTCAATGGCGTCTCGCTTAGTTGATAATACTGCGCCATCCAGTCACGTGCCTTAGACTTCGAATTATTTTCTTAGAATCGCCAGGGCCCTCTTTGACGTCCAAGAGGCGCAAGACAAATTTCGTAAGCCTCACATTAAATGGTTGGCGTCAAGAAATAATCCAAGAGCACAAGCAAGCCAGTTAAGAGCGCTTGGCAGAAAATGACGTTTGATTGAGGCGGTGTTGGACAATGGTTTTCTCAAAATGTAACCAAGCCACCCGATTGGTTATACCTTTTGCAAACAGAAGATAGTGCTAGATAGAGGTGATTTCACGAAACGACGTCAGCGTGCACGACGATGTAATATCGAACCGTTAAAGCTTGAGAGGGCGATATTTTGAACCAACAGAAAAGGCACGACAAATATGCCTATAACCAGTTGTTAATAAGTTTCGTTTAATATATTCGTATGTGGCGAAGAGATTAGAGTATATTGGAACAAGATCGTTACCTTCCAAACAGTCGCAAAGAAAGAAAATGTTGTAACGAAATACAACTATCGACCATCGACTAGTATTCGTGTTACTAGTATATTATCATACACGGTGTTTTAAGATGACATAAAGAATGAGAAACGGTCATCGAAGTTAGTGGAAGCCGAAGCGCAAGGATTGATAATGTAATAGGATAATGAATGAAAATGTATAAAAGGAACAGAAGGAGCAAGAATATTTGTAAGTAGAATTATCAACTCTTCTTTCTGGATTCTTAGAAAGAGGAGGAGAACTTCTAGTATAACCATATACCGATTATTGTAGCCTTAATCAAAAATGGAATCCCAACAATTATCTCAATATTCACCTATTTCTCAGAAAAGATATTATTACAACACTGCGAAAAGATTTTTCCTGTAAATCTTCATTGCTGAGCCTTTCCTGTTTTCATGGTTTTGGGCGTGCATTTCTTTTCTGTATATTAATGTTCCTGCAGGGCTGATTAGACCCTTGAGTTAAACGACTTTCGACGTATAAAATGATTCGCAGTTCTTTTGAGATTCAGTACAAACTGTCTCCCGCTTGCGTTATTATAATGACAAAGGCCTAACGCACGAAAGAATGGTATACTCTCTTTAGTTTATACAAAACACGGATTATTTCAATCCTCATTTTATATTTACCAATTTTGATCAACTAGCTTTTTTACAGTGTTTTTAGGATCTCCAGACAGCAGGATAATTCACCGCATTGTAGTTTTACGTTCGACAAGCCTTATGAACAGAAAACAGGAATTTTGGTAGCAGTACTGCTCCCAGAGATCTAATATAAAATCAAAAGTGTATTGAGCAACCTCTATTTCAGCTCACGTGTATTACTGATGGGTCAGATGAGATTTCCTAAGATGTTTATTCGACATGATCTTATTTTAAGTGATATCTTGATCATATTGTTCATTTCCAGCGGCAGTGATATTAAATATCTCATCCAATGTCCTCTCTATGGTGAAGGCTTAGTGTCATTTCTCCAAGTGGCACTTTTGACTCAAGCCCGAAAAATCGAATATGAAAACGTAGGCGGCGTGATTTAAGAGAAATCGAATTCTGCATGAATTTATCACTCTCCTTGATCTCCCAATCACATAGTCTGGTACAATGCAACTCCATATCCTTTGAAATCGGTCCAATCTAGTACAGTTGCTTTGGCCCTTGTGAATTTTCTATCTGTCACATTGAATCAAAGGCACACTATCTCCAATAATTCACCTCCATTTTCACAGGAAGGTCAGCCGTGATCAACGAAAAATGGAGAATTTCTGCGGGCAGAAATGTAAAAGGCCTCAACTGCTGTCAATCGTATCAGCTAATATCCGATGAACATTAGGAATATATGACGCTTTTTCATCTAATTTAATTTACCCCAGAAAAATACTTTTGCGCGGCCCGAGGAACATTATGTTTAGGATCATATGTCCCCAATCGGAAACAACCGTCGGCGAAACTCCGAACTAGCGAACTCCAGAAGAAAAACAAAATGAATTATGTCATACGGATAGTTCCCTTTCTGAATAGCCGACACATTACATGAATTAATGACATTCTCTGGTGGTTGAAAAGGTATATAATGGCCCACAGCGAATAAAGTTATGAATGTGAGAAATCCAGTACAGTAGTCAGATATTAGTTGACAACAGTTCACCAATCAAATTCAATAAGTTCAAATGGCCAAGGGAAAGATTTTGTTAGTTCTTTACGAAGGTGGTAGCCACGCACAAGAACAGGAAAAGTTACTAGGGTGTATTGAAAATGAACTTGGAATCAGAAAGTTTATTGAAGAGCAAGGCTACGAACTAGTTACTACCACTGATAAAGATCCTGAGCCAACATCTACTGTAGACCGAGAGTTGAAGGATGCTGAAATCGTTATTACAACACCCTTTTACCCGGCATATATCTCTAGGAACAGAATCGCTGAAGCTCCTCTTTTGAAGCTTTGTGTTACCGCCGGTGTGGGCTCCGACCATGTCGACCTGGAAGCTGCTAATGAAAGAAAGGTCACGGTTACAGAAGTTACTGGATCTAATGTCGTTTCGGTAGCAGAGCATGTTTTTGACCACCATATTAGTGTTGATCAGAAACTACAATGGTGGTCACCACCAGGCAGTTAGTGGAGAGTGGGACATTGCTGGGGTGGCGAAGAATGAATATGATCTTGAGGACAAAGTGATTTCTACTGTAGGAGCGGGTAGAATTGGATACCGAGTGCTGGAAAGATTAGTTGCTTTCAACCCTAAAAAGCTTTTGTACTACGATTACCAAGCTTTGCCAGCCGAGGCCATAAAGAAATTAAATGAAGCCAGCAAGTTGTTCAATGGGAGAGATGATATTGTTCAAAGAGTCGAGAGTTTAGAAGACATGGTTGCTACAGTCTGACGTGGTGACGATTAATTGTCCATTGCACAAAGATTCAAAAGGTTTGTTCAACAAAGAACTCATCTCACACATGAAAGACGGCGCTTATTTGGTTAACACAGCCAGAGGAGCCATTTGTGTAGCTGAAGATGTAGCCGACGCAGTCAAATCCGGTAAGTTGGCAGGCTACGGGGGTGACGTTTGGGATCAGCAACCAGCTCCAAAGAATCACCCTTGGAGATCCATGGACAACAAGGATCATGTGGGAAATGCAATGACTGTTCACATTAGCGGCACTTCTTTAGATGCTCAAAAAAGATATGCGCAGGGTGTGAAGAACATTTTGGATAGCTATTTCTCGAAAAGGTACGACTACCGTCCACAGGATGTTATTGTTCGCGACGGTGCTTATGCCACTAAAGCTTACGGCCAAAAGAAATAATCTCGAAGTAAGGTTAACTTTCAATACTCGTTTTTTTTAATATTCATTCTCACACATACACGTAACGCTAATATGACCTAAAATCAATTTCTATAACAGAATAAATAGCTATCTTGGAATTTTGACTTAGATAGTTTTAACCTTGTCAGATTCCCATAGTCTTTACTTAAAGAAGAATTTTGAGGAAAATTTTACAAATTTCTCAAAGCTGATTATCTAACTTTTTGCTATCTTTCACCGTTCTCAGACGATAGGTATTGTATTTTTTTTTTTAGCTCAAAGTTCAGCAAAAATTTTGATATAGTAGTTAACAGTTAGACCCAAAACTTTACCTCTCATGTAATTCAAAGACTGAGATAAAAAATAGGACATCTATAGAAAGGTCCAATATTAGAATTCCTATGCCGGTACCCTAAGCTCTGCCCATTAAATAGTGCAAAGGGCTGCTATCTCATTTCTTGACAACTAGAGTTCTTTTCCATTTCAGTTTGTGAAGCAAAAACTTAACTATTAATTCCGTATAATTTCTAGTACTTCAATCATCGATGTATAATCCGTCATCAGTAACTCAGAAAAAAAGTATGCCTGATGCCGAATTACTTTTTCCGCTCATCTGAGAGAAAAATCAGGTGACAAAAATTAGGCTGGGTAACTACGTGTTTTTATATACCTTCGATTTCAGCCAGTTGATAATTCCATCAAAATACTGCTCATCTCTTCAATTGTTTTGCACTTGGTTACCATCAAACGCAATACCACGCAAAAATGCCTGCTTCTTTGAAAACTCACTTTCTCAACGAAGAGTATGCAAATCCCTTCATGAATGCTTCTGGTGTCCACTGTATGACTGTGCAGGAACTGGAAGAACTTAGTGCATCAAAGGCTGGTGCGTTCATCACCAAGAGTGCCACGACTTCAGAAAGGCAAGGAAATCCGAAGCCTCGCTATTGCTCTGTTCCATTAGGTAGTATTAATTCGATGGGACTTCCAAATGAAGGCTTTGACTATTACTTGAATTATGTCATAAAACACCAAGAGGAGCACCCCGGCGAGGCTATACCCTTCTTTTCAGTAGCAGGAATGAGCTTAAAGGAAAATTTGAACCTACTTGAAAGGATCCAGGAAAGTGACTTTAAGGGTGTGACTGAATTGAACCTTTCTTGTCCCAATGTTCCTGGTAAACCGCAAGTCGCTTATGATTTTGAGATGACTGAACAAATTTTAAACTCAGTTTTCAAGTTCTTTAAGAAACCTCTAGGGGTGAAATTACCTCCATATTTTGATTTTGCTCATTTCGACACAATGGCAAAAATTCTAAACCAATATCCTTTGGCATATGTGAATTGTATAAATAGTATTGGCAATGGCCTTTACATTGATGTCAACGAGGAAAGTGTAGTTGTCAAACCTAAGAACGGATTTGGTGGTATTGGGGGTGAGTATATTAAGCCTACGGCTCTTGCTAATGTGAGAGCATTCTATACCCGTTTAAATCCAGATATCAAAATAATTGGAACTGGAGGTATTAGAACAGGTCAAGATGCTTTCGAGCATCTACTGTGTGGTGCAGCAATGTTGCAAGTAGGAACCGAATTATACAAGGAAGGCGTTTCTATTTTTGCCCGCTTAGAAAAGGAATTAAAGGAGATAATGAATCAAAAGGGCTATTCTTCGATTGATGAGTTCCGTGGTAAGCTGAAAAGTCTATAGATTGGATTGCATCCAAAAGTTTGATTTTATGATAGAAATCTTTTTGTGTAACCTACTATATGAAAATAGCCTAATCGTATCTTCGATAAGACCGAAATGAACAAGTAAGTAGCGAACATCTTTCTGCTACCCAAATTTGTCGAGTGATCGATTGCAATAGTGAATCTGAACAGAACAGTATCCAACAGTATACGGCTTGAAGTAAAAATTCAGCGGCAGGTGACCTGTCAAAAAAACGAAAGTTTCTTCCTAACCACGTGATTTGATAATTTGAACGAAATGTGACCTAAACGAACAGTTACCGCGACCCTGAGTGTGTATAAAAACGTTAACGCGTTTTGCTCATCTGTATCTAACTCAAACGGTCTGAGAGCTACATAAGTAACTGACATCGGTTGAACGATGGGAAAGAAGGAATCCAAGCCTGAAGACTTTGAGAATAGCATTGAGAGATACCAGCCGCAATCATTGCCTCATGAGATAGCCTTCGTCGCTGTTACATGCAGTGCACAGTTGATGGCACTAGCAGGGTTAGCTCAGTCGATCGCACCATTGCGCATAATTGGAGAAAGCTTTGGGACAAACAATCCGGGGCAACTTAGCTGGTTTGCTGCGGCCTATTCTCTCACGGTTGGTACGTTTATTCTTATCGCTGGTAGACTAGGTGATTTATTTGGCCACAAGAAATTTTTTGTTCTAGGATTTCTATGGTATGGCTTGTGGTCTTTACTTGCGGGATTTAGTGTTTACTCCAATCAGATATTTTTCGATATATGCAGAGCTTTTCAAGGAATTGGCCCAGCTTTTTTGCTTCCTAACGCAGTAGCTATCTTAGGACGTACCTATGAGCCTGGCAAGAGGAAACAAATGGTCTTCAGTCTTTTCGGAGCAGCAGCACCGGGCGGTTATGTACTTGGTGCTGTATTCTCCTCGTTATTTGCTCAGCTCGTATGGTGGCCTTGGGCTTTTTGGGTAATGAGTATCTTTTGCACATTGTTGGCTGTTGCCGGATATTTTATAATTCCTGAGACACCACTGCCTAAAAGAGATGAATCCATTAGTATTTGGCAGCTTACTGATTTTGCAGGATCGCTCACGGGTGTGATTGGTCTAGTTTTGTGTAATTTTGCATGGAATGAGGGACCAGTGGTGGGTTGGCCTAAGCCTTACACATATTCGTTATTGATAGTTGGCGTTTTCTTCCTCGTGGCATTTGCACTAATCGAATCTCGGGCACAATTTCCTCTGGTTCCATTTTCTGCTCTTCCTAAGGACGCGTCTTTTATTTTGGGTTGCGTAGCTGCTGGCTGGTCAAGCTTTGGTATTTGGATTTTCTATCTATGGCAATTTTTGGAGGAAACCCGAGGAAAATCACCTCTTTCAACAAGTGCTCAATTCGTTCCGGTAACTGTAAGCGGATTTTGTGCTGCCATCACGACAGGGTATATCTTAAGTCATATTTCTGCTAGTGTAGTCATGCTTTTCTCCATGACTGCGTTCACAGTCGGTGGTATTTTGATTGCTACTGCACCATCACATCAGACTTATTGGGCACAAACATTTATATCAATCATTGTAATGCCCTGGGGAATGGACATGTCTTTCCCTGCTGCAACGATTCTGCTTAGCAATGCAATGCCTCAAGAACATCAAGGTCTTGCTGCTTCTCTAGTCAATACAGTTGTAAACTACTCGATTTCAATTGGCCTCGGCTTCGCAGGTACAATCGAGTCTCGAGTTAACGGAGGGGGTACTAATTTACTGAAAGGATATCGGGGTGCATGGTATATGGGAATTGGATTAAGCGGTATGGGTATAGCGATTGCAATTCTTTATGTGATGAGCATCCACCAAAAATCAACTAGAAAATCCGAAAAGACAAGGCTAGCCTAGGTTCTCCAAGTTTATATGGAGAAAATCATAAAACACTAATAATTTACAGCTACTAGGTGTGCGGCTCACTTAGTTAAAAGATATACTGATTTACCTTTATATTTTCTGAAACGCATTCATTTTGTTTGTCTTTGAATTAAAAAGTACTATCGTAGAAAAGTTACATAAGGATTCAAGTTTAATTCTCTTTGCTAGGTGATTTTACTTCCATATATTAAGCATTTGATCAACTTTTATTTACAGCATGGAAATGTTTAGGAGCTCCTTTCCTGTAAAGTTACAGGAGTGCTATTAGGTTAACTCAACTAGAGAGTTTAGCATGATGTTTAAAATTAGCATTAACCTGATGAAAGTCAGCGATCAAAAAGATAAAGTAGCAGAAATTGTAGAGTTTTCCAGATATAGTTCCACCTATTTACAGAAATTGTATGCAATATTTGGGATATTCAAAGAATGTTTGAGCAAATGAAGATCTTCGGATCAGTGTATATCGTTTCTCTTTGAAAAGTAAGTCATTCGAAATAGTAATATTAAGTTAAGATTCCCTCACACTGGCATGTTCCAGATATTTATTATCTCATTGTACTCACGTTTTTCCTCATCAGTAAATCTGCGAAACTTTCCAAATTCGCCCTCCTTATAAAGAGTGCAGTAGTTATACCCTGCGCATTCACCAATTCTAATCCAAGGCCTCACATCTACATCAGGTATAATTGTACCCTCTAATTCTATGGGCGAGAGATAGTAATCCTTCACTTGATCGACACTATCAAATGAATCTGCAACCCTCTTATTTTTCGTGAAATCAAATTGCCATGAGTTTTTCTTGCATACGTTTAGCCCGCCGTTTAACCAAAGTAAACTGTCATCAATATCTGTATGAGATAACTGGACAGAACATATTTGGTAAAAATCACCTTCAAAGCCCTCCACAACAACATTACCCAACTTTCCAGTATTTGAAGCGTCTTGGGGGTGGAATGTAAATAATTGCCTATCAAGAAACTGCCCAAACCAGAACCACTCCTTATCCCCATGAAAGATCGTGTTTATTGAGGAAAAATGCAATATCACTGCAGTTAATAAGCTAGAAAGATTTCTTTTCTTATCAAGCACTACTAGTCCGCTTTCCATATGATGTTTATATCTGTTTGAAAACAGATTATCCAATGTTTCCAAAGCGGTACGGTCGTTGGTTTGTGCTAGTTTTTTTAAAGTCTCATCCAAGTTGCTCTTTGAAAAATCCAAATTCAGTAAGGATTTAGTTATCTTATTAAGCGTGTCCAAGTCATTGGATCTCATGAGATCATTCGTAATCTTTCTATCTTTAAAAAAAACCGACCCCATCCTTTCATATTGTTCATAGTCGTAATAACGTTGAAGCGAAGTAAATGGAATTGTATCTGAATCTAACAATATGGGTGAATCAAAAGAGCAGAAAATGATGGCAAGCCATTTATTTCCAAAATTTTTAAACTTCTCAAAATATCCAGGTTTAAGTACATTTTCAATGTTGAGGAACCATAATTCTTGATTAGGGAAGTTATCCGTATGATTCTCTGTTGCTGCTTTAGCTATGAACTCCTGGTACTGCTCACTTAGATCTCCCTTATGAACTATTTGAATTGGAAGGTCGTTTCTTAATAGCCTCAAGACGCGTATAAGTCGAATAACTTCTCCAACCTGATAGTTTCCTACGCTTATCACGATTCCCCGCGAGCTTCTCTGAGTCATATTCTGTGCAAATTGGTCCCAAAAATACTGGCCCTTACGGTGATGAATTTGCTCAATGCCTATAAATGCTTTGGTCTGGTGATCGAATTTCAGCATAGCTTGTTGATATATTTCCCCATTCCATCTTGTATGTACCGGCCAAAAGTCGGCCTCATTGTAATGAAGCTTCTCAAAATCCAAATACGGAAAAAGCCTTGATTGAACATCAGTGATATCTTCCTTTCTCAAGCCACCATCATTCAAGCATTTATGAAATTTTTGTAGCCTATCAACATGTTTGATAACATCATCACCAACCTTTTCCAATAGCGGAATGTGACTCCACCATCTTTCAACGAAAAAGTCATTTGACCAATTCTTAGAATTCTTTTCTAATTCTTTGAAGTACACAGAGCATGTATGTTCATTAATCTTGATGGGTAAAATCTTCGATGGTCTGGCATGATATGTTAAGAACAATAACAGCAAAAGTATAAAAGTCAGTACCAGAAGGAGTCTTTTTTTCACTCTCACACGATGTAAAAAGAACATTTTTCCATAGTAGTTCTCAATTGGATGTGTCCTTGCTGAATCGATGAGAGTAAAGGAATAAGCTTCTGATTCCTATTATGAGAGCCTCTTCTTAGAAGTGGATGGAAAAAAGAAACTATTTCATTCTTTTGCACACGTGCATTTCCACGACTGCTTAATCGCCGAGCTCGATACACAGATAATTATAGAATGTATTGTTCAACATTTTCGATGTACTCTCTTCATTTAGAATATTATATTTATATACATGTTTACTTTGAGCTTTCAGCCAGCATTTTGATCTGAGACTCACAGTCTTCAATTGTTGAAACACTCGCGTCAATTTTGGCAGCTAAATACGCAAGCCTACTCTTGAACATTTTTTGATCGCTTACTTTACCCAATGATTTTAATTCTTCCTCCCATTTTTTTATTCTGCCTGTTTCAAAAGCTACTACACGCAGGAGATAACCAGTTTCAAGCACTGTAGAAATTTCTGGATTCTTTAAAAGGTAGCTGAATGCTGCCCTAAATAAGGGTTTCGCAGGCCTTATTTCCTTCAGTACGCCTCGATCCCTCGAAACTGTGATTAATCCATTTTTTTCTAGCTCTAGTAAGCCTGCCTCAGGAGCTGACTTGAACAAGGGACGAAATATTATGTCTTCGAAAGACACACTTTCATCCTTGCTTAATAATTGGATGAGCTCCCAGGTTTGGGCACTTCGGATTCCATCTACATGCTCATTTAAAAAAATTTGAGTGATTTGTTCCGAAGCTTGTTCCACCATTTTTTCCAGAGCTTCTCGTGGTTTTTCGCCAGATTTGACCCGTCTTACAAAAGCCTGAAGATCGAGCATACGACCACCTAGAGGTTCTAAACAAAAATCAATTTCTTTCTTTACTTCCTCGGAGAGTTCAACAACTTTTGGATGAGACGTTTCTTCATCCACAGATAATTGATTCGATTGCTCTAAAGAAGCTAAAACATAGGATTTTGCGGATTCCTTGGAAGCGTCAGACAAAACAAGTGTCTTGAAAACTTGGTTGGGCAATGACTCCGATAGTAGCTGATTGGGCGATACAGTTTCGGTTAAAAAGATAACATGCGCGATATTCATTTGAACCAACATCGCCGCCCAATCAGAAAGTTCTTTATAGGCAAATCCGTTAGTTTCTGCCTTATTATTGAACCTATCAATAACAATGACGGGTTTTTTTTCTGGATGCTGTTGTAAATAGTCTTCTTCTTTCACAGTTATTCTATCTTCTCCGCTGCCAATGACTGGTTTGTACCCTTTCAGGGCAATCTGTCTAATGGACATTAGAGCAGTGCTCAACATGTTTCTGAACTGTGTCTCCTTACTCTCAGATAAGCCCGTCTTTTGACCAGTCAAACCCTGCACTCCTAGGTCTATTAAATTGGTAAAAGATTTCACCCAAGGAAAAATGGGGAAGTATCCTAGTTGAGAAGCTGCGTTCTTCAAAAACTTAGTATCTGTTCTCGATTTAATAAGTTTATCACAATCAAGATACAAAACATTAGGTCTGTCGTGAAGAGTATGCTGGACTACTAACTCATGTTTTCCGGATCCACGCGGGCCCCTTACAATCACGAAGGTGTTATTATTCTCTTCCAACCACATTTTCAAATCGTTCACTTTTTCTACGCGCTCTTCCCAGAGTTGTTTCTTTGTGGTTTTAACACCCTCAGAACCGAGTAGACTTCTTACAGAGGACATAGTCGATGAAGTTAATTTGAACAATTCCTTTACAAGATAATTATCGCGAGTCAGAGAGAACCTGTGGGTTATTTTTTGACTAATTGTGAACTCTCTTATAGGATCGAAGATCAAAACAGCAACAATAGAAAGCAAAGCGAATACAAGTGGAACCGAAATTCTAGGATGATCAACGAAAAAATCTTTGACCATGTGTCCCTTAGCAGTTTTTTCATATTGAACATGAATTGTGCTATTATGGACTTCCATTCCTGATACACAGTTTTTCGCACATATTGCAGCGCGATAGGACCTATACTTGATTATTGCAGATTTTTCGTTTCCGTTTGGAGGGAATATATCTATAATTGTACCATAACGCCTGAATAGTGAATAAATCTCTTCTTCTGTTAGTATTTGATTTTCAAATTGAACTTTAACAGTCGTATTTGGAAGCCTTCGCAAATCTTCAATCCACGGAGAACCTTTAACGGGAAAGGCCGCAGCTTTAGTAAAGAAGGATAACAGTGACTTAGATGATTCTTCAGCGGTGTTTTTTTGAATCATTGAGTTAACCTCTGCTTTGCTATACGTGTGGGGAACGAGAAAAGTTGCAAAAACACCACCATCTCTTTTGACCGGTATCGTCGATCTCAACTCTAAGCCATGAATAGGGTTGCTTTTGGGGCTTGCGAAGCTCAAAATCTTGCTACGGACTGCTTCTCTTGATTGATTTGTCAACAGGAAATTGTACCATTGAGTAGGACTCCATAGAGATGCTGCTCTAGGGTAGACATTATCGAAATAGATCAATGTTTCCTGCTCAGTTTTGTGAATCACTCCTGTATCGGTAGCTGTGCTAGATTCTCCAGCTTGTTCATCTTTCTGCTGAATCTCACTAGAAATAAACCTTAGTTGAAGTGACCTCAATGATCTTGTTACCCTAGTACGCTTCAAAGGTGCAAATGATGGCAGAACCATACGAATTGGCATCATTCTCCTTTCCATGCGTAGATCCCTTGTAAAGATGGAAGCAATTGAGGATCATTATTGATCATCATTTTCACTAGATATATCGGCAGGGTAACTTTAAACGTAGATTTAAGGGGAGAGGGATATGCACTCATCCCTTCCGAACTGTATCACAGCGCCTGATTTGAAGCGACAGTACATCGTTAAATAACATCTAAATGGTCGAAAATACTGAAATTTATGAGACTGTTGGTGAGCTCATAGATCTTGGCAAGGGCATTGAAGACATTCTTCCCACCATGGAGTCACAGGAGACTCTTTGCGAGGGTGCCTTCACGTGGCATATTTTAGATTGGAACAAGCTTGATATGGAGAAACATGTATCTCCACGCTTCAAGATTGGTGAATATGAGTGGGATGTTTTGTTGTTTCCACAGGGAAACCATAACAAAGGATTGTCCATGTATTTGGAACCCCATCCAGAGGAAATAAAGAATGAGGAGACTGGTGAACGTGAGGCAGCGAATCCTGATTGGTACGTTTGTGCCCAATTTTCAATTGGAATATCGAAACCTGGCGAGGATGAGAAGTTTCAGCTTTTCAACGTTTCACACCATAGATTTTGTTCTAATGACACGGATTGGGGTTTCGCGAATTTTATTGACCTGGAAAACCTCAAGCATCGTACTAACTCGAAGTTGTCCGGATTTCTTTCTCAAAATAAACTAAATATATCAGTTTTCGTGCGAATTCTGAAAGACCCTACGGGGGTCCTTTGGCATAATTTCTACAATTACGATTCAAAAAAGCTGACTGGCTATGTGGGCTTCAAAAATCAAGGTGCAACATGTTACTTGAATTCACTCTTGCAATCCTATTACTTTACGAAATATTTCAGACGGGTGGTTTATCAGATCCCAACTGATAATGAATCGCCTAATAACAGTGTTTCATTGGCTTTACAGAGAGCTTTCTTTCTTTTGCAAAAATCCAACGAACCTCTGGACACACTGGAACTGACTCGGTCATTCGGGTGGGATACTGGTGATGCGTTCACACAACATGATGTTCAAGAATTAAACCGAATCCTTATGGATAGGCTTGAGAACAAAATGAAGGGCACTGAAGTTGAGGGAACGTTAAATGATATATTCGTTGGTAAGATGAAAAGTTATATAAAGTGCGTCAACGTCGAGTACGAATCCTCGAGAGTGGAAGATTTTTGGGATATTCAATTGAACGTTAAAAATCTTACTGGCCTCGAGCAATCTTTCCAAAACTATATCGAAGTTGAAATGATGGATGGGGAAAATCAGTATGCGGCTCAGGGATATGGCTTGCAGGATGCTAAGAAAGGCGTTGTCTTTGAATCATTTCCTCCCGTACTTCATTTGCAGCTCAAAAGATTTGAATACGATTTTAACTACGATCAATTGGTGAAAATTAATGACCGATATGAGTTCCCAGAATCAATTGATTTATCACCGTATCTCGATCCGGAGATTTACAGAAGTAATCCTATGCCTTGTATTTATAAGCTGCATTGTGTTTTGGTACATTCAGGAGATATATCTACTGGACATTACTATGCAATGATTAAACCCAATGTGGATGATCAGTGGTACAGATTCGATGATGACAAAGTCTGGAAGGTTACTAAAAGGCAGGTTTTTGACGAAAACTTTGGTCATGAAAACTTACCGGATGAAAAGTTGAGGACATTTACCAGAGAGCAGTATCAGAATTATTTGATAGCTCGTCAAACTAGTGCATACATGTTAGTTTATATTCGCGAAGACATGGAAGATAAGATTCTAGAAGAAGTTGAAGACGCCGATGTCCCGCAGCACATTGTAAGCAGCATAGAGAATGAAATGAGGCAAAAGGAATTGAGAAGACGCGAGCTAGAAGAAATGCATTTATTTACCAAGATTAATGTCCACTCTATGACAAACTTCGTACATTATCAAGGATTTGATCTTTCTCCAAACGATCGCTCAAAGCTATTCAATGCGGAGCTTCATGAAGAGAACGAATACCCTATCTCGATAAAGATGTTAAAGAGTAAGACGATGAGAGACATTAAAGAAAGAATTGCTTTGGAATTTTCCTTGCCCAACCTAGATTTGGTAAACTTTTGGATTATGAGTTATCGAAAAAATTACACTCTTAGAGTTGATTCCATTTTGAATTCCGAGCTAGATGATTTATCCTTGGAAGATGTGATGAAAAGGCTCGAGATTTCCCGTTCACCTTCAATAGATATTTTTCTTGAAGAGTCGTATCTGGATTTGCATTTTATCCAAGCGCTGGTGGAGAAAAACCATATTGAGTTTATGGGACTGACTGAAAAGTTGATGAAAGGTATCAGAGAGAAAGTTTCATGTGGTACTTTACCTAGCTCTTTGGGGTATCTCAAAAATTCAAATGATGAGTCCCGTCAAATTTTACTTTTCGTTAAGATGTTTGACTCGGGCAAGCAGCGATTAGAAGGCTACTGCCATGTAGTTGTAACTCAAACTGAAAAAATATCGAGCCTTATTGATACCCTCAAGGCAGTGAACTCTCATGAATTTGAAATAAAGCTTTTTGAGGAGTTTCAACCAGATATGATAGAAAAAGTCGACGAATGTAATCAATTCATCACCTCCGAGTTAGTGGATGGGGATATTTTGGCATTTGGCTCATTTTCAAGTGCAAAGAACTGTGATATGCCATACTACTCGTCAGTTCCCGACTACTATGAATTCTTGAGGAATCGAATTAAACTGAAACTTTCAAGAGCGGACAACAGTGAAGAGGAATATGCAATCGCAAAGACTGAAGATGAAGTGAACGAGTTTCAAGTATGGATATCATCGAAATCCTCGTTTCAAGAGCTGGCAAAGATTATCTCATCGCATGTTAATGTTGATCCCTTTTACATTCGCGTGTTTGCAGTTTATGCAAATGGGCGATTTGCACTAAAATGGGATTGTAGATTAGAGGACTATTTGGTTAAAAATTATACCAAAGATTCGATACCTCCCTTTGAGTTCGAAGTTCTTTCGATACCCCTAAAAGAACTTGAACATTTAAGATCAATCAAGTTCTACTGGCTAAATGACAGCTATATTCACTATCAGTCCCTGGAATTCCGGGTTTCTAACTCTTGTTCCATTGGAGAATTCTTGGATAAGCTGCAAAAAAGGATTGGATTCGACGACCATCAAAAGCAACAGGTGTTACTTTGGACTAATAGTGACTTTAAATTTCAAGGCATTCTTTCCGAGGATAATACGTTTGATGAACTGGCTGAGTCGTTCCTCTTTTTCGGAAGAGTTTTGCCGGAGGAACTGGCCTTAGTTCAGCAGCTAGAGAGAGCTACTCCTGACATCGATGATTCAATGGATGAAATGGAAGAAGATCTAAGCGTCGTAAAAGATAACCACGAAATTGTTGGTGGTAAATTAGTCATTGTAATTCAATACTTTAAAGAATTGGACAATAGGCATGGCATATCGTTCCTCTTTAATCTTCTTCCAGGTGAGAATTTCATACAAACTCGTGATCGCCTACATTCTAAATTTGGGCTTGGTCGAAAGGAATTCTCAAAGATCAAGCTTGGTATAACTGTGAATTCAGACTCTGGTTTGACGTTCAAGCCAATGCATAATTATTCGGAAGAGAATCTTAAAGAGATTATTCTTTTCGACGTCATGAACAACTTGGACTACATCTGCATGGATCATCCTGATCGCTCAAGAACGCAAACCTACCATGATAGACCAATGGTAATTAAAAATTAAGTAAACTGTAAACAATTGCTATCTACAGCACAATTGTTCTGGTAATTATCTCGCATCTTTTTTCATCGCACGCCTTCTGAGTTCGGTGCTACTCATTTTTTCTTTCCAACCATCCTCAACGTTACCGCCTAGTACATTAACCACATGAACTTCCAAAGGTTTGAGACCCTTTGATTTTCTCGTTTTATTAACAAATTCACCTCCTGAGACTGTTTCTCTGCTCACGATTAAACTTTCAATTTCAGGAACCGTGCCAGTTGGACCGCATACGTCACGAATAGGAACTATTTCGATCCTAAGAACAGGCTTGATCCTACAAAGGAATTTCTTCACTCCTTCACATCTGTATTCGAAAGGCTGGAGCAGTTCCTTGAATTTCTTGTTCTGCAGCAATTCTTGATCAGTAACTCCGATTATCAAACGATGGGATGTTAAAAATGCTGCTATACTCAATAATATCTTATGGCCATCATGTAAGTGATCAAAAGTGCCACCCAAAGCGCTAACACTGTATATATTTTCATCACGCATTGATTCCTTCGACCAGTCAACCTCCTTGTTTGATAATATATCGTAAAACTCTGTATGAATGTTAGGAAAACAAGTTGCGTCAAGATCCCGGGGCAGATATACGACATCCCAAGCAAGCAACTGATAATATTCATATGGCTGATTGAATAAAACGTTCACAGGAGCTTCGAACATATCCTGCGTTAACAGCACTTCTCTGCTACTACTGTAAAGTTTGCCAAGGATGAAGTCTAGATATGTGGATGACTGGAAATGCTCCAATAGTACAATATCCAATCCCGCATCTTCTTTTGTCATATCCTTTAGACATTTCTGAAATAACATCAATAAGTTGTCGAAATCTACATGTCTTACCGACTGTATGATGATGGCAACGGTAGGCATAATGCGGCGAGTTTTGAACTTTGGAAAAGTGTAATAGGTGACCTAAAAAAAATATATGCATTTGAAAAAGGTCATTGAAATTACCGAAGATACAATAAGCACTAATGTCGTCGTCAATATCAGAGGACGAAACTATTCAAAGGAAGAACTGGGAATATATTTCCCATTTCATAGATGATTTAATGGAGAAACTTGATGTTTCTAATGTTGAGGACTGCTACTGGGCTTTGTTTCAGGTGAATTTTGTCAGAGCGAGAAGAGTTCTTATCAAGTCAATTTTAAACCATCAAGAACGGTATGTCAAGAAAAGCATTTCGCATGCTGCATTAGCTGCTCTTATAAACTCAGTTGATCCTAGGATAGGTGAGGAACTAGCTAAAGAAGCCACATCCCTGTTTTTAAAAGGGTATGAAAGAGATGACAAGAGGCTTTGTTACACAATGATAGAATTCATAGCTGAACTATTCAACTATGAGGTAGTGCATGAAATCCTCATACTTCAAATTTTCCACTTACTGACAGAAAACTTAAATGAATCATCTTCTGGTCTTGTCATTTTGTTTATGACTTTAACGGGGAAAAGACTAGCCCTGCTTTCAAAAACAGCGCACAATTTAGTTTATGAGCGACTCAGGAGTTTTCTTCAGGAACAGACACTCAAGAAGGAGACTTGTGAGAGAATAGAACGTCTTTTTGATTTACGAAGAAGAAATTACCCATCCACGCCGCCTCGGCTAAATCTTCCCAACCATGATATATTAACTCATACCCTGATAATTGATCTTGATGAACCATTCTTTCCCACAGAAACTCTAGAGGCATTTGATTATGATCCTAATTTTTTTGAAACCGAAGAAGCGTTCGAAAAGCTAAGAACTAGGGTATTAGCTGAAAATCAAGCACCAACACCTAATAATTTGAACGAGGCCATCCGGGACAAATCAGAGGCAAATGACCTTCAGTTTAAGAAAAAAATCTATCTGGTCTTAAAGGGATCATTATCAGGCGATGAGGCCGCTCACAAACTTTTGAAGTTACGAGTAAACGATAGGGAAAAGGACAAAATTGCGGAGATATTGGTTTTAGCATGTTCCCAAGAGGTAACTTACTCAAAGTTTTATGGTGTTATCTCCGAAAGGTTGTGTTGTGGGCACAGAAGTTGGCAGCGGAGCTTTCGCACTATTTTTCGTCGAAACTACGTTGATATAGACAACCTGGAAGCAAAGCAAATAAGAAATATTGGAAAGTTTTGGGGACATCTGCTGGCTTCTGATTACGTCGGTTTTGAGGTTATGCAATACATTCATATTACAGAAGATGAAACTACTTCTGCCGGAAGGGTATTCCTCAAATTTTTGTTTCAAGAGCTGGTCGCGGAATTAGGCCTTCGTGTGTTGAAGGAAAGGCTAGAAGAGCCTTACATTCAACCATTTGTGCAAGATGTATTTCCGTTAAATAACATGGAAAATGTCAGATTTTCGGTTAACTTCTTTACCGCAATTGGCTTGGGTGGGTTAACTGATAAAATGAGGGAGAGATTACTAATTTTGGAAGATACAAAAAGGGACCAAATCAGTCGAAGTCAACTTTCTAAACAATTTAATCCTCGAAATGCTATTCTTTCCGAGGCTGGAGCCAATGTGGGTGACATTATTAGTGGGAATGGCGAGGAAAAATCTAAAATGACGGAAACGGACCCCGAAGTGAACAAAAAACCCGTAGAATTGGAATCAGCACCAAGGGAAAGGGAACAGCAGTTGGCACAGGAAACAGATTCAAACTCTGCTAGAAATCGAGCGCGCACGCAAAAGAGAAGATCTAGGACGCCCATCAGAAGAAGGTCCAGGACACCAATCAGGAAAAGATCAAGATCACCATCTAGTAGAACTTTTCTGGCGGACAAAGCCTGATCCCGCAAACCAAGGTATTTATAGAGATAGATGTTAATATCAAAAGAGCAAACTTAGATTGGAATCGGGAATCTCCTGCTACAGCTCTCAATTGATGGTCCATTATCTTTATTTGATCTCCACGACGGTGCATCTCATTTTCATCTGTAAACAGAAATCCATAGTAAAAAGTAGCTATTTAAGTTTATGTGTAACTTCCAGAATCATATTTAAGTTGGGTATTTTAAGGGTTCGTACACTTTTTGGTTTTAATAGAAGAGGAAGAGAAAGTTATTGATCGAAGCTAGTTGGCATTTAACAGTCAACTTTTATCCTATCACCATAATTCAAAATTCTTTGATAAAAATATAGATCAGGATTCAAATGATCTATTCAGAGAAGATACCCCAATACTTTTCAACACCTAGGGAACCATCAGCCTTCCACAAATCATTGAACGCAGTGAATAAAATGACATCATCACCACAGTTAGACTTAATAGAAGAAATAGCGGCTTCTTGATTGCTCTTAGATGGAACAGCCTTACCGTAGGTGTCACCTTGACTTGGCCAGCCTGATTCAGTGATCAAAACGTTCTTGTTACCGCTGCAGGCACCCCAAACTCTTTCGATTTGTTCCATAACCCAAGTACCAGCATCGGCAGCAGCAGTGTTGTAGTCGAAATAGGCATGGGCATTCACAGCCATGAAGTCAGAGTAGTCACATAAGCCTGGGTTGTTAATGACAGCAATGAAAGTGTCGACAGAGACAACAGGACCACTGTAACCGGCTGAGGTCAAAGCAGATCTACCAGAGTCAATGTAGGAACCAACTTGAGAGACGGTGGCATCACCAGAGTTAACCAATTCATTACCGATAGAGACAGCATAAACATCATCCCAAGAACCATAGGACTCGATAGCAGCTTTGATTGTTTCAACACCAGACTCAATTTGGTCAACGTAGTAAATTCCTAGGAACAATTTTTGGTCTGAAGTCTTAGCTTGCAAGACGCTCGAGACTTGGTCACAGTCAACACCGTATAATCTAATGATGCTGAAATCGGTTAGAGAAGCTAAGTCTGAGGCAACCTCAGAAGAACTCTTACAGGCACCAGAAGACGAGTAAGGAGAGTAAGTGATACCCTTAGCACCGCCGTCGAAACTACCAGTGGATGAAGCAGCAGCTGAAGAAGAGCTGGAGGACGACTCGGCAGCGGAAGAGCCAGAAGAGGAAGCAGTGGTGGTCACAGCTTCGGAAGGAGCGGCAGCAGCTCTGGAAACATCAGAGGCAGCAGATAATGAGGTGGTGGCAGTAGCAGCCTCTTGAGCGACTGTGTTTGAAGCATCCAAAGCGATAGTGGTGGAAGCACCGCCAATACTTTGAGGTGCAGCACCGTAAACAGTACTGGTGCGGACGTTGGTGACGTACACAACATCACGCTTGTGAGCAGCGTGCTCATGGCCCAAAGGAGAGGCAGCGGAAAGGCCTACCAAAGAAGCTGAGGTGACGAACTTGAAGAAACGCATACTAAAGGAACGAGTGTAACGAAGTAAAGTTGTTTAAAGGAGAGACTGTTAGTTGGACTCGTATGCCTACCGTTGTACCGACTAAACAAAAGATTGAAAACTCAAGAGTTATCAAATATTCTCCTGAAAATTTTTCTATTTGACCTCTCCTCGGTGACTGTATAGGACGACAAAAATGGGCGCGTTCAAGATCTCGTCCTAGAGATCCACGCTCACCAAATCGGGAAAAAAGAACAATATCCGTTCCTAATGATTTTTTCACACCCCCCAAACTTTAAAGTGGCACGTTTTAGACCGTCGGTGAGCTAAGCCAGCTGTGTCATTCTTTGCAGCGCAATCTTAGAATCCAAAACCGTCCTGCTGCTGCCTTTGTGGCCTGGCACTAACATGAGTCCCCAGCCTCCAAAAAGGGAGAATGCCACATTCGAAGGTAGTGTCAGGTTTGTCAGAGTTAGTTGAAACGAATTTTACTCCGCACCGTTGTTTCAATGTTGATTCCTAACATCAATCATGCTTAGCAGCAATATATCGGCTCCTCGTAACCTCGACTACCTGGTTAGTTAGCTTAAACGAAACATGGAAGCGAGCAAATCGGATTTTCTAAGGCATCTGTAAAACGCCCTGGAACGTTTTTTCATGGGCTCGACGTTTCCATACGATACGACTGAGAATCAGGGTTTGTGGGTTTTGAGTTGAATTGAAGAGGCCTACGTTATGCGATGTCGAGGCTTGAAGTGATTCTTTGTAGCTCCTTGGTATGAAAAACCGCACAACGTCCTCGTTCGATAAACAGTCTAATAGGAACAACTCTAGTATATTCTTGTTCCCCTCCAGATTTTCAATTAATATGATGTTCTCCAATGAAGGCATCTTTAGTGTTTATATCTGCTCTTGAACATTAAGTTGCGAAAGACACCAATGTTAACGCCACTTTCCAAAACTTCAATGTCATTTAAATTACCCACTAGCAATTCTACACGAACGATTACTATTTGGCTAATTCAGTTATGTTTAGTGTTTTTAGATCAATTATCCCCTTCATTTTTCCCCTCAGATCATTCTTTTTTTTGATTTTGTGGACCTTCTCGGCGGCTAACTTCAACTATTTAAAATTGGCGACGTTTGGCAAAATCTCCCTTGACACCTCTTGGAAAACTCCAAAAATGAATACAGATAGCTCCAAGATCTCATTTACTGATTATGAATACCCAGCGTGGTGCCAGGATGAGGAGGTTCCCGTTACAAAGATGGAACTAAGAGATATATTTGATGACTTAACTCGCAAATTTGGGTTTCAACAGTCTTCGAAAGAAAATATGTTTAACCACCTACTCGCACAGTTAGATTCAAGAGCAAGCAGATTTACTGCCAAAGTTGCTTTAATCTCGCTACATGCCTCATACATTGGAGGTGATTCCTCTAATTATAAGAAATGGTACCTGGCTGCTCAACTGGATCTTGATGAAGAGCTTGGCTTCTGCAACATGAAATTGAATGGAAAAGCTTACAAAAGAAACCTCAAAATGGCTAAGAAAAGTGGAGTGTCGCTCGAAGAGCAAGCCAATCTGTGGAGGGAGAAAGAAGACGAGTTTATAAAGAATCACCCGAAAATAACCTCATTTCCAAAAAGTACCAAAGACGAAAAGTATTACAAGACCGCAGACTATAAATGGAAATTAAAGATGAGGGCACTGTCACCATCTCAGATGGCTAGGCAGTTAGCGCTCTATCTTTTATGTTGGGGCGAGGCCAATCAATTAAGATTTACACCAGAATGCTTATGCTTCATTTTCAAATGTGCTCTAGATTACGATACATTAGTTGACGAAGACACTAATGCGTATAAAACTGAATTTTCCTATCTTAATGAAGTGGTTACTCCGATCTACGATTTTTTGAGGTCACAAGTTTATGATCTAGGAAAAAATGACAAGCTTATTAAGCTTGAAAAAGATCACAAAGATATTATAGGGTATGACGATGTTAACCAGCTTTTCTGGTATCCTGAGGGTATTGAAAGAATTGTACTTGATTCTGGAGAACGTCTAATTGATATTACAAGGGAAAAACGTTATGGTTGTTTGAAAGATGTTAAATGGTCCCAGGCGTTTTTTAAAACGTATAGGGAAAGACGAACGTGGATGCATTGCGCGACAAACTTCAATCGCATTTGGATTATACACCTAGCAACGTTTTGGTTTTTCACTTCCTTTAATGCCCCCACTCTTTACACTAAAGACTACGTCCAACTGCTCAACAATCCCCCTACAAAACAAGCACGACTCTCTGCCGTTGCGCTAGGTGGTACAATTACATGTTTGATACAAATTATCGCGACAATTTTTGAGTGGGGATTTGTGCCTCGGCAATGGCCGGGTAGTCAGCACCTTTCAAGGAGAATGGTAGGACTTGTACTATGCTTCATTATCAATTTCGCACCTTCTCTGTATGTCTTCGGCTTCTTTGATTTAAATGTGCATTCAAAATCCGCTTATATTGTTTCAATAATACAGTTTATCATTGCAATCGTCACGACATTGTTTTTTGCTCTGAGGCCTTTGGGTGGTTTATTTGGATCTTATTTGCAGAAGGACCGCAAACAAAGAAGATATATATCTTCGCACACATTTACTGCTTCATTTCCTAATTTGATAGGTCGAAGTAAATGGTTTTCTTGGGGTCTTTGGTTATTTGTTTTCATTGCTAAATTCATTGAATCATATTTCTTTTTGACACTTTCACTTAGGGACCCTATTCGAGTTCTATCGATTATGGACATGAGCCGTTGTAGGGGTGATAAAATCATTGGAAAGGCTTTGTGTTTATATCAGCCAAAGATTACACTGGTACTAATGGTATTGACCGATTTGATTTTATTTTTCTTAGATACCTACCTATGGTATATTATCTGCAATTGCATCTTTTCGATCGTTTTGTCTTTTTCTCTTGGCACATCGATACTCACACCGTGGAAAAACATTTACTCTAGATTGCCAAAACGAATTTACTCCAAGATTCTGGCCACTTCTGAAATGGATGTTAAATACACACCAAAGATACTAATCTCCCAAGTGTGGAATGCCATCATCATTTCAATGTACAGAGAACATCTTTTGTGCATCGAACATGTTCAAAGACTTTTATACCAACAGGTAAACTCAGTATGTGCCGACAAGACAACTTTGAAATCTCCCACCTTTTTTGTCGCGCAAGATGATTCAACATTCAAGTCTGTAGAGTTTTTCCCAAAGAACTCCGAAGCAGAGAGAAGAATATCATTCTTTGCACAATCTTTATCAACTCCAATTGCGGAGCCATTACCCGTTGAATGCATGCCCTCATTTACAGTATTGATCCCCCATTATTCTGAGAAAATACTACTTTCCTTGAAGGAGATAATCAAAGAAGAGTCGTCAAAAAGTAAAATAACATTACTCGAATATTTGAAACATTTACATCCAACAGAATGGGAGTGCTTTGTGCGTGATACAAAGTTGTTAGCAATTGATGATGAACCAAACTCACCTTCTACCAATAGTGAAAGTCAGAAAACAATTGAGGATTTACCCGTTTCACGGACACGATCAGATGATAAATTTGAAGTTCTTCAAGATAAGATAAAAGATTTACCATACTATTGCTTAGGATTCAATAATTCGAGCTCCCAGTATACTTTACGCACCAGAATTTGGGCTTCTTTACGGTTTCAAACATTGTACAGGACGATATCAGGATTCATGAACTATTCTAAAGCTATAAAATTGCTTTATCGGATTGAAAACCCCGCAACGTCTCTAATGTACGGGAATGACGAAGAGTCACTAGAAACCGAATTAGAAACTATGGCGCGTCGAAAGTTCAGAATGGTTGTAGCAATGCAAAGACTAACGAAGTTCGACGCCCTGGAAATGGAGGCTACCGAGTTTTTGCTCAAAGCTTATCCCGATATGTGCATTTCTTACTTAGAAGAGGTGCCCCAGGATAGTGGAAAGACTTTATTTTATTCCTGTCTCATAGATGGGTATTGCGAATTTGATGAGGAGAGGAAGATGCGAAAACCTAAATATAGGATTAGACTTTCGGGAAATCCCATTTTAGGTGATGGCAAGTCTGACAATCAAAATCATTCCCTTATTTTCTATCGAGGCGAGTACATCCAGGTCATTGACGCTAATCAAGATAATTACCTTGAAGAATGTCTGAAAATAAGATCTATCCTGAGTGAATTTGAAGAACTTGAGGCAGAGAGCACGAATCCCTACATACCTGGTATAGAATACGACTGTTACTCACCCGTAGCAATTGTTGGAGCAAGAGAATACATCTTTTCGGAGAATATCGGTGTGTTGGGGGACATAGCTGCAGGAAAAGAGCAGACTTTTGGAACCTTATTTGCAAGAACACTTGCAGAAATCGGAGGTAAATTACATTATGGACATCCTGATTTTCTAAATGCCATATTCATGACAACTAGGGGAGGAATATCTAAAGCCCAAAAAGGGTTGCATCTAAACGAAGACATTTATGCTGGAATGACTGCAATTTGTCGCGGGGGTAGGATCAAACATAGTGATTATTACCAATGTGGTAAAGGACGCGATCTTGGCTTTGGGTCTATTCTGAACTTCACAACAAAAATTGGCGCAGGGATGGGTGAACAACTTTTGTCGCGAGAGTACTATTATTTAGGCACTCAGTTACCTTTGGATCGATTTTTATCATTCTTTTATGCTCATGCTGGGTTCCACCTTAACAACCTTTTTATTGCCCTTTCGGTGCAGTTATTTTTCATACTCATTATTAATTTGGGCTCCTTGAACCACGAAGTTATTGCTTGTCAGTACAACAAGGATTTACCTATTACTGACATCCAGGAGCCGCTAGGGTGTTATAATATCCAACCAGTATTGAATTGGGTAACAATTTTTGTACTATCGATCTTTATCGTTTTCTTCATCGCCTTTGCACCATTATTAATACAAGAACTACTTGAAAAAGGAATTTGGAAAGCTTTTTCAAGATTTTTGCATCACCTATTATCATTGGCCCCATTCTTTGAGGTTTTCGTTTGTCAAATTTATGCTAATTCACTATTAGCCGATGTAACCTTCGGAGGAGCCAAATATATTTCCACTGGAAGGGGGTTTGCAATTACCAGACTTGATTTTGCTGATTTGTATTCAAAATTTGCTTCTTCCTCTATTTATTCCGGATCTAAAATATTCTTGACATTGTATTTCGGGATGATATCTATGTGGCAACCAGCTCTCTTATGGTTTTGGATTACTGTGATATCTATGTGTTTGGCACCTTTCATCTTCAACCCACATCAATTCGCTTTCACGGATTTTTTTGTTGATTATGCGAATTTCATTAGATGGATGTCCAAGGGAAATCACAAATACGAACGCAGCTCTTGGGTCGAGTTTGTCAGGTCATCTAGATCAAGATTCACAGGTTATAAGCGAAGAACTATCTGTGATATTTCCGAGCAAGAAGTCAAAGATTCTAAAAGAGCAAGAGTTGCTGACATTTTTATGAGCGAAATATTTATACCCTGCTGTGTCGTGGTATTCAATATAACAGCTTACACATTCATTAACTCTCAAACGGGAGTGGAATCTCCTCAACCCACTAGCGCCCTTTTGAGGTTAGGAGTAGTTGCCTTGTTGCCGATATTCTCCAATTGGCTGGTTCTTCTCATTTTCTTTGGAATTTCGTTTTTTGCGGCTCCATTGCTGTCTTGTTGTTGCAAGAAAACTGCCGCCGTGATTGCGGGTGTGGTACATGGTATGTCGGTGGTTGTTTATCTAATAGATTTCGAGCTGATGTGGTTTCTAGAGGGTTGGAATTTCACAAGAACGTTAACACTTGTAATAACGTGCATCAACTTGCAAGATCTCATTTTTCGAATCATCACCATATTTTGTTTAACACGGGAGTACAAAAACAACAAATCTCACCTTGCCTGGTGGTCAGGTAAATGGTATAATACAGGAATAGGATGGGCTGTAGCTTTACAGCCCACGAGGGAAATCCTGGTAAAAACCATCGAATCAAGTCTATTTGCGCGTGATTTCATTCTTACTCACTTGTTGCTTTATGCACAAGTTCCATTAGTGTTGACTCCGTTCATAGATTATTGGCACTCACTGATACTTTTCTGGATGAGGCCTAGCAACCTGATCTCCAGTAAACTGGCATACACAAAGAAGCAAAAAAAAGTTCGAAGACGTGTTGTCATGAGATACTCGTTGCTATTCTTTACGATTTTGGCCTTGTTTGTAGCGCTTCTTGTTGCACCTTTCTACTTCGCGAAATACTCTCCTATCGGGCAATCATTTTTCAAAAATTCGTTCCTGGATGGGATATTTCAGCCCCCAAATCAAAATAACAATGACACTGGCACAAGAGCTCCCAGTACCATTTTGTCTACTACCCCGCCTATGCCGGAAATAATTACAGTTTCGTGAAAGTAGGCTCCCGCTTTGTACGTAAAAAGGTAGGCGCTATTTTTCTCTTTCCGGATTTGGTGTCGGATGGTGTACACGCGAAAAAAATCATGTTTTCACGCAACGCCTATTTTCGAGGCCTTTTCTAATATAAGCCCTCTCTTCCTTCCGTAGAGTTCGCGTCTCTTTTTATACTAACATCTAGCACAACAAAAAACAATACTAGGATGTTGTTGAAGCGAATTACCGCACTATCTCTAGCGTCTCTCTTTGTTGGCAAGGCCGCTGCCGAACTTCCCACCATTGACGTTGTTGGGAACAAATTTTACTACTCTACTAATGGATCGCAGTTTTACATCAAAGGTGTTGCTTACCAGGCCGATAGTGCAAATACCACCTCGGGCGAGTCATTCAACGATCCTCTTGCCGATGCTGATAGCTGTGCTAGAGATATCCCTTACCTACAAGCTCTGGACACAAATGTCATTCGTGTTTACGCTTTGAACACATCTCTTGATCACACGTCCTGTATGGAGGCTTTGGACGCAGCTGGTATCTACGTGATTGCTGATTTGGCTGAGCCATCTCTGTCAATCAACAGAGACTCACCCTCTTGGACAGTTGATTTGTACAATCGTTACGTCGACGTGGTCGACTTGTTCCATAACTACACTAATGTGTTGGGTTTTTTTGCAGGTAACGAAGTTACCAACAATGCTTCAAACACCGATGCATCTCCATTCGTGAAAGCCGCCATCAGAGATGTCAAGAAGTACATCTCCGACAAAGGCTACAGAAGTATTCCAGTTGGTTACTCTTCTAACGACGATGAACACACCAGGGTTCCAATGGCTGATTACTTTGCATGTGGTGATGAGGATGTTAAGGCTGATTTCTATGGTATCAACATGTATGAATGGTGTGGCTCTTCATCATTCACCGCTTCTGGATATGCAGACAGAACCAAGGAATTTTCAAACTTGAGTATTCCAGCTTTCTTTTCCGAATATGGTTGTAACGAAGTTCAACCAAGAAAGTTCGAGGAAGTCTCCGCTTTATATGGTAGTAATATGACTAGTGTCTGGTCCGGTGGTATCGTTTACATGTACTTTGAGGAAACCAATAAATACGGTTTGGTGAGCGTCGTTAATGATAAGGTGTCAACCCTCGCTGATTACAGCTACTATTCTAGCGAAATTCACAATATCTCTCCAAGCTCGGCATCCATCAACACTGCCTCCACATCTAGCACATCTTCCCTAGCATGCCCAGCTACCGGCTCATACTGGAAGGCTGCCACGGCTCTTCCACCAACTCCTAATGACTCCCTCTGTTCTTGTATGTCCAGCTCTTTGAACTGTGTTGTCTCGAGTGACGTCGACTCAGATGACTACGAGACGTTGTTCGATTACGTTTGTGGTATCGTTTCTTGTGATGGTATCACTGCAAATGGTACTTCAGGTGAGTATGGTGCGTACTCCTTCTGCTCTCCAGAAGAACAATTGTCCTTTGTTTTGAACTTGTACTATGAAGCTCAAGGTAGCAGCAGCTCCGCATGTGATTTCAGTGGTTCCGCCTCCTTGCAATCTGCAACGACCAAGTCCTCTTGTTCTTCGGTCCTAAGTGCTATCGGATCCGAAGGAACCGGCTCCGCCAGCGGTATCTCCTCCTTCACCGTCAGCTCGTCAGGCAGCGGTTCCTCCACCAGCTCCGCGAGCTCTGCTTCTTCCAGCGGCAACTCCACGTCCAGCACCAAGAAGAGCGGTGCAGCCGTCGGATCTTCTGCTAGTTTAAGCCACATTTTCATGTCAGCCTTCGTTACAATTGCTGCCACCGCTGGTCTTGGTTTTGTCTTTGCTTAGTCGGTGAAGGTTGGCACTAATGCCAGCTTGTGTTATTTTATCTTCAATGTTTCCTTATTATATTATCTCACTAGACCACGCTTTTCACCAAGCTGCTCTATAAATATATACACAACGCGATTATTAGATACATTCTCAATAAATATTCGTGTTTGTTTTACTCCTTAGTGAAACTTATCGTGGACTTGCAATAAATCTGGCCCTTTTTTCGAGCGTCAATATTTCCAAAAAAAAAATAAATAAACCATGGAGGAGCCTGGACCCCTTCAAAAGCAATATGGGCAACAAAACTGTGCCCGGTTCAATTCTAGTGAAGCTACGGCTTAATCACGGAGAATTGAAACTTACGCGGATGCGAATTTCACTTGTTCTTTCTTTTGATGATTTTCGTGTTTTACCGTCACGATCGACCATAGCCACAATAGGTCGAGGATTGCATATATAATTGTTGATCTTGTTCGAGGTTGACCTTGCCGCAAATTGTGAAATCTCAAGATAGAAAACTGGTCTTGGAGCTTCAAGATGATCAAATCCCTTCCTTCGTTCGCTTACCTTCTTGCCTTTGTTCTCAATTTGGCTCTAGGTGCTGACAGTGGTAACAACACCAATACGCCAGCCATCGAGGTTATAGGCAACAAGTTTTTCTTTTCCAACAACGGTTCCCAATTTTATATGAGAGGTGTGGCCTACCAGGCAGACACGGCTAACTCGACTTCAGATGAAACAATCAATGATCCGTTAGCTAACTACGATAATTGTAAGAGAGACTTGCCATACTTGCAGGAGTTGCAAACCAATGTGATCCGTGTGTATGCTTTGAATACGTCCCTCGACCACACTGACTGCATGACTGCGCTTGCTGACGCGGGTATATACGTTATCGCAGATCTCTCAGAGCCAAGTTTATCGATCAACAGAGATTCTCCTTCCTGGGATTTGGACTTGTACAATCGTTACACAGAAGTCGTCGATGCTCTTCACAATTATACCAATGTTTTGGGATTTTTCGCAGGTAATGAAGTTAGTAACAACGCTTCAAACACCGATGCGTCTCCATTCGTGAAAGCCGCCATCAGAGATGTCAAGAAGTACATCTCCGACAAAGGTTACAGAAGCATCCCAGTAGGTTACTCGACTAACGACGACGAAGATACTAGGGTACCCATGGCTGACTACTTTGCTTGCGGTGACCAAGACGTTAAGGCTGATTTCTACGGTATCAACATGTATGAATGGTGTGGCTCTTCATCATTCACCGCTTCTGGATATGCAGACAGAACCAAGGAATTTTCAAACTTGAGTATTCCAGCTTTCTTTTCCGAATATGGCTGTAACGAAGTTCAACCAAGAAAGTTCGAGGAAGTTTCCGCTCTTTACAGCGATAATATGACTAGTGTCTGGTCTGGTGGTATCGTCTACATGTACTTCGAGGAGGCCAACAATTATGGTCTTGTTTCTGTGGATGGGTCCAAAGTAAGCACGCTGAGCGATTTCAATTATCTAAAAAGCGAGTTAGCCTCTATTTCCCCTAGCTCCGCCAATAGTGCTTCTTATACGGCGTCAACAACCTCTCTTTCTTGTCCTGCAACAGGCCAATATTGGAAGGCAGCTACTGCACTACCACCTACGCCCGAAAAGAATGTCTGTGACTGCATCAAAAGCAGTTTGACTTGTGTACTAAGCGACGATGTTGATGATGACGATTATGGCGACCTATACTCGTACTTGTGTGATAAGATTGACTGTGGTGATATTTCTGTTAATGGAACTACAGGATCCTACGGTACTTACTCCTTCTGTGACGACGAAACTAAACTATCGTTTTTACTAAACAAATACTATGAGTCCCAAAACAAAGCCAGCAGTGCGTGTTCCTTCAGCGGTTCAGCTTCACTGGCCTCCGCCAGTAGTGCCTCATCCTGTGGAACTGTCTTGTCCTCTGCTTCAGCAAGTGCAAGTTCGGTATCTGCTTCCGCATCTGGAAATGCCTCGGGCTCTGCGTCTGGTTCTGGTTCGTCCTCAAGCTCGTCAAGCACCTCTTCCTCTTCGGGTAAGTCAAACTCTGCTGGACTAACTAGCCAGCCTATTTCGACTTCCTCTGTTATACTGGCCAGTGTTTTCGTTTGTTTCGTTACGATGGGCCTCGGTTCTGTCATGTTGTAATGTTATAAATGCCGAATGCTAGTTTATGTTGAACAAGGTTCGCTTTTGTATTTTAAATGTAAGAATGATTTTTCCATGCAGTTATGTAGTTTTTAAACAAAAATTTTCCAGTTATATCAAGTTGTTACCATGAAGATCTCATTCAAAGCCTTTGCATCCAATACAGCCGCGCGCTTTTGTTTGATCCACTTAGAGCGGACAGATAATCGAGAAGATATCTCTTTACTTTCGGAAGCTTTCGGCTTTAACATGGACTCTCTTGACGTTTTGTTTGCTTTCTCTTTGATCCTTTTAGAGTCTTTTTTTGTTTTGCTCTTCTGCTTTTCTGACTGATCTTCAATGTCGCCTTTTGAAGCCTTTGATTTTTTGTCTCTCTTCTTATCCTTCTTTGTATCAGATTTCTTAACCTTCTTGTCTTTTCTTTCTTTACTTTCCTTTTTGTCCTTCTTCCTCTTCTTAGCTTCTTCAGTTGAATCACCGTTGTCTGCCTTCTTTTTATGTTTTCGAGTCTTCTTGCTTTTCTTTATCCTTTTGGACGCTTGTTCTTCATCATCGTTCTGATGCACTCTCTTCTTCTCGTTGCTGTAATTCTTCAAAGATTTGGTTTCCGTATCCCATGTACTTGCCAAGACATCACCTTTGACAAAATTGATACCCCACTTCCCATTAATAATCTCATCTTTTTTCTGTCTTTCTATCTCCTTTGAGATTGAACTTTCATTACCATTCAATCTTCCCAATAAGCGTTGGAATGCGTCCAAGCCAGCACATTCACCACTATCAAATTCATCCTTTTTTTCCTTTCTCCTTAACTTTGCACCTAATCCTACGTTGTCATCTTTGATTGAAACTTTAATATGTGTTGTGGTGGCATGCGGAACCCTTCCGAGACCAGAGCCTGGTTGCCAACCCAATTTCTCCAAATATTGGTGACCAAATCTTGAGGTATCATTACTCCAAGTAGTATTTCTAGGATCATTACCAAACTTTTGCTTAACTTTTACAGCCGCTAAACCCATCTTGGTGCAAGTTTTAAATTTGAAGATATACTACACTTAAAAGGTATCTCATCTCATCTCATCTCATCTCTAACCAAAAATTTTTCACCATTGCTTTTGATGTCACTATGCACGTTTAATTAGTAGAAAGTGAAACTGGAGCACATGTTGAAAGGTAAATTAATTGAGACACACAGTATAAAAATTTATTAGACAATTGTTGATATTTTATGATGCAGAGAGATAAAGAAAGTCAAGAAGATGCTAGGCAAACCATTGTTGAATTTCTTGAAACATATCTGAAGGATATCTTTGAAATAAAGCTAAAGCTTCATTTTGTGGGAGCCGGCCTAAGAGCTTCTTCGTGGCCTGAGCAACTGCATTTGCGTTCTTTCCGACCAAAGTCTTATGATGCAAAGCTTGCACAACATAATCAACTATAACAGCAATATTCGAAGGATCTTGAACAACCGCAGAATTGGTCTCAATCAAATGTGCCAAAAACCTGTAATTGAATGCCGCCGCTTCCTCATCCTGGACAATGGGGAATGACTTTAACCAGTTGGATATATAACTATCCAAGTTTGGGATACTGGTGCCATATGAATGTAATATTTTAGCAATAGCAGCGCTGGCATTTTCTGTTGCAGTTACGTTCTCCTCTGACTTTGCGTTCGGAATTGAAATTACGCGGAAAAGGACATCCAGAGAGTCGAGGCAGTCCTGAGTATACACAGATTGACCAAATTGAGCACACACTCCGATTACATAGGAGGCAGCTTGACGAATCGACGCATCTGGGGAGACCAAAAATTCTCTGACTTCATTTATGAAGTTCGCTCTGAATGGCTCGCTGTGGGAACCCGCAGATTCAACGAGATCACCGATGGCACAAAGAGCAAATAACGTTAGGATTACTTCGCCATCTCTCAAATAGGTCACAATGAGTGGCCATATGGTTTGAAATTGGGTTATGTAACCACCATGTGTTGATTTGAAAATAGCTGAAAGAGACTTGTTAATGTCATCCAACAAATCCTCATCAGTATAATCTTCATAATCATCGTCAACGTCCTCATTATATTCGTCGTCCTGATTATGGCGTTGTTTCACACGCTCATATATGTCTGACAAATTAGCAGACACACCTTTCGTATACTGACTTAGTTGTTCACTGTTCAAACAGTTGTCCCCCATTATACCAATTCCATCAACAAGCGCAGTATGATAAATTTGGGTAATTTCGGGCATAGGCTCTGAAATAATACCGCTGATCAACTTCGTTGAAGCTAAATGCCACAATTGAAGAACATCATTGTTCTGCAATCCGGTGGCAGCAACCAAGGACGAGAGCAGAACAGGAATTAAGCCTGCACCTGTAGCACGAACGCCATCGTGAAGATAAAAATCGATCGAGGGCACTGCAATTTCTCTCATAATCTCATCAACGTATACTGCGAAGAAATTTTTCAAAATTGTTGCGTAAACCTGTAACAATTCCATCGCTGAAACTTTATCGTCAAGAATTGAAGTATGGATTGCAATATGCTTTCCTTGTATTTGAACAACATCCCAGTCAGAATACTGCTGGAAATTAGCGGCTTCCTCTTCCTCAATCAAACTTACATCTTGAGTAGCTTTTGCAGTTTCTAGCAAAGGTGGAATAACGACAGGAAGTAAAGGAACAAAGTCCTCCCGTAAAATTCTACAAATTCTACTCCATCCATGCTCTAAGTATGACTTGATCGGATCATCGTCTTCCACCCCTTGATTTTGATATGCAATGAATAACTCTATAAGTTCTTGGGATTGTGACACAAACTTTTCCTTTCCCACTGCAAGCGCAATCAAAGTAGAGCATTCGATGCATTTACCTTTCAATAATCTGTTTGCACTTCCAGTATCGGTTTTCAATACATTTATTAATAGAGGCATCAAAGTATCGTAATATTTGATGAATTTTTTTTCAGCAGCTTCCGCGATGAATGCAATTGTGGTTAAAGCTTGCTCCTGTACGTAAAACTTAGTGCTTTGTAAAAGGGTGAGTAAGTTAGTTAGCAAGTCATCCAGATATGGTTCTAAAATTGTTTGCGTGGCATGTTCAGAAAAGTTCACCAATGCAGCAGCAGCGTGTGTTTGAACCCTGTCAACCGATTGAGTGCTCAATTTAGAAATGAGAGGGGGTAGTATACGTTCATGTGAGGTTCTTTGAATCAAAGGAGCAAAATCTGTTGAAATTTGTCCCAATGCATTACAGCAACCATACTGGACTCTTGGGTGAGGATCATTAATTAGGGGAATAATCATGTCAAGAATTTTTGGAATCTCACCTATCAAAACATCTCTGCAGCCTTCCGCAGCGGAAGAAAGTGCCATAAGTGCGCCAAATCTCTCTCTCCATTCAGAAGAAGAAACCATTTGCTGCAGGTATTGAAAAAGTGGTGGAGCTAAATACTTGCCACCAAGCTTTAGTGAAACCCGATCAAGCGCTTGACGGGCATGGTCATAAGTTACTTCCTCTTCGTCTTCCTCGGTATCATCAGAATTTTGCCATTCTGAAGCCTCATCGTCATCAATGGAAACTTCTGTCATCATTATCAAAGTATTCATGACCATAGACTGCGCGTAACTCGCATTAGATTTACACATCTGAGGAGCGCTTTCGCTGAATGCAGTGAGGAGCTCTAAAGCAGTTGTTCTCGCAGACGTTTCTAAATCCTTGTTTTTGATGACCAAATCTGTAAATTGTATCATTTGGTCAAACATTGCTTTGAATAGTTTAGGAGCAAGTTCAATCAGTTCGATCAGTGATTCAAACACGGATGCCAAAGCATCGTCCTTTCCATCGTCCAAAAACTTCGGAAGACTATTCAATAAGCTAGGTAAGAGCACGCCCAATTTTGACCAGTGAGTTTTGGGAAGTTGTTTGAAATATCCAACAAATGCTGTAACTGCTGCAATTTTGACGTTATCGTCCTCATCAGTGAATCCAGCTTCAAAGATAGGAAGGACATCATTAATATCCACTGCGTTAATAAGATGTGGCACTGAAGTAAAAATTCTGAAACTTGACTCTCTGAAGTTTGGATCAGGATTTTTAACAGCCTCAAAAAGTGTTTGAAGAAGTGCCGGCCAAGCTGGCAAATCCTCTTGGGCACATTCTGCAATAGCGTCGGACAATTTGTGTCTTATTCCACTGGGCCTCTCAGTTATAAACCCCTTCAACAAACTATTACGTATCTGATTCAAAGCGTTTTCGCTAATATGCGTTATGTTCTTAGCAATTATAACGGTTTTGGACGATGGAGGAGCCCTTAGGGCCAGTTTCCGAAACAAAACGGCAGACAAAGCTGCCAATGTCATCTCCAAAGAGAATGCTGCTTGCTCTGATAAAAAGATGAGCAATACTTCGATATTTTCAGGAGTTATCCAGCTCTTGTTCAGAGTCTCTTCCGCCGCAGCACGAATGTTGTTATCTGGGGAGGAAAACCCATTGAGAACACTTATCAAGGTAGAATTGACCTCCTCCGAAAGAGCTGACATTTTAACTTTCGCTTTATAATCTTTCTAAAGGGTAAGAAAAAAAATCAAATGTGAAATCAAGCCTTTCGCAACTGGTATGGACGGGCAGGCTCTTCAGGTGTTCAATTGTTTCGTTAATGAAATGCTTGTTGAGTAGCAGAAAACTTTTTTAAAATTTTTGATGTCTTGTCTAACGGTACCACGTGATCACGCGCAAATAGCTGAAAGGTAAGTTATAATGGTTAATAACCGAACATGACCGATGATTGCTAGCTGAGACACCAATAAAGCCCCCAAACATTTAAAGGTATGCAATGAGCGCGGAAAGTAGTACATTGTCTCATAAGGTTGATGATTTCAATAAAATTGTATCAAAGCTGGATTCATTAGAGAACCAAATTACTTCGATCGCTAGCGGTCTCATCAACACAGGATCCAAGTCTAACTTCTCAAGCAAAATCAAAAAAAATCGCCAGGGGAAATATCGAAGAAAGAGGAAGAAAAATTTAAGGTTAGCGTGTGCTAGACAACGTGTCAGCTCTTTGGACTTATTAGCTAATGCTGTTCTGCAAGCCAATAGTGACTCAAATGCGAATACACCAGAATCGAAGGAGAGTAATAGTGCATTAGCACTAGATGGATTTTCAAACGTATTAAAATCTCCAAACTATTCTACTCTATCAACTACAGGTGACTTTGGGGTTATCTCATCTTACGCGATACTTTCACCAAGGGGCCTTGAATGGGTGAGGTCTAAAAGTATGAATTCTGATATAGAAATCAGGTACCTGACATCATGGTATACCCATTTTGTGAAAAACAGAAGTACTGGAAAGTCGTTATCTATTCCTTCAGCACAAAAACCGTTGCCAGATATCTCAATTATGGAAGAGCTAATGAGTATATTCAAAAGATCAGGTCTGGAAAGCATCGCCTTCATTGGCAGCAATGACGTAAGTTGTATTTTTGAGAATCTGAAGCGCGAGGGCCTATCACATTTGAGACCGGCGCAAAACCTCGTAGTGAATGTTATCTTTGCGTTGACTTGCAATGTCCAACTTCATTGCTGTAGTCTTGCTGATCGGCATATATCTAACCCGGAACTTAGAAGTGAGAAAGTTTTACGAGACTTGGAGGATTTGTTCATTTCCAATTCTCTTTATCACTATCATAGGCTATGCGTTGTACCTGAAGGTATTGATTCGGTGCAGGCAATGCTTGCCCTAATTGCGTACACGGATTTTTCAGGTGCATTACAGGCTTCTTTTATGATTGTGTCGCTAGCTGTGAGATTAGCTCAGGACTTTGGCTTACACACCGAGCTATCATACCAGGGGCTTAAACAGGATGAAGTTGTTAAAAGAAGGAAGCTCTGGTGGATTTGTCGTCATTACGACCAGAAGCTTGCCATAATTTTAGGAAGGCCACCTATCATTGCCGATTATGATACTACAACTCATTTTCCTCGCTTTAACAAGTGCTTTGAGCTACTATCTGATGTTATTTTGGGTTCATCCACCGAACCAAGAGAATACGAAACCTCTTTTGCCAATAGCTTTTTCGAACTTGTTGTCAAGACTGCTGGTTTCTCCACTTTTATAGGCTTTTACTTCAGCAGATTAACCAGAATAACATCGCAAATATATACCAAGCTCTATGCTGTGCCTACTACGGTCAACTTGTCAAAGCAATTATCAAACGCAAAAGATTTGCTTGATGATTTGAAAACGTTCCAGCTGTCTCTTCCGCAGGGCATGCGTCCATATGACAATTTTGATGCGTTAGCCCTTCCTGCTTTTTTAGAAAAAAACGAAGTCCCCCCTGGTATGCGAATGCACTTGATATGCAATATTCATTTTACCTATTACGTGAGTTTGATGTTAGTACAGAGAGCCTTTTTCAAAATCCAAGCTTTTATGAAGGGATCAGGCAGGAGTGATATCACCCCCGTATGCAAAAGTATTCATACGGCCCGTGAAGTCCTTAAATTAGCTCACGAACTTTACAATCTAGAATTAGATGGGTTTTATAGACCATTCCAGTGGTCCATAACGCTTGCTTTCTTTGAAATTTTTGTTTACTCTCTTTCCATGCAGCATGATCAATATGAATTTGAAAAAGACATAAAGCTTATGGCCAGATTTTATTGGAAATTCAAAACTGGAATCGGGCTCTCGTCTCGTGAAGAGGATAAACACATCTATGAGCCTCAATGTCAAGACGAATCACAGGTGTTAACAACTAGCTTTCCATTCAGCAATTTCAAATTCATGATAAACCTTCTAAAAAATACTTTTGAAACTAGATACTCAGCATGCGTGAGCCTCAGCGAAGATGTGCTTGAATGTTTAAAATATGCTAATCAGAAGGAAGATGGTTCGCAAAACGTTGAAATTCAGAGCAATATCTTGAATTCTCATAATGCGCTTAGTTTAAGCTTCTACGACGGCAAGTTTGCTTCCAGATAATCAAGCAAAAGCCTTTGATTAGTGTTATGAAAATCTAAGGCTTTTAACCATCGTCTCTTGATTTACTGAATACAACTGGCAATTTCTTTTTGTACCGTACATCTTTTTCCATATTATATTAGATCACATTATGAATTACGACCTTGCTCGCCACAATGAGGGGATTACCTGAAATTCTCATAACTGTGGCTTTTCTTTTCGAACTTCATTTAAAAAGCCTTCCAAATTGTACTCCCAAAAGGAATGACAATCCAATCCTTGCCCATGCCTTCTTGTAGCACTTTTTTATAAATTCAATAATATATTGAAACATAGTCATTCCTGATTTTGACTTTTCAAGATAATCTATTAATTCAACAGTCAAGGGCACAGTCCTATCCATTCCATTGACCTTTAGGTAACTTTCTGATAATTCTTTTAACTGAATGTTACCTTCCAAAGTCCTCTGTGTTCCATCGGCTAGCTCCACATTGTAAGTTAAGTTTTCAAAGTCTATGCCAAGGGAATCACCCAAATTTTCAAAGAATTTTTCTGAAAAAGACTTTGAAGTTGAGTTCTCGAGGTTTGGGCCTTTCAGCTTGAACACTTTGTTCTTTGGTAGATTTGTTTTATTTGCAACAGGAGAGTGTGTAACTAAGTAGATGCGGAACCTACTGGAACGAGTTAAAGTTTCTAAGTCTTTCTGACTACCGACTGTAAAAATATTCCGGCTAGTTTCAGGTCCCTGATGGTGGTTGAACTTCTTTTTAAAATCTTCATGACTGGAAACCACTCGCGCAAGCTTTGGGATAGGACCTGATAGTAGACCCTTTTGACTGAAAGATTTGCCGCTTGATACATTTGCGTCTACAAGAGAAAGCTGACTGGAAGAAGCAGAGATTGAGCCCTCGTTATCTGATGTATCAAAAAAGCTCCAAAAGTAATTCTGTGATTGATCTTCTAGCTCAGAGAATTTCTCACGCTGATTGAAGTTCTTTTGGGATTCCATAGTTGAAAGATTAGTCCAGCTATTCGTTCGATGAGCCTTGGAGGAATTTGAAGTGGCAGAAAGGGAAAACTCCCGCTGATGTTTTAAAATGTGGACGAATTGATCATCTAACTTGTTTTTCTTCCCACTTCGAGACAGCTGGTGACTTAATGCAGCATGCGTCAATTGAAGTACACTAATTAATCCCAAGATTGTTCCATTATTATCAACAACTGGTAAATTAAGAAAGTGTCCCTCATACATCATACGCAACGCCGAATGTAAACCCAAGCCCATTGAAGCACAGTTAGGTCTGGTCGTCATGACACGAGCCAAGCTACAAGTGTCAATATCTACTCTTTGAGAATTGCTCAGAACTCTGTAAACAACGTCCTTACTCGTAAAAATTCCTATGATATTGAAATCCTTGGCAACATGGTTTCTTTCAACAGATACATGTGCGGTTCCTGGTTTTCCTGTCGCAATGTCTGTTGCAGGGGATTCATCGCGTATCAAAACGGCACTAGAATTATGACGTTTCATAAGATTCAAAGCATCAGAAACAGTATTGGATGGATTCAGAATTAACGGGATTGTATTATAGGTCGAGGAATCCAAAATTGTTTTTAAAGTTGGTGCTTCCATTAATGAAATAAGTTGTGATATGCTTTGTAAAATTAAGTTTCTCTCTTGCGTCGTATTATCTTCCATAAAATCTTTGAAGACATCATTGAGCTTTTCGTAATTTCTTGCCAATTGTTCCCATTTCAGCATAGCTTGATGAAAACAGCGAGTAATGTCAATTATGCCCAAAATTTCCTCACCTGTATTGCGCCTAATTGGTAAGTGGCGGATGGAACTTTTAACCATAATTTCAAGCGCATCGATAACAAGCATGTTTGCACGAACTACAATAGGATCTTTTGTCGCGATATCGATGGCCCTCAAATTTCGATGTTGTGCACCTCGAAATGCAACATCTTTCGAAGTTATAATTCCCAAAAACCTTTTCTCCTCATCGTAAACTAAAATGCAATGCATTTTATTGTCACTAATCATTGTTGCAACATCAGAAATCAAGTCGTTAGGGGCACACGCCAAGGGCGGGCTCATGGGTAGAGTTTCCACCGAAGGAACCTGTCGTGCGAGAGACATTCCTGAGGATTTCAAAATCTTGACAAAGTAATTAGAAAACTAGTTCACTTTCTCAATAGAGCGTGATTTCTCTCAGGCCTTCTGAGAATTACCCTTAGTCCATTTTTGTGTGACCGTTAAATAGCATGGGGTAGAGCCGCGAGACACCTTCCAAAAAAGAAGGATTGTATGGGTTTCCGCATCGCGGTCGTCGGGACTTTCGAACAATTGTAGATATAAGAACAGAGCAAGCAAGAGTGAAAGTTAAACAATGCACTATGCAGAGCTTTAGAACGAGTTAATTTTGATATTAAGTAGCGTTTTAGTATGTAAATCGAATTTTTCAGTTTTCAGGTTCTTGCGATCTGTTATACTGGACGATAGATCTGAACATCTAATTGAAAAGGCTAGGAAGGGTTTCTCCAGGCAAGTTATCTTCAAAAACACTAAAGTAATCGAGGATTTCAGAATTAAATATCTGAAAGTTATCCACTGGGTCGCCAGGAATAGATTCAAGACCTGGTTCGCTAGGGTAGAGATCACCAAGATCAAGCGCGGTGTCCGCAGAATTTAACAGATCCAACCTCTCAAGAGTAGCAGTGAAGCTTTCTAGCATATCGGTGTCTATTGCACTCAAAATATTGATATTAAGGAGTTCGTCTTTAATTGCCTTGGCCTCATCAACTTTGATACCCCACTTAAACAATATTCGATTTGCAACAGGTTCCGGTATGCGCTTACCTTGCAACCGAAACTCCCAAAATCTGTTTGTTACGTCAACAAGTTTATCGACATCAACCAAGTGGACTACGTACTTGGACATGCAGATGACACGATAACATGCAAAAAACTCTTTTCCCAAGTTTGCAGATGCCACGAGAACAAGAGATTTCAGGGCATGAACCAAACTATCCTTAATGTTAACGACCTGTTGAAGACGATAAGCAGAAGAGGAGCAAGGGTCCTGTTCGTATAAAACACTTTCTGACTTGATACAATTGTGAAGCTGCTGTTCTGCAAAAGAAAGTCTAAGTATCAGGCTGCATGTTGTCATTACAGTTCGCAGCAAAGAGTCCATGATGACTCGGGTGAGCGCATACCTGTACTTCAAATGCGCATACTCATGTTGATCGCCGTTCAAAAGTTTCTTCAGTAGCTTGACATTCTCTAGAGAGCGTCTAAAAAGCTGCTTCATGAATCGTCGGTAATAGTCTTGATACTTGTCGGGTTCGTCTCTGCACAGATTTTCGAAATGAACAGTAAGTGCGGCGGTTACATTTAGGACAACGACACGGCCCAAAAGGTTGCTCTCAAATGCTTTGCAAGCGCAAACAGATGCGTAGTCAATTCGCGCTTTAGCCGTGGTGCATTTCATAAACCCGCTATCGGAGAACGAGTTGGTTTGGGGCGCGGTGACGTCGGTTAGTGGGAAAAGATGCAAAAGAGTGTCCTCGGCCAGCAAGATGAGCCTTTCGATCTCCGAAAGCGGCATGGCTCTGTTGAGGGCGTTGCACGCAGAATTGAGTCTGACCCACACGTGCTGCAACTGGTACTGTTTGTAGCTGAGCTCGTGGAGCGGGATGTCGAACGTGTTGTCGGGCTCGCCATCGCGGATCACCGTCGACATGTAGCTTTCGCGGTTTTCCTTGCTCCGGGAAAAGGTGGTCATGAGCGTGAAAGTGAACTCAAGTCCACTGCCATTGGGCAACAGCTCCTTCATGCGTACCGCTACAACGTTTAGCCACAGTTTGCGGCGGTAGTTGGACAGAGACTTGCCGAATTGCAGCGTCTCGACAAGGCGCCTGTAGCTCGAAGGGTCTTTGTGGAGCCCCAGAATCACCGCCAGGTGTGACACGGTGCCAAGCATCAGCACCACATGCGGCGGCAGCGAGATGGTTGCGTTGTCCGGAGCTAGCGACTCGTGAATCCACGTGTACAGCAGGCAGCATAGGATATTCTCGCTGGTGAATTTCATCGCGCTGAGCACAGACAGACACTTCTGGACCACGGTCAATGCGTCATCTTTGATGCGGTTGCGGCCGTACAACCCGAGCTTCTCGAGTTCCGCCGTGCGCGTTGCGTCCGTCTGCACGCACAGCGCGGTGTGTGCGATCTTGAGCACGACGAGAAGGATCGCAAGGGTCTCGAGGCGGCCGCGCAGACCGTTGGTGCCTAGTGTCAAAGTATATTTTCGTGACGCATCTGCGACGGGTTGCGACGGCACAGACGACGGCGTCGCGGTAGACGTCGCGCCAGCAACGGGCGGCACTAAAATCTCACGCAGCCCCCGCTCAAACGCCGGCACATCCAGCAGCGGGAACAATGGATAGACGGTCTCGTAAAAGTAGCGCATGAGGTACAGAAACGCGTCGTGTTCCGGCAGCAGCTCTTCGATTTCCGCGAGCAGCGCCACCAGCTGCGCCGGATACGCAGACACCGCGCCAACATGGTCCTCGAGATTCCACGTGCACGGAAACAACAGCTGTTGCACCACGTCGCCACCGCGCTCGTGGCTCTTGCTGGCCTGCGAGAACACTCGCTTGCCCTCCTCGAGGAACGCCTGTATGGGCAGCTCACGCTTGCGCGGCGACGCAGTAATCACGTGACCCACGCCGTCTCTCAGCGGCTCCTCGTCGCGCGCGACAGACTGTCCGCCTTGCACGTTCATGAGGGTGAACCCTGTCACGGAGCCGGCGAACGCGCGGAGATAATGGTCGCGCTGCATCATCGCGAGCACTGAGAAGGGTTTGTGCAAGTATTTCATCTGCTCCTGGGCGACAATCGTGTCCTCCGGGTTGTCGAGGTTGACGAGCAGCTCGTCAGAGCGGTTGCGGTTGCCGCGGTCGCGGTCGCTGTTTCGCCCGCAATTCCCACACGTACACTGACATCTGTCTCGATACGACCCGGATCGCTCGATGCCCGCCGCTTCGGCCTCGCTGCCAAACATCTCCGCGCTTGCGGCCGCCGCTGCGGCCGCAACTGCGGACGTGTTTGCGACGGAATCCGTCGCAACCTTTGGCGTCGCGTTCAATGCGACGTTTCCCGTCGTTGTCCCCGTCGCAACTCCCGTCGCATCGCCCGTCGCACTGCCCGTCGCGGGCCATATTCTGGCATTGTCGCCCGGTAGCTGCGACGCGACGTAGGTGCACGTGAGTCCCGCATCGACACAGCGGCCGCAACGCGGCCGCTCCTTGTCACATTTAGTCTTTCTGCGGCGACACTCCAAACACACGTACGAGAGACGGTTGCGCTTGCGGAACTTACTAGGATGATCGTGGTCCATGGTTTGTTGGGGGTATGTGCTAGTATATGCTCCACTCAGATGGTGTGCTTCCGTACTGGTGCACTGGTGTGGTCGCCTGCAATCGAGGGCAGGCTCCCGTGTCGATGGTTGCGACGGCGTTGCGAGTGATTTCGGTTCCACGGAATTGAACGTTTGCTGTCGTTGCGGGCGGCGGCAGATTGCCTCTGTGTTCCGCGGAATCGTAGCGGTTGGCGACCCACGGGATCGCGCGGCGCGGTACGGCCGAAACAGACCGGATTTAGGCGGGGATCGGGCGCGGGCGCATGGCATAAAAGCGATTTCAGCAACACCACACAGAGCAAGTTGCCTCTGAGACAACAATAGTAAGGCTGCATCGTTGTGCCAAGGTATAAAAAGTGCCAAGAAGTAGGAACCGCGGAAGTTTATCGTCGGCACCGCATAGCACTTAGCGGATCTCACTGCGCACACACACTTACGGTAGCGCCAAGTGCCTTTCCCGAACCACCCCCTCCACTTCACTTCATCGCAACATATCCAGTATGACTGTGCTGCCCAGAAGCTCGACGAATTCCTCAGAGGAGACCGAAAAAGATGAACTGGTGTACATCCGGGCTGATAACGCACCACAAAAGACGTCAGAGCGCGTCTCGCGCACGCCTTCACGGACGTGGGCGCGCTCGCGCGCGTCATCCGTCGCGCAAGAGACCAACAGCTACTACGAAATCGATAAAAACAGGCCGGAGACGTTTCTCAATAGCGACGACTTGGAGAAAGTCACCGAGTCGGAAATATACCCGCAGAAGCGGCTCTTCAGTTTTTTGCATTCCAAGAAAATCCCACCCATCCCAACGCAGGACGAGCGCAAAGTGTACCCGCTCTATCATACCAATTTTGTGTATCGTATCTTCTTCTGGTGGGTTTTCCCCGTGCTGCGCATGGGCTACAAGCGTACGTTACAGCCCAATGATCTGTGGGTCATGGACGAGCGCATCTCCATAGAGACTCTCTTCGAACAATTCACACAGCATTTCGACTGGTACTTCAACAAGGCGCGTGAAGACTACAAGCATAAACACCCAGACGCTACGCAAGAGGAAATACTAGAAAACGCTGCGCTTCCGAAATACGCACTTGTGAAGGCGCTGCTCTTCACGTTCAAATGGCAGTATTTCTTTGCCTTTCTCGCGATGGCCGTGTCCAACTGTGCTTCCTCTTTCTCACCCATGCTAACCAAGCGTGTCATTAATTTTGTCGAGGAGAAAGCACTTTATCCTGGCCTCAAGGTCAACAAGGGTATCGGTTATGCGATCGGGTCCTGTGTAATGATGCTCGTGAACGGTGTCCTTTTCAACCATTTCTTTCACAACTCCCAGCTCACAGGTGTGCAAGTGAAGTCAGTGCTGATGAAGGCTATTTTGACAAAGTCCTTCAACTTATCGGGCTATTCCAGGCACAAGTTCCCCAATGGTAAAATCACGTCACTGATGACGACCGACTTGTCGCGTTTAGAGCTTGCCATTATGTTCCAACCACTGCTAGCGGCTATTGTCGTCGCTGTGGTTATCTGTGTTGTTCAACTGATCGTCAACTTGGGCGCTATTGCATTGGTAGGTGTTGGCATTTTCTTTTCATCTTTGTTCATTTCGATTTATGCCTTTAAGAAGATGATCAGCGTCAGAATGGCCACTAACAAGTTCACTGACGCTCGTGTCACGTTGATGCGAGAAATTCTCAACAGTATGAAGATGATCAAGTTCTACGCTTGGGAAGATGCATATGAGGCCAGTGTCGAAGAACAACGGTCTAAAGAGATCAGCAAAACCAGAGTCATGCAATTGACCAGAAACTTCGTCACCGCTATGGCCGTTTGTTTGACCAATATTTCATCAATGGTTACTTTCCTTGCTATGTACAAGATAGACGACGGGAAAAGAAGCCCCGGTGACATTTTTTCTTCGTTGTCTCTGTTCCAAGTCCTCAATCTCCAGATGTTTTTCTTGCCAATGGCACTGGGCACTGCTGTTGATGGTGCTATTGCTTTGAAACGTATTCAGGAATTGTTGGAAGCTGCTGAAGAGGAGCACGACGTGGAATTGGACGCCTTGCCTTACGAAGATGAAAACGTAGCTTTGAAGATGGTTGACGCATCCTTTGAATGGGAAAATTACGAATTAGAAGAAGCAAAGGAAGATGCTAAAGAACGCGGCGGTGATGCACGTGAGGTTGGCAAACATGGTGAGTTCGATGATACAGAAAAGACGAGTTTTAATGGGTTTCACGATTTGAATTTCGAAATCGAAAAGGGGGAACTAATTATCATCACCGGTTCCATTGGTACTGGTAAAAGTTCCCTTTTGAATGCCATGGCTGGGTTCATGCAAAAAAAATCAGGAACCATCTATAAAAACGGTTCCCTATTATTGTGTGGGTATCCATGGGTTCAAAACGCAAGTGTTCGTGATAATATTTTATTTGGCTCGCCGTACGATGAAGTCAAATATAACGAGGTATTGAGAGTTTGTTCTTTACAAGATGATTTAAACATTTTGCCAGCCGGTGATCGTACTGAGATTGGTGAGCGTGGTATCACCTTGTCGGGTGGACAAAAAGCACGTATCAACTTGGCGAGAAGCGTTTACAAAACGCTTGATATTTATTTATTTGACGATGTTCTCAGTGCGGTAGATGCACGTGTCGGTAAGCACATCATGGATGAATGTATGTTGGGCCGCTTGGCCGGGAAGACTAGAATTTTGGCTACCCATCAGTTGAGTCTAATTGCAAGAGCTTCTCGAGTCATATATTTAGGTACCGACCAAAGTTTTGACATTGGCACTGTGGATGAGTTGAAGAAGAGGAATCCAGGCTTTGTTAAGCTGATGGATTTTTCCAATCAATCCGCCAAAGATGAGGAAGAAAAGGAGGGGAACCCAGACGACTCGGAGTCTAATACCCCATATGACCTTCCTGAAAAAGAGACAACTGAATTGGAAAAGCAAATTAGTAAAAAATCCCAAATCGGGGAGAAGTCAGCAGATCCTCTGGCAGATGGTAAGTTGACATCGAAAGAAGAAAGAGCAGTAAATGGAATCAGTTTTAGAATTTACAAAGAATACATTGCTGCAGGATGTGGGAAAATGGGTTTACTCGTCTTACCGTTCTACCTTCTCTTGTTAGTGGCCACTACTTTCACTCTATTGTTTTCGTCTGTTTGGCTTTCGTTCTGGACTGAAAACAAATTCAAGTATAGAACTACTGGATTTTACATGGGTCTCTATGTGTTCTTTGTGTTCTTGAACTACTTTTGCACCACCGGTCAGTTTACCTTATTGTGTTATTTGGGATTGACTGCTGCGAAGTGGTTAAACTTGAAAGCGGTCAAGAGAATATTGCATACGCCAATGAGTTTCATCGACACTACACCAATTGGTCGTATATTGAATCGTTTCACCAAGGACACAGATACTCTAGACACAGAACTGACTGAGAGTGTGAGATTGTTTGTTTACCAAGTGGCCAATATAACTGGAGTGGTGGTTATGTGTATCATTTACTTGCCATGGTTTGCCATTGCGATCCCCTTCCTTTTCATTGCATTTGCCCTCATCGCAGACCACTACCAGAGTTCCAGTCGAGAGATCAAACGGTTGGAGGCGATCCAGAGATCGTTTGTATACAACAACTTCAACGAAGTTCTGGGAGGTATGGACACTATTCGTGCTTACAGAAGCGAAAACCGGTTTTTGATGAAGTCAGACTTTCTCATCAACAGAATGAACGAGGCCGGATACGTTGTGGTGGCCGTTCAGAGATGGGTGGCCATATCGCTAGACATGATTGCCACTGCGTTTGCGCTGATCATTGCGTTGCTTTGTGTAACAAGGCAATTCCGGATTTCCGCATCGTCCGTGGGTGTGTTGTTGACATACGTGTTGCAATTGCCCGGCCTGCTAAACTCCTTGATGCGTGCGATGACGCAAGGTGAAAACGACATGAACAGTGCGGAGAGATTGGTGAGTTACGCCACGGAGTTGCCTTTGGAGGCGCAGTATCGTAAGCCGGAGTGCAGCCCACCAGCGGACTGGCCAAGCAAGGGAGAGATCGATTTCGAGCAGGTTTCGCTTGCGTACCGGCCCGGGCTGCCTCTGGTGTTGAAGGACGTCACGTTGAAGATAGGCAGCGGCGAGAAGATCGGTATCTGTGGTCGCACGGGTGCGGGTAAATCTACGATTATGACGGCACTGTACCGGCTGTGCGAGCTGGAAAGTGGCGCAGTGTACATCGACGGCGTGGACATCTCGAAGCTGGGGTTGTACGAGCTGAGAAGCAAGCTGTCGATCATCCCCCAGGACCCAGTGCTGTTCAAAGGCACCATCCGGAAAAACATCGACCCCTTTTCCGAGCGCACGGACGACGAGCTGTGGGACGCGCTGGTGCGCGGTGGCGCCATCGCCGCAGAGGACGTGGCGCAGGTGCGGCTGCAGACGCCCGAGGGTAGCGGCTCGCTAACCAACATGCACAAGTTCCACCTGATGCAGGAGGTGGAGGACGACGGATCCAACTTTTCGCTGGGAGAGCGGCAGTTGCTGGCGCTGACACGTGCGCTGGTGCGCCAGTCGCGCATTCTCATTTTGGACGAAGCCACCTCGTCCGTGGACTACGAGACGGACGCCAAAATCCAGGCGCGGATCGTGCAAGAGTTCTCCACGTGTACGATTCTGTGCATTGCGCACCGTCTGAACACGATTCTGGAGTACGACCGGATCCTGGTGCTCGACAAGGGAGAGGTGCGCGAGTTCGACAAGCCTGCGGCGTTGTTCGCGATGGGCGGCATCTTCACGGAGATGTGCGCGAGATCGGGAATCACGGCTGCGGACTTTAAGTGAACGCGGGAGTAGAGGGCGAGAGTATAGAGGGCGAGAGTATAGAGAGCGAGAGTATGTAGTGCAAGAGTAAATAGCCAAGAATATTAACAGTAGCACCAAGAGCACGGCGCTGCGGCCGCAGCGCCCGTTTACGTATTAGTTTCTGGTGTGTCCACTGTTTTCAATCATATGCAATGCAATGCAGCGCAGGTACGAGCGGGGGGAGGGGAGGGACGGGAAGGAACGCCTGCCCCGTTTTTGCCGCTGTTCGTTTGAGCTGGGGGGGGCGGCAATACGCGACGCAACGCGTCGCGACGTGCTCCGCTCCACTCGGCACCACGGTCACGTGCCCTCGCCCTTCCGCCCAAACCCCCCGTGCCCGCGCCCGCGCCTCCCGTGCTTCCCGCCCCTCGAGCCTCCCGCGAACCGCGCACGCCCGACCCCGGCCGGACGTTTCCCGCTCTCCCCAACCATTATCGCCGCGACGGGCAGCTGCATCCGCCTGACACGGCCCGCAAAATTAACGCCGCCCGCTTAACGCCTTCCGCCGGCGACGCGGAATTAGCCCAGACACTGCCGGCCACACTGGCGCGCGGGCGTGTCTCAGCCGCAACGCCGCACACAACGACACGTAGCCTCACAGACTCTGTCGCAGGGCCCCTTCTTACGGCGAGTCACCCCCTACCACCGCCCCACGACTACACTCCTCCCTGTTTTCACTGCCTGCAGCCCCGCGCTCTCGCGCCAGCACCTGCCTTCCGGCAATGGAGATGCATTTTCTGCAGCCGCCAAGCGCGGCTCGGCCCGCGCCGCAGACGGTTCGGCGAACGCTGTTGCTGTGCCGCAGCGCACGCGCTGCGGCCCGGTCTGGGTGCCTCCCCTCTCATGTACGCGCGCAAATATGGGGCCCCCACACCGCCGACTCTGCATGGTGCAGTTGGCCACGGTTTCTCCAGGTTTTGTTGCTATCTTGGGAAACTCACAGCACGATTCTCGTGCAGCCCCACGAGAAACCTGGGGGGAGCCGCACTACGTGCAGGGCACGGGGCCAGGCGGGTGCAAAGAACGCGCCGCAGCCGGGTGCAGGTGCGGCCGCGGAGGCAAACTCGGGACGCTGCAGCTACATAATCATATGATTTGGCGTCGCCTGTTAGGCTTTCCTTTGCTAAAATGGTGGGGTGGTCGTGCGCGTATGAGCCGCTATATAGGGGGATGGCTCTGGCGGGTTTTTATATTTGCAGAGTTTTTCACCCCGGTGATAAATACAGAAATTCTATATTTGCACACAAGTGGTAGCGTCGTAACGTCAACAGCGGGTAATCGTCTTCCACCATACATCGTGCGAAAGTCGAAGTCGACAAAATATTAAACTCAGACAGCGATTGCCACAACAGGTTTATCGCAGCACTCCACAGCTCTCACAGTTAGGTTTTTTTCTCCACGGGAAAACCACAACACACGCAAATACAACGCGGAATGGGCATAAAGACACACACAGACAGCGTGCTGGAGAGGCACGCGGCCCAGACACAAGGTATGCAGAGTATACTCGCAGAGGACCTTTTTGGCCTCGAGAAAGATAAGAAAGCCGGCAGCGCCAACGCCGCCGGCGCCATTGGCTCCTGGGATGAGTGCCAACTGCCGTTGAACTACTGGTCACTGGCGGCGGCTGCGCCCGCCGCCAGTGACGTGGCTTCCTCCACTGCCGGCTTTGGCGCCGCTGCAAGCAGCGGCGCCCCCAGCGTCACGGCCAGCGCGGGGCTCACGTCCGACAGCTGGTTCGAGTGGCAGCGGTTTGACGACGCCGGGTGGCCGTCGTCCGAGGGCGACGAGGTTTCGTCGCTTTCCAAGCTGGAGATCTCGCCCGTCGCGTCCATGGGCGTCGGCGCGACGCTGGAAAACGAGTCCGAGCGCGGATTCGCCGGATTTAGCGACGCCGCCTACAAGAAGTCCATGATCCTCGACTACTCGGCGTGGCCCGCGACCCAGGCCCAAACGCCGTTCAGCGCCACGGTCGACTCCTGGTACAGTCCTCTGAGCGGGTTCGACGCGCTGCCAGTGCCCGCTGTGGTCTCGTCGGGGCCCGCCCCCGACGGGGTCAGCGGCCAGGTGCTTGCGTCGTTCCCTCCCGCCCGTCCCTCGGCCGGGTCGCGCTCGCGGAGTTACTGCTCGGGCACCGTCACGTCCGAGTCACGTGCGCGCCGCTCCTCCACCGGCAAAGTCGTCAAGAGCTCCCGTTCGCCTTCTGTGTCCGCAGCGGCCACGGCCGCTGTGGCCACGTCCGCTTCTCGGCCCTCGAGCGTCTACAAATACGTCGCGCAGGCCCAGATGGCCATGCAGTCTGACACCGTCAAGGTGGAAAAGGAAAACATGTACCGGTGGCTCTCGGTGTCCAAGATGACGCCCGCGCGTCGCGAGCAAATGCTCAAAAAGATGCGCGAAAAATCGCTCTCCGAAGACGTCGCCAGCGACGTGCTCTCTCTGTTCACGCAGCGGTTTCTCGACGTCAAGCTGGAGATCCTCGCGCAAGAGTTTGACGACAAATTCCAATTTCAGCGCACTCCGGCGGAAAACGACGCACTCGACGCCGAAAACCCAGATGCCCTCGACGAGTTTCTCTGGCTCAACCAACGCAAGAAGCGCATGCCCGTGCAACTCAAGCAATTCCCTCGTTTTGTGATCAAAAACTCTAACAACGAGGACGCTCCCTACCTCGTCGAGGTCAGGACCAGCAGCGGTTACAACGACTACACGTCCACCAGCGCCAACCAATCGGCCTTAACCCATCTCGATTTTATGTTGCTACGGCTCAGACACCTCACGTTAATGCGCGAGAGCGACGACCGCAAGCGCAAAAACAAGTACTACGAGTTCATCGAGGGCAAAATGAAGCGCCCTCTCAACAGTTTTATGCTTTACAGATCCACCATGATGAAGTCTATGGCCATTCTCAAAGTTTGCAGTATTGTCTCCAAACTTTGTGCGCTTGTCCAGACAGAGTTCCCTCAATGGGACGAACGCTTCGCCCTAGAGAAAATCCTGGCGACTGTTCAACAACGACACAACCTGCCGAGAACAGTAGAAGCAACCCTTACTCCAAAGGAATACGATATTATCTCACAGAATATAGATACTCAGCTTTATGAGCTTGATATTAACAATTACAAACTCGTTCCTGTGGATCCCAAATTTTCCAACCAGACCGTGGTGGCACAAATCATTACTTTAATGTGGAACACTGAATCCGAGAGTTGCAAAAAAGCCTTCGTAGAATTTTCCCAAGTAGAGAAGGAACACCACCACTGGGTATACCCAAAATATAAATATTGCCCCATCAAAAAATCGCACGCTGGTAAGGTTGAGAACACAGAAGTGAATGATGACGCTTCTTACCACTCGAAATGAGATCATTTCCCAATTCAACCTCAGGGCGGGAAAACCATTATGAAATTCGATCGATCTTCAATATCGATTCAGTTACGAGCTTCTTAGTCACTAATTTATGTAATTTTGTCATGCAAATAATTTATAAACTTGTTTTTTCTCGATCAACAGTTACTTCAGCTTAGCAATTCGTTGCACAATGTGATACAATATCTTGTTGAAATATATTAACGTGATATATTAGCTCTTGGGCCATATATAATGTACATGTGGTTTAGCAGAACATATATGTGGTAAAATACATGAGGAATAATGGCATCACTCAGTCCTGTTTACGTTGAGCACTGTTGCTGCCAAACTTCTTATCGTTGGAGCGGTCACCAGTGTTGCTTCCAAATTTCTTCTCGTTTAGACGTTCGCTGACATATTTGGCTTCTTTAGCTAGCTTGACAGCCACTTCCTCCAATTTTGTAATCTCGTAACCTTTTTCAAACACAATACAAGTCTTCTCCTCGTTCAAACTTCCCTTGATATCATATTCAGCGATTATGCCTTCCACTATTTCAATTACCTTTTCTTCGGACAGTCCAAACAGTTCAGAAAGCTTCTTGATAGCCAACTTGGAATAAAACCTCTTGAAAGTGAATATATATGTTCTCAAGGATTCCACTTGAACTCTTTCGGTTAGGTTATCAAGCATTTCATCTGACTTGGGTAGCAGGGCCCAAGTTGGAATAGCTCTCAAGTACTTCACAGATTTTTCCCAGTCTCCCTTTTGCATAGATTTAGCAGCATACAAGACATGATCTCTTAAAGTCTCTGGTGGACCTTGGAAACTCGATTTCTCATAATGCTCTAGAGCACGACGAATTGACTTTTGAGAGTAAGGGATTCTCTTGACTTTGATGCCAGAGAAAAATGCAGCCATATGTGGAACTTCGATCAATAAGGAACAAGTCATGAAAACGACATCGATCAAATCTAGGTTTATATGTTGGTGGAATGGTAAACATAGTTGTTCAGTAGATGATGTTGTACCCTGAATACTGTTAGAAGAGGCTCTCTGTAGACTTTGTTGGCCCAAGATGTCTCTCAAATGCGTGCTTGTAGACACCTCATTCAAAATTTGGTGACAGTCATCAATCAAACACAACTTGAATGCGGCAAGACCCAATTGGACTACTGCCCTGTTGAACAAGATTTGCAAAGATGGGTCCGCATTGTTAATGGACGATTGAATGTTGGAAGACAGTAGCATTTGTTTAGCCTTTTGAAACTCACTGTTCAATGCGTAAAAGTAGACTTGGTATAAAGATGCGCGTTTACGCAAAGCAGCGTCTTTCTGCTTGCATAGAACACCACACAACAAATCAACCAACTGGAAGATATATGTGGCATTGGCCTCGCCTTCTAGGGTAGAAAACAAAGACTTGGCACCATTAGGGACACTCTTCCATGCATTTGTTTCGATAATTTCCACCAACTTTGTTGGCTTGTAATAAATGTGATCGAGTCTTCTAGTCAAAACACGGGACAAGTTTTTCTCCTTGTCTTCTTCTGGTAGAACGGATTCCAAATATAGTTGAGATCTGAGAATCAAATTGTAAACAGATTGTTCATCTCTTAAACGATCTAAGAAATCACTAGAGTGAGGATCGGTATTCAGTAACGACTTGTTAAACTCATCATCAAGTCTTTCGATAAACGAAAAAACAGAGCCGAGAATTTGCTTAACTCCATTCTCGTTTGCTTGTGGTTCCTCCTCGATATTCTCATTCACTGGAGCAAGTTCGGTAACATGATAAGTGCTGATGTTAGTTTCCAAGGTGTTCAATAGCTGAACAATATCTTCATGGGCAGCCTTCCATTGATCCAATGGTTGGTAGGACAAAGTCGCAGAGGCGTCAAATCTAATAGGAATCAAATTTAGGTAAGCAACAATTTTTTCGTAGGGAGACTTGGCAATTTCCAATAGTTCCTCCATGGTCTTAACTTGGGCATGATGGTCGGTACCCTTCTTACCTCTCGAGTCGATTACGATACGCAATGCAGTAAAGAAATCTGATTCGGAAGAAGCAGTTGCGACTGATGACAAGTCGGCACCCTTCTTACCAGCCAGGGCAAACAGGGAAGCAGCACCATTTTCTTGAGAGCCCTCCATGTCGACGCTTGCATCGTTGTCGAAAGCCTCTGGAGTTTCTCTAAACTTGTTCAATAGAGTTTCATTTTCCCTTGCAACCTTCTTCACTCTTTGCCTAATGGTGTTGTAGGCTCTGGCTATAGCCTTGTTCTTGATTTCAGATTGTGATGTAGCAGCCACAGCATCTTCGACTTGGGCCACAACCTTTATGAAGATGTTTGGAGTACCGTAGTTCTGTTGTTGGGCTCTGGTGAGTAAACGGGACATGTTGTCAAATTCGTTCAAAATCTGGATCCAGTCTTGTGTCATTTCAGCAACATCAATTTTGTTGTAAACATTTCTCATTTCATCCAGAAGTTTGTCCTTTGCAGATTTTACCACCTTCTTTCCTTCGTCATCGGATTCATCAGAGTCTGAGTAACTGGCGTTCTTCAAAAATTTGTTGGCACCAGACGATTGAGCACCACCCTTTCTGAATTCGGGTTTCTTGAACCAATCAGGACCATAGGGGCTGCCGTCAGACCCATCAGAGTCAACATCCGACTCAGATTCAGATTCATCGAAGAAGGAGTCCTCTGATTCGGCTTCGCTGCTGGAAGAGCTCATTAATTCTTCCTCAGAAGAAGACAATAGGTCTTCTTCCTCCGATGAAGAAGCGCTCTCGTAATCGTACGCATTAGCAAAGAAACGAGACATGTTGTGTTCCTTTTTGGGTATGCTTTTCTGATTCTAATCTAAGAGATGTCCTACTTCAAAGTAACGTATTCTGAAAATTTTTCACCGCGCTCGACAAACTGGGATTCCTGCGACGCATTTGCGACGCACCCGCCATCAAAAAATCTTTAAATTGTTATAGATAATTATGGGTCGTTGTGTACGTGCATAATCTCCTGCGATGTAGATATGATAATAATGTTTTATATTCCTAGAACTTGCTATAGAAAGGTCCTAATTTAAACGTGACTTTTCAAGGTCTTCTTCTCGTGGCTTAGAATGCCTCCTAAGGGTGGGCGTTTCTTTTCACCTTATTTAACGTTCGACGTTAAAAGCACGAAGTTCAGGTGGACGCGGGTATCGAAATCAAAGTAAATTTTTGTAAATAGAAATGAATGTAGGAAACCTCAAATACTCGATGAGTTTCCCAGAAGACAGCACTTCAGCTAGTAAAGTTGCATGCAATTGGATACTTCAACGAGTTACCGGAAGTCCAAACACCCCAGTGCTTTTCGACATCGGAGGTACCGGAAGTATCAGGCTTCCAGTCTTCATCAAAAGCTTCGAAAACGATAACATTGACACCCCAAGCTCTCATAGCACAAATACCTTCTTGCCAGAATTGCTTGGCGTTGGAAACAGATGGGTAAGCACTCTCGAAGTTGGTACCGTCAGATGGCCAGCCAGTTTCACCGATCCAGAAAGGAATAGAGCTACCCTTGATGGTTTGAATGGTTTGCATAGCTTGCATAATGTCGTCAAAGAAAGAGTAAGAAGCATTGGCCATTGTCTGACCTTGCCAGTATGAGAAGGCATTGGCCATCACAAGATCACAGGCCTCAATGGCAGCAGCGTTACCACCATCGACCAAGACATTCCAAGAATCAACAGTACCGACTGGAACATCAGAGTAGGAGGAGCCAGCGGAGTCTTTGATATCAGCAACCAGATCGCGGATGGTGTTAATCTTATCAGCTAGTTCAGATGCAGTCATGTCACCACGGTACAAAGCTTCGGAACCGACGAGGAAACCACCAATGGTAGAGGTCTTGATGTTTGGCAAGTAGGTCTTCAAAGCTTCTTGCTCAGCTTCAAAGTGGGTATCGTCAGTTGGCCACACACCTAGGAAAATCTTGAAACCAGCTTGTTCAGCAGCAGGTCCCAAATTTTGCAGCGTGTTACAGTCAGAAGCGGCGTAAACCTTGACAGTAGATGTGTAAGCCTTAATGATTTCGAACTCACTCAAGTAGTCGTCAGTGCTCTTACAAGAACCATCGTTGTTTTCAACACCCAAGTCAAAGCCGAGATCACCAATAGCAGACACAGAAGAAGCACCTAGAAGGGCCAAGGAAGCTAAAGTAGAGAAACGCATTATAATTCTCTTGCACTTGTGTTTGGTTGGTAGACAAAAGAGTTCAAAACAAAACAAAATCTTGAAAGAGTAAGTACCAAATCTCAGAAGGGAAAATTTTTTTGTCTCGAGGGAAACACTGCTAAAAATAAAAGTACATCGCTACACACGTTTTGCAAGGACTACCAGAAGTATTGGTCACCTAGTCCTAATAATTGGCGAATGTTGCCAATGCTATCATGCAGCTATCCTCTATGCAAATATTACCAAGTGGAGAAGAACCCGGAAGATCTAATTGACCGTCGAAGAATTGGAAGGCGCCCTCGCAACCTTCGAACTGATCTCTTGATTGCTTGAAGCTATCTGAGATGTGGTTCCACCTACCAAACATGACGAGAAGATTTGCAGGAGCAGCATTGTTAACTTCGATATCCTCTTCGGACATAGGTTTAATAATCTTTTGTATGTGAGGAATCTTGGAGTCAATTTTGATAGTTTTCTTGAGGTCCGGGTTGAAGTAATAGTCCCCACTATTGACCCAAACAGTCTGAGTGTAACCTTGAGGCGCCGGGCAAGCCGTGAAAACGTCAGCAAAATTGTTTGCAACCCTAACATGGTATCCAAATGATGTCTTTGCACCGACGAAGTCGCCATATGCCTCCTCTGGGGACACCACCTTCCGTTCGATCACATCAACAGTAACACGGACATTCGCAGGCACGAGTTGGCCCCGCAGCTCTAGGTTTTCACCTTTGCCCACGTTGATGTACTTTGTTTGCTCATATGGCTTTTTCTTGGTGTCCTTCTTACTGGTGCCAGGCTTGTGCATTCTGATGGCAAGACCTTCTCTGTAGCGGCCATCATCGTCCTTCAGGTGCCTCATAAAAGGCAAAGCGCTTAGCCTAGGCAACTTGGCTGCTACCTGGAAACACTCAAGATAGCTCTTCTTAAAAACAGAATTGACTAAGTAAGGTGGTGTCACAAAGTATTGTAGTAGCGATGCGATAAGCATAGCTGGAGAGAGTTTTTTCTTCTGCTCCTTTTGCCTTTCACTTGCTACTGATGAGCCACTTTGCTTTTCTGCGACCTCATCAAACTTTATCTTGGTTTGTGTGGCTTGTTTATGGCCACTTTGATTGTCAAGCGCACTCTTTCTCGCACTCTTTCTTTCGCCTAGGTCCAAGATCACAATTTCTGCAGCATTAAATATTGTTGCACTCTTCGCGATTTGATATACTGTGTGGGTAATCTGTTCCAGATTTGAGCAGTTGTCCAGTATGCTGGTGGGTATGCAGAGGGAATAATTCACGGTCTTGGAACTCAGTTTAACTATCTTTTTCGTCTTTTTGGGCGTTACCGACTTCGGCTTAGACTTGTGGCCATTTTGCTTCTTGCTTAGACTTTTTTTTGCCCTCTTGGAATCCTGAAGCAATTCTTCACTTTCTGGAAATTTATCCCGTTTCATGTCGGTACTCAGGTGTTGATTCCAAAACAGCGAGATTGCTCATCTCATCTCATCGCCCGTTCATTAACCAGACTTTAAGTCAAAGTAGAAAAATTTTCATGACCCGTATACAATGAGAGTTGTGCACAATGTAAGCAGAAACCCCGCAGGCTCCAAACTCCAATGTGCATTTACATAAAGTTAGAGAAGACAGTCTTAGACGTCACTATTCTTCATCGTCCTCCTCATCTTCATATAAGTGTTTGTTCTTCAAAACTTCCTTAATATTGTAATGCTTCTTCCTCATTTCTTCAAAACGTTTGTGCCTTGCGGCGGCGTCTTCTTCTGAACCGTCGTGCTCCTCCTCTTCAGCTTTGCCATTTTCATCATCTTGGGCATTCAGAAGTTCACCGCTAGGCTCTGGTGATACTGGTTTGTATTCAGGTTCACCTAGGTCAAAGTTTTCGAGATCTTCATCGTCGACACGGTAATACTCTCCCGTTGGATCGACCGCGCCCTGATACGGTGTCTTTGGTTCGTCAACGTGAATGTCTTGGTACAACTGCTTCGTTATTTCATTATCCGCCAAGTTCTTCTGATTCCATTTCAGATTTTCCTCCTCACGCTGTGTGTGCACATCCTGATCATGTTTCAGTGACAGTGAATCCTTTGGTAGACCATGTTTCTTTGGGGTAGTCAGAACAGGAATGTCACCGTTTTGAGGCTCTGCTTTTGACGTGAGTTTCGCATTCAACTGTGTGTTTTTGTACACCTGTTTCCTAAACTCACTGATTGATTCGGGCTCTTGAACTTTACTATCTCTTTCGGGAAGGGGGTTCTTAAGGATACCTCCCATTTTTCGTAATTCTGTGGAATGATGTGTCTGTCGAGCCTTTAGCACATATGGATTCATGTTAATTAAAAACTCCTGGTCAACCCCTTTGGTTCGTGAAACGCGATGAACGCCGGTTCTGCCAAGGGAGGATGGAATCTACATGCCCGAGCACTAATTACAAAAATTTCTTTAAAGTTCTACTCTATCGTTTTGATTATATTATTGGAGTTAGGAAGTAACTGTTATACTTGTGATATTTTCTCGTTTTTTTATTGAGAGATTGGTTGTTATAGTTTCTATCTCCAGCCAATTAATGTCTTGGGGTGAAATTTGAAATTGAGGTTTTAAACAAAATAGAATCTTATTGTCAACTACATATGGAAGCGAAAGTACATTCTGGCCTTCATAAACTATTTGATTAAAATCCACTTTTTCCCCAGCAGGCTTAAATAAATGATAGATGCAAAAAGCTTCAAGCCAAAGGACTAGTAAATTTTCTTCTTTTCATCGATAGACAACTCGCCCGCACCGGTCGAAACCACGAGCAACAAGCCACCGATAATGCTCAAATTTTGGTAGAATTCGTACTTCAAAAGGTCTCTCTTGCTGCTATCGTAAAACCAGTAATTGTTTACTGTGACATTGTAGAAAGTAAGAATGAGCCCCAACATTATTGAAGCAAGCTTCGTCTTGAAACCAAGAGAGATACAAATAGTACCAGCGATGGTCAAGATTACCGTGAACCAGTTCTTCGTGAAGGTGAAACTAACGAACATCAGCACAATCAAAATTCTACCCGCTAATAGTAAGTATCCTTTCGTCTTCCCGTCTTTGCTATTCAACTCAGGCAACATGCCAAAGGTGGTTCTGTTTTTGACAATGGAGTCACTGAATCCAATTAAAAGACCACCAATTACACTTACATTTCTCAAAATGAAAGAGCCAGAGTACAAACCGTAGACTAGCCCTTGCAAGATGATACAGGAACATAATACTGCAGTTGCTACCACGGTACGTCTTCTGAGAATTAGCATGGTAGCACTGATGAACATGGACACAGAAACTACCAATAAGAATAAGACAACGAAGTAGTATGGAAAGTGCCTATAATTCCATAGGTAGAAGACCTGATCCTTCCACTGTGAGATGATTCTAAACGAGTCTTCATAAAACGTGGCCACAATGAAGAACCTTGAGATTGCTGGTGTGTGAGGCTTCAGTTTTTGAATTATGGGATGATCAGTTAGATCTTCGATTTTGTTCAAAAATGTCTCCACTTCACTTTGAATCTTCTTTGTCATTGGAGACTTTGACGCTGTAACCGATGAATTGTAAGGGCCCCTTTGGTAACCCATATTTGAAGTAGGAATGCCATTGAAACTTGTACTGCCCCGGAAAGACATATTTCAAGGTATTAACTGAGGTTGCAGCCTTAATGAACGATCAGAATTGATGCAATAGGATACGTGTTCGTTAAGGAGTATTTAAGAATCGGCAAGTATTTTTTCTAAATCAAAATTTTTAAGACTTTCTGAATTTGGAAAGTGATCTCTGAATTTGTTACTACTTAAGGTAAAATTGTCTACCAACGCTATTTCTAAAGTACTATTCTATAAGCGGTTGGTCGACTGAATGCATTCACATCTTGCTTAAGCAAAGTATGAGATGACGCTCACAGGTAGCTTCTTGGCCTCAGCCAACTCCTTAGCGGCAGATGACAAGACTTCCTTAGCCGATCCAGCATCTGCCTTGATCTTGTTTGCAACGTCAACCAATTGCTCATCACTCAAGGAATCAATGATTAGACCAACTTGTTCATCAATAGTGGTAGCTTTGTCAGCATCACCAAAGTAGTCAGCTTCCTTTGGAGCACCACGAATAGCTCTCTTGTTCTTCTTCTTCGCGGCCTTTGCAGCTTCCTTCGACTTTTTCTTATCAGCCTTGGCAGAAGCAGCAGCAGCAGCATCTGCCTCAGCCTTTGCTTTAGCTTCAGCCTCAGCCTTAGCCTTGGCCTCAGCTTCAGCTCTAGCACCCGCTTCTCTTTCCCACTTCTTTCTCTCCTTCTCCTTCTTCTCATCTTCTTTGAATTGTTTGATACGAGGGTCTTCGTTCATAGCTCTTTCAACAAGTTTAACCAAACGGGCGTTGTCGGCAGTCTTCTTTTTATCCCTCGCGGCTTTGTTCTTTCTTTCGATGTAACGCTTGTGGTCTCTGTTAGAAGAGTCATCTGGGACTTCTTCATCCAAAAATTCAAAAGTTCTCCAGGAATCAAATCTATGCCAAAAGTTGTAAAACTTTTCGACCTCTTCCTTGGAAGCATCTGCTGCGCCCAATTGAGGAACTGGTTGCTTCTTGGAGAAACGAGCTTCGGATTCAAAAACCGGTCCGAAAGATTCGAAAAAGTCATACTTACTGCCCTTCTTTGGTGGTTCAATGTCAGCATTGAAATCACAAGAGTCATATTGGGCTCTCTTGTTGGAGTCAGTAAGAGTTTCGTAAGCTTTTTGAATAATCTTGAAGAAACCATCTTGCTCCAAACCCGCACCTGAAGCCGATTTCTTGTCAGGATGATGCTTTAAAACTTGTTTTCTGTGAGCCTTAATGATTTGATTGTCAGTGGCTCTGTAACGCAACTTAGACAAACCCATTGCTGCATACAAGTCAGCAGTTTTCCAGTCTCTTGGATCATGCTCCAACAAGGTTTCATCGGTAAGTTCTTCATCAAACAAGAGTTCGTCTGGATCGACGTTAGATTCCTCAACTGTCTTGACGTTCTCCTTAGCTTGAATCTTTTCAAATTCAGACCAGGTGTGGTTTCTCAATGTTCTTTGAGCGTGGTGTAGGAAATATTTTCCAACAGGTTCAATTGGACGGCGAACCGGTTCAGTCTTCTTCGCAGAAGAGTTGACCTTCACGGTAATATCAGTGGTTAAAGAAGGTAGGGCAATCATCGTTAGATGGATATATAGGCTTTTACTGGATATTATTTGAGATGAGAAGGAAAATTTTTTTTGTCAAAAAGAAAAACGTTTCTCACGACATCATCTTCAAAAAGAAGGCAATGTCAATTTGAATATTGAAGCCGACAGTTTGAGACCTTACAAATTGAGATATCATGTCTAATGTACAAAGGCAGGATCTAACTATCTTTAATGATCAAAGTGTTCTGTCCAAATCGCTTTTCACTGAGGGACTGAGCCATCTCCTATTTGTGACCCACAGATTGGGTACGTCGCCTTCATGGCTAATAAACACAATTACTGAAAGTTACATCTATGGGATTCCATTTTCTTTGAATGAATCAAACACCAGTGCTGTGAATAGAAAAGCAGTGTGCACGAAGCCCCTAGTTATAGCATCCTTTATCCATGAATCTGCATACTTTACATCGTCGTTAAACAAACTAAAAATTGATTCCACCCAATATAGAATATTGGATTTCTTGACCGATTTCGCCCTCAAATATACTGGCAATCCAAAAGAAAAAGTGCTGACAGAACTGATCAACTGTCTGAGTAAACAGTCGGGCAGAATTTTGATATTAGAGCAGCCGGAATTGCTAATACCTTTGCTGAATATCACCAGTGATGAGCTGCATTTGAACTTTATCAATCCGCTGATGAAAATGTTTTCGGTTGTGGTTTTAGTCTCGTCAGTTGAGGGATATGAAAACACCAATGCTGACTCGGGAGAGTACCAGAAGAAAGATATGATCGACATGATAAGATATACTCACAGCTGTTTCCATAAGAGCATAGTTCTATTAGCATTAAAGCCATTGGACACAGGGCGTGCCAATGATATTACAGGCACCTTGAGAATCACTAGGGGTGGGGCATCCCCTTCGCGTCTACCAGTCCACGTTGTAGAAAATGAATACCTCTTCCACTCACAGCGAGAATCCACTAAACTCTTTTACCGCTAACCAATAGCATTGACATAAATAGAATATTAATTTTATTAGTAGGCTTTTTTGGATTTGATTATCTCATCTAGTCCGAATTCCACGGCACAACGTGTCTTTATTAGAGCTAAAACTGGCCAGCAACTTTGTTCACCACATTTTACCCAATATGGTATGTTATCAAGTTGACCTTCGATGATCCTACTCAATGATAAACTTTTTAGGTTCGGGGCTATGGTAACTTCTGTCGCGGACCTTGGGGTCTTTTCATCTATTGCTAATCGTTTTATCCAATGACTTAACAATCCTAGGTTGTCCAAAACTTCAACGCGATGCCGAAACTCCATTGTTATTATGTGCTTAAGTTTGCGCTCGAGATGATATCTAAATTTGAACCCAAGGGGCTCAACCTCATTCATATTTGATAGTTGAAGTGGAGTAAAATTGCTCATGTCCGTAGTAGGGTAATGTTTGTAATAGTAATACTTTGAAGTTTTGATTTCATGCTTAAGGTCATTCATCACCAGAGGAGCAAGATAAGGCCTAGCTAAAGATACGATAAAGTTGTTCACGTTGAAAAGCTCCGTTAATCGCGTATAAGGACTTTCTATCAATCCAGTCTCTGTTGCATTTTGAGGTGTCAGAAAAAGAAAGTGCGAAACTCTTGTTGCGGGAATATAATCAACAATTTCATTTTTCAAGTTCTTGCACAGTAGTCTTGTCCCACTTGATATGACCTCGGAGCCTAGACTGCAATCAATAGCAGAGGATACAAGAACATTAGGTGTAGTAACATAGTTAAGCAAAGATGGGCATATATTCCTATCGGTAGGATGAACAACAATATTCAAAATTTTTCCCGTTCTCTGAAATGCTTCTTCAAAAGTCATATCCTTTATAATTGCCTTTTCCACGAATTTTATAAATAAATAAACGTCCTTGGAATATCCCCTATGAACAACATTTTGCAGTAGTGACCCTAGGTTAAGATCTTGATCGATATTTCCGTATCCGCATTGCTTAAGCAGTTCAATGTCCTTCTTGATTTCTTGCAGTAGATTGTCCCCATGAAGCAGTTGTGACAGCTCTTCATTCGTGAGTACAGTGCACATGCTTGCGATACATGCCCCCATCGAGCTTCCACTTATAATATTTGGTAACAGTTTCTGGTCAAGTAACCCTTTCATAACTCCGAGGTGAAACAAACCGAACAGCGAACCACCTTGCAAAATGAAAGCAGTAGTGCCAAGCGATAGTTTACACCGCTGGAAAAACGAAGTTCTTGCAACAGAAGGTTGATCACATAGAAATTGCAGACATTCGAGGACTTTGTCAAGGTACTGCTCGATTAGCAATTTTGTGCCAATCAGGGATTTCGTGAACAGCCTCTTGTCAACGATGCCGGCAAAGTTTCGCAACATCGAAGGTCCCGTTGTGCTAAACCTGTGAACAATTGTTTGGGCATCCGCCTCGTCGAGTGCCTGGTCTAGCACCGCGTACTCCTCTAGTACCGATGTCACATCGTATCGCTGCGAGAAGAAGTTGCGCCTCCACAAATCCGCACCTGTAATTTCGTCTACGATTGCAGCCTTCTCATACCAGTCTGCATAAGTTTCACACTGGTCAAGCTCGGTGATTGCATGATGGTACAATGTCCGCGACTTTGGTCGCAGGTAGTTCATCAGCCTCTTGGTCCAGAATTTTAAGATATCCCCTATCACATGAAGCACTGCCCACAGAGTCGGAGGTATGTGGTTCAAAGCGGAGTAAAAAAAAGACATGAAGAAGAGCTTTAACATCTATACCGATCTAATTCTATCCTTGCCAGCTCCGACTCGTACTGCTCGCTCTTGATTGAAACTTTAACTAGGGGACAGAAGGGCCTTGTGGAAAACCAAGCGATGATCTTGGTCATGTGACCAACTCGTGTTAGGGGACCTCACATCCTTCTTGCATCATAAACTTCAATCGAGACGGTGGCAAATACCAATTCCAAAAGAATTGAGTAGATCGAGTACAACCATTGCACAAGAGGCTGGATTGAGATGTTTAGAAATAACTACGACGGTGACACAGTAACTTTTTCCCCCACCGGCCGGATATTCCAGGTAGAATACGCTCTCGAAGCGATCAAGCAGGGTAGCGTCACAGTAGGTGTGCGTTCTAAGAAGCACGCAGTTCTGGTGGCGCTAAAGCGTAATGCGGATGAGTTATCGTCATACCAAAAGAAGGTGATCAAGTGTGATGAGCATATGGGGTTATCATTAGCCGGACTGGCACCTGACGCTCGTGTGTTGAGCAATTACTTAAGACAGCAATGTAACTACTCCAGTTTGGTTTTCAACAGGAAGCTGTCATTAGAGAAAGCTGGCCACCTTCTCAGTGACAAAGCACAAAAGAATACACAATCGTACGGCGGCCGGCCCTACGGTGTTGGGCTGTTGCTGGCAGGATACGACAACAGTGGCCCACACTTATTAGAGTTCCAGCCTTCTGGTAACACGCTAGAGTTGTATGGATCTGCTATCGGTGCGCGTTCTCAAGGTGCCAAGACTTACCTCGAAAGAACACTTGAAGAGTATTTGGAGGTAGATGACGCCGACAAGCTAATCGAGGTCGCTCTCGAGGCTTTGAAGCAGTCCTTGAAAGACGAAACATTGAACACGAAGAACCTGTCGATTGCTGTTGTGGGTGAAGATAAACCGTTTACCATCTACGACGGGGAGGCCGTTGCTCCATATTTGTGAGGTGACAGATGCCGTAACCAAACCACGCACAAGATATGTAAAGTACGAAATAACAAAATATCATTAGATTACTTGGATACGATCTGGATGGAAAACCTGCTGCGGAAGTCACGGCTTGCGGAGCTTAGAAGTTGTAGTGTTCGTTGAGACAACTTGAATCATTCACGTGACCTAATTTCCGTTCCGGAGAAGCCACACCGACGGATCGCGATGCATTTTGTAGTTATATGCGTACAGCTTCTTAAGAATCAATCGAGGAGAGTAACTGAGGTGCTATAAACATACAAACCACCGGTTTCGGATCATGTATACCATAGGTTATAGACAGCTTGTTCTGAGGTCACTTAGGGCTTCATCCATCAAGACAAGGGTGTGGTCTAAAGTACCTCATGTAAGACCTCAATCCTATGCACCATTCTCCAATTTGGCCCCTTTACACTTGCATGCTACTCCAGTAGCGAAACTACTCTCATCAAAGCAACCTAGTACAACTCCAGAGAAGGCAATTGTAAGCCAAAAGGCCATATCTCCCCCAACTTCAAATGGCAATGGTCAGAAGCAGTCAAAGGCGCCCACAATGTCAGAGTTAAAAATACTTAGAGACCTTTTCAAGTACATTTGGCCGAATGGTGATAACAAGGTGAAAACTCGAGTGCTTATCGCTCTTACCCTTTTAATTGGTTCAAAATTATTGAACGTTCAGGTTCCCTTTTTTTTCAAACAGACCGTTGACTCCATGAATATCGAATGGACGGATGCATCTACTGTATTACCCATTGCGATAACTTTGACTATTATATCATACGGAGCTGCAAGGTTTGGCTCGGTTCTTTTTGGCGAACTAAGGAATGCCATTTTCGCTAACGTTGCTCAGAATGCTATCCGAAAGGTCTCGCTGCAAACTTTCAACCATCTCATGAAACTTGATCTTGGTTGGCATTTAAGTCGGCAAACGGGTGGTTTGACTAGAGCTATGGATAGAGGTACGAAGGGTATATCATATGTTTTAAGTGCGATGGTATTCCACATAATACCTATATCTTTCGAAATTTCTGTTGTTTGTGGTATTCTCACCTATCAATTTGGAGCTTCCTTCGCAGCGATGACGTTTGCTACGATGCTCCTGTACTCAATCTTTACTTTCAAAACTACCGCTTGGAGAACCGAGTTTAGAAGATCAGCCAACAGAGCTGACAACAAAGCAGCAAGTGTGGCATTAGACTCGCTCATTAATTTTGAAGCTGTAAAGTATTTCAATAATGAGACATACTTGGCAGAGAAGTACCACAAATCTTTGACCAGCTACAGGGACTCTCAAGTTAAAGTAGCCCAGTCTCTAGCCTTTCTGAATGCAGGTCAAAATTTAATCTTTACATCAGCTTTAACTGCTATGATGTACATAGGCTGCAATGGTGTAATGACAGGCGCTTTCACTGTTGGTGACCTGGTGCTCATCAATCAGTTGGTATTTCAATTATCCGTTCCTCTGAACTTCCTAGGTAGTGTTTATAGGGAGTTGAAGCAATCTCTGATAGACATGGAATCCCTTTTCAAATTGCAGAAAAACAAAGTCAGTATCAGAAATGCAGAAAAACCGCTCATGCTTCCAGAGCACATCCCCTGTGAGATCAAATTTGAAAATGTTTCCTTTGGATACGATCCGCAAAGATTGATTTTGAATAAAGCATCTTTCACTATTCCTGCCGGGTGGAAAACTGCAATAGTAGGTCCTTCTGGAAGTGGGAAATCTACCGTTCTAAAGCTGGTATTCCGGTTTTATGACCCGCAAGAAGGCCGTATTCTAATTGACGGTAAAGACATTCGGGAGCTAGACATCGAATCTCTTCGAAAAGCTATTGGCGTGGTCCCCCAAGACACTCCTCTTTTCAATGATACCATCTGGGAGAATGTAAGATTCGGAAAGATATCCGCAACGGATGAGGAAATCAAGAAAGCTATCGTCAAGGCTCAACTCGAATCACTGATTGAAAAACTACCTAAAGGACGCGAAACAGTAGTAGGAGAGAGAGGACTGATGATAAGTGGTGGAGAAAAACAGCGGCTAGCTATTGCTCGTGTTTTACTGAAAGATACCCCCATCATGTTTTTCGACGAGGCTACGAGTGCTCTTGACACTCACACTGAGCAAGCTTTATTGAAAACAATCAAGGAGAACTTTGCGGGCCGCACCAAGACTAGCATTTACATTGCACATAGACTGAGAACAATAGCTGATGCGGATAAAATCATTGTTTTGGAAAACGGACAGATCAGAGAAGAAGGAAGACATACCGAATTACTTTCCAGACCAAATTCCCTTTACAAAGAGCTCTGGAATATCCAGGAGAACTTGGAAATGTTGGAAGAAGAACTAGACCAAGAAATGAGAAACGAGGTAAAAAGAGAAATGTAAATAACGTCTTTGCATAGATTACATAAGAATATTCGGAAAAACAGAAACGTTATCTTTGTAACTGTGAACGGCTAGCCATTTGACTCGATGCTCAAAAGTAATTAATTAAATGCGAAGATCCAATATTGAAAAAAAAATGACCCACTTTTTCATTAGTTCACTTTGGTTAAGAGAGTAGTCTCTCTTCTAAAGATTCGTTCCCTTGTCTAGTATCTCCCAAGTGCTCTACAAATAAAAAGTATTCAGAATCAATCCAAATGTGTGGTGTTTTAGGTATTGCATTGGCTAATCAAACCAGCGCAGTGGCTCCAGAACTATTTGATGGATGTCTTTTTCTTCAACATAGAGGTCAGGACGCGGCCGGAATAGCCACCTGTGGACAGCGTGGTAGACTCTATCAATGTAAAGGTAACGGTATGGCTCGTGATGTTTTCACACAACATAGAATGAATGGCCTAGTTGGATCTATGGGTATTGCACACCTGCGTTATCCTACGGCTGGGTCAAGTGCAAACTCCGAAGCCCAACCATTTTATGTGAACAGTCCCTATGGTATCTGCCTAGGTCATAATGGTAATTTGGTGAATACACTGTCGTTAAGACGCTACATGGACGAAGACGTTCACAGGCACATCAACACTGACAGTGATTCAGAGCTATTATTGAATATTTTCGCTTCCGAGTTGGAAAAACACAATAAATACAGAGTTAACAATGATGATATCTTCCATGCGTTGGAAGGTGTATATCGCTTGTGTCGTGGAGGTTATGCGTGCGTTGGAATGCTAGCCGGTTATGGTATGATCGGATTCAGAGATCCTAATGGTATTAGACCATTATTGATCGGAGAAAGAACAAACACCGATGGCAGCAAAGACTACATGCTGGCATCAGAAAGTGTCGTTTTGAAAGCCCATCATTTCAACACTTACCGTGACTTGAATCCAGGTGAAGCAGTTATTGTGCCCAAAGATTGCGGCAAAGAAAAGCCTGAATTTAGACAAGTTGTTCCAATCAACTGCTATAGACCAGATCTATTCGAGTATGTCTATTTTGCGAGACCAGACAGTGTTCTTGATGGAATTTCAGTTTACCACACGAGACTGAGAATGGGTATCAAGCTTGCGGAAAACGTCTTGAAGCAGATTAAACCTGAAGATATAGATGTGGTTGTTTCTGTACCAGATACTGCACGTACTTGCGCTCTCGAATGTGCTAGTGCTCTCAAGAAACCATATCGTGAGGGTTTTGTTAAAAACAGGTATGTCGGCAGAACGTTCATTATGCCAAATCAAAAAGAGCGTGTTTCCTCTGTGCGGAGAAAACTCAATCCAATGGACTCTGAATTCAGCGGCAAACGAGTTTTGATTGTTGATGATTCCATCGTGAGAGGCACAACCTCTAAGGAGATTATAAGCATGGCTAAAGAGGCTGGTGCTGAAAAGGTCTACTTCGCATCTGCTGCTCCAGCGATCCGATTCAACCACATATACGGTATCGATTTAGCAGATACTAAACAACTGATTGCATACAATAAATCTACTGAAGAAGTTAGTGCTGAGCTTGGCTGCGACAAAGTTATTTATCAATCATTGGAAGATTTGATTGATTGCTGTAAAACAGATAAAATTCAGAAATTTGAAGTTGGTGTTTTCACCGGTAATTATGTGACAGGTGTTGAGGATGGTTATCTACAAGAATTGGAAAGGGTTCGGGCTCTAAATAAGGCAAAGCTGAACGATCTCAAAGCCGACGTCGATATCGGCCTCTATAATAGTGCAGACTACCAAGATTAAACAATTATCGAAGGAAATTCAGCTAGTGCATTATGTATCATAATCGAATCTGCCCTTTATTAATAAAAATATACACTCAATAAACAACTTTATAGATTCTAGAAGCCAAGTTTATGACATCTATTCAAGAATTTTTTTTTCTGGGAGTTTCTTAAATTCAAAATTTCATGAACGTTCCGACGGAAGAATGCGAATCAACTCTGACCAATGTCTGAAAATATATGGAATGACTTATTAGACGCAAATAGACCAACACCATCAGAGAATGAGACGACTATTATCATATCAGCTCAAACTTCATCGGTTTTGAAAACTTGCATGAAGCTTATTTTTGGGATTTCCCTAAATGATGTAACTCTTGATACAGTTAGTTACACATGTAAAGTAGTCCCTAATATGACAAAAAATGGTGATCCAATAACCTTACACATTTATACCGTTGCGCTTCCCTTATCAGAGCCCATTTTAGATTCTCTTCGAATATTCTTTGATGGCAATTCCACAGCTTACAAATGGGTTTTCTTACTTGACTGGGTACATTCCGATAAGAAGACGTGGATCAAAGATCTTTATACATCATTTACTATACTTGAAGACAAAAACATGCATTGGGTAACGGAGGGATCTTGTTCTGTCATTTGCGGCAATGCTGAACACATACAGTACCTTGAAAGAGCATCGCCTCACTGGAATTCTTATAAAATAGAGTTTGTTACTCAAACACTGAGATCATTTTGTCTTTTAAAAGCTTGCGGATTATTCTCCCTTTCTGAAGGCATGAACGACCAATTTGCTCTCGAAATACTAAGGATATTACTTGCAGAAGAAAGAATAAGGCCGTCTGAGTTCATTGAACTAGAGAGTTTGTTTATCCCGTATAGATCAGATAGCGTGGGGAAAATCAAGACATTGAATGAAGAGTTCCCAGTCAACGAGGTTCTTAGCCAATTGTTCATCAAAGGAAAATACGAAAATATAGTTCCTGGTGAAGTTACGAAATCTCAAGATGATGAGGACACGAGCTCTCCTAGCATCTCACATGACCTCAAGTTTGAGGTCGATGTTCAAAAGGAGCTCGCTGCACTTTATGAAAAGCAAAAAGTCTCTATGAGAAGTGAAACAAATTTTCATAAGCCGCTACCAGAGGACTACAATAATATTTTCACATCATATGAAGATTAACTACTACAACAGAATCATTAGCTTCGAACAACTGTCACAGAATTTGTTGGTGAACTTTTTAGATACCATCGTACAAAGGAATCAATTTAACAACTCGAAGTTACAAAAAATTTTACGGGCATCGTCGAGACAGGTGAACCAGCATATCAACAACTGGAGTTATTGTAAAGCTTTCTTCACTGCATATTTTTGCGCTATTATTTTAAAGAAAAAATTGGGAAGTTTGTTACCTGCATAGGTCTCGACGCACCGCTAAAGGACTTTTTTTCGTGAGATAACCTATTTGCTGAGCTTCATTAGTGATTCAAAATAGAAGAGGTAAAGCTAATTCCTTCGATAAAATTACCGTATATGACAGCTGAGCTGTCTGATAAAATACCACCTAAGAGTGCGTCTACTGATATCGAAGGTGAGGGTATTACATCATTTTTTGAGACGAACAAGAGCAACCAGAGTAGTATTGAAGTATCTCAAGATACTTGCAAAGAAGATACCTCCTTCAGATCCCGCGTTGCAAGACTTAGTATATGTGAGGATGGTAATTCAAAGGCCGTAATTATGCAAAACCTCCAAAATAATGTTTCAGAAGAAGCGATAGATGATGGCAACAATGTTCGTCTGAAGACAGGTTCTAAAAGAAGAAGAAGGAGATCCAGTGCAGTATCAGCTCCGACTTTGGGAAATTCAAGTGGGAGTAGCAGTAGTATATCGTCCACATCTTCCATCACAGTCCCTAAAAAGAAGAAAAAAGCATTACAGCCTGCTTTTTTAAGGATCAATAAAAGAGCTGTCAAAAAGAGAGTATCCATGAAAGATTTACGTGATCTTGTACTTTATGTTTTTCAAGACACTAACAACTCTCCTTCATGGCTACAAATTGATAACCGAGCGTCGGTGAAAAAAATGATCGTTCTCTTTGTACCCGGCTTACAGCCAGAAGATTTCGGTCTTCCTGAGGGATCTCGATTTAGTGATCATGAAGATCAATTACAATCACTACGTCTTACTTCTTTAGAGGACGAATCGTTGAAAGATGGCTTCCAGTGTGCTCCACTCTCCGCACCAGGCTCGAAGAGCTCTCTTTTTAGCGCTTACAATTCATTTGTGAACGTAGGGCTTTCTAAAAAAGAAAAGGAAGACCGGAAAGAAGAATTAAGCAAGAAAAAAATTACATTGACAGATTTGATATGCTCACTTGATCAGTTAATTGAAAATGAGTATCCAATACATTTGGAGACGTTAGGTATCTTTGGGGAGACAAAAGCAGCTTTAATTCGAAAGCATGTTGAGGATGGTGACGATTGGGTTAATACTAAAAAGTTTGACCACAACGGGTCACACACTTTCGCATTGGACTGTGAAATGTGTATGTCGGAGGATGGTTTGGTTTTAACGAGAGTAAGCATTGTTGACTTTGATAACAACCTTGTATACGATAAACTTGTGAAGCCAACAGTTCCTATAACGGATTACTTAACAAAATACAGTGGCATAACCGAAGAAAAACTCCGTGGCGTCACGACAACATTGAAAGATGTACAAGAAGATATTCTTGGCATGATAAGCCAAGATGACATTCTCATAGGTCATTCCCTCCAATCGGACCTCAATGTTCTGAAATTAAGGCACCCACGGATTGTTGATACCGCACTCATCTACGAGCATAAAGCGGGCCCCCCATTTAGGCCCGCCCTGAAATACTTGGCTTCAGAATACCTCAATACGCGTATTCAATGCGATGATGGAAAGGGTCATGATTCTTTTGAAGATGCAAGAACATGCATGGAATTAACAAAACTCAAAATTGTGAACGGTTTGGCTTTTGGAGTTGGTATAAACACAGAAAATTTGTTTCACAGACTGGCAAGGCATGGGGTAAGGTCTATGTGTTTAAATGATTATGCGCCCAAACGGAGCTCACTAAATGTGAGTGAGGATATGGAAGTGAACGTGAGGTGCCAAAATGACGATGAAATAGTGGAACATATTACACAACGTATTAACGATTATAGCTTATTTGTGGGTAGGTTGAGGGATCTAGAGTATGCACGGAAATTTGCGGTGCCACCTCCTTCTATTGATGTATCCGATTTAGCTGATGCTCGTGAAAATTTGGGCAAGAGAATAACGAGTATATATGAAGGTTGTCCTGCATCGACGATTATATTGATATGTTCGGGAACTGGAGATACCAGAGATTGGATTAAAATCATGTCAGATTTGAATAAACTAAACAGAGAGGATAGGATTGAGGAGAAAAAGAAGAGAGAGGAAGAGATTCATAAAGCTGTTTTCAAGGCAAGGGACGCCATTTCTCTTCTAACAATAAAACAGGAGAACTCGGAATCGGCTTGACAATAATCATGTAATTTTTCAAATAATATTTAACGACAATATACAAAGGCATCTAATCTAGTTTAACGTCTCCATCGGCGTCTTGGTTAGCCTTTTGGTCTTCAGAGCTTTGAATTTCCGAATTGTTAGATATTTCAGGCTCAGTAGATAAACCAGTCGCAGCAGTCTCTTTTTCTTTGACGGCCGCCGCATCTGAGCTTGAAAATCCAGGAATTGATTCCTCTGCCCCGACCGCACCTCTAATATCATCCACTGTTAGACCATCAGTAGTCTCAGCGCCGTTGGCAGCGCTACCAGTTTCGCCGATGTTGTCAACCTTCCTAGTTCGATCGTACAAGGTAAGCTCGAGAACGTCATCAGTGCTATCGTCGAGGTCCTCCCATTGTTTATTTTCAGCCGGCTGCCATGTTTTATACTGGAAAGAGTATTTGTCTTCTTCAACATTATCTGAATTAGCAGTTTTATCCAATGATTGTGATTGTAGAGGCCGTCTAGGTGTCAACCAGTCATATTTCCAAAACTTTCTGTTACTTTGTGCGAATGACGTACTTGTCAAACGGTTAGCTCTTGATATCAGAGCCTCCGCTTGCATTTTATGTCTGCTTCTCTCTCTAGATTTGGGTTGGCTTCTAGCTGCAAAACATGACTTGAAGCGGTACCAGCATACGAATCACACGAAACGGTATTTTGCCAACATCATATATATTGAGACCATGATTAATTCACACTATGCTAATACATAAAAAAAATATGTAAGCGCCAAACGAGGCTCAGTGCAGCATATCTACATATATTTTGCGTACCACTCTAACATTCTTTCAGGATGCTCCCCAAAATAGTTGTAGCCGTCAAAATGCCTTGTGGTACCATAAATCCAGAGAGCTCTTTTTCCTTACCACCTAAAAGATCATAAGTTGTTTGGACGTCTTCCGGAAGAGTCCATGAGTCATCGTGGACCTGAGAAATTAGAGTTGGAATGGTGACTGCCGGCGCAAAAGGATGTGGACCCCATTCGGCAGTCGCAAACCCGCCTAATTTTCGTTTCTCACTGTCGATCAAATCAGAAAACTCAGAGAGACCTTGCGACTTGTAGAAATTGTCTGTTAAGTAACACACAGTACAGGGTTGGGGTGCCACCATACATTTCACATTGGCAAAGGGTTCAGGGAACCGTGCAATCGCTTCAAATTGCGCATTGGCCCCCATGCATCTGCTCATCAAACTCACCGTCATCTTTGAGAAGACAGGATGCGCATCGACCCATTGCTTCACACCGACGCTGTCTTTCCATTCATGACGGCCAACCCCACACACGTGACCATCACCTTTGTCACTTTCACCGTGGTTACGCTGATCGTAACAAATAACATTGTACCCCGCCTCGATCATAACCTTATATTCTGGCAAAAAGTGGACTTCAAAGTCACTCATCGTGCTGAATTTCCCTACATGACCAGGGTGACCATAGCGGTTGAACATCATAGGATGGTTACTGATAATTAATTTATTGGAGCCTTTCGAAGGTATGAACCAGCCTTTTAGATGGACGCCGTCAAATGATGGAAAAGTGATTTCTTTGAATTCAAGTCCATATTCATCTGGCGTGCGCATGATAGGCACCCGGATTGACCGGACCCACATCTGGGCCTGTTGCTTGATCAATTCTAATTGCTCGGTAGTTGGTTGCTTTTGTGTCGTTGGATATGAGTGATAATGAATTTATAGTGTTTTCTATTCACTAGAAACTGGATATATGATCCAGAATGGAGATATTATATATGTTTCCAATCATTTATTTTTACTCCCTTACGTACCAATAGAATATATGCAGATGCTGGATAAAACAGTAGCGTCGCGAGCTGAGTTTGCGGAAGGAAGTCCGTCGCGGTCGACAAACTTGTCATTAGTTTTCAGTGGATGTAATACGGTCTGCATATGAGAACCTGATACTGGAGGAACTGCGGAGATAATTATGCGGAAGAAGCGCGTTTGCGGAGATAAATGTGCTGGAAAAAGCCAGTTGCGGAGATAGTTGTGCCCAGGTAATTAATCGCGGAGAAACGCATTCTTAATACTGAGGGATTAACAAAACGTGGCGCATAGATCTATTTGAACTGCGCATTATTAAGGCTGCACCTACCACTGATGTTTTCATCTTCCTGAGTGGATGTAAAACCCATTAGAGCCTTTCTCGAGCGGTTAAAAAAATTGGACGAGTCCGGAATCGAACCGAAGACCTCTCCCATGCTAAGGGAGCGCGCTACCAACTACGCCACACGCCCAAGTATGTAATGGGCGAGAAAGCGTACAGTATAGGAGCACATCGCAAAGCACATGAGAAGGTTTTAAAGCTCTTGACTTTGTTCTTCTTTCGAGGTTGTGAGTCGAGTTTGTCCGTAAAACTATGCAGTTAATACCCTTCTTGATGGAATATTCTAGTCGAAGTAGTATTTTAAGAGAATGGATTCATTACCTGGATGGCAATCAACAATGCGCTAGTAACCAGGATGCCTTCTATGATGAACATCGCTTCTTACGATTATTCTAAAGCATAACTGCATGTAAGAACAACTGTTTACTGCTTTGGATGAAATAAGTGAAGTAAGCAACGAAAGGGGAGTCCTTTGATCCAAACTTGCAACTATTATTTGTAAGAAAAGAAATGGCTGTCAAGAAGAAGACTGGCCAGCCTAAGGGAGATTTGAGTAACGAAGATGATGCATACAATGCCATTTTCAGCGGAAGCTTCGGCTCTTTAGAGATCGGAAACTACATTGGATCAAATGAAGGACAAACAGAACACTTACCAGATGCCATAGATTTTGAAGACGAGGATGAGCTTGCAGACGAAGAATTACCTGACGAAGAAGAACCCACCAACATAGCAAATAATTTGCCAGATGAAAATGAGGAGGACTACATGGACATGATGAGCCAGGGTGCTATAATTGCCGATCAAAGTGGGACATTTGAAGAGGGGAATAACACTCTTTTTATGAGTGTGGGAAGTCAAGAGACAGGATTTCCTGAGGAGCACGCTGCGTTTAGCGACTTCGATGATGCTAATCAGCAAGAAGTGGATGAGCAGCAGAGACAAAGAGAGTCTGAGCGTATTGCCAGAGAAGAAAAGGAGCTACTACGTTATTATTTTCCGAAATTTAGAAAAAATCAAACTTTGATGTTGACAAATGTTGTGCCACGTCAGATAGCAAACTACCAATGGCAGAGAGAGCTTTACTTAACGAACAGACAGTTGAGGCCTTTTTTACCTCTCAAATTGAAGATAGAAGTCCAACCAGATACTAGACGTTTGCTTAAATCAAAAGGTAAAAGCTGGCAGTCAAATTCGGATTCTTACCTCCAGAAGAAGCCCGGCATTAGAGTTGTTTCTTTGGAAGAAATGTATCCAGATGAGAAAGAGCAGATAAAACAAGAAAAAAATGAGGATACGATTCCTGAAGACTTACTAGTTGTCGCAAATGAATGGGATTACGATAAAATCATTGGTGAATCGTGCGATGAATCTGAACACATTCCAATTCCTTCAGCGACGAGCAAAAAGATCATACAATCTCAACTACAGGAGGATAGAAAAGACTGGGAATGGAATGAAGAAGAAATCATCGAAGGGAAGGTCGATCAAATCAAGGTTCCTTTAGACATGAACGATGAAAAGCTTCTTTTCGTAAAAGATAAATCATCAGAAGCCCCATCGTCACGTAACAACGAAAGTGTTCTAATACCCTTCAATGAAAAAACTTTACTCAAGAAGTTCAATATTTCGAATGACGACAAGTATAAAATCCTTAAGGAAAACTACCAAACGAAGATTCGCTCCACAATTTCAAATCTTAGCATTGAACACTCACAACCTGCTACAAGACTACAATCACCATTCTACAGGGTTTCACTTCCTAAGGGTCAAGTAAGGCATTTCCATAGGCCAAACTTTGGAGCTCATATTCGTCCTGGTACCAACATTGTCTTTAGCAAAATAAAGAATCGGAAGCGGAAGCGAGATAAAGGGAAAGATATAAAAGAACTATTCGCGAGGAGTCAGGACTTGACTGTAGGAGATAGTGCTCCAATATTTCTAATGGAATATTCTGAGGAGACCCCAGTAGCATTATCAAAATTTGGGATGGGAAGTAAATTAATTAACTATTACCGTAAAACGGACGATAAGGATATGTCTAGGCCGAAATTACCAGTTGGTGAAACCTACGTTTTGGGCGTTCAAGATAAGTCCCCTTTTTGGAACTTTGGGTTTGTGGAACCTGGAAATGTTGTCCCTACTCTTTACAACAATATGATAAGGGCACCCGTATTCAAACATGAAGTTTCTGGCACTGATTTTTTGCTTGTTAGAAGTACCGGTAACGGGATGGGGAATAGATTTTATTTGAGAAGCATTAACCATCTATTTACAGTCGGCCAGACTTTTCCAGTTGTTGAAGTTCCCGGACCAAACTCAAGAAGAGTTACTTCTCTGGGTAAAAATAGGTTGCGTATGATTGTCTATCGCATTTTAAACAAGTCACCTGAGCATCGGCTGCTTGTTAAGCAAGTTGCCAGACATTTCCCTGACCAGAACGATATGCAGAATAGACAGAGGTTAAAAGAATTTATGAAGTACCAACGCGATGGTGATGATCATGGCTTTTGGAAGCTCAAAGAAACTGAAGTGTTGCCTGATAATGAAAATGTGAAAAAAATGATCATACCCGAAGATGTTTCTCTAACAGAATCTATGTTCCAAGGCCAGCAATATCAAGAAGACACCGATTTCTATAATTTTGATGAAAAGCTTCGAAAATTAGAAGAAAATCTCATTCCTTGGGCAGTAACGAAAAACTTCTTAAACGCTACTCAAATGCGTGCAATGGTTCAAATTCACGGTGCTGGAGACCCTACTGGATGTGGAGAAGGTTTTTCATTCTTAAAGACTTCCATGAAAGGTGGATTCACACGGTCTGGAAATGAGAGTGGTCAACCTCAAGCTACTGGTGGACACAGTTATAATGTAGCACAGCAACAAAAAGCATATGACGAGGAAATTAGTAAGACATGGTATACACAGGCTAAAAGTTTGAGAGTTTCCAATCCTTTCGAAGAAATGGACGATCCAGATGTGGTAAACAGAACTAACAAAAAGGTCAGGTCACATAGAGACGATCATAAAGTTTTGAAAATAATTCGCAAAAAAAGAGATGACAACGGTATAATCCAAAGACAAACAATCTTTGTCAAAGATCCCCGAGTAATACACGGCTATTTAAGAGCATATCAAAAGAAAAGAGAAGAAGCTGAAGCCAATCTTGGTTTAGAAGAACTCATGAATGATAATATCGATTTAGTAAGCGGCGGAAACGTAGAAGAGAAACAACTCAAGCAAAAGAAGCTCTTAGAGGAACAGCTAGCACGCCTACAGAAATCCCAAGAGAGAAGACAGGCCAGAAAGTTGGCTAAAGAAAAGAACAAAGATGGGAAAATTACCAAGGCCAAAAATACCACGAGAAGATGTGCGACTTGCGGAATGGTTGGCCATATTAGAACAAACAAGTCATGCCCGATGTACAATGGAGGTGCAAACGCTAGCATAGCCAACCCATCAACCCCTGCTTCAGCATCAACTCCAAATGTTCCACCAGATAACTTGGTGCTATGATGCGAGATGATCGAGCTATATAAAGATGAGGCGGCTTTACAATTTTATAACTTATACGTGCTTATATATGCAAAATTGTTGCATCACTACACATTTCTTCAATTGTTTCATAATCAGAATTGTACCCAACGTACGCGACGTATCCCGGTTCTCCCTTGTCTTCGTGAACTGGGTAATGCTTGTGAGGGACATTTAGGTTCTCCTTTATACAGAAGGAAACGTGCTGATCATTAATGTCATAGTCCCTAGTAATTCTTTTGACAATAGTCTTCAACTCGCCTCTCTTGTCGCAGCTTGGACCGCCAACTGCGAACAGCTTGATAGCAGATGAGCCCTTGCCTAGGGGCTCTGTCACAGGTGTACAGTGGAACCAGTCGTAATGAATCTTCGTCGAGTATTTGAAATATTCGACTGCTCCAATTAGAACTAGGCCAACCATTATGTAGTAGAGCAGTGTTAGTACCTGTGGAGTACGTTTTACCATTTTTATTAGTGTTCTGGCTGTTATGAGGAGACTTCTGACCTTGCGACGATTAACAGTTAAATTTAAACGGTGAAGCAGAAAACACGTGACCAGACTACGTTTGAGCTCATCCCGAAGCTGGCATTCGTAAAAGGTTCAATACTGCAAAGAAAGCACCATGTACCATAAGAAACAGTGAATATCTCAAAGTCATATTTTAGTTATAAAAATATTGGTATATAAACCTCTAATTGATCTGGTGGTAGATTAGGAGAATCTTTAAAGAGCATAATCACCTTGCACCCAGTCATTTACCATTCCCAAAGCATGTTCAGGAACGTCAAATGGAACCATATGGCCACCACCGTAGATTCTCAAGAAGGTGAAGTGCTTGTAGTTTTTCACCTCACCCGCTTTTTCACCAGTGATGCTGGAAACCCAGTCTCGAGACTTCTCAGCTTGAAATTCGTCGCTGTACTTCCATGGCAAGACTTCAGTCCAGGCTTGGTTACCCAGCCAGTTGCAAATGAAATCTTTGTCACCGGCGTAAATCAAAACTGGTAAATCTTGGTTTAGCAAATTACTAACTGCTTTTTGATATGGTTTCATCCAATCACCGGCAAAAAGGAAGTTTCTGTTGATATCAAAGTTACAAGATTCATACTTGTCAACTTCAGCACCAACTGCTTCCTTAACAATGTCAAGATTGAGATATTCTTCCATATATTTCATTTCGTCGTAGCATAGCTCTCCCTCACATTCCTTGCGCATATCGTAGACATTCTTTCCAGTTCTTTGGTATGGGCCCATTTGCGCATTGTTACAGTAAATAGTAGCGGGAACACAAGTCCAAATTGATTCAGATTCGTAACAGGATTCAATCAAACTCAAACAACGAGGCAAAGAGTCTAGCATACCTTCACATTCATCTGGTTCCAAAACGGAAGGTTCACCACCCTCACCACATGCCATTGGTTCGTAGAGAGGGTATTGAGACAAAGGATCGGTCAAACCGTTACCAATCAAAACGGACGTCAAATTGAAGTATCTTTCTTCGACGGGATGAGAGAGAATTTCAGAAGCAAAGACAGGAATATAATGACCGGCATAGGATTCACCAGCAATGTGAAAGTCTTGGCCAGAAGCATATTCTGGGAATTGCTTGAAGAACAGTTGCAAGAATGCATACACATCCTTACCTGCAGCTACAGTGTTGGAAACACCGCTACCGGAAGAGTAAGAGTATCCAACGTTAACAGGTTGGTCCAGGAAAATCACAGATGCGTTGTTGTTCCAGGAGTAGGGATTGTGGACAGGCTCAATTTCGGGACCAATAGAAGAAGGACCCAATTCGAAAAATTGGCCGGTGAGTGAGGAACAGCCAGGACCTCCATTTAGCCACAGAATGACAGGGTCGTTCTTGGGGTCGTTCCTACTCTCGAAGAACCAGTAGAAAAAGTGCTTGTCGTCCTCTTCAACGTCAAGGTAACCAGTGTATTGTTTCACACCGGGGTCGACACCTAGTACCTTGGGGTTCTTAATCTTGTTCACCCGAAGTTTGTAGGCAGAGGTTTCCTGAACAACAAAGTCCCATTCAGTCTCCGGTCTTTTGGTGACCTTGGTCTTTGGTTTAGTGACAAATTGTAGCTCAGAAACAGCTTGTGGGAATAAAAGGCTCATTTCACCCCATACTTGCTTAAGCTCATCTGAAAGAGACCCAAGTACTTCGGACTTATCCATTCCAAGGGCGTCTATGGCCTTATCAAGTAGTGAGCTGGCTTTGAAAACGCTTTGGACGGATGCGCCGCTCACCGAGCCGGCCATTGAAGCTCCGAGCAGCCCAGCAGCTAAGTTGCTTATCTTCATATCTAGAGTTCGAGAATTGCTACTGAAGTATAGATTCCACTACCTTCAGTGCTTATGGGGTTTAACAAGAATATTCAAGAACAGAAACTTTGCCATGAAGGATGTTGGTATTTAGGGGATGTCAGGGAGGGCCGCGCTGGGGGGCCGCCAGCCATGCCGCCCGCGCGAGCGGGCAAAACATAAACACTTTTCCGTTACCCGACGCAAGTGCAAAAAAACGGACAACGAGAAACTTGGTCCAAAAAAATACCCGGGGGGTTGGGAGCCGCTGGACAGCGGGAGTCCATCTAAACGCCGTCTTAAATCCGTGATCGAGACATGCAACAGCGGCTTCGAAGATCACGTGCATTACTCCAATTGCGGTGCAAGGATGAAGGGGTATGGGTGACACCGTACACCACAAGTGCACGGATGGAAATTAATGGGGGTACGGGTGTAATCTGTGGGGTACGGGTGACATGCTCATGTTTGCAGCCATTCCCGTTATTGCCGAAATCCCGTTCTCGTTGAGCGGCCTTAATCTCTCTCAGCACATGACGTCTATACGCCGGGAGGAATACAGGAGCTGCGCCTACGTAAGCTACAGAGCGAATCCGTAATCTGTTACCCGGGGCGGCATAGCGCGGCGTCCAACCGATCGGCCAAAACGAACCTCTCCAATTCCGAGGGCAATGGACCGGACGCGCTGCGCTTTGGCAGCATTTCTTCCTCCTTTGCCACCGTTTTTTGTAGGCCGCAAGACGCCCTCCATCAAAAACATAAGGGCAACTGCAAAGTGGCACACAAAGGCAGTTAATCGAACAATGAAAAACCAGCCTCCAGAGATACTCCCCACGTCAATTCCCGTGCCGACTATCCTCGTACAAACTTCGTCATACATTTGGTTCTACCTGTACACATGTTTCAAAAAACTACCGGGGACGCAGTACATCATATCATACGTGCGGAAGTCGCATCAGGACGATCCTTACCGCACGATGGTTGAGATCGTGCTGATAATCTACGGGATCATCTACTTCCTAGGGAAGCCTAGCAAGAAGGGCCAGCAGCGCGGACCCGAGCTTACGTCACGCGAGGTCGAGAGTTTGCTCGAAGAGTGGGAACCAGAACCATTGGTTCAAACCGACGACCGTAATGCCTGGCGTCTCCAGAAAATCCCGGTGGTGCATGCGACTCCCACTGACAAGTACGTGGATTTGACGCGCAATGATGACCGTGAGGTTTATTCGAAAGTGCTCAATTGCGCCTCGAACAATTTTCTCCAGATATCACGCGACGCTCGTGTTCTCGAGGAGGTCAAGCGCACTATTAAGAACTATGGGGTGGGCTCCTGTGGTCCTGCTGGGTTTTACGGAAACCAAGATGTGCACTCTAACCTTGAATACGATCTTGCGCGTTTCTTTGGCACAGAGAGTGCCGTTCTTTATGGTCAAGATTTCTGCGTGGCTGCTTCCGTCATCCCTGCTTTCACGAAGCGTGGTGATGTGATTGTAGCAGATGATCGTGTCAGCGTGTCATTACAAAATGCTCTGCAACTGAGTAGGTCCACTGTTTATTATTTCAAGCACAATGACATGGAGTCCCTTGAGGATTTGCTACGTGAATTGACAGAGCATGAAAAAGAAGAGAACCTGCCCGCTCTCCCCCGTAAATTCATCGTAACAGAAGGTTTGTTTCACAACCTGGGAGATATTGCGCCCTTGCCAGATCTTGTAAGGTTGAAAGAAAAGTACAAATATCGTTTGTTCGTGGATGAAACATTTTCACTAGGTGTTCTCGGTAACACTGGCCGCGGTATCACAGAACACTTCAATTTGAAGCGTGAGACCGCTGTTGATATTACTGTGGGGTCAATGGCCACCGCATTTGGCTCTTCAGGAGGGTTCGCTCTTGGTGATCACGTCATGTCTCATCACCAACGTATAGGTTCCTTCGCGTACTGTTACTCGGCGTCTCTGCCCGCATACACCGTCAGATCTATGTCTCAGATGCTCGGCATGCTCGAGCAGGACAGTTCTGCCGTAATCCATCTGCATGAACTCTCCGCCTCGATGCACTCGTTCTTCAAAGAAGACACCGAGCTCGCAAAGTATATCGAGGTCACCTCCTGTCCCGCATCCTGCATTTTGCATTTCAGACTCACGGCAGATTTCAGGTTGCACAAATTTGGCTCTTCAGAGGAGCAGATTTTCGCTGAGATATCCGCCCTACAGAGCAAGAATATCAGCAACAAATTCATAGAGGCTTACGAGCAGGAGGACAAATTCCTACAATCCATAGTCGACACGGCCCTCGCCGACCACAATGTCCTCATCACTCGCAATACCATTGTGCTAAAACACGAGACACTGCCCGTGACACCCAGCCTCAAGTTCAGCTGCAACGCCCTCATGACTGAGCAGGAACTTCAAGACGCCTGCGTCGCCGTTAAAAATGCTGTACTCAAGTGCTGCGCCTAATCCTTTATCGGCTTTATAGCCACAGTATGCACTCCCATGTAGACCTAAATGAACAAGCAATGAGTCACTGTCTTAGCCATTTGATTTTGTTTTTTTTTGCACTCTATTTACATTTTACTTTCTCACACCTCGCTTCCTCGTTCTTAAGCCTTTGTTTTTCGTTCTCGAACTTTATCTTGGCGAAACTTCACAAACGTACAAAACGCCATCATCGAGGCTCAGTTGGTCTGGAGACGAAAAAATCGAGGTCAAATGGATATTAGCATAAACATACGCCAACCACTTTTCGAAGTAGTGTTTTTTTGAGAAGGCATGGGATTGTTTAGAAAATCGAGTAATAGCTCAAGTAGCTCGGGTGGTCATCAACCAGATGTCAAGTTGACAAAAGAAGATAGAGAGAATTTCAAAATTCGCACTGCTTCCGTTCATGATCCAATCTTGGAAGCTGTGCAGGAAGCGCAACCATTTGAACAGGCTGCTGACGCGCTTCAAGAGGACCCAAACAGACGGTCTTACTACTCCAATGGTGAAAATGGCCAACATCTGCGTGATGTCTTCGGACAGCCCATCAGACAGCCTGACGTCTCCAACCCCACACGGGCCAGAGATGAGAGACCACTCGACACTATCAGAAGTTTTGAGTACTCGATCTCGGGAGATCCATCGTGGTCGCAACGCCTTGAGACCCAGCAGTATGGGTTTCGTGTGAGGCCCGATTTTCCTACCTTTGGTAACGGTAATCCATATGCTATGACTGGCGATCAAGGTGCGGCCATGCCGTCCTCTGCTTATGCCACACAGGAGCAGGCCATCTACCAAGCCCCAGTTCCCGTTGAAGAAGGTAAAAAGAAGAAGAAGAGAGGATTGTTTGGTAGGAAAAAGAAGGATTGATCAAACAGCGTGATAGAAACAGAACGATGCACGATCGAGTCGTGAAACGAAGATTGAACGGTTACAGAGAAGAACGAAAATGAATAACAGTGGGGCAAGTTCCCCGTATCTGCTAATTTTATGCTACATAACGTCTATAGGATACCCAATGAGAAGGTTATAATCACACCCTTTAATTTGCTTTGTAGTTGTGCGCCAGTTTCGCCGCACCTTTGTTGTCATGTGACTAGATCACCAGCTCTTTTAGAAAGTGAAACTTATGATACTTTTTATCTGATAAAATTTTTTTCAAGATCATCTCATCGCCCGCTGGAGCCCAATATCGCAAATGATGGAAAGCAAGAATAGAAGGAGAAACAATCGGAGTCTAGGATCCTCTATACAATTGGCTAATGTTCTTGGCTCTGGTGCAAACAAGATCAAGAAGAAAATCAGAGATATCGAAAGGTTGTTGCAAAGAAAAAGAGATACATTGCCAGACACAGTGCTCATCGAGAAGGAAAGAGCACTAGAAGCGCTCCAATTTGAATTGAAAAATGCTGAAACCAGACAAAAGATCAAAAAGAATGCTAAGAAGTACCACATGGTGAGATTTTTTGAAAGAAAGAAGGCCATTAGAAGGTATACTCAAGCTCTCAAGCAAGCGCAGGCGCATCCCGACGAAGCAAGCTACAAAGATGCTCTACAAGAACGTGCAATCGATGTATGTTATGTTGTGAATTTTCCAAAGACAGAAAAGTACATAGCGCTTTACCCCTCAGAAAATGACGTTGAGTCGAGGGATGAGAATGTCAAGAGAGGCATTATAAAGACATCCGAGAGGAGAAAAGCGTTCCGCATTGCTGTTACTAAGCAATTACAAGATGGAACTCTTCCCGTGTCTTTGGAAGAGATTTTAGGCGGCAAGAAATTACGCAAAGAAGGAACCGGCATAATGCTTGATACCAAGGTTGTATCTAATGAGAAAAAGCAGCAGAGTGCTTTCGATGAAGATACCCCTGCAAATGACGAAGAAGACGACTTCTTTGAATAAATAACTTCCATACTATGTACATTAGATAGTAATAATATCGCATTTATCACATCAGCTTGTGCGAAAATTCGTAGTGGATGTCCAGGGCATCGTTGATGAGAATAAATTCCAGCTTTTCCCCCTGCAATTCTTCAGGAACCACGAAATCACACCGAACAGACACCTCTCTCTGGTGCTTCCTTGGTTGACATCTCTTTATCATCATCAATTCATCATCTTTATAAGCAATTACGAACCACAGTTCCTTCTGCATTTTGGGGAATCTGTCACACCAAACAGCAAACTCACGATTGTATTTCGGACTCGCGTGCTTGGAGGTAATCACTAATTCGTTAGCTGATGTTTGCGGCAAAACACTGATGTCAACTAGAACAGGTAATCTAGTTGCTTCATTCACAAATTTTTTTGTTTTCTCTTTAGGGACATTCATCTTGCGGGCCAGTTCCTCTAGTTTTCTGGGGCTCATCCGACCAACTTTATCTAACGTTAACTTTTGCACCTTATCTACACGGTGACCTTGTTCATTGAATTCTTTCTCATTAAGTCTAGTTAAGGTCATTCCTGGTAGAGTTGATACAGGATCATCCTCATACCAGCACCCTTGCTTAACACATTGCATAACTTTTATGATAGTCAAAACAGTGTGGAAATATCCCATTTCGCTAGCCACATCAACATATGCCTGTAAAATACGCAGAGTTTGATCCAATACCGATATCGTATCTTGATGGTAATCAGCGATTGGTAAGTCAACACGACTTAAATACGCTTGTAATAGAAGAAATGCTTTAATATGAGGATCCCACATAGGTAGCTCTTGCTCATCGGTAAATGTACTTTCCACCGTGTATCTTGAGCTAGCTGACATTTCAATATTCATGATGATTTCACCGTTCCTTACTGGGAGCTCATTGAACTCGAAAGCCAAAGAGAGCCACTTGAGAACTTCTCTGAAAGTGGCTTTATTATGGATTTGCTTCAGTAACTGCCTTATTGTCTTATGGGAAATATAGTAATAGGATGAAATACTTAAAAAAGGCGTCGGTTCAATTTCGTCTCCCCGTAATATCACACATTGCGAGTCTTTTAAATTTTCTATTGTGGCATCAATGAGTTCACTTAAATGTTTGTTAACACCAAAATCTGAAACGTCGTCAGAAATATCGTAATACGTTGGGTTGTGATGCGCTCTTCTGAACAAAAACGTCCAGCTCAAAAAATCCAAAGCCTCCTGCTTATTGGTAATTGACCCAGAGGATATTTCGGCACCCATATGATCATCAAGCACCTTGTGTAGTGACGATTCAACGGGAAATCCAACGTTCAAGAAATGCTTGTAGAACATCTTTTTGGATTGTTTGGTGTAAACGATTGCGGTACCAGAAGTGTCAAAAGCAGGCCTACCAGCTCTGCCCATCATTTGCAAAATGTCGGTTAAGTCCATATCTCTGTAAGCTTCAATTTTAGCATCATAGAATTGTGTACCCTTTATAATCACTAGGTGAGCGGGTAAGTTAACACCCCAAGCCAGAGTAGATGTAGCAACCAACACTTGAATCCTATTACGTTGGAATAGCTGATGCGATATTGATCTATCTTTTTCCACCAAACCAGCATGATGTAGACCAATCCCAAACTGCAAAGATAATTTCAAAGTTTCATCGGATACCTGCGACAAGTAATACTGAAGTTCTTCTTCATCTTCAATATTCAAGAATCTACGTGGATTTTCTTCCATACCACAGAGATGAATTAAGTCTAACGCAGTTAGCCTTGTTTGACGACGAGAAGCCACAAATATTAAAACGGGTTTGTTTGGCGAATGTTGTTTGATCGCCATGAATGCTGGTTTGTTCATAGTTTTCATCAGAGGACAGAAAGCCAAGTTATCAGGAAAGCCATCAATAAACATTTTCAAAGGAACAGGTCTAACACTTGACGGAAAATTGTAAAGACCGTTATTCTTAACGCCTAACCAACTCGCCATGTCGTAAGCATTAGAGACTGCAGTGGACATACCTAATAATCGTACGGGCTTCTTTGTTTGAGATGAGACGTAGTTCATACGACTGACAATCATCTCTAAAATGGGACCTCTATCACTTGCTAACAAATGAATTTCATCCATGATAATTAAAGATACATCCTGAACAAATTTACGGGTTTGCCAATTACGAGAAATACCATCGAACTTTTCGGGTGTAGTGATTACAATTGTTGCATCTTTAACATCTCTTGGATCTGGGATGGAGTCACCAGTCAATTCAATTACCTTATCTCCAGTTGTGGGAGTAATTCTCTCCCTCCAGTCATCGACTCTTTCACGTACCAAAGCTTTCATAGGAGCAATATAAACAATTTTACTTCCCGGGTATTCTTTGAACGCATGCCACATAGCCAATTCTGCTACCACTGTTTTACCTGATCCTGTAGGTGACCCCACAAACACACTCTCGTTGGTGTTATAAAGAGTGTGAAATGTCATGGTCTGGAGTGGATTAAAGTATTTGAAATGATAAATCGATTGTACAAGTTCGTTGTGCAAAGCAGAAACCGGCAGTGGTCTGAGCCTTTGTAGTTTAGTTTGAAGAGTTTCATTATGGGGCCTAATCAAATGCTGGAATGAAATGGCGTGCGTGGACTGGCTGCCAATCCATACATCTGACACAACTTTAACGACCACTTGAGGTGGCAGCGGATCAGACAAAGGAATCATGAAATCCATTTCATGTGGATTATTAAGCTGTCGCTTATTCAGAATGAATTTATCAAAATGTAAGATTTGAGATTTATCCGATTCTTCGACGAAGACCCAGAAAAATTGGGCATCTCCATGAATTCTGAAATCCCATTGAAAATTGGGCTCTAAAGTAACATGAATGCGCATAACGTTGGCTGTGATTGGAAATATCTCTGCGCCAATGTCAATCATTGGGAAGCGATTTATCATATTGTACAGTCTAGATCCCATTTTCTTATTATGAACTAGTTCACCAAGTTCCTCTGACGACATGTCCAACAAATTTTCCATAGATGGATTCTTGTCTCTGATATGGTGCAAGATGGGTTCGGATAACTCAAATTGACAAAGCGGGTGATCAAATGACCACAATCTTTTCTCGATTGATTTACAAATATCAAGAGTGACTTTTGCAAATTTTCCCCATCTTCTGTTCACACCAATCAAAAACAATGCCCTACAAATCCTTACAGAGTTTTGAGCAACGTAATTTGAATCGGAGAAAAGTGCAGAATCAAATATTTTGGTCTTCGAAATGAATGACTGGAGCAAGATATTTGTTTTTCCTTGCGCTGAATGTATTTCACTACCAATTTGACATTGAACGGCAGAATCCATGAGCTTGGTAAGCTCACCGGCTTCCTCTTCTCGGAATTTCATGTTATCAAATTCGCTGCTCATGCTAATCATGGACATCACGTCCGCCTCGGTAGCACCTGGGTTGCACATTTGATTGAATATCTCCACTGATTCATTCAAGAGGTAAAAATCGGAAGAAATTCTACCCAAGTCCTTAGGAATGAAATGCATCGACGTTTCATCAAAAATAATCATTTGTAGAGTATGCAGTCTCCGCGCAGCGGTCACGATCATTTTCCGTCTTCTTTCATATAGTTGGGGATCATCCCTCAGCTCGTCCCAGTTGATACCATACATGAAAGGATTTTGTTTCATTCTGACATACATGTAAGTGTACCCTAACCACTGGATACCCTCTTCGACGTTAGTTACAGTACCAAGCGATATTTCAGCATTTAAATTGTCAACAAGCTTGGTACCTAGTTTTGATTCGATTGCATGCTGTTGAGTAATCAATGAAACATAATGATCCAATTTGTCTGAGGTGGTACAAAGTATACCTGTTCCATGAGTAGATCCAAATCCCGGTCTACCTGCACGACCGAAAATTTGAATGACGTCTGAGATTCCCAGATCAGTAAAGCCACCTTTCTTTGGATCGTAGACTTGGGTGCCTTTGATAATTACTACATCTGCAGGAAGGTTGACACCCCATGCCAATGTAGCAGTACATATAAGAACATTGATTGCGCCATCTTTAAACATCCTTTCAGTCAGATTACGATCGGACCTCGACATACCAGCATGATGAACTCCAAACCCAAACTGAAATAGTTCTTTGATATCTTTGTCTTTGTTGTGTGTCATTTCCCTTGTATAATGGTCTTTCGTTGGAGAGTTTACCGAGAACAAATCTGCCTCTTGATTCGTCCGCGCCATACTTATGAAAGTTCTGGCACTTTTTACTGTATCTTTTCTTGAATGAACAAAAACCATTACCTGATTGCCTTTCTGTCTCATCTCAGCCAACCTTTCATAAGAAACGCGGTCAATATTATCTCTAGCCTGCCTACTTCCAGCTTTCCCACGACAGCCAAGTAGTTGCTGCTCTAACGGCTTTGGGCGAAATGACTGATCGAAATAGAACATTCCCACATATCTGTTGACACCCAGAAAGTCTGCAACATCTCCAAAATTAGGTAGAGTGGCGGACAGACCTAGAATTCTAATCATTGACTGCGAACTTTCAACTTGCCGCAGAGTCCTGGCGACAAGTGTCTCTATTACAGAACCTCTTTCCTCATGAAGTAAATGTACTTCATCAATAATCAGTAGCCTCACTTTAGAAACTAATTCATTATCACCACTGCCTTTCCGTGTAACTACGTCCCACTTTTCGGGAGTTGTGACGATTACTTGAGTCTCTATAATCTCACCCTTTGTAAGTTGCATATCACCAGTCAGTTCACGAACCTTGATATCAAAGATTGCTAACTTTTTACTGAATTTTTCCACTATTTCGGCGGCCAAAGCCTTAAGCGGAGCAACGTAAATGATTTTGAATGCATCATACAAAATATCAATACCACCATCTTCCTTAATAGATGAAAATTGCTTGACTGTATTCAGTATTGTGAGTAGAGCGATGTCTGTTTTTCCTGCACCAGTAGGAGCACAAATCAACATATTTTCGTTGGTTTCATATGCAACAGGATAGACCAAAGACTGGATTTTATTAAGGGTGGAATAGGAAAACACCGATCTACAGTAGACATCGAGATCACTAACTTGAATTTCTTTTGCCTTGTCAGAAAGCTTTACACCTCCATCTGAAATAGGGATTATAATTTCTTCAAATGACTGGTAGCTATGTCTTGTACTTCCTGAAGGCAGGACAAACTTTTGGCCTGAAAATGATAGTGAAAAACCAGCTCCAGCATCATCCTTACGAAAAACGTGAGGATACTTGCTTTGCTTTTGAAGCGCCGCCGGCTCGTCAGTCTTTGATTTCTGTACGTTATTTATGAATTGTGCCCGTATTTCTTTTTCACTTAAAAAAGTATTGGAAGCTTCAACATTACACCATATGGCTTCGATCTCTTCATGCGATTTTGATAGGATCTGATTGCGGTTTTGAATGAGAAAGGAAATCAGTTCAATATTTTCATCACCCAAAAAGTCAAAAAGCTCAGCCTGCATTCTATCCATATCCTTTTCTGAAAGAATAGATATGACAGATTCTAATAATAAAGACACATCCATCGTCGGGTTTTTTGCATTAAGCATCAATTTCTGGAGATCCTGAAAAATATTGAATTTCCTGTCTGCTTTCTGCTGCTTTATTGCGGCGAACAATTTATCCGATGATAAATCGCTGAATTCATTGAATATATCATCCCACTCATTTTTGTCTTGAGATAGGATAGTAAGCTTACTATTCTTACTATCCTCGTAATCTTCACTCTCAACTTCAAGTTCTGGGCAAACCATATCATTAGAGGTCAGATCAAACCCTTGAGCAGCATTTACCATGCTATTCATGGCATCCATGTAGGATTTCACTGAGTGAACAGAATATGCGGTTGCCATAGCTAGTTGTTCGGGAAGTCTGCCAGCACTTTACAGTTCTTCATAAGTAGCCATTCTCAAAATTGAAATTCTGTTTTAATATTCGTTCTCAACGATTTACCATTAAAAAGCATTAGTTGTCACGACCGCCCTCCTCCAGATCCTTAATTCTTGATTCAACAGCGTCAAGCCATGCACATATTTCGCTTTTATTTATGGTGAATTGATTCTCCTGCTCATCCAGTTTTTGCTCTATCCTTCCAATTATTTCTTGCCATTTAGAAGACTGATCCTTCAGCGAATTAACAGATAATGACAAGTCTTTGACAGTGCTGACGCTTTTGCCAACTTCGAATTGCATATTACTTAGAGTTTTCATTCTTTTAATTACGTGAGGAAGGATTTCCTCGTATCTTTGCAAAAGTTCATATGATCCATAAATTTTGTTCACCTTGCTTTCACATGAGTCTAATTCTGAAATTAGAGCCTTTTTAACAGTATTATCCTTCATGGCTTTTCTTCCAACTATTGATTCCTCATAATTTTTGTAAATCTGTTCTAGTTTTTCCCCAAAGCTGCTCAATAGATTTTCATTTTTGAGCAATTTTATTTGGCGGTATAATTCATTCATAGCAGATACTATTGTTTTCTGCTGCTCAGATACTGCAGATTTGTTTCCGAGTATCCCTTCTATCTGCGCTAATTTTTGCTCAACTTTTGTGAATTTGTGGGCGAGAGTAAAGTCGAAAGTAAGTTGGGGCAGTATTACATCAGTTTGCCCAGTATCATCATCTCTCCAATGACTTTTGATAAAGTTCAACCTTTCTGTGCTTCTCGTTTCAATTTTTTCATGAAGGCCGACAAGATTGTTAATCTGTTCTTGTTCTGCTAAGGTTGTATCGTCAAAGCTTTGAAGCTCAGAAAGCTCTCTTTGTATGCGAGCTAGTTTTTGAGTGGTGGATTCTTGTGCTGGAAAACTTTCGAAGGCAGCCCGATTATAGTGATCAACTCGGCCTGAAAAATCGCTCTTCTTGTTTTGTAAAGAAAACTGTTCAAAATACTCGCGAAATTGATCAATTTCCAAGTTTTCTGGTTCTTCCTCTGCATGGAGATCATTATCAGTACTCTGTGTTTCGGTTTCGATATCACTTGTTTCAAAGATCTCCTTTTCATCCGAGTTACTGGAGACTATCCCAGGCTCTTCGAAACCTTCCGTAAGCTCAATTACATCTATAGGCATCTAGCGGTTTTTTCAGAGCTCGTCGTTAATTCTTGTTTAATTCAGCGGAACAGTAAATAAAGAAATAAATCTTTCAACAATTACGAAAATGTGACACCAATCTACGAAAAGGATATGTCCATAAAAGCTGCACTGAAAAGGCTAAGTAGGCTACCATCAGCTCAAGAGAGGTTCAATATATTTACAAGCATTAGTCTCAATGTCAACAATGAGCTAGAAACTTCGTCCGGCCCTCTCAAAGGTCTTCTTTTTGGGATTAAAGATAATATAGTTACAAAGGACATGCCCACCACTTGTGGTTCCAAGATTCTCTTGGATTATAAGTCACCATTCGATGCTACGGTTGTTGATCTTTTAAAGAAGGCTGGCGCTGTTGCTGTGGGAAAGACAAATTTAGATGAATTTGGAATGGGCTCTGGCGGCGTGCACTCCCATTTCGGCCCAACTTTCAATCCCCTTTATAAAGATGGTAACTTTATTGCTGGTGGATCATCATCTGGATCAGCCGCCGCGGTTGCAGCTGATGTCGTAGATTTTTCATTGGGAACTGATACAGGTGGTTCAGTGAGATTACCTGCAGCATATACTTCAATCTTGGGATTCAAGCCCTCTTATGGTAGAATTTCAAGGCATGGAGTTGTTGCATACGCGCAAAGCTTAGATACCGTGGGAATTATGTCAAAAGATCTTAATGTTCTTCAACGAGTATTTCGGGTGTTGGATAAATATGATCCCAAAGACCCCACCTCGTTGAATAATTCGCTACGCTCGGAGGCTTCCAAGCATCTAGTACACCGAAATACTTTGAAAATTGGAGTACCAATGGAAATGAATCAAGACGTTGTACCTTTTGAAATTAGACAAGCTCTTTTGAAAGTAATTGAAAGCCTGATGGCAGCGGGTCACGAAATTTTACCAGTTTCCCTTCCCAGTGTTAAGAATGCATTACCTATTTATTATACATTGGCACCAGCAGAAGCTGTTTCAAATCTGGCACGGTATGATGGAATTAGGTATGGGTACAGAGACGAAAAACAGGATATAGAAGACGGCACGTTATTTGTACCGACGAGAAGAAATTTTGGCAGTGAAGTGCAAAATCGGATCGTACTCGGTAACTACAACTTATGCTCGGGCTCCTTCAAAAACAATTATATTAAAGCACAAAAATTAAGAGTTGAGCTGATAAATCAATTTGATGATGTTTTTAGGCTCCCGAATATTCTGACCGGTAATGAGGGAAATCCAAATGGAGTGGACATGCTTTTATCACTTGCGTCAATGAGTTTGCCTATATCTGTTCAAGATTACAAGAGTAAGGACATGAGGAACCCTTTGCATTCCTATATAAACGATATTTTTACCATGCCTATGTCCCTTGCGGGCCTCCCCACTTTGACAATCCCGGCTGGGAACAATATGAAGGGAATTGGTGTGCAATTAAGTGGCCAGTATGGCAGCGATCAGTCAATTTTAAACGCAGCTAGAACTCTTGTATAGTTTACCCTAAAGAAACATCTTCAGTATTATTCATTGTCTATAGAAACAACTTACGGTATTTACAGCATTTTTGATATTTTGTTTAACGTCGATGACTTGTCCCACGAGAACCGGTCCTCCCAAGCGATACTCAAAACGGAAGCATATAGTTCCTCTAACTTTTCAATAGTCCATTCGGCAGTATGTTCCTCCATACGTAAAATTATGTCCCGAACACAGTCTTCATCGACTATAAGCTGCGGTTTTGGCAAAGGAATTTCTGGCGTAGAGGATTCGCTTACAGTATTAGACATATTATGGCCATTTTCAATCTGAGGGTGGCTTTTGACAGATTCACTCTCTTCGGTGATATTATCAGGTCCATTTTCAGAACTATTTTCATGAACTGTTCCAGCCTCGTCCACAATCTTGGAATCTTCAGTATTTTTAGGGTGACCTTCATCTTCAACTCTATCACTACCAATCAATTCCTGATTATCTGGTATTCGATTCTCTATTGGTAACGTGCCTCCTTCAGAAGATGAAGAACAGCCGGGGTTAATAGAAGCGTTGGGGTCAATCTGTTCCTGAGCTTGAAGTTGCTGATCACTAGCGACTCCTAGCACAACCTGATTTTCGTGAGTATCCTCACTTTCGTTTATGATCTGAGTATCGTGATTTTTTTGCACATTGACCGTCGCCTGAGTTCTTTCATTCAGACTTTTAGTCTGTCCCTTTAGGAAGAGATCTTGTCTGAGCAATTCTCTTCTCCTAGTTGCTTTACACTCTTGAATAAATTCCGGTGAAGATAATTCTTCAATACCCATTTGAGCATTAGCAAACATTTCCGAAGCCTTTATGATACGTTCGCGGTCACCAAATGTGTGTGCATCATGATAAATCAATTCGATATCTTTTAGGAATTGCTTTGGCTCAGAATAGAAGCCATTCCACAATCGCTCCTCAACAATATCCAGATCCATGTTGAAATATTTCCTTCCCGTTGCAACTTCCAAAATCATGTCACCCTCTTTGACATATGCGGACTGGCCATTCAAATTGGTACCTTGGTACCCCTCTGGTTCAAATAGATGTATCAAAAGAGCATCATCGATTGGGGGTTTTCTGAACCTTTTATAACGATTTTTGAATAAGTCCATAAGCCCTGAGAGCTTGATTTTGAGTGCGTTCTTCAATTTCATGTCCTGGCCCTGAAAAGCTCTTAAGTCTTTGATCAGTTTCATTTCATCTGTTAAAAGGTTTCCTTCCTCATCTACACTCTTCTCAAGTTTTTCAGCAAGGGGAAGTTTCGGTAAGGGTTTTTCTCTCTTTTTACTGGTCATAAAATCAGTAGGTTTCATTGTTAAAAAATGACCCAGCGACTCAAAGTATTTATGTCTTTGCTTTGAAGAAGGTTTTGCAAGCTTGACAGTTGACTGGGAAACAAATCCCAAAGAAGAAAGTGTAGAGTTCGTCGCTTGATTCAAATCTTCCGCAATTGCAAGTAAAAGAACTTTTTCGTTACTCTTCAACGATCTGAGAAGGCTGGCTAATGTCAGAACAGCGCTATCAGATACAGTCTCTACCCATATAGTGGCGTTTGGGATATAAAGAACCGAAGGCTGGCGTTTCCGAGCTTCCGAAAATGTTTGGACAATTGCTGATTCTAACGTTCTAGTGCTGTCAGAAACGAGGCTCTCCAAGTCCAATTTCTGCACGTTATAGTGTTCAAGGTAATGAAGAATTGCTGCACCGATGTATTGTTGACCGTTCCCAGACGGGCCTGAAACCAATAATCTTGGCTTGCACGTTCGTGATTTCTCTAGAGCCTTTATAAACTCCGATTTTATGAAATGGTTACCACTGCTATCTTCGAACCCCTCTTCATCTGAGTTTACATCCTCGTATTCTAAGTAGTGTTTGATCAACGAGGTGCCCCTAGGGACAATGCTGGAGTCACTGGGGAGTATTTTGTTCAGTTTGCATTTCACAAGATCGAACTGTTCACTTAGTAAGGGCTCGATATTCGCTGGAAGTGGCTGTGCTAAGCTGCCTGATGACCTAGCTGACGATGGTATGATTTTATCTAGCGCAAGCATGAAATCTCGAGCTTTGACAACCACGTCTTTGGGATCAACAGCAAGTTTTATGTCGGATTGATAAATTTGTGGTACCTTTCGTTGAATGCTTATAAGTGCAGCTTCTGTGCAAAGTGCCCTTAGATCAGCGCCCCCATAGCCTTTAGTCAAGGATGCGAGCTTTTGTAAAAAACTAGCGCTTAAAGTGGGTTTCCACTTTTTGGTATGAATCTGCAAAATCTTGTACCGTGCTTTCAAATCAGGCAAAGGAAAATAAAACTCTCTATCAAATCTACCAGGTCTTCTAAGAGCAGGGTCTACAGCATCGGGTCTATTAGTGGCTCCGATAACAATAACTTGTCCTCTATTATCCATGCCATCCATTAAAGCCAACATAGTTGATACAATACTGGCATGAATTTGTTCTTGTTTTGAGCTCCTCACAGGAGCGAGACCATCAATCTCATCAAAAAATATTATTGATGGTTGTTGTTTCTTGGCTTCTTCAAAAAGTAGTCTTAGTTGTCTTTCTGCCTCACCAACCCACTTCGATAAGATATCTGCACCTTTACGCATGAAAAAAGTGATCTTCCTTTCTTTCGTCGAACAACTGGCAGCCAATGCCCTCGCCATTAGTGTTTTACCTGTGCCTGGTGGCCCATGAAATAGAACACCCCTTGGCGGAGTAATTCCAAAATTCTGATACAATTCCGGATATAGTAAGGGCAAAGCAACCATTTCTTTGAGCTGATCAATATAATTATCCAATCCACCTACTTCGTCGAAGTTCACATTCATGTCGACTCCAAGAGGATCCAGGTCAGCTATTTCTGGCTTTTTCTTCTTCGTCTGCTTTGGTTCTTTGTGCTTGGTGGAGGGCGCTCCTAGTGGAAGTATTTCATCTTCAGAAGAATCGGAGTCAATCAGGAGTTTATTACTACCAACATTTTGCGCACTACTGTAAAAGTTCGTATTCGTACCAAATATAGCCGTTACATCGTTACCTCCAAATGGACCGCCAGTGGGAAACAATCTTCTAATAGGCCCGAAGCTTTGTTGAGCGTGAAGGCCGCGTCTACTACGAGGGGATTGGAATGAAGGACCAAATGTATTCAAAGGTCTGTCGATCTCTTCAGTAGCATTTTCTGGTAAAGGTGGGGGTAGGGTGTAGTTAACAGGTTTAGTTCTTTCCCGTAACGATCTTTTTTCCCTTATTGGACTGTCATCGCGTAATTCCTTCAATTCTTCGGCCAAAGATAATTGCTCCTCCGAGTCATTGTCATCGTTAAGATACGCTGATCTGGTCCTCCGTCTGAGTTTGCGGGGAGGAGACCTTTCGTTTCTGCGACCCCTGCGAGCTCTTAAAGTTGAGTCTCTGAAGTTCCTGCGTAGTTCGCGGTCTTCATCTGTATCGGCATCGTTTTCGTCGTCAATGATGAAGTTTCTATCTGCTCTTCTTTGGTGACGCTTCACTGATTCCTCGGACTGATACTCTTCCTCGGATTCTTCTAGCTCATCTTCGTCCTCCAAATCCTCTTCGTGAAAGCTTTCGTCTTCTTCTGCAACTGCAGACCTACTCCGAGCGCGCCTTCTAACCGGGACGATCTCGTCGTCATCATCTTCGTCAATCGCCGAATTGATCCTGCCTTCAGAAACGTTGTCGACTTGAGCATTTTCCTCGTCAGTCGATATTCTTGGAGTACGATTATTTCGCTGTCTCTTATGCCTTCCTATACCTTCATCTTCTTCCTCTTCCTCTTCCTCTTCCTTTCCGTCGTCATGCACCATGTCTTGGTAGTCGTTGCTATTTTCCTCGTCCATTTGTGTGTATTTATTTTCAACCTCAGCGTAATTCACTTTTCTTAAACTTCGTGATGTAGTGTGAATTATTCCATTCTCATCTTTGAACTCGCGAGACTCGTCATCTTCTTGGCTCACTGCAGCTTCATCCTGAAGGTCGTGGTATGTCCTCTCGTCGCGACCCATTGCGCCGCCCCTATCTTCTGCTAATTTGTTATTATATTCAATTTTCCTAGCAGAAGCGCGCCACTGAAGATGGTAACCTTTAAACTTCTCTGTATCAGTTTACACTGGAGTGCTCCCTTGGTTTTATTATTCAAATTATATAGGTTATGACATTATTCAAAAAGGCTCCTCTGGTGGCGACCGATGTATCTTTATACGGAAAATTACAGTTGAGTGCTGATCTAGTGATTATCACGTGATTCGCCGAACTGGCTTGCTCGACCCATCTTCGTATGTAAAAGGTAGTAGCCGTTGCTAGGCTCTCGCAAATGGTCCTTAGGGAAGATGTCGTCTCGTCAAAAACTTAAACTGGTAATACCCGTACGCCGGCAAGTCTGTCAACGTATGGGGCGACCGATGGATGCGACAACAGGGGCCCGATCACAGGCAGTGATCTGAGGAATTGTACGACCACGGCAAAGAAGTCTCCGAACAATCCAATTATTCCCAGAGATTCAATCAAAAAGCCAATAAATGTCCATTTGAATAAGATCATCAAAACTCCCAAAGAGAAAAAAAATGACCCCCTCCGCTTGTTAGGCCGTGTGAAAAAGTTGTAAGTCTTGTGAGGACCTATAATGAGTAGTAGCCCTATGATGAATAAAATGTTACCAAGCGCAAGCAAAGCGCGGTCAAAAAACGTCAACACCCCAAACAAAAACGACAAAAACCCACCAAACGTGAACGCAACGCCAAATTCTGTTCAATTTTGTTAGTACCAGTCTTTTCTCCAATGAAGAATATTCCAGGAAAGACAATCGATCACATACTCTGAGATTCAGAAAGCCACATCACGTCTTATTGTTTAGACTCTGTCAAGATGCCCAATTGTTAAACGCGAAAGATTTAGGTGTAGTTTTTTTCTACCACATTCGTGGAGAAACGTTGATCATGACTTCAGGACTGCGAGCATGTGCGCGTTTCTTAAAGGAACAAATGTCTGATAGAGTCTAAGAGCGCTCTAGCGCCTATGTGGATCGACTTCCTTCCATCAAGAGCAACTCTTCCACCAATTTGCGTGAATGAAGTTCATTGACTAAGATGATCACTTTTCACGCATCATTTCCTCCTATTAATGGCTCAGCTGAACTCTGATGTTCATGTGTGCAACGCCTAGCTCCATTGATCATAGTCACCGAAGAAAGGCTCAAAATGGCAAGAGACGATGAGGAATTGCCTCCATCATATGAAGATGTTATTAGAGAGGATCTAAAAGGATCCCAAGGGGCAGGTTCAGGCGGCTCTGTCCCACAGATGCCACCCAGACCAAGCAGTGGAGCTCCTCCTCCCAGACCAGCTAGACCATCTCGGCCCTCTGCCGGAAATTCGGCACAATCTTCTGCAAGCTCAAGGCCTCCAATGAGTCCCAGACCTTCCGCCCCTACACCTGGTGGGAGCGCGTCTACACCGCAATCTCGATTACCCTGGGTCTACCCTAAGGGCTACTACTGTAGTAAATGCGGTAACACTGGATACAAGATCAAGAATGGACGCTCCTGTAAGCGTTGTTGGCGCAAATTTGCCCCCATCACACCAGCCCAGAACGTAGAGGTGGTGTATCAGGATGCACACCAACCCTGGTTGCCTGGTGCTCCGTATCAAGCTTATTCTCCATATGGCACTCCGCTGGCTCCACCCATGGCTGCCCCAATAAGACCTGGTGCTGCACCGATGATGCTACGTCCAGGAGATCCTAGAATAGGTGGTGTTGTATGCGGCGAATGCAGGGGACGGGGAATGATCCGATTTTTCCTGGACGACAAGATTTGTCCTCTATGTCATGGAGTTGGTAGAATTCGCGTCTGAAAGCGGTGATCGAATTCGAGTCATTGTCATACAATGATAATATGTTTCATTGCAACCCATACTCTCAAAGCTGTTGACATGTGAAATAAGTTGGCACGTGACCTAAATATATTATGGTTTCTCTCATTTACGCATGAGTCGCTAGGGAATCGAAAAATTTTTTTTTCAATTAAGCGAGCTGCCCGTTCCGAGTAAGGCTTCTCATCGCTCGAAAGCTGTAAACTAGGAAGCTGCGGCATCAATACATTCATGGAAAATAAGCATCTGGCGTCCATTATTCAAAGGCAGGACACTCCACTAAACATTAGACCTGCCTCTCCTTATACTCTTAATCCACCCGTGGAGGCAGATGGGCTATCCTGGCCAAGTTTAGGTGCCAGAGCCCGGTCAGAGGAGAATGAGGAGGAAACTGCACAACGTGCAGACCGCATCGCAGAGGCCGTGAAAGTCATTTTGACAGAATTGGGTGAAGATGTGACTAGAGAAGGCCTTCTAGATACCCCCCAGCGTTACGCCAAGGCAATGCTCTTCTTTACGAAAGGTTATCAAGACAACATTTTGAACGACGTCATCAAGCATGCAGTTTTCGAGGAGGACCATGACGAAATGGTCATAGTCCGCGACATCGACATCTATTCCCTGTGTGAACATCATCTCGTGCCATTTTTTGGTAAGGTCCACATTGGCTACATTCCTAATAAGAAGGTTCTCGGTCTAAGCAAGTTAGCCAGGCTTGCTGAAATGTACGCTCGCAGATTTCAGGTACAGGAGCGCTTAACAAAGCAGATTGCCATGGCTTTGAGTGAGCTTTTAAAGCCTAGAGGTGTCGCAGTCGTAATTGAGGCCTCGCACATGTGCATGGTTTCTAGAGGTGTTCAAAAAACGGGCTCTTCGACCTTAACCTCATGCATGCTCGGCTGTTTCAGAGAGTCTCACAAAACAAGAGAAGAATTCCTCAATTTGTTGAGCAAGAAAAGCATTTAAGCACGGAATCTGCATAGATAACGAGATACTGGATTATCTCTGTTTGTTCAACCATTTCACGATAACGATTATTTGTAACTCCTTCTTTTTTGTTTCCGTCTTAAGTCTTTATTAGAATTTATTTGTAATTATCATGACTTCAACTCCATGATTTATTTGAAGATACTATTTTGTTTGTAATTACAAGATCCTGCGCATACATCCTATTCTTTTCGTTTATTTCTATGTACTATTGTACTTTCTTTTATTGTGTAAAATGTCCCTTATTGGTCCAGCCAAACTATTAAATTACTTCGTCTTCATCATCTTCATCTTCTCCCATCATTATATCAAATGTTGCATGATGCTTCATTTTTGGTGTCGTTACAAGTTTTGGTGCAGTTGTCGTATGCAGAGGAATACTTTGACTGCTACATGGATTGGAAACAGTCGTTTGTCTAGTTAAATCGGCTACACCTTCATCTGTCGGTGTGATAAGTCTGACATCGTTCGTAGAGTTGTTTCTTGACAATGCAGGCGAGGTGTTAAAATTTGATCTGCTTTCTGGCGTCAAACTGAAGCATCCGTTCATCAGGCAATTAGTAGGTGGCTGTGGATCCAATTTGAATGTAGAAAATACCTTGTTTTCAGAGCTGTGAGAATTGAAGTCCGTGGACCTCGAAATAGATGTCATTGACAAAGTCTTCTTCAATGTCTCTCTTATTTTGTTCAAATTCCGCTCTCTAGAGTTCACTCTGGAAACAGGCCGGCTATCCACCCGCCCTAACGATATTATCGAAGATGAGCTGGTCGATCTTGATGGTGGCCCTATCGAGTGAATAGAAGATGATGATCTACTTCTCTTCATCTGCATATCACCTGGAAATGACTCCTGATTGCCGGTGCGGTGAAAGTATTCTCTGACAAACGGATGACTTTTCAAATCTTTAGCAAGAGGCCTCTTGGAAGAATCAACAGTGAAACATGATAGAATGAAATTCCAGAAGTGTTGGACTTCTGGTTTGGGGTCGCTGTGCAATTCTTCATCGATATAGTAGTCCCCATCCTTAATACACTTGCGAGTTTCGTCGTCGGTTTCACAATCAAAAGGCATATAGCCCGTCATCATAAAGTAGCTTAGCACCCCTAGCGCCCATATGTCGACAGAGGTTCCGTAAGGAGGGACGCATCTACCCTCCGAAGGCGGCAGCTTTTCGATACCTTTACAGCGAACGATTTCGGGTGCAATATACGACAAGGTGCCAACGTATTCTCGTAATTCATCGTCACGGGCGGTAAGCTCAGTCGCCAGACCAAAATCTGCCAAAATGAGGTCGTGCGCAGTGTGATCGTAATTTGCAAATTTTGCTGGCTTCACTTCGTCACCACGCACCCGCAAACGAAAAAGCACATTTTCGGATTTGATATCCCTGTGCACCACACCATTTTCGTGGAGGAAATCAAGAGCACTTAGCAGGCATGCTGTATAAGGTTTGACTTGACTGGCAACATCTAAGGACCCTGCTTGGATAACCTTATCGTATAAGTCTCCACTGGAACAGAGTTGGGTGACGAGCACTATATTCTTTGGAGTCTCGAAGAAATCAAAAAGCTGCAAAACATGATGATGCCCTTCAAAAGTATCACGGGTTGTAGAGTGTGCATGTTCTAGTTGACGTATCCTATTACTCACCTTTTTGAGCAGAGTTACTTCGCGCTGGATTAACCATAACTTCCCCTTTATCGTATTCTTATGTACCAGTTTCATCGCATATCTATCACGCGTTTGAACGTTCATACACTCCTTGACGACACTGAACTGCCCATCTCCAAGCTGAGAATTCTTGGTAACATATTTACAAGTTTCTTTCAACGATGTAGCTGGATGAACTTGCGGCCACGGTTTTTCCATGGTGACTGTGGTATTCATTGAGCGGTTTATTTTCCAAAGCAACGATATTCCTATCTAATTAATAGTTAAAATGAGTCCGTCCTCAAAGTCCCTTCAAATATTGACTTAAAGTGGTTTAGGAAAGCCTCTCTCTTTTGGCTATTCTGAAGTTCGCACTTTACTTCCGGATAAAAAGTCGTGTTTCTCTTCGAAGAAATATCTTTCGGATTAACATAACGGAATAATGTTTTTTATTGTGGGGTGATGAGAGGATCTGTAAAAGAAACGGATAAGCACCGGAAAAAAATTAAATACACATTTACAAATTACTACTGTTTACAGATTGAGATGTTTAATCCCTTTGTGAGATAGTTTGTCTTTGACAACAGAAAGTTCCGGGATTACAACGGAATAAGCAACGCTTTCGGAATCGGCATTGAGTGTATTTTGCTCAACATGTATTGTTGCTAGCATCCCCTTGGCCGTGGCGGGGTACGAAACATCTTGTTGGTCGGAAGAGTTTTCCTTCTTTGTTGCTTTTTCAGATTTGGATGAAGTGATTATCCCAGGGAAGTAACGCTCTCCAACAGAGAGCTGAAACTCCTGCTGTAAGTAATCCTGCGCTAAGACATTTGCAATTGGCAAAAGATCAGACCAATTTCTTCTATTCATGAAAGAGAAGTTCTTTCTAGAGTGGCCATCAACGTCTTCGTGAAACAATGGTACAACATCCTCGTCCGTTTCTGAGTCGAAGTGATGAATGCCTGATCTTTTTTGTAATAATGCGGCCATTGCGTTTGGGGGCGGAGTATTCACCACTGCACTGGATATCACGTTGAACATCAATCGTGTATCCTTCTCTGGTTCGTCTAGGAATTTTTGTACTTCATGTTCGTGAGAGGAGGTTATGTGATGACTGTGTAATTTACTTCTGAAGCGACCGACCGCGGCAAGATGCACATCTCCCGATAAAATGGTGATCCGAATTCCATACTTAGCACCAAAGTCTTGGAGCTTGGCAACCAGGTAGTTTCTTTCTTTTTTATGATGACGAGCACACCAGTGATCATTTAGATCATCAAGAACCTCAACATCTCCGTTAAACTCATTCACCAAGCCACGTGCAAAAACTCCCTTCTTGGAGAGGTATTTCAAAGGTGCCAATAATCTGGAAGAGAATAACCATTCAAGCCACACGAGTCGTGGATAAGCGATCGGAACACCAAGCATTACCATTAAGTGGTCTAATTTCCCTTTTTCGACCTCTTTTGCGAGTCGATCGAAAATGATGTCGTAAGTTTTCCAATCCACAATTTGTCTTAATTGCCGTTCAGTCCTGCAGTCTAAACCTAGTAACGCCCATGTTGGGCCTAACCGGGTCAAAACTGAATGAGACTTTTCGCCGATATAGGGACCTTTTTTCGCCCCGAGAATCCAAGAGGGATCTTCCGAGTAAGCCTTCTTTTCAGTAAGTGAAACGTGGTGCTGGAAGAGCATATAATACTTGTAAGCTGCTTTTCCCACTCCACTGAAGACATCATTACTCTGGAAGCTATTGGAATACGAACCAAAGCCGTCAATGATGTCATGGTCGTCATAAATATTAATTGAGGGAACTGTAGCTGTTGCGAGGGGGAAACAGCGCTGGGTAGTTTTTGATTGTGGAGTTGCTCCCTTCCAATAACCATACCCATACCACTCAATGTATTCCTTAAGATAAAATGCGTTCAGATCTTCCTTCATTTCAGAAGTTAATTTAGCTTTAAATTTGGCGATTGGGTCTTTGGTTTCCAGCCACTTTTTGAATTTGTGGCAATAGAGCTTAACCGAATCGGAATAGATCTGATCACCACCCCCAAGCATTACGTGGTAGTGTACGTTAGAGTGTTTTTTCAGTATATCAAACCACATGGAGCCTTTAAACTTTGTTGTATCAACCGAAAGCGAGAACCCATTGCAAGAGTACGAAATAGTGTTGAAATTCATATCCTTTGATGGGATATAAAACCGATAGTGAGGTTTCGTTACATCTCCGACAGAATATTTGATCATTTGTTCAAAGTCTCGCAAACTTAAGTCAAAGTCATAACGGAAAAAGCTGAAATCCTTTTCTTCGTGAATAAGTGTAGAATTGAGTTGACGAATTTCGATGTCGATTTCATTGCTGGTGCTATGTCCTGCTGCAAATTTGACAGCTGGCGGATTTGTACCTTTGACCACTAGTAGAAGACTTCCTCTGTAGATGTCATTATCGTAATCAACGCCCTTTAGCCTCAAGAGTGGTCCGCAGACTACTCCGTCTTGTGATATTGGAGAGCTTTCATCGCAATTGTCGCATCCTTCAACTTCTTTTTGATACAAACTTGCCGTATCCCATTCGTCCAGCCATTGTTCCTGATTCATGCTGTCGAAAATGGTGCGCTAACGTTGTTCTCAAGTAAATGAGGCTGTAAGCAATATCAGACCCTAGAGTATTTACATTTCGAAAAAAAAAAAAGGAAGCATGGCATTTTTCGAAACTTATCGGATATCACGTGATGCCTTTTTTAATAGCTTTCCACGTGACTATATCTGTTCAAAAGAAATACTTTCTCGACTAAAAAATTTTCAAATATGGGAACTGAGATGAGATGAGCTTACAGAACTTAGAAACAAACATATTCTTACAAGGATGGAAAAGAGCATCAAGCAATCTACAGCAGTAGAAGGAAGCTCTAAAAAGCACAAAAGAGATGAGGATGAGGTTATTGATGAGGTTTCCGCTCCTGCAGATGAGTTTCAAGCGCTCAATTTATCGCAACCCACGATGAAGGCAATTGAAAAGATGGGTTTCACTAAGATGACACAGGTTCAGGCAAGAACTATCCCACCATTATTAGCAGGTCGTGACGTGCTGGGTGCCGCAAAGACTGGTTCTGGAAAGACGCTGGCATTCTTGATTCCTGCAATCGAGATGCTCCACTCTTTGAAGTTCAAGCCTAGAAATGGTACCGGTGTGATAGTCATTACACCAACCAGAGAGCTGGCGCTTCAGATATTTGGTGTTGCACGTGAGCTCATGGAATTTCACTCACAGACTTTCGGTATTGTTATTGGTGGAGCAAACCGTAGACAAGAAGCCGAAAAACTTGCCAAGGGTGTTAATCTACTAATTGCCACGCCAGGCCGTTTACTAGATCACTTGCAGAACACCCAAGGTTTTGTCTTCAAGAATTTGAAGGCGTTGATCATAGATGAAGCTGATCGTATTCTAGAAATTGGTTTCGAAGATGAAATGAGGCAGATCGTGAAGATTTTGCCTAATGAGGATAGGCAGACAATGCTATTCTCTGCTACTCAAACCACCAAAGTAGAGGACTTGGCACGTATTTCTTTAAGGCCCGGTCCACTTTTTATTAACGTCGATTCTGAGAAAGAAACCTCGACGGCAGATGGGTTGGAACAAGGTTACGTGGTATGCGATAGTGATAAGCGTTTTCTGCTATTGTTCTCATTTTTGAAGCGTAACCAAAAGAAGAAGGTGATTGTATTTTTGTCATCTTGTAATTCTGTCAAATATTACGCTGAACTTCTTAACTATATTGACCTTCCTGTGCTCGAACTCCATGGTAAGCAGAAGCAACAAAAGCGAACAAACACGTTTTTCGAATTCTGTAATGCTGAAAGAGGTATTTTAGTATGTACAGATGTTGCAGCCAGAGGATTGGATATTCCTGCAGTTGATTGGATTATTCAATTTGATCCACCTGATGATCCTAGAGATTACATTCATAGAGTTGGTAGAACTGCTAGAGGTACCAAGGGAAAAGGTAAATCACTCATGTTTTTAACACCAAATGAACTGGGTTTCTTGAGGTATTTGAAGGCCGCGAAAGTTCCCTTGAACGAGTACGAATTTCCAGCAAACAAAATCGCTAATGTTCAGTCTCAGCTCGAAAAATTAATCAAATCGAATTACTATCTTAACCAGATAGCAAAGGATGGTTATAGATCTTATTTGCAGGCATACGCTTCGCATTCTTTGAAAACCGTTTATCAAATTGATAAACTTGATTTAGCAAAAGTTGCAAAATCTTATGGATTCCCCATTCCACCAAAGGTAAATATCACTATTGGTGCGTCTGGAAAAACGCCAAATAATAATAAGAAGAGAAAAACAAGTAAGAACTGAGGTAATTCTTTAGGAGTGTATATTTAGATTTATAAGTCATAGCGAAAGAGTATTGAGAATTCTTGCAAGAATTTTCACAATGCCATGTGGACTTGCCACTGCTCCTTGTCATCTTCACAACCTTTTTCAACATTATACAAACAGACTCGATGACTTTTTTGAGATCTAATGATGACAAAAAAATTTTTCAAACTTCTACGATCATCGCATCAGTCATACACATTTATCAAAAATGGTTGTCCAATTGACATTTGACAAGTCAAAGAAACACCCCCAAGCTGTGCAACTTGCCAATAATATAAAGCTGGCTCTAGCACAAGGACTTGCTAGCAAGGATTACAAACTCACTATCTCAGAAGAAGGTAATGGCTTGCAGCTACTAGACACTGTCACAGGTTATCGCCTATTCAACTCTAACGCCATCTTGAGATATCTTCTTAATGACTTCGAAGGTATCGAAAAAGAGGAATCACACTTTGCCCTTTCCACGTTAGAGGCACTTTTATACCATTCCGATGTCCAGAAGCAGCATGTTGAAGAAGCCGTTTCTAAGTCTCTCGAGAATTACCTATTGCGTCTCGATGAACCTTTAAGTGCTCTAAGATTAATAACATTTGTAAACACATATGTGTTGGACTCAGAAGCTGTGGAGAAAAGATTTCCTCAAATCCCAGAAGTGATCTCTAAAGCCATATCTGTAGCCAAGTCTCAAATTACTCGCTCTTTCTCCTCTCTCAAGCACACTGGGGAAGCCAAAGTCAACCTAGACTTTATTGTGAAACCTCAGACCGATGAAATTGTTCCTATTGAAGGACAGCGTAACATTTTGATCACTTCCGCCTTGCCTTACGTTAACAATGTTCCACATTTGGGAAACATCGTTGGGAGTGTGTTATCTGCGGACATTTACGCCCGTTACTGTAAAGCTAGAAATTATAATACTCTTTTCATCTGTGGTACCGATGAATATGGTACTGCGACTGAGACTAAAGCTCTAGAGGAAGGATGTTCTCCACGTGAATTGTGTGACAAATACCACAAGATCCACAGTGATGTCTATAAATGGTTTCAAATTGGATTTGATTACTTTGGAAGAACGACAACTGAGAAGCAAACAGTCATCGCTCAAGATATCTTCAATAAACTAAACGACAACGGGTATTTGGAAGAACATTCCATGAAGCAGCTTTACTGTCCTGAACACAATGCCTACTTGGCTGATAGATATGTGGAGGGTGAATGTCCAAAATGTCATTACGAAGATGCTCGTGGTGATCAATGTGATAAATGCGGGGGCTTATTAGATCCTTTTGAGTTAATTAACCCACGCTGTAAGCTGGACAATGCTACGCCAGTTCCTCGCAATTCCGACCACATTTTCCTATCTCTGGATAAATTAGAACCTGAAATTGTTGCATGGGTGAATGAAGCTTCAAAAAAGGGAGCATGGTCCAAGAATTCGAAGACCATTACCCAGTCTTGGTTGAAGGAGGGCCTACAACCTCGTTGTATTACAAGAGATTTGGTTTGGGGAACTCCAGTTCCTTTGGAAAAATACAAGGATAAGGTCCTTTATGTGTGGTTTGATGCGACAATTGGTTACGTTTCGATTACCGCAAACTACACCGACCATTGGGAAGAATGGTGGCGTAAACCCAAAGATGTACAATTGTATCAATTCATGGGTAAGGACAATGTTCCTTTCCATACAGTTATTTTCCCTGGCTCGCAAATTGGTACAGGCGATGAATGGACCATGTTACATCATTTAAGCACGACTGAATACTTGCAATACGAAGGAGGCAAGTTCTCCAAGAGTAGAGGCATTGGTGTTTTCGGAAACAATGCTGAAGAGACAGGTATTTCATCTAGTGTATGGAGATACTATCTCGCCTCAGTTCGTCCAGAATCAAGTGACTCTCAATTCTCTTGGACTGATTTTGCTGCAAGAAACAATAGTGAACTATTGGCAAATCTCGGTAATTTTGTAAACAGACTGGTGAAATTTGTTAATGCTAAATATAATGGTGTCATTCCAAACTATGAAGTGAAGAATCTACCAGGTTACGAAAATTTGGAGCATGATTTGAACCAAATATTGTCTGCTTACGTCTCAGAAATGGAGCAAGTTCATGAAAGGCGTGGTCTAGAAATTGCAATGTCTCTAAGCGCTCGTGGTAACCAGTTTTTGCAGGAAAACAAGCTTGACAACGCTTTGTTCACTCAAAATCCACAAAAATCAGACGCTGTTGTTGGTGTTGGTTTGAACATCATATACGCAGTTGCATCTATTGTTTATCCCTTTATTCCTGAAACCTCTGAGCTAATCTATAAGATGTTGAATGCTCCACAATTACGGATTGACGATAAATTCCATCTAGCTCTTCTAGGCGGTCACAATATCAACAAGGCCGTGTATCTATTCAAGCGTATTGAAGAAACCCAAATTGAGCAATGGAGGAATAAATATGGTGGTCAACAAGCCTAATTGGCCCAATACACGCTATGAATATCCCTTTTGATGTAAAATTATTAGATATGAACATCCAGTCTTTATAGATTGAAATTATTTGCAAATGTTTTCCTTTAGTTAAGTTTTTACGATTCATTTTTTTGTCTTGGTTCATTAGATAAGACTGTGTATATGATGATGGTATTTCAGTTTATCTGCCTTTTGAAAACAACGATTGAGTTTGAAAAATTGGACTCTGATGTCTAAGAAAAAAAATACGAAAAGTCTAGGATCAACACGCAGGTAGTGGTGAGCACAACGAAATGTCGGAAGCAATCGTAGAGCAAGTAAAGAAATACTTGACGGGAAGCATTCCAATTACTCCGATATCTCAAGGTGCAGAAGCTGTTGTATTTACAACTGAAGTACATCCATATCTTCCAAAGGCGGACAACCAACCATCAACGAAATACATCATAAAGTATAGACCTCCAAAACAGTACAGACATCCAACTATCGATAAGACATTAACAAAGCACCGTACTTTAAGTGAATCACGTATTCTCTCTAAGCTCTCTAGCTTGCCAGGTCTGAACGTTCCTAAACTCATTGCATGTGACGTCTACAATGGATGTATTTGGCTAGAGTTTCTCGGGGAGAACCTGCCAAATGGAGCGGGTTTTAGTAACCTGAAGAATTTTCTTTGGATGAACTCATCAGATCCTTACAATAAGACTGTTGAATCTACTTTATTCAAAGTTGGTGAACAGATTGGTTTATTACATTGGAACGATTATTGCCACGGGGATCTTACCACATCAAATGTTGTGTTGGTCAGAGATGGTGAGAGCTGGGCACCACATTTAATCGATTTTGGGCTCGGATCAAGCTCGACACTTGTCGAAGATAAAGGTGTGGATCTTTATGTGCTTGAAAGAGCTATTGTAAGTACACATTCATCTTTCGCAGAAAAGTACAACAAGTGGATAATAGAAGGGTTCTCCAGTGTTTACCAATCCAAAGGCAAGAAAGGTAATCAAAAGCTTAAAGACGTAATCAATCGCTTTCAAGATGTTAGGCTACGGGGTAGAAAAAGAAGCATGATTGGCTGAATGATGAAGTACATAAATAGTTATAGCGAGTTTCTGACTATTCCCTTAACACAACCCATAACACCGTTAAAAAGCAACACCTCGTCACCCTGCTTCAAATCACGGACGTCAATATGAGTCTCTGATATAAGGTTTTTCTTCAGTAAATAGTATCGCATTACACCACATAGACATCCGGATGATAAATAAGGTGTTTGGTAGGAATAACGATCAGAATTAGGCTCTTTATAGATTACTGCAACATTTGTTATTGAGCCTTCCATTAGCTCAAAAGCACTGTTGAAGACTAGGATTTCTGATTTGAGAGATTTGGCCTCCAGCCGCTTAGCTTTTTCTGCCATTCTCTTTCTCGCTGCAGAATAATGGTCTCGTTTCGTAGTTTTGAAAGTCGTGAAGGGTGAAACAGTCAGCGGCTCGCTGTCTATAAACACATCCCAGATGTGTTCTGTTCCAGGTAAAAATCCGCCTAAAATTGTATTCACAAAATATTCGGTTGCCCCAAGAGAGTTTTGCGCTACCCTTGGCAACAGGTGTGCTTCGATTCTCATTCTACCACCACACGATACGAGAACCCGCATTTTATAGCAATTTGTATCATCTATCAAGCACCTCATTCTCTCCAAAAGAGTTCCATTAAAGTTTTCATCTACCGGTAAAGCGTGTATCAGCTTCTCCAAAAGAAGTTCTAGAGGAATATGAAAGTCCCAACCAAAGTATTCAAGTGAGAGGTTCAATCTTTTAAAGTGTTCTCCTAATAGTAAGAATCTGTTGTAAAATAACACCCACATATTATCCTTCTCCTGAATACTAATTTTAGTCTTCGCACCACCAGCTGTGTTGAGAAGTCCATTTATAATGTCAGCCGCATCATGTTGCTTATCATTTCCAGTTGTGCTACCATTTAGCATGAAATCCATAAGTGATCCATCATCTGAATTGAGACCAAAATGCTCAGGTAGTCCGAAAAGAGCTGTATGGTCTTTATTCTGCAGAAGTTGGCCAAACATCATTTCGGGCATCGTGAAATTGGGATCGTATCTTATGGTAGACAATACTTCAAAATCCTCATCATTGTAATCAAAGCTTGGATCGATAAACTCGTGTTGAACAATTTCAGAGATCTGCGTCTGATAGGCAGTCAGTGATTTGTTAGCAACTGCCCTCATAGTCGTAGCTCTTTCAAGAAGTAGCACTTTTGTCTCATCTAACAATGTAATATTAATTTGAAATGAATGATAAACTCACATGCCAGTTCGTATCCTCTATTAATTATTATTAGTTTCTAGTTTTCAACCAATTAAGATGCCTTGTTGGCGCAATCGGTAGCGCGTATGACTCTTAATCATAAGGTTAGGGGTTCGAGCCCCCTACAGGGCTAATATTTTTTATCAATCTGGTAAATTGTTCAATAATTTGAAAAAGATGTTCAAAATCTCACCAAGCTGTTCTAAAAACAGTAGAAGAAAGCAGGTTTAGAAATTGAGAGCCAATGGTAGATTCAATCAACCGCATTACATCTGCTCTGGAATCTGCCAGGGAGATAACCCTTGAGGCAGCAGCGGTTGCGACGTCTCGCCTTGGTGAATCGTCATACCGGCGCTATTCAAAGGGTCTTAGTCCTGAAGCTCTTCATCATCTGCTAAGTTCGAGAAACCCAAGAGAGGTCAAAGACGGAATGAAGCGTATAATTTCAGTAATGGCATCAGGGGAAGATACTATTGGTCTTGATTCATATTTCGCAGATGTTGTCAAAAACGTTACATCTGAAGACACGAAGATCAAGAGACTCGTTGCAATATATCTTTTACGTTTTGCTGAAAGTGACCCCGATCTTGCTCTATTGTCGATCAATTCCATCCAAAAGTCTCTTTCAGATGCTGATCCGCAGGTAAGAAGCTTGTCTCTAAAGGTCCTTTCTGATATCAAGATCCCGTCACTGTATCCAATCGTGTTGCATTCGATCAAAAAGTCGCTGACGGACTCCTCAGCCGTTGTACGTAGTACGGTTGCCACGGCGCTTCTAAAACTTTGCAGAGAACAAGGTGAAGATTTGAGAGATGATGCCCTCTTGATCCTTAAAGACTTGTTGGCAGATGCCGATGCGGAGGTTGTGTCATCAGCCATTCTTTTATTGCAAGAAGTATTCCCAGACAGGTTAGAAATATTGCATGGCCATTTTCGGCGCTACTGTACGCAGCTACCTCAGTTCACGGAATGGTCCCAGGTTTCACTTATAGAGCTATTAACAAGATATTGTCGGACTTATCTTCCCAAGCCTCTCATAGTGGATACCTCGGGCAATTCAAATTCAATTCCACTACCTGATGAGTATATTGCCATTCCATTTGCGGTTTATGAAGTAGATTTCGATCCCGACTTGAAAAGATTTCTGACTTCCCTGGAAAGCCTTGTTTTTTCACCTAATGCAGCTGTGGTTGTCGCAATTAGCAAAGCATTCCTGCAATTGTCTCCACCTTTAACTTTTAAGAATTCTAAAATATCGCTTTCTTTGGTCAGATTAATTAGCTCCGGCGAAAACTCCGGACTAAGAGGGTTGATTCTTCAATGCATTTTGCTATACAGCTCCATGGATTCTACTCTATTTCTGCCTTTCATAAAGAAGTTTTACCTGCTCCCCTCTGATGATGTTGTCACATCTGTAACGAAGTTGAAGATCATATCTTTTCTGGTAAACATAACTAATGCTAACTCAGTTATTTCAGAGTTGCAATATTACATCAAGGCAGAATCAGATCCGCTCGTTATTCAAGAGGCTTTGAATACATTGGCGGTATGTGCCCAACTATCTAATGGTTTGTGCCTACGTGTTACTAAATGGCTCTTGGCCAACATGGGTAGCCATACAGCATCTTTGGTAATGGATGCTTATGTTAATGTCATAAGATACTTGATACAAAAAGAACCGGCGCGCCACCTGACAACAATGCTTAAGTTGTCGGCAATACTAAAGGATCAACCAGACCTCTCTGGAACTGCAAGATCTGGAATTATCTGGCTTTTTGGAGAATTTGCAGCCATAAGGTTCGATATTTGTCCCGATATACTACGGGTTCTCATTCCAAATTTTTCCAGAGAGTGCAAGGACACTAGATCTCAGATTTTGTTGTTGGCCGCAAAACTGTTGTCGTACGATATTGACAAGCATCATAAGGAATTCCCAGAAATGGAATATGATTTCACAAATTCCAGAATATCTGAAATGTTCCAAGCCGTCTTATATTTAGCGAAATTTGATGATAACTTTGACATCCGGGATAGAGCTAGAACATTTTCGTCGCTATTTGATAAAGGAAAGACGGAAATTGCTGCACTCCTACTTCAAGCTCCGAAACCATCGCCAATAGCCTCAACCATATCTCATTTGGTTGAGGGGACCGCTTCTTCCGATTTGTCATCTCTTGGCATAGACAGTGATTTGGAAGCCTTCTTCTACGTGCATCCTTGGAACGTAGATGTCATACAGACTTCCGATAGCGATCCAAGAGCACCAACTCCACTGAAGGATTATTCGAGACTGAAAACTAGTTTCTCTTCTAAGTCATATTTCAAGGACTCTTTTGGAATTGAACCAGAGACTGTTTCAGGGAGATCCATGACAAACACATCTCCCATTTCAAGCCCTTCGCCTACGTTCACATCATCTGGTGGAAGAAAATATCAGCTACAGAGTTTGGATGAATTTTTCTCCGATGTTCCTGCTAAATCTAAAATGAAGAGGAGAGTTATTGTTGAAGAAAGTTCTACCGAAGATTCCGCATCTGACTCTGATGATGACTCTAGTGATGGATCTTCCGACGACTCGGGTGATGGGGATTCCTCCTATGAGGAGGAGAATGATGTCAGTAATCCTCCCTCTTTCGGTGAAGATAAAGAGTCAAAATTGGGCTAAATATATCTGTAATAAAATATTTAGAATATCACTCGCAAAGCCATGAATTAAAAAGTCTCAAACAATTCTTCGATCCTTTCTTCTGAATTGCGCAATATGGGATAGCACGGTACAAGTGCATCAAGATGCTGTACGTATGCACTATTGTAAACATTCCAAAATGCTCGTCTAACATTCTTAGCAGGATGGAAGAGGCCTCCCCAAACGTAATTCATAGCAATTCCCGGGCCCAGAGCAATTGACAGCGCTTCTAAGCCCTCTACGATTCTAGCAATCACATGAGGTGATGTCTCAAACACGTTAGGCATTAGTAAATTCAAGAAGTGCAAGAAAGCATCTTCGTATCCCATCCCTGTACATCCCAATGCCAGATGACGAATTACGGATGCTGCCGTCTGACGATGGACTAGATCTCTGTCTGTAAGAGCATCTTGCAGAAGTGGAGTTGTTACGTAGATGTAATCCTTGCTCTTACTGCCAATATACTCAAACATGAATGACATTGCTTTTAGAACACCATTTTGGACATTAGTTTCAGGGGTTCTATATTCGTTCATTAAAGCGGGCAAAACGGTGAATGTCCCACAGGTTTCGGCAACAATGCCTATTGCAACGGCAGTACATACACGAAGCTGACGCTCTTGAACCTTCAGATTATTCAGCAATGCAACCAAAACGTCTTGGGGTCCAATTGCCCTTGCAATGTACCCAAAAGTTTTGTTAGCGATTCTTCTGATGGATTTGCTAGGGCTCTTTAGCATTTCCAGAAGTTCAAAACAAATTCTCATCCACTCCTTAGGTGGAACACATTCTGGACTCCGATCTGCTATCCTTCCGATCAACTCAATACTATTTTGTTGAACTTTTCTATGACGATTTCGCAAGATTGGAGTAAGAGTGGGAAGTATTTGATTGGCAGTGGGTTGCATTTTCGAAAATTCGATGCATGAAGTTATTTGACCCATGGCTCCTATGACAGAACCTAATACCTCAGGGTATACTTCTCCTAAAGATTCATACAATATAATGTTTAGCTTATTCAGCATTTCAAGTTCGTTGCAATTCCTGATGACAGGAATAATGATAGCACATAAGTCAGCTGCATGCTGGCGGATTATGGCCTCTTTGTTTTTCAGTCTTAAGAGAATCGTGCTTACTATCGGAGGCAAGTAAGGTTTCATCCGAGTGTCGAGGGACGTGGCCACGGTTCCAAAACCGTAAAAAATAGTACGGTCCTCATTTGTTTGATCCTGAAATGCAATTAAAAGAGCATCTATTAGCCGCGTCTCCAACCTTTCATCAATGTCTTGAGTTCCCAGAGCTTTCACTATTCTATTAACAGCATGAACTGCCATTGTTCTGAAAGGCTCAGATTCGTCCCTTAGTGCATCAATAAGATAGCTTATTGATGGAGCACAACCTGTTTTCTGCGCTAATACTACCGTTGTGTATGTCACTATTTTGCTGATTTGACGATCTAGCGCCGTTCTACGAGTCCAGAAATTACCATAGAACTCAGGTACAATATTCTCCCTGAGATATCTCGGTGTTACCCCCTCGGTCAAACAGCATTTTTGAATCACTGATAAAACTGCTTTTTTCATTTCATCATCTGGTGAGCTGAACTCCCGTTTAACTACACGCATGACCTCCTGAGAATAGTAGCCAGCATACTCCGGATCCATGAGAGGAATAATAAATGCTAGAGCCCGCAAAAATGAAGCCAACGTTTTACCTCTGTGTGTTCTGATTCCCTTCCACAAAGGCTCCAGAACAATGTTGTAAGATTCTATTCCATAAGGATAAGTACTTTGTGCCAACGATGCCAAACAGTGGGCGGTGGCTACTCGAACTGGCAAATGTTCATCAGTAAGTCCATATCCTATACAGTCGAGAAAAGGATTCAAATAAGGTAGAATCCCTATACCCAAAATAGTTGTGAGATGTTGAATACTTCTTACGCCTGTGTGACGAGCCCTCCATGATTTCCGTGAATGGCAAACTGCTTTTAAAAATGGTATCAGATGATTAGGCCCCAGAGCTTTTGCCACCACTGCTATAACACGAGATGTAATGTTTCTGACATATTCGTCTTCGTGATCTATATCAGATCTTATATTAGAAATTACCGTTGGTAGCCCTACTGCTTGAGCGAGGCGAGATATGATATCCCTCGCAACTTGTCTGGCAAAAGGATCTTCATCTATGAGAGAAGGTGCAATTACAATCAATATTTTGTGCGTATAGGGCTTTACTAGATCATTAAGTTGATACAAAATCCTGTTGATGACTTTGATCATCAGATGGCGCTCTTGGTCTTCAAGCGATCGATCTAAAAGTATTGGCAGTAGTCTATTAAAAATCCTCGGTGCACCAAATTCAGCAGCATGGTCTCTCAAGCTTCTCATGGCCAATTTGCGAGCCGAAGGGAGGCCATTTTTTATCTTCAAAAGTAGCTTCAAAAAATTTCTATCCTTGACTTCATCTTCTGTCAGGTCGGATTTCTCAAGCAGCAGCTCTCCAAAATGGTGTTTGTCTGCGGCCTTTAAAATTTGAAGATCATTAGCATTTGGAACTTCGAATGTTAGTTCTTTAGTTAGCTCTTTCTTGGTAGCAGCAGATATTTCCGGAACAGTATAGGATTCAGTCACGTCCCAACGTGATTTCTTCGTCACTCTTGTTTCACCCTCACCATGACGTAGTCGTTTCTTCTCATTCCCTTCTTCGCTTTTATCTTCCAAACTTAAATTGAAACGCTTTCTTTGATATTCGGACTCCTTAGCAATTGCTTTTCTCGCTACTTCTCTTTGAATCAGTAAGTCTGGCTCTGAAGAGCCCTTTCTCTCCAACTCATTCATAACATCTTTAGGAATAGAGTATTGTGGAACAAGGTTCCGCTTCTCATTTGTCTCTGTTTGCCTAACGAACGCTATGTCTGACATACCTCATATGCTACTCAATCTATTCGATGAGTTCTTAAATCTTGAGCACACAAGAGATGAAATGATATCAATCGTCCATGATGACTAAAATTCCAACATTTCACAATTTCAGATTTGGATGGACAAGATCTCATCCTACAAAGGAATAAGGATCTAAGCGAGCATGAAGGCTCTTTTGTTGCTCCACACACTGCTCCTCGTTTCCTTTGCTGAACTGAGTACCTTAACCGTTGATGATGAGCTTGTAATTTTGGATGGCAATCTTTCAGCTGGTAACAGTGAAGATAATTGTGTCGTGAATGACCCGTCTTTTGGAATAAAAGAAGAAGAAGTTGTCGAAGAGCAAGAACCACCACCTGTTTCAGGTCATTTCAATCCATTTCAAAAAGAAAGTTTGATGGACTATCCTTTTGAAGAGCGTCTTGTATTACGACCCTTACCACGCAACTTTCTATTAGCTTCGTTCCAATTCAATATTACTTCTGATGAGCTATCGATCGATAAAGGGGCCTCTCATTTCAATTCGTATGCTCATAATACGGTCTTTCCGAGATCAATCAGTCCCATCCTCGAGCACACAAACACGAGGCAACTGCATCTTCGATTCACCCATGGTCTCTGGGATGCTGAGTCCTGGGGACAGTTACCTCACAACGGTTCAAAATCTGGAGGTACCGGTGTCGAAATTTGGGCTGTACTTGAATCTGATTCTAAGCAAGCAGCGTTTGCACAATGGATATCACTAGCGAACTCTCTGAGCGGCCTCTTCTGCACCTCTATAAACTTCATTGGAAGTGATAAAACTAGCTATCCAGTTTTCTCCTTTCAGCCAAGTGGTGAAAACTCTCTTCCTCTATTTAATGAGAATAGTAAGCTATATTTGGTACGGGCGGCGTTAGCGAATGAACCAATCTGTACGGAAAATCTTACGCCGTTTTTAAAGCTGTTACCTACGAAGGGTAAATCTGGCGTAGCTTCTTTACTTGATGGTCATAAAGTTTTTGATTCTCATTGGCATAGTCTTTCGATAGATATCGAAACTCGCTGTGATGATACTAGTTGTAAGTATCATATGGAGGAATTCGTGGAAATGGTTGTACACGTTCCCAACGCCTTAGATCGCGCTGAAAAACCCATTCCTAAGCCCGTGGAGGAACACGAGTTACGCTGTGACGAGAGTAAGCCTCACGATGTCTTTGAATGTTTCCCACTACCAGAAAGCACCGACAGAGAATTTGAGCTTTCGAAGCTTTTTGGTCGCTACATACTGGGAACAAATTTAGTATCAAGAAGTCCATCCCGGGTGTGTGCCGAAGTTGGTCCTAATTGGAGCGCGCTGGTTAAGGTTGGAAACACATACTTCTCGACTGATGATAATTGCTTCGAAATTAAAGGAGACGAGCTTCACGACTTATATTTGCAGACATCCGACACTGCTCAAGTTGCTTCATCAGAAGACGTTCCAATATATGTGAGTAGATCACTTACCGGTTACGGTCAAGACGGAGGTGGTCTACGCACAGTTTTCAAAAATCCTTCCAATGAAACAGTGAGTCTTGTTTATTTCGAATCACTTCCTTGGTTTATGAGGCTGTACCTTTCCTCTTTAAAAATTGAAAGTGAAGATGGTTTACAATTAGACGATGTGATTACAAATACTTTCTATTTACCAGCAATTGACCGTCAAAGACCTACACACTTGGAATACAACTTGAAGGTTCCCCCAAACAGCACATTTGCATTGTCTTATCAGTTTGACAAGGCCCTCCTAAAATACGCAGAGTACCCTCCGGATGCAAATCATGGTTTCGATATTGAATCAGCTGTAGTAACGGTATTAAGTCCACTTAAATACGAAATGAGAACAGCAACTCTGCTCCTGTCCCTATCTACACCTGACTTCAGTATGCCATATAATGTCATTATTTTGACCTCGACTATTATGGGACTAGCATTTGGCACTATTTTTAATTTGATGGTTAAAAAGCTTGTTACGGTTGAAGAGGCAGACAAATCCAACGGATCAGTTGGAAGTAGAATTATTTTTAAATTCAGAGAAAGAATCAAGGCTATTTTCAAAAAGAAAGTTCCTTTGTTTGACGAATCAAAGAAGAATCAATGAGTCATGTGTTAAAGTGCATTCTGTTAAAGCATAGTTATTGGTCTTTTCAGTCCTCATTTTTCATTACAGATACGCTGCGCGTTCCGCTTTCTAAGAATATTATACGTTGCTTACCTTCAGTATACTTCAAAACATTAGGCGAAAGAACTGACATGTTGATAAGATTATCGGTATCACAATCTACATAGAGATATATTCAAAATGGGTCCTCGTAGGGATCCTCCTCATCATAGTCGTCATCCTTTTCGAACTCATATACAATAGCTCCTCCTGTATTAAAGCTTTGAGCCTCCAGAAATGGTAGCTCTACCTGTTCTCGTGCCAATTTTTGTTTGTTTGATGTCTTCAAATTGAATGTAGTCAGACCTTCAAGCACTTGAGAGTCATCGACACCTTGATCCTCTTCTGTTTCAACTAATTGGTCGTAAGAGTGGTCTTGAGAGTTATACCGAAAAGCATATACCAGTGATCTTCCAGATTTTCTACGATTGGTCATTATTATCTTCGACACGGTGGCGTTCAAGCCGCGAGGAATACTAAACCTCTGAATTTCCGACTCTACCTCTTCGAGGTCCACACTTTTGTTAAAAAGTGGTGCGCATTCTAGTACTGTTGATGCCATAAAATGGAGCAACGAAAGCGAGGAAGGGTAGTTTTCCAGTGAAGCTGGTCTATGCTCGGATTCTGATCTATGGTAAATACCCAACAGTGTCACGGACGGTGAGACGATGTTGCTGATGAATTGCGAAATTTGGTCGTTGGGTATATAGTTCAGTGAATCGATCACTACCAAATGCCTCTTGGTCGTGGGTTGACTTGGTAGATACGACTGAATACCGATGGTGAGTCTTTCTACCGATGTGGTTCCCTCAATAAAATGTGTTGCAAATGCAGGTTTATTCACTGTTTCATAGCCAACATAGACTATGGGCGTTGACTGACTGACATTTTGAGCAAACTCTTCTATAATATGCCAACCGGCTTGCGATAGATCATCTATGCACAAAATGAATGGTGCTGATTCATTCAAAGAGAACACGCGTCTCAGGAGGATCTTGGGGTTGTGAGATGTGCTAGCCATGCCAAGCTCTGATCGAAGTAATGGAGATGAGCCTTCATCTCTCAAAAAACTTCTTGTGCACGTGAGAGTTTTTTTTTCTAATCCCGAATTGAAGATGTTTGCAAGCCAAATGATAAATTTCAATCTAAAACGGGCAACCATAATAAGAGATTTATCAGGCCAGCTGCTCGAAATGCCTGTTATATACGGGCCACAACCTTTGAAACGGCTAAACACCGAAACGAGGCATGGGTTTGACGAGCAATACTCTTCAGAGCAATATCTAGAGTCATTAGAGAATGATTTTATCTTCTACTATGATGACAAGAGACACAAGACTAACGGAAATCCAACTCCTGATGATGTTAAGGAAAAAGATGAAGAGCACTATTATCAGCCAATCTATGATTGGAAAATTATGAAGGAGAGGCAAAAAACTGTGTCTGCTGCTCTTTTGCTGTGTTTAAATTTGGGTGTCGATCCTCCCGATGTTGTAAAAACACATCCATGTGCAAGACTAGAATCATGGGTTGACCCGTTAAATTTTCAAGACTCTAAAAAGGCAATCGAGCAGATTGGTAAGAATCTTCAATCCCACTACGAAACTCTATCTCTCAGAACGCGTTATAAGCAATCATTGGATCCGTGTGTTGAAGATGTTAAACGTTTTTGTAATTTTCTGCGGAGAGCATCCAAAGACGAGCGGATTCTATTCCATTATAACGGCCATGGAGTTCCACAACCAACTACTTCGGGTGAAATGTGGGTATTCAATCGTGGTTACACGCAGTATATCCCCGTGTCGCTTTATGATCTCCAAACTTGGCTAGGAGCTCCCTGTATTTACGTTTATGACTGCAACAGTGCAGGAAATATTGTTTCGAATTTTCAAAAATTCGTTCAGAAGAGAATCAAGGATGACCAAGAAGGCAATCATGATATCGCAGCTCCCTCTCCAACTCAGGCATACATGGATTGTATCCAGTTAGCGTCGTGTGAGGCCAATGAGCTCTTACCGATGAATCCTGAACTTCCCGCGGATCTATTCACTTGCTGTCTCACTTGTCCGATTGAAATTAGTGTCGAAATATTTCTAATGCAGTCACCATTGCGAGAAACAAAATATTCTATGTTATTTCAGGATCAAGATAAAAGAAAGCATGCTGAAAACGATAAATTCGCATCACGAATGCCCAACATAACAATTCCTGGTAAATTATCTGACAGAAGAACCCCACTGGGGGAATTGAATTGGATTTTCACAGCGATAACTGATACTATTGCATGGACATCTCTACCTCGTCCTCTATTTAAGAAACTTTTCAGGCATGACCTCATGGTCGCGGCACTATTCCGAAACTTTTTGCTGGCAAAGAGAATTATGCCTTGGTATAATTGTCATCCGGTGTCCGATCCGCCTCTACCTGACTCAATCGCCGAGCATGCGATGTGGAAGTCATGGGATTTGGCTATTGATGAAGTTTTGAGTAATCTTGTCAAAGATTTGAAAGATTCGCCATTAGTTCCTGGTGACTTAGAAGCCCAAATAATATTGCAAGAACAACAGTCCCATATTAAAGAAAGCAATAGTGATGATGCTTTAAGATCCAAAGCGCCAGCTGGAACTCTCAGCACTATGTCGCTAGTAAATCAGCAACTGGGTAGCTTAACCCAAATTTCCCAACAACAATTGGCACAACAACAACAACAGCAACAACAACAGCAGCAGCAGCAACAGCAGCAGCAGTTTACAGGCTTTTTCGAACAAAACTTGACAGCATTCGAACTTTGGTTAAAGTATGGCTCCAATACGAGGCACCCACCCGAGCAACTGCCGATTGTGTTGCAAGTACTTTTGTCTCAGGTACATAGAGTTCGTGCTCTTGTTCTATTGTCGAGGTTTTTGGATTTGGGACCTTGGGCAGTCTATTTGTCGTTGTCGATCGGTATTTTCCCTTACGTTTTAAAGCTGCTACAAAGTCCGGCTCAGGAACTTCGACCCATTCTTGTTTTTATATGGGCAAGGATTATGTCCATTGATTACAAGAACACTCAGGCAGAGCTAATCAAGGAAAAAGGGTATTTATATTTTGTGAAAATGTTAGTTCCTGAATGGGGAATGGGACTATCCCCCCAGATTCAGAGGACTTCCAGTACTGGCGGTGGTTTGACAATGAATGTAAATGCAAGCTTGGGCACACAAAGGTATCAGCTTTATCAATCATTGCAACCGAATGCTAATATCAATACCAATGCAATTGTTAACAACACTACAGATGAACAAAAAGCGATGGCAATGTTTGTACTCTCCTCCTTCGTGCGCGATTTTCCTGCCGGTCAGAGGTGTTGCTTCTCCATTGATTTGGTCAGCAAGCTATGCTTTTATATAGAAAGTTCTGAGATTCCCCTGTTACGGCAGTGGTGCATCATACTTATGGGTCAATTATACGTCAAGAACCCATTAAACAAATTTATTTGCATGACAGGGGGTTATTTGGATAAGGTCTTCACCTCCCTAAGAGACCCAGTTCCTGAGGTTCGTTGCGCTGCGCTACTAGCGATTAAAATGTTCGTGTCTGATATCGATGAACCAGAATTAGCGTTAACACTGCAGCAGGATCTTCAACAACAAATCCAGCAGCTACAAGAACAGTTGCAGTCTTTACAATCGTCCAGTCAGATGCAACGTCAACAAGCTCAAATAGAACAGCAATTGCAACAGTATCAACTGTCGCTAAATCAACTGCGTAATATGGACTCAAGACAGCTGAAAAGGGAAGAAATAAAGATGACCATTTCTGCTTTAGCTTTAGTTAATGATGGATCACCTATGGTTAGAAAAGAGCTCGTGATTTTTCTTTCGCAGATCGTCAACCGATACATTAATTTCTTCATTGTTATTGCATTTAATGAGCTATGTGACGAAATTGTCCAACTTGAAGCATCTAACGCAGAATCCGGAAATGCTGAAATGAAGCAATCTGTGGCTCACGGATCGATATTCAATACTGTGTGGAAGGCACTATTAATTTTAGCAGAAGATCCCTATCTAGAAAACAAGTACCTGGCGCAACAGGTAGTGGATTCCATATTAATGAAGTTAAGTGATCATGAACAGTTAAATGAAGTTGTTTTGGCGATGGAGCAGTATCTCATAAAGCATACAGCAACCAGTTCAATAACACCTAATTCACTAACTTCTGCTGCTACTCTCCCCGCACTCAAAAGGCCATTAAGTCTCTCTAATAATAATAAGGATGAAGATTCAACACAGAGGGTTCCCGAAAAATCAAATGCTTCAAGAAGGTCGATATCTCTCAGCGGTTTATTGAAAACGCTTGGATTTGAAAGCGGTTCCGAAGATGACTCCCAAAAGTCTTCAACATCCCGTGGATATAAAGCACAGAGCATGTACCTATTGAGCGTTCCACATGGAGTTGCGCCAACGGCTGTAACACCTCGTTTTAGGAAGCATAAAGGTACTATTGAGCTTCCTTTAAAAAGTTCATTTTTGGATTACTCTCGTGAATACTTCCAGGAACCTCAGATGAAGAGACAGGAAGCTGATGAGCCAGGTAGTCTTGAATACACTGCAAGAGTTTGGAGAAGGAATCGTAACGAAGGTATCATTCAAAAAACACAAGCGGAAAAGAAGCTGTCCTTGTATGGCGACTGGTCACATAGCATTGCAACTTTGGATAATAAAACGCAACCTAAGATCTTACGATTTTCACAATTTGAAAACTATATTGTATCAGCGGATGATAGAGATACCATTACAGTCTTTGATTGGGCAGAGAAGTCCAAGCTCTGTCTCTTTTCCAATGGAAACCCGTTCGGAACTAAAATAACAGATATGAAGTTTTTGAATGAAGATGATACACCTCTGTTGTTAGCAGGATCTTCAGATGGTATTGTTAAGATCTATCGTGATTTTCATGACGTAGACGCTTTGGAATTAGTGTCATCGTGGCGGGGATTGACCGATTTGCTATTAACTCCACGATCTACTGGTTTACTGACTGAGTGGCAACAAAGCAGAGGTTCGCTTTTAGTTACAGGAGATGTCAAAATTATTCGAGTTTGGGATGCTCTGACGGAAAGTATTGAAGTCGATATTCCTGCTAAATCTTCATCACTAATCACATCCCTGACATCGGACCAACTCTCAGGAAATATATTCGTAGCTGGTTTTTCTGATGGTTCAATACGAACCTATGACCGCAGAATGGACCCCCGCGATTCAATGATCCGTCTCTGGAGAACAGCAGGTGGTAAGCAGAGCTCATGGATAACTAATGTTCACCTGCAAAGAGGCGGATATAGAGAACTTATTAGTGGGACCGGTAATGGTATTGTTGAACTATGGGATATAAGACATCAAGATCCTCTCTTGTCATTCCAAGATGAGGGCGATCAGAACTCCGGGAATAAACGGTTGACAACCATGACTTCTTTGCAAGCGCATGAACATGCGCCAGTAATTGCAACCGGAACCAAACAGATCAAAATATGGACCACATCTGGCGATCTGCTCACGGCATTCCGTAACAATGTACATGGTATGGCCGGAACTCTTGCGACTGGGATAGGTGCTTCTAGAGTTTCTGGTTCATTTGTGTCTGCAATGGCATTTCATCCTCATAGGATGATTTTGGGGGCAACTAACTCTCATAGTTCTCACATTAATATTTATGAGTGTCATGATAACAAGACGGAATACTTTTACTATTAGGCATCATATGCATTGTAGTATTTAATTTGATAAATTTTTAGCGATTTAATGTTTAGTCTGGCCCTACGACAAAAAATACAGTGGATTTAATGTGCACTAGTTACAGAAATAACCAGAAATATACCGCTGATGAATACCGTTTATATGAGACGCGTAGCTACTTAAACTTGTTTTGCCACAACAAATACCTCTTTTGGCTTTTGAATCAGCGTTCAATTCGATTGATATAATCAATTTTAAACTCAGGTTTAAAGAATTATTTTTGTAAAGCAATATGAGTCCTCATAAAAACCAATCACTTCTTCAACAAAGTAATTGTCTTACGCCAATAGTGATGCATATATTATTGTTGGAACGAAATACAACTATCGACCATCGACTAGTATTCGTGTTACTAGTATATTATCATACACGGTGTTTTAAGATGACATAAAGAATGAGAAACAGTCATCGAAGTTAGTGGAAGCTGAAACGCAAGGATTGATAATGTAATAGGATAATGAATGAAAAGGTATAAAAGGAACAGAAAGAGCAAGAATATTTATAAGTAGAATTATCAACTCTTCTTCCTGGATTCTTAAAAAGATGAGGAGAACTTCTAGTATAACCATATACCAATTATTACAGCCTTAATCAAAAATGGAATCCCAACAATTATCTGAATATTCACCTAATTCTCAATAATGTATATATTTCCGCATGAATTTTAAATATTTTGTAGATAATTTAAGATTTCGCCTGCCAATTATTTTTACAGAATCCAAAATGTAACGATAGGACACTAACATAAGAAGGGAAATAAAGCTCTGAGTTACAATGTCTTGAGTTGATATATGATCTTCAGTATAGAACTTCTCAACCAATCTTGTAAGGACACAACTGAACAATGCCTTAGATAAAATCAAATATATAGACAAATATATTCCAACCGTTTCAACAAATGAAGCGGTGGCTCAATGGTAGAGCTTTCGACTCCAGTTAGATCCTGGAAATCCAAGGAAATTGCAATCGAAGGGTTGCAGGTTCAATTCCTGTCCGTTTCATTTTTATTTTTATTACCTATTTACCCGATTTGGAAGCAGGTGAGCGAAAAGAAGATTTCCGAAAACAGAAAATGAGATCAATTTCAGAGGTAAAAAAAAAAAAGGCTGAGTTACGTTTCTATAATTAACATGCTCTGACGCGAAATTAAAAATAACGTGTTAGAGCGTAGTAGTAATATTGTAAAGTGCTGGTTATTGGAAACGCGAGAGAAATAGTTGTTGTGGCTTGGTTTCGCGTTGCAGGTGATGAATTATAAGTATAAATGTCCGAAAGGTTTGGCGTTTAAACTCATGCGATCTATGACAATATTTTTACTGGCATAGTGATTGAGTACAGATTTCATTTAAAAATAGCATAATAATGGTTAATTGGAAAACATATGCCCTAGGTGCTGGTTTTTCTGCTGGTATAGCCTCTGCCGCCAGCTCAGATGCAAGTGCAAGTGTGACTGCAAGCACCGCCAGCTATTCGTCAGTGTCTACATGCAATCCATTGTCAACAAGCGGCTGCCCAGCAGATAAGGCTTTAGCTACCGCCATTGCTGATGATTTCAGTTCAGAGTCCAGCTATTTTTTCAGAACAAGTAGCAGTGGTGAGATCGAGTATGGTTCGGATGGAATGGCAATGACAATCAACAAGAGATTCGACAATCCTTCTCTAAGATCGGATTTTTACATCATGTACGGTAAGTTAGAAGTCGAATTAAAAGCTGCTAACGGAACCGGAATTGTTTCATCATTTTATCTCCAGAGTGACGATCTCGATGAAATTGATCTCGAATGGTTAGGTGGTGACACGACTCAATTCCAATCCAATTTTTTTTCTAAGGGTGACACTACAACTTACGACAGGGGCGGCTTCCACAGTGTGAATGCTCCTCAGGATGAGTTTCACAACTACACTCTGGATTGGGCAATGGACGAGACTGTGTGGTACCTAGATGGCACTGCAGTCAGAACTTTGGCCAATACTTCTGATGAAGGCTACCCACAATCTCCAATGTATGTAATGATGGGATGTTGGGCAGGTGGTGATCCAAGTAACGAGGCTGGTACTATCGAGTGGGCTGGTGGCGAAACAAACTATTCAGATGTGCCATTCACGATGTACATCAAGAAAGTTATAATCACAGACTACTCTACTGGATCCCAATATACTTACAATGGTGATTCTGGTTCTTGGGAGTCCATTGAAGCCAAAGACGGTGAGGTTTACGGAAGATACGACCAAGCTCAAGAGGACTTTGCTGCTTTAGCCAACGGTGCCACTTTAAGTGGCTCTTCGTCCACCGCAAGCTCCACTTCTACCAAATCAAGTAGCACTAGCTCTACGACCTCGAGCAGCTCCACTTCGAGCAAGTCTAGTAGTTCAAGTTCGACGAGCCATTCTAGCTCTTCCAGCTCACACACCACTACCAGCAGCAGCAGCTCCAGTTCTAGCTCCAGTTCCAGTTCCAGTTCAAGCTCCAGTTCTAGTTCTAGCTCCAGCTCCAGCTCTAGCTCCGGATCCAGCACCAACTCCAGCATCAGCTCGAGCTCCAGTTTCGCTTCATCCGCCGCAGCCAGCTCTTCTGAGCCCGCTAACAGTGACACTGTATCATCCTCCGTCAGTGCAACCACCACGCTAGCTGATGCAAGTGTGGAAACTTCCGCAGCTGCTGAGGCCTCTTCTGCGACTACATCTCATTCGTCAACCATTTCAACAGTGGCGACGGGCTCTACATCTTCATCAGTGAGCATCGCCACTGCCACTAATGGTGCCTCTGCTTTGAGTGGGACTCTGTCCGCTCTATTTGGGCTGGTGGCTCTCTTCGTTTGAGGAAAAACACCGTTAACGAACACCCCATCGATTCCAATCGCCCTTTCATAGCTTATTTAGTCATTATTGTATTATAAGGAAAACATTACAAGAGGTTTCGGCTGCACAGTCAAAATTATCTGTCAATTGTGCTTAAGAGGGTCCGCTATTACAAGAGACTGTTAGTACATCATTTGTAACGCGCAACTTGAGAGTTGAAAAAAATTAGCCCTGTAGGGGGCTCGAACCCCTAACCTTATGATTAAGAGTCATACGCGCTACCGATTGCGCCAACAAGGCTCTTTAATTGATTGGAATTAATTGCTGCACTGCAGATACATATTTGATAGTAGAGATCACATTCATTTTGTCACTAGAAAATTTTGCCAGCTTAGTGTGTTACAATCTCATCGCATCGATCAGGATACAACGAACATGAAGATTGAATCCGTGAGAGACTCGTTTCTAAGCGACTACGAAGTGCTTCAATTTCTGTGTCAACTTGAGCGAAAGCATAACTGGGGACTTGATGACGAGAACGAAGCTGATGAGACTACGAATTCCCACAACAGAAGAAGAAAGAAGAAACAATATAATCATCCAGAATTACAGGCTATAACAAGGGATACAGTACGGTATTTATCCCTAGCGAAGACGGTTGGTGGTGGCGAAGATGGTGATGCGCCTGAAGACGCGTCACACAAGAAATCGCCGCTCACACGTTTGAACGATGCCCGCTTCACAGAACTCATGGTACAGCTTAACCAATTTCCTCTCTTCAAAGCTGAGAAGCTACAAATTGTCAATCAGCTTCCCACGAATTTGGTTCATCTTTACGCCATTGTTGAGGAGTGTGATGCCCGTTTCAGCGAAGAAGAAGTAAACCAGATATTACAAGTTGTGCAAGCGGCCTGCGCCTGACCATCCTCCTCTTTTGTACTCTATGTATATCATGTCATTGTATAGTAAAGAACATCTACGTTTTCCACGATCCATCATTAACTGTAATTTACTTAATCATTCGTTACAACCGACTGCTGCACCTTTGGCTACCGCACGTGCGTAAATTGATGTGGAAAATTTTCCTCCGTAAGGCTTTCAAATTTAAGAAGGGATATTAGTATATGAGAAAAGGAAAAAAGTTGTAGACGATAAAACAAGAGCATCGTTCATCACACCGTGGGTTTACCTAACTAAAGATGAAGTTCGGTGAGCATCTGAACAGATCGCTAATCAGGGAATATAGCTACTATTACATCTGCTATGATGACTTGAAGAATGAACTACAAGAGAACCTTGAGGCCAATCACAGGAAATGGAACGACGAGTTGGAAACACAGTTCTTGGAATCTTTGGAAGTGGAATTGGACAAGGTATACACTTTTTGCAAAGTGAAGCACAATGAAGTCATCAGACGGGTAAAGGAGGCCCAAGACCAGGTTCAAATGACTGTGCGTGCTCTGGACTCTAATACACCACCTTCAGACCTTGACTTTGAGATTTTGGAAGACGAGCTCTCCGACATCATCGCTGATGTGCATGATCTCGCGAAATTCTCGAGACTAAACTACACCGGATTCCAAAAAATCATCAAGAAGCACGACAAGAACACTAAGTTCATCTTGAAGCCGGTTTTTCAAGTTAGATTAGACTCCAAGCCATTTTTCAAGGAAAACTACGATGATTTGGTGGTCAAAATTTCGCAGCTATACGACTTAGTTAGAACGAGAGGTCATCCAGTTCTCGGTGACTCTGCTGCCGGTGGTAAGCAACAGAACTTCGTCAGACAAACCACCAAATACTGGGTTCATCCCGACAACATCACAGAGTTAAAGCTGATTATTTTGAAGCACTTGCCCGTATTGGTTTTCAACACTAATAAAGAATTTGAGAAGGAGGATTCTGCCATTACTTCCATCTATTACGATAACGAAGACTTAGATTTGTATTACGGTCGTTTAAGAAAAGATGAAGGTGCCGAGGCACACAGATTGAGATGGTACGGTGGCATGGGATCGGACACGGTCTTTGTTGAGAGAAAAACCCACAGAGAAGACTGGACCGGTGAGAAATCTGTTAAAGCAAGATTTGCTCTTAAAGAGCGTTATGTCAATGACTTTATGAAGGGTCAGTACACCGTCGAAAAGGCTTTCGCAAAGATGCGCAAAGAGGGTAAGAAGTCACTTAAAGAAATTGAAAACTTGGAAGCTTTAGCTACTGAAATTCAGTACACAGTTTTGAAGAAGAAGTTGAGACCTGTTGTCAGATCCTTCTATAATAGAACAGCATTCCAGTTGCCCGGCGATGCTCGTGTCCGTATTTCTTTGGATACTGAATTGACCATGGTTAGAGAAGATAATTTTGACGGATATGATAGAACACATGGTAATTGGAGAAGAATGGACATCGGTGTAGACTGGCCATTCAAGCAATTGGCTGATAAAGATGTGTGCAGATTCCCTTACGCAGTATTGGAAGTTAAATTGCAAACTCAACTTGGCCAAGAGCCTCCCGAATGGGTCCGTGAATTGGTTGGTTCCCATCTAGTCGAACCCGTTCCAAAGTTCTCCAAGTTTATTCACGGTGTTGCTACCTTATTGAATGATAAAGTAGAATCTATACCATTCTGGCTACCTCAAATGGGTGTCGATATCAGAAAGCCCGCAATTCCAACGCAGATTAACATTAGCAGACCAGGAAGGGAAGACAATGATAGCGATGACAATTACAGCGGCGATGCCGCTGGAAACAATCTAGATGCAGAAGAATTAGTGGGATATGGTGCTATTGAGGGTGCTGGCACCGCAGCTCCTGCAACCGATGATGGCAGAAGTGCCTCCGCTGTCGCCTTACAAAGAAAGATTGATAATGCCAGCAATCCAGTAGTGAAGATAGTATACCAAGCAGTGGCGGCTGTCGACCACTATTTGCATGGTGACCAAATCAGTAAAGTTCCAAAGGGTACAGTATTCGACACTGAAGTCAGGGCTCCACCTGGAAAGACCATCTGTGTGCCTGTGCGTGTGGAACCAAAAGTGTACTTCGCAACAGAGAGAACCTTTCTGTCATGGTTGTCCATCAGTTTGATATTGAATGCTGTTGCCATTTCGATGGTTAACTACGGAAGTACAACCACCATGATCGCGTCGATCGGCTTTTTCTGCACCGCACTAATCACGATTGTCTACAGTGCATACGTTTATTGCAACAGAGTGGTCAACATTAGATTGAAGAGAGCTGTTGATTATCAAGACAAAGTTGGGCCACCACTGGTCTGTGGATTTCTCATGTTGTCTATTATCTTTAGCTTTTACACAAGTCTCTTTCGCTAAGACGAAACAATTTAAAACCTCGAATTAATGTATAATAGGACAGCTGAACGCGTCCTAAGTGTTTGTTTAAAGAAAATAGCACCTAACTAAAGCCACTAGGGACTTAATAAACTCGTAGTTTAGTGTGCACAAAGATGCAAATGCCGATGATGTAAAGAAGTAAATTAGACGATAGAATAAGCTGAGATCACGTGCTGCGAGTGTTTGTTTTGATTTCATTTTTCGAGACGCGATATCATTTAAGTACGTTTGCATCGTCAAGAGAAGATTGCTTAGTAGAAGTCGATTGCCATGTCCAAAGGCAAACTGCCGGTGACAAACTTTGATGTTATCGAGTCAGATAAAGAAAACGTCCTACCTTTGAGAAATGGAAGATCAGCCAGCACGCTTTCGCTCTCTCTTCGTCAAAAATCCAATGCAGAACATAGCGAGACACTCACCGACCTTCGGCTGGAATATGAGCGTAAAATATTGGAGGAGCTCGATGATATGGATGACCCGTTAGAACTGTATCTGGACTACATTTCATGGATTAATAATGCGTATCCTCAAGGTGGACAATCGAAGCAAAGTGGGATGCTTGATATCCTGGAACGATGCTTGATGTATTTCAAAGATTTTGAAACCTATAAGAATGATCCGCGGTATCTTAAGGTTTGGCTCTGGTACCTCGAGCTTTTCTCGAGCTCTAGTGATGAGAGAAAGAACCTTTTCGTGTACATGATGAGGAAAGACATTGGGGTGAAACTAGCGCTGTTTTATGAAGAATTTGCATCACTGTTGGTGGCCCAAAAATTGTATTTACAGGCCAATGAGCTGTTGTTGCATGGTATAGATATTCAAGCTAGACCAACAGGACGGCTGCGAAAGTCCTTACAATATTTTGAGGAACAAATGAGGCAACTGAATGTTGATCTATCATCCCGGTACTCCCAAGAGAGTATCTTCGAGCAAGATGGCCCTGACTTCATATTGGGAAAACAAAAAAGCCAGATAACCGAATCTTCCAAAACGAAACCATTGCATATGTCTTCTTTGAAGCACACAATCTTCCATGATATAGAGGAAAATCAGCGCGACAATAACTTGAGAAAAGACGGGTGGGAATACTTGGACTCAAAAGTACAAAGAGATAAGGAGAACAGATTGATCAGTTCGCAACTGAAGCCTGGTCAGAATGTTGGCAAACTCACACAGCATGGATCAGAGGCTAACAACAACAAAAGACTCCCAATTTTCAAGGACTCTTTGGGAAGAGGTAGTCCTGTCTACAAGATCCTGGAAATACCCGGGAGGAAATCGGAAAAAGTCGATTGCAATTTTGATCTTATATATCCTAACGCCACTGAGGAATATTGCATCGAAGAAATATTAGCAATATCAAGAAACGTATATCAAAAACAGTCGCATGCAGAGTTCGAAACACAGAAGCTTCTTCATTCCTCTGACCTTCAAATCGAAGATCAATCAAAAATAAAGAGGCAGAAATTAGCCTTGAGACCCAAAATACAACTGCATGACAAACCTAATGAAGGGCACCACTTACCACCAGAGGATATTCAAGATACTCTGACGTATAAACGAATAACTACAAGCTCCACCTTACCATTGAAGGACGACGAGGACACGCGATCTGAGAGAAAGAAAAGTAGACCCAGCTCACCCACCGTGACGCTTTACTCTAAAGATGCCATGGATGAAGTGTATTCAATGTTCAATCAAGATTATTCAAAACCGAAGCAACTTTTGGAGACAGATGATACCACAAGCAAGTTTGCGGTATATGAGAATTTTACACAAGAGTTTACAAGAAAAACTCTTGATGATCTTACGGAGGCTAGACAGCTTGGTGGTGATATGATTCAAAAGACGCCTCGTAAGAGCCCCGAGGCAACTGCCATTGATAAAGCTAGCAAGGAGACGACAACTCCGACATATAAAAGTAAACTCCAAGAATATATGACACCTATTCAAGAGCGTCCAGAAACTTTTAAACTCAACTCTGAGCATGATGACGACAACACGGACAAGAAAAACTTTGATAGTGGCACCATAAATTCAACAGAAAGCTCTCCTTTTCTTACTCAACCTCAAACTATCAATGTACCACCCGAGGAACAGAAGCCCGTAATAGATAACCCGTTGAATGACACTTTCAGAAGCCAGCTTTTAGAATCAGTTGATCCTCCTTTGTCCACATATGATAACTTTTACAGCTACAATCAATGCCTTAGGATGAGCTCAGTTTTAAAGCGGATACATCAGGTATCTAAGAATGTCAAAAAAAATCCAATTGTTGATTTCAAAAAAACGAATGATCTTTATTGCATACGGGCAGAACTTGGGGAGGGAGGTTATGCTACTGTTTATTTAGCAGAGTCGAGCACTGGCTCTCTAAAAGCTTTGAAAGTGGAGAAGCCTGCTAGTATTTGGGAATTTTACATTTTGAAACAAGTTGAAAAGAGACTTGATGGTGAACCCATTCTAAGGTCCATTATCAACGTAGATTCTCTGCATTGTTTTCAAGACGAGAGCTATCTTGTACTAAATTATGCAAGCCAGGGAACTGTGTTAGATCTAATCAATTTGGAAAGGGATAAATATGGAAGCTCTCTGGACGAAACTCTTTGTATGTTTATTGCAATTGAGTTGATGAAGGTGCTGGAGTGCATTCATGATGTTGGTATCATTCACGGGGACCTAAAGCCCGACAACTGCATGATTAGATTCGAAGAATGTTCTGAATTGTTAGGTGACTACGACGCAAATGGAAAGAATGGATGGTCGAGCAAAGGAATCTATTTAATTGATTTTGGAAGATCATTTGATCTAACACTATTCGAACTAGGTACTAGATTCAAAGCCAATTGGAAGACAGATCAACAAGATTGCCCCGAGATGCGTGAAGGTCGTCTTTGGAGTTACGAGGCAGATTATTATGGGCTTGCGGGCATTATTCATGCTATGCTGTTCGGAAAATTTATCGAGACGCGAAGTTTGCAAAATGGCAAATATGAGCTTATTAGCAGCCTTAAGAGGTATTGGAATCATGAGCTTTGGTCACCGTTCTTTGACCTGCTTATTAATAGTAACCAATACGGAAATTTACCGATCACTGCAAAACTGCGAGAGCAGCGATTACTTTTCGAAATGTATCTAGAAAGAGAGGGCGGTGGCCGGTTGAAAAGTCAAATCACAAGTCTAGAACCTGAATTGGCAAAGTTTAAGCAATAGTTAATATAATAAGGATTAATAAAGTAAGGTAACATTTAGTCAACGTTAAGACAAAGCTAAATACCAATCAAATCTCAAAACCTTTCGAAATGACGTAACAAAATTTAACTTGAACTCAGCAGGTTCTGCTTCTTTTTTTTTTTATCGTAATATACATGATATATATTTCAAAGTACTTATTCTTGCTTTCTAACGCCGCTAACGATGTCGTCAACTCTCAACAATAAGCATGCGCTTTCAATGGCTGTTTTGATACTTTGCTGCTTGATTACCTCAGGCTCCCAGACACCATACTCGACCATGTCTACGACGGTACCCGCATCACCATTGATACCAAAAGTGAAGTTGCCTTGAGCATGCTTCGCTCTCAATTGTGAAAGTACTCTAATTGGATTCCCACCTGCATTTTGAATCAAAGTATGAGGAATACATTCCATGGCATCAGCGACTGCTTGATATGGCCATTGTTGAATACCTTCTAATTGTTTAGCACGTTCCGCTAGCTTGACTGAAACTGCCATTTCAGTAGCACCACCACCTGGAGACAAAGAAGGCGAAAGCATCACATTTCTGGCAACAGCCATGGCATCTTGCAAGTTACGCTCAATTTCATTCAAGATATCTTTGGATGCTCCTCTTAAAAGAATAGTACATGCTTTAGGGTCTTGACATTCATCCAAAAACGTGAAGTATTCGTCACCTATCAACTCCACCTTGAAAACACCGCATTTGGTCCCTACGTCACTTTCCTTCAGGTCTTCAACTCTATTGACAATTGTAGCACCGGTAACACGAGCAATTCTGTTGTTGTCAGACTTTTTTGTGCGTCTTAAAACACTGCAACCACCTTTCAAAAGATAATGTTGAGCAAGGTCAGATACACCTTTTTCGGTAATAACAACGTTAGGCTTAACAGCCAAGATTTGTTCACACATCCAACGAACTTGCTCTTCTTCAATTTGGAGGATACGGTTCCAATCCTCCTCGCGTGTGACTTCAATGTTTGTCTGAGACTCTCCTTTCTTGTACTCTAGGGGACAATCTAACAGGACAACACGGGGGTTTTCGATGTAACGGGACATTTTAGGATGAACGACATCTTTGTTGAGCATAACACCATTCAAAACACGGGATTCAAGCACATCTCCTCCGGGTATCTTTTCAACGCGAACATACCTCTTGATATCGATTTCATACCGGGGCTCATTATATTCAGTGATACCTAAATCAATCCTGACGGTTTTAACAGCAGTAAGAGCTAAGTCGCACATCTTCTCAGACCAATGACTAACGTATTTGGTACCGATTGCGGCTTGGATCAACTTCTTCATAGCTTCATTATTTTCCACGTCTACAGGCTTGCTGACTTGATTTACCACTTCTAGCGCATCGCTTAGAGCACGCTTCAATGCTTGGATAATGATCACCGGATGAATATTCTTCTCAATAATGTAAGGAGCGCACTGTGCAAGTATCTCACCAGCGAGGATAATAACTGTCGTGGTTCCATCACCTACTTCCTCGTCTTGGGTCCGAGACAACTCCAACATTGACTTTGCCGCAGGATGCGCAACGTCAATCTCACGCAAAATTGCATGCCCATCATTTGTTAACACCAATCCACCCATCGGGTCAAGCAGCATCTTCAGCATTGCTTTGGGGCCCAAGCACGTACGGATCACGTCTGCAACGGCCTTGGCAGCTGTTATGTTGGAGATTTGAGCCTCACGGCCGGTCGTTCTCTCTTGAGAAGTGTTCATAAACACAACAGGAGCTTGCATTGCAATTGATCAACCTCAGAAACCTTATTCTACTATCGGTTTCTAGAGTGAAGCGTTTCTTAAACCATCTGCAAGTGGCAAATTTTTCGAGTTTCAAAGAAAGCCCGTACAAAAGCACATACAATATCGACACGTATCGTGATTCACGTGACCCGAAAAGATAGTACATTTTAAATCTAAAGCATATAAAGATGAAGGAATAGAGAACTGAATAAGTCTATAAGAGGATCCGGTTATATTAACGGGGAGCTAGTACTAGAGCAAGACGAGCTGAATGCAAGTTCGCGTGGATTCTCTATACGAAGCACGTCAGCCAAGGTAGTAAAAGATCTCTTGTCTCGGGCGTTATCTTTAAGCCTCTCTTGCAAAAAAGCCTTGTAGCCCGCTACCGTCTTAAGGTAAGAATCAGACTGATTTTGCATTTTATGAGAATATTCAAATAAGGGCTGGATTTCCTCTCGAGCGAAATAATCGATGGTTGGCAGTCTGGGAAGCCCGAACACTAACGAATTAATGTCATCACGGCTATTTTTGAACTGAACAGGGCGTCCATAGAGACGTAAACTGCTCATCATAGGCAACACACACCTGATCATGGACTCTAAATGAAAAACACCATCATGAGGAATAGGTTTGATCAAGAGCTCAGTGGTGATGGAATGCGACCCTTCATTCAGGTTACCGTGATACACGCTGGACGTAACAGATACCGACGACAGAGTTCTCCTGTGCTTGGGGGAGAACGAAAAACTTGAGTGCGAAGTAGACTCGGAGCGTTTCTTGGGCGAGCGATTGACCCACGACGTGGAAGAAGACCTGCTTCTACTGGACTCCGTTTCCTCGGACGGCCAGTACACGTCACCAACGAGTCGCAGACAAGTTAGCTTTGATAAGCGAGATTCCATGCAACCAAGTGGGTCGCGTATGCTGGAGATGGGGCCTGTTAAATTAGAATCGCCAGGATTGCTGCCATCATACTCCGGCACAAAAAAAAGGTCTTGTTCGTCGCCACAGTCTGGGATAAAGCAAATCAAGTCCTTGGAAGACAACGACTTGTCATCTGTGAAAAACTTTATTTGCCGTTTTCCCTTCTGGGAGTCGGACGACTTGGAGCTCTTATCTACGTGACACCAAGCCTTGACCCATCCCCCGTTCACATAGATATGGCACCAATCCTTGTACGAGTGGTTCGAGTTTAGCAACATTGAGATATCTGAGATTCTCGTTCCCACTACAGAAATGAGCGTGGCCGTAAGGGCCTTGTACAGCGACATGTACTCGAAGCGCGCAAGCATGCACATGTCGAAGAGGTGACGCAACTGCAAAAGTGCCTCAGGGGTACGTCCCAGCAAGGTTATATTTCCGCCATCCAGTTCTAAAAATGAGTGTTCAAGCCTCCATGTCGTTCCAGACATGCCATTAGCAACATCAAGCACAACACAGTTGTCATACTCGTTTGCTTCTGAATCCACCAGAATCTGTAGCTCTGTTCCACGAAGCAATAACCTGCTTACGGCATACATATCCGTAGCACCCCTCAATTGCAATAGCAATTCTGTACTGTCCCACCACATGTACGACTTCCGACTTTGACAGTCTAGCAAAATAAGAATTGGTTTGAGTTGCTCGTAGTCGCTAGCCACTAGTCCATCTAGGTGCGACGTCCCAAGTTTCCCCAATGTAGCTTTCTCCTCTATCGCTGCGTTTTTACGAGCGTTGCCTTCCCTGACAGGATTTTTTAATTTAGGGAACGAGACCATACTACTATTGAACTTCTTTGCGAATTGCTGCTGTGTTTCACTGGAGCCGGCGATGCGCTAACCTTAGCCGTTTTATATAACTTACTAACCCGTTTTTAAATGGCGCAGCGGATTAAGGCTAAATGACGCAGGTGCTTTGCAGGAGCCTGCAGTTTGACAATTTTTAAATTTTTTTTGCAATGCTTAGAGAATTGCGCTTCAGATGACGTTGATGAATAATTCAAAAACTCAGTGGCTTATCGAAGCGCTGTCTGGGGTAGCGTGAATGTGTGTGTCTAGGCATCAATCTCATCTTGTCCAAAGGCTGGAACAGCTTCAGATGGTGGGGTAGCAGATGGATGCTGCCACATAGCCACTTTAGACGCGCGTAGTCTTTCCCGGTCTTCCCATGGAACGGCGTATTCGGGTACATCGAAGTCGCGTTCGGCGGACACGGAATTTGCCAATTGTAGGTCTTGAGCAGTTACCGCATTGAGTATGAACTTTCTCAATGCCGTATAATGGCTGTTTCCATGATTATCTTGAACCTCGAAGACAACCGCACGGACATAAGGTTTCAGCTGTATGTACCAAGCCGGAAGAGGGAAGTCTTGCCTGATGCGACGATCCGCAAGTGTGTAATTCCAGGTGTCGACCAGAAGGAACGAGCTGTCTTTAGTCAAACTCTGACCTTTATGATGGACCCTAGCTACTTCTTGGAACTTGGACTTGGTAGGTGACTGGAGTTTGACGTATAGCGAGATGGCTCTGGGTGCAGAATTCATTAAGTGAAGGTTATTTGTGAATCTGCCGTGAATGTACGAAACTCTTGTGAGATAGAGAGGCTGTGCAAAGCGTGCCGCCCAGGTGCACCCCACAGAGTCGCGACATAGCCAATATGTGGATGTGGCGGTGGGCGAGTCTGCGAGCAACTCTACTGGGGAAACCTCGTTTGACGGCAGACCACGCATGCCTTTGAAAGTGGCAGAGCAAAGGTGGTTGAGCAACCTCGTACCCTGCGCAGAAGTAGCAAAATCGATGTCGTCCTGCCATTGGTGTTGATTTGCGTTGTAAATCTTGTTGATCAGCTTGCGTTGTAGCGCGTAGGAGTATTGCTGCGGGACATTGGCCACGGTCGATAGCCGTGACTCCATCTCGTGCAAAATCTCTTCCTTGGTAACGCGCAGCGCAGAGTCCAATTCCTTGAGAAAGAAGTTGAGGTCCACGTACTGAAACTCGTCCCGAAGAATCTCGCGCACGTACTTACTGACATCGTAGTGGAACGATGGAAGCTCTACGGGCTGTATGGTTTGGTTAAAGACTTGCGGGATCAATTGCGATAGGTATTGGCGCAGCTCCGGAATCACCATGAGCGCCTTGGTGCTGTTGTCAATAACCACGGGGATTTGCTCGGGCAATGCTGTCGAGAGCTCCTGGATCAAGATATCCTGCCATTGAGTCATGTTCCGCCTACTTAAGGCTTGCGAAAGATCCTGGACTTGAGCCTCAAGCTGCTCGAAATCCGACTTCATCGACACCACGTCGCGTGGGAACAGTTTTTTGATGTTCTTCTCCATCTGCGAGATCACCAACCGAATGTTGTTTTCGAGTTTCGAGTCGGCACTCTTTCGATACTCCTGCAGCTCCCGGTAGAGACTGTTCACCTGCAAACGCAGCTGTGCAACGTTGTCATTGCTTGTGGGTGCGGAAAGCGCGATGTCGCTGTTTCCTCGAAACAGCATCGGCACAATCACCATAAGTGACAGTAAACCCACCACCACATACGCAAGTCGACTTCTGCCTGGTAGAGTAGTGCCGTATTCTTTTTCCTTATCGTACAGATCATCAGGGTCACTGACCTCCGTTTCGCTCTCCAGAATGAAGCTCTGATCCGCCTCGTCCGTGTAGTCTTCCTCATCGTCACTGAGCCAATCATCTCGCATCAGAGACGTCTTGAATTGCTGGTACTCGTTATCTTCTGCATCAGATTCTTCTTGCGAAACGTAATCCATCACATCGTCGGACAGCTCATTGTCAAGTTCATCGTTAGAATCTACATTCAACTCAGATCGGCTGCCGCTGCGTTCTTCTAATAGCCTCACGTATGCATCTGGCACATCCCTATTGTACAATGCGCTGCTATAGCTCTTATCCATGCTTCAAACTCTCGATACTTGCACCTTTCAATGCGCAACGCGTTATCAAGATGATGAGACGCGCTTAGTTTACAGGTTGAAAACGCTAAGGCAGCGGAAACCGGACCAAAGGATGAAAGAAGGAATCAGCTCTGAATCAGTCATGTGACATGTGGCTAATTTTGTGAACGTGATATTCACGTGACTTTAGATGGTGTTTTTTTCGTCAAAATTTTCTTCTCTTTTCAATAAAAAAACGAAAAATTTTCCCTCTTTTGAAAGGCGTTTTGCATTTAAGCACGAAGATGCTGCCAGCTAACACATGGTCCACGCCTCTGGCCCGGCAGCTGCAGGTTCAGCAGGTTCGTCACATATCGAAGAGAAGGGTAGCGTACCCATTCTACCCATTCCGCAAGCTGGGTAAACAGCATCCCAAAAAACATGATACCAATCTCAAATTTGCCATGCGTCAGTTCCTGGGTCCAAAGAACTTCAAGGGTGAATATGTCTACAACAAATACTACTATCTACCTCAAGACCATACACCCAATTACATAACTCCTGAAATTGAACGAGGCCAGGCTCTTCGCGACCCGGTTACCGGTGAAGGTCTAGCGCTCCAGACAGACGGCTCACTGGCTCCAGCTCGCGGGCGCACGCGGGAGAATGCGATATCCGAGAGTCGTAGGTTACAGCCATTTCCCAGCAACAAGCATTGCAAAACCAACCGCATTTTGAGCGAGGAGCTCAAGCTGGCGATCCATGACGACATTCAGAACAAGCATCTCTCGACTCAGGAAGTGTCACAAAAATATGGACTAAAAATCCCCAGAATCGAGGCTGTAGTGAAACTGGTCAGTATTGAACAGAACTGGGAGAAACACGTATGTCACTCATTTGAATTTTCAGAAACTATTGCACGCGCGCGATGCCGACTCCTATCTCACTTGTATGATGAGCTTAGAAAAAATCGATTAGTCTTGAAGACAATATCAAATGGTTAGAAACTTCTATAAAATCTGATCAGTAGCATGGAGGACGCATCGACGCGCACGCTTGACCACAAGCATTTTTACTAACGTACCCAATTACAGAATCGCATGACTCCGGAATTACAGAGCATGTCCAGCAGCATGTACAAAATGTTCCCACTATTTGAACCAAGATTAGAGAATGCTCAGGAAAACTTGTCAGAAATTCCAATCCCACCCAAGGCCTTGAGCTCGCGGTTCTTGACTATTGCAGAGTCGGAGCCCTTCGGACCCATTGACGCTGCCAAAGTGTTGGAGTTGGAACCTGCTGCTGAGACTCTAGAGAAGCTTTCCACCATCGGCGAGCATTCCTCTGGTCACAAAGATACGTCCAAATCCAAGAATAAAAAGCATGTCATATACGGGGAAATGTTACGAGGTGAAAGATCCATGTTGAAATTCACGAATAAGCCAGTTGGCCAAGTTGGTGTGCGCTACGGTTCCGGCAATCGGGACAGCAAAAAGGACCGTAAAATCGGTTTCAATGAGCTCGGAAAGATGATATATATATGAAAGTTCCATAAATGTGTATATACTTGTAAATAAAATCGTACATTTCGATGTGGGCGTAATTGCGCTTTGGCTTTTAAGAAAATGAGTTTGGAATCAAAAAAAAAGGAAATCAAGCTCTCAGCGGTGGGGAGGATTGATAGGGAATGCAAATACTGTTGCCGCTTGATAGGCAATTGAGCATCGATTCAGAGGCATTGAAACAGTCGCATTCCGAACGTGAGTTTGTTATTTTTGATGAAGCTCTCCGAATACTATTCGAGGCTGAAAATGAGACCATCGTCGAGTTATCCATTCACATCAACGAAGCGAAAGTCTTCTACAGCGATGATCCTTATAAGTTTTTAGAGCAGCAATCGGAACACTTGTGGGAGTTAAAACGATCCGCTATCATTGGGCAGGTGTTTAACTCTAGCATTGTGATGAATAACGGGCACAAGAACTTCCTGAAAATTCTTGTTCATTATGAACAGGAATCAATATCCGAGCGGAACTCAGAAGAGAAGTCATCTGACGAAGATGTTCTTCCTAGCTTCCTACCGTTGTCATTTCCAGGAATCAACCACACAACTCAGGACCCAGTTGAGACCCAGATTGACAGCACAGAAGTTACATTCCCAATCCACGCACTACTGAATGTGAGGCTTAGAAATGTAGCTTTGAGCTCCCTGCATTTCATATACTCTTCATTGGACTTTCAAGCGTCGAAAGCTTGCGAGACCCTAATGAACAAATACAATATCTCCAATCTTACTTTGCATTTGGACAAAATCGACTACGAGCTCGTACGGAAATCCACCAGCGCAAAAATCAATCCTGTTTGTCCCTTAACGCTCCCATTAACATTGGAGAGCTGGAACAGCTGTAGTATAAGTTACAAGCTTCCACAGACCAAAAGCCTGGAACCACATCGGGTGCGAGTAACCCTGAACTATAATGTGGTCGCAACGCCTCATAACTTCGTTGTCAACACATCATGGGAGGCAGATATTGCGTTAAAGAAGCAAAACGTTCCAACACTTCCCGTTTCTCAGCCAACATCTCTTTTAGCAACACCCATGTTCTCGCCTTCTGTCAAATTTGCATCTTCTGTAAACTCCCTCGTTGCCAACCGACTCAACAACGTCAGGTTTAGATTTTTGACAAGCAAAGTAATGTGTAAAAAGGGGCGCAAACTCACCTTGTTTCTCCAGATCATGAATTCATCTCAGTCTCAACTCGATATGGTTGTCTACCACACCAGTTCTGTGCCTCAAAACCCGGGACAGTACCCTATAGACAGAGAATACCAACTTCGCAAAAGATGGCAGAAGACGACAGAGGGTATTATTCTACTATCCAATGACTACAAGTTGCCTCTAATCCTGCCTGGTGAAACCTATTGTGCCGAGCTGCATTTTGTTGCGATACGCGAGGGGTACTATCACGGCCTGCCCGGCCTAAAAATATTAGATCTCAATACGCAAGAAATCATGAACATTGGGTCTACCGTTAGCATACTAGTGGAGTAAGATAGTTGCTGTGTGCTATGTATTATAGTTGTCTGCAAGATATAGATTTAACGTCACGTGAACATTAGTACACCGTGACCACCACTTTTTTTCACCAAAAAGGGGTCCCTTTAAAGAAATGTCGAAGTAATTCGCCACTATTTCCGCAAAGGTTAGGCTTAATATATATACAATGTCTGAGAAGTTTCCACCTTTGGAAGATGATGCCGTTACCGCTGATGTTCCAGCAGGTGAAGAGGAAACCGACTTTTTGAAAAGAGAGGCTGAATTGCTTGGAGACGAGTTCAAGACCGACCAAGATCTAGATTACTTGCAAGAAGATAAACACGACGATATCAAGGAATTTGAGGACAATTATCCTGAATTGAGTGAAGCCACCACCGAAGCTCATGCTACGAATGCCGATGATGGAGAAGATGACTTCGGTGAACCCCAATCGTCGTCAGGTCCAACGGACGCTGGGCGTTCTGAAGTGGTCGCTCAATGGAGAGAACAACGTGTCACAGAGATCGCAGAACGAGATGAAGCTGAAAGAAGTGCTAAGGAACGTTTGCAAGAGGAGGCCGTGAAACATATGGACGATTTTTACGATAATTACAACAGTAAAAAGCAGCAGCAACTCGAGGCTACTAGAGCAGAAGCAGAAAAGTTCTTGCAGCAAAGAGATGAATTCATTTCTCAAGATAACACTGTTTGGGACAGAGTTTTGCAGTTGATAAATGAGGATGATGCCGACATTGTTGGAGAAAGGAACAGATCGAAGTTTAAGGAAATCTTAGTGAAGCTCAAGGGCAATGAAAAGGCACCAGGGGCCACCAGGGCGTAAATGCATCAGGTGTTACAGATGAAGAGTAAGCTCAAAAGCAACAAATATAAATAAAAATAAATAAGTATATTATTACAACGCGTGATTACTGTGAAAATAATTGTAATAAGATAGGTCGGCACCTACCATGAATGCTGATTTTTCGAAGCCACTACCACTGAGTCTGTCACTCACGACACATCTGATAAGATATTTTAGCACACCTGGTCTTATATTCATATGATCTCCTGCACCATCGAGAATGAGAAACCCGATCATTAAAGTGATGGAAGCTTGCATATGGGAACATAATGAAGACGGTGTCTTAAATAGTAGCCACAGAAGCTGTCGCCAAACCGCCCATTTAAAAGATACGGTCAAATTTTCGCCAAAACAGCAACTTGTTATTGTTTCGAGTATCGACTTCGAAGTCTTTAACTCTCTTATTTCTTTCAGCTTATCCACGAGAAACCTCGAATTAGGAGGATAAGTTGCTTGCTCATTTATGCTTTCTACGCTTTTGCGTTTCTGCTTAGAATTTCCTTTGTACAAAGACGACTTCAAGTACTGATAAAATGAGATGGCATTCCAGAGCGAGTACAAAAGTGCGAAGTCCTTTATGAAAGACTTACGGCGAAATATTAGATCTCGAGCTCTTGACTTTCTCGCGTGATAAAGCATTGGAATTATCAGGCAAAATATGCCCTGCCTTAGTGCGTTACATGTATGGTCATCCCAACCCCGAAGCACTGCTTCAACCGATGGGAAATTTTGCAACCAATCGGCTACCGATTCTACCATAACATAGCTTGTAACAGATAATGGTATTTCGCCAGTGCTATAAATCAGCAATAGTGTATTGAATGAAATAAATCTGTTTCCAGTGATCTTTGAAACTAAAGGAAACCCATTGAATAGGACAACCGTAAGCGTAGCATTGCTGAAAATACGTTGGAGCATCGCAAGTTTTTCTTGTGGGGCCATTCGACGCCACTTGACCACGATAGAAACAACTGAAATACCATAAATCGTGGCTACACGTTGCATAGCCTGGCGCAATGATGGAGAATCATCAGTGATGATTTTCAGTAATCGTGAGATGTGTTTATTTGTTGTTCCCTGCATACTTTGTCAGAGCGCGTAATTCATACCCTAGACTATATATTCAATAAAAGGTTGATCCAAGTTACTTTCTGCAATAGTTATTGCAACGTATTTCTGCTCTGTTTTAATTAGGGTGTCTTTTCTTTCAGAATCAATGAATTAGATTTGATTTTTATCGTGATTGAAGTTCCGAATTTTAGAGTTTTTCAAATATAAGAAAAAAGGGGTCTTGAATTTATCTTTTCCCATCTTCAATACTACAAACGTACAATGGCTGAGCCTGATCCACCATTTAAAGTAGTGGCTCAGTTCCCTTACACCTCTGAATATGAAGATGATCTGCATTTCGAGAAAGGATGTGTTATAACCGTTCAATCAATCGAAGACGATGAGTGGTATTATGGTGAATATCAAGATACTGACGGGACATTGCATGAGGGAATTTTTCCCAAAAGTTTCGTGGTAGTAACAAATGAAGGTACTGAAACTCAATCCGACTTAGATGTAACTGAAGATTTGGAAGCCGGAAAAGCCGAAGTGGCTACGAAGTCTGAATTATCGAAAGTTGAAGGGGATGAGGATAACAACGAGGCCTTCCAGAATACGAACTCCAAGCCCTCGATTGATAATCCTGATACTACTAATCACGAGACGCAAAAAGAAGAGCAACACGTTCCAATTCCCAAACCAGCAACGGCGGGAAGCACTATATCACAATCATTTTCCAAGCATGAGGAGAACAAGGCTGTTCCGACCGCCAAAAAATGGGCAGATGTTCCTACGATCCCAGATTCTTCGAACCTGAAGAATCAAATATTCAGTCAACCTTCTGAAGCGGGATATCAAAATCAGGAAGAGATCGTGCAACCCCAGATGAGCTTGAAGGAAAGAATTGCGAAACTTCAAGAGCAGCAAATGCTACAACAGCAGCGTGAGCAAGAAATGCTTCAAAAGAAACTTGAAAAGACTAAAAAGAAAGAACATCATGAGGCCGTAGTAATTGAGAAAACAGCTGCTCCTCAAGACTCTCCTGACACCACTGCCTTAGACGACACGAAGACGTTGGCACTCGATGAACATAATGGAATCACAAACGTACATGGATTCCAAGATGCAAGCTCCGAACACCGTGATTCAATCATCAGTCAGGACAAGGAACAGCCCATTTTAAGAACTGGTGACCGGGGAGGTGACTCGGGAAGTGAATTAGATGACGAGGAAGCTGTAGATGGAGATAAAGAAGAAGAAGAAGAAGAAGAAGAAAAAGAAGAAGAAGGAGACGAGGAACAGGAAGAAGAGGAAGAGGAGGAAGAGGAAGAAGAAGAAGATAGTGAAGAAAGTCGCAGAGCCGCTTTAAGAGATCGTATGGCAAGATTGGCAGGAGCTGGAAGAATGGGTATGCCTGCTTCTTTCAACCCATTTGGGATCCCACCAGCAGTTAAATCTGAAACTAAGCCGAAAAAGAAGTCAAAGGGAGGACAAAAGGAAGAGGCAGCCGATGATTTAAATGCTTCCTTACCCAAGGCTATCCCTATTTTGCCATTTGCGGATCCTCAAGCACTTCCGATGTTCAAAAAGCACTCTACTGACATCGAACCAGCTCCTGTAAATGCCTCACAGGAAACAGAGGAAGAATTGATTACGAACGTTCACGAAGGGGAAGCTCACGCCGAAGAAAAAAGACCATCTACGACAGAAAGTAATGAGACTATCTCTGCAAATGACGAGCACAAACTGGCCAAGGCCCAACATGAATATGCAAGATTAGCAATTTCAAGACAACCACTAGACACTCCTGGAATGGAGGCAGATGGAGAATATGAAGCTGGTGAAGACAACGGAAACTACTTTGGAAAGGAAACTGGCGATGCGGCCTCTAGGGTTCCTCGCGTTCCGATAGAATCTTCTCAAGGCTTGAATGACGATAATTCGGTTCACATTGAGGGAACGCATTTGAGAAGTGGATTGATGTCTGATTCTACGGGTTACGAATCTGAAGAAGAAAATACCGATGTTGGGGCTAAGGTTAACAAAATGCATCAAAACCCTCAAGTTCAGGCGATCCCCCCTTTGCCAACTTCTCTTCCTGAACCCTTAGCCAAAAACCGCCAATCTATTCATGAGGATCTGGATTCTGGTAGTGATGATTTTGTTGATACCAGTGAAGACATCCCAGATCTGAGCGAGAGAAAGTTGCATACTTCACATACAACCACGAACATCCCTCCTGTGCCAATTCCCGTGTCTTTACCAGGCAACTCGATAAAGCGTGCAGGAACGGACGTTTCTTCACTGGGCTCGTCCAGACCCCCAATTCCGTCGAGTGAAACACTGGAAAAAACTACCCGTCATCCTCCTAGAGAACAAGTTCCTCCTATTCCTGAAACTCACCCCAACCTACCACCCTCAAGTTATGAGCAACAATCATTAACAAATACTGAAAGTGCCGAGGGTACTGATCAAATACCTAAGGGACCTCCTCCACCACCACCTCCTCCTGTTCACCAGGTCGAATCGCCTCGTAGATCCGGGAGTATTAAGGGTGCGCCTCCTCCGCCCCCTATAGATACTTCGGGAGCGAAGAGAAAATCAAGCTCATCGATGAGTTCCCCTATTCATTTAAGATCAGTAAACTCTACTGTCCCCCCTCCTGTGCCTGCTGCACCTCCGGTTCCTCCTACCTCACATGTTCCTCCGATTCCCTCTGTTCCACCAGTCCTAACTGGCTCACCTGCGGAGGTTACAAGCCCAACCAGTGTCCCTCCTCCGATACCATCTGGTAGCAAACAGATAGTGAACTCTGAAGCCCCACCACCCCCACCACCATCAGAAGTGGCTCCAGTTCGTCCAACTACAGCCTCTAAAGTTAAAAGTCCACAATCGCCAAGTGGTACTGCGAAAGGTCTCAAAAAAGCTAAAACATTCGAGTTTCATGAAGTTGGACAAATTCCATCAATTTCTTTCGATTCCTCGGAAGATTGGTGGCTGTCAAAAAATGTTCCTCAAGGATTGATTTCCAACAGTCGCTCAAAGTACATATGGGAGGTGGATGACCACATCTTAAAAAAGAGGCTAGGCGAGTGCTGTATTGTGAGAGACTTTTATATCTTGTTTGAAGATTATTCTCAGCTTCACTCAACAGTTACTTTTGATGAAGCAGACCCACGCTCAACAGTTACATATCAAGAGAAATACTTTTCATCGAAAAAAGAGCAAACGAATCTAGAGTCATATTCCGAAATAGGGTTCAAAATATTTCAAAAGGCGAATTCCTTAATTGGCTCTCCCGCCCAAAATATGGTCTCAGATTTGATATCAAACTTGAGTAATGTAATTCCTCCGATAGCATTACGCACATTTGGCGTGCCTATAGTTAGCTTCAGTGCAGGAGATAACTTTAATCAGCAAGACGGCAAGTTGATCCGGCCAGGAGATATTCTGGTCATCAGAAAGGGCAAGTTCCAAAGCCATGGAAAGTTGCTTCAAAAAACAAGCCATGAATTGGGAATGGACGCAAATCCATTTTCATGTGTGATCAGCGAGTTCGACTTCTCCAAGGGAAAAATCAGAGTTATTGAGGAGCATAATGGAAAAGTGAGGCAATCTGGGTATCGTCCAGACGACTTGAGGAGTGGAAAATTCAAAATATTTAGAGTCGTAGGGAGAAGTTATGTAGGCTGGTAGTTAGTCTTCTAATGATTCATGCTGAACTGCGTAAACGAAATTTTCTGATTCTAGACATTTATTTTATTTCGTGTCATGTTCCGATGCCCACTTAGGCAGAGCACTTTCAAATGAAAGTTTTCCTTCAATGTCAGAATACTTCCAAGCATGCAGATATAATTCTAGCGTCTCAGGAGTTGGATCAGGGATACTTGGAGTACCGCAATACATGCATTTCTCAGAAAACTCAGATTGCGTACGCCTTTTTTGGAGTTCTTCACACTCGATAACAAATTCGTGAAATCTTTCTGACAGCTGATTCTCACTCAAACCAGAGGTTTCCCAGTTTTCCACGTCCAACATGAACTGAAGTCGCTTGGGGTACAAGGTATTCTGGTAATTGTAAAAAGGATCATTACTGATGGCGTGCCCTAGTCTTGCCAAGTGTATTCTAATTTGGTGAGTTCTTCCCGTCAACGGCTGACATGCCACTACAGTTTCATCAGAGGCGGCGATATATCTTATGGGATAAAAGTTGGTCGTCGCTTCCCTTGCAGGAGAAAGCCCCGCTCGAAATCTTTTTTTGGGTTCTACCGTAAATATTGGTGAGTCCACTTTTGTTACTTTATCAGATTGTTGGAACAGCTCATCGGATGAGAAGTACTGGATGTCTGAGCTTGCATGTGGAAACATCCCTCGGACTCTTGCCAGATATACTTTACGCATATCTCGGGATCTTATTTTCGCTTGTATCTTGTTTGCAGTGTAACAATTTTTCGCTAATATTAATACTCCAGATGTAATCTTGTCCAGGCGATGAGTTGGAAAGGCTGTTTTCCCTGCACCGCTTAGAATTTCAGTAATTGTATTCTGAAAATACTGACCAGTTGGATGAACAGGAATCCCGCATGGCTTGTTTATGACAAGAAAATTCTCATCTTCGTGAATAATATCCATCCCCGCTATCTGGGTGGCCGTGGTAAGCTCATCTGCACTCCACTGGCGTACTGGCGGCTCGTGTTTGTGGTCAGTTGTCTTAACCAAATCCTTGTTTTGTATAAGTGCATTGAGGGTCTGTTCAACGGAAAGTGGCTCGCCTTCCCTGATCAGCTGAAAGTCCTTTTGGATAATTCTATTTAAGTAATCATCTCTGCTCAACGTCCTAAACTCATTAGATAGAACGTCCAAAAGAGTCCTGTTCAGCCACCTTCCTTTGGCGAAACAAGTTCTGGAATGGTAGTATGGCTTGATTTTCCTTAATCCATTGGTGAAATGAACCTCTATGCCCATTTGAAAAGCTACCGAACACTCAGTGCTTCTCTTCCAGATGGCCTACTTCCGAAAGTGAAAGATCGAGAAATTTAAACCCATACACCAACGAACAATTTCTTTAATGCATCGATTGAAATTATCTGTCAATCATCCCAAAATGAGCGAGACATACAGTAGTTTATTTATCAGATGTGTTGGGCATATACGCGTGCTAATGGTCCACAGAACCGGAAATGAAAGATAATGATTTGTGAAATATTTGTGGCTGTGTTTAGAGCAGTTTCGCATTTCATTGATTAGAACAATCATAGCTCACATCGAGTGTTGATGGTGTCTTACGGCTTTGAATATTTACATGTGTAAACCAAACTTTCAAACTTTAACTCGACAGAAACAATCCTTTAGATGTAGTTGTGGTTGTTCCATGAAGCTTGCTGCCATTAAATTCACTTACATGAAATGCGTGTACAATATGTCACATTCATTGAAATATACGAATGAATGATGTTGTACATGAGCACAAATTCCGCAATTTAAAACAGGTAGGCCTGAAATGCCTAGTCAAGCTTCGCGCGTCAGTTATCAATCCTTGCCTTATCTTCTTCGTCAAGTGAAAGTGTCAGAGACCCATGCATATTTTCTTACTATTTTTCATGAAGCAAACGGAAATCCCAGGCACATCACCATTCTGGACTAACAGAATGAAATCATTCGCTAATGGGAAGTCGCTTAGTATTAAAGACTCTTAAAGACGCTGGAAAAGGACGTCTAGCATATCCCGTGGAAAACTCTACCCCTCCTGTATCGCGAGATCTAATCAAGTCCCAGCTTAAAGATTTTCGAGAGAGTTTACCTCGATGTATAACTGATTATGCTGATCATGGGTTAGGGTTTATCAAGAGAAATAAACGGCTGAGTCAATATCTGAAAGGGAAAAAAACGCTAACCAAAGCTCGATCACAAGTTCATGGAACGAGTAGCGTCGCACAGGTGTATCAGAATGCAAATCGTCTTTTTTCGAAGCAAGCTAAAGTATATCATTGTGATTTCTTTCGACTTCTCTATTTCCCACCAGATCACTTTTTGTCACTCTTTCGTAAAAGCAAGCCTGGGGTCAATGTACGCATAGTGGGCGAGGTGTTTCTCAACGGAAATGTTGCCACTGATGACGGGAAACAGTTGAAATCTACAGAGTTATTCAAACAGAAGAGCAAAATGGAAAGCTATGGCAGGAAACAAGATGTGAATAAATTCAAATACAAATTCCCACTATTCGCTGGCGATGGGACTAATATACCTAAAAACTACGCTTATTTGAGACGCTATCTGCGGGTATTCGTGGATAAATGCTTTATCAAAGAATGGACCAAATTGAATGGCGATAAGGCCGTTTCGGAACAGGTCCGGTTCTCACAAACTGTACATGGCCGGCAGAGGAAAATTACCAATGATGATGGCATCAAGTGGAAATACTTGGATACTACAGGCCAGAGCAAACGCGGGGTAGCCAAGGATGGCTTCTACTTGTACCAAGTTCTGATATTTCCAGATGTACATACAAAGCATGAGTTTGAGGCGAACATCGTGAGAAGCGTGCAGACAGTTGCCAATCTAGAATGGCCAGTGTTTCTCAAGGGTAACACTCCAGGCAAAACCTGGGTTCAAGAAGTAAACAATAGAGTTCGGGTTTCCAACCTGAACACCTACCTAGTGCGCGACCAGGTTCCAAGCGTCGTCGAGAAGATTTGATAATACAGTTATCATATTACTATCAAAAGTGTATCCGTTAAAGACAAAATCTTACAAAAATGTGTCTAATAATACAAAGATCTCGGAGCCGGGCCTTGATGCTCTGCTGGTGTATGCAAACCGGTAGTCATTCTTTACCTCAGATATGAGCTGAACTACTTTTGTGAGAAATTCTCATTTTCTCTTCCCTTTTCCTCCTCTGCCCAGTTCAGCCTCTTCTGCAGCGAGCAGTGCCTCCCGCTCTTGCTTTGCTCTTAGCTTTTCTTGTTTCTTTTGCTCCTCAAGGAGCTTCTTTTGATTAGGCTGTCTCGCCCCGGCCTCCCATTTGGAAGCCTCTTCTGCCTCTACCCTTTCCCTCTGTGCTCTGTCCTTTGCAGCAGCTTGCTCTTTTTTTCTTTGCTGTCCTGCGATCTTCTTTGCAGCAGATTCACTGAATCTTTTACCCATCTTTCACTGTGATATCAATGTAGAGTAAGTTTGCTTGAAATTGTGAACTCATCGGCCGAAAATTTTTATATCTTCCAAGAGATAGGTATGGGTGAGTTGAATAGCAAATTCACCTAGAATACGAACAAAATCACGGTAAATAGATCACGGGTGCACCTGGTTCTTTCTTGTAGGATATGGGTAGTACAGAAACATGACGATGGTTATTATAACCCGCAAGTGTAAATATTTTGTACTTTTAAGTTCCATGACGGATACGGAAATGTCGACTGCCGTTAGGACAAAACTCCGAAAAGACCTTCCCCGATTGTAGAGGCCAATTTTGGACCATTGACGGATTCTTGGACGCCGCGCTTCCGTTGGTGAAGTGGCTAAGCTTAATATTCACGTGATAATACTTAACTCATCTTATATTTTTATTTTGTTCCAGTGGTGAAATCAACTCTTTCATATCGCTATTTTTAACAGGGAAGCGTTAACTCGGGAACAGAGCTTCGAGTGCGCACTATCCGAGCTTTTGGGTGCCCTCCATAAACTTGAATCATGGGTATCATCAAGAAGAAGTCGAAACAATCACGGCTGCTTTTGAAAGTCAAGGTTATCCAGGCGCGCAATGTTACCATTGAGAATTCTGGCTGCAATCCTATATGTTTAGCGACAACTAATGGGGTGTTTACGAAGACAAATAAGCAGAAAAACACTACTTCACCTACTTGGAATCAAGTGCTTAAACTTAGGCTGCCCGATCGTCCGTATTCCGAGCACTTGCGCATAGTCATTTATGATGTCCTCACGAGTACGTTCGGTGAGAATGGAGTTGAGGAAAACGGGCATAAAGATGCCAATGCATACGATACATCGAGAAAATATCTCTACCTTGGAGAAGTACAGGTCTCATTACTTGAACTATTTCGGAAGAGAGACAACCCTACCAGTTACAAATTCTCATCGGGACCTTCCTGGTATCGCCTTTACAATAGAAACGCCATCAAGTATGCGCATGCTAAACTTGAGCATGCGCCAACATCTTTAGCCGTAGGCGAAGTGCAATTAGCGTTCTCACTAGATTGTCCAAAAGGCCAGACACTTTTTAAAGCATTTAACGATTGGCAAATGACACTGGTGGAAGACCTAGAGCGCCTTAAGAAACAACGTTCATCAAGTAGAAGCAGGAGCAATTTGGATCTTCTTTCAACTGCCGTGGCGGATGCTGCGTCTGTAATCTCCGATGTTTCCTCAGATGCCACTGATTTCGAAGATATCGTGGAGGTGCCGAGCTTAGAAGAGACGGAGACAACCGCAAACACAGAGCTGGTCAGTTTAAAGTATCTTTATGAGCAGTTTGGAGAGCTACTGGATGACGAGGATGATGACGAAGCGGAAGAAGATTTCGAAGAGGAGGATGAAAACGATATTGAAGATATTGAAGATATTAATGATGACGACGATGACTTCGCCGATTTCGATGATGTAACAACGAATTTGCATTTGAATAAAGTTGCAACGGCACTTGATGAATATGATGTTGTTTTATCTACCTCAAATCTATCCTTAGATCCTTCCACAAATCCGACTTCCCAACTGACCAACGATGATATAATCTATGAATATAGTGACGAGAGCGACGGAAAAGAAAGCCAACTGATGATGCTTATGCAGAATAACAGAAAACCTCGCAGACGTGGGCGGCACAGAAATGGAATGAAGTTTCAGTTATCCAAAAGGGAGCACGCAGCTGGTGTCATCTTTTTGGATATCGAGAAAATCATCAACCTACCGGCTCTCCGAAATAAATTCTCAAAGAGATACTTGATGGACCCATTTGTCATTATAACATTCGGCAGAAGGGTATATAAGACCTCATGGCGCAAGCATTCGTTAAATCCAGTTTACAATGAGCGCATAGCGTTTGAAATTTTCTCTAATGAAACAAATTTTGACTTTCACTTCAAGGTTGTTGATAAAGATTCTTTTTCTTATCACGACAATGTTGCTGAGGCTAGCATCTCTTGGTCCGAGCTAGATAATATGCAGCATGAAAATGGTGAAGGTTATGCAATCCCACTTACTCTAAACTTGAAACTCAACGACGATCTTCATTCTGACGATTACTCTCCACAGCTCTTTGCGAAGTTCAGTTTTGTTTCTTACAAGAATCTGAAAAAACATTTTTGGGAAAGGGTCATCAACTATATGTCGACTCTGAAGGAATTTGATATAGTCGAATTGAGTTTATTTATGGATCAAATCGGTACCTTTGCCGATGACGAAATAATGAACTGTTTTTACTACGCAGGCAAGTCTCCTTGGGCTTATGATAAAGTAACAAGGGAAGAGGTTGTTGAGTACCTACAATTATTGAAAAGTTCTGCGGGATTCAAAAAGATAAAAAAGTGCCCTCTTTGCTTCAGAAGGTACAAAAGCACCAGAAATGCTGTTAATTCGAAGCTCACCATGGATAATGACCTAATTACTCATTTTGCTATCTGTTCTGCTCGTGACAACAAAAAGAAACTCCTGAAGCCTTCATATGTTTCGTCTGATTTCGCATCCAAGAGATGGTTCTCCAAGTTTCTCATAAAATTAACTTACGGTAGATATGCACTTGGCTCCAATAATGCCAACATTCTCGTGCAAGATAGGGATACTGGTGTTGTTATCGAGGAGAAAATCAGTGCACACGTCAAATTAGGAATAAGAATTATTTACAATGGAAAAGGAACGCAATCTAAAAAGTTTAAAGCACTTTTGAAAAAGCAATCCATCAAGCAAGGCAAAAAGTTCGATAGCTCGAGGTCGGTGAAGGAAATTGATTCATTCATTAAATTTCATTCTCTCGATACATCAGAATGCGTTGAAACGGAATATAAAACGTTCAATGAATTTTTTTACAGAAAACTGAAGCCTGGTAGTAGAGAACCTGAAGTGGAAAGTCCAAAAGTTCTTTTGTCTCCAGCAGATTCTAGGTGTACCGTTTTTTCAAGCATCAAGTCATCTAAACAAATATGGATTAAAGGTAGAAACTTCACCTTGACCAAATTGACTGGGAACTATCGTCCTGAGGTCTTTAACGATCGATCTTGTAGCATTGGGATTTTCCGGTTAGCTCCTCAGGATTACCATCGTTTTCATTGTCCCTGCGACGGTATCATTGGAAAGCCGAAATATATTAGCGGAGAGTATTATACTGTCAACCCTATGGCTATTCGCACAGAGCTGGACGTTTTCGGAGAAAACGTACGAGTTGTTATCCCTATTGAGTCTGAGCATTTTGGGACAATTCTTTATATTCCTGTTGGTGCGATGATGGTAGGCTCCGTCATTCTCACATGCAATGAGGGAGACAAAGTTGAGAGGGGTCAGGAATTGGGCTATTTCAAATTTGGAGGATCGACTGTTCTTCTCATTATTCCATCGCAGAAGATTGAATTTGACACTGATTTGCTGAAGAATTCAGAGGAGCGCATTGAAACGCTGGTAAAAGTGGGAATGAGTGTCGGGCATACGCCGGATGTCAAAGAGCATAAGAGGGAAAAAATTATCATTAGAAGCAAGGAGGAACTAGATCGTATCACCAGAACCATAACTGTCACAGACGACACCGCCAAAAGTGTAAGCAACGTTTCCTGGGAGTACCAAACTTTACAAAAGCTTGCTAGTCATAACATTTCCTCTTCCACACCAGTCTCATCGGATCCAACAGATACTGGATTCACAGAACTAATTAGCATATCATCTGACTAAATGGTCTTTAAATCATCATTCTCATGTTAATATCATATAATACGTAAATTCACGCGTTGGTTTGTCCATCTCAAAAATTTGGCGTCTATTTCATATTCCTCCGATTGATCATCAGCATGGTAACAAATCCTGATGGATTCAATTCTTCAAAGATTCAAGTAAGTAGTAAAACATATTACTATCATTTATTATTTGCCGTTTGTCACTAACATATCCTCTTTAGTGAATCAAGATCAGACGAGGGTGCGGAACCCATATTAAGGCAAAAGCTGACATTTGACCGCAAGCCAAATGAATTTGCTTTGAGTTTTGAAAAGCGCATGTATGAGCGACAATACTATTTAATGTATCAACGCCGATTGGAAGTTTTAAGGGAGCGGGTAACTAAGAAATGCGAAGCAAAGTGGGACGATGGTTTTAGACTTCGCGGTAAACTTGTGGTCAAAAAGAATAAAGTTTTAGACATTCGTGCTAGTGAGCCATGTTGGTGTGTGGGTACAATATACTGTGAAATGAAATACAAGCCTAATATTCTCGACGAGGTTGTTAATGATGTTTATGGTGCTCCAGACTTAGTTAAAAGCTATACAGATCCAGAAGGGACTGATGAGATCATGTTGGAGGACGAAAGTGGGCGTATATTGTTGGTGGGTGACCTAGTAAAAAAAACTCCTTTTGTAAGCGGCACAGTTGTTGGCATTTTGGGAATGGAAGCAGAAGCTGGTACATTCCAAGCCCTCGATATATGTTATCCTTATCCTATACCTCAAGCCCCACTGCCTTCAGTACCGACTAAAGGAAAAATAGCCCTTTTGTCAGGTTTGAACGTGGTTCCAAACGACCCAGTTTTATCTACGAAGCTAAAAGTACTGGAGGATTATTTGAGCGGCGATATAATTGATAGTAAGGAAGTATCAAAGATCGGGAGGCTCGTGATTTGTGGTAATTCTATGCACCCAAGTAGCTCTTCTGATCTTCCTGGTTGTCTAAATGAGCTTGGAGGCTTTCTAGTTAATGTTCTACGAACGATTCCAGTTGATATCATGCCTGGTGAAAATGACCCTAGCGACAGAAGCCTTCCTCAACAACCATTGCATAAAGCATTGTTTTCAGATGTATTATCTGATCAGCTTGAAAATGTAGAAGAGTCACTTTTTCGACCTGTCACGAACCCCATGTGGTTTGCGATTAATGGCTTGGATTTGTTGGGTACTAGTGGTCAAAACATTAATGATATTTGCAAGTATATTATACCAAATTTCAACAATACGGATGATTTATCAGTGGAAGAGCAAACCAATGCTAGATTTCGCATGATCGAAGGAACCTTAAAATGGCAGAACATTGCACCCACAGCGCCAGACACTCTTTGGTGTTATCCTTACCAAGATAATGATCCGTTCATTCTTGACAGATGGCCTCATGTTTATTTTATCGGTAACCAGCCTCAGTTTGCTGCGAGGGATATCAACTTGGGCGACGATTTGAGAGTCAAGGCAATCACTTTACCGGAATTCAGCACGACCGGCCAGATTGTAATTTTGGACTTAGACACTCTTGATACAGAATTGATTACAATTCGTGCATAAAACGAACACTATTATTTACAGGTATATATTTATTAATGATATCTTTGTTTCTATTATACTGAAATTCTATAAGGAATTCTTTTCAAAGGAACATCCCTGCCCCTCTTATTAGCGTCCCCCCCATATTCATGGTCGAATCCAAATTTTGCGTAGTCGATAGTTCTTCGATTAAGCGAAATGTCGATCCGGTTAAGAAAGCTGTTAGAAAGCTCAGGAATAACGGGTTGGCATAAAATAGATAGAATTCTTGACACTTCAATGGCAGTGAAAATGACGAAATCTTGAGTGCTCTCCGACTTGGACCATGGTTCGGATATTTGAACAAATTGATTAGTATCATTCAAAAGATTCCATGCAACCTTAAGTGCACCATTCGTATGAAATTTGGTGAATTTTTCGTGGAACACTTCTACTAGATCATTACTTTGTTCCATTAGTTTGACAAAAAGATCTCTCTGCTGTTCATTGAGAAGCTCTGTAGCTATCTCTGCGTAGGTCGTTTTCCCAGCAAAAGTATCCACTGCCCGATGCAAATCAAACTTCTTCGCGCAGCAGCGATTGATTAGATTACCCCATTTGGATACAAGCTGCTCCCTTGTAGCATGCAGGCGTTTCTCGTTAAAATCTCCATCAATATCAAGTTGAGAATTTTCCAAAAGAAACCATCTCATGGTGTCAGAACCGTAGTATTGAATCATTTCCTCTGGGTCGACAACGTTTCCAAGTGATTTGCTCATTTTCACTCCACCAGAGAGCCAGTGGCTATGAACAACTACTTGCTTAGGTAAAGGCAATCCAGCTGCCAGAAGAAAACTTGGCCAATAAATAGTGTGGAATTTGATGATATCTTTACCAATCACATGAGTAGTGTTCTGCCACCACTGTGCTGGTTGATGAATACTCGTTACACTACCATGCCTCACCATTGCCGTGGAATCTGAAAGAATTGCGTCAATCCCCCCTATGGATGTGATATAATTGCACAATGCATCAAACCACACATAAATCTTCTGAGTTGGATCTTGAGGCACATCAATACCCCATTTAATACGTGAAGATGGTCTTGAAACAGACAAGTCAGTTAGCGGAGACCCTTTCAATTCTCTCAAGATTTGACGTGCTCTTGACGGAGGGAAAATAAAGTTGGGATCATCTTGCTCTATGAGCTTGACAAGCTGGTCCCTAAAATGCGATAATTTGAAGAAATAATTTGTTTCTGATTGGAAAATAACCTCATTTCGAGTTTCTGTATTGATAAATTTCCCCAGCTTATCTATATTAGGATTGTTAATGCTAATTTCATGTCCATCTTTCGTAACTTGTACAATTTTAGAGTCCGGATAAAATGTTTCGTCTGAAACGGAATACCAGCCATTGTGAGTCCCCTTGTATATGAAGTTCTTTTCCCAGCATAGTGTCCATAGTTTCTTTACGTTTTCAATATGATCTGGGTCGGTTGTCCTTATAAAGCGCGAGTATTTGATATTTGCCTGTTGATCTAGTTTGGTGAATTCACGATACAGAACGTCGACGAAATCTTTTGGAGACGAAAACTTATTCTTTTCACTAGCGAGTTGTATCTTGAGGCCATGTTCGTCGGTCCCTGTGGTGAAAAGAGTGTCATAACCTAGTAGCTCATACCAACGCCGAGTGGTATCGCATAAGAGGCTTGAATACAGATGGCCTAAATGTGGCTTCGCATTCGGATAGAAAATCGGTGTGGTAATATGAAAGACAGGCCTCTTAGATCCCTTGGCTATCAGGCGTCCCAAGGACATTTACGAGCGAGCTTTACTATAGGAGGACCTCGATTTGACGATAATTGTGACAATTTTCAGCAAAGCGCGAAGTTTTGCCGAGAATTAATAACAAGTTAGAGTATCATTTAAAGTGTCATTAGCAATGTATTAGTTGGCCTTTCTCATACGTAGTGAAGGAAATTTTGATGCCACATTGTTTATTTGTCTAAATACATATACATTTTTTGATCCACATATAGCCAGAAACAGTATGATCCAGTGAAACATCCAAAGAGGCTCCCAGATTATACAAAAATGGCCATTAGCGCAAAAACGCTGTAAAAAATAACCAATGGATATGCAACCAATACTCTTGTGTTATGCAATTGTAGCACTGTGGTGAAAAATCCCGAAGATGACCATGTGCACCAGCATACAAACATCAACGCTAAGGAGTACCCAATTGTATTGTCCAGAGAATGAAAGACACCAGCGAGAGCCAAAAAACAGAGAGGAAGGAAGCAGTATCCAAGAATAGATGCGGTTCTCAAAAATTGCAACTGTGTTTGCTGTTGTTTCTGTTCACCACCCATGAGTTTCAACAAAATATGTAAAGACACGGTTCCAAAGAGAGCAACACCATAGATGTAACCAAAATGGACTTTGCCAGCCATCAACAAAAATGTCCCAAAGAGCAGACAGAAAATTAGAGGACCTGCCAGATCACAGTCGCCCATGATTTCAGTTGGAAGGGCACTGGTGCTTTGAATGGGTTGCAATACGATTTTAGTCTTGGTGGCGATGTGGCTGAAGTTAATCCCTAGTTCTTCGAGTAATGGTAGCTCGTGTGAGTAGCCCTTAGTGGATAAGGCATTCAACAGACCGGAAGGAAGCGGTTCTTGCGCAAACGCTGGGTTTGTTGTTGTTGCTGCCGGCTGATTGAAAGACATAGAGCCCTGTGGGAACTGAAACTGGGGAGAAGGTTGGTAAAATCCCGTAGGGCCATTATTATTTGCTTGGTTATAGAATGCCATGGTTTGTACCAGTTTCGTGATCTATTTGGTGATGGAAGTGATAAAAGAACACCAAACGGTTATTATTTACGACACTCGCTAAAGAATCGGAGAATTGATGATATACAATGGGGGAGAGTCAAAGGTGTCGATTATGTTGGCATTTATGTGATAATAGAAGATTATCTGAATTGTTGGGATATTTTAGACGGCATTAATCGGCGTACAACACTGCCAATGGCTCTTGAGCTAGCTTTTACTAGGTCTGTTCACATGACCTTGGCATGGGAAGAAATAGGAAAAATTTTGACTATTCATGAAGGCGATGAGGGCGCACGTAAAGACAGCAGACACAGTTACCAATAAACAAAGCAATCAAGATGGGTATTATTGATAAAATCAAGGCTATAGAGGAGGAGATGGCGCGTACGCAAAAAAACAAGGCAACTGAGCACCACCTTGGTCTGCTGAAGGGTAAATTAGCCCGTTACAGACAGCAGTTGTTGGCGGACGAAACTGCGTCATCTGGAGGCGGAGGCAGTGGGTTTGAGGTGGCTAAGAGTGGAGACGCGCGTGTGGTGCTAATTGGGTATCCATCTGTGGGTAAGTCATCGCTACTGGGCAAGGTGACCTCGACAAAGTCCGAGATTGCACATTACGCATTCACGACTTTGACGTCGGTACCAGGTGTGTTGAAATACCAAGGTGCGGAGATTCAAATTGTAGATTTGCCGGGTATCATTTACGGTGCATCTCAGGGTAAAGGTCGGGGTCGACAAGTGGTTGCGACTGCACGGACTGCGGACCTGATTTTGATGGTCTTGGACGCAACCAAGGGCGCGCATCAACGGGAATCGCTAGAGAAAGAATTGGAAGCGGTGGGGATCCGTTTGAACAAAGAGAAACCCAACATCTACTACAAGAAGAAGGAAACCGGCGGGATAAAGATCAATTTCACAGCGCCGTCGAAGGCGAACCTAACGGAGGACGCGATCAAGTTGATCCTGCGAGACTACCGGATCCACAACGCGGAAATCCTGGTGCGGGACGACAAGTGCACGATCGACGACTTCATCGACGTGCTGAACGAGCAACACCGCAACTACATCAAGTGCCTGTACGTTTACAACAAGATCGACGCGGTTTCGTTGGAGGAGGTGGACCGGCTGGCGCGCGAGCCCAACACGGTGGTGATGTCGTGCGAGATGGACCTGGGGTTGGACGACGTGGTGGACGAGATATGGTACCAATTGAACCTGAGCCGGGTGTTTACGAAGAAGCGCGGGGTGAGGCCGGATTTCACGGACCCGCTGGTTGTGCGGCACAATTCGACGGTGGGGGACCTGTGCCACTCGATCCACCGCGACTTCAAGGACAAGTTCAAGTACGCGCTGGTGTGGGGGTCGTCTGCGAAGCACTCGCCGCAGAAGTGCGGGCTGACGCACCGGGTCCACGACGAGGACGTGGTGAGTTTATTTACGAAGTGAGGCGGGAGCTGGGACGGGCTCTTGGGGCCCGCGGCGGCGCCCAGGCAGGGCTGCGATGCGACTTACGTGAAGAGCTGGCATTCGAGAGAGGCGAGCCGAGCCGTGCCGTGCCGTCGCGCGCGATGTGCGTCACGTGCCGAACAGGTCACATTCCCAGGTTGCTCATTTTTTCCGTCCTCCGCTTTCCTCCGTCCGTAGCGCGTGTAGTGATTAATGTATTTTAGAAGTCAGCAGCATGACGGTTGGTGTAGTCAGCGCGGGCCGCGAGGTCCGCGACGTGACCGCGGCTTTGCGGCGGCCGAAAGGCGCGCACGAAAGGAACCGCGGCCGCGCCCACGTGACCCGGGCCCCACAACCACAAAAATAGTGGTTGCTAAGAGATTCGAACTCTTGCATCTTACGATACCTGAGTGCTCCGTCCTGGGGACGTTAAGAGTGACTCTTGAATCAGGCGCCTTAGACCGCTCGGCCAAACAACCGCTGGTTGGAATACCGGCAGCCCGCGCCAGGCATACCCGCCGGCCGCGACCCCGTGCCCGTCACGAACCCGCTCCGCGGCCCCCGCCCCATCCCCCCGCCGCACGAATTGCGCGTCAGCGTGCCGCAATGACAGCGGCCGCAACTGCGGCGCGACGCGCCGTTTCACGTATATAACCGCACGCTCGCCGACGCTGGCTACCCAATCACGTCCACGCTCGCACTCACACTCACATCCACACTCGCGCTCAACTTCATCCTCAATGTCTGTCGAGCACGACGCTGTAGAACTCGAACTCACCGCATCCACGTCCACGTCTGCGCCCACGCCGGACGCGCTGCGTGAAAACCTGAAATCTCTCGCCGCCGGCGGGGTCGGCGGCGTTTGCGCCGTTCTCACGGGCCACCCGTTCGACCTGATCAAAGTCCGGTGCCAGTCGCACCAGGCGTCCGGCACCTTCGACGCAATCCGTCGCATCCTCCACGAGGCCCGCGCTGCTCCGGGCTCCGCGCCCGCCGCGCTTAACGCCGTGCGCGGCTTTTACCGCGGCGTCATACCGCCGCTGCTCGGCGTCACGCCCATCTTTGCAGTGTCGTTTTGGGGTTACGACGTGGGGAAAAAACTCGTAACCTGGCGCGGCGGCACCTCCGACGTTTCGTCGCCGTCCGCCCTCGAGGCCACCGTCCCCGCATCGGAACGCAAACTCACAACCGCACAAATGGCAGCCGCCGGGTTTTTCTCGGCGATCCCCACCACGTTGGTGACCGCGCCAACGGAGCGTGTCAAAGTGGTGTTGCAGACGACACGTGACGGGACCGTGGCGCGCGCCGCGCGCCAGATCCTCGCAGACGGCGGGGTGCGGTCTTTTTTCAAGGGCTCCCTTGCAACGCTGGCGCGCGATGGGCCCGGAAGTGCTCTCTACTTCGCGTCGTACGAAGTGTCCAAGGAGTGGTTGCAACGGGGACGCGCGGCTGATGAGCTAAGTATCGGTAGTGTTTGTATCGCTGGGGGGATCGCAGGGGTTTCCATGTGGCTCGGTGTTTTCCCCATCGATACCATCAAGACAAGGCTGCAGGCCGGGTCAGGGTCCGAGTCAATGTTGGCGGCGACGCGGGCGATCTACCGGGCGCGCGGCGTGGGCGGGTTTTTCCCTGGGCTGGGGCCTGCGCTGCTGCGCAGTTTCCCGGCCAACGCGGCGACGTTCCTGGGCGTGGAGCTGACGCACGCGGCGTTCCGCAAGTACGGCGTGTAGCGGAGCTGGCGGAGCGGGTGTGTGGGCGTTGCCGTCGGCGCGAGCCACGGGTCGCGAATCGCGTCCGACGGCGGGCCGCCCGTTGTAGCTTTGTACGAGTATTTATACCTGTATACGAAAGCGTCGCGCGTCGCTCCCAATACACATGTCTAATTCTAATCCGTGTATTGCATCCAGTTGGTGGGCTTCTTCATGTCGTTCACGGTGTAGAACTTGGTCGTGCACGAGTACCCGCGCCACGTAAAGTCCTCTTGCGGGTTGCATGCGCACCGGTTCCCCAAGCGCACCGCGTCGTCGATCGGACAGGAGTGGAAAGGCACGTGGTAGTAGCCCACGTCGCCGAAATGGTGGATCTCGGACCGGTCCAACAACAACGCGGCCGCGATCGAGTGCACGGGAGCGTCCCCCCACCGTTCGTAGAAAAACCCTCCTGCTTGGTCCAAGTAGTCAAAGTACGCGGAGTACGCGTCGCCACGCCACAAGTCTAGCCACCCAATTTCGAAATTAGACCAGAAATGGCACAGGTTGTACGAGGCACCCTGGTCGTCCGAGATGAAGTCCAGCATGTTGTTTGGATGCAAGTGCTGGGGGTATTTGTCCATGAACTCACGCGTGGTCTTCCACAGCGTCTCGATCGTGGCCGGGTACTCGCGGATCGAGATCGTGAACCCGTACTTCTTGTTGTTGTCGCGCATAAACTTGAAAACATCGTAGTTGATGTCACAGTGGATCCGCGTGTCGGGCTCCACACGCCAGTACCAGTCGTAATCGTCCAGTTCCTTTTGGCGGTAGAAAAATCCAGACTCAAACCGGCACATGTGTCGATACGACTCCGAGTCCCCGTAAATGATCCCCTTCTTGCCCATTTCCTCGCGAACTTCCGCAGCCTTCTTCTTGTCGATCCACTCCGGGTACGACCAGTGCTCTTTGGGCACCAGTCCGTACTTAGTAGTACCACTGACCATCGCGGTGGTCACCCGGATAAACTCCTCGTCGAATTCCTCGTCATTCAAAAACAACCAGTCGTAGTGGAATTTCCGGTTGAACCGGTCCTCAATGCTCGCAATCGACCCGATCAGCGAGTACAGGTCCCGGTTGCGCACCAACGTCACGAATGTGGCCTTCTCCTTGGGGCCCGTGTAGGGGCCATCCGTGTTCACCGTCCGATATTTGAGCCCGTCTTTGCTCACAACATTGCTCTTTATTTTCAGTCCGGACCCGCCGCTCGAGAACGACGCGCCCTGTACAAGTACCCAGAATGTCACAACCAGGATACCGGCTGCAGCGGCTAACTTGTAGACAGCTTCTTTGTTCTTCAAGTTCATTGTCCCTTCCTGGCTTGACTAACGAAACGAAATGTTCTTACGTGTCTCTTTTTTTCCCTTCTCTTTGCTCGACGCGAATTTTAAGCCAACGGTCGTCCAAATTTTGAATCTCGCACGAAACACGTTCCTGTGCTCTAAGTGGCTTGGCAGGAAGTTCTTGTAGAGTGAGTTCCATTTTCTGACGGCACGGTGGGTGTACTCACGAGCTTCAGTGCGTTTTGTCTGCGAGGCTTTCTTGATTTCTTAACTCTCAAGTGTGTTCAATTGCTGCGTAGAGCCAAAAGAGCAAACACGTTACGATAACTTGCCCACTAGATTCTATGTACCACTTGCAAACCTCCATAATAGCACGAGCGGCCGTTGTCTACTGCGCTAAATAATGGAAAGATCACCGGAGCACGTGACCGCATCGTCAGTGGTGTGTTGTTTCAAATTTTCTAGTCCCCATCTCGCTTTCAACTGCGCAACCTTCGTGCAATCCAGCAAGAGGCATTAAAGGATGTCAAGAGTCGCTTCCGACCGTGCTACTAAGCGGTCCATATCGTCGACGATTGTAAGCTTTTTCAAAAAGGACAAGACGGGTGAAGAAGCGTGGTCCGTCGAAGAAACCGCACCGCTCTCGCCCGAGCTCGAACCGCAGCCCAACGACTCCGACAACTCCAAAATGGCTGAGCTGATTCTCTATGAGTCAGAAGCCGATACGCGGCCCCTCTTACTGCCGATTCTTCCGCTTCAACGCCTTAGGATGCTACGCTACAAACAACATCTGCGCCGTTTGCAGTATAACTTGCAAGAACCTTTCCTTCGGGACTTTTCGGGCTCACCGCAGTTGTCTCCTCCTCCTAAAAAGTTACAGCTCCAATCTCTCAAAGTAAGAAAGCCTGCCAAAGCTCTGCAAAAGAAAAGCGTACTGGGAAAACGCTGGAGCGGTGATCTCGAGTACGACCTGTCCGAATATGACGTGATCAAGAAACCAAAGAAGGCCTCATCTCTGAAAACAGAAACTCCCTCCATAGAATCTCCAGGATTAGCCCATGCAATTTTAAAGAGACCCGGAATCTCGAGCAGGCATGGTTCAGGCGATAATCTCACAGAGAATCAGCTAAAATTGCTCAGCGGGAAGCCTATGGTGAGCCTTGTCCCCAAGAGCAATGTCAAGCCAACAGAAGTCGCAAACATCAAGGACGCTGAGACACCACGGAAATTAGCAGCTTTGCCCAGTGTAGGGTTCGATTTCGTAAAGAATACAGAAAACGATTCCAAATTGGCCGCTGCAGCAGCTGACTCAAATGCTTCTCCTTCTACATCTAACAAAAGGAAATTGACACTCAGCTTTGAACCCACTCAATCGACTGGATCGAATGAATCGCAAAAAGTATCCTTTAACTTGAAGGCCGATACCCCCAATCAAGACGCGACTAAACCAAAGGCAACCGTTCCGTCTTTCAATTTTAGCGCACCTAAATCAGATGAAATCGAAGCGAAACCGCCTGCTTTTTCATTTGGAACTTCCAAGATATCCCCAAATCCTACGACCTTGGGAGATTCCAAACCTTTGAATGACGTCAAGGAAAAAAAACCATTCAGCTTCTCGTCATCAACAAAAGAAAATTCCAATGACAGTAAGCCTTCCTTTACGTTTGGAACTTCAAACCTTGCAGAAAATAAGCAATCGGCTAAAAAAACCACCGCTGAACCAGGTGAAAAATCTGAAAAGAAAACTCCTAGTTTCGTTTTTGGGAAGCCTTCAGAAAATGCAACTGCGTCAACCAAACCCTTGTCGTTACCTTTTGGCGCTGCCGCTCAGGGGGACACCCAAAATGGCGAGCCGGAAAGCATTTCGATCGGAAAGAATAATGAGACAAATTCCAAACCTATGGACTCAGAAAGCAAGGCAACTTTCGCGTTCGATACAAAATCTACTAAAAATACATCTGATGACCATACTGCTACAAACAAGCCAATCAAGTTCAATTTTGCGAATCCTTCAGTTGCTACCACCAATGAGACCAAGTCTCAAGTCTCTTTCAGTGCATCTGATAAGTCGGAACCCAGCGAGACAACAAATACTAAAAATACACAAGCAAAACCGCTTTTTTCGTTCGGCAACTCTGGTGGAGTTTCAGAAACTGCAACATCAAATCCATCGCTCATTTTTGGAGCCAAAGATTCGTCTACCAAGGATAGTAACGAAAAACCTGTTTTCTCTTTTGGGGCAAAGGAATCATCATCGAAAGACGATAGTAGCAAGCCTATTTTTGCCTTCGGAGGGTCCCAACCATCAAACTCATCCTCAGATTCAAAACCTGCATTTTCTTTTGGCACTACAGAGAATAAGAAAGATGAAGGAGCAAAAGAAGCTCCATCCGAAACAAAGTTATCTCAACCTTCATCCTTAACTCCAGCGTTTTCTTTTGGTGGCACAGCTGATAAAAAGGAACCCACTCCTGTTTCCTTTGGGGCCCCTAGCACAACTAATCAAACTTCAGGGGCAAAGACGGCAGAGACGGGATTCAAGTTTGATACGTCCGGTTTGAAATCTAATGCCACAGCATCGAAACCATCGTTTACCTTTGGTGCGAATACGAGTGCTCCGGCTACAGCTAACGCCTCGAGTGCCGCACCTGCGGCGAAAGCTCCCTTCACATTTGGCACGTCACCATCCCCAGCGTTTGGTGCTCCAAATCCTCAACAAGCAACTTCTGGTTTTAACTTTAATTTTGCAAACGGCAGTCAGCAGCCGCCTGCTAACACTGGTCTGTTCGGTTCAGCATCCACTACAAGTAATAACTCCCCCGCTTTTGGTTCGACTACAAACAATCCACCGGTGAATTTCAATTTTGGTGGTGGAAATACAACAGCATCTTCGACTCCACCTCCCTTTGGTAATGCACCAACCCCTTCATTCTCTGGTCCAAACGCCCAGAGCAGACCGTTCAGCCCGTCCCATTCTGTAAATTTGAATTTTGGGGGTCCAGCGTCTCAGACGCCCAGCACAATTTTTGGTGCTGGTGCAAGTGCTCCTCCCGCCCAAATATTCGGTGGCCAGCCTCAGAATGCAATGGCAGGTTTTGGAAATCAACCACAAAATGCTGCGCAAGTGTTTAACGGCGCTGCTCCCGCCCCTGGGCCCCAGATGCCTATGCAACTTCCCCCAGGAAGGAAACTTGCTAGAATGAGGGCTAGGCGGGGGTGATATAGCACCGTTAGTCGATTATCATGCATTCTGTTTGTAAATATATATATGTGCATATATATGTAAGTGTAAAATAATAAATTTAAGTATATATGCGTATGGCATGCTTACTACTTCGGATGATCTCCAAGATGCGAAATTGCGAAGTTTCTAAAACAGTGCAAATGATTTACTCTCGAAGAATCAAAATTATACGCTTTTATGGTGTCCAATGAAGGGCATAGCGATTTAGTTTGGACTTCTCATTCGATGATCATGATTTACTGCCGATAGCATCGATTTTCTTGAGTTTGCAAAAAAGATGACTTGACTCAAATTAATCTGATAAATGTATTTAGTTTAATAATTGGATAACCAATAATTACACAGGCTGTTGGAGCCTCTTGGTATATTTTAAATGACAATCAATTCTGCGATTTTACAGGATATTATGTTTTCAAGTGAAATGACGCTTTGATTTTTTTAATTTTCTCTTTTGGGAACTAACAGCACTCAGAAATCTAAATATCCGGCTAAAACGTAACTATCAATAGCATAATCAAGTAGTTAAACAAAACTGTTGCTGACCCCAAGAGAACAATTCATGGATCAGGTATCACATGCTTTGAATAATTATATGCAGAGGTTACATGACCTTCTGGGAACCGAATACTTGGGTGCTGTACATGTTCCCTCGTTCTTGCTAGGGTGCTTTATAACAATAAGCCTCGCGTTAATGGAACCTCTACTGAGAGCATTAGTCGGAGGACTTATTGTTACTGCCGTTCAGCTTATCAAGTACTCGGTTATGGTGTGCGGGATAGTGCTATGTGGGGTGATTGTCTTATCAAAAGATAAAAAGCGATCTGCTATGGAAGGATCAACAGCTGTTAAGTTGGAAGATACACAAATCCCCACTCCGCGAGATCAATTCATAGAGGACGCATCAAACGATTTCGACATCGTGGGTTACAATAGCATGACATCCAGTAAGCATAGAAAACATACAGAACCCATTACCCCCGCCCGTACAGAAGAAAATGCATACGAGAACTTCATACAGATGGCAGGTTGTAACTAATGCTAAAAAGGTTTTATAAGACTTCTAAGTTAAAACGCTTTAAATTATACACCTATTAAAACATTTTGGATTTGTTTTTTGGAGTCGGAGTCGAGTAGAGAGCCATATATTTAAATGTGATTCACTTTCAACTTTAAAAAATTCGATGCTCTAGGAAAGATAATCCAAAATTTAGTGGGATTCACCTGGGATCTCGAACACGATTTGCTTACCGGTCAATTTGTTGTAGACGGCTTGGAAGGATTCCAACTTGTAGTCGACTTGTTGAACATCCTTGGAGTCCAACAAGACCTTTTGGACCTTGTTACCACCGACCAAGTATCTGACTCTCTTGCCAACGATTTCGGTTGGGAAAACCAAGTCTTCCAAGATCTTGTCGTGGACAGCAGTCAAAGTTCTGGATCTTGGTCTCTTTTGAAGTTGTCTAGATCTTCTGGATGGCTTTGGCAAGATTCTTCTTTCGGCCAAGAAGACGACGTGACGGTCTGGGAACTTCTTTTCCAACTCACGGGTCAACTTGATTTGGACCTTGTGGTAGGCAGCCAAAGATGGAACTGGGACAAAGATGGCAATAGCCTTCTTACCACCAGCAACGTCAATCTGTAAATACTGTTAGTAAGCTGAATTTTCGCACGTAACTGGGGGGTTACGATCTGAGCAGCAGGTTTCTCAAAGGACCGCCAATCGAAAGGTCCTTACAGTTCGACATGGTAGCTTGTTGGCGCAATAGCGCCGCAAACATCTTCAATAGGCAATCTCCAAGCACTGCATTTCATATGCTCACCCCCATGGACACATTTTCTTGTTTTTCACATACTTCTCTGATGGACTTGAATTGCAAAATTCTCAATTCAGCCTTCAACTCTGGAGAAGAGTTTTCCAAGTCAACGAAAGCTTGAGCAACTTGTAATTCCAATTCAGTTGGAGCTTGAGACAAAATCTTGGCTTGAGCAGACATTGTTGATTATCGTGATTCCTTTACTGACTGTGAACACTAATATCGAATTCACCTCTTCAGTTTACAAGAAGGACCTTTGAAAAAATTTGGCTGGCGCCCGCATCGAGAATCGCGTACAGGATGAGATCCTCTCCTCGGGCGGGCGACGGGCCGTCCAGCCTACTGGGAAGCGCCCGCGACGCCTGCCTAGCGAGAGCAGTTGCCAGTGCCCAGTGGGAGCCTCTGCTGGGACTGGCTACCGGAAGGGAGGACTCCCCCACTGGACGTCGGCAGACCGCCCAGGACGGAGCCCGGGCTACCTGCCAGGCGGGCTGCCTCCGGTGATTGGCACTAACGATTCGCGTGGGCGAGCTGCCCGTTCTACACTCAAGAGCAACGAGCTATACACTAAAAGCTAAGACGTCCATCACCAATGTACGGGTGTAAATTCAAAAATGCATGGGTTCGCAGTCATACACAAAACCACTCGTTTTCGTGCGTTAATAGTGACATGTTGTCGACTGTATCACAATTCACGATAATCCCTTTACCCCGGTGGAATTTTTACTTTTTCTCTTTCTATAAAGACTAAATTACTTATTCTGCCGTTCTTACGCTGGCGGCACCCACCATTCAACCGTATAACATGAGTTACCGAAGGCTATTTCGAGTATTCATTTCACACGCAACAGCAACGGATGGAGTTTTGCTGGGGTATCTAGCGTAGAGATCTTGGATAAAGCAAATTCAAAGCATGGTTAGGAGTACAAACGCCATTTACACCCCTCTTTTGTGTAAAAAGCGCCCTCGAGGCGGCTTCGGGTGAATCTCGGATGGCCCAGACACCTTTAAAATTTTTCGTCGGTGTGCGATGAGCAAGCTATGGTGAAAAATTAGCGGAAGCGACATGCCAGCAAAAGTTTTTCTGACAGATGCTCAGAACTAACTTCAACAAGCTTTTGCATACGAGCGTGCGCCGTGGACTTAAGATGAGCAGCTTGCCAGACATCAAGAGCTTATCTGCGCTTCATAGCACTTTGGAAGAGGCCAAACGTGCCGCAGCTTACAGGGCCGTAGATGAAAATTTGGATTTGCAACGGCACAGGGTTATCGGCGTGGGCAGTGGGTCTACGGTGATCTACGTAGCGGAGAGATTGGGCCAGTATCTGTTAGACCCCAAGTTCTCGATTTTCGCCTCGCAGTTCGTGTGCATTCCCACCGGGTTCCAGTCTAAGGAGTTGATCCTCATGAACGGCTTACAACTCGGGTCAATCGATCAGTATCCAACTGTCGACATTGTGTTCGATGGTGCTGACGAGGTGGATGCCAACTTACAATTGATCAAGGGTGGTGGTGGCTGCTTGTTTCAGGAAAAGCTAGTTAGCACCAGTGCTGCCAAGTTCGTCGTGGTTGCAGACTACCGGAAAAGATCGCCAAAATATCTGGGAACCAATTGGGTCAAGGGTGTTCCGATCGAGGTTGTGCCCAGTGGTTATGTGCGCGTACTGAAGGACTTGAAAGTCAAGCTCAAGTGCGAAAACGCGGTCCTCCGTCAGGGCGCACCTGCCAAGGCCGGTCCCGTGGTAACGGATAATTGCAATTTCATCATCGACGCGCATTTCGGCGAAATTGAGGACCCAGCTAAATTGCATCAGGATATCAAAATGCTGGTCGGCGTAGTAGAAACTGGTTTATTCATCGACAATGCGTCGAAGGCCTACTTTGGGAATCCAGACGGGTCTGTCGACTTGTTGGGGTGAATTCTGTGTATTAAAAAACAAAAGAAGGAAGATGTTTGCATATCGTACTATAATACTCTGTTAAGACCTTTTATCTCTAGCGGTGATATTAATTATATTCTTGAGCTTCTTTCCAAACATCAAAAAAAAGGTTACCTACATATTGTTACATAATTCGCTGTCGTTGCTCTTTTGGTCTCCGCGTACTACGCGGCCAACGTATGTTATTTCTCCTTGGTATTATTGGTGATCCAAGACAATCCTTCCACTAAACCTTGACCTGTGAGCGCGTTACTGCCAATGACGCACCACAATTGATTGTTCAAATGGTCGTTCAATTGCAAGTAGTCCGAAATTTCTTGCGGGTTAAGAGCCCCCTTCAAGTCCTGCTTGTTGGCAAGTACTAACAGTACGACATTTTCCATTTCTTTCTCGCCGATTATGCTGTATAGTTCTTCCTTGGCCTCGTTTAATCGTTCGGTGTCTTGAGAATCAATCACAAAAATAAGTGCTGTGGTGGCAGGAAAATAGTGTCTCCACAACGGGCGCAGTCTATCTTGCCCTCCTACGTCCCACATGTTGAACTTGACATTTCTGAATGACACCGTCTCCACGTTAAATCCAACAGTAGGCGCCGAAGTCTTTATCTTATTCAGTTTCAATTTGTAAAGAATTGTGGTTTTACCAGCATTATCCAACCCCAACATCAGGATTTTCATTTCACGGTACCCAAAGATCTTCCCCATCACCTTGGAAATCGAATTACCCATCTTGAAATTGTGTTTTGGCTAATCTTAGTGGTCAATGAGAAAGAAAACAATCATCAGATTTACATTATTTTTTTTTGACATCCTTCGCCTGCTCGCGTGAAACATACTTAACTTCCAACGGTACAATCGGAGAAACGAGCTGCCAAATTTTCTAGCGCAAGACGTAATTACAACGGTCTATTTCGCCGAAAGGCTCTCATCACCTTAAAATCTTTCTTAGCATCATTTTTAGAACCTTATCAAAACTCGAGGCCTTGTATTAATATTGTATCACGTGTACGCTACCTTTCCATCGGTATGTACACATTTTATGTTGATGCAAAGTAGAGATTACTGCTATGAACAAACACAGACGAAAACCACGGCAAGGATGGATTTCTCAGTACCGACGAATCTACGTTCGGACGTCCAAGCACAGCTTCAAGAACATATTCAGGATTATAAAGATGGAAATCTGACTGCCAAAGGTTATCTCAAAAAACGTCAACAGCTCTTGGAAAAGAATGGTGTCGTTGCTCCGGTTTCTTCTTTAGGAGGTAATTCACCATCAAAGAGGTTTCATGGTAGAAACCATAGTTTGGCGTCAACAATAAGAAGCCAAAATTTCGATAACATGTCCGTTTCCTCCACGGTTTATGCATCGCAGCAAGAATCGCCGTCATTTTACAGGGTCACAACGGTTAACTCAAGCTCACTCAACACCTCAAGCCCAGCAGGCAGTCTAGAGTTCAAAAATGAAGACGGAACTACCCGATATAAGCCTATGATCCCATTGCTTCCCAGAGCGAGTAGCGCGCCTATGTCAGAGTCACTGCCCTCCATCCTTAGGGCGCGATCTCAAATGTACGAAAAGGAAACTGCTATGATAAGTATAAGCTCTAAAGGAAAAGAAAACTACATATCATGGGAAAAACTGTATCTGAGAGCGGCAAAAGTGGCCCACGAGCTTCAAAAGAACAAACTCTACAAGATGGACAAAGTATTATTGTGGTACAATAGAGAGGAAGTTGTGGAATTTACCGTATCCCTAATGGGCTGCTTCATTGCCGGCATGGTGGCTGTGCCCGTTTCATTCGAGACTTACAGTCTCAACGACGTTTCTCAGATCATTACGCTTACCGGCTCTAAGTTCGCATTAATATCAGAGGAGTGTCTGCGGCAACTGGATCATTTACATGTTAGTGGTAATTCAAAAATTAAACTGACAAAGAGTGGATTCTTCTCACAGGTGACATATTTAAAGACAGATGATCTTGGCACATACGCAAAGGCGCGGAAAACAACTCCTACTTTTGATATTCCCAACGTTTGTTACATCGAGTTTACTCGAACGCCCTTGGGCAGACTATCCGGTGTTGTAATGAAGCACAAGATACTGTATAAACAGCTGGAAACAATGACTTGCATCCTTAACTCTAGAAGGAAATCTCACTGGAAGAAAGGCGATATCAAAAGACCACATAAAAGCAAAAAGTCGTATTCGCATTATGTTATACTTAACAGTTTAGATCCAACAAGATCAACTGGTTTAATTTTAGGTGTCCTGTTCAATATTTACTCAGGTAATTTACTGCTGACTGTCGATGATCGGTTGTTGCAACGTTCTGGAGGCTACGAAAATATAATCAATCGTCACCGAGTTGATATTCTACTAAATGATCAATTACAATTAAAACAAGTGGTTATAAATTATCTCGAAAATCCATCTTTAGCCATTTCAAAGAAATCTAAAATTGATTTTAGCTGCATAAAATGGTGCTTGACATCATGTACCACTATTGATACCGAAGTAACAGACATGATCGTCCATAAGTGGCTCAAAAATCTAGGTTGTATGGATGCTTCACAATGTTACTCCCCACTTCTTACATTATTAGACTTCGGCGGTGTTTTTATTTCATTAAGAGACCAGCTAGGCAAACTGGATAATTTCCCAGTTCACAACTCCAAATTGAGATTTCAAGACGAATTATTTATAGACAAGGAAGAGTTGAAAGAAAACATTGTCAAACCAAGTATCACGGCAATGATAAACTCCTCCAGCTCTACCAAAGACTATCTGAGAGTTTCGAGCTTCGGGTTTCCGATTTCTGACGCTACTTTATGCATTGCAAATCCTGATGACCATACTTTAGCTCCAGATTTAACTGTAGGTGAGGTATGGATTTCCTCTCCTAGTATTACTGATGAGTTTTATCAAATGGAAAAGATCAACGATTTCGTTTTTAAAGCTAAGTTGAATTTCAAGAGAATGTTCGACTTGTGGCAAAAAACCTCTACGGAAAATGATCAAAATATGGAACAGTCGGCTGAGCGAATAAGCATGATCATGAGTGTCTGCTCTCCGCAAACTAATTTTGTTAGAACGAAACTTATGGGTTTTGTTCACAATGGTAAAATATATATTTTATCACTGATTGAAGATATGTTCCTCCAAAATAAGCTTATTAGACTTCCAAATTGGTCTCATACTTCGGACATTACTAGAGCTAGGAAGAGCGAGACGTCTTCGACAGACCTATCTAAAAACAACCTGAAGAGCTTAAAATCCAAGCGAGTTGTTCAAACATATTATTTGCAACACGTCACCGAGAATATTGTGAGAATGGTGGACAGAGTTTCTGAACTATCCGTTTTTGAGCTTCCCTACAACAAATCCGAACATTTCTTGATAATGGTGGTCGAAAGCTCATTGGCTAGTAATAGTGCTTTATCACCTGGACAAACTGTGTTGGTTCCAACCGCACAACAGAAAGAGCAAGCTGAGAAGAAATTGAATGGTCTGGTCGAACAGATTTATAAAATTCTATGGATTTTCCATAAGATTCAGCCAGTTTGCGTGCTAGTCGTACCACCAAGATCATTACCCAGGAGATATTGTTCCCTTGAAATTGCGAACAGCACTGTCGAGAAAAAGTTTTTGAGTGGTGAACTAAATTCCAAATTTGTCAAATTTCAGTTTGATAACGTTATATTGGATTTTATCCCGCACTCAAGTTATTACAATGAAAGCATATTTTCGGAACGTTTGTCTTCACTCAGACATACAGCTGTGGCTGAACGTATCTACACGGCTACTGGTGCCTCTCCTGAAATCACCTGGCAAACCTCAGGGATCGACTACAGAGAGGAATCTTTGGACTCGAGAACAAATAAAAACATGACAACATTTTCAAACATCATGGAAATTCTAGAATGGCGAACAAAGACACAAGGAGATGATTTCGCATTCAGTGATGGTGGTAGCACTAATTCATCAGGTGCAGGTGGCTCGAATAACATCCATAGTAAAGTCTCTTGGCGAAGCTTTTTCGCGATCATTGGTTCTTTCGTCAAAAAAATTGTTCAATCGAAGACACCACTCAAACGAGGAGATCATGTAATAGTTCTTTGCGATAATTCTGTTGAGTATGTCGCCATGGTCCTGGCTTGCTTCTATTGCAATTTTATTGTCATCCCGATTTCTGGACTCCATGAATCAAATCCCATTGAAGAGATATCTTTTCTTATGAGCGTGGTTAGAAACTATAAAGTTAAGAGGATATTTGTAGATTTCCGAATGAATAGCCTGCTAGAAGATAATCCTGCTGTTAGCAAGGTCTTTAAAAAATTTCGGAGCGAACTACCTAAAATTACAGTGTTCTCCAAGATCAAGAAGAAAACAGATAGCAAGCAGAGTTCTTTCAAAGAGTACCTCAAGGAGAAGTTAGGGGTTCAAGCTAACAGTTCTCCTCTAGGACAACCATGTGTGATTTGGATTGACCGCGAGGTTGACACGTGTCGCGATATTAACGTTGCAATGAATCACACAATCCTATTAAACCTTTGCAAAATTAGCAAAGAAACGTTGCAATTAACTAGTGACAATCCTATAGTTGCTTTATGCTCTCACACGACTGGATTAGGCTTTGTACAAAGTTGTCTCTTGGGGATTTATGTTGGAACTACCACTTGTCTTTTCAGCCAAAATGACGTGAAACGGGACCCAAAGGATTTCTTAATAGGCCTTCAAAACTTAAATGTTAAAGATTTGATGCTGAGTCCCGATATGCTTTATCTTGTTCTTGACAAGGCTAATACTATCATAAACTCTGGAAAAACTACGTTGCCTAACAAGAAATCCTCCTCGAAAACGCTCTTACGCCCAGACTTTTTGAGAAGTATTCAAAATTTGATGATTCCATCCAGAGGGCGGCCTCGCATACAGGCCATTCAAAACTTGTTGAAAAGATATCCGTCGATAGCAATTAACGCAACCCAATTGAATTATGTATACCAGCATATTTTCAATCCCATGATCTCTTTGAGGTCCTATTTGGGTATTCCCCCAGTTGATATATATTTGGATCCGGTTTCGTTAAGGGAAGGCATGGTCAAAGAAATTGATCCCCTTACTGTATCCTCAGCTGAACTTCAGAAGTGCATACACTTGCAAGATTCAGGAATGGTACCGGTATGCACAGATGTCTCCATTGTAAATCCCGAGACACTTCAACCTTGCTATGAGAATGAAATCGGTGAAATATGGTGCTGCTCGGAGGCAAATGCCTATGATTATTTCATGAGCCCTATCATATCGTCATTAACAGCAGAAAAGAGGGCTCAACGCGCCCAATCAAGTAACAAGGTAACCAAAGACCCATTCATCTCGGCTCAATTCAAGGCCAAATTCCGTCAGGAAATCGACAATGGACTTTCATACTTGCGTACAGGCGATCTCGGGTTCATCAAGACAGTTAGATGTACTGATGCTCGTGATAATGTACTTAATTTATCACTATTGTACGTTTTGGGAAGCATCAATGAGACTGTTGAAGTCTTAGGATTGACCCACTTCGTTTCGGATCTCGAAATGACGGTAAAGGCTGCGCACGCCTGTATTGCTAATTGTCTGATTGCCAAAATTGGTGGACTGCTAAGTTGCTTGGTGGAATGTAGGAACAGCCGAAAACTGGAATACTCGAATCTGACACCTCTCATCGTCGGCGCGCTCCTAAGAAATAACGGTGTCGTAGTAGATCTATGCTGTTTCCTCAAGCCTGGTTCGCTCAACAATTTATCCAAGGATTGGCATCAGAACCGCGTTACCATTCTGTCCGACTGGTTAAACAAGAAGTTAAATCTCGATGCCCAAGTTGGCGTTAATTTCGGCGAGAATTATTCCATATACTTATTGTCAGAATTCGAGAAAGACATATAGAGAGGCTATACGTAGTCCAAAATCTGCATCGCAAAATGTTGCTGCCTGGTGTATATTCACCATGCTACTACCCATGAAATCAAAGCTCCTGCATACCCCACCCCCACAGCCACATCGCATGCTGTTAGTTACCTGAGGCTCATGATCTTGTACGACGGTATTACCCACGCACAAATCTCGAGCGCCTCATCTAGATCGCATAATTTTTAGAGTTGAAAATTAAATCATGCATTTCAGCATCTACCTATTTCTGTGGTTCCAACACCCCATGCATACTCAAGAAGACCTGATTTAATTCTGAAACTTCTAAATTATACCATATATCCACGTCTGTGGATTGTGATTCCGGACGCACTTCGGACAATAATCACTGCAAACATTCATTCATAAGGAAGCCTCTTATAAAGATCGTCTGCTGCTGAATAGATATTTACGTACATGCCAAGAATATATTGATATTATTTAGCATGGTTCCTGTAGTTCGGACTTCAGGGTGCACAAAGAGGGTCTCGTTCTTTTCAAGTGTCACGTGCACATCCCACGCTGCCCACGCGGAAGCCGTTGTCGCGAGATGACTGCATAATACTATAAATGAAATACAACCTCTTCACTCTGAGAACGCTTCATTCGGGAACCAAGAAGATATTGCTTAGTATTAACAAAGCTTTGGTAATTATCTATGTTAATAGACGATCTTCAAAGTTATTAAGAGCATCAAAGTCCAAAAGTGTACCATTTCAGGCTTATAGACACAAAATATGACCATTACCCTGGGACAGGCAATATGGGCGTCTGTCAAGCCTATTATCAAGATTTACCTTATCATCGGATCCGGATTCATGTTGACCAAGTTCGAGATTCTCTCAGTCGAGGCAACTAAGTGTGTCTCCAACGTCGTGCTGACATTGCTCCTGCCGTGTCTTTCATTCAATAAGATTGTAGCCAATATAGAGGATAATGATATCAAATCAGTGGGTATCGTCTGTCTGTCATCATTACTAATTTTCGGAACGGGACTTTTCTTTGCTTTCGTTTGCCGGTTGCTGCTACCGGTGCCCCGTCAATGGCGCGGTGGTATTCTGGCCGGTGGGATGTTTCCGAATATCAGTGACCTTCCTATTGCATACTTGCAAACAATGGACCAGGGTCTAATCTTTACAGAAGCTGAGGGTGAAAAGGGAGTTGCAAATGTCATTATCTTTCTTGCCATGTTCTTGATATGTTTGTTCAATCTTGGTGGATTCAGATTCATTGAGATGGATTTCAAGTACAGCGACGAAGAAAGTGCAATATATGCTGACGATAATAAAGAGAGTAAGGAAGATGCCACTAGCAGTTCTCTAACTGCTCCACAGCCCGCGCATATGTTACAGAACTATAATTTGCCCACAGAATCAAATTCATTTATAGAAGAGACTGCAGAGAATTCAGTTTCACCACATGCATCGCAAGACAAGGTAGCCTCAGCCACTTCGAACCAGCCCGTCGCACTCACGGATGGCAATGAATTAATTAGACGTATGACTTCCAGACGTACAGAGCAGGACTCTATTTCAGAGCGTACCATTCTAACGGAAGACAGCGTAAATGACTTGGTGCGTGAATACTCTCACGTTGATCAGTTTGGTAGAAGACGCAATTCAGTTGCCACATCAGCTTCAGCACAACCGTCATCTCTTTTACAACGCATAAGAACATCCGACATGACAAGAATAATGACCTCAGACGCTACAGTATCAAGACAAGATATTGAAGAGTCAGGAAGTTTTCTACCTGAATGGCTTCGCAAGTACTCATTTACCGCTCCTATCGTTTTTTTCATAAAAAACTGTTTACGTCCTTGTCCATTAGCCGTTATTATCGCATTAACGATTGCTTTCATTCCTTGGGTAAAAGCGCTTTTCGTCACCACATCAAATACTCCACATATTAGACAAGCTCCTGATGAACAGCCTGCTTTGTCGTTCATAATGGACTTCACTGCGTACATTGGCGCTGCATCAGTTCCCTTTGGTTTGTTATTATTAGGTGCCACCCTTGGAAGATTAAAAATAAAGAAACTCTATCCAGGGTTTTGGAAAACTGCTGTTGTTTTGGTTGTTTTAAGACAGTGTGTGATGCCTATATTTGGTGTGTTGTGGTGTGAGCGGCTTGTGAAGGCTGGTTGGTTGAATTGGGAAGATGACCGTATGTTACTGTTTGCCATAGTGATAGACTGGGGATTACCAACAATGACCACTATGATTTACTTCACGGCAAGTTATACACCCCTAGATGCTGCAGAAACCGTCCAGATGGATTGTGTGTCATTCTTCCTAATGCTGCAATATCCTCTGCTAATCGTAAGTCTTCCTTTCTTGGTCACTTACTTTTTAAAAGTACAACTTCACGCATAAAACCCTCATCGAAGGAAAAACCGACACCTTTGAATAACATAGTGTAATTTTACACTCGCTCAGATAGAATTTTTGTATATGGACATCTTTACCTAATTTTTAAATAGATTGGTTAAATTCCCAACTTAGAAGAACTTGGCGGGGTACGAAAGCCCACATCAAGTGAGTAATATGGCTGATTCTAAGTAGCGTTTTAAACAGTACAAAAAGTTATACTAGGTTGCATACATTGCAAGCTGCTTAGAGATCAATTAAGAGGCCAAAAACAGCTAGGAATTAGCAAATGTACCATTTCAATTTGAATGTAATGCTCTTCTTCGTAATTATCAAATGATAGAAAGCGCATCTCTGACGTGTATAAGTTGAAATATCTAGATAGTTCTTCATACTACCATGACATTTTGATATTTACAGAATATTCATGACCAGGCTTCTTCGTGGCTAGGTTAATGGCAACATTTGAAGCCTTCGGTTTTTCTTGAGGCTTTCTGGTGACGGTATGAAATTGCTTCGTTCCGCGACTCACAAAAATAAAGAAAATCCATCTTTCACGAACTCTCTGCGTTGCCAGAAACATTTGGGATAAAAACTCCCTCCTGAGACAACATTTGAGGCGACAGCAATTTGAAGGTTAAAGACAGCCGGTTTGACGTTTTTAAAAGAGACCTTTATTCAGTCAAGATCGATATCCTTGTACAGAAGGCTCAAGCGCCGGAGATATTTGAAAAGGAAAGTGAAGATGAACAATGCTGATGAATTCAGAAGTAACACCACGCTAAGCAAGCGCCAAAGGCTACTTAATATTATGAAAACTACAAGAGATGTTTATGTCCCGACTTTTACCTCAACGATTTCGCAATTAAAATCCGATGCAGGTAGTACCATTCGTAATTACTATGATGGAACAACCGCTAGATCAACTACTATGGGATCTCATCTGTGGCCTCCGGATATGAAAACTATGGTATATCCGTCTTATACAAGACTCTTAGATGATGGGCAGTTCGAAACGCATATAAGAGGTCTCGTTTACACTCCTGAGACGATGAATAGAAAATCGAAACTGATTCTTTCGCTCTGTAGGCAACTGGTACGTCCCACTTCTCCAGGAGAAAAGAACATTGCAGAAGAGCAGTTGGAAAGCCAATCATTAAATGATTCGGATTCGACAATTGATACAGCATCGACATCTTCATCTATAGGTCTGGATACAAGCGATGAAGATACTTTGCGAACAAGAATAGCTGGATTTCTTCAGAAACACATCACAGGTGTAACTTTGGGTATCGAAATGTCCAACGGGCCAACTCAAGATATAACTTATGTTACAACAGATAATTGGGGAAATTACAACATTAAGGTCATTACAGGTTTTCAACCAAAAGATATCAGGGTTGCCATTGATTCACCGGGAGGAATGGCACTTAGCTGTCCAGTAACTTTTGTAAAGAACTCTGGTTTTGCTGTTGTGAGTGATGTTGATGATACAATAAAGCATACAGGAGTAACCGGTGATAAAAGATCAATGTTTTGCAATGTTTTCGTGAACAGTTTCTCTACATGGATTATACCCGGGATGTCTTTGTGGTATAATACACTTCGAGACACTGAGAATGTCGACTTTTTCTATGTTTCCAATTCGCCGTATCAAGTATTTCCAATTTTGCAAGGTTACATCATGAATCATTTTCCATTAGGTCCTATGTTCTTGAAGCAATATTCTGGTAATATGCTTTCTAGTTTGATGACTTCAAGTGCTAAGCGAAAACTCGGAAGCATTACTAACATTCTGAGAGACTTTCCTCATAAAAGATTCATTTTGGTGGGAGACTCTGGTGAACGTGACTTGGAAGCTTACACAGCAACCGCTAAGGAGTTTCCCAACCAAGTTGCAGGTATTTATATTCGTTGCTGTAAAGATTCAATGAGTGATTTTGAGGTAAATGATGTCAAAGTTATGCAAGAACTTAATCGAATGATTCAAGACAAATATTTAAATGAATTACACCATGAAGGAGGAAAGTTAAACGCGCAAAATAAAGGTGAACACCAGGCAAGTGACATACCCGACTTAATCACTTTTGATGATGAAAATAGGAAAAGACCGTCTCCACCTATACCGACAAAGAAACCACTGCTAACAAAAAAGCAGGAGAACGAGATTCAAGCATCAAAAAAAATTCCACCGCCTCCTCCTCCAAGAAAGCCAACTCATTTGAGATTACAGGAAACCGATTTACCTCCTGTATCATCTACTCGCGATATGGAACCCGTATCTGAGCCTGTTTTTTGCACACCCTCCTCGCAGAATGACTACGGAACATACGCTACTTTTTTTGACTCTAGAGCAGATACTTGGCGAGAACGTGTGATGACTTCTATCACTGAATTGAAAGATTGTGGTGCAGATATACGGTTCATGTTTTTCATGGAGCCAGAATTATGCCTGGAAGACAGCATTCAGATGATTAGGGAGCAAAAATGAAGGGTTAATTAAGTTATGTAAATAAACATTACATTTAAAAGACACGAGTAAAGACTTGAGGCCATAGTTGATTGATTATTCTTAATGGAAGACCTTGGATCTTCATGCAGATGCAGTAGTAGTCTCTTTGCCTACAATATCAAATGTGGGGTTACTACCATCACCGTAATCCTTGATACCGCTGTTGTTATTTTCATCAGATTCTTTCAAAGCTGTGGTAAACTCAGACAAATCCCAAGCAGAACCCTTCGTGTCATCCAAATCGTCCACTTCGGCGAATTTCTTGTTCTCCAAGAATTTCTTCAGTACGACCTCACGACCGCTAGGTTTCTTTTTGGCGTTTTCTTCTTTGTCTGCATTGACTCTCCTGATGATATGGTCCTTCTTCCACTTGGCGAAGTTCTCAACGGTAATTGGAGTGAGATGCGACTTATCAAGCTTCTCCCTCTCAGTTTCTATAAATTCCTCGAGAGTAATTTTGGGCTGCTTGTCGAAAGCTTCCTTCTCCAAACGCTTTTGTTCCTTAGTTTTCAACACAAATCCCTCTGGCAGTGAGTGTCTGTACATACAAGTGTTACCCCCGTTAGGGCAAACCCAAAACCAACCGTACTTTCCATTTTCAACAGCTTCAATGAAATACTTGCAAACCTTGTCAGTTGTAGTACGAGGATTACCATGTTTTGAAAGAATGACGCTTCTCAATTTTTCTTCGTCCCATGTATCCATGGTATCGGCTTCTTTCTCCTCTCTAGCATCCTTATACAAATCCATCTTTTCAACCTTACGGCCTACATTCAAGTCATGCGAAAATTTACACCTAGCACCTTTGTTACAGTTCCCAATCTTGAACATGGCACATAGTACAGTTTTAGGATCCACACCGGGCCTGACTTTTTGATCTATAATTGGGTTAAATAGGGCTCTTCTCTCAGCCTCCGCTGCTTCTTTCTTCTTCTTTTCTTCTAGCTTCTTGAGTCTCATCTCCTCTTTCTTAGGATCTGTTTGCGTCTGCACCTGCTTGATATATCTTTGGACCTTAGTCGACCGGTTCTTGTTCTTCATACCAAAAGTCTTGTCAACATTGTCCTTTTTCTTTTGTGGCTGATTCTGCTTCTTCTTTGGTGGCATTTTGGATAAGCTAAAGTAGTGTTTATGATGTGGTCTGAAGTTTAATGTTCTTTCTTGTGCTCATCGCTGGAAAATTTTTCAGATTTTTGCAGTTTGGCTTGAAGATAACAATCTTTTCTTACGTAGATGCAAACTATTTGTTGATGTGAATTCTTATGTAGGCTAAGAAGCTGCACACAGAACCTCTCACGAGTGATGTCTACGAGTATTCTAAGGAATTACTCTGCGAAGCTATTTTCAAAATACTGTTTACGGACAACAAGGAATGCTCTACTTGTAGTAGGGAGTGCAACATTACTGAGCTACCCTTTATGGGGAAATCATCACGTCTCTTCAGAGACTGTTACTGGTATCAAGCAATACACAACCGAATCAAGTGATAGTGAAAATGTCAGCACAATATCATTACTGTCTGACAAAGAAGTTACACAGCGACTACGTCAACAAGAACAGAGCTACTACGTGCAGAGGGGAAGAAGAGTTATTCGCTATGATGTTGCTCAATTGCCCTCAAATGCGCCGATCGAAGATAATCACGTTGAGCAGGTGATAACAGTTCCTGGCCCAGATGGTCAAGATGATGATTTGTATTTCTTTGGTGTATTTGACGGCCACGGAGGACCCTACACGTCATCTAAGCTGGCAAAAAGTCTAGTCCCTTACGTTGCGCATCAGTTGAGCCAGGTTTATACCGAGACGAATGAAACGCTAACATCAGACGCCGTGGATTCTGCCTTTAAAAATGCATTCAAAAATCTCGATAGGGATATAACAGAGGTCTCACTAGGCAACCTATTTTCGTCGCCCTCGAAAGAAAACCTCGCCCAAGCCCTTCCCGCGATTTCAGGAGCTTGTGCATTGCTTACAATGTATGATTCCATGAATTCCACCTTGAAATGCGCCGTCACAGGAGACTCGAGGGCATTACTGGCATCTGTAGATGAAAACGGACAGTGGACTGTGCAGTCGCTTTCCATAGACCAAACAGGTGATAATCCGGAAGAAGTAGATCGTATCAGATCCGAGCACCCGGGTGAGCCAAATGTAATTCGCAATGGGCGTATTCTCGGATCTTTGCAACCTTCAAGAGCCTTCGGCGATTATCGTTACAAAATAAAGGAGATCGGAGGGAAGACAGTCGCGGACCTACCTGGGCATATGAAGGTATATTTCCGCCGAGAGCCTCGCGATTTCTTGACCCCTCCTTATGTGACAGCTGAACCGGTAGTAACGTCGGCTAAAGTGGGGCAGAATTCAAAATTCATGGTGTTAGCCTCCGATGGTTTATTCGAATTGTTATCAAATGAGGACGTTGCGGCTTTAGTTATCAAATGGATGGAAAAGAACAAGGTGACACCTTTTGCAAAGACCCTTGCCGCCTCAGGGCCTCAAGCCAAGCTGCCATCTGTCACTGACATCTCCGAATATAAAGAAGCACAGAGACCAGCATTTCGTTATAGATCTAAGCAGAAAAACGCCGCAGAATATCTTATGGAGGACTCCAATGTGTCTACGCATTTGATCAGAAATGCCCTTAGCGCACGAGGTAATAAGGAATACGTATCTACTCTGGTAAGCATTCCATCGCCAATGAGCAGAAAATACAGAGACGATTTAACGGTTACAGTTGTCTTTTTCGGAGGTGAAGAGGATCTCAGTCATGTCGATGGACAATTGCTACTGAATCATGATGCTACGGCTGGACTGGAGCCTAAGCTTTGATTACAGCTTCCTTCTCAATAGTACGGTAAGATCTAGCTCATTTATCGCATATATCATTGTTTACGTGCCTACCTGCTAAAATATAAGTACTCAAGGGGCTTTTACATATCATCTATTAACCACGAGATAAGAATAAAAGATGAACACTTCGGTCACTTCTATTAAGCTGGTACTTCTAGGTGAAGCTGCGGTGGGTAAGTCTTCTATTGTGCTCAGGTTTGTGTCGAATGATTTTTCTGAGAACAAAGAGCCCACAATCGGAGCTGCTTTCCTCACTCAAAGAGTTAACATGGGAGATCATACAATCAAATTCGAGATCTGGGATACAGCTGGTCAGGAAAGATTCGCATCGTTGGCGCCCATGTACTATAGAAATGCACAAGCAGCTTTGGTGGTTTACGATATTACCAAGCCACAGTCTTTCATAAAGGCACGTCATTGGGTCAAGGAATTGCATGAACAAGCTTCCAAGGGCATCGTGATTGCTCTTGTTGGTAATAAGCTTGATTTAATTGAAGGTGGAGCGGAAAGAAAAGTCGCTCGTGAAGAGGCAGAGAAACTAGCGACTGAAGAAGGTCTACTTTTTTTCGAAACAAGTGCTAAAACAGGCGATAACGTCAATGAAGTGTTCCTTGGGATCGGTCAAAAAATCCCCCTCAAAAAGCCAGATGAACAGTCGCAAGGCTCCTCGGGCTTAAGAATTAATGACGACAATAGAGTGGATCTAGCAGCAGGGGGTCCTGGCAGCTCGAATGCCGGTGCTTGTAATTGTTGAAATGTGTATACGTTGGTGTGTGCATTTTATTTTTGAATATGATGATAATATAAAAGCTTGGTGTGTAAAACTAGATAGAACATCTGTCGTCTTCGAATTTTATCATTTCTAAGGGATTTTTTTTATTTCTATCTTGACAATTCTGTGGGATATAAATGTCGGACGGTGAAGAAGCCAGAGTTTTGGAGAAAGCGCTTAGCTCCTACTATCATTATGAGGAATATGCATTGAACGAAATTTGGAAACCAAGGATGTGTAAATGGATGTCGCTGTCAAATTTACAAAAATCTAAAATTCCTTGGTATGGAAAGTATCTCGGTGAATTAAAAAGATGCATTATGAAGAATGCAGAGTTCTATAGGTTGGTTGTGCAACGGTCTGTCGCGTATTGGGGCTGTAACCCCAATCCTGATCAGTGGAGTCAGCCCACGTCATATGACATGGACAAGACGGTTCTAATGTTTACACAGATCTTACGAGAATGGTCACAGGAATGTCAGGATGAACGTGATCTTTTACTGACTAGATTACGAGCATTTCTTAATCAAGAGATTCCAAACAAATTTGAGCGTAGAGTGGTTAAAGTACTCATCCCTGGTGCAGGTCTTGGGCGATTGATAGTAGATCTTGTAAATGACGGATTTTGCGTGGAAGGTAACGAAACATCCTATCACATGCTTCTTCTCTCTCGGTTTATTCTTAATGGAGAACACCCTAAAGAGGGGCTAACAATCTATCCTTTTGTACATACCTTTTCTCACCAATTAAGCCACGAACATCAGCTGCGGCCGATTAGAATTCCCGACGTCAGAATCTCAGAAATGCTAAATGGAGTTTGTTCGATGAGTATGTCAGCAGGATCCTTTGTAGATCTCTATGGGCCACCTCTCGGTATCAAATGGTCAGAATATTACTCAGCAGATATTGAGATGATAAGATATCGGGAGCAGAATGCTTCTTCAGTGCGAATTGTGGTGACGAACTTTTTCATTGATACTGGCAGCAACATACTCGATTACCTGGAAACAATTTCGCACGTTCTTGAAGATGGAGGGTATTGGGTAAACTTTGGTCCCTTGATGTATCATTATGAGAATGATTCTCAAGTGGAAGTCACAGGCGATATAGACCCCACTACCGGAGAAGTAAAGAATGTTAACCGTTTTGTCCCAGTGAAGGGTCTTGAGTTGAGCTTGAACGATCTCATACAAGTTGCTTGTGACCAGTATGCTTTTGACATTATCGCTAAAGAAATAGGAATCAAAAGTGGCTACGGAAGAGATCCTACTGGAATTGCATTGTTGGGCTACATGTGCAACTACTGGCTTTTCAAAAAAAGAAAGAAATCGTTTTCTATTTGCTAGTTTGCTCTATTTTAAGCTCTTTCACTAAATTCGTGAGTTCCTTTACCATGTTTGTTAAATCTTCAACTTTTTTCTCAGTGGATGCATGCTTTTCGGACAGCTCACGATATATATCATAGTTTTCCCAACCAATTCCAGATTCAAAACCTTTTTCGACTGGCTGGACAGCGCTTTTGACTTCTTTATACCAAGTTCTCTTGACCTTGAATGATGGATCAACATTCTCAGCTTCCCGCTGCAATTGTAAAGATCTCCTGTTCTTCCTTTGCGTAGCAGCTATACCCGAGCCATTGCCGTTGGGGATCCACTCGTCATCTTCTTCAACATACCCATCCGTCAAATCCCAAGCGACATCAGTCTCATTCGCATCGTCATCCAACTTCTTCATTCTATTGTATGCAACCCTTCTGGCTTCACGTACCTCTTTCATGGCAATAAAAACCAACATGGGAAAGTAAATCACCATCATCACGCTATTACTAAATTCTTTTGCGCTTTTCCGGGGCATTAAGTGCATGAAAGGTGTAATTATTAGTTCAATGATATTGAATGGTGGGACATAGACATCTTCATCTGGAGCTCTGATATATCTTAAAGTCTTTTGAGCCATGAGAGCCATATACTCATCTAAAGCGTTATCAATGACTTTTTGGTAAGCAGTACTGTATAAAGCGATCAAAATGTTCAACAATATCACAGTAACAATGAAGCAGTAAGCGTAATAGAGAATCGCCGCGTATGGTGGAGCGAAATTTTCAAACATATCAAACCCACCCTCGCCAAGAACAGTGAGCACTAAATTTGACATAATTGGCCAAGTGATTTCGCGTTTCCCATCGGCAGAATCTAAACCCAAAAACCCCTGAAGAAAACCTATTGTCATTAAGAGTAATAGAAAAAAGAACACAATAGACTCCTTCATCATGTGTTTCAAAACAACCAATAATGCACCCACAAACCTGCTTGATTCTAAATAGAGTAATAGCCTGGACCACACAAGAGGAGCAGCACACGATAGTATTCTATATGAAATCTTATCCCAATATGCAGCTGGATATTTGGTATGAATGGGGCTTACGCTGACAATTCTCAAACCCATGGAAGTAATTATGATAGAGTACATCACATCGTTGAACGCATTCCAAAAGCCCACATAATTCCAACCCACATGGTAAACCTTGTAAACTTCGTCGAGGACACTTCCAATAGTGAAAAAATAGAAAATGCCCTCACAAACGTCAATACCCGTCACTGCTTCAGAATCCTTACTATTCACAACAATCGTGTAGAGTATTAAAAAAACAACTGAGAAAAACACTTCCAGGATGTTTTGATACATTGGGGTCTTCAATCTGTCGGGATGAAAGTGCGTGGTAAATTGATAAGATGGGATCTTCTCGCACAGGACGTAAGTGCTGGGATCAAATCGATTCTGCACAATCCATCCCCGCCATAGCCACTTCAGGCAACGTTGGTATCCACTAGACCCAATTACAATCGTGCAGTGCATGTCCATTGCAAGCTCTAGCGCACTTTCGGCATCACAGTCCAAATCATTCTCGTTAATCACGTATCTGCGGCACAACATTTGTATGAGGGTATAGTGCAAGTCAATCTGCTCTTCTTCTTCGATGATTAGCTTACACAGCTGTTGAGCTGTTGTTGCCCTTAAAAGATAAATTTCTGCGTTATGTAGTTCGCACGCAGCAAGATCCCAATACCATGAGCAAACCTTGAGTAAACAAAATATCATCACCGATTGATATTTCCGTGAGGACTTGCGGTCGCTTTCTCCTCCACATGCTTGACGGGCAAGCTTTAAAACGCGAGAATTCAGAATCCTAGAATGATCGCAGGTGATTTGTTCCTCCGTGTAAATAATTGGCACTATTTCATCGATCAAGAATTTCAAATTCAGAGCAATTCTCAAAATTTGCCGTGGATTTGGAGCATCATAGCTTGGCGGATGCTCCGTTGTCCAATCGGCACCCTCTGAAGTGGGGAGCAGATATGCTGGCATGCTATGTTTGTCCCTTTGCTCTATAGAAGAAAGGGGTTTACCGTTAAATATCTTTTCTGCTTTGAAGGCGATGATCTGTTCGTTTATCATTACCCCCCACTGTTTTAACGGTGGTGAAAAATTTCGCTGGAGAAATTGGTGTTAGAGGGAAGTTGCATAGCAAGTCAGCCGAGTATGGGCAAAAAAAAGCACTCAAAGAAGGCATCTAAAGTGCCGGTAGATAGGCCTACAGTTATTAGTGGAACCGATGTTCATTTTGATTATTCAGATGGAGCGGCAGGCACCGAGGGGAAGAAGAATAGTAAGACCAAGAAGAAGTTGCATGAAAAGGTAACGGAAGCAGAAATATATGATAGTGAAGCAGAGTACCCTACTTCACGAGTGATTAAAAGAGCACCTAATGGGGATGTTATTGTGGAATCGCTGCCCGATGCTGAGAAAGCTCCTGAGGTCGTAGATCTTCAGAAAAGCATTCCAGCTAAGCTTGATTCCCATTGGGAATCTCTCAATGCTGAGGAGAAGAAGACGATACTCAGAATTGAGAAGAATGAGGTGTTTGAAGTCATAAAAAATTATCAATCGTCAAACAATTGTAACTGCTCTGTTTGCGGGAGGCGGAGTGTCGCCATGGAACAGGAATTGGAACGAATTTACAACACCCTTTACGAGAACGCGAAGCAGACCAACTCTGACACAGACTTCGTCCTATTTCATTTAAATATGATCAAAGAGCTACAACGTACAAATTCTACATTGGACCAATCACCAACGCCAAAAAGTCCGTCTCCACAATATCTTGAAAATATGCGCGATGAAGCTGTCAAATATTGTCTGTCAAATAAAGCCGTTGAATCCCTAAAAGAGGAAGTTCTCCAATTCAAACACAACAAGCAGAAACTCCAACATCAGAATACAAATCTGTTGGAACAGTCGCGACATCGGGCTCCTCATGTGGCAGGAAACCAAGAAAATGAACTGCAAGAGCAGACACAGGAAACTTTATCTCATAAACCGTCAGAACAGGAAGTAAATGAGCAACATTCACAGCATCCTCACCAGACCCATCAGGACCTGACAACGTGTAATTCTCAGTATTCCAATCAGGATCTTCCAAAAGTGGAATCAGAACGTTTTGGACAGAACGATAATACTCTTGACCAACGCTCGGTTTCATTGACGTCGGAACGCTCTCCGGAATCGACGTCTAATGAAGATTTGAAGGATAAATATATGAATTTCGCAAAGACTTTCGTATCATCTCATCCAAAGATTGCACAGGAGTATGTTAATAGAATGATGATGTACCCCGATATGAGGGCACTCACAGAGGATCTAATGAACAATAATGGCCAAGGATTTATTAAGGCTATGGAAAATTTTGTTTTACAGAAGAATGATAATCAAATTGAGGATATCGAAAGTGAGAAGCGGCTAACGACCACTCTACAAAACGGTGCCCCTCTTACACCTGAGCAGTATGCAGACTTGCAGCGTCATCTTGCTGAGAAAATGACGACATCTTTTGATGTGCAAACGAGGGAATTCAAAAACTTACATGAAATAGCAGGCAAACGGTTATTGGAACAGTTTTTGGCTGGAGAAGATCCTGTCAGTAAGTTAATGGATTCGTTTGTAAAGCAAACAAACGAGACCAACGAAGCGCTTGTCGCGGAAGATACCCATTCTTCGCAATTTGATTACGAAAATGAGGAGGATTATGATGAAGAGGACTATTCAGAATATGACGATGAGGAATCTGAATACGATGATGAAATTTACGATGATGAAGATGAAGATGAAGATGATACGTATCATCATCACTACCATTCCCATCATCACCATCAGCATGACCAAGATGAAGGGAGTGCCGATCTCGATGTCGAAGAAGACAGTACGGTGGGTAATGAGGATGAATTCGATAGTGGAGTCGATGAACAAGAGCGTCTAGAAGAAGGTAGACGTTTAATTCAGATTGCTATCACTAAATTGTTGCAGAAAAAGCTCGTCGATTCATACCATGAAAAACAGGCCGAGAATAACAGATTGAGACTACTGCAAGAACTGGAAGCTGAAGAACAGAAGAAAAAGGAAAAAGAAGAGAAGAAGCAACGGAAGCGTGAAAAGGAAAAGGAAAAGAAGCGGTTGCAGCAGATAGCGAAGGAACAGGAGAGGCGTAAGAAAGAGGAAGAGGAGGCGAGGCAACAAAAAGAGGCAGAAGAACGTGAGATGTTAAGAAGAGAGGCGCAGAGGAAGAAGGTGGAGGAAGTTAAAAAGAAGAAAGATGAAGAAAGACGTAGAAAGTTAGAGGAACAGAGGCGCCGAGAAGAAGAGCAACAGCGCCAAAGAAAACTAAAGGAGGAACAGAAACGTAAGAAAGAGGAGGAGAAGAAGCAACGAGAAGAAGAGAAGAAGCAGAAAGAAGAAGAGCTTAAAAAGCAAAGAGAACAAAAGAAATTGGAAAGGGAACTCAAAGTACAACAAGATGAAATCGACAGAGCGAAGCTCGTTGAAAAAGCACATAGGAAAGGCGCAGAACATTTTAACAGGCGATTGAGTACTCCTCCAGAGGCGGTTCCTTATGGGAATTCAAATCTGTCATCTGGTGCTAGCAGTGATTTGTTTAATATGGTCAATGAAGTGGCCTCTAAGTCTATGTCGTCTTCTCCCTCTCATTTGCAGGCACTACTTCAATCGCAACGTCAGCACGCAGAATCACAGACTTACTCTACTGGTACACCTCTCAGTGTGGGAACGGTTTCGGCTCAAACAGTTCGTCCTATCAACGACTATGGAAATGTTTCATACGATTCATTAGTAGGGCGTCAACAGTCAATGGGTTCTACCTGGGAAAATTCTAACAACCTCTTCCATGCGCCTCCAAATTTAGAGCAGTCATATCCAGAAAGACAAGGACAAGCGACAATGCCCTCTGTGAGCACTACCCAAACCTATGCACCATTCAACACCTCAATTGATTCGAACAATTCATTTGCTAATGAGCTCAACAATCTAACCAACCTTCTATCATCCTCGAATTTGAACGGCGGACATGTTCCTTCAGGTGCAGATTCAAGTTTCTTCAAAGATAACTTGTGGTCAAATTTGGACCCTGCAGCACAGGCGACTCCTTCAAATTTCATACCTCCTAATCCTACCACTTTCTCTGCTTCCTCGGTTGCTAATACCACGACGTCCCACCGCAAGTCCATTTGGGATAGCGGCGCCTCTTTAAACTCTCTCGGAATGAATAGCAATGTACCGGACTATCGGCCTGACATTTGGACGAGTCCTAATACTTCGTCCCAAGTCACTAGAACACCTGCAGTGGATAATAAAGTGGATGCTATCTTACAGTCCTACTCTCTCCTGAGTAGGGAATTAGGTACTGATTTCGTTCCCGCTGAAAAGCTTTACCAAGCCGCATTTTCTTGTGCAGCGGATAGTCCAGCTTTCAGTTATGCAACCTTTGTCGGAGCACTACTAAATATGAGGTCAACACATAATTGTGATCTTCTCATGAATCAGGTTGGTACCATAACCCATGCTAGATTCTCTTTTGGTGGGGCAAATTCACAGCAACTCTCCTACCAACAAGGCCAGCAGGCGACTTCAGCTTGCCCTCCCCAAATCCCTCAAGGAACCTCTGTATCAGGAAACCCCCTATTCAAAGAGCTCTACAATACGTCCAACACGGTCGCTTCTCCAAGCTTGGCGCTAGCCAACCCAGGAGTGTCTAATGAAAGCAACTCTAATCTTTTTGACTTCGATCAACAGTTCGGGCAACCTAGAACAAGTAATATCTGGGGTTAACCCTACTTCACGCTCTTATGTACTAGCTTAAGTGTTTTAATGTGATCTAAGTAGCATTCCAAATCGATATTCGTATAACGTCATCAACAAGGAAAACTGTGAGAAGAAGATTGGCACAATAAGCTACGCCTTGAAAACCGCATCAAGCAGCTGGACCAAAGATTGAGGGCAGCCCTGAAATACATATATTTCAATTAATAGAAGAGTTTTCTGTCTTTCAAAATGTCAGAAAACGTGGTGAGAAGAAAGCTGGTCATAATTGGAGATGGTGCCTGTGGTAAGACATCACTGCTCTACGTATTTACACTGGGAAAGTTTCCTGAAGAATATCATCCAACTGTCTTCGAGAACTACGTAACCGATTGTCGTGTTGATGGAATAAAGGTTTCTTTAACACTTTGGGATACAGCAGGACAAGAGGAATATGAAAGGCTGCGGCCATTTTCTTATTCGAAGGCCAATATTATACTAATAGGATTTGCAATCGACGACCCGGAGTCTCTGTCGAATGCTAGAATCAAGTGGACAGAAGAAGCACTACGCTATTGTCCCAATGCTCCCATAATTTTGGTTGGCTTGAAAAAAGACTTGCGAAAGAATGGGGACGAGAGGGACATTGTGAAGAAAGAGGATGCAGAACAGGTCGCTAGAGCAATTGGCGCCAAAAAGTACATGGAGTGCAGTGCGCTAACTGGTGAGGGTGTCGATGATGTTTTCGAGGTAGCTACAAGAACAAGTCTCCTAGTGAATAAAGAACCAGGTCAAGGATGCTGCGCAATAGCCTGATATAATAAGTACATGTCTAGTTAACGAAAAATTTCTCAGTTTACTACTAATCACTGCCATAGGTTACTTGGATCAGGCTACCTGGAGGATTTAGTTTATGATAAGTACGCGGACGTTGAAAATGGCAAAAAATTTCGACCTCGGTGAGGATTGAACTCACGATCTTGCGATTAACAGTCGCACGCCTTAACCAGCTTGGCCACGAAGTCTCTTATTTGATTGAAATAATTGGTGGTTTTAGTTGTTGTAGTACTTTCTCTTAATTCACGAATGTAGACGCGGTAGTTTTTTTAGAGTAAACAAAACGCGTTTGATGTCAAAGTCTCTTCTTTGCCAACGTTCAGGACTGGTAATAAGGGACATGGCGGACGGAAAGAGTGCATCAGAGAGATACCAAAAGATATCTCAACTTGAGCACATTTTAAAAAGGCCTGATACCTATATTGGATCTGTCGAAAGGCAGGAACAGCAGCAATGGATCCACGATGAGGCTACAGATTGCATGAAACAGAAAGAGGTGAATATCGTCCCTGGTCTGTTCAAAATATTCGACGAGATATTGGTTAATGCGGCGGATAATAAGGTTCGTGATCCAACCATGAAAAGAATAGATGTCTCGATCAAGCAAGAGGAATGTTTGATCGAGATTAAAAATGATGGCAAAGGAATTCCTATTGAAATTCATGATAAGGAAGGCATTTATATACCTGAGCTTATTTTTGGACATCTTCTCACCTCTTCAAATTACGATGATGATGAGAAAAAGGTCACCGGTGGTAGAAACGGTTTCGGTGCCAAGTTATGTAATATCTTCTCTACAGAATTTGTTATCGAAACCGCTGACCCTATTAAAGGTCAAAAGTACACTCAAAAGTGGGAGAATAACATGAGCAAATGCCACCCTCCTAAAATAGGAGCTTATAAGAAGGGACCGTCATACACAAAAATAGCATTCAAGCCTGATTTATCCCGATTTGGTATGACTGCGTTGGACGACGATACTGTGGGGGTCATGCGTCGCCGTGTGTTCGATATAAATGGATCCGTCCGTGATATATCTGTGTATTTGAATGGCAAAAGCTTGAAGATCAGAAGCTTCAAGAACTATGTGGCGCTGTACCTGAAATCTCTGGAAATAGAGAAGGCCGGTGGTACTGCACCCGAGAATTCCTCTACAGTTACCAGCACACCTCCAATTCTTTATGAAAGAGTTAATGATCGTTGGGAGTATGCCTTCGCTGTATCTGAAAACTCGTTCCAACAAATATCTTTTGTGAATTCGATAGCCACAACATCAGGAGGTACTCATGTCAACTATATCAGTGATCAAATTGTCAAAAAGGTAGCAGCTCAATTGAAAAAGAAGAAAGTTAAGCCTTTTCAAATAAAAAACAATATGTTTCTTTTCATCAACTGTCAAATCGAAAATCCAGCATTCACTTCTCAAACTAAAGAACAGTTGACTACTAGAGTTAAAGATTTTGGAAGTACTTGTGAAGTTCGGGATGAATTCATAAAGAAAATAATGAAAGAAGATTTTGGGCAAAAGATCCTAGAAATTGCAGAACAAAATGAAACTAAGGCTTTAAAAAAGACCGACGGTAGTCGGAAGAGTCGAATAACTAGTTATACTACCTTAGAAGATGCTAATTTGGCAGGAACTAAAAGAGGATACGAGTGTACTCTAGTACTTACTGAGGGTTTGTCTGCCTTGTCACTGGCTGTTGCAGGATTATCGGTTGTGGGAAGAGACTTATACGGTTGCTTTCCTCTGCGTGGTAAGCTTCTTAATGTTAGAGAAGCAAGTGCCGATCAGATACAGAAAAATGCCGAAATTCAAGCTATAAAGAAGATTGTTGGGTTAGAGCATCGTAAGAGGTATACAGATACAAAATCCTTACGTTACGGTCATATTATGATTATGACCGATCAAGATCACGACGGGTCCCATATTAAAGGGCTCATCATCAATTTCCTTGAAAGCTCATTTCCTGGTCTCTTGGATATTCCAGGCTTTTTAATTGAATTTATCACGCCTATCGTTAAGGTTAAAATTATCAAACCCAGGAAGGATACGATCTCATTTTACAACATGCCTGATTACGAAAAATGGCGGGAAGAAGAAAGCCATAAATATACTTGGAAGCAGAAGTATTACAAGGGTCTGGGTACTTCGACCCCAGAAGAAGCTAGAGAATATTTTTCAAATTTAGATAAGCATTTGAAAAAGTTTCATGCCTTGGGTGGAAATGATGCGGATCTAATCGATCTCGCATTTTCAAAGAAGAAAGCCGATGATCGCAAGGAATGGCTAAGACAATACGTGCCAGGAAACAACCTAGATCCTGAGTTAACCGAAATTCCTATTGGTGATTTCATCAACAAAGAATTGATTTTATTCTCTCTGGCGGATAATATCAGATCAATTCCAAATGTTCTAGATGGTTTTAAACCAGGTCAACGGAAAGTTTTATATGGTTGTTTCAAAAGGAATTTGAAAGGTGAGATTAAAGTTGCGCAGCTAATTGGGTATATCTCGGAGCACACCGGTTATCATCATGGTGAAGAGTCTCTCGCTCAAACTATTGTTGGAATGGCGCAAGACTTTATAGGATCCAACAACATTAACCTTTTAAAGCCAAATGGTGCTTTTGGTACTCGAGCTGTGGGCGGTAAAGATTCGGCTGCTACAAGGTACATCAATACTGAACTCAATAAGATAACTCGTTTCATATTCAACCCTCTTGATAATCCTTTGCTAAATTATTTACAGGATGATGATCAAACAATAGAACCCGAATGGTATCTACCAGTCATACCTATGGTTTTGGTCAATGGAGCTGAAGGCATAGGAACTGGTTGGAGCACAAATATTCCACCCTTCCATCCTATGGACATCGTAAGAAATATAAAGAAAATGATGGCAGGAGAGGAGATGGATGATATGGCGCCCTGGTTCAGGGGTTGGACGGGGTCACTCGAAAAGATCGATCGCCAACGCTATAAAATGTATGGTAGAATAGAACAAGTTGGTCAGAATGTTCTTGAAATTACCGAACTGCCGGCTAAAACTTGGACGTACAATATCAAGCAGCATTTGCTTCTTGGGTTGGATGGCAATGAAAAGCAACCCGCATGGATTAAGGATATGCAAGAGAACCATGGAGCTACAATCAAATTCACAGTAACTTTGAGTGACGCGGAAATGGAAAAAACAAGGAAGATAGGTTTCTACGAAAGATTCAAGTTGGTTTCCAACTTGAATTTGAGCAATATGGTAGCTTTCGATCCTAATGGGAGAATTAAGAAGTATGATGATGTTAGAGAGATTTTGAAAGATTTCTATTTCGTAAGGCTTGAATACTATCAGAAGAGGAAAGATTATATGGCAGAAAGATTACAATGGGAACTTGAAAAGTTCTCTCAACAGGTAAGGTTCATCAAACTTATTGTGGAAGAGAAGCTTTATGTCACAAATAAACCTCGCAAAGAACTGTTAGAAGAATTGGAAAATTTAAACTTTCCTAGGATTAACAAGGATGGAAAACCGCATTACGGTCAACTAAAATCTGAAGACCAAGAACTGCCTGAAGATACAATTCCATCCAATGACAGCGAGGACGAAAATGAAGAGGGCGTTATCAATGGTCCTCTTGAGATCTTCGGAACCTACGACTACCTACTTGGCATGAAAATTTGGTCTTTAACAAAAGAAAAGTACGAACGTCTGTTGAAGCACATGAAAGATAAGGAAGTTGAACTTCAACATCTGCTCAGTTTATCTGCTAAGGATCTATGGAACCAGGACCTGGAACAATTCGAAAAAGTGTTCGATGAGTTCCTCAAAAACGATGAACTGGTCCGCCAGAACATGATCCCAGGTGTAACAACGAAGAAAAAAGGACGGGCCAAAAGAAAGTCGGAAGATGATGAAGAATTTGATCCGTCTAAAAAGAAGAAGTCCAAGAAGGCAGGACCAGCAAAGATAAAAAAAGAAGAACCTGGATTCGAGAGAGTTTTGCTCGAACAGAAAGTAGTAGAGAAACCACAGAGGGTTACCAAAGTAAAAGATGAGAAGCAACCAACATTAAAGGGTCTCTTGGAAAAACAACAAACTGGAGCGACTAGCAAGAAAAGCAAGTCCTCTACCCCGCAACCTGCTGCCACGGGAGCGACAGGCAAGAAAAGCAAGTCACCTACTCCTCAACCTGCTGCCGTGAAGGTCGAAACACCCCAGAACAACCCGTCAACGATATTTGACAGTTTGCAAGGCCCAGAAGACAAACGCGACGATTTAAGCATCTTTTCTAATAAATTCAAAAAGGCAAGTGCTCTCTTCGATAACATTTCCTCTTCCTCGAGCTCGACGCAATCTCCCGAAAGTGCAAAAGAGGAGACATCTTCGCCTGTTTCTAGTGGGAAAACGAAATCTCTTGCCAAAGAGACAAAGGTGGTGAAGACAACCAAGCCCACCAAGGTAGAAAAGCCACCTAAAACTGTAAAGACAGCCAAGAAGCAGACAGCAGTTTCAGATGACGAAAGTGATTTCCAAGTCTCCGACAATGAGCCCGTTGCACCAAGAAGGCAAAGAAGAAGTAGAGCAGCACCAGCACGCTCTTATGAAGAGTCAATTGATTTATCGGATAGATCTTTTGACGAAGGCGATGTTGAAGCGGGCGATAATTCTGACGAGTCGTTCCACGGTTCGGACTTTGATTGAGCCTATTCCTACGCATTTTGCTTTATGAAACACGATGCCTTAGCATTCATTACTACATATCATTCTATATTTCCTTCACAGCACATTTCAAGATGCAGTCCTTTTGAGTCTTTTTTGAAGAGCCTTGAACCTTGGCTTCTTTACGTTCGCTTTTTTCGATGCATTAATACGACGTTCTGCATTCATGTCCGCTGCAGAGAAACACCGGGTGCAGCAAATGTCCGGTATTCAACAAACTAGAGAATCAAGATATATACTACGCACCAGAATAATTATAGTTGTTTGCATGAATGGCGTGATGACAAATCTTCTTTCTCGTATATACTTGCGGAATGTGAAGCAAATGTTCATGCATGCACATGCCCTTAAGGGAATTGAAGTTTACATCATGTGATCATCCTTCTTTTTTTTCACCTTACAAACTTCCCTCTAATGGAGATTCTTGCTTCTCCCAAATTCTAGTGAAACAAGTGAACTGCTCGGGAGAAGAGTTTATCCTGTCTTTGTATATTTTGAGGAATCGTTCTTTGTAATGGCTACGACAGGTTCTGAAATTGTGGTCCCGACTGATCGGGAACAAGTCGCCGTTGTGGATGGTGTTGACAAGCTAGCCCCTCCCAAGGTCGACACAGAGAAGGCCAGCAAAAGTATTTCCGGCGATAATGTGAAGAATGTCGGTGCCGATAATATCACTAGACCCGTTGTGGATGCCTCCTACGTGGGGTGGAAGCAAATTGGCGGCTGGGAGGAAAAGGATACTTTGACTGCTGACGATGAACTACTTGACGTGAGCAATGAAACTTTCTTGGATAATTTAATTCCAGACAAGTTTTATGGTGACTGGTACCATGCTGTTGCCGTTTTTTTCCTAGGTGGCTTTCTATCTTTCTTGGTTGGAAAGCTTGGTTTTTCTTTGGGCCCTGTCTTCTTCATCGTTGTTGCAACCAGCATTCTTTACAGAACCTCAATCAAAAAATACAGGGCCTCTATCAGAGACTTTGTTCAAAGGGAATTCACAGTACAGAAGGTGGAAGATGATTACGAATCTATGGAATGGTTGAACAGTTTTCTGGACAAGTACTGGCCCATTTTGGAGCCAGAGGTGTCTCAGATGATCGTTCAGCAGGTGAACCAAATTTTGGCAACCAATCCTTCCATCCCAGCTTTTATCAAGGCTCTTTGGATCGATCAGTTTACACTTGGTATTAAACCACCCAGAATTGATTTGGTCAAGACTTTTCAAAACACTGACACTGATGTTGTTGTCATGGACTGGGGTGTGTCCTTCACTCCTCATGACTTATCTGATATGAACTCGAAAGAGCTGAAAAACTTTGTCAATCAAAGAGCGGTCGTCAAAGCAAAGATGTTTGGCTTGCCAATCACTGTTGCTCTCTCTGAAATTGCGTTCAAAGCGTTGGCTAGACTTCGTTTTAAGTTGATGACTCCATTTCCTCATATTGAAACTGTAAACGTCCAGTTATTAGACGTTCCGGATATCGATTTTGTCGCCAGATTACTCGGAGATTCTATCTTCAATTGGGAAATTATGGCGATACCCGGTTTACTACCTGTGATGAAAGAACTGGCTAAAAAGTACATGGGTCCTATGTTTATGCCACCATTTTCTCTTCAACTAAACATTCCTCAACTATTATCTGGTTCCCCAGTATCTATTGGTGTTTTGGAAATAACTGTTAAGGATGCAGTGGGTTTGAAACGCGCTAAGAATATTTTGAATAAGTCGGTCGACCCATATTTATCCTTTGAGTTCAGTGGAAAATCTGTTGGCAAGACGAAGACTGTGAGAGATTCCTTGAATCCAGTTTGGGATGAAAGTTTGTACGTTTTACTCGAATCATTTACTGATCCTCTGTCTATTGTTGTTTATGACAAACGTGAAAAAGTCAAAGATAAAGTACTTGGGAGAATTGACTACAATTTAAGTACTTTGCATGATCAGAAAGTTCAGAAAAACCTCTCTGCCTCTTTCTTGAGGAACTCCAAACCTGTGGGTGACTTGAACTTTGACTTGAAATTTCATCCTACCTTGGAGCCTAAGCAATTGCCTGATGGGAGCGTTGAAGATGCTCCAGATTTGAATGTCGGTATCTCTAAAGTTATTATTGAAGAGGCCAAGGACCTTGCAGAAGATGGCGTTAAACTTTCAACTCATGCAGAGCTATATTTCAATGCGAAACTTGTTCTAACTACCAACACGGTCAAAAACAATACTGCACCAGCATGGAATCAAGAATATCAAGCTGTCATCACTGATCGTCGTAAGAGCAGAATGAAGATTGTTGTTAAGGACACAAACGGCAACGTTGTAGGATCCACAGTGCAATCTTTGAATGACTTGATTGACAGACACGAAGTTGGCAAAACCTGGATTCCTCTGCAAAACTGCAAGGGACAAATCAAAGTTTCAACCTTTTGGAAGCCAGTGGACCTTGATGTCGGTGCTAATGCAATCGCTTACACTCCTCCAATAGGTGTAGTGAGAGTGTTTATCAACAAGGCTGAAGGCCTCAAAAATCTTGAAAAGTTCGGTAAAATTGATCCATATGCCAGGGTTCTTGTCAATGGTATTCCTCGTGGTCGCACTGACGTGAAGGAATCAACTTTAAATCCCGTTTGGAACCAAGGTATTTATGTCGCAGTAACTTCGGCTAATCAAAGGATCACCATCGAATGTTTGGATGTTGAAACTGTTGGCGCAGACCGTACACTTGGTAAATTTGATCTAAAAATTTCGGATATGTTCCAGAAAGGAAGTGACGATAAATATATCGAGAACATTGATGAAGATCCTAAAGTTGGTCGTCTGGTTGGAAAGAAGGGCGCCAAGGGGTCTGTCACCTATTACACGTCTTTCTATCCCACTGTTCCAGTTTTGAGCTTGGAAGAGATACAAGAGGTTGAAGAGATTAATAAGAGATCGAAGCAATTAGAAGAGAAGGAAGGTGAGGTTGATGAAAAGACTGCCTCCAAAGAGACATTAACAAAAATGAAGGAGGAAAGAGCTGAGATCAAGGAGTTAGAAGACTTGTTTAGCAATAAGATGAAACTGGATTTGGATGAACTTCTTCAATATAACAGTGGTGTGTTTGCATTTTCTATTTTGGGTGGTGAACTTCCTCAAACTGGCTGTTATATTCAGGCCTTCTTTGATTCGAACGGATATCCTCGTTACGTCACCCAAAAGTTCCCTGGTAGAACGATCAGAAATGGTTCAACTGGTGATGTGATGATCAAGGAACTGGAATGGTCCGTGACCACATTCAGGATCACCAAAAAGAAAGATTCCAACAAGGCAGAAGATTGCTTAGCAGAGGTGACCGTTCCAACGATCGAGTTGGTTAAAAACTGTTATTATAAGCCATCGATTGTAAGTCTAACCGGATCTTCAAGTGCTAGACTACTGTTACAAGTTTCCTGGTTCCCTGTCGCTGTCATGAAACTACCACAGGCTGATTTGATAACTAACAGTGGTGATTTAACAATAACTGCTGTTGGTGCTAACAATTTAATCGCTGCCGATAGGAATGGTAAGTCTGATCCATTCGTCAAGTTCTATCTAAATGATGAAGGGAGTAGCTTTTTCAAAACCCATCATGTCAAGAAGACACTGGATCCAACGTGGAACGAAAAATGTGTGGTGCAAATTGACAACCGTGTTAACACTTACTTGAGAGTCAAAGCTATGGATTGGGATGCAGGAAACAAGGATGATTTAATTGGAGAAGGTATGCTTCCATTAGCCCAGATTGATCCAGACAATGCTTGTGACTTGGATGTGCCATTAGTTGGACCTAAAGGAGAGGATGGAGGTGTTGTTCATTTAAATTTCAGCTTTGCTCCTAGATATACCCTTTCCGTTCATAAGAAAGAAAAGAAGGTTGGAGATTTAGCTTCTAAAGGTATCACCACCGGTTTACAAGCAGGTACCTCTGTCATTGGAGGTGGTCTTGGTGCCGTGGGCAAGATAAAGAAAGGTATCTTCGGCGGTAAAAAGAAGGATGAGGACAAAGAAGAAGAGGATTGATCTTTCAGTAGTTACCCTGACGAATGCACAGTTGCAATTCAGTGTAGTATATATAACATACGTTCATTCTTACAATTGAATTCATTCTCGTTGTTTTATTGATAATCGTAGAAACGTACCCGATTTTACGCAATCGTTATAACGATACCTGGAATCAAGAATCAAATTTAGTATCGGATGGATCCTCAAGATATCGCACAGGCAGCCGGTGTTTCGCCTGTTGAACTTTGTGTCTACTCAATATTGTCAAATAACTTGGATGGTATCTATCAATCCATAAATGAGCTGCGAGAGTCCCAAGCTCTCCTGATACTTCGACTAAGACAAGTACGAGACTCCCTCAAAGGAGAACAAGAATTCCTGAATCAAGGCCAAAATCTCAAGGTTGAGTGTGAACGACTTGAAAATTTGAAAACTCGAGTTGATGCTTTGGTGAAGCGTTGCGTTACGTTGCTGGAGACTTGTAATAATCTTACATAGGATTGAGTACAAAAAATGATGGTACGGTAAATTGCGAGATTAAAAGGAGGGAAACTTGAAGAGCTTGAACGGGTAGCCAACACTCTTTAATCTGAAAACCGCAACCAAAGCGCTGTAGGATAAATACAAGAATGAAGAAAATGTTAATGCTAGTGTAAGCTCGATCAAGATCGCTTTAGAGGGAGTAGGCTTGCCATTTCTGTCGTGAGCATAGAATTTCTTGGCGTATGGAACAAATTTGATGAGGCAAAGAATGTTTGCAATCAATGCACCATAAATGACGCTGACTATTTGAGTTTCAACGCCAAATTGGTTTTGTTGTTGGCCCTCAAGAAAGTAAAGAACCTTAGAACCATCAGCAGAGACCCCGGCATACTGACTGCCTCTTATACTGTTGAACATGTATCCTGAAATCCACAGAACAATGACGAAGACGGTTCCGACACCCCAAACAGCCTTAGAAGTTATTACACGTGCGGCAATTGCGGTATTCTTCTTAACGATGAATGTGACGATTGCTGTGGATAGAGAGGTAATAATGACTGACCCCCAGTTGATCGGTTCATGCATTTTATAGTCATTAAACCCGGTGAGTTCACTCAATGATTGTATTACCCAAGCGACACGAGTAGCACCACTCTCTGCTGGTAAGTTCATAATTCTAAATAGATCCATATCGTCTCCCGGAGGCAAGACGAAAACTCTTGGTACATTGTTCACTTTAAAGTGAGTGAATACCTCACCATTTCTCCGAGGCTCATAATCAGCCCTGGCGAAGAATAAGCCGCTCTCTCCGTCAGAGGAAAGACCTTTAGGGTGGTCCTGTTGCCAAGATTGAGCCACCTGGGAAAACTCTGATTCAAACTCAATACATAATGTACATCCAACCTGTGGATTTGTAGCTGTCAAAAGCAATACTACATGAGCATCACGTTTCCCACCAAGGACCTTGTGGAAGTTGGTGTTTGTCAATTGGATCACGCCATTGTTCTTCTGGGCCTCTTTATAAAGTTTGTCATTTGTGAGCGCATGAGTGAGTGACACAAATAGTGCGAAGACGTACCAAGCCAATTGAGTTCCTTTCATGCCGTTTTTCGCTTTTAGGTATCTCGAAGAGGGCTTATTGATGAAGAGAACACGTCTAAACGTCCAGCAAAGATCGTGTTTAGCTATATGTCACGTGATTTCTTTCTTGCTTCAAAGACTCCAAATATGCTTAAGAGGGCCGTCAATAAGAGTAAAATTTGATGTTATCTTGTGTATCTTGATTCTTGTAGAGTTTATTCCCTTGTCTGAGTGTGGACAATTTCTTCGAGAGCGAATTGCGGTCTAGTCGTTTCGGGATGCCGAGCAGTGGCAGCTCATCACGTATACCGCGGTCATTGATGGATGATCTCATTTGATTTGGCGTCTAGGATAGTTGCATATTGGCTAGAGCTAATGAATGAATGGAATCAGTGATATCAGCATATTTTTGATACTTAACCGCTCAAGACCACACATGGAAGATAAACAAATAGATCCATCTAATATGGCAGTTCCTCGAAGCCTCCCGCCAATTAAAGTATCAATCGGTCATATATTCTTGTTAAGAGCTCTCATGAAGGTAGTTTGGTTCAGGATATGTTTTATCACGTGGTTATGAGCTCGTGTGTTTTGATTGGCAGAAAGGGTGGCAAAATTACAACTTTTGATGAATTAAGAAAGGCATCATAGTTGGAAAGTGAAGCACATTGCGAAATGCCGGTCAAGTCATTGGAGTCGTTCCTGTTTGAAAAGGGTCTGGTGGGATCGTACCCAATTGAGTCTTTAAAAAATGCAACGCTTGGAATCGATGTTGATCATTATGTGTCACGCTTGCTCACAAGCAAAAGGGAACAGTACCTAGACGCAATTGGCGGGTTTCCAACTAGTTTAAAGATGTACTTGGAATCCGATCTACAAGTTTTCAAGGAATATAATATTACGCCTGTGTTTATTTTTAGTGGTTCCGCTGTAGCCAATCAGGTGGAGGCCAGCGGCCATTACACAGCTGCGGCTGAGGAAGCTGCTGCTGCTGTCAATGCGTCTGCCTCAGGTTCGCTGGGATCATCAGGTTCAACCACTAGGTCCGTTAAAGAAACAATTTTGGCCCAAAGACATAGAGGTTGGACGCAATGGAATAACCTGCTAGCGAACAATCAATCCACTTATATTGATCAGCCTATCCCACCTACAGAGGCATTTAGATATAACGTTCCACTAAACACCAAGCGCTTCCAAAGTGATTTGATTCATTATTTCATATCTTTGGGTATATACTTCCAAGTCGCTCCTTACACGTCGTGGATGCAATTGGCTTATCTTTTGCAAAACTCCTATATCGATGCAATCTACGGTCCAACAGATATTTTAATGCTCGATAACGTTGAAAAGTTCATTCTAGGCATGGAATTTCCCAACAAAGAATTCCGATTCATTGATAAAGCCCGTGTCCTCTCGGGACTTAAATGCTCTTCTGAAGAGTTTATTGATATCTGTATGGCAGTTGGCAATGATCTGCAACCATACACACTCTCGCCATTACAAGTCTACCCACCTCAACAATTGTTCGAAATGGCGTTAGAAATGGTCGTCAACACTGGTACTGATTTTTATGCATATCAACTAGTCAATCCCTTAAACATCGACAACACGAGCTCTATTGCTCGCTACCAAAAAGGTGTCTCCGCTTTGAAATATATGCCAGTATTGAAGGAGAATGGTAAAGTTGAACTTTTCGGAGAAAATGAGGCAAGTAACGAAAACAGCAAGGAATTAGAAGATGGCTCCATTTCTTCTCCCACTTCGTCAAACTCTTCGGAGATCATTCCAAATGATGTCCATGATGTGGTCTCCCAACGCTTACCACATGAGTACTATTTCTACAGATCTGTCGGCCTCATCAGTGGGAAACTTCTGGATGCAATAGCAACTGGCGTGTACCCTGAGGAGCCTCCACTAGACGGAGGATCTTCGAACTCCTATAGGAACTTGGTGAGAGTATCGGCTGAAATGTTCAAGAATAAAGAAATCAATCTTCTAACTCAGCCAATCAACAGATATTATCAAATCAAGCCCATCGCACAAGTTAATTGGTTCTCGCCAGATGATCCTATAACTTTAACTAATCGGATGACTCCATCAATGTTTGATAGAATCAACCACCTTATTGTGAAGACCGACGACATGGATCGCCAGTTTTCAATCTACGAGTTCATCAATTTGATAAATAAATCCAATAATTTGGTAAACGACTTTGTGTCAGAAAAAGTTATATTTCCCAATTCAGTGCCTATTTCGGAAAAACTAAAGTCATCTTTCGATATACTCTCAACCAGTTTCCTACGATTTTTAACCTTACTCGAATTCTTCGAATATGATCATTCCAAGAAGATTTTGAAGCCTACTAAATGGGGTAAAATTCTGTTGGACTTTAACAAATTAGGCATTGATTCGCAGTTTCAAGAAGCGATTTTCATTTTTATGACGTTTTTAAAAACTGGCGTCTTATCATTGACCGATGAAACCCAGCCAAGTGTTCCCTTGGCACTGTCGAAGGCTACTATTCGCACTTATCCAACAGAGTCATCATATATCCTAATCCTAACCCGCGTTTTGAGTTTATTCCGTTTGAAGCAGAAACCTGCCAATTATCATGGTCCAATTGATAAAAAAGCTCTAATTTATCTTGACCATTTGGATTATGTGAAGGAGAATATGAATGAATTATTCGAATCAGTGCTAATCTCATCATTAACCGCCGGTGAATTTGATAGGTTATCTCTCGATAATATTGGTTGGCAACGGAAAATTGTGGCTCTGATGCCTTTTAAACTGTCATCTCCAAGCACAGTTACGTCGATGATTTGGGAATTTTACTTGCAAAAGTTCCTGCACAACGGACACTCCAGGGGAGATGCAATGGCATTGGTAATGACTATATTCAATACCTATAAATCCGTTCCTAATCTTGAAGAGGAACTTGAACGGTCATTACTGTATTTGAATCATTTTGCATTAGCCTTGAAAGAAATGGCTGATGAGGGCCTTTGTAAGCCCCAGGATTATGATACTTTTAAAAATGCCCTATTCTTTGCGACTGAATCACTTGCTAAGTAAATTTAAATAACGTTTATGCAAGAAATCAAAGAAATTTTGAGTCGTTTAAACCATTATTGATCAATGGTTTAAATTTAAGAGAGGACTTTTTTATGTTTTGGTCTCGGTCTACATTTTTGACACTTAAAAATCACACTACTGAGAGAAACTGTTAATTCTATTACAATTTAATCTCGATTAACGACCGACGCCAGTACATACGTATTCATACGCATTAATTAAATCTTGTTTTATGGTGACCCAAGTGTTCATTCTGAACCTCACCTCGAGGAAATTGAAGTTGTCTTAGCTTTTCATACTATGCATTGATTTATTCTTGACTAACCCCAAATAGCTTTATCAAGTCCTGCGTACTCAATTTGGAATATAATTGATTCATAGCATCCTTATCTCCATCTGCAATCATTTTTGCCAGATTTCGCTTTCTATCTTGAAGTTCTATTATTTCTTGCTCGACAGTTCCTTTCATGATAAAAACATGAACATCAACTCTGGAACTTTTCTGGCCAATACGGTAAACTCTGTCTATGGCTTGATCTTGAATCGCTGGATTCCACCAAGGATCGAACAAAATAACACGATCAGCCATTGTTAAATTGAGACCCAAGGAGCCACTTTTCAAGGAGCAAAGCATAACTTCACAATCTTGCTCGTTTCCAAATAGTGTCTTCACGCGATCTTTTTCCGCCACAGACATGCTACCGAAATAACAACAATTCTTAATCCCATGAAAATCAAGATCCATTTTCAAAAGACTCAGCATTTGAGTAAATTGAGAAAATACTATAGTTTTTCTGGGAATGTGTCTTTTATCTAAAAATCTCTCTTGTTTCAGGATTTCCAACAATCGTTGTACTTTAACACTAGGAAATTCATTGCTAAAAAGCAACTTTTCAGGCTTACCCATACTATCATTATCCGAATCCATGTTCATCGCTGAAAACTTAGCGGATAAAGCCGCCACATCATTGGTCTCATTTGATGTTTCCCGTTTGTTTGGGTTTTTAGCTTGTTGATATTCGCTTTTGTTTTTGTCCGTCAGCAAGCGCCAGTCGCAGCATAGTTGCCTCAATCTTAAAAGATGCACTAGAATTCGCATTCTACTATTTCGACCTGGGGCATCTTCATTGACACCAATACTAAGTTTTGACGCAGAAAGGTAAGATCTCAGTGTATTATAACCATACAAATAGTCGACTTTCTCGCAATTCTTGGGCTTCCTTTCAGATTTTACAATATCGAACGTACTGTCGATTTCTGAGACATACTCGTTCCGTATATCGTCATATAATTTCCGCTGAACAGCAGAGAATGAGAGGAATTCCGAATGGAAGAACTTTTTAGGTAAAGGCCCATCAAAAGTTTGTTTTGCGCCCTTTGAAGGTTGAATACGCTTCTCAAACTTTAATATGTCTTTCGTTCTTCGTAGCATCATTGGTTTTAATTCTCGTATTAACTTTGCAGTAACACCATTAAGATTACCTGCTGACACGGCATTCGATATGTTAATTTTCCAATTTTTAGCATCCGAAAGATTAACCAATCTCAAGAACTGAAACAAACTCTGCAAGTCATTCAAGCTGTTCTGTATTGGTGTTCCAGTGACACACCAACGATACTTTGCATTTATGCTGAAACATGCGCGAGCAGTCTTACTCTGGCTATTTTTTATTACATGTGCTTCATCTAATACTGCCCGGCCCCACCGCATCTTTTCATGAAAAATGGTCCCCGTAAAGGTTCGATCTGATGATTGCAGCTGAGACCATTCTACTCGCACTGTCTCATAAGATGATATGACGATATCGTAATTTTCGAGACTTCTGTAATCTTTTGGTCTCTTCGGGCCATGGAACCGCAGCACACGAAGTTCTGGAGCAAATTTATTTATTTCAGAGGCCCATTGAGTAGCTAAACTTACAGGGCACAAAATTAGTGTTGGCTGCTTTAACTTGTGGCATAAAAGAAGAGCTATGATTTGAATTGTTTTCCCTAATCCCATGTCATCGCAAAGCAATCCACCACGGAAACCGTTGTTGTCTGAAGTGCGCAGTTCTCTTTTCTGCAAAAAATCCACTCCTATTAATTGGTGAGGCAAAAGTGTAGTCCGGAGGCCCTTGATGTCTAGGACAGGTAGCACAGGCTCATTCTCCACCGAAGAAACGGCGCTGAGAATCGTATCTACAAGGTTAGAAGGAGAGTGACGTGGTTCTGAAGCGCTGGGAAGATCAGATGGACGAACTTTACCGTCCCATGATGGGCTGTCCACAGGAACGGGAATAAAGAAAACGTCGGGCTTATTCTCAAGAAGCTTGGAACTTGCATTGCCTTTACGAGCTGCAACTGTTGGATCGATCACCTGGGAGTTTTTCAAGAGCGAGAGATCATCAGGACCTCGTGAAGCCATTGCATCTCGAGGTTTGCGTTTATCGAGTCCTTTGAGGCTGGCAAATTTGCTTTTGCTCGATGGCACAAATATGGAGCTTGGACGCTGCTTTCGAGTCGACGATGGCGGAGCGATAACCATCTTCGAAAAAGCTTTACTCACATATTCGTCTGTAGGCAATTTGTCCCCAGTATTTTCTCCCTTATTGGAAGCTTCTGCAGACATAACTTATCTCACCCATCTATGGAAGCAATTATTTCGGCTTAGCACTAGTCAATCAGCCTAGTAAGATAAAGTTGGAAACCGAATGCTTAAATGATTCGAATAATCGATAACTTCTAAGTAAACGACTAAGGATCTCGGATTTATCTGATTAGCATCCACATCCATTCGATTATCCCAGTATCAAATAGCAAACAAACCTTAACAAAATGAATGTTGGCATGAAACAAAAAGATCCATATTTAATTTCTTAATACCTCTCCAACATAACAACAGCTTCTATGGCCAAGTTGGTAAGGCGCCACACTAGTAATGTGGAGATCATCAGTTCGACTCTGGTTGGAAGCATTTGTTTTTAAATGATTTCATTCATCATAGGCCGGGTAACTTTGTCCAAACTACTATTTCGATTTTGATGGTAGAGCGGGGAGGAGAAAGGCTTTGGATCTGTGAGGAGCAATCCCGGTTTGGTCCGAAGCAGCTTTCTAGTGGTTTATATACTGGTAAAAGCAGTCATACTGTAGTTTATCAGATTAGTGATTGAACCAGTTTCAATGCTTCGCACTCTACGCTGCAATAAAGGTTTGAACGGTGTTTCGTCGAGAACTTTATTGCATTCAAGACCGTCGATGAGGTTCATGCATAAGAAAGATGATGGTGGGTCAAGCGATGCATGTGCGCAACCAGACGCTACAGCAACTACTTTAACAGATAAATACGAATGGCAAAGACTTGTGTCGACCACGAAAACCCCTGAGGGCTTCAAAGCGACTTGGTTGAATGCGCTCGAAGAGAGAGAAAAACAGCTCGCTCAGGGCAAAATCATCGATTCCTACGTTTATAATAGCGTCAAGTCTACTGAGGTATCAGAGAAAACTCGCGATGAATCGTTTTCTTACCTCACACTACCATTTCGCGATGACCCCATGGTCGCAGACTTCTACGTGAATGCGGCAGGAAGAATGAGAATGGGCCAAATTTTCCAGGACCTGGATGCGCTCGCTGGTAGAATTGCGTATCGTCACACATCGCCTGCTGAACCAGTGATTGTCACTGCCTCAGTTGATCGGATATATCTTTTGAAAGCGATCGATTTCATCTCCGACTATAATGTTATATTGTCCGGGGCAGTAGTGTGGACTGGCCGCTCCTCGATGGAGATTTCCATCAAAGCTTCCGCTATCAAGGGAGACCTTCCAACGGAAATAACCGAAGACAAATTGGCTGATGAGGACACGTTTTTGACTGCATCGTTCACTTTTGTCGCCAGAAACCCTGAAACCCACAAATCTCTTGCTGTTAACAAGCTGTTGCCCCTAAATGAGAAACAATGGATGGATTTCAGACGCGCAGAGTCTCATAACGCAGCAAAGAAACTTCGCGCTTCTAACGAGAGTCTCGATACGAACCCTCCTACTGAACAGGAGTCTCAAATCATTCATAAAATGTGGTCTGCTTCGAGACAATTGGCTACTTTACCTAACAGACCCCCAAATGTCATGTTTATGAAGGATACAAACGTCAAATCTACTATGTTCATGCAGCCTCAATACAGAAACAGGCACTCTTATATGATCTTTGGTGGATACCTGATGAGACAGACGTTCGAGCTGGCTTACTGTGCAGCAGCTTCTTTTTCGCACTCTTTCCCTAGATTCATTTCTTTGGATTCCACCACTTTCAGAGCTCCCGTGCCTGTTGGATCCATTTTGCACATGGATGCCAGTGTGGTTTACACAGAACACCTCCATGAGAGATCTGCAAAACCAAAAGTGGCTTCAGTTACTGACAAGGCGATTGATGGGAATACGGTATTCCATTTTGAACCAACTCCGGTTAACGAATTGAATACACATAAAGAAGGATTTTTATCAAAACCGGGTACCATTATCCAAGTCAAAGTCGATACTGTCGTCCAAGAGTTGGCTTCTGAGAAACAAACTAAGTCTGGGTCGTTCATTTACTCTTTTTTTGCTACGCGCGACTCAGATGACAAGAACGTGGGTACGCCAGGTTACGCCACTGTTGTACCTGAAACTTACTCAGAGATGATTGAGTATATTAGCGGCAGAAGACGTGCCATAGACACCGCAATGTATGCAAAGAGCATTAAACGTTCGAGTAAGCTATGAAATGCGGAAATCGGTTTCGCGGCTCTTCGGGATATGTCCGAGATGCCACTAAATTAGTTGATAGAACTAAGTATTTATTTTCCTCTTATATTTTTATACATTCCGATGGTGAAATAGGTTCCTCAGACCTGCAAAGTGCAGCTCCAAAGTCAAACTATAGACTTTCTGTTTGGCACATTAAATTTCTTATATTATTACACAATATCACTATTCATTATATGATATATCCATACTATTCCATTTCGGGTTCATGTCCTTGAATATCGTTAGCATCACATACGCCAACTCCACTTTTATTTGGAAGATTGACTAATTTTTTGATACTCCTCTTCCTCGTTGGTGTCAAAACGCCTGAAGCGTTCCTCTCTACCCATTCATATTTGTCACCTTGTTTTACCGGTATAAAGTCATCAGAACTACTTGTCGATGTCTGTGAATTGAATGAATTTTGATCCGGACGGTGGCCCATGCGCTTTGCAGGTGTGCTGCCTACAGATAGGTTATTTGTAGTGTAGCGAGGACCACCAGGACTAAAAGGCTTAGTGTTTCTCGGACTTGCAACCCCGGAATCAGTACTTTTCCAGAAGACCGAGTCTCTTAAACCGAATGATGATTTACGAGGATCTTTCGGAAGTGTTTTATTCTCTGCAATTTGGGTATTTAGGAGTTCAGCAGTACTCACAGTGTTTAGCGAGTTGTAACTCTCTCTCACGTTGTCTGAATCTTGCGCCCCCGCCGTTGAAAATCTCCAAGACTTACGATTTGTAGGTTCGCTGTTAAAGTATACTGACGAAGTTCGATTATTAGTGTCAAAGTATTCATCATTTGGAAGTCCAGGCAGCAAAGCTTCTCTACTCCCAGCTTGCAATGCATCGTGATACATGTCAGAAGAGGAAGAATTTGTTGTCATAGAATCCAATTTCTCTTCAAAAGTTGAACCTTCGGATCCAGAACTATGACCTTCATCTAATTTCATTGCATTGAGAGCTCCTAGTCTTTTAGCAGTAGAGCTATCATCAAGTGAATTTTCATCGCCGAATGGAGATACAGCTCCAAGACCATTGGGGTTATTTGAGGGATTCCCCAGCTTCGGATTGCTAATCTTGGGTGATTTTTCATTGTCATCTTGATCGCCTTGGTTTCTCTTTCGCCTCCATAGTAAGAAAATGAGAAGGAGTAGAAGAATTATACCCACTGGAATTGCAACGCCACATGCAATTGCAACTGCGTGATTGTTCTTTTTGCTCTTCCCAACAACGGCAGCCGGTGCTGTTGTTGTTGCGGAAGATGAAGTTGTCGAAGAGGCTGTTGCTGAAGCATGTGTGCCTGTAGCAGATGAAGTTGTTTTGGTTGATGAGGATGAATGAGACGAGCTCGAAGACGTATGCACCTTTGAGTCGATTCCACGAATTTTAAAGGATAGTTCCTGACTTCTGGATCCTTGCTCTGCAGTCACCCCGACGTCGAGGGAATCAAAATCGTCTGGGACCTTACCGCTTAGTGTTAGGTTACTGCTTTGAAAATGCAACCAAGAAGAGGCGGAACTATTTGAAAAATCCACGGAAACAGTGGTACCATCATAATCTGTGAACTGGGATGGTAAAAGAGCATATTGAAACCATTCGCCCCGTGTGGCATTTGCTCCAGGAAGTGAGGTGACAGCGAACAGTTTTTGAGTTGATTCAACTGCAAAATTCAAGTAGATCACGTCGTCGAATATATCATATATGGCAACACTGAAATTACCAGTCGAGTTGGTGCTTGGCATAGTACCGGACAACGTGTAATTGTCAATGTTGACCCAGCTGGGGGCATCCAAGAGCTCAACAGAGCTGATGTTTGACGTGGAAACAGGGTCATCGTCAAGAAAGATGTAATTGAGAGGAATGTCATAACTGAAGCTACCAGAGTCACTCACATTAACGATTAGCGTATTTTGAATAGATGTGGTGAATTGGTGAGCCCCAATAACCAATTCGAATACCACTTCAGCTGCAGTATAACCTTCGATATCAGTAGCGATGAGGGAGAAGTTATAGTCCAGTTCCGGAGCAATATTTGAATTGACCACTGGGGCAGTGCCACTGAATTTCAGACTGCTTGAGTCAAAGAACAGCCAACTAGGGAGAGGCGCGTGGTAACGAGAGGAAAGCCCGTAAAATGCCACGATTGAGTCCTCGTTCGTAAAAGTGTCTCTGTCAAATGTTACATTGAAGACTTCACCGGGGCTGAGTTTGAGTCCATTCTTCCCATTTGTATAACCACTCAACTTCAACAAGCTGAGCAGATTGAAGCTGGAGGACACCTCGGGCGCCGTCTTGTTGCTAAGGGCCAATTGATAAGTCTTGTTTAGGGATTGTCCGTCTGAAGCGTCTGTACCCTGCAGCACGAAACTAAAGTAGTTCACATCGCTGGCGCTGGACATGTCCTCCTCCGATGGAGTGCCTGATAGAACGCGCTCTGAAGAATCGAAACTGAGCCACGAGGGCAGCGAGAAAGCCTCATAAACTATTTGCGAGCTGCCACTGCTGCTCGACTTATACGTGTCATTTGAAAGCTGGAACCAATACTCTTCGCCAGGCTGCGCGATGGGGGGGTATTGCTTGCTGGCAGGGTATGCCTCGTAAGGTTGTGCCCTGATCACGCCCACAAAGACCGCTAGTAGGATTAGATACACTTTACGCATACGACTTCAACCTTGAGTAGTAAGGGTTTCGGAGAAGGATAGTCTAGTTTCCCACTTTCTTCACTATAAAGGATTTCATCCACGAATCGCTAGAGTGCCAACGTCTTTTGCATGCCGCATTTGGCAACTCTCTTTCCACTCTGCAACCTCTTCCTCATTTGTTACAGAACATTCGCGACGCGTTTGATAATCTTTTCGCGTTTTGATGCCAAAAAAAAACTTTGACACGAAAACTACGACAAAAAGACACGGCCTAAGTGAAATGCTGGGGCATTTCGCAGCTAAGTCGGGCTAAACTAATCAGCCGCGACTATGGTCGTTAGTGTAGCCGCCGCTTAAACCATTTTCGCGGTCTCTTCGCAAAACGCACAGGCGAGCACGTACGTTAGGCATGCATATCGTAAAGCGATTTCGTAACAGCACACATTGCGACTCGTCTACGCGTACCAGTGGACACCACGTCTTGGCATCCCTAAATAGGGTCTTTAACGCTGCATGTAGGCGTGTTGAATGGCTCGTGGGATCGCCAATCGTGCCAGATAGTCCAAATAGCTGCCCGATCCTGCCAATTGCAATCTAAGCGGCACCTCAATCTCGATTGGCCCGTCTGGCTCGAGCAGGAGGAACGAGGAGGTCTCCAATGGTTACAGGGTGCTACCACAGGCCCACAAAGCGCTATTACAGGGTTTTTGGTCCAGCACGTGATCAACGTCGGATGCGATCTCGAAAAGCGTGAAAAAAAATGATGGTACAAGCTTCGTCAATTTCAGAACCCCTATTGAAAGAAGAGATAGAGACAATTCACGGTGTCCAAGCAAGCGAAGAACAAGCAGGATGCCAAAACTAGAGCAGTTTGAAATCAAGAAGTACTGGCAAATCTTCTCGGGTCTCAAGCCGCAGGATAACAAGTTGAACCATGACCAGGTGCTGCCCATTTTGTACAACTCGAAGTTGGACTCGTCGGTACTCAACAAAATCTGGTTTCTCGCAGACATAGACGACGACGACAACTTAGACTTCGAGGAATTTGTGATTTGCATGAGGATGATCTTTGATATGGTCAACAAAAACATTGACAGCGTTCCGGACGAGCTGCCCGACTGGCTGATCCCGGGCAGCAAGGCAAAACTGGTCAAGGAAAGAAGGAAGAGAAAGCAGGCAGAAAACGCACAATTGGGTATCGAGACGACCAGCGCGCCGAGCGAACAGCGCAGCTCAGACAGTCAGAGCGAGATGCGCACCCAGCCTCGCCACGAGGCACCGGAAGTGGACTTTTATATCTCACCCTCCAACAAAGAGCTCTATGATTCGATTTACAATAGCTGCAATACGTTCACGGACGGAACAGTATCGTTCCCAGCTTTAGCTGCCGTGGTCAGATCCAAATTCCCCAGTGTTGCGTCCTCCGACATGGATAAGGTGTGGAGTCTGGTGAATCCCAAGAATGCCGCGTCAATCAACAGAGATCCAGCTGTGTATTTAATTCATGTGCTCAAGCAGGTGAGTGAATTGGGTTGCGCCTTGCCAACGCAGTTGCCTCACGGGATCAAGGAAATATGCAACCAAGAACGAGTCACGTACGATTTGAAGTCGGAGCAGGGTGACGTCAAGCGCTCTACCAGGCAATACACGACTAGTAGTAGTGACAACCGTTCTTCTGGAGTACAACGCAAAAGGGATGACTCCGATCTAGGTGTCACCGAGGGTACCGATTGGGAAGTAGTAAGGCTCAAAAGACAACTTGCGGATCTAGATGCGGAACTCTCCCGAGTAAACGCCACTGGCAATGAGGCAAATTCTTCTCAATCTGGAAATTTAAGACAACAGTTTGAGAATCTACTGAAATATAAGGAAAAACAGCTTTCGAGCAGTTCAACCGGTAATTCTTACACTTCTGTGAACGTGAGAGGAGTATCTGAGGATCTGGAGAATATCGAGCAGCAAGTTGGCGTGTTAGAGCAGTATTTATCCAACAAAAGGCAAGAACTGCAAAGCCTCGCCGCAGAAATTCAATCTCTCAAATAATTTTCTATTGTGTAGCATACTCACGCAACGAGCGTGGGAAGAAATAATATTACTAGCTCTTTGTGTGGTGAAAAATTCGATCACGCATCTTCTATTACTTACAAGGAACCAAAATTACTTACATTTGTTGTCTATTAGCAGTCCTGGGCTTGGCGCGAATAATGTTGTCTACTCTTAGTAATACCTCTGCAGCCTCTGAAGCAGAACTAACCACAGCCTTTTTCAACTTGTAACTCTCTACAATGCCCAATTCCCTCATGTCAGCGATGACACCGTTGTTCAAATCAAGACCTGATGTAGTCATGCCGTTGTAAATAGAAGATCTCAATTTTGCTACCAGCTCAGTACTGTCAAATCCGGCATTATCAGCGAGAATGGTTGGCAATTGTCTCAACGCGCGAGCAAATGAATCAACTGCCAAGGATTTTTTGCCGTCAACATTCTGAGCTGCTGTGTCGACTGCCTTCGACATAATCATCTCTGCACAGCCACCACCCAATACAGTTCTGGTTTCCTTTGTTGTTTGTGACAATACGGATAGGGCATCATGCAAAGATCTTTCTGCTTCATCTAAAACTTGCTCAGTGGCACCTCTTAAGACGATAGTACAAGCTTGCCCAGCTTTACAACCACTAAATTTGGTGAGGGTTTGTTCACCGATCATTATTTCCTCAATCAAGGCACACAGGGGATCCAGTTTGCATTTTTCGGGATTGTCAAAAGTAGATACCACTTCACCACCAGTAACCAACGCCAATCTTTCCACACCTTCGAAATCTGCGTGTTCAATAGAATTAATACCCAAATCGGTAAACAACTGTTCTGGATAGTCGTAGATTAGTTGCCTGTTGATAAAAGTGTTAATTCCAAAGTTCGCGATCTTGTCGATCTTCGTCTTCATCTTTACTTTTTCTGCCTTTTCCAACTGCGCTAACTTGGAAGTGGAGTCAACCTTGAACTTGGCGCCAAAAACCTTCACTTTATCGGTGTCTAGCGATGTGTTGGCGATCAGAATTTTGGCGTTTTCAACGCGCTTTGGTTGATTATTACCAAACTTCTTTGGTAATATGAAGCCTTCATCCAAGAAAGAGTCGGAAAGCCTACCACCAATTATTTTGATAATTTGAATGTGTTCCAAGTCTGTAGAACCACTTAGTCTGACAATGGCATCCGCAGCTAGCTTTGAAAAATGATCCTTGTCTTGAGACAAAATCTTGGACGACAAGGTTGTCTTGGCAATGTCAATCAAGTCGTTGTAAAACAGCTCTTCGTTTGACGAGTTATCCACAGCGGCCTTTTCCAACGCGCTAAGAGCTGCCTTTGACGCTATTCTGAAACCCTCGATTATAGTTTGTGGGTGAATCTTACTTTGTTCCACCAATTTTTCTGCTTCTCTCAATAGCTCTGCACTGAGCACTGTAACACTAGTTGTACCGTCTCCAACCTCATCGTCTTGCACTTTACTGATGTTAACTAGAACTTTAGCAGCAGGGTTGTCTAAGGGTATTGATTTCAAAATGGTCGCACCATCGTTGGTGATTAGACAGCTATCACTGCTGGCACTTTGGAGCAGCTTATCCATACCTTTTGGCCCAAGAGTAGTTTTGACTAAATCACCCACAGCAATTGCGCCTACGAAAGCAGACATACGAGCATTTTCAGCTCTTTCTTCAGTGACCTGATCACCAAAAATTTGAACACTCTGTTAAGAGGTTTTAGTTAGTATTTGTTTAACATAGATAGCAAATTCCTCTCTGGAAAAAATGTGCTGCGTGAAATTCCCATCAGAAACATACCATATCTTGATCAATGTCCTCACTTTTGTGTATTTAGATGTCCTCGATGAATGAACTAACATCGTGGAAACCAAAATTTTTTTTGCCACTCTGAACATCATCATTCACGTGATCTTGATCATTAATGAATAAGTTTGGAAGAACTCGTAAAGAAGGTACTACGTAAAGGTGGCTTTAATTCACAACTAAAGTATCCCAATTTGACCAATCTGCAGTCGATTGCACGGACTGTCTGCTCAAAAGAGTGGATGCCTTTAAAAAAATAAATGCTTCCAACCAGAGTCGAACTGATGATCTCCACATTACTAGTGTGGCGCCTTACCAACTTGGCCATAGAAGCTGTTATTGAAATACTCACCCCTAAATACGGTTTATCTAGTCACATAAAAGAAGGCGATGGTATCCTGATCGCAGAAGGATGGTGATATTTGTACTTTGATGTGGTACTCGAAATCAACCTCGTGTGAGAGTTTGCGTAACATGGATTTGAAATCTTTGGAATGCTTAGATAAATCAATTCCTTGTAATTGCCGCTCGCATTCAAAAACGCTTAACACTGACCCGTAAAATTGACAACGATCTCATAATCACCGTGGGCCGTTGCACTGAGGAGTTCTTGACGGTACGTACGGAATACGAACACGAAGACATGAGGGGTTGCGTAAATTATATGTGTTGGAACGAAATACAACTATCGACCATCGACTAGTATTCGTGTTACTAGTAGTATATTATCATACACGGTGTTTTAAGATGACATAAAGAATGAGAAACAGTCATCGAAGTTAGTGGAAGCTGAAACGCAAGGATTGATAATGTAATAGGATAATGAATGAAAATGTATAAAAGGAACAGAAAGAGCAAGAATATTTGTAAGTAGAATTATCAACTCTTCTTCCTGGATTCTTAGAAAGATGAGGAGAACTTCTAGTATAACCATATACCAATTATTACAGCCTTAATCAAAAATGGAATCCCAACAATTATCTCAATATTCACCCATTTCTCAATATGCGAATATCAAAGCTAGGTCGGCTATTTCTACGCCACAGCTGTACAATACAGCTTTATAGATAGCGATTACTTGTGCTAGGTTATTTTGAATATTCCGAGATGAGATTTTTCTCGGCATCTAGACGCTACCTGGAACTCAAGAACTCTTGGATTTCTATTACGAACTGATTTACGACCGATGGCTGCCAATGAAAATTGTACAAAAGGGGTGAAAAGACTGTTCTCTTTGTAAGCTACCGCCTGAAAATGATCAAAATGATCGCAAACCTAACTTTTCGGCCGGAATCTTACTATGGACTCCGTTCAAGGCTTTTCCAAGCGGGATCATAACTTATCAAATAATCACAAACTTATTTGCTACCATAAATGATAGACCTCAAAGTACATATTTGCCTTAATAATTTGGACAGGTTTTCAGCAAGACCTACGCAAGCGTACGAGTATTAACGGTGAGCCCTGTCCTTCTCATCTCATCGCGCTAAAAAATCACTTCTGGCACCAATAAAGGTTCAAGAAAATCAACCTCATAGGGCACGAAAAAAATTTCAAGATCCTAGTCCCTTCTCATCACAGTCGAACTTTACGTCGAGTGCTATACCTGTATTGCATTCTGTGTGGGTTTGTGATCTTACAGAGGGGTTGCAGCGCATTTAAATACAATGAGTATACCTGACGAAACCGAAGAACAGCGGAATAAACGTCTGCAAAAGCTGTTCAACTCCCTTGACGTCGACCATACCGGGAAGATCGACCTCGAAGGACTGAAAAGAGCTTTCGAAAAAAGTAACCATCCCCTTAAAGGCTCCCCGGAAGCTATTGAGCATATTTTCAACTCTCTCGACTATAATCATGACTCTGTCGTTGATTTTGAAGATTTCAAGCGGTACGTATCGATTGCCGAAACACAAATTAAACAAGGCTTCCAGCAAATCGACCGCGATCAAGACGGAAAAATCAAACCGAGTGAGCTTTCAAGTTATCTGAGCAAGCTGGGGAACGATGGTGAACTTAAGTCCGAGAAGCCAGCTTTGACATTCCAAAACTTTATTCGATGGGCATTCACGTCAAAGAAAAAGGAAGCTGAGAACCCTTCATATATCACGTACGATCAGTGGAGAGATTTTTTAATATTCATGCCCAGAAAGAGAGGCTCACGTTTGCATACAGCATATTCTTATTTCTATTTATTCAACGAGGATGTGGATTTGTCTTCAGAAGGTGATGTGACTTTAATTAACGATTTCATACGTGGATTCGGATTTTTTATTGCAGGGGGGATTTCTGGAGTTATCTCACGTACGTGCACTGCCCCATTCGATAGAATTAAAGTGTTCCTTATAGCAAGAACCGATCTATCGTCCACGTTTTTAAACTCCAAGGGAAAGCTACTGGAAAAGAATCCGAATGCAGATTTGTCCAAAATAAAATCACCACTCATCAAGGCAGCCACCTCACTTTACAGACAAGGTGGTCTTCGTGCGTTTTATGTTGGCAATGGCTTGAACGTTATCAAAGTTTTTCCCGAATCAGCTATGAAGTTTGGGTCATTTGAGCTTGCCAAAAGGGTAATGGCTCAGTTAGAAGGAGTAAAAGACACATCCCAGCTCTCACGCTTTTCAACCTATATCGCAGGTGGCATGGGTGGTGTGGTAGCGCAATTTTCAGTGTATCCGATCGATACTTTGAAATATAGAATTCAATGCGCTCCTCTCAATGCAAACCTTAAGGGTAACGAGCTCTTAATATTAACGGCAAAAGATATGTACCGTGAAGGAGGACTCAGATTGTTTTATAGAGGAGTCACCGTTGGTGTCATGGGTATATTTCCTTACGCAGCACTAGACTTGGGTACCTTCTCTGCCTTGAAAAAATGGTACATAACCAGACAAGCTAAATTGACTGGGGTTCCTGAACACAATGTGACTATTAGTAACATGGTTGTTCTTCTAATGGGGGCCTTTAGCGGTACTGTAGGAGCGTCTGTTGTCTATCCGATAAATTTATTAAGAACAAGACTGCAAGCACAAGGCACATATGCTCACCCGTATAGATATGACGGGTTCAGAGATGTTTTGTCTAAAACAATTCAACGCGAGGGTTATCAAGGTTTATTTAAGGGTTTGGTACCAAATTTGGCAAAAGTATGTCCTGCCGTCTCCATAAGTTACTTGTGTTACGAGAATTTAAAGCGAGCTTTCGGATTGGAGCGTTAAGATCGAAATAAAAACCCTGGGGTTATTTTTGGTTAGTTATTAATATTTATGATTTGCTCAGACAAAGAACACGATTGCAGAATAATACTATAATCAGGGTGGTATTTAATCCAACGCAGCTAATTCGATCTTGAGGCGCACGAGGTTTCCTCAAAAGTAAAGAGAATACTTTCTCTGTATCCAAGAGATAGGCTCGTCGATACATTGTAAAAGTTTTCAGACGTTTAGCTTTTTCAGACTTCAAACTGCGTGAATTTTCAACAGCAACTCAGGCTCATCCAAAACCATGCCAACATATCACATAATTAAATAAAAGTACAGTCATGTATTAATAACATTCAAGGTAATGATGATTCATATTCTACTGTAGATTGTGTTTCATAAACATCAATTGGTATTTGCCTCGGGGGGAAAATTAGTCGTTCCATGAATTGATGAACTACCATAGGCCCAACGTCACAACCGACTAACGATGTCATTTTTATTCGGGGCATCGTAGTCATCGCTTCATCCGTGGGATACTGAGTTGGGTCAAAACCAAATGGCAAACATTTCACCCAATTAACATCCTGTTCCTGTTCCACCTTTTCGCTTGCATTTTTTGGGCGATTCATGTTATGGCCAAGAGACAAACCCAAAGTATCGATTACAACCTCAAAAGTGACACTTCCAGGCTTGATCGCCGGTAACTTTTGTAGTTTTGCTAACAAGTCATTAAGACTAGACCGCAAATCGTCGAACACTGCTGTTTCCGTCATATTTTGAGGATCCTCATGCCGAAACTCGCTAAAATCTAGGGTGTACTTTTCAATGCAAATAGCATCTTCTTCTGTAACGATCCTAAGATTGAAACTCTTTGTATTGCTCAACTTTCCCAAGACATCCACTATCAACGTTTCTATGTACTCTTGCAAGGAAGGATGCCTGTTAATAGGGATGTGACGAGGCAAGTTGAAAGCTTGATATGATGTCCAATCAAACGATTCTCTGGGATATACATTTCTGTAATATAGTACTGCATTAATAAAGCACTTGAAGTATATCCTAAGCCATTTTTCGATATATTCGTTCATACACTAACTGCAATTATTTTTGATTAGAAATTTGCAACGCGAAACGCGTTTTGGAGTTCTTCCACCAGTCGATTTCAAAGGATGACAATGACAGACGCGCCCATGAATGCAAGGATCGCGGCTATTAATACCAATGATGTGCACAAAATCACGTCAGGACAGGTAATAGTGGATCTGACTTCCGCAGTGAAAGAACTCGTCGATAACAGTATAGACGCGGGAGCTGATCAAATTGAGCTCATATTTAAAAACTATGGCATGGAGTCGTTTGAATGCATTGACAATGGTGCCGGTATATCTGAAGAGAACTATGCATCTATCGCTTTAAAGCACTATACGTCCAAAATATCTAATTACCAAGATGTTTCCAGGGTCACCACTTTGGGCTTCAGAGGGGAAGCATTGTCATCCTTATCAGCTATCGCCAATATCGTTGTTATAACCACAACTAATCCACCCAAAGCTGCAAAGTTAGAGTTTGATTTCGGTGGGAATTTGGTGAAAAACACAGTAACATCTCGCAACAAAGGTACTACGGTTCAGGTTTCACATCTCTTCAATAGTCTGCCAGTTAGAAAGAAAGAATTTACGAAAAATCATAAGCGGATATTCAACAAATGCATTACGCTGCTACAGGCATATACAATAATTCAGGATAACATCAAAATATCCGTGTGGCATGCAACAAGCAATGGCCGTAAGTCTTTAGTTCTCTCTTCAACTAAGAGTCAGGGCCTTCCCAAGAGAATCTTAAGCGTATTTGGATCAAGTGGGATGAAAGGGCTATCAGAAATTAATATGGATTTGGATCTCAACTCAAGCAAGCCCCGGATATCCAAAATGTACGCTGAAGAACCATATTGGGAATCACTGGATTACAGAATTCAATTGACTGGTTATATATCAAAAAACTCTTTTGGTTGTGGTCGTAACGCGAAGGACAGACAATTCGTCTACATTAATAAGCGTCCTGTTGAACACCCCCAATTACTGAAATGCTGCAATGAAGTCTATCGAACCTTTAACAATGTCCAGTATCCTGCGCTTTTTCTAAATTTTGAGATTGCACCGGAGTTGCTAGATATTAATATAACACCAGACAAAAGAACCGTTTTATTACATAATGAGGATCTCGTATTAGATGTATTACGCGAGAAGCTCGGAGAGTTTTATTCTAGTCAGGAAATGGTCTTACCCCTAGCTGCTAGTCTAAAATCAAATGACAGCGAAAATTCAGTCAGTAAGAGAAGAAAACTTGAATCAACGAGTTCGGAAATATCTTCGACTTATGGTGATGATGATGATGATCATAACAGGGATGCAATTTATAGAACGCCTCTGGAAAGGATAGACGAGGGTGCAAGGGGCCTGATAAATAATAAGAAAAACGACACCAGGTTAGATGAGAAGAATAGTTGTGATGACCGTGATACTACTGGCCTATCACATGACGAAATGGATGTGGCAGGGGTTAAGGTTACTATGATATCACCTAATGGACATGAAACAAATGTGCAGAGGACTCTGGATTCTTTCGCTCACCCTACGACAAATACAGCAACTTTGTTCGTCAATGATTCAGGCGAAGAGGAGGAAGAAGAAATCGTGACTGTAGAAGTTGGTGACAAAAAGCTGAAGGAAAAAGCTGTACTTACAAAAGACAATGACTTGATATTTTCCCAAGAGAATGCAAATGAGTCCTCATGCGCTTGCCATTCAAACCACAATCATGACCTTGACCTTGAACTTAATGATGAGAATGACGATGCCATAACCTTAGAAAATGAGCAGCAACATGTTGAAGAAGACGAAGAAATAGAGGAAGATATTGAAGAAGGAATTGTTGCCCAACAGGGAGAAATAAACGTACGAGTGTCGATGCCTAACAGCGTTCCTACTTCAAGAAACTCATTAAAAGGTGGAGATTCTACAGCGCCACAATTACAGTCTACACGTGTTAGCTTGGCCTTGGAAATTGATCATCTAAATACTAGCTTCCGCCATGCCTTAACATTTTGCGGGAAGATGGGCCAGGATGGGCACGAAACCAAGATTCAAAAGAACGAACAAATAGAAAACTTCGACGAGGGTGAAAAATATTTAACATTGACGGTTTCGAAGGCAGATTTCAAAGAGATGACTATTATTGGTCAATTCAATTTGGGATTCATCTTGGCTACCCGGAGACTTAATCATAAATTCGATCTTTTCATTTTGGACCAGCACGCTAGTGACGAGAAGTTTAACTTTGAAATGTTGCAAAAAAGCACCACATTCAAATCTCAACGTTTAATTGCCCCCCAGCCCATTGAAATGAGCATTATCGATGAACTGATAGTCATGGATAATTTAGCGGTCTTTGAAAGAAACGGGTTTAAGTTAGAGGTGGACGAAAATCAACCACAAGGTAGTCGTGTTAAACTAATAAGTTTGCCGGTTTCGAAAAGAACCATATTTGATTCGAGCGACCTGAATGAGCTGATCCATCTCGTGAAGGAGACTGACGGACTGAATAAGATGAATGTACGGTGTTCGAAGATTAGAGCCATGTTTGCAATGCGAGCATGCAGGAGCAGCATCATGGTGGGAAAACCTTTGACTAGGAAGGCAATGACTCGTGTCGTGCGGCATCTCAGCGAGTTGGACAAACCATGGAATTGTCCGCATGGTAGACCCACGATGCGCCATCTCATGGAACTGAGAGACTGGGACTCTTTCAAGACCGATTACGAATTGTGATAGATCAAATAATGTAGGAATTGTTGGTTTTAATATATATATACAAGTGTAAAGGGTTCATGTTTGAACACACTGCTTCCAAAGAGCTAGTAACCAATCATGCTTTTGAGAGCGCCCCAAAGCGAAGTTTTTCTCGACATGTTTGAGCTAGACGTATGATAGCCCCTTCTATCTACTTTATTGAGTCTTCTCGCCGTCTTGGCGTTATTTCTTGTGTGTTGGCCGCGTACAGGTAAGTTCAAAGCGTGTCTCATACCCTCGTATGACCCAATTCTTCTCTTCAATGCAATGTTCTCCTTAACAATGGCCCTAGCATCGCCTTCTATAGTCATATTTGAAAGTTCACTAGTGATACTCATGATCTGCGACTCTGTAAGTTGGTGCATTCTGATCCACGGATAAAATCCAAGTTTCGAACATAGTGCTTCCGACGTTTTCAAACCAATCCCGTAGAATTTGGAGGCGAGAGCGATCCGCACCACTTCTTTACCTTTGAAACCCTTACCCAAGATGTGGACAACCATCGAGTGAGATACAATAGTGCGTTAAGCAGAGCAAACCTGAGATGCAGTTTAACAAGATAACGTTGAAGAATAAAGCATCCGCATTATAGAAAGCGAAAAAAAAAACTTGTGAGAAGCTATAGCTTTTCCAGGTCACGTGACTATACACATATTACACATCTGCTCTTCGGCATCAATTAGCACTGCAAGTAAATAGATCAAGAGTAGCGACATTAGACGCTAGTTCTGCTGTCTGTATGCCTCCCGAAGGATCCTTTCCAGCTGTTCGACGTCCAATCTTTGTATCACCAAATTTCGAAGCAATCCGATCATGGTGACAAAACTGGCAACTCCGACGGGGACGACACAGAAAACGGTGATGTTATAGAGGTGATTCTGTCTATTTTTGGTGAAGCGGAGCGACTTTGAAGACTTTTTCTTTTTGCGATGCGGAATGGCCAGGAGATCTTCTTGTGACGCTGACGAGAAGTTGGGCGTTATGGTCCCGGCGCTGGAGGTGGCAGCAGATTCGGGCTCCGTGGAGGGTGGAGCCGGCTCTTCGCTGACGTAGTTCAGGTTTAAGGTCAGAAAACTCTGCCATATGTAGGCTCCGGTGAGCATGCAGCTTATTAGGATCCAGGTATGCAAGTAGTAGTCCCCATTGGGGGACAAAGACGAGAGCAAGAGCATCTCTAGCGTGATGAATAGCAGCGACATCGAGAACATGCGCAGAATAGCCGCAATGGTTGAATATTTGACAATCCAGCGCACCATGAGCGAGTCCAGCACGGAGTAGGTCAGACACGCGGATACCATGCACCACAACGAGCACAGCAGGTACTCCGACGATCTGGCGGTGATCAACTGCGAGGGCAAGTCAGACTCGAAAGAAGACGCCTGCGTCTTCGAGTTGCGGTATGCCTGCCACAACATCTTGAACGTCGTGGTCAAGGACGCCTGTGTGTTGTCCACCGTGTAAAGCACGTTGGTGTCGTAAGAAAGAGACCACGCGCGCTTCAAGGAGTTGGCAAACGCCAGCAAAGGTGGCAGCAACGACACGTCGCGGCACACTGCGATGAGGAAGTGTTGCTTGGCATCCAAGTTGTTGAGTGTGAGCGATTTCAATGACCGATACGCCTGCAATGACGAGGTACTCACGTCGCGTTTCATGTGCGGCGCACCGTCACTGCCGTTGCGCCGGTGATAATGGTGATGGTGATGGATGTGGATTTGCGAGGACGACGATCGCGTCGGTATTGTGAGTTGTTCTGCATTTCTTTCCAGCGATTCGTCCATGACTGAGCCCTTCAGTCGGGTTTGGATAACGGTGTTATATCAATTCACGATTAGCCTCATCAAGGATGAAATTTTTGAGAGTTTATTTTTTTTCTCCCCTCCATTTCTACACGTTCATCACAGACGGCATTTGGCCTATCTGAAGCAGTACATAGAGTAAGATGTGCGAATGCTGAGCGCGCGCCAACATGGTATCATGCAAAACTACTTAGGTATAAATAGCTTGATAAGAAGCAGCAAAAAAAGACACGCTACAAACCACCACTCGAGCGGATCCACTGCGCGCGCGTGCATGTGTTCCGCGACACGTATGTGCAGGGGTTCGGCCTTGGCGAGTTCCGGCGCAGCGGCAGGGCCGGCCAACGCCAGTAGGGTGTGCGCCGGTAACGCCGAGAGCGCTACCGGCTCTATAAATTTTCTAGCGAGGCCGCGATCTCGTCGAGCTCCTTCTTGGCCTCTTCGTACTTGGCGGTCAATTCCTCGTATTTCTTTTCCCACTCGTCGCGCTCTTGCTCCAACGACACCACTTTGCGCTCGAGTTGCTCGGCCTTGAGGTCGGTCTCACGCAACTTGTCGGTGGTTTCCTTGAGCTTGGCGTCGCTCTCCTCTAGCTCTTCTTCCAGCTGCTGGTTCTTCTTGGTGAAGTTCTCGTTGTGCGAACGGAGGTTGGTCGAGTCCTCAGCGAGCTGCTTGTTCTCAGCGAGCTCAGCCTCCAGCTTTTCCACCTCTTCTTCCAGATGTTGGTTCTTCGTGGTTAGTGACTTGATCTGGTTCTCCTTTTCCGTGTTGTCCTGCTCCAGTTGCTTCATGCTTTCCTTGAGGTCGTCGTGCTTCTCTTGCCAGCTTTCGGCCTCTAGCTTGAGGTTGCTCAATTTCTACTGCGTGTTAGTACTATTGCTGTGAAAACCACGTTGCCTCCGCCTCTGTAGCCACCGTCTCGGTTGCACCACTCGTTCGCCCCTGTACTCCTAGGGGCGCAGGGCAATCGTGCGCGACGTGTGGCCGTGTAAATGCGTGACAGTTTTACCAATCGTACCATACCTCTCTGATCTTATCCATTGCGTCTGTCTATGTGTCGCTCTTGAGTGCTTCGTACGCTGTTTAAAGCTGTATTGATGCCTACTGCGCGACTTGTTCGTTTCTGACCACATTTGTCTGTCCTGCTTTTTATACTGTGTCCTTACCGCACCGTGAAAAAAATTTGAAAGTTTCCGCTCGATTTGGAAATAAACACTACTTTTGGCGGCACGCGCCGAGCAAAACATGGACAATGCCCAGGGCACAGAGCCGTTGGGCGCGTTGTAAGCGACCAGACGGCCCCAAATTTCCACGAGAATGGACTGGCGTTGGAACCAGAGCGCCACCGCTTCGTGGGCCAGCGTTTTCGCTGAAAGCAGCTTCCCACGGGCCGTTTGTTATTGTTTTTTTGGCGGGCGACGCGGCGCCGAACGGTTGGGATCGGGCCAAAGGAGAAAATGGTGAAAAAAAGGGGAGTGGATCTGTCACAGCGCACGGCAACACGTGCTGCCGTCGATAGCGATGCATAATTGGGGCTACGTGGGAAGTGATACGTGTGATATTTATGCATCGTTTGGGACGGAGGGGCGTGACCGGGTGTTCCCGCTTGCAGCTCGCTTTTCCCACCCTCATCTGTAAATTCGGATGGCTGGTTTGGCATCATAATTGGCATTGCGGTGTCCGCGACCGTAACCTCGACCTCGAATGCCGTGCGCCTCCTTCCACATTGCAGGACGGTCGAGTTCTTGAAGAGAATGCCTCTTTAGACGTTTGAGGCAAGGGTGAACGGTACTAATGAGTTCTAGAGCGGAGCTGATGTCACAGCAGTCTGCCGTGTTCGACCTTAGCGCGCGATACTCGTGGCAGGCAAACACGCTCAACGGGTATCGGTCAAGTCGCCTGGCGTCACTCTCTAGCGCACATATATCTCACGACCACGACCCACGAGGCCACCCCAAAATCGACTACGATTCGGACGAGATGACGGACGAAGAACAAGAGCAGTCGCTGATCAGACCGCTAATCGACGCGCACGCGCGTGCGTCAAGCTCCAACAGCAAGCTGAGCGAGCTTCAGGAAAAGGAGGCGGAGCTGAAGTTCAAGGTTGTCGACGATTCGTTGGAGCAGCAGCAGCGGCAGCAGCAGCAGATTCCGCTGCTGTCGTCGCCCCGCTACATGCACCGCCGCATCGTGTCGCGCACGGTGACGGTGCTTGACGGCGACGATGCTAGTATCCCCGGCCAGACTAGCAGGAACCGTGCGAACCAGGCCTCGGAGCCAGATTATTACACCGAGATGGATCGTTTTAACGAGGCTCAGGCAAGAAACCATCGCACGCGCGCCAGGCTCCGTCAACAGCAAATCGAGAAGCAATCCGCCCCCTTGCGCTCCGCCCAGATCATTGAAAAGTTCAGTAAGTGGTCCATTTACTCGGACAAAAACGCCCAACGCTCGCACTCGCGCCCACAACGCATGCCACGCAGAACGCCCACCTCTTCGTCGCTTCGGCGCAAGGACTTTTCCAACAGGCGCGAGATCAAGGAGTTTGCACGCTCAGGCAACTTTATTTTCCACCGTGGGTTCTCTTTGCGCAGGTCGCAACGTTTGAAACATAATTTTAAATTCAGGAACCACACCGAGCTCTCTTCTTTCATGGACTACGTTAATATAGGCTCTGCACCAATCTCGGATGTCCTGCCGAGTCGCTTAGCAGTTGCTCACAAAATCAAACCACCTCAGTTTTTACAACTCATGCGTTTGGAACCAAAATTTGTTCAGAATTTGATAGATATTGGGCCGTTACATCCTCAGCGTACGCGCAGCTCATTGTCACGAAGGCCCCACCATAGTAACAGTATCCGCAGACAAGTGCCTCTGCCGCGGCGCGTATCCACTGTGAGAAGATCAAAATCACTTTCGAGCATTCCGCCCCCTTCATTGGCGCAATCTCAAAATGCATACCTCTATGCACTGTGGCAACGCTATCTGATGGCAGTACTAATCCAACGTGTACAATTCAGAATGTTCCTAATGGCAAGCTCTTCGTCGGAAGTCAGCACGGATTCTCGTACTAGTTTATCGAATCCAGAAACTGGCTCGAGTCTCAGTTTTGGAAAGGCGCGAGCACAAGAAGAATCTACTCAAGATCTTCCAGCATCGAAGAAATTCATGACGAGTAAAAGTGTTTCTCATTCAGATGCGCACGAGGACGGTTTTCTCCTAACTAAAAGTATCAAAGAATACCCATCAGGAGATCTTTTCCCAGTTATCAATGAGGAAGAAATGGCATTACTTGCAGATATCAGCGGGGAGTCCGCGTCTTTGTCAAGCGGAATTAACCGTGATAACGATTTAGGGAAACAAAGAAAAGTTTATTAAATGTAATTTTGCGTCGTTATTGTCATTTTACGTATAGATGGAGGCAACTCTCATCATATTTAAAATCCTAAAATACCTTGATATATTTTCATTTTCTTCAGTTGGCCCTTCTTGAGTGAGTTCCAAATCTCCTGAACATTCGATAGTTGACCAAATTTACTTTGCTTCATCGTAACAAACGTATCAATCTGCTCAGGCTTATCTAGCCACATTTCGAAAACTATAATCGAAATACTTATGAGAGTTTTCTTAAGACGTGCGCTAGTATCAGAACCATCGCGGAACGACTTCTTAGCCCATATGTCATAGTGAAGATTGAACCATGTCCAAACCGAATCTCTTACTTTGGAATTACCACTATCTCTATGAGCATTATAAGCTAAGCCAAATAGCGCTTTTTCAATACTAGAGGAGTCAATGTTTGTCATCACAAAATTCAGGATCTTAGTCACAACGGCTGGATCAGTTGAAAACGAGAGATTTTCAATCGCCGCATTTTGTAGGTCCACGGGTGAAGCATTTGAAACATGGGGTGCTACAGCAGCGCTAGATTTAACCAGCTCGTTTAGCTTTTTCCAGTTCTTTATGCTTGACGTATGCTGAGAAATAGTAGCAAACACACTGCCAACAATTTCAGAAGGAATTGATGCGTTGGGTCCCTGCATAACCTTTTTGAAATACCGCGTTGCTATCTCGTGCGCCTCACTGGTGTCTTTTGCAGCAAACAAGACTTGAGACATCAATTGCAGCTGAGCACTACCATACTTAACATTCTCGAACTGACTTGGCCACGTAATCTGCTTAAAAAGAGGCATGATTACAGTTTCTAAGATGTTCAAATTTTCAGCATCACCACGATATGCAATAACACTCAATTCAATCGTCTGCAGGATCTCTAATCCAACACCTAAACCGCGGTAAAGCTGTGGAGACTTCTCAAGTGATATCTTCTGTGCAATATACCTTAATACATCTAAAACTCCGTCCAAGTGCTCTTGTTTTTGATAAGCTTCGTTGCCGATGAAATATTTAAGATCTTGGAAAAATTTGTAAAGATCCGTTCCTGATACTAACCCTTCCTCCAAACCCTTTTTCATAAGTTCATAGCACTCTTGTGATTCGTAGGATACGCGATAATAACCTTTGGCGTCGGAATTGCAAAGAAGAATTGGATAATCAATCTTAGTGGATCTATCAGTCAAAAGTACCTGTTTCTGGTCGAGAGAGCCGTCTGTAAGTTTCATGAAAAGTGGAATATGGTAGGGAACATCTTCATGATCTGTTTCACCCGATGACACGAATCTGTGCTGAACTAAACTGGTGAGAGAACCGTCGGAGGTAACATGTAGTATCGGGATCCCTGGTGTCTGGACCCATGAATACATGTAGTTTGAAATATTGGAAGAGTGAAGCTCTTTTCCCATGTACGACCAAATGTCCGAGGGCTTGATACTCTTGTCATGAAATTCGTGAGCAGCAAACACCTTCCGTAAGGCCTTTTTGAAAATATCTTCTCCAATACAGCAACTTAGGGACCTTATCAATGAAATACCCTTGGCGTAATTGTGTGGATCTACAGCTTCTGACGTTTGAATGATTCCATCTTTCTTAGAAGATGCAGAAATGCTCTGGGACGATAATTCCGAATCTCCACGAAGACAAACATCCAATTGATGCAAGTATTCGTCGGAGTAGTAGTACTCTGTTTGATCTATTGCATCTAGTATTTCGCATGCACACCAAGTTGCGAAAGATTCATTGAACCATAGATGCTCCCATGAATCAAAGGAGATGTAGTTCCCCATCCACTGATGAACCATTTCATGCACAATCAGTTGCTTTACCTGAGTTTGAACACTTTTATCCGCTAAAGCAGTGGGGCTCAATAGCAGGTTGTCTTGCTGCACCGTGATCATACCGAAATTCTCCATAGCCATGTCTGTCAGGAATGGCAATAGGACAAAGTCGAGTTTGCTCACAGGATAATCGCATTGGAAATAGGACTGTAACGCTGGAAACGCCTTCTGCACAGTATCAAGCCCAAAGGCTGCATGCTCGATTTGCTGAGGAGCATAAAAGCGAATCGGCAGGTTGCCTTGAGGTAGCTTCACAGTGGACTGGATGAATTCAAGATCTCCCGCTACAAAACCGAAAAGTGATGGGGTCATAGAAGGCGTGACGCCGAACTTTACGCTTTTGCGCGAATTATCGAGCTCATGTTCAGTTAGTTGTGCTGTGTTCGAGATCACTTTGAAGCGTTGATCTGAGGTGATCGTGAGCTGAAATTGCGCCTTGTGGTTGGGTTCATCAATACAGGGGAAGATCATGCGCGCGAATCCTGGCTGCGCATGCGTGGCTATCACAAAGTTATCGCTCTTGCCAGTATCGTACCGCATAAAATTGGTTTTGAAGACTCCGCGAGTGGGCTCCTGGAACGTCTTGATAGCGTGGACGGTACCAACGTAGGCCAGAGCCAGCGGTGCGACGGTGCCGCTCGATAAATCAATTGGTGACTCAGCAGCGAAGTCAATCTTGCGTCCAGGTCTATCATACGACACCTTGAGCTTCACGTTTCCAATATTGGCCGATAGAACGATGAGACCGTCTCCATGTAGCGAGAACTGTTTCAATTCAGCGCATCCCGCAACGGCGTGCAATTGCGCGATCAATTGGCCTCTGAAATTGGCCTTTTGGTGATCAAGCTCAAGCTCCAATTCATAGCGACTGGGTACCACTCCGTTAGCGAGGCTTAGCACGCTCATCTTATCACTAGATGGGCTTCTTTTGTCTGGAGTTTAGCTTCGAAGCTGGAGTTTGATTCAAGAACGCATGGCATTAGGGCAAGAAAAAAGAAATGAGAATAGAAACGCATCTTTTTTTTTTGGGCACGTCGCAAAAACGTCAGGGTGTCTGGATGTTAATTACATCATCTGTGCTCTGGTCACGTGGTATCTGGAAAAGAACAATCGTATTCGTGCGTCGTGATCTGCTTTCTCGACGTGCATGGAAAGGATGGCAGTTTCTGGAAAAATGATAATGGAAATGGGATAAACAGGTAGGATTTATATAGATAATCGAGTTACTGGGTAGTTCTGTGTCTCTAGAATCATCCAAGACGCCAGATACGGAGAGTACGGTATTAGAATTGTAATGGTACCGGTGAAGAATACCAAATTATACGAGGTTTTAGGCGTATCTACGGACGCATCGCGTCAAGAGATTAAGAAAGCTTATCGGTTACAAGCACTTAAGTGCCATCCGGACAAAAACGGGCACTCAGAAGAGTCCAAACGCAAGTTCCAGCAAGTATGTGAGGCGTACGAGATTCTCAGTGATGAGAACAAGCGAGAAATGTACGATAAATTCGGTACGGCTGACGAGTCAGAATTACAAGAGCAAATGTCGCCTCAAATGTACACTACGTCTGGTATGTCAGCCGGAGACCTTTTTGCACAGTTTTTTGGTGGTGGTAGCACGACTAGTGGGTTCTTCGAGCGTAAACGGCATACCCCAGAGATGGCGCGCGGCCCTGACATTAAACACAACTTGAAGTGCACTCTGCAAGAGTTGTACTACGGCAAACACGCGAAGCTTGCCCTTAACCGCACACGCTTGTGTCGTAAGTGTGACGGGAGCGGCGGTAAGCGCTCCCGCACATGTACAGCGTGTGGTGGGCGTGGGATGCGCACTGAAACCACCAGACGCGGGCCGATGGTGCAGACCTGGTCTTCGACGTGCCAGGACTGCAACGGATCAGGTACTTACGTGCGGCGCAAAGATCTTTGCGCGGAATGTGCAGGGCAAGGCTGTCGCACAGAACGTAAAATCTTCGACGTCGAGGTCCAGCCGGGTATGCGGCCAGGTCAAGAGATTGTGCTTCCTAGTGAAGCAGACGAAGTCGTGAACGCCGAGTTTGGACCCGAACGCGTGATTCCAGGTGATGTGACCATTATACTACAGCAACTGCCGCACGAGAAGCTCCGGGTATTGGGTGACGCAGATTTGCTCCTCAGTAATTGCAGCGTCGATTTGCGCACGAGTCTGTGCGGCGGGTCCGTGTGGATCGATTCGCACCCCAGTGGGCGCGTACTCAAGGTCGACGTGGCGCCAGGTCGTGTTCTCGCACCGGGCACTGTCAAATGCGTCGAAAACATGGGCATGCCCAAGCCCGGAGGCGGTTTCGGGAACCTATACGTGCGCTTCAACGTAGAGTTCCCTGAAAAACTGGACGAGGCCACGGCCACGGCCATTTCGGCCGCATTGGACTCCGATTCCAACGTCCAGCCTACGAGTTCCCAGGCCTTGCCCGAGGGCGTGCCCATCGAGGATCATGTGATGAGCGACCTCCAGCCCGATCTTTCCCAGGGTGGAAGCCCTCACAAGCGGCGTCGGGGGGCAGCCGACTCTTCAGACGACGCATTCGACGGTGACGATGCCAGCGATCGTGCCGAGAGTTGCACTGTCCATTGAGTCTCACCAATCGTCGCCCGGGGCACAAGATGCGAGCGCGTGGCCACGAGCAGTGCCTCCACATGCTACGCTGCCGCAGAGAACACAATTCATTGCTAACTAACGTCCATCACCATACGCACTCTGCTGAAACGGCAATTGCTTGGTTCTCTGGAGTCTTCGGGGACGTTCATATGCAGCTTCCTCCACGTGAATTCCACGTGGAACAAACTTCGTCCCATTGGCCAAACATCACCCACACACTAAGTGGACCAATGCAGAGCAAAGAGCAATTATAACGTAGGGGAGCGGAGGAACCTACGGAAATGGAGAGCAAAGCTTACGCCGCTTTTATTGGTTCATTCTGTCTGGGGCAGCAAGGGACTACGGAATATGACGGAGTACGGAGTCCTAGAGCGTCGCTGGATTGGGGCGCGATCTGGGACCCGACGTCGCCAGCTGCGTAACTGCATATTACACAATTCTAAATGGGGGCCAAGGAGTTCTATAGGGGAGGTCACTCGCCGTTTAAGATATAAATAGGGAGGGTGTTCGTTTGTAAGCTTGCAAACAGCATTTGGTTTTTAATTTTTCAAAAGGTGTAATTTTTCAACATGTCATCAAAAGTTCTATTAGGAGGAGCTGTCACAGTGGCAGCCGGATATGCGCTCTATGAGTATCAACTTCAGAGACAACAACAGCGTGGAACGCTAGCGTATCCACAGCAACACGACTCTAGCAAATTTGAGAAGAAAGGAGGACAAGTAGGTTCCAAGCTGGACGATATACGAGACGATGCGCGTGATCAACTCTCGCGTTGGAAGAGCGAGGCTGACAAGAAACTGACGTCCACTATGTCGGATATTGAGCATTCAAAGGCCAAAGGCTCACAGTGGGTTGGAGAACAACTCGGTGAAGCACGCGACGCGGTCACTGAGAAGCGTGATCGCTACTTGGAACGCTCTGGTGAGCTCAACGCTATGGTGGAAGCCGACCGCGACAAGAACAAGCCCAACAAGCTGGTGCAATTGGTGAACGACGCGCGCGACACGATCTCCACCGACATTCGTAATATTCGCGAGGGCGTTACCGAAGACGCTGGTAGTATCAAGGAAGCACTAGTTGGTGCCCGCAAAAGTACCGAAGAGTACGGTGAGGAGGCCAAAGACCGTGCTTCGTCTTTAGGAGATGCAGTGTCGGCTCGTGCTGATGAAGCCAAGAAAACCCTACAAGATGCAGGCTCTGCGGCCCGCCAGAAAGCGGACCAAGCTGCAGCCACTGTTTCCGACACAAAGGAGTCGATTTTCAACTGGGGTTTCAGTAAAGCTGAGAAAGCCAAAGCAATCGCTATTGGCGAGTACGACGAGGCCAACAAGCGTTACAACGAGCTCTTCGAGAAGCACAAATCGCAGAAAGGTTTATTCTCGAAAGGCGACGAGGACTTGAAACGCCAAGTTGACGTAGCCCACGAGAAAGTGCTCGAATGCAAGAGAAAGCTCGATGACGCGTCCTCGCGTTACGCCCAGTACACCAATGACAACATCAACGAGTTATCGGACAAGCTTGACAAGCAAGACCAGCAAATCCGCAAAGATGGCTTTTTCAAATGGTTATCTGGTGGTAGTCAAAACAGCACCCCAACAGACGCCGACAAAGTTGCTGCCAAGAGTGTTGCTGGTTGGGGAGAGAATGCCGAGCAACTTGCACGCGAAGAGTTGGATGAGTTGGTCAGAAACAACCAGATCGGGCCCAGCGAAGCCCAGAGGCGTTTGGACGAATGGAAGAAGATCAGAAAAGAAGGCTGGTTTAGTCACAGGGGCAAGAACGACGAGGAAGTCGCTGCTCGTGCTGCCAAGGCTTTGGAAGGATGGGGTGAAACCGCCTCTCAAATGGCGCGCGACGAGTACGAGGATTTGAAGAGCTCTGCGCCCAAGGATGCTTCTGATGCTGTTGAAAAGGCCAAACAGAAGTTAGACGATGCCAAGAAGCAACTAGACGAGACCGCATCGAGTTGGTGGTCTTTTGGTAAAGAGAAGAAGAACGACCTGCATGAAAAGGCACAGCAACAGTACGACCAAGCAGAGAAGGAATACCGCTCTACTGTCGACAAGTTAGCTGTATGGTCTGACAAGGCCAAGGGTAAGTTCTGGTCTACTGCCGACTCTGCTCTTGATGCCACCAAGTCTGGAGCTGATTCTCTTCACTCCAAGACCAAAGAAGGGCTAGATTCGGCTCAGGAATTTGTTCAAGACAAGAAAAACTGAATTGTTGTGATTGCGTATCTAGTAATTAGTTTTGTTTCATGTCAGCCCATGTTATGCACTACTCCTTGTAAACGTCTAGAAGTCGTTTTAGGAGGTAAATATTCTTTTAATATATCTCAATGACCTACAATGCATCGCTAATTTTATATAAAACTAAGTTGCATAGGAATGTTAGTAGTGGATTCGGCTTGTTTTGGCCTCTATAAGTAGTTGTCTTCCTTGTGTGGAGGGGTGAAATGGAGTTTCTTGTGATCATGATCCATTTTCTTCGCATGGCATGACGCTGTGACACGAAGCGAGCCAACAATCTCGGTAGACAAAAAGATCAAAGCGAAGAGAACACGACAGAAAGAAGTTCACGAATGGGCTGTAGAAAAGTCGGAAGATCGCTATAAAGTTATTCTAGAGGGCAGTTTTTATCATTAAAGACCTCTTACGAGCGGAAGTTTGAAGAGGAACAACTAATAAACAGAGATCCAAGAGATGGAAGCGCAGAAGATGAGTTCGAGCCGAAGGGCTACAAACAACAAGGAGCTGCCGAGTGCGACGGCACATAATGAGTCAAGAACAGGGAATGATGCTTTCCTGAAGGTATCGCCTAATCTTTTCACTGCAGAGAGACTACCTCTCTTCGACAGCCTCGATCTATACACAACACTCATCAGAAGCAGCCGAGCTCTGGAACAGGGAGAGAGATTACACAATCTCAGCTGGAGAATCATAAACAAGGCCCTACTGAAGGATCATGATATAAATAAGTCCAAAAAGAGAGACGGAGTGAAAAACCTGTACAACGTAATTAATCCGGTAAAGAACGGTCAGCAGATTGTGCCGCGAAAGCCAAACCAACTACCCGTGAGATCGCAGCAAAAACCAGCAGCAGCAGTACCTGCTGCTTCTCTGGTACGCTCAAGCAATTCTGTCGCCACACAGCTTTCACACCATGTCTCTCAACATCAAACAAATGCTTCGATGCAGCCCATGCAAGTTATGCACGCAATGCAAGGCACCCATGCTGTGGACGGTGGCAAACGAAAAAGCCGGCCTCTGCAGAGCCAGGCACCAACTCAAGCCCCACCCCACTACGCCAAGCTCCCACATGGTCCTCAGAATGCGAAGCGCGGTATACGGCACACAGGGGAAGGAGATGCACATCAAGCACCAAGTCGTAAACCGCTGTTTGGCATGCCTCCCAAGAGTCCGTCGCCAGAGCCTAAACGTGACGAAGAGAACCCACCTCAGAACGTGGTCAAGGGATTTGATCCTAATACGATGATAACTAAGAAGAAAGATGATAAAATATTCTATATCGGTCAGACCCCATCTCCCGACGGTAGCCTGGTAATAAAGAAGAAGCTATCTAACAAAAGCGTATCTGAGGGTAGAGCGAATGAGACTGCAAGTCTCTTTTCACAAAAATCCGATGACAAACTGCATGCGCTCAAGTTATCAAACCTCACCGCTAATGGCACAAATCATCCAAAGTCCCTATTCGGCGCAACAAAACCTCCCGCACAACACGATAAATCTAATCCTAACACTAAAGAGCTGTTTTTCAGTAGTGAAGACGATGAATCTGATTGGAACTCTTTATCAGATGACTCCGATTTCTACGATGAGGAAGAGGAAGATCAATATTACCAGAAGCAATGGGATAAGCTTCTTTTCAGCAGAAACGAATATGCTAAAAGTAATGCTAGTCAATCCAACAGCAGTGGAACTGCTTCACCAGTACCGCAGTCCGAGAAACATGATGTTAAGAGAAGTTTACTGAGCGGATTATTCTTGAATGAAATGCACAAACGTCCAGTAAAATCGATCACACCGGTGTCAAGTCAGCGCCCAACATTGGAGGAGAGCAGCATTATGGCAGTGGGAGACGTTACACCTTCAAGCTCGTGGAAGAGCTCAACGCATTTGGATCAAGATCAAGCCCCCTCAACTGGGGAAGCTGCTTTGCGCCCAACTTCCTCGCAACTACTGTTGAATAGGTCCAAGAGAGGTAGCTTCAGCAGCATTATCTCCGAATCGACTCGCCAAAGATACTCCCATGTCTCCAATGCACCCCCCACGGCACAGACAATTCTACCTACAGCTTTGTCCACGCACATGTTTGTACCGAATAACGTACATCAACAGAGAATGGCGAGATCTAATGCTGGCCGCAGTGATTCGTCTTTAAGACGTGAATCAATGGACATACCGTCGAAAAATCGTAATAATTCATTTTTAAAGACCCGCATGGAAATTTCTGAGGAGGAAAACTTCGCGAGAGCGATATCAAGACGTATATAACATGTACAAGTTTAAATCGATACTTGATAGACACTTATAATTTATAGCAATGTAATATGTGAAACTTTTGGAATATTCAATCACGTGTTCGTTTTTGGGAATCGCCGCGGTTTCTTTTTCCTTGAAAATTTTTTGAAAATTCAGAAAAGGTCGATGAGATGAGATGAGCTTTTGGTTGAAAGTGGATATCATAAGAAAGCAAGCATAATGCTAAGAAGACAAGCTCGTGAGCGTAGGGAATACCTGTATCGTAAAGCGCAAGAGCTTCAAGAGTCACAGCTTCAAGAAAAGCGTCAATTGATCAAGCAGGCACTTGCACAAGGGAAGCCTTTACCAAAGGATATAGCAGAAGATGAGCAACTCCAAAAGGATTTCCAGTACGATCAAACAGTGCAAGAAACCATAGATGATGAATATAGTGCTACTAGTGGTATCGCTGAGCCCAAAGTTATCGTTACAACGTCTAGAGATCCAAGCACGAGGCTATCACAGTTTGCAAAAGAGATTAAGCTATTATTCCCCACTGCAGTGCGTCTTAACAGAGGTAATTATATCATGCCAAGTTTAGTCGAAGCGTGTCAAAAATCAGGTACCAGTGACTTGGTTGTATTGCACGAGCATAGAGGTGTGCCCACGTCATTAACAGTATCCCATTTCCCACATGGGCCAACTGCCTTTTTCACATTGCATAACGTTGTACTAAGACATGACATTTTAAACGCTGGAAACCAAAGCGAGGTTAATCCACATTTGATTTTTGATAATTTCACAACGCCTTTAGGTCAGAGAGTAGTGACAATTTTGAAGCATATGTTCCCACCAGGTCCTAAGAAAGATTCTCCCCGTGTCATTACATTTGCCAACCGTGGAGATTTCATCAGTGTAAGGCAACATGTGTATGTCAGAACTAGAGACGGTGTAGAGATGGCCGAAGTGGGACCACGTTTCGAGATGAGGCTATTTGAGTTAAGATTGGGGACACTGGAAAATAAAGATGCAGATGTAGAGTGGCAACTAAGGCGGTTTGTTAGGACTGCAAGTCGTAAGGATTATCTGTAAGTACAAGAGTGTTTGCATACCTTTATGTATAACTTAATAATTTTAAGGATTAAAAACGGTATAGACTAAAAACTTACATAGAGTGATATTAAGAGAAAAGAATTGCCCCTGGCGATGGATATATGTGTGGATGTGAAATTTTATCGGACCAATTGTTGTTATAGTTGTTTGTGTCGTTTCCGGCAAGGGGAGTAAGGTAAGAGATCAAAAAGGACTGTGTTTAGTTTAGTTTACAAATTGAAGAAGTTCCCAAACGGAGTAAGTTAAAAAAGATCAACGTAAAACTTTAAAAAAGGCAGTAACAAACCATATCGGAAAAAAAAATAATAGGTAAAAAGGTGAAAGAAAATAAGAGAAAAACCCTGAATTAAAAGAGGAAACCGTCTTAATTTTATAGTGATGATATCGTAGGAGTGTAGTAAGGTAAGGATGGGTATATTCATGCGTCATTAGTATTGCTGACTTTCCTCCTCAAGACGTCGCCAACAGAACCGGACTTCAGGGACTCGTCATATAAAAGATCGTTCATGTTTTGAGCATTCCCGGGTACAGCAGCAGTACCGGCCCTGGTGGAATTAAGGAAGGGAGAGATGCCGCTGGCGTTAGAGTAGGTTCTAACTTTGTAAGGTGGGGCCACTTTCTTGAAACTGTTCTGAGTGGAAGTGCGTGACAAGCGAGGACCTGTAACAGTATTGTAGAGGTTTTGAGAGTTTGTAGCGTTGTACAAGAGAGATGGGGAATTTGGAGAAGTGGCCATCTCTGTGTCAGAGTCGTCCTCGCTGGCAGAGCAATCACTACCACTACTTTCCAGATGGAATTTACCGGTACTTTTGCGAGTGGTTGCGTGCGGGGTGCCTAGCTGTTGAGTGAGCAACTGCTGACCGTTTGTATGGTTTCCGTTGCCGCTGCCGTTGCCGTTGCCGTTGCCGTTGGAAAGAACCGGTGTTGATACCCGGTTGGTAGGAGACCGAGAAAGATTCAGCACGTGGTTGGGGAGGTTCCTGCTGGTGGTGCATGACAGAGGCATCATATTGGAAGAGTTGGAACCCCTGCGGTTAGGAGAGGCAAACGGGTTGTGAAGCAAAGGCTGAGGTTGCTGTGGGTTTTGCTGACGCAGAAAGGTCGAGGAAAGAGATTGTGTGATGGAGGGCCTGCGAGGGTTGGCGTTTTCGTCGGAGAGCATGTCTGCGTAGGAGTAGAAACGTAGCACGCGGGGCCGTTCGGTTTGGGCGCTGGCTGCAGAGGCGTTGGAGATGTTGGAAGCGACGCTGGCCGAAGTGTTTGCGCGCGAGAGCTCGGGCAAGTTGTAGTGGCTGTTGGTGCGGGTGCGGCCGAGGGCGAGGTCTAGACCCAGCGTAGAGGGCCTACGAGAGTAGATCATCTCGACGTTGTCGAGGTTGGTGTCGTTCTCCTCGACGAGAGCCGTGCCGGCATCGAGAGCGGGGGCGACGAGGTTTTCGAGCGTGTGGTTGTGCGAGGAGTGCTTGCAGCCGGCAGGCAGGCCTCCTGGAAAGCCAGGCGCGCTGCACAGGCTGTCACGGTCGGAGCCATTGAGCGTGGCGACGTTGACGACGGAGCTGGAGCGTGACGATGGGCAGTGAGAGGGCGTGCGCGACAGCCTGCGTGATTGCGTGCGCGACAGCGACCGCGAGTGCGTGCGCGAGAGCGACTCGGCGTTTGAGCACGCCTGGCACGCTGGAGCTGCCTTATACACCTGTTGGTACGGGTCCTCGACGCTGCGCTCAAATATAAGCGAGTTCTCGCTGGCGACGGGCGACGGCATGTCGGACGAGGCGTCCTCGAAGCCTTCATGTTGGTCGTAGTCTTGTTCCATTGGGTAGCGCTGTGGGAGGGTAAACGGGGAAAATAGAAGCTGCTGGAGGGTTAAAGACGAGCTGCTGACAAAGTGCTGACGGAGTGTTGACGGACTACTGGCGGGACTGCGACTCGATACCAAAGGTCCTGTTCACGGCTAGGAGTGTTTGGGAGAGACAATCGTTAAGTTGCCCCTTATCAGCGAGAGGGCGTGCTTGGAGCCACGCCGTGTGCTGTGACTAGGAGAAACGGCACGACGAAAAAACGACAAGAAAAAAAAAAAAAAAACCATCGTGTCACTATCTACGTCTTCGTTCTGGTCTTCGTTCCGAAGCAGTTCGTACTATGTGATCTCCCTATTTAAGATTCCCCTGAGCCGTTGGCGCGGCAGGGTAACGCGGCCGGTGCTGGCCCGAGCCTGGCAAGAACAGATGCGCCAGCGCACGGCCGGCGTGCTTCGAGATGCCCGGCTCCAGCACCAGGACCGCAAGACTACAAGACTTCACGACGTAAGCGACGAGGACGTGCTTGTGTGGCGCGAGCGCTGCCACGCAGGAACCTGTCGCGGCACTGCCATGGGATTTTCCCAGATTCGCGGACTTGGCGGGATCGGCGCCGTTGGGGAACAAAAGGCTCGGGCACGTGGGAGTCCGGGTAACGGCCGGAGCCGAGGTGGGCCGGAAGGTGGCGGGTAACCCTGAAGGCCGGGTGACCCTTGATGTTCGGGTAACTCTTTATCTCCGGGTAACATCCTATTCCCGGGTAACCCTTTGACGTCCGGGTAACATCTGGCCCTCAAGTTTTTCTCGTTCTTCGTTGCTGGCTTTTTCGCTCATCACTTCACTTTTCCACTTCTCACTTCTCACTTCTCACTTCTCACTTCTCACTTCTCTTCTGGCTGCGATACTACTCGCCGCCACCGTAACCACCCTCCAGCCCTGTCGTCTCGCCGTGGCAGACAGTTGTCTGCCCGCGAAACGACGCTCGCCTCGCATGATGAAGATTATATACTGCGTTATCGTCTTGACGGCTGTTTTAGTACAGCCTGTAGGAAACGAGCTAACACTTTCTGAGCGAGGCGGAAAGCCGTGGAGAGTGAGATGTTCACTCGTGCGCGGTGATATGTAAGTTTCGTGCAGTGTGATTGTATGTCGTCATGCACGGTAATCACGTGCTGTTTTCTCTCTCTTGCTCATCTTTCTTCCCTCCATTCATCTTGTGCTTGGCCGTCCATCGAGCTCTGCATCCACATCTTCGTCCGCTCATGCTTGGAGCGCTCGCCTGCCGCGGCCGTATGGCCCACCTCAACGTCTACCACCGTTCCTGGCGGCCAATCGTGTCGCGTTTGGCCTCCGTCCGCTGCAACCACGTCGACACCGGTACCCTCGACTTTGCACGCCGCAATGCGGCCATCGCACGCGAACCAGACCGTTTCTACCCGTCGCTATCGCAGCTGCCGCCGCCCACCACATCCGTCGCGCACTTCCTCGACCGCTACGCGAACCTCGACGCCGACCGCCCCGAGAACCAAGAGTGCGTACGCGGCCGCATCGTGTCCGTGCGCACGCTGGGTAAAAACATGTCTTTTGTCACCCTGGAGGCGGCAGCACGCCGCGTCCAGCTCATCCTCAATTACAACGTCATGGCAGCGCACTCTCCCGGGCTGACGCGTGCGCAATTCGCCGACACCGCTGCTGCACTTCGTCCCGGCGATCACCTGCAAGCAAGTGGGTTTCCCGGCGTGTCGCAACGTGAGCGCACGCTCTCGCTCAAATGCACGACCCCAGTAGTGTTGCTCGCGCCCGCTACCCGTCCACTCCCCCCACGCCTCGAAGACCCCATCAAGCGCGCGCAAAACCGCGTCCTCGACTACCTTGTCAATGGCCACGAAACGTTGCGTTTGCGCGGTGCAGTACTGCGCGCGCTGCGCGAGTTCCTCGATGCTCGTGACTTCGTCGAGGTCGAAACGCCCATGCTTACTGCGCGATCCAACGGTGCTGCAGCGGAGCCGTTCGTTACGCACGCGCGTGCCAACGACACGCGGCTCGAGCTGCGAGTGGCGCCCGAGTTGTGGCTCAAACGGCTGGTCGTCGCGGGCGTCGACCGCGTGTACGAGCTAGGCCGCGTTTTCCGCAACGAAGGGGTCGACGCTACTCACAACCCCGAATTCACCACTCTCGAGTTCTACCAAGCATATGCGTCTATGTCTGATCTCATCTCGCTCTCTGAGCAATTGTTCCTGCATGTTCTACGCTCGGTCGACACCCCACGGGCTCATCAGTTGCTAGAACAGCTGGCCTGCAACGGCAACCAATTTCAGCGCATCGAGTTTCTGCCCACTTTGCAACGTGAGACCAACATCGATTTCGAAGCGATCGACCTTTCAAATCCGCATGAAATCGCGCGTGCGCTCAAGGACAAAGACATACACTTGCCATCGCATGTCAAGTCTCCACAACAGATGCTTAATGCGCTCTGCGCCCGTTACATCGAAAGCAAATACTGTGAATCGCTCCTGCCGACCGTTATCTATCATCATCCCACCGTCATGTCGCCGCTCGCAAAGGGCAACCCGGCAGACGGCTTGCGCACGACCAAGCGGTTCGAGATTTTCATATGCGGCAAAGAGTACATTAACGCCTACGAGGAGGAAAACTGTCCACAACGCCAGCTCGATAAGTTTATTGCGCAGCAAAAATCACATCAGCTCTATGGCGATAAAGAGTCACTTGCGATTGACACGCCCTACGTTGAGGCCATGAAGTGGGGAATGCCTCCAATCGGTGGATTCGGATTGGGTGTGGACCGGTTGTGCATGTTACTTGCAGGTAAAGACCGAATTGAACAGGTGTTAAGTTTCGGCACCATCGATGATGTAGATAGGCAGTAGAGAGGAAACCTCTTGAATGATTCTTGACGGTCATATATTGTAAATATACATAGCTCTTAAAAAATAGAGGACTTGTGAATACTTTCAACCCCATTCGAATTAATTAAGTCAGAGGCCAAAAGCTATTTATTGTAGTTAATTCCATTTTTCCCAACACAAACATAAACTGTGACTGATGTGCAAAATGCCAGGGCTCATTATGTTTTGAAATGCTAAAAATCCTGGCAATATTCCTATTTACAACTACAATTAAACAGCACAGTTCTCCCTCTCGATCAATCTCATTCGTTACATATCCCTTCCCTTTCCCATCGCTGTCAATCTTTTGGACGCGCGACACCAAAAAACTCGAAATTTAAAAGTTAAAACTCATCGCGTAAACTACTTCAAAAACAAACTTTAACTCAAGTGATCTTCATGTCTTCAGAACAAGACTCCTCGGAGGCTCTTTCAACCGCGGATGCTCCCGGATTACCCCCAACTGTGATACCATCGCTCAATTCGCTTCACACCAAGACATTTTACTCTCCTATTCCATCCTCCGTTCTGCAATCGGATTCCCCAGTCATTCTCGGTGTGGATGAAGCCGGACGTGGCCCCGTGATGGGGCCCATGGTCTATGGTATCAGCTACTGCACATTACAGTACCAAGATGAGGTACTGAAAAGAAAATACGGATTTGATGACTCCAAGAAGTTAACCGATGGTGTGAGACGTGACTTGTTTAAGCGAATTTACACAGGCGAAATAGATCAAGTAGGCTACGCGACAACGTCTATTACCCCCTGCGATATTTCAAGCGGTATGCTACGGTATCCTCCTGAAAAGAATTATAATCTCAACGAACAAGCTCACGACGTGACCATGGCACTTATTCGCGGAGTGCTAGACCGCAATGTTAATCTCGAACACGTATACGTGGATACGGTGGGCCCTCCTGCGACGTACCAGCGGAAGTTAGAACTACAATTTCCTAATGTCAAATTCACCGTTGCCAAAAAGGCTGATTCGCTCTATTGCGTGGTTAGTGTGGCCAGTGTCGTTGCCAAAGTCACCCGTGATGTCCTCATAGACCACCTGAAGACCCGTCCCGACGAGATATTGGGTTCTGGATATCCGTCGGATAGTAAAACCACTACATGGTTACGAAACAATATGACACCGCTGTTCGGCTGGCCTGCTCACGCCGTTAGGTTTTCCTGGCAAACATGTCAAACATTGCTTGACAAAAATAATGACACTGTGCCACTGGAATGGGAAGAATCTTTCATCTCCAAAAAACACCAACCAGCTTCGACGTTGTTCTTACCCACTCAAAAGCTCGTCACCCTGGACAACTGGTATTCTACTGATTAGCCAATGGCATCGCAAAGTTTATATCTCGAGACTTAAAACGTGAGAACTTGTACGATTACAACAATTGAAAGATACATTGGCATGAAACCGGATCCAATTGCAACCTCAGAAATTCACACTCATATCATGATGCTACCAGTCGTCTGATAGCTGCCTCGATCACCAACGGTAGATCGGATTATTAAGTACGATCAACCTCGTGACCACATTTCACTGTATGTACACAAGCTACTATGGCTCGCTTGGAGTCAAAAGCCACTCGAATCATTAGTTATCAATGCCATAATTGTCCTGGACTGGTGGTTGGTCGTCTTATGTCAACTATTTGTAACTTGCGCTCCGTCCAATGCGATGGGCGCTCCTCTTATCCCGATGGGTATCTAAAATTTTTCAGAAATTCATTCGGGGCAGGCATTATAAAAGGGAGTTTATCCAACCAATCTGATTAGAGGTCAAATTCGAAAAAAGACGTGTTAAAAGTTTACGCCTAATCACGATCAATGTCAGCACTCACGCGTGTTTTCCCAAGAGTTAGAGCTTCCCTTTTCCGTTCAGCTAGATTTCAGTTGAGGGCTTATGCCTCGTACCCTCCACACACCGTTATCGACATGCCTGCTTTATCGCCCACCATGACACAAGGTAACATAGCGGTGTGGTCCAAGGAAGTGGGTGATAAGCTAGAACCGGGTGAAGTGATTGCTGAGGTTGAAACAGATAAGGCCCAAATGGAGTTCGAGTTCCAAGATGATGGTTATCTTGCTAAGATCCTCGTTCCAGCGGGAACAAAGGATATCCCTGTGGGCAAGCCTATTGCCGTGTACGTGGAGAACGAAGATGATGTTCCACTCTTCAAGGACTTTAAAGTCGACGACTCTGCCTCTAAGAAGCCCGAGGCTAGCAAGCAAGCTGAATCCTCCAAGGCTGATACGTCCTCTGACAACGTGCCACAAAAGCAACCAGAGACAAAGTCAAGCAATGCCCAGCGTACCTCTCCAGGTGGCAGAATAATTGCTTCTCCATTGGCAAAGACCATTGCCCTAGAAGAAGGCATTTCTTTGAAAGATGTCACGGGAACTGGTCCTCATGGTAGAATAGTCAAGGCAGATGTGGAAAAGTATTTGGCCAATAAGCCAGCTGAAAAGAGCAAACCAGCTGCTGCTCCTACTGGAGCCACTCCAACTCCATCCGCCTCCGCTCAATACGAGGATGTGCCAATTAGCACAATGAGAGGTATCATAGCTAGCCGTCTGTTGCAATCCACCCAGGGAATTCCATCTTACATTGTGTCTTCTCAGATCTCAGTTTCTAAGCTTTTGAAGCTAAGACAATCATTGAACTCCACAGGTAATGACCAATACAAGCTATCTGTCAACGATATGTTGATAAAAGCTATCACCGTGGCTGCAAAGAGAGTCCCTGAAGCCAATGCATACTGGATGGAACAAGATGGTGTCATTAGAATGTTCAAGAACGTCGACGTGTCGGTGGCCGTTGCCACCCCAACTGGTTTATTAACTCCTATCGTCAAGAATGCAGACTCTAAGGGCTTAGTTTCCATTTCAAAGGAGGTCAAAGACTTGGGAAAGCGTGCCAAGGCCAACAAGTTGATGCCTGAAGAATTCCAAGGTGGTACTATCTGTATCTCTAATTTAGGTATGAACAACGCTGTCTCCATGTTCACTTCAATTATCAACCCACCCCAATCCACTATTCTAGCCATTGGTACTGTCCAAAGAGTTCCTGTTGAGGATGCAGGCGCTGAGTATGGATTCTCGTTCGAGGATAAGATTAACATCACTGGTACTTTCGATCACAGAACGATTGATGGTGCTCGTGCCGGTGAATTCATGAAGGAATTAAAGAAGGTCATTGAAAACCCCTTGGAAATGCTATTGTAGATATGTCGCGCTAAATTTTCAATCTAACGTCTGTAAACTAAAGGGGGTATGTAACACACATCAAAAAGAAGAGAAAGATGACTCTAATTGTATAACAACCTCATTGCTCATTTTCATACGGAACTTATATACTACTCTGGCCAGAAGACATCATAATGTTGGTGTTGGCCATCCTTTGCGTGATACTGTGATTCGAATAATTACATCTGGCGCCAGTCATTCAACACGTCTTTCTAAAATTTTTCTTCAAAAGATGTGGACTGTAAGAAACAAATTCCATGCTATCAACATAGAAGCGATATCATCTTCATAATTAACATGGCATTTCTACCTTCTTTTATTCTAAGTGACGAGTCCAAGGAACGTATCTCTAAGATTTTGAATCTATCACAAACTGTGGCCCATTACGGTTGGCTACCTTTTGTTTTGTACTTGGGTTGGTCTCACACCTCCAACAGACCAAACTTATTCAGCTTGTTGAGCCCACTACCAAGTGTTTAAATTTTCACTTGATCTGGGCGTAGCACCACATGCAAATATAGTGTCGCTTGTATATATCATTAATGAATGAACAAAATGCTATCTGATTTATTTAGAACGGAACAGAAATGTATCCATATACAATGAAGTTGCTTGAGGTTCTTCGAACACTCATGTCCAAATATTACTAAGCTTTAAACGTTTGGATCAAAGATACCTTTATAGCTGTTTTCAATTATTGTCACTTAAAAATACCCTTTTTTCCAATTATCAAAATCGATTGTTTTACAAATCTCGGTCTTGCAATCACTAGCGCCCCTCCAGCGAACTTCCAGGACTATGAGTTTAGAACTAACTGGCCTTCATAAAGAGGTTATCTCAGGGCTTACGGCAGGGACCGTCACAACTGTCGTCACCCACCCACTTGACCTAATAAAAGTACGATTGCAGCTACTAGCGATGACAAAACCATCCGAAGGGTACAGAGAAGTCCTCAAATACATAGCCCAAGATTCACGAAATAGCTCTGGATTTTTACGAGAAGCATACAGAGGCCTGGGGGTAAATCTAATAGGTAACTCAATCGCATGGGGACTATATTTTGGGTTGTACAGATACTCGAAAGATATTGTATTCAGATTATGGGCAGACGAGAGCTTATATTCTACGAATTCTTTTCAAAATGATAAACAAATGGGTGCATTACTTTACATGACATCTGCAGGTATAAGTGGATTAACTACTACTATTCTTACCAACCCCATTTGGGTAGTTAAGACCCGAATTATGTCTACCAGCGTAGGTGCGCGCGGCAGTTATCGTTCCACCTGGGATGGGATTAAAAAACTCTACAAATCAGATGGTGTGAAAGGCTTTTGGAAGGGAATGATACCGTCACTGTTTGGTGTGACTCAAGGTGCTCTCTATTTTGCTGTATATGATTCACTGAAACATCAATATTTTGCTGCAAAGCATATTGACGCTGAACAAAAACTCGGTAACCTTGAGACAATCACTATCACCTCACTGAGTAAAATGATCTCTGTAACTGCAGTGTATCCCTTTCAATTATTAAAGGCCAATCTGCAAAGCTTCGAGGCAAGTGTTGATCACAACTCGTATAGGTTGTGGAGTGTAATACACTCGATATACTCGAAAGAAGGAGTAAAAGGATTATATAAGGGCCTCTCAGCTAATCTTCTCCGGGCAATTCCCTCAACTTGCATTACCTTCTGCATATACGAGAACCTGCGACATAGTCTTTGACTAAGTAGTAACGCAGTAAAATATCATTCCACGCTAATGATGACGCTTATATTCTAAAGACACGAATAAAACTTTACAATTTTATTAGTTTAAGTTATACAAAAAACTTAAGGTTTGTGAGCTTGGTTTAAGCCGTTGTTTTACAGTTCATGAGATTTAGTAACCGAAAGCAGCCAACTTTTGAGCAGCTTCAGATTCAGCAGTGGCGGCCTTAGCATCAGAAGCCTTCTTGTTGAAAGCTCTCTTCTTGGCGTAGTATTCAGCAGATCTGACCTTTCTCTTCTCTTCCAACTTGGCAACAACGTCCTCGTACTTCCAGCCGACGGAAGTAGACAACTTACCCAAAGTGGTGTACTTTCTGCCTGGTTGCAATCTCAAGACTCTCAAAGCTTGTGGGACAACGACTCTCTTCTTCTTGTCGTATGGAGGTGGCACACCTTCGAACACCTTTAAGCGTTCCATGGCAGCCTTACCACGGGCAGTCTTGTGAGCAACCATACCACGAACAGCCTTGTAAAAGATTCTGGATGGAGCTCTGAAGTGGAATGGACCACGGGTCTTGTTGAAGGCAGTAGCCTTTCTCAAGTAGTCGTGGTACTTCAACTTGTTTCTGAAGAATTCACCAGAGATGTTCAAAGCTTCGGCTCTGACAATGACGATCTTTTGACCGTTCAACAATTGCTTAGCAACTGTAGAGGCCAAACGACCCAACAAGTGGCCCTTACCTGATGAAAAAGTTAGTATTATGATCCTATGCATGTATGCACTGCTATGCAAAAACCGTCATATGTGGATGTAATGTGAGGGCTCTGAACAGTACGTTCTTTTAATCGAGTTTCTTAACCTTGACCTGACCATCCTCATCCCGATTGAAAACATTATACCACTCTGCAACTCCTGTACTCCCCTACAGGTTATCCACCACTTGATCAGATATCTATACTGGACTAAATTCCTTCTGCAACTTTTCAAAGCCATCACATTTCGCCATCAACCCCACAAATACAGTTCTTCGAGTGCTCATTTCAAATTTAACAATATAAACGTACCATCAATAACAACAACTGGTTCGAAAGAAGACATCTCTATTGGTTGTGTGTTTGCTACTTTAGCTGTTAAACAAGTAACTTTGATATTTAGTCAAATCTATTTTTTTCCTACATTGTGCAGTGGCCACCTCGGACACCGCGGCCACGATTCCTCGCAACCCGACAGAGTCTGGGATGCTAGGCGGTGGAGGCCTGCTACCGGCCACCGGCAGGAGGTTGGGCAGGAGCATAGACGGAGGGGGGACCGCCCGGGAGAGGCATCCGCGGGGGGACGTGGCTGCGCCAGGCAGGGATCCTTGCCAGGGGAACGGAGGATCTGCCTGCCGAGGCGGCGAGTGAACCGAGAGCATCTGGGAACAGCGGCGTCTGGCAGAATGCGAATGGATTTCATCCCAAACATACCCGTTCGTATATTTCTGTCGTAAAATGTCTCAAGAGGTGTGGGTTCCTATTTTCAGCAATATGTATGGGTGACAGTCTCAAAAATAGCTAGGGCTATGCACGTGATGGTATAATTTCGGTAGTAGGTAGCACGTGACTAAACGAGAGTTCTATCAGCATAGAACTTCGATAGGTAATGCGATAAAGAGTTACCTTGGCCCAAACTTAATTTGGGTTTCTTTCTCAGAGGCTTTTCGTTCAAATTTCCGGCGATTTCCGAAGCCTCATTCGAGGGAAACAATGCAATGGTGCGGAAATCTGATGTTGTATTGGCAACGATCCGTAAACGGAGCATGACATCCTTTAGCAGACGATGTGCAAGTGAAGCATCTCTTAGCATGGAGTTTCTAAATATGACATCCAAACCACGAAGCACTAGCAAGGTTCGAGTTGCTGCGATGGATGCATCCTTTGTATGCGCTACTCGAGCCCTCTGTGTGCTCTGACTGATCTTGGCAACCATTGCTGCGAGCTCTTCCATGTCGAGACAAGTCATAATCCGTACATTGTCGTAGATTTGCGAGTGGCCCTCGTGTGGTAGCGCCTTTTGGAATTCTGTCAAGGGAAATCTATCCATGGCATCAATGAAGTATAGAGTTCCTGTGACAGCTGGAGAGCGCTCTTCGGTGAGAAAGTTTGCCATTTTACGGGCCAATTGAGCTGCATCTGAAGTATACCATACCAGCAGCTTATCAAGACCCTCCTCCATGATATTGGTAGTCTACAATGTTGCAGTCGAGTGTGCATCATTTACTACGCGCCCCGGTTTTCACTGCCCGCATTATGACAAAACGAATACGTGCCTGCGTATATGGAATATTTGGAGATGCATCGAGGGCGTATATAAAGTATATATAATAAACATTCGGTACCTCAGTTTTGGTCGATAACGCTAATTTTGGCACTTTCCGTGTCTAGCATCAGCTCCTTAACACCGCCTGTATCGTCACGGCTGTGGGATTTGATAGGAGATGAGACAAAATCGGAATTACTGTCATTTCCCTTCGCCTTGTCGTCATTTGATTTGGTCTTGATTTGTAGAGTACGTGCATTGCCTTGTTCTTGAGACATTGATCTTGAGTGTCCATTGATATTCTGGTCACCCTGATTCCCATCTTCGATGTTTCTAAAAGCGGCTGGTGTGTTGTTAACAGAACTGAACTGTAAAAGATTCCAAACCCCTGGAGAGCTTTGCGCAGTCAGTGATCCCTGTCTTACGGGCTTACTTTCCTGTATTTGAGGTATGACATTGCTAACCGGAGATTTGTTAACTTGAGAACTTCCCCGTTCTGGTGTGTAGGCTTCCATCGGTGTAATATGAAAGGGTTTTGTTGGAGACCGCAGAAGAGAGTCCTGTCCAGGTGACAAACGGGATGCAGAGCTGGGTATACTAGTCAATGTGCCTTGAGATGTTCGTGTGCCCGGGCGAGGAAAAGATGCATGCGGAACCTGCTGTTGAATCGGCGGCTGGCGAATAGGAATACTCAAAGGCGGCTGCATTTGGAGAGGTGAGTTTGGCCTCTGTTGTGTCAATGGCGACAAAGAGGATGCTGGCGGTAAAGTCGGCGGAGGTGGACGAAGGGTGTTATATTGCGACAACGCTGGCGGCTGGTGCTGTTGTTGTTGCTGTTGCCGTTGCTGTTGCTGTTGTTGTTGCTGTTGTTGTTGCTGTTGTTGTTGCGGATGAGTGTCATGTGCGTACTGCCGTGGCTGCTGTGGTGGCTGCTCCTGTTTCTGATACAATGGGGACTGACGTGTTGGTGAATGTGATACGTTGTTCCCGTAATTTCCCTGTATGGGTAAAGAATTGAATTTGGTCATGTGCAACTGCAGTTGTCTTGCAACCGATGACCCTCGTCTTACTTTGGATACTTTGCCAGAATGCCATTTCTCTAAAAAGTCCTTTTGATAGTCCTCGCTGATTCGCCATTTCATACCCTTACCTGGCTCATTTGGCTTTCTAGGCACTTTTTCAAATGCCTTGTTTAAAGATAAGTTATGCCTGATAGAGTTTTGCCAACCGGTTTTCGCGTACCGATAATACGCGTAATTGGTGGAGATGTACTTATAAATATCGGCCAAAGAAAGAACACCTTCTGGATTGGATAGAATGGCCTGTGTAATCATAGTTGCATAAGAATATGGAGGCTTGACATTCTTGTTTTCATCGCGCGACAAGTCGGAAGCGATATCATTGGATGAGGGGAAACCTGGATCCATAATAGTGCCGTAACTGGCCCCCATTTGAGGCCCCGCGTAGGAGGGTGCACTGGGAGCCACGGATGGGTTATCGTAGCTATTGTACATCCTGAACGCCTTCACAGCATTCTTGGGTTGGGAAACACCTTTGAGTAAGTCCTGGAGGAATGGATTGGTTGTGGTGGAGCCATAAGCAGCATTTAATTTAGGTGTCAAATGATCCAGGGCCCCAGGATCCACGTAGGGACCTTGGTCAGGCAAGATGAACATCATTTGGGTGCCCCCTATGTCAAGGATCGATCCAGATTGCAGCTGAACGGGCTCTGTTTGAGGGCCTGCGGGCACACGGTGGAAATTGACCTTGGCCCCGTTACGACCCTGCACTTGCAACTCCCAAAACCCGTCGTTCAGGTTGTACTTGATAGTGGCATGTTTGCGCGATACAACTTTGGCGGGGCCCAGGTCGATGTCAACTGACTGATCGTCTGGATCCGTGTTACGGCCAATAGTAACAACGAGATGCTTGACGTAGAAGGTCCAATCACGGCCGGCGATCTTGGCGTATGCTTGCACCTCTGTTGCAAGGTTGCGCTCGTTGGAGAATACGCTGGCCACGGTAGTAGGCTGCTCTGGGGTGCCAAGCACCGATATAACCGCATTCACAAGGTCCTGTAGCCAATTGAGGCGTCGTTAGTAAGAGAGTCCGATGGGGAGATGGAGGTGATGGCCCATTGGGACGCTTTCAACGTGTCACGTGATCCTGTCTCCGCTACGCGCGTGTCTGTGCCGTCCGTCAAAGGGCGAAAATTTTCCGCCAATTTCAACGACAGGGGCAGAAAGCCATGGTACAAATGACACCCGCGTGCAATACAATACGCCAAAAACACACACTATCACATACCTGATGCTGCTGAGATGTGCTTGGCAGCTGTCCCCTGGGTGCGCTCATTGTTTTCGAGTTTAAATTCCGGGTTTCTGCGGCGTGATCAGCCTTTGTTAAGCGCTGTGCTTGCTATGGGTGATTCCAGAGCTGTTTGTTTGTTGACAAAACATTGCGGGAAATGAAGCGAAGCGGACGTCAAATCACCATACACGGAGAATGCCCGTTTTTGCGTACACGTGATATAAATGTATTAAAGGCACGTGATAACTCCGGTGTCACCATGAACGGGAAGCTCATTGCTTTTCTCTTCCTTTCCCCCGCTGGGGCCGCCGAGTTTTCTTTCGTCCGAGCGGTCCCCTTTTTTCCCGATTCGTAAAACCGTTGAAGGACGTCCGAATTTGGTAAGTGATCATTGCTTTTTCGATTTGTGAATCTTGTGATGTAAGACGACTTTTACGATTGTAAATTATGGACGTGGCTGGTGACATGAAAAAAATGCAATGTACGATAAATGCCTCAGTGGTAGCCTCGCCATTTATCGTCTTCTCTAATCATCCAATTAGGTTAAATTGTCAGGGTCCTCGGCTAACGACACACATTTAGCAAGAAGCAAGTGGAATGTCAGAGCCTCCTCAGAGCAAACGGAGACGCGTCACACGCGCATGCGACGAGTGTCGCAAGAAGAAGGTCAAATGTGACGGACAACAGCCCTGTATTCATTGTACAGTGTACTCGTACGAGTGCACGTACAACCAGCCTACTAAGAGAAGCACAGCGACTGTGCCAGCAATGCGGTCGCGGCCACCGCAAAAAAACGTGCGAGCATTGCAAGTGCAGGTCAATAAGTTCAAACTGCTGTTTGGCCAGTTGTTCCCGCAGTTGCCCGACGTAGATTCTCTTGACGTACCTACCTTCGTCAAAGTGTTTCAAAATTTCAACAAGGACAACCAGCAGCTCAAGGACACGGTCAAAGAGTACCTGATGATCGCAGGCTCTTCAGACACACCGCCGCAGCTGTCTGCGTCACCTGAATCGACCGAGGCCGTGGAGGGTGTTGATGGGTCTATTCAGTCACAAGAAGGACGTGAAATTAAAATCATACTGCCCCCCAAGCCTATTGCGCTGCAATTCATCCAGGTTACTTGGGAGCACTGCTGCGTGCTCTTCCGTTTTTACCACCGACCTAGTTTTATAAAAAAGCTCGATGAGCTCTATGAAACCGATCCGCACGACTATTCGCATGCCCAAATGCAGTTTTTACCCCTGTGCTACTCTGTCATGGCAGTCGGTGCGCTGTTTTCGAAATCTATGCAAGAAGATGACGACTCCAAAGGTTCGCCCAGTCAGTTCATGCAGGATGAAGGTTACAAATACTTTATTGCCGCTCGGAAGCTTATAGACATCACCAATGCGCGCGACCTCAATTCCATTCAAGCAATACTTATGCTATTTATCTTTCTGCAATGTTCAGCGCGTCTCTCCACTTGCTACACTTACATCGGTGTCGCCATGCGGAATGCCCTCCGCGAGGGCATGCATCGTAATCTCAGTATGGATGCACACGGCTTTACACCTATTGAGATAGAAATGCGCAAGCGCTTATTTTACACTATCTACAAAATGGACGTTTACGTCAATACGATGTTGGGGTTGCCGCGGAGCATCTCACAAAGAGACTTTGACCAAACGTTACCTCTTGAACTCGCGGACGAATACATCACTGAAGATGCTATATACCCCGAAAAGCAAGGTGATACGTTGTCTTCTGCGGGCATTGCCAACCATCACACCAAGCTTATTATGATTCTGGACAACATCGTCGCGGAGCTCTATCCCGTTAAAAAGACTAATAATCTAATATCACACGAGGTTATCACGAAGCTTGAATTGAAGTTACGTCAGTGGCTGAATAAGCTACCACCTGAACTAATCCCAGGTCTGAAAGATATTCCACCCAAGTACGAACGAGCCAACAGATTACTACACCTTTCATTTCTTCAAGTTCAAGTCATCCTTTACAGACCGTTCATCCACTATCTTTCGGCAACTTCGCCAGCTAGCAGAGCGGATTCACTCTCCATTCAACGTGCTCGAAATTGTATATCTGTGGCAAGAACTGTAGTTAAGTTGGCGCGTGATATGATAGAAAACAAAGGTTTAACTGGTTCCTACTGGTTCAGCATTTACACAATTTTCTTCTCTGTGGCAGGTCTCATTTATTACATTCATGAGGTAACACCGACAGATGAAGCGAGCAGACAGGAGTATGAAGAGGTTCTTAAGGACGCAGAGCTTGGCAAAAAAGTACTTCTTCATTTGAAGGATACAAGTATGGCGGCAAATAGAACTTATAACATCTTGAACATGCTATTTGAGAAATTCAATTCTAGAACAATCAGATGGACTCAGGTAAAGCAAGATCAAGATAGCACACCCTCCTCTAACTCAGAAGCAGCGATGCAACCAAAGGATCACGTAATAAAACTCGATAATACACCAAGTGCTTACACTCTCGATTCTGTAAATCCAGACTTGATGACATATGATAACTCCCAAGATTATCAAGCTAACACAACGTCGACTATCTCGGGTATGAACACAATAAGCACATCAAGTGCTTTAACTAACAAAGAATTCAGAGGAATCAGCGAATCCCCATTAGATGTCGACAAGTTTTTTGACCTCAATGACGATCTAACGTCATCGGCTCCGCAAGAATCTATTCAGGCACAAGGTGGCACTCCACAGATAAAACTGAAATTTGAAACGCCCACTGAGACCAAGAACGAGCAGCCCATATCGGAATCCTACGTCCCTGGAGCATTTGATCAATTGGATGTACAACTATTTGGGAGATATCTTCCACCCTATATGTCTCAGCCGAAAAATTCGCCTAATAATTGATTTTTCACTTCCTTATTTGTCTAATGCCGAGATTAATCTAAAACTTTCTTTCGTGGCTTTTCCTGCGACCATTCGAATTGTTTATGCGATGGTTGTACGCGCACTATTAATTATGTTTTGTATATATGAAAGAAGGACATATATAAGCAATATTAGGAAATGGAATCGCTACTCACCGAACGATTTTGAAGTTCATCTTGAAGAGACAGGAGTTGGCGCTCGATAAGTAAATCGTCCTCTATATTTCTATCCTGCATCAACTTCTGAACAGGCGTTGATTGTCTTACGGTAGAGGCTTCGTAGTTGCTACTTGTAGTTCTAGTTTTTGGTGTAGGGATCTTCGACATTTTACTAAATTGTCCATGAGAAGAGGATGGTATGCCGGGACTCAAAAATTTGCTTGAACGAGGAGAAGGCGTCGATCTTAAAGTAAATGCGTTAGATGAGCTTGACAAAGGAGGTGTCGATTTGCCATCTGAAGACCGATTTGAAAAATGTGGCAGATGATAGTGGTGCTTCTGATGTTTTGTCTTTGAAGGTGGTTGTTTATTCATTGTCTTAGATTTGGAAGATTCCTTGGTATTTGCGTTTTGAGCTGAATTTTCAGGAAGCGCTGGTGAAAGTGGAGGACTTCCTCTATTTCCCAATGTGGGCGATGAAGAAAAGCTGGTGTCTTGATCATACGTGAAAGCGCTTTGTTGCTCATGGATGCTCTGAGCCAATAATTGCTGTTGTTGTTGTTGCTGCTGTTGCCACTTCTTTTTGCCTCTATGTGGATTTCTCAACAAGCCTTCGAATCTAAAGAGAAGTTCTGGTGGGTTATCAGAGGTTCTGTTTCTCGCAGGCGACGCTACACTGAGTCCCTGTCTGGATGGCGACCGTACGGGCTGCGGTGTTTTTGTAGAAGGGGGGCTTGTTTCACGTGCATTGGACTTAGTGCCATAAATGTGGCTTCTAGAAGTATGTGAAGTTAGATTGTCCATCACCGAAGGTCCTCCCTTCATACTCGTTCCAAACGAATCCGCCAAGTTTGTTTTGAAAGATACATTGGATGGCGTTCTTGTCAGACTACGATTCAGAATCACAGACACCTTCTTATCGTAAAGTTGCGGAGCAGAATCCAAGGTTGTAGTTTGATCTATATGAGTAGTATCACTCGAATTGGTGTGAATGTGGTGCGAGTATTTCGAGTCTATATCTGACTCGGTTGCAGCTGCTTCCGTAGTGAAAAATGTGTCTAAATTATCGAGTTCTGCCCACATATGACTTAAGCTTCCATCCTTGTCCTCAACAACTGATGCAGCATCATTTCCTTCCAATGAAACTGGGACGTAGCCTCCATCTGCGTGAAATTCAACAATCTCGCCCAAACTTTCAGGTTCTTGATGTGTGGATTCCTCGCCAACATTTTCTAGACACGTCGTGAACACAGCATGCACATTGTGGCGAGTAGTTGCAGCGGTCATCGCGGGCATGGGTACTGACCAACCACTGGGCTCTGGAATGCCAAATAGGGTTGCTGTTCTACTGTAGGCTTTTTTCGCATCTTTGTTACCCATACTGATCCTTAAAACGTCCTTATCCATCTTACTTCCTGAAACGTTCTGGACGGAGTTCAAAACTTCGAGCGCCTGTGGCTCATATTCAGTCAGCAATAGTCGCAGTAGTGGAGATATCAAATCAGCACCAACACCAGTGAATTCGGGCCTAGTTAGATCGATCAATGGGAAAATATACTTGAGGAGCTGTAAGGTTTGAATCTTTACCCAATCAATATCATTGAAAAGTAGCCCAAGAAGGAATACCAAAGTTTGTGCAGAGTAATCTGGAAAAAATGTTCCAGAGATAAAACTTACGACTTGGCTCAAAAAGTCTTTCTTCGATCTGAACTTGTTTTTGGAAAGCGAATCGACCAATCTCGCAAGGGACAACTGTTGATTTGAATTAGCGAGGACGATCAAAGCCTCGGCCGCTTTCATAATGTCCGAATTAAAGCCATTAGTATCCATTGCATGTAGGAAACGAGGAAGATTGGCTAGCAATGCGAACAGAACCCTTGATTCGCTATTGGCAATGATTCTACTGTCGTGGAAGAGATTGAGTCTATCCAAAAAATCGAGAGATATGTCCCAAGAATTCGCTGAGCGGAGCCCACACATGATAATTTGCTGTAATCCATCAAATTTGCCTTCCCAAGTTGAAGGGAAAGTAGCGATCAAACACTGAACTGTATCCGGCGAATCTAAATCAATCTTTGACACGAACTTCGAGAGGGTTGATAGTACCTCGATGAATTCCTGTTCATGGATACTGCTTAGACAAGCCACTACTGACCAAAACAATTGAGGGAAATCGATTAATTTAGCAGGATCAAGCTCCGCCGTCATTGCATTCAAGGTCATCAGTATTTGCATAGCAAAACCCTGTATATCTGAATTCTCATCCGATATCGTGTTCGATAATCTATGCAACATGTCTCGTAGCATCTGTTGATCTAGAAATGTGAGTAAAGATCTAAAAATTTGGAAAGATCTGCAGGCAATATGTCTGACGGGGCAAGTTGTGGACCATTTTAGAGCAATTCTTTGCCATTCTATTTGTAGTGTGTCAAAACTTGAAAATATGGTAACGATATTCCGCACTAAAGAATCCATTGCCTTGGGGGAACGGGCACCCCTTTTATCCTTCAGTAAGTTGTCGTACGCCCACAATTGGTTGCGATCCTTGATCAAGGCCACAGTTTCCTCCGATTTCTCGTGAGTGGGAGCTAAGCCAAAAATCAAGTCAGAGATTATTTTAGCTGCACTCTCCTGGATTATGGGAGCGTAGTGATCCAGCAACGATATGCATATATGCAAGAGTAGTGGAAGCTTGCTTCTCATCGATTCATTGGGAATTGTTAGCAAGTTCACGAGAAATACAATTGACAACTGCGCCTTAGAAAATATGACCTCTTTTCCTCGGTATCTTATCATTGTCCAAATATTAGCAATATACGCATACCTTCCATCATTTATAGGCTCAGCAGCTGACTTAAAAGTCTCGGGAATCATGTGTTTAGGCTCTAAATTAATCAGGAAAGAGTCGATTACACCCATGCCGCTGGGAACGTTAGCTAAATACAAAATAACGTCCTTTGCCTTATTGACGAATCCTGGGTTTCGATAGTTGATGGAAGTAGTCATTATGTAATCCAGTGCAACATGTATATTCTGAAAGCCGTTTCCTTTCCCCAAAGATATCCATAACTGTTCCGTTTCCATGGGGTACCTGTCGTTCAACTCTACTGTAATTGCGAAAAGATTGCTTAAAACCATAAAAGTTCCAAGGTGTTCAACAGACTTCAAAACAAATTTATGCACCCATGGCACTAAGAGAATCAAAATATCTTGCTTTAATTCTGATTTTAAGAACTCGATGCTTTGACACATCTTGGAAAATATTTGTAATCTTACCTCAGACGAAGGAAGCTCCGCAAATATTGTAGAAATTTCTTTTGCCGTTGACTTATAGACCGTTTTCGAGTCGTTCGCTAATCTCTCCTTAAACACCTTTGTGTAAGATGATTTGTGAATCTTTGTTTCAATCACTGAAAGAAGATCAATAGAATATGACCGCACCTCGCTATTCTCATTATAAAGCCCACTTAATCCCAATGATACGAGATCTTCCTCTGGTAATATTAAGTTTTCCATATTCAAAAGGGATTCACACACAGCGGAGTAATATAAAGAAGCAACAGATGTATCCAGATTATGCAAGGAATATTGCATAAGCACATTCTTGTATAACTGCGAATTACTCTTGTTATTTTCTAAAAGATTCTTCAAGGCACTGACGCCGAAATTCTTAATTCGTATCTCTCGAGAACTGAAGAGAGCATCAATCCAGCTCATAAGTCCTGCGATATCGAACGATATTAAAATTGGTGTATCGGGGATTTCATAGATAGTTTTGGTTATGGAATCTGAACATAAATTCACCATGGTTTCCAGAGCGACAATTTCGAGTTTCGAGCGTTCAAATTCGATCGCAGTTACTAAGGTACTTCTATCGCGTGTATGCTCACTACCCTTCATCACATCATACCTTTCTTTTGAGGTGCTTGAATATTGGCCATAGCCGCACCACTCTTTCAAGAAATTTAAACATGAAGCTCTTGCCTCAAAGGGGAACAATTCCTCCATCAAAGGGTGTCTTTTAATAGCCAGATAATAACTGGATAAAAGACTGGCGAAATATCTTCTTAAAGGTTGATAGTGAAAAGAGCACTGAGTTTCTTTGGCTTCTAAAAACTTCTTGGTTTCTTTCAAATATTGAGATATTTTTTTTAGGATCCATTCGTCCTGTAAAAGCATTTCACTGCTTAAAAATGGTGCCAGAATGGCAAGAATATGAAACATCTCCACTCTCATGTTATTGGACGAACTGTCAGCTCTCCAGGTGGTCAAAAAACGATCGATATTTTCAATGTATGCTTTATAAATGTTGATGTTCATGGAGCTTAACCCAGTAATAATCGCATCTTTCACAATTGTCTTCTGAGAGTTGAGTAACGGAAGAACCATTTTGAATATGGACGTCGCAGAATTTATTTTTTGATGTTGCACGGTGAATATCTGTTGTGATTTGTTTCGTCCATGCTGAAGATTAGTCGTCGGAATATGTAATTTTTGATCATTAGTAGATGTGAGTGATGAACACGAGACTATTAAATAAAGTTTCCACTGATTCACAATCACCTCAGGTAACGTTTCCTTGAATTTGTTTGGTATATTATTCGCTATCGAAAGAATAATTTCATGGAGTTGAACGAGACGGATGCAAACAATTGAACGACACAGAGCCATGGTTATGGGAGCTCGTTCGAAAATGACTGATAAAAGCTTTGGAAACATTCGATGCCACAATGCAGCATCAACTCCATAATCAGACTCGGCCAATCTTACCAAAACTCCAGACTTATATCTCATGCTGAGTTTTGTTATTCTTGATTTTTCTGCAACGCTCATTCTGGATCTTTTTGGATCAAGTAAATGAGTATATTCATAGTCATTTAAAAGGTCAATTAAACGCGTACCACTTTCAGCAACGAATCTGGAGGATGAGCGTGAATGCGATCTTTCCATTTTACACGTTTTTTCTAGCATCGCTTCATCAAACTTGGAGACAAGTTTTAAAATTTGAATAGCAAGACGCCTTATGCTGTGATCATGAGAACATAGGAAAAAAAGGCCATTGCCCTCAACATCTTCGATAACCGTTACAGTATTTTTCCACTCCAGTTTCTCATTCTCAGTTGACTCGTGAGATTCTTCACCTTCCTTGAAAGGTAACTGAATTCCATCGAGACCTGAAGAACGGCTCATTTCCTCCTTACTTGAGCTTTTAAATTCATCCAGCCAACACTGTAGTAATTCAACGTATAGAACCAATAATCTTCGATATTCTATGGAGGACAAATATGACATGTTATAGCTTGATTGCGTTTTTTCATCGAAATCGAAGGAATACTTCGCAAACCAAGTAATCAATGTATAGGGGTTCTTTTTAGATGCAAGGGCCTTCAGAGCGTTTTGTGCACTTGTCGCTATCAGCAGATCACCATGTGCAGCATTTCTGGCCAGAATCTCAATAGTTGACTTGAATGGGATACTACCTGATACGGCTAGACAGCAAGGAATGACCTCAATCAAAGTAGCGAACAAGGCAATGTTCAAATTTCTGTTATTATTATTACTGGTTTCACTTGTAAACCCAAAATTGAAGGAAGAAATGCTAGAAAAGGGGGTTGAGGGCTGCCTCTGATGCTCATTCTCTGGAGACCAAACTTCTGATCCAATAGTGGAATCTAAAAGAAGGAACATTTTATAGAAATACTTGCATATTTCTTCATGGTCACTAGGAACTGACTTGCTCACGTTACTGGATATTTTGTTTAAATTCATCTCATAAAACCGACTCTCATTATCAGGAAATTCTGGGCGTTCATTTGACATCAGTAGACCCCTATATGAATCAATTGCCAAAATCAATCGCTCGTATCCCAAGTTATCTAGAGTTGATCCATTAAATGACATCCTTATGAGAGGTATTATCACATTCTCGAGAATGAACACAGGGTGAACCCATCCTATCGTTACCAAAACATCGGTAAGTGGATTAATTAAGTCCATTTCGGCTGTAATCCAATTGTCCTTTTTTTTGGTGCTCAAAAACAAGGTGAAGAGTCGCTTTAAACTCCTTTCTGTATTATTCAAAGTTTCAGTGCATCTGAATAAATATACCCAAACCAGTCGTGAGAGGCACACAGCAAATGTTACCCTTTCATCGAGACGTTTCGACTTAATTTTCGTGACGTTCTTTTCGGTTAACTCTACCCAGTTTTCGGTGAAAAGTGATTGTGGAGATACACTTAATACTGACACAGTAAGTTTAAAAGCACTAGACCAAAATTTGTTGTCATTCTGCAATTTCTTACAGGTTGAAAGGATCATAGTCATAGCCTCAACCCATGTTGGATGATTCACCTCTGCGGTAACAGATCCTGCTAAAGGAAGTAACAGTTGGCTGATAACTTCAGCGTATGCCAAACGGACAGAAAAGTTTTGGCATGTTGAAAAAAACTTGGCGATCGATTTGATGAAATCTGCACTTTCTTCGAATTGTTCCAAGGGATAGTTTTTTAGTCTGAGATATCTCATGCCAAGAATTAATAAATGCACAGATGGCTCCATTTCCCTTGAAATATAGTTCGGCAGCTTTTCAAGGTCCGCGATGAATCTATCACTTACCGCTACGAATTTTTTTTCCGACATACATCCCAAAAGCTCTGCAAATGAATTCCAGTTAGAAGATTTTATAATACTTGAGGATATTGATATAGGATCTGTTGTCTTAAGTTGAGTGAAAACGATCTCCTCTAGTTTATCGTTGAGATCTTCATCGGCATCGTCGGGGGTCTGCTTCACTATTTCAATAAGCACACGACATAAAATGAAAATGCTGATGAGTGACTTTCTATCCGCCTGAAAAGCAGTTTCCTTTGCGGCTTCAATTTGCTCATCCATTGAACGTAGTTTAGAATCCACAAAACTAGTGGTACTATTGGATGATCTTGATGAGTTGTTTCTCCTGTGAAAGCTTCTGCTACCAGAGCTTGAAGAGTTCACAAATGTTTTGCTATTGGGTGTGCTACCGGCAGTCTGTTTCAAGTATTCTTGATTTCCGTAGTTCTGTCGCATTTGCTCATAATCTCGTATTGATCTCTCGACATTATCCGCTGCTACCGCAGCGACCTCAGATTTGGTCTTCCTCCAAAACATCATAGCATCGATTACTGGTTTAGGTTTCTTCTTGGAAATATATCCCAAAGATTCGATAATGCTGTCGAACGTTTGATCCACGCCTTCGCCAAGAATATCAACAATTGGAGGTTCTGAATCTAATGGGTGTTCCAGACATAGATTTAGCATACTTTCGGCATGACGTACAAATTTGGTGAAAAGTATGTGCAGAGCGTATTCGGATGGGCTTTTCCAGTCTGTGGCTAACTGTTGCCGGATGCTGGTAGCATATTCGTTAGCAAATGACCTATTACTTGATACTGCCGAAATGGGTTCCGCGTCCACTGTTTGTTCTCCGTCTTGATGAGCTTTGGAACCAACAGTCTCTGGAATGGGAGTTGAAGACCTGCCAATGTCCTCGATCGTTTCTAACACTGGATCTATGCTAATAGTTTTAGGTTGAGTTTCCCCCACGTCAAGGTCAATCTTGGCCGCTGGTTCTTCATTTACCACCTCAGAAACATCCAGTGGTATGCTTTCAGAGGGTCTTGGGAATTTGAACTCAGATGCCGTCTCTTTGTCATCACTCGCTGCGGGTGGGAAGGTATAACCTGTATTCATTCTTATAACTGGTTAATAACTATTTGCAGCTACAGCACCTTACTAGAGAACTGCAATAACTCTATGATTATTGATTACTGGAATTTGAGCCAACTTTTCCCCGCTTTCCTGCTGTCTGTTTCAGACTTTCTGTTCGGCGCTTTGTTGATTTTATGTTCATCGCCTAAGGGGATTTTTTTTTGATCTGAAAATTGCCACCGATCAAAAAATAATTGAAACGGTTAATAGACGCTTTTCAGTACAAGCGCCTGTATAGGTGAAAATTCCCTTTCCATTAATTACTCTCCGCTCAAAATTATGAATTTATGATGAGAGTTGCAAAGGCACACCTGACAACTGGAGAATGGAAATTAGATAATCAACCGTCTGCCGACGCTCCAGTGAGCTCAATAACAGGAGCTTAATCATTGGAACACATCAGATCAGTTTTTCAAATTGGGACTTCTTACATATCGTTTACGTTAGAGTATATGTTTATGCCATGTTTAATGGTTCAGCATGAATTTTGATTTCGGCAAATGAATTTTTGAATGATTTTACGATCTCGAAAGACAGCGTATGGGACACAACAATAAAATGAAATCCAAATATATTGCCCAATCGTAAAAACCCCATCGCTACCAAGGCCTTGTATAAATTACTGATGATTTTTCTTGTTTATCTTAAGAGTAGTCAAGTTTTAATAAACTTGGTAGAAAAACTTCTGTTTCTTAGTATACAGGTAGTTCAAATGATATTCACAATATCCATAGTGTTAATGTATAGATCCATGACATGCTTTTAACACCTTTTACCTGAGCAATATTATATCAACAGTTTTTAGTCTACATGAACTGTCCGTGTCTCATGATGTACATACTATTGCATAAAGCTAAATTTTGACTAACTTAGTGCAACGACGACATAATACCACGCTCCACATACAACATGGGTGACAGCTACTCTGTTGATGACTTACATGCCAGTGTCCTTTCTTTTATTGCAAATATTGGCATTGATGACAATAAAACGCAGACTATTGCTGCCGATATATCTTCTCATGTAACTGAGAAACGTGTGAAATTAGTCGAAGTTGTTATATGCCTGAAAGAGTACATCACATCCTCAGACGATTCTGATAGACTCAAGGCCCTGAACTGCTTATCATCTGTTCTTGGTTTACTACCTAGAGACGCATTGATGAAAAGCGAAGTCTCTGTCGTGGTGGACTTCTTCTTGAACAAGTTTGACGACTCGGCGAGTATGAGAGAAATCCTCCATGGTTTGAGTAACGTGGCTGTAATGAAGTTTTTCTTTCTTCAGCAAGCTACCCAAGTTTTGAAAACGCTCAAGGAACAATACGAATCAACACAATACCCTGCTGCGACCAGATATTTCGCTCTTTTGATTCTGGAACGGTTTTTCGATAAATTCGAGGATGCTTTCTCTGATCAAATCCCTTTTAATAACCTCTTCATCGAGACTTTTTTATTAGTGGCAACTGGTGAAAAAGATCCAAGAAACTTATTGATATCATTCACGCTGAACTCCAAAATCACCACATCTATGGAAAGCATCGACCAATTCAAAGAGGACCTGTTTGATATTCTATTTTGTTACTTTCCAATTACGTTCAAACCACCCAAAAATGATCCTTATAAGATAACTAACAGCGATCTCAAAATGGCTCTACGATCGGCCATTTCGGCTACTTCATATTTTGCTGAAGATGCGTTTGGCAATTTAATCGACAAGATGACGGCTTCCTCACCAACTGTCAAAAATGATACTATCTTAACTCTCAGATCATGCATAACAAATTTTGATGGAGAGGCATGTCTACAAAATTGGTTACCAATATGGAATGCTTTGAAATTTGAGATCATGCACACTCAAGATTTCGAAGATACGCTAGATGCTGCTAGTGGTAAAGAATTTAACAATTATACGGCATCCCTAGACACGATAAATTCCATTGCATGCCGATTATTCGATTACGAAAGGTCTGCTTTCGACAAATTTCATCAACATGTCTTTGAAGAATTGAAACCGAACTTCAAATATGAAAAAGATTTAAGGCAAAGCTGTGCTATACTTTCAGCTGTTTCTAGAGTAAATGCGATTGTTTTTGACGTAGTGATGAGCGACGTCTTGAAATTACTTCTGACGAATTCAAGCGACTTAGATGTTGGTAAGCAGAAGCTCTTGATCCTGAATTTATCGTTCTTTTTTGATGCATACATTGCTGTTTTTAGTGAAGTATCAAAAGAAAATGACGGAAAAGTGCCTACGAATAAGCTGTTGGATTCCAAGGATGAAATATTGATGATATTAGGGAAAGCCTTAAATGGTAGCTCAAAAGCAGAGGTTTCTTTAAGAACATTGGCTGTTGTACAGCTTACGAAACTTGTTAAAATGCCACAATTTTTGGAGGACAATGAAGTTTCTCTGATAGTTCAATATTTGACTGAGACTATTTTGACCGATGAGAACAAAAACGTTTACTTTGCTTGTCTTGAAGGGCTCAAGACTATATGCGACAATTATGAAAATATTGTTTCCGAAGTGTCTTTACAACATATGCTTAATGTTCTTCCTGAAAATGTCACGACTGTCGTTTCTCTTGATCAAGGAAATGAAATCCCCGTAGATAGGGTTTTAAAAGTCATATTGGACCTTACGATCACCAGATGGAACCTTGTGATAACAAGCGTTAAAGGTCTGTCTACTAGGCTCTCTGAAGTTTCCAGAATAGCGGAAAGTGGTGAGTATTGTTTTCTGCTAATATCCTGCCTGTATTCGTTGCTTGATTTTAACCATCATTCCATGGGTGAAGAAGTCATAGAACTGAAACGTACAGTCGAGCCAGGACTCTTCAAATCTTTAATGAATAACGACTCTATCTACCGTGATGACTACAATTTGGCTTTACTTTCGACTGTGCTGTTTTTCATTAATATTAGGACACCGGTCACTACCCATCAAGAGGAGCTGAACAAATACCTGACCCTTTTTGTCGAGAACTCTCAAGTTCTGGATACTCCTAAAAGAAGCATCATAACTTTTACCAAACTCCTTTCGAGTTTGGATAAAAAATGTCAATTAAGTGAAAATTTCACAATTATGTCAAAAGTTGTGGACTTACTGAAAAGAAAAACTTCTTCAGTGTCAGAATTTGAAAAGGTAGGTTACCTGGAATTACTTGCCTTACTATCAAACAAATGGGGCGAGGATGCGGAGTCTATAAAATTACTTGACCGTGAGGATGATTCTCCAATAAATTTGGAAATAATAGCCTGGGTAACGAAAGGATTGATCATGAAAAATTCACCGCTTGCTGACGCTTATGTCAATCACCTTCTATCCCTTTTGCAAGACAACAAGATCGGCCCTTCAGTTGCCAGGTTACTTGAAGTGCTCGTTATCGATATACCTACATTCAGTAAAATAAAAGGAATTCCATGGAATAATAATGTAAGACTGCTATACAAACAAAAGTTTTTCAATCAAGTCTCATCGGACCTCGTTTCTTCTTTCAAGGAATCAAACGATATGGCCATAAAATCGAATTACTTAACTGCTCTTTCTTTGGTTCTAAAAAATACCCCGAGCAATTTGACAATCAGCTATATTTCTGAGTTGCTGCCCCTCCTAATTCAAGCGATACAATTGAATAACAGTGACGTCAAGATATCCGCTTTAAATAGTATAAAGGATACTCTTGACCAATCTCCTCAACTAATCACCGACCATGTCCACAGTCTAATTCCAATTCTTCTTAATGGGATTAAAGCTACCAAAGACAACACAGTGATGGCAAGATTACTTTGCCTGCAAATCCTACAGAATTTCTCACTACATGTGCCCTTAAACTACTTACTTCCCTTCAAAGACGACATAATAAGCGGTTTAACAATCGGTCTCGATGACAAGAAGAGAGCGGTACGCAAACAATGCGTCGACACGAGACAAAAATATTTCGAATTAGGACAAGTGCCATTTGAATAACCAAGCTTCAAATTAGTATTAAGTAATATCTATCTAATAAGAATCCTCATCTTCTTCTTGACTCGAGTCTTCTTCATCACTTGCACCCACAGGAGCAAGACCAGGCGTAAGACCGGGGTACCTGTGGTCCTTGTTCGATTGCCGTTCTTCGTTGAATTCCTTTTTACTTCTGCGTTTGGTTTTTGACTTGGGGCGCATTTTCGCTTCCATGGCGTGGCCTAAAACAGAGTTCTGGAGCTCTTGAAGTTCTTCATCATTAGTATCCCAACTCTTTAGACCTCTGATATTCTTGCTTATTACCTTATTCAAATATTTCCGTTCACGATTTGTTAGTGTGCCCTCGGCCTGATGCTTTCTCAGAATCTCTAGTTTCGCAGTCTGATCAATTGCGTCCATTTCGGCTTGTTTCGTCTTCAAGATTTTCCTCCTTGCTTTATGTTCTCTCTTTTTAATACTGTGAACATCTCTCTCTCGTATGGCGACGACTTGCTTTAAATGTTTGTTAATTAGTTGTGCGTTCGATCCTTTGTTTCTAGAAGCTCTGCTCTTCCCTGGAACGATTTTGCTCGCTCCCGGGAGAATAGTTGATAAAAGACTATTAACAGTAGCAGTTGCGTGCTGCTTAGACAATGACTCAGACATTAAACACTCTGTGGATACTTACAAAGTGTCTTACTTACTCATCGCATCTCATCAAATTTTTATGAGTACTTCAAAAGAAATTCTTTAGAGGTTACCCGGACATAACTGAGAGAATTGAGAGACATGTTCGCAGTTTTTCTCAGCATCAACAGCCAACCAGAGGTAAATAAAGTAGCTTCAAGTTTGAAGAGAGTAGTGATTGTGGGGAAGACAAAACAAACACGCATACACACAAGTGAATCCAGCCTCAAATTGCACCCTTTCAAGATACAGACAGAAGTTTCAAAGCGAGCAAAAATTTGCATCCTTGCTTTCCACAATTAGTTTTGCCACCTGTAAAGAAATTTGAATAGCGCAAGATGAGTATGACACAGATTCCACCGACAGCGCCTTCATCAAAACAGGATGAAAGCACAACGCTGGTGGTAGAAATACCAAAGCCAGAATCGTGCTACGAACTCGATCAACTGCTATACCGGTATCGTGCCATAATTGAGGAGCCTGAATCAAATAAGAACGAAATAGAATCCATTGAACGCGTCTTCGCCAATATCTCAGAGGAACAAGATCATTTTTTGAAAATGCTCCAACAACTAAGAAAAGACATGTTGGAAGAGATTGAATACGACGACACCTTACTGAAGAAGCAGATACTCGCTTTTCAGCTTTTGAGCAAAGACCTCGATTTCCCAGACAGCCTACTAGATCCCAAGACAGAAGATCCAACAACCGAACAAGTTAGCACAGAGAATCCCACATTAAGGCCAATAAGAATATCTCTTGATTTCGATAATAACGCTAAAGAGTTTGGACTGGAGGATAAATTTTCTAACCTGGGATTTTCCAAGGGCAGCGAGAACCTGGGCAATTATGGTGTTGAAACGTCCATATCTTCGAGAATTGCTGGTCGTATCAAAGAATTAGAGACACTTCCAGCCAATCTTGGTACTTATTCATTACATGACAGTTTAGAATTTATTGCTAAAGACGATGTGTCATCTAGTATCGATGATTTGAAGGTAAAAGCACTTATTGAATTGAAGGCTTTAAAACTCCTCACGAAACAAAAGTCTTTAAGACAAAAACTGATCATGAACGTCACAAGCCAAGCGCACCACATTATACCATATCTTCGCGATTCACCTTTCACTATGGCAGCACAACGATCAGTCCAGGTTAGAAGCAAGGTGATCGTTCCTCAAACGGCAAGACTTGCAGAAGAGCTTGAAAGACAGCAGCTTTTGGAAAAAAGAAAAAAAGAGCGAAACTTGCGTTTGCACAAAGTCAACGTAATTATCAATCATGTTCAGGAGCTTCAATCCAACTTTACAAGTCAGCGTGAACGAGCTGCGCAATTTGGAAAGATTTGTCTAACATTGCATAACCAAATTGAAAAGGAGGAGTCTAGAAGAATGGAAAGGACAGCAAAACAACGTTTAGCTGCTTTGAAATCTAACGATGAAGAGGCCTACCTCAAGTTGCTAGATCAAACAAAAGATACCAGAATTACGCATCTGTTGAAACAGACTAATTCGTTTCTGGATTCCCTGGCGCATGCCGTTAAAGTTCAACAGAATGAGGCAAAACTGAGAAGAGGAGAAGAGATTCAACCATTCACGGACGAAGAAAGAGAAAAAATTGATTATTATGAAGTTGCCCATAGAATTAAAGAAAAGATTGAAAAGCAACCCAAAATGCTCGTGGGTGGGACACTTAAAGAGTATCAAATTAAGGGTCTGGAATGGATGGTGTCTCTGTATAACAACCATCTGAATGGTATTCTTGCCGACGAAATGGGGCTAGGGAAAACTATTCAGTCGATTTCCTTGATAACATATCTTTCAGAGGTCAAGAAGGAGCCTGGTCCTTTCCTGGTGATAGTTCCTCTTTCTACTATCACCAACTGGACATTGGAATTTGAAAAATGGGCACCTTCCCTAACTACTGTGATTTATAAGGGTAATCCAAATCAAAGAAAATCGATGCAATATCAAGTTAGAACTGGAAACTTTCAGGTTCTATTAACAACATATGAGTACATTATTAAGGACCGGTCATTACTTTCGAAACAGGACTGGGCACACATGATAATTGATGAAGGTCATAGAATGAAGAATGCCAATTCTAAATTGTCATTTACCTTAACAAAATACTATCGCACAAGAAATAGATTAATTTTGACAGGTACCCCCTTACAAAATAATCTCCCAGAACTTTGGGCATTGTTGAATTTCGTGCTTCCCAAGATTTTTAATTCTGCAAAGACTTTTGATGAATGGTTCAATACCCCTTTTGCCAACACCGGTGGCCAGGAAAAATTGGAACTTACTGAGGAAGAGACTTTATTGGTTATTAGAAGACTACATAAAGTTTTGAGACCTTTCTTATTGCGTCGTCTTAAGAAAGAAGTGGAAAAAGATCTTCCGGATAAGGTCGAAAAGGTCGTGAAATGTAAACTTTCAGGACTCCAACAACAGTTATATGAACAAATGCTAAAGCACAACGCACTGTTTGTGGGCGCAGGTACGGAAGGTGCTACAAAAGGTGGCATCAAGGGTTTGAACAATAAGATCATGCAGTTGAGAAAAATTTGCAACCATCCCTTCGTTTTTGATGAAGTAGAAGGAATAATCAATCCCAGCCGAGAGAATTCTCCATTACTATATCGTGTTGCAGGTAAGTTCGAACTTTTGGACCGTGTACTTCCTAAGTTCAAGGCATCGGGTCATAGAGTGTTGATGTTTTTCCAGATGACGCAGGTTATGGATATCATGGAAGATTTTTTGCGAATGAGAGATTTGAAATATCTAAGGCTTGATGGTGCAACTAAAACTGAAGATCGTACAGGTATGCTGAAGCTTTTCAACGCCCCCGATTCCGAGTACTTCTGCTTCCTACTTTCAACCAGAGCAGGTGGCCTAGGTTTAAACCTTCAAACCGCGGATACAGTTATTATTTTCGACACTGATTGGAATCCTCATCAAGATTTACAGGCACAAGATAGAGCCCACAGAATAGGTCAGAAGAATGAAGTTAGAATCTTAAGATTGATCACCACTGATTCGGTGGAAGAGGTTATTTTAGAAAGAGCTATGCAGAAATTGGACATTGACGGTAAGGTAATTCAAGCAGGTAAGTTTGATAACAAGTCGACAGCGGAAGAGCAGGAGGCTTTTTTGAGGAGATTGTTGGAGAATGAAACCAGTAAAGATGATAATGACGAGGCTGAACTAAATGATGAAGAACTTAATGCAATTTTAGCCCGTAGCGACGAAGAGCAAGTATTGTTTAATGAGATGGATAAAGAGAGGTATGCCCAAGAGGCTCAGGAAGCCAAGGTTCTTGGTCTTCCAAAACCTCTCCCTCGTTTAATTCAACAGGACGAGCTTCCCGAAGTGTTCACCGAAGATATTACTGAACATCTCAATACCGAGCCCGTTGCTGTGGGGAGGATTAGAGAGAGAAAGAAGGTTTATTATGACGATGGGTTAACCGAGGAGCAATGGTTACAAGCTGTTGATGACGACAATGATACCTTGGAGGAAGCTATTTCGAGGAAAAGAGCATCTCGGGAAAAACGGCAACGCAAGCGTGAACTCCAAGACGGGGAGCTCGACGAAATCGATACTCTTGAGAATAGTCTTGAACCTTTGCCCGATGAAGAAACCATGTTACCAAACGGCAAGAGAACGAGAACTAAGAAAAAAGATGATATAGTTGATGAGGTGGGCGAAGCGACAGTCGCTGAAGTGAGCGAAGAGCCAGAACAAAAAAAACCCAAGTTGAAAGTCAAGTTCTCTTTAAAGAAAGAGGACAAGCCTACTCAAGCCTCTAATGCTAAAACCAAGAGCAAACCTAAGAAATCAACGCCCTGCAGTTTTCTGCCAAATGTTGAGGAGCTCATTAATAAAATGCGTCAAGTTCTGGATCCTAATGATGAACACCCTCGTACTTCGATCTTCGAAACTCTACCGTCCAAAAAACTCTACCCAGATTACTATACGTTGATTCAAAAGCCCGTTGCGCTCGAAACCATCTTGAAGAACTGCAAAAAAGGCTTATACGATTCAATCCTCGACGTTAAGGAAGATTTAAAAACGATGTATGATAACGCTCGATTCTACAACGAAGAAGGATCTTGGGTATATAATGATGCGGATGAACTTAATGCGTTCACTGACGCTTGGTTTACAGAGAATGTGTAGCTACTATGTATTATAACCTGTTGTAGTCATCATTCGTATTTCTATCAAATTATACGAGTAGCTTTGACATCTACTGCTAACAGACACCCAACCACCGACTCAGTAAGTGTCTGAAAAATTTTTCAGGTATAAATCGGGCGAAAAACTTTTCATCTCTGAAGTCTTTTAATTGCATACTACAGCAGTAAACTAAATATGAAGTACATTCAAACCGATCAAGTTCTAGATATTCCAGAAGGTGTCACTGTCAACATCAAGTCCAGAGTTGTCAAGGTCACTGGTCCAAGAGGTGCCTTGACCAAGAACTTGAAGCACATTGATGTTACTTTCACCAAGTTGAGCAACAAGCAAATCAAAATCACTGTTCACAACGGTGACAGAAAGCACGTTGCTGCTTTGAGAACCGTCAAGTCTTTGGTTGCCAACATGGTCACTGGTGTCACCAAGGGTTTCAAGTACAAGATGAGATATGTGTATGCACACTTTCCCATCAATGTGAATGTTATTGAAAAGGAAGGTCAAAAGTTCGTTGAGATCAGAAACTTCTTGGGTGATAAGAAGGTCAGAGAGGTCCCAGTCAGAGAAGGTGTTGAGATTGAATTCTCCACCACCCAAAAGGATGAAATCGTCTTGTCTGGTAACTCCATTGAAAACGTTTCCCAAAACGCTGCTGACATCCAACAAATCTGCCGTGTCAGAAACAAGGATATCCGTAAGTTTTTGGATGGTATCTACGTTTCTGAAAAGGGCTTCGTTGTCCAGGATGATTGATTTACCCAATGTAGCTGTATATTAGTGTTTATAGGTCTCTCTGGAGTGGATACTCCAATGATGATGAGGGGAACGTTATTAGTGCTCGCTATAATAAAGAGCCATTCTACGTTCCTCAACTTTGTTACATTGTGATTTTTTTCCCCCGTAGTTTCTACTTGTCAAAGTTCTGCATAGAACGAGTTTCGCCGAAAGAGTTGGTAACGACAAGACGGCCTCTTAAAAGTGTTATTTCTTGCTTATGTAAATATTGATTGATTCTTGCAGTACACTTATGGCATGCACGCGCTACGAACAAATGTAAGTTGTTTCACTAGTCCTGAATTATCTGATAGATATGGAAGTTGATCTCTTTTTGTAATGCATCCGGAAGATATTTGAATTCCATGACGGACAAAGAAGAATCAGAACCGAATGGCTTTTTGTGAGTATATCCCATTATTTGATGAAATGTACCGACAATGAAAGGTTTTCGTAGTTCATTGTCTTCGTCTCTAATCAGTTCGTTAGCGCTCTTCACAGTCTTGCCTTCGAAGTAGATTTTCGCATGAGACCTGGTTCTCATATCGTGCCTCTTTTCTGCAGATATAACTTTTCCATCGCTGCCCCTAGTCTCTCCAGTCTGGTTATCATTCAAAGTAAAATCATAAGTTTTGCCTAACATAAATGTGACCAATTTGAAATATTCAAAACTCGTGACAAAATGTCTCCAGCAATGCGTTTCTTGTCCTTTTGCTTCAATTTCCCTGTCCAATTCCTCCTGTACCTTGTTTGGCTTCCGCTTGATAGTATAAGTGGGTTTTCCGAAGCACCCATAGGGGAGGTATCTTGAAACCACAGAAAACTGAAAAGTCTCAGAATCACTTAGTTCCTTACTGTTGGAAAGAGCAAGCTCGAGTATAATTTTGGGACCCTCTTGTTTTCTTTTATATCTCCATATTGTTCTGAAAGACCCATTCCGCTGAAATTGGCGCGATTGATTGACTAAATAAGCAATTGCACATTCAAGAGAATAACCACGAAAGCTCAATACTATAGGCTTATCCTTTACATCTATATCGAGTTCTTTGGCAACATTTTTCCTGAGAAGAATTCCAAGTGGTTGTTTGCGTCTAGTATGTCTAAGTTGCAATTCTGACACAAGCTTTAGAAATGCTGCCTTCTTAGCACTCGCACTTACCCTGGTTCGCTTTTTTTTCACTTGCAGATGCTTCCCTGGCTCATGGAGGGCTTCACCACTAATGTCGGGGTTTGAACATGGTGTCGATCCGTGCACAATAGGATGCATCAGGCTAGAGGAAGTGTCAAGATTTTCCAAGTAGCATAATGGTGACGATTCAGACGTTCCAGGGCTGACTACCGCTTCTTGCTGATCGTCATCTCCTTCTACAGGGTTATTGGTCCAAATGGAAGGAGTTTCTGGGACATAGCTGGCCAAAATATCCTCTACAGACCATTGATCCGACTCTATTCGAGTTGAAGGAGAACCGTCGAACCTTTTCGGCGAAGAGAAATTCCATGCGGCATCAAGAAGTACTGGATCATTCGGTATGGGCTCATCGAAGTTTTGAAGGCTATCTGAATTATCTAGTGCATCGAAAAGTGGCTGGCTTGATGTTTCATCGAGTCGACATACCTCAAGGTCATAATCGCTGTCCAAGGCTGGTTGCATGATAATGTCGGGGAAAAAGGCGTTGGGAGAGGTTTCAAACATTTTTTGGCACGCCGAAAAGAACGAACGCTTGACGATGTGATTGATACAAAGGGTCCAAATCTGGATTGGCTGATTGTCTTTTGATTATAACTATGTGGGCCGAAGTCGCCGATCCAAGTTTCCTCAGAGCGCTAGAAAAAAGGATATTCTTCCTAGGAGGTGGCAATAGAATCATGAAGACCAGGACACTGAGTGACCATATCAAGACTGTAGTGTTGTTTTTGTGTTGGCCGCGTCCTCCGTCGCCCGACGAGCAGACCAGCGGACAGACGTATTGCTCGGTGCACTGGATCACAAAAAAGAGGTGCTACCTACGATTTTCAAGCCCGCTAAACACAGGCAAATACTGAACTACAGAATTCAGTGGATGATACGACTGAACACAGCGTGGGCGGCTACTAGCTGCCCTTGATAGAATGGAAAAGATGACACAGGGTCACGTGACAAAATTGAAGGCGCATTTCCAGGAACATCACTAATGACGACCACCATATCTCCAGTGCGCCATGCGCAGCGTTGCAAGTAACTGCGGTCGCCGCGGCTGGCACAATCCCATTAGCGACCATTTCCGGCACCAATTGTGTTCACTACCCGCTCCGGATATGCTCCCCCTTTTTGGCAAATATTTCGTCTAGCTCTCATGCAATTGCCTCGAGGCTACATTCTACAAGGTGCTGTGTCCGTCCTTGACTAACGTGACGGGGTGTCCCCAAATGCCTGCAACGCGCCGCCGCTTGCACTGGCGCCACTTCTCAGTTCGATTGGAAGCTCGGGTGCAACCGTAATGAATTTTTTTTACTCATGCTGTGTCAACGGGTGTTTCCGGAGCTGCCATCGGAGCATCGAACGGCGGTGCTCCGCCTGGGCAGGTATCGAAGGCACAAGGGTTTTCGATTCGAGGAAAGTTCGAGTTATCAATTAACGGCAGAATTGCAATCTCTGTGATTATTTGAGCTCTTCCGAGAAGCTCGAGACCACGTGGTATCTGCCAAGCAGTGAATTTATCCGAAATCTTAAAAGATCATATGACCACATCGTCGTAGACAGTGATAGAGGCGTAACTCCGTCATCGAATCCGAGGGACTCTGACTCGCGGGCAGTCCCGACAAAATCGCGAACGGCTCCGATTTTCAGCTCTACATACAGGGCATTATAAAAGGGGACAGCTGGGGGCAGCGTTGGCGAGACATCATCTGTAAAAGTGAAATAGAGAACGACAACGGGATGTTAAGAGCAATCAGTCGTTCAACTCAACGATCATTGCTTAAGCGGTCTCTCTTAGAGACTGCTTCCGCCAAAAGAGCAGCGATAAGCTGCAGATGGTTCGCTACAAACAGCAGCGACAATTTCCTATCGACCACGAACGCTACCTATATCGATGAGATGTACCAGGCGTGGCAAAAAGATCCAAAATCTGTACATGTGTCGTGGGACGCATATTTCAAAAACATGGGTAATCCAAACATTCCTGCGACGTCTGCATTCGTGGCTCCACCAAACCTGGTGCCCGGGTTCACGGGACCACAAGGCGTGTCTATTGGAACCGGACTTGCGTCTGGAGCGCTCGACCAGGGAATTTTGACTCACTTGAAAGTGCAACTGCTGTGTAGAGCATACCAGGTACGTGGGCACCAGAAGGCCCACATCGATCCCCTACAGATTTCGTTCGGTGATGATAAGTCAAAGCCAATTCCCCGTGAATTGACCTTAGAGCATTATGGATTCACTGAGCGTGACCTTGACCAAGAGATCACACTGGGCCCAGGTATTTTGCCTAGGTTTGCCCGTGATGGCAGGAAGACCATGACGCTACGAGAAATAATTGCCGCAATGGAGAAGCTATATTGCTCTTCTTACGGTATCGAATATATCCACATTCCATCCAGAAATCAATGTGACTGGCTGAGAGAAAGAATCGAAATCCCACAGCCTTACAACTACACCATTGATCAAAAAAGACAAATTCTAGATAGATTGACATGGGCGACGTCTTTCGAGTCGTTCTTGTCTACCAAATTCCCTAACGATAAAAGATTCGGTTTGGAAGGTTTGGAAGGTGTCGTTCCCGGTATCAAGACCTTAATCGACAGATCGGTGGAATTAGGCGTCGAAGACGTGGTGCTTGGTATGGCTCACCGTGGTAGACTAAATGTTCTATCTAACGTGGTGCGTAAGCCAAACGAATCAATTTTCTCCGAGTTCCAGGGATCGAACGCCCCAGAGGAGTACGAAGGCTCTGGTGATGTCAAGTACCATTTGGGTATGAATTATCAAAGACCAACCACATCCGGAAAATACGTGAACTTGTCTTTGGTTGCTAACCCATCACATTTGGAGGCCCAAGATCCTGTCGTCTTGGGTAGAACAAGGGCCATCATGTTTTCTAAGAACGACCTGCAGAAAGCTAAGAAAGCTATGGGTGTTCTTCTTCACGGTGATGCCGCATTTGCCGCTCAAGGTGTAGTGTATGAAACTATGGGTTTCGCTCACTTACCTGACTACTCGACTGGTGGTACTATTCATGTAATCACAAACAACCAAATTGGTTTTACCACGGATCCAAGAGTGGCAAGATCTACCCCATACCCTTCAGATATTGCTAAAGCAATCGATGCCCCTATTTTTCATGTCAACGCCAATGACGTCGAAGCTTTGACATTCATCTTCAATTTGGCCGCTGAATGGAGAGCAACTTTCCATACTGATGCCATTATTGATGTCGTCGGATGGAGAAAGCACGGTCACAACGAAACAGACCAACCTTCATTTACTCAGCCTCTAATGTACCAAAAGATTGCTAAACAAAAGTCAGTCATCGACGTTTACACCGAAAAGTTGATCTCTGAAGGTTCTTTCACTAAGCAAGACATTGACGAACACAAGAAATGGGTTTGGAATCTATTCGAGGAGGCTTTCGAAAAGGCGAAGGACTACAAGCCAACTTCTAGAGAGTGGTTAACCGCCGCATGGGAGGGCTTCAAGTCTCCAAAAGAATTGGCGACAGAAATTCTACCTCACGAACCTACTAATGTTGACGAGAAGATATTGAAGGACCTAGGTAAGACGATTTCATCGTGGCCTGCGGACTTTGAAGTGCACAAGAACTTGAAGAGAATCCTAACAAACAGAGGTAAATCAATTGATAAGGGTGAAGGTATCGACTGGTCAACAGGTGAAGCCCTTGCATTCGGTTCTTTAGCTCTAGAGGGCTACCATGTCAGAGTTTCCGGTGAGGATGTTGAGAGAGGTACATTTTCTCAACGTCACGCTGTCTTGCATGACCAAAAATCTGAAAGGACTTACACTCCACTTCAACACGTAGGCGAAAAACAAGCCAACTTCACTATTTGCAACTCTTCGCTATCGGAGTACGGTTGTATGGGTTTTGAATATGGTTACTCTTTGACTTCGCCTGATTACTTGGTAATGTGGGAGGCGCAGTTCGGTGATTTTGCGAACACTGCCCAAGTCATTATTGATCAATTCATCGCCGGTGGTGAGGCTAAATGGAAGCAACGTTCCGGTCTAGTTTTGTCTTTACCTCATGGTTATGATGGTCAAGGTCCAGAGCATTCTTCCGGTAGAATCGAGAGATTCTTACAACTTGCTAACGAAGACCCCAGATACTTCCCATCAGAGGAGAAGCTAAATAGACAACACCAAGACTGTAACTTCCAGGTCGTTTATCCAACTACCCCTGCAAATTTGTTCCATATTTTGAGAAGACAGCAGCACCGTCAATTCCGTAAGCCATTGGCCTTGTTCTTCTCCAAACAATTACTACGTCATCCTTTGGCAAGATCTAACCTGGAAGAATTCACCAATGGTTCCTTCCAATGGATTATTGAGGATGTTGAACACGGCAAGGCGATTGCTCCAAAAGAGGAGACCAAGAGACTTGTTTTGTTGAGCGGCCAAGTATACACCGCTTTGCACAAAAAGCGTGAAACTCTCGGTGACAAAACAACTGCTTTCCTCAAGATCGAACAACTGCATCCATTCCCATTTGCCCAGGTTCGCGATGCTCTCAACTCCTATCCAAACTTGGAAGACATCGTGTTCTGTCAAGAAGAACCTTTGAACATGGGTCCTTATGCCTACGCAGCTCCAAGATTGAATACAACCTTGAAAGAAACTGAGAAATACAAGGATCACACTGTAAGGTTCGCGGGCAGAAACCCAAGCGGTGCTGTCGCTGCTGGTAGCAAAGCTCTACACAATGCTGAAGAAGAGGCCTTTTTAAAGGTAGTTTTCGGTCAGTAATTGATCTCACGGTAACGAAGATGATTAGGGATTAAACATCCTTCAACCCCCGCGTACGGAATGTATATAATTTGAGATATTCTTTATTTAACTATTTATGATGTGAACGCGAAAATTGCTAACTCACGTTTCTTGTGACTTTCCCCAAATTATTATTTGCTGTTAGGGTCGCTAACGGAATTTTTACTATGAATGCAGTAAGAACGAGCATTGTTCGTTTGCTTCAGAACGGAACCATCGCTATGACAGAACAAAAAATAGCCTTGATTACAGGTGCATCATCTGGTATTGGCTTTGAGCTAACTAAACAACTTGCAGCCAAGGGGTATAAGATTTATGCCGCCGCAAGAAGAACAGGCCCAATCAAACCCCTAGAAGAGCAATACAGAGATTTGATTATACCAGTACAGTTGGATGTTAGTGATCCTGCTCAGATTGTGGCCTTGAGAGAAAGGTTTGAAACAGAGCTTCCAGATGGCAAATTACACATCCTGTACAACAACGCCGGACAAAGTTGCACACTCCCAGCTCTGGACTTGACGAACGATGCCATAGAACAGGTTTTCAAGGTCAATGTGTTTGGTCCCATGAACCTGTGTCGTGAAATGAGCCAGTTCGTGATCAATTCGCGTGGCACGATTCTGTTTACTGGCTCCGTTGCTGGACTAATGCCATTCCCCTTCGGATCAGCTTACGCCTCGACCAAAGCTGCCATTCACCAATATGCACGCGTGCTACACGGAGAGATGAAGCTATTCGGCGTACGTGTTATAAACGTTATCACTGGTGGGGTCAAGACTGACATTGCCGACAAACGTTCTATCCCAGAAGACTCGCTCTTCAATACGCCCGAAGGAAGGCCCGCTCTAGAATATCGCAAGCATATGTCTGACAACAACCACCCAATGAGCGCAGACGCCTATGTGAGAGAAGTAATCAAGGACATAGAGCGCTCTTACGATCCTGTCGATGTGTATTTGGGTACATTTTCGTCCATTGCCTATTGGATCTACAAATTCGCCCCTTACCCATTACTAGAATGGGTATTACGTCGCAGATTCAAGCTTGACGGAATTTACAACTCATTTAAACGCAAGAATGATTGATTTAATGACCAAATGGGCCACATCAAACGAGCTTACGTAGGTGTGCCCGTCGATCTGGAGCGATTGCTGGTTGTCCGTATATAGCGATTGTTTATTGTTTATGTCCCCTGGTGCATTCTGCTTGGTTTGATGCATTGATGAAAAATGTTATATATCGAAAGATCCGCGTAGAAAAAAACCGGCCAAACCCTCTCGTATCTTTACTATTGTAACAACTTCACGCAAGGTTATTCCGTTCGTTTCCCAGAACTCTAAACTAAAAAGCAAGCTACAAGCAAGAACATAGTTGTATCCAACTAATTACATTCCTTTAAAGTCTTTTCCAACTACCTTCCATTCCTTTACGAGGCCAGTTTTGCTTGTTTTTATTGTTTAATTACGAACTTCAAGACTCAACTGAAAAAAAAACTCTAAAAGTATGTTTCACGCCGATCATGAGAATGATATACCTTTCTGTTTTTCGAGATGGAGGCTGTGGTAGCAGTAGAGACGTGTTGTACCATGCTATAGGAGGGTTTTAGATAATCGTGGTAAATTCTGTTGCTGGTTACGGCCAATTTTTTTGGCGGGCGCGGACGCTCCGAAATTTTCTAAGCTCGCGTTTGTCCAATTACCGGATTAGGCGATGACAGACCGCGTCTTTCACCAACATACCTCTGCCTAAAGAGCACCTCTTGCGAAATAACAAAAGATGGAGATCCAAAGATCGAAAATTACTAACTAACATCCAGCAGTATCAATTGAACATTTGCAATGAAAATTTCAACTTCTCTCGCTATTCTGGCTGGAGCATCCATCGCAAGTGCGCTCCCTCACGTGCATAAACGTGACACCGAGTGTACCACGTCGCATCTGCACCATCGCAGCAAGAGAGCAGTTGCCATCGAGTATGTGTACCAGACCGTTACTGTGAACGGCCAAGGTGAGACTGTGGGCCCTTCGACCAGTACTCTTTCAACCATCTCCGGAAGTGCATCTTCCGTGAGCGTCGAGGCTACCACTACCTTGGGTCCAAGTTCGTCGTCGTCCTCGAGCAGCTCGCCCTCAAGCTCCGCCGCTTACTCTTCTTCCTCGCAATATGTTGCTAGCTCATCTGCCTACTCGTCCTCAGCAGCCGAGTCTTCAAGCTCAGCCTACTCTTCCTCTGCTGAAGCTTCGTCGTCGGCCTCTTCCTCTTCCAGCTCTGCTGCTTCTTCCTCCTCCTCCAGCAGCTCCTCCAGCAGCTCCTCCTCTTCAGCTAAGTCCTCGAGCACCTCCTCTTCTTCGAGCTCTTCCTCTAGTTCCGGCAGCATTTACGGTGATTTGTCTGCCTACTCTAACCCATCTGAAAAATTCGAAGATGGTACCATTGCCTGTAGCTCGTTCCCATCCGGCCAAGGTGTCATTTCCTTGGACTGGCTAGGATTTGGTGGCTGGTCCGGTATTGAAAACTCCGATGGATCCACTGGGGGCTCTTGTGAGGACGGCTCCTACTGCTCTTACGCCTGTCAACCTGGTATGTCCAAGACTCAATGGCCATCAAGCCAACCTTCTAGTGGTGTCTCTGTGGGTGGTTTGTATTGTAAGAATGGCTACTTGTATCGTTCCAACACCGACACTGACTACTTGTGTGAATGGGGGGTGGACATGGCTTATGTTGTCTCCGAATTGAGCGAAGACGTTGCTATTTGCAGAACCGATTACCCTGGTACCGAGAACATGGTTATTCCAACTTATGTTCAAGGTGGTAACACCTTGCCATTGACCGTCGTCGATGAAGACAGTTACTACCAATGGCAAGGTAAGAAGACTTCTGCTCAATATTATGTGAACAACGCTGGTGTTAGTGTAGAAGATGGTTGTGTTTGGGGTACTTCCGGTTCTGGCGTGGGCAACTGGGCTCCATTAAACTTCGGTGCCGGTTACACTGATGGTATTGCCTACTTGGCATTAATTCCAAACCCTAATAACTACGACTCATTGAACTTCAATGTTAAAATTGAGGCTACCGACTCTTCAAGTTCCGTCAATGGTGAGTGTTACTACGAAGATGGAACTTACAACGGTGATGGTACCGATGGTTGTACGGTGGCTGTCACTTCTGGTAGTGCCAAGTTTGTTCTTTACAGTTAGAAATGGAACTTGACTATTTTTATTTTATGTTTCTCTTTGGGCGGCCTTTCTAGATTTAAGTATTATTGCCGGTATTAAATAGGAGACTAAACTTTCTCTTCGACAGACCTTGGTAAGGTGCTCCTAGTTTGTAACACTGTAATTATTAGATGAGATTATCCTTAGGGGGCACACACGTGTGCTAATTTCAATTCAAGGGCTGGCCAGTCTCTAGAGATAAACTGAATAAAAACTGGACCAAAACATACAAAATGCTTATCATTGATCCCCAAACACTCTTCTTCTTACCTGTAGCATTTGGATCTGTTGTTTGTTCTCTTCATGAGCTGACAAAATGTAGTCAATAGTGTTCCTTGAAACTCGATTAGATGGATAGAGAGTGACTCAAATAATCAAATCTCAAATGAGGTGAGCCCAGTGAGCCGATAAAATCAACACAAGGGTGAGACACAAGAGTACACGAGTATGTTACTAGATATGACATTCGATATGAAGTTGACTATCTTTTCGAGGTTGGAAAACATTTATTCACACTCATTTGCCCCATTTGCCCTCCAGACATCAATCTACCGAGCGACAAGATACTCCAAATAGCACTATTTTCAGTTTGCCATGCCATGAGGAAAACAGTCGCTTTCGAGAGTTCAACCATAACTATCGGTGGTCGACGAGTCAAAAAACTTTAAGCCACCATCAGCAAGCCAAACTAATTGTGATTACAGCACGCTATCATATGAGCTCTATCGCTTTGAAACTTCTTGATCCAGCGAGCTGAAGAGGTACGCTTTTATAAGCACATGATCATATGCAGATGAAATGAAGCTTCACAATGATGACAAAGGTGGAAGAAATATCGTTATACGAACAATGTTTCTTGGAAGCACCCAGCGTTCCGTCTTGCGTTTGCCAAGAAAAAAAAATGATAAGGTGCTGCGTGAATGAAAAGTTGACCACAAACGATAGGTCCGTGGTGTTATATTCGATACGCGTAGCTCCACCTTGTAAGGAAGACTGCTTGAGATAAGCTAGCGATTTAAGCTTGTACCACATCTTCAGTGATACGTGGGTTCGATGTGCTTGTAATCACCGCCATTCGTAATTACTTCTACAGTCTGAGATTCTTCAGAGTTTCCAGGGAATATAACTCTACCGTGACTAATGTGATTCTTATGACGATTGAAATACTTTCTTTTTGCCAGGTCGAGTGTGATCCATGCTTGGCAGGGTCACGATTGTCTTAATTACGTACGGCCGTAAGCGGTTTAATTCCGCCGGGTTGCATCATCTCCTCCGCGAGGAAACAAGATTAAAGATAAAACCATCGAAGGCAGCACCATACCAACCACTATATTAAGACGACCATATCACTCTAAGTGCCTCTAAAAGTGATGGGATCACAGAAGAGCTTGCTCGAGCGAACCGATATGACGTTGCATTCATCTGAATCGAGTGATTCGACCTCTGGTCATCGCGACCATCCACAGGAGCTGGCTGCGCCAGAGGAAGCCAGAGAAACAGAAAATCACTCTCCCATCACGAATAAGTCCGAAAATCAACATGACAATCTTGCAGCAAAGACCTCAAATAAGAGTTCTCTTCAAAATGATAAGGTGCCGTATTCCAGATTCGGCAGGCGTCAGAAGCTGACTCTCGTGCTGATATGTGCATCAAGCGGCCTTTTCTCTACGATTGCAGCGCCCATATATTATCCTGCTCTGACAACAATTGAGAAAGACTTCAATGTAAGCGAAGAGTTGGCCAATATCTCTGTGGTTGTATATTTCATATTTCAAGGCCTGTCACCGACTTTAATGGGTGGCCTGGCTGATACATTTGGGAGAAGACCAATCGTTGTATGGTCGATAGCATTATATTTGGCCGCCTGTATTGGACTGGCCCGCGCACAAACTTATGGCGAGATCTTATTTCTAAGATGCCTTCAAAGTGCAGGAATTTCGCCAGTGATAGCTGTGAACATGGGAATCATGGGCGATGTCACGACGAAAGCAGAGAGAGGCGGTTATATGGGACTAACAGCTGGAACGCAGATTCTTGGCTCAGCGTTTGGTGCTTTAATAGGTGCGGGTATCACAGCAACATGGGATTGGAGGGCTATTTTTTGGTTCCTTACCATCGGATCAGGAATCAGTTTAATGTCTTCCTTATTTCTGCTACCAGAAACTAAACGTACAATCGTGGGGAATGGTTCAATTATACCAGCGAGCGTACTTAATAGAGCTCCAATTACTTTATTACCATCATTTAAAAAAAGAATGCATGTCAATAACCCTGATTGGGAGACTTTAGCACCTCCCGAAAAAGTAAAACTATTAGCTCCTCTAGAAATTATGAGGTGCCCCGAGATGGCACTCATTTTACTCGTTGCAGGCCTTCAATTTTCACTTTGGACCTGTCAGCTTACAGCTCTTTCCTCAGTTTTAGAAAAAGAGTATCATCTTACTGTCGCAAAGGTCGGCCTTTGTTATCTACCAAGTGGTATTTGTACTCTTATCAGTATAGTTTCGGCAGGAAGATTGCTAAACTGGAATTACCGTCGTAGATTCACAAAGCACGAGAAATGGTTACTGACAGTCGAAAAAGAGCTATTACAAGAATACGATGACGACACTACTCGCGTTAAACATATGATCAAGACCGAATTACGCTACAAGTTCAATCTCTTCCGCGCAAGGCTTGAAATTGTTATTATTCCACTGATATTAAGTGGTGGCGGCTTCATAGCATTCGGATGGTGCTTAGACGTACATGCTCCTCTTGCTACTGTTCTGGTGTTCAGTGGGTTTGCTTCATTGTTTTCTAACTGTATAGTCGCATGCACCACAACTTTGGCAGTTGATTTATTTCCACAACGTTCGTCAACAGCTAGTGGCTGCGTCAATTTCGCCCGATGCATATTATCCGCAGTGTTTGTTGCATCTTTGAGTAAGATGATGAAAACAATGACAATTGGAGGTACTTTCACATTCATGGCATGCCTCACTTTAGCGTCATCAGCCCTTCTTTGGCTGCCAATTAAATATGGCACTGCTTTGCGTTACAAAAGGCAGCAAAAGATAGAATTAAGAGAGAAAGAAAAAGCTCAAAGCAAAGAAGCACAGGATCTGGAGTCTCAGGCCTCGACCAACAACGAAGATGCCAGTAGCGAGGATGAAGGTGATCTCGAGATAATGAGAAGAATATCTACCGCGCATTCCATCAACGTTTAAACCAACCTTTTCGGGGTATACAATACGAAGTTGGCCGAATCCAACCAATTGTTGGAAAGTTCGATTAGCACCATGGAGTATCATAACCTTTACGCTAATAGGATTTTTCTACTTTCTGTTACTTGCAGTTTTTCTGAAATTAACTCAATCGACCATTGCCTCATTGCGTCTTCATCAGTTCCAGTTGGCTGGTTGCTGGCCAAACAATCTCATTAGGCAAGAATCACATGCGAAATCAGTAAAAGTAGCATTCCAAAAATAATGGAGTCATCTGGAGCTATAGTCGACATATAAGTTTTCATTATCAACTATCAGAGGAGTAAAGAGTGATAGGAACAGGTCGCGAGGTTATCAATTCACATACCGTGAAGGAAAACACCCTAACGACACTGCTACTGCAGATGGTTAATTTGAGAAACGATAAGCAGTTCAAACAATTTATCACACAGACGACACAACGCGAACAATCACTCGCTTGACGATCGAAAAAGCAATAACTTCAAGAAGTAATTGCAAGTTTTCCATTAAGAGAACCTCTCATTTACTGATATCTGTAAACGCACAGAAATTTCGTTGATTGCCCTGAAATTATGCAACATTTTTTTTAAAGCTAATATTTACAAACAATCTAATCATCTGCATGTTCTTCATACTATATGTCAAACACCACTAAATAAAAGTCACGATTTGAATGATCAAGACGTTCAAAATGTTCGAGGTACCAAAACTCATGAAACGATAGTCGCGATTTAACCGTGCCACGCCAATCCTGTGCATGCATTGCTATTTTTGAGATTTTCCTCTGAGGTTTCTTTTTTTCAACCTTTGCGCGGCTGATTTTTGGCCTGACCTTCGGAATTTCAAGGAGTTTTTCGGAGATTTACGGATAAATATAGAAAAGAAACGACTTTCACCGGCACCGGCGCAGCTCGCGGCGAAAGTCGCCGGTTTCTTCCGTAGATATGGCACTCTAGCAACTCATGGTCCAACTAAACGGAGCCACGGCCGCTAATAAGGCCATATTCACACAAAGTGACTCAGCTATACCATTATCGTATATTAAGTTAATCTCGCTGCTCTCTTTTGTACATAAGTGGGTATTACGCGTCGTTTCATTATTTTTGCTTTGTACAGTCCATTAAAGGTGATAGAATTTCACAGCATCAACACATCCATGATAAACTCGGACACAGACTCGCTACCGATGAGCGAGGAAAAACCTGCCAACTTAGAACGTGCAGGCGAAGAATCTGACGCGTTAAAGAAACACAAGACTCTCGAGGATGGGCAATCAACAATATCGCACGTAGCTACTCATGAGATACGGTGCTCGACTCCAGATATCGACGACAGCAACTATAGCGGCTCCGAAGTATGCGACTGTGATAAAGAATCGCACGAAACACCTTACACAATGCTTAATGACACACAAAAATGGATCATGGTCGCACTTTTAACCTCAGCAGGATTTTGGTCTTCCTTAGGCTCACCTATCTATTATCCTGCATTGAAACAGCTTGAAAAAGTATTTACCATCGACGAAGAAATGGTAAACATTACTGTGGTGGTTTATCTTATTTTCCAAGGTGTTGCTCCTACAATTAGTGGAGGTTTAGCAGATGTTTATGGGCGGAGACCTGTAATTTTGATGGGCATGCTTATCTATGTTGTGGCATCTATAGGACTTGCATGCTCCCACTCATACGGTGTAATCGTTTTCCTGAGATGCTTGCAGAGTGCGGGTATTTCACCAATCATTGCGATTAATTCAGGTGTTGTCGGTGATTTTACTATTAAGGCAGAACGTGGAACGTACGTCGGTGCAGTATCGGGGTTTACGTTGATGGGCCAAGCGTTTGGATCCTTAATAGGTGCCGCTCTTACCGCTGCTTACGACTGGAGGGCCATTTTTTGGTTTCTAACAATCGGTTGTGGTGTTTGCATGTTGATTAACTTTTTGGTTTTGCCAGAAACAAAACGAACGTTGGTCGGTAATCTCTCCGTCAGACCTCAAAGGATCATAAACAGAGCCCCAATTTTGGCCATTCCCGCTGTCAAGAGAAAACTGAATCTTGACAAGCCAGATTACTCCAGTCTTGATAGGAATAAGGTAAAGATTGATCTTATCTCAGCTTTGAAGATTCTAGCCCATCCAGAAATCACTCTGTCACTACTACCAGCTGGTTTACAATTTGCCTTATGGACCCTGACACTAACCTCAATTTCTTCGCAACTATCAGCTGCTCCATATAATTATAAGCTCACAATTATTGGTGTGTGCTATTTGCCAGCTGGAATTGGCGGTCTGATAGGTTCTTTTATCACAGGAAAAGTCATTGACGTATATTATAGAAGAGTTTTGAGACGCTTTCAAGAAAAAAAAGACCAAGGATTATTACCGGCAGACGCGAAATTTAATACATTAAGAGCACGTCTGTATACTTCGATCCCTCAAAATTTTCTGTCAGTTGTGGCCTTCACGTTATTTGGCTGGAGTGTTGACAGAGGTTGGCATGTGTCTGCTCCGTTGATAACATCATGTGTAGGATCATTCTGCGCGATGAGTACCCTATCATCTTCAAGTACTCTACTTGTGGATTTGTATCCCAACAAATCATCCACGGCAACAAGTTGTTATAACTTCATCAGATGTTCCCTAAGTGCGATTTTCATGGCATGTTTTGCAAGGATGAATCAATCTTTAACTATTGGTGGAACATTCACCTTGATTAGTGGTTTCGTCTTTATCGGGAATTTTGTAACCTTCATCCCAATGATTTACGGAATGAGATGGAGAGAGAGGAGAGCTATGAAAGCAGAGCGAAACGCCATAATATAGTTTTGCCTGTGATCAGGAAGCTTGGTGGAAACGAAAAAAAGGCATTTTTAATTAATACAGAAAGACCGGAAATCTTTCAAACAGCCTTTCAACTTCCAAAAAATAGGATAGCATAGATAGAATTATACATTATAAAAGTAATTGAACCCCTTGGTTATTTTTGCTGACAAATTGCTCGAAGCATAGTACTTTCACAAACTTTTTTTATTCATTGTTGTGCTGACCGCACTTGAAGGTGATATTTTGATATGTGAGCCATTCTTTTCCATACGAAGTTTACAATGCAATGCGTGAAGAGGCCAAATATTTCAATTACGAACTAACATCGAGTAATAAAAAATGAGAATATAATTTATACATCTAATAAAAGATTGCTAGATCGGGATTGCTAAGACGTCTTATGTCAATATTTGGAGTCCTTGGTATCAGAAAAACCATCAGTGTAGGTCTATTAAATTACAAAACTTAAAAACATAGGGGGGGACACATTATGCAATGTGAGAATGCAAAAGGGCCTTGCGATTTGGCTCAAATGGCAAACTACTGACGGAGCAATAAATCGGGGAAGAAGCGTGGGAAAGCAGATTTTATAGAATCTCTCTATTGAGAAGCACATTGCACACCTTCTCCACCTTGTTCCTCATCATCAGAGTCATAGTTTTGACCTCTACCAGATTGCTTACCACTGTGCTTGGATGGATCGTAGTCTGCCAAAACACACTCTTCAACTTCTGCTGATTTTGGAATAGCCGGAACAGTTCTGGCTGGCAAAATTTGTTCTAGCTTCTTCAAAGACTCTTCATCAGTGAAGTGGTTAGGAGGGAAGTTGATCTTGAATTTGACAATCAAATTACCATAACCGCCAAACTTCTGAATAGGCATACCCTTTCCTTGAATGATCTTGGTCATCCCTGGCGCAATCACTTCACCCGGTACGATGTTAACCTTCAACCATTCACCTGAAACATGTTCGACGGCAAACTCACCACCAGCAATGGCGGTAAGCAAGTCGACCTCAGCTTCGTAAAATAGATCATCACCCTTTCTTTGGAAGTACTTGTGTGGCTTCTGGGAAACTACGAAAACAACATCACCAGGGATAATACCTGGGGCTTGATCCGCTTCACCCTGGAATACGATTCTCTGTCCGTCTTTCATACCTGGCTCAATGTGAACTTCCAAGATCTTTCTTTCGTTTGCGACCTTCTTACCGTTACAGGCCTTACAACGGTCCTTAGGATCGATGATGTCACCGGTACCATTACAAGCATCACACTCGGCTTGGAATCTTTGAATCATAGGTCCCATTTGTCTAGTGATGAACTTAACACCTTGTCCATTACAAGAAGTACACTTCTTAACAGCACCCTCTTTACCACCACGGCCCTCACAAGTCTTACACAAAACTTGCTTGTTGAGGGCCAGCTTGGCAGTTCTCCCCTTATAAAGCTCTTCCAGAGTGGCACCAATCTCGTGTTTAATATCTCTGCCTCTTTGTGGGCCCTTTGGTCTAGACGAACCTCCACCAAAGAATTGTGAGAAGATGTCGTCCCCGAAGCCACCGAATCCGCCGAAGCCACCTGGGCCTCCACCGCCACTCAATCCTTCTTCACCAAACTGGTCGTAAACATCTCTCTTTTGAGAGTCACTTAGAATCTCATAGGCACTTGTTATCTCCTTGAACTTCTCAGCACCTTCTGGAGTTGGGTTCTTGTCTGGATGGTACTTCAACGCAGCCTTTCTGTAAGCTTTCTTGATCTGTGCATCATTCGAATCTGGAGCACAACCCAGTAAATCGTAAAGCTTAGTGTCTTTAACCATCTTTTGTTTCTTTGACCCACACAACTTTGCGTTAAAAAACTGAACTCGTTATGGTTTAGTCTGATATATAGCTTCTCTAAAAGATGGCCACTACAATTTATTCAAACCGAGCTATCTCATCTTGCAGGATTTGGAAATTTCTCGAAAAATTTTTCAATGTTTTCCGCACGACGTTAAAACGACAAGGAAAACGGCGAAAAGTAACAATATATATCACGTGCTAGATGATGTGGCGGGGCAAATAAAGCAACAGTCACGTGATCGTACACTCTGGGGTTCAACCATAATTATTCAAATTCACGATTTTACGGTGATGCCCAACTAGTCCTCTATTCTTTCAAGCATCTCGTCAGCACTATCGTCAATTGTGGATATTTGAAGATATTAATGATTTCAATTTGATTTCAGTGATGTGATATTTTTTCATTCCAGCATACTATTCTTAAAACATTGCATACTTTCTCTATTTAACACTCTATTAGACGTGCGATGTACGAGCCTGTACACTCGTCTGAGGCGTGGAACGTGTTCGAAAGTGAGAAGTTTATTTCAAGAAGTTACCAATATTTTTGTTAGGTACAGTAAGATGTCATCGAAGGTAGAATTTTTGTATTTATTTGCTCACACTGACTGCTAGGCAATGAATCAAAATAATGTCTTGAATCATAAGATTGTAGAGTTTGAATCGAGCATCTGATTATATCATCTCTCACATAATGTCAAAATTCTAAAAAAAGGAAATGCCGTATCTCGAGAGCGAAGTCATCTCCTATGAATTCGTCAGAAGAATTCAAAGGTGAGAGCTGCTTTAAAGATTCACGCCAACTCAGCTGAGCATTATGCCAAGAATTGGGCCCCGTATTATGTCAGAGGCGCAAAAGATTCATAGGTATCTTCCACTTCTTCTGCCGGAATGTAGATCAATTGCTGCGTCTCTGCAGGAACTCAAATGGATTAAAAACGAGCTGAATTCTCCCCGTAAGATCCACCAGGCGTGCAGATTGAGAGGTCTACATTACCCACTTCAGTACATTCTTGGTTCACAGCCGTTCGGTGAGCTAGATGTTATTTGCAAATCTGGTGTATTAATTCCTCGATGGGAAACCGCAGAGTGGGCTCAAGACTTAGCTGACCGATTACCAGCGGAGACAAAAATGACAGTCACTGATTTGTGCACGGGAACTGGCTGTATTCCACTACTTTTGAAGTACAATAGGCCTCAAATTGACGTAACTGGAATTGATATTTCGTCTAAAGCTTTAAGTTTATCGCGCCAAAATTCAAAAGCTCTAAAATTGGAGTTGCATCTACAGAAGCAAGATGTGCTCAATAATAATGAGAAGATTGGTTCCGGAATAATTGATATTTTAACATGCAATCCTCCTTATATCCCACGCCGAGACTTTATTAAAGAAACTACTTTGTCAGTAAAACTGTACGAGCCGAGACTTGCCCTTTTGGGGGACATGGAGTTCTACAAGAATCTGGTCGAAAAATGGTTATATCGGTCGAATTCTTTCATTTACGAAGTAGGTGACATCTCACAATCTGAATATGTCTTGAAAGAAATTCAACATCATACGGTATTTTCTTCCCTCTGGCATGTGGGATTTCGGAATGATTCCAATGGCCACCCAAGGGTAGTTTACGGATTTAGGAAAGAAGGGACATCCCACAACATGAGTACAATATTCCAAAATTATGGACAGTTAATGCATTAAGCATGCTATATGAAGAGATAATATCTAAAAGCTTCCTTTACTCCACCTTTTGCTTTTTTGCATCTACTGGTGTGTCTTCTGGGGCTTGCACCTTAACATTCATGATGTCTTCTTGCGCAGGAATGACTTTGTGACACCACATTATGTAGCCTCCGCCGCCTCTCATCGTCATCAAAGGATGCAGCCTCCCTCTAATCGTTTGGTAAGGTCTGCAACGTGTTTCTACTATAGAAGGCGCCAGAAAACGGTAATCACTGTAAAGAGCATGAGATAACTCTAGAAGAGTCTCCTTAAATTGACTGTAGCACACAATAGGCCTCGAACCGTGCACTTTTTCACCAAGCCTTGGCACAAAAGTTGGTAGATGCAGAGTTGACGCAACAATCAGCCCATCATATTGAATTTCAGTTGCAAGGGCGATTATGTCCAGTTGATTGTGATACCATTTGAGACGGCGATAGTAGGCACCTTTCTTGTTACTTTTCATCTCCTTCAGCTGCTCATCCGTCATAGGTGTGAAAGCTTCCCTAACTTCTTCAATGATAGGCGGTTCAAAGTAATCTAGGATAGAAATTGTTTTCACATGCCTCTCAATGAACTCCTCTGAGTAGTTAGAAAATTTTAATAAATCGAGATTTGGATGCTCGTTCTCATGCACAACCACAATTTTCCCTGTGGCCGGGCTTTCATTGTCACCACCGTACATCCTTTCTAATAGCGCGTACACGAGCAATCCCCCCGTCTCATCCACACACAAGTAGGTACCATTAGATCTGATATTGCCCAAGTTTAGCATCATTCCCATTGTTTCCTGTGACATATCCATAGCCCTGACAACATCGCCTTTTTCAATCAGGTAATGCAGTAGTCCAGTGCTACTTAGGTACTCAACCGTAAAATATTTGGCGAACTTCTGCTTTTTCCTTTTGAGATATTTCTCTTGCGAGTAGACAGTCTTTTGGTGAAAACCGCCGTGTGCTTCTATCATCTTAGAAATAATTTGCTCCCCCGACACACTTTGCTTTTTCAACTCTTCAATCTCCTCCATCGTTAATTTTTGAATCTTGTTACCGATATTTATTAGGTTTTTATTCGATTCGCTGCTTTCAAACGTTTGCAATTCTGGCTGAGGAGTGTTTTCATCTTCACTTGCAGGGCCATTGGCAGATGCCCGCTCTTCCAAAATCCGCAGTTTACCCACAGGAATTTTATTAACCTTACTCTTGTCACTACGATCTGGTGCTTCCTCTGTTTGATCGTAATATATCTCAAATGTCGTTCCCAAAGGATATCCTATTATGTCATTAACTCTAAAAGCACCAAACTTTCCCAAAGAAATGTCGCTGTTAGGTTTTAGTTCACAAATTTTCAAATTATTGGATGGCAGCCTCAGTAAGACATGATTATCATAGGCAATTTTAGTGAGAGGATCCATTTTCAATGATGTATCCAATATATTTGCAATGGATTATTCCCATTTTGGCGATGAGCTTGTGTTCTACAGAAAAATTTTGTCACTGATTATGCGTTCATACGAAATTTTCATTTAGAAGCTGGAAGTAGTTTTTATGGCGCTGTTCAATTTTGAAAAAGTTCCTGTGAGAAATAGACCATCAAAAGAAACGAAATCCTTTTATTTTTTTTCAACATCGAAAATTTTCAAAGCTCATCTCATCTCGCAATACAGTGTTAGTGAAGAAGCTATTTTGAAAGCTAATTAAAACCTTCTATAGCATTTTTCCTACGTAAAATGGGTAGTAGACGTGCCAAAAACAAGCAAGGAGCTCCACCCAGCTTTGAAGAGTTCCAAGCTAAGAAAGAGAGGAAATTGAACAAGAAGAAGGAAGCAGAAGAGAAAAAAGAGAAACCCAAGAGAAAAGCCGAAAATGTCAATGAATCGAAGAAGAAGAAGAAAATAAAGCAGAAAACCACGAATGTAGAGGATGAAGAGGCTGCTGAACCCCAAGATCTTCCCGAAGTTGATTTGGAAGAGCTATCAAAGGCCAAAAAATCTCTATTCGATGACGACGAAGAGGAAGAAGAACTCGACGAAGAATTGCAAGACGAGTTTGACCTCGAGCAAGAGTATGATATCGATGATGATGAAAGTGCTCGTGAACGTCCCATGTTCTCTGACGATGAGGAGGCCGATATGGAGGAACTAAACGCTGCAAACATGGAAGCTCTGTCAAGAAAGCTTGACGAAGAGCAAGCCTTTGAGGAAGAAGAGGCAGAGAAAGAACTTGTTGAAGCTGATCAGATGCAACCAAGAGCTGATATCTTACCTACTGCCGAAGAGGAGGAGATCATGAGTCAACAGCCACCCGATTTGACTGCAATCAGAACTCGGATGATTGAAATAGTCAAAGTGTTGGAAAATTTCAAACAGCTGGGAGCTGAGGGTAGATCAAGAAGTGAATACACAGATCGTCTTTTGAAGGATATTTGTCAATATTTTGGCTATTCCTCGTTTTTAGCAGAAAAGCTCTTTAATCTTTTCTCCCCAACTGAAGCCTTGGAATTTTTCGAAGCAAATGAAACTCCAAGACCAATCACAATCAGAACCAACACACTCAAGACAAGAAGAAGAGATTTGGCTCAAACACTAGTCAATCGTGGTGTCAATCTACAGCCAATTGGAACGTGGACAAAAGTCGGGTTGCAAATTTTCGACTCACAAGTCCCTATCGGTGCAACCCCAGAATATTTGGCAGGTCATTATATTCTGCAAGCTGCTTCTTCCTTCCTTCCGGTGATCGCTCTAGATCCACATGAGAATGAAAGAATTTTGGATATGGCCGCAGCACCTGGTGGTAAAACTACCTACATTTCTGCGATGATGAAAAACACAGGGTGTGTTTTTGCCAACGATGCCAACAAAGCCAGGACAAAGTCTCTTATTGCTAACATTCACCGTTTAGGTTGCACTAATACCATTGTGTGTAATTACGATGCCCGTGAGTTTCCTAAAGTCATTGGTGGCTTCGACAGAATTCTACTGGATGCACCATGCTCTGGTACTGGTGTTATAGCAAAGGATCAGTCAGTCAAGGTTTCTCGTACAGAGAAAGACTTTATGCAGATTCCACATTTGCAAAAGCAGCTTTTACTATCTGCAATCGATTCCGTGGACTCGCAATCAAAGACTGGAGGTGTTATCGTTTACTCTACCTGTTCTGTTGCAGTTGAAGAAAATGAGGCCGTGGTTGATTACGCATTGAGGAAAAGACCTAATGTGAAATTGGTAGACGCTGGTCTTGCCATTGGACGTGAGGGTTTTACAAGTTTCAGAGGAAAGAAGTTTCATCCTAGTGTTAACCTAAGCAGACGATTTTATCCACATGCCTACAATGTTGATGGGTTCTTTGTTGCGAAGTTCAAGAAATTCGCACCATCTAAGCACGATGACAACCAAGCCAGTGCTAAAGAAAAGGAAAGCGCCGCTAGACAAGAAGCTTTGGAAGAAGGTATCATCCATGATGATTTTGCCAGTTTCGATGATGAAGAGGACAAAAAATACATCGAAAAATCTAAAAAAGTCAGCTTGCTCAAAAAGGGTGTTGATCCTAAGACCAGTAAACCAAAAAAATGAATCTACCATCTTTGCATTACTTTCTAAGAACTACTTTTGTATGATATACTCGATGACTTGTTTTGGTAATGAGGTGGAAATGCGTATCACCTGTCAGAGGACGGCGGTACAATTTTTTACCTGTATATAATAGTTATAATCCAAAAAAAGGACTTCTCTTTCGTAAGCAGCAGATTTACGAACAACTTTTAAGCTCGCCACACCCACTTGTGGGACCTGCAAAGAAAAATTAATGCCAACAAGTCTTCCTTTTGACTACTAAAGGAAGGCGCAGTTTCCTAAAGAATGCTCTTTGATGTAATCTGGTCCATATTCTTCGTAGTCTTTTCTGGTGACGTAAGTGCCTTCATATTGATTTTGATTTTGTGAGAGTTTTGCCATGCCCCTCCAAGCATCCACAGCGCAGTCTTTTGCCATTCTAACATTGAGTCTAGTTCCAACAGGAAGAATCTCCGTGAACTCCCGGACTATTCTCTCTCTTATTCCGGGGATTCTCATGTTTCCACCAGTTAAAAGTATATTGTTGGCAAATTTTTGACAAGTTGTGCTTAGTTCACGCCTACTTGAGCCAAATTTCTTCAGAAGAATAGTTTCACAAATTTCAACTATACCTGCTTGGTCCAAGCCACCCATTGTCGGTTGAAAAATCACCTCTGGCACACGAATACGTTCAACATTCAAGTGCATTTGGTGCTGTTCATGAATATCTTCACTATCATGAGGCCTTGGCCCTCTTAAAAATAAATGCAGTGTGGAATTTCTCCAATCGTATTGAGCATCAAGAGTGTCCTCATCAGTAAAGTTGGGATCATATTCTAATAGGGCTTTCTCAATCTCGACTATATCTTTGTATTCTTCTTCTAAAAGTTGATCAAGTGCCTCAGGGTTTTGACTTATGTCATTATAAACAAGCCAATCTTCGTCGTTAGCTCCGAAAGTATCATTGGGGTCATTATCAACAGTTGCTTGCTGTCTTGATCTCTTGGTTCCAGAACGAGATCGTTCTTCTGCCAAAGTAGCAATATTCTTCATTCTTTTCTGAGCGATTTGAGATTTACGATCTTTCATATCCTCTTTCATTTTTAACTTCTCCTTCCGAGCTTTGATCAAGCTGGACCACTTATTTCTCTTATCTTTAACCCAGCCAGCTAGATCTTCCTTTCTCCAATTTTCATCACGAAGTTTCGCTGCTTCTTCTTCCTGCTGCTTCTTTAGCTTTTCTTCTTTGGCTCTTTGCCTGGCTTCAAAGTTGGCTTTCATTAGCCTTTGTCTTCTCTTTTCCTTTATTTGTTCATCGTTCAATTGTTCATCAGGAACATCCACCAAATCAAATTTGGTTTCTGTTTGCTCATTTTCCTCTATGTCTCCGACGTCTAAAATACGCGCACGTTTCAATGATTTTTCTAAACTATTCAAATATTTTTTAAAGTCTTGTTCATCATCGAATCCCGCTCCTTGCAGCGTCGAAAGGATAGTTTTCTTGTTTTGGTCTTTCAATTGTTCTTTTAATTTGGTATAGTATCCGTATTCTTCCTCCTTCTGTATCAACTTTTCTAAGCGTCTTTGCCTGGCCTGCTCTTGTAGTCTCTTACCAGTTTCTTTCCTTTTCTCAGCTTGGATTCGAAGCTCTTCTTCACTTTTTTCCGGTTGAAAAACTTCGGTAAAAGGGGCTTCAATAACAACGTTTTCTGTTTCAAGTGCTTCCAGCGAAAGTATACGGTCTATTTCTTCATCATAGTTCGATGAAAAATGACAAAAGTCTTGGTATAAATTTTGAAATTGATTTGTTGTTGGTTTGGATGGGAAGTAGGGATATTTCAAAGCTAAGAGACTTGATAAATAATCAGTAGATTGACGTCCTCCCCAATTTATTCTCTTTGCCTCAGAAACGATGCCTTTTCCATCAATGACTGGGATGATGGTGGTATCTTCGTTGCCACTATTAATGACCAGACCGGATGACCTAGGTTCATTATTTGCGTAAAAGGAAAACAATGCATCAATACCAAACGTAACTTGTGGTATACCGTAACACTCGAAAAGTAATTGATACCAGTTTTCACGTTGTGATTGTAAAGTGGCTAGTTTTTCAGACAAAATGATGGGATTGGAAATTCCATTATGTCCTTGAACACTCAGATGATGAAACGTGTATTCTAAAATATCTTCGACATAATCCCAGTTGGAAATTATGGGCCCATCGTAAGGGCTCCTGCTTTGTGTTCTTAAACTTTGCTCCAGATTGGTATCATTTCCAACAAAAGTAAACGTTCTGTTAATCTTACGATCTCTATATCTCGTCAATCGGTTGGGAAAAATATGTGAAGGGTCAGAGCGGTTTCCGTAGCCAGCCCTTACCTCACTCGAACCAAAATCAATTGCAATGGGTACGTCTGGTTGGTAAGTCGAGGGGTCGTCGAACGGCTCAGGATTTTCATTATAATCGGGCTCAATTAGGCTGTGCACCTTGAGTGGAGGCAAACTTGAGTCTCTTGAAGTCATCAAAAGATTCGTTGTCGTTTCCATTAGCTCAATGAGAAATACTATCTAGGTGGGCAAATGTAGAAAAAATGTTCCATGCTGGATCATCCGTATGTGGTGATTGTAAATTAATGTAAATAATAGATCCTTTTGAAAAAATGTAACACTCAAGTGAGTATTCTTTGCATCTAACTTAAACTGCTATTCCTAACTACACATCATGGTGACTCATAATTCATTTCAGTAGTACTACAGATGTAGATAAAAGGTAATGGAGCTTATGTTCTCTTTCTTAATTTTCTGAGAAAAACTAATCAGAGTACTCTAATAAAGGGAAGTTGCGTCAATACTAATTTCCAACTTCTCATTCGCCCTTATTAGGGAATCCAAATACACTTCTTCCTCCTGTTCCTTGCTGTAAGGAGGTTCATCTTTGGCTACAAACACTGAGTTGTTAATCAAGCCATCCACAAAGGTCTTTTGTGACTTCTTTTGTCTCATACTTAACTTCTTACCATATTCCTCGTATTCGCTTTCCGACAAAGCAGCGAATACATAGTTCGGATTTATCGCAATCGCCATAGCACCCTTTTGACCAAATCCAAAAGATGTAATACAAGCGGCTTTTACGCACTCCATTTCAATATTCTCAGAAGGATAGACGAGATGGTTAAATTCTGAGAACTTTTCGTCGATGTTGTCTGCGTTTCTATTACCGGGAATTAATCCGCTTCTCAATATTTGCAAAACTCCGTTGAACATCCAGGCGCCTGCGGCACCTTTTGGATGGCCTGTCAAATACTTCTGACAAACGGTAAACAATGGATTACCTTCCGTCCTTCCAAGATGATTCATCATCGCGTTCAAAATGCTCGATTCGTTTTTCTCATTGGCTTTAGTAGAGGTTCCATGAAATGAAGCAACATTCAAATCATCTATCGTTAATCCGAAGGTAGCTAAACAACCCTTTATTGGAGAAATGCGAGAGTCATTGCGCCAAAAGTTGTTGCCGTAATGAGCTCTTGCTTCTGTCTTCTGTCTTTTGGCTAGATCTTCAGTGAACTCAGGATCGGCTCCAGATTCAAGCTCTTCTTTTACCCATTCCTCAATTTCACTGATCCTCCTGTTCAATTGTTTCCGTCTGTAATCTACATTTAACTTCAAATTTGTAAACTTTGAAGTCGAATGAGTTTCTTTGGCACATGTAAGTACACCTTTCCCGGGAGCAGGAAGGGATTTGCTTATTTTATCAGATGCGGTACATGCCATACCAAGAATACCATAAATTGGGACACCCATTTTGATCGCAAGATCGGCACTCATGAGGACTTGCATTCCTGCACCTTGAGATTCCATGAAACCGTTTCTCGTCGAGGTAGCTGGCCGACACATTTCCTGCGGCGACCTACCACTGTTGATCTCCTCGACTGTATTTGATGTAGCTCCCATTTTCGCAAACTCAGTTGAGGTCTCCTCTGAAAAATCATCGCAACCTCCTGCAATACAAACCTTTGCTTTTCCAGAGAGAATTGTTTCCAATGCATTGTCAAGTGACTCAACCGCGGTTGCACATGCGCCTACAGGTGTCTTGATAGGCCCACTAGAGGACAAGAACAACATGTTTATCCATGCTGCGCTTACATTAATGAACGTTTCTGGCAATACATCATTTCGGATCGTCTCATCCTTGAGTCTCTCCGTTTGCACAGCTAGATGAGATTTCAGGCCACCAACACCAGAACCGTAACAATTCCCCACTTCTGAGACGTGCACGTATTTATAAAGCTCATAGGGGTCGCTTATTCCTGAAGATATGAAAGCTTCTGCTACTGTCACCAAAGAGAACAAAGTGATGGGATCAACCTGTGTTATCACGTCTTCCGATATACCGTAGCGTCTGGGATCCCAGCCTGCTGGGATCTGTCCAGCAACAAATCTGTCGAAATTTAGCGCTTTAGGAATAAAGATGGTACAACCCTTCAAAAATCTCACCATACATTGGTTGTTATTGGTCGAATCAACTGGTTGAATTTCTATGTATTCTCCATGTTCTAACTTGTAGTGCTGGGCCAATTCAGAACTCATTTCTACCGGATCTAAGTCATGATTAATGATAACTTCGTGCAGGATTTGCTTTCTGTGGGGATCATATCCACCAAAAAGCTCAGGCTCAACGAGTCTTATTCCTGTGTGCTTTAGAATATACTTTTCGTACTTGTCTTTGATTTGGTACTCGTCAACGACTTCCCCGGTTTTGGCGTCAAGCCAGCCTTTTTTGTTTGTGGATTTGTCATAGGTAATGAGGCCCATTATCCAAGCTAGTTCCAAACAACCTTCAATTGAAAATTCGCCTTTGCTCTCCATTTCCCACCTTGTCCGTGCATTCCCCCAGGGTCCAACTTCCGCAAGACCGGTAATAACGACAACCTTGGAAAGATCTAGCAGCCCGTGCAGTAAGGGTTGGTTAAATTTCTGCTTCAGAATTGAGAAAGGTTGGAACTCTGGGAATTCCATGTTGATGTTACCTTTTGGCTTGATGTGGATAGGCTCTGGTATGCTTTCTTTTCTTAATATTTTGGAGTCGAATCTACTCTCATTTTTCAATGCTACCCTGAGCTCATGTTTGAAATGCTTCTCTCCGTTAAGTCTTGAAACAACAGAAGAAACTGTTGGCAAATTTTGTAATCCACCGTTTAGATCTGCAATGAGTGCAATCTTTTGCGATTTCTCTATGATATGATAACTTAGTAAGCCAATTACATTGAATGCCATTTCATTACAAGAGAATGTGCGCACTCCTAATTTTTCTAGTCCTTCGGCAATGAAAGTGTCGCTATCGTCATTTGTCCAACCATAAACACAGCCACAAATGCTCAATTCTGTTGACCATTCTTCATCACACCATTTGTTGATGATTGATGAAAGGAAATTGTCTTCAAAGTGTGACCTACCTTCATTTATATTTGCATGATTTGGTGATAGTGGCAGTAGGACATGAGTTGGCCTTGTTTCGATATTAAGCTGTTTTTTTGCGTTGACAATTGCCCCCAAAAATCTCAATAAATTTACATTGGTTGATCTATGGTCTAATTCTGCTTGAGAATCGAATTCAAGAACAGATCCTTGACCGGCTTTAACATGGAATGGGAGCAGGAAGTCTATGTCTTCAAAATTTTTGTAAAAATAACTCACAAAATTGCGTATATCCAACTTAGATGCTAGATTTAGTGGCATAACAACAAGTTTTGACCCAGTTGCACCATGCATTTTGAAACATTCTTGAAATTTGCGGGTCGTATCATGATCGAAACGTTGAGTAGCCACATATACTCGGGCGCCTGCTTGTAGTAGTCCCCGAATTACTTCCAGGACCAATTTGTCATTGGCGTCTATAGCAGTGACCATTGCAGTTTTATTCCCAAGCCTAATACCTACTTCACTCATCTTCATCAGGTTGTCCAAATACATTTGAGTGAGTTCCTTATCGTAAACCCATCCGTCGGATACGTGAGACTGTCTCTTCAAATGTAGGAAAGGTATAATACCCTTTGGTATGGGTACGGATTCTGGAGTGTATTGAATATTTCTGTCGATTTCGTCTTCTTCATCAGAAGAAGAAACCTCACAGTCACTAACTATGACATCGTTCTCTTCATCCTTGACAGAAAGAGCTGTTTTATTGAGTGATATTAAGGCTTCATTAATAATACCACGGAAGAACGATGCGACTTGGTCTGAATTTCTGAGGAAAATCAAAAGTTGCTCATATACCGTTTCAAATTGAGCGCGGATATTCGATGGTGAATTTTTAGTAGCTAAGGCATATTGAATAACCTTTGAATAAACTTCGAAAAGCTCCTTTTCAACCTTATAATAACTGCTCATGTCGGTGTTTAGCTTGGTAGAAACAACAGAAGCATCTTGCTCGTGTTTTCTACTGCCTTGAGATATCTCCTTCACGTACTCTGGTAAACTTGCTGTCCTTTTTTCATTATTTGTAACTTCAGTGGTCTCCTGTTGCTCCTGGATCTCAGATATAGGTTTGTAAGAGCAATACCCAGAATTACTGTAGAAAGGAGAGTTAGCACGCTCTTTCAGACACCGCTGAACAATCGAGTTGAAGAAATTCTTGATCTGGGGTTCGAAAGAGTATCGTTCTGTCACGTATTGAACGATTCTTATTGTATCCGAATCTGCCCTATTGACTAAATTATGAATTTCGTCTTGACTAATCAACTCAGCAAACTTGTGGGGATACTTTAAAGTGGTGTAGAGCATTTTCAATATGGATTGTCTACACCAATTCCACGAAGAATCATAGACACGTATTTTGTTTGGAGAAAATGTCTGTGATAGGGATTCGTCTATCAAGTCATTACCAAACTCCTCGCCTATTGCCTCCAGCTTCTTTTTCATTTTTGCGAGTTCATTCTCCAATTGTTGGACTTTAGATAAGTTGTCCGTTACATTTAAGTGTTTAGCTAGCACTTGATGTTGAGCTTTTTGCATTTGAAGTAATTCGTCATTGAACCCATTGAACGTTTCATAATCAATGACCTTTTTCTTCTCTTCGCCATCTTCATTCTCTCCATCAACTTTCATATCGCTGCCGTCGGTTATCAAATGGCAGTCAATGTTTCTGTATTTGGCAAAATTGGCGCAGCACATATCTATAAAGGCTTCGGTCTCCGTTTGATCGTGAAACCTATTCGTGACACTCTGAAGAGATATGAAAAGCAGCAGGGCATTGGAATCCTCGACCCCCCATTTAGCACACAAGTATTGCCTTACAGCACTCACACTGTTTAGCTGTCCTGCAAATTTACGAGGAATGAACTTCGTAACGAGATCTTGCGTCACCGGACCTAAGGTAGATACATCTTCGCAATAGTCAGTTATCGACTCAACTGGCATATCTTCAATATTCGATTGATCGGCCAGAGAAGGAATTTCTTTCAAGAGATCTCCTTTGATTTCATTCTGAAGTGTAGATTTTCCTCCGCACAACTCTTTGAGCGTTTTAGTTGTGGGTAGCGTTTCGAGCCTGTGTGCTGGCAGCTTGCCAACTATAATGCCCTTCACAACAATTGAGCTGTCCAGTTTGGGCGCTCTAGAAAACCCGTTTCTCTGAGCAGCCTGTCTATTTGTCTGTGTTCTCGTTGTTGTCACTGGTGTGCTACGCTCTTCTTTGAGTGCGGGCTTTTCTGTGGCGTCAGTTGTCTGGCTCGAAAGTTCTTCATGCTCCGCTGGCTCATATTTATAGTATATTTTGTCGAGATCCCTGGCTGTCGAGTAAATTTCTCTCTTAGTGTAAATAGAAGTGGCTTCCTCATAGACTTGATTCTCTTTAATAGTTTTAGTTGCCATGTTGGCCAATATTGGTTGAGGTCCAACCTCAATTAGCCGTTCAGTCTGAAAATCTTTCAAAAGAACATCCTGGGTTTCAATCCATCTGACGGGCCAAGCGAACTGATACGCAAGCAACTCGGTCAGTAGGATATGACATAACTCGTCTTCGTTTTCAGGCGACATGATATATAGAAATTGAATACTGTAATCCTGAATTTTGCACCCGATGAATCTGACCTTCAAGCGGATGCTCACTTTATATACCCACGCAGATCCTAAACTAACCCATAGTGTCATTCATACAGCAACGCCGCGTGCTGGGTAAACGATCCAACAACAGGAACCGAAATACATTGCACTGCCCATCGCTTACGGTTCCAACAATGCCAACATTTTTCGTTCCAGTCGTGGGACAATAAACGAGAGAAATGGGATGTTTACACCACGTGACATAAAAACATTTTTTCGCGATTGTATCACGTGATGTTTTCTGAACCGTGATTCGTATCAAAGTATATTTTGGGAAAATTTTGCAGATTGTAAACAAAGCCAATAAGGCTGTAGTGCAGACAATTCAAGCGGATACTGTTAGCTAACTTATCGACGAAACATGCCTCTTTGTGGTTCATCTTCATCCTCAAAACAGCCGATCGAGCGTAAGATAGTAATTTTGGGTGACGGTGCATGTGGTAAGACGTCTCTATTGAACGTTTTCACGAGGGGATACTTTCCTAAGGTGTATGAACCTACCGTGTTTGAAAACTACATACATGATATTTTCGTGGACAATCAACACATAACTCTAAGTTTGTGGGATACTGCTGGGCAGGAAGAATTCGACAGATTGAGATCCCTTTCTTATTCCGACACGCATACCATTATGTTATGTTTCTCCGTGGATTCCAGGGACTCTTTGGCGAACGTCCAAAATAAATGGGTGGGTGAAATTACAGATCATTGTGAAGGAGTGAAACTGGTACTGGTAGCTTTGAAGTGTGATCTGAGGAGCAACACCGACGAGTATGCCTTGGACAGCGCGATAACTCCAGGCAGCATTCAACAGCAACAGCAACAAGAAGAGCAACAGCAACAACAGCATTCTCGTGCAAGTGGTGGGCTTATTACTTACGATGAAGGACTTGCTATGGCCAAGAAGATCGGCGCGCTTCGGTATCTTGAGTGCAGTGCCAAGATGAACAGAGGTGTCAACGAAGCATTCACCGAAGCGGCGCGTTGCGCATTGAGTGCACAACCGAAAGGCGCAAAGGAAAACGGACCTGCTGAAGAGAAAAGCAGCAACGGGTGTGTCATTATGTAAGTTCTTATTCTTAAGGATAATGTCGTGCTACTGTGTATTAACATATTCAAACTACAAAACCCGAAGCAATCCAAATGCGATGGTTGTTTGATGTATTTTATTATTTTGTCCCTAGATTAATATTAATTATTGTCCTCCAGCATATGCTCCAAGTACATGGACGGAGTTTCTTTCCTATCGGCCTTCATGCGCCTCGTTGGGGAAAGAGAAGGGGCGGTGCCTCCTTGGCTGGACTGATTTCTATTGAAGGATTTTTTCTTTCTTTCTGGTGAGGCCGCTCTTTCGGGTTTGTTGAGCTCAGGGTTAGGCTCGAGACCGGAGACCAGGGAGCTTACTGAGTTGTTCATATTTTGTAGTAGCCGACTTCTTCTGTGTTGATTTGAAATTTCGACTGTGGGTGAGATGAAGAGAGATCGTCTGTTCTGAGCTTGATTTGAATCTTGAATCGATGAAAACATCTCTTGAGGTATAGAAGAGCCAGAGTCCTGGGAAGTACGCCGTTGTGGATAATCATCTGCGTTGTCTGAGCCAAGAAGGCGTATCATACTATGAGAATTCGATTTCTTATGCCATGAAGGATTTGAGCCCTTGTATGGGGCATCTTTTTCCAAATCATAAATCTCTTTAGCAGATGAATCGAACCCATTCGAGGCATCGGGAAAAGTGTCACTGATGTGAGAGCGGAACTGCTGATCAATGGATTCAAGACGCAACTTCTGTGTTTGACGACGAGAAATATACGCCGTAGCGAAATACCATATCAAGAGGGCCAAGAATGCTGTGCCAACAATGGCCCCTACCGCAATGAAAATGGTACCCGAGGGCTGGCCTGCAGACCAAATGTTTGGATTTCCTTCCGTTGAAGGAGGAGTTATAGTAGGAACAGAGTAGCTTAACGTTGAAGAGGACCCAGTGCCTGTACTTGTGCCTGAAGTTGATGTTGAGCTTGCTGATCCCGATGATCCGGAATTCGAGGCTTGGGTTGCTGAGCTATCAGCTCCACTGGAAGCAAGTGTTGATGAACCATCCGAGCCTGTGGTTAAACTTGGTAACCCTCGCTTCATTACTGTATTAAAAGCGAGTGTATAAAGGTTTTTTTCGTCTTCAATAAATATGTCCCTGCTTGCAGTTTCAGGTTACTATTTACAATAATCAAAAAATTTTGTGTAAACATAGTTTCTATTTTAAATTCGCCTGTTAAGCCAGGAAAAAAGCAAATGGTCTACATACCACCATTGAACTTCGCACCAGTGATCAGCACAGAAGTGCTGCTATACAGATCTGGCTTTCCGATGCCACTGAACTATCCATTTATCAAGGATCAGTTACATCTTCGAACTGTGATTTATGTCGGGGACAAGGAGATAGCCGATGATTATAAAGAGTTCTTGGATGAACAAAACATCAGCTACCATTACATTCACATGAATTCATGTTTAGATCCCGAGATCCATCAGCAAATGGATAGGGTCTTGAGACTCGTCCTCGATATCGAGAATTATCCAATATTGATCCATTCCAACAAAGGGAAGCACAGAGTTGGCGTGGTTGTTGGGATAATACGCAAACTACTACAGGGCTGGTCTACTACAGGCATATATCAAGAATACGGTATTTTCAGCGGCGGTTTGAAGGGAGCTGCTGACCTTGAATTCATTACAATGTTTAATACCGAACTTACCGTGGATAAACGTAAACTTCCGGATTTTGTCAGGAATTTCGAGAGCACGTAGAGTTGTATATTATCACTGTCGACGACGTGACTCACGGTTCTGCTGCGTCCAGTTTTTTCAACTTCAAAGGAGTATAAAACTAACGTTTTAATGAAAGGAATTCCCAATAATTCAAACGTTGTGGTTTCGCATTAGAACCAAAAATGGCATTCGACTTATCTAAAATTGTTAGGCCAAAAATTTACAACTTGGAGCCTTACCGTTGCGCACGTGACGATTTCAAGGAAGGTATTCTTCTGGATGCAAACGAAAATGCTCATGGCCCAACCCTAAGGGACGTGGGTCCTGAATCTCAATTGCACCGCTACCCAGATCCTCATCAAATTGAATTCAAAACGCGCATGGCAAACTTACGCAATGCAGGGTCTATCTACAAAGATCAAAATATTCCACCTCTGACCGCAGAAAACATATGTTTAGGTGTGGGTTCCGACGAAAGTATCGACGCTCTGATCAGAGCGCTTTGCGTTCCTGGTCAAGATAAGATTTTGATCTTGACTCCAACTTATGGTATGTACTCTATTTGTGCAGACATCAATGATGTGGAGGTCGTTAAATGCCCTCTTGTGGTTGAAGACAACTCCTTTCAAATCGACACCCTAAAGGTGATTGAAACTCTGCAAAATGATCCATTCATTAAGTTGGTCTACATTACATCACCTGGTAATCCTACTGGTGCGTACATTGAGTCTGAAAGACTTGAAGCTGTCCTGTGCAATTGGCAAAACGGGTTTGTTGTTGTGGATGAGGCGTATATTGATTTTTGCTCTAAAGGTGGATCTGCGGCGCCCTTAGTCAATAAGTTTCCTAATATCGCGGTTCTGCAAACGTTGTCCAAATCCTTCGGGCTAGCTGGTGTACGTTTGGGTGTTACCTTCACATCAAAACCCTTCTCTCGTGTTCTTAATGCTATGAAGGCTCCTTACAACATCTCAGGTTTAACATCTGAGCTTGCTTTAAAAGCTCTAGAACCGGAAAATGTTGCAATCATGCAATCAAAGGTGAAGGAGATTGTCAATGAAAGGCAACGCGTACTAGATGCCTTGACTTCCTTGGAAAATATCGAAGATCAGCAAGTGGGTGGGTTGGATGCAAACTTCATATTGGTCAGAATTAAAGGAGGTGATAATGATCTAGCCAAGAAACTGTACTATAAATTGGCCACCGAGTCAGGCGTAGTTACGAGATTTAGAGGTACAGAATATGGATGTGCAGGAAGTCTCAGAATTACAATAGGTACTCCAAAAGAAAATGATATTTTAATAAGGGAATTCAAGAAGACTTTGAGCGATTTAACGAGATAGTTTAACCATGTTAAAAGCTCAGTAGATTCAAAAGATATAGATAAAGTGTGATGCTTTAATTAAACAATGCTATGTATTTCTGCTCAAAAGATATTGGCCAATTTGTCTTTTCGTGTCGATTCGCAGTCCTAACTCCGTTATAGCTGCCACTTCCAAAGTGATGTCCGTATCTTTTGATGGAGCACTCGATTCATGTTTACTTGCCAATTGCAGTTCGGCAACTTCTCTTCTTAGGGATTGAATGACTTCGAATAAGTCAGAATGTCTAGAATAGTCTTCAACAAAGGTTTTCATGACCGAAGAGCCATTCGAAGTCCCTCTTATGCTGTGTAACTTGAGGACTTGCAGAGTTTCTTCCAGTTCACGAATGCACATCCGGACTTTAGCAAGCTTACCACGCAATTGGTTTTGCATCCTACTCTGCTCTAGAGACAAGTCACGAACATCATAAGTATGTTCTTTGTATAGATATTTCAATTGTTCGTATTGGTCTCTTAAACTAAACTGTGACTTCTTGGTCGAAGACAGAGTACTATCCTTGAACTTATTCGATTCTCCGTCTAATTCTGAAATTTTCGCTGACTTCTCTCGTAGTGCTTTACAAATCTTACTCAAGATTTCGTTTAAAGTAGAACAATCGGACATTCGCCATGAGTAATTTTGATGAATGGTTTCTTCAGTTCGCTTGAAATGCACACAAGATTGATCCTTTATAAAGGAACATATGTTGTTGAGGTTCTCCTCTAAAACACTGAGTTCTGCTGTAACCGTAGAGTACGTCGTTTCAATCCTTTGTAAAGTTTCATCGGAACTTTTATGTGGAGTACCCACCACTTTTGCTCCATCATAAAACTCATTCAATGGGCGCGAAGGATTTTGTGTGGCAAGGTAGACTTCATCATTTTCGAAGGTTTTGTGCTCAAAGTTTGAAACCTCTTTAGGTTCAGTTTGAATATCAGCATCCGCAACTTCCTTATATGTTTGGGTTTCATTAGATGTCATCTCTCGTGAAGCTTCACTACCTTTAGGAACTAAAGCCGGCGATGATACCTTGAGTTGGCTTTTTTCTTCATTTTTGACGCGCTCAAGTTCTTCCTTCAAATCGTCAAGTTCATCAAACGACTCGCTTTCGGCGGTACCAGCTCGCTTTTCGGAGTTGCTTGATGAGGCTGGGTTAGTCTCTGAAAACTCCTCGCTGGCATTACTGCTCGAATTTAGTTCCACTTCCTCGAGACTTTCTTCCTTGGATGAAACATTTTCCGGCGGAGAAACCTTTGAGGACACGGACTCTTTCGAAGGGCCTGCATTATTGGGCTCCGAATTGTTTGCGAAAAGAGACTCGGCAGAGTCGGTCCTTTTTTCTATAGGTTCTGTTGTAGTGAGCTTATCACATTGCGGATCAAGCTTCGAATTCAACGTTTTGCTGGCATTATTTTTCTGATTGCTGCGAAACTTGGTCTCATCTGATGTACTTTGGGAATTTTCATTTCGCTGCGATGCTACTTTTTTTCCCAGGTTGGCGAACGAAAAAGATGGAGCCGGAGATGACTTTAAAGCATCTGAAAACTGGAATTGTGGTAACGTCTCAACTTTTGGTGATCCTACGTTTGGTGAAACAGAAGACTCCATAAATGAGCTATCAGATAAATTTGCCGCCTTCTTGATGCGTTCCGTTATGGACGAGTAATCTGTATCAGTTTTTTCAGCGTGCACATCATTTTTAGGGGCCTGTGAAGATTCAGAGGATATGCGGCTATCGCTATCACTGGATTTTTGATCAACCTTTAGAAGCTTGCTTTCGGCTGAGGTGTCTCCAAAACTCGTGACCATATCCTCTTGTGATTTAGTGGAACAAGGCGATTCAGAAGAATCACCATCCTCATCTGAGTTAAGGGTGCCGTCGCTTTCTGAATTAGAGGCAGTGTCGCCCTCTGATAAAGTTTGGGTATTTGAATCCTTTTCTGGTCCAGAGAAGCCCGAAAATGGGCTTTCAGCTGGTTTATGTGCGTTTAGTTTCGAATTGAAATCTGGAAATTCTGACGATTTCTTGGTAGAAGAGAATGGTGACTTTTGAAGGCTGAAGGGTGACTTGCCACTCTTCAACTGACTAAACGGTGATTCCGTATTGGCAAAAGATGAGAATGGTGAATCGCTTTTTGCAAGTGACGAAAAGGGAGATGGTGTCTCCTTTTCATTAAGCGGTTTGAAAAGGTTATCACCGAATGATGGTTTACCAAAAGCGCTGTTTGCGGTTGCAGATGTATCTTGGCCAAATGCAGCCTGTCCAAAATTTGGCTTACCGAAGGTAGACTGCCCAAAGCTGGATTTTCCAAAGCTGGACTGACCAAAGCTGGGCTGACCAAAGCTGGTCTGACCAAAGCTAGGCTGGCCAAATGTTACAGTTTCCACCTTCGATTCTTTTACGGAACTGTCTGAAGTTTTTTCTTTATTCTCTTCAATATCTTCTTGGGCCTTAGGTAGAATGGAGGGTACGCTAGCTGTTCCATCACCACCAACTGGTTTGGAACAGGTTTCTTTTTCTTTCACTTCTTTCGATTCAGAGTTCCCAGGCCCAAATTTACTTTCTTCGATCGAGCTTGACGTAGGAGTCTCAAAAGCTGGCTTTCCGAAAGATGTTGAATTATTTACAGCAGCAAACGCTGGCTTGCCAAAAGGCGTTGGGATAGAGTTTGTACCAACCACTGGTGGTTTATTCGCAGATGTACTTTCAACCCCTTTTTGTCCGAATAGTGGCTTTCCCTTCTTGTCATCAGAGGGGCCGAAGAGAGCATTAGTAGCATTTGATGACCCCGAAGTAAAGTTACCAAAAGGATGCGTTTTTCCTGGAGTACTTTCTACCGTTGGCATTTTGCTCGAAAATGAAGAGTTCGTTTGGTCTCCACTAGGTGCACCGCCCTTCCCTGATTCGAAAGGAGACTTGGCAGCAGTTGAATCGCCGAACGTGGGTTTGCCGAAAGGTGATGATTTTGCACTCTTATTTGAAGAGCCGAATGTTGTAGTACCAAATGAAGGCTTCCCGAATACTGAGATATTAGTTTGAACACCAGATTCCTCAGATGCTGGGTTACCAAACGCGGGTTTACCGAATGCAGGAGTTCCGAACGCAGGACTTCCGAATGCAGGTGTGCCGAATGCAGGTGCGCCGAAAGCAGGCGTGCCAAATGCAGGCGTGCCCTGCGCAGCGTTGGATAGAGACGAGTTCTCAGCCACTTTGGCGCCACTGCTGAACACGGCGTTACCAAATGCAGGCTTCCCAAAAGCAGGTACGCTTCTCTCATCATTTGCAGCGTTGAATGGTTTGTTACCGAACGAGAATTGACCGGACGTAACTTTGTTACTATTGTCATTGGAAACCCCAAACGCAGGTTTTATAGGTTGGCCAAACGGAGAGGATGTGGCTTTAGATGCCTCGGTATTGACCGATGAGGAGCCCGTTTCAACGGCTCCCGTACCAGATAATGGTGTATCAGGATTTTTGGAATCAGATGATACTTTACCTAAGGTATCTTTATCTGAGAATTCCACACCAGAACTAATCTCGACATCATTTCCAAGGCTCTCCTTCTCCTCTGTTAAGTCATTCTCATGTGATTGTGGTGATTGTGATTGGATATGAGTATCTTCAGTTCCTTTTTCGTTTTTAGTGGATATCAGAGATTCGGATTCACAATCTTGGAAGCGCTTTAACGTTTGAGCAGTATCAAAGTTCCCGGCTTTGATCGCTGAACAATGAAACAGTGAAAATATCTGCAAAGTACCTTCGTCGTTCAGTACATAGACCAGCGGTAGGCATGACGCCGAATCAACACCTTGACATGGCTGCACTACATCACCTGAGGTCACAATATCCAACCCAATACCTATGGGGTTTGTATCGTTATCTGTCTCTTGACTAATCGGAAGTACAGCTCTGTCGCTATCTTGGTTGGGTTGTATGACCTCTGTATCATCTACAATCGATAGCTCAGAAGTGCATGCTGAGGTTACAATGTAGAGATGCGGGACTGATGGCACTAGGTCATATAATACCAAATGGTAGTATGTAGGGTCTCTTAAAATAGTTCCGAAAGCTGGAGCGATGTCGAAACTTTCTTTATAGGACACATTTTCTCCATCAACACTAACAAAGTACATCTTGTGGTCATAGGAGGCCTCCTCTTCCTCATCTTCAGGACGAACGTCATTTCCATATACGAGAAGAAAATGGTTTTCGGACATGAAACTGATGGAGACCGGCAGATAATCGTCCTTGAGTTCTTCAGCTATATCTTCAGGTGTAGAGAACCTGGAAATTTCTGTTTTAGTTGCAGCATCATGCAAAATCACAGCGCCGTCCTTTGACCAGATTGTATATTTCTTTAAACCCACGTCAAATGCTGCTATGTCTGTATTGATTGATTCCGTTTGACCATTAAAAAGCACAAGATAAAGAACGTTACCAATTTGAGCGAGAAGAGCGTCAAATATTCCCGGGATCATTTTCACCGAAGATACAACGTCGCCAGGGCCTGGTTTATTGATCGAAAAGGTTGACCACTCCTTATTTTCTAGGTCATAGAGATGTACCGTTCCAGATAAAGTAACGAATATCGACTTTTTGCCGTCTTGTGTGAATTCAGTAAATACAACATCCTTGAGCTCTTTCTCTAACATGATGTTCAACTTTTGTGATTCTTCATCGCCTTCAGCCACAGTAGCATCTCTCAGCGCTTGCAATGAACCCACTATGACTTTATCTTTGGATGCAGCAGCAAAGAGTTTCTGTATGGATGAAATAGCGAAATTTTGCAGCTGAGAGAAGGGTAATTGCTCTTTATACGAGGGAAGCAGCTGCAATTTCCCTAGAGGCTTGAATCCGAAATCCTCTGAGGTGGATGTTGGTAATTCACCACCATTCGATGCCATAATCCTTAGATGGTATTTAGGTCTTCCAGAGTCGATGATCAAAACCGAAACACAGTTGACTTGTTATGCTTGATGAGACAGGAAAAAAAAATTGGCTCGTGCCGCACGATGCGCCCACTTAATATCAACGTATCACGCTCGTTGAGAAATGAAATTAACACACAAAATGACCACGATTCAGGTCATCCGTATTGGTATATACACGATATATGGGAATACTTAATTAATCAGCAACTCATGAGCATAGCTGAGGCTCTCAATCATTGATTTGAAGTTTTTTTGACGCGAAGGAATTCTTTTTTTATTCTGCAGGATTCAAGGGACTAATCTCCGGTAGATTGAGTGCGTTTAGTAGTTTTCTTCTCTCATATTAGTTTACTTAAAAAAGACGTTAGACAAACTGGCTCCCTAGTGAGGTAGAAGCCAAGCCGAGGGGCGAGTGGTAACCAGACCCATTTCTCAAGCAGAGAAGGACAAGGACCAGCCTAGCTTGTGAACTGGCTCGGACAACTTCAAGGCGTCAAAGGAAGCACCTAGACCCAAGTCAACACCTGGTCTCAAAGCTTGCTTGTAAGCCAAAGCGACAATACCGGAATCGGCGACCTTAGCCTTGACCTGGGAAGTTGGGTCCAAGGCGTACTTGGTGGCGAATTCGATGTTGACGTTAGAGCCGGCTTGAGGGTTCAAAGCGGCCTTGGCACCAACCTCCAACAATGGGCTGACCTTTTGGAAGAAAGAGGCAGTGGTCAATTGCGCGTTGTTGATAGACAAAGCGACGGAATAAGAGCCAGCGGCGTAACCTAGGGCAACGGCGTAACGGGACACGGCACCAGCAGCGATGTCATAGCCGACCTCGGCACCACCGACGAAGCCCTCGTGGGCCAAAGTCAAGTCACCGACGAAAGATGGGCCCTTCAACAAGTCGAAGGCACCTCTGGCGGTGAAGAAAGGTTGCACGAAGTTCAAGTTGAGCTTGGCGGCCTTGGAGGTGCCTGGGACGCACGAGGTCACAAGCTCAGACTTCAAACCTGGGGTCAACTCTGCGAGCTCGATCTTAGTGTCGAGCGAGTTGGCAGATGACCAGCCTTGCGTCAAAGTCAATCCAGTGGCCTTGTCAGAGATCTTGGCCTCGACGTTGGCTGCAATTGCGTTGTCCTTAGGAGAGCTCTTACCCTTGACTGTGAAAGCAACCCCGTTAGGGGCAGTGGTCTTGATGTCCACAGCAGCTGGGGTACCGTGGTAAAAGTCGCGGTTGAGAAGACCGTTGATGTCTTTGGAGATGTCAGAGAAGAAAGGAGGCGCCATTGAGTCCGTTTGTTTGTGTAGTTGTCACGAATGTAAGAAACTAATCCTACCACTTGTACGAACGCCGCGAACGCCCCGATCTGTTTCGTGTTGGTTCTTATATAGCGCAATCTCGAGTGCCAATTTCTGTTGGGCCCGTGACGCCCTCACGTGGGCTAATCCGATTTTAGCCCGACGCCCGAATACCCGATCGGACATTTATGCCCAATGAGAAACGAGAAGTCAGAAACGACGACTTTTTTGCCCGGGAAGGAAGAACGGAAAAACCCAAACTGGGGGACGGAAGAAAACAAAGAGGTCCGTGTTACCCGGAGTGAGACACAAACACAAAGTCGAGGAACGCATTTTGGCCGCGACACAAAAACGCGAGAAAAAGGGGGGAGGGATATGCATCGCTTCGTACGTAAGCACGTGCTTGAGGGTGTCCGGGTGTTTTTGGACGTGTAACCGCATGGGACCTTAGCCCCTCAAAGCGCATATGCAGTTAGCGGGCCGCTCGTCACGTGCCATCCTCTGTCCCCCGGAATTTTGCGGCCAGTTGGGCTGTTCCTTAATTTTTCTTTCGAACACCATGAACGGAAAGCCGCCGCTGCTTTCCCTTCTGGGTTTTTGCTAGCGAGATTGCCCAACACCTGTTGTGACTTGCACGAATTGAACACTGCTTTCGCATGGGCACCAGCGGACCAAGTGGATAGAATGAGCTCAGAGGAGGATAAACGCATGATTGTGGAAACGGAGACTGTGCAGACACCGGCACAGAATCTGCTGCCGGTGCAACCTGAGGAAAAGAACGACGAGGAGGCGATGAGTCTCGCAACACAGGAAGAGGCAACTGCCAACCTGATAGACCATAACCCGCTTTCGATCCACAACAGTAACGTGGCGATCCGCAATAAGAAGTCGAGCCTGCTGATAGACTCGTTTTTGGGCAAGGAGGGCTCAGCGGCCGCGCCCGCGCCGGCTGTGGGCGTGAACGCAGGATCGGCGAGCGGTGCGAAGAGCGGCGACGACACGCAGCGGCGCGATGACAAAGTCGATGAATCCAAGCACGACGGAACTGCCAGTTCGGTAGCGGGTCCTGCCAGTGTTTCTGGGGGCGCCGACGACGACCATCACGATGTGGAAGGCGCGCGCAAACCGCCGCTGCCCTCCAAGAAGGCGGACTTCTTTGCAGCCCGGCTGGCGTCGGCCGTGGGCGAGAACGAGATCAGCGACTCAGAAGAGACGTTCGTGTACGAGTCAACTGCGAATTCCACAACCAACGCCACGCCCAGTGTACCCGGGGTACCAGGGTTGGCGATCGCGGAGCAGAAATCGTACGGTATCCCCGCGAAGATGAGCGCCCCGCTGCTGAACAACAACGCCAATTCCAAACTTCTGAACCGAGCCAAGACTACACGTCACACAAGCATCGCAGTGATACCGCAGCAGAGCGAGCCTGTGGAGGATTCCAACAGCATCCGGTCGCTCAATCGCCAAAACGCGCAAGAAATCCAGTCCGTTCGCTCGTACGCCACGCTGTCCAAATCGCCTGGGAAACGCCTGTCGCTGGTATCTCTGGCGCAAAAGGGTCCGCCGCCCCGTCGCACTTCTCGCAAAGTGTCCGTCAACTCCACTGCGCGACGAAAGAAGTCTCAAAAGCGACAGCTGCGCACGACCGCTTCCAAAATATTCGATGCCCATGGCGCATCCCTGCGGCGCTACTCAGGTGTCCCAGACGATGTGAACCTGGAGGACTACGTGGAACAAGCGGGCGGCGAGCTGACCCCCAACAAATTCACATACCACTCGGATTCTGAGTTCGAGGACGACCCGGGTAGTTTTGTGCACCACCCAGAGGACGAAGAAGACAACCACTCCATGTTTTACTATTCGCAGCCTAAAAATGATTTGGAGGAGGCCCGTCCTCCTTTGTCGGATTACGAAGAGGAAGAAGACGAGCAAGAAGATGCACATGCTTATGCGCCCAACATCGGTTTTTACTCAGATGATTATTTTTATCATCCAACAGAGGCAACCCCGCTCAAGAGGAAGAACTCAGCTCGTTACCCCGGCTATTCGCCTCATGATTTTTACACCACCAAGACGACATGGACGCGGTTGAAAAATTTTGTGTATTTTGCGTTTGTGGTATCATTCTTGCTCACGCTAGGGTTCATATCTGGCTTCCTACTTGCCACTAACAAGGAGCTGCATGATTTGGAAATTTCGCGACTCGCGTCTGTGCTAACCAGCACAGACGAGTTGGTGTTCGATATCATAGCCACTGCGTTTAATCCTGGTTTCTTCAGTATTCAGATTAAGGATGTTGAGCTCGACATATTTGCGAAAACTTCCCATTTGAACTCTGACGGAGATAAGAAAGGTACGCCATACGAAACCATTCTTTTAGGCACCGTAAAAAACTTGGAAACTTCGTTACAATTCCAAGGCGGGTTCTTCCATCGAAACTACGACATATCGCGCTCCAGTGTTAAATTGGTGCACCCAGGACTAGTTGAGGAAGATCCTAACCGTGAGGAATTGCGCGATTCGGATGAAGATGACGGCGTGTCCAAGTGGAAGCAACTAATCAGATATGAGTTTGAGCTTATTGTCCGAGGCAACATGTACTACAAGGTTCCCTTTTTCAATAGCCAAAAGTCAATTGGCGTACAAAGCAATGTGCAAGTAGATCCCAATCGCGCCCACAAAAGCGCCACTTATGACGAGGTTTAAGGGTGGGATATGTAATTAAACGGAAGAATTTAGAAGTAGGTACGTAAGCAACTTCAAAGTGTCAGGAGGAGGATTCTCTCATGCTCAAGTGCTGCAGATCATTACAGTTGAAAATAACCTCTCGGAAAGAATTTAAAGTTTCATCTGCTTCAAATGACTTTGACTAAATTCCTTTGTTTAAGGCACTCCAAACGTTAGAATTTAGAGACAACACTTAAACAGAACAAATGAGTATACAAGAATATTCAGACAAAAACCAATACTACCATAAGCTATCCACAGATATCTTTCCATCTGTCAATCTATCTGACTGAAGTTTATCTGGGGCTCACCATTCAAGTCTACCGCTCCGATAATTCGAGAATCATTATATACGTGTCTTTTACTTTTTCCGTCTTTTTCTTTGTTTAGAAATAGATGAAACTGACTTCTAAAAATGTTGAGACTGCAGAAATCATCTTAGAAACGAAAACAAATAAACACTTTAAACGTTGAAAATAAGAGGTTCTGCCACTGAGTGCATCGATATAACACGAACTAGGGACCTTACGACCGGCCTGTTTTGATGATTGAAGGAAAAAGAATGGCCGCTTCTCCAGGCAAGACCGTTGGCGATGAGGAAACACTATCCGATTCCTTGAGGTCTAGATTTAATACTTCGCTACAGAACAGGAATACTAAGAAGCTCCTTCTGAAGATAGAAGACTCTCCTACACAAAAAGTTGTTTTGGCCGAGGAAACCGCAAGGGGCACAGCTAGGGCTCAAAATATGCACGACGCACAAAGGCTGCAACGGTCGGCGACTACAGGCCGTAAGCGCAAGGAAGTCCAGATATACACGTTGTCTAGCGTAGCAAGACCCACAACACCTTCTTCCTATTCTACACCTAATAGGGAGTCTCTTCCGGGACTCAAACGGAATAAATCTCTCCCACTCTTTTTGAAAACTTCGGTCCAGTCGTCTCTCCCTAGCCCACAAGCTAGTGAATCGCCGCGGATCCGTGCTCAGACTATTTCCATTTCTACACCTGGAGTGCCCAAAGTTGGTGGTGAGGCCAGAACGTGGGTATACCAAAAAGAGTCACTGAGCTCTTCCTCGGACGATGAAGGACCTTATTCGTTTTCGGATGAGTTTAAGGATAATGCATACCCTAAGGGTCCGCTACTTGTATGCGGATCAAATATTTTCTTATACTCAGAGCCCACACTCGAGGATGTACTGAAATTCGATGTAGTGGTGAATGTGGCGAAGGAAATACCGAATTTTACCTCAAAACTTCCTTCTTGCAAACGAAAAGATTACCACCACGTGAACTGGACCCACACTTCAAAAATTTGCGATGATCTGCCCTATCTGACAGACATTATTCACCAGGCAGACATCAATAACCGTAAGGTTTTAATACATTGCCAATGCGGGGTATCACGTTCAGCATCCTTAATAGTAGCTTATATTATGAAATATCAGGACTTGAGCCTGAATGATGCTTACAACATGCTCAAAGGGGTTGCCAAAGATATAAGCCCAAATATGAGTCTGATTTTTCAGCTTATGGAGTGGAACGAAAAACTTCGAGGGAAACAACACCAAACGCAAACTCACATGAATATTGATGAGACCAGTGATGGCTTGAACAACTCCATTTGCGACAATAGCTCTACTTCACTCGCTCCAATACACATTTCAGATATTGTATCGCAGCAAAATGTTCAGGATCTCTCCAAACTTTCGCTTTCAAGCCCCAATTGCTCAAGCATTTCAACGGAGAACACACCTTTCACTCCAAATGAATTTCTGGGGTCCGACCCATCCCCAGCATCATCCACAGGGTCAACTAAACTCTCCACTTGCACCAAACCTACACTCTCGACTCCTTATTCCCCTATTCTAGAAACCTTCTCTCAATCACCAGTAGAGGTAGTTGGCAAAAAGTGATGGTAAAAAGTTTAGACAACATACAAACATTGCATTCTTTCTTCTTACCTGCCTCCAATCATTACAAAATCAAGTTCCCGGCATTTTTGACCGTTGATATACCGCCCATGGCGTTATGAGGCTTTGTTATGTCCTATTCAATAAAGAAATTTACGTGCTTCGATAAACGGTTGTTATTTTATCACTTAGGGTTCATTTCGATTAATTTGTTCGCGTTGTAATTATATATCTGCTAGGTAGCTGAATCATTATTTGAATCATTTTTCACGCACGTTGTTCGTAGGATGAAGTTGAAAATTAGCTAAGTCAGAACTACGAACATAAGATCACGGTCAAGTATCACGCAGTATTGAATAGTAGGTAATTACGTTTCATGAGCGATAAAGCAGATGATAAGCTGTCTCCTGGTGAACAACCTCCTGTGAAAAAAAGATCACTCAGCAGCTATCTCTCAAATGTCAATAACAGGAAGGAGGAACTTGAGAAGATCGCTGCTCAGATGAATAAGGACAAGAAAGTACAACCGACAGATGGGACAGCACAAGATAATAATGAAGAGGCAACGAACGCTGCTTTGGATACTAATGTGATTTCTGGGCGGGACCCAGAAATTTTACATAACGTTATTACCGAAAACAATGGAATGGATAGGATAGGCGAATTAAAAACGCAAGAGTCTACTGTCTCTAAGATTATTGAGAAACCTAACGTTGAAATAAACTATCAAATGAAAAGCATTGCTGATCAAGACTCTAATAGAAATGAGTGTATTTCAACAATAGAGAATGAGGACCAACCCACAGATCAGCCTGTGGGCAAGGAAGAAACTGTTAACACAGATGCAGCTATAAAAGGTTCTTTTTCAAGAAATGACCTCAAAAATATGCTTACTCAGTTAGAGGAGAAAAAGCGAGGACTCTCAAAGAGTCAAGAACCCCTGGACCATGCCGATGATGAAGATAGCGAGCTGAGTGAAGTTGAAAGTGATGCTCCCACGGAACCTGCATCCCCACCGCGACCACGCCGTGGCAGACTAGTACGCGCCGACCAATTAAGATCTTCCCCATCTAGGAAAAGTCCTAAGATCCATAGTTCAGACTCTGAACTTTCCGATATTGAAGATATGAACAATATACCTATTTCAAGTAGCATCCTTCATGGAGACTCTTCTCCCGAAAAAGCTCATCAAACGCAGTTAAATTCCTCTCCAGTTACTACATTGAAGCGAGAGAGTTCTAAGCTCAAAAGGCATATTGCTGTTCCTAAGGTAAGCCGATCAAAGAAAAGCGTACACCGAGATGCTGGTGGGAGGACAAGATTACAAGTTGCTTGTGACAAAGGTAAATATGAATTTGCTAAAAAACTTATCGAAGAGGGATATGAGGTGAATGATCAAGACAATGCCGGCAACTCTCCACTACACGAAGCTGCTTTAAATGGCCATTTTGAAATCGTTGAACTACTCTTAAATCACGGCGCGGACGTCAATATTCAATCTTTTGATCCTGTAAAAGATACTCCATTGATAGATGCGTCAGCAAATGGGCACCTGGATATTGTAAAGTTGCTATTGAAACATGGTGCTGATCCAACTATTGTCAACGCGAAAGGATTAACTGCTATTGAATCAATTGAGGAGGACGAAGACTTGGAAGAACATGAAATGGAAATTGTGAAAAAAATAAAACACACGCTTAAAAAGTCTATGCAAACTTATAAACAACTCACTGACAGGCGTGGCATAAGATCCTCTTCAAATCAGCGGTCCCCAGATAGGGAGAGATCGTCCTCTAACGTGCGAATGGAAGAAGAGTTCTACTGGACGGATACTACGTCAAAGGTTGGAAAGGAAAAGCTTTTGAAAGCCTCAAAAGAAGGAAGACTTCCCTATGTGGGGGCTTATCTTGAGAATGGTGGTCGTCCAGATTTTCGGTCTTTTCTAGAAGCAGTGAAATTTGGCCATGAGGATATTGCGAGCATATTTCTAGCTTTCGGAGCTCAAGTCAATATGTCGTCACGTGAAGGACAGACACCTTTAATGATTGCTGTTGGAAGAGGACATACAGGGACTGTAAAGCTGCTTCTAGATGCTGGTGCCGACCCTATCAAACGAGATAAATACGGTAGATCTGCATTGAGCTATGCTAAAAGTAGCGAATTGGGTTTCAAAAACGACGAAGAAATTGATTTGATCAAAAAAGCGCTCAAGAAAAAAACTGGTCATAGTGATGAGGAAGAGGAAATAACTGCTACTCGTAGTCATGATTCCGATACAGAACTGCGTAACGATAATTCAAAACAAGACTCCGAAAATGATAGTGACATGGGGAAAGTGAGTAGAAAGAGAAAGACAGCTTCACCGGCGTCTCCAGCACCGCAGAAAAAGCAGCATATAATAGATTCCACCACCAAGTCAAACTCACAAACGTCGAAAAGCACTTGGGATTTTCATCGTAGGGATGGTGTGTCTTCTAATTCAACTCCAGCAGATCGCACCGCATCGAAGAAGATAAAACGGGAAAGCTCACCTAGTCCTGGGGCTACTGCAATACCACATAGGAGCCAGTCTGCCACTCCCATAACGTCAGTCACGCCCAAACCTGTAGAGACGGCAGAGGAAAAGGAGCAAAGGCTGAAAGCCGAGGAACAGTACCGCATGCGAAGACTACTACACAAGAAAAAGAAGGAACAAGAATTACTTCAGAAGCTTGAACTTGATGAACAGAAACGTCTTGAAGATCGTAAAAGACAGCAAAAGGAAGAGGAATTAAAGCTGGAGCGTGAGAAACTAATGGAGGAACAGAAACAAATATTGCTACGAAACCAGGCAGAGATCGAGCGCCGCCATCGTATTCGGGCGCAGTATCCGTTGGGGCTGAAGCTCATTGATTTTGAGAACAAGTCAGACTACCAACGCTATTTACCTCTTTACTACGTTATGATTGACGGTGTCAAAAGAGTGCTGGATCTCCAGATATGTATTATACTGAAGGATACAGACATAAACGAAAATTTTGTGGACAAGATCGAAATAACGTTGCCGCAGAAGGAACAACTTTGGAATGTTTACCAATTTATATTTTTACGTGGGGGAAACGGCCCTGGTTCCAAGTATACCACCGACTTTGACAACTTGCCATTGGAATCTCGCATTAACATTAAAAGAGCAGAGCTAGCAAAATTCCTTGCATTACCGCTCCATTGGATCCCTTGGGATTTGGTCAGTATTCCCAATGAAAAAATGAAGGGTCAAATACAAGATAGCATGATTCAATTAGATCTCCTGGATTTTTCACGTCCTCAGGCGGACCAACGCGTCGGAAGTTCGGTCCCCACAAACTCTGCATTTTCAACTCCACAATTAAAGGAGGCATTGCCATTACAGTTTCAGAACAGATCCGTCATTATCCAGTTCTTTAAGAATGCTTCACCACAGTGGTAAGCTTGTAACTCTATTCATAAAATAATACATAATATCAGTTGGCACTTTCATGTTATCACGTGCATAAACTTATTATTTGCTGCATTCTGATTGGTTTGTTTTGTTCCTATTGGAAGGAAACATCCCCGGGCTTTAAAAAAAAATTTTCCTGAAAGCTGGAAATATCGATCGAGAGTGGTGTGCTTTTTACCTTATATTATATCATTGGGATAGATCTCAGAGACCGTTTCATTCAAAGACCCCCACGATAATAAGTATGTGATTATTGGTATAAACTATTAAGATGGCCTTCATACTCTCGTTGAGGTACACACGCTTATCTTTTCGCATCAGTAAACGGAAGTGATTCCAAACAACCTCCGAATGTTAGCCATTTCAACATTTCCACAGGCAGTTCAGTAGTGTGATCAGTAAGATGAATGGCTTATTGCGACTTGATACGTGCTAGCTATGGTGTGTTTTGAATGCGAGCAAGGAAGTGGAAGGTTATTGTCCGAAAAACAAGATACTAACTTTATTACGAAGTGTTGCGTTCTTCTTTTACCAGAGTCGCTCGTGTGAGCCCAGCCAGATTTGCCCAAACGCAGGCTATTTCAAAAGCTGCCATTGTGGACCTACCAAATAGATGGGAGGACTTGCCAGCTTCTGAACAACAAGACATTGTCACCAAGTTGACTGACCGCCAAAAGCTACCATGGAAGCAAATGACAGAAACCGAGAAACAGGCCGCTTGGTATATTTCATATGGTGAATGGGGACCAAGAAGACCAGTGCATGCCAAGGGTGATGGTGCCTACATTGCCAAGGGTGTTGTAGTGGGCTTGGTTGGTTCTGTTGCCTTGTTTGCTTTAATTAGAAGCTTCGCTGGTGAACCTCCAAAGACTATGACCAAGGAATGGCAATTAAAGTCTGATGAATACTTGAAGTCCAAGAACGCTAATCCATGGGGTGGCTATTCTCAAGTTCAATCCAAATAAGCATTTTACATTCCGCACGTCTTTTTCATCTATTCGGGGCCCTGAGTGCATATTCAAATCGATGTTATGATCATTATTATCATATTAACGTTATGAAGTTGGCCAATGGTGGCTTTTCTTCTCCTTTTTTTTTTAGAAAATCAGTTCTGATCATTTAGACATCAAAACTAACTATAACCTTATTTAACAAATAAACACTTGACAGTAATAAAGTATTAAATGGATTATGTGAGCTTTGCTTTATGTCGTAAAACTGTTGCCTCTCTATACCGTCACAATGAACGTGGTACAAGATTAGGAAAAATTTTGCCGATGCTCATCTTCAATGATGAGGGCATCTCTCAATATTGACACCAATTATGTCGTTTCAATTCGGCTTTTCAAATGGTGATCTAAGTGATGATGAGTTAAACAATTCTGAAATCTCAGCACAACCTGTTCAAGAGAGTAACGCGGCTCCATCTCAAGTCTATGTTGGGCGCACATTGCTCGATTCACCACATCTTCAATCGAATGCAGTCAAACAGCCAAATTGGGAAAGTTTGGATGCGATTTTACAAAGCTTGAAAGATGTTCGATTATCCTTTGAGAAATTTTCAACGCCCCAAAATCAGGTCCCAATTTATAGAAGAGAGTTATTTGATGTCAAACACCAACTGATGACAGAAGCAGATGAGTTGACGGGATCTGAAGCAAAGGTTGAACTAGAAATCTTGATGGGAGAGACAAACGAGGACGTGCGCAAAAATGTCTACGAAGGTGGTTTAAAATCCTGGGAGTGCTCAATTGATCTTGTGGATGCATTGGCTACATCTTTGAATAATGAACAATTACCAGATACCATAATTGAATTAGGCTGTGGTACCTCTTTACCAACAGAATATCTCTTCATGAAACTACTTGAAAGCAATTGCCCGCCAAATAAAACAAACTTCATTTTATCCGATTACAACGAGTCAGTTTTACGTCTTGTAACAATTCCTAATTTTATCATTGCCTGGGCAAATATTGCCTTGACTGCAGAGCAAAGATCTGCGTTACAACAACAGGGCGAAGAATCGTTGAATCTTCCCGATGATGAACTGTTACTAACAAGTGATCTTTTATTAGCTTTCCGGGAGGATTTATCCAGAAGAAACATCAACTTGAGTTTAATATCAGGAGCCTGGAGTCGAAGATTTAATGACATGGTTTTGACAGCTATCCATCCAAATAGAAATCTTTGGATATTATCTTCGGAAACAATATACCAGCCTGAAACGCTACCCGTTATATCCGAAGTATTGATTGAATTACTCTCACAACATAAACAACAATACAAATATTCAGCCAGGGCATTAGTGGCTGCCAAGGACATTTACTTTGGAGTTGGCGGAAGTATCATCGAGTTTCAGCATTACATTGAGTCTAGAATACGAGAAGATGCTCTAAACCTTTCCATGCAAATTTTGAAAGTCAATGCAGGGCTAAAAAGGTCCATTGTCGTCATTGAATAGCTTCCGTACACTTTTAGCATGTTTGTAATATTTGTTCGTGTGAATCATTCAAGCGTGTGAAATGATCTCGCTTCGATCTCGATTTCTTATATTTGATATGGAAGATGAATAACCTATTAAGAAACAGTTAAAAGATATCATCGTTAGGATGAGTTCTTCGAATGAATTGGAAGATTTCGAGGCATTGCTTGAAGAGAATTTTAACGTATTTCAGTTCTGCAATGATCTTTTGAAGGCTACCAATCGCAATTTGGAAAGTACAGAATTGGATTTCAAAACTCCAATGAAGAAAGTCAGTTACGACTTAAATGAAGTTAACAAAAGGATTAATAACATTGTTAAAAGCAACCCATCACATATAATTAAGCAAATGGATGAGCACAAGATGTCTCACGAATTGGTTCATAAATCCTTGAAACCAAGTCTCGAATATTTGGACATGTCATATGATCGACTAAATGACGAAATCATAAAACCGTATGAACATGCTTTGCGCGTACAATCAGCCTTGAGCAAGATTCACCAGACTTCCAGTATTCTCAGAGATGCACTCATATTTCTACATTTGATGCGTCAAATTACAGATGCCTCGCCATTGGTAGAAAATGATTTCAGTACATTTCAAAACGCTTTGAAGCTGGCCTCACTTCATTCACAGATTCAGAAAAATCTCAGTGGGAATGCCAATTTAAGGTCGTTGCGTTTAATAAAGAAATATGATGCGGAGGTGATCTCCGTAAACCGCCAACAAACACTAAGATATATTTCAGATGCCTTCACTAAAGAGTGTCTCAATAATTATAGAATCAAAAACAATCCAGAGAACATTGAAGTACTGGGTAATGCTCTATTTACACTTTCGCAAAGGGATTATATTAGTTCACTAGATAGAGCTATCATATCTAAGGCCCTATCCACGAATCAAGTGCTTGGAAAGACAATAACATCCATTAGAAGCTTTTCCACTGCTATGGAGGATGCATCTAAAAATGGTGAATGTATTCTTCATTTGGAAGAATCTTTACGGCGTGTGCCAGTCAAAAATTCTAACTTAATGCAACTATATCTATCTCATAAAAAAGAATCATCTCTTACTGAGATATTTTGGTCAAGAGTCTCTAGAAGTTTCAAAAAAGATTTTGAGATTTCATTCAATCGAGGGGGACCTGTTGGGAAATCTTTATTAAACAACGCTCAACAAATAACCAATGATATCAAGAAAAACATGGCGAATTTGGGTGGAGACGACAATGGTAACAACTTGAGAATAATGTTACAAGCTGTTTCTATACTAGATCGACAAAATAGAAATTAGATATGATGCATAGTTAATAATACAAGCTGCTAAACAAATGTTTAATTAACAACTTTCTGACGGTTTGTAGGTTTTGTGATTGCGATATTTATCGGTTCTTTCTTCTTGTTCTTTTTCCCTCCACGTTTGTGAAACTTCTTCTTGACCAATTTCTTTACCTCTTTGAGGATTTCTTGACGCTTTAGTACACCCAGAGCACCCTCTTTCTTGGCGTCCCGTTGCTTCTTTCCTGGTCTCCTTCTTTTTTTCTTCAATGCTCGCAGCCGCAGAGATTCAATGTCTGCATTGCGCTTATTTAGATCGAGAATCTTTCCGTTAAACTGTGGCCATTTATTGAGACAACAGCCTTGGTTTAACACAAACTCGTAATCAACAGCGCTTGACAAGAACTGCTGACGCTCTTCATCACTAAACTTCGAAAAATAATAGTTCAGAGGCCGCTCTTGGACAAAACGCTCTGGATCTGGCTCTCTGAGGGAAACTTTCATGAGACTAGAGGGAGAAATGTCTTTTGAACTGTCAATAGAAGTAGCAGCTACTTTGTCATTACTCATTTCGCTAGCAGTTCCGAATGAAAAGAGCGGAAATTCGAATTCATCTTGTTCAGACGTCTGCTTTCCATTTGAATCGTCAACGTCTGGGTTAGTTTGTCTAACTTCTACAAACTCGAGGTTTAGATCAGGAACGTACACCTCATCGACGTCATCGGCAGGTTGGCTGAAAAGTTCATCCCTTGACGCGCTATAACGATGTTAGTGCTCTTTTAAAAATAAAATCAGGAAACTAATAGGAAAATAATGAAAAATAGATTGACATACACCTTGTAATCGGTCATCTTCTGCGACCTCAGCAGTAAAGCAGAACAAACCAGCTTTGTCCCTCTCGATATTTTAAAGAAAAAAAGAATAACTACTATACTGTCAAACGACACGAATGTCGAAACGAATGTTAAAAATAAGCATACTGATACGACATAAAACGTAAAGCCGATCATTAATATCATGACCATGGGGTGCTCAACTAGAATGTTAAAGGTTTGATGTTATTTGGTATTCGAGGTAAACTCACTTTTAAAAATCAGATGTAAATACACAAACAAAGCCTATATCTGTGACAGCCGAATGTTGGTACCAATCTAGCCAACTCCCACAAAAAGTTCAAGCCATTCGCAATTATTTGCTTATTTTCGTCTTCGTGTTTTGCAAGAACTCACGGTATGATTGACTGTTCAATATCTTGTCCTCTACTAAGGAACTCGAGGCCCACAGTCTTAGTGTGGCAACCTCTCTAGCGGAAGCATGGTTTACTGGCTCGCTCAAGGACGCACCGCGAACAATGTAAAGTGATTGATAAGTAATGATATCGTCATGCTCTCTGATTTTCGCGATGATACTTCTTACTCTGGTGTTGAACTCGGAGTTGTCAAGAGTTGGTAGTTCTTGTTTGCCTATTGGAATGTCCAGAATGTCTGGTGTACCAAAAACATCCATAGTTAACTCATTAACCGCATCACCACCAACCCATAAGAACAGCTCACTGCTGTTATCAATCAGGTACAAACCATATCTTTCCAGTAAAGAGGAAGTGGCATTGATTGGTTCTGGAAGGACAATTTCACCCTCTTCGTTTGGCAGACCTGCTTCATCAGGCATGTCATGCAGCGAGTAAACCTTTGCATAGATATTCTTGATCAAATAAGGTAAAGGAATCGATTCCAAGTTGTTTAAAGCAGCAGCCCTATGATCGCTTGGAACAATACCAGCACGGAATGCCATGTGCTTGGTCAGAGAGTGCATCAGCAATGGGAACATTCTGAGATTAGCACACAACCTCAGTGGAGCTCCACCAGCTGTGTTTGAAACGACGATTTCCTTCTTGTAGGTGCCTAGAATTTCTTGCACTGATAGGTTTAAGTACTCTCGTGACTCTTCTAAGTTTGTGTAAGCCTTCTCCACACCCTTTTGTGCAAAGTATGCAGTCATGGCAAGCTGGTCAGCTGATGCATATACTTCGGCCAAGGAGTCGGTAGTTGGGATTGCCAATGTGATGACGCGAATTCTACGTTGGCCGGTATTCAAAGATAGCAATATTGCAATTTGCAAATAAGCATAGTCGCGGACTAACTGTTCGTCAATGCTAACTTCAAAAACGTAAGACTGGTCCCTAGGGAATGTAGGGAAGGCACATAAATCAGAAGACCTGTTAAAGAAGTGGCCGTAAAACCTGGTCATACGAAGACCCGAAGATCCACGAGCTCTCATAACTGCTTCCATAGACAAATCCATCGAGAGATGCTTGGAGAACTCTTTGGTAAACTTTGCGACATCTGTCAATTTGGCCGCAGACCAACCTGGGTAGAAATGAGTTTGCCCACCTGTGAAACGAGGTAGATTTGACAAGGAAGCAACGTCCATATAATCCTCGGACGCCAAAAATAGATCGATAGTGATCTGGTTCTTGTTACAATCTATAGTAAAGTTTTTGTAGAAAGAATCCTGGCAACTCAACAATTGGGAGGACTCCTTAGAAGTGTTTGCGACACCAGCTTCATTTCTTCTTTGTAGCTTACCAATGCCTATATTTGGTAATGTTGAAGAAACAACAATAATCTTACCACCAATACCCTTGATAAGATTGAATGCTGCCTTGAGCGCTGGACCCAGCGCAAACTTGGACATAATGTTGTATTGGAAAATTTCTGGCAACTGCGTCAATAGCTTCTCAATGTTGGCCCTACATCCATTCAATGGAACAAACATTGAGTTAGGCATAGGTAGGAACGGTTCATCCAAATCTACGACATCCATCATCTTTATGTTTTCGCTATCTTCATCAAGTGGAATAGAGAAATAGTGGATGGAGTTGTCGACGGCCAGAATAGTCACCCTAGTTCTTTCATCATGGTTCGGAATGCTGTCCAAAGTTTCCAGAATGGTTCTGGCAGCAGTGGCTAAAAGGCCATTCTTAATCGCATTTTGAGACACGTCAAGAACAAATGCGTAGGATGAAGGTGGTGGCTGTCTAACAGCATATTCTTTAGGGGCCAAGTATTCCATAACACCATGTTGAATTTCGTTTCTCTCGTAACGGTTAACTGGAACACCTTGCTGAGACATATCCAAAGCCATGGGGACATCATTAGCTAGGTTACAAAAGTTACACCGCCATCTTCTGCCGCCGTCCACGAAAGTAACAAATGGATTCAAGTACGAACGACAACGACGACAACGAACAACTAATCCATCGGTGTTGAGTGGGACCGGATTGACGGAATCCTGAAGATGCTGGTATGGTCTAATAACAAGTGCTAGCGGTAGCTTGGATTTCTTCAAGAGTGAGTTGGATTTAGGTACCGCGTTTAAAGTACATCTAACAAAGTCAGAAGAAGCGTTAGCAGTCTCAGTTGGCACAACAAACTTCTCTGGCTGCACCATTAATGGTGGTGGTGGCAATGACAGATCAGAGATGGGAGGAGGTAGCTCGGTTAACAAATCGATTGGATATAACTGGTTCATGGGTCTTCCCATGGCAGCGGGCTGGCTGAAGGCCGCCGCAGGACCTGCGGGTTGAGGTGCTGCTTGTTGTACGGGCTGTTGGTAAAAGCTGTTAGGATCGACTACCGGCACATTGTGCAATTGCATATTGCCCATCGATTGTGTAGTCTGATCAATCTGCATATGCAATTGCTGCTGCGCAGGTGTCATGAACTGCGGTTGTTGATTCGTAACCGGAGTGCTCACCTGTGGAGGTACATTGGGCGACGCTATTGGTGCCTGTCCCAAAACGCTTGCTCCCGCTCCATATTGCAACTGGGCCTGAGGGTACACACGCTTCTTATGATGAGACATTCTCGTTGTCCTCTTTGCTGATTGTTTTGCCACCTTGTTCAATAAACTGTTTTGAACGCGTTGCGAGATCTTAAAAAAGAGTGCCGGGTAACATCTATAATTTGATGATTTCAGACACGTGATATAATCCAAGGAATTGACACGTTCCCTTCAAATCGAACAGTCGAAATTATCGAGAGCGAATAGATCATCCACTGAAGAGGAGTTGACAAGGGTTTAGCCACTCTATCGTTTGTGTATATCTTGAAAGAAAGCAGCTTTTGCCTCTCAGAAAATATCGTGGTGAAATATGGGAGATCTAGTGTTTTTTAACTTGCAGGATGGAACGGAAGTACATTCCCCCTCTTTGATCGTACATGGAAAATGCTCTTCTAAGTCCGCTTCATCTGTTCAAGTACAGCATCCTCAGCTGCCTACATTAGAGTATGAAATCAATTCGAATGTCTTCAAATGCTTGGTTCAATTGACCCCTGGTGAAAACAGGCTGACTTTTGTGACGAATAGTAACGTGGCGAAGACGGTGACATGTTCATATGTTCCCCTACTACAAAATTTGCCCGTCCATCTCTGCTTGCTTGTTGCCAGTGACTCACCTATGGTTTTCGATTCACCAAAGTCGCAGCGAGACCGTGAAGGAGGAAACAACCTCGACTTGGCTGTGCGCAAACTACGCGTGGGAGCCCGCCTCATGCAGACCTTTACCAACGAACAAATGATGCGGAATGGATTTGGACAGCGTACCTTCAGGTTTGTAGAGGAGTATGGGTGGGATACAACTTTCAGACAACCTCAAATGGGGAACAGAGTCAAGATTCATGTCATACGCTCCTCGAAGTCCACCAAAGAATTGCGTGATCCCAACATTGCCCAGCAAAATAAGGACGCTAAAGATGCAGGTGGACTATTTGGCATTGCGATGAATGATTTGAAGAGCTATGGCGGCCCGTTCACCAATAGTGAAAAGCCTGTGCAAGCTGCTGTAATGTTTTTAGATACCCATTGGGACCCCAAACTGGACCTCATTACCGCTCATGCTGCCTTAGGTGGAGGAGATGGCGATATAAAACTGGCCATTTTCGGATCCCATGGATTATTTTCTTGGCCAACTTGTTTTGAGGATGTGCCAAGATATTTTTCAGACGAGACGAGAACATCGAAAAGTGAAGTCGCCAATGATTGCAACGAATGTGGGACTCATTGGGAAACTCTTACAGTTACACTAGGTGCATTTATGCATGAAATAGGACACTTGTTAGGATGCCCCCATCAGGAATCTGGTGTAATGTTGCGCGATTACGTTTGCTTGAATCGTTCATTTTTGACTAAAGAGGCATTCTCTACCAGGACAAACTCATATGGTGCAACTCCTCCAATCTATCCCCGTGAAGAATGTACTTGGCACCGCCTGGATCTGGTGAATTTTCTATACCATCCTTCGTTTACACTTCCCCAGGATTTTTACGATGCATCCTTCATGAGACCCGGTCGCATTGGCAACTTCAAGGTATCTGCTCCCTCTATTTATGTTTTACCAAACAACTGCTGTCTCTTAAAGTCAGAAACGGGAATATATTCGATTGAAATCATCTGTGGAGATTTGGCAAGAGCTGCAATCGAGTATCTTCCACAATCTCTTGGTGGAGCAGGCCCTCAAACAGAGGTAACCCTATCACTAGACGATTTGAGGGCACGCATTCCCCCCGATTTCTTACCTCAACATCGTGATACCTTCACAGTTAAAGTAAAAGCAGTTAACTCTCCCGATACAGAGTGGAATAATTTCCCCAAAGTTTTGCAAGAATCTTCAATTGCTATGGAAAAATATGGCTTTCCTTCTGGAACAAGTGGTCTCAAGTCTACTCTCTATGGTGGTCAAAATAGAGGTGATGATGTTGGAATTGTGCCTTTTGATGGACGTAACGTTACAACTCTCCGCGTATACTATGGTGCTGCGCTCGATGGAATAAGATTGTATTTAGGCAAAGAGCAAGGGAATTCGGGTGGAACTCCTGCCGTTCCTCCCAGAACATACATAGGAAAGATAACAAATGCTATCAATTCAATGAAAATTCAAGAGCCTGATGGACCAAGTATACTCTTCGGGAAGCAAACAAACAACTACTCAGACGTAGTAATGGAGTCTGGCGAATACTTGGTTGGATTTAATATCAGAGCTGGTGCTTGGATAGACGCCTTACAGGTGGTTACCAGTAAAAATAGGGTTAGTGAATATTTTGGTAATAAAAATGGAGGCGGACAGCACCAATTAATACCACCAGCTGGTCAATACGTATTGGGACTTCATGGAAGAGTTGGTCAATGGGTTGATGCTCTAGGTATAGTTTATGGTGCCTTATAGATCATGTCATGTCATTAAGAGGTATATAAAGTGCCTGTAAAAGATGCATATACATATGAAGGAGAGTTTTACGTCTGACTGCGGCTTCTTGACATCTGTGAATTTGCAACAGTATCGTCTTTCAATGTTGAAGTCTTTAACTTTGCCAGCTTTTCATTCAACTTGTCTATTTGAATCTGATAACTGGATGAAGAAGTATGAGGAGGACTGGAATTTGACCGGCTTTTCTCCTCAGGAAGGGATTTCCCTGGTGCTTGTCGAGACAAAATACTAGAACGTGGTTGAGCCAGCTGGGATCTTGCTGTTGGTCTGCTGATCGATGTTCCACCCCCTACTGTGAAAGCAGAAGGAGCCAATTTTGCCAAGCTCGAAGAGCTTGCATTATTCGCCAGAAAATCACCTTTAGTACTGGTTGGAACATGTGGCGCTGTTGGAATGATGGAGTATCTTCTTTCTGCATGAACAAGTCCAACTTCTTTCACCTTCATAGTGTTCATTTCACTTTGTGGGACCTTGAAGAAGTGATCTTTCTCCTCATCATACTCGTAGAGGGACCACGTAACGCCATAGGGCCTAGGCTCTAAACAATATACGCAATGAAGTGGAACATCCAAATTTGCAATGATATCCCTACTCAGATTCAAGAAATATCCAAGTAACACTCTTGCAACCACACGGTGAGTGATGATCAGAACATTTTCCTCGATTCGCTCAATTTCAGTAATAACAGGTCTTAGCCGGTTAATGACGTCCATGTAGGATTCACCTCCAATACCTGGATATCTATATCTCAGTTTATCATGCAACCTTTCTTCAAATTCTTCAGGATATCTAGCTTGAATTTCAGCATAAGTTAATCCCTCGCAATCCCCGGCGCTTAATTCGTCAAGCATTCGCATTTGTTTGTTAGGATAGTCATCTTCATTGAAAAATTGACCCGTTTCTACTGACCTTTTCAGCATTGATGTCCAAACGAAAAATTCAGTAGCATTAAAGCTATCCTTGTCATTAGAGTCTGATTCAGCATAGTTTCTCATTTCTTTTTCTGTAAATAAAACTCTCTGTTCATCAATGAACTTAGCAAGAGCACGTGCATATCTTAAACCACGCGGGGTCAAGTCCGAATCACCTCCAATTTTACCTTGGACGTTAAATTCACTTTCACCATTTCTAGTAATCCAAATCTGGCGGTCCGCCAGGTTGAAATTAAGTAGATAGTAGACAGTTTGGGACGCCAAAAACCCTTGAATGTTGTAGGAAATGACTTTTTTCCCCACATCAATCATCTTGATGTATTGCAAATTCTCATCATCTTCCACTGGTTCATATGCTTTCATGTAATTTGATAAACGCTCTTTGAAATCTTGAAGGGATTTTTCAGGGTCTTTGCCTTTGTAGTCAGGCCCAAATAATTTAAGTTTAATGTTCTTCTCCACAGTAGCCCTGTTGGAACATATGCTTTCTAAGTAAAGAACTTTGATTTGTGTGTTACGAGCGTGAATCTTTTCAAGCACCTTTTTACGACGCAATCTAGTGGAATTTGTCGCATCAAAAATTCCCACTGAACCAGGTCCGTCTAAAAGATAATCTAATAATTGATCAAGTGTATCCATCGCCCATTGTTCCCTCAACCTTTTACACTCGGGGTTATTAGGATCAAAGAATTTTGAGTCCTGGTCTTGAAGTCCATGATCTTTCGCAAACTGACGCCGCGTGTTACCCACATTGAACACCTTACAATAGTACATGGAATAGTTTAGAAACCGCGACAGCTTGTTGGTAATGAAAGACTTTCCCGTTGCAGGCAAACCCACCATAACAATTACTAACTTGGATCCAGGATCATCCTTGGAGATAGTACCGTCTGGAGATGTCTTAGATTTAGTCAATCCTGGTACGTCGATTGTCGTGGGACGAACTTTTGGGTGCATGAATTGACCACTGCTGGGCGAAAGGGCGCCATCAGCATCATTGCGGGGTGTGGTAAGCAATTTCAGGTTTGTAGAGCTTCCCTCAGGGGACACAGTGGGAGTGGTCTCAGCGGAACTGTCTTGGGAGTCGCTTGGAGAGTTCCACTGAGATGTCACAGGGGTATCACTCAATGGACGCTTTTGAAACTTTGGCAATCCATCATGGTTATCATCTTCATCGTCTGATGATCTGTCTATCTTCAAGCGGACGTGCTTTTGATGATGCTTCGGCCTATTGTTATCTAATGGCTCAACCTCGGAATCTGAACTTGATATGATAGCACTCTCAGAATATTCCACTGGTCTGAACATCAGTTACAGTTCGTATAAATATCTGGTATCGTTACTAGCGTTTAGAACCTATCTTAATGCCAATAGCTCTTACACTTTTGTCCCTATACCTTAAGTGAAGTAGGGGAAGCCCAAATTTTATGAGAACTGCACTTTCAATTATTGCCACGATATGAAATAAGAAGCGCCAAAGAACAAGAGAGCTGCAAGGGTACCATTTTTAACCTAATATTAAGCGCACAACATACTATGGTATATCTGTGATAATTCAAGGCCTATTTGCCCGCCAATCGAGTGCTTTGTTGCGTGGAATAGAACTGAGATCAGGCACGTGAGATGTTCCAGAACTGTCAAATTCTTCCGTATAAAGCGAGAGAATCAAAATGATAGTCGAATGGCACTCAATCACATAACGGGGTTCACCGAATGTTGAAGAAGAGCTGATACAATCAATATGTAAGCAAAGATGTTTGTTCCTTTTGCTACAATATGTTTTTTCACAGTAACAATGATCTGTCCTGCTATCCATGCAGTAGTGACGAACAACCGGCCAGCATTTAATTGCACATCTTGGGCGCAGCTGACATCTAACGAGAGTGCTGACTACGAACGAATTAACTTGATGAGATGTATAGAATTCAACTACAACAAGCTATTGAACTCTACCGTGGCCGTAGTTGCGTATCGTGAACAAGATGGGTTGTGTATTTCTGTGCCGGATGATAACTATAACTCGACAGGAGCTTGGGCCAAGGCCATAGCTCTGTCGTGTTGGAAAGTCCATTATGTTGGGTCTTTTAGCTTGATTGGACCATTATCAGAATATGATATTGGCCTGACCAGGATAGGAACTATTGTGGAAATAGGTCACGGCACTTTAAACTTGACAAGTACTAATACGACGTCGAGGTCCACTCCCACACATCGAAGTTTTTTTACAATCCAACCTACAACACTGCAATTCATGCCTCACCATTCGAAGCTGATCTAGGCTATTGCCCTGACGGACCTCTTCTAGACAACACGACACAGGACAACGCTAGAAAGACCCAAGAACTGAACTAACGGAACAACTGCAGGCGCTAACAATGCGAACGAAGGACTACCTCATAGAAAACCAAGTAACCATGGAAACCTCGAAGAATGAGGGAAGAAAAGATAGTAGGTTCAAAGTTGGAGAATGAGTCCTATTGCATAGAGATTCACACTTCACAAAAACAACCATCCCAAGACGGCCCCGATCTATTTGGGACCATACCAAATAACGAAATTTGTGAACGATAACGCTTACGAATTGAATATCCCCAACCACCCCATTTTACACAAAGTTGTGAATGAACAATGGCTTAAGAAATACATACACCGATCAAATGAATACAACAAGGCAGTGCCAACATCTTCCCTAGAAAAGATCCTACGTGGATCAGAGATATTGGAGGTTATCGGATTCGACACGTTGAACAAAAAATACTTTTGTAAATTGAGGGACGTAGACCCCACACTAACAGTTGAATACGCCGAACATGAATTCAACTCTATCCCCAGTAGTAGAAGGAAAGAATTGCTAGACCACTTAATCAATCGCTCACATTCAGAACGTTCCAGCTGGAGGAGGGGGAAGATGTCATGAAACAATAATATCTTGAGGTACCTCGGAGATACCAAACTGAACCTCAAACATAAGGGAGGATCGATACAAGCTCCCAATCTATAGCTATAAATTTTACAAAGTCCTGAGGATACAATGAGACTAAATAAGAGAAGAACAAGGACTAAGTAGAACTCATCTCATTAGCTTCAAGACCGTCATAACTAGTTACGACATCTACGAATATCGCTGCATAAATATAAGAATAGTAGGGATTATTATTTAGAATGACAATAATTAAGGACTTAATCTTTACCGATAAATTTATTATCCCCGCCGACCAAACATTGCATTGCCTGAAGGTAAATCTCAATGTACCGTTGGAAGTTTATGCTCCTTCATTGTTTGCCCTTTTAGCTCACCGAAACATTGAACGCAATCACGTGATCAAAAATGAATCTTGCTTTTCAAGGAGCACGTGATATATTGCCTGATCGGGCAAAACACAAATACAGTTCCTGGAATGCACTGAAAGAGAATGAACTCTGTCTAGAAGGAGGAAAGTCATTGATTGTACTTGTATCTCAAGGAAACAGCAGGGAAATGTCGTTTCTACAAAATTTGTAAGTATATTACACGCTGTGGAAAGTAGCTTCTGCTAGTAGTTTGTGTCACTAACATGTTCAGCCATCTAAGCCCAGGGCAAACAATTCGATCGACGCGAGGCTTCAAATGGAACACCGCAAAGATAAATCAAGATCATATGAATTATGGTGTGAGTGATACGTCAGCGCAGTTATTCTCAACTCCACAAAAAGGCCAGCAGCAAGTGGTGACCGATTTCAATTATAGTCCATCCCATCAGAAACCATACCTCAGCGTATCGCAGGGCACTGCCGTGTCGTCGCACAAGGACCTAAAACAGATCGTGGAGACAACTTTAGGGTCAGAGGGCGTTCTGAATCAAGCAGTTAAGCTCCCTAAGGGAGAGGATATCAACGAGTGGATCGCTGTCCACTGTGTGGATTTCTACAACCAAATCAATATGCTGTATGGGGCAATTACAGAATTCTGCTCACCAGAGTCGTGCCCTCGCATGATTGCGACCAGTGAATATGAATATTTGTGGACCGTTAATCCAGGCTCACCACCGGTATCAGTCTCAGCTCCAAAATACGTTGAGTACCTGATGCGGTGGTGTCAAAACCAGTTTGACGATGAGACGGTGTTCCCTTCCAAACCTAACATACCCTTTCCTGTGAGTTTCATCGAGGCCCACGCGAAGCCAATTCTTAAAAGGCTCTTTCGGGTTTACGCACATATCTACTGCCATCACTTCAACGAAATACTGGAGCTTAGTCTGCAAACAGTCTTGAACACAAGTTTCCGGCATTTTTGTTTATTTACTCAAGAATTTCAGCTATTGAGAAAGCAAGATTACGGACCACTCATAGAATTGGTGCAGGAGTTAAAAGATAGGTAGTTAGTCCTCGAGTAGTTCAGCATCTGGACTAATTTTGGAAGTTTTCATATATAGTTTGATGGTGTTTAAAGTCAATCATAAAAGACGACTTAAGGTTAGCCGATATTTCAAACTTATTTACAATTAGCCACGATAAATAAAGTAGCCTGCATAGTTAGAAAGCAAGATGCCAGCTAGCAAAGTGTTCACAGTCATCATAGGGACACTCATGGCGCTAATGGTGATATGGGGGATTCTTACGCGTCTAATCCCTCATTTCCTCCCTACGCCGCCCGTGAAATGGAGACTAAGGGTTAATAATGCAATTAAAAAAGCTAACAGCGTTGAGAATAAAACTCCAGTTATGGACTTCGGCTGGAAAACTGGTGCTGTTCGGCGCCAAATGATCTTAGCCTCGAGCAATCCTTCTGATTACACAAACAAGCGATTTGGGAATGCTATTCACGTAGGGAAAACCGATAGAGAAAATCGTGAAGCCTTTATCAATCGTATGGTTCCACAACTGAGATCTTACAAGCGTAATATATTTGGTTTTTTTCACCCATACTGCAACGCTGGTGGCGGCGGTGAGAAAGTACTCTGGAAAGCAGTCGAATCAACATTGCAAAAGAACCCTCAAGATGTTGTCGTAATTTACACCGGTGACAACGACGTTTCAGGGCCAGAAATTTTGGCGAATGTCTATAAAAGATTTGAATATAAACTCGACGAATCGAGAATAGTATTCATCTTCCTGAAACGAAGGTATTTAGTGGACTCGAAAACGTGGCCTAGACTTACTCTTCTAGGACAAGCTCTTGGGTCTATTATATTGGCATTCGAGGCATTATACAAACTTCCGCCTGATGTCTGGTGTGACACAATGGGGTATCCATTCACGTACCCTTTTATACACTGGTTCGCAAGTATACCTGTTATTGCTTATACACACTATCCTATAATCTCATCCGATATGCTCGATAAGCTGATACTTTTACCAAGCTTCAAATCCAGCTTGAAACTTAAGCTCAAATATTATTACTGGAAACTATTCATGCTGCTATACAAGTTTGCTGGAAAATTCGTTGACGTTTCCATAACTAATTCAACGTGGACGAACAATCATATTAAACAAATTTGGTCAACGGGTTCATCAAAAATAATCTACCCACCCTGTTCGACAGAAAACCTCGTTTTCAAAGGAATTAAAGAGAAGTGGACACGTAAGAATCGTGCTGTTGTAATTGCCCAGTTTCGTCCCGAGAAGCGCCATGAGCTAATAATTCGTTCTTTCGCTAGTTTACTGGATACTATATCAGTCGAGCAACGAAGCAAAGTTCCTCAGCTCATATTGATAGGTTCAACAAGGAGTGATAAAGACCGTGAATATGTTGAAGAGTTGAAAAAATTAGCCTATGAAACATTGAAGATTCCTGCAAACCTGGTTGAATTTCATACCGACTGTCAATATGAGCAAATGAAGACATTCTTGCACACTTCTTCCTACGGAATTAATGCAATGTGGAATGAGCATTTTGGAATAGCTGTTGTGGAATATATTGCATCTGGTCTTATCCCACTGGTTCACGCCTCTGCTGGCCCACTTTTGGATATTGTAGTGCCATGGGACTCTAAGAGACGGGTACAGGCTGATCACGATAGCATCTACAACCGAACGGGATTCTTTTTCAAAGATCCTAGCGATCCCGATTATGGAAAAAAGGACTATGAAACATATCCTACGTTGACCGATCTTTTCATCACTGTTATCAATTTGACTGATGATGAAAAATTACAAATTAGTCAAAGAGGACAACAGTGCGTCTTGAACAAGTTTTCGGACTTGAGTTTTTCACGAGCATGGAATGAAGTTCTTGAAGAAATTGAGGAGATTGAGCCCGAATATGCCAAACGAAGAAGCTAGTTGTGATAGATCTGACTTAAACTCCCAATCACAAGTCGTTTAGTAATGTCAATAAAGTGAAAATGATCTTTTACGTTATATTGTTGTAGAATATGTAGTTGGAATGTTCATTTTTGATTTGAACCATGTCTGAGAAAATAATTTTGTTTTTGTTAATGTTACACTGATTTTACAAAAAGAACAGTAAACCCTTTCAAAGGCTGTTTTATTAATTACGTTTTCCACCACTTATGCTATTCCTTGGGTAGTGCATATTTCCGCTGGCGGTTTCAATGTAAATGTTTCCGTCGTATGTATGCTGGACACCATCACGCGACGTTCTTGGAGAGTTAGGGGAATTGATCCTCAACATGTTATTGTCATACTCCGTCTCAGGGATAGAAACAGAAGTATTTGTATTGGTTTGATTATCCAAATTAGGAGTAGTAAAGTTGCTCTGCCCAGTCTGACGTGGTGTAGATGTCAATTGCTGTGGAACAGGGGCTCCATTTACGTTAATGGGTACATCCCTCTTTTTGGGTCTTCCATCAGCATCCAAATTCAGTCTGAGAGTAACAAATTTTGCCTTTTCATTGGGATTAGAAGTAGAAGTTAATTTCTTAATGTCACTGAACCAATTCATCATCGAGTCATACGAATCCGCCCTGAATACCCAGTTATGGCCCCTGTGTATGATACCATTTTGTTTTGCATGTAAAATGAACTTATGCTCAGATGATCCCTTCTTAGAATGTTCAGCAACAGTACAATCATTCAAAGATAGAGACATCACAGGTACAAAATCCTTTTTTCTGTCAGCCGTTTTGAATTCATGTAAAAAGCTCGGAGTCAAAACATAGAACCCTTTTGAGTAAGATTTCAAAAACTTCGATCTCCTTTCCAAGAATCCTGCTCTAACTTCATATGCCAAAGGATCGGTCTGATTCTTGTAAACAATATCCCGCACATGCCTCATGGGTAGATCGGGTTCGATAAAGTTAGGGTCTTTTGCTATAAAGTTATCCCATTCAAAAATTGGCTCTTTATTGAAAAAACCTGTATCAAGTTTTGAAATGAGAACATCGAAGACCAGTTGAGCGTTTTGGCCTAACAAACGAGCATATATCGTAAGGGCATTTTGGATTTCCATCACAACAACTTTTTCAAGCTCTTTCCCAGAACCTTGTAAATTGTTGAAGGCCTCATGTAAAAAGTTTTCTTCCGTTATTTGCTTTCTGATTTGCTTATCTAGTGCAATCTTTGCCAAGTATGGATCATTCTTTGCAGAGCCATAACGAGCCCCTTCTATGGCTTCCTGGAAGATCTTCAAATCTTGCTTTGTTTGCTGCAGTTCTTTGGCACATGAATTCTTGAAATCTGACTGTAGTGTCTTTATTTCTTTAATTTTTACCACCAAGTCCCGTCTTAGATCCTCGAGACGAGGAATGACTTCATTGGCTAGTTCTTTTGAGGTTCTAGATGCACTTCCAGCCATCTGGGAATGAAACAATGTCAAAATGCTAGGTAGATCTTGAACAGACCCGTTGCCGAGTGGTAGAAAGAACTTTTGTATGGCTTTCTCTTCTGCGGACGTGGGCTGATGCTGATTTTCAGTTACAAAAAATGGGAAGTTCACGGCGTGGGCCAACCTTAGTTGTTGTCTGACAATTTCATCCTGAATAGAAACAGTCTCGGTCAGGTAAACGAGAATTGACCTTATGACGGCTCTCCATGCAGCAAATCTTTGTGCTAAAACTTCCGTAGGATTGGCAGAGGTTGGAATGAGAACCACCAAAGGAGAGCGTGGATCTTGTTGTTTGCCTGCTCTTGTAAATTGCTGAGACAGACGTGGCCTATTGGTGGTCGATGCGCTTGTTAGAGAGGAGGCATGACTCTTTTGATGCTGGAAAAGGTTCTCCAAGGCCTTGTTGTTGGCTGTAGTAGTAGTTGTGGTTGGGGCACCTGGAGACAAGACTGAGTTTAAGGTTCCACCCGGCCCTTCTGTTGTGGAGACATTGTCTACCGGGTAAGGGGTCTGCTGTGGCAGCGTGTGGTTATCAAAAGCGACTGACCCCACAGGCTGGTAGAAAGTTTGTTGGTCATTCGACGTCAAGCTCTTTGTCCCCTGTTCTAAAGCCTGCAAATGTTGCAAGTTTTGTTGTTGCTGAGACAGCACGTCTGACATGTTAGAAGTCATAGTGTTGTGTTTCGACATGATTGAATGTGCTTGTTTTTAGATTCTTGTTATGAAAGAGCAAACTCCTTGAAATTTTTTCTTCAAGGCTGCAGGTCATGCATGGAAGGCTGACAACTTTGAAAGAAAACAACTTAAGAATTGAAGGCAAATGGTGAGAGAAAATGCCAGGGAAGACCATCCCAATAGAGTTAGACTGCGCAGCCGACTTTCTTGGAAAAAATTTGCTTCGAAACGATCCAACTCCAACGATTTGACGTCTAAAAAAGATTCTGTCCCGAAAACAAGCACTCGAGGACCTTGGACTTTAGTAAAAAGACTGACGAAACCTCGACCGCACTTGGCTGAAGGGCACGTAGATGGGAGAGATGGAGGGATAACCGCTAGAATTGTGTACGGAGTCGAGCTGTCTGCCACCACGACCGTTCTTGTGTGCTTCGCATTGCTCATTGTGTATCTGATCATTAGGGAACTGGGCGCGCTGCTGCGGGACGTTGGACTGACTGCTAGGCATTGCACGACGTGGCAGTTTTGGACGATGCTAATAACGGGGAAGAGCAATCCCGTCGTGGCAACTTTACAGAGTTTATCCCAGCAGGCCTGGCGATTTCTTTGGAGCGTTGGAAGCTAACATATCACGGTGGGAACGACATCTTTACCTACATACACGGAGCTTTACCCATAGTCGGCATTACATCGAGCCACAGCGTAGTAACACTGTATAGCAATCCTAGCATAGCATCAAAACTATCAAATGCGACGTCTGGCGCAACACTCATCAAAAACTCTCAATAGACAGAATCCAAGCTTCCTTTGCGCATCATGGATTTTATAGACCATAATTTGTGATTGCGGTGAGTCTCAGCTGCGAGGTCCCTTAAGACAAGAGCGCTCGTTGCGAGAGATGTATATGCTCACATAATCAGGTCTCGCTGAGGCCTAAAGAGCGTGCAGCAGCACTCTGATGCGCAACCAACTGCCAGCGACGAGTCTGAGAGCCGCAACCGCTTCTTATGTCGTGTAGAGCATGTCACTTGACTATAAGTTTGCTCAACTTGCGTGATGTACAGGCACTTTAAAAGAAGCTTTCGTACCTGTGCGCATCTGCGACAGAGTTCCGGCAAAGAAGCTTTCACCGCACAATATAAGCTTCAGTTCACGGCAAATCAATCCTCAAGCTTTGCCGCTCAATAATATTTGGCATATACGTCCTCCACACCATTTTCTTCTCTTGCCGTTCGGTACACGGCTTATTCATTGTGAAGCAAATCTGTGATTGCGAAGTTCCGCGCGCATTACGAAAGCTTCCATGATCTTTTGAGCAGAACGCCACATTCGCCACACCTGCCAAACTTTGGTGCAGATTCTCGTCTTTTCGCTGCCGTTTTACGTCCACTTATCTGCGTCTGCTCCGATTCCGCTTTTTGATCAATGATGCCGTCTCATCTGGCTTACCGCCGGTTTGCCTTCCTTTAGCAAACTGGGCTAATATTATCCTGTGGTGTCTACTACAGGTTAGCCGTGCGGCAAACATGCAGCCAACAGAAATGTGTCAATAAGTGATTCCCCCGTCTTCCTCTGAGCCAAGTAAGTGCTTTCACGCAATGTTGCCGCTTCCAAGCTCGGACACCAGCAAGGCCTTTTTTTTTTACCCTACACGACAGTTTTGATGATTGAAGTTTGAGATTTGTCAGAGTTTCAGACTAAAATTTATGCTTGTACTTCAACGTGCTGTGAATTCGTTAAGGAAGTACACGAGCAACATGCAAATCCGTAATCTGCACAGTTTACTCCCTCCAGTATTGGAAAAACGCCGTCCAAAAGAAAGCCCTGATGTTGACTTCTCAACGTTGTCCAATTACAGATCCTTCAAAGTGGGCAAATCATTACTTGATGCAACGATTTCATTTACTGAAAAGACTATTAGTGGTCATGTAGTGTACGAAATGAGTAGCATACTAAAAGAACAAGAGGTTTGGCTTGACACGTCACACTTGGAAGTTTCCAAGGTGGAGCTGGACGGACAACCAGTAAAGTTTCATGTGGAACCCCGCAAGGAGCCCCTAGGTTCACGACTGGTCGTAGCTGCAGACAGGGATCTTCCTGCTACATTTGAGTTGAAATGCTCCTTTTCAACCACCAAAAACTGCACAGCACTCCAATGGCTAGACGAGCACCAGACTTCGGGTAAGCCTTACGTGTTTTCCCAACTGGAGGCAATCCATGCCAGGTCATTGTTCCCTTGCTTTGACACACCATCAGTAAAGTCTACGTTTGTTGCGAACCTTACATCGCCACTCCCTGTTGTGTTTTCAGGTATCGCCACCGGGCGCACCAAGGACACCTATCATTTCACGCAGAAGGTGCCAATTCCAGCGTACTTGATTGGTATTGCGTCCGGAGACTTGAAAAGTGCCGATATCGGTCCACGGTCGAAAGTGTACACTGAACCCTTTAGACTAAAGGATGCTCAGTGGGAATTTGATGGCGATGTTGAAAAGTTCATTCAAGCTGCAGAAGACATTATCTTTAAATATGAGTGGGGTACTTACGACATCCTAATTAATCCTAACTCATATCCCTATGGTGGAATGGAATCTCCAAATATGACATTTGCAACTCCAACTCTGATTGCTCACGACAAGAGCAACATTGACGTGATCGCACACGAGTTGGCTCATTCTTGGTCCGGGAACCTGGTTACTAACTGTTCGTGGGACCATTTCTGGCTAAACGAGGGTTGGACGGTTTATTTGGAAAGGAGGATTACAGGTGCAGTCCATGGGGAAGCTACCAGACATTTCAGCGCTCTCATAGGTTGGAATGATCTTGAAAATTCGATCGATGCAATGAGAAACTCTGAAAGGTTTTCGACTCTAGTTCAAAACTTGAAGGATGGCACTGATCCCGATGAAGCCTTTTCCACTGTTCCTTACGAGAAAGGGTTCAACTTGCTATTCTACTTGGAGAATCTGGTTGGAGGAAAGGAAGAGTTCGACCCCTTTATTAAGCACTACTTTGCCAAATTTTCCCGTCAATCTATAGATACTTGGCAGTTTCTTGACACTCTGTTCGATTTCTACCCTCAAAAGAGACAGCTTTTGGACTCAGTGGACTGGGAAACGTGGTTATTCAAGCCAGGCATGCCCCCCAAACCCAAGCTCATTACCACTCTTGCAGATGACGTCTACAGATTGGCAGACCAGTGGATTGCAAAGGCCCAAGTTTGCCACGACCAAGCAGCTTTCTTTAAGCACTTTTCTGCGGAGGACTTGACCAAGTTCAACTCAAACCAGATTGTGCTATTCTTGGACACTTTGGTGCAAGGTGGTTCTTCAGAAGATTCGGAGATAGACTGGGCGCAGAACAAGCCTGCAGTTCATGCTTTCTTGTCGATATACAGTGATAAGATAGGGAATTCACAGAACGCTGAAGTCATTTTCCGCTTGTTCCGTTTCCAGATTCAGGCGAAGATAAAGGAATGCTACCCACGCTTGGCAGAATGGCTTGGCACTGTAGGAAGAATGAAGTTCGTGCGTCCCGGTTACAGACTGTTGAACAGTGTTGACAGGCCTTTGGCCCTAGCTACATTTGACAGGCTCAAGGACACTTATCATCCGATCTGTAAAGCTCTCGTGAAGCAAGATTTGAATATTTAGTGGTTATCTGTTTTAGATCATTGAGTAGTCGTACTTAAACATAACACGTCTATAATGATCTCAATTCCTTTGTGGTGAAGAAAAAAATCGGTCGAAGCGTGTTTCTTTCAAGTAAATCCGGGCGTAATAAAGTACAGACATGAATCAACTTGCACAGATCTCAGTATGTGAGGCAAAATAGCTGTGATGACATTTGGAATTTCAGCTTTAGACCTATTTCGAAAATATTGAAATGGTTTTACTAACTGTTAACAGCAATTTTCGCGCTTTGCTGAAAGCTTATCGATGGACCGCATCAAGGCGGAGTTTCAATCCTTTCAGGGCAAATTATCCACTCTGCGCCCACCTCAAGAGTTCTTCAACTTGAAAAAGGTATCCAAGCCTCAAAACTTTGGCGAGGTGCAATCCAGAGTATCTTACAACTTGAGAACATACTCAACAAATTACGCCTTGATCGTCAGTTTGCTCAGTATTTACGCACTGCTAACTAACTTCTTGCTGTTGTTTGTTATTGTTTTTGTGATGGCTGGTATTTTCGGCATCGGCAAATTACAAGGCCAAGATTTGGTTACGCCTATGGGTGTCTTCAAACCCAGCCAACTTTACACTGGGTTACTTTGCGTTGCTGTTCCATTAGGATTTTTGGCCTCACCATTTTCTACATTGATGTGGTTGATAGGAGCATCCGCAGTCTCCGTGCTCGGCCATGCTTCTCTAATGGAAAAGCCAATCGAGACTGTATTCGAAGAGGAGACTGTGTAGAAGGTTAGAGACAAAAATGCTGTGTAAATTAAGAACTGGATAAAGTACTCTATGTATTTATATCTAAGTATGCTCCTTCGAACTGATAATTTGTCTAGAAATGCGAGTAAAAAAATTATCGCGTTTATCTCGTGTAGAGGACAGCCATTGATAATAATTCTTGCAAAAAGAGTGCGAACGAGCAGAGTAGAACCTACTGGCCAACAATGAGTGGGATGGATGATGCTCGGCAGTCGAGGAAGCAAATCATGGCCTCTCTCTTCGGTGCTCAGTGTACCGATTGGCCCTTTCCAGAAGAATCTCTTACGCAGGCGCTCGAGTTCAAATCACAACAGGAGAAGACAAAACAGCAATACTACAGGCTAGAAAGCGTTAACAAATCTATTGAATTACTTAAAACTGCCATGAATGCCAATGTCCCCGGGCATATGATACCACAGCTTTTTCAGGGCGTGGGAGGAGATCTAAATCCAACCCAAGATTCCCTACCTACAATCGATAAACTCCCTCAAGTGAAAGTTACCTCGAAGGCAACGGACTCCGCTCCGCTTAACTATCGATTTCCAGCCCCAACGAAAAATACGGTTATTGATACGCGGCATAGAAGAACTAATTCACCGGCTAGGATAGGCGCTGCCGCAGTTGCCGTACTCACGGAGAACAATCATCTAAAAGAGGAGGAAAGCGCGGAAATTCCGGAGCCCAGTCGAGCAGAACGTTCCCCATTACAACTCCGATCCCACAGAAGGAATCTTTCTCTTCCTATTGCACGGCCTAACGCAGTTCAACCGGATCACCCTATACCCTATACGGGAAGGAAGCAGCAACATGCTATGACATCTGTATTAAATTTTGGATCTTGGCAGAATTTCAGTCCACCTGCACCAACGATTGCCAAGAAGCCTACTGGTGTAATAAGAAAGCATCGTAAGACCAAGTCTGCGAATACAATTCCTACATTTGGCGTGATAGATTTAAACGTCATTAATCAAGTAAGGTTACCTGAACTATCCAAAGACGATCACTACCTGCCGCATCGTAATAATTCTGGTGAGAATAAAAATGATTCGGACGATCAAAGGACCTGCAGCGAACATAGTAGTAAAGAAAGCACACCATTGGCACAGGTGTCAAAGGGCCCAAACTTCGCGAATAATTTGCTCAATAGCTAGAAATTCTATAATTTAAAGATACTCTTTCACATTCTTACTCACGTGGCCGTTTCATTATTCTGCAAAAATTCTTGCTCTGCCAAAAATTCTATTTCTTGAATTGTCATATTTTCCCAACTAGGTTGTCCGGTCTCTTCATCAAAACCTGAAATGCAGTCAAAATCAATGTCTTTTTTTTGGACTTCATTTAATTCTTTTTTCAATTGCAGTGCTAAACTCCTGATAATATTTTCATTCCCCTCTGCAATAAACCATGCACAAAGATCATCTAGAAGTACTCGATTATAGACATAATAAATGTCATGGAATCTGAAAACTTCGTGGATATCCAAAAGGGCCTGTATGATAAGTCTCTTGCCGCCTCTAAGGATGTAATATGCAAAATTCCAGGCTTTCATCGAGAGATCGTAGTTTCTATGCAGCGTGTAGCTCAAACTTCTTCTTATAGCAGTTATGACAATGGCTTTTATCATTGAAAAGCTTTTTAAGTCTTCATTTAGAAGAATCTGTTGATCTAAAAATGACATTTGTGGGGCAAGCTTACCTATCGTCCAGGCTGATTCAATATTATGAGCACCTTCATTCTCCATTTGCTCGAAATTGTAGGCGAATAACAACGATAAAATAGTTAGATAAAGAGGTTTTACATTACTCACCACGTAGTGTTTCTTGGGGATATTTGATTGCATCTGTTCTTGTTCAACATCAGAAAACTCTATCGACATGATAGCATCTTTGTTCTCCGCACGCTTATACCATTTCAGAAATCTCTTCGCTAGCGGAGGAACGTAAGCTAGAAGAGTCTTGATTCCATTGATCTCTAAGTCATCTTTATTCCCATACTTTGCGATCATGTACTCTGATGCGTAGTATTCAGGATCAAATTTGAGGCTTTCTTTTCTTAGTCTTTCTTTCACCCGGTCGTTACTATCAGTCTTTTCTGGATCATCGAGTTCGTTTATATCATTACCATTGGCAACAGAGACTCCCACAGCAGAATCATATTGAGAGTCGAATCCGTATTTTGCATTTAAAAGTGTGGACGTATCAGGGTTTACGGTTTGCTCAATTTCCCAATTAATATCAACATCTTGGTCTGGTTCACATTGCGAACTGGAACTTTCCCCAATCTCTTGGATGATAGGCGCCTTAGAGTTTTGGGAGTTTTGGCTATTCCCAAGTAAATCCGCACCAAGTATATCTCCTTGTCTTGCCAGGAGTTTAGTGGGTAAGTCCAAGTCTTCAAAAAATTGCCCCTTCTCACTTTTCGGAATTCTAATATCAATTAGTTCTTCTTTGGATTTGTACTCTGCTTTGGCTCTCTCGTCATCGACCAAAGCATGTGGAAATCTCAGACGAAGATAATATGGCGAAAGGTGAAAAATGAACAAATTCTCATCTACAACCATTTCCAGCGCTGGGGAATTAAATCTGATGTTAGCAATGTGAATTTCGATCAAAATGAACTCATCATTTTGGGTTACGGAGAATTTTGGAGTAATCATCCTGCTTGGGATGTTCTTTTCACGAAGAGCGATGAAAAGAAAGGAGCAAATTTTTGAAGAAAAATAGATGCGATGAGCTCTTGAAAAAGATACCCAAAAACCAAAAAGATTGAAATCAGATAACTTAGTGTTAAGATGAGTAGTGAGAGCGTTTCCAGCACAAATGCTAAGCCAAAAAGAAGGTTTGTTGGTGCCAGAAAGTTGAATGAACCATCTGTATCATCTGCAAAGGAAGGCACAGAAATCGTTCGCCAGTCAAGACCAAGAGTCAACATCAGAAGGGCTATTAACCAAATTCCAGATGAAATCTTACAAAATAAAGAGCTTAATGAGGCTATCAAACTGCTACCTTCCAACTATAATTTCGAAATCCACAAAACCGTGTGGAACATCAAAAAACATGCTGCTAAGAGAGTCGCATTACAAATGCCAGAAGGCCTGCTAATATACGCCTTAGTCATCAGTGATATCTTGGAACAGTTTTGCAACTGTGAAACTGTTGTTATGGGAGATGTGTCCTACGGAGCGTGCTGCATTGACGATTTTACTGCTCGGTCTTTGGATTGTGATTTCATAGTTCATTACGCCCACTCTTGTCTGGTACCGATAGATGTTACCTTGATTAAAGTTCTTTATGTCTTTGTTACAATCAATATAGATGAAACTCATCTAATCAAGACTTTGGAAAAGAATTTCGCAAGAGGATCAAGAATCGCAATGTTTGGCACTATTCAATTCAATCCCACGATCCATAGTATAAAGGAAAAGTTCCTCAATACTGAGCATTTACTTTACATTATTCCACCACAAATTATGCCGCTATCCAAAGGTGAGGTCTTGGGCTGCACTTCTCAAAGACTCGATAAAGAACAAATAGATGCGATGGTATATGTGGGTGATGGACGGTTTCATCTAGAGAGTGCAATGATTCACAACCCCGAAATTCCTGCTTATAGATATGATCCATACAGTAGAAAATTTACCATCGAAAGGTATGATCAAAAGCAGTTAGTGGAGCTGAGATCTGACGCTATTGAAAAAGCAAAAAGAGGCAAAAAGTTTGGTCTAATTTTGGGTGCTCTTGGGCGTCAAGGTAATTTAGCAACAGTTAACAACCTGGAGTCAAGGCTCAAGGAGGCAGGTAAGACTGTGTGCAAAATAATATTGAGTGAAATTTTTCCTCAGAAGATCGCCCTTTTCGATGACATAGATGTCTTTGTTCAGGTAGCTTGTCCTCGATTATCAATTGATTGGGGATATGCTTTCAACAAACCGTTATTAACACCATATGAAACTAATGTTCTTTTGGAGAAAGATAGAATGTTCAGCGAGAAGTATTATCCTATGGATTACTATGAAAAGGAAGGGTACGGCCGTGGAAAAATTCCCTCACATGAGCATGTCGAAATTTAACAAAATATATACTTTTGATATTATTTAATTGATGCCAACTAGAGTTTTAAAATCATCCTCTGAAAAATTGAGAATGGATTTGACCTCCTCATTTTGCTCTGGAAACAAGTGCAATAATATCTGCCTGAATGCGAGATAGAATTTTGACAAATTTTGGAAGCATTCAGATGAGACATCATCCGCAATTCTTGGAGAAATCAGTTGAGAAAGTAGATTATCTTGAACGTCAGTTAAAGCAATCGATAAGTAATCATTAAGTTTTTCATGCACATTTGAAGAGATTTTGTCTAGGCTCATAAGTGGGTTTTCAACTAAAGACAAATACATGTCAAAATCCAATTCGTCCTGTATGGAGTCCACAGGGAAAATCATGTTCAGTAAATTGCTATAAAGACTCAAACCTGTTTTTTCAAGTAATGCAACATTCTCAAAGTCAATAAGCTGCTTGATAGAAGAGTTCAATTGTGTGGCTATTTTATCATATGCGAATTTTGTTTGATCATCTGCAAAAATGGTGCTATGGAATGGAAGCAACCGAGACTTCACGACATCGAAACAGTTTATTTCGGCTATTAACAGGGATGTTTTCATTGATGGATCTTTTTTCGCGTTCGGAAAGCTCAGCTGGAGCTGCTTCTTCAGGATATTATCCATAGGGTCGAGAAGCGTATTCGTCAAGAAATTATCGTTGACAATATTATCAGAACCTTCTCGTAATCCATTTTTCTCATATTTGGTCAAGAACTCACATAATCGCGACATATATTCCGAGAGCCATTCAGGTGGTAACAGATCAGAGCCCACCTTCACAGATGTGTTCACATTCTCGAGGTATGAAGTAAATCCCTTGACAATTTTTGCAGTTGAAATCGAAATCAGGTCTTCCAAATTCTTAATTAAAGAGCCTTCTTCCAATATGCCATATTTTGTAAACATCATATGATATAGTTTTAGTAATTCGGCTATATCGAAATTCAGCAACGGATTATCTTCAAATCTGATAATTTGTTCTAACCGAATTCTAATAGAGTTTTCGAGAGGACCAAAAATTTCGTTTAAGATCCTAATGTCTAGGCCATCCAGAAATTCGCTGTTTTCTTGTAAGACTGTAGAAGGAGTATCCTGCAAATCCAAATTCTTGAACGTAAACATAGATTTAACGAATTCTGCTTCGTTAACTATTAAGGAATGAACGTATGCCAGAACGTCACCCAAATACCTAACAGGATCGTGGGCAGACAAAATTATTGGCCTTGAATTTTTAGTATTGTCAACATCAAACTGGGACAGAAAGTCATCCAAATTTCTTTGAGACCTAATACTGACAACTTTCTTTAAAAACTCGTTAAAGTATTGTAGATCGTTGGACAGATAAACCAGACTTTTTTGAAACATAATTAACTGTTTATCGTTAGATTCGAAAGCCCTTTCGCCAAAAGCTTTTGACATGGATTGTAAATCATACAGAAAATCAACAGCGTAATTGTAGATTCTTTTACTCGCGATTTCTAAGTAATCATTAACTTGATTCAAAAGAGTTGTGCCTGCCTGTGGATTTGGAAGTGCCAATAAGAAGGTTGCGCTTTCCTTTATTCGCATGATTTTATTTACAACCTCATAAAAAAAATCATCAACTTCAGCATTTTTCAGAGCGTTATCTTCAACTTGCGTTAAAGTAAATTTATCCCGGATATATGTAAGAACTTGCTTTTTGGTTTTTAAGATATTCATTTGCTTCCGCAACTCGGTAATCTGGTCCAATGTTTTGACCGGGATATAGGACTCAAGAGAAGGCTTGTCTAAAAGTTCCTTAGAAACTGTTCTCACATTTTCTACAGGTTTGGACAGCCGTTTAATTCTTCTGACGATGGGTTGCATGTCTTCTAAGATCGTAAGATGGCTTTTTAAAAGTTCGTTTTCCAAATCACTTCGTAGCGATTTACGTGCCAAAGATCCAACAAAATCTGGTCGCACTAGTTTTTGATTTTCCAAATGCAATAATTCTTGATTATCTTGTAATATCTTGAATGATTTTCTAAGTTCCATGTCAACTTGGAAGTTATTTCTATTGTAATCATTCATCACTTTAGAAAGCCTTTTTGATAAAAGTATATCTGTGGTATCTGTGTTACGGTTTGCCGATTTGAGAACTTGTTGAAATGAGTCTGAGTAGGGTTTTTTCACCGCTGAGCTTGAGATAGTTGCCGTTTCAGAATCAGCATCTACCAGCGTGCTTGTGAGTTGTAAAGATTTCAAAGAAGCAGCGGCATAAAGACTCATACGTTCATGCAAGTTTGCAGCCTGGTTAGCGTCTGTGTCAGATTCTTTGAGATCTGGCAATTGAAAATCGTCCGTAATGGTACTGGACGAATGAAGGGTCTTCAAGCTTAATCTTGAAGCTGGCGCCGGGAGATTTGTCTCATTGTTGGGCTCGTCATCCACTGCATAGGTTTGATAATCGAGAAAATCCATTGCTGATCTTTGATGTACGCGGCTACCGAATCCACCTGATAGTTAATCTCAATAATCGTTTTTTTTTGGTAAACAAGAAAGGCAATCTCTCGTGAAAAGAGTAGGCCAGCCCGTCGTGAGTGACATCTACATAAATCGAAGGTATCACTAGGAATTAATTAAAGTTGCTATATGAAAGCGACGAGCGTATTTTAAAAACCTGTTGCATTGTGAAACTAAAGAATTTACGAGACTGAACATATTTAGTACAAAACGGGGAAAAAATTCAATTAAGAAAATACCAACAATTATGTCCAAAAAACTAGGAAAATAGAATATTGAAAAACCTAAAAAAATATGTTGCCAAAAAAAAAATTGGCTTGAGGGTGGATAGGTGAGATCGACCATATTTTCCAACCAGTTCTTTCTTTGAAAAAAAGATCTTGATCCAAAAATTAAGGGTTAACGCCTACTTGGTAACCACTCGGCCGGGAATCGTGTTGTTGCTGCTCTTCGTTGGCCTTCATCGAAGGGTGATACATGACCTGCATGCCACCGGGATAAGAGTATCTATGCCCATGGCTGTTGTAAAAATAAGCGATATTGGAGAATGGAGCCGGATTAGGTTTCGATTCATGGACGTAGGAAGGTGAGTGTACCATGATAAAATGAGGTTCCTCGGACCCGCCGAATATTTGAGGGGTTCTGGGAAGGGCACTTGATCCAACACAGGTGTGAGGAGATACGGGCCCCATGCGTTGATCCTTGATTGGGGAGCTCATTTCACTGTAGCTAGTAGTGGTGTTTGGAGGGGATGGGTACAGAGAAAACTCAAGGGACTCCAGCAAAGGTTTGATGGGGGGCAGCATCTCGGCGTTGGAGTGGCCGCTCTCCCTGTATTCGGGAGCCCACGATTGAGAACGGTTGCGGGTGAATTGGGGCATCGGCACCTGGGAAAAATGGCTGCGCATGATGGGTTCTTGGACGCTTAAACGTCGCGAAATATCCAGCAGGTTTTTGGAAGCGTCCAGAAGCTCGACGTCAACTTTTGGCTTTTTGGCCGGGCGTGAAGAGGAGAAAAGAGGAGCGGGGGCCGCGCGTTGGTTAGATCCCGCAAAGAGCATTTGGGAGGCATCCGTGGACGACGGTTGGACGAGCGTCTTGCGTTGATATAGCGCCACGAAGTGCTCGTACCAATTGGCACAATCCTGTGGGAAGTCGTGTCCGAAAATTGGAACGAGGAAATAGCGAATCGGGTAGCAAAACCGCAAGCACAACTCGCGCGACACCTCGTAGGGCAGCCAGGTGCCCTGGATCTTGATGTAGCCGCCTCTGATGCGCTTCATGAGGTCTTGGAACTCGAACTCTTCGAAAAACTGGTGCTTGCGGCGGTAGATATTACAAAGCCGGGCCTTGAGCTCCGCGTCCAGATTGTGCCAGTGGACGTCGGAGTAGTGGACGGCGGAGGGCACGGTGGGGCCGCTGGAGCCGCTGGAGCCCCCAGCGGCCGAGACCCCGGCTGCGGACGCGGCTGCGGATCCGGCCGCGCCAGCTCCGGCCGCGCCGGATTGCGAGTGCTGGCGGTAGCCTCTGCGGCCGGCGAGCTTGCGGCGGTTTATGCACTCGGGGCTGGTGACATCGAGCGCCTTTTCGTAGAAACACCTGGCCACCACGTAGTCGAGCTCCTTCTGGCAGTGCGCCTTGCGGTCTGCGGCCGGAAGCGGGTCTGCAGTGGGGGACGCGTCCGCAGAGCGGTCGAGCGCGATGAGCCCGTGCATCACGTCCTGGTAGAGCCTCCATATCCCGGTGAAAAAGACGTAGCCCGTCTGGTGGTCCCACAGCACGCAGTTGTTGGGGTTGATGACCTGTGAGTGCGCGTTCTGGCGCTGGTCGGAGTACTGCATCTTGCGGAGCCGGAATTGCTGGTTTTTGGTGAGGCAATTGAGGTCGTGGTCGGGGCTGGCACGCGCAGCCGTGGTGTCTAGCAGCGTTCCAGGACCGAGCGCGAGCGAGCTGCACAGCCGTGCGTCGTGAGGCGCAGAGTTTCTGCGGGGCGCGGCGCCGTTGGCGTCGCTCGACGCGGCCGCGACGGCACCAGAAAACGTCGTGGCCGCGGCAACCTGGCGGCCCTGCGATCGTAGAACGTCTGGCAACTGGTATTCCGAGCACTCGAGCGCGTTGTGTTTCTTGGGCAGGCGTTCGTGGGCGCGCGCGCCCACATCACCCTGCACGTCGTGGAAACTCTGGACGGCGCTGGTGCGATACCGACTCTTGATGATATGTAAGTCTTCCTGAGCAGACTTCAACAGCTGTGCAGCCGCTGCAGTCACGGAATCTGCAGCCTGATCGGCCTGATTGGCGCCGCATCTGGATAGGGACGCAAAATAAGATCGCTGGTAGTCGTCCAAGGGGTTATCGGAAAGCATAAGCTTACATGAGTCCAACTGGTGGACCGGGTACGAATGTTTTGAAGCCATGCTGCAAAGACCCGTTTGGAGCGTTGCGTGGCGCCGACTCCGTGCATGGGGTCGACCTTTTAAATACACGACAGGGCTTCCTTGTTTTTTTGCTCTCGGAATGCCACTTGACCGAATTTCCCTATTTCCCTGTAGTTCGAGATCCTGCACAGCGGAGCCTGCAAACTTGCGTTAGTTGACGGAGGAGCGCCACACCCTTAACGCCTGCGCCTTCGGCTGCGCCTTGCGAGGAGCCCGGACGCCGGACGATACGAAAATTAAAATGGCCTTGCAGTGGGCGGACCAAAAGCCGGGCCAGAGCGCGGGGGTGGGGCGGGCGAGACGTTTTCGCGACGCGCGCACCGGCTGCTCTGTGACGTTTTTACGCCGTGAGACAAAAAAAAAAAAAACCCTTACCCTGCTTCAGAATCCAGGCACACGCCCACCGCCAGCGCGATAACGGACGCGGAGCCTGCAACAGCTCTGCGACTTGCGTGGTGCGCTCCGCGGCGGGGCACGCCCTGATCTGCGCTGCGTGCGCGCTGCGCGAGCGCAGCCCCGACAATGCGCACGCCACTGGGCAGCTTACGTGACGACGGTTGGTGTGTGTGGGTGTACCCTGCGCATGTGATAAAGCGGCGCGATCGGCGAGTCGGCGAGGCCGCGACGGGGCGCGCGGGCGAATGCACGGGCGGATGGCGCGCGTTCCGCGGATCGCGGCAGAAGCTCGGACGCACAGCGGGCGCGCAAACGCGACGGCATTGTCGCAGGCAAGGAGCGATGCATGGGCGCATGCGCGGCCCGTGCCTGGACGCGCGCCGGCCGCCAAGACCATATCCCGAGACGGCGGGCGCGGACAGCTGCCGTCGCGGAGGGGTCGCGGACGCCTGCGCTCGCCAGCTGCACTTGCGCGCGTCCTGCTGCCCGCAGCTCGCTCCTCGCTACCCGCTTCCCTTCCTCGCCTTCCGCTTTTCTCCTGAATCCTTAAACTTTCTAACTATGTACTCTATAATCCGTCTACCGTCCCCTATTTCTCCACCGCGCCCGGCACCTGCTCGACCAGACCCGTGGCCACGTCGTACAAAAGGCCGTACACCTCGATCTCGCCGCGAGCCACCGCCTTCTGCACGGTGTCGATGGCCACCAGGCGCTTGAATTGGCGCTGCACGTTCAGCACAGAAAGCATGCGGCTTTGCAACTGCAAGTCGTCTGTGGCTGCGAATACCTCTTGTTTGTGCTCGTGGAACAAGTCGTCCACGTCCTGGAGATAAGAGTACAAGTGACCGCACTCTGGGTTGTCGAGCGCTTCCCTTTGGTGCGTCAGACACGTCTTGATGCCCCCGCAGTCGGTGTGACCGCACAGCACCACTTTGTTGACCTTGAGCACGTTAATAGCGAATTCCAGGGTTGCGCGGCACGTGGGGTCGTCACTGCGCACGAGGTTCGCGATCGTTTTCCACGTGAAAACCTCACCTGGGATCACCCCCAGGCACTCCTCGTTGTAGCGCGAGTCGGAGCATCCGATGAATAGCGTGTGGGGCGCCTGGCCGTGCGCGTTGAAATCGCGGAACAGACATGGGTGTTGCTCGGTCATTCCCTCGCTCCACTTTTCGTTGGCCTCCAGCAGGTCTGGCAGCTTGGAGTTGTGTGAGAGTGTAAAGATGTCGGTAACAGCTGGTGACATTGATGTGTGGTGTTTGTAGTTGTGTTTAGTGAGATTAAGGGAACCCAAACGTTCTGATGCTGGCTCCTGCTCGCGTCTTATATGCCCTCGAGCTTGCACTGATGTAATGTCTGATGTAATCCGCCGTATTCCCTACGTGGCGGTTCCGTTGGACTGCGATGACTCGAACTTCTTGACGTCAATGCAGCGTAAGCGGTGATATCACAACGAGGCCATCCGGGGCCCACGCGCGCTGCGCGCGCGTCTGGGGCTCGAAACTCAACAACCCGCGGCCCGCGGCCCGTGGTGTGCGCCACGCGGGCCGCGTCGACGGGGAAAAGCGGCGGGTGTGGACCGCAAAAAGTCACGTGGCGGTCGCGAGCGACGGCGGCCCGGGGCGGCGATAGCGGCGCGGGGATAGCGGGGGGCCGAGGCGTGGGGCGGGAGTGGGGTGGGGCTAGGTCACGTGCGCCCCCCCTAAGCCCAGGCACCCGCCCGTCGCAACGACGCGCAGTAAAAAAAATTGCGCTCCGCCCTGCGCCAGTAAGCCCGCGTCAGGGCGTCCAGCGTTGCGTCGCCGTCTCTGGCTCCAAAGCTGGTGGCCCGCGTTTGTGTAGTCGGGCTCCCCGGACCCTAAATCACAGTGGGGGTTTTCAAGCTCCCGATGATCTCTTGTGCCCGCTCGTAAAGCCTCTTAAACCGCAAATACAAAGCATGGAAAAACTCTCGTACCAACACCGTGGGCGCGCGCAGCGCGCCCACGACCACCGGCGCCGAGCGCGCAACGCCGTGGCCACCGTGGCGCTGGTCGTCGCGCTGTGGGTCTGGTTTGCCGGCCACAGGGCATCGCAACTCGCCAAACTGTCGTGCTCGCGCGACCTGCCCGCGTCCTCGCACCCGTTCAACCTCACGATCGTGGACTTCAACCGTAACGCCGGCGCCACGCCCACCTCCGCTCCCGACGACTCGTACTACCGGCAGCGCATCCAGCTGAAGCCGTTGATCGCAAACACCGTGCCACGTGACTCGTTCGAGGCGTGGCTCCACGAACAGGCGCACGTCAGTTTCCAGCGAGTGCTGGCCAACATCGGCGACGCAAACCTCAATTCGCTTCACCACGCGCAACATGTGGCTCAGGGCGCCGTGATCGCGTCGCCCTCCAAGAAAAACCCAGACTACTTCTACCACTGGATCAGAGACGGCGCCATCACCGTCAACACCGTCGTCAACAACCTGCGCGACACCGACAACGGCGACGTGCTCAATGCCACGCTCGTGGGCACCGTGCTCAAATATCTCAACAACTCGTACATTTTGCAACGCACCGACAACCCCTCCGGCTCGCTCGCCCACAACCTCACGGGCCTCGGCGAGCCCAAATGGATGGTCGACAACAGCGTGTTCACCGACAACTGGGGCCGGCCTCAAAACGACGGGCCCGCACTCCGGGTTATCACCACCTTCAATTTTTTGCAAATGCTTCAACACGTCGGCGTGACGCTTTCCGACGCAATCGCCCACTGCGAAAAAGCCACAGGCGAGGCCCTGCATCTGGTCTTTGACAATGAGGAAGCGTTGTACCGTGGCATCACGCACTTGGACCTCCAGTACATCTTGCAGAACTGGGACCAGCAGACGTTTGATCTGTGGGAAGAGGTCAACTCCAGGCATTTCTTCAACGTTTTGTGTCATTTGAAAGCCACCCGCCTGGGTTGGAACTATCTGGCCAAAGTTCAACCCGAGCTTGACGACGCAGAAAACCCGTTTGCCAAATTGTTGGAGCACAAGTTCCACGAAATGCTGAACTTCCTGTTCGTGGAGGGCGGGTTCCTGAATCCCAATAAAAACCACATCATTGAGACTCCCTCGATCCTGGGCCAGAGGTCCGGGCTCGACATCGCGGCGTTGCTCGCGGCCACTTTGACCCACGACAGCCACCTGGACTCACACCTGGACCTGGGCGTGCCCTTTGACGTGGACGACACCGCCATCTTGAACACCTTGCATGGGCTCGTCAAGCAAATGCGCATTCTGTACCCTGTGAACCACCAACGCGTAAACTTGAATATGGGCGTGGCCTTGGGCCGGTACCCTGAAGACCGCTACGACGGCAATGGCCTCTCGGAGGGCAACCCGTGGTTCCTGGCCACGTCTGCTGCAGCTGAGGTCCTTTACAAAGTCATAAACCACTACTACCTCTTGGAGAAGGACTTGATGATCTCGATGGACGGGTGGGACTCGGAATTCTGGAGCCTGTTTTTTGAGAACATCGACCTGCCCCCACATAACCAGAACCGCTGGCAATTGGTCATCCCCTTCAATTCACCCGCGTTCACGCAAACCATGCAATCCTTGCTCAGCTTCGGAGACTCGTTTTTGGACAAAGTCCGTGAGCACGTAAGCGACGACGGCGAGATGAGCGAGCAATTCAACAAGTATAGCGGCTTCTTGCAAGGCGCCAGACACTTGACCTGGTCGTACGGCGCGTTTTGGAACAGCTACAGATGGAGAACTGAAGTTCTCAGGAGAATGGATGCCACAACGTACTAGTGACGTTTAGATTTCAATAGAATATTATATATTTACAAGCCTGGTGCACATACTTGCGGTCTTGTCTTGTCTTGTCATGTCGACTGCCACCACGCAGTTGCACTCCACCGTCATACATTCTCCGTCCAATTCAGTTTTCCGGTACGTGCAGTCCCACACGCGCCGCAGTCCGCTTCACGTTTTCGTTCTGCGACATATTTAAACCTGGATTGTAACGCTCCACAAGTTGCTCGTACTCCAATTGATTTTGCACAAACCCTGCAAGATCTCGGATATGTTCCATGCGTTTTATAAGTGTTTCAGGTTGTGCATCTCGTAGCAGAGCTTCACGCAACTGCGAGACGTTTCCATAAAACAGAAACTTTTTGAACTTCGCGGGATCCTGGTTCTTGAGCGACTCAATTTTTTTCGTCAAGGCCCCGATTTGCGGAATCAATTTGATCTTCGATTTGGCGTCTTTCTCCTGCGCTTGCTGCCTCACTGCATTGATCTTCTTGTATGTGAGAAGCGTAATTTGTCTCTTGTTGTCTTCTGCAGCCTGGGCAATTCTTGCACGTCTGCTGGAGCGCACTAAAGCCTTTATCAAGGCTTTGTAAGAAGATAGAGCTTCTGATCTAGAAGACATGGGGTATTGTTGCGAATTAGCTTGACTGCCAGTACAATTGTTCAATAGACACTGCTGGAATTTCAAGTAATACAATTAATTGATTTAGTTTTTCACCAATACGAAAAAAAGAAAGAATAAGAGAAAAGAAGCCACGTGTATATCACGTGGTGTGGTCACGCGTCGTAACGTCGCAACGTTGTCACGTGACTTTTCCATTTCGGCGCAGAACCTTTGCCGCGACTCGGCGCCGGTGTCCCTGCACGGATCCGAAACTGAATGCAGACGATCGCAGGGGTATATATACAGGTGGTAAGCGTGTTGCTCGAACAAACAAGAACGAAGTGTGACGCGCTTAAGGATGTTGAGAAACGGTTTTGCAGCCTCGAAGAGATCTATGGCCACTGTTGCCGCGGAACAGTTGTTGCCCAAGAAGTATGGTGGTCGCTACACGGTGACGCTAATCCCAGGTGACGGTATCGGTAAAGAAGTGACCGACTCCGTCGTCTCTATATTCGAATCGGAAAACGTGCCCATTGACTGGGAGACTGTGAGCATCTCTGGTTTGGACAACCAAGAAGGTGTTCAAAAGGCGGTTGAGTCGCTCAAGAGAAACAAAGTTGGTTTGAAGGGTATCTGGCACACACCTGCAGACCAGACCGGTCACGGTTCGTTGAACGTCGCATTGAGAAAGCAATTGGACATCTTCGCCAACGTTGCATTGTTCAAGAGTGTTCCAGGTGTCAAGACGCGTCTGCAAAACATCGACTTGGTGGTGATCAGAGAAAACACCGAAGGTGAGTACTCTGGTTTGGAACACGAGTCCGTTCCAGGCGTGGTCGAATCTCTCAAAATCATGACTAAGCCCAAGTCTGAAAGAATTGCTAGATTCGCCTTCGACTTCGCTCTAAAGAACAACAGAAAGTCCGTGTGTGCTGTGCACAAGGCTAACATCATGAAGTTGGGTGATGGTCTCTTCAGAAACTGTGTCAACGAAGTCGGTGCTAAGGAGTATCCAGAGATCGAGGTCAAGAACATCATTGTCGACAACGCTTCCATGCAAGCCGTTGCCAAGCCTCACCAATTCGACGTTTTGGTTACCCCTAACTTGTACGGTTCCATCTTGGGCAACATCGGTGCTGCCCTAATCGGTGGTCCAGGCTTGGTCCCAGGTGCCAACTTTGGTAGAGAATTCGCAGTGTTTGAACCAGGTTCCAGACACGTCGGTCTAGATATCAAGGGCCAAAATCTTGCCAACCCAACTGCCATGATCTTGTCTTCTTCTTTGATGTTGAGACACTTGGGTTTGAACAGCTACGCTGACAGAATTTCTAAGGCAACCTACGATGTGATTGCTGAAGGTAAGTCTGTCACCAAAGACATTGGAGGTACTGCTTCTACTACAGAATTTACCAATGCTATCATTGAGAAGTTGAAGACTTTATGAGCAAATTAATCATGAATTTTTATGAGGGGAAGACACGTATATTTGATTCCTTTTATATATCGATATAAATAGATTACCGAATGAATTTCGAAACGCAAACCGCGTACAGATTCAAGTAGTCTCTGCCTTGTGATTACTGGGATTTCCTGTTATTCTCCGGGAGATTTTACCACTCGGTCACGTGTGTGTGTATTTAAGGGGTCCCTTCTTCCACCTCGTATGAATCATTCAATTTGCCAATTAAAGTATTGAGGTATCTCCGTCTTATTGATCCGATCCAACCATTGGATTACTAGCACTACACAGTGTGTAAACAGGGAGTAATATACATTAGCTTTTAGGTTCAGCTCATGTCGATATTAAATGAACCTAGTGTGGATTTTCATCTCAAGTTGAATGAACAATCATTCCACATACCCAATGAGTTGCTGAAAAAAAACATCAGAAGCGTTAACAAACTTCTAGATCGTGATAGCAAAAGACTTCACATCCTGTTCGGAGAGCTTGACCAACTGCTTGCAGGTCAGGACGACAAGGGCTCTCTTTCAAAACTTAATGAAATCATCAAGACTGTTGAAATTCTAGAAAAGAAGCTGGAGAAGCGTATTCATACAGAAGCTGAGCTTCTCCGGAGGATTCAGTATCGCATCGATTACTACAATGAGCTGAATGATCTTAAAGAAGCAAACGACCGTAATGGCCTTATCAATTGGTATCAGCGATACACAAATCTTTTAGTTGGAGATTATCTGACAAGAAATGGGATGCTTTATGATGAAGAACTCGATGCAGTGGTCGAGAACACCGGAGAACACGATTTTGGTGTCGGTAGGTCCAAGAGGCGGTTATCTTCACCAAAACTAGATGAGCCATGTTTGAACCCTGGTGTACAGTTTCTAAAGCAGCAAGGCCTTGAGCATTTTTTGGATTATGACATACTGCTGACTGCAAATAGAATATCCAAAAGCTTGACTCTTAAGCACACTCTTGGTCCTCTGATTCATTGGATAAAAGAAAATAGCTCTTACTTGACTAGCAAGTCCTCAATGTTGGAATTCGAAGCAAGATTACAGGAATATATCGAGTTAGTCAAGATTCAGGACTATCCAAATGCAATCACTTGTTTTCAAAGTTATTTGGTTAAATTTATCGATAGCAACTTTGAGCAGTTGAAGCTGGCTTCTGGTCTGCTTGTCTTCATAAAAAGTTGTTCAAATAATCAACAAACAAATTCAGCAAAAGACGGCGCACAGTCCCTGAGCGATTCATCTTTGAAGTTAAAGAGCAGGTCTGGTTTTTTCCAGTACTTTTTTCATAAGCAGGCCCCCCTGAGCTCAGAAGCCGTAAAAATTCCTAATATTGACGATTTCAAAGTCAGACACTTTAGTAATAATATGGATTTCGAAAGGTATACAAATATACTAGATGGCACAAGATGGGATGTTCTAAAGGATCTCTTCCTTCAGGAATACTTTTCTATGTATGGTATCTCTCATCATGACCCTTTATTGATCTACCTTTCACTGGGCATATCAACTTTAAAAACAAAAGCATGTCTACACGAATCACCAGTTGTTGAGTCCGAAAACATTGAGCTTAATCAATACTTGAATAACGAGGTGACTAATAACAAATGTCCGGTATGTAGTGATGAATTCGCTACCATTGCGAGAGGTTTACCTTACGCACATCATATCCAGTCGAATCTGTTCGAAAATCCTGTAATGCTCCCCAATGGGAATATTTATGACTCCAAGAAATTGAAAATTCTGGCTCATAATTTAACAAATAAGAAGCTCTGCGTCTTAGACGAAGATGAAGTTCTGGATCCAATCGATAGGAAGATCTATTCCGAAAATGACTTTATAACAATGTATCCAACTTGAGGGTTACAATAACAGTGCTATATAATTAATGCTATCAATTAATCTGATTCCTGGCGTTCATCATCAGTATCTCTCTTTCTTTTTTGAGACTTCGAATGTTTTTTTTTGTTGAAAGTTTCAAACACGTAAATTCTAGCATCTCTTTCTAATGCAGGTTTGGTCGTGTCTTGTTCGCTGTTGGTCCTCTTATGATGATACTCGGGATAAAGTTCCCATTGAAATTTGTTTGATCTTTCCAAAGTCCATCCATTCTTTTTCGCAAGAATTTTTATTTGCCAGGAGTCATATGGCTCGCCAGCAAATAGTGAAAGAATAACCTTACCTGCATTCACTGTTTCTGGATGACTGTTTATTGAGTTCTTCCCTTCGAAAGAATAACCTTGTGAGGAATTTTGAGACAAAATCTTATCAACTCCATTATTTATTAATTCAAAAAGCTGTTTGCAGCTATCAAAGAAACCGAATACGAGCTCCTGGTGTTCTCTGATATTTCTGTCTTGATCCTTGATCCCCCGACCCGTATGAGGAAAATTGAACATTATATTATTTAGCCGCTTCATGCGCCATTCTTGGCCCACTACTTTGGGCCATGGGGTTTTTTTTGTTAACTTAAGTGACTTTATTAAATTTGTTGCGTCAATTTTGAAAAGAATTTTGACGCCTGCATCAGTTAGAAATTTATAGTTTTCGTCAAATGAATGTGGGTACTTTAGGTGGAGCTCTGTAGCGGAAGTGTCATAACTTGTGACTATTAAGTTTTCGGGTTGAATGTAGTCTTGTTCGACAATTGAACGAGCAAACGAAAAGTCACCTTCCCCTACAAGCAAAAGAGTGCTCTTTTCAGTAAACGGGATGAAGTTAGGCGCGTTCTCTCTTTGCAATTTCTGATTCTCTGCAACAGCTTTTTTTGGTTTGTTCTTGTTGATTTCGTGTAGCTTTTGGCTCTGTAATTTGCTTTTCAGCTTTTCTTGAGCTTGGTGTCTTTGAAGAGCACCTTTTAAACCCTTGTTCCCAATTTTGCCCTTAAGTTTCCTAGCCATTTGATATTCGTTCCAGTAAGACATCATTTCTTTTAAACTAAAGTCAAATTTTCAATATCAACAGTATTGAAAGTATTTCGTGGTGTACGGGTTCATTCACTTTGGAGCTCAACCATAAAGACATTGTCTTGAAAGGTTATAAATGGTCTCTAAATCTTGAAGCCTAGGTTGTGTGTTCTTTAAAAATCTGTGTTAGTAAAATGAAGAATCTCAATTGTTGTTATCAAGTCAAACGTACCTTAAAAATCAGTTGTAAAGATCGTGCTTCTTTTCTGACAACGGCGATATAGAATATTACCTTGAAGCCCTTATAAAATCCTTCATTGATTATTATGTCACCGATTAAATCCAGTGGAATGAACTCGTTTTGCTCTAATAATTTGTAGTTTAGGGACAGCGGTAAAAGAATGCAACCACTCATGCTTGATATCTGCACACCGATGCTTCGAAACACATAGAAAGATTCAATAGTAGGATTCCTCAGGAAGAAAAGTGAGGCAAAAACAATGGCGCTTTGAATCATAGCCCTTTTCGTCGGTGTCGTTAAAACGTATTTGCTCACGATCCAAAACGCTGATGCATTCACGATAAGAAACAAGGTTAGATTCACGAGCCATGAACGCCTGTAGTGGTTTGGAATCACAACAAATCTTCTATAATTGCCATTAGGTTCATTCTCTATACTAACTTCGTATTTTCTTTTCACCATTATGTGTTTTCTCTAAAAAAGATGTCATGATCTAAAGAAAAAAAATGTTAAAAAATTCATATAAACTCCGGATAATTATAAACTAATTATTTATACCTTTTTGAAACGAGAAAATGGAACTACTGGCCATTCATTTCTGCCACTTCCATTCTCTTTTTTTCAAATCGTCAATTGTCCCCAAGACAACTTCTGTCTTTCTGTAGGCGTTCAATTCGCCTTGCCTGAATCCACCAGAGGTCTTTTTATCTTTACTATCGAGTTCTTTAGCCTTTTGCATCTTGAGATCTTCTTCTTTTGCGCTTTGCTTTGACACTTCAATTTGTTTCAAGTGATCTTCGTGCTCCTTTTGTAGCTGCTGTAGTTTGTGGTTGAAATCCTCTAAGGTATTCAACTCTTTGCGTATCTCAAGGCAGTATTGATCGAAATCGGGCGGCAGCTTTGATCGTAAAGCTAGCTCAACCATGTAAGGACGCTTCCGTTCTTCATTAACAAATTTGGCTTTAATTTGCCTTCGTGTTCTGTATGGAAACATTTGAGAAATCAAATTGAAATCGGTACCCCACATCGATAACGCTTTATAAAATTTTATAAGTTCATCAGCAGTCCAAGGGTCTGTGTATTGCTGTCGACCATAAGTTGCTGAGTTGAATAGATTCTCAAAAGGATTGTCATCCATTCTTTCTTTGTGGGCATTTTCCATACTGGCATTTTTATGTCTATCTACCACAGTTGATTCTTCGTCCACGATGAATGTACCATCAGGGTTCATTTTCAGCTGAATAGCTGAATGCGCTTTTTGGTCATATTCGGGGATGTCAGCATTTAGAATCTCCTCAGCTGCTTTTTTACGTTTTTCCAGCATGATTTGAGCTTCCTCCTTATTCAGTTCACCGAGTGGTTTGAATTGTTCACGAGCCCTTGCTCTGAGCTCCCTTTGCTTTTTCCTTTTGTCTTGTTTTGCCTTAGCTGCTTCTCTTGCTCGCTCAAAATTATCGGATATTTCACCAATTGGAAGATTGGGCTTACATAGATCAGCCATGGTGAAGTTTTCCTCATCTATCAAATAACGAAAGGAATCTTGATCTGTTATATTCTTTGGAATTTCCTTCAAATTAGAAATAGTATATCTCTCGTAGAGATTATCTGTGCGTTGAAACAAACTATCTCTGCCCTCATTTTTTAAAGATGTATCTCCCATAGCCGTTGCAGTCATAATTTGATCCTCAGGCGAACTCATCCGTGACACAATACTGATCCGTTGAGCAGAGCCTGATTTCCTTGAGATAGACGAGCGTGAAGACATACGCCTTTTTTTGATAGCCTGAAATGAGGAATCGGACTCCGAGATACTGCTCATTTTCTTTTTTTGATGATATTACTAGATATTGTTGAAAGTCTTCTATTCCTTGGTTGATCTGAGGAAGCAGATGGGACTGGTTGAGGTTCGGAAAATCCACTTTTGAATAGTGGATTGCCACTGTTTAAAGAGTCCAGCCTGCTGGAACGCCTATGTTGTCCTGGAGGCACTATAACCGGGAGTGCCTCCTCGGCTGCGGGTTGCGAACCAACGTCAACTTTCTGTGTACTTTGACTCAACGGATCTACCTCTTCAGATGGTAGCTTATCTTTCAATCCAGATTCGGCAAGTTCAGAACTATCCTCTTGACCGGGTTTTATGGCTGCCTTTTCCCCAGCAGCTTTTGGTGAGTTGTTCGTATTTGGAGCATTAATTACCACACGACGTTGCCTTATTTTGGGGGCAAAACGCGTGCCACTTTTGTTCACAACACTACTCATTAACGATCACTAACAAATTGGTAATAGTTTTTGATTGTTGTATCAAAGCCTTAAACTCAATATTTTAGAGTTCAAAATGAGCTCTTGCAACTATTTATCAACGCGTCGACTATTTCAGTTCTTTACATACTGGCTTATTTTCCCATGAAAAATTTTTGAATTTCACATATATGTCACGTGCATCCTGAATGAATATGTAAAAGTCCGCGCTTAAAGACTTTGCAGAGGATTAATATGGTTTGTACCGATGTTTCTTGTCCTTTCTCTTTCCTTTATCCTTCTTACCTTTCCTCTCAATTTTTGCTTTGCTCTCTTCAATAGTGTGGTCACCAGGCCGGTCGTTGCTTGCAATTGCATCCGTATTGTGGCTACTTACATCGCCCATCTCGACTTCCACCACACTGTTTTCAAAAACATTCATTGGTTTTGAGTAGTCCCAAAGCTCTTGCGGAACTTTCAAAGCGCCACAATTTGACTTCCATATCCTGACGCAACCATCTTCACCACATGAGTAAAGAAGGTTAGACTGCTGGTAAGGAATGAACACATCCCTTACAACTTCATCTCCATGCGCACGGGGTATAATCAAACTCTCTTTATCAACCATTTCGTTGGAAAATGGCAGTAATTTGAGCTCTCCTTTACCTTCTTCAGTTCTTCCGGTCGCAATGAAGCCGGGATACACGTCTACCACATAGTCGCAACCCCATTTTTGTCTGACATCGCCGAAGTCCGCCGGCTGAGGCTCCTTGGGTTCATCAGATTTATCATTCAGCTCATGAACTCCAAATGTCTCCATGTGAGATAATGTGAAGATCCGATTTGGTGCCAACCAACCACAAGAATGGATCGAAGCGAAGTTTATCACTTGGTGCAAAGCATCATCTTCCTCTTGTTGGGTTAAGTCATAGATATTCACGTAGCCATCTGTAGATCCGCTCATAAGTACATTGCGGTCGCTTGGATGAAATTTGATGGTCGTGACATCATCGTGATGAGAGTCCACCAGCGATCTCAGTGGGGTGTCCCATCTCTTAATATCATATATGTGAATTTCTGCATCAATTCCAGATAGTTCCGTACCACACGCTAGCATATCGTGATGCGAATCGAGTGACAAAAAAGGTGCCGATTTATCGTTGTGCAATGAGGCAATGCACTGATTGGATCTAATGTCAAAGATCTTAACGCATGTTTCGCTAGCGGTTGCAAAAATTGAGCCACCATTAGAGTCGCCATTTATTAACTTCATGTCTTTGATGGGTTTATTATGGGCTGATATATTCATTATAGACTTCGCAGTCTGCCAGTCAAGTAAATGTACAAATCCATTGCTTAGCGAGGTAAGAATCCCTTTGCTAAGGATTGGCTGAAACCCAAGACACCAGTCATCGTTTCCAAATGATCTTGTCTCAAGCTGCGAGTACGACATCAGTGACAAACCGGATATTATTTTCCCTACCGAAGCTAGGCGATGGCATACTGTCGATCATAGAATGTTTTTTCTGTGAAAAAAAACCATCAAAGTTGATTTCCATCATGGAGGTATTCACTGAAGTTGTGAAAGCCTAAAGCTAGTTCAGATGAACGCCAAACTTTTTAAGGTGCTTATTCTGTTCCGCGATTAGCAATCGTCATAGATATTTCATTTCATTGACTAACTTGGAAGATAGACACAAGAAACGTAAATCTTCGCAATGCACTCAAAATACGCTCCTGATAATTTCCAGGTATCCTCAAACTCCTGGATACGCATAATATTCCAATTAGACCTCTTAATGTATAATTAATCTCACGGATGTGCCCCACAAAGCGCTCATTCATGTGTGGATCACCCCATCTTCAAATGTTTAGAGATTGGGAATATCATTTGCGAAACAGAGCAAAGCCCGTTGCCCAAAGAAGCACATGTGAACCTATCTAAGCAGTAATATAGTGCGAGAAGATGCAGGGTTTTGCTCTTAAAGTGCGCGCACTATGCATCTGCAGATCTCGTCATCATCAGTAACTTCCTAAGATTACTTTGCACGCAAGATATTTTGCAATGATTTGAAAAGTATCTTGAGTAGAAGATCAGTGATTATGCCGCGCACTATCGGTTGGACGCGATGATTTATAACTTCTAACGCACATTAGACGTAAAGATCCTTGAATCCACACCGCAACTCTTGACTTAATAATTTTACCACGACCCTACAAGAAGTACAAACATAAATTGAAGCTTAAGAAGACTCGTTGAGACGTAGAGAATCTCATGATGCCTGTATCTTGTAGCACTCTAAGAACAATCAGATATATAAGCCACATTCAAGCTTGATAGTTATTATGACGTATAACATGACTTCCATATTTGATCTCTCGCTCGAAGTCATAGCGCTGTGCCCCTTTCCAAATTTGTGCAGGGTCCAACGAGCTGGAATTAAATTACACAGGTACTAAATCGGCCAGATACGATATTTATCGGATCTAATACACTCATTTTATTAGCTGGTTCCTATAGCTTTGCTCAGTCGACTACTTGCTTGTGTCCCGTGTCCTCTCGATTGACAAACATTTAGTTCAGCATAGCGCCATGAGTCCTCCGCTTCCAGATGTGTATGCGCCGGGAACAAGGATCACCGTGGGCTCCCACCAGGCCAGAGTTGTTAAATACCTCACCAGCGGTGGTTTTGCGCATATCTATTCTGCAGAAATCTCGCCGCCCGATCCGAGTTGCCCGAGTAATGTTGCATGTCTAAAGCGAGTATTGGTACCTGACAAGGCAAGTTTGAACACCCTACGTGCCGAGGTGGACGCAATGAAGCTTCTTCGCAACAATCGATACGTGGTGTCCTACATTGATTCGCATGCTGCAAAATCTCCGTTCCAAAATGGCACCTACGAAGTTTTTTTATTGATGGAATACTGTGCCGGTGGAGGTCTGATAGACTTTATGAACACTCGACTACAAGACAGACTAAAAGAATTCGAAGTCTTAAAAATTATGAGCGAAATCTCCCAGGGTATTGCTGCGATGCATGCCCTTCAGCCGCCCTTAGTTCACAGAGATATAAAAATTGAAAATGTCCTGATCTCCAAAGAAGGTGAATTTAAGGTTTGTGATTTCGGTTCGGTTTGCGGTGTTATCAGACCACCCAAAAACCAGGAAGAATTCACGTATGTACAGCATGATATTATGAAGAATACTACCGCTCAATATCGATCACCAGAAATGATCGACTTATACAGAGGTCAATCAATCAATGAAAAATCAGATATTTGGGCACTAGGTGTACTACTTTACAAATTGTGTTACTATACTACCCCCTTTGAAAAAGGTGGTGAAATCGCCATTCTGCATTCTAGATATCAGTTTCCTGCATACCCGCAATATAGCGACAGATTGAAGAATCTTATCGGGGTCATGTTACGTGAGGATCCCGCACAAAGACCAAACATATGTCAAGTTCTAGAGGAAGTATCACGTATTCAAGGCGTTCAATGTCCCCTGCGCAACTTTTATTTGGTCAGAGCCATGCAACAGCAAAATTCTGATCTACACCCTTCTGTCAGTCAATCTCAGCTACCGATGACTTTAGCGCATCCTATGATCCCTTCTGTCGATATTCATGGGGGTCAGGCACCTTTAAGACCTGCCAAATCTTTTAATAGTGACGGTGTGTTGACTGCACGTCAACCTGTAATTATACCTCAAGGCATTCAAACAATGAACTCAAATGTTTCTACAGATCCCTTCTTAAATTTAGACAAAACCAAGTTGCTTACGCCTAACATTCCAAAACTACCTGCTGGCCCGGAGCTCAGCTATAACAATCATATTGTCAAAAGTCAAACATTCCCATCTATGGCAGCGGGTGCATTCTTGCGAAGATCAGCTAGTCCAGTCTTGGCTGGTAGAGGAGATATTTCGAAAATTGTCACAGCAAACCAAACTTCGGCTAGTCCCTCAACTTTATATGTTGACTCGGGTACCCAAACATATGATGAAACAGAGAAACTCAGTAGGAGTGTATCCAGACCTTTGTCAAATCGGTCCATATCCTCTGCATCCTCCGGTGGATCAATTGAAGTTCAAGGAACTGGCGGTAGCATCAGACGAAGGCTAAGCCACAAGTTGAAGAAGATAATCACCGGTGAAAGGAGATCATCCTCGCCCATTAAGTCCAGGCAAAATACTGGAGACAGTGTTAGATCTACATTTACATCTTTGCGTAGAGGATTATCGGGTAGTAATTTTACTAGTGATACCTCGAATAAAAGAAATTCTATGGACATTACTGGTGGTATGGTAGGTTCCAATAGTTATAAGTTCCGTGTTTCTTCGTCCGATTCTATCGAAGAAGAGGTCAGTCTTCAAAGAGCTTCAAGGGAGAGACATAAAAGAAGTGAAAGCACCACATCGATTGTTTCGGATTTTGAAACATATGAGAGGGACAACGGAACGGAGGTAGAAGACTATTATAGGTCACATTCCCCCATAAAAATGTCTTCAAATAAAGATTCCAAGAGCTCAATTCAAAAGCGGGTGCAGGACTTACTTCAAAATTCTAATGAAAGTCCAAAAAAGAAGTCGGGTCAGAGTTATAGCAAGAAATTTGGCGGGAAAGATAACGGGATTGAGAGGCAAACAACAAACGAAACACTTGTTTCCAAAGGTGACTATTCCAATCTATCAACTCCAAAAGTTCTGTCACCTGCCAAGCGCCAATCTAGCGTTCTAGTCACACCAATGAAATCTCAGCAGAGCGCAAGCAAGAAAAAACCTGTTCCGCCACCCAAACCAGCCCATCTAAGACCAAAAAAACCTCCAAAACCATCTCATTTGAAAAGCGGGAAGTTCTCAACTCCAAAGAAGGAAGCACTCGCCTCACCAGAATCGGTTATCAGTGTCGATGTTGATGACCTAGAAGAGGACTTTAGGAGAAGATTTCCTAGTGCTTTATAGCCTTGTTTGTAATAAAATGTTATCGACCATCATTATATCATAGATTTTCTACGTTATCATTCAAGTCATTCAAAAAGTTCTCTATTCGCTATCACTCCATTCCTCAAATGAGTCTAATATAAAATCAGTAGACTCCTCAAATCGTTCCTCAATTATATTATTCATGCCGTCGGTTTCGCACTTAAGTACTCTACCAAATTTCTTCCTTGGCTTCTTATTATCATTTCCATCTGTGCCCCAGCATGGATGGTCGGTGCTGGCGAATATTAGAGAGTTTTTGAAATACCAATCACCCAGTGATTCGTCTACTAGTGGCACTAGAGATTTCAATGGTCTATTGTCAACAAATGATATAGCTGCCTTTACAACATTGCGGGTATCTCTGTGTCCTAGTAAATGAACTATACCACTGTGTGCATCACCAATACCAATAAAAGCCACTTTCAATAATGAAGGGAAGTACTTTAAGTAATTGTCCCAGAGAAATGTAACGACCTCCTGGGCAGTAATCACAGCAGAGTAGTTGTCTTGTTCTAACAATGATTGAGGTATGTTGACATCTATCACCCCATACTTTCTGCTATTGGCCCATTTGATGAAATCTATAGCGTTGTCGACTATAATTGATGTCGAAGGATCGATCGTACCTGTTAACCGATTTCTTTGGGCCCAAATCCCGGGAGTATCATGTACACAGATAATTATTGCCTCGGAATCATAGATATTAGGTGAACAGATTACAGTTTCTTTCGGCAAATCCATCTTCAATAACGGTAACGTGAGATATTTAAATTCGTCTGTCAACATTTGCAACTGTTCCTGGCGTATGGCATGCTGAAGTGGGAAATTTTTAGTAGAGCTCGTTTCAGTCACTTTCTCCTGGAAGTTACAGCCATCATTTGCATGCGTACGTTTGAAACATTTCCAATACTTGGATTGCGTTTGTATCACGGTTTCTATAGTTTCTATAGCTTCGGGTTTTACTTGCTTTGTTGGGTTTGGAAGTTCCTCTGGAGGCTCTCCAATGAGAACTTTTGCCACTCTTAGTGCACTCTTTGCGATCGAATCTAGATTATATCCACCTTCAAGCACCACGCAAAGGTTACCTTGAGCCAAGGATTTAAGCATATGCGTCATGTGACCGTAGCAGCTTGGTGTGACATGACACTGACCGATTGTGTCTCCGTCTGCCGCATCAAATCCAGATGATATAATCACTAGATCAGGCTGAAATTCCCGTCCCATTGGGATTACTACTTGCTCGAAGGCCCAGATGTACTCTGCATCGCCAACACCTCCGCAGGACCATGGAATATTGCAATTAAATCCTTCACCCTTTCCTTCTCCAGTCTGATCATAATTACCGTGAATTGTTCCAGGATAATACTTACCAAGTTCGTACCTATGCAATGAGACGTAAAGCACTCGGTCATCATTGTAAAATGCTTTTTGGGTTCCGTTACCATGGTGAATGTCCCAATCGAGGACCATAATTCGACGAACACTCTCTGGATAATTTTTTAATATATTTTGAGCAGCAACTGCAACGTTACTGAACAAACAGAAGCCACCTGCTACTTCTGGTTCTGCATGATGGCCTGGTGGACGGACAACTGCTAGGGCGTTCTTTACTCGTCCTTCGACGACCGCTTTACACGCCTCAATTGCTCCTCCGCACGAAAGTCTCGCACTCAGGTAGGAGTCATTGTTGAAATACACGGAATCACCCCCTTCGGTTTCTTTCAGTAATTGCTCTCGGGTCATGTTAGTTGTTTTCGAGATGAATTTCAGGTGCTCTGGAGTATGAACTTGTAAAATCTCTTCATCAGTAGCTTCACGTACAGGAATTTTGACCATAAGGTTCCCTATGTCGTCGACGCCACTCAGGGTTGGATCGTCGACCAAACCATTTTCCGCCAAAATCTTGTATATACGATAGATTCTCCGCGGGTCCTCTGGATGTGGATCAATGTATTCAAAGTATGAGGTGTAGATTTTAGCGTGATATCTCATCCGCACGTCGTAGCATAATCCAGTCTTTAAAAGAGAGTAGTGAATTTTAGGAGCACAGGCTGGAACTATCACAGGCCGATAGTTTGAGGCTCTTTTTACATTATCTCTGTCATTAGACACATCCTCGATATTCCTTTTCAGCATATCTTCTTCCTTCACAGTGCTATTAGCGCTACCGTTGGCTGTTGAATTGTCGGCCATTCTGGGCTCTGCACCACTTTGAGGTTTTGATTATCTCTCGGTAAATTGTGTATCGAGGTTTTCGGTACGTGCCTAGAAAGATGGCATAAAAAAATTTCGCCGTCATATGCAAGAATGGTGAGATCGCCATTGAACCTGGATAAGCGTAAGCTGCGATGAACTTTTATCGGGACGCTACATGGGTATTAGAATATGTTGAGGAACAAGAGTCGTCTGGAAGAGTTGCTGGATCACTGCAAACCCAAGTCGTGAACAGCTGTAAAAAATACAATATAAAATCCAATCCAAAGCATCTCTATGCCTTACTTTACTCTTGTTGGAGATTCAAACCCTACTTGGATGAGATTTTGAAGAAATCTGGAATCTTTAAGGATATTCCCAAGAAAAAGGGAAAGCCGGCATTTTCTAAAGGTACAATAACACTTTTAGTGCATGACTTACTTCTATCGAAGAGTAAGAGGATTCAGATGGGTAAGCACCCTATCAAGGACTTTGTACTGAAGCATAAAACACGTCTTCAAAGCGAACTGGTGAGATTAAAGATTAAGATGAAAGTAACTGATTTATCTCAGCTCCTGAAGGATGACTCCAACGACATGACACCAGTGAGATGGATCCGTATCAATCCTGTCAGATGCAAGGGCAAGGTGGAGGAAGTGCTAGAAACACTGAGGAAAAAGTTTCCGACCACTGTATCGCATTGGTCAGAAATCGTGCCGGGTACAATATATGAGGATGAATTTGTGCCGAACCTCTTTGGGGTCCACCCTTCTGATAAGATTACATCGCATGAACTATACAAGAGAGGTAAAATCATTATTCAAGATAGAGCGTCCTGTTTTCCAGCACACATACTGAATCCAAATGCAGATGATGTTGTCATAGATGCATGTGCTGCCCCGGGCAATAAGACAACGCATGTAGCAGCGCATATTTTTCAAGATTTGATGCCTGACGAAGTCCGGATTCATGCCTTCGAAAGAGACCCAGAACGTGCTAAAACACTTCACAAAATGGTCAAAGCAGCAGGTTGCGACAAAGGAATAAAAGTCCATGTTGGAGACTTCACAAAGCTCGGGAAACCGGAGATTTTCAGCCAAGTAACTGGATTTATAGTAGATCCCAGTTGTTCTGGAAGTGGCATATTTGGTCGGAAAATGATAGACGATCGGAACAAAAGTAAAGAAGAGCTACCAGAGGCTGAAGAAGAGCAGGATGAAATTGCTGATCAAGATCTAAAAAACAGGTTGGCTAAATTGTCATCTTTCCAATTCGAGATTGTGAAGCATGCGCTTTCTTTCCCTAGCGCTAAAAAACTCGTTTACAGCACCTGCTCCATTCATGCTGAAGAAAATGAACGTATTGTTATTGATTTGTTATTAGATTCTAAAGTCAAGGAATGGGGTTGGCGTGTAAGGAAAAGAGCAGGAGTTATTCCGAAGTGGCATAGACGCGGCATTCTCGCAGAATTTGAGGAAGTATTCCGTGAAGGTACACAAGCACAAGAATTAGCAGATGCTTGTATAAGAGTTTCTCCTAAGGAGGATGGCGGCATAGGGTTTTTCGCTGTGTGTTTTGAACGTGATTAGTGGCATTATTTAATTGTCGTGAACATACGTTACATACGTTACATCTTAGATAGAATGTCGTCGACAACCTGTTGAGTGGTCGACTTACCGCCTAGATCTGGGGTCTTGATTTTGTCTTCACGCAAATTGGCATCAACAGCCTTGTGAATGTCTTGCGCAGCATCTACGTGACCCATAAACTCCAGCATTAGAGCAGTAGATCTGATGGTAGCAATTGGGTTGGAGATACCCTTACCAGCAATGTCTGGTGCAGAACCGTGGCATGGCTCGCCAACAACAAAGTCGAATCCAACGTTAGCACTTGGAACAACACCCAAAGAGCCGACAAGGGCAGCAGCACCGTCAGAAAGAATGTCACCGTATAGATTTGGAGCAACAATGACATCGAAACACTCAGGCTCTCTGAACATTCTGTAGACCATAGAGTCGACAATTTGCTCATTGTAGCCTACGGCGCCGTATTTAGCTTTGTTAGAGTCGTAAACTTGTCTGCAAACTTCTCTGAACAAACCGTCACTTTGAGAAAGGACGTTGGATTTGTGTGTAACAGTCAAGGTTGCTTGACCGTTGGTCTTGAGTCTTTGAAGGGCAATGTCTAGAGCGATGGTGGCAATGTTTCTAGTGGCAACCTCGGAAATTCTCTTGATAGCCTCAGCAACACGAGTACCGGTCTTTTCATCGATATATGTCTTTTCAGTCTTAATGTACAAATCTTCGGTGTTCTCTCTGACAATCACCATGTCAACCTTGCGATCCTTGGTACCTTCAACGGACTTAACTGGACGCACGTTTGCGTATAAGCCTAGCTTCTTTCTCAAGGCAACAATAGGTGAAGAGTACCCTTCCACCTTGGTTGTTGGCGATTGGACTGCACCGAAAAGAGCACCTTGACACTCACTCTTCAAGATGTCAATGGTCTCGTCAGGTAAGGCCTTACCGGTATCTTGAAAAGTTTTCCAGCCTGCTTCCAAGTCGATAAAGTTAAAGTTCAAACCATGCTTAGAGGACAAGTTTTCTAAAACCAACTTACCAGCTGGAATGACCTCTTTACCGATACCATCACCTGGGATTAAACCGATTGTCAATGGCTTCGCTGAAGATGCGTAAGCGCGACGAGCTAGCTGGGTAAAAGATGTTCTTAGCATTACCTCTGGAGTATGGTTACCTTTCGACAGGTGCTACGCAACGTTGAATCAGTCTCTCATGAAGTGTATTTATAAGGTGTGTCAGGTGCCATTATCGAGATCGAAATCCCATGGGAATTTTGTTTTTTAAGGTGCTCTGGCAAAATTTTTACTGTCGAAGAAGCCCGCCTGCCTGAGTCATCATGAGCTTTAGACCTACAGAAGTGGCTACCTAGCAGCTAGCAGCGATAATTTGGACTCCTGAAATCTACTTATTATCATTTTTCTGGACGCTCTTCTTTTGATTTAGCATAGTGTAAAGTGAACAATGTTCGAATTTATTTAATTATCATGAAGGTACTCTTGAATTACCCAAGAGAGCACTATAATAGGAAGTCTGGCTCATTATGATGAACAATGAGAATGCTACTATGTATCAAACTTGACGTATCGTGAGTTTCACGTGACAATATTGTAATATGAAAAATTTGATAGAATCTTGCTCATCTCATCTTATTGTCCGGGATACGTTGATGAGTGGTGTCGCTGAGGTAGAAGATAATCCACAACTTGAGGATGCCTTGAATACCGTGGTTTCTTCTTCTGCGGAAGAATTTGACACTTCGTCGGAAGCTGAAACCTCCGATGAGGATGATATTCCGTACTACGAGCAGGCCGTTGTCGACATCAGAAAAGGCGATCGTTACCAGTGCATGATCTGTACGGTCGAGATGGATTATACGTGCAATATGTATGCATGCCCACACTGTTACCGTGTGTTTGATTATGAATGTATAAGAGAATGGGCTTTAAAGTCTACTCATAAAAGTCCAGACAACGTGTGGAAATGTCCCAACTGCTACCATCCTAGCAAGCAGGTACCAGCAAAAAACAAGTACACTTGCTGGTGTGGTAAAAATATGCATCCAGAACCTAACCCTTTGGAACCTAACTCCTGTGGACAGACATGTGATGCACCCACCTGTGTTCACGGTTGTTCCAAGACATGTCATTTGGGCCCTCATCCTCAGTGTATGCGTATCATCAAAATTAAGTGTCTCTGTGGAAGACATAGTAGAGAAGTGCTCTGTTTTGAGAGCAAAAAGGAGCAAAAGTTCTTCCAGTGTGGAGAGCCTTGCGGACTCACTCTTCCCTGCTGTGTCCATAAATGTAAAAGGAAATGCCATAAGGGACCCTGTGGAAAGTGTCCAGAAGTACTTAATGGCAGTATCAAGTGTTACTGCGGTGAGCAAAGAAAGGATAAGATTTTGTGTAAGGATGTTGTCATTCAAGGCCGCTCTGTGAATAAGAAAGGCGAAAAGTGGATTGGGGCTTTCGCATGCAGCAAAATAAGATCTGTAACGTATTCATGTGGAAACCATGCCTTTACCGAGGACTGCAAAGCTCCACCTTCTTTGCCAAAAAGGGTTCAGTGTCCGTTTGCGCCTAAAATGTTGAAGACCTGTCCCTGTGGTAAGAGTCCTCTCAAGGCATTGGACAAAGTTCGCACCAGATGCACTGATCCTATACCTACGTGTGATTCCATATGTGGTAAACGACTGCAGTGTGGCAAACATGAATGTCCTTTTACTTGTCACACTGGGCCTTGTATGGATCCTTGCTTGGTCTCTGACAAAGTTCAATGCTCTTGTCATGCGAGATCATTCATGGTACCATGTCAATTCGAGACAGAGCCTCATTGTAATACAAAGTGTGAATCACTTATGTCATGCCGTCGCCATCGATGTGTTGAGAGGTGTTGTTCGGGAAGAAGTTTAGCGCAGAGAAGAGAGAAGACCATATTTTTGGCTCGAGATAGGCTTGACGAGTCTTTAGTAGAAGCTGAGCATATCTGTTTAAAACAGTGTAACTTAAAGCTGGCATGTGGGAGGCATTATTGTCAGAACAAATGCCATCCTGGTAGCTGTCCACCATGTCTCGAGAGTGATTCCAATGATCTGGTTTGTCCATGTGGCAGAACGGTAGTCCCTGCACCAGTACGTTGTGGTACTAAATTGCCTTCTTGTCCATATCCCTGTGTTAAAACTCTACAGGGACCTTTAGATTGTGGGCACCCCCCAATGCCACACAAATGTCACTCCTCTGAAGTGCAATGTCCCTCTTGCACAGCTCCTGTTTTCAAGACTTGCAATTGTGGCAAGAATGAGAAGGTAAGAACTGTTTGTTTCCAGAAAAATGTGTCTTGCGGTAAAATCTGTAAACTCCCGCTCAAATTCTGTCATCATGGATGCCAAAGGGCCTGTCATGAAGTTGGAAAATGTCAAACGACTTGCAATCAGAAGTGTGCGCTCCAAAGATCTAATTGTAGTCATACGTGTCAATGGAAATGTCATGGTTCTAATCATTGTCCTGACACGCCATGCAAGATACGAGTTTTATTGAAATGTGAGTGTGGCCGCTTGGAGTCATATGCCCAATGTGGCGCCACTAATGAAAAATCTTCGATAGAATTGAGTCAGTTACCTTGCAATGAGGAATGTGAAGTTCTGAAAAGGCATAGAACTCTCATGGAAGCTTTTGGTATTCGAGACGAGTCTTCAAAGTTACGTCAGATAAATGAAATTCAAAACTTGGCTGAAAAGGTGGCCACTTTTGAAGAGTTATTATTGCCATTCACCGAAGCTACCTTGTCTATCTATGCAAGACAGACGACCTGGTGTTCTCAAATCGCATCATTCTTGGATAGGTTGATGGATGAGAACAATCGTCAAAGTTTACACTTTAAGCCTATGAGAGCCCCTCAGCGTAACTTCATCCATGAAATTGCGAAGGCGTATAACCTTTACAGCGAATCTCAAGATATGGAACCGAAGAGGTCAGTTTTTGTTAAGAAGAATGTCGATTCGCGAAGACCATTGATATCCTTAGAAGAAGCTTTACCTTTGTATCAATCCTTCAAGCAATTTCAAAAAGAAAAAAAGGCGCAGGACTTAGAGAAGTCGAAAACTCATCGTATTTTAAATGTCACTGTTGAGGAGAGTCAAATGAAGCCTGCGAAGGCAACTTACAACGGTTTAATAATTCGAGGAATCTTAGACGGAGTCACAGAAGATGACATCAAAGATTGTTTTGGACAATATCTTAAGTATACACTACTTTCTAACCCAGTTTATTCCACGCTTTCTTCAAGCGAGCTAATCATTTATCCTCATGACTACCATAGCGTCACGGTGAATGTTGAAAATGACTTAAGGCAACTCGTTGGTCATTTTGATCACATTGTTCGTGACAAGTTTATAGGAGAAAGTGTGGCAGTCTGTCAAGTTGAAAAATATCTCGAGGGCATGAATTCAGATGGAAAAGAAGAGTACTCTCATAAACGAGATGTAAGTTCATTGCAGTTATCTGAGGTCAAAGCAGATACTAAAGGTACATTGAAAGATGCTGATGCTGATGCCTCTTAGCTGCAAACCTACCACGTTCAACTTTATAAATTTAAAGCATTATAGAATATTTCACTGTTTTAGCTATTAGGCATTTCTTTTCTTGCAGATTCCGACGCCGCACGGACTTTTTTTTCCATTGATTACACGAAGTTTTCATGCATCAGATCTATACCAAAGTGAAGATTAAGTAGAAAAACGATCACCTGTCACATCAAAAAAGCGCCTTGATAATTAAATATGGAGGACTTCTTTGATTTTAGCTCCCAATTAATGGAATTGACCCCGTCACGGCCAGTGGAGCATCTTGGTGATTCCGATCTTTCCTTTGGTGGAAAACTACAGCCAGCCCTGAAGATTCACGAGGATGGTGGTGAAAGTGGATGCGGAGGTAAAGTTTGGATTGCAGGTGAGCTTCTTTGTGAGTTTCTATTGGAAAAGTCTGATTCGAATGGAGTGTTATCGAAATGGCAACATGAAAAAGACTCTCAAATACCTTTGCAGACTGTTCTCGAGCTGGGGAGTGGGACGGGTCTTGTTGGTCTTTGTCTTGGAATGATGTGCAAGTTTCGTTGTGAGGATTCTCAGATATACATTACTGACATTGATCAATTGGTTCCACTCATGGAGCGTAACATCGAACTGAATAAAATTCAGAATAATGTGATTGCCAAAAAACTGTGGTGGGGCGAGCCGCTTGAGAGTGTATTTGCTCCAAAAGAGGGGATAAGAACGGTTGATTTGATCCTGGCAGCAGATTGCGTTTATTTGGAAAAAGCATTCCCACTACTTGAGAAAACTCTCTTGGATCTTACCGATTGTGAACAACCACCAGTGGTATTGATGAGTTATAAGAAACGCAGAAAAGCAGATAAGAACTTTTTCCGCAATATCAAAAAGAATTTCCTTGTTTCTGAAATAAAAGATTTCGCACGTTACGATCAATACTTGAAACAACGGACACATTTGTTCCAGTTGATTAGAATTACGAAGGCATGAATTATAAGTTTTTTGACGTTCAGTTATCTGTCAATATCGTTGCATTTTTTAGTATCTACATGAAAGTTTTTATATACATAGCATTATGAATAAATTGTAATCACAATAGCACTTCATCGTCGACACTGTCAGCAGGGCCCTCTGTGGTCTTGGATTGAGAACTGCTCCATGATTCTGAGGGATTACTGTTCCTCGCTGAAATAAGTTCAGACTGTTCGATTGCCTTCCTTTTCCATACTTCAATAACCTTTTGTTCCTTTTCGAGACCATACTCAATAGCTGAAGGACCGAAAACTGAGCCGAACATTTCTGCTTCTTCCTGGGCCACTTGATCCTCGATTTCTTGCTGAATCCTGAGACGGTAGAATTCGAATCGTGCTTGGTCATAGGCCGCTAGTAAACTCTCGTGTTTCTTGGCCTTCATTAAATATAGTGTTCTCTGCACCACACTTTCACCATCAAGTGGCTTTCCTAACTGCTGAATTGTGCTCCAATCATATGACTCATTTCCAGTATTTTCTACAAGTACTTTTGGCCTCGATAATTCCCAAGGGTGCTGCTTGTAAAATAGTTCCCTCAGCTTATCCTCTGCATAGGTAAGTTTTGGCGCACTGTAAATGGAGTTGGTTGCCACCTTTTTGTCGAGCGTGTTTGCCCTTGTCTTGAAAGTTTCATTCCTTTTATTTAGTTCCTGGTTAAATTCAGGTAGAAAAGAGGTGTTTCTCTTAGTTGAAGGGTTGATTAGGCGCGGTTCACGGACGAATGATTTTGATGGTGGTACAGAGGCAACAACATCATACCAGGCAGGAGTTTTGGTAAGCAGACCAGCTTTCAAATAAGAAGATGTGCGCTCAAACACATTTACTGCATTTTTTTGAATCTTCATGGATAACAGTCTGGATTGTGGATTCTAAGAAATCTGCTCTAATTTCTGCCCGATTGATTGAACTTAAAATTTTTTTTGATACTATCAATTGTCGTCGTAACATGTAACTTGGTAATGAAGAATCTTGGCTTTCGTTTTCTGAATTAACAAGCAAACGAATATCACTGTGGAAGTAACTGAAGTGGATTTGACGAATGAGTGCTCTTTTTAATTTCCGCGCCCTTTTACAAGTGCTTCTACTTCTTATCTGTTCGTGCACTTACATTCATGCCCAATGGCCTTCGATTTTAGACCGTTACAAGGATCATAGCATGCTCGGCGCTTTCTGGAAATTCGCTCGCATTGGAGAAAGGGCAAGTCCCTATGTCAGTCTAGCATGCATAATCATGGCTGTTCAGCAACTTAGTGCCTGATATGTCTCCAAGTGCATAAGGATGGCTAGGTAGCCAAGTATGTAGGAAACTATATTAAAGGGTATATTCTAACTAATTGTTCATATGGAAATTAATGCATTATAATAGTTCTTCCTCTTGATTCGATCTAATAACATACATATGTCTCCTTACATGTGTTTAAGTTTTGTTCGTGTTCATTTGATTATAAAAACCAGATTTGATTTTGAACTAAATAGATCGTTCAGTTACCAAAATATTTAAAAAAAAGCTTTGTATTAATTTATTCTTCTCAAATTGTGCTTCATCTATTTAAATTCATACACCTCGTTTTGCCCATGAGCCAAGACGGCTGCTCTCTTCGTTCCTACAATCTTTTCAAGGGCAAGACCATCTAACTGACTATAAATGCATCTGACAACTGAAATGTTCAAATCAGCGTTTTCCAGAAAAGCACTTTTTCCGATGTATCTCACAACTTCGTCATAGAATTCAGGATTATTGGGGGGCTTGTAAAATAATACAGTTTTGACCCCACTTATATCATATCGCCTGAAATGGTGCAATCTCTCTGTATAGAGCAGAACTTTGACACGCCCTTCTTTGAAAAGTGCCCGGTTCGATGTCAGTTGGCGCTGGCTTGAATATTCATTAATATCACCAAATAAAACAGACGTTTTTTCCTTCAGATGATTCCTAACACGGACGTAATCAGTGTAATCAGGAATATACAGCAAAATACCATCTTCGTAACCAGTGGATTTGACAATATTAGGAACCATCACACTGGTAAAGAACTTAAAGCGATAGTCAGGCTCATCGATTGCTGAGCCACCTACAAGGTCAAAACGCTGGAATATTTGTCGAACTCTTAATCCTAGTTGACCAATGCTAGATTCTTCTGCCGATAATGAGTGGTGATTTTTCCATCGACCTGAGTAATTGCGACATCTTCCATTTATGAGTGAATTTGCAAAGGGAGACACATATTTAGTGAAGATCATCGTTTGCCTGAACATTCTAGCTTGATCATTAATGTACCACATGCGAATTCTACTGAAATCAGCGTCGTGCTGTTCTAGTGGGATCTTGTTAATGTGATCAAAAATAGTCGACACATGAAGTAAGTTCTGATATTCAATAGAATGCAATTGGTCGATAATCATAAGCTCAATTGATGACAGAAAATCGTCTTGTCTTTTCTTCTTATCAGTATTCTCTAAAATTAATTGGATACCCAAAGGTGAACAGAAGATCACATCTGACTGATAAAAATTACTGTACAGCTTGATTGTTTTTCTAGTGAATTTGACTCCCAACACAAAGAAATCATTAGTGTTTCCCTTGAACACATGTTGAAAAGAGTTTGGCTTAGATGACGGTGGAAGAGAACTGTCGAAAAATTGGTCATTGAACTTGGCCTTCTTATCAACTTGATCTAATCCCGATTTTTCGATAAGCTTACTTATTACCTCAAAAGCTGTATTTCTAGTAGGAACAACCACTAGCACCTTGGGCCTTGTGAAACCTTGATCTAAAAACTCTTGATCATTATTATCTTGTAATCGCTGATTATTTTTCAGGATTCGATCGCGAGTCTTGTAAACATGATTTAACAAGTGTAAAACATACAGGTCTCTGTACTCACTCTCCTGGTCATAGTTCGAGTACTCATACAATATGTCGTTATATTGAAACATAGGATCTACCAGTTTTTTTTGTAAACGGGTCAATGGATCTTGTGAAGGGTCTAGAAGGTCGTTATTTATCCGAAGACGTTTTTTAATGAAGTATGCGTGAATCGATTCTTTGAGCGCTGGCGGATTCGATTTGGCCTCTTGCTCAGGTAAAATGGGTCTTGAATATATCCAGTCTTCTTCCTTTCCCATTGGAATTTTAGCAGATTTATACTTGATCTCTCTATTATTAAATGCTTCCCAAAGCTTGTCGGTGTCTGCCTCGGAAATGCCATTGAAGTGCGACTCAAACGGATCTTGCTCATCTTCACTTTCATCGTCGCCGTGCTCCATTTCCTCCTCATCGTCGTCCTCGCTCTGCACTTCAAGTAACCCGTTTTCAATAGTCTCTTCTTCACCTTCCTCTCCTCTGGCCTTCGTTTCTCCCTCATCTTCCTGCACGCCGCTAGCTACGCGCTCTTTCTTCGATGCTATCTTGCGCTTCTTAGCTGGTCGATCTGCATTCAAAAGAGTCAATAGCGCACTGTAGACTTGTTTCTTTTTTTGATCTTCATCTTCAACTTCATCCTTTTCGGTGATTCCGTCCTCATCTTCGTCGTCCTCGCTGCTAGAAACGCCTTTTTCTTCCTCTTTCATTGCTTTCTTTCCATGGTGAGCCATTTTGATCTGCCTCATCTCCTTTCTACCATTTTTCACAGTTCGCTTGCCCTGGTAGGTGGCAGCAACTGAACGAGGATGCTTTCTATCAGTCATTCTGCGCATGATGTTTAAATTCATCTCATCTCATCAAGTCTTTCTACTCATGTCAAAATTTTCTACGGTAATATGAGATCACGTGATTTCTCTTACGAGTTTGAGCTGGTCTTTTTCCGGAGACTGAAGGAGATGTTATGAACAATCTAAAAATTTGTATCAGAAAAGTAGTTGGGATGGTTCCAAAAAGTCTCTTACAGAGTTTAAGGGTCTGCCTTACAACTTTTTACTTGCTTCTGATACTGATCACTATTCCCATATCGTTTCAAGTTGGGGGGCTTTACTGTGGGCTTTCTTTCACGGTCACGTTATTTAATCTTTACTTTGCAACGACGACATGCAAAATTCTGGCTAGGGGAACCAGGTTTTCGCGCATCACCAGTGTTGGATATTATATGCAGCACTTTTTCATTCCATCCCTTCTCTTTCTGTTTCTTTCCGGTTTTTCCAATGAAGAGCTCAAACGTCAGATCCACACAAATACTGGTCCCGATGAGTCGTTAGTGCACTTGTTAAGAAGGGCTACGCAAAGCCAAACTTGGGTGTTCTATTACTACTATTACCGGTACGTTGTCAGACCGTGGCAATTTACACTTCTGCGGTCAACTCCTTACTTTACTCTTTTAGAAGGGTTTTTTGCAGTGCTGGGTATTCAAGCTATAGGCGAAACAAACAGATGGCTTTCTTACAAAAAGAATTCAAACATGTGGATAATTGCCAGTTTGATGGTATCTGGAGGAATTATTACAGGCTCTCTTTATTACTTACACCGAATCTACGTTACTCCCATTTGGGAATTGTCCGTGCAGGCGGCATCTTTGCTCGGTTTCACATTCTCACTCGTATGTGGTCTAGGATTATATGGCATAATATCTGGCCGTGGCTCTACGATCGAATCATCATTATTCTTTGCTTACATTGTTCGCTGCATATATGAGATCTCACCGAAATTAGCCACCAGTGCTATGGACGAGATCTTTATGCTGGTCAAAGATACATGGCAATCTCATCAACATAGTTTACGCCCTACTGACAATCTTCTATCTTATTATCACAATGTTGTACTAAGAAACGGTGAAATGATTTGGGATGCTATCGTTCAGAGAACAAACGTGAACGTCTCGCCCTCTTCGTCGCGTGTGCAGCTGGTATGGCTGCGATTGCAGCCTCTGTGGAAGTTCGTGATGAATTTTACCTCTGGTGTTCCAAGCTCCATTAACGAGATTTTCCGGCTAACGCTCAGCATGGCTACCGAGGCTGTCACACCGGCCGTGGTGACGAACTTATGCTTTAGAATCTTGATTTTCTACTCTGCCACAAGAATCATACCTGCTCTCCAAAAAACAAATAGGCGTCGCTATCGCAGGTTCATGCGCATGCTATACTGGTACAGCCCTTGTATTGTCATCGCCATGTACACGCATCTCATTTTGCAATACTCGGGAGAGATCAATAATGATCTCTGCCTGTGGGGCTGTTTTCCCTGGTCGAATCCCGATGAAAACAAAGTCATCGTGGACTCGTGGGGGTTCTGGAACTGGTGCAACATATTTTGCACCATGGCCATCTACGCTTCTGAGCTGATCGGAAGCAAGAGCACATAAGCATGTAACTATACGCGGCAGTTTATAGATCAAGATTTTCCAACTAGTATTAATACAAATATTCTTTGTTGAGCAAGAGCATCAGAATAAGTAAGCAAGTCTCATCTGTACCACCAATTTTTGGTAGGCTCAGAGCTTGACTCTATGTTGCATTGGTATTTCATCCTTCTCGGGCTAGAATATTCATAATAATACTGGCAGGGCTCCTCTGAGCGTGTCAGTTTGGCATATTCGACTATGCAAAAGTGCCGAACCACTTCAAACTGGAAGAAAATTTTATTAATGGCAGGGCCCATGAGCCAAGAATGTAAGCTCCATTGGGTTATGACCACTCTAGAGTGGCCACAATCGTCATAACTATGGTTTGAGATCCACAGTGGATCTCACTACCGAAGACACCGCAACCCTAAGGCACGGGACTGCAAAGATCACGCATTAAATACGCGGTCTTTAATGAGTTGATTTAAACATTTTAAAAAATTTTTAAATCTCATTACGTTTTCCGCATACGAACTGGTGGGAGACTTTCAACCCAAAGCTTTGAAATGGCATACGCCTCTTGTGCAAGCTTCGACTAGTGACGATTCTTCGGCTATGGACCTGCGAAGATTTCATTTGCAAAAAGGTAAAATTTTCCCAACGATCTCGCCTTTTATATATCGAGATATTCGTATTCTGTTACCCTGAAGACAAGCAATACGACAGATGCAACATCAAAGGGCACCATTGACTATTCTGGTTAGCAGGCTTATGGGCAATAAAAGGAATGTCTGCTAGCTATTGGGAGTCAACGCAGCGTCACAAATGGCAGTACACTCGTGAATCTCTGTCCAGAGAACGTCAGCAACTCTGGCTAATGGAATGTCAGCTATTCCCTCAAGGTCTGACCGTGACAATGGAGAACCATAAAGGATCGAGTGAGCCAGTGACACGCAATATCCCCATAACGCGCTACGATTTGCATTATGGCAAGGACTACAATTTGCGTATCTACTGCTACTTTCTCATAATGAAGCTTGGGCGGCGCCTGAACATCAGGCAGTACGCTCTGGCCACTGCACACATATACTTATCTCGGTTTCTGCTATTAGTGTCGATTCGCGAGGTAAATCTGTATTTATTGGTGACTACATGCATATACCTCGCCTGCAAAGTTGAAGAGTGTCCACAGCATATACGTTCGCTGGTGAATGAGGCCCGTTCTCTGTGGCCAGAATTTGTACCTCCAGACCCTACCAAAGTCACAGAGTTCGAATTTTATTTGATCGAAGAATTGCAAAGCTATCTCATGGTACATCATCCATATCGGTCTATGGAGCAAATTGTTACTGCTCTGCGCTGCGAACCTTACGGCTTGACACTTACAACCGAGGACCTGCAGAACAGCTGGTCGTTGATCAACGACAGTTACATAACCGATGTGCATCTGATCTTTCCGCCACACGTGATAGCAATGGCCTGCCTATTTATAACTGTGTGTCTGCAGGGCTCACAGCAGCCAACAAATCAGCAAACGTTCAACAGATTCATGGCCGAATCGCACGTCGATCTCGCCGAGGTCATGGAGACGATTCAAGATCTTATCACTCTCTATGATTACTGGGACAAGTACAACGAGCCATGGATCAAATTTCTACTACACACTCTCTACTTAAGGCCATGATTCTCGAGCAATCATACTTTAAGCAAGGGCCACCGAAATTTATGCCGAAAGCTACACATGTTTCAACACTTCGAGTAGACGGTCCATGTGATTTCGAGGTCAGTGCTTAGTAAATTAATTGGCCTCTAAGCCTTTGCGCAGACACCATACACGGAATTAACGGCCCACGCTGCCGCCTTAAGCAGCATCTAGACTACTGTTGACGTGCGCCGCGTTCTGCAAACGCCTCCATTTGCATATAATTGGTTAAGTCCGACAAGACGGTGGGTAAAATGGAATCATCGTAACGAGTGATATGAAATACACTCGTTGTCCACTTTTTTTTCATAATGAGAAACGAATTCTCGTATTTATCGAGATGTAGTGGAAGATTTGCAACAAGTGGTGTTTTGTCATAAGAACGTGAATATTTCTGTTCATATAAACCCGTTAGGCAACTCCAGAGGAATTACATGAGTACCGAATTAAAACAACGGAGAACCGTGGTCGAAAGTGAGCCCAAACGACACGCTGGCACTCATAAGAAGAACCATCGTCGCCAGAAGAAGGTGGCCTACATGGTCGACCGATATTCAGTTGCGCTATCTTCGATACTTTTATTAGCACTATATGTGATCGGCTGCTTCAGACCTGCCTACACTTACAAGTTCACTCACTTGCAATACAGATATGCTGGAGCTGACGCGTACGACATCGGTATCGATGACACGTACATAGTGATTACATTTATCGTCGCTCTGATGCTTGTGAGATCTTTCCTACTTGAGTTCGTTCTGAAGCCAATTGCATTGTACAAATTTCACATCAAAAGTCAAAAGTCCCAACAGCGGTATGCCGAGCAAGGCTGGTCTCTTTTCTACTACAGTTTCTCATGGCTTTTCGGATTTTATCTCTATTACAACTCACCTTATTTTTTGAACTGTGATCATATCTACCTCGGTTGGCCTCACGATAGGTTGTCTGCCACATTTAAGGTTTACTACCTATTACAAATTGCATCCTGGTTACAACAAATTGTTGTGTTGAACGCAGAGGAAAGGCGCAAGGATCATTGGCAAATGTTCGCGCACCATATTATCACATGCTTGCTAACTACGGGATCTTACTACTACTATTTCACTAGAATTGGGCACGTTATTTTAATTTTAATGGATATCGTTGACGTACTTTTGTCTAGTGCGAAAATGCTCAAGTACTGCGGTTATACCACTGCTTGCGATTACATGTTTGCGGTTTTCTTAATTTTTTGGGTCGCGCTCAGACACGGTGCGTATAATTATATCTTTTATCATGCTGGTACAAAAGCACCTAGCCTAATGGCTAGTGGGCAGTGTGGATACTATCCTAATCAAAAAAGGTGCTGGACCCCATTCATTATTGATGTGTTCCTCTGGTTGCTCGGAGGATTGCAGGTGATTACGATCATATGGATGGCATTGATACTCAAGGTTCTTGCCAAGATTATTCGGGGAGGAAGTGCCGAAGATGTGAGGAGTGACAGCGAAGATACCGAATAATTACTCGCGGGTATTGTAAATTGTTCTCAATCCATCTTACTATCTGTAACATAGTTCCAGGAGAGATACTTGACGCCTAAGCGAGGTCAATTTCAACTTCTGGTGGTAAATAAAACACTTTTAATCAACAAAATGCTATTGCTTTTCTCTAGCTGGAATCGAATCCTCATTTTCGCTGCTTTTGATGGTTTCATAAATATCGATATCATTGCTGAGAAAGAGGAAGAAATGTAGCTGCCAACAAATACCTACAACGACTGAAATTTACAATGGACGATACCTTTGTTAATGAACCAATAGGGTCCATAATAGGAGTCGATTTGATCTATACCCTCAAGATTAATGTGCCAAGTAATTGGCAATAATATATGAGGAAATATGATTCTACTTATCGATTTATTAAGTGATCTATCTATCAACCTGTGTCAACTTTTCTCTAAATTTAGATTCTTCATTAGAAACTGATTCCAGTTGTAAAGTGAAAATTGCTCCCCATTGTCCACTATTATTATTCATGATTTTATCTAGTGTCAAGTGTCTAGTCGCCATTTATAGTTCCTGAAAATTCCGGCCTCGCTTTCACCGCGTGTCTTTATAGATGGACATTGCTTTGAAGCTTCTTCAAAAAACCCTTTAATCTAATGAGAATGCTTACCTGAATGGCGTATTATCAAAAAACAGATCAGTTTAGTTTTACCGAAACGATTTAAACCACTGATATATAGGAAAAATTGGATTATTAAGCACCATAGTACAAGGTCACATACAAGGAAAGGCACATCACAATAATTCCAAACCACGCCAATAGTAAACTGCATTTTTTGTAAAATACATCAGCTTTTGACATGAGCTGACCATTCATCACTGCTTGAGAGCCGATTAGCTTGTATCCAAATAGACCTGGTAACGTAAAAGAAATTGCAGTGGAGCCTGTTGCACCTACTAATGCTAGAACCAACGCAAATGATGTAACATTCAAAGCAAGCACGTAAAGAGATGATAGCAAGAGTGCTGTCATAATGTAATATCTGAGGTTTGGAAAAGGAACAGCTTCCTTCTTTTTATTGACCTGGCGCTCGATATCAGCGCCATTGTTTTGGGCAATGGACTGATAAGTGTCTTGCACCCCAAGCACCTGTCTATCTTCTTCATCTTCGACAACCATGGCAATCGGGGTTGATTGATGAACATGTTCCGTATTGATTTCTTGGTGTTCTTCGCAGCGGCCATAGGTAATTTGAAACCAGTGGAACATATTGTTCGCAGCAATACGGCACGGATGAAACATCAAAGGGAATGATAAAATTACCACAAATCCTAGGCAAAGCTTACCGAGTTGACTCCATCTAGAATTTGGATCGTAGTTTAGCATGATATTACCCAATACTTTACTGCCAAAGGTGAGATACCCGCAAAGACCCACACTCACGTAAAGTAAAGTAGAGATTCCAATGGACCCATTAATCACTTTAGAGATGTTAGTCATACTGTTGTCCTTTAACTCGTTGATAATACTAAACATATTCATGGATGCGGTGTATGCAAAAATGATGATGGTAAACGTGCTGACCATTCCCTTCAAATCATAAACGCGCACCCAAGAAACATCACCTCTGAATTCCTTATAGTTGTTTGTTAGCACAACATCGTAAATAAAAGTACCGTAGATCAAACACACCAAGTAACCAATTGCAAAAAGGCCAAGAATGCTCGAGTATTTCAATCCATCCAATCTACGAATTAGCGAAAGTGGTACAATGAGAACAGCACTTGCCAAAATCCAGCCATTACGGGTTCCTCCCAGAATTCCAGGAAACAAGTCTCCGATAAGAACGAGGTAGCTCAGCCCCACACCATAACATTGCAAGAACATTGGAAAGTCAAACGCTAGAGAAAGTGCGGGATAAGATATAGAGCAAAGAGTAAAGAAGGACGACTGGCGAGGATCGGTCAAAGTTTTGGAAGACTTGGCCAAAACGAAGAGTCCGAATCCTGATGTTATGGCTGCAATAAGGGTCAGGGTGACGCCCAAAAGAACACCATCACTCCTGAAGGCGTAGGGAATGGCTAGCATCCCCGCCCCAACAATCGTCTTGACTAGGTTCACTATGGAGAAGAAGGCCGTGGCTGTTGGTTCCATGTAAAATGTATATGTATGTATGCTTGCGACTTTCAATGATTAATTTATCATCAACCAAAAAAACCGTACTCTAAAAAACATCACACGAATAATGATGAAATTCTATTGAAAACGATGGAAGACAGTTTAAAGGGAAAAATACGCCAAATGATGCATGAAGACTCGGAAACGCTGGTACGATCTCTCGAGCGCGAAGATGGCGTTCTCGAATTGAAAATGGGACTTGATAGTGGCAAGTTTGACGTTCATAACGCAATAAGTGAAGATGACGACCTTAAACAAGAGCTTGAAGATCTGATACGCAAGTTCTACCCCGAAAAAAAGGAGTTTACGGAGGAAGATGTGGACGATGTATTTGATGAGGATGAATATAAGGCACAGTCATCTGCCGTGCGAAGATCTTCAGTGGTGGAGGAGGTCATTCCACCGGAGAACTTCAGCCATGTAGTAGGGGAGATATACCGCTCTAGTTTTCCACGCCCGGAGAACTTTGCATTCCTACAAAAGCGGATTAAACTCAAATCCATTCTGGTACTTATACCTGAGGAGTATCCACAAGAAAACCGCGAGTTTATGGAAGACGCAGGTATCAAGTTGTTTCAGGTCGGAATGAGCGGTAACAAGGAGCCGTTCGTGAATATTCCCTCTGATATCTTGACAAGAGCGTTGGAGGTTGCGATAAATCCCGCCAATCACCCGATCCTGATACATTGTAATCGAGGCAAGCACAGAACCGGATGTCTAGTGGGATGCATACGAAGATTACAAAACTGGTCTTTGACCATGATATTCGACGAGTACCGCCGTTTTGCGTTCCCTAAGGCGCGCGCACTAGACCAGCAGTTCATTGAGATGTACGACGACCACGTTATCAAAAAGAATGCACACGAGAATAATTGGTTGCCCATCAAGTGGTAAGCAGTCTGCAATTATGAGACAAAAAGGCATATATATGTTTGTAGTAGTACTATACAAAACCACCCGCGATAAAGCGTCTACCGTAAAAGTAGGTGTTGGTGAAGGCCGCGGAGCTGAGAAGCAGCGGCCACACGCGGCCGTATCTCAATGCTTTAACGGAACCGCGACCGCCCACGATGAGATACAGGGCCGACCACGCGGCCAAGAAGCCGGACCCGCTTTCGAGGTCACCGTCGTAGATAATCCAGCCTCCGAGCGCCTGAGCTGCACCGAACAAGAGCGCAGTTTTGGAGCTAGGACCCACGTATTTGGGCCGGCTGAATGAGGTCCAAAACGATCTGCCATTGGCGACGGCCGTGGGCGACGCAACGGCAGGCGACACGACCGGTGTGGCCAACAGCAATGCGGAATTGGCAAGTGCAGGGTAAGGGGTGGAGCTGAGCTCGGTGAGCTGTGCCAGCAGGCCCTGGCTGGCGACAGGCTGCGAATCAGAAGAATTGGACGACATGAAGACGCTTATTCGAGTCGAGAAAGTGGCATGTTCCTAAGCCCAAAAATCCTCCACCAGATACGCCTTTTTTTTTTGCTCCTGTAAATCAACGGCGCAATCTCAGTCGTAGACTCTTATATTATCGTTACAGAACCTATATTACTATACATAACCCAGGCCGGCGCAGAGCTCACGATCTCTCGCCTCTCAATCTTCTAGCCAACTTGATATCCTTCTTTTGGATGGTCACACGCTTAGCGTGGATGGCAGCCAAGTTGGTGTCTTCGAAAAGGGACACTAAGTACGCTTCGACGGATTCTTGCAAAGCACCGATAGCGGAAGATTGAAATCTCAAATCGGTCTTGAAATCTTGAGCAATTTCTCTAACCAATCTTTGGAAAGGCAACTTTCTGATAAGCAATTCAGTAGACTTTTGGAATCTTCTGATTTCTCTCAAAGCGACGGTACCTGGCTTATATCTGTGAGGCTTCTTCACACCACCGGTAGATGGAGCAGACTTTCTAGCGGCCTTGGACGCAAGTTGCTTTCTTGGGGCTTTACCACCTGTAGACTTTCTGGCTGTTTGCTTAGTTCTTGCCATTTCTGTGTTTGAACAATGCTATAATACTATTAGAAAAGAATCTAAATTCCTTTGCAACATCTATCCCCCAGTGGCGTTTCTCTTATACTAAATTATCCTCCCGAACGCCACGTTTGCGGGGCCAAATCGCGGCCTATTTCGGAGCGTCTTTTTCGCATTCGCGCTTGGCCGGAAACGCGTCTAAAGGCGCGAAAAGTCTGGTCCGCCAGTAGTGCTGGCGCGTTCGCGCGTAACGGTTTCGCAATTAACTTCAGGGACCAGGAGAAGCGCAAGCGCGGTACGGGCGATTCTGTCGGAGGCGCGAAAATCATGGTACACTGCCCGGACCGGAAGGTTCGCGCACGAGAGAAATACCCACACACCACAGCGAATATATGGGGCTTCCAGGCGGACCGGCGCTTTCGCGCGTATTCGCGTATTGCAATCGTCGTAGATTCGCCATACTGTTGGGCGGTAGCGAAGCGGTGAATTTCGCGTCGGGTGGCGGTTGCAGAGGTTGCAGAGTTATATAAAGTGAGAGGGAAAACCGGATGAGGTGTGGAATGTTTTTTTGTTTTCACTAACTCACAAATCAACAAAAGCAAACAATGTCTGGTAGAGGTAAAGGTGGTAAAGGTCTAGGAAAAGGTGGTGCCAAGCGTCACAGAAAGATTCTCAGAGATAACATTCAAGGTATCACAAAGCCAGCAATCAGAAGACTAGCCAGAAGAGGTGGTGTCAAGCGTATTTCTGGTTTGATCTACGAAGAGGTCAGAGCTGTTCTAAAATCTTTCTTGGAATCTGTCATCAGAGATGCTGTCACTTACACTGAGCACGCCAAGAGAAAGACTGTTACTTCTTTGGATGTTGTGTACGCCTTGAAGAGACAAGGCAGAACCTTGTACGGTTTCGGTGGTTAAGCTTAACGTTTTATATGGATACGTATTCTATCAATACATTGTACAATAGTGTTTCGACAACAACCATTTTGCATGGTTTCAGCGATTTTGAAGCTCCGCGCGGAGTTCCAGTCGCAGCTGTTTCAGGCGCATTGCAGCGTTTTCGGGCACGTCGGGCAGATGCTCGTCCCACAGCAACTCCCCCCATAGTCCGAAGCACTCATCGCAGGTGTCTTCGATTTCCTTGCGGTTCGGGCAGTCGCACCGGCACCCGACACCCACGTTAGTTTCGGGCGTCGCGCGACGTCCTGTGCGTGCCAGGCGGGCGAAAATGGTGTCCTGGGACGCAAATACCGACTTATACGCCGGGTTTGGAGTGTACGCCAGCTGTTTACCGGCCTTATTGGCAGGACAATGCGCAAGCGTTGAGTGCTGGTAGCCAATGTCGCGGAAGTAGTGCACGTCCTCCAAATTTAGGCTCAGCGCGAGCCCCAACGAGTGTACAGGCGCGTCGCCCCATCGCTCGGCCCAGAATCCGCCTGATTCCTCCAGATACTGGAAATAGGCGTTATAGAGGTCGTTGTTGAACACGTCAACGCGTGCGATCTCGAAATTGCTCCAAAAGTGACACAGGTTAAATTCCTCATTGTCGAATTTGTCCTCCACGATTGGCACCTTTTGTCTGCTGCGCTCCACTAACGCGTACAGCATGTCAGCATCTACTTCAGCATCACTCGCGTAATTTCTGCTCAGCAGCTCGTCGGCAAGAACTTTCTTTTTGAGCTCGTCATCTATTTGAAATCGGTAATTGACGAGTTTGTTCATCTCCGCGTCGCCCGAAAGTACGTTGTAATCCCAAGTGAACATTTTCCACAGTGTACCAACCTGCAAACCGTGGCTGCGAATAAAGCTTTTTGTAAACCTGAATAAATTCGGCACGGTCCAGAAAAGTTCTTTTATGACCATGGTGAAGCCGTATTTCTTGCCATGCTTGGCCATCTCCCAGAATGGGTCGTAAGTGGTATCACAAAAGAACTCTACGTCGGGCTCAATGCGCCAATACCACTCGTATTCCAGTACCATTGGGTGTCTGTAAAACAGCCCGGAATAAAAGCGACACATCTTGTGGTAGGATTCCATATTGCCGTACATGATACCTCGGTCTCCCTGATCATCAATACTATGTTTAAACAAAAGAGAGTCACGAACCTCCTTCGGAAATTCCCATTCGAACTCGCTCACAAGTCCAAATCGCACATGCGCCGTTGTCACTGCTCCAACTTGCTGCCGGAATTCTTCGCTAAAAGGCTCATCATTCAAAAACACGTATGGGTATTGAAACCATTGGTTGAAATGGCGTTCTATGCTGAGCATTGTTTGCAGTACACCCTCGATTTCTTGATTTCTTGTCAACATCACGAATGTCGCATTTTGTTTTTGGTATTGTGGGTCGCGAATGTACTCTAATGGATCAAGGCATCCATGAACGAAAACGTCATCTTTTTGAGAGCCAATATCAAACTTTGAATACGGAATCTTTTCATTAGTATGTACAAAGTGTTTCTTAAGCGGGTACTGGACCAGGTACCATATAGCCGCACCTATCAGAGCGAATATCAAAGATCGCCTGTACTTCCGTCTTCGCGTATTCAAAGCCTTCCAAACTGACATTATTGACAATGTGTCCAATAGACTTCACCCAAAGTGCATTGACTGATATTCAGACGTTATGTAAAGCTTTGTGGCCGAAAACACTCTTGATGCCCAATGTCGATTCACGACGACATACATATATAGTCACCACATACGAGCTAAAATCTAGTAAAGATCAAGGCCATTCCTACACTATTTAAACCTTGAATGGAGCGGGCGGTTGACCGGTTATAGATCTTATCAGTGCTATATCTTCTGTTACCTCTTCAGGTTTGAGGGAGGGAAGCGGCGGCGCAGCCTTTGTGGAATACCGTTGCGTTGATCTGGTTTTCTTCTTTTCGGGCTCTTTTTCACCAAAAAGCAGCGCTTGTAGATCAGTGGAGTCGCTAATACCTTGTAGAAACTCCGAATCCGATTGAGCACTAGTGTAACCTGCAGCAACGGATGATTCCTTGGTGGATTGAACGTCGTGATCGTCACTGACGGCGCGCGACGCAACAGTAGTTGCTAGTCTTCGGCGCAACGACCTCCTCTCAGTTCCGGTATCAGTTGCACTCTCAGTAGCCGAGAAGTCCTTCGCAAACTCGTTTGGAGAGGAGTCCCACGCGGTCGCAGTTGCACTTCGAGTGTTCTTCTGAAACTTGGCCCGAGAGTAGTCCATAGAGTAGGAATGCACATTTGCAACGTCCATCAAGAGCCGCTCCTCCTGTAATTTCTTCATCTTGCGCTCGAGAGACTCATACAGCCTTTCTTTACAAAGTTTGATTATCTTCTCATGCTCCTCTCGGGTCTTCTCGATGTCCTCCTGGAACTCGATTCGGGATCTATTTACCCGATATTCTTCAAACAGACGAAGCCTTACCAATTCCAGATCCCTTTCTTCTTCTAGATCACGCAGTCTGCGAATAAACTCTACGCTATTGCCCTGATGAAGTGTCGTAAGTGTGGTTTGCAATGACGTTAGGCGGTTACGGTAGTACACATCTTTGTCGATTGCAAAGTTATGCGTGATTTTGGCAACCTTTGCCTCGATATTATGTCTCCTCTTGTCTTTCCTCGTAACTGTCGTTCATGTTAGTATAATCGGCCCCCCCCCTTGATAGTAAATCGCACTCACAACAAAATTGTATGCCAAACGCGCAATATCGCGTTTGAATGACATCGCTGGCTCGCTGCTCTCTACATAGAAGTTCAATTCATACCTTCCTGCTGTGTAACGGTGTGACTCATCATCACCTGTATAAATCCGAGTTTTCGACTGATGTATCGGTTTCTCCGTTGATATTTGATATTTTGTTCGCTTTATGGAAACTGAAAAATTTCTGTGTCTTGAAATTCGAAGCGATGAGCCATTCTAAAACACACCGATGGCAGAACATCTGGAGCTTCTTACACATGATTTCAAATCTGTGAAGCAAGTTAAAACACTATTAGAGCAAAACAATGCGTTTATCAAACCAATGACTACTGAAAATGGCGCGAAAGTGATTAAGACTACACTTACTGCTGATAGCGCCTTACTGACCGATATTCTTAACCGCTACAGCGGCATTGAAACACGACCATACGCACATGACGCCGCTGAAACCGAGAATGGGATCACAGGCTTTACTATGAATTTCTTTCTAAGTCACGGATTGCCGAAGCAACACTGCGAGGAGCTCGTGAATCATTTGCCGCTACGCTATACGATTTACAAACCATTGATATTGTTCAACAACTCCAACCAGCGCAGCTTTATGCTCGCTTGCTGGGAAAGCGCCTTCAAACTTGTTAAAAAACACGAATACTTTGAGGCGATGCTACAACAGCAGTTCCCACAGTGCACTCATGTCGCAGTTAACATGCCGATAGTCGAGGAGGATGTAATGCGTCGGCCATTTAACATAGTAGCCTTACATGGGACGCTGTTTGACGGCGAACTACGCGCAACCACCTGGAGTGCCCCGTCATCTCAGGATTTCAACAACACACTGTGGTGCCATGTTGTGCAGAATGGCATCCACCAAGTGTGGGCCCCCACCTTTACTATGTTCAGCCGCGGTAACATCAAGGAGAAGAAACGCATTTTAGATAATTACGATGACATAAGTGGCCACGACGTAGTTGACCTGTATGCCGGAATCGGTTACTTTACATTGAGCTATTTAAAACGAGGCGCACGCCGGGTCTTCTGCTTCGAACTAAATCCCTGGAGTACAGAAGGTTTAAGGCGTGGTGTGCTCCTTAACAGGTTTGAGGGCAAGTGCCACATTTATCAAGAATCGAATGAGAACTGTGAGGAACGCTTACGCGCCTTCCAACGCGATCATAACGGCGGCGACCGTTTGCAAATCCGACACATTAACCTAGGCCTCTTACCGACTAGCGTGCCTGGCTATCCAATCGCTCTACGAGTGATCCGCGAGTACAGCTCTTTGCCCTTAACAACTTTACACATTCACGAGAACGTTCATGTGGCTGAGCTACAAAACGGAGCCTTTGTTGAGCTGACGTTACAACGGCTACTCCGCATCGATGCCAGTTACAATTACACACCAAGGCATGTGGAAAAAATCAAGACATTTGCTCCCGACATCTGGCACGTCTGCCTAGACCTTGACGTTCATAAACTATCCTCTTGAGACTCTTGTGCGCATTCAGAAGAGACGTTGATACTGGATACAATTGAATATTACGAGGGCGCGCATACCGAGCCTCCCTCAGGAAAAAAAATAAAAAAATATAACGGACCAATTATGCCCAATGAAGAAGACATAGAGAAAAGTCTGGTAAGAACAAGAACTGCAGGTTGGTCGAGGTATACGATGGATTTCGAACAGTTCATGAACATACAGAGCAACTCTTTCGATGAGGATAATGACGCCGGTATGAATAATGGGACACGGTCCGACGGACGGTTTTCTGGAAACAGAGAGCACCCTGAAGATAGCGCAGCGGATTTTGGAAAGGTCGAAGAAAGCAGATACCAAAACGGATCTGGAGACTTCTTCATGGAACAAATGTTTCTGTCTCCATTGGCTGAGCGTGCAGTAAATGAGCTGGACACTGGGGTAAAGTTCCCAACGCCGACCATCAATGTGGAGTCAAGTGACCAAGGGGAGGTTGTGACTGTCACAAACAATACAGGTACGCGACACCATTTACAAAACTTGGGACTTGACTTTCTCGGTGATCAGTTTGGTAAGAACATGAACAGTGACCTGTACGCACCTCCCAATAAATTCGAAGATCGTCCATCGATGCTATCACCTACAGTGCAGGATGACTCCGCATCGGTGCATTCTGCGATATCAGATTCGGCGTACTCAAACACATTACATCCTCAAGACATCGCTTTGTCGCCCGCTCCTTCCAACTTCACAACCGGCGATGACGAGCTCGACGAGATACTGAGCGTCCACTCAAGCCGAGAGCCTTATGAGAGCTCAAGCACTCAACATGGTGCCGAGTCGGCACTTCGAGAAATCGATAACTTTCTAAGTCCCGTAGAAGGCATGTTTCCGGATTTTAACTCACAGCCTTTCCCTAATGCTGGTGTGGTGGGGCTCAACGAGGCATTCTCAGCACCTCGAATTTCCATTCAAGAGTTCCAAGCCATAACACCCTCAGAGGTAACTAAGTCGCCTCTGGTAAGCGATACGCCCTCACCGTCCAATTCCTTTAATAGTACGCCGGTTGGATCCAATCATGCCTATCTTTCTGTAGAGAGGGATGAAATAGCAGCCACTAGCGATGGCGAAGAGGTCCACGAACAAATGAGGCAGGGTCGCAAGATGCGAAGACGGTCGACAAATGCGCCCTACCGCTCACGATCCAAGAGCCGTAGCTTATCTCAAGAGCAGAAGGCACGGTCACTCAGCGAAAACAGGGAGAAGCTTTTAGGACTAGCTGCCCTGAAGCCCTCGAAATCACACACTGAAGATGAGGAAAGCGGAATTCTGCATGACTCTGAAGATGAAGGTGAATCACCTCTGAATCTGACTGGAAACACGCGACGGAAGAGCTCACAAAAAAATCCCGCCATATACGCCTGCGAGCTTTGCGATAAGAAATTCACAAGGCCATACAACTTAAAATCGCATCTACGAACACACACTGACGAAAGACCATTCTCTTGTAGTGTTTGTGGGAAAGCATTTGCTAGACAGCACGATCGAAAGAGGCACGAAGACCTTCATACAGGTAAGAAGAGATATGTTTGCGGGGGTAGGTTAAAGAATGGCAGTTCCTGGGGTTGTGGCAAGAAGTTCGCGCGAAGCGATGCTCTTGGCCGACATTTCAAAACGGAAAGTGGTAGGCGATGCATTGCACCTTTGTACGAGGAGGCTGCGATAGAGAAAGAATCAGGCAGAGCCTCTGATATTATTCTCCCGATGGGATTAGAGTAATCGTTTACTAAGTTGTATGTCAATTTGTAAAGAGTTATGTAATAGTACATTTATTTTTCTAATTTTTTTTTCTTGATTTCTAGAGGTCAGAAATTAGGTTGCCCAAAGAAGCAAAGCAGCTGAATAACAGCAAGTATGGACAGCATATCATCGGATGAGGAATTGGAAACCAGAATCGTCTCTGAAGCACGTTCGTCGTCGAAACAGAAAAAGACAGACATTGAGCTCAAACATCAAAAGCTTCTACAAGACCAGCAGGTGAAGTATGTGACTGACATTTTCTCCAAGAAGTCGAATACACCAGTCCAGATATCAAGCATAATCGTTAACAACAGTCAAGGAATAAGACCTGCTGTTCTTCAATCTTATCTGGATGCCACAATTGGCCAAGCTGTTAATGTGAAACAGCTCTGCGAACAATCTGATTCACTTTACTACAAGATGGTGTCCAATGGTCTGGTGGAAAGTTTAACACAAACGCTAGACAGCAGGGGCACCTTTCACATTCCTATTTCAAACCTCCCCTCAACAATGATTCCGTTTGGGACTTATGGTAAAACATTATCGATTGTAGATATTGTATCAACAATCGACTTGCATCCTATCAAAAAGTTTTCAGCCAAGACGGGTACAAACATTGGCAATGGTGAAGGTGACGGGTATCTCCAGTTTCAGTGGAGAAATGCCTTCGGTGGCGGAGAAAAATTTACATTTGATGCAACAAAGGGTACCAAAACGCATTCATCATATCTGCTCGAATATACACAGCCCCTGACACCTTGGTGGATATGGGGGTCTGCTCTATACAAAAATTCAAGGCAGATGGGACAAGCTGAGCTACTTTTAAGAGGCATTAAGATCTCATTGAAAAGTGCATTTTACAAGAATAAAGATTTCAACCATGAGATTTATTTTGAAAATTTGTGGAGATCAACGAAAGCCATGTCAACACACTCTTCGGATTACTTGTTATTTCAATGCGGAGACGATTTGAAAAGCTCTTTATGCCATACCCTAGCTTGGGATACGCGTGATAATGCCATTTTTCCTTGTGAAGGCAACTATCTCAGACTATCCAATGAATTAGCACTAGGAAGATATTGGAAAACTGCATTAGAGGTTTCTAAAGCGAAAAGCTGGTTTAATAACAACTTTTTGACCATGTCAACTACTACAAAGTGTGGCTACATCCAGAATTTCCACTCGCATACGATTCCTTTACACTTTAGTGATAAGTTCCACTGTGGCGGAAGTAATGATGTCCGCAGTTTTCAGCTTATGGGCTTAGGTCCAAAGGATCTGTTTGACTCCATGGGAGGAGATGCATTTGTTTCGTATGGTGTTAGTGCTTTTAGCCGATTGCCTATCAAACGCTGGGAAGACTCACACTTTAGATTGCACGCCTTTTTCAATGGCGGAAGACTAATCAACCATAACAATGTATCTTTAAAAAACTGCATATCCACACTTGCTACACAACACTCAACTTCCACGGGAATTGGTATAATATTTGCACATCCTGTGGCCCGATTCGAACTAAATTTTACAGTACCCCTTACGGCGCACTCAAGAGATTCCGTTAGAAAAGGATTTCAATATGGCATTGGACTGTCATTCTTGTGAATAATTAACAAAAGAAAAATAACATTGGCACGTTTACATATAGTTTTATAGAACAATAGAAAAAGTAAATTGACTTCTCGATCATTTTTCAGCTTGCGATCTGATCCATGTGCTATGACGCTTGATGACTTCTGGAATTATGAGTTCCTCAATTGTTTTGTGCTGAGAGTCAAGTCTGACCCAATCTCCTTCACGGTTTTCCTCTGATACCAAGACAACTTCCTTGTTTCTTGTCTGAAGAAGGTTTCCAATTACCAACTGGTGGCTATACCTATCAAGTGCTTGTGTGGCTTTTTTAATTAGAATATTGTTGTCTGTTTCTAATTTGAAAGAAACTATCATTGCTTCTCTTGCCCACGACACGACTAGCCTTCTCAAAAATTTTGGGACTGGATCCAAATTCACGATAAGCTTCCCATCTATGGTAGTGTGACTATTACCATCCGCGAGATCTTTCTGATTTGCTTCTTGTGATTGAATCTTATGCTCAGGTAACCGTGAGTAAGGAACAAAAAAATCACTTACTGCCGCAGCAAGATAAAAGAGGCTTCCACTCTGGTTGAGTAGCTTAGCCACTGATTTTAGAGACCATAAATACTGGTTCACAGTCGTAAAAGGTAAAAGAAGGAGTTGCTTTTCGCTGTTCATATATTTGTCATACAATGCTTTGTTATGCAAAATTGCAGACCTGTATTTTGGATTAATGTTGCCATCACCATCGAAGTAGTCTAGGAAACATGCCTCACTGTTATGAGTGAAATTACGATTAAATGGGGTCAAAGAGAACTCTCTATGTAAGAATATGACGGAATAGCCTTGGAAGAGAAATTGCTCCGCACTTGACGCACCACGAGTGCCTGCCGAAAAGTTGTCGATGAATCTAACGGTGTTGTTCTCTAGGGGAACAGTAGTACCTCCAGACGTCACTAAAACAATACGCTCCCTCCCCATTGAATGCTGCAAAGCTATAAACTCGCGCGCTTGCTTAACGAGGTCATCTAGGTAGGCTGGCCTGGGATTGGTTACAAAGTAACGTTCTTCATCTGATGTTTGTGCTGGAGGAAAGAAGTCTGTACCTATCGATCTGTCAATAGCCTTCGAGACCTCAGTGGTCGACGTATGGATAGGCATTTCGTATACTGCGGTCCTTGCGATGAGTTCGGTAGGGTGAAAAAAGTGTATCGTAAAACGTTTGTTGAACGTTAAGAGTCATTACATGAGTCAAAGAACTGAAGAATAAACGGACCCGTAATCAAATAACTTTAAGTAGATTTCCAAACATGATTCGCATTAGGTCTAAAGAGCCAATCAGGCCGTTCAATTATAATGACTGATAAATCTACTCAGGGAGATGTTAATAAATCAATGATAAATATAATAACAGATTTCTTGCAAAATGTAGATTGGTCTCTTGGCCCAGTTGGTTAAGGCACCGTGCTAATAACGCGGGGATCAGCGGTTCGATCCCGCTAGAGACCATTTTTTAAAGCTAAATTTTTGGAATATTTGCGACATGAAAATTTTTCCTTCTCTGGGCGATGCGTAGAGATAGAAAGGCGTGGTTTCGATTGAGCTTATTTTTATTGAAGATACGTTAGAGAAAAATTGTTCAACATCCAAGATAGCTTGACAAGGAATAGTTTGAGTTTCATTAGCATAAGGGACATAACTTTTCTCCATTTTTTTTGTCAAGGTTTTCTTTTTTATAAGTGTTTACTGTACAATAAGAATCGATGTCTGAACAGCGAGAACCAACTCAGGAAGAGCCCATTGAAGGCAAGGTCGAAGAGCAACTTGAAACGGAGCTTGGTGCCGACCAACCACAGATTACTCCAGCTAATGCTACCAAGGGTGGAAGAGAGACTTCTGACCGTATTTTGTACGTTGGAAACTTGGACAAGTCTGTTACGGAAAATATGTTGAAGCAATACTTTCAAGTTGGTGGTCCAATTGCCAACGTGAAAATTCTGGTTGATAAGAACAACCAGGAGGCCAATTACGCGTTCGTTGAGTACCACAAGCCTCATGACGCTAATGTCGCCTTTCAAACTTTAGACGGCAAGCAAATCGAAAACAACGTAGTTAAGATTAATTGGGCATTCCAATCACAACAAGTATCTTCAGAGGATACTTTCAACTTGTTTGTTGGTGATTTGAGCATCGATGTCGATGACGAAACTTTGGCTAACACCTTCAGAGAGTATCCTACCTTCATTCAAGCTCACGTAATGTGGGACATGCAAAGTGGTAGGTCTAGAGGCTATGGTTTCGTGTCATTTGGCGATCAAGAACAAGCACAGAAGGCAATGGAAGCTACTCAAGGCTTCATCCTAAATGGTAGAGCAATTAGAATCAACTGGGCCTCCAAGCGTGAGAATAACCAACCTCAAAATGCTCGTGGTCCTCGTCGTGGTGGATTCCGCAACCAGAACAACAACCATTTCAGACATACTCTCCCTCCAATGGGTATGGCTCCTCAAGGTGCTCCGATTCCAACAATGGGATTGCCACCTCAAGCTGCCCCACATGCGGCCCAACACCAGGGTCCTCTAGTGCCTCCACAGGTGAACCCACAAGCTGTTGATGCTATGATCAGAAGTGCTCCTCCAAGAGTTACAACTGTCTACATTGGAAATATCCCACATTTTTCTACTGAACCGGACTTGATTCCTTTGCTACAAAACTTTGGCTTTATTGTGGACTTCAAGCATTACCCAGATAGAGGATGCTGCTTTATCAAATATGGTACTCATGAACAGGCTGCTGTATGCATTTTGGCACTTGCCAACTTCCCATTTCAAGGTAGAAATCTTAGAACTGGATGGGGTAAGGAGAAGCCCGCCTTTATCCCACAAGGTAAACCAGGTCAAGTTCCTCACCCAATGGGTCAAATCCCTGTAAGAGAAGATCAACCAGATCAGCCAACTCAACAGGCACAGCAAGCTCCTGAAGATCACCAAGAGGAAAACCAATAAATTCCAATGACTGTAGATCCTCATTGTGCTTCTGTTGCACTTAGGAGGATCGGCAAGATTTGAGTATTTGTGTATTTAGCAATTATTAGAGACGGTTTTATCACCGAGACGGGAAATGTGGAAATGCAACTTTACTGAGCCCAGCTCATATTTCTCTCTATATACTTACTTATAATTCACGGGGAGAGCTTCCACTGACATAGTAATGCTGGAAAATGTACTTATTCTCGAAATTGGGAGCTGCAATGATAGATGTGGGAAATGAGTATTTAAGGACTCTACAGTTGTGTCAAGAATTCGATATTTTATGATGCTTCGAACATCGAACATAGCACATAATGGTTTCAAGTTATTCACATCGGATGAATGGCTCCAAATCCGATAAACTTCTATTCACTTTCCACAATTATGATAACTCTCAATAGTATAGGTAGCGCATTCTACGGATACTACTTAATACTAGTCAACCAATATGGTGATATTCCCTTTCTGAGTTCAGAGAAAACTGAATTCCCACCATATCTCTTATATCTTTCAAATCTGGCACAGCCATATACTAAAGCTTTTCTTCACATCATCTGATAAGCTAAGAATATCAAAGAAGATCTTTCCAAACTCTAACGTCTGTTTAATTATTGTATCTTTGAACGAATAGCCGCCGAGGTACATTTGAGCATTACAATTATAAATACAGCAACTTACTGGTGGATCGAGTCATTCCTTGAATACCGAGAGGAGTAATACTAGATGTAAATCTGTGATGGAAATCAAGAGACAACTAATTATATTGTAATTCTTGATTCCGATGATATTTTTTGTTGCGTTAAAACACACACTTTAAAGCATGATTATACTTCTCAACTAATGAGAAATTCGGTTTTCTTCTTTTCTTACTATAGGCTAAGTATAAATGAATGGACCAACTAATTTTCATAAATCGTAATGATCTATTGAGATAATTTTGAAAAACTAATATATCTCGGCCCAAGCTTGTGTTTTGTTCGGCTACTTACTGAAAAATCACTGGTCCGAGTGTGTTTCAATTATCAGGATAGGCATGAGTATTAACGGTATCCCTTTTCAAGAGATATAAGTTTCGCTTGAAGACAATCTTTCATTTCTTGTAATTGATTGATTGCTCAACTTTCTTCCGTAGATTATCTTACACAAGTCACATCTACTGAGCGATTGAGATTTTCGACCTTTAGTTATATCGATGGCATATTCATTCACTATTCTGTTTTTTAATGATATTCTAAGAACTAACATCCGCTTTAGAGCGGTTCATAAAAAGTGCATAAGGCAAAGACTAACTAGGCACTTTATAACGTCAATTCTTCGAATTTGTTCTTTTCTATCATGGACGAGTCGTACAATGAGAGTAGAAAATTTTTTCTTAGAAAGAGAAGAGAGTAACAAAAATCTTGACTTAGATCGAATCGAGCCATCATTGTCCGGCATTTCTTTCAAGGAATATATCTGTACGGTTGCAGCTCATCTTACCGGATTGATTGGACTTCACTTTTCTTACAGATCTGAAGATTCAAAGTATATTTTATGAATTTTTTGTCTGGAGAAGCTGTTGCTGTTATATTATCCACATTTGACGTTTTGTTCGAGAAGATAAGTCACAAGAGTACTACTCTGTTCATTTTAATTGTTTCAACTGGATTCTTACTATACAAGAATAAGGCTTACTTTTTAGAGATCATGGAGAATTTCGGAACAGTTGGGGGGGACTTGACGAGAGGATTCAGAAATAGTTACAAGGGAAACATGTTTAATAGATGGAGCTCAAGGAATACGCGACGCGAGGAAGAAGTATTAAAACGAGGTGGTTATGTCGGTGGTCTTGTTAATGATGGAAATACTTGTTTTATGAACTCAGTGCTGCAGTCCTTGGCGTCTTCAAAAGAGCTACTGAAGTTCCTAGATGACGAGATTATCCAAGCGGTGGAGGACTTGGATGAGGCAGAAGATGAGAAAGAAGCAGAAACATCGACTGAAGGGGAAACCTCTGCGTCTCACAAGAGCAAGTCATCCAAAAATAAGACTTACGGAAAGCATAAAAAGAGATCATCTAGAAAAGCTGAGCTCGAGGCCGCGGAAAAAAATGAGGACATTAATATCATGTTCAGCGTCACTTTGAAATACCTCTTGGATAAGCTGAATGCAAAGTATTATAGAGAAAGACCATATTTCAAAACCAATGGACTGTTGAAGACAATGTCAAAAGCACCCAACAAAAACATCATTCTTGGTTATGATCAAGAGGACGCTCAAGAATTTTTCCAAGCTATTTTGAGTGAACTTGAAAAAAATGTCAAATCAATTCCAGGTAAAGCCACTAAGCAAATTAACGATCCTGTAAAGGAAGACGATCTTCCGCCAGAGGCTGTAATCGGGCAAGATCAGCTAGGGAAAATCGGAACTGTATACATTCCAACAGATCAAATTGACCCTAACTCGGTATTGAGTGACTCATCTGTGAAGTATTACACGCCCTTCAATCTCATTACTCCACTTGATGGGATTTCAGCTGAGCGCATAGGTTGTCTTCAATGTGGGGAAAATGGAGGGATTCGATACTCTGTATTTTCAGGCTTAAGTTTGAACCTTCCAAATGAAAACATCGGATCCACTCTTAAGCTCTCGGGCTTGCTAAGGGACTGGATTAAGCCGGAGATAATAGAAGGCGTTGAATGTAACCGTTGTGCTCTTACCGCCGTTTACGATCATCTAAAGAAGACTCTAGAGCAGTATGAATCTTCTTCGAATCCTCCAGAAAAGTTGATTGATGCTATGAACGCTAGGCTAGAAGAACTTGAACTTATTTTATCAAAGCCTGTTATCGATGATAAGGAGTATAAAAAATTGCATACCGAGAACATGGTTAGGAAATGTTCAAAGTCCAAACAAATTCTAATCTCTCGTCCACCACCATTATTATCTATTCATATCAACAGATCGGTATTTGATCCCCGTACTTTTATGATTAAAAAGAACAACTCTCGTGTTCTGTTTAAAACAAGATTAAATCTTTCACCATGGTGCTGCGACGTTGATGAAATTAATTTAGATGCACGGTTACCAATGTCCAAGAAGGAAGAATCTACACAAGATTCATCTGAAGATGAAAACGTTGGAGGGGAGTATTTTGCCAAACTTCACCGTCAATTTGAAGAAGAATTTGAAGACAGTGATGAAGAAGAAGACAGCCCATACTACAGAAACCGCATCAAGGATAACGTAGACTACGATCCTTTAAAAGGAGAAATTTCGAGTTCGAGCGACGATGAAGAAGACGTTGAAACTGATAGAGATTATAAGACTGACAAGTTAGGAAACATAATTGTCACGAAGCAAGATGCTACTCAAGATCAATCTGAAGACGAAGACGATTTTGGAAAAGCTGAAATTCAAGAGGTAGAACTTGATGACGTGGAGGAAAAGAATAGCGAGGAAGAAACTGAAGAAGTTCAAGAATCTGTCCCAAGCGCCTCTACGGTTCCCATAGGTCCTCTAACATATTGTTTACGTTCAGTTATAGTACATTATGGTACGCACAATTATGGACACTACATTGCGTTCAGAAAATTTAGAGGATGTTGGTGGAGAATCTCAGATGAGACTGTCTACGTCGTAGACGAAGCAGAAGTCCTATCTACCCCTGGTGTATTCATGTTATTTTACGAGTATGACTACGATGAGGAAACTCATCAAATGAGAGATGACGAAGAGTGGGAAAAAGGAGACGAAATTGAAATCGCAGATGAAATCAGTACCGCAGATGATGTAGCGACTGCAAACGATGCCAGTGAATAAGTCATTACCTTGTAAATTAATTAATAGAAATAGCTTCTTTAACTATATTTTTCGGTCTATAGATTTTTGAACTCCTTAGATGATTTGAATTGGCTGTGGTACAGTACTTGATTAACTAACTAACTGTTAGCGAGGGCGTACATACATTTATATATGTATGTAAATACACAGTACCAAAAGGTATGAAAGTGAGTGCTTCAAATACACTCATACCAAAGCCTCATTTTCCTCTTGCTCTCTTCCAGCGAATTTCTGGTATCTAGCTTCTTCTTCTTTGCGAGTTTCTGCGACATCTTCTTCTATCAATTCTTCGACATCGTAGTCGAATTCGTTCGGATCATTACTGAAAGTGCCAATTATACGTCTTTTCAGCCCCGTTTTACTGTCCACTTCAAACTCCTTTCCAGCCGAGAAGGCCGATGCGGTAGTATTCAGACGAAACTTGAATGGATTTTGATCTTTGGTGAAGTTAACTTTCTCCTTCAACTTTTCACGCTTTGATAGTCCTGTGGAGTCATGTCCTTTCCGGGATGCAGGCTTGGGCTTTTCAATCTTATAGGTAGCCACACCAGAGATCATTGGAAGCAAGGTGATGAATACAATCACCACGAGGAATAGTACTATATACACGTAAAAATCCATTGTCACGATTGAACTGCAGATGATGTCTTCCGTAGCGTCTTGGTTTCGTAACCGAGAAAAATATGAAAAAGTCACAACCTATTCCATGGGGAAAAGAAGATAGATTCTCTGATTCTAACAACGGGGAGACAAAAACATGTTGAAAAGAGTTCTTCTGTCAGTAGGTACAGTGTCAGCACGTCGTATTACTGCTAGGTGCATTCCAAAGTCCGTCATACTGCTACCTCAATCGCGAGTTATCTCACGGGCTAGACATTATTCTGTTTCGACCGATGGCCATGACATCCCGCAAGAAATTCGCGACTTGACCATGGATGTTTACCATGCGCAATCCGACGCTTTTTTAGAATCACTCCAAGACCAATTGGAGGGCATTAGCGACTCCTACCCCGAGGTGGTTCCCGACATCGAGCTAACGCAGGGCGTCATGACACTAGTCGTTCCGCAGCTTGGCACCTACGTGATTAACAAGCAACCACCTAACAAACAAATATGGCTTTCGTCACCAGTGTCAGGGCCCAACCGTTTCGATCTCATCAAAGGGAATTGGATCTCTCTCAGAGACGGAAGCAAACTACTAGACCTACTTAACCAGGAATTGGGTGAGGTTATGCCCGATCCTGTTTCGCTCGACGCTTAATTTATTTACTCGCTATGTACCACATCGAGATTCTTGTTAATACATCTTTCGTACCAGCTTTGAAGCCTGGTCCCACATATCAAACCGGACTTAAACACCACATCGCGGTACAACCCACAACCCACCTTTGTTGTCGTGCTGTGTGCTTTCCCAATACGGTGGAGTCCGGGGCGTAACTGGTTGCTATCTACAGCGATTTCCGGGACGCGCATTACCCCTTTCTGGCTTTTGCTCTCCTGTTCAATCTTAATTCTCTTCTCCGTGAAACTATAAAACAGTTGCACGCTGGCCGTTCGTTTGTTCATCCATTCCGCAGCCAAGAAAACACCAATGACCAAGTCCTTCATTGTCACTCTAAAAGATCACGTCCCAGACGTTGATGTCGCATCCATTAAAGATTCAGTCTCTAAAATGGGTGGTGAGATCACACACGAATTCTCCTTGATTAAAGGTTTTACCGTCAAGTTACCAGAATCAATGCACATTGACAGCATCAAGAGCAAGCACTCCGATGCTATTGCCAACATCGAAGAGGACAAAGAAGTGTCCATCAAGAAGTAATTACGCGCTTGTATAAGCTAAATCTAGCAGTTAAGTCTATATAATAGCTAATAATGCCTACATTATACTAGTTCTTAGGTGTCAGTTGTCCTTCGAAGAGGCTTCTCCTGCCTCGTTAAAGATGGTATCACGTGAAAGTCACGTACCTCGAGAATCCGTCGCAGCCGCTTCGGGCTAAGTATATAAGGGGTAATAGTACAATTGCAACTGAGATGATGGATGTAAATCATTGTTTGTGAAGGAGAATAGGCCTAGGAAGCATTTCAATACCGATTGTTTAGTTTCTGTGACCATGGGATATTCCAAAATGAATAGTGACCCCCAATTCAAACCTGTTCAGGGGATTTACGAGGGCAGGCTCAGACAATTTATCGACAATGGAGGTGACTACCATGACTTGAATTTGCCTCGTTTCTACGACAAGAACAGGATATCTCTTGACGAAAAAGCCGTAAAAGTTGAATGGTACCAGATTCCTTTTGAAAAAGATTCGTCGCCAGTGTCGCCCGACAAGAGACCTCCCTGGAAGGAAGTTGTGGGGAAAGACCGAGCTGGGGAGATTAAATTCAAAAAAGCCGCTAAAAACCAACCCTTTGGCCCCAGTTGGTCGACAACATGGTTTAAAGTAGAGCTTGAAGTTCCAGACGAATGGCTTGAGTCTAAGGAGCGTCTAGTTTTCGAATGGGATTGTAATAACGAAGGTATCGTAATCGACCCCGAGACACTGATTCCAAAAACGGCGTTTTCTGGTGGCGGTGAAAGAACAGAGTACATCCTTCCTACTGGTCAGAAGCACCATGCTTTCTACATTGAGTGTGGCAACAACGGGATGTTTGGCTGCGGGGCTGGGTCCTCTATCAATCCCCCAGATAATAACCGGTTCTTTCACTTGAAGAAAGCTGACCTTGTGTGGCCCAATTGGGAGGCCAGGGCACTTTACATCGACTTTTGGATGTTGAGCGACGCTGCAAGAGAATTACCAGCGGATTCTTGGCAAAAGCACAGGGCAAGACAAGTTGGGAATATGATCATGGATGAGTTCGATCCCGATGACGTTGAAAGTGTTCATCGATGCCGCGAAATTGCTCGTCATGAGTACTTCGATAAATTTACCAATGATGCGAAGGTTTATCAAGGAGGAGATCCTAATCTTTTACCAAACGTGTATGGAGTGGGTAACTGCCATATTGACACTGCATGGTTGTGGCCATTTGCTGAGACTAAAAGAAAAGTTGTACGCTCTTGGTCTTCTCAATGTACGATTATGGATGAGTACCCGGAATATCAATTTGTCGCGTCACAAGCACAACAATTCAAATGGCTTCTCGAAGAGCACCCCAAGTTTTTCAAGGATGTACTTGTTCCGAAAGTTCAACAGTCTCAGTTTTTTCCCATCGGAGGGTCTTGGGTTGAAAACGACACTAATATTCCCTCGGGGGAATCACTTTGCAGACAGTTCTTCTTAGGCCAGCGTTTCTTCGAAAAGCACTTTGGTAAGAAGACGGAAATTTTCTGGCTACCTGACACATTTGGTTATTCTTCCCAAATTCCCCAAATTGCGAAAACTTCTGGAATTGACAAATTTTTGACTCAAAAATTATCTTGGAACAACATCAACAGTTTCCCTCATACTACTTTCAATTGGTGCGGTATTGATGGTTCGCAACTTCTCACGCATATGCCTCCTGGTAATACTTATACTGCAAGCTCTCATTTTGGGGATGTTTTGCGTAGTGCAAAACAAAACAAGGATTCAGAATTCTATCCTTCTGGTCTCATGTTGTATGGAAAAGGTGACGGTGGTGGTGGTCCCACGACGGAAATGCTAGAAAAAATGAGGCGCATTCGTTCTATGAGTAATCGGAATGGAAATATCATACCCAAACTAGAGGTTGGTACTACTGTTGAGGACTTTTATGAAGACGTCTTGAAGAGAACTAACGACGGTCACAATCTGCCAACTTGGTGCGGTGAGTTATACTTTGAGTTTCACAGGGGTACTTACACGACGCAAGCTCAAGTTAAAAGGTTGATGAGACTGTCTGAAATCAAACTTCACGATCTGGAATGGATTGCTACAAAGATTTCTATTTTGTTCCCCAATGACTATAAGTATCCAGTGAATAAAATTAACGAGTTGTGGGAAGATGTCTTGTTATGTCAATTTCATGATGTCTTACCTGGTTCTTGTATCGAAATGGTTTACAAGTATGAAGCACGTCCTATGCTCAGAAAAGTTATTGAGAAGTCCGAAAAGTTGATTAAAGACGCACTAAGTGTGGCAATTGCTTCTTCTGAAGAATCTGCTAAAGTTAGTTTCGGTACATTGCAGTCATTCGAAATCGAAAGCGATGAAAAAGCTGGAAAAGATTCGAGTGATGTCACAGTTGAAGAAAAAGAACAAGAAATCAGACTAGCAAATAAGAAACTTGAAGTTATCGTTGACAAATCGAAGGGTGTTATAACAAGTATCGTCGATGTGGTTGAAGGTTTCGAGTATCTTGATCTGAAGAATGGACGTAACAAAATCGGTGCTAATCAATTTGTTTTGTTTGATGACAAACCATTGGGCTGGCAGGCTTGGGATACCGAGCTTTACTCAGTTAACCAGTACAATTATATCACGAAAATAGAAAGTGTCAAGGTATCAAAGAATTCCTCGGAAGAATGCTCTGTTGAAGTAAAATTTAACATTTCTGATCAATGTAGCATTGTTACGGAAATTTCTTTGACTTCCAAGTCCTTGGGTTCCGAACAAGACGGATTCATTGGAATCAAAACTGTTGTTAATAATTGGAATCTCAGAAATAAATTTTTGAAAGTGGAGTTCCCTGTTAATGTTCGAAACGATTTTGCTTCTTATGAGACGCAATATGGTATCACAAAAAGACCAACACATTACAACACGTCTTGGGACGTCGCAAAATTTGAAGTTTGCCATCACAAGTTTGCTGATTATTCTGAGTTTAGTAAGGGTGTGTCAATTATCAATAATTGCAAATATGGTTTTGCTACACACGGCAACTTGATGCGGCTTTCGCTGTTACGTTCTCCTAAAGCACCAGATGCACATGCTGATATGGGTGATCATGAGATCAAGTACGCAATTTATCCTCACAAAGGAGCTTTGTCTGCAAAAACGGTCCAACTGGCCCTGGAATTTAACTTCGGGTACCGCTATGACATTCCCGCTGCACTTTCTGAGCATTTTGAGGATATCATCAAGTGTGAAGGCGATGCTAACGTTATCTTAGCCAACATGAAGAGAGGTGAGGATGATAGTGAGCTCGCTTCATTGTACTCCATGAAGGTCAAAGATGAGAAAAGTATTGTTTTGAGAGTATATGAAGCATTGGGTGGCGAGGCTCGTGCAAAGCTCATTACATCATTACCCATCAAAAGAGCTCTAAAAATGAATGGTTTGGAGCTTGATACGATTGAGAAGCTTGAGATCAAATCGGAAATTTTGACAAAAGATTCCAAGAAAACATCAGAGATTCCAATAAATCTAAAACCTTTTGAGATAGCGACGTACAAATTGATCTATTAAGGATGCTTTTTAAGTAGCTATTAAATATGTTATTATGATTATGAAGTGAATAAAAGGTCATCACATTGTAATACTGCAGGACAGCTAGATGAGGAACCTTTCTGATATGTCAGACAAATTGCATGTCAAGAAACATATCAAGTATTTAGAACGACACTTAGCTCTTCTACCCTCAAAATATCAAGAACACGAACCTAACAAGTTAGCGATTATATGTTATGCGTTAGTAGGACAAGCATGTTTAGGGGTGGACGTACCAAAGAAATATGAAGAAAGTAAGTCATGGTTAGAAACTCATTACAGAGAATTTAACTTGAACGGCGATCTCGTTTCTGGGTTTGTATCTTGTCCAACCATGGACCTTACCGCTGTTCCGACAATCAATCTGCCGAATACCCTATTTGCACTATATAATATGATTTGTTTGGACAATTACGAGTTTTTGTTTGAAGGAATTGATCGGGACAGCATTTGCAGATTTGTTTCAAAATGTCAAATACCAGGAAGAGGGACATTTGTGTCCTGTCTTGATTCGATGGATAATAGCATCAGGTCACCCACCGATTCAAGCGATTTGAGATATTGCTATATAGCAGTTGCAATTTTGAACTTGATGGGATGTCAAACAACTGTACAAATGAGGAAATACATTGACGTCGACAACCTGCTTGAATTCATCAAAAGCCATTGCTGCATGACTGGTGGATTTGGACAGTATGGGGAGGCACATGCTGGCTATACCTCTTGTGCCTTATCCATTTTGGATATTATGGGCGGCGACTGTTGGCAAATTTTGAGCCCCGACTTTGTCTCAAGAACCATTGAGTGGTTAGTCATGAGACAAGTGTCAAATCAAGGCTGCATGAAACTTATGGTTAATAACGAAAACTATGACCTTGCAGATAATGGAGGTTTTCAAGGTCGGGAAAATAAGTTTGCAGATACATGTTACGTGTTTTGGTGTTTGAACTCGCTAGAAATTTTGAATCGTTTTACGAAGCTCGGCACGACGTATCACATAGATGCGTTAAACTATTTACTTGAAAATACCCAAAATGATGTTATCGGGGGTTTTGCAAAGAATGATGAGGATGATCCAGACCCCTATCACACCTGTTTAGGAATAGCTGCAATATCCTTGATAAATGGCAATTTTAATGGACCAATGTTTCTACCAACGACACTTTTATATAAATACCGTACTCACTACGTGCAGTGATAACCGCTATCCTTAATGCATTATTCGTCTACTTCAAGAGAACGTCACGACATGAACTTTTTGATTAGCTCTTCATAAATACCCCATGCTATTCCAGCACTCAGTGCTTTTCTTGTCAATCTCAAGCTTAATCCATCAAACAAGTTTCGCGGCTTCTCGTCCTTTAAGATTAAGTAAAAAGTCTTTAAAAAACCCGAAAATCGAGAAGGGTCTAATTGCATTCTAGTTTTGATTGTATCAAATGGTGACGTTATCGTGGTGGCTAAACTGGCTGAAAGGAAAGCGCCGATGGAATTAACAATTGTCGAAGTATAGGTAGTGAACATGCCCCTTTCATCATACGCAATTAACGTACCAGGCAGAACCTTGGGGAGTTGTTGCTTTGATTGCTCATAAAGAAGAACATAAAGACCAGCATAAGGTGCATCTCTCAGAATTGTAGCACCAGAACCATTGAAAAATCCTTTGAGACCCTCAGATTTATAAATATGCGAAGTAGCTTCTCCCATCGAGCGGTAAGAGTACATTGTCGATTCAAAACGCACTTTAATTACCGTTATCGGCATCGTAATAAGTCCTACCACGGCACGGCTAATGGCCCCAGAGAAGAGGTTTTCATACATCCCCAATTGAGGTAGGTAGCTGCTGTTGGTACGTTTGACAGTTTGCGCCCTACCCTTCGAAATAGTGGATCTGACGATATTCAATGTCGATAAATACAGAGCACTTCCAAATGAAGTTCGTAAAGCAGACGGAAGTGTACCTCTCCAGAGTTGTAATGGTGAATCAATAGATCGTATGGCATTCATTAAGGTAGTATTCTTGTTTTGTTGAATTCGGGTTTTTAACAAATCAAACGGTTGTAAGATTACAGACGAAGTTAACCCCCCAAAGAAACCGCCGACGAGATGAGAGGTCGTCCTTGAACGATCAGCCATTAGTACTCTGATGGTGAATGTATAGCAATTTGAACCTCTACGTAACTCAGACAATTGCTTTAGTAGTTTACGAACTGAAAAAGAGTACTACTCTGAAATCATTTCATACTATCCAAATTATCTACGATTGTTCGAACATTCAATTCAACTACTGAGATAGAAGAAGATTCATCACTCCCTGTTAAAGGTCCATCGCATACTGTAACTATTGAGTTTTCAGTAAGCCATTTTGACAGGAATAAAAATGATTTTCCGTCCAAAATTGAGATATGTTCGCGAAATTCCTCCAAGCTAGCAGCTTTTATTTCTCCAAAGTCCAATCTTGACAAATCGCAATTCAACCCAGTTCCCGTATATTTTGTATAAGCTTCTTTAAGGGACCAATAATGTGTGAATAATTTGTCTCTTATGTCACCCCTTGGTGCTCTTCGAAGAAAACTGTATTCCTCGGAAGAAAAGATATCTTGAAATAGGTCTAAATAGTTACTTTCCCATCTTTGACAATCTTTGGTGGATGCCATATCCATTCCAACATCAGAATGGCCTTGTGTCCTTTTCATATAAATAGCAGTTCTCGAATCGCTATTCGACATACTGAAAGACAGTCCAGTAGAGTTTTTAAGATATGGTTTTCCTTTTTCACTGTGGGAAAACTCAATCATTTGCCTAGGTAGCTTACTGAATTTTGAGCAAGTTATCAATTGCAACAGTTGATTGCAGAGGGCTGTATTACGCGCGTCGCCCCGTTTGTTGAGTATTCTCCGTTGAATATTTAAAGGCAAAAAGCGCATTGCCCTCTCGAACTGATATTCATCTTCTAGATAATTATCATGTGCATCAAGTACTATGATACATCTCTTTATGTCGTCCTGTTCGATAATTCTGTCAAGTTGTTCCATTGCTGTGTGTTGATAATTAATCACGGTTATCCGAACGGAAATAAACCTCTTAGATTTCATATACACAAGCTTGACTTTAAAGCCATAAAAAGTTCCCAAACATGTCCCAAGGAATTCCGGGTGACCGGCAAGAACTCTACCAGTCCGCTATATCTTTTTTGAAAGACACAACTGTGGCAGATGCTCCTTTGAGTAAAAAGGTCGAGTTCTTGCAGTCAAAGGGGCTGACGAAAGAAGAGATTGATTTGGCAATCAGAGAATCACAAGCTTCAACTACCGTCAGCAATCAAGCGCTGTCAACTGCACGAGATTTACCAGCTTCTTCTGAAAGCGTTCGGCAAGAATATAACTATGAAGCCGTACCCCCTCCTCTTCCTCGCCGAGATTGGAAGGACTACTTTATAATGGCAACGGCAAGTGCCGGTTTGTGCTATGGTGTCTATCAGCTGGCTAAGCGCTATGTTCTGCCTAATCTCTTGCCCGAACCACAGGCGAAGCTCGAACAAGATAAACAGGAGATATTCCAGCAGTTTGACAAAATGGAGAAGCTTCTCACCACAATTGAACAAGAGCAAGAAGAATTCAAGAAGAAAGAAGAAGAAAAGTTAGTTCAAGTTGATGCTACTGTCATTGATCTTCAGACGGCGCTTGACGCGACTACGAGAACAAGGGAAAGAATTGAAAATGAATTTAGGATGCTAAAGTTAGAGATGACTAACTTACAAAACTCAATAGATAGCTTCATGTCTGACAATAACAATTTGAAAGAGTTTGAGAAATTGAAAGAAGAGATTAACTCTTTGAAGAATCTCATAAAAACAAGCAGCCTTGTGAGATCAGAATCACCTTCCGAAGGCGATAAATCCCCCCAATCTAATGGCATACCGGGTGTCGAAGCAATACCCTCTGCATCTGAAATTTTAGCTAAAATGAATCTTTCCAAGAAGACGGACGAGAACGTCCCAGCGTGGAAGAAAGGGAAGGAAGCAGCGCTAAACTCCAGTGATGGATCAATACCAGAATGGCAGAAAACTGCTATGAAAAAAGCACACACCCCGATTCCTGACTGGCAGAAAGCAATGCTTAATGCAGAGTCATCTTCTGGATCGGAAGATCCTATATCCTAATTAGTTATCTCTCATTAATGCTGAAGTCCAGGTATTGTTAATCATAATATACGTATAATGATCTGTTTTACGTTCTTTAGTTTCCGTTTCATTGTACAATCAATAGTTTAATTCTCATCTTCATTACAACGCTAGAGAGAAGCAAAGATTGGCTTTGATCAGTTGTAATGACTGAAGAAAAAGATCCTGTGTTTGAGTTAGCAATCAATTGCGCTAATCGTCACCTGTCGGCCAAGCAATTTTTGTACTTTTACAATGAATTATTCAATGAAAAATATGGAGCAATTGTGAATAGCGGTGAAGAAACTGAAGAAAATGATAAGGAAAAGGACATCTACCGGAAGCTTGCTGATGTATTTTTGAGCGCTTTGAACTGCGAAGGCAATGTGCTTCTTGTAGAATATGTTGTCGAGGTACTATTTGTTAATTATAACTCAAAACTTGTTAGTGCCGTGATACCTCACATTTACTCGGTTTCTAATAAATCTTCTATGATTCATTTTTTCACCAAATCAGGAGCGTTTTTCAGTCGATTGACAGATAAGCTCGTTATGGATCAAGTCAATGAAGATCTAGGAACTGTTATCATTCCCTCTGTCCTAAGTGCTCATTTCAATTCGATCGAGCAGCAATTGGTCGTGTCTATTGCAAAATTCCTTCGCAGCATTCTACGATTATCTAATCAACTAATAATCCTCTCTAGTACAGACACCAGAGACAATACCTATATGTTGCTATCGCGTCTAGGTCAAATTAATAAATTACTCTACAAAAAGGTAGCCGACGATTTTGAATCTAAGTTGAACTATGAAAATTCTGAGCCAAACTTCCCAACAGATTATGCCCATAATACAGTTTCTCCTTCTATTATCTCTCCCAAATTCATGCATAGTCCATTAACAACAAGCAGTCGGGATATTGGAAAGAATTCGACAACGACCGCATATCAGGATGTAAAGCTAATTCGTTACTATAAAAATCTATGGCTTAATAGCAAGATTATGAATTGGTCGGCAAACGAGAGAGATTTTTTGATCAAGTATAATTCCATCGGTGCTTCAGTATGTGGTAAAACAACTCTGACTGATCAATTCAATGTTGATATCGTAGTAACGGATTTGATTGAAACTGCATTCACTTGTTTCGCACAATTTGTTAGCAATAAGCAATACCATCAATCCAATGCAAGTTTCAATCTCTTAGAGCGGCAGTGGGTGGTGTTTATCACTAAGCAGCTTCCTCTATTGATTTTGGAAAACGCTTCTAAAATGCCACATACAGTGACTAACGCACTAGAAAACATTGACGATAAAGTTGTCAAAGCAATCAAGTCATATTATTCAGACAAGGAGGATACGAAGAATCGTAACGAAGATCTTTTCGACGATCTTCCTAGTAATAATTTAGATATTCGGCATGATTTCATCAAGAACCTGATCATGCTCAAACTTCAACCACCTAGCATTTTAAATGAATATCTGAGAGATGATCAGGTTGTCGATATTAAATCTTTGCCCGCAAATGATTCTGTTATGATCAAAAATGCTCAAGGCGTGAAGGAACTAATCGAAGATTTTTCGCAATTTATCAAGTCTTCAATTGACGCGCTTGAAATTGAGTCTATTTTTGATGGCTTGAATGGCTCTGTTGGAGTGGGTAACAATAGTATCATTCAGATCCTTCAAAGCTTTGAAAGCTTGGCCCCTACAAAGCAAAAAGAAGCGGCTAATGTTTTCTATGATGTTCTATATGAGTCTGCAAGAAATTTTGACTCAAAAAGGCTATCGAAAATTTGTTGCATATTAACGTTCAATCTGGCGCATTCGCTGACGTCTATTTTGGCGTTTGTTTCCCCAGTCAAATTCCTAACCGTAATTGTGGAATTTTTAGACGAAATTTGGGATGCCAACATGAGCAAGATAAACGAGGGACTAAGTGACGAAACTGATCTGGAATCCAATAATGAGTTTTCTTCTTTTGCTTACGCCCTAGTTTTCGCCATTCATGTGTCAAAAACTTACGGCATTTTCATCGGAGACGTCCTGTTGTCTAATGGTCATGATAATCTTCAAGACTCATTTGTCGCTACCTTTACGACAAAACTAGGGGATATAAGCGATGAGATAAGATTATGCACACCGCAAAACTTTAATGACCTTCTCAAGACATGGGTTCGCGATCTTTTCATAAATGGTTCCATCTCTGACCCTCTCATGAAATCTGCAAACGTTAAAGATCTGGCCGTTCTCATTCCATATATTTTCAAACAGAGTATTATGAGCGTTGAATTGGGCTCTATTCGTGATGTCTCCACACTTATAGGTGGCTTTGAATATTTTTTGCAGCCCTTCTTAATAGTCGGGCTGATAGGAATTGTATTTTGGTTGGAGCACTATCTTACAACTCTCAAAAGTGAAGAAATACCGACAGAGTTACAGCAGTCAATTTTTGAAATGTTAAACTCTGTAATCAATCCTGCAGCCCTGAATGATGAATCTAAACCACTTCATGTGTTGATATTACGCCTGAACGCCATCGGTTTGATAAAAACATTGAAGTTCTTCAGAACTCAGTCTCAATCCAACTATGGTATATATTCATCTGATGTACAAGGAGATCCAAAGCTTGAGACACTAATTACCTGTTTGGAAAATATATCTTCTGTGGCAAATTTTTACAATATAGATCAGCGAATGTTAACCTCAAACGGAGGGTATTCGCAGAAGCAATTAGGATATTCTCCGTTTTTGATCACCAACGATACCCCAATAAGTTCAATAATGACCAATCAAATGAATTCATTCAGGAACCTTCACAGTAGCACTTATTTCAACATGGATTACTTATTTGCATTGACAGATATAATAACTCATGAAAGGTTCTTGGAGGACCTTTTGCAGTCGCTGAATGATAATCTTGTAACAAGCAACACTTCGATCTCGAGAACTAAGGGTGTTACTGGAGAAAAAGGACATGTTTTGGATTACATTTTCTATTTTTTGGTGATTCACGATGTGAAGGACTCGCCATCGAAAATAAACATGCTAAGATACATGGAATCCGCAGAGGGTGATTACGAAACATTTATGAAGGATAAAAAGGAACCAAAAACTGAGTCAGAGTTCAAGCTTGAGCAGCCCACCGATGAAGATTTTGACATGTTATTTGGAGAAGACACGAGCATTCAAGGTAATGATACGGATATCATTTCTACCGATAACAAAGATAAAGATGCATCTGTTTTGCCCAATTTATTACTTCTTCGAAACTCATTTGGTGTCATCTTGCATAAACTTAAGCTGCAAAAAGAGAGATCGTACAAAGCAGGCTTCATCTCAAAATCCGACCTTAACTGCTTTGAAGAATACAATAACAAATATATTGAGCTGCTAAAACGCGCTGTTATTTAAAATGCAGATAGATACAAAAGTGAATTTCAATTTTTTCTAGTTTTTTCCTATTTCTTTAAACCAGATATGCAAAAGAAAGCCTCTATAATGTCACCATACTATTCGGCTCTTGTGATAGTGTTTGCGGGCTATGTAGACATGTTGTTATTCAAAACTCCATTTCCGTTGGCTATCACTTTTTGGATATTCTTTTCTTGTGTCTTACCCTCCATGACAACTTGCTGGACATGTTCTTTTTGTTTGGCCCTATCTCTCATTCTCTCTTCAATTGTTCCCCTAATTAGCAAACGATAGACCGTAACTTGACGGGTCTGGCCCAGTCTATGGGCTCTGTCCATTGCTTGAGAATCTATAGTTGGGTTCCAATCGGAGTCATAGAATATGACAGTGTCTGCAGCAGTCAGATTGATACCTAACCCACCAGCTCTTGTACTCAACAGAAATATAAATATTTCAGGTTTCGTTTGCCAGTCGTGGACTAAATCTCTGCGATCCTCCAGCTTTGACGAACCATCCAATCTGATATGCTTGTATTGTCTATATGTCAAATATTCTTCCATCAAGTCCATCATACGCGTCATTTGGAAATAAATCAGAACACGATGACCACCTTTCTTCAAATCCACCAGGAGCTCATCCAATTTCTTGAGTTTAGTAGATTCTGTAATGAATCTATCCATCGATGGCATGGAAATATTCGAAGAAAAGTTCTTGTTGAAAGGTTTTGGAAATAGTTCTGACTTGGGGAATTCAGAGATAGGTATGTGTTTTTCCACATACATCTCATGTTGAATAATCGGGTGGATCTCACTTAAAGCTTGCGAAACAACCGGGTCGAACAATTCAACTGTTTTGTCATTAGCAAAATGGCGTGAACTCAAGATTTGAAGGTCGACTGGAGGTGCGCTGGCTACAGGGTGGTAGGCTTTTTGCCATGAATTCATGTACTCTTCATCATAAACTTTCTCTTTGATGTTCAGTAGGGAATCCATCACACCGCTAGTTGTCGTTTTACCTAGATTCAAAAGAGATTGAAGACGATTTTCTATCAAGTACTGATTAGCATGTGAAGTAGCCATTTCAGTCTCGTCTTCGTAAAGTATACGAAGATAATTCAATTGTTGTTCGTCAGTACCAGCTAAATCAATCGCTCTTTTTATCAGATTCATTTGTACGAGGCGGTTAAAATCATTTGGAGAAAATCCAGTCAACTTTGAGAGCTTCGAGCAAAGTTCAGAAGAGTTGGAAGGATGATAGACGTTCAAGGTATGATACAACAACTTGTTACGCGATCCAAGGTCATTTCTATAATTTGGTAGAATTAATTCATCGTAAATGAGTTTAGGAACATTGAAATTGATTGCATTTCTAGTAGAATACATGACATCAATCAAGTCTCCTTCTCTGAGTAAAGAACCACTTTTACCAAAGTCAGTAAAAGAAAATGGTGAGCTCACATCAGCTCTTTCAAAAAGGTCAGGATGATTGCAAACCTTTCTGAATTGCATCACAGTATTGACCAGATTTTGATCAGAAGATGCCTCATCATTTCCTGCGGCGTTTTCAATTGCATCATATGCTGCTGAAACTTGAGATTTGAGGACTTGATACAGTTTTGCTTGCCTGTGGGTTAAATCACACATTACATCGATCTCAATTTTGTCGCCCAACTCTGATTGAACGTTTTTCTTTATCCGCCTTAACATAAATGGTTTCAGTATCATATGTAAACGGCGTAATTGCTGTTGATTTAACTGGGTATTGGATTGTGCGTGCGATTCAATGTCCTTGGAAAACCAATCGCTGAACTCGTCATGAGAATCGAAAAGTGAAGGCATGATAAAATGCAACAAGGCCCACAATTCTTGCATGCTATTTTGAATAGGCGTACCCGTTAACAGAAGTCTGTTACGACAATGGAAGCTTAATAGATTTTTCCAACGAGAAGACTGAGAAGATTTGATGGCCTGTGCCTCATCCAATATCATGTACTGCCATTTCATTTTTTGCAAATAAGCGGCGTCAGATACAACCATTTGATAAGATGTGATCATTACATGAAATGGCGCGTCTTTACCATATCTTAGATGTTTTCTATCCCAAAATTTTCTGAGAACTTTCCGATCATTGCCGTTACCCCAGTAAGGTAGGATTTTAAAATCTGGGACAAATTTGGATATTTCGTTCACCCAGTTGTGCAACGTGGACGCAGGAGTGACTACGATGAACGGACCCCATATATTGTACCGTTCAGCTAAATTTGCCAGTACAGAGATAGATTGTACGGTTTTACCCAAACCCATTTCGTCTGCCAAGATACCATTAATACCCTGGTCGTACAAGTTTGCAAGCCAGTTTAAACCCTTCAACTGATATTCTTTTAGAGTACAGGTTAAAAGTTTTGGCTGGTCGATGGTAATTTCACCAAGAGAGGTTGGATTTTGGAAGTTAAGTTCTTCTTCTTCATCCGGATTGGCATCAAACTCTTTGGCCTTGGCCTGAGTCTCTAGCAACGCATTCGAGGCATTTTGAGCTGCCTTCAGGCGCAAACCTTCATCGTCTTCATTATCGAAATCAATAGTTTGAAAGTCGGTTTTATTTCCTTCGGTTTTGTCCAAGTCAATGTGCTCGACATTGTTCTGTTGTTTTAGAGAAGCATCAGCCATATTTCCCTCAAGTTCATCGGTCTTAATCTTACGTCCGATGAAATGGGAATATAATTCCGTCTGCGTGAGCAAGAAGTTCAATTTTCTAGCCTGCCTCTTGTTTTCACGCTCTTCTTCTTCGCGCTTAGCCTGGTCTAGTGCTTCCTTCTCGGCCTTCTTCTTGAGTTCCCTTTCTTCACGCTCGTTCTTTTTCCAAAAGCTGGACATCTCTCTTACACCTCTACGAGCCTTTGTCTGAAAGTCCTTTAACTGCCTAAAGTTTCTGACTTGCCATTTACGTGCTTCCCTTGCAACAAGAGAGGACGTTTTCTTGAAGTTAACCGCTCTGGTCGATTGTACTTGTTGCACCAGACGTGCGATCTTGGCCGAGTCCTTACGAGCCATGTCCTTCCATATTGTGAAGTAAGTGTTGTCGTAATGCCTTTGAATAGCGCGTGCCTCTTTGGCGGTCATCTTGAGCCCGTAAGTGGGCAGCCCATCGATCGACGTTATCAGCTCGCCGTTCGCGTTCTTGGCACCCAGTTTCCGTTTCTTCAAGTTACCCTCACCGGCCTCTTCTTCGAGGCTGCGCTTGTTCTCTGCAATCATCCGTTTCAATTGGCGGACATGGTACTGTTTCAGCGTGACTTTGACCTCTAGCTTTTCGCCCTGCGTGTGCTCTGTAATGGTAGCATTTGTGAATCGGCGCTTCTTGGCCTTGACGTGCTTGTTCTTGTTGACCATCTTGGCGATTTCGCGCCGGATCTTGACGCGCTCCGACGAGAGGTCCACCTTCTTGCCTTTGCCGGGCTCAGATTTGTCGTCGTCCAACATAAAGTCCTTGTCATTGGCGTCGTCGTCGGCGAAAACTACCTCCTCCTCGTCGCGTTCCTCGGTTTCCTCGGGCTCGTCGTCGTTGTCATTATCGTTGTCGATCTCGTTGTCGTTGTCGTTGTCGTTATCGTCGTCTTCGTCCTCGTCCTCGTCCGCAGCGTCGTCGTCGTCGGACGCTTCGTGGCGATTGTGGCCGTTGCCACGACTGTCGGTGTAGAAGTGGTCAGGCTCGCTGCCGGCTTGATACGCGGCGCGCTCGTGGCCCAACTCGTCCACTTCAGTCTTGACCTTTGATCTGGCCCGCGCCGTGCCGTTCCGCTTGGACTCGGCCTGCTTCTGACGCTGCCTCGACAGCAACTGCTGCTGCTGTTGTACAATCTCGTCGCGGTGTGCTAGGTACTCCTGGTACTGTGCCCACTCCTGGTTGGTCGTCTTCATGTTTTCCAAAAGTTTCTCGCATCCGACGCTGCCCAACTCGCGCGCCTGGTTGTTCCATTCCGTCACGAGCTCGAACTCTTGGTAGTTCAGCATCTTCCAGTCTTGATATCTCTGCTCTTTGATATCCCGCGTCCCAACCAATTGGAACTCCTTATTCAGCTGCTGTAAGAACAGGCTTCTGCTGTCAACTGTATTGCTGGCCGTACTGCCCGTTTTGCGTTCCGTTCCGCGCGACGGCTTAACATCTTCTTCATTCAACAAAGCTGCTAACGACATCGCTAATACCGTCTAACTGATGCAACCACTAACAGCCTGTTTGTTGTTTGCAATCTTGCAATCTCTCCTGAGAAAATTTTTCTCGCTTTGTCCGCAGCGCACGGGTTCGTATCCCTCAACCGTAGGTCCTTGTGGTTTTGCTTGTCCCCGACTCTCCTATTTAATCCAAATGCATGATGGCACCAGAAAAATTTTTTACGCATATATTCTATAAAGCGTTGTTGCTAACCCGATTAGGGCCGCTTGCTGAACGATCTTAAACGTGCTTGCAAGAACAGGTTGCAAGATAAAAGCTGGAAACCTCTGACTACCGCGGTTAGAAGCCTGCTACGGAAGCTTGTTTTACGGATCAAGAAGAAAGACACAAAATACGATCAAATGTTGCGTAGGTGGTGCTTATCGCGCCCAGGTGAGGGGCTGGGGTGCCCCTCAAGGTTTGCTTTTTTGCCACCCCATTTTCTTGCGAGGGATCAAAGGCCGAGTTTGAAGAAGTTGAAAGTTGGAATTTTCGCAACTTCGGGTGTCTGAATTCGTCGAAGGTGACGGTAATTCGCGGTTTTGTAGATATCGTCGGGGCTGCGCAGAGGAAAGCTTGAAAGAGGCTGTGTAGGGCGTATTCTTCTCGGGTAGGTCGAGCGAGGTTGATGTTGTGAACTTGGTATTGGCTTTTGCGTGCTGGAGACTGGTCCAGGTGAGGGTTTGAGAATGCGACCAGTGGTTGGCATTTCATACGAAGAAGGTTGGCCATCTCCGTCGATAAGTGCTACGTCTGTATGGAGACTGGTGGCAGCACGCTTGTGGTGCGTTGATCTGGCCATTGGATGGGTATCGGCTGCTGTACGCTCTCTATTTCACCTAAGAAGAGCCTGAGACGATCGTAGAATACAACAGCACAATTGAAAACGGCGTGAACAGCAGCGTGAACACCGTTGGTTGTAACTGCTCGCATCTTGTTGGCCGCTGAAATCATTCATTCATCTCTCCGCTCAGCTTACTCATCGTTTGAAGAGGGCACGTTGATTTTTGGTGCGTCATAGCCAGCGCTGGCTTTAATTTTCGGGCCTACTTATTCTAACGCTATTAGGGTACAAAAAGATTAAAAGCTTGGCGATAATCACGGGATACTATTCACAGATCGTCTCGTTGGCTCCTGAGAAGAAGGCAGAGGGAGACGGATACGGTTCTTCGCTTCTTCGAATTACTTTGGATGTTGTTGAACAGTAATCGCTGGGGAAAACTAGAGACGGCTCTTGCCTGATTCCTCTAACTTGGAACGACCCGAAATCAGTGGTTTATTTTCCGGGCCATATAGTATGCGGTTCCCCATTCCACTCTTAGCTTGGTGGTTGTTTCATCCCAACCGCAGCATACCTTTAGTTCGGCGATCATCATTTCGGCGACATCCATACCAGTATCACCGTATTGCTGCTGCCATGAATGGTATGCGCTCCAACTACGAAGATATTTTCTGAAGTCGCTTACGGTTAAGGAGTCCCGATACTCATAGTATTCTGTTTTTTGCTTGGATACCAGGGGACGGTAAACATGTCTTTCAATATCTGTGAACATCTTTTCTGGGATTTCAATTGACTCTCCAAAATTCCGCAAATATTCCTTGCCTGGTTTCCACATGGGACCCATATACCTCGGATCCTCGTAAACGTACTTCTCATAAATTTGGTTAGCCTCAGGGTAGTCCAAAAATATGGGCTCCACATAAAAGAAGAATGCTAATGTTCCTCCAGGCTTCAGGATAGCATGGGCCTGTTCAAAGAATTTTGAATGATTCATCCAGTGAACGCATTCTGCCCCAATAACCATATCAGTGGAGTTCCGATCAAGAACATTGGTCAAGTTTTCGGCGGCACAACATTTAAATGCTACACGGTGTTGGTCATCAGCAGTGAACGACTTTTTTAAAATTTCAGCGCATGCCAACATTGTCGCGGAGGGATCCAACCCATCTACTTCGTTAAAGTACTGTAACAAAGGAAAAGTAGCAATACCAGTGCCACAGCCAACATCTACTGCCTTTGCCTTGCCCCCCTTGTGGTAGGTCATTATCGCGTTGAATAAAGTTTCGGGGTAAGAAGGCCGGTTTTCTTGGTAAAATTTGGAGTTAAAAGATTCCTCTGAATAAGTAGACATTCTAATTAGTGATTATAGAAATATCTTTTGAACTGCAAGCTGGCGCCAGTAACTATTATTGTGGAGCTTTATATCTGTCACTCCAACCAAAAATAAGTGACAGACAAAATGCCGGTAACGGTCTTTGTTACACCGGTAAACTTGTGACTGAAAATGGGAATAGAGCACATGGGGAATCCGAGCACAACAGTTGCATATAAGGATAAGAACGTTCGAAAGTCGACTGAACCAATAATCGCGCTATGGAGATTTGGTGGATGCCAGTCTTTCGAGACGTATCATTTGCTCTAAGTAGCACCCGTGACAGATTAATGAAGAACATCCTTCAAGATGTGTGTATACCATAGGTTTATTCAGCGACTGAAGGGCTCTCGAGGTTCTCAGTGGTTTAATTGAAATCCTTGTGTATTTCGTTCATTTTTATGGGATGTCTGTAATACAATTGCTTGATTCTAGACACTTTACTCATGTTCCGACTAATCTTTGTTGAAAGACAGCAGGTGGGACTGGTGTCTGGGTAGCTTTGTCGTTAGTACACAAATGCGGAGGATAATTTATGAAGGAAACGCTGGCAGAGAGTCATGGATTTTTATACATTACAGTACCTACGAGTACATTGATAGCCGCTTTCTTCGAGAAGCTCGTAGGAAAGACTGAACGTTCTCTTTCGATCGAAAATACAGTGAATGAAACTTTGGACGTTACCTCCTGTTTTTCACCTTGAAGGGATATAAGATAATCGTTGATCGTCGCTCACCGATGAGTCAGAATGCTTTTATATAAAGCCTTTACACCTTACCGTAAGCCTACACATAACTTATAGATTTGGATTCAGTTTTTTTTCCTATAAGCCATTGTCCTTCCTTATGCAATGTTAAATATGATCAGTGGAATTATACATAACTCAAGGCATGGCAAAAAATAGCAGGCGTCGCATGAATTGTGGAGAATACTATTTTTCACACCGTGGTGATAATGACGATGCTCATCAAAGGAGAAAAACAGGCGATAACTCTGCCTAACTTAGAGCCGCGATTAACATAGTATATATAAGTACCGTGCCACTGGCTTGAGAGACAGTCTTATGAACTGCTACTTCTCAAAATGGAGAGTATAATAACGCAGTGCTATAATTCAATCAAAATGCTGACAATTAACAGGATGACCTCATAAGAGTAAAGGCGGTCGTGGCCGCATTGAAAACACTTTGATACTAAACTAGCTACGGTAGAAGAGTGTTCGGTATATACTTGTACACAGCTTCATTCACTCGAAAATTGACAGACACCTGTATTTTCATCGGCTATTTGTTCCATAAGTATTTGTAAACATGTCTCCAAGATCCTCAAAGCACTAATTAAAAAAAAGCTTCCTAGAAAGCAGTGTGCCATGTTGTTGTGATATTTCCCACGATATTCAGTATGAGCCTATGTGACCATCTAATTCAATCGTTTAGTGAAGTATAATTATTGACAGGAGCATCGGCCTTTGCCCGCTCCCACACTGCATCGATTTCAGCCACAATATTCTTGTCCAATGGACCGTCTTCGATCGCCTTTAGCGTATCACGCAATTGTTGCGGTGTGCGGCTGCCAACAATTAGGGCATCGCCTCGAGCGTAATCTAATGCCGAGTGGTAAGTGATCCACCGGTACGCAAGAACAGCACTGGTGACGCCCGCTTTTTCAGCAATTAAACCCCAACGCTCCAAAGCCTCTATCAACTTGGGGCGATTGTACAATGCCTGATATAGCTTACCAACTGGCGAGTTATTGTCGAAACGGCCTTTGGATCCTGTTGTGATTTCATCTGGTGTGTGTGCTAGAAAGCCACCAGCAATAGGCGAATAGGCATAAAAGGCGATGTTCAATTTTCGTAGCACGGGGAAAAGATCACTCTCGATTTTACGAGCAACTGCATTGTAATTGCCTTGATAAACAGTGGGAAGTGCATATCCCTTCTCGACTGCAATGTCATACACCTTTTGCACATCCTCTGGCGTGAAATTGGACAAACCAAAGCGCTTGAACCTACCTTGTTTATAAAAAACGTCGACGGCCTCTAGAGTTTCTTCAATTGGTACTTCGGGATCAGGACAATGGAGGTAGTAGATCTCGACACTGTCTACACCCAACAAAGAAAGAGATTCTGTGAAAGATTTCGTAATGCCCTCTCTTGTCTGACTACCTGGGGTGAAGCCTACAGCTTTTGTGTCAATCAAAAATTCTGATGCTAAGTTCAATTCCCCTATATTCTTTTCACTATTGGGATAGATTCTAGCCGTATCTAGCTCGTTAATACCAGCACTCTTTAAAATTTCAATAATTTCTTTGGATGTTTCTTGAGGGAGCGTCGCAAGAGGATAAGCGCCAAATACAATTTTAACGTTATTTGTAGACATGTTTAATTAACAATACTTCGATGTTTGATAGAAAAGTGTGAAAGTTGATATTCTTACACCTTCCGTGCAGCATCAGGAACTTTTCATTGGCAATTGAAAAGCATTTACACCATTTATATATGCATTCATCGTGTTTTATTGTGCTGATTAATAGTTTTTATTGTACTGGATGCTGACTTTTACGAAATGTGTATGTTTGCCCAAGAAGTCAATGAATTAATAATCAAATACTTTTGGGGACATAACAAAACAAAGGATTCAATACGAGGCATTCAGCTCTACGTCATGTGGTAATATTTAACGGTGGATTCCTATTTCAAACATCAATAGTTGCGATTTCTCACTATAATAATTCACGGCTTGGCATTGAAATCATGTAGAATGATCCATGTGTCTCGAAATTTATCTAAAATGAAGCTTTCCGTTTGGAGTTGAGTCCATGAATTAGCTTGCTAAGTATTTTAATATACTGTTGTGAGTTCACGAAGAGGATGATCGCACGCTTCAATACTCACTTATATATTGATGTCTTGTAGCATCACATTGACAAACTAATAGACAACCGTTGTGCCTTCGCTGTGAAACTTTTCGGCAGTTTGTTGAAAGGAGATACTCTTCAGAACCCCTTCCTACGATATTGCACCTTATCTGTTTTGTAACCAATTTTCGTATACAGCAATTGCGCTCGGTGGTTGAAATGGTCGGTGTTCCAGTATACATGAGGTGTTTGTAATTTGTCGGCATGGTCATATACATACTGAATCAGCTTTTTGCCCGCACCTTTTATTCTTGCCTCTTCATCGACGTAAAGGTCGTTCAACAAGATTTTATCCTTGACATCCCATGTCTGGATGTGGCTAAAGTAGTTAACCATGCCGATCGGCTCATTCGTAATTGGGCTTATTGCGAGCGCCGCCCACATTTTGACATCGGGATCTAGGCATCTCGTAAACGTAGAGTCACCAATTTCATCAGATAACGATACATGGTAGAAAGCCTGATATAACTTCCAAAGCCTGGTCCATTGCTCTTTATCTTTTGCCGTAATTGGTCTCACTATGACCTCCATCGCTTGCGCTCGTTGATTGAACTTTATATTAATAGAGCAAACAATCTTACCACTATAAATGTACCCTTTTTATACATTTACTGTCATCTGATCGTGTGGTTCCCGCGCGGATCTTTAACTTCCCTCCCCTTAGCTTATGCCAGCGACTTCGAGTGACCGCATCCTTATCGTCAAAAGTATAAATCAAGGATTACTCAATTACTGATAAAAATTTATAATGAGTCAATCCATAGAAAAACTTGAATCTCGTATTGAATAGATGTCAACTTCATATGGATGAATATGCCTATATATTTGTCAGTTAAGATGTGTAATTGGAGGAAACGCTGAGAATCATTTACAGCGGTCTTGGCGTTGCCGCTAATTATTGCGAAATCTAGTATCTCTTAGCAACAAAAACTCTCGGGTGGATGCATTAGTTGGAAGGAAATGAAGTGATAAACGTGTTAATTCACTTATCTCCTTTAAGATTTATGTGTTATTACGATGAATAAGTATCATAAATCATTGCTTTTGCTATCTTCATTGAAATTAATAACATTTATAATATACAAGTTGTATGTACGGAAAGCAGAGTATTTCACTTCCTACCGAATCTAGAAAGGAATCTCTTCATGTTTCTAGTGTTTTCCTTTACAATTTCTCTTGTAGGTTTAGAAAAGATATCATCTATTTCCTCCAAAGTCTTGTTCTTTGTCTCAGGCATGAAGAAAAGTTGGTAGGGGATACCAATCACAACGGCAATACCACCATAGAAACCAAGAGTTAGACCAGTGTATGTCATGGCATTTTGCATACGCTCAAAGTTGTAAGTAACTGTGAAAGCCCACAAGTATAGGAAAGTGGAACAGACAGTCATACCAACAGATCTGGTTGCAAGAGAGAAAGATTCCGAAGGCAAAACCCATGTTAGCGCAGAGTAGGAACCAAATGCCATGTTGTAAAGAATTTGTCCAGATAAGTATACACCTTCCGCAGCCGCCAAGTGGGTGTTTATGTTGATCTTGTAACCAATACCGACGAGGACTAAACCTAAGGAGAACACAATGATTGTCATGGACCATGTACGTCTTCCAAATCTGTCCATCCACAAGATTGCAGGAATGGTACCAATCAATAGGGCAGCACCACCAACCATGGACATAGCGACGGCTTGTTTATCATCAAAACCAATGTTCTGCATCAAGGTGGACATGTAGTACATGATGGCGTTGATACCAGTCAATTGACCCAAGGAAATCATCATAATGGCGTATACTAGTGCTCTGCGGTTACGAGGAATGCGAACCAAGTCGAACCAGGCTTGGAAACGGGATTCTTCCTTGTGCAATTCTTCGTCCTGTTTTGCAACTTGTGTCATCTCAAGGAACTCCACTCTCGCGGTGTCTTGAGAGGTATCTCTTAAACGCTTCCAGACGTTCCAAGCTTCTCCCACACGACCCTTGTGGACCAGCCAACGAGGGGATTCGGGCAAGAAGAAGAGACCAACCAGCAAAATCGTCGAGAACACCAAAGATGAGCCGACCATGAACCGCCAGCCGCCGTAAACATCAAAGAAGATAATACCGATGATGTAGCCAAACAGCTCACCAAGCGCGATGTTGAATTGGTACAAGGACACCAAATTACCTCTCACGGTGGAGGGGACGGACTCAGACACATAGATACCGACGCAACCGCCCTCGATACCAACACCAACACCAAGGATGAATCTTCCCGCGTACATGATGTGGTGGCTGTTGGCAGCCGCACACAGAATGGCGCCCAGCGTGTACCACAGACACGAAATGATGATGGAGGTTTTACGGCCGAACCACTCGTTGAGAGGCGTCATGATGATGGAGCCTGCCATGGCACCCAAGGGCATCAGGGACGACACGAGCGACGCCTCGTGCGTCGACAAATCCAGCATTTTGTTCATGCCGAGCGACGCACCAGAAATAATCGACTGGTCGATACCAGACAAGATACCAGCGAAGGAGGCGAACGCGCCCAGCATGTAGACCATGTGTTGCTTGTTCTTGAAGTTTGTTTCGAACTCCAGCGCGCGGATTTTGCCCCAAAAGGTGCGCTCCTTCTTGAACGAGTCACCGAGCTGATCCAGCTCCGCTACCTCCCCATCGAGGTTGAAGCGCTTGTTGAGCATATCATGGGTAACGCCCGGGTCGAGCTCCAGGTCGTACTTGGCGCCCTGGGGGTCGATGAACACGTCTTCGTTGTGTTGCGTGGACGCCTTTAGGTCGTCTTGCGACGAGCCCGCGGCCGAGGCTATCTCGGCCGACTCTTTGTTGGAGTCTTCGAAAAGTTTTGACATTTATACGTCACGAAAAATGCGAAATGGAAATTGAGTCTGTAACTTGGATACACAAGAGTGTGTGTGTGTGAAATAAACTTGCGACGTTTTTCACCAGACCAAGTGTCGAGAGAGAAGCGTGCGATGCAGAATGGAAAAACGAAAAGGAGAAAATCCGAAACCCTGAAAAACTTCCCCAGATTTAATCCGTATTTATACCTTGATCCGAACCTCGATGTCAATTGTTCCACCGCGACCCCACACTCTAAATTCCGGTCTTGGTGTGTGCCAAGCAGGCGGTAACACGACGCCCGCAACCACTTTATGCATCAGTGCGGGGCGTTCTGCGCGGCGTTCCGGGCGCCCCTCGATCGTGACGCGTAGTCATGTTTTCCCGGTATCACGCTGCGTCCTGTTCTGGGCAACACATCTGCTGTTACCACAGGCAACCGCCTCTCTGCGACGCGCCTGCGTATCCCACAGATTAGTTTTTCCTGTGGGTGAGCCGCATCTCCGGCGGTGCGGAGAAGTACCCTCCGTGCACCACATACTTGGGTTTTTGTTGAAATCTTAATTATGCCCCGAGCCAATTTCAAGGCCTGGAGACGGCGGGCAGGAGCGCGTATCTTTAGACCGCAAGAATGCAAGAATGCAAGCGTAGTCTAGGGCCGGAAAATCTAGATCTCTTGTGTTGGTTGAATGTTCTAAGCAATTTAGGCAACTCAGAATCCGGGCAAGTGGATGAAAGCACGCCACCTTCTGGAGCTGGTTCTGACCATGCACGGCGGGAATCCTACTGTAACAATATCGATCCTGTCAGGAAAGCGTGTGGATTGTGGGGTATCACACCATGACACCGACGACGGTCCAGAGACGGCCAGGGGCCTTCGGCGGCTACCTTCGGCGACGGGCGTCATCCCACGCTGCGACGCGACGTAAAAGCGTCGCGTCGCTGCCCCTTGTGTGGCGCACAAGGGCGGCTAATCAGCCTTGCGCCGGATGGGCGCGACTCCCTTCTTGGCTTCCACACAGGGACAACGCGATCCCGGTTCGCGGGAGAGGCCGGAACCGGAGCTCCCTCGGCCGGAACTCCTCAGGCACCGGCAGGCGCGGGACGGAGGAAATGAAACATGGTCACGTGATAGTGCCAATTTGTCCGTCGGAGACCGGCCGGCGGGGCGCGCAGTAAGCGGAAACACAGTAAGCGAAAACGCATCGCCGTACGGGGAATGGCGATCCTGACGGCGCGCGTGGTGACTGAAGCGCGGGCCAGCGGGCTGGCAGAACGAGAGCGAGGAAAGTGGTTTGTATCACGTGACCGGATGTATGTGTCACCTCGTACGTGTCACGTGCCCCGTGGTCCGCACGCCAGCGGTTGTTGGTGCCCATTCCCCCACACATGGTCGAGTCGCATCGAGCCCTGGCGTCGTGCATCTTCCGAACACAGCGTACGTGCGACAGCTGCCCCCGTCCACCTGAAACTCGCTTCCCTTTCGGCAAATTTCCCCCCCGTCATTGCGCGACGGGCGGCACGTCTCTTCGAACGTGCGGTGAAATTTTTTTTCCAACGATGCGATGCATGAATCATCCTTCTCTTCACGACTAACCAGACACTCCAAACGCCCTCCAGCATGTCTACTTTTGGCCAGCTTTTCCGTGTCACCACCTATGGTGAATCCCATTGCAAATCTGTCGGCTGTATCGTCGACGGTGTCCCACCAGGGATGTCGCTTACCGAGGACGACATCCAGCCTCAGCTGAGCAGAAGAAGACCTGGTCAGTCCAAGCTTTCAACCCCAAGAAACGAAAAAGACAAGGTCGAAATCCAATCCGGTACTGAATTTGGCAAGACCCTGGGTACCCCAATCGGTATGATAGTGAAGAACGAGGACCAGAGACCCCACGATTACAGCGACATGGACAACTACCCAAGACCATCCCACGCAGACTTCACCTACCTCGAAAAATACGGCATCAAGGCCTCTTCAGGTGGTGGCCGCTCCTCCGCTAGAGAAACCATCGGCCGTGTTGCCGCAGGTGCCATTGCCGAAAAGTTCTTGAAGCAATTGTCCAACGTTGAGATTGTCGCCTTCGTCACCCAAATCGGTACAATCAAGATGGACAGAAACCCATTGGATCCTAAATTCCAGCACATCCTCAACACTATCACCAGAGAAAAGGTCGATGCAGCCGGCCCCATCAGATGCCCCGACGCTTCCGTCGCCGGAGACATGGTCCACGAAATCGAGAAATACAGAGGTGAAAAGGACTCCATTGGTGGTGTGGTAACGTGTGTCATCAGAAATGTACCAACTGGTTTGGGTGAACCTTGTTTCGACAAGTTGGAGGCCCTTTTAGCCCATGCTATGCTCTCGATTCCTGCTTCTAAAGGTTTTGAAATTGGGTCTGGTTTCGCTGGTGTTGAAGTCCCTGGCTCTAAGCATAACGATCCATTCTTCTATGACGAGGACTCAAAGAAACTGAGAACGAAAACTAACAACTCTGGTGGTATTCAAGGTGGTATCTCCAACGGTGAAAACATCTACTTTTCTGTTCCATTCAAGTCTGCTGCTACTATCTCCCAAGAGCAACCTACTGCTACTTACGATGGTAAGGATGGTGTCTTGGCTGCCAAGGGTAGACACGACCCTTCTGTTACTCCCAGAGCTGTGCCAATTGTTGAAGCCATGGCTGCTTTGGTCTTGGCCGATGCTGTTCTACTTCAAAAGTCTCGTGAATTCGCCCAGAGCATTGTTGCTTGAGTTCATATTTACAAATTCTGATGTATAATGCTTCGATATATACACTCGTATAAAAGTTAGTTTCTTCAAATCATGGTCTTGGCGTCAGCGTTCTACTAGTGTCCTTCGGGTCTCGATTATCAATGGTCATCTTGTACGAATGTTTTGATTTCAGTGCCCAACTAGCGCTCTTACCATGAAAAAAATTTATCGCGACAGGAAATGATTTCTAGATCCCTTTTACTTAAGTGAGCCGCGTTTGAAATTGTTCACGTTCCTTCCTTCCTTAACTAGAGTACTTTGGTGTAATTAAGCGGCCTGCATTCATTTCCCGCAATTACTATCGCATCCTTTCACTTTCGCATCTTGTTTTGCTCGCGCTACTAGGTTGTTATTGCATGGCTGATCTTCGTCTAGGTTTTTCCGAATTCATCTAATTCCAATTCCATATACGGCTTTAGTCAATTTTATATTCGATATCTGTGATGTCTTTGGCAGTCCCGAAACCTCCGTTTAAAGTCAAAGCTCAATACTCTTGGTCCGGAGAAACTAAGAATGATCTCGGTTTTTTAGAGAATGATATTATAGAAGTGACTAAAATCAAAGGAAACTGGTTTTACGGAACTTTGTTAAGAAACTCGAAAAAATATGGTTACTTCCCCATAAATTATGTCACAATCATTCAAGAAAGGTATAATAATTATGGGACCCCACCCCCTTCAACAAAAGAGGAACGTAAATCAAATTCCTCTCAAAACCATTTTGCGCAGTCAAGGCTTCCTCCAATACCTAATCGGGAGATCGATATCAAGATGAAACAGTACGATAGGTTACCAAGTTATCAGCCTCGCATGAAGGCTGGTATTGACGAATATCATAGAGGTTCACCCCAAGGAGTAGATTCTAGCCTCCCACGTTTAAGAACAAGTGAAAAACAAAATGTCTCTAATAATTTTCAACTGCCTCAGTCATATTCGACGTCCAATATTCCTTCGATGGGAACCAGACCTCATACTAGCCCACGTTATTCTCGGCCTACGCAGGGAGGCTCGAATAAATTATCCAAAGCAGTTTCCAGTGGTAACAGCAGTCATCTTAAAAATGATGCACTACCTCCATTACCTCCAATACCATCCTTAGATGTACGTGCCAGACATAAAGCTTCGTTGCCAAAATCTTTCTCTTCTAACGATTTACCTAATCCCTCCGTGTCTCCAATAGAACCTGATACAAGAAAGTCATATTATAGATCAAGCGCAGATTTTTATGATCATTACGGACTACAAACAAATTCAGATGATCCTTCTAGTGTGTTCTCACATTCTCAATACTTGGATGATTCAGTAGCTAGCAGCGAAGATAGTTTTGCTTTGATGAGCGACTTCAGCGCCACAAGTGCCGGGAGTCTAGCAAGACATCGGTTTGCACGCTCCTTCAATGATTCACTGGAGAAATCTCGCATCGGTGAAGATGAAGGGGAGGTCAATCGAAAGGGGTTAGCTAGTTCTTCAAAATTTGGCGGAATGTTCAAAAAGATTTTGGCCAGAAACACTGATTCATCGCCTTCTACTCCAACAGATGATTATCCTAGGCTACCCAACTTGGCTTCGCTTCAGTTGAGCTCATCAAATAATGAAGCACATGGTTGGGTTGAAGCGAAAGCGCAGTTACATCGTGCTCAAACGCTCAGCAGTAGAGAGAGACATGAGAGACAGATGAGAGCTTTGGAAGAAAATAGAGACATTGTTTTACATCCGCAAGAATATATTAATGAGGATATTAACACGAACGAAGTGAGACACGGACGTAAGCCTGGTCTCGTTGATATTGAGCTAAGTTCCATTGACTACGAGTTTATAAACGAGATGACAAAAAAAAGGGCTCGCAAAGGTGGTATGCATTCTATCGAATCTTTTACTAGACAGGTATTTTCATCGGCCTATAAGTCGCACATTCAAAAACTCTGTGGCGTTTTTATGTTTTGCACGGAAACCTTCAAGCTAATTGATGACAATGGCAAAACCAATTTCGGTGCTGAGCCTGTTAAACTTGATAAAATACTCCATAAATCATATTGTACACCTTACGAATTAACGTGGATTTTTAAGAGAATGTCTAATGCTTTGGGTATTCATTGTGAGATAGTAATCGGATTCCTAAAAACACCTGGTGCGAATAATTTAGAATTCAAATTCAATCATTGTTGGCTTAGAATTCTTGTCAATGAGGAATGGCGTTTTGTCGATGTCATTTTAGGTAATATCACAAATCCTATTCATGAGTACATTAATAACAGGACACCTGATAAAGCTGAACATTTTTATTTTTTAGCGCCACCATTGCAACTAATATACACACACATACCACGGCTGTATCAGGAACAACATATTATTCCGGTGATTGACCAAAATATTGCCCTATGCCTTCCTGTCGTCTTTCCATCATTCTTTAAGAATGAATTAAAATTGTTCAGATTTAGCAATGGTTTGTTAAAAATGCTAGACACTCAAATTTTCGAGTGCTCTCTTTTAATTCCTAATGATGTTGAGCTTTTTTCCGCTGTCGTGGTGGAAGGTAAGGACTGTGATAAGTATAAGGGTCTGGACCTTTCGCTCGTTCAAATTAGGCATCGAAAGAAAGAACGGATCGCAATAATCAAGGCTGTCTTGCCAGTTGGGGCATCCAAAGGGATGCTCCACATTCATTCTGGTGTAAGAGGTGCACAAACTACAGTGGCTAACATTCATCCACTATCATTGATAATTCCATTGGAGCATAGTGGCTTAGAGAAAGACTATGAATTTGTTGTCAGAACTCCTTCCAAGACGGTTCAAAAGATTGAGATGTACATTAAGAAACCTCAAAACAAATATTTGGTTTCAGGTCATGAATATACCTTCCAAGTAATCCAAAGTCCCTGTGATGGCGTTGTTTACGGATCGGGAGGCTTTGGCAAGTCTTTTAGACAGGAGCTTGCGCTACAATCTCCCTCAGGGAAGATTTATTTACTAAAGAAAAATGATCCTAATTTTGATTTTGGCACATGGGAAAGCACTTTGACACTTAACGAGCCAGGTTTGTGGATTGGCCTTGTCACTTCGGACACTGGTGCTGGGTGGTGTTCATATGCAAAATGGTGGTGCATATGATTCTCATGATTGTCTCCATAAGCTAATTTACATATTGCATATTTTTAGTACGATCCATTAATAATTATAGAGATTTGCAAAAGTCATTTAATCGCGAATTCTCAAGCAGTCCTCGGTTTCGTAAATAGAGAAAAATTCGATGAAGGAAAAAATATACATGAATAAAAAACATCATCTTACAGTGAAGTCGACAAACTATGGAGATGGAACCACAGGAACGGCATCAGACGTTTGCAAGTTTTGCACGTGCCCTTCAAGACTTTAGGATTGCTTGTCATGAGGGCTATACCTCAGAGGATGTTTTTGGGGTCGTCAAAGACTTCAGATCCATATCAGGTTCCGCAGCCCTCGAATTAACTCAATCCGGCGAAGATGAAATAGCATATGAGAACTGGGAACTGGAGGCCAAACTGTGGCATCTTTTTGATTTACTTTTTAGCTACAGAGTGGCAGAAGACACCCTCGAAGAAGTAGTGGTTCATCCTTACAGTAGTAACGCTGTCTACAAAAAGGAATTGCTAGACAACGACCACTCTCTCTACGAAATTTGGTTGGTTATAGTTTGGATTCAAGCTAATTTAGCCGATCCCAAAAGGCCTCAAATGTTGCCGTCGTCTAAGTGGTCACACTCTGTGATATCAGGAGGTTTAAAAAGTTGTGATATGGATTACCCTTTACGTGATCATGAAGCGGTTCTGGATCCGAAAGATGTAGAAGAGGATGGAATCTTCTTCAAGTATGTTTATGAACTTCTTTTAGCTGGAAATTTTGAAGAAATTAGAAAAGAATGTGAACATTCGGATAACTTAACATTGAGTATGATTCTATGTGGGGCAGAAGAGTACATAGATCCAAGAACAGACACGACAGTTGATGATTCACTAAAAACACAGGAAGGTATTAAAAAGAAAGCATTGTGGAGAAGAGCGGTGTACTCTCTTTCATTGAACACAAAATTAGACAAGTATGAAAGGGCTATTTATTCATATTTGGCCGGCACTGTCATTGATGACTTGAACATCGATCTTGAATGGGATTCTGAACTTCTGCTGTACTTAAACCAGCTATGGCAAACAACTATTGAAAACTTCCTAATTAAGCAAGGAAGGGTAGATAAAAACGAACTAATTGTAAGCATTCCCTCAGTTCCAGTCCCCATTCAAAAAATCCTAAATATTGTGTCATCAAAACACCCTAATCAAAGTGAACATCCTATAAGAGTTTTAATTGGCGCCACAATCCTAGATAATCTATCCTCTATCATTAAGTCATCGATTGAAATGCTTTTGGATGTTGTTAAGGGAATCGAGTCCAATAATGACCTTTTCACGGAGCCTTATTTACTACGAATTGTAACCCACCTTGCCATTTTTATTAATATCATACGCCCTGAAACTATTGACGAAGTTGACAAGTCCAAATTGATAACGGCATATGTTACGATTCTTTCACTATATGAGCTTTATGATCTCGTCCCGGTTTACATCAGTTTTCTAAATGAAGAAGACGCAAAAGAGGCATACTCTTTCTTTTTGTCAAACTTGACAGATGCACAGGTAAGGCACAAGCAGCTTGAGCTAAGTGTATTGCTGCAATTACCAATTGCTAATATTCTTAGAAGAACGACTCAAAGAATTTTTGCGGACACTGAAGATTATTATAAACCGGACCTTGTGGTGAATATGACGTTAGAGACTACACCCATTGATAGACGTCTCATGCTTGCTGTTGAGTGGCTAATCGAGGGAAAGCTTTACGTCGATGCGATGGACGCAGTGATCGCATTATCAAGAAGATTCTTAATTAATGGCAGGATTAAAGCGCTGGAATCCTTCTTCGGTCAATGTGACATTGAAACCGTGATAAAAAATTACGAAGTCGACACAATGTCATCAAACAGTGAAAACTCGTCACAGGCTTCGTTGGAGATACGCCAATACCAACTGCTAGTAGCAGGGTTTATGAAACTTGATGAATGGAACAGTTTGTCCAATAATAGCACATCCACAAGTGATGTTTCTTCCCGCATCAAAGACTTCAAGGATATGTCAGAGTCTACGTATACCTTGATTAAGTCATTTTTGGTAGACCTTACAGAAAACAAGAATAGTGAAGAAAACGATACCATTTATGAGATTCGTGCTTTATACACCCCTTATCTGGTGATTGAGCTCCACAAAGTCTTGGTTCATGCATCAAAGATTTTCAACATTACTAGCTTCATCAATGAAGCTTTACTTTTGGCAAACATGGTCGCCAATGAGACGGACAGAATATATTTGTTATTCAAATCCAGTGGGCGCTTGCAAGAGTATCTACAACTAATAGCCAATACTGCTACATTAGTAGCTCCATAAAGTAAATAGAGAAATTGAAATAATTGATTACAAACAAATTTATGGAATCAAGAGTTAATTGTTTTATAGTTTGTCCGCGCATGTCGACATTTTATTAGTTTTTTAAAAATTAACTCCAGAATGAACATTTGATTAATTTAAATTAAATCGTCAAGCAAAAAAAAAGTTTCTAAAGATTGTAGAAGTAGGTGATTTGAAGAAGTAATCTTGTAACGCCTAAATCTATACTCAATTATAGGCGTCCTACCTTCAATCAATCGATCATTGCTCGTTATTAAAATGTACGCAGCATAGCTTGAGTGATCGTTTCAAAGATAATGCAGTAGACCACTTCATCTTTCCTCAGCTTCCTCCTAGACTCCAAACTGATAATGACAAGCAGAGCTTAGATTTATTATATGACTTATTTCATAAACTATATTAATACGCAAAAATGGTCATATGCTAATCTATTCGTCTTGGACAACGAAGCCCTTTTCAGAGACGTAGATACCATCCAAAAACTTACGGATATCCTTGTTTCTGACACGGCAGATTTGTTGGATGTCAGCAGCGTTTTGGGAAACGTTTTCAATGGAGTTACCAGACAAGACGATTTCATCCTTTTGGGTGGTGGAGAATTCAATCTCAACACCTTCTCTGACTGGGACCTCTCTGACCTTCTTGTCACCCAAGAAGTTTCTGATCTCAACGAACTTTTGACCTTCCTTTTCAATAACATTCACATTGATGGGAAAGTGTGCATACACATATCTCATCTTGTACTTGAAACCCTTGGTGACACCAGTGACCATGTTGGCAACCAAAGACTTGACGGTTCTCAAAGCAGCAACGTGCTTTCTGTCACCGTTGTGAACAGTGATTTTGATTTGCTTGTTGCTCAACTTGGTGAAAGTAACATCAATGTGCTTCAAGTTCTTGGTCAAGACACCTCTTGGACCAGTGACCTTGACAACTCTGGACTTGATGTTGACAGTGACACCTTCTGGGATATCTAGAATTTGGTCGGTTTGGATGTACTTCATCTCGTCTTGATTCTACCTGATCTTTTCGTAAGCCTAGCTCCGCCAAACGTCAACTAACCACTAACTTCACGCACGGCCGCCCGCTCCCAGTCGATGGTGAAAGTTTCGAGCCATGGAGCAGGTTTGCGTCGTGCGTACGTAGTGATTCTCGAATGCATCAAAAAGCCCAAACACCAGACAAATCCCACGTTAAATTCTGAGAAAAAAAACGAAAGGTTTGAAAAAACGACGCTCAAATACGAAAATTCACATAAACCCATACAATTTAATAGCAGTCAAATGTATCATCTTCGGTGCTTTATCAGCTGTGGCATTTGATTAGATAAGCATACAAGGCGACTATCTTGGAAATCTGTGTAATAGATTTCAGAAATCGAGAATAAATCATCTGTGAACTCAGAAGCGACAAAAGCACGGTATCCTACGATCGATCAATCATTTCCTGCAATTGATTGAAAATCTTGTCTCTGTGTAAGGCCAATGGATCGTCACTATCGTTAGGGAAAAAGTTATGCCTCTTGAAGCGGGCGGCTGAGTCTTCATTTTCACTCAAATCCTGGGTATCATTCCAGGCATCCTCCTCATACTCGTTGTCGTTAGATTCTGTACCCTCCATTGAATCTAACATATTCACTGTTTCCGCATATCGTTCAAAAAGCGGGTCCAGCTCAGTCTCAGCGAACATATCATTCTCCAATGAACCTGGAGTTTGGAGGATGGACGAAGATTCATCTTCGTCCACTGAACCTCTATTCACATTCAATTCACCTTCTTCACTACTGAAGAGGACAGATCTGTCATCATCCTCGTCTTCGGGGTAGTCGTTTTGGTAATACGTTTCTTCATTTGAATCCTCGTCGTCCGATAGTCGTTGGCTATCGGCATCCTCGTCTTCCTCCGGTATGAGATCGCCGTTGTCTTCGATGATTTTAATATAGCCAACCGTAGCTTCATCAAATACGAACTCGTCTTCTGGGACCATTTCCCTGTAGTATATGTCATATACGTAGTCGACCAGTGGTAGTTTCTGATTGAGACTCGTGGAATGCTTACGACTGGCCTTCCGATGTGGCGGTTTGTTTGTTAAAGTGCTGTTATTTTTCTCTAGGCTCAAGTAATCATTTAGCATCTCACTGATTTCAGTTGGTAATTGATCTGTATGGCCCATTCGAGTTTGTTGCTCCAGAATAAAATGTCTAACGTCACCATCACTGGAATGCTTTAACAAGGGAGTGTCTGGACTGTCTTGGCTTCCAGAGTTAAGCTCTACCGTTTTGGCTAGCTTGAAAACATACTTTCCCCTTTTGCTATTTCTACTTTCTTCAAGAACTAAACAAAACAATTCGCAGTTAGTAAACGACAACAGATGAAAAGAAAAATGTCCACCCAACAAAGATCATACGTAATGCCTGTACAGAATCTTCATCCCGCTTTCTCTTGACCCGAATGATTTCAGGGGCTTTCATTCAATTAAATGTCCTTAAGTGGGGCACTCCGATGTAATGGTCATAGGAACATTTTTTTGGATAAGAGTTACAAATTGATTCCACTGACATCAGGAAAAAAAACATTTTTACAGACGCTAATTAAGAATCAATCGCTTGAAAATGATTTAGCCCATGAATCTCTATAACCCTTGGTCCAAAAATGAAATTGGGGTTTAGATGATACCTCTAGTTTAGAGATCGTTATTCATCCGGCAAAACTGGGCTCGATCGACATATTTTATGATATTCTGCAAGTCTTGACCAATGTCTAAATACACACTTGCTTCTTATGGTTTTAAAGATTATTTTCTAAAACGGCGCTGAACGCAATACATATAATAAAAACTCTGCAATGAGCTACAAGCCTCCTACCATGAGTAGTTCGGACAAATCACCATGACCTAGTTGCTTTATCTCTGTCCGTATTGAGTTGCCTCACGAAATAATTAGATGTGAATACCATTTACTTCAACATATATAACGCTATATAAGTAATGTAGTATCGAAAATGACACTAGGGTAAAACCAAACCCAAGTTACACTCTTTTGACTACGCCATGTCACATTCCTTGACAGCTTTTAACTTCTTGCCATATCTTCAGGTTGTTTTGAGCGTAAAACTTCAAGTATTTTGAGTAATTTTTGAGAATATCTGATATCTCTTTATTTCTATCCCCCGAGAAGCTGGGCAACTCTACATCTTTTATAGTGGATGATATCACTTTCAAGTCACTCACGCTTACACTCAATGATTCCGTAAGCTGCTGAATATCCTTTTGCAAGCTATCGATTGCAGTGGATGGATCTGGATCCTGATAACTGACTGTATCCTTAACCATGGAAGCAATTTTGTTAATTTTGTTGAAGAGTTTTCCACTATAAGTTTTGCTTTCTGGATTCTTCAGATTTATGTGTGCACTCTTAGATAATTCTTGGTCTACTAGAGTATCTATCTTCTTCGCCTCAGTTTCTTGTTCCTGCAGTTTTTTGAGTTGGGCTCTTTTGTAAAGTAAAGTGCGGCTAAGTATATCTTTTTGGATGACTTTTAGCTTTCGGTATTTTAACAATTCTCTTGCTGCGCCTGCCATATGAACAGATTCACTTAGAGGTTCATTTATATTGTAGTAGAGTTTTCCTACAATTGACTCTAATTCAGATGCGCTTTCATCGAAAGTATTGCTCAGGTGTGACAAGTGTTCCGCCAATTCGGCTCCACGTTTTTGGTCGTTGGAAAATTCCGCAAAAGCTTCGCTAAGCTCCTTCATATCTTGTTTTAGCGCGAATAGATTTTTCGTTATTCTTTTGTTATATTTGTAAAACCCTGCATTCAAAATTTGTTCGTATTGCTTGTATTCCTGTTCAATTTTTGTAAAACCATCATCCTCATCTTCACCGGACACGGGCGTCAAGGTCTCCTTATTCAAAAGAAGTTGCGTTGATGAAGATGGGACAGGAAGAAATGTGTGTGCTCTTGTGGTGTTTGTGGGATCAAGAGGATTGCATTGTAAAACACTCTTTGGGAGAGATGAGATAGTTGCTGAACTTGTTATCACGTCGTTCCAATTTGTGTTGTTGGGATCAAGAAAGTCTGTGATGATAGAGGTTTTTGTTATTTCTTTATTCTTCAACAAACGGTTCAAAAAGCTCGTAAGCATTCTTATCCGGTGTCGGATAAGCTTTTCATCATTCGTGTTGACGGACCCATTTATTACTGATAAGGACAAGTCGACCGAACCAGCAGCCTCTGATGGCAACAGGTAGCTTGACTTCGATCCTGCGATTGACTTTCCGTAGCTTGTTATCGATTGTTTCTCTGGGATAGGAGGGATTAACGTCATGGGGAACAGCTTCACCAGGATCTTCCTGAGACTTTCAAACTCGCTGTATCTCCTTCTTACCATGGAGTTGCCAAACTTGATCGTGTAAGCGATGTACGTTCTCCCCTGACCCTCTGAAACTTTGGAGGCCTCCAGGATATAAACCTTATCTGGAGAGTGGTGGTCTTGGTCATGTTGCGATCTAGTGTCGGGACTAACGTTTATACTACCCGCGCTGCTGTCATTGTGGCTGTACACATCTGTTCTATCATTTGCATACTTCCGTGCCACCTGCAAGTTCTCGTCCTCGTCCTCTTCCTCATCTCCATTTGATTGGCCTTGGTAATTCTTGTTGGGGTTCACCAGCTGTTTTTTGTGCATTATCGTTTCGACTGCAGGCTCCTTGTCTTCCGCAAATGGGTTGTCTTGCGCTGTTATCTTGGTGTGAATGAGACTGCTTTGAGACAGGCTGACACTTGCATCTCCATCACTGCTCACTCTAGAAACGTCATCGCTACGAATTTCGCCTGACTGCTGCTTCGCACTCTCCTCTGTATCACCTGAGTTGTTTGAGTTCACTGGGTTTATGGAATTATACATCTTCGATCCTTCCATTAACCGCAAGTACACCCCAAGCTGAATCTCTTAGCTTCTGTTTGAAACTTCTTTAACAGCTCATTCTTATTTCTAGGGGGGCCACAGAGCCTAGTCGAGCTCCCATCTGCGATTGTTGGAATTACGAGGGTAGAACGTGATGGCCCTCGGTATAATTTTTTTCATTTCGATGAGATGATTGATGAATAAAATAGATAGTTTTAGTCTCAAGAGGCAACCGTCGATACGCTCCCGGAGTTGTTTTGGCTCAATGTTGAAGCCGACAGGTGATGTACTTGGGAAATACTTGCCCAGAACTAAGCAAAAAGAGATTATAAGCGATCTAGTGGAGACAGATGAGTTGGAAGAGGTGTTCAGTGTACTGTGTGCCATCACTTTCCAAGAAGAGGTACTCGACGAAGTCTCAGACGAGGTGAAGGACAAGATCTCCTCCAAGCTTGCCGGATTGATGGTCCAGGAGCACCCAGATGGCTTCGACACGCAAAGTTTAGAGATATTCGCAAAAGTGCTGTCGCAGATGGACGCTGCGTACTCTAAGATGCTATCCTGGATTTATGAGAAGCTTCTTTCATTTGCTCAGGATAACTTGTCGAAATTTCATGGTCAGGGGCTTGTGGCTAAAAGACTAGAGGGCGCAAGTGGCTCGCAAAGTTTTGACACGGAGTCTAAACCCAACATCGTTGTGCTGCTCGACTTCTTAGAAAAGGTGTTCACCTTCCGGGAAGGACACGACCTTCCGCATACTGATCTCGACTTACTACTAGTATACATGAACGGGTTCAACAATGAGACCGTTGCATCGATAAGTGCTAAACTAGTGAAATGGAGAATCCCAGAAATCAGCAAGAACTGCGCGTTAGATGAACAATTTGACAATTCCGTCTGGCAATATGTAAGGACGCTCTTCGACATAACGACTGAATCTTGGAAGATCAGAAATGGTCTTTTATTTTTGATGAGGTCACTTATGACACGCACCGTGACCAAGTCGCTGGTGGATTTTATGAAAGAGAGCCAGTTTTGGGCCTTTCTTCAATTCGGACTGGCGCATGAAGTGCACGAACTGAGAAAGCTTTCCTTGTCTATTTTGAAACTATCGTTGCAGAATATGCCACATGTGGAAAGCTTTACCAATCCCTTCGTCGTGTGGTTAGAGCCTGCCAAGAAAACTACGCTCGATTTCTTTAAAAAGTTCACGACTTTATATGAAATTGTGGCCCTCGACACCGCCTTGAACCAGTATGAAGCTGCACATGAGGATATATTGCAGCTTTTCCAGAGCACATTGCTACCTCCCAGCTGGGGGCTGATAATCATATCTACAGGGCTTAAGGCCAGCATGGAAAGCGTAAGAAGATACACAGTCAAACTTATGTTTGATATTCAGGATAAATCTGTCTTTCAAGATAATCTGACAGAATTGAGAGACAATTACTTACCTTCATGTATGAATGCTCAATATTTTAATGTGAATGGCCAGGAATGTGCGCATGGTGAGGCGCTTTCTCAATTTGTTGAGGGAATTCTAGCAAGTTCTGTTGAAAAAGTCGATGAACAATCTGCAAGTAAGTCCTCAGTTGTTTTACACTCGCTCTTGGAGTCACTTTATAACCAGAAATCGGCTTTTGACCCGGCGAGAATATACGTCGCGTTTGGGATCCTAAACGCCCTAAAGAAGAAGAGGCTTCATATCGTAAATGAAACACATTTTCAAATTATCAAGAAGCTTTTTAGCTTCGAGTCCGAGGAGGAGGTATTTGAAACTACAATACGGGAGTTATGCTTGAGCTTTTTGATGTTTGTCGACATGGAGACATCGCCAATTTCGTGGATAGATACCATTGCCCAAGAGGTCAAAACCAAATTCGGAGACTATAGTTACGTTTCAATACGAATTGATGATTTCATTGATGTTGCGGTCACCTCTTTTGACAAGTATGAGGCAGAAAATATCTTGAGGGAATTTAACACTGACGACACCATTTTCCAAGTTTTGACGTTTGCAATTTTTGGCATATTGCCAACTCAGTTGGAGCCTAAATTCTTGATTGAAGTGGGACGTTCAGGAGCAAGCTTAGCCGCTATTGACAGTTTTCACTATACATCTCTTTTGTCCTCTCTACTGTTGGGAGACAAAGATGATTCTACCTATGAAAACTGCTTTGAGTTGGTAGACTTACCACTCTTCAATAGTCAAACATGGAGTCTAGTGGACTTGAATACCCTTTTCAACTCTTTGAAAAAGGAATTTGGCCCAAACAAATTCAAATTCTTTGTTGAGATTTACCGAAGAACAGTCCAACACAGCATGAACCTTGTAGATATAAAGTTAACAACTGTAATTGAATTTTACAGTTTAATTGCCGATGACATTCGTGCTCATAACAATGCCACGTTCAAATATAAAGACTCCATCTATGGCGACTACTTCACTTTCATTAAGGCGTATTTACAGTCCTATGCGCTAGTTCGTGATGAAAATACGGAAGCCGATGAAGTTTTCATTCTTCTCAAATTAATGCAAAGAAATGTCTCTGAAGATAACGGCAATTTTTTGGGCAATCTTGCGGTAATACAACTGTGCGAATATTTGCTTGATACATATGTCGTCCCCACCCTTCAAAGCAGTGAAGAATGCTTTGGTGACGATAGGGCTATTGTAGAACAAATTAGTTTGCTACTATCTGCAATTTGGGATGATGTTTCAAGTGAGCGATTAGTTCTTCATCAAAAGGAACTACATCTTGCTTTTATCAAAACAATGTTCCATCCGATGGTTTTGTTCTTTGCTTTGGATGAGAGGGAGACCACTTTAGCAGCAAGGCTTTTGAAATATGGCCTTGATATTGTTGAACAATCCTATTCGAGGCGTACTCTTTTACCAACGTTGAGTAAGCGTTTTGATTTTTTTGTACAAACCTGTGGTGATCACTTCTGTGGCTGCGGTGAGGATTATGATTGGATGATTACGCTATTAGTGAATATCTTCACTCAAACTCAAATGGATACCAATATTTTTAAACTGAAACCTGTAATTGCCACACTATTCGATAAAAAGCTTGGCGTATTGCTTGACTCACCTGAGGGCCTCTACAATAAAATTTATGGCGGACCAGAAGTTGCATCCAGGGTTTTCGTCATTGGAACAATAATGAACTCAACTGCTGAATTCAAAGAGAGGTTTATGGAATATTTAATAGAAAAAGATAAAAACTTTTTGAGGGCAAGAAAGGGCACAGATGGCGCAGAAGAATTGCAGAGGTTATTGAAATGGCAATTGCTACTTTTGTCAATCAAATCTGTTTATCCAGACCTGTTACACGAATACGTCGAAGACAAGATTGCCCCCAGTTTACTCCACGAAACGTCACCTCTTGTAAGGCTATACATGGAATGGTTCATTGCATATGATCTTGTCCATTACGACGGATCTTCAGTCCCATCAAATGTTGAAGATGCAATGTTTAAGTTGCTTCAAAATCATACCAAGCCTATACTTGCAATCACTGCCGAAAGAATCTTGTACATTGCAACGAAAGCCCAGTGTGTCCTTAAACATAAGCTGACTTTCTTGAAACGCTTCCTACCCCAATTGATCTCAAATTGTACGTCTAATAAGCCGTTAATCAGACATTTTTCGAACTCTTTGATCCTTTCATTTTGGCCATCGTTGCAAGAGTACATCACTGATAGCACCGTTCGCGAAGTGATTGAAAATCTGTTTGAAAATGCCAAAAGTACACAGTTGTACGGACAATACCGGTCTGGTGACGCGAACGTTTGGGACCTCGAAAATGACTTGAATCTCACAAGTATGTTTGGTGGAGTAATCATGAAGATATCAGATCATAGTGTTCCGTACATTGATGAGAAAACTTTTAGTAAATATTTGTCCAGCCGAGACCTATTCCCTCTCGGCAGAGATGAAACTGACTCGTGGTTGGCAAAAAGATCAAGTAACAAAGATATTAAGGTTGCTTCGGGCATGAAGAACTCGCCGTTACAAACAAAGAGTGGTGCCTGGGAGACAGTTATGGATGTGGAAAATAGAACCCCCAACTCTACTGTAAGGCGCTCAGAATTGATAGTAGTCGCTTCAATGGTGGATAAGGCGCCCAATCTCGGAGGTATTTGTAGGCTTTGTGACGTCTTAGGTGTTGGACTGATGACGGTGCACGATATTAGAGTTAAACAGCACCCTCAATTCAAGAATGTTGCAGTTACAGCTGATAGGTGGATGCCCATCGAAGCAGTTGCTATTGAAGACATAGTTAGATACATGCGGTCCAAGAAAAGAGAAGGATACACACTGATTGGATTGGAGCAAACAGACAAGTCCGTTAAACTTGATAACCACTACCAATTTCCTCCAAAATCGCTCATTTTGCTGGGGACTGAAGCAGAAGGCATTCCAGGGTATATGCTGAGCGAGCTGGATTTATGCTTGGAGATCAAGCAGTCCGGAGTCATCAGATCCATGAACATTCAGACTGCGACTGCAGTGATAGTCCACTCATATTCCGCGCAGCACATGTAAAGACGAGTGCGCACAGTGGCATGACGAGTAAGTCAAGTTTTTTTCTTTCTCGTATTATACACAGCTATCTTTAGAGTTAAATACCATCTAATGCCTTAACTACTTGCGGAGCACATTTTTCGATCATTTCTAGCGTGGTCCGTATGTGAGAGCTCCCGAAACCCTTGACGTTATCGTCATTTAGGCCAATAGTCATTATGGGGGTACCAATTTTACCATTACTCCAAGTAACAACGAGCCCGTTGTTGGCCACGTCACTTTCATTGGATGCAGGGTCTATGAGCACGTTATTCCCAACGAGCGCAACTGTAAACAACAGGGGTACCCTAACGTCCAGTTTTTCAAGATCATAGTCGTGAAACAAAGGTAGCTCAGCCACATCAAGGTCGTCATCGCTTGAGATCAGCTTAGGCAGGTAGGTGGAGTTCAGCGCTGCATAGATTGCAAACGATATCAAGCTGAGTGGATGGGAGTAACTCGATAGAACCAAGACGTCGATAAAAAGCTTGAAACTGTATTTGCGAGTGAGTTGCAGTCCGCGTTGTTCTAATTGTTGTGTGAGAACTTTGGTGAGGATCGACCCGATGCTCAGCACAAATTGAGAGTCGTCACGGTGGCCTGCGATGTCCACGTCCACCACGAGAAACTCGTTGTCAACTGTATGGTCAACGACCTTGGCCTTTACACTCACAATACACTCGCTGCCATCGCTGGCCACTATCTTGGATGACCCATTGGACGTGGGCAAGAAGTCAGTGAAAAGCTCCACTGGACGAAACTGGTGTGCTGCCCGCCCATCTGGTCTAAGTGGCGGCACTGCGGACAGTGATTCGTACAAATACGCTTTCTCCGTAACTGATAGAACCATTAACAACGGAGCTTGATGCGTTTATTCACTGATTTATGACTTTCGATGAGCTTCTTTTCACCAGCATCTCAAATTTTTTTACAGGTTATAACAACTTTAAAGGCTTCATCATCATCACGTGTGGAGAGCTAAGACAACGGTTATGACCAGCGCAAGCTACTTCTGCGGACTCGGAGTCGGCCTGCTACATAACTAAGCACTGCACAATTGCCCATGAGTGTTAATACCACTACCATGACTTGTCCGTACGTCACCCACACGAATGTGCTTTCGTTGAGGTCTCGCCGCTGGCTCTCGACGTCTAGTAAGTCGGCCCCAAAGCTGGATTTGGCCAGATAACATACGAGCTCAACTGTCTTCGCGAGTAATGCGCGATCCGCCTCTGTGAGCAACACTGAAGGCCACTGGCGCGTGTCCGAGACTTGGTCCATGGTCAACGTGACGACTCGATCTGTATCTATGGACTTCCACGACCCGTCGTACACCAAATTCAGGAGGCATACAGAGTAAGCAGCTGGCTGCGACCCAGATTGTATTTGCACGGCGCTCTCGCCCAGCGCTAGGTGCCGATGGCCGTTCAACAAGTTCCCGAGTTGGTCCGTAAGCGTGAGATCCAGCGACTGTTTGTGGTTCTGCGTGCTGGTGGGCCCAAACCGCGCCACGTCCACCCCATCAGGTATCAACTCTTGCACTTGAAACACGACCTGAACCGTGGAATTGGCTGCCACAGGAGCCAGCTCCACGCAACTTGCAAACTGTGCCTCTTGTCCCTGCACGTGCGACGCCTTGTACGCCGGACACACGAACGACACCTGGTGCTGGTCTCTAGTTAACGCAGCAGTCTCTGCAGCCATCACGTCTGTTGCCCAAATGCATATTACCCACGTCGTCGTAGCTCGTTCTAACCACCACATGTTGATGGATGGGCGTGTTGCGAGTGGTGACAGAATAATGCGCTATCTCCACAAAAAACTGGTATGGTTGCGATGGGAGAGAAAAGTCGGTGCAAAGGACGCGGCTTGCACGGCCAATTATCTCGTACGTATGCTATTTATCACTAACTAGCAACTGGAGTGGGCCATTGGGGCGCCAAGCACCCTCCTCACAAGTATACGCTGTTGGGTGCGTTGGTGTCGCCGTTGGTATTGTCAGTATCAACGACCGCCTGGGCGCCAGCACCACGACTACCACTCGTATGAGCAGAGCCAGGCTTGGTGACACGGCTGCCACCGCTGCGATACGCGTTTTCTTCGTCGAGCGCCTCGAGACGCTCGTAGTAATTGCGCAGCACAATCTCGTTTTCACGGTGCGAGTCCTGGTATAGTTGTAGGTCGTTGCTGTCAATCTTGTCCAGTTCCTCTTGGTCAACACCGTCTGGTGTATCCTCGCGCTTACCTTCAATCTTGGCGATATACTTGTTGAGGCGAGCGTTGGACCGGTCCAGGTGCCGAATGCTGTTCTCCAACTCCGCTCTAATCTGGTGCAATTGCTCGGTTGGCAGGTCCTTGATCACGCTCTTGAACTCTGTAATTTGAATTGGCCTTCTGGCCGTTGTGGATGTACTCATCTTGTTTGAAAAGTGTTGTTTCGGTGCGAGAAGTGGTTAGGAGCAATCCCCCCTCCCGTCTCATCCCTATTCTTATAGTTTCAACATCAGCCCTTCGTCTATGATCATCATGACAACATGAAAAATACATTTAGAAAGTGACAAAATTCAACAGAAAGTTGGACAAAGTCCGGTAGGAAAGAACGGATATTACCAGGTTAGAGGCATATTCTCGCATGCTGTCGTCAGTCGAGGAGCTTGGGGAAATAGATAGACAGATCGAGGAGGTCAATGAGAAGCGTAGCGAGCTGGCCGGTCAGTTACAGCTGCAAACGCAGCAGGAAGAGGAGTTGCTCACACAGTTGGACGCGGTGAACGAGCAACTCGGCGAAGTGGCAGAAGAGGTGGGCCGCGCGCGGACGTGCGCAGATGTGGAGCAACTACGCATCAAATATGGCCCTCTTGCGGTGTTAGCTCAGTTGGAACAGCTGTTCCGCGAGCGGGACGCGCGCGCCGGCGCGGTGCAGGCGGCGGACGCGTTGCAGCGTGCGATGGACGTACTGAGCAAGCTGGAAACGCGCACATATACATTGGAGTCGCTCCAGGAGCTGCGCGAGCTTCATTCCACCATCCGCGATGTGGCAGCGCAGGTGCCTGACGAAGAGGCCACCGCCCGTGCATACGCACGTTTCAACGCGCTCGTGGAGCGAATCGGCCGCGAGAGCGCGCAGATATTCGAAAAAGAGCTCCTAGCGGCCAAATGGGACACTCAACAGTTCGTGCGCACCGAATCGGCAATGCAGCACCTACGTGAGCTCTCGAGCAGCCTCTACAGTCTTAATGAACTGTTGCTGCCGCATGCAGATTCTGACGCGATGTGGAACTTTGATTGCATGGCAAACAACTTCAAAATCAAGTTTATTTACCATTTCAATGGCAGCTCCATGCAACAGACGCAGTCCATTGAAATGTACTTCCAATTCCTCGACAAATATCTCGACCAGAATTTATGTAAATGCATTGAGATATTTCAAGATGAAAGGGCGGGAGTCACACCGGGGCTCGTCCATCAGCAATTCATTAACCGCGTGCTGGAGCCAATCCGCCACAAAGTAAACTCCACTATGGTAAAGACAGCGCAAACGCATTCCAAAGAAGGTCTCAACACCATGCTGGTTCTCATCTCGCAGGTCTTTATCAACGACAATGCTCTGTTGAAGAAACATTATTACGACGGAGTTGGTCTGGTGTCCATGATCCCCAACCAAATTCTAGACAAGTGGCTAGCGTTTGAAACAGACTCCACCACGGCCCAATATTCAAAAATATGCAACGGACCATTGAATAGAAATGGCTTTGATCTACAGAAACTGCTACTAAATTTGTATGAATACTTTGAACCCTTTTACAACCTTGATTACGACAGACTGATGGATTACAAGTTCAAGATCACAAAAGAGATTTTCATGGATCTACCAAGCAATTACAGAAAGTACATTCTGACCCATGGTGACGATAGGGCTCCTTCCTATATTGATGAGTCTCAACTTGAGCAGACCTTGTGGAAACTGCACAATTTGGTACTGATTCAACAATTGCTTCAGGAGTTCGAAAATAAGTTCAACTTCATCAATTTAACGCTCTATTTCAATGATCTTACGTCTTCTTCGTACAGCACTGTATTGAGTGACGTTTTGGGATCTTATGAGGAAGCCATCGTGACTCTTAGGGAGTCAGTTATACACCGGATCAAAAAAATGTTGAGCTCTACTTTAAGGGTTTACTTCAAGGTAAATGATTGGTCAACTATCACTCCAGAACCAGAGCAATGCAGCTCAGAATTGGTTGGGGCTGTGAATTTGTTGAAAAAAATCTTTATTACTATGACACAATTCGATCTGACCGTTGATATACCGCTCATCATCAAGAATGAGGTTTTAAATATCATTATACACTTTATGGTGGATTATGTGGTAAACTTGAACAAATTCAGCGAAATGGGGCTGCAACAATTATTGATAGATTATGATTCTTTGAAAGAAACTCTCAATTTTGAAGTCGAACAGGATCCTCAAAATGCAGAAGAGGCTGCATTTTTCGAAACTATAGCAATCTTAAAACTTAAGCATCAGGCTCCTAACACAGCAACCAAATTCATGACAAAGGAGTATGTGGAAAAACGTGATTTTGCTGAATTTCGAAGCGCATTAAATATTATTTACTCCACCGATAGTGAAATTTCCAGTGCACTTTATAGAGTTTTATAATCGAAGCGGTCAGATTAGGCTACCATTAGTTTTGTCATATTTGAACATGTCTTCTTGTGCAAATGGCTCGTCCGGAGACGTTTCGTTTCCGACACCACTTAATAATGGATTTCCCCTTGCAAAAGAATCAATCATTTCTCCCACGGTGGAAATCATCCCCGTAGGTCCGACATCAAACATACTATCCTTATTTGGCTCAGTAATCCAATCTAAATTGTCGGTGGATTCGTTTGATATCATTGCAGACTCGTTCAAGAGCTCTTTGTCCTCGAAAGTCTTATCCATCCCGTTAAAATGGTTTTGAATGAGATGATCCACAATGGGCCAGCCGTATGCGTTTGCAAATCTTCGGCGAACGATGATATTGTTGTGTGCATCTGGCCTCAAGCTTACGATAACCTTTCGCCAGCTCAAACCTTCGTGCCATCGCCTCGCAATTTCTTCCTCCAATTTCTGGTTTCCTTCTTTTCGTGTCATTGTGAATCCCTTCAACAACAAGTTATTGCTCTTTAATAAGTTGTCTTCTGATTGTGATTCACGAAGGGGTATATCCTTTTCCGTATATATTTTATCATGAAGGATGACATTATCTCTCGATGCAGGATCCATAATATATGCTTTGTCGGGCAGAGGCTGAATCAATACAGAAGCTGCAGATTCGATTACTGAAACTTTTGGCAGTTTGGCTGCCTTATCTGTAGAGATTTTTTGAGGTGCCCATAAATTAATAGCCTTGGATATCGGGGACAAGAAGCTCTTTTTGATGAAATCACCAGAAGAGCTAGCTGCTAGTTTTTGCTGATATTCTGGTAGATTCTCCAATTGCGTAAGAATCTCATCATAATCTAAAAACAGCAATGCTGCTGAATACAACGGCACTATACCATCATTTGTGGCATTTGCATAAACTGTACGGCGTTTGAACATCTTCATTACCCTTTTGGTAGGCTCACCGGGCAAAAGGTACAAAAGCGGTCTACCATTGTCTGCATTTTCTTGAAGTCCTAAATCCTGACCTGTTTTTCCAACAATACCAAAGGAAAGAAGTAAATTCACATAAGCTGGGTTATCGGTGACTATGCCAAGCAGAGGTGAAGCCAGAGTTATGAAGTTAATAGGTTCAACTTTATCAAAAAACCACGGATAAGTCACTGCAATGTAAGCTATTGCAAATGTTTGCACTGGTCCACCCAAGGAATGTCCTATAAAGGAAATTTTATGAATTCTTTCGTTGTAAAGCTCTTTTACAATATATTCTGCCAACTTTGTCCCTAAATATTTGACACCTTTTTCGGTCTTACAAATATTGCCCATAAACCCTTTCACAATGATTTGTTCATCTTTGTAGTACCTTTGAGACTTCTCAATTTGTTCTTTGATGTAAAACATGTCAGTAGATACATTAGAGTGCAACCCGTGAGTTAAAATCACTAGATGTTCCTTTTGATGACAGTGAGGGGATAACTGCTGAGGCAAATTCCACAAGTCCAGGGTATTTTGCCTTGTGACAGTTAGTCTCGATGACGTAGAACCTAATTGCGGACTGCATTCGATGCTCTTCAGTACGCTCTTCTTTGTGGACCCTATCGAGATTTCGAAAGCAATTTGAGCAGTGGTAGTGAAGATGATTTGGCTAATTACATCTACAATCCACACGTATTGTTTCTTCAAATTATGCAGAGATAACTCAACTACAAAGTCTTGCTGCGGTTGAATGTTAGGCTCAAACTTCGGTTGATCCGCTGATATGAAAAGCCTCTGGGAGTGGTGATAATTTCCAGTTCGAACATCACAATAGAGCATATAAGGACCCATTAGATATGCTGCTCTATACGTAAAGTTTTCTATGTTCCTGATTTTCAACCACAATGGGTCCAACGAAATGTCAGGCGGAAGAGCATCATCATCATCGTAAAGATTATATGTTATAACATAGCGATCTATTTCTCCCACCCTAACTGCTGATTTGAAATGGTACAGCAAACCATCTTCTGGATCTTTACTCATCACAGGATCATGTAGGTATGAGCACGGTTTGTTTCTTTGGGGGAGTTTTGTCTTGTTTCTTTGTCGTTTAAATTGCGCGCCCGACAAGAAAGCTCAACATATTCGAATAAGATAAAATCCTCCCGTTCGGCACACAACACAGGATAAAAAGTGAAAATAAGGCAATTATGTAATGAATATTTACCATTTTAGGATTTTTGTAGATATCTTATATGCTATTCAGGGAACGTTGCTATTTACATGAGTATTTACAAATTGAATTATGTAGCACGCAAAAGAGATTCCTAAGCGCTCTCTACGGCTCTTAATAAGTCTTTGGCCCGTTTATCACTGTCATATTTCGCCATGGCTTCAATAACATCATCTAGTCGTTCTCCAGCCATCACACCAGTAATATCATGAAGGTTGAATCCACATCTGTGATCCGTAATCCTGTTTTGAGGATAATTATATGTTCTGATTTTGTCAGACCTATCAGTGGTAGTAACTTGATCCTTTCTCGCGGCTCTTTCCTTGTCCTCTTTTTCCTTCCTCTCAATTTCAGCTAGTTTTGCTCGAAGGATGGCGAATGCTTTTGCCTTATTCTTGTGCTGAGACCTTTCATCTTGCATCGATACTACTATGCCGGAGGGATAATGCGTTAAGCGCACAGCGGAATCAGTGGTGTTGACGTGTTGACCACCTTTTCCCCGGGCCCTCATAACATCTATTCTGATCTCGTCTGGCTTAAAGGTTCTTTCATAAGCATCAGAGTCCTTTTCAGTTTCTTCCGACATCTGTGGAAGAACAATAACGGCTGCAGTAGAGGTATGTGTCCTACCCTTTGTCTCTGTCGCAGGAATACGCTGCACTCTGTGAACACCTGCCTCAAATTTGAGTTTATCATAGGAGCCAGGCTCATCAATGCTCAAAATGGCATCAACGATACCAGAGCCACTTTCGTTAGGATTTTCTGATGTTATATGATATTTCCATTTCTTGTGATTTGCGTAATTGATGTACATGTTCAACAGATCTTGGGCAAATATCATTGCTTCCGTCCCTCCCACTCCGGGCCTTAGTTCTAAAATACAAGCTTTGTCCGCAAATGGATGAGGTGGTAGCAATTGACTTAATAAATGCTGTGATTTGATTATTAGCTCGGGTTCTAGTTCTTGAATCTCCTGTTGAGCCTCATCTCTTAGGCTCGGATCGTCATTGACCATTTTTTGTAATTCCTTATATGTGCCAAGATCATTTTGATATTGACGAAAGGAGTCAACTATCGCCGAAAGATTGGAGAACTTCTTTTGTTTTTCCACATCAAATGTCTCGCCGTTGGCCAACCACTGCTCAAGTTCTGCCAGCTCATCAACGTATTTCTCGGCTCTCTTAGTTAGCGACGGATGCAGCTCTGTGAATTGAGAAATAGTATTAGATTGTAATCTTCGTGAGATACAAAGCATGCCCGGTCTGGCAAAGCTTGTACATCGACGTAGCATTTGGTGATTTGAGAAATGTGAATATTAAAATCAAAAAATTTCTTGATATTGAAAGACCATAAAATTGAGACCAACTATTTTGAAAATGATGCAAACAGAATACTCGAAAGGTATGCCAACCATTTAGTGACAAATGAGTTAGCGAAGATACTAACTGGTTGAAAAAAAGAAAAGAAGGTCGGTGAGGGTACTTATGCTGTTGTATATGTTGGAACAAAGTATTCTACGAACCGAAAGGTTGCCATAAAAGAGATCAAAACCTCAGGATTCAAGGATGGATTGGATATGTCTGCGATCAGAGAAGTAAAATACTTACAAGAAATGAATCATGTAAATGTAATAGAACTTATCGATGTTTTCATGGCGCAGAATAACCTGAATTTAGTTTTGGAATTCCTTCCAGCTGATTTAGAGATGATTATTAAAGACAGTTCTATATTATTTACAAACGCAGATATAAAATCCTGGCTCTTGATGACACTGCGAGGAGTTCACCATTGCCACAGGAATTTCATTTTACATCGGGATTTGAAGCCAAATAACCTTCTACTAGCTCCAGACGGACAACTAAAATTAGCAGATTTCGGTCTTGCGAGAAATATGGGCTCTCCTCAAGAAATACTAACAAGTAATGTAGTAACCAGGTGGTATCGTGCGCCTGAGCTGCTGTTTGGTGCCAAACATTACACAGGGGCAATCGATATGTGGTCCGTGGGTGTTATCTTTGCTGAATTAATGTTAAGAATTCCATACTTACCAGGGAAGGATGACATAGATCAAATTGACGTTACTTTTAGAGCTCTTGGCACACCTACAGATAGAGATTGGCCTGAAATTTCAACATTCAGTACCTACAACAAGATTCAGTTTTATCCACCACCCTCTAGAGATGAACTTAGAAGAAGATTCGCAGCTGCAACAGAAAACGCATTGGACTTGATGTGTGGAATGTTGACCATGAATCCACACAAAAGATGGGATCCAACAAAATGTTTAACTAGTGAATTCTTTGTTGAGCTGCCAGAGCCTACTGTCCCAGAGGAATTACCTAAGCTAAATAATAAGTAATGGTCATATAATCATTGCGGTGGCGCCCAAAAATTCCCGACATGCATATACCTTCAGCCGTGGTACAAATCTCTTACGTATCTGCCAATTGCAATACACGATGTCAAACCAGGACTTTCAATACCAAGTAAATTCACAAAACCAGGAAATCCTTCTTCTTCCTTGATATAGAAGTCTTTGAAGCATTTATCACCAGGTGCTGCTAGCTTGGGTCTAATCCCGCTATAAGAGGGTTCCAAATCGTCAGGTTGGATGTGCGGATAATATCTGGAGATTGCCTCATATGCTGGCTTTATGTTGGCACAGTTTACTGTATAGTCCGTTGGACTTTCGACATACTCCATGTCAGGTCCAAATCTAATTTGATTATTCAAATCAATTGTCAGATGAGTGCCTAAAGATTTTCCATTCCTTGGTGGCACTGGATATATTAGTCGACGAACAGGAGGAAAAGATGAACTTTTTAATTTGAAGTAGTTACCCTTTCCGTAGTATTGTTTTACGTGACGTTCTGGGGGTAGGAGCATGTTTGCAATTTTGTCAGCGTAGAGCCCTGCTGCATTAATCACGTTATCAACGCTAATCTCCACTTTTTCATCTGAGTCGTTAACTGTCTCCTGACACATCAATTTATAACCAATTTTGGGTACATATTCCATACCAATAACTTGTGTTCCAACAGCCAAATCTCCATTGTTCTCCTCCAAAATGGTAGTTAAATAGGTCATAAGAGAGTGAGAGTCGATAATTCCTGTAGTTGGTGAACTCAATGCACTTCTTTCCACCCTGACTGCAGGCTCTATCCATTGCGTTTTATGAGATGGTATCATCTCAACTGGCAGATCAAGGTCATATTTTGCCTTGAGGAAGAGATTTTCTAGATAGGCATCATCGGCGTCAGTTTGGGCAACTATCCATTTGCCACACTTAGACCAGTCAACACCTGTCTTTCTGGGATTCAATTCATTGTAAATTATTCTATTACCCTCGATACATAGTTTTGTTTTCAAAGAATCAATTGGATAATACAGACCGGCGTGGATAACTTCACTATTTCTGCTCGATGTTTCCATACCTATATCTGAATTTTTTTCAATCAATAGCACTCTATTACCTTCTACTTTAGTAAGCTCAGATGCAATTGCCAGGCCCACTGCTCCACCTCCAACAACGGCGTGTGAATAGTCTGCGGCAGGTGATGCCGTAGCTGTGAATTGGCGTTGTATGATTCGCGATAATCCAATTCTTCTCAACATTTCAGGATAGATCAGCAATAGATGATGTGATATTGGCTCTTTAAAGGTTTAAGAAGTGATCAAGCTTTTCGAAGTTTTTTATTAACGGTGATAGCTCGGCATTCTTTTTTTCCCCACTAATCGGCCTATCATTCGCAAGCGGAAGATCCAGAAGAGATATATACTATCTGCCAATGCTGAAGGTGGTACCGAGAACCTTTTCGAGATTACTTAACACAGTAGGATCAAAAAGGCCTCCCTTCTATGAAGTCTTTCCTCAAAAGAAAATGGTAAACAGGTTACTTTTCGAACTTGATAGCAGACTTAGTTTTGCTAAACTTTACCCAGTTTATGAGAATATTTACAATACCATGGATAATCCATCTTCAAAAGAGGTGGCAACTACAAATATAACTGCACTCGACATGATGACGATGAAGAAGGTACTTGAAAAGGTAAGACACCGAACGAAAAGCGTAAACAAAAACCTGCTAGCTTTAGAGAATGAAATTTTAGATCGAGCTGCTGAAATGGGTGACAACGATGCAATAAGCCTGCTCGCGTACAATGTCTTGAAAGCGCCTGAAAAAAATACCAATGAAGACGTGAAGTACGCAAAAAAACTAATTAAGGAACTTTACGAGCTCAAGCATCCTCTGACAATCAAGTTGGCGGGCGATTTGGCTTTAAAAAAAAAGGATTATACAAATGCTGAGCGATATTACAAGGAATTCATAGCTCTAGAAGATGATACATTCCTTGCTGGTGAAGTTTATCAGCAGTTAGGAATTATTTATTTCGGTGTTCCTGAGGTTGCTAAGGCAGAACAGAGTTTTCTAAAAAGCATTAAGCTTTGTCCTATTGAATTTGTTGTTCACTCCTACTTTTATTTGGGCCAAATATACATGAATTCAGAACCCTTAAAGGCCAGATCCTTGATGGAAGGTGCAGCAACGGAGGGCTTTCGCGAATCCTTTAAAACTCTAGGATTTCTTGAAATGCATTACTTTGGAGAATTGCACAAAGCCATGGAATGGTTCAAGCTTGGTATGGAGTTATTTGAGTTTGAGTGCTTTATTGGGTATTTTGATTGTTCCATAAAATTGAAAGAATGGGGGAAAGCAAAGAAATGTCTCAAATCGATGAAGTTGCTTGCAGATTCTAACCAAGTTTATGAAAGTCTTTTTAAAGAATTCGTCAATTCGCGATCAGATAGAATAAAAAAACTCGAACGTTACTCGACCAATATAGTTGCAGATTCCCAGCAACTCTTGAAATCAGCTGCATATCAAGCGCCAACTCAAGAAAATACATGGAACCTATGAAATTCATATTCAATAGAAAGTAGGTTTGTAATAAACAATCACGTCCCCACTTCTTCTAGGGTCCCAGTGTTGCAGAGTATTAAAAAAGCGCTTGAACTCGATATACCCACTATCTTGTAAAAATCCTTTCATGTACTCTGTATCAAGTTGTTCAAATATTACTAGAAACTCGGGCCATTCATGCCTATAAGCCTTTTCCGGAGTCCTCAAGTTTTTCCTGAACACAGGAGGAAAGTGCTGGTAGATAAATTTCGGTATATCATCATACAAGTAGTCACTTTCGTCCATATATGCGGCCAACTTTGAATTTGCTTCTGGATCATTCATGAGATGCAATGGAGGTTCACATGTAATGTACCATAGATCAGGAATATTGTCTCTATGTAAATGCGATTGCCATGGTGTCGAATGACATGGCATTACAAATCCCAGGCTTTGGATATCAGGAATGTCATGTAAAAAGTGTATCACTTCTACGACGCCAGTTTCATGCAAAGTGCAAAGAAGAAAAGATGCAATCATGGAAAGACACGGAACTCCCCAAATAATCCATTTCAGTCTGGATAAAGAACTTCCCCTCAAACGAAGAAGCGATACTGTTGAGAACAAAATGAAAAACGGTTGAAGAGAGTAAATGAATCTAAATTCTTTGTGAGAGATGAGGCTGTAAATTAAAACACTGATAATAATAACAATTCTGAATTGGAAAAATGGGTCAGTAAAAAAGGGTGAAAATCTCTTCGTTGTTGTTCTAGAAAAGAACCCGTGGATGAAGAAAGGAATGTTATAGCCGAGAATTATTGGCAAGCTTTGTATAAGATGAAAGTGCCAGGGAGCTTGTCCGTAGAACTTTGACAACGAGGTGGTGAAATTGAATTGAACAAATTTGAAGACAGGAAAGACTATTTCCCCATAAAAATAGTAATCTATGGCCATATTAGCTGTGAATGTCCCAACAAAAGTTATAATTAACTTCGAAAATAGATAAGCCAATTTGCAATAAGCTCTTTTTGAAAGTAAGCTCAAACTCAAGAAGGAACCCAATATAATCCAGAGAAATGCATTTGTCGGCCTTTGAAGAGAAGTAAAAAATGCCAAACTTAAACTATATGTAAAATCAGACGATGATATCATGTCACCGCCAGTCCAATCCCAAAAATACAAAGCAATCGTGGTCAAAATCATCTCAAAAGAATTAATAAACGGCCTGGTAATTAAAAAGCAATTGAAGAAGTTTGTAAGTGTAAGCACAGCGGAAATTTGGACTACACTTGTGGTATCTAACGACCTCTTATCCTCTTTATCAGTTAAAGTCAAAAGGTATATCTTCCGGATAAATTTGATTAGGTAGTACTCACCAATCGCAGCGAATAAAGACATAAGAATTTTGGGTGCGAATATTGTGCCATAATAATCAATGAACTCATTCAGCTCCACAGGAAACTTTTGCATTTCAAATACCATTTCCCAAGCCAAAGCTGAATTAGGAAAAACCCATTTGACAAACATAGTAAATAGCTCAACGTTTCCCTCCACTATCCATGCACTTAAACGTGTCATGAGCTCCACTACATGGTAAGCAATTTCAAAGAGCAAAGGAAATGCATAACTTCTCAATCCTTCTCTCCATTCCCATGTTAGTTCGCCATACCCAAAAGCTTTGTAGTGTGCGGGCTCTAGAGACTGCCAAAACTCATCTGCCTGAAAAAATGATCTCGTCAGAAGGGAATTCAAGATCCTGAAAATAATCAAAGGTACTAGTAATGATCGTTTCTCCTTTGATTTCTGCTTGCTCATTCTCGATATTCACGTTCTGCTTTTACATGAATAGTATTCTTGCATACTTCCTTACGAATTTCTTACGATGTAATACATCAATTGTAAATTTAGGGAAACAGCAGTACAGAGCATTTAAGATGCTCAACTTTACTGGCCAAACCAAGAGGCGTAATGTCAATCTTGGTAATAAATCGAAGAAGTCTAGAGAAGAAATTCTGGAAACTGCTAAAAAGGAGCGGGAGAAAAGAGCTTTGGATAAAAAGAGAACCGAAAGCGCCCAGCTAATTCAGTCTAGCATCAGGAAGCATCTTAGCAATAGTACGTTATACCTGAATCTGGTGTCAACCATAACAGCTGAGAATGCCACTAGAATATTCATTGCATACTCCGTACCAATATTTTACATCGTCGGACCATCTGGGATTCAAACTATTCTAAATGTCCTCATAAATGACAGGCGTTTAATCAATGTCAAGATACTAAGATTGATTGGTATTGTTGGAGAAAAAACAGAAAGCTCTTATTTGGTGGACATTCTACTTTCAAAGGTGAACCTCAAGTTCCCATTTCCGGGTCTTTTTGTTGCCAGTATAGAGGCGCTGATGACAACAGCATCGTTTTTGATCCCTCACTCAACCATGTTAAAGATCATGGACCTCATCACACATTTTGGAGTTAATGACTCTGGATTGATGTCTCGTTTATTTGCCATGCCTCGTAATGAAGCTCGATTCCCAGATAACGTGGATCATTTCATGACCACAATAGGTTCGCGCTTTCATCCAAAAACCCTCCTCCCCGATACAAATACATTGGCCTTCGTAGAAAATCTGTCTCAGATTTATTCTACGGTAGATAGCTCTCGAAAGGCTATCTTTGGACATTGGATACTCTCCAGCCTTTCCCGACTTACAAGAGGAGCATTGGTTCAGTCAAAGAGTTTCAGATCCTTATACTCTCGCGAATTTATTAACTATCTTGCAAACTTAGACTCAGAACAAGGATTTGAGAAAGCATCGTGGTTTGTTCGTCATTCACCAGATAATTATTGCAAAAACAGCGTACTTATTGCACTTATTGCGAAGAGAGGTTATGTGAAAGAACTTCATGACAATGTCTTACGCCAGCAGCCAATCGAAATTCAATCAATGAACTGCGAATATTTATCATGTACATTGCTTTTGGTCGATTTATTGGAAATTTACCTTTCTGTGTCAAGTGATTACGAGCTTTTGAATAATGAAGAAACATACCCCATCGCGAATCTTGTTCAACTGACTAGCTTTATTAAAGACAATGTCTTTGAATTTTTATGGAATGGAGAAAAATATGATACTAGCCTCGCCGATGCATTCTTGCAAATACTGAGGAAGATTTATTTGAGAGATTCGAGGCTACATTTTTGTCCTAGACAGAAGGATAAGAGCTTTTGGAGTAATGATGATGCCGAATTCTTGCAAGTAAATATCAGCAAGTACATTGAGGAATATGAGAAATTCTACAGGAATCATAGTAGGATAGGTGGCGATGAAGATGACGTCGATGCTGCTGTTGAGCAGAATGACATGATTATCAGAGAGCAGTTTTTGGATAGTTTAAGAGCATCTTTTACTAATCGTACACCTACAAGGCAGTTCAGAAAACTGGAAATATTATCTAGAGCACCCTTCTTCATTCCTTTTCAACAAAGAGTAGAATGGTTTTATATGCTCATTTCTCTCGATCGGCACCGGTTAAACTTAGATGGGAGTGACCCGATGAATATGTTTATGCCTTGGAACGCAAATCACAACAACAGTCGACAGCAAGCAACTATCTCAAGAGAAAGTGCCTTGGATGATGCTTTCAAAGCATTTAATCCGATAGGTGAAAGTTTTAAAGCAAGACTTTCAGTTACATTCGTGAATGAATTCGGGCCGGAAGCGGGAATTGATGGCGGTGGGATCACAAAGGAATTTCTGACAAGTGTTTCGGATGAAGGTTTCAAGGATGTGAAATATCATCTCTTTAAGCACAATGAAAGGCATGAGATTTATCCATCTGGCAAGATTGATTCACCGCAGCATCTCAAATATTTGTGGTTTATGGGTAAAGTGCTAGGGAAGTGTCTCTACGAACATGTTTTGATAGATGTTTCTTTTACAGACTTTTTCCTGAAAAAGATTTTGAATAGCCAAAATCAATTTTATTCATCGTTTGACGATTTGGCTAGTTTGGACGCTACCTTGTACGCTAATTTGGTCAAGCTTTTAGAAATGAGCACAGCGGAACTGAGGGCTTTGGACTTGCATTTTGAGGTAACTGACGAGGACTCGCTGCGTAACGTAGAACTCATACTCAATGGGTCTAACACTAAAGTAGATAAATCAAATGTCCTTCAATATGTGCTTTCCGTTGCCGATTTTAAGCTAAATCGTAAGCTAAATAAGGCTACCCGCTATTTTTGTGGAGGCTTATCCGTAATGATTCCACTTCATTGGGTGGGTATGTTCAACTCTGTAGAGTTGCAGATGCTGATATCTGGAGGCGGGAAGGATATTGATCTTAATGACCTCCATGCCAATACAGAATATGGCGATTACTCCGAACAAGATAAGACGATACAGTATTTTTGGCGAATTTTGGAGGAATTTACACCCGAGCAGAGACTCAAGTTTGTCAAATTTGTTACATCCGTTCCTCGTGCACCATTGCAAGGTTTTGGATCTCTCGTTCCCCGCTTTGGGATTAGAAATGCGGGAAGCGATATTGGCAGGTTACCAACGGCATCAACCTGTGTTAATTTATTAAAGCTTCCTAATTATAAAGACAAGCACCTATTAAAGGATAAGTTACTCTATGCGATCAATGCCGAGGCCAGATTCGACCTTTCCTGATTTATAAACTATCTAGCAGTTGTATAAAAGACTGTGATTAAGGTATTTAGTCCATCTCCATATACGACAAGAGGCAATTTTCGCCTCCAAGAAAGGAGACGGTCGTGAATTTCCATAATCCCATCTTTGTTAAAAACTTCACAGATAGAAAGCAACACGTGAAAGGGTTATAAACACCAGAAATGGTACTTTCTGTCGGATCGTTAAGTCGCAATTTCAATCCGATGGCAATAACATTAAGTTTGGGGCTCGCTTCTGCGCACGTTATACCATCGGAAACAACTGACGATTATACGCGTTCCCAACCATATGATGACGGTTTCGACGATGAGCTTGACATAGATCTTATGATATTCAGCTTAGTTTTCATGGTCTTCTGTTATTTTTTGCTGACTATCGTGTACTTCACTGTCAAATTCTTCATCAGAAGGTACTTTAGAGCAAGCATCTCATTGAATGGCAATGATGGACGCCGCAGAGTACATGGTCCTGTCAACGCTAGATGGCCCAGTGCTTTGGATGATGAGGAGTTGGTTAAGGAACGGTTGGCCATGATGTCACCCGAAGAACAGTTTTACTACAGACAGGGTGAGGAATTCATCAAACAAAATCCACCTCTTATTGTGCCTGATCAGACCGTAGATGGTCAAGAAATCGTTGATCCCATCATAAATGAACAGACTTTGCAATATATTGAAGAAGAAGGCGCCCGGGCATGGGAATTTCAGCCAGATTCTAATCTTCCGAACGACACAGTTCTCGTGGAAAATAAGACCGAAATCACTTTCTTAAACTATAACTACGATGCATCCGTAATATCCAATCTTCCCATTCCTCTTTTGAACCGCGTTTATTATTGTGAATTCAAGATTTTCGAGCTCAACACTGCTGGCAGTAACAATATTCACCTTTCTAAAAACGAAATGATTTCGTTTGGTCTAACAACCGCTCCATACCCATATTTCAGGTTACCAGGTAGACACCATCACTCTATTGCATATGACTCCACAGGAGCTAGGAGATTTAATGATTCTTTTGAGCTAGCTCCAGAGTTAGCTTCGATATTCCCTCGCTGCGAAAAAGGTGATGTCATTGGTATTGGCTACAGGACTAATAGTGGAACAGTTTTCTTTACGCGCAATGGTAAGAAACTGAGTGAAAAATCTATCGGAGGTCACATCAAAGGTTGGAAATTCAAGTACATATACCCTATTGTCGGTGCGAACATTCCGTGTAAGATTCACGTTAATTTTGGATCCTATGGTTTCGTTTACATTGAAGCAAATGTGAAGAAGTGGGGTTATGCGAAGTCAAATGGTCTGAAATTGCCACCTCCGTCATATGAAGATTATGGCCAAGATGTATTGTTAGAAAGCAGCTATGAAGATGATGCTACAGATAATGAGAGTGTGTCTACAATGGACGGTGATATTATCGATAGCGAAGGTCATTTATTACCACCACCACCTGGCTTCGAGTTTAGTACCTCGCCTCATGCAATTCGTTCTGATGAGTATACGCTCAACTCTTTACCTGCTGAACCTCCCAGTTACGCCTCTGATGATCAAGTAAATCAAGAGGAAGAAGACACAGCTCAGCAACTTCAGGAAATAGTTGAAGAGGACTCACAATACCATTTAAGTGAGCATTTGGACCATGAAGATCCTCAAGCGCAACAAAGAGAGCAATCTCAAGAGGAATCTGGAAAAAAGGGAAATTTGGGCGATAACACAATTGCAAATCAGTTCTTATAGAACATTTAAGTTTCTGCTATATAGTGGATCTTTACAAGATAAACGGGGTTATTGTATTAAGTGGTATTTGTAACGTTTATGTAAGTTAACGCATAAATATTCTTGCAATAAGTATACTGATGACTATCTAAAAATTGGTTTTCAAAACGTTACAAGTACATATTTCAATGGTTTGGAAATAACATGTTATGAATTAAATTGCTGTTTTACTCAGGGAGATATTATAAAACAAAATGCTATGGAATGCTAAGTATAAAAAAATAGATTAAGGCAGCCCTCAGCGATAACGTTCAAAAATAATTTTGGGCATTGGTGGTTCCAGAATTACTTTGATCATCGAATATTAATAGGCTGCTCAAACCGTTTTGATCCTCGTTACTTAGTTCTGTTGAATGTTTCAAAAATTCAGGAGTTCTGGGAATACTTGGCTCGTTGAAACTGGACGGTACAAGATCACTACCGTGAGAAGAAGTATTATGAGGTGGGAAAGAATGGGACTGGACAGTGCCAGGCGACACAAAGTGGGTACTATTTGGGTGTGAATCATTTTCTTCTTTCAACCCGTAAAGTTCATCTTGTCTGTTAAATTCGTCAAAGAATGGTTGTGACCGTGTTTCAACGGCATGAGGTTCTGGATGGAGTATTAGTGGTTGTTGAGAATCAGGCATATGAACTTGTTGTTGGGGCTGTGATTGTTGGGGAGGCATCATCTGGTTTGTACTGTTGAAATCCAAAATGAGGGAGTTCATGAGTTTGAGAGAGTCTTCCAAACCGGTGAGTATGTGAGGGATATTGGACCCGCCCACAAAGGCGTCGCTCACTTGTCTACCCTCGGAGAAATCCTCACATATTGACCATTGGTTGGAGGAAAATTGATCTAGCACATCAGAGAAGTAAACTGCGAATTTAGGGGGTTTTGATACATTTAGCTTCAATTCACACATTCTGTTCTTGGAGTAACTGTCACTGTCATCTTGGTCTTCGGTGTCTCTTGGAATCGAATCGGTCTCAACGCTCAGAGAGCAATCTACCACCGAGGAGATGGGGAAGAAAATTCTGAAGAGGATCTTGGTGTTCTTAGCAATGGCACTGAAAAAATAGTTAATTTCCAAGTTTTTCTTGGAGATGAGGACCATTAGATCTGTTGCATTGGCCATCATTTCGTTGATAGATATGGGAGACAGATTGGAGAGATCTTGAACAACGTGGAGTCCATCTGCCTTCAGGTTCCCACTCTTGAGCCTTTTCCAACTGCCAACCGTGAGCGAGCTCACATCGACAAAAGAATAACTGGAGTTGGCCTCCAGCGGGATGCGGTCAAAATCAACCGCAGGAGATAGGTTTCCGAAACCGCCCATGTCGACCGCCGACGGTCTGGAGTTATGACGGTCTGTCTTTCTGTGTTTGGCACGCCGATTTTGAAACCAGATTCGTACATTTTTCTCCGGGAGACCTGTGAGCTCGGAGATCCGCTTGCGGTTCTGAGCATTGGGATTGGGGTTCTCGTCGAACTCGCGTTTGAGAATATTAAGCGCTTCGCCCGTGGCCCGCGTTCGCTTGGTCCGAGGCTTGCCGTCCTTCGGTTGCGCGCCTGACGCCTTGTCACCATCTTCCGCTTTCAGACGCGCCTCGTCCGAATGCGACGCCAGCTCCGCGCCTTCGAATCTCCCATGCTCCAGCTTCGCACTCGAACTGTTTCCAGACTCGTTGCTCTCGAATTCCTGCCCCATATTGAACTCAGTGAAGTGCGAACCGAAATCCGCTCCGTTTCCGTGAAATCCTTCCATGACTGCTGCTTCCACAGACGAAGATATACTGTCGGTCACTGCTGTGTATATATGAATAGTCCGGCCAGCGCTATTTCTTGTGAATCCCGAAACAGGACAACCCTCAGGGATAAACTTGTGGTGGTTTGGTTGATGTCGAGTCTAGGATGTATTCTCAATGATGCCAACCTCTCTACGCTAAAAAATTTGGGAACGGCACAAACCAGGGGCGGGTTTGCCGTCCATGGTGATGGAAACAAAACCAGTTTTTTTTTTTTATTTACCAGCCGTTCGTGCCGCATGATGTTAGTCTGGTCTCTTTTCAACGAATTAAAAACGGTTACAAGTGCATTGCATTATAAACATGTTATAGAGCGTTCTGTAGAGGCATTCTGTAGTGTCTATAGTTTCTTGCCGAGGTTCACGTGAACGGACTTGACGTTTGTGAAGTTTGCGAGGCCGTACTCACCGAGTTCTCTGCCGTAGCCACTCATCTTGACACCTCCGAAAGGACTGGCGATCTCAACGTCGTTGGAAGAGTTGATCCAGCACATGCCTGACTCGACGCCATTGGCGAAGTTGAGGGCACGGGTGATGTCCTGGGTGAAGACGGCGGATCCAAGACCGTACTCGGACCCGTTAGCGATGGCTAGCGCGTCGTCGTAGGTGCTGAACTTGCCAACAACGATCACGGGACCGAAGATCTCCTCGCGGGCTACTTTGTGTGTTGGAAGCACGTCTGCTAGAATGGTGGGCTTGACGTAGTAGCCGTTCTTGTACTCTGAAGAGCTGGCGATGACCTCAGGGAGGCCCTCACCGCCCAGCGCGGCGCGACAGCCTTCCTCGAGCCCGCTCTTGATGTATGACTGCACACGCTCTTGCTGCTTCTTGGACACCTGAGGTCCAACGAGTACCTTATCGTCGGATGGAGCGCCGACCACGTAGGTTTCCTTGACGTGCTTGGCGAGCGCGTCCACGAACTTGTCGTAAATGCCCTCTTGCACAAAACAACGCGATGTACCGGAGCAGATTTGGCCCATGTTGTTGAAGATACCCCAGGCGGTCCACTTGACGGCCTGCTCGAAGTCTGCGTCGTCGAAGATCATGATGGGGGATTTCCCACCGCATTCCAACGTCAATGGCTTCAAATTGACCGCTGCAGCGCGTTGGATGATTTGACCCACGGCTGTACTACCGGTGAAGGCGACTTTATCGATGCCGGTGTGCTCTGCAATCGCAGCGCCCACTTTGGCGCCGGTACCGGAGACGACATTGAAAACACCCGGTGGGAAACCGGCCTCTTTGACCAAGTTCGCGAAATACAAGATCGAAAGCGGCGTTTGCTCTGCGCTCTTGAACACGGTTGTGTTGCCCGTAGCGATTGCAGTCCACTTCCACGACATCATGGCAAGTGGGTAGTTGAATGGGATGATACACCCGACGACCCCAAGAGGCTGATGCAACGTGTAGGTGAGCTTGTCTGCGCTGGGTACGAAAGTCTGCCCGGTCTTCTTGTCGGCCCACCCGGCGTAGTACTTCAGCACTTCTGCGAGTTCTAGCATGTCATACTTGGCGTTTTGCTCCACGGGCTTACCAGTGTCTAGTGACTCCACCTCCGCTAACATTTCCACGTTGTCAATCACCAATTGCGCAAGCTTGAGGAGTAGGTCGCGCTTTTCGGTCGCAGGCGTGTCTCTCCAGCCTGGGAAAGCCTCGCGCGCGGCCTTGACGGCCAAATCCACGTCGGTGACCGCGTCTGCAGCCTGCACTGCTACAATTTCCTGGCCAGTAGCCGGGTTGTACGAGACGATCTCATCCTCAGATGATGAGTTGACGAACTCGTTGTTAATGAACAGCCCCAGAGGCTGTGTATACTTCTTTCCTGAGGGTAGCTCAATTTCCTTGGTCAATGCCATTTGCTTAATGTGGTATGGACGATCTAGTTAAGATTCTAGGCTGAGGCTTCAATTGCAGTTCCAACTGACGTACTAACGCCTTTGCAAACGTGGCGGAAACTACTTTCTTCACTTTTTTACAATTTATACCGTCCTCCCTGTAGCTTGTTCCATATCTGAAAAATTGTCTTCTTTATCTAAGCGCCTCCAGGGTAAAAAATTCCATGAACATGAAAGGCGGAAATGATAGGAAACTCTCTAAAGAACGAAGCGGGCGGAACTCGTGCAACATCCGCGATTGCAAGCGCCTAATGGCAGCCCAAAGCGCGCGGCGGTAGCTTGGTGGCGATTACGGCCGGCGGTGTGAGATCTGCGACCGCCAATTGCTATCGATCGGCTTCACGTCGAGCTGTTGCCTATGGTTGCGGTAAGCATGGACGATGTTGAGGTCCTGGAGTCAGGAACGCAAGGGAAACGGTGGGTGCTGCATATTCAGACGCCTTTCTGACGAATCAAGTACGAACGAACGACCTTGGTCGCGCCGTTTGAGCCATGAAGGTAAGAAGGTGCCCGCACGGCGCAGCGTATATAATCATAGCAAAAGCACACGAAAGTGCGCAACTTTAACGCAACTTAAACGCAAGGGAAGAAGGCAAAAGCAAGCGGTTAGGCAGTTGGTCAAGTGCAAACGTAAAGGAACTTGCTGGGATGCGCAACCGGAGGTTTTTTTTTTTTGCACCGCCGGCCACCGTTGCGCACGGTATATAAGGAAGCGGATCGTAGAGGCGACGATTTGGTTGCATCTTCTTAATTGGTTAGATATTACATAGAACTTGACACACGCCACTAGCTTCAATGTTCGAGACACTAAACATCCCACAGAAGAACTTGAAATACGAACAGCCCTTGGGCCTCTTTATCAACAACGAGTTTGTTGTATCCAGCGACAACAGCAAGATCGAAACCGTCAACCCGGCGACAGGCGAAAAGATCACGGCGTTCCACGCTGCGTCCAAATCAGATGTAGACAAGGCAGTCAAGGCTGCCCGTGAAGCATATGAGACCAAGTGGAGCAAGACGTCTGCGGAGGAGCGTGGGATTTTGCTGGCCAAGTTGTGCGACCTTATTGAGCAAGAAAAGCATCTTCTAGCGGCGATTGAGACGCTGGACTCAGGTAAGCCCTATGAATCCAACGCATTGGCTGACCTAGAGCAAATTATTCAGTGTACTCGTTATTTCGCAGGCGCTGCTGACAAGTATACCAAGGGTGAAATGATCCCTCTCACACATGACAAGTACGCCTACACCATAAAGTCCCCTTACGGCGTGGTCGCGCAGGTAATCCCTTGGAATTACCCTCTAGCTATGGCCAGCTGGAAGATCCAAAGTTGTCTCGCTGCAGGTAACACCATAATCATCAAGCCCGCCGAAAACACCTCTCTATCGTTGCTGTACCTAGCACAGCTGTTTAAGAAAGCTGGGTTCCCAGCCGGTGTGCTCAACGTGGTACCCGGCTACGGTGACGTTGTGGGGTCCGAATTGGCTACTCATCCGGACGTGGACAAGATTGCATTTACCGGTAGTACTGCAGTTGGGCAGAAGATCATGCAAATGGCTTCATCCACGCTGAAAGCAGTCACGTTGGAATGTGGTGGTAAATCTCCTGCAGTTGTGTTTGAAGATGCAAACCTCGATGAGGCTGTTAAGTGGACAGCTGCAGGTATCTTTTATAATTCTGGTCAAAACTGTACTGCCAACTCTCGTATCTATGTTCAAGAATCCGTTTACGACAAGTTTTTGGAAAAGTTCACCCAGTTCACTGAATCCGAGTGGAATTTTGGCGCCTCTTGCGATCCATTTGAGGAAGCTTGCAAGGTGGGCCCACTGATCTCGCAAACACAGTACGATCGAGTTACGGGCTTCATCAACCATGGTAAAGAAGTCGAGAAATTGAATATCAAACAGATGGGTAAGCCTGTTGACAAGGGATATTTTGTTCCCCCTACTATTTTTACCGATGTGCCCCAGACTTCCAAATTGGTCCGTGACGAGATTTTCGGACCAGTTGCCATTGTGGCCAAGTTCAAGGATTACGATGAGGCCATGAAGTTGTCTAACGACACCTCTTACGGACTTGCCTCTGCTGTTTTTACTGAGGACATCCGCAAGGCTCATCAATTCGCACGGGATATCAAGGCTGGTACCTGTTGGGTCAACTCCTCGAATGACGAAGAAGTCAGCGTACCCTTTGGTGGTTTCAAAATGAGCGGTATTGGACGTGAATTGGGCCAAAGTGGTGTGGACGCCTATGTGCAAACAAAGGCGGTGCACATGAACATTTCAAAACTATAAGGGATTTACATGCTAGGCAAATGGATATCAAACCCATATTTAGGTTATGGGTATGTTTATCATTTATATGTCAGATAAATATTATATTCAAGTTTCTGTATTATGTCGTAAGGTTTTAAGATCACGGGATCCTTATGTCGATTTTGAAATTGGAAATACGCGACTCCGGAATAAATCCTCCAGATCACATCGTTGGATGAAGTACCATGATTGCTTTCTCGAGGCCACTCAAATCAAAGAGCCCTTGTAGCATATGCACTCGAAGAAAAGTTAAGTGTGATCGCCTAATACCGTGCTCTAATTGCGTGAAACGAGGCCAGGAAAAAGAATGCAAATCTAGTGCCAAACACCACTCGGGAAGTGAAGATTACGCAAAGCAATGTTTAGGTCTTTGGCAAGGTTATGATTATTGGGTCCTAAATCTAGGTCTTTTCAAAATGGCATTGCCAGAGCTCACATCATGGACTGATGTACGGGCCGACATCGACGAGACGCAATTTTGGAAAGACTACTTGAACATGGACGTTTCTTTCAAGCTTCTTGATTATTCTATGGAGAAGCTTGGTGGATTGTACTTTGGTACCGTTGGTGACATTGGTGAATTATATGTCCAGCTGGAGGGTTATTGGGCTCGTAGAGAGTCATCTCAGGAAACGCAAAATGCCGACTACTACTTATGGGATGCATTGCTATGGGCGATTTTTACAATGTCTATATACTATATGCCAAAAGAGATGCTCACTGACCTTCTTGATGCCTCTCCTGTATCGCAGTGGTTTCATGAGAGGGAAGATCAGTATTGGTCAGAAGAGTTAAAATTTAATCTCTTCAATGGATTTTTGAAAGCCACGATTCAGCAACTAAAATGCGCGGACTTTTTAGCGCATCCTGATATTCGCGTTATTCAAGTGTACCTGATACTCTCTACCACGTCATTTGTTCAGCTTAAACGAACATTCTCTAATAGCGTGCTTACGCACTGCCTGCACCTTGCCAAACTACTCCAATTAGATCAATTCAAGGCGTTAGTCACAGATACGGCCGAGGTAAGACTCGCAAAAATGGCATCCGAAAGAATTTGGTACCGTCTGTGTACGCATGATTATTGGCAGTCTGGTCCCAATAAGCCACTTTCCATTCATGAGGAAAACTCATCATTACTTAATCATGCTGCTTTTTTAATGGATAGGCCAAATGTTGACGTCTATCAGAGTGAAGATACCTTCGAAACTTTGGTCTGGAAAATAGTATCATTGGAAAGAGATCTCGAAAGATATTCTTCCACAAGTAGCAAGCCTCCTTTAAAGACTTTGGACGCAGTAAAAAGGCAAATTGAGATATTCAACCGTAAAATCACATCCGTGAACGATACGGAATCGGTTAATTCAAAATTGGAAAAATTCACTGGCAAATATTTATTAAATGTTGTCGCTTGGAAATTAAACTCACTGATGTTCATTTATTTTGATGCCTCCAGTGGTTTATCGAAGACAGTTCAGTACACAAGACTTTTAATTGGGCAACTTTTAAATAATATCAAGTCTCAAAGAGGATTTTTCAACAAGAACCCGATATTCCTCATACAAATGGCTCGGATTGGAGCATTCCATTGTTTTTGTCATATTTTTCAATCATCTGCTGAAAATGAACAGGTTATTACCGATATTATAGAATTATTCACAAACTTACAGTTGGAATCTAATCCAGTAATTATGTCAGCATTGCGGGTGATGAAAAGACTTCGGGAAATGAATGCCATTTGGCGAGGAGTACAAGTTATTGATGATGGTGATACTCTTAATCATCCTATAATAAGAATTCTGAAAAATGATGTGAATTTGATCACTAATATATATAATAAAGCACAACGCTCTAACAGATTCTCATTAGAATCTTTACTCGCCAGCGATAATGATGAAGAGACGGATAGCCGAGAATTTTTGAAAATTGTACATGATTTTCAAAATAGGCACGATCTCTTGAAGATAATTTCATTCCACTCAACTAACTTTTAACATCTTTCAAACACCTTGTATAAACCAGGTAGATTCGCAACTTCTATCACATCACCAGATATTTTTTTGGACGCAAGGAGTCTTTTCTTAATTACGGGGAATATAACATGCTCCAAAACATTCGCCATTTTTTCAGACTTTTTGAGATATTCTATTTTTGCATTTTGGTCAACAGCTTCATCATTTAAATCAACTTGTTCAATGATCTCCGGAATATAAAAAAGAGCGATCTGTTGTAGTATCCCATTCAAGCATTCAATCTCTTCTGTCCAATTGATTTTGGTCCCTAATCTGTATAAGAAAAAGGGCAGTTTTGCTAGAGGTGGCATGTAGTCTTTAAGAAGCAAGGGCAAGGCAACTAACTTCATCTCAGAAAGAGCATTTTCATCTCCTTCGATTTCGATTGAAAAATACTCATCGAGCATTTCTCTCATACTCCAAAGAACAGATACAATTTCACGATTTTTTTCTTCAGAAGTTTCTGGTATACTGGATAAAGTTTCGAAAATGGACAATCCCCTCTGTTCTGACACTTTTGTTTTCGTCATTAATTCAATTTTCCCAAAATTTGCAAAGTCTGTCAGACCAATTTGATAGAATAATTCATTACAGAGTGATCCATAGTCGACGAGAAGGAGTTTGAGATCATATTGAAATGAAGCTAGCCTTCTTTGCTCATCAACTACACCAATGTAAGTCAAATTAGCAAACGTATTTGTAAGCTCTCTATGTGTATTATCATCAACTTCCTTTCTCAATTTTTTGATGCTGATTAGATTTACAGTAGTTCGTTCTTTGGGAATTGATGTATAACTAGTTGTATAATGAAAATTCCCATTGGCATCATCACCCTGGAATGATGATGAAGATAAAGCGACTGAAGTCGCTTTTTTGCGCTGCTCTGACTTTTCTGGCTGAGTTAAACTTCTTTCTTGGGAGCTCTCTTCTTGAGTAGCCTCGAAACTGTAGTCAGTGGGCTTTAAATAATTAGACAATTTTGCTTGGGAGGCATCTATGCGAACGAGTTTGTTTTCCTGTCTCTTGATCTTATTGCTTATAGAAGTTACGGGGGGGTTGTTGAGAAGTTTTGCATGAGCCTTTCCAAGATCATTAGCAACACTCAATGGTTTTTGACTGAAAATTGAAGTTGTTTGAAACGAGCGCGAGGTATCAATATCAGAAAGGGTATCTTGGAGTTTAGTCGATATGTATTCTGTTATTTCGGTCTCATGTAAAAACCTCACCTCCCTCTTGGTTGGGTGAACATTGACGTCCACAAGATCAGGCCGAATCATCAAGCCCAAATAAATGAAAGACTTATTCCCTTTGGGGAGGTATAAGGAATATATTTGGTTGAGGGATCTTCTCAAAGGATCGCATGTCACTAATCTGTTATTAATGAAGAATATTGGCGGAATGTGCTTCTTATTATTGAAATTGAGATTGCTAACTTGTCCAATTGCAGCTTCCAAGCCATATTCTTCAAGTTTGTGGGTATTGAACTCTAATATATTCGAAGCAACATTTCCACCGAATACTGTCCTGATTCTTTCTTGGGTGGTAGAGTCGACCCCCACATTAAGTGAGTATTGTGAGTCTCCAAATTTTTTACACGAAAACCCAACGTTCTTGGAATGAATGGCGTAACGACCCACACAGTCTAAAACTTTAGCATACTCATCACTTGGTGATCGTAAAGCCCTCAATCTAGATTGTACGTTGAAAAACAGATCCTCTACAAGAATTGCCGTGCCATCTTTTCCAGCGGTCGGCTTAGGCTCTCCAATCATTTTACCATCCGCATATGATACCTTCCAGGCACACGGATCATCTTTCGTTTTGGTAGTAACTGTTACTCTTGCGATATGCGAAATACTTGCTAATGCCTCTCCACGGAAGCCATAGGTCTTTAAAGAGTTGAGATCTTCGTATGCTGATAACTTTGAAGTTGTAAATCTCTCACATAAAATTGGCAGATCTTTCTTGTCTATGCCCGATCCATTATCAGTAATTTGGAGAATCTTAAGGCCACCATCTTTAATAAGAATGTCGATATTTGTAGACCCTGCGTCAATGGAGTTCTCCATCATCTCCTTTAAGGCGTTAACCGGTGCGATGATAATTTCGCCAGCCGCAATTTTGTTTACCACAGACGCATCCAGTTGCTATCAGAGTTAGTAGTAATTCGCATAAATAAGCTTTCGGTAGACTTACTCGAATTCTTGCGGGGTGGTTTTCCATCGCCTTCTTTCTTGATGTGTATTCTTAATTACGCGACTAGAAAGAAAATAGATTTATATGGGCGCTCATCACGCGTATAAAACACTTCATCCATAATGACCGTAAGAGATAGTGAGGAAACCCATCTAGCTAAACGACAGAAAACTATTGATGATGCAGAATCAGTAAGAACAACTTTACAGGATGGAACAGGTGTAGAATTTGAGATTTTGCAGGGCTACAGAGACTTCGATCATGAGGTCAACAAGGATAGGGTTAGCATAGCCAGAAATGGTGACATTACTATTGCAGTTGATCGGTTGAAGGTTGTCGATAAACTATTCGATAAAACGAGCGGTTTGGCGTCCAATAGAAATTCTCTATTAGCTCAGGACGCGCGTGCAGTTCTAAATATTAGTGAGCTTGCTCATCTCAGTGTCAGAAATACAAAATTTGATGAATCTAAAAAGCTTCTTGGTCTAGAAGACATTTTAAACAGTGCCAAGAAGTATATGTTGCGGGAATTTTTCCAAATTAATTCTCTAACAGAGGAACTTAGAACTACGGGTACAGATCATCTTGATGAAGAGTCTAATGATCTAGATGAGTCAACAGAAAATGGAAATGCAACGGCCAATGCCGTCAACGGTGCATCAGAGCAGGATGATCTAAGACAGAGGGAAAATCGGCGTGCACATCTTCAAAATTTCGCGAAGTACGATCATTTTGGACAATTTAACTGGTTCAAGATGGGAGCTTTGTTTAAACTAAAAAGCAGATCGCCAGAAATCGTAGATCATATCCTTGCTCCATTCGCGTTGGAAAAGAAAAAGCGAGCACCTGTGCAGCGGAGGCTGGCTGAAACAGTAGGGCAAGCATCGACCGCGGAGGTGCTTACGAGTAATTCTTTGAACTCTACTCAGGAGAAAACAACCCCAGAGCAAGTCAAAAAATGTTATAAAGTGCTACTTGAGAAAAATGGAACCGATAGAATTAATTTATTCAAATTTATCTTAGATCCAAACTCCTTTGCAAGATCTGTTGAGAATCTCTTTTACACTAGCTTTCTTATAAAGGAAGGTAAGCTTGTTCTTGAGGAGGATATCGATGGATATCCATCAATAAGGCCAAAAGAAGGTCTGCCGCGTGACAAACATGAACGTGAAATCGAAATCCAAAGGAGGAATGTCGCAAGCCAAAATCACATTATCTTTCAAATGGATATGGCGACATGGCGGTCCTTGATAGAGAAATTTAGTATAGTGGAAGCGTTTATTCCGTGATATGCATTTGTATTGTTATTTAATGAACTATTATGAGTCAGTAATCTCTCGTTTTTTCCAACCATCGACTTCCAGCAGATCAGGTAATGGCCACTTTCTGATTGGATTGATGTCTAGTTCAGTGGTTAATCTTAGCTTTTCGTAAATTTCAATGCCTGCCCAACCAATCATTACGGCATTGTCAGTACATAGAGAAGGCTCAGGATAGTGGAACGATGTAAAAGCATCGCTTAGTTCATCTTCTAGCTTCTCTCTTAGCCTTCTGTTGGCGCCTACTCCTCCGGAACATACAAAGTGCTTAGCATCTCTCAACTTATCATGATTAAAGTGTAGCGTAAGTTTTATCTTGGAAATTAGATGATTAAAAAGAGCTTCTTGTATCTGATAGGCTATGGATCTTAACTCCATCACTGAGTAGTCCTCTAGTTGCTTAGTCATACTTTTTCTAACAGCAGTAATAAACGGGGCAAAAGAAAATGCCTGTACGTTCATTCTGCCGTTTTGGTTTCGCAGTGGATTTGGCAGTTTCATTTCCACTGAATCGCTTTTCGAGTGAACTAAATCAGCATTGATAAAAGTTTCCATAGATTTTGCCAGCATGTTTCCCTTCATTCCAATTTCCCTGGCACACTTGTCCAAGGAGTCTCCAATTGCAATGTCAATCGTTTCGCAAAGAATCTCGTGTGACGAAACACTTTTAGATAAAACTACCAATGTATGGCCACCGCTCACCAAAAGATTTATGAAAGGGAATTCAGGCTCCTCGCCATTGCTATTCATGCGGGAAAGGAGAAGATGACCCAGCATATGATGTACACCGATGAGTGGTTTGTTCCATGCGACAGCAAGGCCCTTTGCGAAATCTAATCCTCCAGACAATGAACCCGGCATACCTGGGCCTCTGGTTACACAAACTAGGTCTATACCTGTCCTTGAGTTTGCTTCATTGAGCGCTTTATCCACTAAGGGACCAACTCGCGATTGGTGATGAAGATGCGCTTTCGTTGGAATTATTCCACCTTGGTCTTTACTGTCTAAAGTGTCTTTGAAGTTGGCCAGAAGTTTTGGAGGCTCTTTCAATGAGTATCGATCGATAATCGCAACGCATGTATCATCACAGGATGTTTCGATTGCTAATACCTTATAGAAACGTTTGGTAGAAAGTCTAGTGATATGCCGTCCATAAGTCGTCCCATAACAAGATTGCTTCGAGGGAGGGAAGAATTTTAGTAGTTCCAGCATAAATATTCATTAAATGCACGCCAACCACAAGTGATCTCGTGTCTTTATTCAGATTCAGAAGATCATGTGTTGATATTATCGCTTGTTTCTATTCATTTCAATCAGTTAGCATATCGGATAAACTATGGTTCCGGGTAATTTTCAAAATTTTTGACCTTTCCCAACCAATTGGCATCGCTTAGTTTTCACCTTAAATGGAAACACACTTTCTTTCCAAAAGATCACCTCGAAAGTAGGGTCTCATGTTCTTCTTAACCTCATCTATACCAGTAATACATAAGCCCCATGACCGACCTTATCATGGGGAGGAGTGTGTAGAGCATGCAGATGATAACAAAGCTGGAGACAAAGATTCTAGCTCGCTTCTGCACTGCATACTGGCTGGTGGGTTTGGAGGCGCCATTGGGGACTCTGTAATGCATTCTTTAGATACGGTGAAAACGAGGCAGCAAGGTGCTCCAAATGCGAAGAAATATCAGAATATGATCTCAGCTTACCGTACGATATTTGTAGAGGAAGGGCTGGCAAGGGGCCTCTATGGGGGGTACACAGCAGCTATGTTAGGGTCCTTTCCTAGTGCTGCTATTTTCTTTGGTACTTACGAATCTACGAAAAGAAAAATGATAGGAGACTGGGCCGTGAATGATACTATTTCTCATCTAACTGCAGGATTCTTGGGTGATCTGGTTTCCAGCATTGTCTATGTCCCGAGTGAAGTTCTCAAGACGAGGTTACAGCTTCAAGGTAAATATAATAATCCACATTTCCAATCAGGGTATAATTATAAGCATTTGCGCGACGCAATTGCCACAATAGTGCGGACAGAAGGTTGGAGAACGCTTTTCTTTGGATATAAGGCAACTCTCTCGAGAGATTTGCCCTTTAGTGCATTACAATTTGCATTTTACGAAAAGTTTCGAGAATTAGCTTTCAAGATCGAGAATAAGACTCCAGAAGACGATCTATCTGTGTTCAGCGAATTATTCACTGGAGCCGCTGCAGGAGGACTCGCTGGAATTATCACAACACCGCTGGATGTGATAAAAACTCGTATTCAGACTCAACTTCCAATATCTGTAACTGCAGAAACACTAACTGAAAGTAAACCTGTCACAATCGAAAATTCTTTGATCAAAGGACTTTCTGCGGTTCAGAAATCGGAAGGATTGAGGGGGTTTTTTAGTGGTGTGGGACCCCGATTCATCTGGACAAGTATTCAAAGTAGTATCATGTTACTGCTGTACCAGGTAACCCTTAAATCATTAGATAAATTGACAGATACCGGCTCTCCCTTAGGCGTATGACGGGAGGAGAAGATTCGAAATAGGCACGAGAAAGTAACGACCACTATCAGCATTAAGCTTGTAAATAATTGGTGAGGGAAATTTGATTGAACTAAGAGAGTGAACTAGAAATCGATAATCGAATTCGCCCACTGTAATAAAATATATATTCATTGCGCACATACTATTAATAAAAGTCGTGGATACACTTATTGGCTCAATATGTAATTGCTTGGTCAAGGTAGTCATCGCACATGAAGCGGAACACTTGATTTCTAAATATAAAAGCTGAAAGCTTGCGAATAAACGAAATGCTACAATTACACGCAAAACAATTTACCTCTCCTGCTCATTGAGAGCTGAAATACATTTTTGGAACATATGGAGGGATTTAATATGTAGTTAATATGTAGCTAACATATTCACTTGTTGGTATTTCTGTTCTTTTCTTGCTTACATTTTTCACGTGTGCTCAAAAAAGGGCGAAATCGCAGAAGAGCCATCTTCGTATTTCAACTACCAGTATCTACAGTCACATCAAATGCAGTACGTTGGTAGGGCCATTGACTCCGTCTCCAAGACATGGTCTTCAATAAATCCAGCAACACTTTCCGGAGCTATTGATGTTATTGTGGTAGAACATCCAGATGGAAATTTGGCTTGCTCACCTTTTCATGTGAGGTTTGGGAAATTTCAAATATTGAAACCGTCACAAAAGAAAGTTCAAGTTATTGTTAATGGGCAACCCACAGATATTCCTATGAAGCTAGGTGACTCTGGAGAAGCGTATTTTGTATTTGAGACAAAAGCTGGGCTGGACACCATTCCTCACGACCTGATATCTTCTCCAGTGGTCAGCGCTACCAGCAGTCCCAGCTCTTCTCCAAGAGGTAATTCTGGAAGCAGTTCCCATTTGGAGGAGCCTGATTTTCTGGACATAGGTAATCCTGCTCAAAATGATGATACCATCCCAAAAACGCCACCTTCTTCACTAGAAAAGGCCTCAACATTTGAAGAGCGGGCAAGAAAGCTAAACGAAAAGCTTCAAGAAAAGAAAATTCCTAGTAAATTTGACAATAATGGAGACTTACTGCTTGACATAGAGGGTTACAAGCCTAGCAAGGATAAAGTTCACGATACTGATGAAATGCTTAAACAACTGTTGCATGATGAGCTGGGCAATGAGTATGACATCTCGTCATTCGTCAAAGAAGATAGTAATGGCAATATGCGAATAATAAACCCATATGAGCATATCAATCAGCAATCACCTCCTGGATCTCCTCCTATCATGTCAACGGACTCCTTGGATACTCCTAATTCCAGCATTTCCGAGATTTCTACACCTACAGACACCACCACAACTACTGCAGAATTAAACTCCATGGCATCTAAGCCCAATGCAACGACCACTGCTTCGGGAAAGAATTACATAAAGACCATAAGACTTACCTCTGAGCAATTGCGCTGTCTGGACTTGAAGTATGGCGAAAATGACCTTTCGTTCTCAGTTGACAACAGCGGTGCAGTTGTTACAGCGAAACTTTTTCTGTGGCGATGGGATGTACCAATTGTTATATCTGATATCGACGGAACTATTACAAAATCTGATGCTCTAGGACATGTTTTAACCATGATAGGAAAGGATTGGACTCATCCAGGGGTTGCCAAGCTATTTACAGAGATTAAGAGAAACGGTTACAATGTAATGTATCTTACCGCGAGAAGTGCAGGCCAGGCTGATTCTACGAGGAGTTATCTCAGAAGTATCGTACAAGATGGTTGTAAATTACCAGTGGGACCGGTAATATTATCACCCGATAGAACAATGGCAGCGCTCAGAAGAGAGGTGATCCTAAAAAAGCCTGAAGTTTTTAAAATTGCATGTCTCAACGATCTTCGGAAGCTTTACTTCGGTGATCTCAATTATGATGACGATGAGGAAAAGGACGAATTACCGACACCTTTTATCGCTGGGTTCGGTAATAGAATTACGGACGCTTTATCATATCGAACTGTAGGCATTCCAAGCTCGCGTATTTTTACGATAAACCCCGAAGGAGAGGTACATATGGAATTGCTAGAATTGGCTGGTTATAGAAGCTCGTATCTTCATATTAATGAACTTGTTGATCACTTTTTTCCACCGGTAAGGCAAATCTATCTGGGAAATAATGACGATTTGAAGAGCCAATCTCCAACACCAGGATCTCCAGTTGGAACAGCTATGGAGGAGAGGTCATTTTACAGACCCAAAGATGGCCAATTTTCGGATGTAAATTTTTGGAGAGAGCCTGTTTTGAGTATTGAGGATATATCAGACATTAGCAGTGATGATGGGAGTTACAATTCTCCGCAAACAGCGGATGATAATGGGAATCGGACTCGCACACCTTTGGAAAATGATGACGTAAAGAGCTCTAAAAGCGCAAGTGTTCCTATTGATTATCCAAGAACGCCAACCAGCATGAGTAAGATTGCTAACGACGGAATTGCATTGGATAACACATCGAAAGATATTGGAAAACAAATTTATCTAGAGCTGGGCTCTCCGATATCCTCGCCACGCTTAAGTTACGTCGATAAGGGTTTAACTCAAAAAATGGACCATCTCTCGATTGCATCTTCGGCTAAACCCAGCACCCAGGTATCCAAGTTAAATGTCTTCGATGATGATCACAACAAAATCCCTCTGCATAATTCATCTGGGGCTCCAGCGAGCGAGTTCGATCATGAAGGTGGTGAAGATTATGAGGATGACGAATTTGACGAGGATGAATTCGATGACGATGGCGAAGACAACGATGATGAGTTTGACGAAGATGAGTTCGAGTCTTGATATCATGGAGGAAAAGAACGTGTGTACGTTTATAGTGATCTTGGTTTTTTTCCACTGGTAAAGAAGACCCTACCAAAACAACATCAACACAAATTATAGCTAGAACAGCAGCATTTTAAGCATCATTGACAGATCGTTCGGTTTCCTTTTTTCGCAATTCAATTTATTAAGTGTGTATTGACTATAAGGAACCTTTAAAGTAAAAAATCCTCGTCAAATTTTTCGATACATTGAGAAGGCAATTATTGAAAAGCTAATTATACTTTAGTGCAGTTCTGGATTGATATAGGGAGGTGTTTACTCATCTGAGATGGGTTCTAATAGCAACGAGGATAGTGGTTCGAGGAACGGTCAAGATAATGAAAATAGAACAGATTCTGACAAACTTGGCAATCAAGACAATTGGATAAAGAGTGAATCTTTACCTAATCACTTAGATAGTGACTCTCCTGGAGGACCGAAGTTTAATCAAAATGCTCTAGTATCGGATGCTATGGCTAAAAACTCCCGTCAATTGCTTTATGCGCATATTTACAACTATCTCATTCAACACAAATATTACGATACAGCGAGAAGACTTCTGAACGAAGCAGACGTGCCCCTGTCAAAAACGTTATCGGATGAGGGACCGAAAGAAGATGAGCTTCTCCATGCAAAGATGCTCATGAACTCGAAAGACACGTTTCTATTTGAGTGGTGGCAATCTCTTTGGACCCTGCACGATTTCGTAGAGTCACAGCCAACTGAAACCATCAGTAGTGATAGATTTTTTCGGGAGCCTATTACGCCTATACTTCCCCAGCCTCCTTCCTCCACTCAAGTTATGCCATCGACGGGAATAGGCCTCCAACAGCAACAACCTTATATGCAAGTTCCAATGCCACCTTCACAATTAACATCCCACCTTCCGACCCAAATGACGATGGGACCTCCCAAAGTCAATGACACAAAGGACAAGAAATCAGCTGCTGCGGATTCTCCTCCTAAAAAATCAAACGTTACCTATCCCCGCGTGCCCAAAGCATCCACAATTGCTATGCAGTCTCAAATGGCAGCTAATGGTACCGCTGGTAGCCCTCATCAAACTGGTGCAGGAGTAGGTTCGGCCATGCACAATGGACAGTCCATCTTAACTACACCTTTATACACCAATTCTTCATCAATGGGCTTACAAGGTCCCTTGCCGAGCTCACAGCAGCCTCCGCCATCTCAACCAATGAACCAGCGTCCTATGCAAGATTATCAGCAAGGAGTAGCATATCCACAGGCAATGATGGGCTCGCAAATGGCACATGAGAATATGATGATGTATTATCTGCAGCAACAGCAACAGCAACAGCGAGAAATGATGATGGCACAGGGAGAAGACGATACTAGAACGACGTCTCAAGGAAATTGGGGGCCTACTCAGCAACAATTGCAGGAGCAATATCAAAAGACCATGCTAATGATGCAGCAATCCCAGCAGCAGCAGCAGCAGCAAAAAAGACCACCTATGTCACGAACGTATTCTCATCCGACGCAAGCTATGAGTGCAAACCAGATGGCACAAAAACAACACGCTATGCAACAGTCGCGAATGGATGCACAATTTCAGCAGCAAGGACAGCAAGGACAAAGCACACTTTCACATCAACAGTCGGCACAGCAACAGTCGCTTTCCGCTTATTCACGACACCGATCACCAGTACAGCAGGGACAATCTACGCAGTATGTTCTGCCTCAGGGCGATGGGGTGCCTGATAATGGTCTTTCTTCTAATTCCGCGTTAAACAATGTGGTAGATCCCAGTATGCAACAACAGTATTTGAACAACATGATGATGCAACAATCTCAGAATCCTCTTTCACCAGTTGGAACTCTAGGGACCATGAACGGAGTTCCGACCAACTTTTCCGGCACTCAAGTTGGAAATTCCGATAAGTTTGCAGATGGCATATCAAACGACCTACTTGGTTTTGGTATTCCATTACCACCTCATCCATCGCAGCCGAACTAAGCATCATACAGGACAAGTTCTCTCTGGAATTTTTTACCCACGGAAGGCTCAATACAGAGTTTTTTGATTATATAATACACATGCGATCACACCCAAATGAAGCAACTTTAATGCGCCAATTCTGTCGAGAGTTGCCTAGAAATTAAATCTCAACTTTGGAGGTCGTAACTGGGACGCGTAGAAATTCTTGGCGTCTTTATATCTATTGTGTAACATTATAATATTACAACTGGTTTGTGACGATTATCGGCTTTCATTTTATAACTTTAAAACGTAAATCAACTTTAAGTGGAAGGAGATATTTAGCAAAAATGGTAAGAGCTTTCTATTTCTTCGAAGTTAATAAGTTTAAAGTTGAATGAATTAATTGAAGCTTAAAATTTTGTTGGAACGAAATACAACTATCGACCATCGACTAGTATTCGTGCTACTAGTATATTATCATACACGGTGTTTTAAGATGACATAAAGAATGAGAAACAGTCATCGAAATTAGTGGAAGCTGAAGCGCAAGGATTGATAATGTAATAGGATAATGAATGAAAATGTATAAAAGGAACAGAAAGAGTAAGAATAGTTGTAAGTAGAATTATTGACTCTTCTTTCTGGATTCTTAGAAAGAAGAGGAGAACTTCTAGTATAACCATATACCAATAATTACAGCCTTAATAAAAAATGGAATCCCAACAATTATCTCAATATTCACCCATCTCTCATGGTAGCGCCTGTGCTTCGGTTACTTCTAAAGAAGTCCACACGAATCAAGATCCATTAGACGTTTCAGCTTCCAAAATCAACGAATATGATAAGCTTTCCACTAAGGCAAATTCTCAACAAGAAACAACACCTGTGCCCACAGATGTTTCAGAGAACATTCATCATGCCTCTCCTCACACTGCTCAAGTACCATTGCCACAGAATGGCCCGTACTCACAGCAGTGCATGATGACTCAAAATCAAGCCAATCCTTCTGGTTGGCCAGCATACGGTCACCCATATACGATGCCGTACACACCTTATCAAATGTCGCCCATGTACTATCCACCTGGGCCACAACCACAGTATCCACAGTACACATCAACTACAGGAACGCCTTTGAGCGCCACACCCCCCGAGCCCAGTAACACACTTACCAAGCCACCTTCAACGAAGTCAGATGTGACACCCGTCAACAAATCTGTTCGACCACCACCAATTTTAACATCATCAAATGATTTTCTAAATTGGATCAAAACTTATGTTAAATTTCTACAAAATTCAAATCTCGGTGACATTATCCCGACGACAGATGGAAGACCTAGTACGGCAGATAACATACGACGAACATACCTTCTTGTACAACACTTTTCAAACGTTTGCTCCATCTCATTTCCTACCTACTTGGGTCAAAGACATCTTATCTGTTGATTATACAGATATTATGAAGGTTCTTTCGAAAAGCTTTGAAAAAATGCAATCCGACAATCAAGATGTCAATGACCTGATAACGATCACTAATCTCCGCTACAATGGCAGTACACCAGCAGGAGAGTTTGAAACAAAGATCACGAATACAATCGAGAGACTAAACAATAATGGTGTTTCTATCAATGACAAGCTCGCATGTAAATTAATTATGAGAGGTCTCTCTGGGGAATACAGATTCTTACGCTACGCACGTCATCGCACCAAAACATGACAGTCGCAGAACTGTTCCTGGACATTCATGCCATATATGAAGAACAACAGGAATCGGAACGCCGTAAGCCTACTTACCCAAGGATTCCTAAAGATGACAAGAACATTTCTCGAGTCTCTCCAAATATAAACAAAGCCAAAACTGTAACCCGAAACCCTCAAAAAGCAAGTAACTCAAAATCAAGAACGGTCAAAACTAATAACGTGTCCACGTCTCATAACTCTTTTGACAAGAACAATGATTCGATCAACGAATCACCTGATAAAACAATACACTTGAACAATCAGTATGACCTTCACCTTAGGCCAGATACATACTGAGTCCAAGGTAAACCACACGGATCATTCAAATGATGAACTTCCTGGACATCTTCTTATCGATTCAGGTGCATCACAAACCCTTATCAGATCCGCTCATCACATACACTCAGCATCGCCTAATATTGACATAAGCGCAATCGATGCTCAAAAAAAGGAAATACCAATCAACGCCATTGGTAATCTCCAATTCAAATTTGAAGACAATACAAAAACATCAATAACAGTACTACACACTCCGAACATAGCTCATGATCTACTCAGTTTGAGTGAGCTAGCTAAGCAAAACATCACTGCCTGTTTTACCAAAAATACCCTAGAGCGAGTTGACGGCACCGTACTTGCCCCTATCGTTCGACATGGGGACTTTTACTGGCTATCCAAAAAATACTTGATTCCCTCGAACCTATCAATGCCAATAGTTAACAATATCGGTACTGATAAAGCCTCACACAAGTATCCCTATCCTTTGATTCATCGCATGCTTGGCCACGCTAATGCTCAAACCATTCGGAACTCTCTAAAGAATAACTCAATAACATATCTAAAGGAAGCAGATGTCGATTGGTCTAAAGCTACTACATACCAATGCCCAGATTGCTTAATCGGCAAAAGTACTAAACACAGACATGTCAAGGGATCACGAGTAAAATACCAAAACTCGTATGAACCTTTCCAATATACTGCATACCGACATATTCGGTCCTGTTCATAACCTGCCAAAAAGTGCACCATCCTACTTCATAACATTTACCGACGAGAAAACAAGATTCCAATGGGTTTATCCATTACACGATCGTCGCGAACAATCTATTCTCGAGGTATTTACCACAATACTAGCCTTCATTGAAAGACAATTCAAGGCCAGCGTCTTGGTTATACAAATGGACCGTGGTTCTGAATACACAAACAAAACTCTCCATAAATTCCTTCTTCAACAAGGCATCACTGCATGCTATACAACCACAGCAGACTCTCGAGCTCATGGTGTAGCTGAACGGTTGAACCGTACTTTACTAGACGATTGTCGCACACAGCTTCAATGCAGTGGATTACCAAATCATTTATGGTTTTCCGCAGTGGAATTCTCAACCATAGTCAGGAACTCTTTAGTTACACCTAAAAGCGAAAAATCTGCACGGCAACACGCGGGTTTAGCGGGACTTGACATCAGTACTTTACTACCATTTGGTCAACCTGTGGTAGTCAATAATCACAATCCTGATTCGAAAATACATCCCCGTGGCATTCCTGGCTACGCTCTACATCCATCCCGGAACTCTTATGGATATATTATCTATCTTCCATCTTTAAAGAAGACAGTGGACACTACTAATTACGTTATCCTGCAGGGCAAGCAATCCCGATTGGACCAATTCAATTACGACGCACTTACCTTTGATGATGACATAAGTAGATTAACTGCTTCATACAAATCGTTTATTGATTCAAATGAAATCGAACAGTCCTACGACCTTCACATGGATCCTAATCATGATTTTCAATCTGAGATAGATCATGACACTGAACTCCGGGGAGATGACAGTTCCACAGATCTGATTGCAACTGGTTCGCTATCAACTCCTACTCAACCAACGAGATTGGAATCTGTACCTACAACTAATGCTCGTGCACCCAAAGAAGTTGACCCTAATATATCTGAATCAAATATTCTTCCGTCAAAGAAGAGGCATAACATACCCAATATTCCTGATCCAGACAATGCCTGTTTGGGTGGTATGAATAGATCAGATGTATCAATCGATATCCCCGTGCACAGCTCTGTCACGCAACAGTCGAATAAATCCAATGATCACGATCAAGTGAGCGATTCAGATTCACATCGCCAAATCAATACTAATCCTAAAAACGACACAACGCCATGTTTGGGTGGTACAAACAACAAGACTATATCAGAGTTCAATGATCAGGCTACCGAGAAAAGCTTGATAAACTATCCAATTCCACTATTTGATCCCCCACAGGGAAGTGAGATACCAAAGTATAATGCTCCTATTGTTACACCAGATACCTACTCTGAACATGATATGAAGGAATATATTACAGAAGATCTTCCGATTCCCGATTTACCTCCAGAATCTCCTACCTGTTTCCCCGATGCCTTTAAAGAAATTCCACCGATCAATTCTCGTCAAACTAATTCCAGTTTGGGTGGTATGGGTAAATCTAATATCTATGCTACTATCAATAGTAAGAAAAGATCATTAGAAGATAATGAAACTGAAATTGAGGTATCACGAGACACATGGAACAACAAGAACATGCGTAGTTTACAGCCCCCAAGATCAAAGAAACGTATACATCTGATCGCAGCTGTAAAAGCAGCAAAACCAATCAAACCGATACGAACAACCTTAAGATATGATGAGGCAATCACATATAATAAGAATATCGAGGAAAAGGAAAAGTACATTCAAGCATACCATAAAGAAGTAAATCAATTGCTAAAGATGAACACATGGGACACAAACAGATACTATGACAAAAATGAAATAGACACCAAAAAGGTGATAAACTCAATGTTCATCTTTAACAAAAAACGAGATGGAACACACAAAGCTAGATTTGTTGCAAGAGGCGACATTCAACATCCTGATACGTACGACTCAGGAATGCAGTCTAATACTGTACATCATTATGCATTGATGACATCTCTGTCACTTGCATTAGACAATGACCACTACGTCACACAACTGGACATATCCTCGGCGTACTTGTACGCAGACATCAAAGAAGAATTATACATAAGACCTCCGCCACATTTAGGTATGAACAACAAGTTAATACGATTGAGAAAATCACTTTACGGCTTGAAACAAAGTGGTGCAAACTGGTATGAAACTATCAAGTCATATCTGATAGATAAATGTGATATGGAAGAAGTACGTGGATGGTCATGTGTGTTTAAAAACAGTCAAGTAACAATCTGCTTATTCGTTGATGACATGATACTATTCAAGCAAAGACTTGAACTCAAACAAAAGAATTATAGAAAATCTAAAACGACAATATGACACTAAGATCATAAACCTAGGTGAAAGTGATGAAGAAATCCAATATGACATTCTTGGACTAGAAATTAAATACCAGAGGGGTAAGTACATGAAACTAGGTATGGAGAATTCACTAACTGAGAAATTACCAAACCTAAACGTACCTTTGAATCCGAAAGGTAGGAAACTTGCCGCTCCAGGGCAACCTGGTCTTTACATAGACCAAGAAGAGTTAGAACTGGAAGAAGAAGATTACAAAATGAAGGTGCATGAAATGCAAAAGCTAATTGGCCTAGCATCGTACGTTGGATACAAATTTCAGATTTCGACCTACTGTACTACATTTAACACTCTCGCACAACATATATTATTCCCGTCAAACAGTTTTAGACATGACATATGAATTAATCAGTTCATATGGGATACCAGAGATAAACAACTAATATGGCACAAAAACAGATCTACGAAATCAGGAAACAATTAGTTGTAATAAGCGATGCTTCATACGGAAACCAACCGTATTACAAATCCCAGATTGGTAACATATTCTTACTCAATGGTAAAGTCATTGGAGGAAAATCAACAAAAGCATCACTAACGTGTACTTCAACCACAGAAGCAGAAATACACGCAGTCAGTGAAGCCGTTCCGTTACTAAACAATCTAAGTTATCTCGTGCAAGAACTAGATAAGAAACCAATCATCAAATGTTTACTTACTGACAGCAGATCTACAATCAGTATAGTTACATCCAAAAATAAAGAGAAATTTAGGAACAGATTCTTCGGCACTAAAGCAATGAGACTCAGAGATGAAGTATCGGACAATAATTTGTACCTATACTACATTGAGACCAAGAAGAACATTGCTGATACATTGACAAAACCTCTTCCGATAAAAACTTTCAAGTTGTTAACAAACAAATGGATTCATTAGATCTATTACATTATGGGTGGTATGTTGGAACGAAATACAACTATCGACCATCGACTAGTATTCGTGCTACTAGTATATTATCATACACGGTGTTTTAAGATGACATAAAGAATGAGAAACAGTCATCGAAATTAGTGGAAGCTGAAGCGCAAGGATTGATAATGCAATAGGATAATGAATGAAAATGTATAAAAGGAACAGAAAGAGTAAGAATATTTGTAAGTAGAATTATTGACTCTTCTTTCTGGATTCTTAGAAAGACGAGGAGAACTTCTAGTATAACCATATACCAATAATTATAGCCTTAATCAAAAATGGAATCCCAACATTCAGCTCAATATTCACCCATTTCTCAATAAGATGAGCTTACATGTGCAATGGATATGGATATTTTGCTTCATTGGTTCAATTCTTGCGACCCAATATATTTGGCATGCTTTATTTTAAGTGGTATGTATAAGGTTTGTGCACATCTTTTACGAAGTTGGTTTCGTGGTCTAGTCGGTTATGGCATCTGCTTAACACGCAGAACGTCCCCAGTTCGATCCTGGGCGAAATCAATTTTTTGCTCGCGTTTCTATTATAACATATTTAGTAAGAATGGAAACATTTTTGATCGAAATAAGTCAAGTTGCGAGGTGATTCCCAGAACTGGGTCAGATGTCTGCTACAATGTCACGTTGTAACTTTCTTTTGGCCAACACAGCAGTCACTTCTCACTCATTGTCTCGCGACAGAAAATGTAAACAAAAAAAGTTTTTCCTGGATCAAACACAAACAGTAACCCGCCAGATAAGGAAGACCTGAGTAAAAGGGTCAGGAAGCTATGTCTTTCAGTGACAGTGATAAACTGCCCAAGGTGAAGCTTCCAGGATTACAAATATTCTCCAATGGATACTTTAGTCGATCAAATTCTACTCTAACGCACGAGAAATACAATATAGCACATGACTCGTGGTCATCGAGCAGTCCTCGTATTCCGCTTGAAGCAAGTAACCAACTTCGAAAACTATCTGACTGGGGTATTGAGCATTTAAATGACAGCTCACCTACTGTAATCGAGTCTGGTGACTTTGGTACGGAGGAAGTGCAGGCATATTTGCAAGAAAAAGGTGATGATCATGATTCGAAACAGAGCAGGAATGTTAGCAGTTTAGAAAAGCTAGTTCCTCAGATGTTCGCAGAGTCTCCACTCTCATCCTATAAATTCATCGAGGAATTTCAATACACCATAATCGCCTCTCAGCTGCTTACGGATTCATTCAGATCATCGTATAAACCCCCTTCGTCGCAGCAATCCATCCTGGACTTTCGAAAGGAGGTAGGGCCTTGCAATGGTTTTCGAACTCCAATGCCAACTAAATATGGTCTGTTATCTGTGAGGGACAAGGGATTTGAACTCCAAAGGACTGTACCGTTTATGCCCACCATGTTACGATGCCACCGCTGTCTTAATGCTTTAACTAAAGGCAAGCAGCAAACGCGATGTAAGACTCGTGTTTTTTCTGTTTTGGCAATTGGGGTTTACCTGGCGCTTCAGCAAGAATATTTTCATTCCCAATATATCCAATATTCCACTTTGATAGCCCTCAAATCGTCCATCAAGTACTTGCGAGACTTGGATGCACTTCTCCACAGATTTCACATGCATTATAAAGAATTGACCATCTATAAACCAATTGGACTTGTACAGTCGAATCAAATGACTGATTCAAATCTACCAGTTGTACGTGATATATTGAGTTCATCGCTTGATTTACTGTTTTACGAGTTGAAACATGCACTGACGAACATTTTACCAGTAATAAGTCTACGAGAACTCAGAAATTGTTGTACTATCTACAACCTAAGCACAGTTGATGTTTATTATGCTATAACTAGTGATGCGCTAGAGGTAGCAGAGAAATCAAGGAGAGTAAACCTATTAAAGAAATTTACACTTTGCTGCCTTTTGTCTGTCAATGACCAAATTCCAGAAGAGTCAAATGAAACACAGGAAATGCAGCGTGCACTACAGAAAACGTTTCCAATCTATGAAAACATGAGTTGGATGCCAAATTACAAGAAGTTTACTGGAATTCAAACAAATCTTTGTAAATTGAATACTTGCCTGAAAGTTGTCCTTTTAAATTTGAGAAGACATAGAGGTGAAATCTGTTTATCAGATGCTGATTCTGCAAAGAAGAGTGATTCACATAACTCTCAAAATTCGAGCTATCAAACCGTGGTGACTCTAAATAAGCTTCGAGAGATGGAGAACTTTCTCCTAAGCAGCTGCGATACGGAAGAAAATATAAGGTCATCGGTTTTCGAGGAATTACGAAGTTTGCTCAAATTTTGGCAGCCTCGGATTGAAGCAAAACCCAAGCAATGCATCAAACCTCATAGAGACAGACATTTTAGTGGATTGAACTTCGATATTGTCAAATCGCCAAACCTGAATAACAAAGAATTTACGTACAGTAAGGAACCATCAACCTTCACAGGCACATTAGATTCCCCTGTGGACTTCAATGTAGTCGAAGACTTGGATATGGATTTAGAGAAAGAGAACGGCGAGGACGCCTCAGAAGAAGTCTTCTCAAGCAATGAAAATCATAATGACAAGGAATCTTTCTTCAACAGGGAAAGTTTTAAAAAAATGACGGACGAAGAATTAAGGCAGAAACTCAATGAACGAATAATGCATTTGGCAATCGAAAATAAACGTGGAAAAGCCAAGTTAAGAACAAAAAAGAGTTTTGAGCTCTTAAGCACTAATGCAAACTTCCAACGGGGAAATTCACAACTGGGAGGGAAAAGCAGGACTTTTCACGAGACAGCATGTATATCCGAGGAGAGCATCCCGGTACTTTATGAGCTGAAGCACTTACTAGAAAATAAGTAATATGTAATATAGATATAGCAAAAAGCGACGTTTTTATTCTACCAATGCATTATCTTGATCAAAAATTTCGTCTTTGTATGATTCAAGCGACTCGCCCGCATAGCTCACACGACCAGATACCTCAACATGCACCCCATCGTTTACTTGTGCTCCCACTTCTTTCAGCCAAGATGTTGTCAAATTCAAATATGCAGCACGGCTTGTCTCAGGATTGTCATTAGCACTGCCAGGAGCGTTCTTCAAAGGCGCAAATTCTTTTTCCCTGTAAACCTCAAGGCAACCAAATTTTTCTAATGGTACTGAAGGAAACACATCAAAAATGAACTGTTCTAGCTTTATTCCATTTGGTTCCGATGGTTTTATATAGGACCCATCAGTGTTGTTGTAAAAGGGAATTTTTTTCTTGGCAATATGATATGGCATCGTATCACACCATTCATCAAGTTTACGTTCAAGCAAATCGACAGCATAGTAGTGATTAACAATGTTGGCAGCTCTTAATTTAAGCAATCCCTGATCATCTTTTGCCTCTGCCATCTCCTTCGAAATTTCTGAATATTCAATAACGCAAGGCTTTCCATCTTTCGTGGCAATCAATCCGACAGATTCTGCAGCATCTCTCTTCCGTACAGCTTTTGTAGCGAGCTCGAAACCATGCTTGATCGCATATCCTATGAATACAGGATCGGCCAGTTTCACGAGGACATTGTCGACACAGTACATGTGTATATGCCTGATATTATTGGAGACAAAATCATCTAGTAATTTGTTGTCTTTGATAGCCCGATAAAGGCCACCGTTACCATCTGGAGATTCAACCAATTCAGTAGGGGAGCTTTGTAAAAGTTTTGCTCCTTCCAAGTCCAAAGCAGGGAGTGTTCCTTGATTGAAGAAGGTTATTTGCTGAGGGGAAAGTCCAAAATAGGAGTGTTCTTTGAAAAATTGCTCAGTTGGCTCACGCGTTGGTTTTGAAGTCATGATATACCAAGGGATTGGTTTGTGGGACTGAGCTAGTTTTTGAAGACGCAGAAGTTTTTCAGCTTGAATTTGAAACAGAGACTTACCGGATGGGAGGCCTATATTGTAGCAACCCTTCGGTTGACTGGACCCTAATCTGGTGCCTTGGCCACCGGCCATCAGAATGACAGCGACTTCTCCTCGAGCTATGGCTGCAAGCCCTAACTTCTGGTACTCATCCTCAATCTCAGGATTTCCGATAATAGATTCATAGGAGTACTCGGGCAATGGTTCAATTGGGCTAGATGCACTAGCGTTATCTTCAGCTAATTTCAGTGCCTTCTGACAATCGCGAACAATAGCACTCGGCGAAACCCTATGAGATACTTGACGAAGATTCTCCTCGAATTGTCTTCTTTGTGCATCATTCAGATTATTCCACTCATTGAACAAGTGAGATTGATTGGCTTTTTTATAAACATCTGTAATGGACATTTTCTGTGGATTATTATTGAAGTGAATAATTTTTCTGGAGCGTGGCTTGTACAAACCCAATACTTAAAACATCAACAGACCCGGAAAATCCATGCACAATGGGAAGCAGTCGTAGAAAGAGGGCTCTTTCCTTGCGCACCCAACTGTTCAATAAACAGTTACATGATAAATTTCATAGAGATTATCAGGAGGACGTAGAGCTTGATACAATGAGCACAGAAAATGATGTCCACAAACCTCATGATGAAGATAGCGTTGGATTTATGACGACGTTATTCGATCTTATATTGAACAGGCAACGCATAAGACATACCAAGGCGGGTCGTGTAATACCGTTGGCGCTTGATCGAGAGAATGATTTTTTCATGGGGTTTACTGACCAATCACGCCAGTTATTAGACGAACGAACACAAAGGCCTTACGTGAACAACACTATAACATCTTCACGTTATACTATCTACTCATTTTTCCCCAGACAATTGTACGCACAATTTTCAAGACTGGCTAACACATATTTCTTTATTGTGGCCATTCTTCAGATGATCCCTTCTTGGTCAACCACCGGTACTTATACTACCATTATCCCTTTGCTTATATTCATGGGTATATCGATGGCTCGTGAAGCATGGGATGATTTCAGAAGACATCGTCTAGATAAGGAAGAGAATAACAAAATAGCCAAAGTACTTATAAGAGGCAGTAATTCTGGCTCCGAGGATGTTAACGATTTGAATAGTTTTTACTCTGTTTCTGAGTATCAGCATAATGTAAACTCTAGAAGCTCTTTGAATAGGGTGCGCACACCTCCTTCTGACGAAGAGGATACAACCAGCGACGGTAGCTTTACTAGTTGGAATATTTTAAGAAGCAGATATGATGTGCACCTAGTTAAAAGGCAATGGAGGGACCTCAAAGTTGGTGACTTCGTTGCACTGACGCAGGATGATTGGGTTCCTGCGGATTTACTTATTTTGACTTGCGATGGTGAAAACAGTGAGTGCTTTGTGGAGACAATGGCATTGGATGGTGAAACAAATTTGAAGAATAAACAGCCATTACCAGAAGTGAACAAGGTCATGCAAACGGCCGCAGGTTTAACTAACTTCAAGGCTAAAGTTACTGTCGAAGATCCAAATATCGATCTGTACAATTTCGAGGGTAACGTAGAAATTCCAGAAGAGAAGAAAAAGTATATGATTGGTTCAGATAATGTTATATACAGAGGAAGCATTTTAAGAAATACACAAAACGTTGTGGGCATGGTGATTTTCACTGGTGAAGAAACCAAAACTCGAATGAATGCTATCAAGAATCCACGTATTAAGGCGCCAAAGCTGCAAAGAAGAATCAACATAATTGTTATATTTATGGTCTTTGTTGTTGCTTGTATGGCACTATTTTCTTTCATGGCACAAAGACTTATTAAAAAGGATTATGTTGATAACAATAGAGCATGGTATCTATTCAATGAAGATGCAGGTTTAGCCCCTACTGTAATGTCATTCATCATCATGTACAACACCCTGATTCCCTTGTCTCTTTATGTCACCATGGAGATCATCAAGGTGATGCAAAGTAAGTTAATGGAATGGGATATTGACATGTATCATACTGAAACCAATACCCCGTGCGAGTCTAGGACAGCTACAATTCTTGAAGAACTGGGTCAAGTTTCGTATATCTTCAGTGATAAGACTGGCACTTTAACTGACAACAAGATGATATTTCGAAAATTTTCGGTGTGTGGGAGTTCATGGGTACATGATATCGAGCCTGATTCATTTGATCTGACCAAATCCGAGACCAACGACAGTAAAGGCATCGACGTTATATCCGTGGATGATAAAAGTTTCCTGAACAATTTTGATACAACAAATGCACGTCCAGTAAGATCAACCCGAACTTCAGTCGAATACAAAGGAAATAGCTCTACGACTTACACGGGGAGACCTAGCATGGCATCTCACATAAGAGAAGTTAGAAATCAACGGGCAAGTTTCGATTACCCAAGTGATGTGAAATCCAACAAATCAGTTGGAAGCAGCAATTCTGACGACATAAAATCGTCTGTTGATTTCATATTATACATTCAACAGCATCCTCACACAGCATTCGCTCGGAAGGCTAAGTTCTTCATTTTATGTCTAGCATTATGTCACTCTTGTCTGCCGAAGATTACCAACATTGATGCAGAAGACTCCATCGAATATCAGTCTGCATCTCCTGATGAGCTTGCACTTGTAACAGCGGCACGCGATCTCGGATACGTGGTATTAAAGAGAAATGCCAAAATTCTAACAATAAAATCCTACCCAAATGGTTTTGACAATGAACCTGTCCTTGAGGAATACGAAATCTTGAATTCTATAGAATTCAATTCCAAAAGGAAAAGAATGTCAGTTATAGTCCGAGTGCCACATGAAAAGGGCCGAGTGCTTCTCATCTGTAAAGGTGCAGACAATATTATCCTTGAAAAGCTTCACAACTGCGAACTAGCTGATCAAAAGTTATCAGAGCTTCGAACAACAACTAATGAACGGAAAATTGCAGAGGCTGAACTTGTGTTACAACAGAGAAAATCTTTGGAAAATGCTGCGGCAGGCTTTGCTGGAGGTTCAATACACAGAACATCAACAAACAAGCCTGGTAGAGCAAGCTTGTCATTAAAGGCGGCTAGAAAAAGCTTATCAAGGCCCAGCATGGCATTGGGAGATCCTGAAGAGCAAATAAATTCAATTGACGATTTCCTCAGTAGCGTGGAACGGGCTAACACTGAAGTTAATGAAGTCTTCGCAAAAAGTCGAAAATCTTTACATAAACAACAAAAAGAGCGCTATCAAGCAAACTTACAATACTCAACCGGCTCTAATTCTGCCGAACCTTTATCGGGAGATTCTATCACGCAAACACCTACCGATATGCTGGGAAATAAGTCCAATAGCTCCATAGAGGAGTACATTGGTGATGATGAATTAGTTCTGAACGAGGAATATGTTATTGAGCGAACTTTACAAGCCATTGATGAATTTTCAACAGATGGATTGAGAACTCTTTTGTACAGTTTCAAATGGATTGACGGAGAAGACTATGAAAAGTGGAGTGACCAGTATCATGCGGCAAAAACGTCTCTGGTTAACCGTCGTGAAAAGATGGACGCCATAGGTGAAGAAATCGAGACCGATCTGGTTTTACTAGGTGCTACCGCCATTGAAGACAAGCTTCAAGAAGGTGTTGCAGACGCCATTGAGAAAATAAGAAGAGCTGGAATTAAGATGTGGATGTTGACAGGCGATAAAAGGGAAACCGCTATTAACATTGGCTATTCATGTAGATTAATCCATGATTACTCGACTGTAGTAATTTTGTCACCAGATGATGAAAATTTATCATCGAAAATGACAGCAGTTTCCCAAGAGATTGACCATGGTAATATCGCCCACTGTGTAGTCGTCATAGATGGTGCGACATTGACAATCTTCGAGAGTAATCCTACTCTGATGTCAGTATTCATCGAATTATGCACCAAAACAGACTCTGCCATCTGTTGCAGGGCCTCTCCCTCCCAAAAGGCCCTTATGGTAACACAAATTCGGAATACGGATAGAAATTTGGTGACATTAGCAATCGGTGATGGTGCTAATGATATTGCAATGATTCAATCCGCTGACATTGGCGTAGGGATTGCAGGAAAGGAAGGTCTACAAGCTTCAAGATCATCTGATTACTCAATTGCACAATTCAGGTTTTTGCTTAAGCTTTTGATGGTTCATGGACGGTATAATTACATTCGGACATCAAAATTTGTTCTCTGCACATTTTACAAGGAGCTTCTTTTTTACTTGACGCAAATGATTTACCAAAGACAAACAATGTTTTCAGGGACATCATTGTATGAGCCTTGGTCTCTTTCCATGTTCAATACACTTTTCACTTCCTTACCCGTGCTCTGTATTGGTATGTTTGAAAAAGATTTGAAGCCAATGACATTATTGGCAGTGCCAGAATTATACACAATGGGGCGACTATCACAGTGCTTTAACTTGCATGTTTTTGTATATTGGATGTTCTCTGCGGCCATCAACGCTGTACTTATTACCTTTTTAAATTGGGTCATCTGGTCATCCACTGCTCTTTCCGACAATACGATTTACCCCATGGGTGTTGTAAATTTTACTGCTATTGTTTGGCTAATCAATTTCAAATGTCAATTCCTCGAAATGCGCAACCGGAATGTGTTAGCAATGTGCTCAGTAATCATTTCAGCAGGTGGGTGGTTAGTATGGTGCTGTCTGCTTCCAGCCATATATTCTACTGATGGTCCGTACGATGTTTTGGTGGGCTTATATGAACGTTTTGGACAGGACATAACCTTTTGGTGTGCAATTTTTGTCTTGATCATTTTGCCCATGACATGTGATGTTGTTTTCCAAACATTCAAGGTGATGGTAAAACCTACCGATTCAGATGTGTTCGCCGAATTAGAACAAAAAGACGAAGTTAGGAAAAAATTAGAGTTTAATGCCTTCAATGAGCTCAAACAAGGCTGGACTTGGGATCGCGATCCAAGTACCATTGCGAGATATACCGACAAGGTAATGAACTATAGACAAAACTTACCGGAAACGGAAGCGCAATCTAATCATACAAGGTCTAGAAAAAACACAATACCTAGCTCTACGGAATTACCAATGAATAGTGGAAGTAAAATGACGCTCAAAAGCGGATCTACTTTCAACAACGAAGAATATGAAATGCTGCCTAGTGGCAAACTTATAAAAAGACGTAAACCGACGACTGACCACAATAACGATGAGAAGCCACTCTCACAAATACTGGGTAAAAAATTGAGATTTAAGCTCAAACCAAAGGAAGAAGAAGAGGATGTTGACGCCATCATTGCAGAAAGAATGAGAGACTTAGAATGACGTATTTAAGCATTTATTTATGTACAATATCGATACATCAACCAAGTGAACGGTACTAGGTGCATTAAGCTATTTTACAAACGAAAACTGAGTAGCTACGATTTCAGGCCCCAAAAAGAAGTCTTTCCAACATGGGGAGAAACAAAATGAGTAATATAGGTATTAATATCCTCACAATTTGCTGCATTTGTTCCTGATCTTCCGTTTGTTCCTGTTGTCTATTGGCAGTTTGTCTATCCCCTGTGTGCCTTGCCCGTTAGTGTAAACTCTAAAGCCACTGGGGCCTCCGAACGTGAAGGTAGCACCTCTCCCAAACGGCCCCTCAAAAGGTCCCCCAAAAGGACCGCCAAATGGACTATTGAATGGATGACCACCGCCCGCGGCATGTGCATTAAACAAAAAATCAAAAATGTCCTCCGGTGGGCCACCAGCTGCTCGTCTGAAGAACATACCTTCAGGTGCGAAGCCACTGTTGCCTTGAAACCCACTACTACTGCCCGCAAATGGATCTCTAGCGGCAGCAGCCGCTCTGTCATCAGGATCCCGCCCCAGCTGGTCGAACATCTGTCTTTTCTGCTCATCACTCAACACTTCAAAAGCCCTGTTAATCTTCTTGAATGCTTCACTTGCCCGAGGGTGGCTGTTCTTGTCCGGATGCAATCGAATCGCAAGCTTCCGGTACGCCTTTTTAATTTCATTATCCGAAGCTTTTCGATCTACCTCCAGCATCTCGTAGAAGGCGTGCTTATCTTTCCCCAAAATCGAAAGAGTGAGCTTCTCTTGTTCCTCAGTGTACAGTTTTTCCGACATATTCTTGCTCTATCTCGATTTCTATAACCTATCCCAATGCACCAGGCTATTTGGCTCGTTTAATTCTTTCAACCTGCCACTGCTCTCTGTCTTGAACACTTGTTCGTATTGGTGACTTCCAGTACTTTTTTTTCCCAGCTGCCGTTACCGAATTTTCGACTTGACTCTACGGATCAACTCAAAACCGTCCAACAATCGTCAAACTCGATATACGTAAAGAATGATATCAAACGCGTTATATCATTTGGAAAAGAGGAAAACGCGTAGCGATGTCCTTGCAAGAAATAGTTGAAGGCATTGAATTGGTTAGTCAAGCGATCATGAGCAGTGAAAGCTTGAAAAGACCTGAGTATGAGGAAGCTGTCGAGGAGGAGACGATGGAGAAGAAAATGAAACTTCAGTCGTTTGATCACAGCTCTCTAAGTGAACCTGTATCGACCATTGAGATCATCCCTTCTGATAAGTTTCGAAAGCACACTGGACAAGGTTACAAACCGAAAGGAAACGTGAATGGGACGCAAAGTGTGCAACCCACCGAGTTCGAACAGCAACTGTCACAAATGGACCACGAGTCCGTTTACGCGCAGGAGTCAGAACAGGATAAGACGTTTGCACGGGCCGGGCTTCCTGAGAACTTCTCACCTCAGACACATAGCATATCATTTCAGCAATTGGACGCGGAACAGAGCTTCTTGCCCGGGTTCAAAGACTCCAACACTTCTGCGGTAGTACGGTTTTTTGGTGTGACAGATCAGGGCCATTCGGTTCTCTGTAATGTTACAGGGTTTAGGCATTACCTGTACGTCCCTGCCCCAGCAGATTTTACTGCACAAGACATCCCAGCCTTTTTAAAACATCTCAATGGATCTTTTGAGAATAATGTGGACAACATTGAAATTGTTGATCGCCAGTCCATCTGGGGTTATTCGGGCAATTCAAAACTGCCGTTCTTGAAAGTATATGTTATCAATCCCAATGGAATTAACAAGATTAGAACCGCATTCGAACGCGGCTACATAAATTACAACGATACGTGGTATTCGGGCGGAACCACCACTTACGACAACATCGCCTACCCTTTAAGAGTGATGATTGATTGTGGTATCGTCGGTATGTCATGGATAACATTGCCAGAAGGGAAATATCAAATGATCGAAGAGAAAGACCGTGTGAGCACTTGCCAGCTGGAGGTAAGGGTGAACTTTAGGGACTTAAAGGCCCATCCCGCCGAGGGTGAATGGTCTCATTCTGCTCCTCTGAGGATTTTATCATTTGATATAGAGTGTGCAGGAAGAGTGGGTGTTTTTCCAGAGCCGGACGTGGATCCGGTTATCCAAATTGCTAATGTGGTTAGTATAGCAGGTGAGCCTAAACCCTTTATACGTAATGTGTTCACTGTGAACACTTGTTCGCCCATAACAGGCTCACAAATCTATGAGCATACTACTGAAAATGACATGCTAAAACACTGGAGGGACTTTGTTGTCGAAGCAGATCCAGATGTAATTATTGGCTACAACACATCGAATTTCGATTTACCATATTTATTAGATCGTGCCCGAGCACTTAAAATCGAAAAGTTTCCTTATTTCGGTAGGTTATCCAATGTGAAGCAAGAAGTCAAGGAATCTATCTTCTCATCTAAAGCATACGGTACTAGAGAATCCAAAAATGTCAATATTGATGGACGTTTGCAACTTGACCTGCTGCAATTTGTTCAGCGTGAGTATAAACTAAGATCGTATACACTAAATGCAGTCTCAGCACATTTTCTAGGTGAACAGAAAGAAGATGTCCACCATAGCATTATTACTTCTTTACAGAATGGTGATTCGGAAACCAGACGGAGACTGGCAGTGTACTGCTTAAAGGATGCATATCTTCCGTTGAGACTTCTCGAAAAGCTAATGGCATTAGTGAACTACACAGAAATGGCTCGTGTGACGGGTGTGCCTTTCTCTTACCTTTTGGCTCGTGGCCAGCAGATTAAAGTCGTTTCTCAGTTGTTTCGCAAGTGTCTTCAAATTGACACTGTAATTCCTAATATGCAATCACAAGGATCTGATGAACAATATGAAGGAGCTACAGTAATTGAACCAATCAGGGGCTATTACGATGTTCCCATAGCAACTTTAGATTTCAACTCCCTATATCCAAGTATCATGATGGCACATAATTTGTGCTATACTACTCTTTGTAATAAGTCCACAGCGGATAGATTGCAGCTTAAGAAGGATGAGGATTATATTATTACACCAAATGGGGACTATTTTGTAACATCAAAACTAAGACGTGGTATTCTGCCCGAAATTTTAGAAGAGTTGATTGGCGCTAGAAAACGTGCGAAGAAAGATCTGAAGGAAGAAAAGGATCCATTTAAACGTGATGTGTTGAATGGTAGACAGTTAGCTTTGAAAATCTCTGCAAACTCAGTTTATGGTTTCACCGGTGCTACTGTTGGTAAGTTACCTTGTCTAGCAATATCGTCTTCGGTAACATCTTTTGGACGTACTATGATTGAGAAGACTAAAAATGCTGTAGAGGAAAAATACTGCATAAAAAACGGTTTCAAGTACGATGCAGTTGTTGTGTATGGTGACACAGATTCTGTCATGGTTAAATTTGGAACAAAGAATTTGGAAGAGACAATGAGTCTCGGCGCTGAGGCTGCAGCTTATGTTTCTTCTCTTTTCAAACATCCGATCAACCTGGAGTTCGAGAAGGTTTACTTCCCTTATTTATTGATTAACAAGAAGCGATATGCTGGACTTTATTGGACAAGGCCCGATAAATATGACAAACTGGATCAAAAAGGTTTGGCATCAGTACGCCGTGACTCTTGTCCCTTGGTTTCAATAGTTATGAATAAAGTGCTGAGAAAAATCCTGATTGAAAGAAATGTTCAAGGTGCTTTGGAATTCATAAAAACAACAATTGACGATATTTTACACAATCGCGCAGATATTTCAAAATTGATCATTTCGAAAACTCTTGCCCCAAATTACACAAATCCCCAGCCACATGCAGTTTTGGCTGAAAGAATCAAGAAAAGAGACGGTGTTGGACCAAACGTTGGGGATCGTGTGGACTATGTTGTTATCGGTGGCAATGATAAACTTTACAACAGAGCGGAAGATCCGCTTTATGTACTGGAGCAGAGTATTCAGATAGACTCCAAGTACTATCTTACCAATCAACTACAAAACCCAATTATAAGTATCGTCGCCCCAATCATTGGCGAAAAGCAGGCAAATGCGATGTTTATTGTGAAGTCGATTAAAATCAGCACAGGAAATGCCAAGGGCGGCTTGATGGGCTTTATTAAAAAAGTGCAAATGTGTAAAGGATGCAAAGGTCCATTAAAAAAAAATGAAGGTCCTTTATGCGGGAACTGCCAAGGGAGGGTAGGTGAACTGTATGTCAAAACATTATATGACGTGAGAGATCTTGAGGAAAAGTTCGCACGTCTGTGGACTCAATGCCAAAGATGTTCAGGAAGTCTTCACAATGAGGTTCTTTGCTCTAATAAAAACTGTGACATCTTCTATATGCGCGTTAAGTCTAGGAAAGAGTTACAGGAGAAAGTTGATGAACTGAGTAAATGGTAGTTTTAATAATCTTAGCAATATATAATAAATGAGTCGTGATAAATTTATGAATTGCAATGGTCTATTTTAGATAATTCTGAATATGTTTTAGGAATTCTGTTGGCCTCAAGTGATAGTCTGTCCAGCTGCATTCTTCCCCCTAGTTTTTCCGTAGCACTAAACCATGGATGATTTATTGTATCATTGACGGTGTATCTTACGGCGGGATTGACCAATAATAGATTTGAGATTAAATGTAATACAGAGTCGTCGATCTCATCCCAATATGGAGAATAAAAGGCAAACTTTCCTTGCAAAATTTGCTCCCTCATCGAAGGAGGAGCAAGTTGATCGCTGAATGGAGGAAATCCGCAAAGACACACATAGAGAAGAACACCTGCACTCCAAAGATCAACTTTAGAGCAGTATCCTGTTTTTTGTAAAACCTCTGGGGCAACATATGAAGGGGTGCCACATAAAGTGTTGGTAAACTGCATCTCTCCAATAAATTTCGCTAACCCAAAATCAGCAATTTTGATTGTTATATCCATTTCATCATCATCCCATGGTCCCAATTGGGGCTCTTGTGGAAACCTGCGTTTCCTAATGCTCAACAGAATGTTTTCTGGCTTGATATCCCTGTGGATGATATTCTTATCATGTAAATATTTTAATCCACTTAAAATTTGCTTGAAAATAGCCCTTGTCTCATCCTGTCTTAGCTTTGTTTTACGCACAATGCGATCGAATAATTCACCATCACTCACTTTCTCGAGTACTAGATACGTTTGTATTTGAGATTTGCTCACGGGCTCAACGAAGCGATCAATGAGCTTCACAATATTAGTATGCTTGATACTCATCAGTATTTTAGTCTCGTCTCTGAATTGTTTTGTCTTCTTTTTATCATCATTTTGTTGAGGGTGAAAGATTTTTACAGCAACAACATCTCCACTGTCCTTATTGATAGCTTCTTTAACTATGGCATAATGTCCTGTACCCAATTCCTTTCCTGCTACATATTTATCAAAAAATGAGATTGGGGCTAAAGCTTTTCTTATGGGTTCCTTATTTAATGTCTGACTCAATCCCATGGGCTTCTTAAACGAACTGCTTGACTCTTGTGGGGCTTGGTGTATTTCGCTACTGACGTCCCCTTTAATTTGATCCTCTACAAAGTACTTGAAAAGAAAGGAACAGCTTCTACCAAAAACGACTCTGTCACCATTTTTCAAAATATAGTCCCTCCTCACTAATTTGCTACCATTTATGAATGTCCCATTTCTGCTTTTGTCGACGATATTAATCAACTTTCTGGGCTCCCCATCGACATTAACATCAAGTAAGCAGAGGTTACAGTGGAGCGTAGAAATATCAGGCTCTGCCAGAGTAATGTCACAGGATCTACTTCGCCCCACCGATGTTACTGTTTGGTAGGAGATCGGAATCTTTCCTTCTTTTCCTGGAATTAAACTAACAAGCATCGCTAGATAGTCCTTTGATGATGTTTGCAGTCGCTTCTCTTGAGATTCTTGCACGCCATCAGAAAGTTGCTGCACAGAAGTTAGTCTCAACATGAAAAGCAATAATATATACTGACAGAGAAGAATAAAGCCATACTCGTTTCATTGTAAGTGACATCTTTGAAGAAGCTATATGTAACGAAAGCTGGTGGTAAAGAGTTCATCTTAATTACACATCTATATTTTTGAAAGTATGGAGGACATTAAGTACGATGATGAACATCATATTGAAGTTCCAAATAAGACGAATATAGGGAGAGAAAGCTCAAAATGCGACGAAGTTGCTTTAGACCTCTGGTAGGGGGGTTCCAGACTCTATAACTTTCCCAAAGCTCTCTCAACCGTGCAAGAGCTTCTTTGTTATTTCGATGAAATTTTGTTTTTGTTGGATTCATTACCACTGGCAGCGTGTTTTGATCTTTAATAAATAAGCGCATCTTGATTTCCTGGACAGCTTGTTCAGGTACGTTTTTCATTTTTGTAAAACTTGATAGACACTCATGTAGCCTCCAAACCAGGTCGTATTGGTTTTGATTATCCAAAATGCTCGATGGCGTTGAGTGATCCATCGAAATATGCAGATGTTTAGCCTCTAAAAGTGGCACAGTTTCGAGAACATCTTCCAGAAAGCCTTGGTATAAGGTATCATCTTCATACATGCCACCTTCAATCTTGACAAAATCTGGGTCCTTTTGGCATTTGTAGTATATAAATTCCAGAAACTCGTGAATATCATGTACAGAATTAGGGGCCATGGAATTTACAGGAATTTCGGAGTCTTTCCATTTGGTGTCCATCTCTTGCATCCATCCTTTTAAGTCACCCTGTTGTTGCTTTTTGATATTGGCGGGGATAGTGTTCTCGTTGAAAGAACGAGATATATAAAACGGGCTTATTAACTTAAACATAGGAATGAATTCGTGCTTTCCTAAGCTAATCGCCAACAGCAAGTTAGATATCAATTGAGTTTCAAAATATCGATCTTTTGGGATGCCGATTGAAGACTCAAATTGTGGTTTCTTGTTATTGAATAATAGACCACTGACGTCCTTTCTAAGATCTAACCCCAAATGATTTCCGTCACACCATATATGGCGGAGAATATTAGGATGTTGATATTCTATAGCGAGCTTCTGTGCTATTGTCATGAAGTTGTCATAGAGTTTACCTGTCAGTACAACCTTCAAATTCCTGTAATGAAAAAGCAGGTGATCTAAAGCCTTTTGAACTTGTTCAGATTCCTTGGAGTTAAGTAATCTATAATTCGCCAATTGAGACAATGTCTCTTGTTGTTGTTTAGTACATCCTTGATAAAGTAACTTTTCTCGATTAGATTGAAAATTAGATGTCTCTGAGCCAGTATAAATATCTGAGCTGTGGTCCCAAAATCGATACCCTCTTAAACAGGATTCAATTCCCAATATACCAATGATTTTGTTCTGAGCATTTTGGAATATATCTCGTTTCTCTAAAATCTGTTGTGCTACTATAATTGATATCGGAACGCTGTGATAAATTCCAGCAAAGAATATCGCATCCGCCTTCTGTAATTCCGACCTCCAGTTATTAAGAAGCTGAATACATTCTTGTGCACATAATTCTAAGCTTTTTTGATCTAATGGGCATTCTAGAGATAATGATACAATTTCCGCAGGATTTTTACTTCTCAGTGATTTTGCTACTTTGGCAGATAAATCCTTTGCGGAGAACCCTTTACTGAGCGTAATCTTCTCATATCTATCTGGTAAAAGGCCAGCAAATGAAATGAGAATTACTCTCTTTCCTTCGAGAACATCATGGGGTTGTTTTTTTAAGTATGTGTGCTCTTCATTTGGAAAATTATAATGCTTTTTGAATGCAGTGGATATAGTGTTGAGAAAGGAGCGCTCATGGAACACTTCTTCAGGAAAGCTATTGGGAAGAATAATAGAATTACTGATGAAAACCTTTCTCGATGTGTCGTCAACAAATGGAAACTTCTTCAAAGGAAGTGGGCACATCAGCGAGGACGTATTAGCAACACTAAGAACACCCGAAACCACGTCTGGCTGAGTAACTTTTCCGTCAAGGGAAACAGTTTCAAACCAACACCATGAATTATTCTTCTTGAAAATGCCTTGTAGCGCTTCGAACTCTAACAACTGAATTTGCTTGGAAGTTAGCTTCGAGTAGTTAGTTAGACTGTTAACCTCAACTTTATCGTCCTCTTTAAATGGCAACCAAGGAAAAAAGCTCGTTGCTGCGGCCAGCCATGATGTTGGATTTGGCGGCTCATTGGAGGACTCTGCTAGAGGTTCGCTAGCCGGAAGGGTAGATACTGACCCAACAACTGAAAGACGTTTGGACATCGCAACTCCCATGCGCGTTAACCAACTAGCATTTGCCTCCTCAGATTCTGTCTCCAGGTTTGTTTGCTCACCTTCACTCATATATAAGCTGCTTCAGTAAGTAACAACGTTTTCGGGGCGATAATGGTCCCAAATTGATTCTCACTGAGGTTGATTAATAGGGCAACAATATGAAGCCTCACTTATTTTGTGTTTCTTGGACGCGAAGCTGAAACTTTGCATCTCATGTTAGAGATCCCCTGTTTTCTTGATTGGAAACCAACAAAAAGCATACTCAGAAAGATCAACACTTTAATCACATGGACCAACTCTTCATTCAAAGATTAGTGGAGCGCGATCGCATAGAAAAGAACTTCTCATATCTCTTCGAAACGGCTTCCGTGAAGGTCGATGGTTGTACCGATAAGCACCCCACTGAAGATACCATAGTGAATTTGAAGAACGAACTTCTCAGTAAGGAAAAAGAATTGGATCAGGTTAAAGAGACATTGAAAGTCCAAAAAAAGGATACTGAAAAGTTGAATGATGAGATTATTAGCCTCAATATAGAAAATAACCTGCTGCAAGAACGCTTACAGAAACTCACAGAAGAATATGACGGTTTAGTAGACCGCTGGCTCAAAAGAGTTCAGGGGGAGGCTGATTGGATGAATCAAACCTTAGAATAAGAGAGGATGAGGTAAAGTAATGAGGAGCGTAAAGTGGTGTAATCGATGTCATTTAAATAAGAGTACTTATAACTTCACGTGTATGAGGCTTCAATTAAAGGCACATGAAAATTGGAAATAAAGGTACGTCAATCACAACGAAGCTTCAGTAGCTCAGTCGGAAGAGCGTCAGTCTCATAATCTGAAGGTCGAGAGTTCGAACCTCCCCTGGAGCATTCTTTTTTGCAGTGCTCATAGAAGCATAATTGAGTTTTTAGACGCCATGCAGTTTATTGCCAACATTACTTGTATTATTGAGATGGCAATTAAATTAGCGATAGATATGAGATCTGTATCAGAAAGTAAATATTTCAAAGTACACAACAGAATACAGAGCAGTAATGAACTCAATGCCAGTAAACTTATCGGCTACGGTTAGTTTTGTTCTTCAAGCTCATAAATGACCTTATTGTCCGATTCGGGATTGTACTCTTTATCCAAGAATTGCGAGAACTTTTTCAAGTTCTTGAGACCTCTAATCTCACCCGCACACAGAGGCATCTTTACCACGTGGAAATCTTCGTACAATTCATCGATTTGATCCAAGTATTTCTTCTGCATTTTCCATCTTGCCTGACATCTTCTACAGTTGTGTTCGTTGTCATATTCGGCAAAAAGAAGTTGGTTGACAATGATGGAATTGACGTCCATGTCGTAGGAAATCAATTCTTGAATCAAACGTTCGGTTTCGTAAAGCGACAAAAATTCACTAATGCACACGCACACAAACGTTGTCAAATCAGGGTCAGTGAATTGTTGTTTGATTTTTTCGACATTGCCCTTCAGTTCATTCATTTTGCCCATTATGTCCATGTTTTGTGCTCCACCTGCCAATGAGTTTAACATCGGACCAAATTTCCCGGCAATTTCACCGAATTTGTCTAGCAATTGAGACAAAGTTTGTGGGAGTTGTAAAAATCTTAGAGTATGTCCGGTGGGGGCTGTGTCGAATATGACAGTGTCAAATCTCTCACCCTCGCCTTCTTCTTGCCTCTTAATGTGTTTCATAACCTCCATGAAAGACAAGGCCTCGTCAATACCTGGGATAGAGCCAGTCAAATCGGCCAACGCACCTCCCTGGAGAAGATCTCCCAGACCTTCGCTCTGATTATTTTGAGCGACAGCCATATCATTCATGTCTTTTAGTGCTGCAGAGGGATCAATCTCCATACATGACAAATTGTCCATACCTGTCACCTTTCTTGCATCTTTTCCGAATTTCTCACCAAACGCATCACTTAGATTGTGAGCAGGATCAGTCGAAATCAACAAAAATTGCTTGTTAGGCTGTGCTAGAGCCATTTGGATGGCGATAGAACATGATGATGTAGTTTTACCGACACCACCTTTACCACCAACAAAGATCCACTTATGTGTAGTTGAAGTAATTAAAGAATGTAGGTTTCTTTCGACTGTCAAATCCATTATTACTCCGTAATCGTTGAATTCACTAGAAAAGAATAGCTTGTAGTTTTGGATCTATAATATTTGGTGGCGAAAACGTTCTCTACGAGATAATCGTTAATCGCGATTTTCTGTGAAGTTCGCTGTCAAGTAGCATTCAAATTATGGTTAAAGCACTGCTTATATCAAAGGTCCAAGATGTCTGAAGAAGATGACAAGCGGGCAAAGCAATTGGAAGAGGCTCGCAAAAGAGTTGAGGAATTGAAGAATAAGAGAAAAAAGAAGGACAAGAAAAAAAAGAGTTCTGGAAAGGTGACTGAAACAACTGAAACAGAGGATATAACAAACGAAAATGATGTGGCCGCAGGTTCCGCAGAGAGTGGTGAAGCCCAAACAACTTCTCCGACACCCGCGTTGGAAGACACTTCAAGTCCTTCCTCAGAAGTACTAAATCAAAGCCCAACACGCGATGACAATGCTGATGAGGTAATCCCTAAGGATGCTGTTGAAACTGTTAAAGAATCCGAGGAAAGCGTCAACAGAGAATCTGATGAACTTACTACCACAGAATCCATGAATTCGGCCGTGTTAAGTGCTAGTGCGCCAGTTATAGACGAGGTTGATGCCGTTACTGCTCCAGAAACAAGTGATTCAGTAAAGTCAGCGAATAAATCAATGCCCGACGTTAGTGCAGAAGACTCAAGTCACGATATCGATAAACACGATGAAGTCCGTATAGATACTCAAAATACTGATGTGCATTTACACAACAGCAGGAAAGATGACAACGGTGCAGATGAATTGTTTACGAGCGATAACCAGGAGCCAGATTTCCTCACAACTTTGAAAGAGGAAAAAGAGCAGAGCATTGTCAAAGATCTTCAAGAACAAGTCGATAATCTAAACGCTTTAGTCAAAAAACTGAAATTTTTGAACATGGAACAAGAAACGACAATCGAAGAACTTCAGGAGAAGGTACACGAGCTTGAACAGAAATGCAAAAACTCTGAAAATGAACTAAGTATCACTAAGGAACAACTGGCAAAGAATTCTTCAGTGCAAAACCTGTACTCAGGGAACAGGGAAGCAAGTAGTTCTACTCACTTCAACAGGCTCACTCCCCAGCCACCGATATCCAACAGTCCTCAAGGCCATTTAGATGCGACGCCCTTCTTTCAATCAGCAATTGATCGATCACTCATCAATAAATGGAGCGGCTGGAACCTTGATATGACACAGTGGAGAAGTATCGGTTCAGGAGAAATTGTAAACTTCTAATCTGTAGGGTGGCAGCTCGCCATGACTTGTATTTTTTCAAGTATAAGTATGTACATGTTATCAAATAAGAGAGTACTCTGAAGGGCGCGGTTCACCTCACTCTGCATAATACTTCACCATCTAGCTTCTTAGCAACCGCCTGGTTTATATCGTATATTTGGTGACCGCATTTCACCAAAATTAGTTCACCTGGCTGCAAAGGTTTGATTAATCTTACGGTAACACCTGTGCAAAGCTTCTTAAGATCATCGTAAGGCAGATGAATTCTTAGATTGGGTTTTGAAATCAGCCTGCATGCGTTTAAAACGGGTTTGTTTTCCCTATACTTTAATCCAACCCATAGCCTTCTGGTAGCAATGTTATCAGGGGTTACTTCGACTGGCTTGAGATCAGGGCCCTTGGTGGAACCACGTTGTAATGTTGATAGAAAGCCATTTTGATATAAGTTATAGGCGAAATTCAAATGTAGTTTTGTATATGGAATCGACGTTAGAGACATTCTAGCCCTCGAGCAATTTTGAAGATGTGCGCAAACATTAGCCAAGTGAACCAAAGACATTTTGAAGACGGACGTAGATCTATTAAGAACCTTGCTTGACGCTTCTAAGCGTTGAGCATGGAAAATTTTTTGGCCAAAAAATAGGATTACTTTGTACGTCAACTTTACTAAGAACTCAAACCAACTTCTAACTAGTTAAACTACATGCAAGCATTCCGGTTGGCACGGCCAAAAGCCTTTAAGGTTACCATCCCCAAATATACTCTTACGAAATACTGTTACTCCACAAGATCAAGAAACATCAATGACTCTCCAAGTTTCAAGAAAATTGCACTGGTTGGTGTAATTGGTACAGTAATTTTTGTTCAGGCTGTAAAATCCCTCGATAAGAGTAAGCCAAAGAACACGTATTCCGAGGAGGAATTTGAAAATGTCATGATGGGTTTAAGGAGACGCGTTGCGCTCTTTCCTGCGGGCCAGCTCAAGCTAACCTTTATCGCTCCCGGCGTGTCTATGAAAAAAGTGGCGATTGAGAAAGATGCCAAATTGATCAGTCCCAGAGAAGTTGTAGAATATTACAGATCATTGCCTAATGACAAATATCAAGCTCTTTTGGAAGATATAAGGTCCAGTCACGATCCAGAAACATATTTCTATGACCTCCCCAAAGGCCTCCTAGTTATGCTGATTGGTAGGTACATGAAGGAGAACTGCAAAACCGGCGATGCTGTCTACATTGTCGACTTTCCGAAGGACATACAAGACGCCATCAAATTTGAAAACGAAGTGTGTGTGGTTGATAAGCTTTATGTCGGAAAAACAGGTGAAAATACGGATCTGGCCAAATACTACCAAACTGTAAATAAAGTAGAATCGGTGTAGTCCAGCAATCATACTATTATCTTGTCAATATTATTACAATTTTATTTCTTAGTGCTTCCAAAACCTACAAACCCCATTACCTCGTTCAATTCATTCGGCGGTTCAGTGTGGCTATGGGAAGACAACTGAACTTCGTTTCCATCTTTGGTTCGATTTATTCTCTTTTTAGGCGCTTTATCTGATATATTTTGCACCTTTAGGAACACTTTAAGCGACTCCGCGTAGGACTGTTCAAATTCTTGTGTAGTTAGTTCATCATTGTCCCTAGTGTCTAAGATGAGCGGCTCATCGAAGACTTGGTCAAACTTAATTTGATGAATTTTGTGGTTCAGGTGGTTAACGTACTGAAGCGTATCCTTAAAAGTCATGTCACATATGTCACAGTAGAAGCCATACTGCCTCCCAGCTTTGTAAGCGTTAAGCCCTGTTGTTAAAGTACGCTTATTAGAATCTAGCATGGCATTCTTGATCAAAGCATTGTGGTCTGAAAATTTAGCTTTCAAAGTTTCCAACTGTTGCTCAGAGAGAGAATCTAATGTAGAGGCTTGGTTTCCCTTTCCTTCTCGTTCTAGCTGAGCATATTCCTCTCTGTTCCACGTTTTTCTCCCAAAATTAGACATTGGGGCTGATATTTGCGAGATTGTTAAAGTTGAACTTTTAGAGATGGATTATTGTATTTTACAGATATGTATCAAGAGAAACAAGATCATATAAAAATGGCTTCAATTTCTGCATCAATATCCCATAAAGTGCTTATTCTCCCGCATATAATAAAGCATATTCCAAAGAGGCCTGTACTAGCCGAAGAGCTCGAAATCTATGCTTTTGATCTTGATCATACGTTGATCCAACCTAAATCAGGTGGACGATTCAGCCGTACTGCGGATGACTGGTGCTTTATGTGTTACTCTGATGGTGAGAACAAACCTGAAAGTACACAAAATGCATTTAGTACACGAAATACCTTGGATAAGCTCTGCAATCTTATCAAAGATAACCCAAAAGCGCAGATTGTTGTATTCTCAAACCAAGGTGGGGTTATCACAGTTCCACCAACTTCAAAGAGCTGTTTGAGGTACACTGGTAAAATTGATCAAATTCTGAAAGAAATATCCTTAAGGGATACGCCAACTGTAAATATATCGAATAGGGTGTGGATATATGCGTCACCCAAGAAGCCAAGCTCTCTTTTTAGCAAGAAATCTTCAAATCGAGGACGAGTCGCGAAATTGCGTACATCGAAAGATACCCTAAGCAGTGCCCCCATTAGCCCTGAGGTATTCGATCACATGAGAAAACCTAACGTTGGCATGTACGAAGAGTTCCGTAAAGACTTCCAGCAGAGCGTATCATTCAAATGTTATTGCGGAGACGCTGCAGGCCGCAAAAAGGATTTCAGTGACTCAGATAAAGTGTTTGCCCGTAATCTGGGGGTAGAATTCGTGTTACCTGAGCTATTCTTCAAGTTGAATTCTCAGCTGTAGGCCTTTGTATAATAATCGTACTTGACAATGCATCTTTTTCAATACTATCTACGTACATACTCCGCAAATGTTTAGTTCAGAACACTTGCCTTCTCAAATAACAATTCGACGACTTTGTTCAATTGCCCAATTAATTCTAGAGAGGAATCATAAGTCGCGTCTTGCTGAGGTGTTTCATAGATATACAACCATCCGTTCCCTTGGTCCAATACCCCAAAAAATACCTTGTCTAGAATCATTTGTGAAAGCTTACCTTCCACTTGTTGGGCATCTAAACCAATCATTTTAGCAATATGAGAAACTTCAACGCAATCAAATGGCTCTATGATCTTGCAAAGGTTTGATTCAAGTAGGGTATCATAAAGAGCGTTGAAATGAGATCTAATCAAAGAATCACCCATAAGTTCCTTTTCATATTGTTTGAGGGCACGATTGAACTCGAGCAGAGATCTGTGAGAATATGCCTCAGCTACTGCCTTCATCGCGTCTATTCCACGAGACTGATAACTTTCCTTCGTGTATTTTGCATTCAGAATAGTGTTCACCTCATCGATCAAATTTGACATAATTTTGGATAGTAACATGTATTTCAAAACTTGGCATGCCTTGTCTTGGGAATTCGAAGACTGGTTATGATAGCTTTCAAAGGATTCGTAAAAATAGGAGAAAGCAGTTTTGTAATCTTTGTCTTCGCAATGCAATATACCACTCATCAAGTCCAACTCCGCCATTGTCAACGTGGGACAATAAATTGCATTCGCAGACGTTCTGGCACTCGTTAAAGCGGCTTTAGATTTTGCCAGGTTCCGCAGCTTGTGATAAACTTTTGATTCTAGCAAGTGAACATCGACAAGGGACGATTTGTCGTCTAGCTTCTTAAATTCTCGCAACAGGTCGTTGATTAGCTGCAAAGAGTCGTTATACTGATTTTTCTCATAGTATAGAGTGGCAAGCCTGATCGAAAGGGAGTGTTTGAGAAATGCACGTCTTTCCTTAGCTGCAAACTCGATACTTTCTTTACAGACCTGAATTTGCTGGTCTAGCGAATTAGGGATCAACTCGAATTGGTCAATTAGCGATTTCAGCACCTTTGCGGTTTTTGATTTGGCTGTCTGCATCATCAAGTTCCTAGCGTGAGGAATAAACTTGGCCAGCTTATCCTGCTCGTGGGCGAGTCCATATAGGTGTCCCAATTCCAGAATACATTGTTCCTGCGATTGAGATTTGTTCTTTCCTTGAGATTCGTTACTTTTCAACAAAGACAAATATATTTCTTCACCCTTGGTGTAGTCTTTTTCTTCCACACACTTTCTAGCTTCTTCAATTGTGGCCATTCTTCCCTAGATGAATACCTTAACGAACCACTACGTTTGCCACCGAGCTTGCAAACATATCTTCATCTTGCAATTTCACCTCTGGGCCTTGAGAAAACTCCGGGTAACAAAAACGTGACTATAGACGATCATTTTCTCTCCTTGAAACATTGGCGGCTATTCTTCTGCTACAAACAACAAGTAAATTACCCATTCATCGACTGCAACAGACAAGAAGCTTGCTGTAGAAGCATATCTATGGATTTCAGATGAGTGTGCTTGATTGTCCATTATTTCTGTTACATAAATTTGCGAAAAGATCTGGTTCATTCAAAGTGGGAAATGATAGAATCAAAAAATAATAATGGCACAGGAAAAGGCTACAAGACCGCTAATACGGGGGGAGTGTAAACATAGCTGAGATTTGCACAAACAATGATGATGGCTTTGCAATTTCAAGCAAAGGGAGTGAAATGCAGATCACGTGATTCACAAAGCTGAGCGTTGGAAGCAAGGGCAGAGTTTCCCCACCAAACGCCTAAAATGGTGAATATTTACTGCCGAGCATGTTACTGACTGTCAGATCGCCACTATGGCGTCGTTTTCATCACGTTAGGGCGATATTCCACTACAATTTTTCGGCCATGTTATGATCTGAAGACGCGATAAACAGACGCGAGCTTTCCTTAATCACGTGCAACACTTGTGAATCAAATTTTTTCGTTGTCACCCATTTACGTGTTCTTTGTGCATCTACAAGTGCAAATAGAGCAGAGGTTATATAGGTCATTCACTTCATCATGTCTGCTAAAGCAGAATCCAAGGCCTATACAGAGGATAAAAAGGACCCTGTACCTGAATTGAATGTCAAAAAGGGTCCTATTAGACCTTACATTGTCACCGAGCCACCAGCTACACTAAGTAGCCTGCGTACGCCAACATGCTGGAAAGAAAAGGCACTAATTGGTGCTCTATGCTTTGTCACTGCATTCGTTAGATTGTATGGTTTATCATACCCAGATTCAGTAGTCTTCGATGAAGTTCATTTCGGTGGATTTGCATCAAAGTATATTAAGGGTATTTTCTTCATGGACGTTCACCCCCCACTAGCTAAAATGCTTTTCGCTGCTGTGGGTTCTATTGCTGGATTTACTGGAGACTTTGATTTTAAGAACATTGGGGACGTTTTCCCAGAGACCACTCCATACTTTTTCATGAGACTATTCTCGGCTGGTCTGGGTGCATGCACGGTTTTGTTGATGTACTTGACATTAAGATGCTCGGGCATTAGAGTTCCTATTGCTTTCTTGGCAGCTCTATGTTTTGCAGTTGAGAACTCTTTCGTGACAATCTCTCGTTACATTCTTTTGGATGCCCCACTAATGTTTTTCATCGCAGCAGCAGCTTACTCCTTCAAGAAATACGAACTTTATCCCCAAGGATCCTTGGGCTCTTACAAGTCTTTACTCAGCACAGGTATGGCTTTGGGTATGGCACTATCTTCCAAATGGGTGGGTCTTTTCACAATTGCATGGATCGGTTTGTTATGCATCTGGAGATTGTGGTTTATGATTGGCGATCTATCAAAGCCTGTTTCTCACACTTTTAAGGAGGCTGTCAAGAAGGGTCTACTTTTGCTTGGTGTCCCATTGGCTCTTTACCTAGTCTTCTTCTACATTCACTTTGAGACGTTGACCGTCTATTCTGACGGTGCTGGCTTCTTCTCATCTGCTTTCAGAACCACTTTACTAGGAAATACTATTCCTAAGAATATCTTGGCTGATGTTGGTATTGGGTCCAAGGTTACTATCCGTCATATTGCTACTATGGGAGGCTACTTACATTCACACGATCATATGTACGAGAAAGGTTCCCAACAACAGCAAATTACGTTGTACCCTCACTTGGACGGAAATAATGACTGGATTATCGAATTAAATGATCAGCCAAATACAGAAGTTACCTCATTTATCGGTCTCGAAGATGGTACCACCATCAAGTTGAAGCATGCAATCACACAGCGTAGATTACATTCTCATGATCACAAAGCACCAGTGTCTGAAAGTGCCGACTGGCAAAAAGAAGTTTCATGTTATGGTTTCGAAGGTTTTGAAGGTGATGGGAATGATGACTGGGTCGTTGAAATTGATCAAGAAGCCTCGGCTCCAGGTGAAGGTCAAAAGCGTATCAGAGCTATTGAAACTAAATTTAGATTGAGACATGCTTTAACTGGTTGCTACTTGTTCTCACATGAGGTTAAACTACCAAAGTGGGGTTTTGAACAACAAGAAGTCACCTGTGCAAGCCAAGGGAAAAAACATTTAACATTATGGTACATCGAGGGTAACGAAAATGCTAACCTCCCCGAAGATGCTGAGCGCGTCTCATATCAAAGGCCTAGCTTTTGGCAAAAGTTTTTGGAATCACAGCAAAGAATGTGGCATATCAACAAAAACTTGGTCGAGCCTCACATCTATGAATCTCAACCATACTCTTGGCCATTTTTGCTTCGTGGCATTAACTACTGGGGTCAAAACCATAGGCAAGTTTATTTGCTCGGTAATGCAATTTTATGGTGGTCTGTAACTGCATTCATCGGTCTTTTCGCATTTGTTGTTGTTTGTGAGTTACTATACTGGCAATTAGGTCATCCAATCTTGCAAGATTCAAAGGTGATCAACTTCCATGTTCAAGTTATTCACTACTTGCTTGGTTATGTCTTGCATTACTTGCCTTCATTTTTGATGGGACGTCAATTATTTTTGCACCACTACTTGCCCGCATATTACTTCGGTATTCTTGCTTTTGCACATGCTCTAGATATAATCGTGACTGTTGTTTTCAAGAAAAAGAAGCTGTTCGGCTACGCTGTAGCAGGTGCTTTCTTGAGTGGTGTTGTTTACTTCTATCAGTCAAACAAGGCCATCATCTATGGTACTCCATGGACTCAGGATCTCTGCAGAAAGTCTCAATGGGTGTCTGGCTGGGATTACAACTGCAATAATTTCCTATCATCTTACGAAGAATATGCCAACCTTCAAACGCCAGAGGGCACTCAAGCTGGACTATCACCATCAAAAACTGCCGAGGCTGGTGCCGATGCTCAACCTACTGGAGGTTCTTCTGAAGCTCACCAAGAGACTGTAGTTGAATATCAAGAGCCTGTGGCACAAGAAAATTTTGACATGGATCAGCTTTTGGCTGGTCCAGGGAAGAAGAGATTTGTGGACGCAGACGGAAACGAATTACCTATTGATGTTGCTAAAGAGATTTTGGGTAATGGCGGCTCGGTAGTTAGTATCGAACACCGCGAAGTGTAGAAAGATTATGAATGTTTAGCTTAGTTCGATTTCAAATCGGGCTTATATAAAATTTTAAATTGAATATCCATCTTAGATAAAATGCTTAAGAGCATTTATTCTGGGTAAAAGACTTTTGCAGCCCCTGCTAACGATTTGGTCAAATGGTTGTAGAAATTGGTAGAAGTTTGTTTCACCTTTAAAAGGATATGTATATATTTTAAACTTCATTTTCATCAATAGCAGCAAAATCGTGCTGTCCATGTTGCACAGTGCTCTCGTCTTCATCCAAGACAAACACAGCATTCCCAGTCCTTTCAGTTCGTTTTAGTTTTTTTTGCCAGTAGCTTACTGCAATCAAGAGGCACACAATCGACGCATTGATAATTGAAAATAATGCAGTTATGTGGAAGGTATGCCTGTAACATAAAGATCCTTTTATGCAGAAAGATTTTCCGACTTCTGTGTTTGACGAAAGATCGTTAGCAAATACAGCACTGAAGGCCTTAACACTAATCATTCCACCAGTGGTACATAGACCCCATGTGGTACTGAAACCAGCAGTACCGAATTGATCTGCAATAATTGCTGGAAAGGTACCAAACGTTACACCAAATGCGTATCCAAACGTGAATGAAGTCAATGATATATTGTCAATTGCTGGATACCTTTTCTTAGCATTTACCGATGAGATCAGAGGTCTAATAGATACCACATCTGATAAAATTTGCCTGGAGGCTACAAACATTAGTGCACATGCTACAAGTACACACCATGCTCTTTGTGCCTTCACTTTTTTAACAAGCAAATCAGATATGGGTCCAGCTGAAAGTCTGCCAAGGAATGACATAATTGAGATAATTGAGACCTGTAAAGATTGGATTGCTTCCGTATTAACCTTAATATCGGGATCTGAATGAACCATGGTATCTACAACAAAACCCACCGAATAAATATACGTCTGGCCTATTCCGGAAAGAATGCTGAGAATCAGGAAAAATGCCAAAAACCTTGGCTGTGTTACGGTTTGATAAATATGGTTATCTTGCCAAGCAGGAATGGGCTTCGACAAAATAGGCTCTAGCTCGTAATTCTCGGGTGTTTCACCAATTGTTAGTGGGTTTGACTCTCTTAAAAGAGAATCTCTTCTAGTGTTGTCGGCAATTGAGCTCGAAAGTGGGGCCGCCTCAGTAGAATTACTATGAGCTGAATTATCCCTCTTATGAACTGGGGAAGGGGATTCTGAGACTGATTTGTTCAAGGAGCTATCAGATGGTCTGGCTTTACCCCAGCCCCAGAACGACAAAGAACCGGCCAGTTCCTTAGACCATACGTATGAGTCTGTTCTTTTCATGGATGAGCCAAGTGATACCAAAGAGTCCGTGGAAGAGGAAATTTGAGACATCGACCTACGCATAAACGATTTGTAGTTGCTGAACGATCCTCGTGAATCCCTGGCGTTAGAGCGGCCCTGGATCGCAATTGGCTGCGACGAAGGTGCTACTGCTTCTCCGCTAGAGCGTAGTACTGGCTGAGCAATGGTAGAAGATTTCCGACGTTTTTTCACTTCGGAGTGGCCGACCAGAATCTTCAAAGTGAACCCTCCCACGAGTATCATGGACGAACACACGCACATCAGGAACGTGAATACCAGGTCCATACGGTCACCGAAGAGCCACGCACATAAAGAAGAGTATAGTAGCCCCGCGAGTGCGTAGAGTGCGACAGGAAATGCTCCGGCTGTACCACGATGATGTGGGAAGTTTGTTGTGCAGCATTTCACGGCCCCGTAAAACCCTGAAACAGAGCCAAATCCCACCAAAATCAATGCTGCAGAGATCATCAAAACGCTACCAACTTCATTAACGTAACAGTATCGCAGTGTTCCATAAGCAACAAATGTTCCTAATGCCCCTAAAACACTGGAATAGGCGGGCGATTTCTTATCTATAATTAGCCCTGCTAGAAACCCCATCGCAGATGACCCAATTGTCATAGAGAAAGACAAAGTACTCGATTTAGAGATAGGAAGCTGGCATTTTTGCAATAATTGCGGTGCATAGAAACTGTACAAATACGGAGTTCCAGACCCCAGCGCAACGATGTTACTTCCAATGAAGCAGCTCAGCAGTTGAGTACGCGAAGGTGGTGCCATTTTCGATGATATTCTGCAAAACCTTCGAACCGATTCAGTTAGAACTACTTTACAGCAATTTCAAATACTTATAAGGACATTCAAGCAGTCATAAAATGTAAATACGGCGAGATGCGCTTCGCGTTATCTAGTTGATACTGTTCCGTCCGGATTACCCTGGCTTAATTTCGCGACTCGGCAAAACATTCCTAAAAAGGAAGTATTTTGAAACGAAAACTTCCTCGCCTGAAACTGCTTTGGAGGAATAAGATCACATTTAACGTCAACCCAAAAGGCGAGAAACATCACAGTGTCGTTCAAGATGCAAAGTGGAAAACCAGTTCTGTCGTGAGGTGAAGAAGTCGTTATAGAACATCGAAGAGACAGTATGAGCGAATCTGCGCACATTCCTGCACCAGAATTCCTTGCTAAGGTATCAGAAATGTTTGCAACTGCAAACAGGGCTCATCGCACAGTGCATTTGTCGATCAAAAGGCTTGTAGATCGCGATCCTGTGGAAGGTACAAGTGAGTTTGATGCTACTGAAAAACCTTTGTATGATGTGTCTCGGAAATCGCAGTTTACTAAGGTACCCGAGGATGCAAGCACAAAGCAGTACCCTCTGCTTGTGAGAATCTCGTGTTTGTCCGGAATTGCTAAGCAGAAGCACTCAACGGTGGTAGAAGCTGATGACCTCGACAAGTTTTGGAAAGACTACTCTGCTGCAATCAAGACAGGTATGGTAGGTTTAGTGAAAAAGAAGAAAAAGAAGGCAAAGAAATCGCTCAGGAAGTAGAAAATGAGCCACTGTAAAACAGCTTGTCAAGAGGCAGTTGCTTACGTTTGTGCAGAATCGCTGTAAAATAATGCGCCGGCATCTGTAAAGGTTAATAACGTTATGTACATTTAGTCTAAGAGTTCCATAACCACGTTTCCCGAGGGAAAAATAGCATCCTGATCTTTTATGATCATTTCAGGATCCAATTCTACGCGCGGCACTGGCGTTATGAGCTTGAACGTGTACGTGTAGTGATAATCAGGTTCCGTAGGAGGAGGGGCCGTCTCATCGTTGAGTAATCCGAGTTGCAACAGCTCGACATATGCGTATATTTCTTCAATTGGAAGATCTGGATTGAAGTTTCGTACGATTCGGCCATTTTGTAGTGTCCGGATTGCTACGCGGCACAAAGTGCTGGGAGAAGAAGGCTCAGGCGCAAGCTTAGATTTTCTCCACAATAGCCACTGTTTTTTCAATTCCTCTTCGAGTTGTTGTTGACGCTGCAATTCTTGTTCTGCCTGTCTTCTTTGGTCCCGCTCCTGATCTCTTCTCAGAGAATCTTGAAATCGCGAATCCTGTTGCTGTCTCATGAGTCTCTGCAATTCAACATTCTGCCTTTGTTGACGTAATTGAATTAATTTTGGGTAGTAGCGTGCTAGTTTGTTCTCTAATGAATTTAAAGAGTAATCAAAAAGCCTACCCTCAATTCTTCCTACCAACTCGATTTTACTTTCATTCTTCATTGCTAGTAGGCCAAGAAATGGAAACTGCCTGACCTTCAAAGCGTTCGCTACTTGAAGGCCCTCTGAAGTCATAATGTCTCCAAACCATAAAAGGACCTGGTATTTCTTTACCATAGCAGTGAACCTATCTGTACAGAGAATGTTGTTCACATATTCCACTGGTGCATCTAGCATTGAATCATGAAGATATATCATCGCAAACTTACCCTGTTGTGAGGCACTTTTCAAAAGTGCTGTGTATCCGTCGCCAACCACCTGTGATGCGAGAGAACCATCCTCTAAGTCATACAAAGACATGAAGTTGTATTGATTCAATCCCTGTTCTTGACCGCGAGCACTCGAGGTAGAGTCTCTACCGAGAGACTCGATCAATGCCGATAAGTCATCCGCATGGTTCGATGTATGCTTATTTCTGCGATCGTAAAAGCCATATATCCGACTAAAAGGACGAAGTGTGTTCAGTAGAAACAGAATGGTATTGAGGACGTAGTATAAAAGGATCAGCGGAACACTCAAAACAATTCGAAGCAGTCCTCGTAATGGCTTTCGTCTTCCTGCGGGAGCTGGCTCCGTATTGCTTTCATTTTCGGGAAATGCTCCAGGAAGGGGTGTGAGGGGCTGCTGCTGTGGACGCAGAAGTCTATGAATGTAGTCCATCCCTTTACTTCTATTTAGCTTACCTCTTATAAGACCAGAAACTTGAATTATTCTGTTTCAATTGAAGATATACCTTAATATGATTATGTTTCGTACACAACAACAATAGTATATTAATGCGAGTAGAACCTTACGAACTTCTCCAAATCTTCTGAAGGTAGTCCAAAAACGGGGTTTATTGGTACTATCTCAGCAGACTCCTTGATTGGTGCACATTTGATGCTATTTACGGAACCTTGTACTTTAAAATTATGCTCAGTAATAGAGAGTCCTAGCATGACATAGTTCGTGTGATAGAAATCCGGAGACTTACCAGGCTTGTCACGCAAACCGGGTCGTTCTTTGGTTTGGCAGCATTTTAGGATGTAATCACGTAGCATTGGCTTATCAATACATTCGCCGTAGCCATAAGCCTCCAGTATTGCAGCTGTTCCGCCAACCCAGTAACTATAACAACCGTCAACCAACTTATTGCTTCTTCCGGAAAAACCTCTCTCTTCATTGAACTGGCGAGCGCTACACCATTCCATGAGACTACCTACGTTAATAACCTCCAAACGTCCAAGGATTGCCAAACTGGCTACCGCACAATAGGTGTACCCTCCATGAGCTTCATCTTCTTGAGGACAACCACCAAATCCACCTTCATATGTTTGGCATTTAATGAGGAATTCCTCTACACCGGTACAAAGCTCAGGAGTAAGTATATTTAGCATTGCTGCTACGCTTAAAGCACAGTATGTGCCTCTCGTATCACATTCGCCTACCTCTAAACACGTCTTGAATCCCCCATTGGGCATTTTCAAAGCTAATAGCCATTGATATATGCCATGCACATTTATTTTGCTCCAACAGTCATCATAATTGTCACAAAGTGCTAAAGCAGTCACAGCAGCATAGTTACAGATCAGATGCGGCAACTGCCCTAAACCACCGCAGAAAGGACCCCCGTTAACGGAGGCATTTAAAAGCTTTTCACTGATACCCTGCTGATAATTCTTGCTTAGCCATTTTGGGTTCATAAGGCGTAACGAATTACCTATCCAATACAGTAACCAAGGTTGAGAGGCGTCGAGTGCCTTTAATTGGGGCGGGAGGTTATTCGTAAAGGAATAATCAAGGTACATTCTATGAAATTCCTTTAAGAGATGAATGTCTTCATGCTTAAGTAAATGATATAAGTCCTCACAAACCTCTACAACCTCTTGCCTGTCTTGTGTCGTCTCTGTGCTCAGCTGCATCGTGAGAGGACGAATTTCTCGGATGTCTTCTTCGATGCAAGTTTTCTCTTCAACGTCCCTTTTTCGACCCAAAAGCTTGTTATTTATGAACCTCGCCCTGCTTATATTTTTATTTGGCATCGATTGACCAGCGGAAGCCCCACTTGGAATCTGCTAGAGCCGATTTTGGGGTTTCTATTCTTCTTTATATTTGAAAAATGTGAAGCCGTTTCTAGGAATTTTTCGCAATATCGCGACGACATGCGCAAAAATAGTGCTAAATTAACGTTATACAATGACAATTATGTACATTGGCCTCGTATATGAGTCAAACTTAGAGTTGATTTGCCTACATGGTCTTGCAAGACAACTGGAATAATGCCACTCTCTGGGTGAAGAGAAAATAAGCACTGAGGATTCAAGCGGCAGGAGCCGCTTTAGTTTCTTCCTTCTGCTCTTCAGATTCCTCTTTGACTTCAGATTCCTCTTCGTGCTCAGGTTTCAAAGCTGCAACATCGACAGCGAGTTCTCTGTCGTTCAACGTTTTGCCTTGAAATTCCTCGACCTTCTTGGCAATGTCTTCACAGTTTTCGAATGTTACAAAGGCAATACCTCTGTTCATCCTTTTTGAGTAGAAAAAGCGCTTTGTCTTGGTGTCGCGCATTCTTCTCAAAGGAAGTACAATAAGGTCAGGTTTTGTGCCGAAAAACTCCGCTAGTTGTTCTTTGGTGGCGTAGTAAGGAACGTTGTTCACGTACAGAGTGTCTGTAGACCGCTCCATGCTGTCCAATGGTACTTTGACCTTTTCCAGCTTCCTGGGAGGAGCGGGGATTGCCCTCCTGGCAAAACCCTTGTCAGAGCCTTTCTTGAGCTTTTCAGCTCTGGCCTTACGCTTCTCGTCTCTCTGCTCCTCCGTCTGCGCGCGTCTAATATAGATGCCCCTTTCTTTCACAACCGTCTTGTCGTACTTCTCTTTGATTGCCTCGAAGTCGATTTTTGACGGAAACTTTACAAAAGCATATCTTTGCTTGAAGAAACGGCCGCTCTTAGCAGAGGGGATTTCCACCTCCACTTCTTCGCTGAACACGTTTTTCAAGTCCTCCTCTGTACAATCGCGAGCCACATTACCTATGAAGATTGTTGTCTCTGGATCCACAATGGTCCTTACGACGTTGTTTTGGTTGGCTTCCTTCACCTCTTCTGGGCTTGTGGCAGTAGTAGTTTCAGCAGCTGACATCCTTATTTAATTTTCCCTTCTCAATAACTTGTTCCGCTCTTCTTACAATCGCACCTTCTCTAAAATCGTTTCCATGTTCCTTGTTCGCATAGCGCCCCTTTTATATGCCGTTTCACGCGCTTCTGTCTTTTTTTTTCTACAATTTTCTATTTATTTCTACGCAAGAAACGCCCAACTAGAAACACAAGTTTAGAAGCTTATAGCACAAGCTTTGACTTTAAAAGCGTGAAATCTCTCTAGTAGTTCCGTATCTTTGTTAGTATCTGGTTGTGTAGCATGTCTTTGTCTGTCTTCTTTTGACAAGAAGCAAACAGAGATATGTAATTGCATACGAATAATTTGACCCCGCTCTCGTTAAGTTGGACGTCTTGAAAGGACACCGATGGTACTGAAAGATCGTGTTCTTCATTATATATATATACGGAATGTTCAACAATATATGCTAGGCCTGATCGGGGGTAGCTGGCTTCTGCCATTTTCTGCTTTTTTGTGTGCCTACGTTTCGCAGTAAAGCTTACTTTAAATAGTCGAAGAGATTAGGAGCGACGCAGTCATCAACGTAGTGCTGAAGGTGGAAGAACTCCTCCACACAGTCTTCCTTGTGTGGGAGATCTTGATAGCCCGGCTGCTCCTGTGCCTCGTGGACCCGCTGCACGCACTCCATGTAATGGTGCACAAGTGACTTGCCCTCGACGGTGTTCTTGCACTCTTCTCTGAGCTTTTCTTGAATGTCGCCGGCCTCCTCTTCTTCCTCTTCGTCCTCGTCTTCGTCCTCATCATCTTCATCTTCGTCTTCATCCTCTTCGCCATCGCCACCAGCTTCTCCTCCATCCTGGTTGCTGTCGTCTGCGGCCGCTTCCTCGTCGTCGCCCTTATCCTCGGATTTCTCTTGGTTGGCATCGCCGCTCCCCTCACCAGAGGAGCTGCTATCTGACTCAGCTGGTGTTTGCTCATCGTCGTTGTCATTCACAGCAACTGCGTCTTTCGCAGTTGAGTTGTCTGCTCTGCTTTCGGCCTCTCTGGTATCCTCTTCATCATCATGACCTTCCTCCTTTTCATCCGATTGCAATTGCTCGTTTTCTGGCTTGCTTTCACTAGCAGATTCCGGTTCTTCCTCAGCAGCAATCGCTACTTGTGGAAGCAGAGAAGTCACCAAATCTCTCAAATCAACCATTTCGTACGCTTGTTAGCAAAATATTTCAGCTGTGCAACTATTTTGGAACATTTTAAATATCTTCTCCGGGCCGAAATAAGTTGTTCTTGCCACGAGTTACCCGCCTCAAGATACCCTGTAGCCAATAGGAACAAGCGACTTCTCTGCAGTACAAGAAATAGCGTAATACCGTCAATAGTAGTCATTGAGAACTCATTTCTTGAGGACGAAGCTGTATTTTTGTTAGTGTGGAACTTGGCAGCAGTTTACGTTTGAAAAGATTAGCAGTAATTCAATATTAGAGCGTTGACAATAATTGAATGCACTGTCACACAGCAGATCAACCACTGTTTACCTTTGGGTTTTTGTCCGCTCAGAAATTGTGCATGCTTTCAACATGCAGCTGGTTTATTTCCTTAGGCTCTTGAAACACGGCGCGCGGATAGCATGCATTTTACTTCCCCATAGCTCGTAAACTCCACTCATATAACCATAAGCTCAAAGCTGTAGTAGGAGCACTTTTAATCACAGCAGGTATATAACCTCTGTAGAGTGCTAGAAAGCCTTCATTTTTCATAACTTTGAGCATAAGCTCTCCGAACCAAACGTTTTTATACGATTTGTACGTGGCCTCGCAAGCGGTGAATTGCGCTAGATGACGAGAATTTGTCACCTGTATACGTTTGCGCACAGTGTCGATGGGAAAAGTGATCGTCTTGCATGCAATACCAGCTAGCATACTTGCGCTTTTCTCAAGAACCTTCACGGCGACAGAATTGCGATTCTCACTCTCTTCACAGAAGATTTTAATGGTCTCATATGTAGCAAACATTGTTGACGTGGCTAAGCTGATCGAAAGCATAGACGATGAAACTCCTCTGAAAAACCCTCGCAAACCTTCATGCTGCCAAATGTCTCCACAACTCTTAAAAAGAGTAAACATCTGAGGATCTCTGTTGGCCACAAATCTAGTGCGTAGAACGTCGAAAGGGTATGTAACTATAGAGCTACTCATTCCTGCAAGAGCTCCCACAAAGCAGCTGTGAATTTGAGGGGACCATTCCAAACGACTAAGCCAGCGGTTAAAAGTTGAGTATGAGCTGAATTGCACCGATCCATACAGCACATACATGATCATTGCAGGAACATTACCTTTCCATAATGCACGAATCCCCTCCTCACGTATCACAGTTTCAACAGTGGATATTATGCCTCTGTATTTGGCCTCGTGAACGGGCTGAAGTTGTAGTCTTATCTTGATCATGTCAAGTGGGGCAGTCACTGTTCTTGCCCCAATTCCTGAAATACATCCAGCAACTATACTTTGATATAGGGGTACATCTCTTCCCTTTCTGAAGTGATCCTCACCCATATATCAAGTCTACCGCTTTCTCCTTTGTATTCGAGATTCATTGTTCACTACAAAAATTTTCATCTCATCGCATTCCTATCATAATACTAAAAAGCTGCGGTAGAAAGCGAACGAAGACATGATAGAAGCACAAGTATCGGTTTTAGACCAAGTGGACGGATCTGCACAAGTAACTTGTGGAACTACGTCTGTCATTTGCTCTGTGACTGGACCTATTGAGCCGAAAGCAAGACAAGAATTACCATCTCAGCTGGCGTTGGAAGTTGTTGTACGTCCAAGCAAAGGTGTGCCCAATACGAGGGAGAAACTAATGGAAGATCAAATTAGAGGTGTTTTAACACCCGTCTTGGTGAGATATCTTTATCCCAGGCAGTTGTGCCAGGTGTGTTTTCAGATTCTTGAAAGTGGAGAGCCAGAACAAGAGCATAGCGTGAAGGAGCTTAACTGTTGCATTAATGCCGCATATCTCGCGTTAATTGATGCAGGCATTGCATTGAAAAGCTCCTTCTCCAGTGTATGCATGGCTGTATTACCGCAATCCTCAGAGATTGTTGTTAACCCGGTGACACAGCAATTACAGCAATCAAATTCTACCCACCTTGTAGCTATACAAGTAGGCCAAGGTGGACAAAAAGCGGAAAGTGTTCTTTTAGCAGAAAGCAATGGCAGTTTCGATCAGCAGTTATTTCTCGATGTTCTTTCAACAGGTGAGAAAGAATGCATTAAGGTTGCTCTTGAATTAAGAAAGATCGTTGAGAACAAAATACAAAAAGATTTCGTTTGGAGAGGATGATTCTATATAGCCCATGTGCTATCTTTTAAAGGCAAATAGAAACTCTATGTAAAATACATTAAATAGCAAACATAAATCAAACTAAATGAACTGAGGGAATACTATTGAATTGATCACAATTGTAAACGTTCCAAGTTCGAAATGGTGGCTTCCAAACCTTCGATTTCAGCGACAGTGTTCTCTAGTCTAGTCATAGTTAATTCTTTTGCCTGTTCATTGGCTTTGGCTTCGTAATCCTTACTTTTCATGATTTTTTCGATACCTTCCTTGGTCTTTAAGGTCTTTTCCAACTTCTTCTTAGTTTTTGAGATTTCTGCTTCAATGTCAACATGTCCCTTGACCAACACGTGGACATTGACTTCAGGTGTCACGGCTTGCAAGACAGCACCCTCTGGAACTTCAGAGGCCGACTTAACAACTGTTACCTCATCAATGGCTTTGATTAATGAAACAATGGAGTCTCTTTGAGAAACAGAGGTTTCGAAATAGTGCTCATTACCAGATTCGATGAAAACTTTACCATTCTTCAAGATGTTATATTGCGCCAACAATGAACGAGCCTCCTTGGTAATGTCCAAAACCAACTCGTAGTCGAGAGCAGCTTTTTCGTTGTCGAAATCACTTCTATAGGTAGGGAAAGAGGCCTTGACGATGGACTCAACAGCAGACGAGTTCTTTGGTAATCTTTGCCACATTTCTTCAGTGATAAATGGCATGAATGGGTGGATCAATCTCAATGCGTTATCCAAAAGAACGTAAAGGGTATCCTTGGCAGACTTCTTCTCAATGTCAGATCCTTCGTTGATCAGGTACTTCGAATTCTCAATGTATACATCACAAATCAAGTACCAGAACTCATAGATATCACTTGTAGCTGTTAAGAAGTCACGTTTCTCGAACGCTTCATTGATTGACTTGGCGTAGTGAGTCAGTTTGTGCAAGATCCATTGCTCAACTAAAGATTCATTGCCAGAAAGTGTTTCCTTTGCAGGAGGCGTGTAATCCTCGCCTAGACGCATCAAAGCAAATTTGGTTGCTTGGTAAATCTTGTTACAGAACTTTCTGTAGCCCTCCACTCTTAGAATATCCAAATTAATATCACGACCACCAGTAGTGTAGGCACATAAAGCGAATCTCAAGGCATCAGTACCACACTGTGGGATACCGTTTGGATAAGATTCTTTCTGACCAGCCTTTGCCTTCTCGATTTCTCTTGGATCCAAGTTACCACCCAAGAGTTTAGCATGTAGATCTTCAAGCCTAATACCACTGACAACGTCTAGAGGATCAACGACGTTACCCAAGGATTTAGACATTTTTCTACCTTGAGCATCACGGACAAGAGAGTGACAGAAAACCTCCTTGAATGGAATTTCGCCGGTTAACTTTAGGCCCAATAGAATCATTCTGGAAACCCAGAAGAAAAGAATATCCCAACCAGTCTCTAACATAGAGAATGGAGCAAAGTTCTCGAGGTCCTTAGTCTTCTCGGGCCAACCTAGGGTAGAGAAAGGCCACAAACCAGAGGAGAACCAAGTGTCTAAAACATCCTCATCTTGCTCCAAAGTGTACTTAACATTAGGGAATTTCTTCGCAGCCTTGGCTTCGGCCTCTTCCAAGTTTCTACCAGAAACCCAAAACTCACCATCGTTTTTATCATTCTCTTGCCCCTCGATGTCTACGAAATAGACGGGACAACGATGACCCCACCATAATTGTCTGGAAATACACCAATCTTGAATATTTTCAAGCCAGCGGAAGTACTCCTCCTCAGATGACTTAGGGGTGATAGTGATCTTACCTTCCTTGACGGCCTTGATAGCTTCTTTAGCCATATCTCCTTGAGCGACCCACCATTGAGGCTTCAGCAATGGTTCAATAACGTCACCCGATCTGGAACAAGTTGGGATAGTCATTTCATTGTCTTCTTGACCACCGTAGAGACCTAGCTTTTGGAGTTCTTCGATGACTTTTTTTCTCGCATCAAATCTCTTTACTCCCGCCCATTCAGGTCCACAGTTCTCGTTTAGTAAACCGTCATCGGTAAAGATATTTATAAATTCTAGATTGTGACGTTTACCGGTGTTGTAATCGTTTTGATCGTGCGCTGGAGTAATTTTAACAGCACCGGTACCGAATTCCATATCTACAGCCTCGGCATCACAAACAATTGGAATTTTCCTCTCAAGGAAAGGATGTTGAGCAAATTTTCCGTGTAAATGCTTGTAACGGGAATCATCAGGGTGAACGGCGATTGCGGTATCACCAAACATAGTTTCAGGTCTAGTAGTGGCAACAGTAATTCTGTCGTCTGATCCAATAACTGGGTAAGAGTAAGAAGTCAAAACACCAAACTCAACCTTTTCATCGTAACCCGGAATAGACAATAGGGTTCTTCCCTTGATGTCTTTATTTTCGACTTCCAAGTTAGAAATAGCTGTGTTCAACTTGACACACCAGTTAACCAATCTAGACGCACGGTAGATAGTGCCGTCTTCGTGCAATCTCACGAAGGCTTCAGTCACTGACTTGGAAAGTTCTGGACTCAAGGTAAAGGCTTCACGGCTCCAATCATAAGAAGCACCCAGTTTTTGAATTTGGCATTTGATTCTGTTGTGATATTCATCTTTCCACTGCCATACCTTTTCAATGAATGCTTCTCTCCCATAGTCGTGTCTAGTTTTCTTTTCCTTGGCCCAAACTTGCTTCTCAACAACTGATTGAGTAGCAATACCAGCGTGGTCGAAACCTGGTAAAAAGAGCACAGTTTTGCCTTTCATTCTGTTGTATCTTATTAATGAGTCCTGGATAGAAATTGTCAAGGCGTGACCGATATGCAAGGCACCAGTGACATTTGGAGGTGGTGCCGGAATAGAAAACAGCCCTGCTGGCTTGACCTTTCCATCTTCAGTAAACTCTGGCTCGAAGAAGCCGCTCTTGATCCACCAATCGTACCAGGAGCTTTCCACATTGGCTGGGTTGTAAGCCTTCAACGCCGGGTCGTCCAGAGAGGCGAGAATCTTCTTTTCACCTGGAACGGTCTTGTCGACAAATTCAGGAATAGGCTCGGCTTCCTTCTTCTTCTTCTCCTTCTTTGGGGCAGCAGCCTGCTTACTCGCAGCTTGGGCCTTCTTGGCTTGCTTGGCTGCGAACTTCAATAGTTTTTCAGCCTTCTTTCTTTCCTTCTCGATTTCCTTTGGTGTCTTTTCAGAACCATCTTCCTTCAAAGGGTTAATTATGATTTCCCCAGTTTTGGGATCCACAGGAGGCAATTGCTGATCGCTGCTCATAATGTGACTCTTAAGTGCTAGAGGTCGTAATTGCGTATTTATGTGCACAAAACTAAATTTATACGGTTTTCGTGCGCTCGAATGAAATGTATACGGGATAAACGATCTTACAAGACACTTATACATCTATTCCCCACGTACTCATTACTCTTCCAAACGTCTAATCTTGAGAATAGAGAGAGACCGGCAGCAGGATCGCACCGGGGCCACAGGCGCCGCAGAGAATCTGAAAAATTTTTCATTATCGGTGTGTCATATTTCCTTTTATGAACAGCTATTACCATCTATGGAAATATTCCTAATTTAGTATGATATCATGTGATTATCACGTGAACTCATTTCTTTTTCAGCGATGGAAAAATTTTAGCGTAAAGCTCATCTCATCTCTTCAAGAATCTTGACTATCAATTTACTTTGATTCAAGGATACCTGCAGCTGGTTGTTCAGGCATGTCAAGAGTAATTGTCAAGGGTCTGCCCAAATATCTTACCGAAGAGCGGTTAAAACAACACTTCGTAAATAGAATCGAACAAAGACGTCAGGGGACAGAAACTAAGGATCTCATCACAGATGTGAAGTTAATAAGAAACAGACTTGGAGAATCAAGAAGATTTGCGTTCCTTGGCTTTCGGTCAGAAGAGGATGCGTTAGATGCAGTTCGGTATTTCGACGGATCTTTCATTGACACGTCCAAGATAGAAGTGGCGATGGCCAAGACGTTTGCCGATCCTAGCGTTCCAACGCCCATGAAGGAGAAACGTCGTGAAGCTTTGAAGAGACTAAGGGAAAAAGAGGAAAAGCTTTTAGAAGAAACTCGAGCGAAGAAGAAGGCTAAGGAAGAATTGAAAAAGCCTTCGATAGACGCGGAAATCCAAAAGAATAAGCAACTTCAAGAATTTATTGAAACTATGAAGCCAAGTTCGCAGCTTAAATCTTGGGATACACTGGGTGGTGCAGCTAATAATTCGGAAGAAGGGGGAATCACGCCATCTGAGGCCCCACCAGTCAACTCTTTGTTGTCACAGGCGTTGGCGCTGAGGGGGGATGACGAAACTCAATCTAAGGACGTTTTCAAAGCTTTGGAAAATGAGAGTGATGACGAGTATACAACCTTGGATAAGGTCGAGAATGAAGATGAGGACAAGGAACAGATGGTAAGCCTAGGCTCCTTCAATTCTGGTGAAAGTGAAACTATTCCTGAAGACGACAACATTGCACAAGATGAGAAGGTTTCTGATTTAGATTGGCTGAAACAGCGTCGTGTCAGAATTAGTGAGCATCAAGAAAATAATGGTGGGCATTTAGATGGCACAGCTGTACAGAAGAAAGATTCCAACGATGAAGAGAACCATGACGTCGGTACCTCGGAGAATCAAAAAACTGACCAGCAAGATGTAGAAGAACAATCCATATCAGATGAAGAGAAAATAATACAAAAAATCAAAGAAACAGGTAGGTTGTTTCTTCGTAATATTCTTTACACATCAACTGAATCGGATTTCAGACAGTTGTTTTCTCCATTCGGTAAATTGGAGGAAGTTCACGTTGCTTTAGACACAAGAACCGGAAAGTCAAAGGGATTTGCTTATGTGCTTTTCAGTAACCCCGAGGACGCTGTAAATGCCTATATTGAATTGGACAAACAAATTTTCCAAGGAAGATTACTACATATTTTACCTGCAGATGCTAAGAAGACCCATAGGCTCGACGAATTTGATCTTAAGAATCTTCCTTTGAAAAAACAAAAAGCATTGAAAAGAAAAGCGAATGCTGCTCAAGAAACGTTCTCTTGGAACTCTTTATACATGAGTCAAGATGCCGTGCTCAGCAGTGTTGCATCAAAACTGGGTGTGGAAAAGTCCGATCTGATAGATGCTACCGATTCTGGCGCTGCTGTGAAGCAAGCTTTGGCTGAAGCCCATGTGATAGGTGATGTTCGGAAATATTTTGAATCCAAGGGTGTTGATTTGGCAAAGTTTTCTCAATTTAAATCTCCCTCTGAAAGGGATGATTGTGTCATATTGGTCAAGAATTTTCCCTTTGGTACTACTAGAGAAGAAATAGCAGAACTCTTTTTATCTTTCGGTAAACTTCAACGAGTTTTGATGCCGCCTGCGCGTACGATTGCTATCATACAGTTTCGGGACGCAAGCGCAGCAAGAGCCGCATTTACAAAACTTTCCTACAAAAGGTTTAAAGATGGCATCCTGTATCTTGAGAAAGGACCCAAAGGCTGTTTCACAAGGAATGCTCAAGATGATGAGACTGTGGAAGCAGGTCAAGATGAGTCAAATAAGGATGTAAAAGAGGTGAGGGCAACTGTCGATGATGTTATGGATGTCAGCAAGCGTCCAGCCGAGCCAGAGAGCGAAACGGTTTCCGAAGATATATTCGAAGGACCCACAGTCTCTATTTTTATAAAGAACTTGAACTTTTCCACGACGACCACAGAACTCTCTGCTAAATTTAAACCGTTCGAAGGATTTGTCGTTGCGCAGGTTAAGACAAAACCAGATCCGAAGCGCCAAGGTAAGACATTATCCATGGGTTTTGGGTTTGCCGAATTCAGAACTAAAGACCAAGCACTAGCTGCGATTTCTGCGCTGGATGGAAGTGTTTTAGATGGCCATAGAGTTCAGCTAAAACTGTCTCACAGAGCAGGCAGTGCGAAGAGTGCTACAAAAGGTTCTAAGAAGAAGACTAGTGGTAAGATTATTGTCAAAAACTTGCCATTTGAAGCAGCCAGAAAGGACGTCTTTGAACTATTCAGTTCATTTGGCCAGCTCAAATCTGTCAGGGTTCCAAAGAAATTTGACAAGTCCGCGAGGGGGTTCGCATTTGTTGAGTTCTTACTACCAAAAGAAGCCGAAAACGCAATGGACCAATTACAAGGTGTCCACTTGTTGGGTCGTAGGTTAGTGATGCAATACGCAGAGCAAGAGCCCGAAGATGCAGAAGAGCAAATTGAAAGGATGACAAGAAAGGTGAAATCCCAAGTTGCTACCAGAGAACAGGCCGCTATGAGAAATGGTGGAAAGAGAAAACTTGAGCTTGATGACGACGTGGACGAAAACGATGGATTGAATGGTATATAAGCAAGGTGGTATACCTATTTATAATATTGCATTATTTCTTGGTTAAGATAGTACAGCACGTAAACTAGAACTTTACACTAATTTTTCGAATTCATAGTCTTTGAAGCTTTTCTGAAAAAGCGTAACCTCATTTTGCTCTTCTTCTTTGGATTGTTTGCAAACGGGAGAGTCCCATTTGACTCTTTTAGGTAGGTGAAGCATAAAAGCTACCACACGTCTTCCAAATTGTAGATCTATTCTCTTAGATACATCGAAAGAGGCAACATACACTTTTGGAGGTTGAGAAGAGTTCTCAAATATAGTGAATTGTAAGTAGTTATTCTGTGGGTCATTGATAAATTCAAGATAATTGAGATCTTTTTTGCCCTGAAACTCTTTGAAGTTTAATTTGGCATTAGTTGGATTCCGTTCATTATTGAAATGCACTTGTCTGTCTAATGCGGGAACAAATTTACCTATTAGGTAATTTGGAATTGGCATAACTTGTTTATGGAAGTGCACGGAGTTTTCGGAATTGATAGAGAATATGATAGTGGACATTTGAAACTTTTCAAAATTCATCTTCACTAGCTTTGATTCATAACTCTCCATATCCGTATAAGTCGGTGTCTTCGTGATATCATTTGTGTCTGCTACGAGTTTCGTCCTGTGTTCTATAGGTATTATCAAGCAATGACCCGAAAAATCCATTTGTCCATGGGGCATTGTTAGTGGGCCCTTTGCAGCCGTGATATATGCATGTTCGCTAATGGATATTATCAAATGATCTTCCACATCAGGATTGCTGAAACAAAAGCGGCACTTCTCCGGTAAAATTTGCCTGAATTTTTTAATATTAGACGGCAGTCTAGTTGATTCTTCCTCCAAGCGATGCTTCTTACCATTACTCTGTAAATACGGATTTGGAGATAAATTGTCAATTTTGAGTCCATCATTATTCAGTCCTAATGATAAGCTAAAAGCGTAGGCCCACTTGGCTCCGCTTCCATATTCCGCAATATTCAAGAATCTTGTTATAGAACTGGTTTCATTCCACTGAAAGGGATTCAATTCTGTGAATTTGTTCTTCTCACTACAAGCAAAATGATATCGAGGCATTAGCAATTTGACAACTTTATCAACAAGACAAATCCCAGCGGATGATGTTGAACCATGGGCTATCGCCTCGCTCCATTGATAAGTTAGAAGTAAATCAACCCCATCATTCTCTTGTTTGCTGAAAAGTGACAGAATTTCATCTTCATTTTGCCTCAGATAATTCTCATCCCCGGTCAAGTACCCTATTTTCAAGCCGTTCGATAATTGATAGATGCCAATTCCGTTAAGAAGTGTAGAATTTTCATCTATACTAATAGAACCTGCCTCATCACTTACTAGCTTGCTCCCATTGGTAAAAAACGTGGGCACAGGCATCTTCACTGGAATTTCATCTTTCACATCGTTTAAAGCAGGTCCCAATATCACAATGCAATCAAATGGTCCTGACTTTTCGCTGACCTGGCATACCTTCTCTAATACAGTAGACAAAGTCGGCTCAGCTGCACAGGCGACAAGACTGAACCCTATTGTTAGTAATTAAACTTTTGTAATTCTCTCTGAGACCTATTTTTCAATACAATGATAGACATACATTTTAACTTCGCTCATTTTTATTCAGCTAATAGTGATTGATGCATCATCATCAATCTTCTCATCTTCGAAAGTGATGAGAGAAATCGCTATATACGCCTTCGAAAACCGCTGCTGTTATCCACCCATGCGATTATAACTAAACAAGTATACAGATTTAAGCTTTCCATAATATACATATCAATAAAAAGTGGCAAATGGGTCTGCTTGTCCTGAATTATCGTACAATACACCGCTAGAGCCATTCTTGCCCTTTTTATGCCTGTAAGTGAATCCTACCAATTTAGACACTACCGCAGAATCATCCATCATCGCAGTCAGCCTATCCTGTCTCTTGAAAACATCAGCATATTTGGCCATATCAGCCTCACTCGTAAAGTCGTCAAAATAGCCGGCATCCGTTTCATTATCGAGTTGCGGAATAAATGGTGGACTTGTGTTCCTCAAGTTTTCGAAGCTTATTTCTGAGAAATATTTCATCTTCTTTACATGCTCAAAAGACCTTAGTCGATTGATAGGATCAGCGATCAGCCTAGTGATAAGTTCCCAGGTTCTGTCGGAAAATGCATATCGGCCATTGTCGCATTTTGGTCGCCTTAACACTTGTTTCCAACATCTCAAATTCTCATACGTTTCATTAGTTGATGATCCACTAAATGGAGTATAACCCACTAAACTTTCAAATAAGATACATCCTAGAGACCAATAATCGACCGTGAAGTCATAGTTCTTTGCCTCTAAGACCTCTAATGCCATATAATCGGGTGAACCCACAGTAGAAGATGCATAATTAACGTCTGACTCTCTGAGTTTATTGTACATCCTTCTTCTATCATCCATTGACCGCTCTTTATATTCTGGAAAGTCCAAATTTTTAACTTCTTCGAGTCTAATCTTCATACTTTCTATTCTTTCCATAGATACAGTACCCGCAGCAAGTCCAAAATCTGTCAATTTTATATGACCGCGAGAATCTATCAAAAAATTCTCAGGCTTCAAGTCTCTATGGGTATAGCCTAATTCGTGTAGTGCGTTAACAGCACAGAACATCTCGCTAATATAAAATCTGGCATGTGGTGCCTGTAGGAATCTTGTGTTTATCAATAAAGTCCTATAATCTCCCCCAGGTACGAACTCCATTGCGAGATACAGGCTCAGATTATCTTGAAAAGCGTATAATAGTTTCACCAACCATTCAGAACGCGTAGTTGTCAATATATCTCTTTCGGTCAGTACATGATTCGTTTCATTCAATTTGACGAGAAGCTTTTTGTTAAGAATCTTGAGAGCGCAGATCTCCCTCGTGTCACGCTTTCTAGCAAGATACACTTGTCCATAACCACCTTGGCCAACTTGAGTGATCATCTCAAAGTCTTTATTTTTAGGTTTCAGCCTACGGTTTCTCAATATCCCCGTCTCCTTATTCAAATACGATTGCCATTCGTTAGCAATATCGGGAGCAGGTGCTCCTTGTGAGCGCTGTTGATCCAAGTACCTCATCACTTGTCGCGTCCGCTCACGCCTGCTGATGACGTAGTCAAACATATCACAATAGTAATCTAAGAAGTACATTTGGCATACACTCACAAGCCTTTTTGTGTTACTAGAGGATGCTTTCTTGTGGAAATCTGCAGGCAATTTTTTGGGCGATTGTGTGACATCAATCTCACCTTCGGTATTAACATCAATATCCATCATTGAAAGTCTTGAATTATCCATACCGTGTATACCACGGATTGTGGACTTTGTGGGGGATGGACTACCCATCTCTTCCCCTTTTTTAGATGGTGTTGTCGGTTCAAAGCTAAATCTTCCTGGGTCGGCACCTCCGTCGAAGCTCAATTGACCGATGTTGTCAGCCAAACTTTCGATCGCCCTTTGGCGTTCATTTGTAGCTCTGGAAAACATGTAATTCTACACTTATTCTTCTACAAATGATAGTAAATGAATGAATGAATTAATGATTTCTGCAATGAATGTCTCGAATTTTTGTGAAGTTAAAATACAAGGATTGTTTACATTTCCGTAAAAGGAAAGTACATTAAATTAGTTCACATGACGATAAAAAATGATAAGACTACAAGTTAAATTTGTATTACTATCGAGAATGAGTGTTAGTCAATTTGACAAGTAACAAATCACAATCATTTTTGTATATGCTTTAAATACCAGTCATTTTTATTTGGCTTTAACTTCTTCTGTGGTTGATCTGATGGACCCTCAAGAAGGGGTGTGTTCAAGAAGTCGGACCTTGCATCGCTCGATGTAAAACTCGCCGCCCTCTCCACATCATTTTCGAGACGACGCTTCATGGACTTTCGTAGCTTAGCAGAGTTATTTTGGGGGGTGGGCTGTGTAGCCTGTAGGCTTTTAGCCATACCCATTCCAATTTCTTCGCCAAACGTATCCATAACCGATTGTTCTGCTTTTCCGAATTCCATACGGTTTTGAAGTTGGCGTGTGTGGGAAAGTTGAAATTGTTGCTTGTACTTCCGAAACCGACGACCTGCCCGCTTCTTCTTTGGTTTATCTTCTGGAACAGGCAGGGGTTTTGTATTGGTAACATTAGGTGGATCCTGTAATTTCTCTAGCTTGCTTATGACTTCTTGCCTCCATTTGAGACCAAGAAAGCCGTTCTCAGCTTGTTTGGCGGCATCTACACGTGTAGCAAGAGACACTTTGGCGCAGAGCATTCGCTGTGCGGACTTACGAATTTGGATAGGCTGATTTTGTATCAGGTCGCACTGATAAATATAGCCTTTTTGTCTTACGCCAGTTTCATCCACGCCAGTTTCATGGGAAAGATATTTGGTTTTGCCCACCGAGGCGAGATTGCAACTAGGAACGGCACAGAGCTCTGATAGACCACCAACCGCTGAAATAAGGAGAGCAGCTACTTCTGAACCCACTAATGCGGCTAAATTAGGTGCAACGCCATCAATTCGTGAAGATACGAAGGCCCGAATCTTTGCCTGTAAATCAGTCAGGTCTGCGATAGTATTAATACACTCGAACAATAGCTCACGGTCAGCTTTCGATAATTGTTTCTCTTGATTAAAACCCGTTTGCATTGCCATAGAAACCACAAGTACCTGTTCGCGGTTCAGTACTCCGTCCAACTGATTGATATCCTTAGATTCGCTAGTTTCAAAAAACTCCACAATTCGCGAGTATAAATGGGGTACAACGATCAGTGAATTTAACTCCGGAAATCTTTGAGCGTATAATCTCGCAAGAATTTTGTGTACAATCTCAATTTCTTGCTGTATAGTGGGCTGAAGCTGGCTCAATACCATTACAGTCGCATCATTTGAGCTATCCATCAATTGGATAATTTTAATTCGTAATTTATTAACTTTTGCAACGTTCGCTAAACTCCTGGGCATTCCTTCTGATAGTTGGTAAATCTTGTAATTATTTACTAAACTTTTCACCTCTTCAAGCGCATTTGACTTTGCCGTCCCATTTACATCGGCGTCTTTAACGCCAGAAACTTCAATAGCGTCTTCTGTTTCAATTTCTAGAGCTAAATCTTCATCTAAGTCTTTCAAGAGGTCATCATTATCCATTTCAGTCCCACTTTAACGTTTTCCGCGGTTCTTGATGTTTGAGATGGAATAATTAACTACTTTACATGTTCGTACTTGGATACATTCATTTCTTTTGAATAAAAAAAAATTTTTCTTAACCGATGAGATGAGTGTCACATACATCGAAACACTTACGTGCTATAATCGTGCTGCGAATGTCGAATATTGTGGGTATTGAGTATAATCGTGTTACTAATACGACTTCGAATGACTTTCCAGGTTTTGCTAAGGATCAAGATGCTGCCTGGGACGTTGAAAAGTTTAAAAAAACGTTCGATGTCAAGATCTCTTCATTAGATGAAAGAGAGGCTAACTTCGATTTGATTCACATAGATACCTCCATCGCCAATGCATTTCGTCGTATCATGATTTCAGAAGTTCCATCGGTAGCCGCTGAATACGTTTACTTTTTCAACAACACATCAGTTATCCAAGATGAAGTATTGGCACACAGAATTGGTCTTGTTCCTTTGAAAGTTGATCCAGATATGCTTTCTTGGATTGATAACTCTTTGCCAGACGAAGAAAAGTTTACTGATGAAAATACTATTGTTTTGACGCTTAATGTCAAATGTACAAGAAACCCTGATGCTCCAAAGGACTGTACGGATCCAAATGTTTTGTACCGTAGCGCTAATATTTACGCCCGCGATCTCAAATTTGAACCTCAAGGTAAGCAATTAGAGGCCTTCGCAAAGTGTCCAGTTGTACCCGCGGACCCTGATATTTTGCTTGCTAAGCTAAGACCGGGTCAGGAAATATCATTAAGAGCTCACTGCATTTTAGGTATTGGTGGTGATCACGCCAAGTTTTCTCCTGTCTCGACCGCTTCTTATAGGCTGATGCCTCACATTCAAATCACAAAACCTATTCAGGGTGAATCTGCCGATAGGTTCGCAAACTGTTTCCCTGCTGGAGTTATTGGTATTGATGAGAAACATGAAGCTTATGTAAAGGATCCCAGAAAGGATACAGTCTCAAGAGAGGTTTTAAGACATGAAGAGTTCAATGACAAGGTCAAGTTGGGTAGGGTAAGAGATCACTTTGTTTTCAATGTTGAAAGCTCAGGCGCGATGACTCCGGAAGAGATTTTTTTCAAGAGCGTAAGAATTTTGAAGAACAAAGCAGAGTACCTCAAAAACTGCCCTATTTCCCAGTGAAATATCAATGCATTATACTAAATAGAAGAGCTGTAAATTATTCTGTAATCGCCTGTCTTCTCCGGTTGTATTTTACTTACAGAACATTGCCTTACGTTCTAAACCATTGATTGAGTGCCCGGTTGTAATATCTCTTCTTCCTCTATGTCGCCATTCAATATTGTATCGACAATCGCGGAAGGGTGTATGACTGTGGCAACCACATCACCTCCGTAGCCGTCAGCCTTTGACGTGTTAACGGCATCCGATGTTGTCTCGTCGTTGTGGTCGTCTTTTGGGGTGATCTCATCTTCGAAGCATGTTAGGCAGAAAAGACCAAATTGACAAATAAGTATCAGAAAGTCGAACATTATCAAGTGAACGTTCCCCCAAAAATTGCTAGACGGAAGCCGCTCCCCGATAAGTTGAATAAATACACTACCTTTGAATTCCCCGCCAATCAATCCATTATCGTTATTAAAGGGGGAAGGGGTATTTTGCAGATCTGAGCGGCCAAATGAGAAATCCTCAAGCTTGCTTTTGAAATTTTTAGGCCAGATGATGCAAAAGAGTATGAGCAAACAATTAAAGCTTAAAGAGCAATGAAAAAGAAACCAGGAAATGTTTGTACGCAGTCTCTTAGTCATATCCTCAGTGCTTTCAGAGCTTGCTGTCTCTCCAGAATTAATACTGCCGAAAGCACCGGGCATTGACAGCTCGTTCATACCGGTAGGATTGCCTAATTGTGCGCTATTTGAATTTCGCAAGCCGGGTATCTGCCTGTGGTACGTTGACATGGCCAGCCTTCTCATCTGAAATTCTGAAGGAAATGGTGAAGATAGCAATGATTGGATAAATAGCCTCAGAAGTAGCACCCATATTGACGAGCCGAACTTTAAGTATTGTATGATAATTGATGCAAACCCCAGGTAGTTGAGCTGGCCTATAAGTCTCTTCTTAAAATTCTTTTTTCGTTGCTCATAAACCCTGATAAGATCTAGTGCGTTTGAATTCACCATTATGATAAGGGCAGGTTTGCTGAACTCATTCACGTATATCGAGAGAAGTAAAGATTACTGATTTCTCTCAATTTGGGTATGATTTTAATGGTTCCGTACGCCACGATTTATTCAACGGCCCAACCCAGTTCGGAAAACTCTATCCATCGACCTGATCATCTTACCTTTTGACACCTCTACGAAGCCGAATGAAGTACATATTCGATAACTTGACTCATCATTCAGTCATTTCTTAAATGCTCCAAGATCTTTTTACTGTTCGTTGATTAACTGTTCGTTGTTTAATTTTAAAATGAAATCGTCTCTGCAATTGAGGGGTGTTTTCGCTGACGTTGTATTTGAAAGGCGGGATCAGGAATAAGACTGTTGGTATTCCCCGCTACGGTTGAATATGTCCCGATGCTTATTTCCTTAATTTACGCTTATCTCTTTTCTATACTGATGGTGAGTGTAGGGATTATAATTAAAATAGTGAATAAGGAAAAATTGGACGGTTATGACACATCGACTGACATGAGTATTAATATGAAAAAAACATGAAAGAGTATAACATTTAAAATAATTACGCCCTGGAGCCAGTTGGGAAAACTGAAAGCAAATCTGCTAGCGCTATTAAGTTTGCATCACTTTTTGTCATTATTGGCTCTCTTGCCTCCTATTAAGAGTAGTGGCTTAACGTGGCAGCAAAAACAGATAACTTGGGTACAGGTCTCCACCTCTGGTTGATACCGTGCCTTTCCAGCAGGATGTCCACTGTATGTCCTTAATCTTGAATACTTTTCTAGAATCTTATTTATGACCTATGTATTTCAGGGCATCTGCAAAAGCATCAAAGCTAGGTTTATGCTCGTAATAAATAGGCACTGTTTTAGGTAACGAAGACTTTGAACTCCCTATGATACACTTATTTAAAAGATAAAAAGGATATTTCTGCTAATTAATGTCAAATTTGGTAACAAGTTCATTACCAAACGCAGCTATCTCGTGAAAAATTGCTTCCTTGTTCAATTCCACGTATTCCTTGTCTATCGGTTTTACATTTCCATCGATGTTAACTTTAAATTTAAGTGGAGACTTGAATATTGGTCTAATGAGACCAGTTATAACGTTCAGGTCACCTCTTTCACCTCCGTTAACTCCCATGTGGCAATGATTAGAAAATATGATACTATTCTTATACTTCATGTTCAGGTACTTCACGAGTTGATAAGTTGGATCCATTTTTTCGCTTAACTCGGACAAATCTGATGGGAATTTGTTCTGTTGCTGTGATAGATTTTTGAAGCCTTGAGAGTCCAACACACCCGAAGAAAGTCTTAAAGGCGTTGGACTCTTGAGCTGGACTACGAAATCATAGTCCTTTAATGCTGGAGTGAAAAGCAGATCAATAGTCTGCTTATTTAAGCCGTGAGTCTGAATTAAGTTGATGGCGACCTTAGCTAAAGCTGTTAGCCTCGTTGCAATTGGCAATGGGACATCGCTCGAATATAAGATTCCGCTGGGGTCGTTTTTAGATGCAACAAAAAACTGGAGGTTCAATCCTTGGGGATCGCTCTTACGTAAAGCCGTAAAGTTGCTCTGTATTGTTTTGTATTGTTGGAGTGTCAGATTTTCGGATAGCTTTTTTACGGATGTTATATCCAACTCACTTACGGCTCCAGCTTCCGAACCAAAATTATCCTCAAACTCTTCAGGTTTTACCAAATCTAAAATAAGAGGGTCTTCTTTCCAATTCCATTGGCTCAAAAATTTTAATATCTTTAAAAATCCATTCTCAACGGATCCAGGCATTAAGAAAGGAGATGCCTCAACAAAAGGTTTGATTGCCAATAACTCAATTAACTCATCAGATAAATGCCCGTAGAGCAAGTGGCAATCTAACCACTTTTTGAAAAGTCTTACCACTGGGGAATAGAATGGATAGCTGTGTGAAATGTTTTCCAAAGTACGATTATGTCTCACAGAGGCCAAATATTTGGCGGTGAATTTTAAGAAAGTCCGCTCTAACTCTGGTCTGAGTTCACTTCTCGCATTACTAATTGCTCTGAGGTAAAGTACTTCATCTCTCTCAGTCAAAACCCTGAATTTGAATCCGTAGCCATCAGGAGTCAAAACATTTAATGTTGTAATTTCTAGATTGTAAGGAATGGACTCATCCCTAGCAAAAAACGTTTTATAGTTACTATGAGACGAATTCAGTAGCTCTTGGATTTTTATCAAGAATGCACTTTTAGCCTTTTCTAGGGAAGTTATTTCATCTGGCCATTTTGGTGAAGATTCGAATTCAAGAATGACATCTTGCATAAAGTCCGGGTTTGAATAGGCAAATGGGACAGGTTGGCACAAGGTTGTATATCTAAAAGCTGCGCCAACAGGTAAAATTGATTTTATTGATAGTGGCAATTGCATTTTGAAAATCACCTTGTAAAGATCATCGAATGATTTTCTCACATTATAAAAGCTACCCAAGTTCAAAACAGAAGTAGTAGAGCTTGAAGGTAGGTTTGGTAATGGCAAAAGGTCGTTGAATTGTTTCAATGTCTGACTGTTGAGTCTAGCATCTTCTGCCAAGTGAAGTTTTATAATGTAATTTAAGATGGAGATTATTACTGATTCAGAGGAAGAAGTGGACCACACGCAACAATGAGTGATTGATCCATCTTTGAAACGACGCAAGGATGATTTTTTACCCCAAAAGTTTTTAAATGCGATTGCTTCTGTAGATAGTTCCTCAGAGTTTACTGGTCCCTTTGTGACCAGCTTTTCACATTCAGATGGATTGACTAATAGCTTCAATCTCAATAGGGAAAAGTTAACTCCACTAGTAGGTTTCCGCTTGGTAATTGGAAACTTAATTTTGTGTCCAATGAGCTCAACTTCAAACGATTTTATTCTCTCGCCCAGAGAGAGCTTGACCACATTCGAAATCTTGTTTACCAAAAAATTCTCAAATGAAATGAATCTGATCTTCTCCAAGGGTCCGAATTTGGATAATAATACGGAATGGGTTGGTAATTCTAGATCCAGACACATATCATACTTTACATTGGGAATCTTGTTTAGGTTGGTCAAAAAGATGTTTGAAAATTGGTCTCTCACAACATCATTTAACATGCTGAAGGTTTCCTGTGCATACAACTTCAATGTTAAGTAGGAGTTGGTTGACATTTTTGTTAGTATGTTCACCTTAGTCGTTTTATCAAAAATTGTCGGAGTCTCAAAACCTTCCTCGACATATTTTGATGTGGGTACTGTAGCTGATGGGTTGAGATCCGAATAGAATTGCAGGTGGCCCTCAGAGCATAAATCCATAGTTGCTAAGTACTTTATCACACCTTTGAACAGTTGATAAGATGAAAAACCATGTAAAAGGATTTTATTTCCGTTGATACCACCTCCACTCAATAGTGCACACAATAGAGTGGCAAATTCAAAGGGTCCAAAACCGCCTAAGCCACCGGAGTGGGAAATTTGAGAAGAAAACCCCCTTTGTTGTAACCATAGTCTTCCCAACATACACGCATCCTTGAAAGCTTCGGTCTGCTTCTTTGTTTTGTAAAGGTATTTTAAGTAATGGTTATGAGTGGTGGAGGATAGAACAGAAAAGTTGTAAAATGGTGTGGGGGTCGTTTTGTCTTCTTGCACCCGAATGCAGTTTTTGTTTGGCAAAAGTTTCTTATTTTCAAACGCGCCATATGGATAACCAACAATTAGATTAATAGAAAACTTAGTTTTAGCGAAGTTGTATTCTGATGAGCCGCCAGTTGGTTTGCAAGACAATTTTAGCATCGTATTCAAAGGATCTCCGTTGAAATGCTCATAGTCCAATTGCAGAAATTCGCTCAATTTCTCACGGTTCAAAATGATTGAAAGATGATGTGTGAAATAGGCCAAGTACACGCTTCTCTTGTGAATGCACCGGAAGTTCAAAAAGTCCTTCTTTTCAAACAATTCTTCAGGCATGGTCAGTAAAATATCGATAGAAGATCCTTGAGGTTGGTAGACTGCTGCCTTCAATGCAAATGAACCTACCAAAGACACGTCGGGTTTCTTATAATTGAACTTGTATTGAGTCGATGCACTGGGTTTGGGGTCAACAAAGGGTACAGTAACAATCTTATCTTTAAAGTAAGTCTCTACCTCAGTGAAGTCTTTCTCCACCCACTCTGGCACTTGCTGAATGATATCATAGAGTTTGTGAAGAAATTTTTCAACCTTTAGGATGTGACCATCTCTTAACTTAATTTGTTGCAGAAGCTCATCTATTTGAAGTTTGAAAATATTTGACTTGAATAACTCTGCAGTTTCTCTGGCAATCTGTACATCTTGAGTGCTTAGCTTGCTTTGCGCTTGCGTTTTTCTCTCTTCATGATTTTCCTCATCTTCTTCATCACTTTCATTTCTATGTCCATGCCCATTTAAGTGCTCTGTGCTCTCACTTTCAGCACTGCTTTTATAACCATCCTCATCCACATCACTGCTACCTCGCAGGTCCTCTTCTTCATTAGTTGTGATGGCATCGATCAACGCTTTCTTATGTATGGAAGCTCCCTTGGAGTTACGCTGTTCTTCCTTCTCTATAGCCTCAGCAGCAGTTCTCTTCAAAGGAGCCATGGTATTTCTATTGAATACACCTTGAACGCCACGACTTGAAGAATATGCCCGTTTTGCTCAGCTTCACTCTCAAAATCAGTGCTCTTCAATCTTTGATGTCGAAAATTTTCAGCAAACGCCCAATGCATCATCGCCAACCCTAACAGGGAAGAAAATTTTTCAGATACAAGTTTGAGTCAGTAATTATGCACGGTTTTTATGTGCAAAAAATAATTGCCACCTGCCAGAATTGAACTAGCGACCTTTGCATTACAAGTGCAACGCTCTACCACTAAGCTAAGGAGGCCCTTGATGTGTGAGAATAACATCACCCATCAGTATTTGAAGTAAGTGAGAATGGCAATTCATTGTCATGAAACAATAAGATCTTGAGGTACCTCGGATATACCAAACTGAACCTCAAACATAAGTGAGGATCGATACTGAGAATTTGGTGAATATTGAGATAATTGTTGGGATTCCATTTTTGATTAAGGCTATAATGGTTGGTATATGGTTATACTAGAAGTTCTCCTCATCTTTCTAAGAATCCAGAAAGAAGAGTTGATAATTCCACTTACAAATATTCTTGCTCTTTCTGTTCCTTTTATACATTTTCATTCATTATCCTATTACATTATCAATCCTTGCGCTTCAGCTTCCACTAATTTCGATGACTGTTTCTCATTCTTTATGTCAATTTAAAACACCGTGTATGATAATATACTGGTAACACGAATACTAGTCGATGGTCGATAGTTGTATTTCGTTCCAACAGATACAAGTTCCCAATCTATAGCTATAAATATTACGATGTCCTGAGGATATGATGAGACTAAATTAGAGAGGAACAAGGCTAGGTAGAACTCATTTCATTAGTTTCAAGAACTCATAACTAGTTACGACAATTTTATTATCTGTTGTGAAATATCCTAAAGCGCCGAAGATAATAATAGTAGAGAAAAGCAAAATACACCATTTATAATGAGGTTTATTGTCAGGTGTAGATCTGCTATTTTAAATATCACCGAATTCTAAGCTCAAATGGGACCAAATAAGGGAGGAGACCTAATTAGGTTCTGATTTTATTACCCACTACGAGAACTACACAAGTATGTAGGACATACTTTATTTCTTCAATGACTTAGAAGGAATCGGTAGAATGAGGTATGCAATGTTATTTTTGCTCCTACTGGCAACTTAGTGTTGCCCCGCAGTTGATAACTATCCATGAATTCGGTCGCAAACGGAGGACCGATAGTCAAAACCTCTTTTGAGTCTTGATTGTATCAGTTTGAACGAGGGTCCATTCCTAGGAACATCTCGGAATTCCTTTTGAATTATAGTATATTGACCATTTTGTTGACATATTGATATAATTCATATATAGAAGGTCGATCTCACTATGCTGAGAGAGCCTTGAGTGATGCGCAACTGAACATCCTCTGTTTCTCATTCGAAGTACATATTTACAAGGGAAATGAGGACTAGCTAGCTACAGTAAATTAAAATGATCCTGACAGCGTTTGTGTATAATCAACGTCCTAGTCCTTGCAGTCGTAATCATGCAAAGTTTTCATTGATATCTTAAATTCATGTCTTGCATTGTACCATTCTCATCCTCAATTCGGCTAATATCCTGTTCCAGACCCTTAATTTTTAGCTCATAATCGTTTGCCTCTATGGCCCTCATTTCTTCACGCCGTTTCCTGTCATTTTCTCTCTTGGCTAAAAATTGAGACTTGAAATTTTCAAAATCTTCGGTGAATTGGGCTACTTCCTTCTGTAATTTTTCTTGTTTCGAAAACAGCTTTTCTTTCTTGGCACTTGATTGGAACAACTCTTGTTGAGTTTTGGTGAGCTTCGCTTTCGCCTCCAAAAGATTGTTTTTCAAAGAACTTTCCATCTTGCCATATTCCATTTGTTTCTTTAAATGGTAGTCCTTTTTCTGCAAATATTCGCTCTCCAATTTTAGTTCCTCCTCATGCATTTCTCTCAACTCGCTTTCAAGTCGAGCTAAATGAGCTTCACTCTGCTGTAGAATAGTTTTTAGATTGTCCAACTTGGAGGCACTCTTTTCGTCTTGACTAACGTTTTGAGATATTTTTGACTTGAAATGATCTGTTTCTTGTCTCAATGAGCTGAATTTTTTTGAGATTTCTTTCTTGGTTTTCTTGAGTTTAGCACGTTCCTCGGCCAAGTTCGTATTTGTCGTGAGTACAGAGTGCTTCAAAGTAAGAAGAGGAGATAAAAATTTCCTGTGATAGTATGAGGGAAAACTGAAGTCTAGTGGCTCCTTGCTTTCACCATTTTTTGCACTAGTACGAACCATTAAATCAGCAATTAGGTAGTCTTCATTCTCATTGAACCGATTGACAAATTGAATGTCGTATGAACAAGAGGGTACTAACCCGCTAACAATCGAGTATTCCTCGCCGAGCTTTTCTGAGACAATTGCGGACGAAACTTGGGACCATATGACACCGTTTACTAAAACGATCAGTTCACCCTCAAACAAATTTTTTATGTGAAACGTTATAATTGTCGGCCCAATGTAGGCCACGCATACTCTATAATCATACTCTTGTGGGTTGAATGGTAACAAGTGAAGTTGGTTATAATCATCAGCTGCTGGTGCAATAAGGGCCATGCAGTCCGATGAGTCTGTGCCAGTGAAGACGCTGCCATTCAGAACTGTATTAGATGAGGTGGGAGTAATATTTTGAGGAGCATTGTCCGTTTCGGATGGTGGCATTGCTTGACCATCTTCTCGATTTTTAACTTGTCTTCTTTCAAAAGTCATTGTTTTAATAGTTGCAAATATGGACCATAGAGGTGGGATGAGGTGATGATTTTTCCACCTGAATAGCTGGGATATGAAATTTTCAAGATTTAAAGTAGATATAAAGTGAGTATTCACTCGTGATTCTTTGGATGATTGTTCAGGGAGTGCAACATCTACTTCAAAAAATTGGTTTGTATAGGCAGCTTTACTATTTTGTGAACCAGTGGACGTAACAGTAACGTTAGTTGCTATTGTTTGAGAATTACTCTCCGCTGGTAAGTCGATTGGTAGCTCAGAAAGCTCGTAATTAAGCACAACATTTGTAAATATAGGCTTTTGAGCAATTGGTACCGTGGAAGGAATGGCGTTGTTCAAATGGGGAGTGCCAATTGCGCCACTTGCGGTAGACGCGGAAGAAGAAATAGTCGGTCCGCCAACAGTCGACGAATTATTGGGGGACATTGGAGCTGAAGATGGACTCGTGGGCATAGTTTCTCTCCCTGAGTTGCTCTGATAATAATATGGGTTCGTCATATTTTGATGAAATTGGTATAGGACAATGTGAAAAGATGCAAAATAGCGGCCATATCGTACTAATCTGTTGCACCAACTCCACAATATAATTGAGTATGGTATTAGTTGTTCTAACAGTGGATGCTGCTCTGATACAATTTTCCATTTATACAGAGGGGCGTTTTTTAGAATTGAGTAACTAGTGAATTGCAGATCAAAGAAAATCATAACTCTCTTGATTAGATTTAGAAGAATTCCATAAAGTATCGAACACGAAGTCGCATAGCTCAAGCAATCTCTAGGATCATTGATGAGAGAGGATGCCACAATCGACATAGCTAAATTCTCAATGGGTCTAGTGAAATAGTAGCGGGCATAAAAATTAAAAATTCCTGCAACGAAAAGTTCAAAGATAAGTATTGGGAATGAGATAGTGCTTGGCCTCTTTTTATCCGGGGATTGCCCTTGCTGACCTTTCTTGCTAGTTGTTGGTTTAGCTAATGCTAGGTCCTCGCATGTTGCGGCGGTAGACAGCCGTCTTGAAAGGAAGATTTTGATAAAGCAAGTTGCCAGGAAATTCTTAGATTTTGTAGCTATTATAAACACAGACAGCAGACATAAAGATGCAAAATGATTGAAGCTCAAAAACACAATCAGTAAAGCAAAGGTATCCTTAAAGTGATGTTCCCTGATGAACTTTACTGAATTGTCAACTTGACCCCTCTGCTCTCGGTTTATCATCAACCAACAGTTGGATTTGAAGCTAGTTCTTTCTTTCTTTAAAGACAAATTAGTTTTCTGGCATCAAGAATTTTCAACGAATTTTTCAAAATTGTACTTACATCGCGTCATGCAAATCTTATTCTTAAAACAACGGCCTTGAATTACAGGAGGAGGTGAATCTTTAAAGACCAAACTACAACTCGCTTTCGTCTTTGCACAGTATTTGTTTGAATTCAATGTGGCTTATATTTGAACTGTTGAGATACAACTTCTTAGTTCCTCTCTTGTAAATGATCCCATCAATGAGCACGCTTTTAACAAAGAATTAAAACAGATCAGTGTTTACATTCTGAGAGCGGCCGCACATCATTTGAATATTATAAGCTCTATATTCATTTCGAAATGAAGGGCTTTCGGGGAGCAGCGTTTTCGTGTTCTCTGTTCACTCGCACCTAAAGTCTTGGCGTTGCTTCAATATCGACGACCGCGGTATTTATGACAGCTAAAGTGGAATTTTTGTATGGCCTCGTCGTGGTGTAGGATTATTAGGCTTTTGGCATATAATGACATTCTTCTTTTGGTAAAGTGAAGTCGCTAGTTACTCCATTCTTTCTGTAAATGCGTCATGTTGCTTGTACTACTATGAAACCAATTTTATGACACTAATTCAGCAAGAAGCCAGTAGCTCCCAGCAATAAAGACTATAGTTAACAATTTGACGAGATACTTTTTTCGATGTCTCACTATAGTTCCTCAATTGACACCTTTACTAACCTAGATTACAGTAATCTAAAAAAACTTACTATTAGAAAGGCACGATACGAAAGCAATGTTACGTAAGAATGATTAAGACTCGGCAGTTCGCGATATAGGAAAATCTCAGAACATTGGTCATGCTCGAGGTATTAATCTGGCTTTTTGGTGAATTTAAAAATGGCCCGGCGTGCCTCTGTTGGCTCGATCGTCATGGCAATTAGTGAATTTTAATATTCATTTCGTTAAACATGATTTACAAGGCTTTGTGTCTTGAGGGCAGCGATCGATAGATGCTTGAGATCGTTCAGAGTTGATAACTTGAACGTTTGCATAAGTTTGGTACATATCGATACTCTCACTCCACTATGGCTTTTTGGTGGAAAAAAAATCCAAAAACTCCATCAGACTACGCTAAGTTATTGTCTGAACATCTTACGAAGTTTGAAACTGTCTCAACTACTGATAGCAGGAGAAAGGCTCAGGATGAGTGCGGAAGATATTTAAGTGGTATCAAGCAATTCATATTAGAAGATTTGGATCCAGTTCCGCCGCCAGAGGCCATTGATGAATTATATGCAACTATCTATCAATCTGATCTCATATATGATTTGCTTGTACATCTTCCCGAGTTGGACTTTGAAACACGGAAAGATGTGGCGGTCGTATTCGCCATTTGTTTGCGGCGTTCGAAGGATAACAAGTTCATAACAGTGGACTATTTGGTTACTAGGCCCAAAATCATCGCTTTGATGCTGCGAACAACAGAAGTGGCGCTGAAAAAGCCTCACTGTAATGATATATTCCTCAATGTTGGCTCGATGATCCTGGAAAGCATTAAATATGAACAGCTATGCCGTATTATATTGAAAGATCAGCAGATTTGGAAATTTTTTGAGTTTGCAAGATTGGGATGCTTTGAGATTAGTACAGAGAGTTTGCAGATCCTTACAGATACCTTTACCCAACATCCGAAACTTGTATCCACAGAATTCTTCAATCAGCCTCAAAATATCCAAAAATTCATTGAAAGGCTAAATAACCTTATTGCACACGGAAATTACGTTACTAAGAGACAAAGCATAAAACTACTGTACAATTTGATAATGATTAGGCCTTACAATCAACTTCTTAATGCATACATCAATTCTCCGGAGAATCTAAAATTGATAATGATATTATTGAGCGACCGTTCACGTAACCTTCAACTGGGATCCTTCAACATTTTCAAAGTTTTTATTGCCAATCCAAGAAAATCTAAACCAGTAATGGATATTCTCGTGAAAAACAGAGAGAAATTGCTACTTTATTTGGAGAATTTCAATGGTGATAGTAAGGATAGCACTTTTTTAGATGAAAAAGAGTATGTGATGCAGGAGATAGAATCGTTCCCACGGCTAGTATCTTCTAATAGTGATCCATTTATTGAATCATCTCCACAAAAGAATATCAGTGGGTAAGGTTGATATGAAAAGTTTAAATTACAGGATCAAAACATGAGAAGTAATTGAAGTGATGTAAGCTCATAATGATCAAATACAAGAATGTTGCTTATGTCTATCTAGATTTTCCAATCGGAATTCATGTAGTAGTGAATGCCGCTAATTTGCTCGTCTATCAATAGATCCCCTTCGTTTACACAATTTTGCAATACTTCCATTATAATTCCCATTGTCCAAGAATTTGAATTGTTTTCATTTAGACTTTGCGTCAATCTCAACAGATCCGCGCCAGGTGAGAAGCTCACGATTTCGATAATTTTGGTCTTGACAAACTCAAAGGAGTTCCCGGAAGATATGCATAACACGCGACCATTGATCCTTATAAGTCGTAGCTCATTCAATCCAAGTTTTTCGAATTTCTCGCAAGCCTCCCGTAGTTCCTGAGGAGAAATAAGACCGGTTCCGATGCGCATTGACTTGTTGTATAACGCATAAATATCCACTAGGGTAATGAGAATAACGCCATCTTTTTCCTTTTGTTCTTTGAACTCCGACATTATGAAGCCGTATATTTCTCTGGCAATTTCATCGATGAATTGTGACTTGTTCAAGAATTTTTCCCGGTCAATAATCAGAAGCGGTGTTTTATTCTTATCCTCTGGTTTATTTGCAGCTCCATAAAGTTTTTCGATATCGGAAGCAAGAGCCATTAAGTTATTTAGATCAGATAATGCATTATTCATTAGTATGTCATTTCTGATGAGTTGGTTTTCTTGCGTTTTTTCCAAGCCAGCTATTCCAACCTGACTCATCTTATTTTCAACCAAAGTGAAATCTGATTTCAATCGCTCAACTTCAACACCATTTATACTGGACGCACCCTTGTTAAAGACATTCAACGTCTTCTCCCTTTCTTTTTCTTTTAAAACTTTATCCATTGACTGGTAAAGAAGCACACCATCAGATTTCCGAAAACTTAGCTGTATATAGCATTTTTCACCTTCTGTCAGCCCATCACTGCCCTCTAGTTCAATTTTCAACCTTGAATCGATGAAACTTTGAGACCCAGAATTTGAAAGTGCAGCTGGTAGTCTCGTGCCACATATTTCGCAATTACTCATCAAAGAGTGGTTAATAAAAGTGCATGCCGGGCAGACATTATCGCTGTTATCTGATGGAGCCTTGTTGTCGTTATTATCCTGCAAAGTTGAAATGGAGTTTTTGATCATTTCATAATCTGGGCTTATTCCGCAGTTCATACACGCTGGAAGCGGGAGATGTGAACCATCTATTTCGCCATTTGTTTCATTCCCCATCATACAGATCGGACAAATCCATTGTGATTTAATTGGTTTGGGCTCCTGTACATTGCATGTAGAATCATTATCCTGTTCTTTCAAGAAGATGATCAGCTTGGCCGATTTTTTCAAGAATTTCGAAGAGTATTCAACCCCAGATATATCGTCTAATTCCAATGAGACAGAATCACTAGTTGGTGAGACGTCGTCAATATATATTAATCTCTGAGATGTCAAGTATGCTCTCCCCTTTTGCTTTGCTTTCACTTTAGATTTTCCTTGATATAACCCTACCGAATGCTCCACATATACATCTTTTTCGTTTTCCCGCAAGATTGGTTGACCAGATGGCGTGGTCTCAACATAATGCCATTGTCTCACATACATGAGAGATGCTCACTTTCTTGAACTAGCGATTCGCTCGGTTAACAGAGAAATATTTTGACGCCGATCGTGTGGAAGAACTGCGGACGGATGCTTCGAGAAATGGGGAAAATCTTCTCATTCACGAATGATGATAATGACTAAACTACATTTTTAAAAGTTAACATTATGAATATCCAGAGCTAGTTATCATTGGGTATCATTTGCTGTTAAGCACACAGTATTAATACTTTGAAACAAGGCATCACTTGAGAGGTGAGGTGATTGTTTTTTTTGAGAAGTCGTATGACAAAGGAACTTCACCTAGCTGATTATTATCACGTTCAACCAGATAGCCGGTGTAGCTTGTTTTTTAAAAACATTTTGCGTTGAACTTTGTTTGGAATTTACATCTACCGTTGGATGTATTACGGTCGTTGTGGTGAAGTAATATACTCTCTGAAAAGTCGACCTTGTCTTTTGAACAGATAAAGGATTCGACACTTATTTTCATTTCGGCATATGCTTTGGTTTTTCGAACATTAGCAATAAATACCATGAAGTCTTCCGTTTGTGAAAGCAGAGATAAACTTCATTTGGCTTTGCATCATTTTTGGGTCTCGGATGTTTATCAAGGAGGTGTTTGAAGTTGGCGAATTGGTAAAATACTGTCGAAATCTTCAGAATAAGGAGATTTTCCTTGAAATAGTTGAAACTTCTTTTTTATGTTGCTCGAGAGAAGAATGAGTTACCAGCTGGGATTATTAGGAAGCGCATACAAGCAATTACAATGCCAATAATTGTAGTTGGTCAGCAGGTCTATTCCCATTGGGGTTACCTGGGTAAAAATAGTACTCATTGCTCCCCCGAGAACGAGTCCAGAAGTGCGTAAGCTCTCAATGTAAAGACTGTGTCAGTCCTGTACTTTTTCAAGCAGTGCCAAGCTGTTTAGAGGCAGAAAAGCTGAGCCAGCACCTTGAAATTCTCTCAAGGATAGGAATGTACCGGGGAGCATCGACAGAAGCGATTGGATCACACCAGTAGTGACCATATTGTGAGAATTGTACTTTCACTCACTCACAAAATCCACCATAAAACTTAAAATCCAATTTTTGCAATTGTGACTATATGTCAATGCTTTTTCCGGAGGAACACTTTCAAAAGCATATGTCGAGTTTTTTAACTTTGATATTCGGCTTTCAAAGTATACTACAAATTTTAATGAAGAGTATTCCTGCATTTTTTTCTGCCGGAGGAAACTGCTTTGAATAAAGTGATTGCTGTTCCATCACAGCTGTCTGAACCTTTTGATAGGAATCTTTTGAAGAGACAGCTCTTGGGTGAGGATTGCACTGAGCTTGCACAACATCTACGTTGGATATCTTTAACAAATTGCGATTTTATCATGCTTTGGTGGATTCTTTCATAGATTAAGTTTGCCACTGTAATTTTCAAGTGCAAAAAGATATGTACACCTATGAGCATGTTACACAAGGATTTCAATTGTGCTTGCGAGCAGGTGACTTCTTCGTTTCAAGCCACATAACCTTGTCAGGGCGGCTAGCTTTTACCCTTTGCAGCTTTAAAAAGCCAACTATGTCTGACACAAAGGCGAGAGGTGAACACGATTCGATAATGTCGACAGTTCTCAATTCGTCCATGGAAAATCGTGTGGAGACAAGTTCATTAATGAGCCCTCTCAGCATACGTGATTAACTCTGTTAACGGCATATTCAATGGCTAGTTATATTTTCACGTCATGACATTGTATTTGTGGACAAAAATCTATTTCATGTATGGCTTATCTTTTCAAAGTTGTTCATAATAGAAATTGGCGGTATGCATTCGTTACATCGAATAAACCAGTTTAAATCATTAGGTTCATGTTGATTAACAAGGTTCTCACATTTGCTATTCCAGAGCAAAGCTTTGTCACTTAATTATGTTAAAGTTTTTACCACGGTAGTGAGAAATTTAATGTGCTTTATCAAATTTTGACACCTTCAGATTCTGCTCTTAATTCGATGGGGTTATTCGAACCCTGTGCAGAGTCGCACTCAACTTCATAGAATTTAAACATTTATACACCATCCAACAAATTCGAATTATGGTCAGAACGACAATAATAAAGATTGAATGACTAAACGATAAAATTATGGATGAATTATTTTAAGATTTATCTAGTTGAAGTAGGTGGATTTAACAACAAGTTCCCCGTCGATGCTAGTGAACTGAGATCCGTTTGTGACCTGCGGATGACATTAGATTTCTTGGCAATAATGAGTTCATCCAATTTCTTAGTCCATATTGGAACGTCTTTTTCCAGAAGTGAGCTCAGCTCAATCAACCTTTCCTCATCTTTTAAACGTTGTTCCGGATTGAAAGGTCCAAATTGGCAAGAACCTTTGCCATCAAATTTTAAAAGATAGTTGTGGAAATGCCACAAGGTTGTGCGGTGACAAACAGAGATCAAAGAAATACCCAATTGTTGTGCGTGGCGGTACATTTTTTGCTCCATTTCGGGCGATACAGCAGATGTGCATTCGTCAAGAACAGCAAATTTCGGTTTGTGATAATACATGCGTGCCATGGCAAGACGCTGCTGTACGCTGATGGATAACTCTTCGGACCAATTTCTGACCACGTCAAATGCTTCCCTGGTGGATACTTCTGATTCATTTTGATCAATTGTGGACGAAGCCATTATTATAGACATATTCTCAGTGAGGAGATCATCCAATTCCAGGACGTGCAGGATTTCACATAATACATTGTCACCATTTTCGTAATCGTTGGCGAATTTGGCTTCAAAGTTCTCAATAGTGTCTGGGTATATCATTTGTTCACGGAAAGTGAATTTACTGCCCATGAAGGGCTTTTGGGGTAAGTAAAAGATGGGTTTTTCACCATTGGGCCCCACACGCCTGGGCATGATGAGCTTAGTCTCTTTTTCTGGATGTGTAAAGGATTTTACGACGGGCCACAAGCCACCCAGTACGCGGAACAAAGAGGATTTACCGCAACCGTTGGGTCCGATGATGAGTAAGTGATCACCATGTTTAAGTTCGAAGTTGAGCTCCGGAATTAGCAGCTGGAAAGTAGGAGTGACAAGCGGCACGTTGATGAATTGGATCTTGGAGTCGTCGTATTCAATTAGAGACTCAAATTGCGCATCGTTGGCAGCGGCGTTTCCTATATCAAGCCTGTTGTTAAATTGAGTTAGCCTGACAGAGACACCACGCAATTGCTGTATGCTCTTCTTCAATTGCACAAACCGTCCAATGGAAGAAGAGGCTGTGAGCAGTAATCTTCGGTTGGTGATAAACTCAGCAGTGATGTCTTGTGCTTGATCACCTTTGAAGAATATGGGTATAGAGCACAAGGCAAGGCCTGCGGCACCCCAAGTGTATTTAATGACAAAAGTGGTGGCGAAATCGTAGAGGGCATGAGACTTGAGTTCGCGGTGGAGGAAAATTGCGAGCTGGTAGAAACGGTAATCCAGGTTCCATAGCTCGGTGGATTGGCCCTTTAGCAAAGCCACTTCTTCACTGCTGGAGTGAAGTTTGGAATGTAGACTGCGAAACACGCTTTCGAGGTGCGTGCGTTGAATGGCCAGTTTGGTAAAATTGGGTTGAATCATCTTGAGTAACAGATTGCTGACGTGGACGATTATGCCGAGAGCCACGGTACCTTCGCCCATCATGCCATTATTCGCGCTAGAGGCGAGCTTGAAGGAGCACAGAAGGAGGTCGAGGGTGGGCTTGAGCAATTGGTTCAATAGTACCGACAGATTGTAGGAAAAAGCGCCCACATCGCGGGTCAAATATTGAACAGAAAGGTCGGAACGCGCCATCTCTGCAGTGCGGTCGTTGGAACTGGCTGCAGACACCGCGTCGGCGGCAGCCGCGGCAGCTGCTGAGGACGGAGCGCCGCCAGCAGAAGTTAGAGCAAGCGCGCTCGTGTTGGTTGGGATGGCCCTGCTTTGGGACTGGTTGTTGACGGCGTAGAAGGTGTGATGGGAGGACATGTACCTATCGAGCAAATGGTTTGAGACGAGGCGGTTGACGGTGACGGCGCAGAGGCGTGTGCAGTAGTGGATGAGCGAGTTGACTACGCTGGCTGGGATCCCCAGCACCATCCATTGGCCCAGCAGCGCCTGGAGAAATTTGCTGTACTGAGCCTTGACGAGCCGCGACACGAGAATCCCATCTAGCGTGGCGACGCGAAGCGACAGGATGGTGCGTGCCACGAGCAACGCGGCCTGAAACGCAAAGATCGCGAGGCACCGTCGGTCTCGCACGATCAGCTTGAGCAGAAACGTCTTGGGGGGCGCGGTATGCGCATCCTCGGGTTCAGGCTCCGCGTCTACGTCGAGATCCACACGAGCGCCCCGCTCGGCGCTGGCGCTGGCGGCGGCGGCGGAGCCGCCGCCCTGCCGCGCGTCCTCGTCGCTTAATTGCGAGCTCACATCGCTCTCGGTGCGCACGCGGCCGCGCTTGTTCGCGCCCGACCCCATGCCCTCGCGCCTGCGACTCGGCCCGGTCTTGAGCCCGCGGAACATCGCCAGCAGCAACAGCACATACGAGCTCTTGAGAATGGTTTTGCGGTGGTTTTTGTAGAAAACGAGCATCGTGCATGTCGGAGCCGCCAGAAGAGAACCCGGACGAGGGGTACTTAGTCCTATTTATACTCTTTTCCGAGGTTGCTGCAGTGCGTTTCATCGCGGGCGGGGAGCGATGATCTTGCCGCCGTGGGACGAGGTCATGACGCAAAATGGCGGGGGAGCGAGACGGAGGCTAGGAAATAGGGAAGCTGAGATCCGTGAGGGAGGGTAACCCTGTGTGTCACGTGTGTGCCGTGGCGCATGATCTCGTCAGAAGCGATACTGCATCTTCCGTCGTTCGTGATTCCCGTCTCGCGCGATCTCCGTGTTTCGTGACCTCCGTCATTCGCGACCGTCGTCTAACGCGACCGCCGTCCCCCGCGACCGCCAACTCCGAGCGTTTTCCACGCTCACCAAAAACCAGCGGGCTGTGCTGTAATAACGCCTCGTCCCCGCTGCTATTTTTGGCACGCGGCGCAGCCCAGACGCCGCCGCAGCGCACGTCCAAGCAGAACACCAAAGCTGGCACCGGGCTGGCAATTGCCAGCTCCGCCAATTTAGAAGCCATTTCATGCTGGCTGTTGCGACAGCGGCAGCGGGGCACGCTGGGATGAGGGGAAACACTGCGGTTCGACTGCGGAGTTTGCGAGCTGACATAGGGGAAATGCTAAATTGGGCGAGTGGGCTGGGAACGCAGAGGATGCATGGTGGCATGGAATGGCACCATTTGAAGCAGGAGAAGGAGGTAGAACAAGGCGGCACGACGTGGGAGGACGTAGCACGACGTGGGAGGACGTAGTACGACGTGGGTTTGCGTGGGTTTACGTAGTTCACATAGCAGCGTAGCACACACCAGGAGTATCATGCTCCATCCGAGCTTCGGCCCGCGTCTGGTTGTGACGTCGCAGCGGCGCTCGCGACATTCCCCGAGCGATGCGCCACTTCCCAATTCGATCGCCGTAGGCTTTCTCGGATACTGCACAGGGCGCAGTGTGCCTGGTGGTATCCCACAGGATCCAGCAGATCAGACACCGGGCACGTATATAAACGGCAAGCAAGCTCTGTGGCACGGATCGATGCGAGTTCAGACCCCATTGTCTCTATAGCAAGTGTCTGGCGTCGTCTCAGGTATTCCAGTCTCCAGCCTCCAGTCTCCAGCCTCCAGTCACTAGCCTCCAGTCTCCAGCCTCCACTCTTTCATCTTCCCATAGCCATGGCCAACTTCTGCGCGCTGGTCACCACCGCGTTCCTCTCGTTCGCCGCGCTCATTCTCGCCATTGTCGCGTGCGCCGGTTCCACCAGCAACTACGACCCCATCAACAAAATTTACGCCGCTCAGCTCGACCTCTCGGACCTCAACGTCGACGCCGTGCTCGCCAACGTGTCGTCGTCCGCGTCGTCGCTCTCGCTCAGCTCGCTCGGCCTGCCCTCGTACATCAACGTCGGGCTGTGGTCCTACTGCCTCGCCGACGCGTCTGGCGACGTCACCAACTGCACTTCGCCCAGTGGCATCCAGCAGTTCAACCTCAGAAACCTGCTCTACGACAACATCGACAACAACCAGGTCCTCGAGCTCATCGACAGCGTGTCGCAGCTCGTGCTCCCAGAAAAGCTCCAGGACAACCTCAAATACTACAACGACCTCGTCAAGTGCATGTTCATCACCCTGATCATCGGGATCGTCGCCTCCTTCATCAACTTCGCCCTCAACATCGTGCGCTGGCTGCTGCACTTCCTCGTGATCACGTGGTTCGCCCGTTTCTTCTCGCTCGTCGCTTTCCTCAGTCTCATCATCTCCGCGGGCACCAGCACCGGCACCTACGTGTACATCAAGCATGTGCTTTCGGACAACTACGACGACTACGGCATCAGCCTCGACCTGGGCCGCAACTTCTACGCCCTGCTGTGGGCCAGTGTGGCCGCTGCGCTCTTGAACCTAATCACGTGGTTCGCCGTTAGGTCCAAGCGGTATGCATACGTGCAGCCCATCGAGGAGAAACCGCTTGTATGACCCCCAAGCACAACTAGCGTGCACGGTCTCGACATGCACCTTTCAAAAACTCCATTACATACGCATTCGCTTTCGCTTTCGTTTACAATTCGTAGATCCGACGTAAACCACGTTTCCTACGTCTGGACCCTGCAGAAATACATAATCAACATTCCAGTTTCGTTTTAAAGTAGCGACAACACTTATAAACTATTAAGTAATTATTATAACACCCAGTGGCACGCGGCAATCCGCGTCCAATCCTGCACTTTTGCAATTATACTATATTTTATTATCTTTTTTTTTTGCAATTAGGGTTCGCATTCGAATCAGGTATCCATGCCTCACGCGGTGTCATTGGTTGACACAACGTTGGCCTGGTGGTGATCCTTCTCTGACCCCTCAGCCTCATCGGAACTGGAAGGTCCAATGTCGTTCTTCTCCCCGACAACTTCGCCCTTTCTGTTTCTGCAACGAACCATCAAGAGCAGGATGAAAGAAATAAACGCCAATGCAAACGCTGCCCACACCAGACCTGAGAAAGCTGATCCCATAGCAAACGTCACATTGTAGTCGTCGTCCTTAGTGTCGGTCTTGATAATACGAACAAAGGCAGCCACGATGGCGCCCGATAGAAGCAAGAACAAAGCAGTGAGGAACGCAAACGTTCTTGCAGTCCACATGGCGCAGAAATTAGGCTTCCCATCGGCAGTGTGCTTGAACATGAAGTACAACGCGAGCACAACGGTGAAGAATGACAAAATGATCGCCAGCAAGTTGAAGGCCAACACAGCTCTCACAGCAGGAACGTAATCCTTTTCCTTGCTTTGTAACTTACCCTCTAGGTACAAGTCGTCTTTGCCGATGTTCAAGGCTTGCATGTATGGTCTGAAGTCGGAGTTGTCCAATTCGTCGTACAAGATATCTCTCATGTAGAAGGATTGGACGGCATGTGGAGAGTTGCAAGACCAAGAGGAACCATTGCTGAGACCTCTGCACAACGTAAAGATGCTCAATCTGTAAAGGGAATGCACATTCAAATTATCCATGATGATTGGAGTAATTTCGTACAGCGCCTCTGGTGAGACTGCCGAACTGTTGTAACTGGCAGTACCCAATACTTGGAGTAGTGGAATGAAAGCAGTGCTATTGGCCTGGACTGCACTGGTCAACTCTAGCAATGACATCAAAGTGCCAGTAGAGTTGGTAGAATTGCCAATCAAAGAGTACAAGGCAGTGATGGCGGTGGAACCCGTGCTCGAACTGTTGCTAGACTGCACCTCTTCCAAAATGCTCAAAGTCTCGGTGGTATTTTCAGAAGCACTTAGCAAGCTCTCCAACCCGCCCAGTTGGGCAGTGGTGGAGGAACCGCTCGAAGTGGCCAAAGTGGCAACAGAATCAATTACAAGAGTCTTGTTGTTAGCTTCCATTAGCATCACCGTCAAGGCTCCAAACGCAGCTTGTGCAGATGGGGAAGTAGTGACATTTTGTTCGAGCAACTCTCCCAAAACAGTGATAGTGCCGTTCACATTGTTAGAGCTTGAAAGTAACGTTTCTAATGCGGTGACGGATGCATTCATGGAAGCTGGCAAAGAGCCCGCCAATTGCTCAAGCGCGCTGGCTGGACTAGCGCTGTTTTCCAACAACGACATGAGGCTCGACGCCATGGAACTGGAGATGTTGGTGGTCATCAAAGTGCCCAGGGCGTATAAAGTCGCAGTGGCGTTGGAAGAGTCGTTGAAGATGGCAAAGACAGGCGCCAGCTGCGCCTTTTCCGCCAAAGACATGTTGTTCAAAGTGTAAAGCGACTGAACGGTTTCGGTAGCGTTGTTGGAGTCCTCCAAAAGTTCGAACACAAGCGCCTCGGAGCTGGCGTCCGTGGAGTTTGCGGTCTCGAGCAGCATACCGAGGCCTCCCAAGGTGGCAGACACGTTGTTCGAGTTCTCAATGAGTTCACCCACCTCCTGGAGCTGTGCGCTGTTGCCCTGGGCCGCAAGAGGCGCGAGCACTGTCAGCGCGCCCACCGTCGAAGTCACGTTGCTGGAGTCGGCGAGAAGGCCCAAGAGAGGTTTCAAAGCCGCGGTTTGCGACGCACTTTTGAGCGCGTTGAAGATTCTGGGGTAGGATGCGTTGGGCGCGCCCATGATCTGCGCCAACACGGTTAGGATGGGCGCCGTCGCGGGCACCACTTTGGTCACGTTAATGTGCGACAGATCTGCCTCGCCCAGATACACCTTATTGATAGGTGAGTAGTTAGACGACGAGCCAGCCGTTGCCACAATTGTCAAAATGAACGCTGTGAACAGAAACAGCGTGCACACCGCCAGAAAAACTTGCTTGCCAATGATCATTGCGATAAACCAGACAGAGAATGCGCAAAGTGTGCTAAAGAAAACCTATTGTAACCTTTAGGATGGTCTGTGAGGAAAAACTCGCAAGTGCGTACTATATGGTCGAGCAGATCCGTATGCCGGCCACAACGTTCCCACCTCTTTTGAACTCTCCAATTTATACATGCTCAAAATCTGCCACTGAAATGTTCCACTCCCGAACCGTTCGTCGGGGTTCACCCTCGTCCACAATGGTCTGAGCTTCTATCGCCGCTCAATGCCGTTTCTACCGCGCGTGCTACTGATGCTACTGCGATGACCCCAATATCCAACAATTTTGCTAGAAGTCGCTCCGATGCAAGTGATGCCCAATTTGGGCGCTTCGGGCGATGGATTTTTCTGTCATTCCTCAGACGCTCACGCAGCGCTCGTCGAACGGCGCTAGCACAGAACGTCGCGTACTAGCTGTTCGCCTTTGTAGATACAATGGATTTAGGGTTTTTCTGAAAGCCAAGTTTCGCTAGCACGGCGAAACTCGCAGACGAATGTCAAAGCGGCGGGGCACGCCATTGAAACTGGCAAAACGAGGTAGGCAGCTCGAGCTCTTTGTTTTGTTTCACTTGATCGATGCGAAGCGGGTCTCTTCGTAATTTGCCCAACAATAGCGAGCTCCACTCACCTGAACGAGGCCTCAAACGAGCAGCCGTGTATGCGAGAGCGGAGTCTTGGAAACGCATAGTACGTCGCGGCGGACGTTTTTTTCCGCTGCGCTGGATGCGAGAGAACACGAAGCATCCTCGAGAGACAGAGAACACCCAAACGAAACAAAACGGTTTTCCGCGCGTACAGAAACGTCCGGCAAACGACGGAACGTCGTGCCACTCGCGACGTTTTTTCCTCAGGGTTTCGTAAGGTTTGCGTCGTTAATGCGACGGGCACCCGACTCCGCTGGCAAAGACCACGGCGGCGAGCTGCGAAGTGGTTTGCCGTGGCCTGGGCAATGTGCTCTCTGTCGGGTGTGTACTCTCTGCCGGGGCGTGTACTCTCGAGCAGGCCGCACGTACCCTTGGGCTCGAGTCTGGAAAACGCACAGGTGGCTGGGAGGAGGACGGCGTCACGTGACCTGGATCGAGATCCGATCGGTCGCACGCTCGCTCGATCGGTGCCGTTGGGTGCTCGAGCCTGCTCGAGGCGCGCACGGCGGAATTGGTTCACGTATGCTGGTTCGATGCGCCCTGACGCTCGCTGTTGCGCCCCATCTGGCCGTCGTGTTTAAATATCCGGGGCCCTCGTAGCAGAAAGACAAACGGCATAGCCCCACAATCCGGGGTTTGAGCTCGGGTATGTCAGCGTTGTGCTGTGTTTTCCGCCGCGGAGTTTACCGCAGCGCGCCGCAGATGTGAAGTCTAGTCGGTGCTGGTCTCTCAGGCCCTGAAGAGCGACGCAGAAGGCGTTGCGAGCGATTCGTCGCGACAAACGATGGGAGATGGCGCACGCAGATCTCACGCCGCGCCCAGAATGTGCGCGAATGAGCATCGAAAGCGAGGCAGCTTCTGTGTATTTTCCGTTTTGCAGATGTACGTGTAACGTAGACGTCTAATTTTCCTTTCGGCGATGATGCGCAACTCCGGGTCCGGGGCGCGACTTGCCTCTTGTGTCTATATGAAACTATGCATTTTTGTACGTACAAAATTGACGGCGTGCCGTGCGGCCGTCGTCGTCATGCTGGAGGTCTTCACAGCGTCATCAGTGAGTCCTCTGGCTTGTAAACCATGGTGTAGTTGAAACTCGACACGACGCAGTTGAAGTCGTTGTTGAAAATTCGTTCGTCAATGACGATCTGTAGCGACACACCGTAATATGACCCCCACAGAGGTCTGTGCTTGGCTGCAGGCGCACTGCCGGCCCCCATGTTGTCGGTTCGGATAACCGCGTCCTGGCCCATCTTGTCTTTTCCACTTTCATCGAAGCGCACCTTACCATTGATGTTGCAGATCAAAGTGCCCGTCCCCGGTATTACATGGTAGTCCACGGCTGTCAAGACATGCTGTGTCTGGACCACTGAGCTTTGCCATACTTCGAGAAACGCTGTAGGCTGTGCGAAAGGGGTCGAATTCACAATGATCTTGCAGCCTGTAGGGTTGACCAGCGGCAGGAACTGTGCCAGTTTTTGAGGGTCTGTCTCGTCCAAATTAGTCAAGATCCGCTTGACGAAGCTTTCAAGTACCTGCGATTGGTTGTTCATCTCTCACAGCACTAAATGCGATTGCTGCAACTACTGTAACGTTCGAGGTGCGCCGCTGGATGTGCTGATGATTATCAAGAGAAATTCAATTTTTTATCAGGCGTGGCAGGGTAAATTCTCAATGTTCAACATGAGGCAACTGCGAAGAAACACTAAGTTTTCCCAAAAAGGCCTCAAGGAAGCTGTAAATAGGTACCATGTATCTATTTTAGGTAGGCTGTGAGGGATCAGAACCCTAAAAGATACCCTTTTGGAGTTAACGGCCTGCTTTTGCAGCGCAATGGTAAGCTTGACTTACTCGTTACAAGTGATAGCAGTATGTTTAATTTCATACCAGCCAGCCATCTTAATTATATACCAGCGTCAGTTTCACATAGTCTATCAATTACGAAATACCAGTGACCCTTTTCGCTGAGATAAACTGCTGGGCTCGATCTGCCGCTTGTGGTTACGGATCTGCTTGTGTCTTTCTGGTATGGTTAACCGTGGATTCTTTGAATTTGTAAACAGAATGGCTTGATCCAGTGGTTTGCCTCCAGTGGGGTGAAATATGCAGCCCCCATATAAAAGGTTCTTGGTCAGTTCACCACTAAATACTGGACTGTTTGAGTATTTGATAAAGTGACAACCTTCATTCCTTCGTTGCATTAAACCACACTTTCGCTTTCCGGTTTTCCATCGTTACTTGAGACTGTCGTCGCATTCAATCATTATGTCTACTTTCTCGCGGTCATTCCTTTTCCCTACTATGACATCTAATGTTTCTGCTGGTTCAGAAGCTCAGAGCAAGCGGAAAAGATCCTTCGACGACCTTATCCTTCCTTCACTAAATTTTGACACCAAGACGTTAGCTTATCAAGAAAGCCCATATTTTTTCCAACACTCGGTAGCACCACAGTTCGACAGAAGAGCTAGCACGGCGCCAGCGTCTCCTATGGGTTTCACGACCATAACTCCCAACTCTTCACCAATCTTGGCAAAAGCACCACTCGCCAATGGCAAAGTTCCAACCCTCCCTCCAATCACTTCCTTTAGCAACCACGCGTCAAGCTCCCAAACTCAGCAATATGCCTCTGTACCTCATTCCTCTGCGACGAATTCATCCTCTTCTTCTGGCTTCATTTCAACTGCCTTGAATTTGGCCGCTAATAACACTACGCGGGATCATTCTGACGATGAAAGTAGCGACTCGGCCAGAAATCGCACTGAAGATCAGCACTGCCGCTCATTACCTATGCTTAAGAATTTACAATTACTTCCTAATCCAAACATTCAAGAATATGCTTACTGTTATCCGGATACTTCTGAACGTACCCCATTATGGAGGGAAAATCTGGTTCGCTGGTGCAAAAACGAAAACTACAACGAATACTTGCGAATCTCGCGTGAAGTGAAAAACATTCCACGCGTATCTCTTCCATTTTCTGGGTTGAATATTCTTGCTAATGTTGCAACGGTGACGCCTGTAGTCCCTTCTATTCTTAATCCAAAAGATCAGTTTTACGAGCTGTCCAACGCTCCAAACAATGGGGTAGTGACACCCCCAATGAGTCCAGGCGAATCGGCAGCATCTACTCAACTTACACCACAATTCACACCTTTTGTTAGCGAAAAACTTGTTCAAACAATCAAAAGGAAGAGGGCTAGTTCTCATAAGAAAACAAATAGTTTCAAGGCCAGGGAAATGAAGAAATTGCTGGACAATCGTGATGTGCTATGCATGAATTCTAAAGGTAAAGTCAACAAACCTACGAAGAGAAGAAGCAGTATAGCGCAAACACCCCAGCAATTTGTTATGAAGATTTCAACCTTCAGTCCAGGCAATACCACACCACGTTCTCCTTCGCCTGTACGCACAACATCACCATCGAGATCCCACACATTTATAGTCAATGAACCCAGGACCCCTATAACGAAATCGAACATAGCAGCAGGAAGTCCTGGAAGCGGTGAATTCATCAGGCAGGACAACACAGCTAAGAAAGTTACATCACCTAGACGTAGCAGTGCGAGAACTTGCATTTCTTGTCATTCCAGTGACTCCCCATGTTGGAGACCATCATGGACGGACAAAAAGCAGGATCAGCTGTGTAACTCATGTGGTCTTCGCTACAAGAAAACGCACACTAGATGCTTAAATGACTCATGCCGCAAGATCCCATCGAAGGGCGAATTAGCTATGATGAAAGCAAATGGAGTGATAAGGCAAACTTTAGATGACGGCACTATTATCGAAGGGTTGGGTTGCCTTTTTTGCAATAGCATTGTGGAAACAAGGGATTAATTCACAGCTAGCTAATTCTTGGCTATTCGCTATCACAAACACAAGATTCATAACATCTACGGCAAGTGATCAATCAATGATCTAACTTAATTAATTAGCACAAATTTACATATAATCGGAAACAGGACATTAACTCATTCACGACATCATACTTTTGTAAGTAACATTAAAAACTGTATTACAGCAATGTCAGAAAAACCTGATGTTCCTACTTGCCGCATCACGAGTTAATTGGCAGTAAATGATGTTAACGTTAAAAGATTATACGTCCGCTTAATTTGTACTTTTTAAAATTATGATTCAATTATAAACATTAAGTAAAAACTCATAAATATATATCTCTCACGTCTTTGCGTGATATAGATGATTCTACTCATGAATATTGAACTTAACATACGCTACATACTATGTGTGGGTATTAGTGCAATTTCGGGTTGAGGCTGGATGCCATTATATTTCGTCATTTTCCATTTGCTGCTGCTTAAAGGTGCAAAGGTTTTATTTTTTGTAGAAAACAATCGCTACCTCATCGCCGATTTCAAAGCCGAACAAAAATCAACTTCGAAACGTTTTTCTGCTGCAATCGAGAAAGAAGTAAAACATGGCATCTGTCAAGGATTTGAAATCATCTATTTTAGACTCAGTTGGCCTTCAACCTGAGAAGCACAATTCGACAGTTAACAACGGTGAATATGAAAGGACGAAGGCCTATAATCAATACGATTTGCATCATGATCAGGCCCATGAGCAAATTTTTGGCGCTTTGAAGAATCACATCGAGAGCGTCAATAAGGATACATGTGATGCTGGAGATGAAAACTCATTTTTCGTATGCGATCTTGGAGAAATCCACCGGTTGTACCGTTATTGGTGTGAAAAATTGCCTAGAGTAACACCTTTTTATGCAGTAAAGTCCAATCCTAATCCTCAAGTCTTAAAAACGTTATGTGAGTTGAATGCCAACTTCGATTGTGCATCTAAATCCGAAATTGAGAAAGTTTTAAGGTTGGGAGCTGAACCATCAAGAATAATTTACGCAAACCCATGTAAAGCTTCATCATTCATTCGTTTTGCTAAACAAAAGAATGTGAGAAAATCAACATTTGACAATGTTGAAGAGTTGCACAAAATCAAGAGGTTTCATCCTGAGTCTGAATTACTCCTAAGAATTGCTACTGATGACTCAACTGCTCAGTGTCGTTTATCGACTAAATATGGTTGCTCGATGGAGGAAGTCGGGACTTTACTTGCAAAGGTTGAAGAATTGGGATTAAACCTGGTTGGCGTATCTTTTCATGTGGGATCTGGTGCTTCTGACTTTGGCTCTTTTGAAAAAGCAATTAGAGATGCTCGCATAGTTTTTGACATGGCCACCAAGAAGTTCGGGATGGAAGAGCTTCACATTCTTGACATTGGTGGTGGTTTTCAATTAGAGTCTTTCGAAGAATCTTCTCGTGTCATTAATGCTGCGCTTGAACAATACTTCCCAGTGTCATCTGAAGTTGAAGTTATCGCAGAACCTGGGAGATATTTTGCGGCGACCGCCTTTACCCTCGCCTGCCACGTAATTGCCAAAAATTCTCATGGAAAAGGAGATTCGATGCTTTACATCAATGATGGTGTCTATGGAAATATGAACTGCATTTTGTTTGACCATCAAACCCCCATTCCTAGAGTCTTATTCCATAACTCCACTTTTCACTACATGGACCTGGAAACTTCTTCACCGATCTTAACTCAGAACTGTCCAAACAGAGTCTCTATTTGGGGTCCTACTTGTGATGGCCTTGACTGCATCACAGATAAGTACTATATGAAATATGACTTGGTGGTTGGAGATTGGCTCTACTTTCCCAATCTAGGGGCCTACACATCTTCTGCTGCGACACCTTTCAACGGATTTGAACAGGCAGTTGATATTATTTACATCAATTCTGAAAACCTGTGACGTTTTGACGTTCTTATGGGTATATTGGAATGGTTAGGAATAGTGCTATTTAATAAAGAACTAAGCTTGTGAGCTTTATAGTAAAATCCGTGTATCATTTGCCGCGAAAAAAAAAAAGCGGTTCGAGATCACACAACTTATGGTTATAGAGCAAGCTGCAGCTCATGCTAAGGAACGCAAACGAAAAGGTAGTATGTCAGCTGACGGTTACTAAACCGACGATAGAAAATGTCATGGCTTATACACAGTATCGTCAAACACAACCCAGAATGAAGGGCCTTCCCTTGTCGGAACATAATGACTTACCGATACTTTACGGTGGTGGACGAGACTTTCTCCTAAGAGTTTTGCCCTCAAATGGAGGCGACGTCCAAACTGATATGATGGAAAGTACGGACCTGTTCGTTCTGAATTCATGCATTATAATCTGGATCAATGCCATTGACAAGGGTTTACAAATTCCCTACCAAAATATTGTGTATCATGGAGTACGCAAGATGGCAGACCGAAACCCTAGCGAAGATGGCCACGCCTTGGAGATAGTCATCACGGTTTTAAGGGATGTAACGCTTAATCAACTTTTTCCACCTTCTCCTGAAAGCTCAACGCTCGATAGCGGCACATTGAGCGGATGCTCAATGAGCACGGTCGAACTGATATTGAAACCAAAATATGCTAACCACGAGAGACACTACAACCCACAAATGGAAAATCTATTTACATTTCGAGACTTTGGCCTGAACCGTGGGGATACAATGGTGATGAACTGCAATACGGCAATTGCGACCTGCATGGACTTCTTTTGCGTTCAAGATGAAAGCGACGAGGAAGACGAGCAAGAACAAAGCAACACAGCAACCTTTACCGGGGTGAGTTCAGTGCTAAACGACCCGGCTGTATATCAAAACTACGGTGCAGCTGACGACCTTAATGACGATGACATGGGAGGATTTGATGTGGACGAGCCAAAGGCAGGAATGGCATTAGAGTTCAGCGCTGGAAATCAATTGGCAGGACAAAAGCAAACATTTCGTGGGAGCTCTGGTTTCAATTCTTCGAAGAAAACCAGATTCTAATGATGTTTTAGAAATATACACTTTTTCACAGCATAAGCATTTTTCCTCGCAGGCCATATCATCTACGCCTTGCGTGTCATCTATTCAGCTCTTTCGTATATACTTACTGTTTGGAAACTACGCCCGGCGCAATAGGGATCGGATTTTCCAGGCCCTGAACGCAAAATGGCATCCAACGGCCAAACGTTTTCAATAACGAGACTGTGTATGGTGACACCCTGCCTGACTCTCAGCGTGGATTGTCTGTATTCCCTCGTTTTGTTCTATGCATTTAATTCTAATTACGTTATCGTTTTCCCGTCTCCATTTTTCAATTAATGGAAAAGCAACATCATCGTTAACGCACCAGAAAATGTTGCCTACCTTCCTGCAACCTAGAACACCCGTTTAGTATGAAGGGACCGAACTAAATGGTCATTTTCGGCATTTGTCATCTAATTAATAATCAGTTTTTGGACGCTACATAGTGCCAGAAAATTCTGTCAAATTCTGAGCTAAAAACGTTAATTTCTTTTGACAATTATCCCGCTCTTTGAAGTTAAAGATGGAAAAGGGGTTCCTTTAAAGGTCCAAATGATTTGCCCCATGAATTGTATATAAGATGAGCAGAAATGAGTAACTGGTGAGGAATTCTTTGGTGGAGGAGCATTGAAATTCGCATCAGAAATGGCACAAAAAAAGGTTCTTGTTGTTCTAACCAATGTTTCCAAATATCCAAACGCCAAGAGAGCTACAGGGTTGTGGCTGGGCGAGGCTGTGCATTTCGCAAAGAAAATTGAAAGTGCGGGATTAAAGGTCGATTATCTCAGTCCATCTGGTGGGTACGTTCCAATCGACCCCCATTGCTTCGAGTTGGCGGACGACACAGACTGGGAGTGGTACCAGAACCCATCGTTTTTGAAGCAATTGGGTAACACACTAAAGCCTAGCGAGGTCAAACCAGAAGATTACTCTGCCATTTACTACGCAGGTGGACATGGTACTATCTGGGACTTCCCTGACAACAAGGAGTTGCAAGAAATCAGTGCGAAAATTTACGCCAATGGCGGGGTTGTTTCGTCCGTGTGCCACGGTGCTCTGGGGCTATTAGGTATCAAGGATCAATCTGGCGAATTACTGATCAAAAACAAGAAGGTAACCGGCTTCAGCAACGAGGAGGAGCATCTCGTAGGTCTGGACAAGATTGTTCCTTTCCTCACGGAAACCGAGTTGTCTAAAAGGGGGGCCAACTATGTCAAGGCTCCTGAGCCTTGGGCTGAGTTCGCTGTCGTTGATGGCAGACTAGTAACGGGTCAGAACCCAGCCTCCGGTGCTGCAGTCGCAACAAAGGTGCTAGAGGTTTTGAAGCACTAGAAAACAGCGCTATATATACTTTGTAGTTGAGAATCACGTGACAAACACGTGGCTAAATTTAACGGTTCTTTTTTGTTACCATTTGCTCTTACGTCCGCCATTCGAGCCAAGACGGCTTCACGATGCCAACAATCAGAGCTCGTCCCTGCGGAGGTTGTTGGAAGCCACGTCGCGCGCGATGGCCCACCACACGCATGACCGACTTATACAGCGGCTTATAATGCGGGCTCCCTGGTAGCTCGCGCATCAGCCGCACCCAACGGTCTTTCGTAAAAGACTAGCGTTGAAGCCCACCATAAGAAGACATAGATCATATATGTGCCCCGCGCATGTGACCAAGAGCTGGAAATTTCTAACCTTGTCGCTGTTGTTGCATGTGAATAACGCCAAGACAACACAGCCAACGAACGACACACCGTGCGTGTCCGCAACCCGGGCATTCAACGCGCACATTCCTATCCTATATACACATTGCACGTATTTCCAACTGAAAACCTCACAACGTCTTTCGTAGCCTTGCCACACATCCGACATCGAAGGCCTCAGCTTCGATCCGAGAAGTGCACAAGTTCTCGTCATTCCCTGGCCTTCCGCGACAAGGGAACTACATATTGGGAAGCAACACCGCAACAGCGTACCTCCTCTCAGGACCCAGCGGTTGTCACTCCCATGCAGCGCAGCGGGAAACTTTCTGAGGCTGCCCAACTGCGTGAAGTTGAGGCTCCGGGGCATCTCGCAAGTATCGGAGTTCTCACACGTGACACAAAACCCATGCACCTCACAACGAGCCGCGCCTTAGAGTAGGCCCTGTACTAAAAATCCAACATTTCCAACAACCAACCGAAAACTTCACAGTGGCACAGGCCAGTATGGTCGAAATTTGTGAGCATTTGGCGCGCGTTGCAGATTGTATATAAAATTTAAGGAGTTCTTGCCATACGAGAGTACATTCCAATCTTCAAAGAAAACAGTAACAGTTTTCCCAATTCATCTGTTTTTTTAAACCTCACCGTCCAGGCAAGAGTGCGATTGCAATACAATAGTTTTGCTATATTCCATTCATCGCATCATTTTTGATAAAGACCTGTCTGTCGTGAATTCACCTTGTGTTTTTAACGAGAACACACGAAACGCAAGCTCTTAGAACAGACTTTCTTACACACAAGAAGTCATTTCCCAAGACAGCTGAAAAACACACGCTGACAGCTAAACAATATATTCCGAATAGAGTATGTCCACTTAAGAGTCCATGATGGTTATTCTGAACACGAGAGAGGCCGAGAGAAAGCACTAGCCGCCCATGGGATTAATTTTTCTGAAGTGCTTGAGGTTCGCGCGGCCACAAAAACGAAAAGAGGAATAAGGGGAGCGCGGTGCGCTTACGTACGTGCTTAGCGGGCGTAATGGCAGTCAGAAAAAAATGCCCAAGAAAATCCAACAAAAAAATTTTCACGTACTAAGTGCTCCAGTGCAGCGGCGCCTGCGGAAGCGAGGGTGGGAGGGCGCTGAAAGATACGAGAGTGCCTTCTTTCTTGCGCGTTTACAGAGTGTACCAAGGCTCCTCCATCGTGTTCAAGATCCCAATTGGCTTTGAAAAATTTCAATTGACTCAATTTTACTAACTAGAGGCACAATTGCTTGCCGTTCACCCACAGACTATTAATATAGATATTTCCCATCCACATCTTTCCCATAAAATGAGTTCTTCTACTAGACCTCTAACCCTATCGCACGGTGCGCTGGAACACGTTTTGGCAGTACCTACGTCGTCTTTTTTCCCAGCCTCTCAACTGCAAGACCAGTTCTCGAGACAACTTCCTGCTGTCTCCGAAGGTTTCGCTTCCGATGACGAGCCTTCTTCTCCTGCCGAGCTGCTGGCCAAGTTTCTCGGCTACGTGGCGTCTTTGGTGGATCCCGACACCAAAGGCCAATTTGAGGACGTTTTAAAGCTCTCCTTGACGGAATTCGAGACCGATTACTTGCAAGGCAATGACGTGCACACTCTAGCTGCCAAACTGCTTTCTGACGACGAGGTGTATCCCACCACCTTGGAAAAAGTTAAGGAGCTGATCAAGAACTACCTAGATGCTAGAATCAAGTACTTCTACATCACACAATCTTCCCAAGGTCCATTCCCAAAGTCCAACTCCGCCCTATTCAAGAGTGCTGCTGCTAAAGAGGCTCAATTGGTCGCCATTTTTGGTGGTCAAGGTAACACAGACGACTACTTCGAAGAATTGCGCGAGCTATACCAAACGTACTACTCTGTCATCTCTGACGTTGTTAAGGCTGCTGCTGATAAATTGGCAGAGTTGGTGAGGTCCACTGACGACACAGAGAAGGTTTACACAGAAGGTTTCGACTTGATCGAATGGTTGGAACGTCCAGAAAAGACCCCAGACAACGCCTACTTGCTATCTATCCCAATTTCTTGTCCATTGATTGGTGTTATTCAACTAGTGCACTATGCCGTTACCGCCAGATTGTTGGGTTTCACACCAGGTGAATTGAGATCACATTTGGTTGGTGCTACCGGTCATTCTCAAGGTCTCGCAACTGCTGTTGCAATTGCCGAAGCTGACTCTTGGGAATCTTTCTTCGAGTCTCTTAACAAGACTGTGGCATTGTTGTTCTTTATCGGTGTTCGTTGTTACCAAGTCTACCCAAACACCTCTTTGCCACCTTCAATGCTCGAGGACTCTGAAGAGAATGGAGAAGGTGTCCCATCTCCAATGTTGTCCATCTCTAACCTGACAAAGGATCGTTTGCAATCTTTCATCGACCAAACCAACGCACATTTGCCAGCTGAAAAGCACATTGTCATTTCTTTGATCAATGGTGCTAGAAACTTGGTTGCAACTGGTCCACCACAATCTTTGTACGGTTTGAACTTGACTTTGAGAAGGGCCAAGGCTCCAGCCGGTTTGGATCAAGCCAGAATTCCCTACAGTGAAAGAAAGTTGAAGTTTTCCAACAGATTTTTGCCAATTGCTTCTCCCTTCCACTCGCATTTATTGGAGCCTGCCAATAAGTTCATTCTGCAAGACTTGAAGGATGCTGGTGTAGAATTCAAGCAATCTGACTTGAAAGTTCCTATTTATGACACCTTCGACGGCAAGGATTTGAGAGACTATCAAGGTTCTATCGCCGAAAGAATCACTTACTGCATTACCAGATTGCCAGTCAACTGGGAAACAACTACGAAGTTCAATGCCACTCACATTCTAGATTTTGGTCCTGGTGGTTCCTCTGGTTTAGGTGTCTTGACCTACCGTAACAAAGATGGTACCGGTGTTCGTATTATCGTTGCTGGTGCCCTGGACAACAGTTTGGACGATGAGTATGGTTTCAAACAAGAAATGTTTGACGTTACCGCTAGCGGTTTGAAGTTTTCTCCTAACTGGCTTGAGGAGTATCATCCAAAATTGGTGAAGACGAAAGCTGGAAAGATTTACGTCGATACTAAGTACTCCAAATTAGTCGGTAGAGCTCCTCTATTAATCCCAGGTATGACCCCATGCACTGTATCTCCTGACTTTGTTGCTTCTTCGATTAACGCCGGCTACCAAATTGAATTGGCTGGTGGTGGTTATTTCTCACCAGAGGGCATGACAGAAGCTATTGAAGATGTAATTTCTCAAATTAAGAAGGGTTACGGACTAGGCATCAACTTGATTTATGTGAATCCAAGAATGCTTCAATGGGGTATCCCAATGATCAAAGAATTGAGAGAAAAGGGTTATCCTATTCAATCTTTGACTATCGGAGCTGGTGTGCCTTCTTTGGAAGTTGCTAGCGAATACATCGAGACTTTGGGTCTAACTCATTTGGGTTTGAAGCCGGGTTCTATTGATGCCATCTCTCAAGTCATCACTATTGCTAAGGCACACCCAGATTTCCCCATTGTTTTGCAGTGGACTGGTGGTAGAGGTGGTGGTCACCACTCTTTTGAAGATTTCCATTCTCCAATGTTGCAAATGTACTCGAAGATTAGAAGGTACTCCAATATTATTTTGATTGCCGGTTCTGGGTTCGGTTCAGCTGAGGATACCTACCCTTACTTGACTGGTGAATGGTCTACCAAATTCAACTACCCACCTATGCCATTTGATGGTTTCTTGTTTGGTTCTAGAGTCATGATTGCTAAAGAAGCAAAGACTTCTCCAGATGCCAAGAAGGCTATTGCTGCCTGTTCCGGTGTTCCAGACAGCCAATGGGAACAAACATATAAGAAGCCAACTGGAGGTATCATTACGGTGCGCTCTGAGATGGGAGAGCCTATCCACAAGTTGGCAACTAGAGGTGTTATGTTGTGGAAAGAGTTGGATGACACAATTTTCACTTTGCCAAAGAACAAGCTCCAACCTGCTCTTGATGCCAAGAGAGATTACATTATTTCCAAGTTGAACTCTGACTTTCAAAAGCCTTGGTTTGCAACAGTTAATGGTGAAGCTCGTGATTTAGGCGATATGACTTACGAGGAAGTTGCTCAAAGAATGGTTGAATTAATGTTCATTAAATCAACTCAAAAATGGATTGACATCACTTTGAGAAACTTCACCGGTGACTTTTTGCGTCGTGTTGAAGAACGTTTCACCAAGAGTAAAACCGCATCTGTCATTCAATCTTACTCTCTATTGGATCAACCTCAAAAGGCTCTAGACCTGGTTTTCAACGCTTATCCTGCTGCCAAAGACCAATTCTTAAACGCTCAGGATGTTGACTACTTTTTGAACTTGTGTTTAAGACCAACTCAAAAACCTGTTCCTTTTGTTCCAGTCTTGGACCACAGATTTGAAGTTTTCTTCAAGAAGGACTCTTTATGGCAGTCTGAAAACTTGGAAGCTGTTGTTGACCAGGATGTCCAGAGAACTTGTATTTTACATGGACCTGTCGCTGCTCAATTCACCAAGTTAGTGGACGAACCTATCAAGGATATCATGGATGGCATCCACAATGGTCACATCAAAATGTTGTTGAAGGATTATTACAGCAATGACGAATCAAAGATTCCTGTTGTTGAGTACTTCGGGGGAGAAGATCCTGAAAGTGTTGCTTACGACTCTGCTGAAACAGATGGGAAGGTTATCTACCGTGCTTCTGCTTCTACTGATGAATCGCTTTGGTTCAAGCTATTGGCTGGCACCAAGAGGAACTGGAGACACGCTTTCTTCTCTACTTCCAGAGTTGTTCAGGACTCTTTGTATGTGGAAAACCCAGCAAAGAAGGTTTTCAGACCTACAGCTCACGCTGTTGTTCAAATATCAAACCCAGATGACGCTTCCAAGACTTCTATTACTTTGTTGGAACCAGTCCAGGGAGAGTTAAAGGCCATTGCTTCTCTATCTTTGGTTAAAGAAAACTTGATTCAACTGAACTTGATTGAGAATAGGACAATTGATGGCAACCCTGTTGCTCTTCCATTGCTGTACACTTATCAACCAGAAGATGGCTTTGCTCCAGTTGCTGAGGTCATGGAGGGCCGTAATGAGCGTATCAAGGAGTTATACTGGAAACTATGGTTGGACGAACCATTAAATCTGGACTTCGATTATAAGAAACCAATTCAAGGTGGAGAAGTTACAATCACTGCCAAGGATATTGCCGAATTTACTCATGCTATTGGCAATAAATGTGAAGATTTCGTGTCTAGACCTGGTAGGAAGCTGTTGGCGCCAATGGATTTCGCCATTGTTGTGGGATGGAAAGTTATCATCAAGGCAATCTTCCCCAAGTCTGTTGACGGTGATTTGCTGAAATTAGTTCACTTGTCCAACGGCTACCGCATGATTCCTGGCGCTAAGCCCCTGGAAGAAGGCGATGTTATTTCTTCTTCCGCTATCGTCAAGAGCGTTGTGAACCAACCAACAGGTAAGGTTGTTGAAGTTGTCGGAACTTTAAGCAGAAAGAACGAGCCTGTGATGGAGGTTACGTCTTCCTTCTTCTACCGTGGCAAGTATGTTGATTTTGAAAACACATTTGAAAAGAGAACTGAACCTGTTTACCGCATTCAAATATCCTCTGCGAAGGACATTGCTGTGTTGCGTTCCAAGGAATGGTTCCAATTGGATGATGACGAGATTGATTTGCTCGGTAAGACTTTGACTTTTGAAACTGAAACAGAAGTTACTTTCAAGAACGAGACAGTTTTTAACTCAGTTAAGTGCGAAGGTACTATTAAGATGGAATTGCCAACCAAGGAGACTGTTGAAATTGGTGTTGTTGACTATGAAGCTGGAGAATCACATGGAAATCCGGTAGTTGACTATCTATCAAGAAACGGTTCCACTTTGGAGCGCAAGGTCAACTTGGAGAACCCAATTCCTATCGCCATCAGAGAATCACAATCTCCGGGAACTAACGAACCATATGGACGTATCTCTGGCGACTTGAATCCTATCCACGTTTCTCGTCACTTTGCGGACTACGCTAACTTACCTGGTACTATCACGCATGGTATGTACTCTTCCGCAGCAGTTCGTGCTTTGGTCGAGACATGGGCGGCCGATAATGTGTCATCCAGAGTCAGGGCATACAACTGTCAATTCGTTGGTATGGTGTTGCCTAACACTCCGTTGAAAACGTCAATTCAACATGTGGGTATGATCAACGGTCGTAAGTTGATTCATTTCGAAACAAAGAATGACCAAGAGGAAACGGTCATGACTGGTGAGGCAGAAGTTGAACAACCTGTTTCAGCATTTGTTTTCACAGGTCAAGGTTCTCAAGAACAAGGCATGGGTATGGACTTGTATGATAAGTCAGATGTTGCCAAGCAGGTTTGGGACAGAGCCGATGTTCATTTCAAAAAAACATATGGTTTCTCCATCTTGGACATTGTTAGAAAGAATCCTACTGAAATGACCATATACTTTGGTGGTGAGAAGGGTAGAAAGATCAAGCAAAACTACACTCAAATGATTTTCGAGACCATTGTTGACGGAGAATTGAAGACGGAAAGAATTTTCAAGGACATTACTGAGGAAACCACCTCTTATACTTTTAGATCGCCAAGCGGTTTGTTGTCTGCTACCCAATTCACCCAACCTGCTTTGACTTTGATGGAAAAGGCGTCTTTCGAAGATCTAAAGTCTAAGGGATTAATTCCTGCCGATGCAGCTTTTGCCGGTCACTCATTGGGTGAATACGCGGCATTGGCTTCTTTAGCTGACGTTATGTCTATTGAATCTTTGGTCGAAGTTGTGTTTTACAGAGGTATGACAATGCAAGTTGCTGTGCCAAGAGATGAGTTGGGTAGATCTAACTACGGTATGGTTGCAGTTAATCCAAGTAGAGTTTCTTCTACTTTCAACCAAGATGCTTTGCAGTTTGTTGTTAAATGTGTCGGCAAGAAGACCGGATGGTTGGTCGAAATTGTCAATTATAATGTCGAAAATCAACAGTATGTCGCTGCTGGTGACTTGAGAGGTTTGGACACATTGACCAACGTGCTGAACTTTATCAAGCTACAAAAGCTTGATATTGTCAAGTTACAAGAAACAATGTCCTTGGACGAAGTTGAGGCACACCTGAATGAGGTCACTGAAGAGGTTTCCAAAAAGTCATTGGCTAAGCCACAACCAATTGAGCTGGAAAGAGGTTTCGCTTGTATTCCACTGCGCGGTATCTCTGTTCCATTCCACTCCTCCTACTTGAGAAATGGTGTTAAGCCTTTCAAGAACTTTTTGAAAAAGAATATCATTAAGGAGAATGTGAAGGCAGACAGATTGATCGGCAAGTACATTCCAAACTTGACCGCCAAGCCTTTCGAAATAACGAAGGAATATTTCCAAGGTGTTTACGAATTGACTGGCTCCGAAAAGATCAAGGAAGTTTTGGATAACTGGGATTCTTATCAATCATAGGCCACATGACGTCTTAGTTTTGTCGGTTTTATATGGAAATTGAGAGCCTTATTTTATGTTAGTTTTTTGTTGCTTGAGAGGCCCTACTTTGATTTCTTCATTCGAAGGGCTCTCTCCTACTGGCGTATTGTTTGCCCATGAACTGAATGATTCCTAATAATCATGCGCGAACCAGCATTCAATCGATGAGGACGCTTGAATTGTGATATTGTTAACTACTCATACCGGGAAATGTGAGTGGAAAGAAGTTGACGCTCTTGTCGCAAGGAAGGTATCATTCAACGTCATTTATACAACATGTTACACGCAAATCGATTAAGTTTATCTCTTCGGCATGGGAAACCGATGAGAATGGGAAAGAGTTATTCAGTAAATGGAAGTTGTTACATATTTATACGCAGAATGAAGTGTTAGGGAATTTCTGTTTAATCTTTATTAAATGTATATACTGATACTCACAATATTATAGAGTTTCTTACTGTTATGCTGTTGTACTGATATCATCAAGGGCACATTGCCAGACGATTCCTCCGAAGGTCATTCAATTACGTGAAGGCTCAAGTCTGAAAAAGCATTCAACCATACCATATCCCTCAGTAGAGAACCATTTTGAAAATCAGAGACAATTGTACATTTAGTAAAGTACGATCGAACACTATCATAGTCAATTGTCGGTTCCTGATATTTTATCTTGCTTTTCCTTCTATTTTTCCTTGAAACAAATGGTGTGAAGCTAGCATCTTCGTCATTCCCGAAATTATTTATTGATGAATCATTAGCATCCTCTTGAACACTGAGGGAATTTAGCAGCTTGCTCATCAATGGATAAGTATTGAATAGCCGACTTTTAGTGTATCGATCAGTATGTTGCACCACATGATTTGCTAGCAGCAGTCGGGGCTCCTCTGATGACAGTATATGCTCTGTCAAGTCGAGAGGCGCGTGTGGGAGGAAAAAGAAAACTTCGGAAGCCTGCGATGCTTTCCAGGGCGATGATTCGTCTATTGACCAGTGGTGTCCCATTTTCCCAATAAATTCTTTGTCTTCGTCCGTGAAAACTGGATCATAGATGGACACCTGTATTGGCCTTTCAGGATCTTGTTCTGAAATGATCTCACATATCTCCAGAAGTAACGCGAATTGGTACAGTGCAGGTTGATCTTCATGGAAACTCCCAATGGCCAGGCATCGTACTTTGTCAATCTTAGGAATATGGAATTGTACTTTATCAACTAATTCTTGCAACATTTTTGACTCTCCAACGACTTTACGACATGTTGAGAGAACATTAGCAAAAGGTGGTCGACCTGCTTTTTTTTTGTGTCTATGAGCATCTCTAAACTCAGACTTTGAATGTTCCGTAGGCTTGACAGATGTCATTTGTGGTGATTGAATTATCGTAAGTCATCGCGGACTCGTTTTTACATTTTCATAACCGGGGTCCGTCGGATATATGCGATTTCGTGAGAAGGAAGAGATTAAAAAAAATTTTCATGACTATCCCGAGTTTCCATCATTACTTCCAATCTTTTATTTTATATATGCATTCTGAATAAGAACCTCGCCAGCTAATCTCAGACAAAGCCTCTTCTTGAGTATTTCAGCTTCTCTGTCTTTTCTGCAATATTCGGGTCGCAAGTTGTCGTTGGGAACCCAAAGTGCATTGTGCAATTCAGAAGCTAGTTATTGGTGTTTTCTTAGCCTGTTAGATCACCGAAGTGTTGCCCAAGCTGTCCAATTCAGGTAGTACAAGCGATATCATCAATATCGTTGATTCAAAAGTTTCAAGTCAAAAGGAGAAAAGAGATATGCGTAAGTGCAAGGTTTTTGTTGGAAATTCGCATCCTGAACTGGGTAAATTGGTTTGCGAAAGGTTAGGTATTGAACCTGCTCCATGTACCCTGAAAAAGTTTGCAAATGGTGAAACTTCTGTTCAAATCGGCGTCTCGGTAAGGGATGAAGACGTATATGTAATTCAGTCAGGGTCACCCTCTATCAACGACGACATTATGGAGTTGCTGATTTTGGTTTCTGCTTGCAGAGGAGGTTCTGCCAAAAAAATAACTGCTGTCATACCTCAATTTCCTTATTCGAAACAGTGCAAGATGAAGAAACACAGAGGTGCTATAACTGCTCGTATGTTGGCTAACCTGCTAATTATGGCCGGCGCTGACCACGTAGTCTCGATGGACTTACACGCCTCTCAAATGCAGGGTTTTTTTAGCAAGCCTGTTGATAATCTCTATGGGGGACCTAGTCTGGCTAAATGGATTAGGGAGCACGTTGAGGATTATCGCGATGCTGTCGTTGTTTCTAAAAATCCTGGAGGCACGAAGAGAGTTACTGCTTTGGCAGATTCTTTGAAGATCAATTTTGCAATGATTCATACGGATCGTCGTCGGTCAAAGGACTTATACGCACAAAACAAGGATAAGAAACAACTAATGCAAAGAAAGCAATCGATGCTAAGAAAAAACAAGCCAATCATTAGACCTGGCGAGGCACCTGATGAAGAAGAAAACATAATCCTGTCTAATGGTATCCAGACAGCAAGGATCGTGAAAGGGCACGTTGTCGATGATGATGAATATGGCGACGAAGAGGATTGTATTTTAGATTCCGATGTGGAATCCCATTCATCCGTCAGCGACTCATATGCTTTGGGCGGCTCTTACGATGCTGTGGACTCTGATGATGATGAGGAGACAGAATTTGGACAGCAGGAAAAACTCATCACATTGGTTGGCAACGTCAATGGTCGTTCGGCCATTATTTTAGATGACATGATTGATAGACCAGGATCTTTCATAAGCGCTGCCGAGCATTTAGTTAAGAACTGTGGCGCTAGGAAAGTTTATGTGATCGCTACACATGGTGTTTTCACTGGAGATTGCCTCGAAGAACTTGAAAAATCAGATGCTATTCACCAAATAGTTGTCACCAATACCTATCCTATCTCGAAGAGTTGCCTGCAAAAATCTAAAAAACTAGTTGTTATTGACGTTTCTTCTATTTTCGCGGAGTGTATTCGTCGTGATCACTATGGTGAAAGTATATCCGTTCTTTTCGATTCCTTGGCTTCACTATAATAGATTCGGATGGTATTTTTTTCTATACCGATAATACGAAAAGGTTACGTTTTTTTTTTTGTCTTAAATTATTCGTAGCTTAAAGATCCAATGATGCAATCAACGGATTGCAGGACGTACCTCTTTATTCGAGATAACGTACTAACGGAGCATTGGCAGATCAAGCATTTCAACCTACGCTGTTTTAGGGACGAATCGTTTCTGTTACAAAATTCATGAACAATTGCGACACAGATACGCGATGCTTTTCACTTCATGAATTTAATATGAACATGTGGGACATCATAGCAATACAAAATCGTAGCTCTGCTAATTATATTAAATTTTCTTGTCAATTCTTATAGATTCTTAAATTTCTTGAAACCCTAATAGCTATTTCATCTTACCGTTAAAATGCCATTACATACAGCACTTTCTGTCGTTCTCTTCCTTGTCATGCGCTACTGTTGTTGTGCCAGATCCCAAGGTTGCCAATGGCTCGTAGTTGAAAAACAGCCTTCCGAATAGAGCACCTAGCAAACAACTTATAATGATGTAACCATTGTAGTACATGAAGAGTAACATGATAATGTACGACAAACCCCATTGAAGCGTGAAGACTAACGCTCTAAGAATATGGTCAAGTAAAGTTGGATATACGTCAACAACGACAGGACAACATTGGACACTAGTCTCAAGGTTAGAGTTAGTGGCGGCGTTTCTTCTTCCAAAATTGAAATACCAGGTATGAGATAATGTTGCAGTCAGAGCGTTCAAGGATGTTTTCCAATCTGGTTCGTTGCACAGTGACGTTGTTTGAGTGAACGCTTCCGTCGAGCCCGCACCAGTTTCGGACATATCACTAGTTGAAGCTGAATTAGCAGCATATTTTGCAACAACTTTCAACTTTCTTCTCCGTGCAATTTCAATATCAAATTGTCTGGATACTCTGTTCAACCATTGAGCAATGAACACGAGCAAGAAACAGCCAATACACGATCCCGCAAATTTCCCTCTCGTATCATTTTTCCATGATTTAGCAATGAAGCATGTATCAATGGTATACCAGTTCCACAGCATTGAAATTTTACATGCATTGGAGGAATTTGATGATCCTCCCATTGACATTTTAGAAACAACGCCGTTTTCAAAATATTCTGACATCTGATTATTAGAGCTCGGCCTTCGAAGATATTATTTATTCAAAATATTAGGAAAACGGATATTAATTCTTGAAGGCATAGTAATTATATACATATTGTAAAGATCTCATTATTGCTCATTAAAGCGCTCGTATTTTTGCTCATCATTTCTATCGCGGCGTCGTTTTCAATCCATAGATCTACGCAAATTACAAGAGTTTTGGGGTTGTTTCGTATGTAAGGACATGTATATGCACTCTATTTGCTCATCATTATATTTGAGGCATGTGCAAGAGATAACCAATCAGTAGCCGATAGGGATGATAACTATACCTAGCTCTGAAGAAAATACTTTAAATATTGAAGTAGCAAGTTTTGAAGAACTGACGGGTTCCGAGTGGCGGGCGAATTGAACTAATTTTTGACATTCATAGTAGCTGCGTAATATACAGAGGAATAGTCTGCCCTTGGATGAATTTGAAAACCAGGTTACCTCTTCGGTGAAAGAAGCCATTAGTTAGTCTGCATTCGAATTTAGAAGTATGTATATATGAATACTTAGAATATTAGATTCTTGGTTAATACAAAAGGCTACAACTATTCCTTCTCAGTTTTTGGTTCTGGAAGTGACGGCTTTCTGAATGACAAATTTGGGCTGGTGATATTGACCGGCGTAAATTTTTGTGGGAGAATAACCCTACTAAATTTGTTCCTCAATTTCTGGGAAACATAGTCCATGTCTAAATGCCTTGTGAGTGAAATTTTTGGTATGCAACTGATGTAATGTTTCTCATCCAATTGGACATCTAGCGGATCTTGTGTGTGACAACCTGGTGACATTTTCAGTCTTATCGAGTGAGACTTTTGGCCTGAAGCATCGGTGCTCTCATACAATTCGAAGTTAATTTGAGAGAGATAGTCTAATTCTGGAAGAGCATTTCTAGCGATCCTCATTGGGAGACCGCTCTCATAAATTATGTTCAGGAGTGTATAAATATGAGATTCTTTTGTGAAATATGCTGTACATGCCGGAGTATCCTTAGACTTCATGTCGTCGATATCATTCAAGATTTGCTTCGCTAGCGGTAGTGATGTCAACAAACCAATGTCAAGCTTCTCGCCATCTTCAATACCATATTCCTGTGGGCAAATAAAGTCGAACAGAACCTTAGATAAGCGGAACAATTCTCTCAATCGCATAAATTTAGGGTCATCAAATTGCGATGAAGTAGAAGATCGTGGGGTTTTCGCACTACTTTCTAAGACCCACCCAAGAGATCCAACACTGCTACCTTTCGAAGAACCATTGTTGCTGGTGCTAGCACTAGAATCTGGAATTTTAAAGTTGTTCATTGCAAGAATGTTAATAGGATAGCGATCGACTAATGAGTTCTTGCAAACGTCAACATTCTCCAGCTCTGTAGTGAAGTCCGGGGCAAAGATATTCTCCAAAAACTGCCTATTGTGGAGAGCGTCATATTTCATGGTATCATAAAGTTCTGAGATTTTAGAAGGATCAACTTTCTCAACACTGACGAACTCTTTGAAAAGCTTGTCCCAACGTTCTTTAAAAAGCATAGGATCTTCACCACAACACCATCTCCTTTGCATATCGTCAACATTTTTACTTTTAAAGTTGTAATCCATAATCTGCTTGTGATAGTTCATAAGTTCAACAACACGCTTGATAACAAGATAAGGTTCTGGCATTTTTGCGGGCCATGCAAATTGTGGTGGAGCTTCTTTACCTTCTCTCAACAAGGGTTTCAGCTTCTTTTTGACCTTGTCCATCAAATCTTTTGCAGCATTGCTATCATCCAGTAAGTCTTTTCGAATACTTATTTCATCACTTCCAAGTTCATCAGCCCCAAAAAGTGCCATAGCCCAGATTTGAGCAGATGCTAATACTCGTCTTTCTGAAGAAGAAAAGATTTTAATGTTTTGAAGTATATTTTTATTCAACAAATCAAAATCTTGTCTCATCTGTTCTCCCAATTCCATTGCTTGATAGCGTGCCGAATGTGTTGGCTCACCACCCCATTTGAGAATAAATTGGACTTTTTCAACGTCCTTTTCAGAGTTCAAAACGGGTTTTAACTGAATTTTAGTCCCTGGAAAGTTCAGCTTCTTCTCTAAGGCATTTGCTAATACGTCTAACTTCACGGGATCTTCCGTATTCTCTTCTTGCGCGATTTTGAGAGCTTGAAGAACCACTTTCAAATCGGAAACGTTTCTGATCACCACTTCTTCCTTATGACCCTTTAATAGAGATATGAAGATCGGTGAGCGGAACGAATGCTTAAACTTCTGCTTTGGCGTGCGATCTGCGTGACGAATAACCGTAACTAGTCCTTTGAAAACCCATTTTTGGGTTTTCTCCTCTTTGATTACGGGCAAATTCCGCTTCTCTAAGTCCATTTTCCTCTTCGCAGCAATGAAAGTTTCTCTCAAAATTCTTGCGCAAGAGTCGTAATAAGAGGAATTATCCTTAACGAAGGAAAATCCATTTACATCTATGACGTAGCTCTTTCCATTGACACGTAAAAGATCAAAACCACAAATCATTTGAGAAAAAGCATTCGATACTCTTTTAGCTATTTCCTTCTCCTCTACCGATAATTCGGTAACATATCTTATTTCCTTACCATGTGTATTTCTGCGAACGATCCCATCTACTACAGGAGATTTTCTTGTCTCAGCATGACAGAACTTTTCGCCAACAGTGTATGCTTTGACATCTTCAAAATTATCTGTGTCCATGAATTCTTCGTATATGTAGGATCCCTCTGTTCTTGGGTAATTCAAAGTTGGATCAAATTCAGATGACTTATTACCGACCTTTCTGAAGAGACGACGTCCACCACCACCATTCTTCGAATGGTAATAGATGTAAATGTTATGATCTTCACCATCAACTGGTTTCTCAACATATGGCTTAGTCATTACCTTTCCTTGAACCTCGAGAGTGTCATCGTCGATCATGCGCCATTTGGGCTCTTTAATTGGCTTGATTACGACGTTGCGTTCTAATAATTTCGCCCTCAACTGCACATCGACACGGGGACCTCCATCTCTAGAGATCTCCAGTCTGGGGGGGGTAGGAATTTTGGCACCATCAAGGAGCTGTAAGCAAATTCTTCTGTCCCACAAAACTTTTTGCATAACAAGATCGTTTATGATAAAAGGTTTGCGTAAATTAACGTAGTCGATAGCTTTGTTCAGTGGAAAACCAGAGGAAAAGAAGCTTATTAAAAAGTCACAAGTTGGCCAATTTTCGATGTTTTCATCGAGGATAACCTTATCACCAAAAATAATGGTTTCAAATTCGCCATGCTCAATTAATCGATTCAAAATATGTCTGCAGGGCTTAGAAAGCACCTTTGCATCCATTGCACAAACACCAATTTTTCCTATCTTTGGTAGTTGTGGCTTATTGTTACTAGTAGAAGGCTTGCGTGAAGAACCTGCCGAACTTGCTGTTGAGCTGGACGGAGTTTCGTTGACAACATCTGCTACTACGTCATCCAAATTTTGCTCGGATAAAAATGGGGAGCCTGAATAAGACCCTGCCGGAGACGATGATACTTGTGTGGAAGCAGGATTACTTTTCAGCCTTTGTATCTTGGACCCCATACTGTTCTCGTACGAGTTGCTGGGAGATAAAGCGGGCCGCGAGGAAGCATTTGAATGCTGAGAAGTAATGCTCAGGGTACGATCCAACGCATTATCCTCAGAATTGTTGTCGTCCACCTGCGAATCTTGTGGAACGCCCGGAGGGGGCAATTTCAACGAAGTATTTTCACTTGAGGATGTTTTGGGGGTGAATCCTTCCAAAATTGGCGCAATAGATTCCATCACCTTCTTGGTCTTACTGTTCAAGGTTAACGGCGACATGGAGCCCTGTTGAGGTTCAGCTTGTTCGTTTCCTGCCATGTTTTGGTATCGTCACGATGACTACCCTCTTAAATTCAAGCCAACGCTTCTACTAATTTATCGATGCACGTGTACCATGCTCGTATTAAGAGATTCTATACAGAATATGCGCGGTAGAGTTCAGATTATCAGTCCAATGAGCTCAATTGTATCAGTTTACGTGGGATTAGGAGTATTAATCGCTTCTAGTATACGTGTTACTGTAAAAGTGAGCTCAGACAAGGTATCGGAGCGCCTTCTATAGAATGATCTACAATAAAAACATATATCCATCGATTAAGAAAGCCTCTCAGTAGCTGAAAAACCTCCTAAATTCTTCTATTCATAATCTTTAAGGCAACCTAAAGATATTTGCTCTGAATAATCTTATATCTCTTGATCTCTTTGCATGTCACTACTTTTCTTTTTCCAAAGTGAAAAATTGAAAAGTGAAAATGAAAAGTTGTCGATGCGATGAGCCCATTTAATTTAACGAAGCAAAGGGCATCATGACGAAAGAGATCAAGAAAAGAAGAGTCGAGGACTCTTTACTGGCCACTAAGAGAAAGGTCCCCGCATCCAAGGTTTTTTCACCTTTCCGGGTGGTTGGCAACGTTTCCAATGGTGTTCCATTTGCGGTGGGTACTTTGGGGTCAACTTTTTACATCGTCACCAGTGTTGGGAAAACATTTCAAATTTACGATGCAAGCAACCTGCATCTTTTGTTTATTTCTAGTCAAGAAACTGAAACTTCTATCACATGTCTAGCCACACACTTTCACTATGTGCTTGCAGGTTTTTCGAACAAAGTAGGAATTTACAGAAGAGGAAAAGTTGAACATTTGATAGAGCTGCCAGTCAAAGGCATTGTGGTACAGCACTTGTGTATGTTCGGTGATTTTTTGTGTGCATCAGCCAACAACAATACGATTTATGTGTACAAAAAGAACGCGGTGAATGAGAAGTGTCCTACTAGCTACTACACCGAACTGAAAGTGTCTAGTTTGCAGGGCGGAGAAATCGTTTCTTTGATCCATCTACCAACCTACCTGAATAAAGTTATAGTTGTTACCAAGTCCAACATTCTTCTTTACAATATCCGCTCAGGTAAATTGTTGTTTTCATCAGACGAGTTTCCCGATCAGATTACAGCCGCAGAACCGGCTCCTGTTCTAGATATAGTGGCACTGGGTACAGTTAGTGGGGAAATTATCATGTATAATATCAGAAAAGGTAAGAAAGTCCGTACTATCAAGATGCCAGCCCCGGTATCGTCACTTTCGTTTAGAACAGACGGTTCGGAACATTTGGCTGTGGGATCAACCACGGGAGATTTGATATTCTATGACCTAGAACGCCGTACTAGAATTCATATTTTGAAGAATATTCACAGAGAAGCTTATGGCGGTGTTTCTAAAGCGTGCTTCCTCAATGGCCAGCCCATTGTAGTCACAACTGGTAATGACAATCAGTTGAAGGAATATGTGTTTGATCCATCATTGTCTCAGAACGACTCTGAAAGTGTTGTTCAACCTCCACGATTTTTAAGATCGAGAGGTGGACACTCTCTACCTCCTACATGCATAGCATTTGCCGATTCGCAATCACATTTCATCCTCTCTTCGTCAAGAGATAGATCATTGTGGGGATTCTCTTTGAGAAAAGATGCACAATCGCAGGAACTATCCCAACGACTTCACAAGAAGAAGGATGGTTCCAGAATTGGAGGTAGCACAAACGGTGAAAAGTTCCCCGAAATCATCACTTTCTCAATAGAAAATGCCAGGCAGGGTGAATGGGAGAACATTCTAACCGCTCACAAGGATGAAAAATTTGCTAGAACTTGGAATTCAGCTACCAAACGTGTTGGAAGGTGGACTTTGGCAACAATTGATGAAGGATACGCGAAATGTACTGCGATTTCCCCGTGCGGTAATTTCGGCTTTGTTGGTTCTTCGAACGGTGGAATTGGTGTGTATAACTTACAAAGTGGTTTGCCCCGTAAAAAGTATAAGCTGCATAAAAAAGCTGTGTCTGGTATTGCAGTAGATGGTATGAATAGGAAAATGGTATCTTGTGGCTTAGATGGTATCATTGGTTTTTATGACTTTAGCAAGTCCCAATACCTAGGAAAGCTCACACTTAACGCACCCATCACCTCGTTGGTATACCACCGGTCATCCGACTTGTTTGCGGTAGCTCTTGATGACTTTTCTATTGTGGTAATAGATGCTGTGACGCAAAAAGTCGTTCGTCAATTGTGGGGTCACACTAATAGAATTAGCGCTTTTGATTTTTCCCCTAATGGCAGATGGATTGTATCAACTTCTCTTGATTCCACAATCAGAACGTGGGACTTACCAACTGGCAGTTGTATTGATGGCGTTAGATTGGACTGCGTTGCAACTAATCTTAGATTTTCACCCAATGGTGATTTGCTGGCAACAACCCACGTCAATGGTAATGGTATTGCTCTCTGGACTAATCGAGCACAGTTCAAATCCGTGCCAACTAAACAAGTAGATGAAAGTGATTTTGCGCATGTTTTACTCCCCAATTCTTCAGGTGAGGGCGGAGCTTCTGTACTAGATGGAGCCTTCGACGATAAAGATGAGGACACTTCTCAAAATGAGATTTACGGGGTGTACAAATCAATGAACCAAATCAATAATGATTTGATCACACTGTCTTTGGGACCTAGGAACAAGTTAAATACTCTCTTGAATCTGGATGTCATTAAGCAACGGTCAAAACCAGCTGAACCACCAAAGAAACCTGAAAAAGCACCTTTCTTTTTGAAAATTGCCGGGGAAAAAGTTGGTGATGATGCGTTAGTCAGGGAAAATGGACCAAATGCCCATGGTTCATCTACTACTGGTGCTGAATCTGAGGACAAACAATTAAATGCAGAACGAGAGTTGGCAACGTTTAAACCAATTGGAAATGTCGGTTTCGAGTCATCGTTTACTAGACTTTTGAGAGAAGGACATCAATCAGGCAGTTACTCTGAGTTTTTGGAAAACCTTGTAAGGCTTCCTCCCTCCTCTATTGATTTGGAAATTAAATCCTTGAACTCATTTGAGCCCTTTGATGAGATAGTGTGGTTTGTCGAAGCGATATCAGAAGGTTTGTCAACTAATACAAATTTTGAACTTTATGAAGCGTACATGAGCTTGCTTTTGAAATCACATGGCGATGTCATACATGCGAACAATAAGATCCCAAAGATATATGAAGCTTTTGAAAAATGGAATCGCAATCATTGCAAGGAAAACAGGTTAGATGAGCTAGTTAAGTTTTGTTCTGGCGTCATTAATTTCATTTCGACGTCTTGATTAATGTGTTGAATTTGAAAATTTTACGTATTATAAATAAGATATTGGTTCTTTTTAGCCTTTGTTTTGTAATTATATTGATTTTAGAAATTCTCCTGCTTTCTTAGGTGAGTTTCGGGTCCTATTTAGCGACCTTGTCTCTTGCAAAGACTTCCCGCAGTTATAATGCGTCACTACACTTTTGTTGTCTATATCAAACAAAAAATAGATATCGCTTGGGTTACTCTTCAACACTTTGTGGCATACAAAGCATTTCCTTTCTTCGCCAACAATAACATATTCTGAGAGCTTACAATTCAATTGATAGCTTTTATCAACTAATTCTACTTGTAGAAGGTTCCTCTTTATTCTCAGATCATTTTTTTCCACTGACAAGGATTTAAGCCTATGAGACAAAATTTGGCTGAGATCTTTGAGAAGCAAATCCTTGGGGAGTTTATTCAATATCTTTATTTCGTCAACTTTTGAGCCATGCTCCTGGAGAAACGATATAATGCTGTTTGGATTGCTGTTTTCAGTCATTTTTAATATTTTGTCGAAGAATTGCATTAAAAGTTTAGTTCCCATTGTTTGGTCTTCGACATAAACATCATTACAATAAGACGAAGATAGTGAATAGTTACCCAACTTGTCAAATAAAATGTTTAACGCTCTCTCATGGTCACCTAGCCTCTTCAATGGGTAAGTTTTCAGGATTTGAAGTGACTGCATTTGCGTAGGGTCAAGTTCATCTTTTTCTTCAACTTCGCAAAGAAGTCTGTAAACAGTTCGCGGTTCATACAAATGAGTATTTCTTAATACAGCATGTAGCTTTCTAGAGGTTCTTGTGTCACCCAGATTTTCAAGATATCTCCTTATCAGAATCATATAAAGTTTCTTATCTTGAGACTGGAACGTATCAATTACAAATTCAAGATATCTTAGAGATACTGCTTTATCAGTTAAGTCAATAAAATCGTAAACCTTGAAATAATTGAAATTCGAGCAATTGGTCGTTTGATTCATGAAAACGCTGCTAATTATAACATCTTTCTCCAATGGAAATTTTTGTAATAACCAATTTGTGTATTCAAAAATTGTGTCCAAAAATTCATCGGGCAACTTACTCAGATAATCGATAATCAGTGCTTTTATGTTATTTTCAAAGTCATCTGGTGCTTTGGAGTTATTAACCCGTTGTTCTAAATGGGTCAGAAGCGACAGAGCAAGTTCATGTTTCTGCCTGTGATAATAGAAGTCAACTAATTCATGGATCATCTGGTGGCTGCTTAGCTCATTTACCACCGTTTCGAAGTCGCACATATTTTCAACCCGAGTAAAGGGCCCCACCAGTACTGGATTATAGTCCAAATACAATTTGAATAATGCTGTATCAATAATAGTTAGAAGAGATTGTACGTCAAGCTCCTTATGCTGATCGACCTGAAAGAATTCTATTCCAACGATTATATCTCTATTATTCAATGACCATTTAATTGATTTTTCTCGGGAAAGGTTTCGCAAAATCCTTCTCATATCAGTAAGATACGGTAAGCACCACTTATTTATGTACATTGGCGGAATGCTTTGTATATTTTCATCTTTGTTAAAGGAATAATTTGATGTCGTTGCATCATCTACCAATCTAATAACGTCAAGTGGGAAACAATGGGATATAACCAATTCAGGAGGAGCTAAAAAACTGATAAATTTGTCAAAAATATGCTTTATAATTAGCTCTTGTAGACCAACGAACCGTAACCCTGTCTTGTGTTCCTTTGATCTACATCCAAACCACTTATTACACTGTTCGAAACATCTGAGACACCAGAGTACAGTAAGATCCCGAAGTTTTAAAGCGTATAAATCTAAAAGGCCATCAACGTCATCACAATTGTGATCTTCACATAGGGCTAATTGGTTGTCTGGAGAAAGTATTGCTTCGCAGAAAACTATCTTCTTCAAAGATCTCACCATTCCATTGTCTTCAATTTCTAACGAGTCGTCCTCCCCAAATGGTATATCAGAGTCGTCCATAATGTAAAGTTTATAAAGCTCAATATCATCTTTGCCGGTCCAAACAATCAAAAATGTACCCGCAGTTCCAACTATCTGCTTGATTCCATCGTTTATAGTCAGATCAAGGTAATTATACCCATTTAAGTAGTCGACGATACGAAATGAATGTGAATTACTGAGCAAAAGAAACCTTGTAGTGAGAAACTGGATTCTGTCGAATTCCCGATTTAACTGGGCAAAGCTTGAATGGTCATATGCAGTCAAAAATGGCTGATGAGATTCGCCAATTGATATTTCAAAAAGTTTTTCAGTTCTCCCGTCAATTAAAACTGGCATTCTTCTATCATCGGGATGGAAAAGAAATCTAGCTCTACTTATTTTGTGCTTGTTTTCAACTTTTTGAAAGAAACTAGTAAGGCTTGTCTTTCTCGTTATAACTGAATAGTTAGTTTTTGAGTTTGCATCATTTGAGTCATGCGACTGATGGACGTATTGCTCAAGTTCTTTCAGGGCACCTTGGAGATCTCTGGGCCAGTTGGGGGCTACTATTTTATCCACACGGATGAGAGAAAAGTCTTGTAGCCTCCAATAATATACCCCAATGTTTGAAGTTATATATAAACCATGAGATCCTAATTCGATAGAGGATACAAGTTCATTCTTGCTTGTCAAAGTCGCCTCTTGGACGGTTTTGAAGGAATGACCCTTCCAAATGAACATTTTAAGTTTTGACACCTTTTTGGGAAGATATACGAGTACTGTTTTGCTTGTTTCATTCCTAGTCGGTTTTTCAAACACCCAGCATTGACGGATCCCTCTTTTGTCAACGATTTTGTCAAACTGATTCAAGTTGCTGCTATTCAGTAGGGCAATGGTCTTCTCACTTTGAGCAAATACAGTGCTGAGTCCAGCAGAGTAGAATAGGGCGTTAACCGTGAGGTCTTCATGGGTACTATGAAGTAATTTGTGGTAAGTTTGAAATAACTTCAAGCCGCTTCCATCCCTTGAGTACACAAGCACGTCTCCTGACTTCTTAGAAACTATGAGCTTTGCACTCTCATGTATGGGAAGAATCGCTGTAATACCGTCATCTCCTACCCTGCAAAGGAACTTGGTTTTCAGCATGTTTGTGCACTGAAACGCTCTATGCGATGAAAGATTTTGTTAAGGGCGGTTTGGTTAATGTTCGATCAACAAACATAAATCTAAACGGCGGTCATGTCTAAACAAACAGTTCTGGATCGCGAACTGCACAGGCTACTCAAATCACACACCCAAACAACTCTTTCAGAAACTCAAGAGCAGATTGAGGCCAACCACGCTTATATTACTTCAAAGCAACTAAAGAAACTCATAGACTTACACGACTTGACGTTCCAAGAAAGATGCGTTATCCCACTTCAAAAGCTGTATGACAAGCACATGGCCTTGAGATTAATGGATGGAGACTTGCAGAATTGGGCTGAGGTAGTAGACCGGGATATACGAGTTTTAGAAACTACATTACAACTTGTAAAGGAAGGCAGGCAGGAAACTTAAAGTAGCAAAGTATAATAAGATATTATGCAATTAAACTTGATATATAGTACGACATTACGTAAAGAAGAGCCACAAGGATTCACCTAACCTTAATGAAATCCTTAAGTTATTATTTATTATGAAAGCCCTAAGCAAGACCCTGAGCTGCTCTCTCCCATTTCTGAGTTTCCACCCAACCCGCATTTATTACCTTCATAGCATCCTGAAGATTGACGGGTTCCTTCAAGGGAGCATCTTCCAAAACGAGCTTTCTGTAAATGCGAATGTAGTGCTGTGGGGATATCTCAGAAAAGCGCTTTCTATGCTTTTTAGACGCTTCCTTTGCAGTAGGACTAGTTTCAGTTGTCCAAAGTTCACGTCTCCTTTTCCAAATCTGCTCACCTGCTGTGAACGGTTCACCTATCTCCATTCGCAGTTTGTTACATTCTTGCACAGGGTCAAAATTGGAAAACGTTTCTTTTTCAACAGGTGCTTCATTGTTTGTAGAGCTTGAGTTTAGTCCATCCAGGTCGTCGTCTTCATCAGTGAGTCGCATCTCCTTTGTGAGAGCTACCGAAGTGCTGCTGTTTCTGTCTTCACTGTTTCTATCAAAAATTTTGGAGTCCTTGGCATTTGTTTCGAAAAGCGAGTCAATCGGACAAGTTTCGCTGTCTGAATCCGTGTCAAGAGCCTCTCGGGAAATCTTTTGTAAGCCTGCGCGGCATTTCAGAAACATCTGCCGAATAGACGTCTTTAGCCCTCCGTTTGGCGATGCCTCCCTGTGCTTATATGCCATGTTTACCAACCCCTCCTCCTTGTGTCGAGAGGTAATTAAAGGAGACAGACGCTTTTCCTTTTGAAGAAAGAAATGTTACAACTTAAAATCGTTTCTCAAAAGCAGCCAGAACACGTGATCTGGAAATCAATCCGGTAAACCCTAAGCAGCAATGCATAACAAATCACCATTTTATGGTTGTTACTCTTTCATCAGAGCTTATTTTGGAAATGGACTTATCTCTAGGAGTTATCGTAACACCGTAAATGCCGTAGCTAAGTCCATCATGCCAACTTGTCCACTCTCTTGATTTCACACCATGTCTTTTGCTTGCTGAGTACTTCTGAAGGGGAGGAAGCAATAGAATTTCAACCGATACATCGAACTCAATACTCTCCGGAGGCACTAGGCCCTTGACATTGTTAGGGTTTGAGTAATTTGCCGGAGTTTGTGCAGTTGTGTTCTCGCCCAGAATAACACCGCAGTGCTTCAAGACTAAAAGAATATCTGAATCATCTGTGTATATATCGGTACCCCATATTTCTTGGTTCTCCACTCGGGAATTTCTCTCACTGGCAAGTAAACATTGAATTTCCTCGAACTCGATCTGTACGGTCACGATGCAGTTGATGTTGTCGGAGCCGAAGAGTGGCAGAAATGGTGGGGGCAATTCATACCTAGTGTAGTCATAAGGATATACATTATCTTGTGCGGTGGTTTCGAGCCCATCAAAAGAACCTGTTTTCCAGCGATTGTAGCGCAGTGCCCCTAGATTGCGTCTATTTGATGAATAGTTATCCTCGACATATTTTAGAACATTCTCGGAGCTAACCAGAACTTTCATATCCCTTCCATTTCGCAATTCGTGTCCAGAACGGTTCTTTGGGTCCGAAGAGGGATTAATTTCCTTCTTCAAGTCTCGATTCCTGGTCGAGTTCAAAATTGTCTCCTGTAAATTGTAAATCTGAAATTGAGTCTGCCGATATGCCTCATTTTGGTCACTTTTAGTAGACATTTCACTCAATTGGTTATTCAGTAGGTGACTAATCAACTGGAACTTGCTATCCTTGCTTCGCAGAGGTATAGTCTGGATTTGATATATGGCATTAAAAGGCTTCTAGTGTTTCCAGAGACGGCCGCTAGTCTTACGTTGTTAGTGATTTGGTTGATCCTTATGACTGTCATCGCCCACACCTCATTCATATTTTTATACATCCGTACCTCAGTTAGAACGTTTACTTCTAAACAAAAAACTATTGTGGTTGAAAAATAATGGACGTGAAAGCACGCCGCATTCGACCTACTGCGAGCCGGGGTTGGCAGCTCCCCAGGCAGGCCCCTGCCTAGCTAGCATCTGCCCAGCGAGTAGCTGCCCGTGGGCCCTGGGTAGGATGGTCCCTTCGCCGCAGCAACTACCTCGGCCTAGCATCGTCACCTCTCGGCAAGTGCATGGATTGGGAAAAAATATTGAATTTGACAAAAGTGAACTGTAATTGGAAGGTATTGTTCACAGACAGAAGAATCAAGTGTACGAAATGGCTGGTTTGAAAGACGTTGTTACTCGTGAATACACCATCAACTTGCACAAGAGAGTATGTTTATCTTGATTCCTATGGTTCAATTGAAAACATTGAATGAAGAGACTTTTTGATACTGCATGTCCTAAGGTGAACTGGAAACTTCTAGAGGCGCATATGAAACCTCAAAGAGGTAGTATTGTAATAGTAAGAATGGGAAGAGAATAATGGAGATCGGCAAGGGCCGTTGCTGAAAGGAGACGTTCAGACAGAACTTTCTTAATTCGATTATCATAATACTGGATACTTTTTAAGATGACTGCAGAACTAAGGAATCTTACAATGTTTGAGCAAGTTGTTTATCGCAATATACTAACGTATTTTAACAGTTGCACGGTGTCTCTTTCAAGAAGAGAGCTCCAAGAGCTGTCAAGGAGATCAAGAAGTTCGCCAAGTTGCACATGGGTACTGAGGAAGTCCGTTTGGACCCAAGATTGAACCAAGAAGTCTGGAAGCAAGGTATCAAGGGTGTTCCATTCAGATTGAGATTGAGAATCTCCAGAAAGAGAAACGAAGAAGAAAACGCCAAGTTCCCATTGTTCTCTTACGTTGAACCAGTTCTAGTCGCCTCTGCCAAGGGTTTGCAAACCGTTGTTGTTGAAGAAGATGAAGCTTAAAGCTACTATACAAGGTAGAAAAGATTCCCTAAGGATACTGTAGTTTAAAGTTTTATGTAACACGTTTTCAATAATAATATCATCGAAAACATTATTCGCATTTATTCTCTCTTCCCTTGGGCAACCACTCAACTAGCGGGTGTTCGTAATGTGTGACGTTCGTACGTATCCCATCACATTCCTAAAGTTCAATGAGCAATAGCCACTACGGTGAGATAATCTAAGAGCTGCAAGAGGAGCAAGAGCAAGTAACTACTTAGGGCGTCGCAAACGAACATACTCAGTGTAACTATGACTATAAGTTGCCAGCCACTCATCACATTAAAAGACGTCCAATTCCACTCAGCTCGGGCTATGAGGAATAAACACCAAAACGGTTTTTACTCCAAGTCCAAGACAGAGCAGACATGTCAGACATGGGATAGTCTTAGAAATGCGCCTTGCGAGCACATTCTGTTCTTAATAGGCTGACGATGGTTAAAAATCTATCATCATGTATGTTGTAGTCTGCAGCACTCCAAACCATTTAATTCAGAGGGCGGAAAATGCAATGAACAATAAAGATATCATTCTTGCAGTGGTTCAATCTTGAACCGCTATTTCTACCCGTCTACAAATGGTAAATGGAGTCGCGATCGCAGGAGGATCTGAAAATTTTATGTGAACGAATATATTTTCAGTTTTAGATTTTGCTTACCCTACCTAACATGTTTGACACGTGAAGGGCATGTCAAACTTTACATATGTCTCGTTTATACGGTATGTCAAGAGTTTCTGCGAAGCCAGGTTCTCCCTGTCTCTTCAAGATGAAATTATCATCGAACCAATCAATTAACGCAGCTGTTGTCTTAATATTCATGAGTTCTTTATGCATATCTTTGTCGAGGCTCATGCTTTCAAGCATGCAATGCAAATGATGTTGAAGTAGTTGGAAAGGAAGTCCGCCGAATTCCATGGCATAATGCCAGAAGTACTCCAAAGCTCCCCATGGGCAGCGTTCGTAGCCAGCAAACAGAGCTGGATTTTCTAGGAGCCCTCTTACTGCCATTACGCCGTCAACATTAGTGTAATCTAGTATCTTCTGAAAGTCATCCATGTTGAAACAATCACCATTAGCAATAACTGGCACATCTCGATCGAGAAGCTTGTTCCGGATATAGCTGATAGCGTCGAGGTTAACGGGAATGGATGATCTCGTTGTACGCGTTCTCCCGTGAATAGTAATCCAGTCAACGCCAGCATCACAAAGCTCTTGACACAGATTTACGGTTTGATCCCAGTCATCATGTATTCTTATTTTGGTTTCGAGCCTAACTGTGTTTCCGTATTTAGTTTTGACAGCTGAAACCATTTCACACAATAAGGAAGGGTTGTAAATCAAGGCAGATCCTATGCCTTCACGTACTTGCTCCTTGATTGGGCAGCCACAGTTTATACCTATTCCATCGCAGTAAGGGCTGACCATTTCAACGAATCTAAGCAGATCCGTAACGTTATTGACTCCAACTTGAACTATTAGCGGTGTATCACTATCATTGGTACTGAAATCCGCCATACGAGCGTGAGAGTTGCGAACAAACTCGCGAGCAAGTATCATCGGGGTGTATACGATATCAGCATTATAATGGCGGCATACTTGTCGGAATGGTAGTTTCGAGTATCTCACCATGGGCCCGGCTATTGTAACGGGTCTTCCATGGGTGATCTTCCTGGTTTTAATTATATGTAGGGGATCATTTCTTGTAGTTAAAAGCTTGGGTTTAGGATGTGCTGCGGACATCTTCATTCGCCAAATGGCCTTCAGCGTTTCCCGATGATGTTTAAAGTCTCGATATTTATCTGTATTTCTCTTGATCTTTTGTTTTTTTCGCATCTAACGTCCAGAAGAGGAAACATAAGCGCATTGAGGTGGCCCTGGAATGGACCGAGATTTGACCCAGTAAGATGATGATGATATTATTACAAAACAAAACCTTTGATAGAACAAATGGCTTTGTACTACATTTATTTATTTACAAATGCACCACTAGAAGATCATTACCGCTAAATCCTTTGTTGCAAGTTGGGCATTTTCTCATTCTGGAGGCTAACCTTTCTTTGCAACAATCCGCACAAAATACATGCCCACAAGTTTTTATAGCGGTATCTTTCCAGTTTTTAGAGCACAGCGAACAGTAAACTACTGTTCTAAAGTTTTCTAGCTCCTCAGCTATAATTGCATTGTCACCCCCGTTGGACAATAGTGATTCATGTAGTTTCTTTGCCTTATTATCGGCGTGAGATAATTTCAGTTTGAGGGTGTTGTTTTCAGTTTCTAATGTATGAACCTGAGATTCTAAGCGAGTGTTTTCCCCCACCAATTTTGATTTATCCTGTAATGAAGATTCGGCTGCCTTTTTAGTTTTACTCAGCTGAGACGTAAGATCCATGATTTTGAGTGAGGTTGATTTGTTTGAATCGATAAGGCGTTTCTCGTTATTTTGGGATAATTGCATCTGTTTGTTCAAATTTTCAATCTTTAATTGTAAATTGCGCTCTAGATCTTTCAGTTGTGAGATGAGTTCATTAGACTTATGCAAATTCTTGGAGAGGTTCTTATTTTCAATCAAAATTGAATCTTTTGATCTCATTGCAGCATAATATTTTTGATCTGCCTTTGTTTTCTCTACCGTAAGTTTTGAAATTATTGATTCGTGATTGACATAATCAGAGTATTTCTTGAGAGAAAGTTGGCTCACCTCTTTAAACGCCTTCTCTAAGTCCTGTAACTCCTTCATGAGCGCATCTTGGCTACCTTCATGTGATTTAGAGTCCATTCTAAGTTCCATTTTTTGTACCTGTTCCTTCTGAAGATCCAATACATGGTTGACATCATTCAAGATTTCAGATTTCGATTTTTGACTTTCGAGCACTGCAACTTTACTCAACAGTTCATCTCTAGTTGCTCTTATGCGAACAAGATCTTTTTCTAAAGTTGCGTTGTGTTTCTTTAATGCATCCTGTGCAGTTTGAAATTCTGTCGATAACTTATTGGAAAATATTTCCCTTTCTTGTACTAAGCTTTGAAACTTGGTTAAATATGCATCATTAGCATGAGCTAGTTCATTATTCTCATCAGTCAGGTGCTTTACTTTCTGATAAAGGGCCTCGCGGTCAGCGTTATTCTCTAAATTATTATCTTTTGAGCTACTCAAAGTGGCCAACTCAGTGCGTAGTTTAATAAGCTCTTGTTCATTTTTGGTTTTCCACGTCTCCAAATCTTTTAAGTTGCTTCTCAAAACTTCAATCTCAGAATTAAGTTTTTGTAATTCTATCTCATGTTCCAATTTAGATACTGTGTCCTCCTCCTCTTCCACCTTGACTTTTGCCTGCTCTGGTTCGGTATTTGGTAGATCTTGGTTCTCTTCTTCAGCCTTGTCAGAGTCTTTGAAAACCCGTTTAACGGTGGCACTGTCTTCACGGTCGTATTTACGAATAACATCCTGGTAGTATGACTTAATGGCACCAACTTCTTTGCGCAGCTGCTCATTGTGCGATGCAAGCTCAATCTTCAACGCATCTAACTTATGAAGTTGGCCCAAAATTCCTGAGTCTTGCTCATTCACTGCTGTAGACAAGTGCTTTCCTAAAAGAGTACAAAAGTCATTGGCTGAAGCGGCCACTTGATTTTCGTCTCCGTTTATGATTGTTGCACATAATTCCTTTGCCTCTGTATCGTCGTCAGAGCACAGCTCGCTAAGAGTTTTAGCTAATGTAACTACAATAGCGCGAAGTTTTGCACAATTTTCTCGCAGCAGAGCAGACTGTGACTGACAAACTTCATACTGCCGACTCAAGCTCTCTTCCTTAGACCTATGTGTGTTTATACACCGGAACAAAGCTTCCTTTTGAAACGCAATTACGTCGCGCTGTGTAAGTGGCTCGGTGGGGTCTGACAGTTCCAATTTCTGCTTTTTAACCGGAGGTTCACTCGACATAATTGGAGTCGCTTCCTTCCCACTCTTGGGTTGTGATTGGATTGATAATGAGAAAGGGACTAGTTAATAGTAAGAAAATTTTTATTATGCACTGAATTAATGCCGTCGAACATGATGTTGGTCACATGATGTGCATAGAATGTAGTATCGACGTCAAGAGTATATGCTGAAACATAATTAGGTTACTCTGAATAAAACCCTCTTTACAATACTTCTGCTTATGTCTCAATACTGTGTCTTTTGTTCCCTGTTTGTTTGAAGTATATTTCGATTGTATCTTAAAAAGTGATCAAGGCGCCACCGCTTGGAAAACTGAAACAAACTGCTAAAAGGCTACAAACAAGATTTAAAGGCAGACGTTCAACGACTATAGTTCCTTCGTTGATAGAGTGAATTTCCGACCTATCCTGAAGATTTTTTTTGGCGATTGTGCCCTCGGGAACGATGGAGACGTCCAAGAAAGAGACACGATTACTACGTTCGCTGAATAAATTTATTGCATTGATAAGCAGCACGGAGAATTCGCAAACTTCACAGCCTAACTTTCGCTTAATATCGAACTTTCTCCGTTTAAACTTACTGTCCTATCTGCGGCAATACCAACAACCAGATATAGCTGCTGAATCCTCCTTCGAGAATGAACGAGACTTACTCGTCCAGTGGTGGATTACTTTGCTCAATTACTTAAATAGTGACCTCAATGATAATATGGATGGGCAAGAGAAAATTCAACTCAGCACAGAGGTTATTTCTGTCTCCCTAGAGTGTGTCAGTCGAATATTAGCCGTCATTATGGTGTATCCAGGAGACCATGACAATTACACGCGAGATTTGGATATTTACGGCTATCATTTACTGCTAACAGTGCACTATGTTACAAACCGATTGATTGCAAATACCAAGCGAAGAAGAAGCCTCAATGGTATTTCCAAGAACCCGAAGGTGAAAGGTGCACTAACTTATATCAACTCGTACAATTCCTTACTTACCGCATTCATGGGTAAGTTGATGGCCTTTGCATTCTTCTACTTAGATCCTGCTCTGAAGTATGATTTCTATGTTTTACGGAGTTTTGAGCCTACTGCATCATCAAAAGCTACTACATATGAGGCATTTCCCTGGAAAACGCAAGGGTTCTTTCTCGTCAAAGACCAGGTGGACGACGCGAGATCTTTTGTGCCTGATCAAAATAGGAAGATATTTCAGGTTATGATTTCCTACTTGCAAAATGATAGCATATTTCTTACCTTTTATTGGCATTACTGGTACATCACACTCAAGCTACTATCGTGCCAACACTATCAAGTAATTGACCCTAAAAGTGTTCCAGGTCTGGAGTTAATACTTCGACGTGTTTCGAGGTTTTTTGATAGCGATATGCATGTGTTCAGGCGCTATATGAAATCACAGGAGCGTGATACTTTATTGTTGACGAAACCACATGCGGGTCATTCTGGACCATTATCCAGTGAGCAACTTAACAATTTTGTTTTCGTAAATTTCAAGACGATAAAATTGTGGGAATGTGTAAGAAGCGTTGTGGGTTGTCTCAATGATCAGATGCCATACCTTTTAGGCTCTCTAATTTCACTACATGATGACCTGCAGCTACAACAAGTCGGTAAAATTCCAGCTTATGATTCCGTAATGGCTAATTTGATCTACAACAAAATCCTACAATTCATAATATTCCAGTTTGACACGACGTACCCCAAGTATCTTGACAAATTACATTGGGATAGGTGGTGTACAGGAATTATCAATATGTTAAAAACTTTGAATTTTAATTGCCAAAGTGTGGGGTTACTGTGCTTATTCAACGTTTGGAAAAACATTCCATTTACGGGTGGGTTGAAATCTAAAATAATACATGTATTGATGGAAGATTTGTGGGATGTGCTGGTAACCGAAAATTATTTTGACATAGTTAAAGTGCTATTTTTTAAGCTAGTCGTATTTCAAATGCTATCTGATCCGTTTGACTGCGATGGCATATCTAGTACGCTAGTCCATAAAAAGATGGAAAACGTTTATCAACAGGCCTTGTCTTTGAGTGAATATGCGAACCAGGAAGGTGTCCCAAATAACTCTAAAGATGCTTTAGTGTTTCAAGTCAATAAAAAGCTGGCTATTTGCAAGCCAGAGCATGTCGATGAAGAAACTCTGATTTATGATAGTGACGATAAAAATAAAGAAAACAAAAACAGTATTTTGTTCCCCCGCATGATAGCGCTCTCAATTTTGCGCCCTAGCATTGTTCTGCATCGCGGCCAATACCCCTTTGACGTTTTTGATGAAATGGTATTGAAGGCAGCAAAAGCCGCAGCTTTGAAAAGAAAAGAGAGAAAACTGGAGCTGAGTTCCACTCGAAATTTCTCAGTTACAAGCAACATAAGCACTCCAGACAGTGAAAGCTCACACGACAGTATCGAAGAAGAGAGTCAAAAAGGGACCATCACCAATGCACTTGAAGCTTTCTTTTCCAAACTTGGCGGCTCAAGTTCTAAATCCCAAAACGACTCGAAAAAGAATGCAACAGAACGAATTTCTCGAGGAAGCTTCAGTATAAAGCACCGAAATAGCGTCACTTCATCAATAACATCGAGTTCTCGTGGGGATTCGGAGTCCGTTGAAGTACTGTCAATGTACTCGACAATATCGACTACTTCTTCTGTTTCCACGAGTCGAAGTGGGTCTTCTTTGGACCTTTTCAATCATCAATCACAAGTAACGCCTAATCTACCAAATCAAAGGACTAGCCAGGCGCGCGATGATATCGCTAAGCCAGCATCGCGCTATCAGCAGCAGAAGAAGCGAAAACTTTTAGCTCCTCCTGAGCTTAAGTTTTCCGCGGACAAAAGTGATAAACAAAACATTTCATGTATATTCCGATTGATCAACGTTCCTGTATCATCTCCTTCTAGTTTGACAAATTTATGTGCAGCCAATAACAAATGGGGCGTAGTATCAGCTCAGAATTATGACAAGCCCCTTCCATTGCCCGGTGATTTAGAAAATAATTCTACCGACAAACTTAGGTTGGAACCATTTGATACTATCGGCAGCGATCAATTGCATTTATCATCAACACAAACATGCTTATCTCAGAGACCTTTGTCGCAGCCACTGCCGCAATTAACTCCAAAGATAGTTCCAAGACCAAACTTTCTGATATTCTCTCCGAGCTGTCGACGTTCAGACGATTTTGATGAGAGGTTGACGTTGAAAAAACTCTCTCTAGCTGAAGATACAATAAGTCTACAAGCAGCCAGTGAGGATATGAACTGGAATACCTGCGAAAGTCTCACTCAAAGGAGTATGAAAACTTTAGAAAAGTCAGACTCACAGACAATAAATCAAATCCAAAAAAGTAATGTGACCATGATGTGCGAGAATACCAAGTTCACAAGATTGATAAATGTCATTGATATATTTAACAGAACCGTAGAAGAATGGTACGAATATCTTGACACCCTTTATATCGATCGGGAGGGCTCGGCCTTTATGGAGTGTGATATAATCCTCAGCAGGGGATCTCATATCAACATGAAAAACAATTTCAACGCAAAGGCAGAATATTTGTGAATTGAACAAATACCAGAAATATGTATCCTTTTTCTTCGCATCAATAAAACATATAACGGAATGCCAGCATGCCTTCATGATAATCTCATTAGGAAGAGTTGAACTCTTAAATATGAGAGCCTCACTTCTATAAATTCGATATAGGTCATTAATTATAGTTTTTTTTTTTGTATCTGAGAGACCTGAAACTGTAAAGAATCATGCAGATTTCTTCGCAGCTTGTGGTACATTTCCTACCCTCATAAAGCTGATCAAAAAGCCCACAACGAAAAAAAAGAGCACAACTAGGTTAAAAACAAGTATGCCAACCACGTGGGTAAGTTTCTTCCACCTTAACATGAGATTTCTCAAGCTGTGATTCAGATTCATAGAAAATTTCAGCTCAGATGATTCTGCATCGACGATGAAATACGAACCTTCTGCAAACTTCAACGATACGACAACATTTTGTACATCATGATCCAAAACATAATCTTCCCAAAAGAAGGAATTGACTAATTCTTTCTGAACACGTTGGCTAAATGTAGATGACAAGCTGCCAGCTTCTCCTAAGGCGATAATATCATTTGTGTTTGCGCAACTGAGGAGAACCGTCTTCTGAAAAATCACAGAGTCCATCCAATTTTTCTTGGAGCTTGCGGAAACAGTTATAGTTCCCTCTTTTATGTTGAGACCAGGACTTGTATTCAAACAAAATATGTTTAATTTTAAATCAAAATTGTAAGGTATATCCGATCTCAATGAAACATCCTGTGTTAAGCCATTGTCAATGACTTGCGGTAGAATTGCAGTTTCGCTGGATAGTCGTTTTAGCCGAAACCTGAATATAGTGTTCCCATCAACGAGTTGTGATGTTTTACTCCCAATAGAGAAGGGAATTTTTTGGACAGTGTCTGGAGGAATTAACCTCGTGTAAAAGTCATGAAATAGAAGGCCAGATAAGGGAAGAATAATCACCAAATTAACCATCGCAATCGAAAGTATATAGACCCACCATTGTGCCCACTTGAGCGGTAGTGTGACATTTATGCGCATCAGATGTTCTGTTGACTTTTATCCACAAAGCTTAGATTTCACCGGCACAACCCTAATTAATACATTCTCTATTTTTCTCAGTAACCTGATCAAGTAGCAAAAAAGCCAATCGCGCAAACTGTCTAGAAATTCGCTAGAGCAATGCGAACATAAGTAAATACAAAGGTTAAGAAGTTCAAATAATACATTCGTACACATAAAACTATAATAGTACCCTTTAATGCGTTGAATGTCCTCTATGGTATTTTAAACCATTTAAATTCTTGTATCTTTTACCACAAACCTCGCAACGGTAAGGTTTATCTTTTTCAAATCCCATGCCATCCGGATAAGGCTCGTTGCTTTCCGGATCTATGATACTGAAGGTCCCATCAGCATTTTCATGCAACTTTTGATTTTGATGACCATGTAATTTGTGGTACTTCAAGCCGTTCTGGTTCTTATAAGTTTTGTCACATCCGATGACGGGACATTTGAAAGGCTTATGTTCTTCATGGTCCATCACGTAGAGCCTCCTAGCCGGGTCATCTATAAAACCTGTCTGTTGCTTCCGCTTGCCAATAGTTGTAGGAGTGGCAATGTTGTGCTCCTCCTCTTCGTCATCGTCTTCACTCATACTGCTATCGTCCGATTCTTGTGAACTGATCATCTCACCTCTGTGTGAAGTGGCCTTTTCTCCTACACCTGTGCCAACGTGCTTCCAACCTTTGCTAGGATCAGCGGCAGCGGGGGCTCCCCCCATGATTGCATTGCTATCATGCAAGTCGTCTATCATATCCGCATCCATAAAATCCAAATCAATACCAGCCGCGGCAGTATTGGCATGCGAAGAGACATGGCGCTTATTTGAAGATACCCCAACAGAATTTCCCATCAGGCGCTGAGAATTTTGTACTTGTTGTTGATGAACAGTGCCCCCCATGGTGTGCTTCGCCATGGGTTGCATATTCAAAGAATAATTATTGAAAGCCGCCTGAAGCTTACCATTGACATTACCTGCCGATGGAGTCGTGTGCGTTGGGTTATTGCGCCTTCCCTGTTGAGAAACGCCAGTTTGCAAGAACACTTCATTAGTTGAAACGGCTTCTACTAAGTTCCCGTTCAAATGAAGTTGTTGTACGTTACCTGTGCCACCCACAGAAGAGTTATGCGAAGCATCATGAAATTGTTGCTGCATGACGTGATGGTGCATTTGCTGTTGCAACTGATGCTGTATCTGATTTGGGTTGTGATGAGGTGACTGTTGCTGTACTTGTAAGGTCGACGGCTGATGATGCGTCTGCTGCTGTGGTTGAAGATGTTGTCTTTCTTGTTGATGTAACTGCTGCTGATGCTGCTGTTGCTGGTGCTGTTGCACCTGATGCTGAAGCTGGTTATGTATCTCTGGATGCTGCTGCTGCTGCTGGGAATGCTGTGGATGATGCTGGGCAGGTTGTTGGGAGGACGGTGAAGCGTGGGCTTGGGACGAATGCTGTTGCTGGTGCGAGTGCTGCTGCTGCTGCTGGTACAGTGCAGCCATTCGTCTCTTTTGCTGTTGCAAAGAGTTCCCTGACATCTGGCCGCCACCCAAGGTTTTGCCCACGGCAGCCATGGAAGACGCATGGGTATTGATGGTACCGGGAGAGGTGGATATGTGCGCCTCTTCGTAATGCCTCAACAAGTCGTGCAATCCCGGCAGAAGCAGCCCGCAACAGGAGTAATCCTTGCAGTACTGTTTCTCTAAGTTGGGCAGATAAGCCGATGACGCCCCTGGCGGCGAAAATGAACTAGCATTAGAGAGGTTAATCACGTTTCCGCCCGAGGAGCCTGCATTCGCCGCACCGTTCGACATGTGCGCCTGGATCATGACCTCATCTCTGAGCCACGAGCCGATTGTGAGCGATCCCCAAGAGACCCCGCCCATGCCTTGCGAGTGTGCGATCGATTCCCGTCTAAACCTCGCCATGTTGGACGCATTTGCCGTGGCGCCGGCTTGGGAAGTAGACGCCTGGCTGTTGATCAGGATTCCCGGCGTTGAAGTGTTTGTTGTAGTGGTGGCGTCCATACTCGAACTCTACTACTCTCAGTCTCTCGCCTTTACTTGTCTCCTGTCTAAGAACAAAATCACACTGGTCGTATCTGATTCTCAGCGCGCTCAACTTTCCAATATGGTTCCGGTTGGCTCTGGACAATGTAATCTATGTGAAAAATCCGGGCAACCCAGCGGTATGAAAATGGCAAACCCCCTGCGACCGGCTTTCGTAGAAGAGGGATACTTCCTGTTACCTTCTTATTGTGCTTATGCGAAGGAAGGACAACTGCGAACAGCCAGATACCGCGCTGCCATGCGACGCCGACGCCGAACAACTGTTTTGCATGCGCATTTCCACGCAACCAGCGCCCACGCACGCGCCGTCCACCCGCTACCGACCCGCTTCGCTTGTCCGTTACCTGCCCGTATCAGTTCGCATTAACGTTGCCTGCGGTACTCCTCGTCGGACACGACATTCTGCGTAACCACTGTCTTTCGCCTTAGACGAGGCCGCATCCCCCGCGCATCCGGCACAGACGGTCCCGCGGGAAGTCTGACGCAGCTTCACTGGCCCCGTAAACACCCACACCCAGGCCCATGTCCTTTCCGTGTCCCCTCTGTGTCCCTGTTAATCCCACTCGTGTCCCTAGGTGTCTGGGCGTTTGAAACCCAGAGTACCTGGTCTTTTTTTCGGGGCAAGGACGTTCACCAGAGAACGATCTGAACAACGCGGCCTTGAAACTCCGACAGTTTCTTACACCCTTGCACCTCAGCTCTCTCAGCTCAGATCCCGGGGTGTTTGGGTTATTCTCGTGTGCCTTGACCGGAATACTGGTGCATCGTCATTCGCACAGAAGGAGCCGCGCTATCGCGGAGCCCACACAGTTTCTGGAGATCTACGAAGGGGTTGGTGCCGTGTCGGCTAAATTCATGGCAGGCCGGCACAGAATGGCGGCAGAGCATCGGAACGCGGGCCGGGGAAATTGTGAAGGGTAATTTTCCAGTCCATGGGCAGACCGTTAGGCAGTGCGTTTATCGCCTAGGGGGTCGGCGGAAATGAGCTCACAAAAGCGGACTGAGAAACGGGCGCTCAGAATTTCGACCGTGAACGCGAGGAAAAGGCCGTAAAGAATGGTATTGAGATGGTGATGTGATGATGGTGGCAGTGGTGCCAGACGGTGGCTGCTATCAGTTGTTACAGACGCCTGTGTGAGTGCTGAAAGGCCGAGCAATGGGTGAGGACATTGTCACGTGATCCGTGATCTACTCAGTCGATTTCATGGCAGCTATCGTCTTCGCAGTTGGAGGGCGGCAGGCAGACCAAGTGTGTTCTTTCTGCATTAGAGCTTCAGGTGCTTCCGCCAGCGATTCTTTAGTTTCATTTTTGTGATTGCAAGGGGAGTTGGTGAAAACAATGATGGTTTAGAAAGAGAGCGCAACGCGTGCATTGGGACCTGGGCGGCTATGTTCGTTTGACGTGATTTTCCTTGTGGTCAGGCCTATTGGTGTGATCGAGGTGCTCAGTCGCCACCGGTTTGCAGAGGGATTGTGGAGGGCTGTTGTACTCTCGATGATGGTACAACCTGAGAGGAAGCTTTCAAAGAGGCACTCAGCGTTACGAGACTCGTTGTTTACGCTCCACTCCCGCCTTCAAACTCGAGTTCGCGCTCCAGCGCCGTGTTTAGTGACTGGAAAATTTTTCCAACATGCGCTGGTAAATGAGATGGCGATGAGCTCTCCAAGCAACCGCACAATTCACCAACTTGCGCGGAAGAAATGTCTGAAGAGGAGGCCCAAAAGCGGCCATACGTGTCTGATGAGCCAAAGGAAGCGCAACAGCCCGCTAAAAAGCAGGATACACGCGGTATTGCGCATATCAAGCCCGAATACATCGTAACGAATGCCGCACGCGCGCCAACACCAGCAGCGCCGGGCGCAGAGGAGGAGGAGCCCGTGTCTGACCGAATTGCAGACAGTTCTGGTGGGAAAAAGGGCAAGAAGAAAAAGCAGAGAGGTCAGAACAAAAACCGTGACAATCGCCAAGTCAAGGAGCAATACCAGCTGTGTTCGAAATTGGTGCAAGGATCTGGCAACGGTGAGTGTCCCTTCGGAGACCAATGTCGGTACATCCACGATATCGATGTTTACTTATCGCACAAAAAACCTGAAATCACATGCGAGTACTTCCAAGCTTGCCCGGTGTTCGAGTCACTAGGATACTGCCCCATGGGGTTCAAATGCAGATTTCTAAGCACGCATGTTGAGAAAGACACTAGGGAACTCGTCACAAAGCCGCAAGACGTCCGCGAAAAACTTTACGAAGCAAACAGGGAGATCAATGTCATTGCTGGCGACAAAAAACTGGATCTGATTAAGAGACGATTCCCATTTGAGAAGAGTGATTATGTGCTGGAGATCATAGACGCCATTCAGCAAGAAAACAGGGACAACATGAAGGAGCAACAGAAGGAGAGCGAAAAGCCAGCCGCTGAATCCGATGCCAAAGTCGCGCCCCAAGTGTTGCAAAGGGAGCGTGAGTTGCAAGAACGCCGACAACGCCAGAAAGATCTATACCTAGAGTTCAAAGACACGCGCTATTTCGCACAGGAAAAGAAACCTCTCGATTTGCACGGCAAGAAAATCGTCTCGCCGCTTACAACTGTTGGAAACCTACCTTACCGCAGGCTGATGCGGAAGCTCGGTGCGGACGTCACGTATTCGGAGATGGCTTTGGCAGTGCCGTTGATCCAAGGGACCAACTCCGAATGGGCGTTGCCCAAGGCGCATGTGAGCGAGAGCCCCGGTTTTGGTGTCCAAATTGCATGCTCCAAGGCGTGGCAGGCGGCAAAAGCCGCCGAGGCCATCGCCGCGCATGTGGACGACGTGAGCGAAATCAACCTGAACTCAGGCTGCCCCATAGACCTCCTGTACAGACAGGGCTCTGGAAGCGCGCTCATGGACAATCCAGCGCGCATGATACGCTGCCTGAACAGCATGAACTACGTGTCTGGCGACATTCCGGTGAGCGTCAAGATCCGGACCGGGACGCGGGACGGCCACCCGGTGGCAGAGAGTCTGGTGAAGCGATTGGCCCAGGAGACGGACGTGGCAGCCATCACGTTGCATGGCCGTTCGCGCCAACAGCGCTACACGCGGAGCGCGGACTGGGCGTACGTGAGTGAGGTCGCGCGCTCGCTGAGAGACACCGAGGCGGAACTGCAGGAGAAGCGCAAGGACGCGCGCGAGTCGCCGCGCCGTATCCAGTTCGTGGGCAACGGCGACGTGTACAACTACGAGGAATGGTACAAGCATCTGGAAGACAAGAACATCGACAGCGTGATGGTTGCGCGCGGCGCGCTGATCAAGCCGTGGATTTTCGAAGAGGTGGAAGCGCAACAGCATCTCGATAAAAGCAGCACGGAGCGGCTGGAGATCCTCAGGCAGTACGCGCAGTTTGCAATGGACCACTGGGGCACCGACGAGTACGGCATCTCTCTGTGTCGTCGTTTTTTCTGCGAGTTCATGTCGTTTTTCCACCGCTACATCCCGATGGGCATCTGCGAGCGGTACCCGGTGCAGCTCAACGAGAGGCCGCCGCAATGGCGGGGGCGCGACGACTTGGAGACGCAGCTGGGCAGCACAGACGTGAGGGACTGGATCAAGCTGAGCGAGCTCTTTTTCGGCAAGACCGACGACAACTTTGCGTTTTTGCCCAAGCACAAGAGCAACTCGTATGCGTAGGAGGGCGCTTGCGCGCAGCGCGGATATAAAACTTGTTGATTCTACGTATCTACCTAAACGATGCTAAATTCTAGCCAATACTGGAGCGAGGTGGAAGTTCTGGACGAGTTGAGTCGGAGGCGAACGCCAACGCCAACGCCAACGCCAACGCCGCGTTCCAAACCCCGGTGCCACAAGGACGCCGCGAACCCCGCTACATTTCGGCCTGCAGTTTCTCGGCCTGCTCCTTGAGCTGCGCGATCTGCTTGTCGATGTCGGCGATCTGCGCGGCTAAAGCCGCGGTGTCGCGCTGCGCGGGTTTGGCGGGGTCGGCGGGCTTGGCGCGGTACTCGTCCTTTAGTCCGAGCAGCTCCCACACGATGTTGAGCGTGCGGACGACGGCAAACGTCAGGAAAAGCGTGATGCCGGTGAGGTACATGTTGCGCTGGGCGTAGAACTTTCTGCTCTGGATTTCAACGCGGTCCTGGGCGCCGGTCGCGAGCCCAGCCGCGCGCAGCTCGCGCTCCACGTTGTAGACGCGGTTGATGGTGTCGATGAACAGCAACAGGATGAACGCGAGCACGCACTTGGTGGCCACCTGGACCTGTGTGAGCTGGAACGGCTTGACCAGTGCGACGGTCAGATGGCGGCGGAAGCGCGAGGGGATGGGCAGAGCCAGCACGACGAACACCGTCATCTCTGTGACGAGGATTCCGAACACCAATGCGTAGTAGAGAGCCATGGTGCGAAGTAGTGTGTGAGAGCTGGGGCAGGTAGAGCTGGGGCTGGTACAGTAAACCTTTTTGAAGGCTGGTAGAGACCGCCTTGAAGACGGGCAGCACAAATTTCGCCCCGACGCAAAACGTCACGCCCGCCCTACACGCGCCGCGTTCCGCGTCCCGAGCAAAGCCCTGCCTGCTGTTTTGCCACGTACGTGGCCAAGAGCAAGGGGCGAGGGGAGCGGGAGCGTGGGGCACGGGCGGGAGCGCGAGCGCGAGCGCGCGTCACGCCGCACGGCCGGCCCTCTGCTGCCGTGTTTTCGTTTTTTTGCGCTGGCCGTGCCGCCCGCCCGCCACGTGACCGCCCGTCTCGCACCAAACCTGCCGCCCGTACCCCGCCGCAGCGCTCCGCTACGTGGCCACTTGGGCGCGTTTCGCGCGGCGGTCGCGCGGCACGGCCGCGCTTATCGCCTGCGCGCCCGCCTGGCGCCCAGCACGAAAACTTTTTCGCCACCGGGAGTGTGCACCCACGCCCCCGGCGCCCAGAGCGCGCCGCAGCGCGCCGCGGCCCTCCGGCCGCTGCTGAGGTGCGCGCTCGCCGGCGCAGACGTGGGTATTTAAGCACGAAGGAAACGCGCGGAGAACAAGTCGGCCCCTCGCACCATCCGCTCTCTGCGCACGCTGCACGAACGAGAGACAGACGAAAGCGCGCCGGCCGGGTAACCAGTACCACACCACGCACGTGACGACGACCCCCTCTTCCCCCCCACAGCACATGACGGAACCGCACGCGCAGGACGCCGCGGACGCGGCCCCAGACGTGGCCGCGGCCAAGGCCGCGGCAGCGGCGCCCGCGGCGGCGCCCGTGGCGCCGCCCACGGCGCCGCCCTCCGAGTCCGGCGCCGAGCAGCCCGAGACGCTAGCCGCCGAGGCGCCGTCGCCGGCGGCTAACGGCGCCAGCGGCGGCGCGCCCGCAGCCGACCCCGCGCCCCCCACAGACCCGCCCATGGGCTCCCTCCCGGCGGACGTTACCCCCGCCCCCGCTCCGCCCCGGAAGCCCGACATGCACAACCTGCCGGCCAACCCGCTGCCCAAGCACCAGGCCAAGCACGCGCTCACGGCCGTCAAAGCCGTCAAGCGCCTCAAGGACGCGCGCCCATTCCTGCAGCCCGTGGACCCCGTCGCCCTCAACATCCCCCTCTATTTCAACTACATCAAGCGCCCCATGGACCTCTCCACCATCGAACGCAAGCTCAACGCCAACGCCTACGAGACCCCCGAGCAAGTCACCGACGACTTCCGTCTCATGGTCCGCAACTGCGCGCAGTTCAACGGCGCGCAGTCCGTGATCGCCCAGATGGGCCGCAACATCGAGGCCTCGTTCGAAAAACACATGCTCAGCATGCCCGCGCGCGACGCGCCGCCGCAGCCGCGCGCCAAGCGGCGGCGGTCGGAGCTCGACACGCCCGTCGTAATCCGTCGCGCAGAAACGCACAACGGCCGCCCCAAGCGCGAGATCCATCCGCCCCGGTCCAAGGACATCTACCCGTACGAAAGCGCCAAGCCGCGCTCCAAGAAGTACCAGAACGAGCTCAAGTTCTGCCAGCAAGTGGTCAAGGAGCTCATGTCCAAGAAGTTGTCGTCGTTCAACTACCCGTTCCTCGAGCCCGTGGACCCCGTCGCCCTCAACTGCCCCACGTACTTTGATTACGTAAAGCAGCCCATGGACCTCGGCACCGTCAACCGCAAGCTCAACAACTGGGAGTACGAGAACGCAGACGAGGTCGAGCGCGACATCCGCCTCGTGTTCCAGAACTGCTACGCCTTCAACCCGGACGGCACCATCGTCAACATGATGGGCCACCGCCTCGAGGACGTGTTCAACGCGCGGTGGGTCGACCGCCCGGTCACTCCGGACGAGGACTCCGACGACGACGAGCGCGCCGACTCCGACTACTCCAGCGACGACGCGCCCGCCGACGAGGACGTCGACGAGAGCCTCATCACCAACCCGGCCATCCAGTACCTCGAGCAGCAGCTCGAGCGCATGAAGGTCGAGCTCCAGCAGCTCAAGAAGCAGGAGCTGGAGCGCATCCGCAAGGAGCGCCGTCTCGCGCGCGGCGGCAAGCGCCGCCGCGCCGGCAAGAAGCGTGCCCGCACGGGCGCCGGCTCTGCCGGCACCGGCGGGTCCGGCGGCGCGGGCTCTGGTAGTACCGGCTCTGGCGGCTCTGGCGCGGGCAAGAAGCGCAAAAACAAGCTCAAGACCGTCGTCACCTACGACATGAAAAAGGTGATTTCCGAGCGCATCAACGACCTGCCGCAGTCCAAGCTGGAAAAGGCGGTCGACATCATCCGCAAGTCCATGCCCGACATCGGCAAAGACGACGAGGTGGAGCTGGACATCGACATGCTCGACAATATGACCATTCTAACGCTGTACAACACTTTTTTCCGCGAATACGCGACCGCCAACGGCAACGGCGCCTCGATCGACGAAGAGCTCGCTCGTGGCAACTCTCTTTCCCCAGGGTCTGCCTCGATGGGCTCGTCGCGCAAGCTCAACCGCAGAAGAAGCAAAGCGTTGAGCGAAGAGGAACAGAACAAACAGATTGAAAAGATCAAGAACAAACTTGCAATCCTAGACGGTGCGTCGCCTGCTAGCTCTAGTGCCCTCAACGGGCTTTCGCTTGGTGGAGAAGACTCCTCTGATGACGATGACGACGATGATGACGACATGAGCAGCGAGAGTGAAGAAGAGTGAACTCAGCACCGATGGAACTGGCTTCATTTCTTGGGCACCCTCGGCTGACCTTTATAAAACTTTCATCGCTGGGAACTAATATGTATCTCCCAAGTTGTAACAGTATTAAATAGTATAGCAAAACAGAAAAACAAATAAAAAAAAAAAGAAGTCTACTAGTGAATGTTTGGTGGTGGTCGGAGTTGAAATTGTCGTCAATAAGTTTGAGAATCTAGCTTTTGTTTATACTTTTTATGCAATTAATCTATGTGTGGATGTTTTATGTTTTCAAACTACGGAGGATCTTTTGGTTTTGGCTATTGAATGGGGAAAAGTGCGTACAGGTGAATGACACATAAACAAAAAAAAAAACGCTCTCTATTATCGAGCAACTAGTAAACTCTTAAAGTTCTAATCGATTTAATACTACGACTTGTCATGGTGCTTTCTTCTTCCATGCCACAATCTCTATTACTTTGTTTCTGATCACGGGTTCGTTTGATGGTACTTTGGGTTCTGGCAGCGTTGAATATTTTCACCGCCTATTTGCTGAACTACCCGTCAAACTCACTTGCCATCTGCTAGAACACAGTGCTATCCAATTAATATGCTTTCAGCAGACTCCATTGAGGATCTTTACAATAGTCTAAAGGAAATTGGACATGAAGAGGTCGAAATTTTCCAAGACCACTCTTCAAAGCTTGCAATCGACGAAAATAAGTCTGGAAAACAGGACATTGTGAACAGATTTCTTGAGCCCTCCAATGTGCTGTCCTGGGACTTGTTGGACCTTTTTCAAGATGTTCCTGAGATGAACTTTCTCGGCGACGAAACCAATCCCCGGGCAAAAGATTATGACTACAAAGAGTTTCTTGAGATTCCTGATCTAATTAATAGAACATCGTATCATTTCAAAAGACGGGGCCTAGAAGGGAGAATTTCCAGTTACAAAGAATCCGTGAATCTGAACGAAGTAGCAAACGCTAACGCTTCAAACTCTTTATCACTGTCAAGGAAGATAGACCAAGAGAGTAACACTCTTAGGGGTTCCACCGCGCATCTTCCCTTCACACCAGGTGGCCTTTCAATGACAACGTTAAATCAACCAGACGATGTCAGTGCAATGGCAGCTGCGACAAAACTGCTGCATAGAGACGAACAGGGCCTCTTTGATGTTCCACAAGGTTTAGAGCGAGGAATAATCCCACAGGAAGTCGCAATTCAAGATTCGCATGAAATTCAGGAACTGAATACGTTGAATGAAATTGATAATGAAGCGGAAAATATAAGGGAGATAGAAGAGAGTCGTGAGCTCGAAGAACAAAATGTGGGTGAGCAAACAAATAGATCCATTTTGAAAACCCAAAGCAGTGAAGAACAAGATGGCAACATTGACGATTTGCTTCCTATTGGCATAGATTTTGGTCGGACCATTCGCACGGCAAAAGACCTTTTCAGTCACAAAGACTGGGCTCATGTGGTAGATTTGAATCATAAGATTGACAACTTCGAAGAATTAGTTCCAAATCCGGCCAGAACGTGGCCATTTGAACTGGATGTATTCCAAAAAGAAGCAGTATATCATTTAGAACAAGGTGATTCCGTGTTTGTTGCTGCACACACGTCAGCTGGTAAAACAGTGGTCGCGGAGTATGCGATCGCTATGTCAAAGAGAAACATGACAAAAACAATCTACACCTCCCCGATTAAAGCTTTATCTAATCAAAAGTTTAGAGATTTCAAAGAAACTTTCGAGGATGTTGATGTCGGGTTGATTACTGGTGACGTTCAAATAAACCCAGAGGCTAACTGTCTAATCATGACTACCGAAATCTTAAGGTCTATGTTGTATCGCGGTGCTGATCTAATCAGAGATGTCGAATTTGTTATTTTCGATGAGGTACACTACGTCAATGATCAAGATCGTGGTGTTGTCTGGGAAGAAGTCATTATCATGCTTCCTCAACATGTTAAGTTCATTCTTCTTTCGGCAACTGTTCCCAATACATTTGAATTCGCCAATTGGATTGGAAGAACAAAGCAAAAAAATATTTACGTGATATCCACTCCAAAGAGACCTGTTCCACTAGAGATTAACATATGGGTGAAAAACCAACTCATTCCAGTCATCAATGGGAAACGTGAATTTCTCGAGTCAAATTTTAAAAAGCATAAGGAGCTCATATCTGGTAGCAGCACGCTGAAGGGCCCAGGTGGTGATAAGAGTAAAAATAGTACTAATTCTCGCGGTGGTGCTGCGCGTGGAGGCGCCGCTCGTGGTGGGAGAGGAAGAGGGGGGTCTCGTGGCGCTGGTGCAGTGGGTTCAAATAGAAGCGAATTTTACAAGAGAAGTGCTCCTAACAAGAAAACGTGGCCTAATTTGGTCAACTATTTGAAGTCTCACGACTTGCTACCCGCAGTAATTTTCGTATTCAGCAAGAAGCGGTGCGAAGAATACGCAGACTGGCTCGAGGGAGTGAATTTTTGCGGTAACAAGCAACGTTCCCAAATCCATATGTTTGTTGAAAAGTCCATCACACGTTTAAAAAAGGAAGATAGAGATTTGCCTCAGATCTTAAAGATGCGTTCTTTGTTGGAACGAGGTATCGCCGTACACCACGGTGGCTTGCTACCAATTGTGAAAGAGCTTATAGAGATGTTATTTGCAAAGGGCCTTGTAAGTGTCCTTTTTGCGACTGAGACATTCGCAATGGGATTAAATTTACCAACCAGGACTGTTGTCTTCAGTGAAATTCAGAAACATGATGGGAATAGTCTCCGAAATTTGAATCCTGGTGAATTCACCCAAATGGCTGGGAGAGCTGGTCGGAGAGGTATCGACGAAACTGGTACCGTTATTGTAATGTCCTACACATCTCCTATAGAGCAAGTTTCATTTAAAGAGGTTGCACTAGGTGTCCCTACTAAGTTACAATCTCAGTTCAGATTAACATACAATATGATCTTAAATCTTTTAAGAATTGAAGCATTGAGGGTTGAAGAGATGATCAAATACTCATTCAGTGAGAATAGTAAACAGACTCTACTACCTGAACATGAAAAAAAGATTAAAGAATTACAAAGGCAATTAGATAGTATTGAGCTTTACGAATGTCCTTGCTGCAGGAATGATATTGACAAAGCACTTGATGCCACTATCAAATACAAAGAGTACACGAAGGATATCATGAAAGAGCTGAGTAATGGTAGTGCGATTTTTCGGATTTTGAATGTAGGGAGACTTGTTCTGTTCCGAGATGACAAGGACTGTCCTAAACTCGGATTTATATTCAGAAATACCCCCAAAGAACACCAGACTGTGGTGATGACAATTACTGAGCCAAATACATTGGAAGATGGAAACCCTAATCATCTTCCTTTCCTTTCCACATTACCAGACTTTGTGAAACACAATTTCCGTGCTTTCAAAGAGACAGAATTTTATATGGAAAGCATTTCGATCTCACAAATCGAAATAGTAAGTGCATTCACACTCAACGTTCCTATGACTGACATAATGAAGCAAGAACCAGAAGCCATGAAGAAGTTCCATAGTGAAGTGGCGCTAATTTTAAAGATTGTGAGGAAGCTTCGCGAAACCAAATATGAGAAGAAGGGCAGTTTGAAAATCCACCAAGCAATTCTTGACAGGGAAAAGGTAAAGATTGAATTTGCTGCGTTGGATTGTTTAAGGTGTAAAAACTTTGCCAAGCATTTCCTGCCCAGGTATCGCCAATTTGAAATTGAAAGAGAGATAAAGTCATTATATCATTTGATGTCTGATCAAAACCTAAATTTACTGCCAGATTATGAACAACGTTTGTCAGTTTTGAAGGAAACAGGATTCATTGATCACAATCACAATGTGTTACTCAAGGGAAGGGTTGCTTGCGAGATTAATTCGGGTTATGAATTGGTTCTAACAGAGTTAATTTTGGATAATTTCTTGGGCGACTTCGAGCCGGAGGAAATTGTTGCCCTTCTATCAGTATTTGTCTATGAAGGGCGGACAAGAGAAGATGAACCACCTGTCACAACACCAAGGCTAGGCAAGGGTAAAAAGAGGATTCAGGAAATTTATCAACAGATGCTATCTGTATATGAAAAGCATCAGGTTCCGCTTACCCAGGAAGAAGCGGAGTTTCTGGATAAGAAAAGGTTTGCATTAATGAATGTGGTCTATGAATGGGCTAGGGGTTTATCTTTCAAAGAAATTATGGACATGAGCGTCGAAGCAGAGGGAACAATTGTTAGAGTCATCACAAGATTAGATGAAATCTGTCGCGAGGTCAAAACAGCTTCCATTATCATTGGTAACTCCAGTTTGCATATGAAAATGTCTCAAGCCCAAGAGCTCATCAAGAGAGACATTGTTTTCGCTGCAAGTCTGTACTTGTGATACTGCGGTAGAGCGCATCTGCGAACTTTATAAAAGCCGATTTATTTAGATCTAGTAGTCAAAAATTCTCCGCAATATTGGATGGGACACCGAGGTTTCAACAATTTTGAAGACAGTTTGCCTTTCATTTGCTATCGCGATATAGCCTATGATAGCATTAAATGATTTATAATCGAAGATTCTTCGTATTCTCACTGGGACTGCGCTTTCAGGTGCCGGTATTCTTGCTAACCGATCAAATTTTCGACTCACAAATCCTTTTATGAGGGCCTTTGGCGATCTTTTAGCTAGACTGAGGTGTTTCATTTTATTTCCATAGCTGAAATCTAAATTCCCAATATCATGATCACTCTTCTTGAACACATTTAATAATGCCTTGCTCAGAGCAAGCCTTAAAACAGTATGTCCTAATTTCTCCAGCTTTGCAATCTCATAGGAAGGGCCGTCAGGTAGATTGATATTGTAATTCCGGAGTGGATACAGACATTTTACAAACTCATCATCATTTATTATGATTGTGGCATATCGATCCAAACCGAGTACTTCTTTAATGCGTTCAAGGCGGTTCTCATCTTCAGCCTGGTTATGTCTAGGTATACGCTGAAGGCTTCTTTTCAACAAACTGCGAGAATATGATCGCATCGATAGGTGGCGCACGGTGGGTAACATGAGATTATGGGCCCTCAAATGATGCGATACCAAAATATTAAAATTCATGAACAGCCAGTTACCGGTTTTGGATGCTCTCATGTTCGTTCATGAATGCAATCAAAGTGCACTGCGGCTTGTGTAATCTTAAAACAATTGTCGTCCTCAACGTACAGATTTAAAAATTTCAAAACTTGACTTTCCACACGATGGCATTGCCAGTAAAGGAATTCGACAATCCATCTCGATGGCCCCAAAAGCTTCAGGATCCTCCTCGAAAAAGAAGAGCACTTCCAAGGGCACCGGTTCCGATGATTCGAAACCTTCAAAGGTCAAAATACCGTCTACCTTTATAACAAGGCCATCAATAAAGAATGATGATCGGTCCATCTGTACTGTCACTCTAAATCCAGAGGTGATGAAAGCTCTAGAAATTGGAGCATCAGGAATGTGTATCATTTCCAGAGAGGGAGAAAATGGCTGCGTTGCGATAGTTAAGGAAGGTGATGCCTCTCATCCACCAAATGTTGTCCAAATTTCTGAGCCATTGAGATCTGTAGGCAACTTGGTTTTGGGTGATCGTGTAGAGATCAGAAAAGTTTCTGCTCAGCCAGAATATGCGACCAGCGTCGTTGTGGGCTCACTAGAGGGCGTTGAAATACCTCACAGTGCATCGAAACATATCGAAAAACTTCTAGAGGATTGTGGTATCATAATGCCAGGTATGATTTTCAAAGGACGCATACTTGGTGATGATATAGAACTTGATTTGATAATTGTTGACATAAATGAACCTTCGGATGACGATTTACCTGATATGTCTAAATTAAAAGTGACAGAAGATGATAGTGACAAAAGTTTATTCTATCTCTCACCGCCAGGAATTTTCCGCAGAGGTTCAACAAATGTCAAGTTGACCTCACAAAACAAACCTAATCCAAATTATAACTTACCTGAAGCGTTGAACTACAACAGTGTTGGAGGTCTCTCGAAGGAAATAAGTCTTCTCAATAAAGCGATTGAACTACCACTCCACCAGCCCACATTATTTGCAGATTTTGGGGTTACACCCCCTCGTGGTATTCTTCTGCATGGCCCACCAGGTACGGGTAAAACAATGCTTTTGAGATGTGTTGCTAATGAAGCAAATGCTCATGTCCTAACTATCAATGGCCCGTCTATAGTCTCAAAATACCTTGGTGAAACAGAAGCTGCCTTGAGAGACATCTTCAACGAAGCCAGACAGTACCAACCTTCCATCATATTTATTGATGAGATTGACTCTTTAGCGCCTAGTAGAGCAAGTGACGACTCGGGTGAAGTAGAGAGTCGCGTTGTGGCGACCTTACTAACGCTAATGGACGGAATGGGTGGTGCTGGGCGTGTGGTTGTTGTGGCGGCCACAAACAGGCCAAACACTGTTGATCCTGCATTGAGAAGGCCGGGGAGATTTGATCAAGAGGTGGAAATTGGAATCCCAGATGCTGAGGCAAGAGAGGAAATTCTTTCGAAACAATTTTACAAGATGTCGAGTAGACGTCATGAACTAACTTCTGAAGATATTCATTTAATATCTTCAAAGACGCATGGATATGTTGGTGCTGATTTGATTGCCTTGTGTAGGGAATCTGTGATGAAAACTCTTCAAAGAGGAACAACGAACAATATCGATAGGGATGATTTGCGTGTAACCCTCAAAGACGTCGAAGATGCAATGGCAGAAATTAGGCCCAGTGCTATGAGAGAAATTTTCCTGGAGATGCCAAAAGTTTACTGGTCCGATATAGGAGGTCAGGATGAGCTTAAACTTAAGATCAAGGAAATGGTCCAGTTGCCTCTAGAGGCTTCCGAGACTTTCTTGAATCTAGGAGTTTCCGCTCCAAAGGGTGTCTTACTATATGGTCCACCAGGTTGCTCAAAGACTTTGACCGCAAAAGCACTGGCAACTGAATCTGGGTTAAATTTTCTGGCTGTGAAAGGTCCAGAAATCTTCAACAAATATGTGGGTGAATCTGAGAGGGCAATCAGGGAGATATTTCGTAAGGCTCGAGCAGCCGCACCAAGTATCATTTTCTTCGATGAGATCGACGCCCTCTCACCTGATAGGGAATCTAGCAGTACTTCTGCTGCGAATCATGTTTTGACTTCATTATTAAATGAAATAGACGGTGTCGAAGAACTCAACGGAGTCGTCATCGTTGCAGCGACAAACAGACCAGATGAGATCGATCCTGCGTTGCTACGTCCGGGCAGATTAGACCGCCATATATTTGTAGGGCCACCCGACTTCGAAGCAAGATTGCAAATTTTAAGGAAAAATACGCAAAAGTTCAACCTTGAAGACTCTGAATCAATCTTGAGAGATCTCGCCATAAAGACTGAAGGGTGCTCTGGTGCAGAGGTGGTGTTGTTGTGTCAAGAAGCAGGTCTTGCAGCGATCATGGAAGACTTGAACACAGCTACAGTAGCGACACGCCATTTTGAAAAAGCACTTTCAGGAATTTCCAGAGGTATAACGCCAGAAATGCTTAATTATTATAGGGACTTTGACTCCAGAAGTGGCATTTCAGCGTAGTCATATAGATTTATAGAGAGCATAGGAATAGGTCGTCAATCACGAAATATACCAATAATTGTCGCTCAAATATCAGGGCGCTGTAATTCTGTAACACATTGTGAGTAGTTTGAATGAATAAGACTATCAATACCAGAAAGTTTGCCCGGATACTTAGAGATGATCTTTTTGATATACTGAATAGCTTCACTGAGAATAGTATGACACAAATTCTGATTCTTCAGAAGAATGTATTAGAACTTCTAAACTACCTCTGCACATTTAGCCAACTGATCAATTCGACAGAAGTTTCTCAGATAATACTTTGTGATGAAAATTGCGAAGCGAAGCTAGAAGAATTGCGAGCACAAAATGACCTACAGTTGATTTTCTTGGTGGATGTCAAATCGGACCTTCGAATACCGCAAAAAATAGTAGACATCATCGATAGTCAAAGGGAGGATCATTGCAAAATCATTTACTCATCTTGGGACCAGGAGCCATCTGATAGAGCAGGAGGACTGCAAAACTATATACACTTGCAATTGAAAAATCAAGTGAAGATACACCCTTGGAAATTTCTTCCAGTTTGTTTAGTGGATGACAACTTACTAGATTGTAACTTTTTGCGAAACAGTGAAGGAGAAAGCTTATATGCACCGAAATTAAGATCCATGCAGGAAGCATGTAGGTCACTTCTTATAGAGAATCTCTCCATAACGTTGCAATCAGTCCTTAAACAAGCGGACGTTATGATTACACATGCATTATCCGTGGGACCCAACTCTCATAAGCTGGTGGACCATTTGAAAAAGTCACTTAACGGTCAAAAAAGTGCCGAAGATATATTTATCGAAGATGCTCTATATGGAAATAGGCACTCTGGCAAACAATGCAATTTAATTGTCCTTGAAAGAGAAATCGATCAGTTGACACCAATGCTTTCGCAGTTAACATATGCCGGCATTCTAGATGATCTATATGAGTTACGTGGAAACAAACTTGTCGAAGAACCATCGTTGGCTGATGTAGAAGTTGGATCAATTGATTACACACGGGATGACGTGTGGGATGAACTCAAGTTTCAAAATTTTGGTGCATTAGGGCCGCGATTAAATGAAATGGCTCGAGAACTGCAAGTAAAATACGATGCTAGACACCAGGCTGAAAGTGTGGGTGAGATCAAGGAATTTGTAGAAAGCTTGGGAGGATTACAAGAACAGCAAAAACTTTTGAAATTGCACACAGCTCTCTCTTCAAAAGTGGTTAGTGAGGTTACAGGGCCTGAAGAGGATGATGAAGAGTCTTTATTCAATCGGATAATGGAATTGGAGCAGGACCTCATATTGGGCAACCTTGGGCACAGAGCAGGTTGTGATAGAATACTGGAACTACTACACGAATTTGAGGCTCCTCGACATGTGGTTCTGCGGTTGTGTTGCATTTTTTCGCTGAGCAAGAACGGAATACGAGAACGTGAGTTTCAAATCCTCAAGACGGAGCTGATAGATTCATGGGGTACTGCGGTACTTTTCGAGCTGGAGGATCTTACTCGTGCGGGCGTTTTCCTTAGTAAAGCTAATTACGCAAAGTATTCGAAATGGCACGATTTTCAGTCATTGGCTAGTGCATTGAGTCTGGTTCCGCAATTGGAAGGAGATGACGGTCCTGGCAAGCCATTAGATGCAAATTTCGCATATTGCGGGGTGGTGCCGATAACCACGAGAATTGTACAGATGCTATACGATCGTTGCGTGGCCAGCAAGAGTTACTCTCCGCAACAGCCGTTCATCATGTCTCGAACGCCCACTTGGCGGGGCATGGAGGAGCTGTTCAATCTACAATACGGAGCAGGCAGTATTCGAGAACAAGTGTGGGACCGGTCGCAAGCTGCCAAGACCAAAATCATCGGAGTGCCGGACGCGAGCGCGGCAGACCCTGTGTTTGTGGTTTTCATTGGCGGGGCTACGTTGGGAGAAGTTGCAACACTGCAGTATCTGGGACGTCAACTGCGTAGCAAGGGCGTGCACAAACGCTTTATCATACTGTGCGACGGGATCGTGGGGGGCAAGAGGGTAGTAGCGTAGCTCAACGTAACGTAACGTAACTGAAAATGAATATTTTTTTCTCTTGTATTACCTATAATCTCATACATAGTTGCTAACGTCTAGTACATGCAAAGGCCACTGAGCGTCCAGCAGCAAAGTGGGGTCCTAGTTTTCAGCGGCCTTTTCGGCAGCCAACTTGGCGTAAAAGTCTTCACGCTTGTTGACGAGGTTCTTGTGGAACCCCCACCACCAGTAGGAGCCCATCACACCACCGATGGAGAAACCGATGACGATGTCTGCAATGATTCTCTTTCTGAGAGTACCAGTAATAGGAGCAAGGGCAGTCATATTGAATTGATTGTAGATTTAGACAAGGAGAGGTGGTTGAGATAGTGGTCCGAAAAATTTGAGATTCTTGCATATGCTGGAGGCGAGCCAATCACAGCCCGCGCTTTTACCGGATTTTTCGCTTTGGTATAAGCAGGGAGAAAAAATTTGAGAGATGCGTACGCGAGACAAGCTTGAGTCTGTTACATTTGAGAATAGCATTTGCAAGGAGCAGACCACATATTACAGAGATGATGTTCCAACAGTTGACCAGAGTTGCCGCCAGGAGGGCGTTTTCTGCCTCCACCAGACAATCCGCCGTGCATTTCAAGGAGGGTGTGTACACCAACATCCCAGTCAAGGTCCACAACAGAAAGATCCCATTTGCTCTAATCCACTTTGGGTTCTTCACCTTGGGGTTCTTGGTGCCATTTTTCTCGTCATACGTCCAGTTGAAGAAGTCTGGTGTGTTGTAAGGGTTTGGTTTTTAGTTGATATTCATGTACCTAATGTGTACGCATGTGTAAGACAAGAGACATTATGCAAATACGCAGAGAGCCGGGCAGAGAGCCGGGCAGTGGTGGTGGTGACGTTGCTAGAGGCCGTGATCTCCAGAGCAGGCTTGCAACAGTGGCCAGAGGGCGGATAACCGCCGAGAAGACCGGCGCCACGTGACCGGGCGCATACGTACATCGCCACGTACGGGATACCGTCGATAGCGACACAACAACATCCGTACAACGCGACATCAAAACCACCGTACAACGCGACACACAACCCGTGCACCAGAACCCACGCACCGCTGTCCGGGCGGCCCGGCACCCCGGACGCCAATCCCGACGCCCCACAACCAAACCCCGTCCCTCTCCGCCCGTCGCCCGCGGCAACCGCCCCGCGTTCCCAGCCCGCTGTCGCCCGCGCAACTCGCGCCGCCGCCGCTATATAACCGGCGGGCGGCGCCGCCCGCCGGTGGCCGCCACGGCCTCTGGTCCCAATTTCTCCAACCTCTGACCTCCCGCCTCCCACCTCCAACATGTGGACGCGCAGAAACCTGGCAACGTTGGCCAAGATCAAAGTGAAAACCCCGCTCGTCGAGCTGGACGGCGACGAGATGACCCGCATCATCTGGCACCGCATCCGCTCGCGCCTGGTGCTGCCGTACGTGGATGTGGACCTGCGCTACTTCGACCTGTCGATCACGTCACGTGACCGCACCCGCGACCAGATCACCCGCGACGCCGCGCTCGCCATCAAAAAGTACGGCGTGGGCGTCAAGTGCGCCACCATCACGCCCGACGAGGCCCGCGTCGCGGAGTTCAATCTCCACCACATGTGGCGCTCCCCCAACGGCACCATCCGCAACATCCTCGGCGGCACCGTGTTCCGCGAGCCCATCGTAATTCCGCGGATCCCGCGCCTCGTACCCGGGTGGCAGCAGCCCATCATCGTCGGCCGCCACGCGCACGGCGACCAGTACAAGGCGTCGGACGTGGCCGTGCCCGGCGCCGGTGCGCTGGAGCTGGTTTTCCGGCCCGGCGACGGCGCGCCCGCGCAGACCGTCAAGGTGTACGATTTCGAGGGCCCTGGCGTGGCGCTCGCGATGTACAACACAGACGCCTCGATCCGCGGGTTCGCGCACTCGTCGTTCGCCATGGCGCTGTCCAAGCGGCTGCCATTGTACCTGGCCACCAAGAACACGATTCTCAAGACGTACGACGGCAGATTCAAAGACATCTTCCAGGAGGTGTACGACAGCGAGTACGCGGCGCGCTTCGCGGCCGCGGGCATCTCGTACGAACACCGCCTGATTGACGACATGGTCGCCCAGATGATCAAGTCGCGCGGCGGGTTTGTGCTGGCGTTGAAAAACTACGACGGCGACGTACAAAGCGACATCGTCGCGCAGGGTTTCGGGTCGCTGGGGCTGATGACGTCGATGCTGGTCGCGCCCGACGGCAAGACGTTCGAGAGCGAGGCCGCGCACGGGACCGTTACCCGGCACTTCCGCCAGCACCAGCAGGGCAAAGAGACGTCCACCAACTCCATCGCGTCGATCTTTGCGTGGACCCGTGGGCTCGCCAAGCGTGGCGAGCTCGACGCCACGCCCGACGTGGTGCGCTTCGCGCACACGCTCGAGGCGGCCACGCTGCAGACCGTGCAGGACGACGGGATCATGACCAAGGACCTCGCGCTGGCGTGCGGGCGCACGGACCGCGCCGCGTACGTGACGACGGAGGAGTTCCTGGCCGCGGTCGAGACGCGGCTGGCGCGGCAGCTGGCGGCGTGAGCGACGTGGGGCCGCGCGGTCACGAGGTTTCCACGTGACCGACAGCGGCACACCACCGAACGCACGTGACTATCACGTGCTATGTAACTAGTTTCTGTCTCCGTTATCTACACTATGCTATACGACTACACAACCGCAACGCCGCTGGCGCGACCGCTATGCGGCGGGCCTGGCGGCCGCGCCGCTTGCGGCCTGTGCCCGCTCGCTGCGCTCGAGCCACTCCCATCCGAAGCACAATGCGTAGTAGCTCCCCATGCAGACCGCGAGCATGCGGCCCACGGGGCGCGCCCAGCGTCGGTAGATCATTGTGTGGGGCGAGGGCGGCGCGCGCCCGCCGGCCCCGCCGTTGGCATCCCATCGGGCGTACGTTTGGTGCATCCTTGGATGTGGCTGTTGGTTTGAAGGACGCGATCGCGGTGTGCTTCTTGGGCGTTCGGGGATAAAGAAAAAAGACCACGTGACTGCCCTGGGCGCGGATTTCGGGCCATCGGAGCCCGGCGCAATTTCCCCGCCTGGATTCGGCAATCAGCAAAAGACAAAGGTAACTCGAGACGAGCGCGAACTGTCACTACGCTCTTCCTGCGTTGCGCTACTTGCTACTTGCTCTATGTACATGCTCGCCGGGCCTACGGCGCGTCTCTTCATTGCGTCTGTTCGCGCTGCAGCCCTCTCACGCACTTCCACAGAAGGTTGAACTCCCGCTGGTCCGCGCCTCCACAGCCCATCCACCGGATCCTCAGGTCCGGGTCCACCACCACTACGTAGCCCGTATACAGGTTGTTCATTTGCAGTTCTTCACGAACCAGGAACGGCAGTTGGTCACGCTCACACACGAAATACCGACTATGACGTGCCTCCGGAACGCTCTTACGTATCTTGCCCAGCGACATCTTCACGATCAGCGACTTCATAAAGTTTTCCACCAGGTTGACCTCGACAATCTGGGTGTGCACTGGGTCGCCTGCCGTGTTGAGTTTCGCTTCGTCTCTTAGATAGTCCTCTTCGCCCTGTCGGAAATACGACTTGACCAACTCGTCGCCCACCTCGCTCGTGAACATGCGAACCACCGAGATCTTGCCTCGCATACAATCCTCCACGTTCTGCGTCGAGCTGTCGCTCAGACTGCGTCCGTGCAGATGCGGAAAGTATAGCGCTTTGTCTTTTCTCCAATACGACGCTGGCGACAGGAACAGCTTCCCTTTGGTCTTCCGGAACGTGTAGACATCGTAAAACCCACTCTTGCTAAACTCCAATTCCAGCTCCTCCGTGCGCTTGCTTGTCTTGGCGTTGTCGAACATCTCTCGAAAAGAGTTCCCCTCGTGGTACTTCACAGCAGCAGTTGGCGCTCTTTCCAACCCCACGGGCTTCACCAGCGTCTTCACCACATGTTCCTTAGGAGCCGTGTTTGCTAAATGTTTTTGGAACCTGCTCAAGAATTGCGAAGTCGCGCTCGCCGAGAAATACCGCTTCATTACCTAATGACAATGCTACGTTCTTGGACTAGCTACGTTCTAGGACAAGCAATGTAAGACATGATGATCATACGTAAGAGAAAAAAAAAAATAGGAAAAAATGTGACAGAATTGCTCGTCGGGGAGGTGTTTGAGATGAAATGATGTAAGCTCGCCGTAATCAAGCGTCTGGCCAATTCACGGGGAGAAAAGCCGGGTTTGGTCAATATAGGGTCGCATCTTATATCAAACATATATATACATATGTGCCTGCAAATTATTTGCTACTGAAATCTACATAAACCTCACGATGTTCATCTGAACCTTTCAAGGACACAAATAACTACGAAAAATGACTCCCAAGGCCGAGATAAAACTGAATCAACCTCTCAATGGCAAGTATTATACCACGAATGAACCCATCACGGGCGCTTTGCTGGTGAAATCAGACAAAGCCATGTGCATTCAAAAAATCGAGCTTACTTTGCGGGGCATTGCGCAGACGCTTGTCCGACAGGAAAGGTCAGATTACCAATACACCATGAACGCGGGATTCCCGCTGAGATCGTGCCATGTCCTCGTGGATAATAAACTCACGCTTTTCCCACCTGCTAACGTGAGTAAAGCCATAAGTGAGCCCGACAAGGCCTTCACATTAGCCAAGGGTTCTCATGAGTACCCTTTCCAATTTTTAGTGCCATACCAGCCCAGATGTATGACAGATCACGGCGCGGCTACTTCAGGATTCAATTGCAACGAAGAAGACGCCCGGATCCCCCCAAGTTTCAATACAGATTCTGCCCAGCAGGAGCTCGATAACGTCGAGGCCTATTATTACAAGATGGGCACGATCCACTATTACTTTAAGGCTCAGATATTCATGGGCAAGTCAAAATTCCGTCTCAAGCCCTTCAACCCTATGGTTGAAGCATACAAGATGATTGAGTTTATCCCAGAGTCAATGGAGGAAGGAAACCAAGCCGTAAATGTCGACACAAGTTGCGGGCCAACCGACAAGTTTGTTTCAGAAACCGATCTCAAATTGCGTGGAGACGTATCCGCCTGGGTGGAGGTACGAGCCAAAAGCTTGAATCGAGTACATCGCATGGACTATTTATTCAAGCCCGGGTGCCGCAGATTCGATAGAATATATCTAATGTTCACCGACGTTCCGGCTTCTAGCAATAGCATTAAGGTGACCAAGTTGAAACTGGTTTTGCAAGAGGTTTTGGACTATTTATCAAACGGTCTCATAAACTCTATCCAGGGTAAGATCCCGCTAATCGAAGTGCCCTTGGACATAACACTGGACCCGTCCGAATTGAAAGTTTTGAAGAATGGCACAGTGGAATGGCCTTTAAGCATTGCGAAAACAGAACCATTGTGCAGTTACCGCTTTAATGAAGATGACATGAAATATAAGGGAAACGGGTTGTATAGTTTCATGTGTTGTAATATCAGACGCTCCTTCAAATTTCTATTGAAAGTGACCGTGGAAATAAACGGTGTTGCTCAGGAAGTTGAAGTATCGGCGTCATCAACAAAGATTGACCGTAAACTGGCAATTGAACAGGAGCAACTACCTCGCTATGAACCCGACGATGTGCCCCCAGAATATGGGCACACAATTGCAAGCGATAATTAGCTTTTTGAAACTATAAAGATAAGTAATCTTTGTCGTTACGTATTTAATCCGAAAGACGAAACATAAAATAAGCGTGTTTATGTGTTGAGAAGTAAAATGATGAATTCGGGGTATCAATTTTTTTAATGGAAAGGAAAAGTTCGCAGATGTGGACATATGCATAAATCATAGAAGCATACCAGCAACCATTAATCCACCGATCAGGCCAGTTCCGATTTCCAAAGCATTAGCACCGTCAGCGGATTGAACCAAGACGGCAGTGCTGCTGGCGACGTCACTGGAAGAAGGAGCAACGGTTTCCAAGGTCGATGGGGCAGCAGAAGAAGTGGCTAGTTCAGAAGTGGTAGATTCAACGGCCGAAGAGGTGGAGGCCTCAGTAGAGGAGGAAGCTTCAGTGGAAGAGGTGGCCTCGGTGGCCTCGGTGGAACTGGCCTCAGTTGAGGTGCTGATCTCACTAGAGCTGGAAGATTCGGTAGTGGAGCTTGAGGAGGAGCTGGAGGCAGATGTTGAAGAAGTGGCAGAAGCAGAAGAGGAAGAAGAGGAAGAAGAGGAAGAAGAAGAAGAAGAGGAAGAAGAGGAAGAAGAGGAAGAAGAGGAAGAAGTGGAAGAAGAGGAAGAAGAGGTGGAAGAAGCGGAAGAAGAGCTTGAGGAGCTCACAGAAGATCCCTGTTCCTTACATGAGGACTGGAACGCACTGTAAGCGGTGCTTGCATCGCCGTTAGGACAGATCGAGTCCAAACATTTCTTAACGGAGCTACCTTCGTCCTCACAGATACAGTTCACGGAGTTCAATCCGCTACAGGACGAACTCTTCGTAACTTGAGCCACACATGCTAACAAACATGCTGGAGGAGTAGCCAGCACACCTCTCGAAAGGGCAATGAACGAAAGAACAGCAGATAAAGCGAAAGTGGAGCGCATTGCTTGAGGTTAGTTATGAGTTCCTTTGCTAGGTTCGAGAAAGAGATGAAAACAATAACATTCCTACAATTTCTAGTTTCAGTAAAAATTTTCCCATATGATGTGTCTGGGTTTGCACAACCTATTTTTAGAAGATTCAGAGATCTTCAATCGAAGTCTCGAGATCATGTGAAAAGCATGTGACCTTTTAGAGGAAATCGATTTCTGTTCTAATATATCTAGGGAACTAATATAACTAAGTAGTAGCCAGCAGCTAGCACCAATGACTTAGTAGTCGCAAAGGAGCTGTACTTGCCATTCCAAACTGCTGGAATTAAGTATTGCTTCATATATGTACTTACAGATAGGACTTGCCGGTGCCTCAGCGGAAAACGGGTGTCTGGATATCCCCGAGGGTCCGCATGACGCCAAGTGCAATGCTTTTGTGTGTGAAGCCCACCGAAGGCAATCTTAGGGTCTCACTGCTGTTTGCATGTGTCTTGGAGCTCTTTGTCAATGTCACCTATATTTTCATCGCCGTCTATTTCGAGCATTTTCGCAAGGTTTTCGACATCGTCACCAGCAGCATCTTGGTTGCCAAAGCCCTTGTTAACAGGTGAATCCCCCAACTTCTCAAGATCGTCCAATAAAGTAGCAATTTCCTCACGATACTTCTCGTTTGAATAGTCCGGTTTTTCGTATATGGCCACAATGCGTTCGACTAGACCGTACTGTTGCTTGTAGATATCTATCTTATCCGCATGCTCTTCATTATCTCTGTTTTCATCCATCCACGCAGTATATTCAGTGTGCATGTCCTTCATCGGCTGGTACAAAACTTCCTTAGATGACATTTGATTTAGCATGTTTAGAATGGCATTGTCCACACCCTCCCCATCTTCATCGGTGCCATCTACGAGCTGATCAAGCAGTTGCGACAGGATGTCATCCGTATTCTGCCTCTTCTTTTCCTCGACCAGATTAGTGTCCACTTTATTGCTGTTTTCTTTCAGCCTATCAAGGGTGTTTGATACAATATCCTTAAATCCAGAAGGTCTTGGTATCTGCGAGCCCTGCGATGTGCCTTCGCTACTACCGGCCTCTGTCAAAGTACCCAATAACTGCTTAAAACTCTCCACAGTCTCTTTGTTAGCTTCTCCACCATCTTCTTTCATTAATTTGGCAAACTCGCTTTGCAAATCGTCAATCATCTCAGTTACCTCGGGATCATCGTTGTTTTTTGGTTTAACGTTACCTACATCACTTTCTCTCATCTCTGCCTCTTCATCTAGCTTAGATGGATCTTCCAGATAGTCGTCTAAGTCTTCAAAGTCATCGAGGTTAGAGCTCATTGCGTTTAGGTTCCGGGTTCTTTCTACTTTGATGTTCGTTTCACTCGGCATCGCTGATTCAATAAAAAAACACACCAGAAACATTTGGAACCAGGTCTCGCTTCCTACAAAGACGACCAGAACAAAACATGAGCAGCCTGTGCTTACAGCGTTTACAAGAGGAGAGGTATGTATTCATCAAGTTCAGATCTTAGGTGCTTACGAGCTGTATATACTGCGATGTCAGTGAACGATACTAACGCCCATGATAGAAAGAAATGGAGAAAAGACCATCCATTCGGGTTTTACGCCAAACCTACTAAGAAAGCAGATGGCTCCATGAACTTGCAGCGATGGGAGGCTGGGATACCTGGCAAAGAAGGAACTATCTGGAGAGAGGGAGTTTATCCCATCACCATTGAATACCCAGATGATTACCCCTCCAAACCTCCAAAAGTTAAGTTTCCTGCTGGGTTTTATCACCCTAACGTCTACCCAAGTGGTACCGTTTGCCTGAGTATCCTAAATGAAGATCAGGATTGGAGACCTGCTATAACCCTGAAACAAATCGTGTTGGGGGTTCAAGATTTATTGGATAGCCCAAACCCTAATTCACCAGCTCAGGAGCCAGCTTGGCGGGCATTTTCGAAAAACGTTAAGGAATACGAAAGAAAAGTAATAGATCAAGCCAAGAAATATGTTAAATAGGTTAATTCGGCAATTAAATAGAGCGCCGTTGTATAATTTTATTCTATTGTAGTGTGCGATGAAGGGCATGCAGATATGCAGGTGTCTGAGGCTGTCCCTAAGTACATACTAGTCTAATTCTCATCCTTGTTACCTAATGCCGAGAAGGAGAGAACTTTTCCTAAATATATGGTGGGACGTACGGCTGTTAAGCTATGACTCAGTTAACGTTCCGTTGCTTTATAAGCAATGAATCGTTCCATCGTCCTTAAAAATTCCTGACATTTCTCCTTCAAGAATGGGTTTTTATTCTTGTCAACAAATTTGAAAGTATGGCGCATATTGGGTAATACTTTCTCTTCGAGAATCTTTAAAAATTCTTCGCGTACAAACACAGGCTCATCATAGTCATATTCGGCATCACAGTAAATTTCGAAAAACACTTCAGCAATAGCTATTAGAATTACTGCATTGGTGTTTGAAGATGCTAATTGTTGTAAGAGAAAGTGACCAATTTGACGATTTAGTTCGACTTGGCCTGGTACCAGCGCAATACAACTCAAGATACCACAGCACCGTTGCGTGATATCGCTTACTTCTTGATCATTCAGGCCGTCGAGATTTTGGAAATCTTCCATTATAGAGCTCACAAATTGCGTGCTGTTGCAGCCGAGAACGGATAAGACCTTAGCCGGCTCTGGTTGCACCTGAATTGTTTTCAGCAATGCCCACATCACACCTAATTTCCCTAGTCTTATTCCAAAATCATTAAGAGCGCTCAATGTGGGTGAATTTATGAACTCCCACAGTTGCTTCCATGATTCGTTAGGCAGTTCAAAAAAGTTGATATCCAAGGTTAGATATAGCCAAAGCATGTTGTTCCAGGCGATTAAAACCCGAGATGCAAAATTTTCTGAGAGTGACTGAAATACAACTGGTATTGATACTGTTAAAGTTTGGACTAAATCTTCCTTCAACGGAGTTCGTGTTTCTTCATATTGAGCAGCTACAATTTCCAAAATTGCAGTGATAATGTCTAGTGTAATCTCAATACTTTGCAATTTTATCATACCATCAGCATGCTTCTTTGCATAATCTTTCACCTTACGTGCGACTTCGCTTCCCTTTGATTGTAGAATATCTTTATCTTGGTCCACATCTGAGAGTGATTTTAGCATCTCTTGCATATCAATTTGCTCAATAGCTGTACATGTGGCGACAATGATAGAGTTAGCTTGGTCATTTGTGAGATTGGTATCCAAGAACTGTAAGTAAATACCTTGTATGAGTACCCGCGTGAGAAGATTTGAATTGGTAAACTTCAGCGAGCGCAATGACTGAACGAATTCAGATAGATAAGCATCCTGTGACACTGCTTCAACAAACTCCAAAGACTCAGAGCTGAAATCATAGATTAGATCTAGAACAGTATTAAAGAGACGGGTTGTACATTTTAAAGTAACAATACCATCCTTAATCGATAGTGCGTGCTTCAACACTGCAATGACCACCTCAAAAATTCTGTTCAGTTTTGGTGGCTGCAAAACATTCTCCATGATATCATCCGAACCATTAGCTAGTGCAACAATCAAAGACAACAGATTATCACCAAAGTCAAAAAGCAGCCTTGTCGACTCTGAGTTAGCCTTGGTCTCTAAATCTGGAGATTCGAGAGACTTCAGGAGCTTATCAAATCCACTATTAATACTTGTCCACACCTCAGATCTCCAAAGATGGATTGATACATCGTAACCTTCTTCAAGAGACAGATTTCTTAGCAAACCGTAAGATTCCACAACTATTTCAGTGTCCTCATCGGACAGCAGTCTCCCCATGACAATCTGAATTAGTTTTTCCTTGAGAAAAAGCTGACGCATGTACGCATCCTCACATAAAACAGTGATAGACCCCAACGCCATCACTCTTTCATTAGGTACTGCGCTTTGAAGCTGGTCGAGTAGGGGCTGAATCTTCCGCATATTGACAGCTTCATTTTTAGTAGCATTTTTATTGGATAATCCTAATGGATTCGAGCGTGCGCGAGAAGCTCTTGATCTCTTTTTAGACTTTCCCATGTTCAATGGAGCGCTCAATTATCGCTGCTTATTTCGTCAATCTGATGAGATGAGGTTGTGATACTCAAAAATTTTTCACGAAAAAAGGAAAACCTGGTTACGTATAGAGGTATTTAGATATTTACAAGCACGTGATACAACAAGTAACGCAAATGGCCAATGTATCACCATTCATGAGCTTTTAGAACCGTTATTGGCAATTCTCTCCGCCTCTTTTTGTTCTTGAACCTTACTGAGTTCTTGTCTTAGCTCAAGCATTGATTTAGGATTCAAAGGATTGCCCTCCTCATCATACTGAGGTATCTCGATGTCCTTTCTTAAATTTCCATCCTTTTCTAACCTATCTATTACTATAGGCTCAAAGAATTGAGTACCTGTGTAAACACCCACAAAACATACCAAAGAGAAAGCAATGAGATCAAATGTTCTTAATCTGGCCATTTCTGTGTTTTTGTAGTCTCTTTTTATTCGATCTTCCTCTCAGGCTATTAAATGGCCAATTTTTGTCAGGCGACGGCAAAGCGAAAAGTCGATCTGACTATCACGATTAAAGATAGAATTCGACCGAGCAGGCATCAAAGGACCACGTTGAGACACAGATACACTCGCTTTCATATCAAAGATCTCATACTTCTGGTAAGTCTTGCATATACTTTATGAGCCTGTTATTTAAATACAGCTCCCCTTCGACAAAAAATAATATATTGTTGGCCACCGCGAAATCTTTTTGTCCTTTCCTTCTTACTAGACACAAATACCACATGAGTACTTACATTGATCATAAGCTAGACTTTAAAAAACCTTGTCTGGACGACAGGAACTACCGTTTCATTCAATTACCCAACAATCTCAAGGCGCTGCTCATCCAAGACCCCGAAACCGACAAAGCAGCAGCAGCATTGGACGTCAATGTTGGCGCCTTTGAGGATCCCGAAAACCTTCCTGGATTGGCGCATTTTTGTGAGCACCTACTATTTATGGGTAGTGCCAAGTTCCCCAATGAAAATGAATACTCCAGCTATCTCAGTAAACATGGTGGACACTCCAACGCATATACTGGGTCACAGAATACAAATTACTTCTTTCAAGTGAACTATGAAAACCTTCATGGTGCTCTTGATCGGTTTTCTGGTTTCTTTACTTGTCCACTATTTAATCAAAATTCAACGGATAAAGAGATCAACGCTGTTGACAGTGAAAACAAGAAGAATTTACAAAACGATTTGTGGAGATTGTATCAGCTTGACAAGTCTCTTACTAACCCAGAACACCCTTACCATAAATTCTCCACTGGGAATCTGAAAACATTGGGAGAAATTCCTAAGTCTCAAAATCTTGATATTCGAGAAGAGCTATTAAACTACTACAATAATTCCTATTCCGCTAATCTGATGAAGCTCTGTGTTTTAGGAAGAGAGGATCTTGATACACTTTCTGAATGGGTCTATGACCTATTCAAAGATGTTAAGAACCACGGTGATCGTCCTCCGCCCTCATACAAATCTGTCATGCTGACACCTGACTATTTGATGAAGATTATTCGGGCGAAACCTGTTAAGGACCTGAAGAAAGTGGAGGTAACATTTGCAGTTCCAGACATGGATCTGAATTGGGAGAGTAAGCCTGATCATTATATCAGTCATCTGATAGGCCATGAAGGTTCAGGATCATTGCTATCCTACTTGAAGTCACTGGGGTGGGCAAATGAACTATCTGCTGGTGCTCATTCAGTTTCTACTGATAACGCATGCTTTTCAGTAGATATAGAGTTAACAGACAAGGGGCTGGAACATTATGAAGATGTTGTGCTCTCCATTTTCCAGTATTTGCAGATGCTTAGGAACGATTTGCCCCAGGAATGGATCTACAATGAGCTAAAGGATATCTCTGAGGCAAATTTCAAATTCAAGCAGAAGGAGAATCCTGCTTCAACTGTTTCATCTCTGGCCAAGGCTCTCGAAAAGGAATACATACCTGTTGATAACATTTTGGGAACTTCACTTCTAAGAAAGTTTGAACCAAGTTTGATAACCGATTATCTTCAACACCTTAGACCCGAGAACTCACGTATAACGTTGATTAGTCAAAATGTAAAAACCGATTTGAAAGAAAAGTGGTATGGTACGGAATATAGCGTGTGTGACTATCCGACGGAACTTTTGAAGAGAATCAAGTCACCAGGCTTAAATGCTCATCTTCATTTACCACGTCCCAATGAATTTATCTCCACCAATTTTTCGGTTGAAAAGCTTGATAATATTCAGCCTCTCGATGAACCTTTGCTGTTGAAAAATGATAGTCAAAGCAAGCTTTGGTACAAGAAAGACGATAGATTCTGGGTGCCTAGAGGGCATATCTACGTTTCTTTGAAGCTTCCACACACTTTTGCCAGTAGTGTAAATAGTGTGCTAACTACACTCTATGTGGAGCTAGTCAATGACCATTTGAAAGATTTAGAGTACGATGCGCAAGTTGCAAGTTTGCATGTGTCTTTTCGTAAAACCAACCAGGGAATAGACATTTCTTTAAGTGGCTATAATGAGAAATTAACGATTCTTTTGACTAGATTCTTAGAAGGAATTTGCAATTTCTCACCAAGTGAAGAGCGCTTTAAAGTATTTCAAAGGCGAGTAATACAGAAGTTGAATAACCGCATGTACGACGTGCCATATTCTCAAATTTCTGATGTGTTTAATTCACTTGTGAATGAAAGGTCATGGACAATTTTAGAGAAACTTGAAGTAGTGGAGCAGCTATCTTTTGAACACTTAAAAAGTTTCATCCCAACAATTTACGAACAGTTTTATTATGAATCTCTAGTTCACGGGAATTTTTCGTACGACGTCGCAATGGAGATCGATAATCTTGTAAGAATGCTCATTCCAAATCAGATAATGCACTCTCAGGTAAGAAATAGTAGATTACGCTCCTATGTTATTCCACAAGGTAAAACTTATCGCTATGAACAAAGTTTGGCAGATACTAAAAATGTTAATTCCTGTATTCAGCACATCACTCAATTTGGTGTATACTCTGAGGAACTCTCAGCAAAAGCCACCCTGTTTGCGCAGCTTATCGACGAACCTGCATTCAATACTCTTAGAACCAAAGAGCAACTGGGATACGTTGTATTCAGCTCAGCTCTCAACACACATGGTACTGTCAATCTTCGATTACTGATCCAATCAGAGCGTGATTCTGCTTACCTGGAGCATAGAATCGATAATTTTTTGGTTAACTATGGTAAGGCATTAGAAGAAATGTCTGATACCGAATTCGAAAGGCATAAAACTGCGCTTTGCAAAACGCTATTGCAAAAGTTCAAAAATATCCGCGAGGAAAACTCTAGGTTTACAACTGCAATCTTCCTTGGGGATTACAACTACTTGAATAAAGAAAGGAAGGCCAGCATTGTTGAAAAACTTACGAAAAAGGATATGATCGAATTCCACAAGAAGTTCGTCACATCCGAAGATGCCCCTAAGTTAGTCGTCCATCTCAAATCACAAGTTAGTGATCCAGCCAAAAGCGTAAATGATTTGGTTGCTAACTATCCTACTGGTGAGCTCATAACTGATATTGGTGAATTCAAGAGCAGGCTGTTCGTGGCACCTGTTCGCCAACCTATCAAGAGTTTCGCCGTTGCACCAAAGTTATAAAAATCTACGGTTTATAAGATTACTTTAATAAATTAAAATGTAGCCTTTCTTCGACATTCCTAGTCTATCATTCTCCTAAGAGAACGCACGGACTACGAACTTCCATAATCCAGTCAAGCTTGTTCTGGGAAACTGGTATTTCAATTATATTTGAAATACTGGCAATTAGCAACTGTTAGAAGACAGAATGAGCTAACTGTGGCATTGTTTCCGTGCATTTTTGATTCGTTGGTTTTATAAAAGATATCTCAAAAGATTCTCGTCGAGACTGGGAAATTTATACCTATTCTCAAGCGTGCCGGGTAACCTTAAAACGGCGAACTGAACAGAAACTATTGAGACAGGGTTGCAGCTCTGAAGAATGAATAGTTGTGACCAATAAAGGGTACTCTTGTATTATATTTAACATAACTAGTACACTATTTTAGAGGGAGAATTGCTTTGAAGAGGTAAACTTGCCGAATTCTCTCTTCAGAGTTTGAACGAAAATTCAGCTCGCCGGCCTCATGCTTAGAGACAAATAGAGATAAAACATTTAGTACTATGGTTTAGTTAGATGATTATCTGTACTTGTGGAAACCAATGTCATTAGCCTTCTCTCTGAAGCATTGACGGCAGATGTTCAAACCGTACTTTCTGATCAAACCAGAGTGAGAAGCACAGACACGGCATTGACGAGAGCCCTTACCGAAGTTTCTTGGGTGAGAATACCAGACGTTTTCGTGAGCCATATTGCTAAAAAATAAGTTAGTAAAACCGATCCAAAATATGTGCATAAGGATATTGATAAATGGTGGAGATTTTTAACGCTTATCATCCCACGGATCATACCTTAAATCGGGGAAGAGATTTTAAAAGCACCACATGCATGTCAAAAATGCTCCTCGAGTCCATGAGGGCGTTTTTTGGATTCATGAAAGCGATACAAGCTCTGTACATTATTCCTGAATAATTCTTATCAATACTCCAAGTATTTCTATCCATTCATCTGTCTTAATTTCCAATTTGGCAGATATCTACTTCATCAACTCATGTATGTTTTATTTCCACTTTTAATGTTCAGCTCTTGAAACGATCTTATGCCACAGCTTTAACTTGTCCCTACAACCACATTCAATATCCACATCACTTGCACTCTATTATCCAGTCTTTCACATACAATAATCTATAGTATCTTCTTAACTTGTCTGGGAAATGGTACGCACGCAACTAACGTCTTCAACAATATCTTGTCAAGATGGTCTCCAAACCGCGCGACCTCGACCCAGAGCGAGAACTCAACCATCTGAAAAGAAAAATTTCAAATATTTTTCAATCATCAAAATGTACGGATTGTATATAAAAGGTACCGGTGTTCATTGACAGTCAAATGGATTGAAGCCCTAAACACCAGCCCTCGATCTATGGTCGATTCTGAAAAATTTTCTAACAGCTCATCTCATCTCATTCATCAGTAAAACTACTAACATCAGTCCAAAACCAAGGAGAACTCTACAAAATGGCCGGGCACTCTCATAGGTCGTCGATGAAAAATGGTCATAAACCATTTAAATCTAAACACTCGAGCAAGGGTGCTCAAAAGAAAATGTTTAAGGGACGGGTAGAGAAAGAACAAAAGAATGGTAGAACTGTCAAAGTAATATCGAAGTTACAGCGGAAGAACGGTGCCAAACAGCTAAGACAACAAAAAATGGCAGACACACTGGAGGCTAGAAAGCTTTTTGATGGTTCAAGTGGCGCTCAAAAGATCGTTACAGTAGTTCCCTTAACGACAGATGTCGATGTGGAAGATGTGATTAAGAGATTGATCGCACCTGATTATTTGCTAGAAGATGACTTGATGTCTTGGAATATACCAATGCCAAGTATAATGAACTTACAAATTAAGAAATTTAGAAGTAAACTGAAGGTTATAGTACCAGACATGTCCAATCTTATAAATATACTGGATAGCACGAAGGTAGCAGACTTTGTCGTCTTTGCCCTCAGTGGTACCTCAGAAGTTGATCCTGAATTTGGGGAACAGATAATAAGAGCAGTGGAGCTACAAGGAATTGCGTCTTGTTTTGGTGTCGTCGCAAATTTATCCCAAGCTCATCCTAAAGAGAAGTTCCAGTTAGATCTCAAGCAATCTTTGGTAAGCTACTTTAAACATTTTTTTCCCAACGAAGAGAATATCTTCAACCTTGAAAAACCTTCAGAAGCACTAAATGCTTTAAGAACTTTATGCCAAAAATTCCCGCGTCAAGTTAAGTGGCGGGATAATAGAGGGTACTTAGTCGCAGAGAGTGTTGACTTCATTGACGGCGGCGAGGAAGAAGGCGTTTTAGCGGTTGAGGGAACTGTCAGAGGTGTCGGATTAGAGGCAAACCGCTTGGTACATGTACCTGGACTTGGTGATTTTCAAGTTGCTCAGATCGAGAGAATCAGTTCTTCTGGAAGAAAGACCCAGAAGAAGACTGATAGCGATGACCTTGACCTGGACTTGAACAATGTATTTTATCCAGATCAAAATCAAGACTCATTAGAAGAGTTTGCCCCTCAAGAATTGGAGATGGCCGATGCGTATGATGAAAATGACGACTTTAAGTACGACGACTTAACTGCTGCCCGTTATGATGACCACGGATTTTTACCTGGTAGAGAACAACCTCAGAGAAATGTTAACATTCCCAAGGGAACATCTGATTATCAAGCCAGATGGTACCTCGATGATGTGGTCGAAGGCAGTGAGGAAGAAGCTGATAACGAAATGCAAAATTTGAAGGGCGCACACATGCAGATAGACGGGGAGTTTTCCATGGATGTTGATGCAGTTTCATCTCCGCAGATTGAGGATGATGCCCAAACCGACGGTCCCGATGACATGTTTGTGGATCTGTCAGCTGAAGAAGAAGAACGCCAACTGAAAGAATATCGTGCACAAGAGAAAGATGACCTTGAATTCCCCGATGAAATAGAACTAGAACCATCAGAGTCCGCCATTGAAGCTTTAAAAAGATACAGAGGATTGAAAAACTTACACAATTGTGTTTGGGATGTAGACGAATACGACCCTACTGCACCACCCGAATGGAAACGCTTGCTGAGAATTGGGAATTACAAAAACACCAAGAATAAAGTATCGAAAGAGGCTATCAGGGGTGCTGAAGTCGTTGCTGGAGACTTAGTGAAGGTTTACATAAAATTCCCAAGAGCCCTTCTCGAGAAAATAGTCGATCCTAAGCAAATGGTGTTTGCGATATATGGCCTCTTAAAGCATGAGCACAAGAATGCTCTGGTCAACTTTTCCATACAACGTTGGGAAGAATATGAGGATCCTGTGCCTTCTGAGGAGCCCTTGGTTGTACAGTACGGTATTAGGAGGTACGTCATTAATCCCCTCTACTCTTCAACATCACATACTCCCAACAACGTCCACAAGTTTGATAAATTTTTGCACCAGAATTCGCTCTCTATTGCCACTTGCATTGCGCCTGTTGATTTTACCCAATCACCTGCTCTGTTTTTCAAACAGTCCAACGCCAAATCTAGTGGTCTTGAATTCGTGGGCCACGGCACATTCCTAAACGCCGATCATACCAGAATAATTAGCCAGAGAATAATATTGACTGGACATCCTTTCAGATTTCACAAGAGAGTGGTCACCGTCCGGTATATGTTTTTCAGACCCGATGATGTTGAATGGTTCAAGTCCATTCCTCTCTTCACCAAGAGCGGAAGGACTGGGTTCATCAAAGAAAGTTTGGGTACTCATGGCTATTTCAAAGCTTCTTTTGATGGTAAGCTTTCAGCGCAAGATGTTGTGGCCATGTCTCTCTATAAGAGGGTATGGCCAAGACCTTCCTTTTTATACAATATGATGGAGGTGTAAAAATCGCCTTCATGTTGCACTCACAGAACATAAGACATCACTGATCGCACTGATATGTACACCAGAGACGTTTGAGAGGGTTGCCGAGCATTAATTTATTTTGTGTGCCATTAAAGTCAGTGATGAACTCTTCAGTATATGCGACAGTAATGAGAAGTGTCAATTCTGGAACGTATGCTACTCTATACATAATCTAGGGCATTAAGAGCATAAGTATGTCCGTGACCTTTTCATTCGCAGAAAGAAAGCTCAAATTACGGTTGAGCGGAAAACAATTAAGATAGTACGGATATTTGACCATTTAAGCCTTTTGTATATAATCTCGATTACAGAAAAGAGTTCAAGTTTTATCTCTTTTAACGAGTTGTCTTCCAAAAGGAACTTTGATGAATGCGATGGCAATGCTAAATACTTTTTCACCGTATCAAAACGACTAACATCCTGGTACATAATGTCATCAGAAGTGGTTAGTAAGCTCGGAAATTTATTTACATGTAATTCATGTATGATTCAATTCAGATCCAGTGATATGCAGCGATATCACATGAAAACCGAATGGCATAGGTATAATTTGAAGCGAAGGATCGCCGATTTGCCCCCTATCAGCGCTGATTTGTTCGCGGAAAAGTTACAAATATCTGAGAGAGAAAAACAGCTTCATGAAGTAGATGAATTCGGATTTGCTATATTGAAGCCTCGAAACTCCGGACGCGTTGAAAGAAAACAGCGTTCATCTCAGAAAAATCTTACGAGAGGAAGACGGCCGGAAGGTATAAAACAACATGCACATGTAATTCGATCGTTATCACCTGCGTCCTCTGTGGCCTCACAAATATCAAAGTTTTCGATTGATAGCAAAATGGAAATTCCTACAGATTTTGAGGAAGAGGCACAATATGACTATGATTTCACAACTGATTCGAACTATACCAGTGATGATAACACCAGTATCACAGATTCCACTTTCGATGATTACGATGGAATACTGGTGACTGACTGTTTATTTTGTGGTAACCATCATCAAGACATCGAGAGGAACGTTCGTCATATGTTTCAACACCACGGATTCTATATTCCTGAGAGATCTTATTTGATTGATTTACCAGGCTTACTTGAATACTTCATTGATTTGATAGTACTTGATCATGAGTGTCCATGCTGTTCTTTTGAGGGATCAAGTTTAGAGAGCATACGGGCTCACATACATTCAAAACGCCATGCAAGGATACCTTATGAAACAAAGGAAGAAAGATCTCAGTATTCGGAGTTTTATGACTTTTCCTCTTTAAGTAGTGTAAGACCCTCCGAAAAGAAGGAAAAAAAGACAGTAACCTTTAAAGAAAATGATAGCAGTGGAGAAGAGGACAATGATCAAAGTGAAATTGAGTTAGAGAGCTCAATCGAAGACGGAATAAACTCAAATTATTCTGTGGCTCGCATGGATAATTCCGGAGTGGAACTGACTCTTCCGACGGGTACCAGAGTCGGGCACCGAGCTATGACGCGATATTATAGGCAAAATCTGCCAGGCCCTGCCGATTTATCGGACGGTAATAGAACACTAGCAGTTGCTGATAGAAGATTTAAGGGAGGCGTGTCCCATAAGTTGGTAGTTTATGGTGAAAAGAAAGCCCAACAAGTTGAAAAACGAATCAATAATAGAAGTATTTCGCGGCAAATGAAGAAGGGTAATTATCAACCTCATTACAGGGATGAGATTCTTTAAAATCACTCAGTATGTTTGGCTATTTTTTAGTTTGTATTCAAAATCAAGTTTGCATTTTTAGAAAATTGAAAATGCTAAAAAACTTAAAAATATTAAATAATCAATTGCCGCTCAAGCCTTTGAATTTACCGGATATCTTACGGCGAAATCCTCCAGCCGAGTTTCCACGATATATAACGGATGAATTGTCACTGTCATCAATTTTATCTTCTTCTTTTACAGGCGTGGAGCTGTTACTGAAATTATCGTGTGGAGTAATCACATCGTTCAATAACTGAAACTGTGATTCATACACGTTGTTCGGTCTTGAAACATTTAATTCACGATCACAAATACCTCTAAAATGCTGCAACAAGCTTTCATACTGCTGCTTTCTCTGGACTGCGTTAGCTGCTGCTAGATCAGAATCTGACGTCGACCTGCTACTTTGACGCGAGCTACCATCGAGAGAGTATGATTTACTGAAAGGAATTTGTTGTGCAGCAAGCCTGCTTACACTGTTGAGTCTGACGTTCAAAATTTGAAAAGCTTTAGACTGAGGTAAAACCATTAATATGCCATACAAGCATTTGTACAGAAAGGGGTACTTTTCCTGTTCCAGCAGCTGTAATCTCAGTCGTGTGAATACCGGAGATTCCAGAAATTGGACAAGTATATCTATCTGTAGTAGGTCGTTGACGGATAACTGGTAGTCGACGAACACTTGTAATATTGAGTAAGCCAATTCATAGTTCTCCGATAGAAGACACATTGCAACAAGGGACGTAGGATTATACGACCAGGATTTGAAGAGTGCAGAGAAAAAAGACCAGTCATCGCCCCTCCTTAACTTTTTGCGAAGGGAATCTAGCTCGCTACAAGTAATCAAATTTGTGCTCAAAATTTGAATCATCATCCGAACAAAAGTAATATCATCATCAAGCACAAGAATTGATGAAATGTCTTTGTATATCCTTTCTGGTGAAAGCTTTATGCACAATTGTCTCAAAATATAATTTGCTCGAGTTTTCAGAAGTTTGCTGTCATTCTTGAATAAACTTAAAAGGTCTTTCATAAACTTTTTAAAGTAGGCCTCATTAGAATTGTTACACAAGTCACTTAAAAGCTGTAATGCCTTAGAAATTAACTGATGGTCCTTGTCAGAAAGAGATTTGAGCAGCGTTAAAAATGTGCTATCACTATGCTCTAACAATTGATGAGGCACCTTGTGATAAATTAAGATCAGCCACTCAAGGCAAGCAACTTTTGCAACAACATTACTATCGAGAAAGTGAAGAGTGAGCGTATTGACAATGGGCCCGTAGTTTATGGCATCTGGTCCTTCTTTGTAGTCAAACTTTCCAGTTAAATCGATTAATTTTTGATTTACTGCTTGAGCTTGTTCTCTTACTCTGGGATCAACATCATTCAAAATTTTCAATAATAAAGACAGTATCTTCGATAGAAAAGGTAGAAAATCAATTGGAGATATTTCCAGAATAGTCTCAATCCATTTTAAAACAACAAGCTGAATTTCTGCCTCCGAGGAACTTAGCGTATTGATGAGAATATCGATTATCTTGGGAAAATCAAGATGTATATCTTGGCCTGGATAATAGATTTCCCCGTTACGCAAATCAGAATTTTCAAGATCTTCAACGGTACTCGAACTTATATTCCCGACATTTTCTGCATTCATAGAATCTGGCTCACTTGGTTTTGAATCCTCATTGGTAGAAATGTCTTTCAGATCTTTTGGCTTTGTACCGTTAGCAGCCTCTGCCATCGAAAGCTGTTCGAAAGCACTCAGTAGAGACTTTTTGCGCTCGCTGATGAGCTTGCCGTTAGGCTTTTTTGTTGGCGTTTCCTCTGTCGAATTGAGCCTCTTGACCTTCTCTTCTTCCCTTTCTTGAACAATGGACTTAATCTCAGAGATTCTTTGAACCTCATGAAGTAATAAATCAATTAAGGAGTGGGTCACTATCCTCACATCCTTATGAGAGTCTCCAAGAAATGTAAACAGTCCACCTAAAAAGGAAGGCAAATATGAGATTAACTCCAGATCAGGAATATTCTCCAAAACCTGTAACCAAGAGACAAGAAACATTCTTGTATCAGGATTTATGGCATAGATCCGCTCTGTGAGTAAAGGAATGAACTTAGCTAATGAAAAGGCAAGCTTTGGATTTTGATTATACTCCTCTTGAATGACTTCGCCAGTAACCGAGTCCATTTTAGTCGCTGGCGGTAGGTCTTTCGGATCATTGTTGACTACACTCACATAATTTGAGGCACGCTCAGCAACAATATCCTTAATAAGCCTGTCCAAAAGTTCAGCAGCACCTCTTACAGATGTTTCAGTATCTGCACTAATCTTGCATAGAACGTCAAAGATCTCATTAAAATAGACGAGAATCTCTCCCTTCGCAATTTTTGCAATGTTGTATAAACTTTCACAGGCATAGAATCTGACTTGGTCATTTTGGTCGCCAAAACATGCTAATACTGGAGGCAGGATTCTATCTAAATACTTTGCAACTTCGGTAGAGCCCAGAGCAATAGCAGCAGCGGCCAATCCCATTAAACCAGCATTACGTGCCATAGGTTGATGAAGAGCATAGGCATAATCGCGGCACAATTCGTCAATAATCTTATCAATACGCGCGAAGTCTCCCTCTAATAAGCATTGTTTGACAAGCTTTTCGAGATCTAAAGCCGTTGCCTTCCGTTTTTCATAGAGCTTATCACTCAACCCCTTAACAATGGATTTATCTAGACGTGAGGTTAGCTATATGGAAGAAAGAAAATCGTTCTGTTTGTACATTTAGACATACCCATTTTTAGCGTTGTTATTTGAAATGAACACTTAATTTTGTCGCTTTCAAAACTTGAATATCTTCTCAACAACAATACCTGGGAATATTTAGTCGTCAAAAATGGATCTGAAGAACAACATAGCGCTTCTTCTATTGCAGATCATATTCTATCGTCAACAGGAACTTTGCCATCTAGATAAATCGTTGGATAGTGATACTTTGATGACAGACCCAATCATCGATGATGCTATTCTTCATAAGTTTCGCAACCATAAACTAGTTGAATTACACGCAGCCGATCTGTCGGGTATAAGATTGAGAATACTCAAGAATCTAGTAAAAGAGCTTTTCGAGAAGGGTTTGCCCGATGATGAAGGCCCGGTCAACGTGGTTTCGCTAGCAAACTTTTACTATTCTCAACGCATAAGGGAGCTAGAATCAGAAGAGTTACCAAAGATACGAAATGAACTAATACGGGACTTACACGATGCTCAGTAGTTGATTCAATGAGCGGCGATTGGACTCAATTAATGATCATCATCGTAGTAGATTATCACAATTCGTTTGAAGAGATGCAAAATTTTTTCTCTATTCAATGGGGCTACTCATCTCATCGCATACTGAATTTTGTTGTATTGCTTACACTTAAAAACCCCAAGAGATGAGGAACCTGGTTTTATTAAATAAAGGCCGGTTCAAACCCTCTGGAAAATCAGACCCTGAGTTAGAGCTTGAACTTGAGCTTTACACAAGTGTATTTGACACAATTTCTGATAGCATTACATGCGTACTTGGTGCTTCTGATGTGGGGATCGTGGAGGTCGTACAGTACATGAAAGACGGAACTGCTAATGTGTTGGCCTCATTTCACTTGGAAACATACAAGGACAAACTTCTTTCGTTCGCCCATTTTGCAGACGTTTGCCAATTAGTTTTCACATTTCAACAAGGTGATATTATCACAGCGACCTATGATCCAGAAACATACGATCCTACGAAAACCACTGTGCAAATTATGGGCAGTATCGACCTTGGTATAGAAGCTGCGGATTGGTCTTACGATGAGGAAACGTTGGCTTTGGTTACCGCCGAGCGCAATGTAGTCTTGTTGAGTAGGCAGTTCGAACCTATCGCGGAATATAAGCTAGAAAAAGAGGATTTGAATATATCGAAACATGTTAACGTGGGCTGGGGTAAAAAGGAAACTCAGTTTAGAGGGAAAGGTGCCCGTGCTATGGAAAGGGAGGCCTTAGAAAGCTTGAAAGCATCAGGTTTGGTGGGCAACGAGCTTAGAGATCCAACAATGCCATATGCAGTTGACAGTGGTTCTGTTACAGAGATGGATAGTGGCGAAACATCCATTTCTTGGAGAGGAGATTGTGAATATTTCGTCGTCTCAACTGTGGAGGATGTTGATGTTGATGGTATTACGTTAAAGAGAAGAGCTTTGAGGGTTTTCAGTCGCAATGGTCAAATTGATAGTGCTTCTGAGCCCGTTGACGGATTAGAGTCTCAGATTAGTTGGAAACCACAAGGGTCGTTAATAGCGTCAATTCAACGGAAGATTCACATTCCAGGCGAGGAGTCTTTGGATTTGGTTTTTTTCGAGAGAAATGGGCTAAGACATGGCGAATTTGACACACGTCTACCACTGGACGAAAAAATCAATACTTTGTGCTGGAACTGTAATTCTGAAGTTTTGGCAATTGTACTCTATGATAAAATACAACTTTGGACGACAAAGAACTATCACTGGTACCTGAAGCTCGAAGTCCATGCCGAAAACATTACTTTTGCCAAATGGCATCCTGAAAAAGACTTTACTTTGATGTTTGGCAATGATGATTTCGTTAACGTTGTCGATTTTGCTTATAAAATGACTGTTGGTCCAACCTTGGAGCCATTTGACAATGGAACTGTCCTTGTAATTGATGGAAATATCGTAAACATTACGCCCTTAGGAGTTGCCAACGTTCCTCCTCCTATATATTACCGAGAGTTCATCACACCTTCAAACGTTATTGATGCTGCAGTCAGCCTGTCAAATGAACTATACGCTGCGCTTAATAAAGATGAACTTGTTGTGGCTGGCGTTCCAAGTCTGGAAGATATGAAAAAAGGCTCGCATCCTTCTCTCATTTTCAGATTACCAAAAACTGATTTTGCCACTGAATATGATGAGTTGCGCCAAGTTTCGTTCATCAATGACAACATAATCGGTATTTTGCTAGATTCTGATGGAATGTCCCGTATTGCAATGATTGATTTACAGGACATTCAGCAGCCCATAGTCCTAAATGTTATTGAAACATTCGAAAAAATTGTTCTATTGAGAACTCAGTACGATTATAATTATTTGGTTTATCAAGCGCGAGATGGGAGAGTGGTGCAAATGGATGCTGAAGGACAGATGTTAGAAGTTGCAAAATTTCCTCAACTTGTTCGTGATTTCAGAGTGAAGAGGGTAGAAAGCTCTCCGGAAAGTTTCGACGATAATTGGAATACTGAAAGCTCAAAACTTATAGCTTTTGGAATAAGCGCCGGTGGCAAGCTATTCGCAAATGAGACGCAACTAGCAACCGCTGTTACATCTTTGGAGATCACAGATAGTTTTTTACTCTTTACCACTGCGCAACACAATCTTCAGTTTGTTCACCTCAATACAACTGATTTTGAACCATTACCAATGGTCGAAGAAGGCGTTTCCGACGAAAGAGTACGTTCAATTGAAAGAGGTTCAATACTGGTTACCGCGATGCCATCAAAATCATCGGTGGTCCTTCAGGCTGCACGTGGGAATTTAGAGACAATATGCCCCAGAATCATGGTTTTATCAGTGGTGCGAAAAGACATTCTAGCCAAAAGATACAGGGATGCCTTTACTATCTGTCGTACACACAGAATACACCTCGACATTCTCCATGATTATGCTCCTGACCTATTTTTTGAGAATCTCAACTTTTTTATTGAAGATATCAAGAAAGGAGAATATCTCGATTTATTTATTTCCTGTTTGTGCGAAGAAGATGTCACGAAAACGAAGTACAAGGACACAATCAGAAGCACCATGGCGGAAAAATTCGAAGTGGCTCCGCCACCGCTAACAGAAATGGAACAATACATGAAGAAAAAGATGTTCGATCCTTCAAAATCCAAAGTTAATAAAATCTGCAATGCCATTCTTGACGTTCTTTTGAACAATGCGGAGTATAAGAAAACCTACATTCAGTCGATAATAACTGCCTACGCTTGCCAAAATCCTCCTCGTCTAAGAGACGCTTTATTATTAATCTCATCCCTAGGATCAGAAGATGAGAAAGAGGCAATGCTGACATATTTGTGCTTCTTACAAGATGTGAATGTTTTATATAAGGTTGCTTTGTCTCTTTACGACATCAAATTGACATTAGCCATTGCCCAAAAATCTCAAATGGACCCGAAGGAATATTTGCCATTCCTACAAGAACTTTACGATCAAGATTCACTTGTCCGAATGTACATGATCGACGACCACTTAAAAAATTACGAGGGTGCACTAAATCATTTAGTGGAAATGGAACAAAGCAACCTAGATCTCTCGGATAAGATCGTACACTATATCGAAAGGCATGAACTGTACAAATTCGCTCTGAATATTTTCCGTTATGACCCAATTAAACAAAATACTGTTTATCACGCCTTCGCGAAGTATCTGTATTCGAAACAGGAGTACGCCGATTCAGCTATAATTTTTGAAATGTTAGGTGAATTCAAAGAAGCCATGAACACTTACACCGTTGCCAAAAAATGGTGCGAAGCTCTGGCAATTGCAGAATCGAAATTTTCGAATGAGATACCTGAAATCGCTGAACAATTAGTATCTTCACTTTCTTTCGAGCACAGGTACACAGAAGCCGCCAAAATCGAACTGAATTACCTAAAAAATGTTAAGGAGGCGACCGCGCTGTACTGTAAATCTTATTTCTATGAAGAAGCGGCTTTAATTGCGACATCGAAAAAATTACCCGAACTGATTGAAGAAGTAATTGAGCCTGCTTTGGGAGAGGGGTTTGGGGTGATAGCAGAACTTCTAGCAGATTGTAAGAGCCAAGTGAATTCGCAATTGAAAAGACTCCGTGAATTGCGTCAAAAGAAAAAGGACGATCCTTATGCGTTTTATGGGCAAGAAACGATGCAAGCGGATGACGTGTCAATTGCTCCCTCTGAGACCTCAACCAAGGAATCTTTTTTCACCAGGTATACCGGTAAAACTGGAGGGACAGCTAAAACAGGAGCATCAAGGAAAACCGCGAAAAACAAGCGTCGGGAAGAGCGTAAACGTGCTCGGGGGAAGAAAGGTACTATTTATGAAGAAGAATACTTGGTGAAATCCGTTGGGAGACTTATCGAAAGAATGGACCAAACGAGGCCAGATGCTCTCAAATTAATCGAAGCCTTATTGAGGTTCAACAAACGTGAGCAAGCCTACCAGATTCAACGTAGCTTTGTTGATCTTGTTACATTGTTGAAAGAAAATGTTGTTGAAATATACAGTATCAGTGAGAAGGACAGGGAAAGAATAGATGAAAATGGACAGATCTATTACTTACCTGAAATCCCATTGCCCACGATCGCAGATTTCCCAAAAACGCAGGTCATTGACTTTTAAGTACATTGATAATGTTTATGTACAATTAATGTGTCCAAAGCAAATCATATTCAGTCAAAGGCTTAGAGTTATCATTTTCTATCCATTTTAGACCCGTAAAGCCCATCTACATAATAATTGGTGTCTACCTTTCTCTCATGTTCAAGCACTATACCTTCAAATTGAAGAAAGCATTTCTTCAGAGCACAGTGAATAGCATCTTTCTTGGATCTGCCGTGACTTTCACCTTTGCTTGAGGTGGTTGCTTTCCCGAACCCGTCTGAGGATGTATTTGTGCCATCCTTTAATGTAACCTTAATCCTTGCTTCTGTGGTTACAGTGTACAGCTCTTTATCAATACTATCACTATTCTGGTCCTTTACATCTAGGTTCACCGCCCGTACCTCGAGGACTTCTACAGACCATCCATTATACCCGAAACTTTCGTTGGCATATTGAATGATAGTCTGGATCGGTATAAGCTTTGATAGTGCGTGCTTTCCATACCGATTAGAATGATATATCTTATACGTGTATTGTTCTATCTTCGACTGGAGTACACCAATTTTTTGTACTGCCCATTCGCTTGCTGGCCTATTTATCCAGTTTTCAACAATATTCAAATCATCTAATGTTACGCCTGGCGCAGCTTCATATAGAGCACCCTCGTACGACAGATTCGTCATATAACGACTCATATTTTCAAAAAGTATTCAGGACGCATGGATATGATCCGAATTGTTTACATAAACTTGTCATCAATTCTTATAACAGATCTGTGTGTGAAGTATTATAATATCACGTGACTTGTATAAGTTCATCTACGACATCAACTGCCACGGAATTGTTCGTTTCTTGACATGAAGGTGCTTCAGTTTCATAACAGACGCTAAACATAGCTTAACATAGCACACGAATGGAGCTCCTCCAAGGTTTTATACAACCTCCAAAGGTTCAATCGGTTGAGGAGACCATTCCGACGTTATGTGACAGGGTCGAAAATGCCACGCTCATTAGCGACAGACGGTCGGCAGTTTTAGGACTAAAAGCTTTTAGCAGAGGTTACCGAGAAACGGTCATTGCTGCGGGCTTAAAACCTTTGATAAACACTTTGAAGCGTGATTCAGTAGATGAGGATTCGGTAAAAGCTATTTTGGAAACGCTACTTATCCTCTTTATTCGAGGAGAAGGTAGCGATGATCTCACGCGTAATTGGATTTCCCAACATTCACGTATTCAAAACAGCAAATACCCCTCACCACTACTCATGAAACAAGAACATGAGGTTGTTGACCAATTCTCCCTTTGGATATCCGATGCTTTGACACAAACGGATGAGATTGTTCATCTGTTCTTCCAGTTTTTGGAGTTCGGAAATTTCCATATAACACTATACACAATCCAGCTACTGGAGGCAGTCATTGCAAGCAGGCCTACCAGGACTCGGGAAGCTATAGTATCACTTCCTACTGGTATTTCGACGCTGGTTGGTCTTTTAGATGATATACATGATCCAATCAGAGATGAAGCGATTCTACTTTTAATGGCTCTAGCTAATGACAGCTCTCACATTCAGAAACTAGTAGCCTTTGAGAACATATTTGATAAGTTATTCGACATCATAGAGGAAGAAGGTGGACTCAGAGGATCTTTAGTTGTCAGTGATTGTCTGTCACTAATTATCGATATTCTCAAATATAACTCCTCTAATCAGTCGCTTTTCCTTGAGACTGGAAATTTGCCTAAAATCGGAAAGGTACTCAATGAGCCAATTTCGGACACTGATGATTTCTTTTGGAATGACCAACGAGTTGCAAACATAAAGACAGCTCTAGAGATTGTTAGAATAACAGTGGAACCGGGTAATACTACTACACCACAACACCAAGAGGCATTATTGAATTCACACATTCTTATGATTGTACTGAAACTGGCTTTCTTTCAGGGAACACCGAACCCCGTCAGACCAATGGCTCTACTAACGGCTTCTGATGTGATTAGGGAAAACTCTCAAGTTCAAATGGAGTTCAGAAAAATAGATGTTCCATTTTTTGACCCTAGTTTGTTATCAAAGCAATCTGCAGACAATCCTGTAATCATTCCTGTTCTGGATATTCTTCTGAGTTGGTGCTTGTTTGCAAACTCCGTCCATACGTTTGACATAAGGGTTGCATCTTCTGAATTATTAAAAGCTTCTATGGGCAAAAATCATGATATAAAACTTCTTTTCCTGAAGAATCAAATATCACAATTCAAAGAAATGAACAACGAAGCAGCTGAACAAACATTCATATCACCCAACATCTTTAGTGTCATGCTTGAATATGATCCCGATTTAAAGTTAAACCCTTACAAGTTGTTTTTTACCACTGATTTGTTTATGTATCTTTTTAAAGACGAGGAAACACACGAGTTGAGAGATCTGGCCCGAGAAGTTAGCACGGGTAATGACTCAACTGATGAGGAGCCACTGAACGCCATACAAAACATTTCTGAACTTTTATTGACTTCGTTATCTCTCGAGGATCCACGCATTCCTGTATCTTATCTTTCTCTTTTGATAATATGGTTGTATGAAGATTGTGAAGCGGTCAACGACTTTCTGGAAGATGAAGCTATTATTAAGTCGTTACTAGCTTATTCGTCACAAATACAAGAAGATGACAGAACTGTTAAATGTCTTATTTCAATTCTCTTGGGTGTGGCTTACGAGTTTTCAACTAGTGGCTCTCCACTTCGCAGGCGTGATTTTTATGAGTTAATGACTAAAAGTTTGGGCCAAGATAATTACTCATCCCGAGTCAAACAGTTCAAAGAGAATTCTCTTTTCTTAGAAGCCAGCGAACAGGAAGATGACATGTTTAACTACAAAATTGACGATACTGGTCTCCCACGAACATATTTCAGCGTATATTTTACGCACCTTTTCAGAAATAACTATTATCGTATAAAAACTGCTCTTAGCCGCGGACCCGATACACAGCAAAGTGGAAAGATAACTTTCGAAGCATTTGATGAATTGCGATCTGAAGCTACTCTACTAAGAGATGAGTTAAAAAACTCTGAGGTCAAGTACACGGAAACAATTCGTGAGCTAGATGACAAACTCAAGAATCTCTCTAAAATACACGACGAGCTGGAGACAGCGAATGCCACATTAAGAGCTGAAATCGCAGAATTGACAGAAAACCAGGGGAATGTATCCGAAGAACTCGAAAAGAACAATAAAGCATTAGAAGTGGTTAATGCAGAAAAAGAAAAATTGACCGTTCTAAAGGGCGAGCAAGAAGCAAAAATTCGAGAGTTAGAAGCACTCATATCAACTACAAATTCGCGTCTCGAAAAGCTAGAAAGAGACCTCAATAATATAACATCAGAGAAGGAAAAAGCAGAGGATGGAATAAACAAAATGAATCGTGAACTTTTCAGTTTGACGAAAAGTAATCAAAACTTGGAAAATGAACTTAATAGAATAAAAAAAGAAACGGACAAATCAGCCGAACTTCAGAAGAAGGAGATCTCAAAACTCATGAGCTCGACTCGTGAAAAGAATGAAACAATTTCTAAACTTGAAGTTGCAATGAAAAATTGTGAGGATGAAAAAAAAAAGTTGATTAAAGAAGACATGTCAAAAACACAGCACATAACAGATCTCAAGTCAAGGATACAGAGCCAGGAGGACCTACTTTCCAAATTAACAGAGAAACTGAAGTCATTGGCTGACAATTACAAGTCGTTAGAATTAGAAAAGGCTGCCGTCACCGAAAAATTTGAAAATCAAGCTATTATTTCAGATGAAAAAGTTTCTACCTTACAAGGCCAAGTCGATGATCTCTTGAAAGCCAAATCCGAAGCTAAGGAGAGGGAATCCAGGTTAGAATCACAGTTGAAACGCTTAGAAGCCGAAATGGAAGAAAAGGACCACTCACTGGAAAAAATGACAGCTGAAATGGACATTTTCAAGACAGAGGCATCAAAGCTAAATCTTGAAGTTGAGAGGCTTCAATCGCTAAACAGTGACTATAAACTCCAACTCGAAGAAGTACAAGAATCAATGCAACTGTCACAAAAAAAGATGGATGAACTCAAGATTGATGCGGAGCAAAAGGAAACCCAATTCCAGAATAGAGAGAAGTCACTGATCATAGAATTACAAATGGCTAAAGATGAACACGATTCTATCATCAAAACCCTCACAAATTCAGAAGAAAAGATTGGACAATTGGAGGACAGTGCTCTTGAAAAGACTGAAGAGTATGAAAAAACAGTGAAAGATCTCGAATCTGAAATTGAGGCGTTGAAAACAGCAAATAGTGATCTGAAAGACGAAAAATTAGTGATTAAAAATGAACGCACACAGATGGAATCTGAGCAAATTCAGCTAAAAGCAGATTTAAAGAAGCTGGAAGATGCTAACTTTACTAACAAAGCCAAGAACGAGGAATTATCTAAAGATTTGAAAACAGCTAATGATAAATATTCCGGCGTAGAATTGCGAACGAAAGAATTACAAGGAAAGATTGAACATTTACAGATTGACATCAATGAAAAGTGCACAGTAATAAGTGATTATGAACGGAGAATCAAACAACTGGAAGAAAAGTGCCAACAGGCTGCAGAGGAAAAAGAAAGACTTAATGCCTCTCACTTGAGTGAATTGACAAGCGTAAATGAAGAAGTCGATAAATTAAAAAAACAATTAAAGCAGAAAATGTTGGAATTTGAAAAGGAAAGGAAACTCATGAATGAAGACTCTTCAGTTATCAATCAAGGCTATTCCGAGAAAGTTTCTATTTTGGAAGAAAAGTTGGAGAAAACAGAACAGGAGAACGCTTCCAAAATATCCTCACTTGAAAAGCAAAAGGTAGCACTTGAAAATCGTATTTATGAGATTGATGCGGCCACATCTCGCCAGAACGAGGAAATCAAATCAATAAAGCTTGCTGAGGAAAATGTGAGACATGAACTTGCACATGCAGAGAGTCAATATAAGAAGAAAGAGGACAAATTTTCGGAAACAAGAAAAATCCTCGAAGAAAAAGCGAGCTCTGCACAAAAGGAAATATTAGAAATTAATCAAACAAAAAGCTCATTGGAAGAGAAAATAAGTCTGCAAGAAAATGAAATAGCAAATTTATCCTCCAAATTGAATGAAACATCCACTAAATTACAAGAGTCATTGAAAGAGATCCAGTCTCTTGCTGTACAACGAGAACAGCAAGAAGAGACATTAAAAAAAAGGATCGAGGCAGTTGAAAATTCCCTACTAAGTAGTGAAGACGAGAAAAAAGACTTGATGGAAAAGATAAAGGATTCTAATCAACAGTTGATTTTAAAGAACAAAGAAATAAGTACTGTTGAGGCTAAATATGAAGAGTTTAACCTGGTGCAAAAAAAATTTGAAGATCTCTTAACCAAAGCTGAAATCCTAGAGACGGAAAATAGAGCATACAATGAACGAGAAAAAGAAGCCGAGAAAGAGAAAGCTCAGCTATCTGAAACTATTGTTCATTTATCAAATGATAAAGAAAAGCTACAGCAAAATCTCGAAAATTCCCAAAATGAGGTTGGACTGCTTAAAAGTTCGGTAAACAGTCAAGAAAGTTCTACTGATGAAACGAAGGAACTTGAAGCAACTATTTCGCAGCTCAGAGCGGATCTTAATAAATGGAAGTCGAAAGCAGAAGACAGGTCTGAAATAGACGATTTGATGTTACTTGTTACAGATTTGGATGAGAAGAACAGTAAATACCGTCAAATGCTTAAAGATGCTGGTGTTGAAATGTCCTCTGACGACGAAGAGGATACTGATAAGGATGAAACTGATAGGAGCGATGAAGAGACGGACGATGATGCATAGTCAAATCAATCTAAATCTTCTTTTGTTTATCTTTGTCACAGGGCTTTCTACGTTATATCAAGAATTTGTGTAAATAGCAGATAGAATTTTAATTGCTATAAAAATTCGAATTATTTTGTCGCTGTGGATCCTTCATTTTGTGGATGCGAATTCCAGGGTCGTTGAAATTCGCTATCTTTCCAATATCCTGCGGAGTTATAATGATAGTTTGCGTCCTGCTTTCTTTAGAAAGTTTATTCATTATCAACTTCGTCCCTATTTGTCGATTAACCTGGTCCATAAAAACATCAAATTCGTCCAGTGCTATTATGCGAGAACGCATCGGTCTCCAAGTAGCCAGTAACAACGAAATTTGAGAAAACGATTTTTCACCACCTGAGAGCGTGTCAACATTCCTAGCTTGTTCATCATTACTTGTCTTGATTAGCATATTAAGGGTGCCTTTTCCAAAATCAAAATGCAAACCTCCGGAAAAATTCCTAAATCTCAAAGATTCTTTAAAATCTGTGTCAGCTGTTATACAGGTATCAGTTTTTGCATAATTAAGCGACTGCCACCGCCGCTTTAATGAGTCATTAATCATCGCAATGGCTTTATCAATTTCCTCATATTTTTTTTCTGCCTCTCTATACTTCACCTTTGCCTCTTCAAAAAAATGGACAATTTGCTCCTGAGACATTCCAACTCGCCTTTCGGCTAGTTGAATCTGTCGCGTAATTCTTTCCATTTCTCTTTTGATATCATCAATGGAATTCGGAATATCAGCGGTAAAAGCGCTGTCTCTTGTACAGAACACCTCTGCATTTTCAATTTGTTTTTGAATACCATTTTCAAAAAGTTGTACTCGTTGTTGTAGATCTTCTCTCTTTTGTTTGTATTGATCTTGCTTACCAGTGTAGTGCTTAATATCATCCTGCAGCTTTTCCAATTTAGAACTACGCGAGGAGATTGAGTTTTTCAACTCGTTAAGTGTAGTTTCGGCTGCTTTTGAGGCCGTTTTAGTTTCATCAAATCGCTGTTTCAAAGGTTGGGCTTGCTGACTAATTTTTTCTAGCTTTTGCTGAATTTCTTCCGCTGCAATGGTATAACTGACAACAGCGTTTTCATAATTCTCTTTGTCAATCTTAGCTTGCTCTAATAGTCCTGTATCCACTTCCTTTTCCATATCAAGACGAAGGGCAGCCTCCCTTCTGCTGAGTTCTGAAGTTTTTAGCTTCAGTTGTGTTATGTTTTCATTAGCTGTTTTCATTTGGGTCCTAACATCTTGCAGCAGAACTTCATAGTGATCCCTCATTCTAGCCATATCTGCTTGCTCTTCTTTGATCACATGCTTAAGATAAGAAGAGTCATCACCAGAGGAGGAGGATAATTTCATCCTCAATTTATCTTGGTACTCTATAGTATCTATTCGGAAACCACCATAAGGGGATAAGGAGGACTGGAAGCCACTTTTAGAATCTCTCAATGACAGAGCCATGGTAATGTTTGGTAATTTCTTCTGTAATGTGGTCCTTGCGTCGTCTTTATCATCAATCAGTACCACCTTTTCAATTCTATTTTGATCAACAAATAGGCATTCAACACTTCGGCTTGTAAATTCCAAGGCATCTGAAATCGTTGGATATTGTGACTGGGCTTTTCCCCGTGAATAATCAAACTCACTGAGGGTATATGTAATAACATTTGCATTAGTCTTTATCTGACAAGCTCTAAACACTTCCTTCAATAAGCGATTATCCCTGGCATTTGCCACAACAAATGCGCCTAATGTTCCTCCAAAGTATCTTTGAATGGGGCGCGCCCAATTTTCAAATCCCTTTTTCACCGTCACATAAGCACCAAGAGGTCCAATAGGGATAGTGGAAAATTCACTTCTCCTTTGATTAATCACCTTTAAAACGCGCTCCATATTTGAATCAAAGTTGGAGAGAAAGTTGTTTTTTCCTCTACTCAATTCTCGTAATTCATTTATTTTAGAGTGAATACTGCGCTGTTGAACTTCAAGCGCTTGTTTTTGACTAGATACAAGAGTGCGTTCTTTATCTTTCAACTCCCGCAAACGTATATTTGCCTCTGAGTATCCATGATTAGCCTCGTCAATGTTCTTTCTAATGGCGTCAGCTTCCATTTGCATTTTTTCTTTATCACCACCCATTTGTTTTCTTAATTGATCTTGAAGCACTTCTATGGTTTTTTTGAAATGTCCAACTTTATCTTGAGCCTCTTTGATATGCTGCTCTGTTTCATCCTTATGTTTCTTTTGGACTTCAAAGTCAATTTTAACCTGATGCATAGCTTCTCGCGCTGCATCAGCTACGGCCTTCTTCTCTTGCCATTCGTTTAGCTTTGAATCGAGTTGCTCCTCCATTGCGATTTGATCTGCATTGAACCTTTCGATCGTATTTTTCTTTGCTTCGAGCTTTGCGTCTATCTCCTTGATTCTGTGATCATAATGTGCCTCATTGCTCCTAAGTTTATCGCGTGATTCTTCGTTTTCTTTCACATTCAACCATAGTATCTTTCCTTGTAGAATTCGCTTACGCTTATTAAGATCTTGATTAGCATTAATTTCCTTGACCAATCGTCTTGCATCTTCATAATCCTGCCTCAGGGCTTTAACATTTTCAGCGTGGAACTCGAGGTTTTCTTGCGCATTTATTGCAATTTCAAGGGCGCGGTTAAGATTTTCCTCTGTATCTTCTAAAAGTGTACCCCTCATGAAATGCTTATACTTTTCACTAGGAGTACTTGCTGTGAGAAAAGATCTTGCAGCATCTTGAGACAAAAAGCACATCGGATTCATAACTGGTACAGCGAAATGGTCAACAACGGCTTGAAGATCTCTCTTTTTTGTTGAAACCTCTTTCAAAGCCTCTGATTTTATACTGAAACTAGAGGAACCTTCTTTTTTAATTGTCCTTTCTATTATAATCTCATCGCCATATGTGCTCTGCTCAAATGATCCTTGACCACTGTTATCAAGTATTATAACAATTCGGGAAGAATGACAGCCTTCTCTTATCAAGTCCTTCAGACTTGAGCCCCTGTTTGTATCTGTTGCTTTAGCGCCTAAACCGATGGTAATAGCAGTAAGAACAGCACTTTTCCCGCTTCCATTGTTACCTACAATAAAATTCAAGCGGGGCCCAAGTTCCAGTTCAAAGTGCTCATGACACATAAAATTTTTTAAAATGACCTTCTTTATGTATCCTGGCGGAGGTAGACCTGCCTTCCCGGCGTTTATGGAGAGTGTAGGATTATTTTGGGTCATCGGGGCTAACTGCCTCTGTTTTTTTCTTGGATTTACGACACCATAGCTTCCTTCTGAATCTTCATGCGATAATTGGGCATCTGAGATTGGTTGATCGATGGATCTTTTCCTTTGCATTGCGGGGCCGGAAACTTTACTAGACGTTTATATTTATCATTGTAAACAAATTATATTTCCTATGTTCGTCCCAATCACGTGTTTGTTTTTGTCTAAATATCCGTGTATCGCATGCCTATATTGTTGGTTTTTCAGTGTCAAAAATTCAAGTCGTTAACCAAATTGAGAGCATTGAACCATTGTTTGCAGCATTGAACCTCCTTTCCGTTGAAAGTTTATTGAAGAATCATTTAATTTACGTCGCTGGAGCTTTTGACACTGGTGAATTTCTAATCAGCTTATAATGGTTGGACTTGGTGTTACTCGATATTGCCGGCGTATGTATGGTACATTACATCCAGAAGTTGATCTGATAGGTATTGGTAAGAAATGGGGGACGAAAGTATTGAAGGGTATACCAACCCCCGCTGTCAAGAACGATAACCTCAACATCTACATCTTGTCTCAATTCCCTTATCCCTCTGGCTCAATGCATATGGGTCATGTCCGTGTATATACCATCACAGATGCTCTTAACAGGTTCTACCAGCTTAAAGGATATAATGTGATACATCCAATGGGTTGGGATGCTTTCGGACTACCGGCTGAAAATGCAGCAATAGAACGAGGCATTGACCCTTCTGTGTGGACACATCAGAACATAAGGAAAATGAAAGAACAACTGAATTCGATGCACGTGAATTTTGATTGGAGTCGTGAGGTAACAACTTGTAATCCTGATTACTATAAATTCACACAGATGATCTTTTTGGAGCTATTTAAGAATGGACTAGCTTACCGTAAAGAGGCAGAGATCAATTGGGATCCTGTAGATCAAACAGTACTTGCAAACGAGCAAGTTGACGCAAAAGGGAGATCGTGGAGATCTGGTGCCATTGTACAGAAGCGACTTCTCAATCAGTGGTTCTTAGGTATTACGAAGTTTGCTCACGATCTGCAAAGTGACCTTGATTATTTGAAAGAATGGCCAACGCACGTTCGTACAATGCAAAAAAATTGGATTGGGGAATCGAAAGGAGTCGAGCTAATTTTCGAGATTGATAGTCAAAAAGTGAAAGTTTTCACAACAAGGGTCGAGACACTTTTCAGCGTTCAGTACGTGGCATTGTCCTTAGATCATTCCATAACTAGGCAGTTTGCAAGGTCAAATTCCGATTTGAAGCGGTTTATTCAAAAAGCAGAAGAGTCCCCTTATGAAGACTCGAAGGAAGGATTTCTACTAGAGGGCATAGAGGCCACAGTTCCTCTCACTGGATCAGAAAATAAAAAGGTCCCTGTGTTTGTGGCACCGTATGTTCTAGGAAGCTACGGTCATGGTGCTGTCATGGGTTGTCCCGCCCATGATGAACGTGATTATGATTTTTGGAAGGAAAACATGAGCAATCAGCCCATAAGAAGTTCTATTGAAAGTCCCTATGATAACGAAAGATCTACTATACCCTACACATCTAAATCGGGTATTATCAACTCAAATGGCGGTGAATATGCGGGGATGTCGACGACAGATACTGCAAGAGCGATAACAAAAAAACTTGAGGAACTAAGCTTAGGAAATTCAACTGTTAAGTATAAAATCAGAGATTGGCTTATAAGTAGACAAAGATACTGGGGAGCACCTATACCAATAATACACTGTCCTTCCTGCGGCACAGTTCCTGTACCCAAAGATCAACTACCAGTTTTGCTTCCGAAGGTCGAAGGCTTGGTTTCCAAAGGCAATCCCCTTTCGCACTTGGAAGACTTTGTAAATACTCAGTGCCCTTCATGTCATGGCCCTGCAAAGAGAGAAACTGATACAATGGACACTTTTATGGACAGTTCGTGGTATTTCTTCCGGTATACAGACCCCCATAACAAGGAAGCGCCGTTCTCATTTGAAGTTGCGTCGAAGCTAATGCCAGTTGACATTTATATCGGGGGAGTTGAACATGCAATTCTACACCTTTTGTATTCAAGATTTATTTCTAAATTTTTCGCTTCAGTAGGAATGTGGGACGGATCTTCTTGTAAAGGTGAACCTTTTAAGAAATTAGTAACTCAGGGAATGGTGCATGGGAAGACGCTAGTTGACCCAGTTAATGGGAGGTTTCTGAAACCAGATGAGCTTGATTATACTGATTCCGGAAAGCCTATTATTCGTGAATCTGGGAAGGAGCCTTTGGTATCATATGAAAAAATGTCCAAGTCTAAATACAACGGCGCTGATCCTGATGAATGTATCTCAAATCACGGCCCTGATGCAACGAGGGCCCATATTCTATTTCAGGCGCCTATTAACGACATTTTAACTTGGGACGAATCCAAGATTACCGGAATCGAGCGGTGGATGACACGCATTGTAAAGATGGCAGACGTATTATCCTCGCAAGATTCTTTAGACGAAAATTTTATAACCCCAAAAGAACTCACAAATTCGGAAATCAACTTTCATAACGAAGTTCAGAATTTATTGCAAAGCATAACAACGTCATTTGAAAAAACCTTGTCGTTAAACACTGTCATTTCCGATTACATGAAACTAACGAACTCAATAGAAAGCGCCTTGAAATCAAACGATATCAGAGCCAATTTACAGATGCTTGCTTTTAAGAAGCTAGTTTCTGCGATATATCCTGTTGCACCTTCATTGAGCGAAGAAGCTGCTGATATCATAAAGACAAAGTTACAATGGAAATGGAATCAATATATTTGGCCTGAAGTCGAAGGTGCCAGGGAATCTAACCTCATTGATTATCAAATTTTCATTGGAGGAAGAATGAGATTCACTCATAGGGCTGATAAGGCATTTATTGAGGATCGCGCAAATGCCATTGCCACACTTCAGAGTCTTCCTGAAAGTAAGAAATTTCTTACTGGCAAAACCATCAAGAATGTCATATTAAAAAAGAAAGTGATTAGCTTTGTGCTCGCATAGTGTCTTTTTTCTTTCGTCTTGTAAATAATTGTATCATTTCAATATCATCATCAAAGTATGCTGATGAAAGCGTCAAGTTAACTTCTTTTGATCTTTAGTATCAGAAAGACTTTTCAAATAGGTAGTCAAAAAATCAGCTACTCCACGATAAGCGACTGTCTTCTTCATAGATTCTAATACAGCCAGCCTGATAGTGTCATAAGTCGGAAAAGTGATCAAAAGAGAGCAGTCACTATTGTGTTTTTTCAAATTTCTATATCCTTTCTCGAAAACAATATCATTAATATGCATTTTACAATCGATGTTTTTCATTTTACGAAGGAGCATAAAGAGAATGAATGAAAATGATGGGAGACCAGAAATGGTGAAGCACGACTTGAGATTTGAAATATAATCTTCTGTGTAAACAGTAGCCACATAACGTTTGATGAAATCAACAGGAATGCTAAATAAGGACTCAGAATTGGAAATTTTGTTCCTCCATAGGTAATTTGTGATATCAATAACATACTGATTCAGCAGCTTCACATATGGGCTTGCGACCTCTAAGTTCTTTAAAAATTCTTTAGAGCTGATGAGATACTCACTTAAAGATGAGATAATGACTGGATCATTCAGAGTCATCAAAGCGTAAACAATAGTTTTCGGTATTATAAGAAGTTCCAAATCATCTTGTCGTATTTTGTGTATAGGATATTGTTTCAGTGTTTTGAGAAGCAAAGATATTGTGAGAGTAATATGTCGATTGAAAGGGAAGTTCTTGGCATCCTCCATTAACATTATTAAAATGATGTTGGAAATACTTAAGCAGACATGCATAATATCATGAGAGATGGAAATCTCGATCCACATTCTTAAAAGCATCAAAATATTTCCGGAAATAAGTGTAAATGATGGGACGTAAGCATCTGAATCAAGTAGTCGCGTTGATACCAACTTAGTAATTAGAGTTTGCTTCAAAATTTCTGGACTTTTGGGCTCGATTAACAAGCTCACAAATGACAATGATAAAAAAATCAATGGATTTTCTAAATCGCGAGGGAAACTCTTTTTAATTAAGGACCCTTCTATACTTAAAAAAACCTCAGTATTAATCAAACAAACGAAGCTTATACTGAGGGCTAATTGTCTCCTTTCCTCTTCATTTTTCTTTGAAAGGAGCTTGTATTTTATCTGACACCACTTCTCTATAGTTCTCCAGATATCCTCTTCAAAATCAAGCATTGTCAAAGCAACTCTTGATATTTTGTTGTCTTCTAAAAAAAGCGTATCCACATCGACTTGAGGTATATTGATATGTTCAATACTTCGGACCAATTTCTGCATTGTGGTCACTTGACTCCATTGAATAGAGACATTAGTTTTGTCATAAACCTCAAATACGTGGGATTTCGTGGAATTCAATTGTCTTATTAAATCTCGCACTGCTTCATCAAAACATTCCTTAGATAGTACATTATTTGACTCCAGTACACCAGCGCAAAGATGGTGAAAATCCTTATCAAACATACCTTTTTTTAAGGTATTCAATTTCCTTGCATTGCAATTCAAGCGAGTGATAAAGTCGGCTATGAGATCTTGCGATTCTATCGATTGATATCTCATTAGAATGAGGGTCGATAGAGCTGCTGAGTTTCGATACCCGGTTTTGAACCCTAATAAAGCCAACTTTTTTACCCTCCAAGGACGAACATGCATTTTTAAGGTTGACCAATATAGAACATAAGTGATCCAATGTTGCAAATAATCGAAGCTCCAAAGGTGAAACCACAACGAATAGGTCTTCTCGAACACTGAGGTATCTTCCAACAAAAAGAATATGTGCACTACCCACTTGCATAAATGAATTTGAATTGCCTCTGGAGTTTGCAATTTGTACATTGTTTGTAGAGAACTTGCCCCCAAATGCTCTATAATGGTGTATATCACCGCGGATGGAATGTAGTCGTTAGGAATAAGACAATGCTCTATCAAATACACTTTAGTCGTCGTTGCCAAAAGTGATGATTCACATAAAAATGTGATTATATCGGTTAGATGAGAAGGTGTAACTCCCTCAGTTGGAGCCTTCTCGTAAATTGTTTCCAAAAGCCATTGAATACGTGATTGGCTCAACTCATTTTCTTGATACAACTCTATAAAACAACTGGTAGTAGTAGCCATTTATTTATTTTTTGGTACATTGGATAACAAGTGACAGTTGCTATCATTCATCACACTTTGACCCACCTTTCACTCAAGCGTGTCAGGATTATTTTCGCGAACTATAAAAAATAATGATGATCAAATCGGCATAAAAAAGTAAGATAAATTTAATTTGTATCTGTATAACTATAAAACATAAAGCAATGAGTATTCAGACCTTTAGTGTCCCATTTACATCATATACCGATCTAGAACGGATGTAAGGATCCAATTGTGAATAGTTTTTGCTCAATTCTTTGCTGATGGCGATTTTTTCCTCAAGAAGTTGTTTGGATTCCGTAGCCGAAGAGCATTCAATCCATTTGACTGTGACATCAATGAATCTTTGAATAATTTCCTTTCTTTCAGCTAAAATCTTTTCACGTGTCTCACCATCGCTAAGTTTGGCATCACATGCCTCATCTGGTCTTTGATAGGAATCGAAATCATAAGTGTCCTCCCCTCCTAGATATTCTGGGATATGCTCTTTGGGAATGTGCTCGGACAAATCGTTAATATTTTTTGTGAAAATGATCTTAGATGCCACAACGGGGTCAAGCCAGTTTTTGATGATGTTCCAAATGGGAGGAAAGACCCAAGGAGCTTTGTGGATAAACAAGTGACCCAGACACTCAGGGTAATGCGCTTCGAAACAGGTGATTAAGTACTGCACAGGTGAATAGTCCATATTCGAAAGCGAAAATCCTGTCAGATCAAAAAGGATGGTTGCACAATCGACAGGTTCTCTGATGAACATCCTGGCCTGCTCAATAATCAAAAGACAATACTTCTTCATTTCCTCCTCGTTCTGATCGCTGGCGTGATGCAATTTGGGTCTGACGAGAACAATAGGACGGCCTTTCTTGTCGTAACCTCTGATTGTCGCTTTTGACAGCTCGATGTTCTTAACATAACCTTCTTCGTGATTTTTGTAAGCAGCCTGCTCACCTCCACGAATTACATCATCTGGCTGGGCATCTTTCAATCTCCAGTGCAAGGTGTGAGCAATCATACCCATAGCCTTGTCTGTGTCCCATTTTCTGGCGCGGAGAAATCTCAACAGTAGGTTGTCTGGGTAGTCAGTTCTTAGCATGTCCCAGAAGTTCTCCCTCACCTCCTCAGGCTTCAGATTCTTCAAAGACTCATGTATCAATGAGTGTGGGTATGCACTCTCTATCGATTCGGCCGATCTCTGGGATGTCACCGACGAAGTTCGCTTGTGCAAAGGTTCCGACTTCGGCGCGGGCGCTGATTTCCTGAAACGTCCAAACAGCTTGCTGCCACCCTTTTTAGGCTTATTCTCTGAAGTTGCAGTGTTTGTTGTACTCAATGGCTTCTGATTGTTCTCCTGTGCCAAAACTTTGGCACTGTCGACTGGGACACCCCAATGCTTCAAAAAATGCGACCATACCTGCTTCAAACGTAGCTCTTGGTCACTGGATAAAGTCTCTACACGGCCAGGAGGAATCTGTGCACTCATACTAACACTTGATACAGCGATAAATACGATAACGTGTCTTCAAGACCGTAACTTCTCTTCAAGACAATAATACTCGTACAGGTGCGGAACGCGGTTCCACAAAGCACCGCGCGAAGCCGGGGCGCGGTCCAACAAAATGGCGAAAGTCATATTATACGGAGCTTCTCGATCATTTGAAGTGGAAAGTATCAAGTTTCGAACACAGGCTCAGCATAAACCACTACCTGAATATCAAATGTGCCGCCACTAGGCTACTAGATACAATCGTCAATAGTGATAGAATTATACATTTTACCACTGGGTATATGGAGTAAAACACGTGACCTGAATTTGCTTCTAATTGTATACTGGTGCAATTAGTCGGTCAGAGAGGGACACAAGAGGAGGAGGGGGTTGCTATTAGTGTTGTACTATCGGTGTCTGTAGCATCAAATTGCACAGGGTTTGTATATTGCTGACTAGTACCATTGATATCTTCGACCATCGGTGACCTTTACTTTTGTTGCTAGGGAAAATACCGCATTCTTTCTTTTTGGTGCCTTTTCTCCAATTAACATTATATAAACTTTGATCACAGAAGACAGTGGTTGCACATAAGACACAACTTGCTAAGAAAATAGCTATGGTACAACAAGATATAGTCAGTGTTCGTGTGTTGAATAAGCAGGACACGGTAGCTAATGAAAGATATGTCTACTTGAAACACAGTGAGTATCATGTGGGGTCGGGCATCGCCGGGGTATTGACGTTCCCAGTATCAGCCGGATTTCCATCATTTAAGGAGCGTGTGGTAAAAGAAGGAGAATATGGCTTTCCACAACACAAGCTGGTACTATTATTGCATGGTCACTCGTCCCACAAAAACGCAGTTTATCTCCCTCTCTTGGCGAAGACGCTTGGTGATATGGGCTATTATGTACTGAGGATAGACTTCCGGAACATGGGTGACTCAGAGCCAAACCGCGACGAGAAAGTTGGACGCACAATTTCACAGGATTGTGAAGACATCGAAACTGTATTCCAGTTCGTCTCTACGGAGCAGTGCCGCGAACTCGTAGGCCACTATTTGACGCTGGACACTATTGTGGCACATTCGCGAGGAGTCATGTCGATGTTCGAGTTCGCCAGAACTCGTTACGTCCCTAACTTGGTCAATGCTTGTGGGAGATTTGTAGCTTCCGGTTTGTACGAGAAGTCACGGCGCAGAAATCCTAATTGGGATAAAGAGGGCGGATTCAAGTGTTCCATGCTTCGGTACGGTAAAATTCAGGAGCTTTGGATTCCTAAGTCAGAAACATTAAGTGCGGCGACTGTCGATACAGCCAAGTTTGCCGAGATAGATCCGCGCACATGGGTGATGTCAATATATGGATCTTATGATGATGTTATTCCTCTTAGTGCGATCACGCAGTATTCTAACTTGTTTGAGGGAAGACACACGTCAGACATGGTTATGTATGCAGATCACAATTTTTATGGACTACCGGATGATCCCAACGTTCACGATTTGCCACTTCGTAAAGGCAAAGTGAACTATAATTTCGTGGCTGTAGAAAGGATCGCGGCTCATTTACAACCTGAGAAGCAACTTCAACGGTTTTACAAAGTGAGTAGCCAGATCGCAAGTAAGCAGAATCCCGCCGACATTATGTCGCGGTGGCCCTTGCCATTCAACTTTTCTCACGTTTCTAACTTCCGTGATCTTGGAGGTTTCAAGACCACTAACGGTAGACGGGTCAAACCTGGAGTCTTCTTCCGTTGTGCCAATCCATGTGACATCACATCAGATGCCATGGAATACATGACGCAAAGACTACATGTATCAAAAGTATTCGACTTGAGGTCTACGGCTGAGGCGAAAGAACACGGCGCAATAAAGGGAATCGAAGTAGAAAATCTTCCCCTTAACGATCATCAGAGTCTTGCTCCCGAGGACTTAGCCAAACATTATCAAGGCCTTCTCTTGTCACCTTACATGTTCCCGCAAGCGTACCTTGTCATCACTAGGAATAGCGCACCTCGCTTGAAAACGTTCTTTCAGTACATCATTGACGGGAAATGTGATTCCCAGCATGCTGTACTCTTCCACTGTGCTGCAGGTAAGGATAGAACTGGTATTCTAGCAATGCTGATCCTTGCGATACTTGGCGTAGACGATGACACAATTTCCCGTGAATATGAGCTTACAGCGCTTGGCTTGAAAACCGAGCAAAAGCTTATAGACATGATGGAGAAACGTGGCGATGTGTTTTATGAGATGCTAGGTTCCAGAGAACTTGCGAAGGAGTATAATGTCGACCCAAAAATTATGTGTCGAAATGTGCTATCCTCCAAGTACGAAGCGATGAGACTGTTCATTGACAAATTCAATGCTGAATACGGATCTGTCGAACGGTTCTTTTTGAATACTCTTGGCTTCGAACCTAAAGACATTGATACTATTAGAAACACATTACTGGAGTAAACTCGGTTACTGACAATCTTAAGATCAATATAAGTATATATACATAGATGCACATAATATAAAATATATGTATAGCGGTAAAAATGATATTGGAAAGTCCGGGTAAATTTGAAGCATTGAAAAATTTAGGAGGGGTTACTTAGCATAAACACTTTGTGACGTACAAAGAGTAAATAACTGGGATTCCCCTTGGGAGAGTTGAACGCGAGGGTGTTTTAAGCTTGGATAAATAATAACTATAATCAAAAGGCAACCGTTGTGTTTTTTGTTTGTGGTGATTAAAATTTATCGGCTGTCGAATCACGTCATTGATTCGGTGCACATTTCACTCATCTTCAGCTTTGAAAATGTCATCAAACCAAATTTATTCAGCAAAATACTCAGGAGTTGATGTATACGAGTTCATTCATCCTACTGGCTCAATCATGAAGCGGAAGGCTGACGATTGGGTCAATGCGACACACATTCTCAAAGCTGCGAAGTTTGCTAAAGCCAAGAGGACAAGGATATTAGAGAAAGAGGTTATTAAGGATATACATGAGAAAGTGCAAGGTGGGTTTGGAAAATATCAAGGGACATGGGTTCCGTTGGATATTGCTCGTAAGCTAGCGGTCAAGTTCGATGTACTCGACGAATTGCGGCCCTTATTTGACTTTAGGCAAGTTGAGGGCTCAGCTTCTCCTCCTCAAGCCCCTAAACATCATCATGCATCCAGAAGTGACTCTACCAAAAAGCGAGCTGCTAAAGGTGGCCTAGTTACAAAGAGCAAAAACTCTGAATCTTCGAGTTCTTCTTCTACGCCAACAGTTCCAAAAAGAAGGGGACGGCCTCCATCAAACAAAAATAAGAAGGCAGCTGCAAACTTACAGCGATCGCAAAGTGATATGGTATTCCCTCGACCAGCAATTCCAGTTTCGAACATTTCTTCCACTAAATTGCCATCTATACAAAGCCCACTGCAAAGAACAATAAGTTTGGATCCCGTTATCATGAGGGAATCCGGTGTTTCGCAGCCGTTCAAAGAATTGGACATAGAAGATGGACTGTCAAGTGATATTGAGCCTTCGCGGGGCGTTAAACATCAACACGAAGGATCATCCTCTTCTTCTCTGCCGACTTCCCCCAGTGGGCTTTCGGAGGATAACACATTCGATCAAAGAACAATTGGTGGTACCATAGACCAGGATGAACTGGGGAGTGCTACGTCGCCAGTATCTGCTATGATTCCTCGATTTCCAACCCAAACGAGCTCACAAAGCTCCGAGAATAACTCAAAGGTAAGCGAATATCTCTCAAGATTGGTTGAATATTTCGTATCAAGTGAATCTCATTCAGATTATAACGTCCCAGAAGAAATACTTTATCCTCCCGCTAACAGCGCTCCTTATATTGATGCATGGATTGATCATGAGCAACATACTGCATTTCATTGGTCTTGTGCTATGGGTAACATCGCAATTGTTGAAGCACTTCACAATGCCGGGGCAAGTATTAGATCTGTGAATGCACAAGGTGAGAATCCATTGATGAGGTGTTCTATTTTTCATAACTCTTTTACGAGGCGAACATATCCTCGCATTTTCCAGCTACTGCATGACACTGTTTTTGATGTCGATTCACAACTCCAGACAGTTGTCCACCATATTGTGAGACGCAAATCGTCCACTCCTTCTGCTGTTTACTATTTGGACATTCTTCTATCAAAGTTAAAAGATTTTTCTCCACAGTATAGAATAGAGTGCTTGATCAATGCTCAAGATCAACAAGGAGACACTGCATTACACATTGCTGCTCAAAACGGCGACAAAGTTTTTTTTCAAACATTAGTGCAGCATGGTGGTCTTTTGACCATAAAAAATAATCAAGGTTTAACACCTACTGAACTTATGAATCTAAATTACACATCATCGCAACATCCAGGAATGACCAACGGAAAGCCAAAATCCAGTTTACCCCCTTCTTCTCCTTCTGAATTTCTGATGTATCCGTCACAGGCAGCCACACGCTTAAGCAGAGGAATACCAGAAGTTGTTAATTTGATGAAGGAGATAGCAGACTCATACAATCGACTTCATCAGGCGCGGGATATTGACGCCAGGAATTTAGAAAAAACGTATTTGAGCATGTCAAAAACGATTTCTACAGTGGAGTTCAAAATAATGGAAGTGCTTGGACTAGAGGATCTGAGCGATGTTGATAGCGTTTTGGAAAAGAAGAACTCGGATCTCAACGCACTTCGATCCAATCTAGTTTCTCTCAGAAAAGATTTGATCAATAGGTTGGAGAGAAGCCAATCAAAACAACTTGCTCAGTTTATTCAGGAGGAGGAGATCAAGCTTTCACCCAACTCCAAAGATCAAGAAACGGACCGTATGAAGCAGGTGACGCTTGCACTTGAGCTGGCTCAACTGCAGATACGACGTAAAAAAAAGATGACAGAGATTTTGGAAGTGATTGCAGATAACGCTAAGATTCACAAATACAGGAAGATGATTTCCCAAGGTACTGAAATGGATATTGAAGAGGTTGACGGCTCTCTGGATATTATTTTGCAAAGTCTAAATAGTGAGTAATTGAAGCATTTCACAAAGGAAAAAGGTGGATTTGATTATTGGCGTAAAACTGTGTAACATTATATCATTTTTTTATTATAGATATGGGATTAAACTGACATCGAAAGCCTCTTACAAAATACCAAAAAACTTCGATTTTTCTATATAGGATCATTACTTAAAAACACAAATTCTTTTTAAAAGATGGGACAAAATACGTTAGAAAGATCAACTACTGACGTCAATTTGCCTTTTCACATAATGATGGCTTCCTTTGGAACATTGACGGAAATGGACTTGTGAGGCAAGACCTTACCACCGTTGATGTAGACTTCGTCCTTAACTTCGACGTCGTCACCCAAGACAGTGACACCTTCCAATCTAGCCCACTTACCGACAGTGGAGTTCCATCCGACAATGGTGGACTTGACCAAAGAGTGATCCTTGATGGTGGAGTTGGACAAGACAACAGATCTGGTGATTCTAACACCGTCGCCGATGGTGACGTTTGGACCGATGACAACATCTGGACCAATCTTGGCTGTTGGGGAGATCTTGGCAGTTGGGTCAATGACGACGTTGCCGACAATGTTGTCACCCTTGGCCAAAAGTTCAGGCTTTCTCTTGGACAAAGAGTTCAAGTAAAGAACGGAACCAGACAAGAAGTCCTTTGGTTGACCAACATCCATCCAGTAACCTTCCAGGTCGAAGGAGTACAAGGACTTTTGCTCAACAAGAATTGGGAAAGTCTCCTTTTCGATAGAGGTTGGCTTCAAGTCAATCAAGTCGATGACTTCAGGGTTCAAAATGTACAAACCAGCGTTGATTCTGTTACCAACGAACTCAACTGGCTTTTCGACGAATCTGTCGATCAAGTTTGGAGTGGCGATGTCGTGGACGATGACACCGTATTTGGAAGGTTCGTCGACCTTGGTGGCAACAATGGTACCCATACCACCGTGCGCGTTGTGGAAGTCGGCAAGTTCCTTGAATGGGTAGTCACAGATGACGTCGGAGTTCAAAACGAAGAAAGGAGAGTTGTCCTTCTTCAAAACCTTCTCCGCCAACTTCAACGGACCAGCCGTGCCAAGAGGCTCGGTTTCGACCGAGAACGTGATGTTCACGCCGTATTCTTCCTCGTACTTCTTCAAAGTCTCGACCATCACCTCAGGACGGTAGTTGACGGCCAAAACAATGTCAGTGACACCAGCAGACGCAAGAGCCTCGATCTGGTGCAAGATCATTGGTCTGTTACCGAATTCGACCAAAGGCTTTGGCACAGTCAAAGTCAAAGGTCTCAATCTGGTACCGTAACCACCAACTAGAATTAAACCCTTCATATTAGCAAATTGATTATAATTGATTGAATCTACTGAACTGAGATGCAGCGACTTCTAGTTCTTTGTAGTCTCCTGTACACGATAATACACGCTTAACGTTCGGTGTTTACAAACATTTTTAAAATTCGTCGTGAATATATATATAAATATTCATACATATATACGTGTTCTTGCCTGCTACGGAATTTTTTGGCACCACCACCACTGACCAGCCCTGGCCCAACGATGTTACGTGTCGAAAGAGAGAAGCGAAAAAAAATTTCAGCGCCGCTGGCCTGTGCAGCGCTTGTAGTAAACAGTTTCGCAGCACGCGTTGTGCGTCGCGTTCTGAGGAGGGGCGGCGGGCCACGCGTTCTGGAACAGTCGTGCCGGTGATAAAAAAAGCAGGGTGGATGGGTGCTCCGCGCATAGGCCCGGTAGCGGCGCGGTCACGTGCGGGCCACCCATTTTTTTTCTCGTTGTTGTAAGTTCCCTTTGCCACGTTGCGACGTTCATGCGACGCGACGCGACGCGACGCGGCACAGACGCGACACGGCGTAGCCGCAGACGCAGCCGCAGACGGGAACACTGGCGCCCTTGGACGGAAAGCAGCGCTCGAGGCCACGTGGACGTCGGATTTGCGTCGCGCTGCGTCGCGCTGCATCGCGTGTCGTGCTTCGTGACTGCGCACAGAAGCGGTGACGTCATGGTCACGTTGGTGCGTGGCCCACGTGATTTGGATCTCGCAAAGTCATGTGATGGACGTCCATTTATCTCCGTTGGCTGCCGTCGGGTATCTGGCCGCAGTCCCTCGCTCCCTCGGAAGTCTGGCTTGCCTTCCAGTCGTTCTCGAAGTAGAGACACTGCATGTCCCAGCAGCCGTGATAGCGACGTATCAGAGGGTGTGTTGCCAGGCGGTGAAGTCTTGATATGCTCGACCGGCAAACCATAGAGCGGCATTTGGTTGTCAGGCTTACGCGACTTTAGACTTTTGGATGTTCTCCGCAGCAGACTGCATAAAACGTTCACGTCTTATTTCAGCACGACTCGACGCACCACATGCGCTCTAATCACATATTTCAAGTAGAGAGTAGAATTCCCTTCGTAGACAGCCAGGCTGCAAAAAATTGTTTACACGCCTTCGAAATACTTGCTAACACCTTGTCCTGCGGGTCGAGCGTCCAGCGCAACTTTCCCGTCCTCAATCGAGCACGCAGGGTCCGACATTAAACACTTTTAACTGTACATACTAATTGAACATCCTACCAAGTAAACTACAGAAAACATCATTCTTTACACTTTCTCTTTGTTCCCAACTATCACCATCGAGGCAGAGGAGTCATCTTCGAAATCAGCGTCCTCGTACCCCATGAGTTCGAAGCGCCTTCTTTGTTCGGCAAAGTCCTCGACCTCGATCCAGCGCTCGAACCATCTGGAAAAGTCAAAGTAGCCGACACCTTCAGGCATTCCTGCTACTGGCCAGTAGTAGCACAAAGCAGAGTACACCAGGAATGACACCAAGTACCCCACGAAATAGTTCAGATAGTACACGCGCATAGCCCCGATTGGAACCGTAGGCCCCACAGACCCTATGAAACCGGGAAAGTTGGGGACAATTCCCACCACGTATGCCACAACAGCTCTCCAATTTGTACCGTACCGCGAGCCATACATATAAAGTGTGCTACGGTGGTTTGTGTAACAATGTTGCAATCTAATGAGACCCTTTCTTACAACGTAGTAATCAGCAGCAACGACACCAGCAATCGAAGACAAGAAAACCGCATATGCTGCAAGTGCTGTCGTGAATTTGGAAGAAGATGCCATCAGGTTCCAAGGGCAAATAGCAAGGGAAATCGCAGCACAAATGTAAGAGCCTCTTCTGATATTAATGAATTTAGGAAGCAGAGCGGTCATGTCAGTACCAGCAGAAATCGAATTGGAGGCAATGTTAGTACCCAATTGAGCAATGCCAAAGGCAAACGAAATTAAGAAAACACCTGCACGGTTTCCAGATGTGTAATGGTTCAAAAACTGAGCCAAGACGTCCAGTGGCGACCAGTAGTTAACTCCATACATGGTGTATGCAGCAGAGGTAACAAGAATACCGATAATCGAAATGATGGCGTACATCAAAGGTAAAATAAACAATTGCGAGTAAATCGAAGATCTCTTGGTGGTTGAAAAACGAGAGAAATCCGGAGCGTTCAAGATTAACGTTGAAAAGTTGTCAAGAGCACTCATAATACTTCTAATAAAATTCCACCCCAAAATTGCTCCGCTAGGATGAACCTCGGTCAACGAACCCAGTGCCAAGTTACCATGAGATTTTTTCAAAGTCCAAATCAAAAACCCAAATGCGGCAAAAGGACTGATGATACTCTTCAATGCAAATAAGTAACGTAGCGTGTGAGGAGGGAACCATAGAACTGGTAATTGTGCACCCCAAAACAACATGAAGCACATAAACCCAAAGGTCGTAATATTGGGTGTGTTCATGGTATTGTGAATTCTAGTATCCAAATCGGTGCCAAAAATTGACATTAGCATCAGTTGTACTGTCTGAGATCCGATATATGTTTGAACACTATACCAAACACATGCCATGACAACTCTGTTTAGCACAATCCACAAGGAGAAATAAATACCGAAGGAAATTCTAGAGGAAATAGGAAAAGAAATATGATAGAAATTACCGACACGAGAGCCAACTACCACAAATAGAGCTACCGCGATGTAACCAATCCAAATACAAATCCATGTTTGCCACCAGTTCAAACCTAATTGCAGACCAGTGGCAGAAATTTGCCACGAGTTAACGTTAAAGGAACCAGAAATCCAGAAAAAGACGAATTGCTTCCACGTCCATACTCTTCTCTTCGCCTCCACAGGGGCAAGATCGTCATTGTATAAGAATGACTCGACGATAGATTCGGAACGACGAGTTGCAGAAGCATGATGTTGCTTGACTTCCACAAATCTTAATACTTTTTCCCAGAAATTTTTTGGTGGTGTGTCATTTTCTTCAAGTCGGCTATCTAGCACTTCGACCGTTGTTGTGTTTCTTTTAGTAAGTCCTTCAGGAGAGTTGGTTTGCCTCTCAGAGAGGATTTCAAACGCCGACGCAACGTCGTTAATAGAGTTCATCTCATCCGACATCCTAAAAAAAGCGAAAAGCAGAATTAATTAAGGTGGTTGCTTTTATGCTGAGAATCCAGTCTTATCAGGGTGAACTGGTGTAATGCCGAGTAAAGATTGTCGGCTGCAGTAATGCAGTGACTTAAGCGCAGGGGATGAGATAAACCAATATTAGATCGATAACGTATCGCCCGTCTTGACAACTAGGCTATTAAAACTTATCGCTTATCTACATGAACAAGAATAAGGAACGAGATAGAATAATGCACCAGAACTCAGAGACATTTGCTCAAAACGTCGAAGCATTTAATACCTCCATCGGAGTTTTCTTTTGTTAAAAATTTTTCAGACGGCAAACTTTATCCACTGATAAAGAAAAAAGAAACGACCAAAATATGTCGCAAGACATTTCATCAGTTTTTAGGGCAATCGCAAGTTAGTGAACGGCAAAATGTTGGGAGATTTTTCAAGTTAAAGTTCGAACCTCTAATCGTCTGCGTATGCTACACTATTGGATCATCTGTCCTTCGGTCAGACCTTTCAAAGTGGCTGCGACAGCCATTTCATTTGAAGATATTGAGGCTTTGGCACATAAATCATTTCCGTCGGCGGAAAAGTTTGTCGGGAACGGCTGAGCCTGCCTCCGAATTTTTCTGGGGGGCGGCTTTGTTCAGGATGCCCTAGTTTCCCCCATGGCGAAACTACGTCAAATGCACCTACGCTTCCGCCGCTTTTACCGTGGGTACCGAACACTCCTGTAGAGCCGCATCCTCAAGATATGGAAATGCTACTGATCGCTTACTAAGAGCTTTTTCATGATAGTTCCACCTTTGATGGGCTTATTACTCTTTCTTCCGAAAGAACCGCTTTCATACATTCATTTCTCGAGGTGCTTGGCAGTTTAAAGTTCGAGGACCGTTTTTTTCTTGGAATTCCTCGAGAAAATAGCCGATCGACATCAAAAGAGAGCACGAAAGTATTTCTCATTGTCGCTTCATAGATATTAGGGTGTGTTAGAGCACTGCGCTGAAGTTTGATTCTCTGTTGGATGATTTTCCTTATGTCAACAGCTTTCTACCTCTGATATTTTATGATCCCTCCCACCAATATGGATGATGCTGGTAGCGAATGCTTTGATGGTATATAATCTTATCTATGTATTGACACATCAAGAACTCGTCCTTGTTAGCTCAGTTGGTAGAGCGTTCGGCTTTTAAGCATTGCTCGCAAGGGACCGAAATGTCAGGGGTTCGAGCCCCCTATGAGGAGTTCTTTTTTTGGTCTTGATTTCCAATGCATCGAGTAAATACAGCACCTTTGGTTAGTATACAGGGTATAAGTTGCATTTTCTTGAAGATCCTACACTGCGAAATACCAGTCATTAGGTAATAACAACATAGAGTGGGTTACGAATCAAGTAAAATATGGGGAGCGGAGTGGACAATGATAGTTAAACTTTCTCTTCACTTTCTTACACTTTAACTACTGCTGTTCAGTAGTAGTTATACCCATTAATTCATCTACTCAATAAAAGCTATGTACGTACGTCAAATTGAAGTAACCCCGATTTGTGAACAGATGCCATTCCTATTAACTTGCAAAATGCTCATGTTCGAATAGGCTTTTTCTGAAACAGGCCATATTGGAGTGAATGTCACCCCCGCCAAATGATCGCTATCTAGAACTACCCACATGAATGACTTCGGATCGTCTTTCCACCTCAGAGTATTTTCAGGTGAGAGGTACAGATTCTGTGATTGTTCAGATACCTTAGCACGTTGGTTAAATAGTTCTAAGGAAAAAAGACCCAGCAAAAGCCCCCCTCCGTCTGTCCCATCCTCTTCTTGTTCAGGAACCATTACCCAAGATTCTGTTAAAAAGTCTCCATCATATGAATCAGGACACCAACAAAGAGACACATCGTCAAGAAGAAACTCTTCGTTAAACGCCAGTGAAAGCTTTGGGATATTGAAACTCGATTCGGCATATTCCCAATTTTTAGAAATTTTAAGTGGGACTTTCACAATAAATTCTTTTACTTTGAATGTTTGACCTGATTTCTTTCCGCGCCTAATAACGAAGCAATTTAATTTTAAAAACACCGAAAGCTTCTCGATGCTATTTTTAAAATGAACGCGTACTTGAAGCTTATGGTCATCGACTGATTTTGCTTTGAAATATTGCTGAAACCTGAATAAGCAAATGCTTCCTTTTTCCATATCTGGAGTAAATTTCAAACAAGTTCCACCAATGTAGGCGTCTGATTCATCAACTTTTAGCGTTTCGTCTTTGATAGGCATTGGTGAGGCCATACTTAGTTGAACCCAATTGGATGATGACACGGTGGACCCATTCATGTTGAAATACTTTCCCGCACCAGTCGAGAAAAGTGTTAAAAATGTCATCGCTCCCCCACCAACATGAAGCGGCATCGTCTCACGATCCTTGTCTCTTCCTATGCTGTTTTCTATGCGAGTCCAGAACTCATCGTCTATTCTGGTAAATTGTTCGTGGTCGAAGTTTTCGTAAGTCCATGCCGGTGCAAATAGCGTGGCATTTCCGCCGAACTTTTTTACGTAGCTCAGAGCGATATCAGTAGTCATCCCGCCCTGACCAACCTTCATACTTCTACCCCAGATATCAATGCCCACCGAAACTTTATTTCGCATCCCTAAAATTCCAACATTTTTCAGTGTTTTTTCCATATTTGAGAGATCCCATGCATAGTTAGTCATAAACTTGTCGGATTTGAAGAAAAAGGTCTCATTGAATTCATTAACCTCATTTTGATATATCACACGATTAAAATCTTGAAGGTAAGAGTCATACCAAACTACTCTTCCTTGTGGAACGTTGGAATTTATGCTTGAAGTTAAAGCTTGGACGAAAGATGGAACATCATGCGCTACATCGACGGGAAATTTTGTTTCCAAATTGACTAGCCAACCTTCAAAATTGAAAGTTTTACACAATGAGGTTAAAATTTCAACGAATAGAAACGTACCGTCATCCTTTCTCTTAAAAAGTTCTGCGCCGGCTGTGCCGTTGTCAAAATTTTCAAGTATTAGTGTGCCCAAGACAGGAGTACCATGCCGATGTAAATAATTACTCCAACATACTGTCGGGATACTGATAGTGTGGTGAGAAAAGTATATGAACTCGCCAACTAACTCCGTATACCGCAGCCAATAGTGATCGCCAGTAGGATGCTTGTATTCTCCAAGAGGATTGCGGTCTTCCCATTTTTGATATCCGCCCTTAAAATCATGACAAACTGTTAAGATTGGTGTTTCGCCTTCCTTTCTGGCCGAATCAAGAGGTTCTGCACTCTTGTAGTCGATTATACGTTCCCTCGCAATATTGATCTTATCATTAGAGCTTATTGACTTCTTGAAATACCAACATTCCAAAGCATCCAGGTTGTCAAAATACAAGCTCCGAGGATTAAAAAGTCTGTCCTTTCCCGCCATGATATTTGAACTTTCCTTTAGGCCAGAAGGTTTGCTTGGATACTTCCAGTTATTAACTAGTAAGAGCCACTTTATCTCTGAATAGTGCACCACTTTTGTTTATTTTGATCCTTCAGCGGGTGTGCTTCTTGTCCCTCATCTAGGGAAACAGAAAAATACTAGAAGTATGTAATTGCCAACGGGCGCTATTGAACAAATATATGTGACTTTTTACAATTTCTGTATTATAAACAACGGAAAACTCGAGTTTAGCTCAAGTATTCTTTTCACGGTGATTTCACATCAACTCGGAGAAACCAGCCACCAAGTTTTTGGTAAACCCACCTTCCTTGGCTGCCGTTTCGTAATAACCGTAAATTGTAGTAGTTGCCATTAAGATAGAGGTACCAGATCCCAAAGTACCCAATAAGTCTGATCCAACAGACAATGCACCAATTGTAGCACCACCAAAAGCAGCAGCGGTGGGGATGACCTTTTTTAACTCTTTGTATACTGAGGTTTCTCTCTTACCATTGATTACTAGGCCTTGGTCCTTGAACTGCTTGGCAATATCGCGAGGGGAAGTACCAGAAATTTCAGTCCATGTTTTGGAAAACATCGCGCAAGCCCCCAAGACAAATGTGACGTAAATGGCAGTCTTGATTGGATCTAAGATGGCGTCAGTCACAGAAAATGGTGGTTGGATGTAGTAGGACAAACCACTTAAAGCGCTTTGTTGACCCATGGGAGAGCCTGGTCTTACACCCCAGACACCAACGAGGCGAACAATGGGGTTGGTTGGGAACTTTTGATACAAAATTTGTGAAATTAGGAAAATGTTGGAGGTTAAGGCACTTTGCAACATGATAGGAGTGTTTGAAGTGTAGAACAACTTAATTGGGTAAGCACCAACTTGGCCTCTAGTTCTGGTTGATCTAATTGGAATCTCATAACGGAAACCTTGCAAGTACAAAACGAAAAGAAATACGCCCACAGTTGACAAGACTTGGAACATGTTTGGCAAGTTTTCTCTGTAGAAAGCTTCAACGAGGGCTCTCTTTTTGTCCTTTCTAACCGATAATAGGTGGAACAATGCAATGAAAGCACCTTCAAACTCGTCACCACGACCAGTGTTAACGGTAGTTGGGGCAAATGCCTTCCAGAATATCTGTTCGGCAATGTTGGTAGCAGTGAACAATGAAATACCAGATCCCAAACCATAACCTTTGGCCAAAAGCTCATCTAGAAGCAACACGATAAAAGATGCGAAAACCAATTGGAAGATGAGCAATAAAGAAATAGCAATACCGATATCGGAGGGTCTGCCATAGTTACCACTCAAGACAACCACTACAGCTTGACCGACAGTAAGTAAAATGGCGCAGACCTTCTGTGCGATTTGGAAAAGCTCCCGATCTTGCTTGTTTTCCATATTGATATCTAGCAATTGAGTACCTTGTAAGAACTGGAAGATCATGGAGGAGGTAATGATAGGGGTAACGCCCAGTTCCATCAGAGTACCACGATTTGAAGCAAGCATTGCACGTAGCCAATACAGTGGATCAGAGGTCTCGCTTGAAACAATACCATATAGCGGTATTTGACCTAACACCAAAAAGATCAAGAGCGAAACACCCGTCCAAATCAACTTCTGATTGTAAGGAACTTTTCTTTCTGGCGCAATGACCTCTGGCAAGAATGCTTCAAATGGCTTGAATAGGTCCAATAAACGTCCGCTCATGAGGAATTCGATTTCTGTGGATTTAGTTTGACGCTATAGGAAGCACAGAACACGTTAAAAGAACACCGTGTGTGAAAAAAAGTTTGTCAACCACGAAATACAATAATAAAATACATCACCAAAAACGGAATATGAATGCGAATGAAGAATCCAATATTTACTCATGAGATAATAAAATATATACTTTAGTCTCATAATTATATATCAATGCCTTTGCGTTTCCAAATAGCGTAGTAGACGAATATGCTTACTAAGAGGGCTGTTGCAAATGAGGTGCCGGTCGCATAGAAGGCCATATTTATGCAGCTTGAATCCACATTAGCTGAACATGTAGAATCGTAAACATGAGCATAGAATACACCGTAAATGGTGGCGCCTAGTGCTGGAGCCACCATAAAGCAGCCATATGCGGTGCCAAAAACGCGGCCTCCCCAAACTGTTAGCGTTAGCGTTGGTATGGCAGTGAAGAGTCCACCATAGGTGGCACCGCTTAAAGCACTCGCTATCATGAGACGCAGTGGATGGGAGCCGCTCCTGGTCACCAAAGTCTGAGCGAAGAACCCCACAACAATTAGGAAGTATATTATCCACATTCTTGAAATTCCACGAGCCGCGAAAAAGTCCGCTAGGAGACCCACAACTGCTCTTGCTATCGTTGAGAAAAGGGCGAAATATGAAAGCACTTGGGACTGGATGGTTTTGTCTTCAGGATCTACCAATCCTGCAACAGAGCCCATGTTTGTGAGAAACATTTCCAGAGAACCTATGGTGAAGAACGTAAGAATCAGAACCAAATAAGCACTAGGGTCGCGCAAAAAGCGACGCAGTAATTTAGAGTATTCGGATTTCGCAGGTATTTCGGCTGCACCCGGTAGTAAAGGCTCATGTTCTTCTTGCTCCGCAGTAGTTTTCAACATGGCAACGATGCTGGTAGAAACCCAGGTGCTGATACCGATTACGACATAAAACCAGGTGAAGCATCGAAACACACGACCCAAGTCCAGGTACTTGTGGCCATACCAGAACCAGGAGTTTTTCAGTAATTGAGATCCGAATAAGGAAGATATGCCGTAAAATGTTGTGGGACAACTAATGGACAGAAATTTGTATTTTGGATACAGCTTAGCACAAGTGAGTAATGCGCAGAAGAACATGGCGCTAGTGGATATGCCGATTGCTGTGAAACTCACCAATGTCCATGCGAAATGCGTTTCGCCATGATCGAAAACGTATGCAGCGTAGGCGTAACTTGGAACAAACCCCAAGAGAGCTAGCCAACTCAGTACCACGGGGCCATGTGAATCGGAGAGCATACCGAGAAGAGGGGGGGTCAGGTAACCTCCAAGATTAACCGCACTCGATACCAGGTTAACTTGGAGCGCCGAATAGCCCAGTCTATGCTGCCACGGTTGCGTGAACAGTGAAATCAGAGTGACAAATCCTGCTGCGATGCATGATATTAGAGCGATTATAAACGCAACTCGTCTGAGAGCGACAATGGAGAATTTTTTGTGAAGAGCTAATCTGATGTGATAGGTCAGCCAATGCTCGACAGTAGAAAGTGTCGTCATGTTAAGACGCTTTGGAATGTGTGCAGTTGTTCGTATGAATGTTGCAAAAGGGAACAAAATTCCGACGTGACCGGATAAAGAGAGGATCCAGGGGAAAAAGAAAATATGTTGAGGGTTCGAGCAGGTATGCGTAGCGAAACGTCTGTTGAGGGTTACGAAACACAGTGGCTATGGATTATCCTATGGGAGTTTATCTATTTGGTGCGAAACTAAGTTGCGTACGTAGGTGAGGGCCGAAATTTTGATGGTTCGATGCAGGCCCGCTAACGGCTTTTCGGAAAACAGACGTAGAGTCGGTGCCAGAGCCTGAAGGCAGCCAATGATGTGGCTAGTAAGCGCTGTGAGTGGTCAGTGGCACGCGGGGTGCAAGCGGGCATGTACAGGTAAGACCACGGCTGTCGGATGCGTCGTGACAGCGCGGGTGACTCAGATTCAATGGGAATGCGAGCTTTTTACTACTGAACGGCGTATATGTTAATGCTAAGATACAGATTGGGCGATCCAGCCCGCGTCCGTCAAGTACACTGCGGCGCAGATGGAACAGGGCGCAAATGAGAGGTCCACGCCGCACGCGACATGTTCGCTGCACGCGTCACGTTTGCCGCACGCGACACGTTTGTGTCCAGTCGGCGGGCTCAGGATCGCAATGCGCGTGCCACCTCGCTCAGACACCCGTACTTCTTGCTTTTGGTGCGGTGATTGGTGGTGCCCCAGTCCGGCGAGCCCTTGTTCTTGGACCGTGCGTACGTCAGGGTGTCGGGCTGCGCCGTCTCGGCAGCATAGCGCTCGCGCAGAAACCGAGCGACCTCGTCTGCATTGAAAGACGCAGCCTGCGGCTTTTTGGTCTTTCTAGGTGCGTCTTTGGCCTGCGGTGGTGGCGAGCCCGCCTTGGACCGCGGCGCGGACGTGCTCGTGCTCGAGGGAGGCGAGTGTGCGCTCTTGTGGTGTGTTCTGGGGGCCGCTTTCGCGGCGGCTGCGGCCCAACCGGTGAGCTTCGGCTTGTGCGTGGCGGTAGACATGTCCGAGAGAAGGTATGTGCGCTGTGGGACGGTGCGGCCTGCGCTGTTGGATCAATCGGAGCTGGGCTATATAGTATTTTTTTTCATCTGATATAGTGCCACGGCGAATGGCAAGCGCGAAACAGGAGACGCGTCCACGTGATCCCACGCCCGCGTCGCTTTCGACGAATCTCACATGCTCCATATTCGTTTTCCACGTGACATATTAGGCACGTGACCATGTGTCAGTTGCGCCCATGCACCCCGCGCCGTCCCCTGTTTTTTCCTTTGACGTTCCCAGGTTTGCTCCCTGGCTCTGTCCCGGGCCAACCGGTGCCCCGGGGCTTTGGTTTGCCGCCCGCGTCTGCCGTTTCTCCCTGCCACCCCCTTCTGTTCCAGCCCGGGGTGAACCGCCATTGAACGCGGCCGCCTGCCGCCCCGTCTGCCGCCCCCTGCCCGCTCGGCGCGAGCATTGTCCCGGGGCTAGAAGTCGCGGGGCTGCGCAACCGACATATCCCCGGGGTACCTCAGTGTAGCAATATGTTTGGTTTGCTTGGCGCGATGGGACGTAATGACAAGTAATGACAATAGCGCGTGCGGATCCGGCAACAGTGAGGTGCAAAGAAGCGGACGTAAGGCGTGGTCCGCCACGCGAAGTTGTATGTATAAGAAGTAGGGCGTAGTATGGAGTTTTTAGCTGTAATGTTACGTTCTCGAGGGTATTGATCGGTTCTTTTATCCAAACTCGTGCTACTTGTTACATTAGTTGCCCGTTGTAAAGTCAGATCGGTAGATAAGTCGTTAAAACGTCGAGAATTGTCAAAGTCGTTAAAACGTCACAACGTCAAATCGTCGAGTCTTCAACCGTTAAATCGTTATATCGTTAAACCGTTGGTCCACCCGTTGCAGGATACGTCGTTGCTCACGTTGCAAGATCAATTTCTACATTTAATTCCAGCTTCATTGCCATCGCAGTCGCAATAGTAACTCAATTGCAATGCCAGCTACCGTGCACGCCAGAAAGGACTCGGCAGAGTCCATCAACACCGACATCATCACGATGTCGCGGTTCATCCTCGAGAAACAGCGTACCAACGCGAAGCATGCGACCGGAGATTTCACGCTTTTGCTAAACTCGCTGCAATTTGCCTTCAAGTTCATTTCCCAGACCATCCGGCGCGCAGAGCTGGTCAACCTGATCGGGCTTGCCGGAGCCTCCAACTCGACCGGTGACCAGCAGAAAAAGCTCGATGTGCTAGGTGACGAGATCTTCATCAACGCCATGAAGGCCAGCGGCAACGTCAAAGTGCTGGTGTCAGAGGAGCAGGAGGACCTGATCGTGTTCCCAGCCAATCATGGAACGTACGCCGTATGCTGTGACCCCATCGATGGCTCTTCCAACCTTGACGCCGGTGTCTCGGTCGGCACCATCGTGTCGCTGTTCCGTTTGCAGCCGGGGTCCACGGGCACCATCGCAGACGTGTTGCGCAATGGGCTTGAAATGGTGGGTGCGTGCTACGCCATGTACGGTGCGTCTACGCACCTCATGCTCACGACGGGCGACGGCGTCGATGGTTTCACGCTCGACACTCAGCTGGGTGAGTTCATCCTCACGTATCCCAACCTGAGCATGCCGCTCGAGTACCCCATTTACTCCATCAACGAGGGTAACTCGCTGTATTGGGACGAACGCATCCAAACCTTCATCAATGACCTCAAGAAGCCCCAAGAAATGCTCAATGGCAAGCCCTACTCCGCGCGTTATATCGGATCCATGGTTGCAGACGTGCACAGGACACTGCTGTATGGTGGGCTATTCGCGTATCCTTGTGACCGCAAGAACAAGAATGGGAAATTGAGATTGCTGTATGAGGCGTTCCCCATGGCGTTTTTGGTCGAGCAAGCTGGCGGCCGTGCCGTCAATGACCGCGGTGAGCGCATTTTGGAACTCACCCCTCGCCACATTCACGATAAATCTAGCATTTGGCTAGGAAGCTCCTACGAGGTGGATCGCTATCTGAAACACATCGATAAGAACTGAACGCATATGCTTGCGTCTTGATGAATTAGCTAAATGTACACACTATATTTTAGTGCTTCAATCATAACGACTGTATTTAATGGCCTCTGTATATCGAACTATATTATATTCCTTTTGGCAGAAATTCGGACCAATCTAGTGATGCTCGGCGTCTGTGTCCGCGCCCTCGGTTTCCTCAGTTTCAAGAGTTTCCACAGCTTCTTCGACAGTATCCTTCGAGGAGACATCCTCTTGTTCGTCACCTGATTCCTCTCCGGCCTCGTTCTCAGAGACAGTTGTGACGATTGATCTGGCTTCTGGAGGCAAAGTAGTGTCAACGATGGCTTGCGAGTAGCCCAATTCCTGCACCGTCTTCTCCATAATGTCTCTGACCTTGTTGGTAAAATCAGTGACCTCTTCTTTCTTCAAGTCGTCGGTAGGAATAGGTTCTAGCACTTTGACAGTTATCACACCTCTGTTAAAGACTTTGTACTTGCTGTTCATGATGGTACTGGTGTTCGAGACCACCACTGGAATGATGGGGATGTGACCCTGTTGGGCCAAGTGGAATGCACCCTTCTTGAAAGGTTGTAGCCCCACCTTAGTCGAGTGGGATCTGGTACCCTCAGGGAACACCCAGATGGCACGCTTCTTGGTGCGCAAGTCATGAAGGGCATTGTTCAAGGTGCGCACACTTTTTTCCCTGTTAGATCTGTCAAGGAATAGCGTTCCACTAAGAACCATGAACCATCCAAGAAATGGGGTCCATTTCAGGGAGCTCTTGGCTGTCACTGTGCAACCTTGAGGGAAAGTTCTTCCCAACATCATGATGTCCAAAACGGACTGGTGGTTACACACTAAAATGGCAGGCATCTTATTTAGGTTTTCAGCGTTCTCTACAACGATTTTTATGCCAAGGCAAGTACCCATCACATAGTAGAACGCACGCGCTGTGGTCCATTGTGCCAAGTGACGCTTTCCCACGCATGTAAGAACAACCGATGCCACTACACCATAAAGTGCACACAAACTCAAAAGTGTGAACGATAGAACTGTTTTCGTGTAGTAAAGAAGTGTACTAATCACGGCCATTTTCCTGAACTTTGTAAAGAACTGAGTGCACGCCTAAATTCGATTACAGCTTGCGTATCTTGTTCCGGAACCAAATTACTTCAGCTGTTGTGTGGAGTCTGTTGGACTTACGGCATAAAATCCAACATCGTTCTGAACGGATGATTTCACGTGTGTCGTTTCGGTGGTTATAGGATTATTTCGAGAATTCCCGAAAGAACTCAGATGCATGCGGGCACAGTTACGTTATAGCGTTTGAGATATGGACGTGATAGCTCATTGCAGAGTGTATCCGCTATCAACCGTATGTAGCAAGTTTTGCAAGCGTAGTTGAGAGTAAGCGACTAACGTTGTGCAGTTTTATAGCCCCACACAGATCCACATCAATAGCATACTGCGGGACAATTATGGTAACGTTGTGGACGGGGAAGATGGCACGCTGGTAGAAAATGTTGGATATCTCCATTTGATCGAGCATAGATTTGTGCTGTCTACTTTTAAATCGAAATTGATGCGCCAGATTTTGGAGCAGCTGCCGTCGCAAACGGCGACGTTGATCATTGATATCGTGTCCGGTTGGAAAGAGTTTTCGACAACAATAAACGTTGATGAAAAGCAGATCTTTTACATGAATTCACCGTCTCTGTTGCACTTTGATACGCTGATCAATTTCTTGGTGCAACTCAACGAAGATCCGGAGGAAGCATTGCGAAGATGCAGCTCGGGTTACTCGGTGGATTTGCAGCTGGCGACTATAGTGCTGGACAACATATCATACTACACGCATGACAATGCGTCCTATCATCTACTATTTAAAGTCTTGCGTATGCTGCGGCAGAATTACGGTTGTGCAGTGGTTACCGTCGGATATGGTCTGGAATACTACGATGGCGTGGAAAAGTACAGCGAGTCGCGTCAAAGTTTTGATATACCTACGAGACTACCCATGTCATACGTCAAGAACATGGATTGTGTTCTCGTTCGAGACACGGACACTTCAGCTAGAGTCGTGCTTGGTGGTAGCGGCGTGCCCTAATCACGGCGCGGGTCATGTAACACGAATCTGCATGCGACGCTAATCAATCCTCCAAATTGAAAGCCTGAAAAGTTTTCGCCGAGATGAGATGGAGTATAAGCAGGTGTTACAACCAGAAAAGACCCCTAGAGTTGCGTCAATTGGGGTGCCTGCATTGAGTTAGATCAACTAAAACGAGCCTTTAGGGAAAATGAGTGAAGTCGAAAAGCCATCTGAGGACGCGCCAAGACGCGGATCATATGTCCCCATTGAATTCACAGCCGAAATCGAAGCGCAGTGTCTGAAGCAGGTTGAGTTTTACTTTTCTGAATTTAATTTCCCTTACGACAAGTTCCTGCGCACTATTTCTGACAAGAACGACGGATGGGTCCCCATCACCACCATTGCGACTTTCAACAGGATGAAGAAGTTCCGCCCTGTCGATAAAGTCGTGGAGGTGTTGAAAACTTCCAAGATTTTGCAAGTAAGCGAGGATGGCGAAAACGTCAAGAGACGCGTTCCCTTGGACTTGCAAAACGATGTCAGACGCGAGAGAGGCAAAAGAACCGTGGCCGTGCTAAACTTTGCACACGACAAGGAGAAGGACAAGACCGAGTTGCAAGAACAGATCGAAGAGTTTTTCAACAAGTTTGGCACTGTCAGTCAGGTGCGTTTGAAGAAGGACCATCGCAAGAACTTCAACGGCACTGTAATTGTGGAATTTTCGACCGAGGACGATGCGCAGAAATTCCTCGACACCTATGGCCCGGACAAAGAGGTGCTATCGTTCGAAAATCGTCAACTGGACGTTATGTCCAAGAAACAGTACAACTTGCAACGCGAGGCTACGCGCAGCAAGAACTTCAGTGGTAGTGGCCAGCGCACGCGCTCGTTCACAGGCCACAGAAAGAACATGCCTGTTGCTCCAAAAAAGTCAAAGGAGGGTGCTGCTGAAGAGTCCGAAAGCGCAGTCGAGTAAGGACGCCCTTCTCCTTCAATTGCTGTCGCTGTTTCTCCAGTATATAGAGCATTTTATTTCGTATATGAGGCTGCGCAAATGGCCCGTGATTTGGCAACGATCAGTTACGTATAGATTAAGCTAAAGATTACAAGTTCGTACCTTATGCAGTGACACTGTTGCCGATCCAATTGCGATTCAGTTTCCTGGTTGTCAGTGTCATATGCGCGCGACGTTCGTACCACCCACCGTTTTCATAGGGAAATGGCGCCGGGGTGGCCCAATTTTCTTGGTTTCCAACTGTGTAGTCCCAACCCGGCGTGATGGTGGTTATTTGCTGGACGCTATGTCTTATAGTAGCGTAGTACGTTACTGCACTGGTTGGATGCTGTCTAGTCCAATGCGTCGCAGTCACTTTGGTACGAGGTTGGCGCTGCATTGGTGCGAAACGCGATAAACCGGTCTGCAGCGCGTACGTCACAGAGAAGGATGCCGATTGTATGGGTGCGGGCACGCCGCCCGTGGTGATCATTGTCTGGGGTGTTGGTGCGACAGTTTCGGACTCTCTAACGGGCGCGAGAGGGCCGGCCATCCCGTTGAGCCGGAAATGGCCCGAGTAGTGAATTGAATATCCCACGGGCGACTCTGCGAAAACCTGGATAAAGTAGCGTCCGTCTGCACCGCTTTTGTTGGGGATCGACACCGCGTATTGCGTGCCCGTGATGTCCGCTGCGGCGACGGTAGCGAGCGTGGTGACGGCCCGAATGTCGTTGCTCGGGCCTGAACAAAGTGTGAAAACGTATCGAGTCACGGTACTGAGCTCAGGAGCCCCGCCCATGTCCTCCCACTGCACGGTAACAGAAGTGGCTCCCGAGCTGGCACTGAACGTGGCTCCTTCTGAAGGTCTCACCACTGCCAAATCAGCCAATGCGCACGGAAGCAATGTAAGAAACCAAAGCCAGAGCCGAAGGCATCTCATCGCGTGTTCCTGCATAGTGTGACAGGGCGTCTTGCTAGGAGTGCTGGGGATACATATATATATACAGACATATTCAATATACATCATACGGCTAATAATACACGTTCAACCCTCTCCAATGCCATCCTCCAGTCACGGCCGCTTGCTTTGCTGGTGAAACTTCCAGTTGGCCCTGCGAGCCTTTTGAAATCCTCCTTGGACCCTTAAACTACTGCTGCCGGAAAAACTCCATTGGGCAATGGAAAAAAAAAAAAACAGTCACGTGCCTTATCACCTCTCGAGTTTTTTTTCACGTGTGCGCAAAAAAGAAAAATCCAACAGGTTGGCCGAGCACCCATACACCTAAAGCCGAAATTTTTCACGCGTGTTTCAGATTTTTCAACATTTCATCGGTTTCTTTTCGGGATGCGTTTCTTTTGGCGGACGTCTCTGGCCGCTATTAAAAGGAGTGGGGCACAGGCCATCTCGCGATAACGTGCTCGAAGAGTGTAGTGTTAGATTTCCATCTCTAGACCTCAATTCGCTAGCATGACTGTAACTACAGCGACGGGGTTTGACAGAAGGCAACAGGGCAACTCAGGGTCCGGATCGGGCTCTGCCACCGAGACTACGACTGCCAAAGTGGCCATCGACACGCACGGAAACGTTTTCAAAGTGCCCGACTACACGATCAAAGACATCCTGGGGGCGATCCCAGCGGAGTGCTACGAGCGCAACCTGGCGTTGTCGCTGTCGTACGTGGCACGTGACATCGCGTGTATGCTCGGAATGGCGTATCTGGCGCACTACGTGGTCGCGCCACGTTTGCCCGAGATCCTGCTGGTGCGGTTTTTGTTCTGGAACGCGTATGCATTCGGCTTGGGTTTGTTCTCGACCGGGCTGTGGGTCCTGGCCCACGAGTGTGGCCACCAGGCCTTTTCCAACTACGGTGCGGTGAACGATTTTGTCGGGTGGACGCTGCACTCTTATCTACTGGTCCCCTACTTTTCGTGGAAGTACACGCACGGCAAGCACCACAAGGCCACGGGGAACCTGACCCGTGACATGGTGTTTGTGCCTCCTACCAAGCAAGAGTTCTGGGAGATCCGTGGCTGGGCGTCGAACCTGGCCGAATTTTCCGAGGACTCGCCCGTGAGAACGCTGCTCGAGCTGGTGTTGCAGCAGCTGGGTGGCTGGATCGCGCACTTGTTCACCAACGTCACGGGCCAGAAGTACCCGGACGTGCCACGTTGGAGATGGAACCACTTCTTGCCCAACTCTCCTCTGTTCGAGCAGAAGGACGGGCTGTACATCGTGCTAAGTGATCTGGGTATTCTCGCGCAGGCCTTGGTGTTGCGTATGTGGTATGTCAAGTTCGGGGGCTGGTCCGTGTTCATCAACTGGTTTTTGCCCTACTTGTGGGTGAACCACTGGCTTGTGTTCATCACCTACCTGCAGCACACCGACTTCACGCTGCCCCACTACGAGGCCTCCGAGTGGAGCTTTGCCAAGGGTGCGGCGGCCACCATCGACAGACAGCTGTGGTTTGTGGGGCCCCACATTTTCCACGACATCATCGAGACGCACGTGCTGCACCACTACTGCAGCCGTGTGCCTTTCTACAACGCGCGTCCGGCTTCCGAGGCCATCAAGCGCGTGATGGGCGAACACTACCGTTTCAGCGGCGAGAACATGTGGAAGTCCCTGTGGAAGGTGGCTCGTGGGTGCCAGTTCGTGGACGGCACCGACGGTGTGCTCATGTTCCGTAATGTCAACAACGTTGGCGTGGGCGCTGGCGCGCCAGCGCCAGCGACCAAGGCTTGAGGTGTGCACCTCGCGCCTGCACCGCGCGAAGCGGTGCACTTATGTATAGATTCTCAACTCATAGAGTATAATATAAAGCTGCGTGAAAGGCCTAGACGAGTCGCGCGTTGCAGCGCAGCACGCCGGACGATCCGCCCTCGAAGCCCGCTCGGAGTTCAGGGCCGTGCCCTTCTTGACACATTTCTCGATGCCGCGACACGGCGGCCCGGTCCGTGTCACGTCGCACGACGCTCCCATGTCATAGAATATAATATAAAACTGAAAACTGTATATACGCCGGACCCAATACGCCGTGCCCCGTCGAGGGGTGCACGAACCCACACGCCCCGTCTAGTGGTACACGTACCCACACGTCTTGCCCACGTGCTCGTTGAGCCACTCGTCGACGTTGGCAAACTTGCCGCCGCAGTGCTTGCAGCGCCCGTGCACCGTGGCGCGGTCCTTTTTCTTGGTTCCCGGCGGGTACTCGAAATGCAAAGCCTTGAGGTGATTTTTGAACGTGTCGCAGCGCGAGAAAACCCCGGTCTGATGGCAGTTGGACGTCTCGAACGCCAGCTCCTGCTTTTTCTGTGGGTACATTTCCATGTCCAGGCCAATCAGCGTGGAGTTAAACGGGCATTTGAACGTACCCTTAATCTGGTGCAACGATTTGAGCTGCTCCTGCGACACGTCTTTGGCCGTGGCAGTGACCACCGCGGCCGGCTCGGGCTTCCCGATGATTTCGTCCTTCCAATGGCGTTTGCGGTGCCGCAGAAGGTCGTTATTGCGGGCAAATCCACGTAGACATATGGGGCACTTGTGCGGCCTGTTCTCGGGCGTCAGGTGCGTAGACTTGTGCGTAGAGAGGTTGGCGTAGAAATGGTGGCACACCGGACACTCCTTCTTGCGGCGGGGCTTGCCGACGCGTGCAGAGTCGACGCTCAGAGACCGCTGCAGCGGCGACAGCGGCTGCTGCAGCTGGTGCTGCAGGGGCACGCCGGCGTGTGAGACGTGGCCGAACGACGCGCCACGCCCTGCGTAGCCGGCGTGCGAGTGGTCGAGCGCGGCGGCGGGCGGAAGCAGTTGAGCTGCTTCCGCGTCCGCGACTGCGGCGGCGGCCGCCGCCGCCGTGTCGGACGACACAGACGTGGGGCTCACGTGTCCGGGTAAGTGGTACGCCGCCGAGGCGGCGTTAACCGGGCTTGAACCGGCGCCGTCGGCGCCCGCCCCGCCGCCACCCACCACAGCCGCGTCCCCCGCGCCGCTACCCGAGCCGCCCGTGCCGGCACTGCTGCTCACGCTGCTGGCGGCGCTCGCGCCGGCGCTGCCCCCCAGCTGGTACGAAAATATGTTACCGAGCTGCTCGCGCGCCGGTAGCGCGGGAGAGACGCTCGAGGAATGGAGCGTGTATTGCTCTTCGGCCGCGCGAATGAGGTTGTCGAATGAAGAGATGGGCGGTAGTGTGACGGATTGCGACTCTGCACCGCCCACCGCGAACGGCACCGTCTTGGAATGTGTGCTCATGGTGCTCATTGTGGAGTGGGATCTGCTCGAAAAGAAGAAAACACTGGATACAGTTGATCAGAGAGCTACCTACTGCGATCCACGTACCCTTCGCGCGGCCCTAGTCGATGCTCGAATCTGCTTTAAATATAAGGCGCACCGCGCCCACTGCGGAAATTCAGCGCGGCTGTATCCACATGCGGCTTGCGCTATTTTTTTCAGCTTGCACGACGGGGCGGCGCGCACGACCTACGGCGGGCTGCAGGCGAAACCCCAGAGGACACGCTGCGCGCCCAGCCGGGCCCGCACCAGCTGGTCCCGCCAGGTGTCCCGGCAACGCGCGTCGCGTGGAACCCGTTCCGACGCGCGCGAACGTGGCGCCATGGGGCAGGGATGGACACGGCCAGCTTGGCGCGCCCGGCCTGTAGCCGGGGCCCAAGCGGCGATAACACGGTGGCGCGAAGGGTTGCGCGTGGGGCACGGCGGAACCGCGCAGAGAACACGGTGAGCGCAACGGGCGTCGTCAGAAGGGGGCCCTTGGTCGCGCGGGTCCTGGGGGTGCGAATCGCGCACCGGCGGACGGCGCAAGCCGTAGAGGCAGAGAAGTGCGTTTGCCACAGCACTGGCAGCAGTGGTGGCACGTCCGTGGAACGTGGAACGCGGCGTGAAACGAGCGCTTGCCGCTAGAACGTGGTTCGAGTTGCGGGCACGTGACGTAGTCACGTGCCCGCTTCCCCGCTACGCCCACCGTTCTGGCCGCCGGCCCTGGCTGGCGTTCCTTTGTCGTCGCAGCGGCGTGGGCCCGGGTGCACCGTGTCCGTAAGAGCCGCGCGCTGCCTGCGCGGGCGCCCTTCCTGTGCAGGGACCAGCCGCTGGGGCGAGGTCAGAATACACGCGCTACGCGCGCATCTGCGCAACGGATAAATCGCGCAGCAGGGAGCTTACCAGCCGGTACGGTTCGCGCCTCAGAGCGCGCCGCACAGCGTTGGCCCGGCGCCAGAAGCAGCGCGGCGAGCGCGGGCAACGCCGCTGCGTATGGTGGTGCGGCGGAGTTGCGTTCGCCGCGGCAACGGAGTCGCGGTCACGTGGCCTCGGCCCAAACGACTCCGGGAACGAGCTCGGGGAAGCCGCCGCGTGTTTCGGGACGCTTGCTCGCCCTGCTGGCCCGTCGCGGTCTGAGCGTGCTGGTATTCGTTGCAAGGGCAGCGTGCGGGCGTGGGCGTGGCCCCGGGCCCGTGGGCGCAAACGGCAGCAGACGTGGGGGTGGGCAAGCCGAGCTCGGCGACGTTTTCACGTCGCGTTTCGCGGGCCGCCCGCCGTCGCCGCGACGCGACGTTTTTTCGGCGAACCGCTCGGCGACTGCGCCGGACGCGGCAGGCGGACCCGAGCGCGGGCTCCGGTCACGTGCGCGCGCTTGTTTCTCGGTTCTGTGTGTCACACTGTACGAATGCCGTGCACGTCGCCGTCGCCGTCGCCGTCGCTGTCGCTAGGAAAACGATATGCACCGAAGAAAGCGCGTTTTCGGTGCGGTCGTTTGAAACGTTCCTTCCCTTCACAGGGAAACCCCAGGGAAACACACGGGAACCTCGACCTCGATTGTTCGCTCTGCCGCTTTCAACTTCGCAGACGCCGCGTCCGAACACGACAGCCTCAGATCGCTCCTTCCGCTGGCTCTATGGTCCCTTCTTCAGAGCTGCTAAATAAATACCGTATTTCTTACAGAGATAAATGTTCTGTACGTATTTTCCCGCCGAGGAGGCTTCTTCTATCTTGGGTTTAAAAAAAAAAACTTTCATAATACAGACGATATTTCATCGATTTCCATCATTGACATCAACCTGAAAAAAAAAACTTAGTCATCATTCCAAATCAACGAGGTCGGCAAGTGGTAGAGGCTATACACAACGTCAATACGCGTTCAAGCCTTTCTGGAGGTTGCCTTGGTGGAGTGAGCGCTCTTACCGGTGGCTTTCGCGGAGGCAGCTTCGACAGCAGCCTTGTCCTCTCTCTTCTTGGAAGCAACCTTTCTGTAGCTTTGGATATAGAAAGAAATGAACAAAAACAAATAAGATGTCAAGATCATGTAACCGTAGAAAGCAGCGTCTTGAGTACCGTAACAGGTACCCTTGTTTGGCAGAATTCCATCGGCGTATTTGTGAGCGTAGAAAGTGTAAGTGGCAAAGTACACAAACACCAGGTCGATCAAAAATTGGATGATTTGGAATCTGGTGACCCATTCCTTCCACCACACACGAATACCACGAGCGCTCAAGAAGTAGTACCAGTACATCACGACGTGAACACCCAAGTTTAGAGAAATTGGCACCCATTCGACAGAGGTTCTACCGGTCAATTGAGTGTAACATAACAAGGCCGTGGCTCCGTGGTGGTAAGTGTGTAGGAACAAAAGCTTCTTTCTTTTCAAAATCAAAAACACGGTGTCTAGCAATTCCATGTACTTGGTCAAGTAGTTGAAGTAGTACAAGGTCACCAATTTAGGAGCAAAGGCCTCTTTGTTGCAAATAGACCAGAACAAGCCGTGGGTCACAATCATGGGAATCAATTGTTCTACCAAGAGCAACAACAAAACTAGAGACACGGTTGTCAAGATCAAGTTGTGCAATTGGAACAGAAATCCCAATTTCATTGGTGACGCGTTAACCGCGCGTAAAATCGCTTGACCGCCGAAAATAACAATATAGTAAACAGCGATCACACCCATGGCCTGGTAACCGTCGGCTAAGAAAGTCTTTGAGTGAACAAACTCAAAATCTTCCGCAGGGTATCCGGCAAAATATTCAAAGGCCTTGCTGAAAATGGGCCACAACTCAAGACCAAATGGGTGGTCAACAGATGGAACATGGTATTGAATCCATGGGATGGAATCCACCCTTTTCAATATATCTAACACGCAGGTGTGAGCTTGAGCTTGAACTTGATCCATTGCTAAATTTCCGGCACTAACCGATTTTATAAATGTACCCAGAAAACAGATGCTATTGGAGTAGACAGACACGTCTAGGAAAGAGTTCTCGAGAAGTAAAAAATTTTTTGTGCGCGAAAAAAATGATGGGTAAATAAAAAGTGGAAAACCACGTGATTAAGAGACCAACACAATTCATAAATGATATATTTAAAAGCGTTATTTCCCCCAAAAGTCTAAAGAGGCAACTGTATCGTAGCCATTCTCGTCTTCGTAAGCATAAAGAATCTGCTGAGAGCTGGCTTGAAGTAAACGGATCTTCTCTCCGAGTACACAACGTACCAATTCTCCAGTATCAACTTTCCTGACTTCGATGAAGCTACTGTCGAAGGCAAGGATATATGGATACCACATGGTAAATCGTTTAGGCTCACCTTCCCAATGAATTATTTGGGACTCCTTCTTCCGCCAACCTTGATCATTTACGAAGAATGCAAATTCGGTGTAGCACAACAAAAACATGTTGCCCACCCGATATATGGCCATGGGTCGTAGACCATCTTTGAGCGCAAATTCTAAAGAAGTGTCGGCAGGGTCCAAGAGAGTATCATGGGCGTTCTGGGTCACAGATACAACCTGGAACCCTCTCTTACACCCTATGCATAAATTAGCTCTTAGGAATGAGATAGACACTGGTTCGGAATCAAAAGATATGTCAGTAATTTTACGTTTCAAATTCTTTTTGCCCTCCATCAACATTGGATGCTCGTGCTCAAAAAACTTGATAGAATGAGACGAGCTGTGTGCAGTGACAACTAACCTTTTACCATTGCAATCACCCTCCGCAAAAAAATTGACATGGTTGACTAATTCTTTGGCATGCTTCTTGAAATGTTGGGTGCCGTCTCCTTGTTGCTTGAGTAGAGTCATGGGGCAACTGTATAGTTTCTTATCCACCAGTAATAGAATAGATTGAAATTCCTCTAATACGGCGACCTGGGTAATATTGCTCCTTTGAATGATTTTGATGGGTGTAGTGAAATACGTATTACTACCCTTCGAGTCTGAGGACTGTTCTATCTTCGCATTACTCACGTACAGTCCTAGATTGGTTGCAATCAGTAGCTTTCTACCTCCATCACATAGCGTCACGCTGTTGATTTTATTAGAGTAATCGAAGAACTTGCTAGTAATTCTCTTGACGTTAAAGATATCGTTTTGTGCCAACAGAGTAGTTTGTTCTTGTTTAATCTTATCCAAAAGAGTTTGTAAGGCAGCGTATTGAGCTGCATAAAGTGTAACCTGGTACCTGTGCTTCGCTCCATAATACAAAAACGTGATGGCGTTCTTAGGATTGGTATAATGATACTCTGCAGTAGAAATTACACCGCATCCATCTGTATTGGAATAAATATATTTTTTCAAAGGTGGAATATCTTCTGCAGCACATACAAACAGTAATGGCAAAGGTATAGGTCTTTGAAATACTTTATGCTGTTGCCACTTGTTCACTGGCTTTGCTTTTAAAAATAAAAGCATGTTATCCAATAAATAAAACTGAACGTCACCAGCTACACTCATATCGGATTTGCTTAATTCTTTCCTTGAAAGGACACCTTCATGCTTGATTTTTCGTTTCTCGTCATTTAAACCCAAATTGACATATTCATTTTTGAAAAGGATTTTCTGTTTTAGCAATTTGGCATCATGTCTGTCCTGTGCAGCTCCACTAGCTTTGTCGATCCGCTTCATGAAATCCCGCAAAGCCTCCAAGGCCCTGTTCATATTTTCAAGATCCCGTTTATTCTTCTCGGGGTCTGACGATTTAATAATTTCCCTAACAAGCAAGATGTAACGACCTGGCCTTGAGACACCTTGTGATAAAAATGAATCAATACCATGTCTTAATGGCGAGCTCATCAGGTCTTCGTCAAACCGGGCAAAATAGGGATTCACTGATCTTTGCGTTTCAATCAAGTATTTCGCATATGGTCTGGAAGCAACGTACATAACAAATGGTTCGAAAAAGGGGATGAATCTGAGGAGGATATCGCCAATGCCATTCACAATAGGTGAAGATTTTTGTCTATCATTAAGTGCATCTAAAAAGCGCCTGTTCACGGAATAAATATCATTAACGTGTGCAAAAACATGCTTGATAAAGTTTTTGCGAATATCAACGGGAATGATATTTGTCTCAGCTAAGGTTTTCATAAAAGTATCTCTTATAACTTCAAGTGATCTTACGAAGTTTTTTTCGGTGATAAATACTTCGTAAATTGCTTCCTGTCTCTTTATTTCTTTCTTTGACAGGTTTTTCCAGGTTTCCTCTGGAACGGAACTAGTCCAAGAAGGTTTTTCTTCTTCATCATCATCTACTGCCATTGATATATTACGCTTTAGCCCTCCGTTTGGTTTTAGATTTAGCCTTGCCTGTTGTTCTAGACGGCGTGGGCACGAAATAGAATAGCACAATTTATTGCGTGTACATGTTGGCGAATAGCACTCGGCAAGTAATGTAAAAACACCATTAACATTATGCATCTTTCCAGGTTCCAACTCCTGCTTTTCCTGGGGGTTACTTGAAACTGAAATAGATGATGTAGAAGCATTTAAGGTGCTATTAGATGGCTGTCCAGAGATGAATGTTGAAGTTGATCCCATTAGAAGTGGGTCTTGGTGTGATGAGGCTGGAATCATCCCGGTAGTTCCTGTTCCAATTACTCTTGAGTTTCCAGTGAATTCATAAACTTCATTGGGCGAGTCTCTCAAGCGATGTTCATACACAACATCATGGAACAGCTTTTGCGCGTCAAGGGCTCGACCTAGTAGTAAAGCCAAGTTACGATCCGAAGTTCGGACAATAGAGCAAATTACATCAACGGCTTGTTGACCAGTAAACGCATCTCTGTAAAGTAATCCATCCTTCTTGTACTCCCCCAGTTGAATGGATTTCTTGAACCGTGCAGCAACTCTGGAAAGCATGGCGGGATATACTTGTGGCTTCTTCATGGAAGTTGCGCTAACAATAGGCTTGGAATGTAAAGAAGCACTGCTTCTGCGGTGGTAATGAAGTGAGGGCTTCGAAGGCACCTTTTTGGAATTAATATTAACGAAGCTGTTGTTCAAAGATGCCGACGAATTTCTGGACTTGATTCCAAGTCCAATTGTGGTTTGTGACTGAAGATGATGATGATGTTCCAAAAAAGGATTCGACGTCACTTCGTACTTCTGAGGAATTGTGCGACCACTTGACGTCTTTTGTTGTAAAGAAGAAGTGAAGTTTTTAAAGGATGACGAATTTAACGACAAAGATCTCGAACCAAGGTTCCCTTGGCTCGAGTTTCCATGTTGATTGTGTTGTTGATGTATCTGTTGCTGCTGCTGTTGAATTTGTTGCTCATTCATGTCCTTTGAAGTTGGTCTGGAGAAAAAACTAAAACCCTGCAATGGAGACTTCTTCGCCGTGAATGATTGCTGTTTTTTCAAGTTCGAAGTCATCGACAAATGTGGAAGGGAGGGAATTCTTCGAGCAGTTTCACTCTTGGATCGTTGCGGCGAAGAAACACCGGATGGAAGCATCGCCGTATTGATTGGAGGAGGGGGAACCCTGGAGTGTTCCGGTGATATCTTCTTAGAAGGCGAACGCGGTGGGCGCATCTTGCGGGGGCTGTCGACTGAAGACGAGTCTTCATTGCTTGACAAGCTTTGTGTATCGGATACACTCCTAATATGAGTATTATGAGACAAAATATAATTCTTTGTCTCTGGAGGTATCATGTCCTCGTGTATATCGTCCAATATAGCATCATTGAGCGACTCGATATGCTCGATTCGGTCTGGAATGTTTCCGATACTTTCTGTAGGTTTGAAGTCCACCAGTGGCCTTTCAACCCCGAAAATTTCAGAATAGATCTGTCGTCTGTTTGCAAACCCCCCTGAACCCTCTGCCATCTTGTTCTGCCAATGTATGCTCTATGCTGAAGTGAGGATTTAATAGGATAACGCCAACTGAAGCGTTTGTGCAAACAAGGAGCCTCTGGATGACGATAGTTTGCCTATTATACGGTATAGCTATCAACTATAGAGATCCGTAGGATATCAAATAGTATTGATTTAGGAGCTAATTGGACTTATAATCCTCTAATTGCAGGTCAAGCTAATATGGGCAAGGCACCTTATTTTTTTTTATTTTTGTTCGCATTCTGTCACTTTTCACGGTGTGAAGGAATGCATTTTTCTCAAGAAAGGGGGGTTCTGAATCGAGCTTGAAGATGGGTGTGAAGCTAAAAGATTACCAATGCCAGTATGGACAATATGTAATTCAATTTGTGAATTCAGCTTTACTAACGTCAACCTTTCAATACAGGCATACCATTCCACTTTTCCAGTTGATCCACAGCATGACCGTATGGTTGGCAACATTGTGCTGCTGCCATTGAACACCAAATTTAGAGGCCCTGCTTACCAAGCTAATTCCGACTACGATATCATAGACGAGAGTTTGGACTTGTTCCGTGCTAACTCATTCTTCAAAAACTTTGAGATTAAGTCTCCAGCTGATAGAGTTTTAATTTATGGGATTCTATTTGTCAATGACTGTCTAGCTCATTTAAGACCTAACGTTAGTTATAATGAAGCCGTCAAGACGTTAACCAACGTTGCCCTTGATGACTTTGCCGTGCCGGGCACTCCGGGATTTCCATTGAATAATGTTTTCACGGTCCCACTACAGAGTCATAGTGAAATGGAATTGTTAAAATCATATATTCAGCAATTCCGTCAGGAACTTGCATCTAGGCTCTTGGAAAGAGTCTATAAGGACTCTAAAGAGGCTCCATCAAAATTTTGGCTGGCTTTCACGAGAAGAAGATTCATGAACAAGTCTTTGTAGGCCATACGCCAGATTTAGAAGACCAAGTTGTCAAAATCTCGAGGTTGGCATAAACAATAAAATCCTTTATATAAAACGTTAAAATATTTACAGATACGCTCCTTATTTTGACTTTGCTTGAGCCTTAGAAGCACTTTTGAAAAGGTTCAAAGCCATGTTCTGGACTTGATCAGTAGCCTTTTTAATCACGTTGACATCGAGGTTGAGATCGGATGAATTCTCCTTGAATTGGTTGACCATGGTTCTTACCTCCTTCAGTCTTTCCACTGTTTCTGGATAGAGAGCATTTGATTTAATTACATCATTAAATCTTTCAAATGTGTTCTCGGTGTCGGAAATCATGATATCTGCCTTAGTTATCAGTTCGACGCGCTGCCTTATCAAGTTATCACGATCTTTGTTCGCGTTTGCTTCGTCTACCATACGCTGAATTTCATCCTCAGTTAAACCGGAATTCGCAATAACCGTGATAGAATTCTCTTTCCCGCTACTTGTCTCTACGGCAGAAACATTTATTATCCCATCAGCATCTATATCAAATTTGACTTGTATTTGTGGAACGCCTTTGGGCATTGGCGGTATACCTGTCAGCTTGAAGTCGCCAATTAGCTTATTGTCTTTGACTAGACCTCTTTCACCTTGATAGACTCTGATTTCAACACCGTTCTGGCCATCGACTCCAGTGCTGAAAACCTCGGTTTTCTTCACAGGAACAGTTGTGTTTCTTGGGATAAGTGGAGAGAAAACACCCCCATAAGTCTCGATCCCGAGTGTTAGAGGAGTTACATCCAGTAATAAAACGTTCTTTATCTCTCCAGACAGAATTCCACCCTGGATCGCGGCCCCCAGGGCAACTGTCTCGTCAGGGTTCACTGTTGTGTTAGGCTTCTTGCCAAAAATGTCGGCAACTATTGAACGAATTTTTGGCATACGAGACATCCCGCCCACCATTATCACCTCGTCAATGTCTTCTGGCTCGATTTCGGCGTCTTTCAGAGCTTTCTTTACTGGAGGAATCGTTCTTTCAATCAATGGCAAAGTCATGTTATCTAGCTCATCTTCCTGCAACTTTAGAGCAACATGCTTGTTATCGTATATGAAAGGAATATCAATGCTGGTCTCTTTGACGTGTGATAAATCGATCTTGGCCTTCTCGGCAGCTTCTCTGATTCTCTGCATTGCTTCTCGACTCCCAACGAACTTTGCTTTCGGAATTTCGGGATTCTTCGTCAAGAAGTCGTCAATTATATGGTCAACCACGACATTGTCAAAATCTTCGCCTCCCAGATGAGTATCTCCGTTAGTAGCCCTCACTTCAAAGACACCGCCCTCAATATCCAAGATTGAGATGTCGAATGTGCCGCCTCCCAAATCATACACGGCAATGACACCCGAGTAATCTTCGCGATTCAAACCGAAACTCAAAGCGGCTGCAGTTGGCTCATTTACCACCCTCAGAACCTTCAGCCCAGCCATAGTTCCGGCATCTTTTGTTGCCTGTCTTTGAGAATCATTAAAGTAAGCAGGGACGGTTATAACAGCTTTGTTGATGCTCTCTTGTAAATAGTTTTCAGCTGTCGTTTTTAAATATGATAATATTGCAGATCCCATTTCACTGGGCGATTTGACAGCACCGAAAGAAGTTTCCAAATATGCTTGCCCACTCGTTTTATTTTCTACAATTCTGAAAGGCATGGTTTTCAAATCCCTTTGCACCTCGTCATCTCGGAAACTGCGGCCAATTAACCTTTTGGTGGCATAAAACGTATTTTCGGGGTTGACCAACGACTGCCTCTTGGCTGCCTCACCTACAATTACTTTACCTTCTTTATCAAATGCTACAACAGATGGAGTCGTGCGCTTGCCCTCATCATTTTCAATTATTGAAACCGAGCTAATGTCGTTAGGGTCACGTACATAGGCCGCTGCACTATTCGTAGTGCCTAAATCAATCCCGACTACTTTTGAACTTGCAAAGCGGCTAGCTGCTGGCCTAGTAATGATTCTTGGAAACTGTTTCAGTGATGCTGATATCATGAGTCAACGCTCTTATGCTATTCACTACACTGCTCTTGCTATTACTTTGTACAAAAGAAGTACCCTCTCGACAAGACTAGTTTTAATAAGCATTGATTTTGCTACGGTCACGTGATTATAGCCTTCTATCTGTAAATAACTCAAGATGCGAATGTCTCTATCAGATCTGGGCAATGAATGACATCTACTCGTACTGACTTACTGGGCTTCTGTTGTTCTACGAAGATAAGAATCAAATTTCTTTGATGGAACCAAATGGCCAGCACTATGATCAAATCGGGTAAAAAAGAGACCGAGGTCGGAAAGAGATAATAAATCGAGAAACTCCTCAATTGTTTCTAGTTCCAAAGTATCAACTTCAACAACCTCGGTGTCGTCCTTTAATAAAACGTTCATGTGCCCTAAACAATCCATAAGAATGAAATATGTTGTTGCATTTTGTGCCTCTTTCACTGCAACGACGATGAAGAGTTGACTATTTCTTCGATCTGAGACAAATTGGCCTACCATGTCTGTTTTACCAGGACAGATTAGATATTTTTCAGAGAAAATTTCATCGAATGACACAGGAGTAGCGTCTTCTGAGAAATTTTGTTCAAATCCTTTGGTATCTTTCAGCAAAACTAGATCATGAGGGAATTGATTCAGCACGAATTTTAGGAAATTTGCTTTTCCTATGTTCCATAGCGCCCTGTGGTTAGCCGATTGACTTAATTTCCAATACGCTTGAATGTACTCATAATCGGAAACTTGCACCGGATAGCGACTATGTGGCATATAAGTCAGTAATGCTTGGATGGTTTTATCAGGAATCATTTTCCAAATTGACTTTTTGCAATAAGGATACCATTCATCAAACACTTTGAATAGTAAACTGTTGGTTTTCAGAGGCTGTAAAAGACGAGGGATAACGCTATTCAATACTACTTCTCGACTTGGAAAAATGCGACACATTGAATCTATAAGGTTTTTTCTTGAAAATATGCGTGGCTTCCCTCCTTGTGAAATGGTAACGTAACTCTCCCCATTACGAAGTCCTGGATCCCGAACGATGAGAAATTCCTCGCACAAGACTGTTTCTATATTATACCTTGTCGCAACAGACTGAACAATAGCCAGTAGTAACAGAGGATGTCCTTTTGATTCTCCCGCGTAGATTCTCAAAAGCATAAAATCATCAAGAAAATACCGAGCTCTCTGACGAACATGAGGTAGCTGATATTTAGCCAAAATTTGGAATAGATATTTCATTAGTTTATCCAAGCGCAGGGTAGACGGCAGTGTTAAGAAATCTGTCAAATCCTCATAATCTTTTTTGATCTGGGCATGAATTTGTTCTATCATTTTCTTCCTGTATGGTAAAAGCCGGTTAAAACATACGTCTAAGGCGGCCAGAGGTAAGAAGATTGATTCTTCAGCATAATGCACCCATTCTTCGGAATCATCGTCCAAACTTCGATTGATCAACTCAAATACGTGCTTGTGTCTCATTGTAACGAGTAGTCTGTGAGCCATATAGGTAATTTCAAAAGGAGTTCCTTGGTTGTAGCCCTCAACTTCAAGTCGCGAGAGAAGGGGTATTACTTTTGTACCGTACTTGAAAAGGTAGTTAAATTTGTCCCAATATAGTTTTTGATCTTGCGTATCTTTCATTGACATTAAGGTGTTCACGACATGCTTGTCGATCCGATTGCGATACCTGAAATAGTAGAACCAGTCATCCTGTTGTTTCACAAGATTCGAAGCTTCAGGCTCGAAGTTCAAAATATCTTCTCTTTCTTGGTTGAGCCACCGCTCGTGACATCTTGGTCTCCATATTGCTTTCGAGGCAACCATTTCATTCATCATTTTTGAACAAAGACGTAGCCTCAGTAGGTCATTGTATTCGAGTGATTTCGAAATCTCAATCCATATTTCCTTGGGAAGTTCATCGACGGTGACAACCATCGCTGGTCATATTGGTTGTAGACATTGAATTTGCATCTAAGGCGCGGACAGATGCCCTTTAATTCGGTTTGATCGTTATTGACGGGTGAGGACAAACTGCTAGTGGCACATTTGAGAATTTCAACAAGCGTAATGACAGTAGGGACAGTGTTGTAGGATACCAGTGGCTCGGTGAACAATGTTTTCACTAGGGAAATTATCATCGTCATCGCCACAACCTATTTACTTTGATATCAGAGTAAAATCACCCTACAAAAATATAGTTCTAATTCAAGGAACTCCATTAGAGAGTGCCCCTGTGCCGCTTTCGGGACATTTGGTGTTTTCACTTCATGAGACAGTTAGTGTTAAGAGGATATCCTTGAAGCTAACAGGAACTTTTAAATTGGAGTTTTTGCAAGTGGGACAACACAAGAACTCAAGTTTGGCTAGTATTGTCAAAGAAAAGCGGACAATATTCGAATGCAATTGGGATAATTTGCTAGTTTCTTCCAAAGGTAAGATAACTGTGGGAGCAAGCTCTCACGACTATGCCGATCACGACCCCAACTCACATCATGGACTGCGTCCTGGTGTGATATCTACCTTGTCTGCGTCCTCTATGCATTCGCTCCGCAAATCCAAGAAGGGGGCAGCAAGCCCAGTGCTTGAACTTCCCCACAACGGGGTTAGTGGAACCCCGTATGATGGAGTTGAAGCAAACACAGCAACATCATTTCTATTGCACGAGGGTAACTACGAGCTTCCCTTCTCGGTTTCTCTCCCACCTGATATTGCAGAGACTGTCGAGGGATTACAAGCAGGTTCGGTTCTTTACAAGTTTGAGTCTCAATTGGAAAGGGGAGGTTTCAAAAATGCGTTTACGAAATTCAAATATCTGAGGATTTTTAGAACTCTGTCGCCGGACAATCTTGCCGTTCAAGAGGAAATGTATGTGGGGAAAAGTTGGCCGGAGAGGTTGCAATACGAGATTTCCATCCCCAGCAAAGCCATCCCTGTAGGTGGTGTCACTCCTGTGACAGTCCGCTTGTACCCTTTCCAAAAGGGCTATAAACTGAATAAAATAAGCGCGTCGCTCATACAGTACTATGCGTTCAAAGATCAGCACGGCCAGATGTATGACGACGAAAGCCAGGTTTTCCAGCAAGTGATGAGCGAGTTTGACGACGTCAACGGGTGCGACACAACCGCCGGTAACCTTCTCCACGACAAGGTCGAGATCAATTCCTCTATTAAGCTGCCAAGCAGCCTGAAGAAGCTCACGCAAGATTGTGATATCAACAACGACTGCATTCGCGTGCGTCACAAGCTGCGCATTTCCATTTCGATGAAGCGAGAGTACAAAGACGCGGAGACTGGCGAGACAAAGGACAAGAACACAGAGATCAAGGCCAACATTCCCGTGCTGGTGTACATTTCACCACACGTGCCTGTAGAAGGCCGCCTGGTGCTGCTGGACAATGCGGGCAAGTATCATTTCAGACCGAACGAGCTGGTTCCGCTGTTTGAGAGGCTTGGCCAGGTCAATACTTCGAGCTCTGTCTCGCTGAACAACTTGCAGCGGATGAGCAATGGGACGTTCTCGGTGCGCTACTTTCCCGAGGAAGACCTGGAGGCGCCGCCTACGTACGCGAAGCACGTGTACGACCGGCTCTACGACGACAACGCGACCAGCGACGGCGAGGCCAGCGCGCCGGGTTCGGTCCCAGCCTCACCACCCACGTCTGCACCGGCCTCGCCCTGGCTGCGACCCAGCATAGGCACACCGCTCGACTCCTTCTTGGACACGCCGCGCAACCTGTCATTGGACAACCTGAACCGTGTGCCGTCGTACGAGCAGACCGTCGATGACGACGAGGACGAGCCCGGATTGCCCGTGGGAGACCTGGCGCCCGCCTACGAGCCCTCATCGTCGCCAAGCCGCGTGGCTACGCCCGAGCCGCACGTTCAACGGCCAGTCGCGTTGCACAAACGGCCCAATAGCTTCCACGGCGGGCTTGCGCAGTTTGTGCGCTCCAAAACCCCGGAAATCCGCTCCTCGAGCCACCACGACATTGCGGGCTCCAAGATGCTGAACCGTATTAGCTCGTCCAACCTGCAGAGCCTCTACGGCCTCAACCGCTTCCCAGAATCTGCCACACACTCCTCCAGCAACCAAGCGTCCAGCTCATCGTCCTCGGCAGGGCTGCTGAAGGCGAAGCCGCGGCGTGGAAGAAATGTCCCACGTGACTCCACCAACTCCGACGGCGCGTGATGTTGCAGATCGGCGGCTGCCTCTTTACCGGTTTTCCCGGCTAAGATGTTCCCCAGCTCCGTGAGCGGCCTTTCTGGGCCACTCCGGCACGCTCTTACTAGCGTCCCCCCTAACAGCTCTTCTGGCGCCTCCCAGTCTCCCCTCTAGCTTTCCCCCGCCTCCTCCACTGTCTGACCCGGCGCCTCGCACCAGCCGGACAAGCGGCGGCGGCCGCCGCCGCCGCTGCGGCCAAAGTGCGCCACGTGATGCCCTCCGCGACCCTTCGGGTTAACATTCCGCCGGCTTAACTCCAATTTTCGCGCCCCTCGGTAACGCCACACGGAGGGGTAACCTCTGCAGCTACCCTGGCGGCCTTCGGACTAGCACGGCTACGACCAGTGGGGTCAAGTGGGGAGATTTGGCATCGAAAAGCGCATCGGAAGTGCATGAGTTTGGAAGACCTACAATACGGCGGGGTATCGGGCTGCATACGCCATACAACATAACCTTGGAGGTAAATTTGCTTGACGTGAAATTGTACATAATGCGCTTGCTATAAAACGCAACCGAAATACGAATTTTACAATGAGGACAATTCCTAAGCAACGCTCTGACCTCTGACCCCTGATTCAGAAGCGTACACTCTACAAGTAGGAAAGAAGTAAACGCTTTTTTGAGAGTTTGTGCTGGATTCTAAAAGCTAATCGGCCTCATTGTTCTTTGGATCTTTGGATTTTGCTCTGATTCGGTTCTCAGCCCTAATTTATTTGTCGCATTTTCAGGTATCCAACTGCATAGGGCTTTCACACACTTTGATGGCTGCCTCCCAAAAGAAGTATATTTGCTCGTTTTGCGCCAAGGCCTTCTCGCGATCGGAGCACAGGGCGCGACACGAGAGGTCGCATACGGGCGTTAAGCCGTTCACGTGTACCGTGTGCTCGCATTCGTTCGTGCGTCGTGACTTGCTGCAGCGCCACATCCGGACCGTGCACCGCAGCCTGTTGTGCCGGGCGTGCGACAGGCCGGCGCGCGCGGCAGGCGAAGGCGACTCGCCGCTGTCCGTTGCCGCGAAGACTGAGCACCGCGGGTGTTTGGGTGGATGCCCTCACGGGCTGCTGACGTCAGCGGCGGATGCGGGTCCCGTGGAAAGCGACTGTCTGCAGGACCAGATCGTCAATTCCATGATCGAGGTGAGCCACGAGGGCTCAGGGCACGGCGCAGGCCGTCGTCCCAGCCGCAGCGATCGCGCTAGTTGCTCGCCCAGCGGTATGTCCAGTCCCTCGGCCAGTCTCGAGAGCGTCCCGGCGGCGGAGCGCGCCGCCAGCGACTCAGATCTCGATGAGCAGTTTGCTCTTCCGGACGACATGCACTCGCTACTGGTTGACGGCATGATCAGCAAGGGCATGGACCGGGCGCTGGCGCCGCACGTCCCGGAGTGGTTTAGCCGCGGCGTTGACTGCATCCGTCAGGAAAGGCTATTTGCCAAAGGCAGTATCGGCACGCTCCGTCGCAGCTGCGACTCGCACAAGGCGTTCCAGCTGCTTTGCGATAGCTCGCCGCTGCCCATGGCCGTTGCGTGTCTCGGATCCCTAGCATGTATTCATATTACGCATCTTGAGGACTCAATGCATCTCTGGCAATGCTGCTGGAACTACTCGCTGAAGAAGCCCTTCCACCAAAGTTTTTCGGCCCTCAACCTGCTTGTATACGTATTTGTGCGTTTGCCGCGTCAGGCGGTTCAAAACCCACTTGATATCTCTACGTTCTACCAACAGGTGCTCTATACAATGGTGCAGTGCGCTGCGCATCGCACGTGGTTTTCAGGTCAAGAAGACATCTGGCTGGCCTTCGACATGTTTATCGACTTGATTGTAGCGAGCAATGAATACAGCGAGGTTTCCATGATTCTCTATAGATGGTTTCTTCAGCAAGAGTTGCACAAGGGAGAGCCGCTTTCGCACTACCTGAATAGTATTTGCAAAAATGCACTATTTCATACTCCTTCCAACGTAACAAAAGTTATTGTCAAGAGTTTGCTATGTGAGACCATCATGAAAAAGAGCTTCCACGTCCAATTTCAATCCTGTGAGTCACTGCATAACGCTCTCATCATGACAAACAGGATGTTCTCTGAGATGAGCTCGCAAGCCGATGATAAGCTCGCAACTGCTCATTTCAAATACTGGAAGAGTGAGGTTATTCTTGCGAACCCACCTCAGAGGTTTTACAATCTCCTTTCCCAATACGCCGTGCCGCCACAAGGCCTTGAACACTGGGAACTATGGTTCACCACATGGTTTGAGTTCGTCGCAGGGTGTTTCCCCACACATAGCCCTGAGAAATTCTCCATCAACTCACGTTACTTATTTTCCTATGTTTTCATGGAAGGGAAACATGGATCTCCTCTAAATCGCATCAAAGACCTCAAAATGGACACATCTTCCCTCAATAATAGCATTGCAATATGTTCACTGCCGCTCATCGGTATTTTTGAAAGCAGGCAATGGCCGCGTAGAGAATATATTCCGGAGAATGCTGCTCTTTACGCCATAGACGTCTTGTTGTTCCATGTGAAGCTTTTTGGATCGGTACTATTTCTACCAGAGCTTTTGAGAGACAAAGTCGAAGAGGATATCATTGGGCATATTGAAGGCGTGTTAGAGAACCCTATCATTCAACTTGTTATATATGCTTGGTATCGAACGATTTACCAAGTAAATGACAAGGCTATGTTTATTGTAAGCAAATCATTCCCAGGTACTTATGACTTAGAGAATCGCTCTGTCGAAATTTTCATAAATCATTTCGTCGCACACCCCGGGAATCCAGTCCCTGACGCTACAGTTAGAAAGGGAATCCCTGATATCTTATTTGGGGAGGAAAATGTTAATCACTTTTTAGGCTTCCATTTCCTCTTGTATCGAATTATTATCAACATTTCTGAATACATGCAGAATCTGCTCAAGGTTAGTCAATTGCAACAGGAGACCAAGAATAGTTTGTTGCGGTTATTAAGTGATGTTAAGAACTTAAAATCTGACATTCAATTCAAAATCAGTACTAGGCAGCCTTCCAAAGAAAGTTCCAACTCGCCAAAATTGCTGTCTACTCGCTCCACAATTGTTCAACAACCTTCGCCACCAGAAGTTGCAGATATTTCATTCCGTGCTCACTCTGTTGATATAGCTTCCCTTGGCTCCAGAAGCGAGTCATCAGGCAGGTCATCTCCTACCTTGACAATTCCCGATGAGAAAATCATCTTGCCACCAATCAAGATATCTGAGCAGCACGAAGGAGTTTCATCTGTCAGTCGGTTGAACTTGAACTTTTATGATAAGGATAATCGCTTAGATCTTTCACAGAATCAGTCATCTTACACCTTTCAGGCACCTTCCCATGGAAGACCTTCACATCCACTATTTCACTCAGGAAAGGTGAATAAACCATCATTTTTCACAGGATCAAGGATAAAGCTTCCACCTCCCTCAAGTCTTTTTGAAGCTTCTTAATTAATTTAGCTAATTGACGTCTTTAAAGGATAATTAAAGCATAATAGGTAGACGGTAAAAAAAGCTGCAAATGCATTACTTCATTGCTTGTACGTAAGAAGATATTGACTTCATGATGAATTTATTTCAATTCACTATTTAGTTATTCTACTTAAAACTTATCTAATACACGAAACCCAAAATTTTACCAGAGACGTGCTTTCTTCTAGCTTCTTCATGGTCCATGATACCAGCAGAAGTAGTTAAAATCACGTAACCAAACTGTCTAGCAGGTAGCAAGTTTTCAGTCCACTTTTCAATGTCATTAATCTTAACATTGAATCTTGGGGAGATCACACCACACTTGTTAAGTCTACCGGTCAACTGAATGACAATTTTTCCTGATCTGTGATCATCAATGTATTCGAATTCGCCAATGTAGCCTATTATTTCGTTAGTAAATGCTTTCTGGAATAAACTAGATTTCAGTTTCTTTCTGCAAAGACAGTATAACAAATGAAAAAATGTCGTGAAAAAGTAAACGATTGATGGAATATTGACGAATCCAAATCGTGTAAGAAGCATTTTCAAACCGTCGCTTTTCCGGACACTTAAAAGACAGTATGGGACTGAGATTACACAGTACGAAACTGCCCGATCAAACCATCTAGTTATCAGCCCGGGTTATACTGCTGCAGAAATAGCCTTAATTTACGATATCGAAAAGAAAACATACCGTGCTTTTGCATAACTTGTAAAAATTTGATAATAACTTTCGATGAAGGCCTTATCAACACTTGGCGCTTACCAGTCTTTTCAGCGTTGTTTATGGAGTTCAAGGCATCAGCCAAAACGGAGGAGCGAGTCATTTTACTGGTTCAAAAAGTTAGTACGAGAAATAGACAACAAGGTGTCATTCCTCATTATCAATAACTCAAAACAAGTTGTCTATTCATCAAAGAAGTACCATGAGTATCCCTTTTAGAGGAGTCATGACACGTCAAGCCGAAGTGAACTCGGCTTGTTAAGTCGCACAAAGGTATCAAGGTCTACACTTCCGTAATAACCCGTGTTCATCAGAACAGCGAAGTTATTACTTATCATTGCTTCCATGAGAGGTGTAAATTTACTTGATTCTGGCAACCATGATGGATTAAACTTGTCGCTACTTTTGTTCAAAGATACTTAGCTCTTCTTTTCTCAACAAATAAACCGCCTGCTGTGAAAGTTGAACGAGAACCAACACTCAAGCACACTTAAATCGTAAAACATACTTTTTGATCGGAGGGTAGCTTTCTTTGGTTAACAGACAAGTGAATGAGAAGAAAGAAAGTTGGCATGAAAAATTTTCAAGAAAAAAACGCTGAGTGTTTGAAGGGGTTTGGGTTTATGGTCGCGATATACGGAAGTATGTATCTTTCAGAGGTGGTACTATGAGTTGAAGGTGATTCGCATATGTTTACAATAAGATGTTCTTCCACATTATGAAATTGATTTTATCGTATATATTCTTCTTGCAACGCATCTGCATCATCCCATTTCGACTGCCATTTAAAAATCATCAAGTGGGCTTTTTAAAATTCGATAAGTCAAGCGATATCTTAGCACTCGTCTACGTTTTGATCAAGCCCGAAGATTGTGATCATTACTCAGCTTTCTAGCTCAGCTATATTCATTTGATCTTAAAGTGTGACATTTTTTGTTTATTTTGCCAAGAGAAAAATTTAAAACTATCAAGTTAATGAGAAACTTAAAAGCTTACAATTTTTTGGAGTGCAACCAACCATTTACTCTTCGTCAGATGAATTAAAAATCGTAAGGATGCGTCAGCAACTCTTACCCTGAATATTCATATACGGCTGTGGTTCAAGTATTTGGCTCCTTTGTATAGGATTCATTGACTCACGTCAGTAAATTCCGCGAAAACCCTCTCTACCCTGTTATTTCTTTATTTTTCTCACCGGTTACATAGCCATCATTTAAATTTCACCGAAATGTGCGCGTTTTCTGCTCTGAGTGTGTCATGAACTTAAAGTGGTGCAAGTAGCTGACTGTATCATGATGGCTGGTTCGCCTTTGCTAAAGGCTAGCCAGTCTCAACAATTTGGCCTACGTTGCAGATTGAATGAAGAACCTCTAAAATACAAAATCTATGAATCCAGAATATCTCATTTATGAATCATCATGTAAATCATCATGTACTGACTCCACGTTTTCTTTGCTGCGTTTTCTAAAGAAAAACGGTTTGAATCATGTTACCATGACTCCATCAAAAATAAATCAGAACGGCGCTATTGTCCAACATAGAATTTTTTTTCATGTCATATCGCGCGAATACCTATCAAGAAGCACCTAAAAAGAGTGTAATAATTTAGTATAAAAAGAGATTGGTTTTGATTTGCCCTTTCTCTTGACAAATACACGACTGCAAACAAAATGCGATACCTTAAGTCGTTCGCTAATTTACGCATACGGTCAGAAGGGGCGATAGCGCACCCACGAAACTTGAAATGTTACTTTCCTCACTTGAGAGTCCTTCCAGAAGACATAGTCGAGGACAATACGGATCACAACTCTAGCGTGATTGAAGAAGAGTATCATGAAGAAGGAAAAAACAAAATTAGCGACGTGGAATCTACAGCAACAGAAGCACAAAACTCAGAAGTTAAGAGTCTGAAATTGCAACCTGGTATTCCTTACGAAGTCCGTGATGAGAAAGGCCGTAAATGGTGGAAATACTTCGATGAATTCGAGTACAGGGCAAACTCAGAATACAAGAAATCTCGTAACTGGTATACTTTCCTTTACCCCAACCACACAACCCATTCTAAAGCAGAACGTACGCTACTTTACAAACTTGATATTTTGATTGGTCTTTACTTTCTCATGCTTTGTTGGTCCAAATCATTAGACAGTAACAATTACACGAGTGCTTATGTGTCTGGAATGAAAGAAGATTTAAAAATGGAGAAGAATGACTATATCTACACGTCTACTATTTCTAACGTGGGGGCTATCGTCTTTCAGCTACCCTTCATGTACTTGCTGCCCCGTTTTCCCGCTCATATCATCTTACCATGCATGGACCTTGGGTGGTCATGGTTCACTTTTGCATGCTACAGAGCTAAGTCCCTTGCAGAGTTGCGAGGATACAGATTTATCCTGAGTGCATTTGGTGCTGCTTATTATCCAGTATCGCAGTATATTTTGGGTTCATGGTATGCACCAGATGAGATTAGCTCAAGGGTGTGCCTCTTTTTTTGTGGGCAGCTACTGGGTGGTGTAACTTCAGGTTTGTTGCAAGGTCGTATTTACAAGAGCCTAAACGGTGTCAATGGATTGGCTGGTTGGAGGTGGATGTTTTTGATCGATGCCATCGCCATCTCTATTCCATGTGGTCTCATTGGATTCTTTGCCATTCCTGGCATTCCATCAAAATGCTATTCGCTATTTCTCACAGACGAAGAGATTAGAGTGGCTCGGGCAAGAAATAAGAGGAATCAAATAAAGGACGGCATGTCAAAAAGCCTGATGCCAAAAATCTGGTCTTGGAAACTGTGGAAGAAAGTATTTCTCACTCCAACATTTTGGGTTTTGGTAGTTTTCGATACTTGCTCCTGGAACAATATGACGGCCTTCAGTGGTAGTTATTCCTTGTGGTTGAAATCTAACCCCAACTATTCCATTGTCCAAGTCAACAATCTCTCAGTTTTACCGGCATGTCTAGGGTTTGCCTATGTATTCTTCTGCGCTTGGGGAGCTGACTTATTCCGTTGTAAGTGGATTTTCATGGTTTTCGCCGCCATAATGAATTGTGTTTCGTGTGCGATATTAATTAAATGGGACGTTTCTTCGTCAGCGAAATGGTTTGCATTCTTGACAACCTATTTCTCTGTCGCCCCTTCGCCATGTCTTTGGTCATTTATAAATGACTTTTTGAGATTCGACCCTCAAATTAGAGCAGTCACTTGGATTGCTATTTATTCATTTTCACAGTCAACATATGCATGGATTCCTGCACTTGCATGGCCAACAGTAGAATCGCCCAGATTCAGGACTGGTTACACAGTCAGTTTGATTTTTGGAGCTATCTACGGATTATGGACTTTTGTTGTACTTTACTTCTACAAAAGAAATGAGAGGAAGCATGCGCTCGGGAATGGTATTATTTTGTATAATAGTGAAAATGGCGAATCAATTCCACCTTTTGTTGATACTCACATGCAAAAGAAAGGTGACTATTACTATGTCAAGGAAGAGAAAGCTGAGTGAAGAAGGAATAATAACTAATAAAGTGCAGTATACAAGTAGATAATAATAAACTCAGATATATTAATTTAACAAACCAATGCGTTTCAATTCCTCCTCTAGTTTACCTGATCTCTCGAACTTGTGCAATTCACGCTCAGTGCCCCAAACAGAACCATCAACGAAGATCGTAGGGAGATTTCTTACACCACAAACTTGGTGGAAGGCATCTCTGTATTTAGCTTGCTCGTCCCTGCTAAAACCAGAAATTTCAAAGAAGTACACTTTGTCGGTGACACCATATTTGTTCCACACGCTCTTCGCATACACACAATCTGGGCACCAGCTAGCGGTCAATTGAACAAACTTGTGAGAACTAATAATCTGCTTAGCTTTGGTAACGTATTGGGACATTCTGAGGATCAATAAAGACTACTTTCAATGGTTTGAAGGGGCCGGATTTTAGAACTCAACTGGTCGCTTTTTTTTGTAATGGAAAAATTCGCCAAGTTTTTCCACATTACATTTACACCTAATGCATAAACAGTCGAACGGGCACGAGTATTGACATGTGCGTCAGAGTTTAAAGCAATACATAAATTTAGATTTGATTCTTTAGATATATTCTTTGATTGCCAGGAATGAATTCCAGCTTCGTTGAAGTTGGATTGGATCAAATCATGAAAGTCACGTGCTAAATGTTTAGAAGACGCTTTTTCATTTGAACAGAACTTTCAATAAAACTACAACTCTACATACATACCTCCAAACCACTATCATAAATCATGTCAGAGAGAGCATGCATGCTTTGTGGTATTGTGCAAACTACAACAGAGTTTACTAGGGATGGATGCCCCAACTGCCAAGGTATATTCAACGAAGCAGGCGTCACAAGCATGGAGTGTACCTCACCCTCTTTCGAGGGCCTAGTAGGAATGTGTAAACCATCAAAATCCTGGGTTGCAAAGTGGATAAGTGTCGATTCGTACATCCCTGGAATGTATGCCATAAAGGTGGATGGAAGACTGCCGGTAGAGGTGGTGGATCTGTTGCCACATTATAAACCAAGAGACGGTACGCAGGTCGATTGAAACGAAAGTTAGTAGTGCGTGCCCAAGACAGTAGTGAAATAAGGCGATATAAGTCATATGTAGTATATTTTAAAAGCGTTTCATGTATCCAGTACTTTTATTCACGTGATAGCATAGCACTGAACAGACAATTTTCGTCTCTTGTTGGATGGAGACTCCATAGGTTTGAAGTAGGGCTCTTACGTGCTATGAATAATCTATTGCTACCGAGGCATGTGCTGAAACCTTCTAAATCACTACTGTTAGGTTCCTCCTCCCCAATTAGTCGACAAAGGAGAAATGTGGGAACTTTTCAAGGCGTGGCAGATGTATTTCTCCGCGCACATGAAATCAGCGGCATTCCTTGGCTCATACTAGTTCCTTTGTCAACTTTAATGCTCAGATCTGTTTTCACACTGCCTCTAAGTATATGGCAACGGAAACGGATCGTAAAACAGCAAGGACTGCGGAAAATAATTCAGGCTATACCTCCAGTCATAAAGCTCCGACTAGCAGCTGCCACCCATGGTGTTGCTCGGGAAGCCCCAACAGCTGGAAGCTTGCCAACTAGTTCAGGTAGTGCAATAAGCCAAGACGAGATAGGAAAAATTCCAGTGACCAGAAAACCACAGGTGTTGACGCCTGATCAGATTACTTTATTGGCGCTGAAAGAGACTAGGAACCGTCAAAAAAAGCTGTTTGCAAAATACAATGTTGCGATGTGGAAAAACGCAATTCTGCCTTTGGTTCAGATTCCTTTGTGGGTATCCGTATCAATGGGTTTGCGTAAACTTACCGAAAATAGACTCGTGGATTCAGCTTTGTCACCTATCGCAAATACCGACAGTCTACAACTCGCAAATCTGTTGAGTGGTTTCTCAACCTTGGATCTGAGTCTTCCATTAGACAGCTTGCCTATGCTAGCACCGCTTGCACTTGGCATCCTTTCTCTGATAAATGTCGAGCATAACGCTAAAATGATGGCAATGACTACCATATCTACTGTTGGTGTGGAAACTGCTAAGCCCAACTCCAAGATTTCTCAAAGCCTTGCAAGCATACTAAATATCTCGAGATTGAGCTGCATCTTTCTGATGGGAATATCTACTCAGGCTCCAATACTGTTATCCCTGTATTGGATAAGTTCTCAGCTCTATTCACTAATACAGAACCTATTTTTGGACTGGTTATGGCCATATCAAAGATAGACAGGCACATGTACATATGTATCTAAATTTTTAAAGGCATTGAGGTTCGCTTGGGGCAATCGTGTGATGCTCGCACCCAAAGGTACGTGGAAGAATATCTAACATTGGGATCTTTCGGCATCTTTGACATCATAGAGCTGGATAGAGGATGTCCAGCTGAAATTCCAACTTCATTCGTGTCATGAACGCATACATTTTGCCTGCTCTTACTATTCTTCTTTGTTGATATATTATGACTTTACCATTACTGCGTGGTTTGGTTTTTCTTCTTTTCAATTTCCCTTCTGGTACCCTTCAGAAGTTCCAGGTGTCCAACTCTGCTTGCAATAAGCTTTTCGGTGCTCTCAGTCAAAGAATAGGTTTTGTTAAGCTTCTTCATGTGCGCCAACGATTTTTTCTTTGATTTTATCTGGAGAGGAGCAGCTTTACGAAGATTTTTTTGCTTCTTCGTAATTCTACGGGGATCCTTTGATTTTTTAGTGACCTTCAAGGCTTTCTGGGGCATTATTTGAATCTTTAGTTGACCTCCGTGCTATTGATGCGATGAGCTTTGATTAGAAGATTTTTTCTAAGGAAATTTCTTTTCAAAGACGGCGTTCACAGTGATAACTGAGAAGAACGATTATGCTCATCGACTACAACAATAGACAATATAATATAGATTTTGCTTAACTTCGTGTATAACCTCATTCGCATGGACCCTTAAAGTTCTGCATTATTTATCGAAACTAAGATAACTGCTATCCGAAATATTCATATAAAATACTTGATATCCCATTGGCTTGATAAAGAGCCATTTATGAGTATGTTGATATCTTTTGCAAAGTGTCCGTGCCATTTAGTATACATAATCGGGATACAAACAGCTGAGATGCTATCTCGCCGTTAACTAAAGGTCGGCGCCCTAGATGTGGCATTTTCACACGTGATGAGAAATTACGGTAAGAGTCACTTTTTCCGGTAGGAATTAATTAAATGAATCATTTTGTAGAATAGGTGAGATAATAATTTAATGTATTTTGCATGTAGTTTTCCTGAATTTTTCTCAAGCTGACTAGTATAAATTGATTTTGACTTTGTTGTAGTCCTTTGATAAAGATTTTTTCTTGAAGTTGAAGGCAGTTTTATAAAAATTCTACTTAAAACTTTTCTTTCTTTCTTCTTGCAGTAACATTCAGCTCACTCACGACCACAAAACTTACCAGCATGTCTGTTCAGATCTTGCCAGGTCCTCAGGCTCTATCACCCTTTAGAGTGGAAAACTTGGTGAAGGGTATTAATGCTTACTGTAACAGTTCTTCTGTGATCACAGAAGTCCGCTCCTGTTACGTTCACTACGTCGAAGTGGAAACCGACAAGTTGACTGAACAAGACGAAAAATTGTTGGAGATTCTATTAACCTACGATCAACCTCTGGCCCAAGACGACTCTTATTGCGAGCTTTTGAGAACTAGTGTAATCAAGAACACACCCTGCAAGCTTGGAAACGATACATACTTGGTGAGAGTTCTTCCAAGATACGGTACTATTTCTCCTTGGTCATCAAAGGCTACAAATATTTCAACTGTATGTGGTCTTGATGGCAAGGTTAACCGTATTGAGAGAGGAGTAGCGTTATTGATCAAGGCGGTGCCAGGATTTCCACTTTTGGAGAACTTGAATGATGTCTCTCTTGCATCCTGTTTTGATCGTATGACTCAACAACTCTTTTTAGAGGAGCCTCCTTGCACAGACTCTATTTTTACTCATGAAACCCCAAGACCCTTGGTACACGTTCCACTCGTTTCGAAGTCATCTGCCAACCCAAAGGAAACGTTGGAAAATGCCAACGTTAAGATGGGTCTAGCCCTAGACAAAGGTGAGATTGAATACCTGATCGATGCCTTCGTAAAGACCATGAAGAGAGATCCAACTGACGTTGAATTGTTTATGTTCGCACAAGTAAATTCTGAGCACTGTCGTCACAAGATCTTTAACGCTGATTGGACTATTGATGGCCTGCAAAAGAGTTTATCCTTGTTTAAGATGATCAGGAACACGTACGACAAGTGCCCTGATTTCACAATCAGCGCCTACTCTGATAACTCTGCTGTTTTGGAAACCGGTAACGAATCTTATTTTTACGCACCCGATTTCAAAACGAAGGAATGGATGGCTTTGAAAGAAAACATCCCAATGCTAGTTAAAGTCGAAACCCACAATCATCCAACAGCGGTGTCGCCTTTCGCTGGTGCTGCTACTGGTTCCGGTGGTGAAATTAGAGATGAGGGTGCCACTGGTAGAGGTTCAAAATCCAAGTGTGGTTTGGGTGGCTATTCTGTCAGTGATCTTTTGATTCCTGGCCAAAAGCAGCCATGGGAGATAGATATTGGTAAGCCGGGACACATCGCCTCTTCACTGGATATTATGATTGAAGCTCCATTGGGATCTGCTGCTTTCAACAATGAATTTGGTAGACCTTGTATTAATGGTTATTTCAGAACTTTGACCACAAAAGTTCTAAATTCTGATGGCAAGGAAGAATTTAGAGGCTACCACAAACCCATTATGATTGCTGGTGGTTTCGGTACGGTCAGACCGCAGTTTGCACTAAAAAACAAGCCAATTACGCCTGGTTCCAGTTTGATCGTTCTAGGTGGACCCTCAATGTTAATTGGTTTGGGTGGTGGTGCTGCATCCTCTGTTAATGCTGGAGAAGGTTCTGCTGACTTAGACTTTGCCTCTGTTCAAAGGGGTAACCCCGAAATGGAACGTCGTTGTCAACAAGTTATCGATGCCTGTGTCTCTTTGGGTTCAGGAAATCCAATACAATCCATTCATGATGTTGGTGCTGGTGGTTTGTCAAACGCTTTGCCGGAGTTAGTTCACGATAATGATATGGGTGCCAAATTTGACATAAGAAAAGTTCTTTGCCTAGAACCAGGTATGTCTCCTATGGAGATTTGGTGTAACGAATCTCAAGAACGTTACGTGTTAAGTATCTCTCAACAAGATGTCCAACTATTCAAAGATATTTGTGAAAGAGAACGGGCTCCTTTTGCAGTTGTGGGACATGCTACTGCTGAACAACGCTTGATAGTTGAGGATTCATTACTAAAGACTACACCCATCGACCTAGACATGTCAATACTGTTCGGAAAACCTCCAAAAATGACAAGAAGTGCGATCACACAACCATTAAGCCTGCCAGCTCCCGACTTAAGTGCCATAGAGTCCTTGAGTGAGGCGATTGATAGAGTTCTTCACTTGCCATCTGTTGCCTCTAAATCTTTCTTGATCACCATTGGTGATAGAACTGTTACCGGTTTGATCGATAGAGACCAGTTTGTTGGTCCTTGGCAAACCCCAGTTGCTGATGTTGGTGTCACCGGTACCGCTCTTGGTGACAAGGTTGTTTCTACTGGTGAGGCTTTGGCAATGGGTGAAAGACCAATCAATGCATTGATCTCCGCGGCTGCATCAGCTAAACTCTCTGTCGCTGAATCTCTATTGAATTTATTGGCCGCTGATATCAAGTCCTTGAAGCATGTTAAACTCTCAGCAAACTGGATGTCTCCAGCTTCTCACCAAGGTGAAGGATCTAAACTATATGAGGCTGTCCAAGCTATAGGTATGGACTTATGTCCTGCGTTAGACATTGCAATTCCCGTTGGAAAGGACTCCATGTCTATGAAGATGAAATGGGCTGACAAAGAAGTCACTGCACCACTTTCTTTGAACATCACAGCATTTGGCCCAGTTAACGATACATCGAAGACTTGGACCCCACTGTTGGAGAAGACTGAAAACACACTGCTGGTTTTGGTTGATTTGGCTGCAACTCAAAGTGAAAAATCCCTGGGCGGCTCTGCACTCCTGCAAGTCTACAATCAAGTTGGAAACACATCACCAACTGTACACGACAACGCGCTATTCAAGGGATTATTGGAGTCCCTTTTGGAGCTTCACAAAACTGATTTGGTCTTAGCATACCATGACAGGTCTGATGGTGGTCTTCTCATTACGCTTTTGGAGATGGCTTTCGCCTCTAGATGTGGTTTGGATATCGCAGTTGATGCTTCATCTGGCAAAGCGTTGGTTCCATTGTTCAATGAAGAACTTGGTTGCGTGTTCCAGATTACTGAGTCAAATTTCAGCAAGTTCCAAAGCGTCCTAAACAAGAATGGCGTCTCTTCTGAGTACATTTCAGTTGTTGGTAAGCCAAACTTCGAAACGCAAGAAGTTATTATTAGAGACAAAGCAGGTGATGTGTTGTACGAAAACACTAGAGGACGTCTACAGGAGGCCTGGGCATCCACTTCCTACCACATGCAAAAATTGAGAGACAATCCTCAAACTGCTGAGCAAGAGTTTTTGACTATTGCTGATGATAAAGATCCAGGTTTGCACTACTCTTTGACGTATGATCCTGCTGATGATTTGAAGATCGGTCAACAATTGAGTACTACTAGACCAAAGGTTGCAATCTTGAGAGAACAAGGTGTCAACGGTCAAATGGAAATGGCTTGGTGTTTTCAACAAGCTGGATTTACTGCTATTGACGTTACCATGACAGATATCTTGGATGGTAGATTCGACCTCAAGGATTTTGTTGGTTTTGCAGCATGTGGTGGTTTCTCCTATGGTGACGTTTTGGGTGCAGGTGCCGGTTGGGCTAAGTCTGTATTGTATCATGAAGGTGCTCGCCAACAATTTGTCAATTTCTTCCAAGAGAGAAAAGATACATTTGCCTTTGGTGCTTGTAACGGTTGTCAATTTTTGAGCAGATTAAAGGAGATTATTCCTGGATGTGAAAACTGGCCAAGCTTTGAAAGAAACTTCAGTGAACAGTACGAAGCTCGTGTTTGCATGGTCGAAGTTGTTCAAGATGAAGGTAGTGAAACTGAGAGCGTTTTCTTTAACGGAATGGTTGGATCAAAATTACCAATTGCAGTTGCACACGGAGAAGGTAAGGCTACTTTCACCTCCGAGGAACAACACGCTACATTTGAGAAACAAGGTGGCTGTGGTGTAAGATATGTGGACAACTACGGAAATGTTACCGAGAAATTCCCCTTCAACCCTAACGGTTCTACAAGTGGTATTGCTGGTGTGAGATCGCCCAATGGCAGAGTCCTCGCTATGATGCCCCACCCTGAGAGAGTGTGTAGATTAGAAGCCAACTCATGGTATCCAGCTGAAAAGTATGACGAATGGCAAGGATATGGGCCATGGATCAGAATGTTCAGATCTGTGAGAAAGTGGGTAGGCTGATAGTTTGCGTGCGATAGAAGTTTCATAATATGTACATTATTCATTAGCGTATCTAATTTAAACGAATTTTAGATAAGAACCACGAATCTTCAGAAATGATACGAGGATACGGCCCAAGAAAAGTATCGGTGACGCAAATCTACATACCGAGTCCCCTCCCATAAAATGATAGTTAGTTATTTCAAAATATATCCTTTCGTTATATTGAATTGCATACATAGGAAGAATAGTTAAAAAATCTCCGGAAATGCTCGACTGAGAGATGAAAACATTTTCAAAGCGAGAAAAGGAAGGTTGACAAAATAGAGAACAGTTTAGCCGAGGAGATAACACCGGAGAGATTGATCTAGTTAGCTTTCTTGGCTTTTTCTTCAGCCTTTCTCTTCATTCTCTCTTCTCTTTCAGCCTTTGCCTCTGGACCAGCCTCGGTGTCCAAGCTGTAATCCCACCATCTAAAGGAGGAAGCGTAGTTACCAATAAAGTAGTGGTGGTGCAAATCGTGGTGCTCGGCACCAGCCCAGAATGGCAAGAATTTGTTCAAAGACCATGGGAAGTCGTAACCAGAGTGGGAATCGACAGCTTGGAATAGTCTCAATGTGATCCATAGACACAATGTGAACAAGTGCAAGTTACCGGTGTACAACACGTACAAGATTGGCATACCGACGGTACCGAAACCTAGAGATAGAGTTTCAACGGGGTGTGCGTATTCAGCAGCCAAACCGAAAGGAGCAGCATATCTGTGGTGTTGCTTGTGAATGTACTTGTAGAAAATACCGTAGTGGAAGAGACGGTGGGCCCAGTAGTGCCAGGTGTCTTCCAAGATGAAGAATAGCGAGATTTGCAACGCCATGGTCTTGAGAGTTGGGAATGGCACAGACACGGAGATACCGAGCTTTTGACACATTGGGTGGAAAGTCCAGATAGGAATGGCCTCAACTAGGAAGTGAGACAGTAGTACGGACTTTAGACAGTACCATTGCTCCTTAGCAGATGGAATCTTGGTGGGTTGCAGCTTGTAGCGGCGGAAAAAGGGGATTTGGTCGATGATGGCCCATGGCAAACAACGGAAGAAGTACATGAACTCGTGAAGAACAAAGAACATGAGACCAGTGGCCAGCACGTCGTTGTCCATGTAGCTGTACCACGCAGCCCAGTACTGCTCCATGCGGTTGAGCTGGGGCTGGTGCAACATTACGCTTTGTAGCGTTTCCGAGTAAGACTTGCCGTGACCGATTACGGCCGACAGGGTAGCGTTGTTGAACACTGCTGACATCCTCACTGCCTACTTGTTGAAAAGCAAAGAGAGCTCTGAACCTTTGTGGTAATTACGCTTCTACTCCGCAAGAGTTTTTACAATCGTGAACACCTGCTTCCCACCATCTCTTTTATATCGCGAGAACGTGAAAAATTCTTAAACGACCGAGGGGTAGCTATTTTCCTCGAACGAGATCGCTTTGTACGTATTCAATATTCTTCTAAACGACGGATCTATCGCCACCCACGACTTGCGCTTCGTCTGTGCGATGCGACCACGCTGTGGAACTACCGACAGAGGCGGCACCGTCAGCCGCCAGCCGCCAGCTCTCTTGGTCCTCGTACGCTGGCGAATAGCGTGAGATGTGGGACCGACTACATTGTACCGGCGAACGGTGTATACGACTGCGGAATTCTTTTTTCTTACACCATCGCCCCCCATGATGCAGAGCCTACGTTGCATCGGGTCACTGCCACGCTGACTCCGAGTATTTCACCCATTGCGACTGGCTCGGAGATACCGCAGGGCACCCTATAAAACGCTATTAACCACCAATGTCGTAATGGTTTATCTACAAAAGAGTCGAGCTACCGTTGCGGACCTCGCGGAAAAGAAATGACCCACGGCGTTGTCTCCGTGCAGCGTTGTATCGGCGTTGCAGAAAAGGCGAAAAACTCGATAAAAAAAATGAGCGTGGGGAACGAGGGAACGAGACACCACGTGACAATAACAATTTACTGATTGGGAAATGTGTCACGTGGACCGGACCGGATATACGAGTCGTTATATCCGGTGAGGTTACGTATCACCACGCACGGGACAGAGAGCATGTGAATATCACGTGCTCAAGTGGGATTACGAATCACACTTTTCACAACTGGTGTAGGTAGACTCCGATCTTCACAGCTCATCTGCACATCCTACCACCTGCAACCTGTGCTCCTACACTACTACTGCAGACACGTACTGGTTATGACCGAGTTTTGCTACATACTCGACGCCAGCTCACTTGAGAAGGGTATCGGAAACATCAAACGCTGGTGCGAGCCCGCTACCAATGCGCGCGATGTGCATCTCAGCTTGTACATTCCATCGTTCACGCTCCAGGAACTGGATTTCCTGCGCTATCGGAGAAACAGCGCGACCGCGCGTGAGTCACTGCGGTTCCTTGACCAGACAGACGCCAGCGACCGCGTCGACGTGATCATCGAGTTCACAGATCTACTGGATGCGATTCCTTGGTCCGACGTTCTGGAGCACCAGGTCCTTGATGTGCCCGAATTGGATGCGCGCAGTGGGAACGGGCCCGCCTCGCGCCCACTGCCTCGCCGTTTTAAGAATCTGCTCAAGAGCTGCGTTTACAAGTGCCACCTCGAGGGCAGCAACCAAAAGTCATGGACCCTTGTCACCGAGGACCCCACCGTGTGCCGTCTGGCACACGCGTTTCAAATTCCAGTGTGCTCACTGGTGGAAGCTGATAATTGTGTCTCTAAGAGCGTCGACAGACGCTCTTTTGAACAGAGCGTTCGCTTCAACAAGAACTTGAAGCGCAGAACTGTAAAGGAAATCTCTGATGGGAAAGAGGTTTACAAGGCCAAGTTCGACGACACGGTATATGCTCCAAGAGGCGCAGGTGAGCTGTGGGCCCCTTAGTGCTGTTTCGTTTCGTGGTTATCACTGCCTTAGCTTACTTGTTGCTGGCGCAATTGCGCTGTCGATGCTCTCATAAACCGTTCAGTCGCTTCTCACTACAATGCCATGCCTGGCATTTCGTTACAAGCTTTCGGGGTCCATCGTACTACATAGATGTCTCTACCGTCTTAGATATCTACTACAAGAGTTTCAATAATTGTTGCGCTCAGGTTTTTGTCAAAAGTTGTATTCATCGAGTGGAGAGTACTTAAACACCCACCCTAACATTAGAGATGCCAGAAAAAAAGCTAAAAGGTATTCATCATTGCAACAATGGTGTATCTCACGAAGAAGAAAGCCTTTCCCTCAACGTCAAATGCACACGGTCTACACAATCTTGGCCAAGAGATTAAGTGAATTGAATGGTTAACGAGAAAATTTTTTAGGAGATAATTTTTTCAAACTTATAAAATACAATTGATTATATAATCATATTTGATCATTGCAAGTAGGGCTCGGGTGGTTATAAACCATTCCATCAACAAAATACGCGTGCTACGTACAGCATCCCCCTTCAAATCAACTGACCAATGCAGTAACTGCCTCAAATCTGGAGAGGACTTTCTTTATCGAACCCAAAACAATGAACCTACCGTGCAAATACTCTACAGCAACGTAATATCGAGGACGTTTTTATGCTATCAACAAACTTCTCACCTCATGGTAATAGTAGTCAAATATATGCAGTTATAAGATATAGGAGCCGAAATTTTCGTAATTCAAACTAACAGTTGCTTGTGTTGAAACTTGAGCCGAATCATTCAAAATGCTTCAGCAATCAATGGGGCAAAAACCGACCGAGATATAGTGCTACATCAATAAAGTCTTTGTAATGAATAGTAGCGACACCTTCCTGGTTATCATCGTACTTTCTGAAAACCTTTGTGAGTCTCATCAACCATACGAGCGTTTCCACAAACTTGTCAAACTTTAACTCTTTTCCATTCTTATTAGGATCGATGAACTCTGAATATTGATCGAACAGCTTTTCACTTACGTTAAAAGGAACCAAGTAGCCAAGTTCCTGTAAACAATTGTGGAACTCGCTCACAGATATGGTGAAACTTCGATTTATATCATTATCCACATAAACTTTACGCCATTTTTTTACCCTCTTGTAAAGAGAGATGAATTCATTTAGATTTACCGTGCCGAACCGAGAGGCACCAAATAAATTTATCAGCGCATCTACCGATGAGATACAAAAGTGGGTATTGTCGTCGTTCTGCAAAAGATTCTGTAGTTCTTCTGCCGTCAGTCTACCATTGTTACGAATATCGTGATTGTGAAATAGCTGCGTTGCTATCTGTACGTCGTGGGCGTCTTGTTGTGGGTTGCTCTCAATACTTCCCATTGAATTACGAGGCACACCTTGCCCGGAGGGAGATGAAGAGTTTTGAGCCAAAACTGGAGATGGCATAGCCCATTGAGGAGCCCTTGGCGGAGGTACCCTTCTCGATTTACTGGGCTGCTGAGGAACGACAGGCGCATATCCATTAGAAGATGCCCTTGAACCGTTAGAAGAAACATATTGGTTAATTGGCAATCCCTGATGAGCAGGCTGTGGCTGAATGTAATGTTGTTGCGGCAGCGCGCCCATTGGATATTGTTGTGGCATGCCCTGAGATTGCACTCGTGGTACGTTGTTATTTAAGGAGCTTGTAGGTGCCGAATGAACTCTTGAGTTTATCGACTGAGGATATGCACCTGCCCGTCCTCCATTCATATCGTACTTTATTTGTCTTCGCCGTCTTTCTTCCTCTTCTCTCTTTTTACTTTCTCGCATTGCTTCCTCAGGAGTTGCGTAGAGCTGCATATTGTTGTTAGTTAACATATTCAATTCAAGGTATAGGAAACCTTATCTTTCACATACCGGTAGATTGTCACCGCCTGCATAATTCAGCTTTTTAGGACACATATGAGCAGGATTACACTGTCTGGGGCTGGAATATGTTGGATTAGGATACATTGTTAAAATACTAACGGGACCTGTGAATTTCGATTAATGGTATATAATCACGTGACAATATTTAAAGAATTGAACCCAAATGAACCTATATAGGTTTCGCGCAATTCCTACATAGCAGTGCCTAATTCAGTTCCATCCTCGATATGCCGGGCATGTAAACCAAAAATGATATGTTATATTTTGATATGTTGCTTTATATTAAAACAATATACATTGGTGAGAATTCACTAACCAAAACTAAGTTGCAATAAGAAATGGAGATACAGCCAACTCGTAGAGCTAGTGCCAGTTATCCATTTAGTATCTTCTTTGTGGTCTTTGGTCTTGAGATCTTTCTTGCAAGTAAGTAGCTGGGACAATGTTCTCAGGCAAGTGCAAGTAGTCTCTCAAGTATTCGACACCTTCCTCAGTCAAGGTGTAGTAGTAGTATTGCCAAGAGAATTGAGTCTTGACGTAACCCTTAGAAGTCAAAGATTGCAAGGCCTTGATGACGTACAAGTTCTTGGTGTCGATCTCCTCGTGCTTTGGTTGGTTGAAGTCCTTCTTGGCAACAACAACACCTTCTGTTGGGACAACTAGTTAGTAAAGATTCTTTGAAACTCATGAAAGAACTATGGATTTGCGAAATAGATACATTGACTGGACTTGTGAAACCTCTCTAGCACAGATATGGAAAAGCCATTGTTTTCTCCCCAATAATAATTGCATAAATCATAAGCCTTGACATCCAACCTCTCGTCTTGCAACTGCCCATAAGCACTCATACACTCGGATCATGTGTAATTCATCCTGATGGAGAAATACTAGCACATTAACTCCTCTCCTTCGCATTAATCCAGTCTTGCATAATTTCTATTCTTCTTGCCGAATCCTTGATAATCTTTCATCTTTCAGTGCTGCAATTATAACGTACCTTGAAACAAGTGTCTGTGAATCTTGGTTCTCTCTTCCTTTGGAATCAACATGTTGGCAACTCTTTCTATACCTTGTCTGAAGCTTTTCCTAAGACTTTCTTTAAGAATTATTTGACAAACACTATCTAGATGGACATTTCCAGAGGTTGGGCTTGCCAGTGACCTGGGTTGCGTGGGGCGTTGGAAGCGATACGTTGCGTCGGTGAGAAACGAAGAGCAGGATTGACACCCACACGCCACATACAATAAACTTGGGGATTAATCCAAAAAAAAGTCAAAAAATTAAGATAATGTAAGGGTGCTGAATTAAATGTCTGGGTCCTGTCAACTGTAAATTTGAAGCCCTATGCATCATGCCCTATCGACATGAGAATTGCCAAGCTGGTTGATCTTTCAAGGGTTCATTGACACTCTTGCTAAGCTGATTCTTGCAAAAACGCTGAGCAATGCCCATCCAATTATTCGGAAGAGATCAAATAGTAGTGCATTATGGCAGGAATGGTGAACAAAGCAATCATGATCAGGTATTAGACAGCGACGAAACTGAAATAGGAAGAGTGCGAGAGCGCCTGAAGCTGCTTTTGGCACGATGCCGCGATAGAATCCGTGAAACAAAATACTTGAAATTGACATTGGTCCACTGGACACTTTTAGCCATGTGGATCCTTTTGCTGATTAATCTCACGACCGTTTACAATAGCATGTACGCTCGATCTGCACTTCTGACTACAATGTGCACAAACGCCCTCTTGTTTGGGATTTCTGACATATTGGCGCAATGCATTGTTTGCTATACATCGTCGCAAATTAACCCTGTGCCGAGCTTCGTCGATTCAGCAACAAAAACACTAGGACAACGTTTGGGGGCTTTTACAGGATCACACAGCTATGAAGTGGCAAGCAGCGATGATGACATCTCCATCTTCAATGATTATGGGCCTTCAAATTATGATCATTCTTCCTCATTTCCACACCCTAGCAACGAGGTCTCCGTTGAACCACTGGGTGAAGAGGATTCCCAGTCTAATGCTCATAGCGATAGCTTTGATTATTTCCGGTGGTCGTGCTTTATGGCGTGGGGATCTTTCCTCTCATTTTTCCAAGTTCCATGGTACCGGTTCCTGAACTACTTTTACACCGAAGATCCCACAGTAGTCCAAGTTCTTGAAAGAGTCCTTTCCGACCAGCTACTTTACTCCCCTATATCGCTTTACTGCTTTTTCATGTACTCGAATTATATCATGGAGGGCGGCGACAGCTTCAGCTTTCAGAGAAAATTACAGAAGGTCTACCTTGGAACGTTAGGATGTAATTATTTACTTTGGCCTCCAGTACAATTCATAAACTTTTTGACCATGCCAAGGCATTTTCAAGTACCGTTTAGTTCTTCGGTTGGCGTCTTATGGAATTGCTTTTTGTCAATGAGAAATGCATCTAATTCAAGCTGAGATATATTATTTTTGTAGCTTATATATAGTTATCTTGGATACTAAACCATGTACGCATGTGCTTCGCGATTGGCAATTTTTTTGTACATTTTGCTGCTTTGTTTCTTTCTTAGTAGTCCTTTAAATCTCTGGGGCAGATACAGTTGGACAAAGTAATTCAGAACTGCCCACAAAATAATAGAGAGCTTAAACTTCTTAGACACTGAGGTTAGCTGGAAAAGCCTTCCAATAAACGATTGCGGAGATACAGACATTAGTAGAACGCTTAGAAAGAGCGAAACAAGGACATCCAGTATGAATCCTGTATTGCATGACATTGGTTCGCGATATGGGGGGCCAACTGATAATACAACAGCAGTCATAATATATTGGAAATTTGAGATGAAAAATAGAACAGTATTATCAGAAGACTCAACAGCATCATCACCCCCAACCACTGGCTTCACATACCAGTGCGTGTGCTGAACAAGGAGCCATGGAATCACCTGAAATACGAGGACAATAAAAATATTCACAATCAAGGGTATCAAGATCTTTGGAGAAACCAAATTAGATGAGGGCCGTTTTTTCACCAATTTATGGTATGGCTTAGACCAGGACATGAAAATAGCGATCGGGACAATTAAGAACAGATCAATGTACAAAAACTGAAAATCACCCAAGTTTGTTCCCCTGCTGTAAAGAATAGTGACGGTAACAAATTGAATGGCAGAGTAAAGACTCATATACTGAAAACATGAAAAAGATGTTGTCAAGGCAGCTCGGCCTTCCTTGATGACATCCAGAATACAGCTAATTTCAAAAATTCTCGATGTAAAAGGAGCTGCAACTGATGCCTCTGCTTCTGACAGGGAAACACCAACATCTGCGGCCTTTAATGCACCACAATCATTTGCACCATCCCCACAAAATCCCACAATATAATCTAAGGTTTGTAATTGTTCCACTAGTTCATGTTTTTCATCAGGAGACATTCGGGCATAAATAGACGATCTTAGTAAAACTGTATTGATGTATGACGCAGGCAAAACCTCGTTGTTTTTGAATAATAGTCTAAAAACCTCGCCAGTAATTGCAAGCGTGAAATCGAGAGTTTTGTCCAGTGGTTCAAGCGTCACCCCGTCGAGATACAAATCAGCATTATCCACATCCTGCCATATTAAGAGGTCTTCATCAGGGCCAACATTTTCATTCACTTGAGGAACGAATACATGAGATTCCGTTATTAGTCCAGATTCTCTGCCAACCGAGATAGCAGTGAGAACATTGTCACCGGTGCACATTACAGTTCTAATGTTAGCTTCTCTCAAGGTTGACAAAGTAGATTTGGTTGATGCTTTAAGTTTGTTTTCAAACACAATGAATCCCAAGAAGTCTAAGTTTGACTCTAGCTCCTCACGTGTGACTTTCTGAGCATATCTCCAAGTATGCTTGGGTAAAATTTTACCGGCACATGCAATAACCCTATAACCATTATGTGTGTAATGGTGTAAAATGTCCTCGTAATCGGAAGGCAAAGTGCTTCTGTTACATATTTCGGAAATCACCTCAGGTGCGCCTTTGGTAAAACTCCAAAACACGTTTTCACTGTATGGCTTAACGATGACGCTCATACGCCTCAAATTGGACAAAAATTCAAAGCTCCTAACGACGCCTAGAAAGTTGTGAGGGTCATTGTCAGTAAATTTATTATCTGTCTTACTTGCATTTGGATGCACAATCGCTGGAGTTATCCCAGTGTTTTCTGGAAGAGTATCAGAATCGTATCTTTCTTCATTTAGAGAGTGGAACTTTTGATTTTGAAAGTCTTCTTCGTAAGCCCAATTGGTAAATTGAAACATTTTGAAATCAAGAGGATCACCCAATAACTCACCATCTACCAAACGCAATGAATGACATGTCAAAAGAGCAAGTAGAAGATTTCTGGATTTGAAATCAAGTGGGGAGCTACAATCATTTAAGGAAAATTTGTTGAAAAGACCATAAACATTTTCAATAAGGCCACTAAATTTGAATTTCTGGTGACCTTGAGGTTGAGATACATGAACACCCAAAACATCTAGTCCATCCTCCGTTAACGTGCCTGTCTTATCGAAGCACATTACATCGATTTTGCCCCCAACGTTTACTCGTGTTGGAGCTATACAAAAAATGCCATCTTTCTTTAAGCGAGTCATGGCAAAACTTGTCCCAATCGAAAGGGTTGCTGGTAAGGCTGGTGGAACAACAATCGTTATGATATCAAGAGCGCGTAGGACCATTGTCCTGTAATCAAGCCCCAGACGAATAAAATTAATACAGCTAACTGAAAACCCCATCAGTGCAATAAGTGCCATAAATCCAATATACTTGAATGAATCCTGATAAAACTTGAATCCTGTAGGTTTGGGAAACACCATGGAGCGAATAAGCGACCCTTTTGTTGTTGAAAACCCGGTGCGGACTACCATGGCCAGAGCCAGTGCGTTTCCTTTGGTTATACGGACCCGGATAATTTTGGTTCCATTGAATAGGAAGGACTTAGCTAAATGACTTGAAATTTGAGTGTTTTGGAAATCATCCAACAGCTGTTGAATTGTTCCAATCGTAGCGGGCAACTTCGAAACTGGGACAGATTCACCAGTAAGCATTGACTCGTTTACTATGCAATCACCCGAAAGTAAAATAGAATCACAAGGGAAGGAATGTAGAGAGGGGTCAGACACTTCGTAAATATCACCTGGCACAAGTTCTGAAGATGCAAGCTGGACCCAGAACCCATCCCTATATACACGTACTTCGGAGTGTGAATGTGAAATTTCAGATAACCTTCTGGAAGTTTTCTTTGTTTCAATAAGTGTATCCAAAATGGAGAAGATTGAAATCAAGAAGATGCATGCAGCATAGTAATAATAGTCATCCATCAGCCACAGAATAATGGAAAAAATCTGGAAGACATAAAATGGGTGAAGAGCTTCATCAAATAAAATCTGTGCCGTGGTTTTCTGCTTGAGGTTAATGTTATTCTTCCCAAATGCAAGAACCCTATCTTCAACAACAGATGATGAAAGTCCATTTTGAATGGTTTGTAAATCGAGCCAGTCTGCGTCCGTCCAGGAGCTATTTGTTTTGAAAATATCCCCCAATGGTGTGTATATTAGGTTGAAATATCTATAAGTGAATGATATCAGTATGGGGATATTTGGGTTGTTCTCACTTTCGTGATGATGCCGATGGTGATGAGCATGTTGGCTGTCATTATCATCGGCAGCTCTGTCTAACGGTAATAAAGTACTAAGCGGCCTATTGTACCACCTTCTATCAACCTCTATGATTGACAATTCACCAAATTCATTTTCTACTACAACCCACTCTGCCTTGGCCAATGGAGTTTTGATACCGTAGAATCTAACCTTATAACGTGGAATCCACCTCGTGAATAAATATAAAAAGCCAACAGTCAAAACGGATAGTAGATAATAGGCATATAAGCGAAATTTCGAAGTTTTGTAGCCCGCTATTCCTACTACCAAATCTTCCTCTGCAATGTAGAACCGTTGATAATGTAAGTGAGGAACATGCTGTGGAAAGAATCTATCATGATATTCAGGCTTTAAGTATTCTGCATGGTATGATGTTTTTTTTTTCAAGTCTGAAGCCTGGTCTTGGGTAGAAACATGCTCATCCTCTTCAAACAGACCAATTTCTGACTGGTTGATTTCAGACGAGTGGGAACTATGCATTGACAATTGGCTCTCATCATCCTCAATCCCAGCAGGTATTCTGTCCCTATAGCTATAATGGGAAGAGCTTGAGGACGATTGGGGGGATGTTCCGTATACATGTTCGGAAATGGAAGGAGATCTCAAGTCACGGCCGCGGTTATCTATACCTCCGTGAGAACCATATCCTCCCGAATTAGCCGATGACCTTGATCTATCAGAATTAAGTGAGTAGCCCGTGGCGCTGCGCAGTGAGGACCTCCCCGATCTTTGCCTGTAGTTTAGCCTTTGTTGTTCGTACGTCGGAGTTGCATCCCAATTGATGTCATAGTCGGCGAATTCCACCGTGGAAGATGCACCCTCTGCAGATTCTATCTGCTCTTCTGTGAAGAATCTGAATTGAGGTGCTCTAGATGAACTTCTGGATCTTGAACGGTGGTTTGAGAGGAGCGATTCAGCCTCGGACGAGGCACGCCTGCTTCCTTCAGCGGAGGCTGTTGTGCTCCCATGAAGTGGACTATTAGATGATTGAAAGGAGTGTGGGTGATGAAAAGAGACAATTGAACTTGGCACTGTTTCAAACGTAGCTCCGGAATATGGCTCTGTGCTGTTAGGCTCCAGTACTGTCAGCGACGTTAAGGTATTTGAGCTTGATGCAGTCCTCGCTGAAGAAAAAGAAGGACGATTCCGAGCGTTCCCACTATTCGAATGCTCGCGGGATCTTGAATTAAAGTTAGACATCGACCTGGTGGAAGACGTTGCGAAACTACTTGCTTTTTGCGTACTTCCAAGTTTTTCATGTAATGCTGCATAGAATTGCGGTCACATGAACACCAGCTATATACTGTCATTCGATAAGCTACATAATACAGCAAAGATTAAATATGCTGAGTTCGCTGGTAAATACCAGAAGCATTTTGTCATTGCTTAGTAGAATTCGGAGTTATCAAATTGATGTGCTTGCCAATCTGCGTCGGGCACTAGTAAACATAGCCTTTTTTGAGCAAGTGAGCACGGGCTAATGATAATTAGAGACGAGCTCTTATAAATATTTCATTTAAAACTTCTTAATCGCTCGCTACGCTGCTATTCATATGTCGAATATACTCTGGTTATTCCTCTCAATGAAGGTTGCTTAACTATTGTATACGTACTTGGTGATTTTGAATCAATATGCCGTTTCTTTTTGGATTTTGAAAAATTTTCAATGCGATGAGATGAGCTTCAATTCCACGAAAGCTCATCATCGTTATTTATCTGATACGAACACTTGCACTAAAAGACGTCTTTAAGCCGTTGTCGTGAAGTCTTTTTATTTGGTGTTTGAAGATTGTGCACAGCATGTCATCTTCAAGTCAGAAAAGAAAGAGAACTGATGAATCCCCCTTAACCAGGCAGGATACCACTCTTCCCCCAACTGCGTCATCGCTCTTGCAGGATTCAGAAGATGTCTCATTTCCAAGAGGTGGTGCTTCAGCATTGACTCCTCTCGAACTTAAACAAGTGGCAAATGAAGCGGCAAGTGATGTTTTGTTTGCAACTTCAAATGGCCCTAACAGCGCCGAGTCCGAAAGACCCAAAAAGAAGAAGAAAACAAACAAAAACTCGAATTCAACTGCAACTAAGACTCAGGAATCTGAAGAAAGTTCTGAATCTGTGATAGAGCATATAACCTTCAGAAATCTTCCCCCTGGTACACTTCTACTTGGTCAGATTTCTGAGGTCAATAAGCATGATTTGTGCGTCTCTTTTACGGATGGCATCCATGGTTACGTGTCTCTTGCCAATATATCGGAAGGTCTTACCAAAATTTTAGAGAGTTTGGATGAGGACATGGATGACGAAAAAGAAGATGAGGAAGAAAATGAATCCGAAGAATATGACTCCGACGCTGAATCTGGACAGCAGACATCCACATCTTCTAAAGAACTGCCCGATTTGCATAATTTCTTTAGAGTGGGCCAGTGGCTAAGATGTTCTGTAGTGACAAATACCGCACTCGAAGATAAAAAGAAGCAAAAAAGGATTGAATTGTCTATTGAACCACAAGTTGTTAATCAGCTGACCGATGAAGACCTATCTAGAAGTTGTGTACTTCAGTGCTCGGTCAAAAGTATAGAGGACCATGGAGCCATATTAGACGTTGGTGTTGAAGGGGTTACGGGTTTCATTTCAAGGACAAGTCACTCACACTTTGGAGAATTGCTTCCAGGTGCAGTATTTCTGGCAAATGTCGCTAAGAAGTCGGGTAGAACAGTTACTGTCAACCAGGATTTCTCAGCGAAAAACAACAAAATTTCTCAAATATCTTCGATTGATGCTGTCATTCCTGGACAGGTTATCGATTTTCTTTGTCAACATTCAACTGCAAATGGCATCGTCGGCAAAGCATTTGGTCTAGTTTCGGGCTTTTTGGGCATTTCTCAACAGGCAGGATTTTACTCACAAGAAGGTAAGGAGAGCTACGCCGTGGGGACTAACGTTAAAGCAAGGATTGTTGCTACCGTGGTATATAAGGGTGAAAAGTGTATTTTGGTCTCAGAGTTACCCCACATTTTGTCCTTGGAGTGTGTGTTCAGGGAACAAGGTGCTTTAGATTCCTTTCCTGTAGGTTACATCTTTGAGGAATGCACTGTTCTAGGTCGTGATTCTCAGTATTTCTATCTCGCGATGGATAATGAAAGAATAGGCCAGGTGCATATCTCCAAGGTGGGTGGAGAAGAACCTTCGGGGCAGGTGAAGGCTAGAGTGCTTGGATATAACGGTTTGGATGGTTATTATCAGCTCTCAACTGATCCAAAGGTTTTGGGTTTACAATACTTGAGAGTCCGTGACATTCCACTTGGTGATGTTATTTCGGCCTGCGAAATTACTTCTGTTTCTGACAAAGGTATTCACTTAAGTTTATTTGGAGGACAGTTCAAGGGATTCGTTCCACCATTACATATATCCGACATTAAGCTCGTTTACCCAGAGAGAAAGTTTAAGATTGGTTCAAAGGTCAAAGCTTTGGTTCTTAATATTGATTACAGAGGTCATTTGGTTCTCTCTTTGAAAAAATCGTTGGTTAACCTAGATGAAGAAGAAGTTAAATTTCCATCCAGCTTCAAGAGTATTGAAGAGTTATCTGAGAAAGATTCTAAAATAGCAGGTACTGTTGAGGCTTTTAAAACCAATGGTTGCCTGGTATCATTCCTTGGTCGCTTGAAGGGTTTCTTACCAAGTGGTGAAATTTCTGAAGCGTTTGTAAGAAGACCTCAGGATCATTTGAGATTGGGTCAAACGGTAATTGTCAAAGTTTTGCAACATAATGAGGAACAAAACCGTATCATTGTAACATGCAAAGTATCCAGTGAAGCGGCAACCCTGCAGAAAAAAACTATTGAAGATATGATTGTCGGAAGATCCGTTGTAAATGCGACTATTGTCGAAAAAACCAAGGATTCGGCTATTGTGGAGCTGAATGGAGTGGGACTACGTGGTGTTATTTATGTGGGCCATCTCTCAGATTCTAGGATCGAACAGAATAGGGCTCTTTTGAAGAAACTAAGAATAGGATCTGATCTCACAGGACTCGTAATAGATAAAGATACTAGAACTAGGGTATTCAATTTATCTTGTAAGAAGACATTGATCAGGGATGCAGAAGATGGCGTCCTACCCCTAACTTTCGAGGACATAAGAAAAAAGGACCTAAATGAAGTTTTGCATGGTTATGTTAAGTCCATATCAGACAAAGGTGTTTTCGTTGCCTTCAACGGGAAATTCGTTGGTTTGGTATTACCCAGTTATGCTGTCGATAGTAGAGATGTCGATATCACTAAAAAATTCTATGTTAATCAATCCGTGAATGCTTATCTTTTGAGGACGGACGACGAGAACGAACGTTTCTTGCTATCCTTCAAAACACCAAAGAGTTCATCCAGTGCTAAAGTAACATCTGCTGCTTTACAAGCTATTAATCCCGTTGATGCATCTATTAAGGAACTTTCTGATTTTGTCCCTGGAAAGGTCACCAAAGCTGTGGTCAAAGCGGTGAAGAAGAATCAACTCAATGTTACTTTGGCGGAAAATATGCATGGTCGTATTGATGTCTCCGAAGTTTTTGATGATTTCAATGACATTAAGTCTACAAGGAGTCCTCTCTCAAATTTCAAGAAAGGTGATGTACTCGATGTTAAGGTTATTGGTTTTCATGATGTGAAGACACACAAATTTTTACCAATTTCACACAGATCGTCAAAGAATATTCTTTTGGAGCTAACTATGAAGCCATCCTGTATTCAAGGAGCTCAGCCGTTATCCATAAATGACCTGAAGGTTGGTGATAAAATCATTGGTTTCGTTAATAATGTTTCCAAGGGATTTTTATGGCTCACGGTCTCTCCTACAATCAAAGCAAAAGTACCATATTTTGATTTGACTGATGACAGTTCGGCATTTTCTTCAAAAATTGAGGACGCCTTTCCTCTTGGATCTGCTCTGGAAGTTACAGTCACCGGTATTGATTTAGATCACAATGTTGTCATTGTAACTGGAAGAACACATACAATCAAGGAGTTCAATGATATTGAAGTAGATGCTAAATTACCGGCACGTATTTTGAAAGTTGCCGATAATTATCTTCTTTTGGATCTTGGTAATGATGTGAAGGGTGTTGCCTTCGTGACTGATGCATTGGATGAATATTCCAAATCATTGAAAGACGTGTTTGAGCACAAGAGGAATGATATTGTCTCGGCAAAAGTTATTTACATTGATAAATCAGGGGAAAAAATTAACCTCTCTTTACGGTCTGACAATCCTCAAGATCGTGATATCAAGTCTCATGAAGACCTGAAAAGAGGTGATGTCGTTCGTGGTTTCATTAAAAAGGTAACCGACAAAGGTGTTTTTGTGTATTTGAGTCGTACTATTCAGGCATTCGTGCCAGTAAGCAAACTTACAGATTCCTACATCAAAGATTGGAAGAAATTTTACAAGCCAATGCAACCTGTTGTTGGTAAAGTTGTTAACTGTGAAGACGACTCACATATCTTAATAACTCTTAAGGAATCTGAAGTTAATGGTTCCTTGAATATTTTGAAAGGGTATTCTGATATTGAGGTGGGAGATATTTTTGAGGGGATGGTTAAAAATGTCACAGACTTTGGTATATTCGTGAAACTAAACAACACTTTGAATGTAACTGGATTAGCCCATCGTTCGCAGATAGCTGATACTGAAGTTGGAGAATTGGGTGAACTATTTGGTGAGGGCGATAAAGTTAAAGCAATTGTTCTGAAGGTCAACCCTGCCAAAAAGCAACTCTCGTTAGGATTGAAGGCCTCTTACTTCAAAAACGTCTCTGCTGATAACACCATAGATGAAGAAAAAAGATCGGACAGTCCTTCGGTCAGCACAACATCTTATAAACTTGAAGCCGATGATGTGGTTGAAGATGTTGACTACAATGAGGAATCAGACTCTCAGGAATCAGAAGAAGAGAAAGATGAGCCTACCAACGAAAATGTGGGAACCCTTTCCTCTACTGGTGGCTTAAGTTTAAGTGCTAACTTTGATTGGACCACAAACATTTTGGATCAAGCCCGTGATGACGAATCTTCCGAGGAGGAGGATGTATTCGAACGTAAAAAGCCAAGAAATAAAAAGAAGCAAGACGTTAGAACTGAAGATTTGACCGTTGATATTAACACAAGGGCGCCAGAATCTGTGGGTGACTTTGAACGTCTCATTATGGGTAATCCTAACTCTTCTATTGTCTGGATGAATTACATGGCTTTCCAATTGCAATTGGGTGAGATCGATAAGGCTCGTGACGTTGCTGAACGCGCTTTGAAGACGATCAATTTCAGAGATGAAGCAGAGAAACTGAATATATGGATTGCGATGTTAAACCTGGAGAACACTTTTGGTTCCGAAGTGACCTTGGAAGAGGTCTTCAAGAGGGCGTGCCAATACATGGACTCGTATACAATGCATAATAAATTGGTAGGCATCTATCAGGCAAGTCATAAGCAAGAAAAGGCGGCTGCTCTGTTCAAGATTGCCGCAAAGAAATTTGGTTCTGAGAAGGTGTCTTTGTGGGTCTCATGGGGCGAGTTCTTGATCGAGCAAGGAAATCAAGACGAAGCCCACTTGATACTATCTAGGGCGCTAACATCATTGCCCAAGCGCGATCACATTGAGGTTGTCCGTAAATTTGCCCAACTAGAATTTTCAAAGGGTGATCCTGAGCAGGGTCGTTCTCTATTTGAGGGCTTGCTTGCAGACACGCCAAAGAGAATTGATTTGTGGAACGTCTATATAGATCAAGAGATCAAAAAAGAAAACAAGAAGAATGTCGAGGATTTGTTTGAACGTGTCTTATCTAGGAAGATCACAAGAAAACAGGCCAAATTCTTCTTTGCCAAATGGCTCCAGTTTGAGGAGTCGCACGGTGATGAAAAAGCTGCTGAATACGTGAAAGCCAAGGCGGCAGAATACGTTGAGAAGCACAGTAATTCTGCTGCTGAATAGTCATATGTAAGTTTTCCTGTATATTATCCAAACGAAAGTGATTTGACTCGTACTTTTTAAATCAAAGAATCTATGGAAACATTATAATATCGTCTGATGATTGAATGTGGCTTTCAATTTCAAGTCATTTAGAATTAAAGATTTTGTCACATACATCTAAAAACGTAAACGCTATCTCAAACATTAAAAATAATATGAACAACACTTAAAAGAATCATCACTGCATAAAATGTTGAGAGGAGCACAATCTCTACAGACTTGTTCATATCAGGTATTTATTCTCTGAAAGATTGAGAAAGTATAATTTGAAACTCTTTCCCTACTTTGCCAGTGAGTAACGATTACTCACGTTCAAAATGAAGCATTCCAAAAACCTTTTGATTCTAGTTGGAGCACTGACGAAAGACTATGAAATTTGAAGGCAATCAAAAATTACTATGGTAGTATGATCTCTAAAATCATCACTAGTCATAAAACTTTATGAAAAAAGATACAAGATGCACTATCAAAATTCTTCTTCTCACAGTTACTTCTAATCGTTATCCTGAAATACATCAATGAAATCCATATAAATATCAGGCTTGAATGGCCATTTGTCAAACAAGTTGGTCAAGTACAAGAATTCTTCAGTATCAAGATCTTTTGCCGTTTTCTTTAGAAACTCCCGGTCAAGCTTCCCAGTGAAGTAATCCTTCGCCCCATGGCCCAGAGAATCCAATGCTTCCAATAAAGGTGTGCTTTTGAGGATCAGTAAATGCTTTGTAACGTAATCCCAATTATCCAGGTCGACATTATGTTCTTTAGGGGTTACTTCTAATAAGCTGATGGGCTTTCCACCAGTCAGCCATATGTCCTCAGTAGGGAATAAGATTGGTTCGTGTTTCTCTAAAATTTTAGAGTTAAATTTTCTTAACGAAGTGCTGTTTGTTGTCGCAATGAGTCTAGTATCCGTGAAGGTATCTGCAACTACGGAACACTTTGAACGTATCTGTTCGCCTGGCTTAGCCAGCACTTTTATTGCCGTTGATTCAGGGACCCAAACAAGCATCCTTATTCTTCCATACTTCTGAAGCCAATTCTTATTGCCGATGCATGCTAGCCACTGCATGAACAGTCCTTCTCCAATCATTCCCGTAAGATTAGCAATTACCAGACACTCATCATGAACAAGATCTCTTGGCTTTATGGAGGGAATGAACAGTTTATCTTTTTCTATAAGGTCTATGTATGATTTCCACTCGTATGGGTCGTGCTTGTAGAATTGCAGGCTCGTTCCTTTTGTAAAAGATTCGATATGTCTCAGAAAGTCAGGCCGGGAATCCATTAACATGTACTGGGCAGGTTTAAATAAATTAACAAACAAAGCCGAATGGTTTGATGGGCCGGGATACAAGTCCAAGACTTTTAACTTCGATAAATCCTTGTATTTAGCTTCTATTTGAAGCTTTTGAAATATGCTTTCATGAGTCTGCGAGTTCAAAAGATATTTAAACCCATAGTAATGCTTGATACTTCTCAGTTCCTTAGCAGTTGGTATGCGTATTGCCATGAAATATTCCTTCTCGTGTTGAAGAAAAAGTCTTCACATTTTCACGAATGTTTCTTTCATATCCACGAAGAAACTGCCCACATAATGGCGGTCATCAAAATCAAGCTACCTAAAGATGTTGAAAAGGAGGCAAAGCAACCTAGGGCAAAAAGAATTAAGATCAAAACGAACTCTGCTGATAGCGTCCCCAAGCCGTCAACTAAAGTAAAGATCCGCACGACAAAGAAGGATGAGGAGAGCCGGCGAGATGCAAGCGAAGGCGGAGGCATGAAACTAAAGCTCAACCTCAAGAAAGAAGAGTCGAGTGTTGAACCTTCGGCTACACCTAGAGCACCTCGGTTCAGAATAAAACCTGTCCGTGTTCCTGGGGAGGGATATGACTCCGAAGCTTCTGACATCGAAGATGATCCATTGATAGAGGAGGGCATAATTTTACGGGTTCAGCCCGGATTACAAACAGAATTCATCAAAAATTGCATTGAAAGTGGTGATTTCTCAGGTCTCAGCCTGAAATGGAAGGGTGAAAAGCACGCGATCGTCAAAATTGGTACTCATCAATACGGTGCTGTTTTGGTCAATCTACCAACAATAATAGAGGTTAACAAAAGTATTGACCGAAAAAATCTGCTGAAAGCTTTTGATGTATCGCAAATGCTTCTTTGCATCAGTCCCATTGAACGAGAGGAAGATGTATTCTCTCTAATTCCACCTGATACAGAGGATCTAGTACTAAAACACTTTGAAGAATACAAAAATGAAATAATAGAGTGTCGAAAAAAGTTCATCAAGGGTTACAATGGAGGTCCCTTGACGGACTCCGAAGCCAAACACATTGATGATATTATAAGAAAGAGCTACGAGTATCGACACGGCATAACCCCCCCTCTTTATAATGTCAGGAATAGGCGTTTCAGGCGAAAAATGGGGTCTCAAGAAATAGATCACGTTGAGAAAACAGTCGAACTTCTTCTTAAACAGGATGAGGAGGCCGAAGAATTTGAGTATGATCTTGTAGATGAAGAGCAGGCGATACAAAGATCTACGTCCACTATGGACTTATCACAACAGTCGCTGGAGAATGGATTCGAGCTATTTGGGGAAGACGATCATGCTGACCTCGAACTTGAACTTGAACAAGCCTTACAGGAAAGCGAACCAGAAAACCGGAGTGACTTGGAGAGAGGAGCGGCGCGTTTGGAAGAAACTGGAGATGATGTGGAACAAGATAATGGGGAGGAAGAAGACGAAGAGGAGGAAGATGATGACGGGGATGAGGACCCTGATGATGACGGTCATGGAATTGCAAAACCTTCAGTAGACGAGGACAGACAACATAACGAACTATTAAGAGATGAACTTAACGAACTGGAAATCACCCTACAGCAGAATAAACAGAAATTAGAGAAGGCCACTAATCCTTTGCTGAAATCTAGATTTATTGACAGTATCAAAAAGCTAGAAAAAGAGGTTGACATAAAGCGAAAGCAACTAAAGCTCAGTGAAGATACCTTGCACAGACCAGAAAGCACGAAACCCGACGTTGATGAAGAAGAAGTAGATATTGAAGTGGAAGAAGAAGAAGAAGAAGAAGAAGAAGAAGTTGAAGTTGAAGAAGAAGAGGAAGAAGCTGAGGACGAAGAAGATGACGCAGTCCCTCAGAATAACAATTCTTCTCAAGCGCCTGCGGTAAATGAGGAGCTTGATCAGGACGATATGGATATGATGATGCTTTTCGGGGGTGAAGGAGACGAATAGATAAGGCTCAATCGTGATTATGGTGAATAGGCTGGTAGAGGTTCAGTGTTCTCAGTAGGTCCTCTAGAGTTTCCCTCGATAATAGCCTTTTTCAACACATCATGGACCCGGAAAATATCTAGGTTACCTCTCCCACCATCTAAATAGATATTACACTGCCATGTATAGAGATAATTTAACCACTTACCATTACCAGAAACCTGCTCTGGTAGAATCTTGTATGACACCGTTAGGTAGTTTCGACCAAGCCAAGGCATTTGTAATTGTGGAGGAATCTCCCCGCTTAAATTCGGCACCATTTGCTTGTAAATGATGGTAATGGTTTGAACTTCTTGAAATGGCTCGAATAGGAGAAAAATAAGCCGTTTAGTCGTTATGAATCCTCGGGCATTTGCTTCGATCTTCTGTTCATACTTCGTATTCGGCCGGTCGTTGTCCATCAATGGATAGCAGTGCAAAGTAACTTTTGGAAGAGAAAGAAGAACAACCTCATCTTCTAGAGCTAGGAATGGCAAACTTCCACCGTCTAATATTAGAGAATTGATTGACATACTGATTTCAAATGAATAATGTGATAAATACAAAGTATACAGGGTGAGTCAAAGTCCATTCACGTTAAGAACGATAAGGAAGTAGCAAAGCACTTTGGATTAGGTGGAGAAATAATAGAATGTATACAAAAATATTGAGAGTGAAATACGGCTTTGAACTATTCTTAAGCTCAAAGGAATGTTATTACTTGATTCTTAACGATCACAGCAGTTAACGAGATAATCCGTGGTGATATCATTTCAGACGTGTTACCAAGATATCATTGATGAAAAAAATGTGATACCGCGTTTTGCATACTCCACAACAACGTGAAGAGCTGAGGTATAGACAAAATGGATAAGATGGAAATACCCCAGAGGCAGTTGACCAGGGAAGAAATTAACAGATGCTATCTTGTATGTGAGCCACACAAAATCCAGGAGAGGAATTGTTAATTTATTATACTAACAACATGTTCTAGAGATGGCAACAGCTTCAGAATGAGCATGGAGAAAATGCTCCAAACGTGCCAGAGTTTATGTACTTTACCAAAGTTTTGCGTGTAGCAGCAAAACAGCAACAACAACAGCAACAAAAACAGCAACAGCAACAGCAACAGCAACAACAGCAACAACAACAACAACAACAACAACAACAACAACAATCTCCGCAAAATGCACAACAACCGCTCCACCAACTAGGTCAACAGCAGCAGCCTAATGCGACACAAAGTCAACAAGAACAACAACAGCAGCAGCAGCAACATAATATACCAATACAGACCCACCAGCAACATCAAACCCGCCAATCACAGGTGCCGCAGTCACAGGCGCCTGTGATTGCTCAGCAATGGATTCAGCAACAACAAAGAGGTACACAGAACCCCCATAACCAGTCCTCTGCACAAGCTCCTCAGCAACAAACACCTAGTGGATCTCAACAAGGCGTGGGATCGGGAGGAAATCTCTTCACTCCTGAACAATCTGAGCTGTTGAAAGCCCAGATCACCTCCTTGAAGTATCTATTAAGTCGTCAAGCGGTGCCAATGGAGGAGCAGACGATAATACAAAAGTCGTTGAACAATCCACCGGACTTTAAGCGTATGCTCTTAGCTTTAAGTGAGTTTGTGAAGAAAAAGCAACAGCAACAACAGCAGCAACAGCAGCCACAGCAACACGTTTCGCCGGCGGTGACACAGCAGCCTCCTCAACAGTCCTCATTCCAACAGATAAAACAACAACCTCACCAAATCATGCAGCAGTCAATGAAACAACCTATGCCGCACATGGTAGGGCAGCAGGGTGGTCGCCAAGGCACACAGGGATCTCCCACTTTATCCCAACAGCAAGTGCAAAGTCCTGCAGGTCAGACTCCCAACTTTTTGGAGCAGCAGCAACGTCAGCTCACCGAAGTGCGAGAACCGATAGGAGGTGCCAATCAATCACCTGCCAATATCAACCCACCTTCACAGTCTCCAGGCGTCTCAAACCCCAATATTAAATTAGAACTTCGTCCAAGCAGTATATCAAGTGATTCTTCTAGGCCAGAATTGAGCAAATCCGAATCTAGTCCTATGGAGCAGATGTCTATTTCGAGAGGGATAAACGGGAAGATGCAGAGCACGGATGTGAACTCTTTAGATGATGAAGGAGAAAAGCCATCAAAACCACATCCACCGATACCGTTAACTGAATATAAAACTCAGTACCCCGAGCTAACTAAGATCATTGATGTTAACGTGCCTAATGTTGTCGTAGATTCATTTTCAATGCCTAATCTGCCTGAAAGACAGGTAGATTATAGAGAACTGTTCCCTTCTAAAGAACACCCCAAACTTATTTTACAACCAGGAATACTGCCGGGTGGGGTGGATGTGCACTCGGCAATGGAAATTTATCAAACTTTGATAGCTCTTGATATTGATACTGCGGTCGATGACTGTTTAAATCAACTGCTGGATGATTCTGCCAATGAGCAAACTAAGAGAAAGGCGAAATACGATTATTACGCGTTACAATTACTTCCTTTGCAAAAAGCTATGAGGGGTCATGTTCTGCAATTCGAGTGGTACCAAAACTCTCTTTTGACCAATACCCATCCTAACTTTCTATCCAAAATAAGAAAGATAAACATGCAAGATGCTTTACTGACCAATGATTTGTACAGAAGGCATGAAATTTTGCAATATGAGAGACGGAGGTGTGAAATATCGGCTAAGCTAGAGATGTTAACTGAGAGCTCCGTCAAATACTACGACAAAAAGCTAGACAAACGTACACAGCGGGTGAAATTTGGTCATAGGTTGGTAACATTACATGGAAACCTTGAAAAGGAAGAACAAAAGCGCATGGAGCGCAATGCCAAACAACGTTTGCAAGCTTTGAAAGCAAATGATGAAGAGGCTTATATCAAACTTCTGGATCAAACGAAAGACACAAGAATTACTCATTTATTAAAGCAAACTAATGCATTCCTGGAATCATTGACAAAGGCAGTGAAAGATCAGCAACAATTCACTAAAGAAAAAATCGACTCGCATTTAGAAAAAGAGGAGGAAAGTGAAGAGGAAAATAGCAATTCAAAGGAAGAAGACGAAGAAGAACGCTTAAATATTGACTATTATAATGTTGCTCATCGCATCAAAGAGGTCGTTAAAATCCAGCCATCAATATTGGTGGGTGGCACTCTTAAAGAGTATCAGATCAAGGGTCTACAATGGATGGTGTCTCTTTTCAATAACCATTTGAATGGTATACTTGCAGATGAAATGGGTCTTGGTAAAACCATTCAAACTATTTCACTTTTAACATACTTGTACGAAACCAAGAATATTCACGGTCCTTTTTTAGTGATTGTACCTCTCTCTACTTTGACTAATTGGGATGCTGAATTTGAGAAATGGGCACCTGCTTTGAGAAAAGTTGCTTACAAGGGTCCCCCAAATGAAAGAAAAGCTAAGCAAGGAATTATCAAATCTGGTGAATTCGACGTTGTTCTGACTACATTTGAATATATTATCAAGGAGAGATCCGTACTGTCGAAAGTAAAGTGGGTCCATATGATTATTGACGAAGGTCATCGTATGAAAAACACGCAATCAAAGCTATCACTCACGTTGAACACCTATTACCACTCTGATTACAGATTGATTTTGACAGGTACTCCTTTGCAAAATAACTTACCTGAATTATGGGCTTTATTGAACTTTGTTCTACCCAAGATTTTCAACTCCGTTAAATCGTTTGATGAGTGGTTTAACACGCCCTTTGCAAATACAGGAGGCCAAGACAAGATCGCGTTAAGCGAAGAAGAAACTTTGCTAGTGATTCGAAGGCTACACAAGGTTTTGAGACCATTCTTGTTACGCCGTTTGAAAAAAGATGTCGAGAAAGAACTGCCGGACAAGGTCGAAAAGGTTTTAAAATGCAAGATGAGTGCACTCCAACAAAAACTATATCAGCAAATGTTGAAACATCGACGTTTATTCATTGGTGATCAAGCCACTAATAAAATGGTAGGCTTACGTGGCTTCAACAATCAAATAATGCAGCTCAAAAAAATCTGCAATCACCCTTTCGTTTTTGAAGAAGTCGAAGACCAAATAAATCCTTCTAGGGAAACTAATGCTAATATTTGGAGGGTAGCCGGAAAATTTGAGCTTTTGGAAAGAATTCTACCCAAGTTTCAAGCTACGGGTCACCGTATTTTGATTTTTTTTCAAATGACTCAAATTATGGATATCATGGAGGACTTTTTAAGGCTTTTGGGTATGAAATATTTACGTCTTGATGGTCATACCAAATCAGATGATCGAACTCTACTGTTGAACGCTTTCAATGCCCCTCAATCGGAATATTTCTGTTTCCTTTTGTCAACAAGAGCAGGTGGGCTAGGTCTAAACTTACAAACAGCGGATACTGTAATTATTTTCGATACAGATTGGAATCCGCATCAAGATTTGCAAGCTCAAGACAGAGCACATCGAATTGGTCAAAAAAATGAGGTCAGAATTTTACGCTTAATTACTGAAAACTCTGTGGAGGAGGTAATTCTAGAACGTGCCCATAAGAAATTGGATATCGATGGCAAAGTAATTCAAGCGGGTAAATTTGACAACAAATCAACTGCCGAAGAGCAGGAGGCATTATTGCGTTCTTTATTGGAAGCAGAGGAAGAGCAGAAAAAGAAGCGAGAACTAGGTCTCGAAGAGGATGAACAATTAGATGATAATGAGCTGAATGAGATTCTAGCAAGAAATGATGCAGAAATCAAGATATTTGCCGATATTGATGAAGAGAGAAGCAAAAAACATCTCGAAGAAGGGATCACTACTAGTTTAATGGAAACATCTGAATTGCCAGACTTTTATCACCAAGACATTGAGGCAGAGATTGAAAAGGAAGAAAGCGAGGCTGTTATTGCTGGTGGAAGAGGCACGAGAGAACGGAGAAGTGCTCAGTATGGGGATGATTTGTCAGAAGAACAGTGGTTAAAGCAGTTCGAGGTTAGCGATGAGGAAGACGATGAAGATGTCGACGTCAGGAAGAGAAAGGCGGGCAAAACTCGAGGCAAGTCAAAGAAAGTTAAGATAGACCCTGAGGCAGATCCTTCCGGTGAATCCATCGACACTTTGAAAGCTGAAAACGATAATGCAAATGATGCGGTAATTCCGTCGGGTCGAACTTCGATGAAGTCAACGAAAAGCATCAAGAGCAAAGCTCGCGGAAAATTACGTGCGTCTAAAGAGCGATCTGGTGTGAAAGCGAAAAACGGGAGAAATTATAATCGTGATCCGGGAAGTACCACTCAACCGGTGGATATTAGGAAAGACGTGGCCACAAAAGCCAAAGAACTATACGATTATGCTGTGAATTACAGAAACGAGGATGAACGAAGGTTGGCTGACATTTTCCTTATCAAACCATCGAGAAAATTGTACCCTGATTACTATTTGTTAATTAAGTACCCTGTGGCCTTCGAGACTGTAACCAAACATATTGAAAGTTTGGCGTACGACAACCTGAAACAAGTTTTGGAGGACTTTCATCTAATTTTTTCAAATGCTAGAATATACAACACCGAGGGCTCTATAATTTATCATGACTCGATTGAATTAGAGGGTGCTGTCACCGAGAAATATAAAGAGATGACTGGAGATACCGCTGACGTTGATTTCACTGAGTTTGATGAACTTCATGCAAGTCAACCTCTGGTTCCCCTCTCAAGTGGCATTGAAACGTCAAACGATCCTACGCCTACACCGCAATCAGAATGATATCGTCACAAAAGCATGGGGAACCATACTGATAGTATATTTTTTCGTATACTTTAATTCAAGCGACAACCGGCCATAGCAAAATTTTAGCAAGAGTCGGTGGAGTGTGCATAATTTTTTGAAGATATTTATGTTACTGCCAAGAATTCGGATAAATCATAAATAGCCCGACTAGTTTTAATATAATGTTGAAGTAGTAATAAGAACGACGTTAAGACCAGAGGTACTGGCGATGTTTAAACACAAAAAGCAAGAACCATATAAGGTTTTCTGCATCCAAGGATAAGTGAAACTGCTTTCACAACTACTATGAGGTTATTAGTTCATCAGCTCTCCGCCGTTTGAGCTCCATGATGGGCTGCTATTTCGTATTTAATTACGGAATTCTCGATTATAATGAAATGAGAACTGAATCACTACCGTCAACTTTCTCTTTCTTCTAGTCAACCCTATAGTATTGTTATGAGATTTTAATATTCGTAGCTACAGATTGGAGGCTATTAGAGAACCTCCCTATCTCTGAGGCTTTCTCTATTATTTCAGAATTGCCTAATATTACTATTTCCTGACAATTGACTTGTTTCAAAAAGTCTCTCAAAGAGTTTCATTAATTGTAGTGTGACCGTAAGGTTACAAGCTTCTATGGCCAAGTTGGTAAGGCGCCACACTAGTAATGTGGAGATCATCAGTTCGACTCTGGTTGGAAGCATATTTTTAAATGCTTATTCTTTTTAAGTGCTTTAAATTTATGTATCAATACTATCAATATTAGATAAAAGAGACGCACGATCAATGAGTTCAACCACGGTAAATGTGGTATGGGGAAGCTTGGTTTGATGCAAACACCAAAACGTCTGCAATAACAGTGTTTGGCTTTCTGGAAGTAGCGTAGACGATTAGATCAGCAATGTCGTCAGCATAGAGGGGAGTAGTACCCTCGTAAACCTTCTTGGCACGCTCGCTGTCACCCTTATATCTAACCAATGAGAATTCAGTCTCTACATTTCCTGGTGCAATTTCTATAACACGAATGTTGGTGTTTATCAACTCTTTGCGCAAACTTTGAGTGAAGGCTCTGACGGCATGCTTCGTAGCACAGTATATAGCACCTGTTGGGTAGGCTTCTCTTCCAGCCACTGAACCCAAATTCACAATGTCACCAGAGTTTTTGGCTTTGAAGATTGGCAAGACTGCTTGTGTCACATTAATCAGACCCAAAACGTTGGTATTCATCATACCTTCAATATCCGTAGGGTTAATATTACCTACGGGATCCGATCCGAGAGCTTTTCCTGCGTTGTTAATCAATATGTCGATATCTTTGAACTCTTCTGGCAAACTCTTCAAGAAAATTGGAATCTTTTCAGTTTCGGTCACATCTAGCTTTCCGATATAGACTTGGGCTTCCGGATACTCCTTGTTAATTTTTGACTTCAATTCCTCGAGCTTTTCCAATCTTCTTGCTGCAAGAATTAATTTGATTTTGCCATTGGAGGCATCGCAATATTCTAAGGCAGTTGCCTGACCAATCCCCGCAGAGGCCCCAGTTATAAAAATGGTCTTACCAGCAAGTCTTTCCGCTGCTTTTCTACCTTGTGACATTGTATAGTTATTCAATTGATGTTGCAATTGGGCTAACGAGATAAAAAGAACGTGCTAAATTGAGGATAAGCAATCGCTTCCCTTTTTATATTTTTTTTCCTTCGGATAACTCTTATCGCAGAATCCAGCCAGGATGCCGATCGCCGAACGCCAACGGAAAAGCTAAATTCCAGAAACCTTGAATGCAAGCAAAAGCATAAGCGCTACCTTTTCGCGATCAAGCGCAAATTGATCAAGTAGATGCTATTGAATGGACGCAAATTGTATGCTACCTGTTATGAATATATTCAAACTGCAGAAATCAAGGAGATCCGCTTCGTAGTAAGCATGTGTCCATAATTGCCGTACATAATTGCTATTCTCCCTTAAGTGATTCTTCAATCTCTACAATCTTTAGCTGAGAGTAAGCCGACACTATATCACCCATTCTCGAGAAGAGTCATGGTGACTTCTCACGATTAACTTCCGGTAGTGACTCAGGAAATTAATTTGACTTGGCAGAGCACGCAACCATATGTAAATAACGAAGAAGTTTACGTTATCGTACGCATGTCAAACTTTGATGATGAATGACAATGAATAGACAAACGAGGTTCTTTTATCAATTTAAGAAATGCTCGATCATAAAAGACAGGAAAGACCTTAGCTCAGCAGATGCTTTAGCTTATACAGAGGTGAAAGGGCAAACTAAATGTCAGCGTAGGATTTCAACCCTTCTGTTTCTTATCTTGAATTTGCGCGATGCAGGAAGAAGTCAAAAAGTGTTCTGATGAAACTATCGACTTTTTTCATGATCAATAGTTAAGGTTGTCAATGTTGTCGCAGTGATAACACTGATCCTCTCTTGTGAAAAAAATTGGACACAACCGGAGTCGAACCGATGACCTCTTACATGCAAAGCAAGCGCGCTACCAACTGCGCCATGTGCCCAGAACTTGAAAATTTAGTGGAAAATACATGAATCTATGGACAGCTTTTATGAATTAACGCTAGTCCATCCTGTTTTAAATGCGATCAATTAGTATGATCAGTCGCGATCATAATTCATTCTAATTTAAATTTATGTGTTAGTTTGATCCTAGAAATGTGAATACGAACCATATTCTAGAGAACTGAGTTGATGAGGTGCAATTCAATTACCATTTTTGAGAGAACAGCAAAAATACACATTATAACATATCTTCAAATACTATCAACTAAATACCAAAATAAACCCATTATCCTTGTTGAAGGTATTCTAAATTGGTACCTTAATGTAAATTTTGGATATTCTCTAAAAGAGAAGATGTTAGAAGCAGGTGAGACCATTTTCTTCTTCCCCGTTTAGGCATAATCCATTTTTATCGTGCTTATACTTGTTCATCGGAACAAAACAAGATTCCTGATTTACAGTTCATACCGTATTCACCGCAAGCGATTGGAGAGTTTGGTACTGATCAAAGGAGATCTCACTTTTGTTACCTTCATACCTGATTACTTCTATGAAGAAATCCTGAAAATTGTCGATGACCGAATCAACCTGTTCATAACACCCTGCTTTTTCAATCAAATTTGCAAAAGTCTCTTTTTTGTTCCAACCTTGTTCTGGCATAACCTCAGGTAAAAATGTCGCACTCAATATCGTTGAAGTTTGGGGGTCTTTGAAGCGAAGTTCAATGCCATGGACACCAATATCCCAATCGTAAATATCCCCTTTCTGGTCGGAGCCACTATAAATTACTTTGAAGTTTTGCAAAATATTGCAGCTACATTTCAAACTGCTGATTTCACTCGGTGCAATTGGGGGGAAACGGTGGTCTTCCAAAGCTGCAATGAGAGAATACCTTTCAATACCCTCAAGCAAGGGTATTTTAGCAAAGGTTCCTATGCAACCACGTAACTGATAGTGTTCAGGACTCTTAGCAGTGCGTTTCTTCCAAGTTATAAAAAGTGACTTTTTATTCTGCAATTCTGAGGGATCAACATGATATTTAGGGAAGATACGCTGTTTTATCGCCTCAAATGTCAATTTGGGTGCTGCAGTTCCATAGAAATGTTTGTATAACTGGTAAAAAGCGTAGAACACAAATGGCGAGCTTTTGATTTCTTCTGGCATAATTTTGGCTGAAGGACTAATTCCATTCAAACTATAGAATTTCTCCCTCCCTTTGCAAGCATCATTTATTTTCATGTCACCCTTTGATAATTCCGTCTTGGATGAGCCAGATTCCTTCCAGAATATTGAAGCTAAATTATCAGCATTCACCGAATACTTACTTTGCAGTGACAACAATTACAAATGAATATAAAAGGCTTTTTTTGGCTACTATTCTGGGTCTCGTTAGTAAATGGTCAAAGTTTTTATGAGAAGTCGCCACACATAATCGAACTTACTCCAAAAACATTCAGGAAGGTGATTCATGAAACAAATTACACGACACTAGTGGAATTCTACGCACCATGGTGTGGCCATTGCCAACAACTGAAAGGAATCATGGAAAGAGTTGCCCGGAACTTAGATGGGATTGTTCAGGTGGCTTCTGTGAACTGTGACTTAGCGAAGAACAAGCAATTGTGTGCTCAACACAGAATACAGGGATTTCCCACATTAATGGTTTTTCGACCACCTAAAGTTGACCTGAATAAGGCTCCCGAAGATGCAATCAGGTTAGGAAACCATGCCAGTGAAATTTACAAAGGTGAGCGGAAGTTGAGAGCCATTGCTGACTTTAGTGTCTCGAGAGTTAAAAACTACGTGCGGAGGATTTCAAAGGTTAACACCCTTATTGATATTCTTCAAAAAGAGCAATCTAGATACTCTGCTGTCTTGTTTGCCAAGAAAGACAAAATATCCCCACTCTTTAAGAGTCTCGCGTTGGACTGGTTGGGCACGATTGATTTCTACACGATTCCCATTTCTAAACTTGATGCGAAAGCGCAGGTTTCATCTACCAACGCCTCTAACATCACATCATTTGTGCAAAAGTTCAGTGAATTGGAGCATAAAGAAGATAAGAGCGTGTTGGTTCTTTTCGACAACAAGGAGGACAGATACTACATTTTTGAGGATAAACTGCTGAATAAGCTTGATATTGCTATGTTCCTGTCACAATTTGCAGAACCTACGGAAGGACCACTTACAAAACGGCAGGAATTCATAGATTCCCTCAAGCAAAGCAAAAAAAGTTCCAAAAAACGTTCCACTGGTAGGAATTCTAAAATTGAACATGATGAATTGTAGCTAGAAGTGTTTATAATTCACATAATTAGTTAAGACTTACCCGGACATCGATATTTGGCACTTTTTCAAGAAAGTTGGAATATGGAATAGAAGTACTCGAGTAATCTCCAAAGTCCTGTAGCAAATCCTATTATCCGTGCATTCCACAGTATTACGATGATTACAAAGTTCTTTACAAAAGTTGTTGTGAAGTTCAACCCATTCGGAAAGGAGGGTATGTCGTCCATCAAAAACTATCATAGAAATACAAAAGGGCATTGATACTAACACTTCTCCAAGCAAAAACAGCTAGACTTTTTCTTAGCTCGATCCCACCAACTCAAAGGGTAGGTGGCACTTCGATACAGAACGTAATACTATCTGGAAATTCCACTGAAAAACCCGTTGTCAAGGTTTTTTTCAAAGATAAGTCTGAAATGGAGATAGATCCCAGCACAGTCACATTCAAAGAGATAGGGAACTTTTTTGATCGTCATTCGAGGAAGTTACACTTGAAAGAAAGTATCGAGTCCCAATAATAGGCATGACTTGAATTTCACACATGACATATGTTTTCAATGAAAAGCACAAACATTACGTAGCTCCTGTAAATAAATGCTTATAAGCTATAATAGGGATTTTTTCAATGGCCAAAAGATCAACTGTTACACTCAAAACAATTCGAAGGACCTTCTACGAGGGAAGCATTGATGTTTCCAATGTTTCCAATCACGTTTTTGACTAAAAAAAGTAATTATTCTAACTACAAGAAAAAAAAAAATAGCCGATGAGATGAGAAGAAACAGGCTTTAGTATAGAAACCAATGTCGTACTATTATAAAAACTTACGAGCTCAATACGATACTGAAGACAATTCAGATGAAAATGAATACATGAAAATGGCGATACAAAAGGACAAACAATCCCAAGAAGATTCGAGCGAAGACGAAATGCAGTCAATATCCTTCGGTGCTTTGAAGAGGGCAGAAGCACAGTTAGAAGGTGAGGATCGGGGCAATAATGCCAGAAAGAGAACTTCAAGGAATAAGCGAGATGCGAAATACCTTAATTCGACTGACGAGCGCCCAAATGTAAATTCTAGGAAGGAACAACCCCAACCAAAGATGTTCACTGAAGAATCATTTGACGAGAGTTCAAGCGACTCATCTTCCGGTAGCGAGGGGCTTTTTGAAGAAGAAGAAGAAGAAGCACACGCTAAAAGTCGAAGATCGAAGGAATCGAAATCAAGAAAGAAGCGCAAACATGCTCCAAGAGAGGTCTCCTCAAAGAAAGCAGTTTCAAAAGTAAGACGTATTCCAGGCTTGGAGACACCGAAGAACATGAACTCCAATCTTTATCAAGATATTCGTTTTGACAAGTCACTGGGGAAATCAGAGAGTTATGAGGAAATACGTAAACGTTACAAATTTCTCGATGAATATAGGCAGCGTGAAATTGAGGAAATGAGTGGGATGCTGAAAGATCGGAAGTTTCTAAGCAAAATTGGTGATCGGGAAAGGGATGAAATGGAGCAAAATCTCCGCAGTGCAAAATCAAGGCTCCAATCCCTTCAAAACAGAGATTTAGAGCGTCAAATTGTCAAAGATTATGAGGGAAAGATTAATGAAGGCAATAAGGGCAAATATCACTTGAAGGACTCTGAAAAACGGAAGGTCATTCAGAAATGGAAGTTTGACCACATGAAAGCTAAACAGAGAGAGAAGGTCATGGAGAGGAAGCGTAAAAAGAGACTTGGTAAAGAGTTTAAACAGTTCGAATTTCACAGCAGATAGAACTATGTACATAAGGAATATAACACAATATTGCATAAGAGGTAGGAACTATTTACATGAGAGAGGATAATTGAAACATCTACGACTTATTACCGCTCTTCTCCAACCACTCGTTCATTGAACCTGGGTATATACCAGTGTTTTCATAACCATAAGATCTTGCCAGTTCCTCGGCTGCTTTCGCCCTAACACCAGCAGCGCAAAAGAAGATCAACTCCTTATCAGTACTAGGCTTTTTGAAATGGAAAACATCCTCAAATTCCTCTGGCTTCAAACTGAGAGCACCGGGCGCCGTTTTCAATGGTAAATTGATAGCAGTTGGTAGAGCATGTTGTTTAACCTCGTTGGGCTCTCGGACGTCGACGAGAATTTTAGAGGGGTTAGGCTTTTGAATAAGGGATTTGACATCTTCAAAGTGGTAAATTTTAGGAACCTTTGTAGACAACATCCGTGTTGATACACCAGCAAGACGTGATGCGTTAAAGGCAGACTTAAGCATGGTGCTTTGTTTTGCTGAAATATATTTTCGTATAGACTTGAAATTTTCTTTCGAATATTGGGCCTTTATAGATCGTAACTTGCAAAAAACCATAAATTTGAGTCACAGATGTGAAGCTCCAAACATGGTTACAAATTTGTATTTAACGAAAAGCTTGGTTAGTTCCAAACATGATGCTAGGTTGAGATTAATCATTACCAAATAATTCGCGACAGACCATCTCGATTACCTTCAAGGAGACATAAAAGCTGAATGTCCGACATATTATGAATGAACTTAAAACTCCACAGCTTCAAGCTAGCATGAATGACACTTGAAATACTACATTTCAAAATTATACAGCCGTAAGCCGCATCTTAGCAGCCAGAACACTAACATATTTCTACCGATTTATGATAAATTTATTCAGCTTAGCAATGCGATCATATAGAGTAGGGTGATGAACTCTGAAGAAGAAGTGGTTCCAATATGATACTCGCATTTACTTTAATAAACAACTTTTCTGACACGAATTTTTCAACGCTACAAACAGCTATCAAAGTTGATAACTTACTCCGTGAATTTCCACTCCAAATTTTAAAGTCTCCTTTAGATAAGCCATTCCAACTCAGAAACTTCAAAAAGGGCTAATTTAAAATGTACTACTTTAAAGTTTTCAGCTTTTACATCAGCATTTGAATTAGCAAGGAAGACAGGCTGAAAGGAAAGAGAATCAATAGCTATAGTCAGCACTCACTTAAGAATAACGTTCACGTACCGATTTCAAGTAGAAAAAACTTACGAATATAAAATACTGCTATATCAAGCCGTGAAACTTGTTACGCATCACACAATCTGCATAATAACGCAAATATTCGATAACACTGTCATCATTCAGTTCAATCTGAGTCTTCTCTAGAAATCCAATCCTTCCAAGACCCCGGATAAACACTTGTATTAAAATACCCAGCTTCTTGGGCCTCATTACGGGCATTATTTGCTCTAAACCCCGAAGCACAATAAAATATCAATTCTTTGTCAGTAGAAGGCTTTCCGAACCCAAACTTTTGCATGAACTCCTGAGGATTCAAACTCAACGCTTTGGGTGTACTTCTATAAGGCATATTAACAGCTCCAGGAATGAACCCTTCATGATACTCATCTTTTTCTCTCACGTCAACGAGAACTCTCGAAGAATCAGGGGTTGCAACAAGCTGTTTTACGTCTTCGTAATTATACTCTCTAATGCTTTCGCTCTGGGAAGCATCTCCATTTAGTGCATTCACAATTGCTTTCCACATGCCTCGTTAATAGCCAGTAACCCGAGCTTTCGAGGCGAATTCACTACTGTGTGATGTTTGACAGTATTCCGATATTTTGAAGTCAAAATAAAAACCAAGGTGAAAACCTATCATCGATCAGAACATCAGAAAGGGAAAACTTGGAAAATTTTAGATTCACCTGTCATAGCCTATGAGTTAATATCCAGATATAGAAAACTTCCAGTAATTTGGGCAGATCCGTAATTATCACTGTAACACCTTTTGAATTATATAAGTGTCTATCTAATCAGAGGTCTAATTCAATTCATAGCGTACACACCTCACCACCGGTAGGCGTGTTGAACTTATTGTTGGAAGTAGGTTTGTGTAGCTAAAGGGCTTTACCGAGAGAGGTGATACTGATTCTAGCCTGTAAAACGAAAGAAAGAAGTACTATATTTGCCACCTTTAAAGTGAAAATAATTTTAACGCAGTCTTAGATCACTGACAATAAATTCACCCTCACCGAGGTGCTGCGTGTTACCTACACGTTGAACTTGATATTCTTTTTCATCCTTGATGAAGTCGATAACGGTAACAGATGTGTTGTACACAATAATCTTGGTGATATCCAGATCAGTATATTCCAACCATTTCAAGAGTTGCCTGATAGAGCCCCCATGACTAATTAAGGCGATATTCTTCATATCAGAAGATTTTTCGACAATTTTGGCGACTGTGCCAGTAAATCTTTCTTCAAAAGCATCTGCCTTCTCACCAAATTCGCGAAAAGATGTCTTACCATGTTTAGCAGCATATTCTTCTGCATCTTTTAGATACATACCTTGAATGACACCCATTGAACGTTCTCTTAGCCCAGCATCAACATCTATTTCTGGTTTGGAACTGTAACTTTTCAAAATCTCTGCCAGAGTTTGCTGGCACCTTTTCAAGTCACTTGTGTACACCTTATCGAATACAATATCTCTATCTTCTCTCAAATACTTGCCTAATTTTTGAGCCTGGTCAATGCCAACGTCATTAAGATCGGTATCTAGATGCCCTTGTAAAATCTTCTTAGAGTTTTCTGCTGTCTGACCGTGCCTAATCACAAAAATACGCAATACACCTGGGTCAGAGTTCGTAGAGTAGTTTGGAATGTCCTTTGTCATTTTTAGTTACGTGCTTGTGTGCGGTTCACAGCGGTTCGTAAATTACTAGCGTGGAGTGATGATCAACTTTTTCGAGGGAAATTAATTATCTTCCTCATTCAAGAATTGAAAGAAATTAGAGTGGGGAATGGACGAGCTCCCAGGACCCGACACATTACGAATCTTGATTACCTCAGATAATCATGTAGGGTATAATGAAAATGATCCTATTACAGGAAATGACTCCTGGAAAACATTTCGCGAGGTAATGATGATCGCCAAAGAAAAGAATGTAGACATGGTCTTGCAGGGCGGCGATTTATTTCATGTCAACAAACCTTCTAAAAAGTCAATGTTCCAAGTAATGAGCACACTGAGATCTACATGCATGGGGGACAAACCCTGTGAGCTTGAGCTTTTGAGCGATCCGTCTATGGTGTTTCAATATGGTGAATTCACTAATATCAATTATGAGGATCCAAACTTCAACATATCGATTCCCGTTTTCTGTATCTCTGGCAATCATGACGATTCTTCTGGCGATGCCCTTTTGAGCCCTATGGATATTTTACAGGTTAGTGGATTGGTCAACCATTTAGGAAAAGTGATGGAGAGTGACAATATCGAAGTAACCCCACTCCTTTTTCAAAAAGGTAACACCAAATTAGCACTATATGGTTTAGCTTCTGTTAGAGATGAAAGACTATTTAGAACATTCAAGGAGGGGAATGTCAAGTTTAATGTACCAGCTATGCGTGAAGGAGAATGGTTCAACTTGATGTGCGTTCATCAAAACCACACCGGCCACACAAATACTGCCTTTTTACCAGAACAGTTTTTGCCTGATTTCTTAGACTTGATAGTGTGGGGTCATGAACATGAATGCATTCCACATTTAGTTCACAACCCGACGAAGGGATTTGATGTATTGCAGCCCGGTTCTACTGTTGCTACATCTTTATGCGAGGCAGAATCGAAACCCAAACAAACTTTCATATTAGATTATGAGCATGGAAAGCCTCCACGTTTTTATCCTATTCCTTTAAAAACCGTGAGACCATTCATTATGGAAGATATTTCTCTCCAAGAAGTGGTTGAATTGAAGCCACATGACAAAGAGGCTACTACAAGATACCTAATAGAAAAGGTAGAGGAAATGATCGCTAGCTGTTCGAATTCAACCGGAATCCATGAACAACAACCTGAACATGAAGAAGAATCAACATCTAGAATGTTACCTTTAATTCGGCTGAGAGTAGATTACAGTGGAAAGGGAAACAGCAGCATGGACTATCAAGTGGAGAATCCAAGAAGGTTCAGTAACAGATTTGTTGGACGAATCGCCAATACAAATAATGTGGTACAGTACTATAAGAAGAAAAAACAGTCAACGTCTAAAAAAGAAAAGAAAACAGCTGATATGGAGTCAGCTATGAACGATAAAGATGGTGATCTTGAGGTGCAAACCCTTGTAAATGACATGTTGCAGTCAATGAATCTTTCGCTGTTGCCTGAAGTTGGGATGAATGAAGCTGTAAGCAAGTTTGTTGATAAGGACGAAAAAAGTGCTTTGAAAGAATTCATAGATAACGAGATCAAGAATGAAGTTAGTATTTTGGCTTCAAACGCAGATTTAGTGCAGGATGGAGATGTCAATGACATTAAGAAACTTGTGAAGGAGGTTAGAATTGCAAACTCACAAAGAAGAACTGACCGAATCAATCAACAAGAAGCCGCTGCTGCTTTAGACGTAATGATGACTGTCGACAGAGATATTGAAGAAGGTGAAAATAATCTGAACAGTTTACCAGAGCGAACGACAAGAGGTTCAGTGCCCAAAAGAACGTCTCGGAAACGCTCGTCGAACAAGAAACCAGTAAGCCCCGAAATAATAGAATCTGAAGACGAGGAATTTGTCCCATCTCCCATCTCAGTTGATGATGATGATGTAGAAATTAATGACAAGCCAGAGCAAACCAAAGCCGAAAGAAACCAACATGGAATTGACGATGGAAAAATTGAAGTTCAGTCAACAGGCAGGAGGAAAACAAAAGCAACAAAGGCAGTAAGAAAAACCAGCACGAAGACACCTAAAACGGATATTTTGAATAGCTTGCTAGCTAAGAAACGTCGTTAACAACAATGTACACGTGACCATTTAGTGGAATATCAGTATTAGAATTCTCCACTCAAAAATTTGCATAATAATAACTAGATTAATACCTTAGAACTCTAAATAGACAATGAACGAACCTCTATTTAAAGTCGATGTCGATGAGACTGAAGATACCGAATGGAACGATATTTTAAGACAACATGGCGTTATTCCTGAAAGGCCACCGTCTCCAACTGCCCAACTTGAAGAAGCTTTGGAGCAAGCATTAGCTAAACAACATGAAAATCGACTAGAGGATAAAGATCTTTCTGATTTAGAGGCATTAGAAGATGAAGAAGATGAAGAATTTTTGGACTTTTATCGCCGGAAACGTATGGCTGAAATACAAAAGATGCAACAACGTTCAAAATTTGGCCAAGTTTATCACATTAACAAGCCGGAGTATAACAAGGAGATCACTGAATGCAGTATGGGTGACACCAAGTCGATGCAAGGTGAAGATGATATCAAAAAAGGTGTCTACGTCTTTGTCCACATGTCCCTTCAAAGCAAACTACAGAGTAGACTTCTAGATAGTATATTTGTGCGAGCTGCCAAAAGATATCCGGAAATAAAATTCGTTGATATTCCAGCCAGTAGAGCTATTGAAAATTACCCTGAGAGTAACTGTCCCACTTTGATTGTGTATTATCGCGGGGAAGTTCTGAAGAACCTGATCACTCTTCTAGAACTGGGAGGAAACGACACTACCTTAGATGATCTTGAAAATCTCATGGTCAAAGTCGGCGCTGTTGATGAGAAAGACAGCCGATTAACCATGAATCAAGATGACGACGAAACTAGGGAGGAGAGACAAGCAAAGTATTCTAAGAAAGGTATAAGGTGTGGGATTGATGGGAAGTTCAATCTAGGCATTGGGGACAGAATCTCAAGCGATGACGAAGATTTTTTCGATTAAATCAGTGTAACTTTCTGCATGATGGTAAAGACTGATAAGATAAGATGCTATATACTAATTAATGTTCAATGAACATGACGGATGACATAAAAAAGTAGGTATGCCTGTTGCTTTAGAACATCCTCCTCAGATATAGTCACGACCATTGAGTCATTAAATTTAAACCATTGCCCGCCTGGTATTTTGCACATAGAAGTATAGTGCCCTTGATTAACAGAGCCTTCGTGAGATATAACGGCAATCAACTCATAAACCACATCCGGTACCCTAGTTTCTTCTACTGCATGCAAAAAAGGACTCATATTGAGATATATTGGAAACTCTACACTATCGTTGATTTTTATACTGTTTCCGTTCATCAGATGCTCAAACCTCTTTAGTTGTAGGACTAGGACAGGGGGCAGTTTAGCTATGGTCAATTGCTTTATAGGATTATGTGTGGAACCACATTTATGGCAATTGTAATTGAAATCTGTCAATTGCTCTCCCTTGTGAAAACTCTTCAAACATTCACTCAAAGTCCTCTTGTTTTTGATGTTCAAGGATAAGTCCATCATAGGGTCAAACGTAGTCTTGCCATCATCACGGCAATCTGAACAATAAATAGAGCTTCGTAGACAACCTTCAAATGAGGAATGAGCGATGCATTTACACTGCAGTACCTTTGTGGTATTCTTTCCAGTAGTCCGCACGTAGTCCGCATGCAACTGATTGAGAAAGAATTGCCAAAATTCATGGGCGTCCTGCTGCGAGTAGCCAGCCAAATTTTTATTGATCTTCCAAGAACAAGTAAGCATGTCGATAAAGCCTTGCTGCTGCGCCGCACTATCGTCACTTGAGGGTGTTCCATAAAAATTTTGAATGATTTGATCCAACGCGCATGAAATGCAGGATGAACTACCTTGCAAATCACATTTAATGGCATGTTCTTGGTCCATAAAGTGTTTGAGGATATATGGATTATGAACTAGTGTTTGGATGATACTACTCATGAAACACGTCGATCCCATGTTTACCAATCCACATAACCCATCTCTTCTATCCACAAACGGAATTTCACTCTTGATGGAGACGTCATCCCAATATTTCATGAGCATAGAATTAATCAGCATCTCATTTTCACCGATATAGTCGTTGCATTTGAAACAGAACAATAGACTATTACTAGAATTAATGCCAAAGATATGGCCCACCTTCTTACTATGCATTTTAAAATGCTGCTTGTTCCAGCAGCCACATATTCCACATTGCAGACACATGAATGTAGAGCCGCAATTAATTTCGAAGCATTCTGAACATCTCATCGAGTGCAAGAGTCTATTCTTGTAGTCACTATGATTCACAATGAATCGAATCATATTGCAGGTCTTTAGAACGCCATCACGAGTTTTTTCGTTTTGAAAAACCTGATTTATATGCTGGCAAACCATCGTAATTGATATTGATGAAATATACCAGCGGCTGCCAGTGTCTACCGCTTGGTCTGGCAATTGTCTTTATCAGCGCTCAAGCAAGATATTTTTTTTGGACTTATTTTAATCCACAATTAAAATATTACGTCTTTCAAAAAAAAACCCTGAATAGTTCATTCACAGGAAAGCCTAAGACATACTTATTTATGTAAAACCAGAGCTTAACGAATAGAGCCCAATGCGAAGCCACCAAGTATAACTATTGTGTCCGTTTATGTTTTCTTATCTCTAAATTCAGATAAGGCGCATAACCTACGAACTCATGACGGAAGTGAGCCTTACACTACTACTTTTCTGCCCGCTTTTTCTCTCCGTCTATTTTCACATCCACCTAAATCACTGGATTGGTACTTTCGGACATTGGGCAAAGGACGGTGTCAGAGGGGAGCGCTATTAACTAATAGTTTATGACACTGTTGGGATTTTCACTTGAAGAATATCTTCAAATATTCCTCTACTTCTGTAGAGATATTCGGATAGCAGCTAATTCAACGGCTGCTTTCTCCTTATCATTTCTTAGCCTTGATGAATTATAGCTAGGTAAAAAGCCGAGGTCCTACTTGAACTGCTATGATGACTTGCGACGAAAAAACAACTGTGGTAGAGAATCGCATAGGAAACTGTACATCTTTTTCAAATCTCTCTGCTGTCGCCAGTTTTGTTTCTTTTAACAGATCCTTGATAAATAACAGATCCGATCACATATGTACTATCAACCGTTTCAGCTTCCACTTTGAGTTCCAATAATTAAGAGTAGTAGCTTAAGCTTAGATATGCATTCTTAAACTGCAGCACCGTCAGTTGGATTATTTTTTCTTATCTACGAACAAATTAACTTCTTTGTTTGCATCACTAGTCTTATTAACGTTAGTTTAATCGCACACTAATGTTACGCCCACACAACGATATGTAGTATTAACATATAAATGCAACATATAACACTTGAGTTTCTTGTCAATATATAGAAGCTAATAGGAGTTCTTCATCAATGAACTCGTTGTCAATTAGCAACTAAAATGCCAATGTGGAGAAGTATTATGTTAAAGCAGCTTCCCGTAGGTTTTACTCAATACATTTTAAGGAATTGTGTATTTTTTGTTTCAATTGGGCCAAGAGCTGAGGGTATTGGGTCTGGAGAATTAGCAACCATATCACACAAGCTTAATTTACTTAGGCTCAATATGATTAAGCAATATAATGTTGCTAGTCCTAGCTTTACACGAATTATAGGTCTTCGATATCACTTTATGTGTGCCAACCCGAAAATATATATATCGTGTGAATTGAAGATATCGAAAAGTTAACAGTGAATCCGTCAAGCGATCTGAAAAAGAATACTTAGAATTTGAGATCTGAAGGAAAAACATGTCAAAAAAGGTCCTCATGCTTCATGGCTATGCCCAATCAGACTCTATCTTCTATGGAAAGACTGGGGGCTTCCGTAAGAACCTATCTAAGTTGGGTTACGAGCTTTATTATCCGTGCGCTCCGGCTAAGGTCCCAGGCGTTGATATCTCGAACGAAGACGACTTCGCTTCTGTTTACAATACTACTGCTGGCACAAGCGACATCTACGGGTGGTGGCTGAAGCACCCAGATGATCAATACAAAGTGCCTCAGGAAACCGCCGATTATCTGCGCGACTATATTATCGAAAACGGGCCTTTTCATGGCATAGTGGGATTTAGTCAGGGTGCTGGATATGGCGGATATCTTTGTACTGATATTCGTGGTTTACTTAACCTGTCTTTGGACGAGCAACCAGATTTAGAGTTTTTTATTAGCTTCAGCGGATTTCGCTTACAACCAGAGTGGTTTCAAGAACAATATGATAAACACGAGATTACAGTACCTTCTCTACACGTTCAGGGTGAACTAGATACAGTCGTTGAAGAGCAAAGAGTATTAAGCCTATACAATTCGTGCTCTAATGACACGAAAACTATGCTCAAGCATCCTGGGGGACATTTCGTTCCCAACAGCAAGTCTTTTGTCAACAAGGTAATTAACTGGTTACAGGTAGTTGCCAAGCCAGAAACAGAACAGATTAAGGACGGGCCTAGTCAACCCAAGTCTTTTAACGAGCCACAATTGGATGATGATTTATTGAGCGTTATCGATGGTATGGGAAAGATTTAACATTCCTCAAACGAAGCTCAATCCCTTATTCTATATAATTTTTCCTCGATAGATAGACAGAATAGATAGGCACGCTTTTTTCAACTCGGTTTACTGGATAACGAGCGCTCGCACATCTCCGAGAAATCATGAGGTGACATATGCACGTAAAGTCGAATCAATCTTCATTGCCAACCTCTGAAGAGAGCATCTATATCCTTTTATTCCTTGGCTGGCATTTTCCAGTTCTCTGCGTGAGATAAAATATTACGTAGTACCCCTGTAATCGGCGATAACGATATTACTTAAAAAGGCACAGCTTCACAAAGAAGTTGTATCAATATTTGTAACTCTTTGAAAAAGGACAGCCAATATTTTTCCGACAAGTTTAAGGAAGTAAGAAGAATGGCAAAGGTTTCTATACAGCTAATTCAAGTAACTTGCGCCATTGTTTGGTGTCTTTTGGCAGCAGGTCCTATATTTGGTTTTGCTGCCCTTAAGCCTATTTTGATAAGTGAAGGCGTGTATGGTGAACTTTGCACACCAAACAACGATCCAATTCTGAGTATTACAGCGGGTAGAGATGCTCTCATGGCAGGGAAGGCCCCCAAACCATGTACCGCACAAGACTTGAAATTAAATTTAATGTTTACTGTTGGTGCAGGTACTACAAATGTGGTCGCTCTTTTTGTGGGCTGGATTCTTGACTCCTATGGCCCACGCGTTTGTGGTTTCATTGGTTCTGGATTTTTAACTCTTGGGGCATTGAGTTTGGGTTGGAGCTCGAACATATCCTTATTTGATCCTTACATCGTGGGATATGTCTTGCTCGCGATCGGAGGCCCATTTGTTTTCATTTCGTGCTTCCAGCTAGCAAATAGCTTTCCAAAGAGATCTGGAACTGTTTTGGCAATCATCACTGGTGCTTTCGACACTTCATCGGCTCTTTTCTTCTTTTACCGGGTTGCTTACCAGAATTGGAAGCCTGACTTGACTTTAAAGAAATTCTTCAATTTCTACTTAGTTGTTCCTTTATTCATTTTCCTTTGCCAGCTCTTTATCATGCCCAAAGAGTCCTACAAGACCTTGGGTGCTGTACAAAAGTTAGAAGTCGAGGGGCTTGACGAGAATGGTAATCTTCCAGAAGGAGAAGATGGTTCTCGTATTATTCCAGATGATGATGAAAGGCAATCTTTACTCTCTACAGGGTCGCCAGTCATTCGCCCAGTTCTTTCTTCTACGTCTGGGCGTAAGTCTATATGGGAAAACTACGTCGAAGCTAAATTAGAGAAAAAGACAAAGGGTATATTTGGCGTGATGCACGACTATACGGCCATCGAACAAATAAAGAGTCCATGGTTTTTGTTTATGTTGGTCTTTACAATCATCTGCATGCTGAGAATCAACTATTTTGTTGCTACCGTTAGATCACAAGAAGAATATCTTTTGGGAGATGCGGACGCAGCGTTGAAGATGAACTCGATATTCGATGTAGCCCTGCCACTAGGTGGTGTTGTCGCTATTCCATTCATTGGTTTGGTTCTTGATCATTGCTCAACTTTGACAGCTTTGACGACGGTTGCCTCTATTTCAGTTCTCATCGGTGTTTTGGGTCTTACACGATCTTTTCTGTTGAATTTAATTGGAATCTTAATTTTGGTAGCGTACAGACCATTCTATTATACCGTGGTTTCCGATTACTGTGCCAAAGTGTTTGGATTTGAGACATTTGGTACTGTTTATGGATTATTGATGTGCATCTCGGGTGTGTGCAACATGGGCCAAAGTCTTTTAGACAGGATGACTCACCGTACTTTTAATATGGATCCTACTCCAGTTAACTCTATACTGGTCACAATCACAGTGGTCAGCGCTGGGTGCTTACTTTGGTATGTCAATCGTGAAAGCAAGATAAGAGAGGAGAAAATGAAAATTTTGGAAAGCATTGCAGATCCCAATGACCAGGAACAAACTGCGTATGGCTCTACCTAGATACCGAAATATAGTTATTTATCTTATAAGTTCAAACTATACAGATTTTTCCCAATTTCGTTTTCACACAATGTTCTGAGCTTCATTTTGTTCTCTAGTCAAAAAAACCCGTTGTGACAAAATTTACAAGAAAACTAAGTAAATTAATTGATCAGTGTTAGAGAAAGGGCAAAAGGGCTCCGATAAATGGTCATTTAAAACTTCATGAGTACAGTATCTGAAGAAAAACATTTGTACTCTAATATTCCGGATGGTCCTGCAGTTGGATCAGCGGTTCCTTTATCAGGAGAGAGTCATTTAGGAATAAGTCAAAATGGTTTAAAGCAGCAAAAGGATGCTCTCAGGTTACTTAGGCTTGAGTTTTATGATGAAAATGACTACAAATGTGAGCTTATTAAGAAACGTAGAAGAGAGATTTTGAAAGACTCACAGGAATTAAAGACTAAAATTAAACCGATGGAGTTTGAATCCTATGAGGATTATTATCTTATTCACAATTTTAAGAGAGGAATCTCTGCAAGCGGTAAAGTTGACGTAGACTCACTAAGAACAAGAGCAACTAACGTTTACTATAAGCGGATAAAAAGAGGCAATGTTGATAACCAAGATAAAAACAATGAAGATGATTCTTCAGATAGCGAAGATGATGAATTGAAGGACAAGAGTTTTCGGCCTAATAGAAGAACAACCAGAGCCCAAAAAACTAAGCTCAGAAACGAAAGTAATGTAACAGATACAGGATCCGAAAGTGCTTCATCTGAAAATAGGATTACAAGTAATCGCATTGTCGGTGACATTTCCGTTGACAGCATAATTCCTACTGAATCAAATAATAGTGTGAGAAGATCTTCCAGACTTTCTCAGAGGGAAAAAGAGATTCTGGAAAGGAGGGGAAGGCGCGAATATAAAAGCGGCGTTGATGATAGTTTTGATGATAAGCCTGAAATTTTGGATCTTTACGAGCTCATTGTGGCCAAGATTCCTGAACCAGTTAGGAGGTCTGATTGGGTTTTGCCCTCCAAATATAAATTCATCCCTGAAAAGTTCACACCAGTAAAGCACACCCCAGAACAGGTTAAAATTAATGATCTCATTCACAATGATAGAATTAGAAAAGTGCTAACGAGGTTCAAAGGTGGACTCGCGGGTATCAAGAAAAAAGATTGGGTCACAGTGAAAGCGTCGGAGGAGGATTCGAAATGAATTTAGGGGGGGTTACGGCATAGTTAGTAATGGTCGCTAGTAAGATTTCGAAACTTTTATTATATAAACTATGTCGACTACTCGAGATTGTAGTAATGAGATGGAAGTTCTTCTGCAAGACCAGTGTTTTCTTGACGCAAATTTAACCATGTGACATTCTTAAAGTTGCTGTCTTTTTCTGTCTGGGAAGGTAAGTTCGCATGCTCGGTTGCAATCAACGATATAGCATCGTAACCACCAGCACCAGGAACGACGCCGGTCAGAACTCCTCTCAATTTTAAAGAGTCATCTATGAGTTTGCTTTGAACTGGAGGTTCAATATCAGCACCAGACTCAAGGGTAATTATCCTAAAATTCTCCCTTATTTGATCAACTGCATCCATTATGTTTTTGAAGCACTCGTATGACTTGGGATCTCCTCCCTTTTCCAGAGATTGAATCATACCCTCGTATTTATCAGGTGATTGCTCAAGTAGTTTCGATAGTTCATTGATTCCATCGATAAATCTTAAGTTTCCCTCGTTAATTGCATCGTAGATTTCTTCGCTTCTGGGGGTGTTTTTATTGAACCATTCTTTAACTTTGGCCACTAATTTGGTTGTTTCAGAGCCGCTACTAACATCTCCCATCACTAGCCTCAAGCCTTTAGGTAGGCCTATCGGCTCCGCAGTAATTTTCCAATCAGTTTCATCAATCAAATTGACCAGGGATCCTTGATACTCCGTAGAATTGATCGGTGGGAGTTTATTAATTAAATCAGGGTCAAATCTCCGATATAAAATTGAACCAAAAGTTGCTGCTGCCACGTCAAAGCCACTTCCTACCTTTCCTTGCGCTTGACAATGCGAAACCTGGGCAAGGTTGTGAATTAAATTCAAATCCGCAACCTTGGCGACCGAAATATTCGGTTTGAAGAATGAAACTAAGGCAGTTGTCAATACTGTAACGAGTCCCGCAGACGAACCCAATCCAGTTTTAGGAACTTCGGTGATAGATTTTGTGTGGTATCTAAACTCTTTGTGATAGTTTTTCTTGACCACACTATTTGCCTGAGAATGATAGCCTGCATCTGAATAAATATCAATCATGATATTTGAAGTTTCACTAAGCGAGATCTGAAAGTAAGTGAATATATTGAGCAGGGTCTTCTCAACAAAAGGATTCTTTTTATCGTTCATTTCCGACAGTTTGAAGTTTTGGCTTCCCTTCTCTCCCTTCACTTCATAGTTCCACTCATCTCCATTGAATTGAGAGCTGCGAACAGTAATTTTAATGCCTTCAGGATCTGAAGACTTCACTTCAGTAACTATTGCGTGCATTCTAGATGAGAGTGCTACAACATAGGAAGAATAGCGTGGATCTAGAACCAAGTATCCCCCAACTAAAAGTGCCTTTCCTGGGGCACTGAAAGCCCTGGCATTGACCATTGAAAATCACTTGAGATGTTTTAAAAGTCTTTACAAATATTACCTCCAGCTGTTGTAGATCACTTCCTATCTTCTGGACTTATTTATTTTTTTCAAGCTCATAAACGACGACCGAACAAGGATCTCTGCATCGTATGCGAGGAAATTAATCACTATATATCTTCATCAGACTTACCACCTATATATACGTTTGGTTCTCCCAGATTTACTAACCCTGGGTCTTCTTTTATGCTCTTTCAGACGGCGTGACCCTCGGGTGGCACTTGTGAGATAATCCATCAAATCACCGGTAACTCGAGATCTTTTGGTGAAACGATCCTGTTGCACATTTATTTTTTTAGATTTAGAAGCCCTATCCGATAAATTCTCCTTAACCAACCACCCTCCCATGCGATCCGTTTTTCCTGTAGTGGTAGAGCTGTTTTCCTCTTCCACTGAAAGGCTTTCCGTATCAGTTCTTAGAACGACATCCTGTTCAACTTTTCCCAAGCCTTCCACCTCATTATCCGCGTAGCTGTCAAAATGACTTTCTGAGTCTTTTAACAGGAGGGAATTTTTATTTTGATATAAGTCTGCTTGAACAACCAAGGACTCGTTCTGCCTCGAAGCCTGCGACTCAGAAGGTGAAAGATTTTCGACCTTTCCAATTTGGTATCTAAACCCACTGAACCCATTTGATAATAGCGGAAAGTTAACATTAGCAGTTACTTGGCGATCTCCATATTTAGCTGTTGAATTTTCGAATAGATTTTCATCTTTGCGATCGAAAGATGATTCAGCAATATCATGGCCGGCATCAAAAATTTCTAAGTGATCTCTGTCAATTGGCCTAATAATTTCTTTGGCAAAAGAAGTCATTCTCCTGAAGTTCGCGGAGACATTAGAAAGCGCTCGAATAGGAGACAAAAATATGCGGCGCGAAATAGACTCCGGCGTGTGTCCATTATCAGTAACATTAACTAGGCTATTGTTCGACTTAATGTTTAATGAGCTAATGTCTCTTTCTTGTCCAACTTGCATTTCCGAACTTGATAAGGCGTCAATAACCTCAGAATCGCTAGAGTTTATTAAGTGTGTGTCGTCAAAAGGCCCCAAAACTAGTATATCGTCAGTAGCTGCTCTGACAGCCCGTCTTTTGAAATCTGGATTTTCTTCAAAGTCCCGAGCTGATCTCTTGCTGCGAAATGTAGGGCTATTTAATCCGGACACGGTGCCTTCATCAGAGCCAATCTCACCCTCATAAAGCTCACTCAAATGAGTATCTCTTCTTCCAAGAAGTTCAATTCGATCATCATTGGATGAATCACAGCTCTTGACGAAAGTTCTGATATTTTCCGATGGCGCCTTTGAGGGTTCATTTTTTTCTGTGTTTTGGAGACCAATTTGTCGTTTTTCAACTTTCTCTTCAATACTATATGACGCCGACTCAACATGTATCCCAAGATCAAATTGATCGTCGTCTGACATCGTTGATATAATTCTGTTAGATTCAGCTGAAACGGAAAAAGATTCTTCTTCGCACTCTGAAAACGAAACAATAGGCTCCCCTATAATCTTTTCATAGCTTAGGCCATTAGTGTCGCCATCAAATTCTTCGACAGTAATGTTACTAACAAGTTGCTTAGTATTCTCGATAACCTCAACGACTTCAGGCTCATTATCGTTGTCCAAAATTGTGGACACATAATCTTTGATTTCATTTTCAATGCGATTGCTAGGCAGACAATTTATTTGAACGCCAGAATAGCAGGGAGCACATCTACCGTTGGTATCACCATCTACCGAAAATCCATCAGCACCTGTATCTGATTTTCTCGTTGAGAGTATGGAACTAGTCGAAACATGTTCCTTTTGTTCATTTAATTCGTTCTTAAGAACTTGTTGTTCAGAACATTGCATAACTTCGAAAGATGAATTGCTATTTTCTTCAGAAGATTTCAATATAGTCTGAGACTGGTTGTCAGCCAGGGGTTTTACCGAGTCTGTTGTCGGACGATCTTTGATTTGCGTTGATACTGGATTATCTGGTTTATCATTACTTGAAGCCGTATTAGCATCTTTGAAGTCCTCGATATCGTCTTCCTCACCACTCCCTTGTTCTTCTTGAAAAGTATCATCTGATTTAACTTCTACTGGAACGTCTGTTTCATCATTTTGGGTAGGCGAGGGCTTCACCTGTACTGCTATAAATTCATCCAAAGCCTCGTCTGAACAGGAGCATTTCTCCTGAACCTTTAGAAAGGCATCATTTGAGCGGTCGATAGCTTCATGACTCGCCATGTTCTCTTGCTCATTAGCGTATGTGCCCTCCTGATTTAGTGAAGGCGTATGGATATGCGGGATAGAAATGCTACTTATTTCAATAGCATAGGGAGGAGTTGTCGGTTCCATTTGTTTATTTTCGCTTTTTCCGAAAAGTTTCTCACCATCATTCGGGGTATTTTCCTTGTCTATGTCGGACAGTTGAGAAGGAACGCCATTGGCAGCAATTTCGGTCAGGACTTTTTCCAAAATTCTGTTTCCCACTTCGAGATCTTCTTTGAAGGGATCGCTTGTAAAACGAGGTACGTATTCCTTGGACGTGCTGCGTTCTCCTTTTGAACCTTCATCTTCTGAGCAGCTGTAGTATGATTCTGCATAATGTAGGTGATATCTTATTGGATCTTTTGATGTTTCAGGATTCTCAGGATCCGGCGTTTTTTCCAAAAGTTTCGCATTTTCATTAGTGCTCTCACCTATAAAAGAATAAAAAACGGTATCATCGTCTAGCGTTCCATTCTTCTCTTCCAGAAGATCATTACTTGAACTGTGCTCCATTGCAGCAGATAAATCATTGGTTATCTCATATGTATTGGAAAATATGGGACCATTTTCAACCTTTGAACCCTCGCCGTCAAAAACTTGTCCCGTGGGGGTTCTCCGATCACCAGTACTTTGAGACTGATTGAGACCTTGTAATTCATCGTTCGTATTCTGTAAGTTTTCTCCAGAAGAAAAATGCTCTACTTTCTTGATATTGCTTTCAATTTTTTCTTCCTTCTTTGCCACACTGGAATAACGTTCTTCGTTATCCATTTCTTCATTTATTCCATGACCTGCGTTCGAGGAATCGAGATGGACAGCTTGAACTTCCCTTGAACTTTCCTCGCTGACACAACTATTTGAGCTTTCATCCAATTCGTCAAAAGAACTCTGCGGATCTTCCATCACCTCTGCTTTTTCTAAGACGTTGCCAAGAGAAACTACATCAGGAATACCATGCTCTTCCGTCGATAATCTGGGTGGAAGATTTTCATTCCTTAGGCACTCCGAGCTTATTGCAGTCTTTGCAATGAACTGGTAGTCAAAGAAGTTCTCGGGAAGCTCATTTCGCTCTTCTAACTCTTCTTGAAGCTTATTGAGCTCCTGTGGTGAGTCTAAGATAACATTCTTGGGCAATGCATTTGAGCTGTTACCGAATAAATTGTTTAGATTGTCATTACGATCTTCGTCCTGATTCACTTGAGTTAGTCGCTCCTTGATTGTGATAGAATGTCGTGAATGTTCGGAGGACCCAGAATAATCCATTGTAAGTGAAGGGATATACTTCTCATCATTTTCATGAATAAAATCCTCATGTAATTTAGAATCCACTACATTTTTAGAATTCATGTGCTCATCAGCTTCCTCTTGATTCCCGTCAGTTGAGTAATCATTTTCACTATCATGTCCTTCGTTGCCTTCATTATTTTCAGAGCTTTTGAGACCACTTGAAAATTCTTCTTCATCAGAGACTTCAGCCTCTTTTATGCTGAGTACACTAGAATTATCATTGATAGATTCATTATTATAAGAAGAAGCATAGTTGTCACTTTCATTGTCAAGGCTGCCTAAACTACCACCTGTCTCGATTGATCCATTTCTTGCAGATGAAAGATTATCTTCATCTTCGCTTTCAATCAGGATAACATCGGATCCACTTCCGCCCCCAACAGATCTTTCCTCATTACTTTCAGTAGTCTGTAACCGCTCATCGTTTGATACTTTAACACCGTCTTCATCTAAAAGTAAATCGTGGTCATTAGAATTTTGACCAAGATCCTTACTTCTATTCGCGATCTTGTGTTCTTCGCTAAACCCTAGGCTTGTTTCATGGTCGGCAAGGCTATCATTAAATGTGTCATGGAGGTTTTTAAAAGAGGTATCAGTACCGTATCGTTCCATATCAGCGTCTGCGGGGTTCTCAGAGCTTAAATCATCTGGAAATTTACCATTATCCATCAGTTCAGCAAGGTAACTCTTTTCAAGGTCATCTCTTCGTTTTTGGCAGTCTAGTTCTCTTCTAAATGAAATTTCTCTTTCATGGACAGATTTTAGCAGCAATCTGCCTCTAGATATTATTGAATCCATCCAAGTAAGAGTTTCAACGTCGTACCTTTGGGATTGAGGTCGTGTAACACTAATCGAAGCATCTTTGACAAAGCTCTCTAGGGGTTTGCGGGACAGTGGTTTCTGCACACTTCTTCCACGATATTTGTTTAGAGGTGAGTTATATCTCTTGAAATTTCTTCTTGGTGTGCTTAATTTAAAGTCGTCATCTCGATCATCTTGTGCTTTTCTCATCGTAATGTCAAATCTTCCTGGAGTTAGTGTTCTTTAAGGAAATGCAAATGAATCTGCAGAAAAAAATAAATGAAATGCAAGTGACATAGTAGACTTTAAAATAAAGACGAGAGCTGACAATGTCTGAAAAAAGCGCACTTAATGTTGTGAGATTTAGCTATTTTGATCCGTTTGAGATATTTGATAGCATCAGAAATGAATTGGAACAAAGATTGCCCTTTCAGAATCTGCATTGGAAGCCTGTTAATGGATCTCTAAGAACGATTTCAAATCTGCAGATAAAACTGATAGCTGAAACCGAAAGCATTAAAGATGACCTTTATGGAGAAAAACCCCTCATCATGTTTTTGATCGTAAGCTGTACCTCTGTTGATGAGTATAGATCTAAAGTGCGCCCTTTGATAAGGCAATGGCTCCCACCTAATTCAGAAAATGTTGAACTGCCAGCAAAAAGAATAATACTTTTACGTTGCAATTCCGAAGTTTTAGATACGAATCTATTCAAAAGTATATCATTGCTGGAAAAACTAACGAAAGACTTTCCAGCTAGTACCGTAATAGAAATTAAGACAATTTACAAATCCCAACAGGAAAAGGATGATTTTTGGGTGGGTATGATCAATAGACTGCGAGCCTCGCTAATGGATACCTTTCAGAAGCGCTTAACTTACCTTCAAGCCCAACTTTCAGGTATTTCAGGTTCCGAATTTGACAGTTTGTCACTTTTCCAAGAGAAGATATTAAACTTGTATCTCAGTTTTAACTTGCATGAGGAAGCGTCTAAAGAGCTAGATACTTTCCGCAAAAATCTCATTGCACACTTGAGCGAAGATCTGCCTCTCGGTGACCTGCAAGTTCCATTTAAGTTGACCGAATCAGATGACGATCAAGGCCAAAATGTAATCGCAAGAATGATGGTTCAAAACAATCTCAGTAAATTTCGACTGAATAAGTTCTTCTTCATCAAACAGTGTGAATTGCTCCAAAGTAGTGGCTCGTTTTCTATAAAATATTTTCATCTCTATTCCTTGACGCGTTCTTTCCTCAGGACCATTGAATGTTTGTTTTGGGATTCTCCCTATTTACTTGAGTTTGAATTTTACTTTATTGAGGCAATTCTTGATGCCGATTTATTCATGGATCAATCTTTGAATGCAATAATTGAGATCCGAGCTGAGCTCAAGCTCTTTCAGCGTGATCGTTGGCTGAACTTGGCATATAGCCTTACAGACTTTCGATTGATAAACAAATATTTTCCCCCGAGCACTACCATTAATCAATGTGATTTACTCCAAAATACGTTTTGCGATGAAGAAACTTTTCAACAGACTTATCTTCGATTGACGAAGAATGTCCTAACATCACTTTCAAAATGCAAAGCTGAGAAGCAAAGAACTGTTGACCTATTATCGGTAGAAGTGGCCATTCTATATTATCAGAGAGAGGAATATGAAAATGCTATAGTGATACTTCAATCATGCTATGAATTCTATAAAAGCTCGCATTGGAGTCTCATTGGTAATGAGCTCCTAGAGTATTTTGTGAAATGCTTGATTAAGTGTCCTGATCTTAAATTCTTGGAAATTTCAGGCGAAAAAATCCCGGTGTCAACACTGTTGAGTAACTCAATTTTGAATCTACTTACAACTGTGAAAGATGCCAAAGATTTTTGGTGGGATTTTTTTTTGAGGATCAATAACAAGGATACAGGTAACTTGGTTTATCCTCTAGACAATCTCTTTGAAATACACATAAACCATTGTACGACTACCACTAAGATGAATACGTTTGCCTTGGAAATGACTGTGCTCAATAATTTGGTACCAAAGGATGTCGAAGTCTCTTCAATACAGTTGTTACTGAAAAATCATGACGATGAATTTCTAACGTTTAATACCAACTCAGTATGTGTAAAGCCTGGTGAAAATTCAATTGTTTTGGAGACGACCAGAATGACTTTCGGCATTTTTGAGCTTGTAAGTCTAGAGGTCACGGTTGGCAATACCTTTTTTTGCAAGGAATTTTGTACATTAGAGACAGAGGATGTTGTTGAATTTCAGCCCGTAAGTGATCCAAGTGGTTTCGACGTTCTCATTTCTCCATCAAGATTACTCGAACTGACAAAAAACAGAATAGAGATTCTGCATATGAATGCAGATAAGGTTTCTTCTTTTCACTTAGATTTGACGATCATAGCAAACAAAGACAAATCGCAACCGAGCGTTGCATTCACACCTGACAAGAAAAAATTCAAAACGTCGATAGACAATATAGAAACGAAGTTCATCGAATTTTTTTTCATTCACCAATGCAACTCATTCACTGTGAAGCAGGAAGTGACGTTTCGTTTGAAGGACGATCCAATTAATGAATATTACCAATGCAGATCTGTCAATATCGATTGCCGTTTACCTGTTAGCGTCTCGGTGGAGGATATTTCTAAGTCAGGAGCTTTTTTCTTCAAATTTTTAATCAGTTCATCTTCTCGAGAGGAGCCTATCTTGCTTCACAGCTCTAGTCTATCCTCCGTTCATGAGGAGAAGTATTCAATTAGTAGAGGCTTCGAGACAGAATCACCTTTGCTGCTTAGAGCAGATGATGAGGAAATATGCCTCAATTACTATCAAATTAATACCTTAAAAGAAATGAAGTTTACGCCCAATGATTTATTCTATCTGAAGATTAATTACAACACTTTGAAACAACAAATGGATCATCTAGTCACAAGTATCTTTTTGACAAAGGGTGATATCAGTATTTCGGAAAAGATTAGACGCTATCAAAATATATGGCAAACAGTGGTTCTTCCTAAACTGAAGTATGATTATCATCTGTTCGAGCAAAAGTCAGTCATACGGCTTGCCATGTCAGCCGAAATGGTACAAGACATTTTAACTGCACTGACGTCTCAAGCTCGGTATGATGGCGTTTTGGGGGTAATCGCGGATTGTTTGGAAATTATTCAGACGGGATCTAAAGTTTCTGGCCTGGAAATTGAGGGATTCTCCAATGATTTGGCTCCATCGCAATTGATAGTACCAGTCAATCTTCCCCATTTGCAACAATTTTTCACCGTCGAGTTTATTACGGAGACTTTAAACCATCTTGAAATTGGAAAACCTTTTGCATTTAAAGTCCAAATAATGAACTTGACTGACCAGTGGGATACAAACGAAAATGATAAAAGGTCTCGTACGTATGTTTTTGAGTTAGTGAACGACAATGAATGGCTTATCAATGGTACAAGGAAAGCGGCCTTGCCCTTAAAAAAAAACGAATATAGCATTCAAATGATACCACTTAAAAGGGGATATTTGCGATATCCAAGAGTTGAAATTTTCAGTCAAAAGCGTCGTGTGCCAGAAGTTAATCTCCTAAATATACATGAGACACTTCTTGTTACATAAATAAGTGAATAATTAGGTATCATTATGTGTATCCTTAAAGTCTATCATTGCATTGATCAGCGAGAGTGGTTCGGGCTTAGAACTCACCAAATTGGATTTCAGTCCTTTGGTCAAAAGATATCTATCTGTTGTAGGCCCTATGCTAGCGATCTTGGAATCGGGGTGATTTTTCAAGTATTTCACGATTTCCTCAGTACCTTGAGAACTAAAAAAAACAACCCAACAAAAAGGCGTACAATAGAATTTAAACCTGCCAAGATTGTCTGATAGTGATTCAGTTTTATAGGTTACAATCTCTTGGACCTTTAGTCCCGCTTCATTCAGTTTTTTAGGAATAATATCTCTTCGAGTCTCACCCACCAGAAACAACAGTTCAGGATATTCAAGAGAGTTAGAATTGCCACTTCCAAACAGCTCAGATATAATTAAGCTTGCTAAGATATCTCCATTACCGGCATCTGGCCCTCCTCTGACGTCAGTAAATCCACATCTTTGAAGAAACACTTGAGTTGCTGGTCCCACAGTGTAAACAGTCTTGTTTCGTAATTCAAATAATTGTTTTTCGCTCAGCAGAGGCATAATTGATTCATTCAAGCATTCTACCGTTCTTTGTGAAGTGATAATTATATTTTGAAGGCTGCTCAGATATTCATCATTTTGAAAGAGTTGAAGTGCTTGTGCTGGCAGATGTGTGTGTTTTATCAAAGGTATGAATACAGGATCAAATTCTTTAGATAAAAAATTCTGCTCATAGGCATCATCAGGAGTAGTCCTGTTCTTCAGGAGTAGAACTCTAGTCATATCAGTTTTTTAGCTCCTATGCTCAAATTTATAAGCATGTAATTTTCTTCCTAAAAAAAAGTTGCTTGGAACCAATCTATGACCAATTCTGAACATGTGAAGACAAGAAAATGAATATATCTAATAAACAGAGTTATTATACAGGGATTTAAAGATTAGTACGTGAATTTTTATCAATTGGAATTACTTCGTTAATCTATTCCCATTCAACCGTTGCAGGTGGCTTGGAGGTGATATCATAGGTGACTCTAGCGACACCATCGACCTCATTGACAATTCTGGCGGCTACTCTCTTTAGGAAATCGTGCTCGAAGGGGAACCAGTCGGCTGTCATGAAATCGGTAGTTTCGATGGCTCTCAAAGCAATGACTTGCTCGTAAGTTCTTTGGTCACCCATAACTCCGACGGACTTGACTGGCAACAAACAGGCAAAAGCTTGGGAGATCTTGTTGTAAAGACCAGCTTTCTTGATTTCTTCAATGTAGATGTAATCAGCCTTTCTTGCAATTTCGACTTGTTCTTTGGTAACTTCACCCAAGACACGAATGGCAATACCTGGACCAGGGAAAGGATGTCTCCAAACCAAGTCGTGCGGAATTCCCAACAATTCACCAAGGTGTCTGACTTCATCCTTAAACAATTCTCTCAAAGGTTCAATCAGTTTCAACTTCATGTCTTCAAGCAAACCACCAACATTGTGGTGAGTCTTAATGGTTTGAGAAGGACCCTTGAAAGAAATGGACTCGATAACGTCTGGGTACAAAGTACCTTGCAGCAGAAACTCGATCTCCTCACCGCCCTTTGGTTGAATCTTGGCAGCTTCTCTTTCAAAAACATGAATGAAAGTGTTACCAATGATTTTTCTCTTCTTTTCAGGATCAGTGATACCCTTTAGTTTAGTCAAAAATTCTTCAGATGCATCGACAACAGTTAAATTGATACCTAAACCGTCTCCCAAAGTTTTCTTGACAGTGGCGGCCTCGTTCAATCTTAGAACACCGTTGTCGACCAGAATAGCGTGGAATCTGTCACCGATAGCCTCGGTCATAAGCTTGGCAGCGACAGTGGAGTCAACACCCCCAGACACGGCACCGATAACTTCAGCAGTAGGACCAACAAGCTCTCTGATTCTCTTGATCTCAGTGTCAATGAAGTTTTCCATGGTCCAGTTTTGAGAAGCTTTGCAAATATCAACGGCAAAGTTCTTCAAGAGAGTCTTACCTTGAGTGGAGTGAGTCACTTCTGGGTGGAACTGAATACCGTAGATCGCCTCGGATTCGTGGGCAATACCACAGAAGGGAGAGTTGTTAGAGGTAGCAATGACTTTGAAGCCAGTTGGCAAGCCGTGAAGCTTGTCACCGTGAGACATCCACACGGTGGAGTGGTCGACGCCTTTGAACAAAGGAGTGGTGGTGTCGACGACGTTCAACTCAGCTGGACCGTATTCACGCTTTTCACCACGAGCAACTTGCTTACCGTTGATCCAGGCTAGTTCTTGCATACCGTAGCAGATACCAAGGATAGGCACGTCGAGCTTGAACACGTCATGGTCGACGTGTGGAGCGTCCTCTGCGTACACGGAGTAAGGACCGCCCGATAGAATCACACCCTTTGGCTTCCAGCCAAGTTCGGAGATCTTCTGCGTGCAAGGTAGCATCTCTGCGTAGACGTTGAACTCTCTTAATCTTCTAGTGATCAAATGCGAGTACTGAGACCCGAAGTCCAACACCAAGATGGTGTCAAAGACGTTGGTGACTTGTTCGATGGGGGACATTTGAACAGGGAAAACTGGGAAAAGACTGGTAAAAGACTGTTGATACAAACGAAAATATCCTAAAGTCGCGAAACGCCACCTGCTGGTTGCTGTTATGTGGGTATGAGTCTGATCGACCAATGGCTACGAGGAGAAACAAGAAGAAACCCACTTTCTCGATGCTGAAATTTTTCAGTCATCTCGCGCCAGCTTAAATAACAATTTTCAGTTGCAAGATGAGATTTTCTTCATAAAAGAAACGACACCAATAAAGTGCACGTCGCGCCGCACGGCCGCGGCCGTGACTCCGGCCCCGCCGCCGCATGCATGGGTGCAATATTATTACGCCCACACACCTCGTTACACATGCCCTGTCGTCGCAACTGAAAGAAGCGGGCCGGAAGAATCGAACGGCAGCGCCGCGGCGCTGCCGGCAATCAACCAACATGCTCTTTGAAAACCGGCCCTGCCGGGACGGTAAATATGAGAGGATGTTCGAGATGCTGGAGATAGCAAGAAGATATATGCGTGTGTTTCGACACTCACGAGAATCTACTGCAAGCATTACCTGGCTGCTCATAGGCCGCTGCGAGGGTGATGATATTGCAACGATCATGTGACCATACGTCACGTGCTTCGAGTCGTTTTCCAGTTTCGGCGGCTAACATGCCCCATTGGGTCGGTGCGACTCGGCCTTCGGTTTCCGCTTCGAGTCTTTCCATTGTTTCCCTGTTGTTCCGAAACACTTTTGAGAAACGGGGGAATGTCAGAAAACTTGGAAACTACCATAACGCTGAATCAGTTGGCGGTTCGTGCGACAAATACACAGGTTGGCTTTACGAGACTGTACTATCTTCAAAAGGAAGAGTATTCACTACTGGACGGTAAATACATGTAGTATGAAGGATTCAGACGCGTGGAATACGCCATATCTGGGGCTAAATCATCGTGATGAGCGGCATTTGAGATAGTGGGCCAAGAAAACAGATGGGGGTATGTTGATATCACGTGATGCGTCACGTGTGTGTTATTACGGATTTGAGCACGTGATATGCATAGTGATTGGGAGAGTTACTGGTAACGGTCCCGCTTCAGGTCGCATGCGAAAGAGGCATGACAGAGTATGGCGCGTGGCGGGCGATAACCGGGCAGCAACGAGGGAATGGGCGACGAAAGCTGAGGTCACGTGACTCGTGTTTCAATGAGGGTTCTTTGCGAACGGGCAGGCAGACGCGTGTCTCTCCGAGCCCAGCTACATATGCGTGTCATACGGCACTCACAAGTATCTCCGCTCTGTCTCCAACGTCCCCATTGCGTGTTTCGAAACCACTGTCTTGCACGATGGCCAGATATCGCTGGCAGGCTGAAAAATGTGAACGCTGGTTTTTTGTCATCTTGAAATTTGACAGGCATTTTTCAGCACTTCTTCCGGCACTCCGCAACCAGACCCATGGGTTTCAAGAATACAGTACATGTGAGCGGGTTTCCGCGCGGGACAAGAGCGCGAAATCTAGCTCCAGACTTTGAAAAGTAAGTTACAGTATAGTCCAGCATTTTGCTGCTTGGGGCCCGTCAACAGGCCCCGTTACCCTGGTCACGTTTACTCACAGCGCTGCAAGAATAGGCAAGGTGGTCCGCATTGACATTCCACCTGCAAGATCCCCGTATGCACGCCCGTACGCGTTTGTTGAGTTTGAGGACATACAGGATGCGTACACCGCCGTTAGCGAGCTGGATCAGCAGCCGTTCGCGCTCGACCCGCAATTTACGCTACTAGTGCAAATGGCCCGTTCGGAGCCACATCCTTCTCGGCTGGCAGGTGCCCCCAACCCCATTCGCGACACTCCTCAACAATACGATTACCCAGAGAACCACCGCGCACCCCGAGCCAATTTCAGACGTTACGACGACTACCCGCCTCGTAGGGGCTATCGCGAGGACATGCCGCGCGGCCGAGGCACCTACGGGTCTCGCAATCATAACGACTATAGGGGATCCGATTTGGACGTTCGCAGAAGAGACCTTTCGCCTGCAAGAGTTCACAGCGAAAGTGGGCCTGCCCCTTATCAGCATGTAGCGGTGGCCACCTCGAGTGAATCGGCTAATGAAGACAACATGACTGGAATTGAGAACTCTCAATCAATAGACACTCTTGAGAACAACTCGAGAGACAATGAGAATGACTCCAATGCTGTTCCAAATTCTGCGACAGGCGCCGAAAATGCGATCGCGACTCACGACTCATCCTCAGACCCCGCATCTCAGCCACAGGCCACAACGATAGCACCAGGAGAAGCAGAAACCACCGATTCTCGGGAAGCTCCTGCTATAAGTGCACAGAATTCTGACAATTCCGCGCTCTCAGCAGCTGACTCGGGCGTTGCAATTGATCCACACTCTTCAAGAATCGAAGAGGATCGGACGACAGCTTCTCAAATTACCTCCGGTGATCCAACCACTGAATCTTATAGTAACGGTGCCATTGCCTCGGAAAAGCCCCAAGATGGATCCGTTTAGCTGGTTAACTGCTCGTGTGATATGCATTTCATCTATGTAAGATATTTGTAGTTATGCCGTCATCTAACGTACCCATCAAAGAAGCTGTGAGAAATTCACTCAACATCTGGAATCCTTACGTAAAACAATCCCAATGTAATATCTCAAGAACTGGCTGAATGGACAACATATCATTCTTTCATTTGCAGGTGTTAGTTCAGCTTAGGCACGTGACGTACCCCCACCTCACAAATGTTTCGTTACATCCGGTTAGTAAAATTTTCAGCAGCAAGAGGAGCTGGGACAATAGGACCAACGTAAATAAGTCCTTCTCATTCTATCGTGATAAAGTCGAGCAGTTTTGAAACTTCGCACAGCTTTTGAAAATTATAGGTCATAATATCCCTGAGGAAGTTATTTGATTGCATTAAACCCGATCTAACAGAAGAGCCGTAGTAATCGACTTTGTTTCCCCTAGAGAGGTACAGATTATCACACACAGTGGATACGACGTACACATGGGTTCATCAATCAATTATCCAGGCTTCGTGAGCAAGCCACAGCAGAAACCAACGAGTAATCCGTTTTTCCAAAGAGAAAATGTGTCTGTGAAACAGGGAGCGGCGAAATCCAAGCTTTCACTTGCTCTTCAAACACAGAAAAGTGTAAATGACGATTGCAAGAACGATGAGGACTCCGATTCAGAATATTCTTCGTGCGATGAAAAGAATGAGGAAAGCCTGCGAGATTACAAGCCTGGAGGATACCATCCGGCATTCAAAGGCGAAACGTACAAGGATGACCGTTATGTATTAGTAAGAAAACTTGGGTGGGGTCATTTCTCTACAGTGTGGTTAGCCAGAGATACCCTCAATAGTGCACATGTCGCAATGAAGATAGTGCGTAGTGACAAAGTGTACACCGAAGCAGCGCTGGACGAAATAAAGCTATTACAACGTGTTAGTAAGCACGAGGGTGTACAAGAGGGAGCTTATGATGGATCAAAACATATTTTAAACTTGCTGGATAGTTTTAATCATATGGGTCCCAATGGTAAGCATGTAGTTATGGTCTTTGAGGTATTAGGAGAAAACTTACTGGCATTAATAAAGAAATACGAGCATCGCGGTATTCCCATGGTTTACGTCAAGCAAATTGCAAAGCAATTATTATTTGGTTTGGACTACATGCATAGAAAGTGTGGCGTTATACACACCGATATTAAGCCTGAGAATGTTTTAATGGAGGTTGGAGATGTCGAAACTATTGTGAAGATGGTAGAAATGATGGACAAGCAAAAACGAGACCGCAAGCGGTTACAAAGGAGGGCAACAAGAACTGGTGCTGATTCACCTTACAACCCATCGTCGAGAAGCAGTACATCCAATTCCTTAGAGCGGCTGTCCAGTCGCAGATCTCGAAGACATACTGTTATAACAGGGTCACAACCATTGCCCTCGCCAATTAGTTCCACCAATTTTTTTGAAATGAAAAACCAAGTGCTGGGACATTCGCTTCCCCGGCCTACATCATTTTCATCAAAAAGTAATGTTAATATTTCAAATGCTGATGACGAGCAAATCACTAATTCTCTCTCTTCGTTTGAAATTACTACTCCCGGTGACGATGATCATCTAGAGGACTCGTTGGAACAAACCGACATAATTCAAATAAAGATCGCTGATCTTGGTAATGCGTGTTGGTTTGATGAACATTATACTAATTCTATCCAAACTCGAGAATACAGATCGCCTGAAGTACTTCTGGGTTGTCAGTGGGGATGTAGCGCAGACATATGGTCCACAGCGTGCTTGATCTTCGAATTATTGACGGGAGACTTTTTATTTGAGCCAGATGAAGGGCACTCTTACACGAAAGACGACGATCATATTGCTCAAATTATCGAGCTTTTAGGAGAATTACCCTCCTATCTACTGTCTACCGGGCGATATGTTCGAACTTTTTTCAACTCGAGAGGGCAATTGAGGAACATTGCCAAATTGAAGTTCTGGCCTTTAAAAGATGTTCTCGTTGAAAAATACAAGTTTCCTGCAGAGGAAGCACAGGATATTGCCGATTTCCTCCTTCCGATGTTAGAACTCGATCCCAGAAAGCGTGCAGATGCTGGAGGAATGATTAACCACCCTTGGATAAAGGATACGGTAGGTTTAGAAAATGTATCACTTGTGGAAAGAAAACTTTACGGAAGTGGTGCCGACATACCTGGATGGTTTCAAGAGGTGACTGGCCACCCAAGACATTAAGGCATATTGTCATATATTTGACCTCGGACTTTGTCCTGATTTTTTGTTTATTTTTGCATCGGAAGCTTTTAAAGCTGCCCAAAGTGTTACCATGTTCAACGTACTCGTGAATTTGTTTCAATGTATTGTCAGTTTTCTTCAATGTTTTAATTTTTTTTTCGTATAAACACTCTGTGGGTTATACGAGTGAGGCTTTAACATGTAATAGCAAGCATCTCTTACCTCGGTAAGTTACTTGCAGGTTAAACGAAATTGAAAATCACTTGATTTTATGCTGACATGCAAGGTGAGATTCCCGAAGAATGCGGCTCCTTGGATCATCTAGATCATCTTTTGCCACAGTGGCGCGAAGAATGTTGGGCTTACTAGAAAGGAATATAAGTAGAGAACCTGTCATTGAGATGAATCTCATTTCTAATCTGTATCAAGTACCAAGCGCAGTAACTTCGACTGATTCTTTAAAATGATTAGAACAATTAAAATGGTTTCTACCCCAAAGCATCTCTCAATGCTAGCAGTCGGCTACATTTCCGCTGATATCGCATTCAGCTACTGGTACAGGTTGCAAGCTGCCAAGAATCAGACATACTTGAGAGCCAAGGACTCAAAGCTTTTCTGATGTGGATGATCATAATAGGTGTGTATGCTTTGAGAGCATCGGTCCAAAGTTGCGTACGGTTTGATAAGTACTTTATAGAGTGATTATATTACACATACGAATAAAACATCTGGTATGCTTTGAACTGTTCATCACCACTTCTGTATAATATTCTCAGCTCTGTGCAGGAGGGGATCGTCGGCTCCCGTGCAAAGATGAATTTAAAAAATGGGCGTTAAAATTACATTGAGTCAATATGCACTCCGGTATAATGACGTTTACCGAATTTTTGTTGGCTTATTTCTTGGTGCTGGGCGAAATTCCTCTTTTCCAGTTTTCATTCGGTAATACCGATTACGGCCGCATGGGCTTCAGAATCCCAATAGCTGTACATAATTCAACAGGTATCCCGTTACTACTGAATAGCATTTACAGTTTGCTCTAAACTTGTGCATCAGGCGATAACATTTTTCAACCGATAGGCGATACGCGCATCTCGTCTTACTAAAAAAAATGTCATCTAGGAACCTCGGCAGTTCTATCTAGTCCGTATGTTCCAGATACGGTAATTAAATATAATTCCTAGAATTTTGAGTGGGAGAAGATTTTAACTTCAATCAAAGATCTTCTTAATTTTACCGTAATACCGCTATCTAAATTAAGCTTCAAGTCTCATATTAGCCATTAGTAGTTAATATGGAATACAGTCGTCTAAACAGAATATATCCAAGTCTTTGGGTAATCAAGCGCATCAAAAGCGGCAAGCGTAGTGGCGAGTTAATAAATCGATCATGAGTAATCATGAAATAAAACATTCTTGTTCTTTCCTTTTCTCAAGATGGTACATAACCGAGAGAAGAGGCTAGAACATCAAATTGTAGATCACTTTTTTTTCAATCAGTTAAATGAACTCGGAATTATATCGATTGAACTGCGGATGTTATTTACTATCCTTGCTGCACATCCAAAAACTTTGTGTAAATGCTTTAGGTAAAGTTGAATTTTCTAAGAGTTATAATAAAGATTGTGGAGATATTACATGTCAACTATTTGCAGTTAAAGCTCCTCAAGCTTCGAACAAGCAGCTCCGATGAACGAAATACTTTTATTAAATACTGTTTTTCAGTGCATATTTCGAGTTGAAATCTTATAAATAATTGAGTTAAAAGTCCATTTGATAAATTATCTAAAACTCGACAAATCCATTATAGAAAAGTTCACCATAAGAGGTCCTCATTGCTGCTTTCAGAGTAGCGCAGAAAGTAATCCCATTACTAAACCACAGAATCCTGTACTCAAATGAATATTGTGGTTCGCTAAGCCCTTGCTTTTAGACGTGCTGGAGCTCGAAGAACCATCTGATGTGGTGCTTTGGGATGAAGCCTTATTAGTTGTGGTAGATGATGCCGCTGTTGCAGAACCTGAAGCACTAGTATAAAGCTCATTGACGGTATTAGAGTCTGCGTACGTCAAAACAGCAGAGATTTCACTACCGCTCACGTTTTCAATTGTATAGTTGAAAGTGGTTGGTGCATCATAAGAAGTCAAAATTTTGCCCGTGTTCGTGCCGTTGACACCGTACCTGATCAAAGATGAAATGCTGTCTGGCTGCGTTGGTAGAGTGAAGTTTTTCACGCCAAAATTGGAATAAGCGTCCTGGATGGCGGAGGAGTCACATTTAACCACGCTGACACTTTCAACATTAGCTTCGGTGATATTAGGCAAAGTTAGGTTTCTAAACTGTGACTGCAGATTCTCGAAATCTTCGAGATATTTAATCGAGCCATCAGAATCAAGTTCCACCAATCCGTATTTGTTCGCTTCCTGACTGTATTCGTAAACTAATCCACCTGAAAATGTATTCACGAGTCCGCCATACAACCCGTCAGGAACTTCTTCAAAAGTACGAGGACTCTTAGCATTGCAGCCGTACTCAGAGAAAATAAGTGGGATTGATGAGTTACTGAAAGTACTATTCAAAACGCTGTACCCAGAGCTATCCCAGGTACTGCCTGAACACCACTGATATGTGTTTAGACCAAAGAACTCAGATCTTGACTCATCTAATTCGGTTGAAATGGTGGAGCCATCCAAAGAGTTACATTCCAAATACTTGATAGAAGCGAGGTTCAAGTTAGAGTTATCGGCAGCGGAATATCCGACGGGAATACTTCTGTTGGAGTGCTTAGCGATGTACTGTTTCATGTCCCTTTGGACTGCCCTGATGTATTGTGGATCGATTTCTGCGTAATTGCTATCATCATTGATAACTTCATTTCCGGAAAAGAACCCGAGAACGTTAGGATAGTTCTTAAAAGCGTCAATGAATTTGAAGACATGGGTCATATAATTCGAGTTGTATGTTCCAGAAGGATCGGCTCTGTTCAGATTTTCACCATCAGCACCAGTGTTGACATCAAGGATAACATAAATGCCTGCGTTGTTCAATATAGTCATACACTCATCGTGATTGACGTCGGGGTTCAACGAATAAACTCTGATGGTGTTGATACCCAACTGTTGAAATACAAAGGCATCTCTTGCACACTGCTCAGAATCTGAGAGTACATCCGATGAAGAGTCCGGATTATATGCGGATGATCCACCCGGTTGGTAATCAATACCCTCAACAAAAAAGACAGTGTTATCGTCAGCTTCGTTTTTAGGCGAGGAAGGCCTGATGAAACGGTCACCCTTAGTATGAATAGGTAGCACGGCTTGGACAAGAGGGCCGAGAGCGAGCGGAAGGAGAATAGCAAATCTCATCACGAATGATGGCTTAGCGGAGCCTAGTAATTGTTATTCTTGTAAACAACACAAAACATCGCGAAAATGCAGCACGCGAAAAGAAGACATGACTCTTTTTTCGTATTTGATGATTACAGTTGGAAAACAAAATGAAAAGTTTTCGTCACTTTGACTTTTCCTTTCTTCATAGTATCAAAAAAACAACCATGAGTTCCACCGGCGTCACTGAGGCGTATACCTTGCTCCAGTTTGATGCTTAGTTTAAGGTGGATATTTTACGACTCGTGGAAGATTAACGGTTTAAGATGTATCTCCAGCTATTGAACGAGCGAAAGCCTTTTTCTTTCTCTCACCGAAGTTTGATATAGTTGGTCATGATTCTTGCAACATGAGAGTTTTTTGGCGTAATATATGCAATGGTATTTACGCTATAGCTCGTCTCTCAAGGAGCCCGTAGATACTGCTCTTGGCATGACGACGACGTAGTCTATGTAGAGATCTCCGAACTTGTTGCCATTCCTAGGCATACCGAAATTGCGTATGCGTTCAACATCACCGTGTCTGACTGGGACTCCTTCTGGTCTGTGAATACTTAGTTTCTTGGCTTTATCAAAAAATGCAATTTCTCTCGTCCAGCCTCCGTACAGAGCTTCTTCCAAACTCAATACTTCAGTTCTGAAAAGATCCGAGCCTCGCCTTCTGTAACCCAGGTTGTTTTTGTCCAGCTCGTGGAATTTGATGAATACATCGCCAGCGTCAAAATCTGGGCCTTTATCAGCTTGACCTGATTTGACATCCACAAAGTCTCGAGGAGCACCAGCAGGCACTTCAACGTGAAAATTTCTTGGCTTCCTGACCACTTTACTACCTTTACAGGTTTTACATTTGTTCTTGATGATTTGACCTTTACCTTGACATTTGCCACAGACTTGTTGAATCTTTTGTGTGATGGGTCCCATTCTCACCACTTGAATAACCATACCATGCCCTTGACAATCAGGGCAGGTCGTTGTCTTCCCATCTTGCGAACCAGACCCATGGCAATGATCACACACGTCGTTTAGGTTAAAAACGAAGTCAATCTTCTTACCTTGATAATATTCCTCGAGCGTAAGGCCCTCCCTGGCTTCTAAATTTTGGCCGCGTGGTCTACCTCTGCCACCCCGTTGCTGTCCGAACATTTGTTCAAAAATGTCAAATGGATCATGGAATCCGCCACCAGGTCCTCCCGCTCCTCCTGGTCCTCCTTGGCCGCCATTCTTCAGCGCATCGGCGCCATATTTATCGTAAATTTGACGCTTTTCGTTATCGCTAAGCACCTCATAAGCCTCACCAACTTCTATAAAGCTTTGATGTGCGGCGTCATCGCCTGGATTTTTGTCTGGATGGTACTTCTTAGACAGTTGCCTGTAAGCGGATTTGATTTCTTTATCAGATGCATCTTTAGAAACTCCCAAGATCGCGTAATAATCTTGAGCAACGATTGATTGGATGAACAGAAAGGCACATAAAATCAATACACTTAGAGCACTTGATTGCATACTTTCAAATCCCTTGCGAGCGTATTCAAGGCTTCTTCGAACGCTTTTCCAAAACTGCTATAAAAATTAAATGCCACTGAACACCTTTCAATTTCTAGAAACATAATTCCGTCGTATTAAGTGCTGGACAGACTTCAATAGTGAAACGGCGTCGCTATATGATTAAATTGTCCACTAACTTCCAAATGACCAATCTATCAACAATTTGCATAACTGCATACGTTCTTATTGAGTTTGCGAGGGACTGACTCAACAGTTTATTGAATAACTCAGCTGCTTCACAGCAGTGTTATTATTCTCTAAGTATATACCTTATACCAGCCGTTAGCATAATATATCTAAAACTAGTTTGATTCTGGCTCTGCTTAATCCTCAACGTCCTCTTCGTCACTTTCCAGTGCCGCAAAAGCATTAAAATTCATGGTGGGTTTATCTGCAACGATATCTCTCGTGTCGGCAGGCCGTGTGGACGCAATGTTTTTATTGTTTGGTTTGACCTTCAGAGTTTCCTGTGCAATGACAACTGGTTCCTTGACGGCAACCTCATCATCACTCCCAGCGCCCACAACTGTCGACTTCCTTCTCACTACAGGAGCTTCAAAAGTCGACCAACCATCGGCATCAGTGGTAATTTTGGGCTTTAAATGCTTAATCTTAGGTCTTCCATGATGGTGGGAAGATCTTCTACGATGGAACTGTTGGTACTCTTCTTCTTGTAATTCCTGGATTTCCTTGACTTTGTCGATGATCGCTCTAAATTCCTCAGCGTCAAAGTTGACTGGGAGGTCCGAAACTGGCTTCAATTGGAAAAGTTCTTCCTCTGTGTACCGAATCATTACAACGACTATCTCTTAGTTCGCTCTTTGGTGGATCCTTTTGGAGTTTTCCATTTTCCATGTGAGAAATACCTTTGAAAAAATTTTCAACACTTTCCGGGTAACATTAAATAATGCGGGTAACTTGTGGCAAGATGCCACCTTTTATGCACCACTGGCATCAGAGATTAATTCTTGTAACTTCTGCTTACGCTGAGCAATGGCGTAATATTCATTTTGATACATCCTATAGTGTGCAAAATAATCCTGCTGAAGTTGCGTTATGTCAGGAAGTGTTTTCTTGATCACATTATTCGATACTTTGCCGTTCTCAACTTCAAGCTCGCTTGTGCGTTGGAGCGATTCTTTCAAGGCAGATATACGAGCGTTGTAATTTTCAATGGTTGATTTTAATGTCTCGGGATTTTCTTTCCTGTCCTTGACCAATTTTTCGGTCACTTCTTGGTAGATGGTCGAAGTCCGGTCAAGATCCTCCGACACTTTTCTTTCAATCCGCTCTCTTAATTTCGAAGACGAGGAGTCTATTTCTAAGCGAGTCCCAGCCAGTGATGAGACCAAAATCTTTACAAATTCTTTATCTATAGGGGTCTTTGGGTTAACTATAGGTTCTGGAAATGGTAAATCGTTCCTCATCGATATTATCTTTGATTTTCGTGCTGTTGTATCATCTAAGTCGACGTTTTGAGATGCCACAGTTAACTGCGTCTCCTTGCTTTCGGAATTTGTAGTTTCGAGAACCTGTTCATTGACCTCAGAATCAGAATCGTCATCCAAGACAATTTCAAAATCGTTCCTTGGCTTTGGAAGTTTGGCAAACAAAGACAATATAGATTTCTTAGGTTTTCTGAAATATGAAGGTTCTTTCTGTGTATTTTTAATTGGGCTGGAATCAGCAATTATATGAGAATCTGGCTTGAGCTGTAGTATTTGGTGTCTGTCAGTATCAATCTGTGCCTGAAGGTCTTCAGTCGTAACAGAGTGGGGATCGGGAAGTTCTAGTTTTGGTTTCTTCAATTCATTGTTAACGAATGTATTCTCGGCTTTAATTCGAAATGCTTCCTCGTGAGACCTTTTTTGCTCTGATGCGCCACCTTTTGTAAATGATTGCTTATCGTCGTTAAGGCCCTTTCGACTAACCGATCGTTCGAAATTGGCTAAATCTCTTGCAGCCCTTTCATCTTCTCGTGAGGTGTCATATATTCCTTCAACTGGTTCCTGCTCATAAATAATATCTGCGTTATAATCAATCTGCGTATCATACTTCTTTTTGGGAGCTTTGATTTTGAAATCAACACCGGCCTGTTTTAATTCACGCCTCTTTTGCAAGTGAGCAACCCTTTTGCTTTCTTCTAGCATCCGTTCTCTGATTTTTCTTGTAGCCTTCTTCCCTTGTGTGTTCAACAATCTCGCCCGAGCTTCAGCTAACATTTCTCTTTCATCGTCATCAAGCTCATCTTTATCTGGTTTAGCAGGTTTTGTTTCTGCATCAATATTTATGTCACCAACTTGTAATTCTAAAGAAGACGTGAGACCAAGTTCAGCATCATCTCCCTCCAGAAGTTTATTATAGCGATCAATACACAGTTGCGCAGTTCTTCCCATAATATCAGCTATCGTCCTCCATTGGTTTGGAAGTCTCCTAGATAGCTCCAGTAACTTTGCATCTTCTTCTTTGGAAAACTCCTTGAAATTTAAATTTGGATTCAGGTATTCAGTCCACCGAGATTCACATTGTTTCGCAGTTTTCTTTTGCAACAACGATGCCACCTTACTCCATTGGTGAGTTCCATATTTTTGGATAGCAGCTTTGAGAATCTGATCCTCTATATTTGACCAGACCCCTCCCTTCACATAAATGGGCACCGGAGGCATGACGAGTTTGCAAACGGCTTCGGAGATGTTGCTTGAACATTGATGGAAGAAAAATTTCAACTTTTACATGTGGGCAAACAAGCAATAAACACAACGGGACGATGCGTATATTGTTCGCTCCTAAACATCAGAAACTGGTCAATCAATGCTATCCTCCCGGAAGAACGCCGGATAAGAAGCCCAAATCTTCGGAGACGTCATACTTACTGTATTATGTTAACTCAAGGCGTACCAAACTTGAAAAGGTAAGTACTTATCTAACGAAAAAATGCACAAATGATCTCAATCATAGAAGAATCGGCAATGTCATGGTCACTTTAGAGATAATGAACAAGATAGTTAATCACTGTAAGGAGAATCTGAATGTTTTCGTCAAGGACTTCCTACAAATTATGACGAGAACCCTTTCGAACAACAACGTGAACAACGATACGGGTATTGTTCAAAGGACTGAAGAGATATTCGGTAGCATTTGCAAAAACATTGATGGTGCCCTGTGCAATGGTGATGCTGAGTTCATGAAAATGTTCGACGTTTTCGTGAACTTATATCTTCAAGTGGTTAGAGAGAGGATTCGGGACGACGACTTATTACTAAGAGGTTGTACTGATATCTCTTCAGTTGCAAACTTGGCCAGCAATCAGCAGGCTAGTAAACTGCTTTCCATGGCGGCTGAATTGTCTTTGCAAAAGTTTCAGGAAAGAAATCCACAATATATTCACGAAAGCCTTAGCACTACTGAGCAGCCCATAACGAAGAGACTGACGAGAACACAAACACATGCGGTGGGGCTGGATGATATATCTAATCATAATGATTTAGCTGTGGCTGCATTACAATCATTTTTTAACACTTCAGAAACGGATAAATTGACCCTATCTATTCGGTCACTTCTTAAGGTGCTTCTCAAAACTCCTAACAAAGAATTACTTCAGTTCATATGCAATGGAATCCCTGTCCAACTGAGATATATTGTGATTCTAATTTTTATCAGGCAATTGAATAAAAACAAGGAAGAATCTGTTGTGATATTAAAGTTGATCTCCAGTCTACTTGTTTCTGAGGTGAGTATTGTCGGCTTGAGCGTTCTAGATGTGATGAGAAAGCTGTTAAGCACGCAATTATCTGTTGATACTTCAAAAGAAATTAGTGATCAGTGTGCTATCGCAATCTCAGCTCTAAATCAGAAAACCTACTACAAAGATCAAACTTCCGATATGTTTTCGGAGATTCTGTCACGAATTAAAGACGAGAAAGATCAAGGAAACAAAGAGATGCTTGTGCAAGATTTATATCAGCTGATCCTATCTACGACTACACCTTCGTTGAGTTTGGATCTGTTCCTAGAACTGGCTCCTTTGACAAGCCATCACATAGAGTTGTTCGATATTGTTGATAGCAAAGTTTCAGGAAGTTTTTCTATCAGTAAATTGTTTGAATTCATTGATTCACAAAAATCAGAAGAAAAACAGGAAGTCTTGATGGCTACAGCATTTGCGAAATTTAAGACCTTTACCTTATTAGCCGGGCTGAAGTACTACCTAGAAAATGGAAGTCCTGATAAGCGCTCTTACTATATATACCATTTGAATGCGGCAAAGTTTCTTGATTTGAATGACTATGCAGTGCAAGCAAGACACAAAAAGGAGAACAGACAACTTTTTACCCGTGATGACTTATTAAATTTCTACTCTGACAGTGGTAGTAACAAATACTCAGAAAAGGGCAAAAGAATATTGTTGTCGAAGGAAAGTAATTTCTCCACAACTGATCTTGTGTCTACCAATGATGAGCGGGCAAGCGACCGGGCAATGAACAAGCCATCCACAGAGCCTAGGACATTATCGAAATTTAATTTATCTCCAGACGTTCGTTCTTTGAAGACTTTAAAGTATAACACACCTAAGGTTATTGATTTGAAAAAGGTAGGTTCTGGTAGTCACTTACCGTCAAAACAAAATGGAGCTCTAAGAGGCTCACAATCAGTAAAATCACATATCACCAATATCACGTTCCTGCTATCGGAACTTGATAGCGATATTAACGAAATAAAAATTAGAGATCCAGATGAAGACGATGTTGTCGGCTTGGAAAAATCTGATCTCGCTAGATCGCATTCGATCAAGCTATCTGCTGTAGATGCCAAGGGTTCGAAAAGACTGAGTATACCACTTGAGCTTCAAAAAAATGAAGATGATTTCAAGGATGCTAATGAAGAGATAGAAGTTCCCTCGACTAGGGGAAAATTGTTCACAACGTGATAATTCGTCCTCATTGTAATGCCTGTCAATTTGATCTTTCCCTAATTCCATCATTAAAAAAAGTTATGTATGGTTTACGTAACATCAATTTAGAAAATTAAAAAAATAGTTACCTTTAACTCGCCATTGCCGACACACTGATAAGGATGTCTCAGCTGTTATGTATTCCTTTTAAAAAAACCATACATGCAGACTTAAAGGAGAAATTGGCCAAGTTAATTAATGCCAACTTCTATCAAACATCGTCAATATTCGAAGATGACTTGATCAAGCTATCAAAACTAAGAGAAATAGCCGTCAAAGTTAATGTATCGGAGACAGATTTGAAGAAGCTGAAAGAATATTATATTCAGTTCTGCCAGCTGAAAATCAAATTTCCTGATGACCAATTGGAAGTTACGTGGTTTGAAACTTTGGGCTTAAAATCTTATGGCCGAAAATGTTCGAGTTTCCAATTTGAGGAACTCAACTTAGTATACAACATTGGTGCAATGTACTCAATGCTGGCTGTTGATAACAACAATGGTTCCCCTGAAGGACAGAAAAAAACATGTCAGTACTTCCAGCTCAGCGCCGGATGCTTTGATTACATCTCAAGTCATGTCCATGAGTCTAACGATATTTCCATGGATGAAAATGCCATTTCTTCCTTGAAATACCTCATGCTAGCCCAAGCTCAAGAAACAGTCTGGTGGAAAGCAATAGGAGATAATCTGAAACCAGCATTAACTGCCAGGTTGGCATATCAGGTATCCCTGTTTTACGAATTGGCATGGAAAGAAGCCAAAATGAGTGAACTAATAAAGAGCGACTGGCAAAAAAGATTTCAAGAGAGAAGTCTTTATTTTGTTGCAGTGGCTCGCTATCGTCAGAGTCTAGATTTTGAAGAAAGAAAAGAATACGGCGCTAAAGTAGCGGCTCTTAAAAGTGCTTCAACCCATTTAAATGAAATCAAGCTTGAGGATGAAAGTGTGATAGCCTTTATGTCAAAGATACGCGAATCTTCAAAAATTGCTGAGAGAGATAATGATCTTATATATCTGCAACCAGTTCCACCGGTTTTACCTACCTTGAAGCCAGCTCCGATGGTCAAATGTATTTATTTTGAAGGTTTAAAGCAGCCTTTCGACGACAAAATACTGGAATCAATCGGCGGGCCGCTTTTTAAAAGTTTGCTCCCTATTTCGGTGATGGAAGCCTCCACTGCATTCAACGAGCGCCAAGACGAATATGTACAGCAACATGTCGTGGCACCCATCAAAGCATTAACAAACTTACTGAAAGAACATATCCCGACTTTTGAGCTACCAGAAGCTCTGAAACCTATGAGTGAAAATGATCTTCAGGCCTATGAGTTGTCTATGGTGGAACTACAGCTGAATAACAAGAATATAAGTGACGTATTGCACCAAATCAGACTTATTCTTGAGCAGGAAGCGTCAACAGATAGCTCTCTGAGGTCAAGACATGGATCACTGAGGTGGACGTTAAAAGATTCGCAGACTGCCAACTCAGAATATATTCAACGGTATGAAAAAATCAGCAGCTACTTGAATCAGGGTCGCAAGGTTGATGACGATACATTTCAATTGTTTTTAACTGTAGATAAAGCGTTGCTCACAAATCCTGTCAAATTACCCGAGTCAACTGATCCGCTTGTAAAAGAAGCTTCGGATGTTATTAAACAGCGAGATGCTTACATTATTGAAGTGGAAGCTAAATCTGCTTCAAATTCTTTACTTCCCAAGATTATTTCGCTGTATAAAAAGACGAGAGCGACTGAATTCGAAGATCTTTTTGCAGAACATTTGGTAATATTTCGTGACGACCTGACATTTGTGCAGCAGGAAAAAAAGCGTAATGAAGTATTGATAAGGAAGTTAGTTGAGCACACAGAACGAGATACAACCAAGCGCTTGGATGCCAGGGATTTATATGTTCAAGACTTCAAATATTCCCTGAAAATTTTAGAAGATGTAAAAGAAAATATCAAAAGTGGTTCGACATTCTATCAAGACCTCATGAAATCGGCAACAGCACTACTTAATGACGTACAGAAATTTGAAGCAAGTAGAAAGGAGGAAAAGAAAGGTCTTGAAATGTTGTTAATGAGTAATGCTACAGACAGTTGATGGTAATTATTAATGAGTTATACCCTCGTTCATGTTTCCGTTTCTTTTCTTCTGCCATTTGTCAAAATTTTCCTTCTTCCTCAAACGACCAATATTTGATTTGTGACGTCTACTTTTCAAATGAATTTGCCAATTGCTCTCTCCGATAGCGATCAGGCATTTGTCATTCTGATCACGACAAATACTGCACGTAAAGTGCTTCCAACTTTCACTATCTTTCAGGTTTTGAGAATGTGGATTGAATATCAGTAGACTGCTTAATTCGGGTTCTGCATGGATTTCTTCAATAGGTTCATCTTTTATAAATGCATCAACAATAGAGATGGCTCTTGTGAAAACGTTTTCAGTCCATTGAGTGAGATCAGTGGCATTCAGTAAATAAATATTCCCATTGATATCGGGAATAAGCATTTTCTTTATCCATTTGACCTGTTTCTTGGCATATTGGCGTGTTCTCACTTTCATACGTTCAACCGATTGTTCTAACGAAGAATTGGCGTCACTTTCCAGCCATGGTAAGAATTCCTTGAACCCAATCACCTGCCAAACACCGTTTTCGCACTGTTCAGAAGTAAAATTATGGGTTCTGTAATAATGATAGAGTTGCTGTATTTCTTCCATACCACCAGACTTCAGCATATTATCTACTCTATCATCCAACCTTCTATCCAATTGCTCAGGCGAGCTATATATCCAAAAAAAAAGGGTGTCAAATTTGAGGGCAGGCTTCTGCTCGGCGTATGCTTTACTTGGATTTTCACCGGTCGTGTAGATTATTTCTAACATACGCCGTACTCTCCTCGTGTCGTTGGGATGAAATTTTCCTGCTATTGTGGGATCATGCTTCGCCAAGGTGTCGTATATAAGATCTGGATCATCGCTATTTAATATTTTATTCTCTTCTTCTGTTGGTTCGCGATTTTTGTTTGCAATTCTCTTATCAAAAAGCATTTGTAAATAGTAGTGTGTCCCTCCAACGATGATAGGTATTTTCCCCTTCTGGTGTATCTCGTTTATTGAAGCAAGACATTCTTTTTCAAATCTATGCAAATAGTATTCCTCGGTCCAATTTACATGGTTCATTACATGATGTGGAATCCCTTCACGCTCTTCTAATGGGTGTTTATTGGTAATTATTGGGATATTCTTGTAGACCTGCATTGAATCAGAATTGATGATTTCACCATTTACATGCTTCGCTAGCTGAATCGAAAGTTGAGATTTTCCTACACCCGTGGTACCAGCAATAACGATAACTTTAGGTTTTGACATTAATATGCTTGTGAAGACACTTCTCAGCATGTGAGTCTTTACCGTGGTGAGTTCGAAATTTAAAGCTCATCGCAGAAATGCTGTGGAATTAGTGTTTCGTACTTACGTACATGCTACATATCGTCTCCAGAATCATCATCATCGTACCAACCTTCTTCATATATCGAAGCAAGAGTGCCCAACTGCTCTTTGAGCTCTTCTCTGTCAGAATCATAGCGGAAGTATCGTGAAACCATGTCAAACCAATGCTTGAAAACGTTTCGAGGCCTTTCGTCAACTGCCAGATGAACGTTGTAATTTGTGATCTTTCTGTACTCCTCTGAAATTGTATCGGACGGCTGCCAAGCATAAGTGTTGAACAAGTAAATATCTTTTTCCTTGATTTCAGAGTCCCTCGAAATGTTACATTGAGAGAAAACGTGAGAACGACTTGTTTTGTAAAGAGGGATACGGGAGTAAAACGAAAAATCATCATTACGAATGCGCATTGTAGATACTATGTTTCGCGTTGGTTCTCCACGGGTGAGAGCAGACGCTATGTGGTCTAGACTTCTGCGCTGTTGAAGATCAGTCTGTGAAACCACCGAGTTAATTGTGTCAAAAAGCATGCAGGTGCGTGAGGCTGATTCCCATAAAGTCTTTTGAGGATCGGCATAAAGCGGAAAAAATAGAGTCGAATCGTAGCATAATGGCAAAGTTGAACGAATCTTATTGCAAAGACTTTTGAATTTGCTTTTTGTAGAAAGCACAGGTTCACGCAAGCTGAGGACGTCGTCTTGATTACTGGCCCACGTGTAAACATCTTTTTTTGGCATTTCATCACGCAGCTCCAGAAGAAGCGCAGAGGAAAATCCACCCCAACCATTATCGACCTCTGTCACTAGGTTGAAGCCTTCAACGTTGTCACATTGTTCTACCTGTCGGCGAAAACAGCCATCAAAAAAATCTGTGGCATAATTATCACGAAACTCTTGGTAGCCAATCTCGAAGCTGTCAAACTTGGTCTGATGGAGATTTTGGAAGTCAGGCATAGAAGGCTGAGTAGGATCATGGTACCAATTTTGTAAATTATTCAAACTGGAAGGTGAATATATGAGTTTTGCGTAGTCGGACCAATACTGTGTGTTTTGCACGTCAAGCTGCGGCAACGCCGTTCCAGAATCGAGAGCAGCCTGATATTCGGAAGGCAGCACACGCTCATGTGTTTTGATAATCTCAACTGGGCGCGTAACGTGCTCGGCTGGTGTTTCTGGGTTTGCAGGCCCCTCGCAGTTCTCACCGTAATAATAGTCTCCACTGTTAGAGTACTGATGAGTGGCGAGGGCACCATTACCAGTTTTTGCATCCCACAAAATAGCCCTGGGTGTGTAGGAGACGGTCTTCGATACCTTGTCCACGATGGGATTTAGAAATACCGCTGGATCATTGCCGTTTACTGAGGAGTGGTTACTATTTTCAGAAGCCTGTTCTAAGCTTTGCTCCTGGCAGTTGTAGAATTGTGTCAGAAGGTGATTTGCACGATGCGAAACACCAATGTTGATCACTTCTTGCATAAGAGAAGAAGGCAAATGCGAATACTTACGATTTCTCGTCAAATGAAGTGGAACAGCACCGGAACACTTTTTCATGTAATCACGTGTTTTCTATTAAAATTTGAAATTGGATCCTCTGTCAGATTAGGAAAAATGTAAACAAATCATTTCTGAGCTTCTAGAACTAATACACGTGATCAAATTCCTTTTGTTTTACGTGATGAAGTTTCGGAGTTCGAAATTTCGGCCCGAAAAATTGAGCCTTGTGGAAAAACTAAGGAAAAGGGCTTTGTCTTGATCGTGAGAGATGATTTGTGGATTAATTACGTTTCCTGCCTCAGGGGTAACGGCAGGAGTGGCTCTGAGTTATTCCGTTCCATCCTGTCCGTAATGCATCATGGTGGCGTTTGGGTTAAGGGTCTCGTTTATTGCGCCTGTCTAATTCTAGGATTTAATTCTATATTATTCCTTCTTCCCTCGGAACCCGAGCTAGATCGCGATACACGTTCCCTTGTTATGCTCTTCCATCCGATCGGCTCGGAGATAATTTGCTGCATGCGAGATCGAGGCGCGACGAATTTTCGGAGCGGGAATCACACAAACGCCGAGGCGCTCCCACGAGTTGCGGAAATACTTATAGATGGTTTAAATCAAACTGGACAGTTGAAATAAAAGCACATTCATTAATTGTTTCAGTTGTCAGTATCCACTTAAAAAGAGCTATTCGATTGAAGTTCAACAAGAAACTCGAGTTTGAAGAACAAAGATGTCAGATAATAACTCGAATGCAGATTCGAACAACTCGTACCTCGAGAAAAGCGAGCCGATAGATCCAAGATCGCTCGATTGGGATGGACCCATGGATATGGATAATCCACACAGTTGGCCAACGTGGAAAAAATGGGGAACTACAATGACAGCTGCAATGATGTGTCTTGTGGTGACGATGGGTTCCTCGCTATACGTGAGTGGTGTGCCAAGAATGGTCATGGAGTATGGTTACAGTCAGACACTGGCGTTGGCAGGGCTTACATTTTATTTGCTGGGGTTGTCGACCGTGATAGGGGCGCCATTGAGTGAGGTTTTCGGTCGTAAGCCGATCTACCTGGTTTCGCTGCCAGCTTCAATGCTGTTCACAATGGGTGTTGCGCTATCCGGTGGTAAAATGCGCATAGTGCTACCTCTACGTTTCTTTGCTGGTGTATTTGCATCACCTGCGCTGTCGATTGCGTCCGGTACCATCGTCGACATATGGGACATCGATGAGATTTCAATTGCCATGGCATTTTTCTGTCTGGCACCCTTTTTGGGTCCTGTTATCAGTCCAGTCATTGCAGGATTCGCAGCAGAGAAACAAGGCTGGAGATGGGCCAGTTACATCCAGTTGTTCGCAGGTGGTATCATCATGCCCTTCATTGTTTTCATGCCTGAAACACACAAAACAATCATTCTTACAAAGAGAGCTATGAAGCGGAAGATCAATTTAATAAAGCCCTCCGCAGAGGATCGCAAAAACTTTTTAAAATTGACTCTTACAATAACTGTCTTCCGACCAATAAAAATGCTTATTGTTGAGCCCACAGTGCTTGTTTTCTCCATCTACGTTGCTTTTATCTTCGCAGTGTTGTTTGCATTTTTTGAAGCGTACCCGGTCATTTTCCGTGGTGTCTATCATATGAGCACTGGTGTATCCGGATTGGCTTTCATAGGTATCGGTGTTGGACTGTGGTTAGGAGCCATATTCTATATCTTTATCGATCGCCGTTACTTCTTCCCTCCAGCACCTGCAGGAACTCCACCTCTAAGCGAACCAACCAGCAGAAGAACAGCACCTTTCAGGGGGAAGAGAGACCCCGTTACTGGTCACCTATTACCCTTGAAACCTGAAAGGTTTTTGCTAATTTGCAAGATTGGTTCTATTGCTTTGCCTATCAGTTTGTTTTGGCAAGCGTGGACAGCTAGAGCAAGCGTCCATTGGATGGCTCCTCTAGCCGCTGGCGTACCTTTTGGATTCGGTCTAATTCTAATTTTCTTCAGCGTTATCATGTACTTCTCGACAAGCTACCCTGCTTTATACATGGCCTCAGCACTTGCCGCAAATAACCTTTTGAGATATGTGACAAGTTGTGTTTTTCCACTGTTTACCGTTCAAATGTATGAAAAGATGCACATTTCCTGGGCCAGTTCCTTCTTTGGGTTTGTTTGTATCGCAATGATTCCTGTGCCATGGATCTTTGAACGCTATGGTGAATCTATGAGGAAGAAGTCGATTTTCGGATTTGATGCACTTGCAGCTGAGAGCGAAGAAGATGCTAAATCTATGGCACAGTCTTCCGCACGTCTCAGCAGGCGCGTCACTCGAGAAGTAACCGATCTGGAATCGAGCTCTTCCAAGACTGGCAAGAAGGAATCTGAGGACGATACCGAAGATACATGCGACCATTATCATGACGATCAGGAAGTTGACTTTCCTCAGATATTTAGCACCGCAGAAACTAGTGTGTCCAATATGGCTTGAATAGGTATATTCTGTATTCATCTTAATAAATAGTTTTTAACGTATATTTTCATCTCGAAAAATCGCAGCTTAGGCCGAGAGTTCCTCTATTAACTTCTAGATGAGAGTGAAGTTCGTATGTCCTCGACTATAACTTCATGCTTTGTCGTCATTCTGTCAATCATAATGATGTTACTCAGAAATAATACGACCTTTAAACAACGATTGGCACGTAAACTGGAAAATACCATGACAAGGTTCAACAAACATATTCCGATTTCGCAAGATTTCAAACTCGAAACTTCACCTTATTTCAAGCAACCGGTTGGACTTGCTGGTATATTTGATAGCTTGACACAATTTCAAGAGTACAAGGTGAGAGCATTGAGACAAAATGGTATTATTTTTCACAGAACTAAAGAGCTGAACTCATCATTACTCGACCAATTGAGGGAGTTGCAGTACTTCGATAAGTTGGTTGATGTCAACCACGCAATTGAAAAAAATCATGCAGTGACAGAGGCAATAATAAGACATACTTTGCAGCAACTGGTAAAGAATAATACGCTGGATACCGACAATGGTAAAGAAATCACTTCAATGATTGGGAAATTGGGCTACCAAGTTACAGCTTCTAGTGAAGTCTCGAAAATTTCATCTGAAGTTGTTTTGGAGTCTAAGTCGAACCAAGGGCGTGTGAATGAAGCGATTTCACATATTTGCCGAGATTGGCATTTTGAGTACGAGAAAGAGCGTACACCTTTGATAAATTTCATAAACTCGAGGCTTGACTCTCTCAAAGGTCAACGCAAAACTCTAGTGGTATTTCCTGGTTCGGGTGCAGGTAATTTAGCTTATCAGATTGCGAAAGATCATCCCAATTTTGAGGTTCATTCTATTGAATTTTCCAGTCTCATGTACTTGTGCAATGAGTTTATATTAGGTCATAACGGGAAGGTAACAATTGCTCCATATGCCCAACATTACTCTGGGCAAGAAAAGTTTGATTTCCAAAAAAGGGACTTAGAATTAAATCTTGAGAAATTCCATAGGCCACCAAATTTAAAACCACTGTTTGGTGACTTTCGGGCCTACACACCCCTTTCTGATTATGATGAAATTGTGGTGTGTAGTGCATACTTCATTGACACAGCAGAGAATCTGTTTCAGTATTTTGAGGCTGTGGAACAACTTTGTTCTTTTTCCCCAACAATACACTGGATAAACATAGGTCCTTTGAAGTACGGCACGCGCCCGTTAATTCAACTGTCTAGTGAAGAATTAGCCAAACTTCGAAAACTTCGCAAATGGAAAGATCTCTACAGCGAGTGTGATACTACCCATTTGAATGGATACTTAACTGATGAACATTCTTTATACCAAGGATTTTACGGTTTAGTGAAGTTTCATTCTGTATTCACAGGGAATTAATGATAATGTACATAGTTCTATTTCTTGAAGATGTCGTCACCTTTATTGATTTGAATTTTCTTGTCTTGACCACCACTTAGGATGCCGACGCCCTTGGCCCACCTAACGGCAAACACTTTGTCGTTTACACCTTTAACGACACTTTCATCTTCTCTGGTGATTGTATACATAGCAGTGTTGGATCTGACATCCCATATTTTAACTGTACCATCATGAGACCCCGAACATAGCATATATTCATTTTCAGGACATGTATCAAGGGAAACGACGAAATTCTTGTGTCCGATCAATTGTTGCTGTGTAATTTTAGCTGATGAGCCAATACGTGGATCATGCAGGGTGATGTGTCTAGCACTGGAGCCGCAGGCCAAAAGATTAAGTTTTGTCATCTGAGTCAAGGATAGCAAAGAGTACGAAGTGGTTTTGGTATCAATGCAGCGAGACGTGACCAAATCCCAAGTTTTGATGGTATGATCTTGAGAAACCGAATATCCTACCGTGGAATCACGAGAATCAAATATAACAGCTTCCACGGGGGCACTGTGGGATTCCATTAGTGCTAGAGGAGCACGTCTTCTGATGGAGCCATCCTTTAAGGTTAGCTTTCTTCTCTTCTTGGCAGCACTTGAAACATTCGAACTCAAACTTTCCATTGGATCCACTGTCATCATTTCCTTGTAGTTTGTGGACCAGAACCCTATAGTTTTGTCGGAAGAACCGGATAAAATTCTATCACTGCTAACATCCAAAGCAACCACGGGAGCTTTATGGCCGTCTAAGATGGCTAAAGTCTTACCATCTTCGACATCGTCCTCTTCAGCATCCAGATTATTTTTCAAGTCGTCGTTCTTGGTCTTCCAGAGACGTAACGTGCGATCGTTGGCACCAGAAACTAATCTTGTGTTGGAAATGAATTTTACAGCACGGACTGGACCGGAGTGTCCACTGTATTGCTTTTCGATCTTACCAGATAGGTTCCAAGTGCGCACTACACCATCGTACGACCCGCTAATGATCTTGGATCCACCCACATCCAGGGCACTTACCCAATCGTCGTTATTAAAGCTGCTCAAGTATGACGGTGGGAGTACGGCGCGCGTATACTCGACATTCAAGCAGGTTTCCGAAGAAAGTCCCTTCTTTACCAAGTAGTCGTCGAGGGATGTGCGGAGCAATTCACCATCAATCAGAAAATCAAACGGAACTGTCTTTTCTAATCCCAGTAGGTGGTTGACAATCTCCGATAACCCATATCTCTTCAGGGACACTGGCGCGTAAAGCGTCGTGTCATCAACCTTCAAAGACTCATCCTCCTCACGTGTGAAAAACCTTAGCTTAACCTGGGCCTCGTCGCTCATTCGGTCAATGATAATGCTAGATGTGGTGAGCCATTCAACACTGCGATGAGCTCTTCAAAATTTTTCACAACATTCGGAAAAAGAAACTGGTCTAGGAGACCTTTAGTGTCACGTGGTGTTGACTTTTGTTGTCCAGCTACAAATAATATCTATTACCAGCCATTCCGGCCTAGAGAGTTCTATATTATGCGGTGTTCGTGCATCGAGGGCATCTCGCTACTGTTAAGACGTACAATACTAGATTCTACACAATTATCTTCAACTAGGTGTCTCGCTCACGCAGTTACCGACCGAGCCTAGACTAGCTAATCGGCTCGGACAGTATGAGGACGTTCACGAATTCTTTCTAGCGCTTCTTTTCCCCTCTGTTCATCTACAGAAATACAGATGGCACAGTGAATAGAATGCATTATTATTTCGTATCACTGTATGAAGTAAAGAAGAAGACAAGTCGAAAAGTCCATTCGCTTTTGAGCATTGAATTGTAGTCCGGGTAACAGGAATTATTTCTTACAAAAGCTCTGTAGGGTTTTTCAGATAGTGCCAGAGTGCGCTTTAGGAAGGAAGGTTGCCATCGAGCAACATCTCTGATGAGCTCCTTACTAGTATTTAAATGCATACGTTAGGGCGTTTATTTATCATATATGAAGTACGTACAAATCCAACACTAGGTGCTGTGAAATTGTCTTAGCTATGCGTGTGAAGGTGTTCAAGGCCGTTAACGGCGCATCGAGGGCACTGAAAAAAAGTGAAAAATAATATGAGCTCAGATGATTCATAGGAAGATTCGTTAGTTTAGTTGACTAGAATCAAGCACACAGTCGTGTTCATTCTCTCATTTCGTAATGGCATCTTCAGTACCGGGACCAGTCCCTCTTCCAGAGTCACGATACAACCTTTCCACGTACTGGGGCAGAGTGCGTCACTGCTCTGAAATCGCGGACCCATTTATGTTGTTCACGACCAAAGCAGACCTCGATAAAGCCCGTGGGATCATTTCTGCTTACCGTCATGGTGAACTAAAGCACACTACACCAGAGTTCTGGCACGCAAAGAAACAATTGGACTCTACTGTGCATCCAGATACTGGTGAGACGGTGTTGCTGCCTTTCCGTATGTCCTGTTGCGTTCTTTCGAACTTGGTCGTGACTGTAGGTATGCTGACCCCAGGTATGGGTACTTTCGGTACCATGTTCTGGCAATGGGCCAATCAGTCGCTTAACGTTGCAGTGAACTCCGCCAACGCCAACAAATCTCACCCAATGTCAACCCAGCAACTGATCACGAACTACACCATGGCTGTTACAGCATCTTGTGGTGTTGCCGTTGGTCTCAACAAGCTTGTTCCCCGGTTAAAGAATCTCTCAGCCAATACTAAGTTGATCTTGGGTCGTTTGGTTCCATTTGCTGCTGTAGTCAGCGCCGGTATCGTCAACGTGTTCCTAATGAGAGGCGATGAGATCCGCAAAGGTATCACTGTGTATGACAAGCATGGTGATGATGTTGGCAAGTCCAAAAAAGCAGCCTTCTTGGCTGTTGGAGAAACTGCGCTAAGTAGAGTCATCAACGCTACGCCTATCATGGTTATCCCACCTTTACTCCTCGTTAAATTGCAGAAGGGTGTTTTGAAGGGCAAATCTATGGGTGTTCAGACCGTAGCCAACCTTGGATTGATCTTGGCGACCTCTTTCGCCGCTTTACCTTTTGCATTGGCAGTGTTTCCTCAATATCAGTCTATCCATGTTAACAAGTTGGAGAAAGAATTATGCGGTAAGAAGGACAAGAACGGAGAACCCATCGACAAGGTGTATTTCAACAGAGGTATTTAGAGGGCTATATTTTTGATAGATGTAACATTTACGTTAAAATTTTATACACAAAGAGCAAAAGTTAACATTTAAAAATACTATCCGTAAAGACTCTAGTAAACCCATTCTAGTCCGCCATTCTTTGGAAGAAGCATTGCGTCCAGCTCTTCGCGCGTAGAATCTTTGTGAAACAAGTTTATGACATTGTCAAGACTTTCTGCAAAATTAGTTGCAGGAACGTAACAGCATCCTAGCCCACCCAATCCAGTGACGAAAGTACGGTATTTATGATTTTCCTCAAGGCTACGCTTAAATTTTTCGATCTCTTCTGGAGGGGTTTTCTTGTTTATCAAAGTCAAAGCACACCCACCTCCACCAGCACCGGTGAGTTTCGTGGCGCCAATTCCCATTGTATCACTCAAACTCCTGATTACTTCGAGACCCGGGTGCGAGACTCCAAGTGCTACCAAGAGACCGTGGTTTACACGCACAAGCTCTAATAGATCATCGTAGTTAGTGTCGTCGAGCTTTGAGATTATTTCCGCACCCTTGGTGGCTAAGTGGCCCATAGACGTTAAGATGGGTTGAGCCACAGAAGGTTGGCGGGTTACAAAGTCCCTGACCCCGCTTACAAGAACTTTTGTTGATCTTGGGATCCTTGTATCTGTCAAGATCATAGGCATTTGAGGGAAATCCAAAATTCTTTCGAATTTTGTATCACCGTTTTCGCTTCTTTGGAACAGAACTGCGCTTCCATACGTGGCTACAGCATTGTCGATACCTGAGGGAGTGCCGTGCATGCATTTTTCCCCAATGAATGACCACTTGTTAACAAATTCAAGTGCTTCTTCACTCAGTGGTTTGTTATCCTCAGGTATATGGCCTTGCAGTTTACCCATACCCAAAGCCAAGCACACAGCAATGGATGCACTGGACCCCAGCCCCGCACCAATTGGAGAAGTCGATTTGACAGTGAACTTAACACCAGTTCTGGTTCCGCAAAGGCACAAGTACATATATAGAAAGCAAAACGCGGCATGATAATGCAAGTTGTCCTTCAATTTCGACAACGGTCCCTCAAGGGCCTTAACCAGCTCCTCTCCTAACTCATTCTTTTTCGACAAAGCAGCAGAGATTATAGCCTCTCCAACGCTGGCAAGTTCACCCCCGTACCACTTATGATCAAAGCCAATATCAGGAAAATCCAATTCAATTGCATCTTTATCGCTGCTATCGGTTATCAACAGGTACGTTCTCAACGAAGACACGCTTGCTGCAATCGCTGGCTCGTTGAACACAGCTGAATGTTCTCCAAAAATGATTACCTTTCCCGGCGCAGAAGTTAGTAGCGGAAGTGACATTGGCTTTAATTACAAAAAAGAGCGAGCGTGAACGGCTACATTGTCTTAATTTCAAATTGAATATCAAGCTAGCATTACTTAAACGAAGGAAACGTAGGCACAATCGGGCTTCAGGTTTTTAGCGGCCGGGTAATTTTCATAACGTATTTCGTACGCTGTTATAATTCTAGTTGCGGGTAACACTGACATGTCACGTTATGGGATTTTTTTTTTCTTGGTTTTTTGTTTGCAGCCATCAAGTAATTGTGAAAGGGGCCATCTGACCTTTACTTATCCTGTTTAAACAAAGCTCCAAACAATAGGAATCGATGGTTGAGAAGGAAGAAGCTATGTTCCGCTCTGCGGAAATGAGCTTGATCCAGCTTTATGTTCCCCAAGAAATAGCTAGAGATACGGTTTATGGCCTGGGAAACCTAGGAATGGTCCAGTTTAGAGACTTGAATACGAAGATTCGTATGTTCCAGAGAACCTTCGTTCAGGAGATTAGAAAGCTCGACAACTTGCAAAGGCAGTACAGATATTTCAACTCTCTTTTGCAAAAGCACAACATAGCGCTTTACGAGGAGTACGATGAGGATGACAAGAGGTTCCAACTACCTCCAGGATCATCTGCTATCGACGACCATGTGGAAAATGGTTCATTGATTGAGGAGCGTCTGGTACAGCTTGTGGAAGCAAGTGAACGGTTAGAGTTACAGAAGGCCGATCTGGAACAATACAGATATGTTCTTAAAGCTGGTGATGAGTTCTTTGCTAACACTGGCGCGTCTGGTTCCGGCGATGAATTACTCTCACGTTCCGTGTCTTTTGTGACCGGTGTGATTCCAAGAGCTAAGGTTGGTACCTTAGAACAAATTCTCTGGAGAGTTTTGAGAGGTAACTTGTTTTTCAAGCACGTGGAACTACCTCAACCTGTTTACGACGCCAAGTCAAAGACGAAAGTTGCCAAGAATGCTTTCATCGTATTTTCGCATGGTGACTTTATTCTACAACGTATCAAGAAAATTGCTGAATCGTTGGATGCCAATCTTTACGAAATTAGCGAAAGTCAAGAGGAACGTTCCAAGGAGCTTGGTACTTTGAACACTCGTCTGGGTGATGTTTATACTGTTTTGGACACCACTACCACAACATTGGAGACCGAACTGTACGCTGTTGCGAAAGTTTTGAATTATTGGAACAAGGAGGTCTCACACGAAAAGTCTGTGTACGAAATCCTAAACTTGTTCAACTTTGATTCAAACAGAAAGACCTTGATTGGTGAAGGTTGGATCCCAACAGATGAACTTGACACTTTGCAACAGCAACTTGCCAAGTTGACATCGACATTAGGTGTTGATGTTCCTTCTATCGTTCAAGTCTTGGAAACTAACAGAACACCACCAACTTTCCATAGAACCAACAAGTTCACAGAAGCATTCCAGAATATTTGTGACTGTTATGGTATTGCAACTTATCGTGAGGTTAACCCTGGTCTACCAACCATTGTGACTTTCCCATTCATGTTTGCTGTCATGTTTGGTGATATGGGTCATGGTGCTTTGATGGCCATGGTTGCTTCCCTACTAGTGATTTACGAAAAGAAGTTGGGTAAAATGAAGAGAGATGAGATCTTTGATATGGCCTACTCTGGTAGATACATTCTTCTGCTCATGGGTTTGTTTTCCATTTACACTGGTTTCTTATACAACGATATGTTCTCTAAATCCTTGACTTTGTTCAAGTCAGGCTGGAAGTGGCCAGATCACTGGGAACTAGGTGAAACTATTTTCGCTAAGCAGGTTGGTGTCTATCCATTTGGTTTGGACTGGGCTTGGCACGGAACTGAAAATGGTTTACTGTTCAGTAACTCCTTTAAAATGAAGCTTTCTGTTTTGTTGGGTTTCATTCACATGACTTACTCCTACATGTTTTCGCTTGTGAATGCAGTTTATTTCCAGAACTGGATAGATATCATTGGTAACTTCATTCCAGGTCTGTTGTTCATGCAAGGCATTTTCGGTTACTTGTCTGTTTGCATTGTCTACAAGTGGAGTGTAGACTGGGTAAAGGACGGAAAGCCTGCTCCTGGTCTATTGAATATGTTGATCAACATGTTCTTGTCACCAGGTAACGTTGAGGAACATCTCTACCCTCATCAAGCTACTGTTCAAGTGTTCCTGTTGGTTATTGCATTGATTTGTGTACCATGTTTGCTGTTGATAAAGCCATTGCATTTCAAATTCACTCAAGAGAAGCACCATCAACATCAGCCACTACCAGGGTCTGAAGAAGGTGCCTCCTCGCAAAACCAACTTGAACTTCTGGAGGATGATGATGATGAAGAAGAAGCTGCCGGTCATAACTTCGGTGATGTTATGATTCACCAAGTTATCCACACCATCGAATTCTGTTTGAACACCGTTTCCCACACTGCTTCCTATTTGCGTCTGTGGGCTTTGTCTTTGGCTCACGCACAACTGGCAGCTGTTTTATGGACCATGACTATCCAAATTGCTTTTGGTATGACAGGTTTCATTGGTGTATTCATGACTGTGATCCTTTTCGCCATGTGGTTCGTGTTGACCTGTGTAATTTTGGTTGTCATGGAAGGTACGTCCGCCATGCTTCACTCTTTACGTTTGCACTGGGTCGAATCGATGTCTAAGTTCTTTGAAGGTGAAGGTACACCATATGAACCATTTGTTTTCAAGGCTGTGGACTTTGAATCTGAGCCTTAAGCCTTGGAAAGAGAGACACTGCAATAATTTTGATGCCAAATTTCTATTGTGTTCATTTACTCGTACGTACATCGTGGAACAATCATTTATATAGAGTCGCACAGCTCGTAAGCGTGCTCATTTCAAAAAAACTTGTAATTGTCCATCTGCTCCCCCAGACACTAGTAGTTCTCTGTTAAGACCATTTGAGTCGAGGTCTAGACAGTTTATGAACCCTGAATGTAGATCTGATAGTACTCGAATACAGTCACCAGATCCAAGATCCCAAATCCGAATCGACCTATCGTCACTGCACGAGAATATGTGATTTCCGCGAACGCATACATCTCTCACCCATGATGAGTGACCATGCAACTTCTTGATTAATGTGAACTGCGACCTTGCAGGGTTTGGTTGTGGTGGCCTATGTGGGACGAATTTTGGCAGTGGGACTGACCATATGCAAATGTTTTTGTCACGCGATGTAGAGACGACCTGTTTAAAGCCTAATTGTGAGTATTCTTGCTCCGAAGCTAACTGGCCCTGGTCTGATGTATCTGAAGTAGCTTGGTTTTCTTCTAAGGGGATAATCTTTAGTGACTCTATGGGAAAATCGTGACCGATACCTAACGAAAGCCCTCGGCCACTAGGCCAATGGGAAAGTCGTACTGTAGAATCATTTGAGCCAGTCACAATGTATTCGCCAAATACATCGAGGCATCGTATCCAATCTTTGTGTGCTTGGAAAGATTTGAGACACCAACCATTGGAGAGGTCCCAGATCTTGCATGTCAGATCACGTGAGCATGTGGCCACTAGGATATCAGATCTGTTTCTCCATATACGTGCATGCGATACAATGTGCTCGTGGCCAGTGAATGTTCGGATGAGTTGAAGGCCGGTACCGTCGAAACGGAACACCTTGCTATGGAGGTCCTTCGATGCTGTGACCACCAGGCAATGAGTAGATTCTTCGACAAGCACATCGATGCTGGTAATCCCGCGCATATGTGCCTGCACTGACGCGAGCGGCATTGTGTAGTTCATAAGATCGTAGCACTGGAGCTTGCCTTGCTCTGTCGCGACAAACACAGTTGGGAGGATTGGATGTAGTTTGACAGCGGACACAGGGGCCCCAATGTCGATGTGAAAGCTCGGTAACGAGCGCGGGAGCCAGTTGATCGAAGAACGTGCTACCGCGTGCGCCACTGTGCCCTCCTCCAGGAGCGTTTCGTTCTCGTCGGTAAGTTGCCGTATATGACGCTCCAGTTCGATAATGCGTCGTTGAAGTCGTACAATTGAGTTCCACTTGCGAGGCAGCAAAGCTGCATCACTAGAAATTGTATTACCACCATATGAATCCCCGTTTTTGTCCATTTTATTGTCCTCTTCTTCGATCTCTAGCCATTGCGCGACTGTTGTTAGAACGTGATCTGCATTTGCGGCTCCTTCCGCAGGTTCGTGCGGCACTTGCACCCGCAAATATCCTAGAATACTTCTGTGCAGGGCTTGTCGCTGCTCAGGAGACAATAGCGCCTTCTCAATTCCCATGTCGGCGGAATGAATGCGATTGAGCGAATGTGTTTACATGAACAGCCGTCCAGACAGTTTACTTTTCCATATCGAGGAAATGAAACCGAGAGGATATCATATGTCACGTGCGTCGGACTTGTTTCGTCGATTGTGATTTCAAAATCACATCGTTATTGACGTCTTTCGTTAGATGTGATATTTATGTCACGTGGTTGATTTGCTGCTTTTGTCGTTTCTTTTCCCGGGTCCAAGTCGAATTTTTTTATTCTCCACGTGATCTCGTCGGGTGCAGGCTCTCTATTAAGATTTCCCGTGCACATGGCAGCAGCTTGGTCAGTAAGCGAAGAATACACGTAAAAGAGCGCTTATTACTCTTAAAGCTTGGATTCGTACCTTGGACCCTTTCAGGGACTACCACCGGAGTTTTTAGCCGGACTTGGTACCTTTTGGCAGGTGTTCTCAAAGCCGGAACACCTACCGCGATTTCGGAGTCCGGCGCAACTTGAGGCATATTCTGAAAAACCTCTCGGAATATAAAAGGGGAAAGGCCTGGCGTGAAGTCGTAACACACAACAAAGCGCGAGAGGGAAGGAGAGAGGAATATGCCTACTATACTGGGTAGAAACCCATTTCATCATAAGATTCAGAGTCATTCATCGAACGTGGAACCGCACAGCGAACATGGACGGTCTTCTAGGTCATTTCTGGGGTTTATGAACAAGACTAATAGCGATGAGTCAACGCGTAGTGGAGGGGAACAACGTAGCGATATGAAGCGGGCTGCTGGTTCTATGAACGAACTGAAACGGTTCTTTCGGCCATCAATGCATAGGCGTCCATCTCAGGTTAGTCTGAGACACGGATCCCCTGAGCACCACTCGCATACGCAGTCAGCGATTCCTCCGAGCTCAGATTCCACTTTGTCGCTGTCAAACCGGACCAACATTTACCACGACGATTCGCTATTGGCGCAGAAATATGGTAAGCTTGGAAAGATACTAGGCTCCGGTGCGGGCGGTTCGGTCCGCGTGCTTGTTAGGCCGACTGATGGCGCCACATTTGCGGTGAAGGAGTTCAGGCCGCGCAAACCTAACGAACAAGTCAAGGATTACGCCAAGAAGTGTACTGCAGAGTTTTGTATTGGGTCCACACTCCACCACCCTAATATTGTGGAGACCCTGGATATTTTTAGCGATTCTAAACAAAACAAGTACTTTGAGGTGATGGAATACTGTCCAATCGACTTCTTCGCAGTGGTAATGTCGGGTAAAATGACACGTGGTGAGATCAACTGTTGTCTGCGTCAATTAAGCGAGGGTGTACGGTATCTCCATTCAATGGGTCTAGCGCATCGAGACCTGAAACTTGACAACTGTGTTATGACACATGACGGGATTTTGAAGTTGATAGATTTCGGAAGTGCCGTTGTTTTCAAGTACCCATTCGAGGCAGATGTTGCTATGGCTCACGGAATCGTCGGTAGCGACCCTTATCTAGCCCCTGAGGTCATCACATCAACTAAGAAATACGACCCACAGCTTGTCGATATCTGGTCTATCGGGATTATTTATTGTTGCATGATGTTAAAGCGTTTCCCATGGAAGGCTCCTAGAGAAAGTGATGATAACTTCAGGTTGTATTGCATGCCTGATGACTCGGAGCACGACTACGTTAAATCCGCCAAAGAACATGAAATCCTAATGTCTCAGAGACGTCTGGAGAAACAGAAGATGAAGAGAATGAGAGAATCAAGAGAAAAATCACCACTTGCCAATTCGGAAAGCACGGTGAGACCATCTACTCCCACTAATGAAGCGCCACAAGCCTCAGCGACTCCAGCAATTGAAGTTACTGCAGTAGGCTCCTCAAAAGAGGAAGTCGACAAGCCTGCTACTGCTGCCGCTGCGGACGTGGACGAAGTTCATCAGCATAATGATACACATGAATCTGAGCAACACGGTTCATCCTCGTCGCCCAAGTCAAGCCTAAAAAGCGAGCCGGAAAAACCCTCGCATTCGCACAGAACGGTTTCACACGACTCTTCGAAGCCTAGGAGGGTAATTCATGGACCTTACCGTCTCCTCCGTCTGCTTCCACATGCCTCAAGACCTGTGATGTCTCGTATACTTCAGGTTGATCCTAAGAAGAGAGCCACCCTTGAAGAGGTCTTTCAAGATGACTGGTTCGGTAATATACCTTTTTGCACAATAGACGATAAAAAAAATGTCATCAGGGCCCCTGGTCATTCACATACTATCGTAAGAGAAGAGGAGGCTCATCTTGAGACTTACAAAGTCTGAACGACAGAGCTGACATTTTTACACTTTAAAGTTTTACCATTTTGCATGAAGCTGGCCGATGGCGTTTAGAATACATTCTTGTACGAACCTATGTATGGTACATGAATAACCTGCCGTACGTATTAATGAAATTTTTTTCACGAGAACCTGAAATTTAGGCGCATCGTTCTTCATTGTATATTTTTAAGTTGCTTATCTTCTAGTAATTTAGCAGATCCTGGGAAATTCAGGATTGCGACGTTATTTACTCCCCATTTCTCCGAAAAAAGTGCATCCTTCGATGCAGTGATAGTGCCATCAAATCTAAATGCCCAGTAGATCATTAATCTCCATACCAAAACCTTCTGACTGGTTTTGTTTTTCACCATTGTATTTAGATCTTCACCACGCTTGAAAAGCTGTCTCTCTAGTATTGCATTCACAAGCTCACGTTCACTCAGTTTCGTTACTTCATCGCTCATTATATGTCTTAATAGCAGCCAATCATCGACAAAAAGATATTGATGGAAATTTGTTAGAATCTCACAAGGCTTGGCTTTGTTGTCCGACCATTTGTATATGTTTGCTCTCCATTTGGGTATGAGCTTGCACTTCAAGAGAACACTCATTAAATCATTGGGTTTGACCATATATGGTGATTGGTATCTTGGAATCTCTGAAACAGAATAATCATGTGTGTATATTGCTCTTCTATCCGAGATTTTCTTCAATGCGCCAGGTGTCAAGCAGTTCCAAGGAACAATGGTGGGTGCTAGATAACAAATGACCGGTAGCATCTCCTCAAAGATTATAAATAGAACAATGAAGCTAGGTAATTTCCAGAACTCCGCGCGTCTATGGCATTCTTGGAATTCTGCACGGCTTAGTGGGAACTTTATATCCTCTGCTCGTTTCAATCGCATTTCGATTTCTTGAAATTCTATTGTTCTGAAGATATTCGTGTTTAATTGTTCTGGCGAACCATATTTCTTGATTATCTTTTTAGAGTCTCGGTGTATGTTCCACATTGCTCGTATCCCTGTAGAATAGCTTTTTAGTATTGATTTCCCTAGGCGGTACCATTTCGTGATTGGTTTTCTCCAGTCCGCAATATTTGAATCCATTGTCACTTGCTCGAAGATTTTGTTCTTGGGAAATTCAGTCATCGGAAGAGACCGTACTGAGTTCAAGCTTGGCGTACATTCTTCACTATCGTCAACTATCTCAAATCTGTGAGATACATAAGCATTTCTTAACTTCGCTAATGTGCTATTCTTAGCGCACGCTTCATTAAGATCTTGAAGTTGATCAAGTCTTATTAGTTTAGGGATAGTACCTGTAGTGGCGTAGAAACGTACATGAGGCAGTGATCTCATTCCTATCTTGGGAATATGGTTCTACTCAAAGCCATAAATTTTTCCATTATTATATCGCGAAATTGGTTTTTTTTGGATTTGAACATCAAACGCGTAGTATATTCCTTATTAGTTCCAGCTAGTGGATAAGTTGATATGGAGGCATCAAATTTACAAATCTATTGGCATGAATCGCAGCCAATATATAGCTTGTGCTTCCATCAGAGTAATTCAACCGCGAGACACACTAGGCGACTGGTTACTGCAGGCGGCGATAACAAAATTCGCATCTGGCAATTGAACTTCGATCAGGACAACAAGGATAAAGTCGATACAATTGACTTCCTATCTTCTTTAACTCAACATGAACAAGCAGTTAATGTCGTTCGATTTGACTCGAATAATGAGACTTTGGCCACTGCTGGTGATGATGGCCAATTACTGCTATGGAGGAAAAACGACAAGATAGTCAAGGAGTTTGGTACCGATGAAGAAGAGTTTGCTGATTTCAAAGAGTCATGGTATATTTGGAAGCGCCTGCGCACCAGTTCGATGGGCGCGTCATCAGAAATATACGATCTCTGCTGGAGTCCAGATGATAAATTCATAGTAACAGGGTCAATGGATAACAGCGTTCGGATTTTTGACGTTGAACAAAGCAAATGTATAGTTGTGTCAACAGAGCATAACCATTACGTTCAGGGGGTAACGTGGGACCCCAACGATGAATTCATAATTTCGCAATCTGCTGATAGATCGATTCACGTTCATAAGATTCAGCGTGATAACAACGGCCTAATAACTTCTTTGAAAATCGCAAACAAAATTACAAAGGGAGATCTACCGACTAGAGAAGGTATGAATTCCAAGGTGTTAAAGCACAAGAGCCTCAAGACTTCCTACTTATTCCACAATGAGACATTACCCTCATTCTTCCGCAGGCTATGTATGTCGCCTTGTGGAAACCTACTTTGCATCCCAACGGGTATATTTAGAATCAATGACAGTGGATCAGAGAATATGACAGATGAGTTAGCCAATGCAGTTTACATTTTCACTCGTTTCTCGCTTAAGAATAACAGCAACAGGCCAGTCTTGTGCTTGCCCTTCTTGCACAAGCCAGCGCTAGCCATTTCGTTTAACCCTCGACTCTACAAGCTGAATGGCAATGATAAGCCATACATTGATCTACCATATAAGCTGGTTTTTGCCGTTGCAACTTCAGATGAGGTACTTTTGTATGACACAGAATCGACTGAGCCTATTGCTGTGATTGGAAATCTGCATTACACGCCGATTACAGACCTCAGTTGGAGTGCTGACGGTTGCATGCTGATGCTATCATCGACTGATGGCTTTTGTTCTTACGTTTCGATGAAACAGGGAACCCTTGGGGGTCTCTACGAGAAAGATCTTCCCAAGCGCGCGTCCGAATCGGAGCACTCCGCGCTTGAGTCATCTGCATCTGTAGATAATTCTTCAAACCAAAAAAGGAAAGCACCATCAGATAACTCGCTGACAGAAACCGCTGAAAAAATTAGCAAGACGTCAGGTATTCAATGTGCCTCCTCTGCCTCGGAAGTGGGGCAGAAGAAAGAATTTGAGGTCGCTACGAAACCTGTTTCCTCCAATGAAGCGAAAAGCACTCCCAAAAAGTCGGTAAAACGCAGGATACAGCCTACTTTAATGAGTTGAGCAAACTCACGAATATGAACTTCTACATATTTGGGACATATATACACTATTCGCATAATTAGAGAAGCAGAGAACATCCAATCTACATCATCCTTTACTTTCTCTGTCCTGATGATCACGTGCTATGTATTTGTTTTCCATCTTTCGCTGTTTGTGACTGATCAAATTGACACCCAGACAACCTATAGGGCTCTATGGTAAAAATCTCTTGGCAGGGTTCATAATTTGTCACCAATAGGACGAAAGCGAACAATTGGATTTGGGAAACATATTGGAAACAAAATTGAACAGCGAAAAAATCTGGTCATGTGCTCTTAAGCGAGGAACATTTGGCTGAAGTAACTATGTAAGATAAATAAGTTCTCATACATATCGATAGTATTAGGCTATATACAATCAGCTGACAAGCCTTTGAGGACATCTACAGTTATTTTATTTTGTACTGAATGCATTTATTGTTTCGTATACGATATATATACTAAACTCTTTCGTGTTTGATTCGAGGATCAATGATCTAGCAAATGAGCAAGGTCCTCATCTTTAGCAAGCTTCTCTTCCATCTTCTTTCTCGCCTGCCAAACTAAAAACTTCTTGCGCTCTTCGAGCGAGAGGTCGAGGTACGCAGTTCCGGTAAAATCGTCGTTAATGTCGACGTGGTATTTAGAGAGAAGGTTATCAGGCTTGATATTACTCTTCTTTTTTGGATCGGTAGCCTCAGGAGTTCGCTCACTTGTGTGTGTGGAACTTTGTGCTTCTGATGAGGATTCGTGGCTGAATCCCGGAGGGAACGGCAATTCCTCGCCTCTTAGAAATATCTCCACGGTGGCTTCCACGGAACCTGTTTGCTCAAGACTGTATCTTATCTGTTCTCTATGCAAGTACGGAGCCAGACTTTGGACCACTTCGATCATATCATCGGTGACTCTTCTTCTAGCACGCCTCCTTGGGGCGTTTGACTGCGCGCGAGCAGTTGTCGTCGCACTTGAACGAATTGGATCTGCATGTTGTGCGGATGGATGAGATTCGGATTGCACAAACCATTTTAATAGCACAAAGGCCACCACGATTACTGCTAAAAATGTCACAGTCGACTGGTCCATAGCTTGCGGGATAGGGTTCTTGTGAGGTCTCTCGTTTTCTGTGGGACACGAACTTCAGAAATATTTTGATAGTGCTTCGTATTTCAGCACTCGAGAATGCCTGCAATACCACCAGGACGCCACAAAATAAAAGATACAACGTAATTATTTATCTATTAATCATTGTTAATGTTGCTAACTTGCTACTGATCTGTGAATTCCATTCTAAATTTCCTTTTCTTGTTTTTTACCTTGTAGATGAACGCCGGTACGCACTCCGTTTCCTTCACACTATAGGATGTGAAGTGTCTTTTAACCTCTGATGCTAGCTCTTTCTTTGTTACTCTTGCGTCCGCAATCCCATCTTGATTCCGCTTATACGAGTACGTCTTTGCGCCCAATTCTGATCCCAGCAGGTATCCTTGGATGGAGAGATTATCTTCCAGCGACAAATGAAAGTGATCCTTATAACGACGAAGGAACTCGTCTGGATAAGACTCGAAATCTGCAGGATGAGGTTTGGGGTCATTGTCAGGGTGATTATTCTGTATGTGCGTTCTTATGAGTTCTTTCAAGTACTGCTGTTGTGCGGCCGTAAGTCTTTGTTTCCCCCCAGATCTCGTGTTACTACCTGTTGTAGAGCCATGGCCGTTATTGGAGCCTGAAGTTCTCGTTCTAGATTCAGATTCCGAATTTGAGTTGTGTGATCGAGGCGCCATGTTTTCCCCTCTTTTCTATTTTATCAAAGTAACTTCAAATATTGACATTGTATTGTATTTTTTCGATATTTAAAGGTTCATCGAAATGAACCGACAGAAATTATCGTAGATAATCTGCTTAGCAACTTGCGAACTTTCAAGTTGATGGGTTTGAGTAACTTCATCAATGACATAACTCACTTGTTCGAGGAGCAAATTCTCCTTTTCATTGTCCACCGCGTAGTCGGTTTCTGTGAGGGTGCATTCTAAAGGTAAGGCCTGCAATAGCTTTCGGCCATTATCAGCATTCTTGAAGCTGATCCACCTGGAGAGACTAAGGTAGATTCTACTTGATGGTAGCTCTTTGAGCCAGAAGTTTTCTAGTGTATCGAATGAACCTGTGTATGAGTGAAGGCATATCTTAACTGCTTCGTGGGGGAACAAAAGTGATTTACAAAGATCAAACATCATGCCATGACATTTCACAGCATGTAGAGACACGGGCAAGGAGTATTTGATAGCTAACCTGCAAAACACTGTAAAAACTTCCACTTGGTGTGTCAGTTTAACTCGAACACTACTAAGCCTAGCACTTTGATGAGCCTGATAAAAGCCATTCTCAGGTAATCTGAATAATTTGTCGATTCCAATTTCCCCAATGCAGCTTATACGTCTGATATCAAATTCTCTATCGATGTATGAATTGAGGTCAACTGGATCAGGCAGAAGACCAATAAGATCATTGATATTTGCCTGACTAGAAGACTCCAGTACTGCCGTATAGTGCTCATGCTTACTCACTGGATTACCCAATGAGAAAAGATGAGAGTACCAGGGGTGTACGCCGAAGCTAAGAAACGTGCCATCATCACTGCCTAAAGATTTCAGCTTATCCCAATCGTAGACGTTGGTGGACATTACACACCTCATCAAGTTAGGATCAGAAAAGTTTGAGCTATCCAAGGTACCAGCGACAGTGGTAGTGACATGACAATGGGCATCGATCAAGGGTATCATCGTCTATCCAGCAATATTTGGGCCTATCGTATTGGCACGTGATTCAAATCTCTTGTAGAAACCATCACGTTGTCTCTACAAATTTCATTTTTAAAGGGGCCAGTTATTGCCTTCTCTTAATCTCCGACTTGAAAACAGGAGAGGAAAGGGGAACGCCTATTCGCTATGGTATTGATTGTTGCTTCGTTATTTTTGCCGTTCCAACCTCAGTTTGAAATCAATGCGTCCGAAACTGAGGCTGCGGCGCTCGTTGAGTCTCAACCAATAAAGATTCCGACGGCTCCCACAGGAGTAGCGTCCGAGAGTGGAAGTAATTTGGGACGCAAACGAACAAGCTCCGTGCACTCTAATTCTCCATTCGCTAGCTTGGATAACAATATTGGTTCTGAACTCGCGGATGGTCCCTCGAATCGACGCGGTTCGGATGCTACGAAAGCTGATAGCCCTGGTATTTCTTCAGAGATGTTCATGGAAAATTTAACAGCCAATGCTACCAACACAAGCGTAGCAGCAACACCTGCCAACCCAATTCAGAATCGTGGGAATACCTCTATCGAGGAGTTTTTTTCTTCGGGGAATCATGGCCTATTGTCCAATGGCACTGACTTGAATAGCGGAGTCTCGAGCAGAAACTTTTCAGTGACCTCCACACCTGGTCATGAGGCCGCCCACAATAGTGGGCATGATTCTACAGCAAACCTCCTAAAGAGTGTAAATAGGTCTCTCTACCAAAGTGTTTTGAACAATAGCAACTCCACGACCGCTCTTGAGGGAAAAACTCCTTCGCACTCAAATGGAACAGTTATCACACCAAGATCTAGGAACTTGCCCGACTTAAACTCAAGCGTTGTCGAACTTCCTAAAGCCAAACAGCAACAACAGCAATTTTCGTTGCCCGCCATGAAAATGGTTCATAGAAAGTCTTCGGGAGCGACCCCACCCATCTTGGGAGACCTAAGGGACTCAACTGCTCCGCTTACGGCTTCTAATTTGAAGCACGCTGTACATGCTTATGATCCTTCTTTTAGAAGTCCTACTCCTTCTGGACTAAGAAATAACGTTATTGAAGAAAGTGATAGTGACAACTTGACCTCAGATAACGAAGACGAGGCCGAAAGTAACAAACGTCACAGCATGCGTGTACCTCAATTTGGCGGTTACTCAAATAACGCAAAATTACGAGCTTCTCTTTTAAGAGGATCATGTAATATCTTTGAAACTGTGCCGTGGAAGATCGTTCCCTCAGGAAAAGGTAATGGTGGTCTAAAAAATGCTATAAGTACAGCTGTGTTAGAGAAGACGATTGATGAACCAGTTACGTGGGTTGGGACTGTTGGTATTCCTACAGATAGTATACCCAAAGATGTTTTAAGTAATATCGTAGGTGAGCTTGAGAGTACTTATCACTCAGCTGCAGTTATATCCGACGATATCACATTCAAAGGTGCCTATAAGAACTTCTGCAAACAGATATTATGGCCTACTTTGCATTATCAAATACCAGATAACCCGAATTCTAAAGCCTTCGAGGATCATTCATGGAATTACTATCAGCATTTAAATCAGCTATTTGCTGATAAAATAGTTGCAACATATCAAGAGGGGGATATCATTTGGGTTCACGACTATCACTTGATGCTGGTCCCAGGAATGGTAAGGCAAAAGTTACCTCACGCTAAGATTGGTTTCTTCCTGCATGTTTCATTCCCAAGTAGTGAGGTTTTCAGATGTTTTGCTCAAAGAGAGAATATTCTTAATGGTATTCTGGGGGCTAACTCGGTTGGCTTTCAAACACAGGAGTATGCGAGACATTTCCTTCAAACATCAAATAGGCTGCTTATGACAGACGTTGACAGCAAAGCTCTGAAGTACAAAGGAAGAATCATAGCCGTCAGCAGCACACCAATCGGTATTGATGCTTTCAACTTAGAAGCACAGCTCCAGAATGATCAAGTCAGCAACTGGCGTCAACTCATCCGCGGGAGATGGGCGGGTAAAAAATTGATTGTATGTCGTGATCAGTTTGATCGTATTCGCGGTTTGAGGAAGAAGCTGGTTGCGTATGAGAGATTTTTGAGAGCCAATCCCAAATATATCTCTAACGTAGTTATGATCCAAATATGTTTGGGATCTGATCGTGACCCAGAGCTGGAGAGAGAAATTATGGTGGTCGTGGATAGGATCAACTCTTTGTCTTCCGACATTAGTATTTCTCAGCCAGTTGTATTTCTCCACCAAGATTTGGACTTTGCACAATATCTCGCTTTGAACTGCGAAGCAGATCTCTTTTTGGTGAATACCATGAGAGAGGGAATGAACTTGACTTGTCATGAATTTGTGGTATGTTCGCGAGAGAAAAATGCACCATTACTCTTGTCTGAGTTTACTGGTAGTGCCCATGTTTTAAAGTGTGGAGCATTTTTGATAAATCCCTGGGATATCAAACATGTCGCTCAAACAATAAAGATCGCACTTGAATTACCAAAAGAAGAGAAAAGACGCCGGTGGAAAAAGATGTTCAAAAGCATTATGAACAACGATTCAGACAATTGGATTGAGTCCTCATTGTCAAGCATTCAGAATTCTTGGGAATTCAATCACGAACGGTCGACGGTGTTTAATCTGTCATATGAGCAATTATATTCTAGCTTTGTGGCGTCTAAAAAGCGTGTCTTTATTCTGAAAATATCGGAACCTCCTACTTCAAGAACATTGTCTATTTTGACTGAATTAACTACCAATAACATAGTCTACATCATTAACTCATTTTCGAGAAATATGTTGGAGAGACTTTACTCGCGTACTCCACATGTTGGCTTGATAGCTGAAAATGGTGCATATGTTAGGTTGAATGGTCACTGGTTTAACATTGTCGAGGATGTTTCCTGGAAGAACGATATTATCAAAGTAATTGAAGATAAAGTGGAAAGGCTTCCTGGTTCTTACTACAAAACGGGAGAGTCAATGATTAGATTTCATACGGAAAATGCGGAGGATCAAGACAGAGTCTCAAGTGTTGTTGGAGAAGCAATCACGCATGTGAACACACTATTCGGTGACCGTGGTATTCACGCTTACCTTCATAAGAACATTGTCTTTGTGCAGCAAATTGGGTTAGCCATGAAGGCCCTGCAGTTTTTGCTTTCCTATTTCAACTCTGTCGGCTCGACGACAAACTCGACTCCGCAAAGATCACAAGAAAACTCCCCTATGTTAAGTCCGATAGTGACTCCCAGCTTGGCAAGTGGTTTAACCACACCTGGTACTACTAGTGCTAACAACTCGTATTTCAGTTTGGGCAGAAATATTACACACATTGATTTTCTTGCCATTACGGGATCTTCTTCACCGGTCGTTGAACCTTTATTTGAATATGTCAATGAACTTGTAAAGAGTGGAAGTTTATCTTTCGGCTACAGTGTTGTCTATGGTTCCACGACTTCTACGTATGCCAAAGAACATATTGAAGGTTTGAATGAGTTATTTTCTATGCTTGACAAACTTGCTCAAGTCCATTAAGGCTTTATTGAACTTCTAGATATATAGTATATACAGGCACATAGTAATGACTTTACAAATATCTTTGATTGATTGTGATGGGCAACCCGAACATTGATGAAGAGTATGAACAACGTCGGATTTTATCGAATATCATCATGTACGCTGGTGAAAAATTTTTAAGAGTATTACAATTCCAGATGAGCTGGTGAGGAAAGTGTTAATCTAATAGACATCAATTTCGACTCAGTATGGGTAAAAAGAACACCAAAGGTGGTAAGAAAGGTAGAAGAGGAAAGAACGACTCCGGTGGACCAAAGCGTGAGCTTTACTACAAGGAAGAGGGTCAAGAATATGCTCAAATCACCAAAATGCTTGGAAATGGAAGAGTCGAAGCAGCTTGCTTTGATGGTATTAAGAGAATGGCGCACATCAGAGGTAAGCTAAGAAAGAGAGTTTGGATGGGACAAGGTGATATCATTTTGGTTTCTTTAAGAGACTTTCAAGATGACCAATGTGATGTAGTCCACAAGTATAATCTTGATGAGGCTAGAACCTTGAAGAGTCAAGGTGAGTTGCCAGAAAATGCAAAGATTAATGAAACTGATAACTTTGGTTTCGAGTCAGATGAGGACGTCAACTTCGAATTTGGTAATGCTGATGAAGATGATGAAGATGAAGAGGATGACGACTTTGACATTGATGACATTTAGTTTGAATGTTCAATACCATGCATACAGCCTTCATATTAACATGTCTTTATCGCTCCCTATGTACCATTATATATAAGTAAGTCTATCCGAATATTTTTTTGAAGTGGATACGGCAATGTCAAACTTTTATCAAACTCTGAACCTTTCTAGGTCCTCGTCTGCGTCATGATGAGTTAGATGGACCATTTCTTCGCTCTGATAATTCTGTGATGCCACACGATGGTGAGTGCCCTGGAAGGATTTCCTCACCGTGAACCCTCCCACGCTATTGTCTAATGGGATATTCTCGACATCATTTTGATGACTAAATAACTTCTCGTGGTTCTTCTTTCTGGCCAAATTCAATAAGTATACTCCGGCAAAGATAATCAAGAAGCCACAAATCAATGAAACAGAATCCTTGCTGTCACTTTCATCGAAATTACGGTATAGAATAAAGGATGCAGTCAAAGTTGCTGTGGTAAATGTCACATAATAAAGTGGATTAACGATTGAGGTATCAAATTGGTCTAAAGCCTTGTTGAAGTAGTTCATTTGTGTCATAATACAGACGGCGACAACTACAATGAAAATGTAAGTAGACAAGTGCGTAAATTGATTATTGCCGCTTAAAGTCAACTTTAGGGCTATTCCGAAGGCCTTGATGGCCATGACAGATATAGATCCCACTGTGGAGCAAATAGAAATGTATACCATGGGATTTTTGGTTCCATAAGTGGGAACCACCCTCGAAATCATAAACAACGCAAAGACCGATACTACAACCACGTAAATAATGAAGGCCGGTTGCATAGCATATGTTAAAATCTCATCCACCGTTTGGATTTCTTTATCAGATGGGGCATGCAAAATAATGATAACAGAGCCCAATAAACAAATTGCACATCCTAATTTGCCCAAGATTCCAAGTTCCTCTTTCAAAAAGATTGCGGCTAAAATGGCACCAATAATAACGGAAAGTGCACCAAGTGGGGTAACCATTATAGCAGGAGCAAATGTATAGGCAGCGAAATTGGCAATTTCCCCTATAGCCATAGTTCCCATTCCTACCCACCATATAGGGTTTTTCAAGTAGTCATAACCAGCACCTTCGAAATTATTTTCTGCTGAAGCTGCATTCAATCCCATCTTTGTAAGAATGAATGAGCTTCCAATGGCTAGAGATGAAGTGATTGCTAATAAAAGTCCAATGTACTTATCCTCCATTGTTTTGAGTTTTATCGAATTTATGAGAGATCATTTTACGTGTCCAAGAGTAAAAATTTTTGTATGATTGAAGATCAATGTTTCCCAAGCCACATCATGGTAATAATAAAAACAATAGGCACCATCAAGGAGCAACTTATTTCTATTAAAACTAACCAGTTAAGTGGAGATTCTATCAATACTGATTTTTTCGTGGCATCCTTCCAAGAGATATTCGCTTCTTTAAATGACGAAAAGGCCATCGATGATAAAACAAGGCTATTGTTGACTGACACAATGAGCGTCTGGCTTTTGAGGTCCCGTCAGTTGCTTGATAATAAGTCACTGGACACCGAATTCTATAGAGAGTTTTTGAAAGAGACCCTTCTGCAAGAAAAGAATTGCACTTTCCTGCTTTGTTATGTCATAGATTTTTGGAGCGAGGGTGGAGCAGCCCTAGCTAATGCTTTGGCAGATCTCTTCAAAAAACTAACAGCTTTGCTGAGACTTATTCACGGCAGTGCATCAAAGTCCATTTTTATGGGTTGGGTTAACCAAATACTGGCCATCGCACCATCCATGAGGGTGTTGTATTTCTTGCTAGATTGTTTATCCGGGGAAATAGACACGTACATCGTTTTTCAGAAGAGGCCTTCGTTTGTTGAAGACTCTTTGAATTTAATGGGATCAGAATCGTTGGCAACACCAATAGGAAAGTGTTTAACAAGCCTTTTGGTTGGTACGTATAAGCTGCATTTCAAAGAAGTTTCCAGTGGTGACTGGTTCTCGTTATGGGAAAGTACGGTCATCAGCCATCTAGATGATCCTAAACTTTCCAGAAAGATTGAGAACTATGTATTGGTACCTATTTTCAAAAGTTGTCCTTCAAAGATCTTTACTGAATTTGTTCGTCGTAATTTTAACGAGACCAGCCACCAGCTAATACCGATTTTGAAGATTGGTCAAGATCTCTCTATTGAAGAAGAACCTTTTCAAAATGACAAGCTTGTTTCTTTGTCTTTCATTGAGGCAATGCTACAACATGAGACTTTCAGGTTGCCAGCATTTGAACTTCTGACATATTCACCAAAAAGATCGAAAGCTATTCAACCGTACGTATACGAACTGGTTAAGAGAAATATACACACCTTTTTTGTTGATATTGAACTAAAAGTCAGGAACGATTTTCATAGTGCATTTAAGAAATTCGTGGACAGAATAAGGGATTCTACCTACGCCCTCCAAAGAGACGCTGTGAAACTCAAGTCAAAAGGAAAATTCCCTAACGAGCAGAATGAAAAGCTTCATTTGATAGAAACTGCGCGTGAGTTCCTTTGCTGGCTCATTCTCTTCTTGAAAAGACAATTGGCGCCAGGTGCACAGTATCAAAGAAAATCCCTTTCAATCAAAATTCTGAAGACCCTAGTATTTTCTCGAATTGATTGTCTAATAAAACGGAAGTACGTGGATCCAAGACAAAAAATGGATTATCCCTTTAGCATTTCTGTTTCCGAAGATGAGACACTGTTCCGCTTGCTCTGTGATAATTTGACTGACAATTTCAATGACATCAGAAATAACAGCCTTGAACTTTTGACGATTTTTGCTGATAAATCGAAATCCCTTCCGCTTTTTTCTTCTGCCGAAAGAGAATATGTTCATTCCCAAGCCATGAAGCTTTTAAACTCCTATAAAGGGTCCGATGGTGGTGCCAAAGTAATGGAATTTCTTTTCATTGTTGATAATAAAAAACAGTTATTCGTTAGTAACTTAGTGGAAACTCTGTATGAAAAAGTTCGTTTTGCATTTGAAACGTTTCCAGAAAGTGTAGACGTTCCAATAAGTGGTTTTTTCGCAGCTGCTGCTGCAGTTCTTTCCAACTTCAACTTCGAAGAATCCGATCAATCATGTAACATTATAAAAAAATGCATTGATGCAGTATTCCTTAACTGGGAAACTGTAAAACCCGTCCTTTGTGAAGAGTCACTTGCCAGTAATTTCAGTTTGGGTGATACTGACCATTTGATTTTTGATCAGGTTGTAACCAGTTTCGCATTTCGCTCTATCAGAGAATCTGCTAATTTGTTAAGTACGATATTTGCCCGGGGACCACTTAATAAGGCGGATTTAACTAGATGCGGGCAGTTGCTCTTGACGCAGCTATCTTCTATCCGTCACAGTGGTGCTTTTCAATCAATCGTTCCTTGCTTCTCCGCTTGTTGTCAACGATGTAGCAGGGACGTACCAAATCAGCTAGAAGTTTGGATTAATGAAATGATTGTGACCTTGAAGACTAAAACTCAATACATCACTCGTAGGTCAGGTGGTTTACCTTTCTTACTAAGTGCAATATTAATAGCAGAGAAAGCAGAAACCAGGCCTCTTTTAAATCTAACATTTGAGACACTGTTGTCCATAGTAAAAATACCGGTCTCTGAACATGAAGAGAGAGTTGATTTACCGCAAGTTAACGCTTTTAATTGCATTAAAGCTCTTTTTGTCGAGTCCGAATTATCGGAATCCTGTACGGCTTTCGTTCATCCTTCGTTGGAGCTTTGCCTCCATTTTTTTGCATCTCCTCTTTGGTCATTGAGAAATTGTGCATTCATGTTGTTCACCGCCTTACAAAACCGCTTATTTGGAAAACCAGGAAAGAATATAAGCGCTAGACTTTTCTTTACACGCTATAAAGGGGTACGAGAAGTGCTTTTGAGACAACTCAGAGACTCCTTGAAAACGACAAATGAAAATATGCATTTGATTCGTGTGTCTAGCACTTCTTTAGGTTCTTTGCTTCAAGAATCGCAGATTGAGTCCATTTTTCTTGTTCTGACAATTTTATCCCGGTTGAAAGAGACCCCGGGCTATGAAGGCTTACAGGAGTTTAAAGATCTAGTGCTTGAATGCTTAGAGTTTAAAACATGGAAAATAAGGGAGTTGGCTGCTCGTGCACTACCTCACTTGTGCAGCGATCCTTTCTCTGAAGCATTACTCTTATGGAGCGATCCCAATTTTTCCCCTCAACATCAGAATCGCTTGCATGGGTTTTTGTTGGCTGTGAAGGAAGTGTTTGTTATCGAGCTGGCTAAATCTGACAAGTCAGAGATTCCTCAACATTTAGTTGACTTAATTGTTGACGATCTATCACGACTTTTGATCAAGAATCCTTGCTTTATTACATCGAACATTTATGTGCAGCTTCTAGCTATGGTATTGAAAGGTTCTGAGGAGCTGCGTTCTACCCTGAGAATGAGGAAAATTATCAACAGTATTGGTCATTACTTCATATCACTCAATAACGAGTACTGCACTGATGGTTCAAAGCAATTGCTAATGAAAAGCCTTCTTAAAATTCTTTTCTGCTATGAGGATCCTGATAGTGTCAAGGACCTTATCCTACTATGTCTTTACTCGCCCTCTTTTGAGGTGCAGATAGCTTCTGCCAAATATATCGAGTCAAACATTGACCTTGACCGAGAGGAAAACGTGGAGATTTTTGATACACTTATGAATCTCCTACAGGATAGCTTATTGTGGACACATGTGAAACATCATGTAGTCATAGCGTTGCAAAAATCAACAAGGAAATGTTCGCCTTCTTTGATCTCGATTTTATTGAATCAGGAGAATGATGCTGAAATGGAAGCAGCAGCGTTGGAATACCTCGGTTCTGTTGTGGACAATAACAACAACCAATATTGGCATTACATCGATAAGCATGCACAAGATGATTCTTCTCTTGAAATACGCCAATCTTGTCTAACGTCTTTGATGAACTTCTACAATTCTAACGCAGACCTTAAAGCCATCTTTAAAATCATTGGGTATCTGTTTGATGATGAACTTAACTTAAGAGTGACAGCGGCAAAGTTTTTGAATAAGCAATTCATAAAACTTCCATTTTTTCGTTGGAATACGACCTTTTCCGTCACAGTTAAGATAGCAATCAGGACTTTAATATCCCAATGCTCCTCTGAAGAGGTCTTTGACCTTGCAATGAATTCACTTCAAAGAAATTTTCGTGAGCTTGAATTTGTAAAAAGTATCGAAGATCAAGAGGAGATTTTCGAAGTGGAAACTAGTAACCAGTTCAGAAACTATATCGACCAAGGTATTGACAGCATTAATCTCCTCAAATCTGAGCCTTCAAGGATCGGTGAAGTAAAGAACTATATCCAAGAGCTAATAGCAAAGTTTATCTTACAAATGGAAAGATTTGATACCCGTGATGCACCTTTGGGATGGGGATCAGATTCCAAAATCTTCGCGAGAGTCGTGCTCTTGCGGGCCTCGGCTCTCCAATTCAGTGTACCTGCCATAGACACACTTGACAAAGCGTTACACAGGTATAAATTTCATCCTCTAGTATTCGAGATTATGGGAACATTGGGCACTTCTACGCTTGAGAATTTATAATAGCTGAACATCGTATTTATTGAGAGATGGGTGAATATTGAGATAATTGTTGGGATTCCATTTTTTATTAAGGCTGTAATTATTGGTATATGGTTATACTAGAAGTTCTCCTCATCTTTCTAAGAATCCAGAAAGAAGAGTCAATAATTCTACTTACAACTATTCTTACTCTTTCTGTTCCTTTTATACATTTTCATTCATTATCCTATTACATTATCAATCCTTGCGCTTCAGCTTCCACTAATTTCGATGACTGTTTCTCATTCTTTATGTCATCTTAAAACACCGTGTATGATAATATACTAGTAGCACGAATACTAGTCGATGGTCGATAGTTGTATTTCGTTCCAACATACCACCCATAATGTAATAGATCTAATGAATCCATTTGTTTGTTAACAACTTGAAAGTTTTTATCGGAAGAGGTTTTGTCAATGTATCAGCAATGTTCTTCTTGGTCTCAATGTAGTATAGGTACAAATTATTGTCCGATACTTCATCTCTGAGTCTCATTGCTTTAGTGCCGAAGAATCTGTTCCTAAATTTCTCTTTATTTTTGGATGTAACTATACTGATTGTAGATCTGCTGTCAGTAAGTAAACATTTGATGATTGGTTTCTTATCTAGTTCTTGCACGAGATAACTTAGATTGTTTAGTAACGGAACGGCTTCACTGACTGCGTGTATTTCTGCTTCTGTGGTTGAAGTACACGTTAGTGATGCTTTTGTTGATTTTCCTCCAATGACTTTACCATTGAGTAAGAATATGTTACCAATCTGGGATTTGTAATACGGTTGGTTTCCGTATGAAGCATCGCTTATTACAACTAATTTGTTTCCTGATTTCGTAGATCTGTTTTTGTGCCATATTAGTTGTTTATCTCTGGTATCCCATATGAACTGTATTAATTCATATGTCATGTCTAAAACTTGTTTGGACGGGAATAATATATGTTGTGCGAGAGTGTTAATGTAGTACAGTAGGTCGAATCTGAATTTGTATCCAACGTACGATGCTAGGCCAATTAGCTTTTGCATTTCATGCACCTTCATTTTGTAATCTTCTTCTTCCAGTTCTAACTCTTCTTGGTCTATGTAAAGACCAGGTTGCCCTGGAGCGGCAAGTTTCCTACCTTTCGGATTCAAAGGTACGTTTAGGTTTGGTAATTTCTCAGTTAGTGAATTCTCCATACCTAGTTTCATGTACTTACCCCTCTGGTATTTAATTTCTAGTCCAAGAATGTCATATTGGATTTCTTCATCACTTTCACCTAGGTTTATGATCTTAGTGTCATATTGTCGTTTTAGATTTTCTATAATTCTTTTGTTTGAGTTCAAGTCTTTGCTGAATAGTATCATGTCATCAACGAATAAGCAGATTGTTACTTGACTGTTTTTAAACACACATGACCATCCACGTACTTCTTCCATATCACATTTATCTATCAGATATGACTTGATAGTTTCATACCAGTTTGCACCACTTTGTTTCAAGCCGTAAAGTGATTTTCTCAATCGTATTAACTTGTTGTTCGATACCTAAATGTGGCGGAGGTCTTATGTATAATTCTTCTTTGATGTCTGCGTACAAGTACGCCGAGGATATGTCCAGTTGTGTGACGTAGTGGTCATTGTCTAATGCGAGTGACAGAGATGTCATCAATGCATAATGATGTACAGTATTAGACTGCATTCCTGAGTCGTACGTATCAGGATGTTGAATGTCGCCTCTTGCAACAAATCTAGCTTTGTGTGTTCCATCTCGTTTTTTGTTAAAGATGAACATTGAGTTTATCACCTTTTTGGTGTCTATTTCATTTTTGTCATAGTATCTGTTTGTGTCCCATGTGTTCATCTCTAGCAATTGATTTACTTCTTTATGGTATGCTTGAATGTACTTTCCTTTTCCTCGATATTCTTATTATATGTGATTGCCTCATCATATCTTAAGGTTGTTCGTATCGGTTTGATTGGTTTTGCTGCTTTTACAGCTGCGATCAGATGTATACGTTTCTTTGATCTTGGGGGCTGTAAACTACGCATGTTCTTGTTGTTCCATGTGTCTCGTGATACCTCAATTTCAGTTTCATTATCTTCTAATGATCTTTTCTTACTATTGATAGTAGCATAGATATTAGATTTACCCATACCACCCAAACTGGAATTAGTTTGACGGGAATTGATCGGTGGAATTTCTTTAAAGGCATCGGGGAAACAGGTAGGAGATTCTGGAGGTAAATCGGGAATCGGAAGATCTTCTGTAATATATTCCTTCATATCATGTTCAGAGTAGGTATCTGGTGTAACAATAGGAGCATTATACTTTGGTATCTCACTTCCCTGTGGGGGATCAAATAGTGGAATTGGATAGTTTATCAAGCTTTTCTCGGTAGCCTGATCATTGAACTCTGATATAGTCTTGTTGTTTGTACCACCCAAACATGGCGTTGTGTCGTTTTTAGGATTAGTATTGATTTGGCGATGTGAATCTGAATCGCTCACTTGATCGTGATCATTGGATTTATTCGACTGTTGCGTGACAGAGCTGTGCACGGGGATATCGATTGATACATCTGATCTATTCATACCACCCAAACAGGCATTGTCTGGATCAGGAATATTGGGTATGTTATGCCTCTTCTTTGACGGAAGAATATTTGATTCAGATATATTAGGGTCAACTTCTTTGGGTGCACGAGCATTAGTTGTAGGTACAGATTCCAATCTCGTTGGTTGAGTAGGAGTTGATAGCGAACCAGTTGCAATCAGATCTGTGGAACTGTCATCTCCCCGGAGTTCAGTGTCATGATCTATCTCAGATTGAAAATCATGATTAGGATCCATGTGAAGGTCGTAGGACTGTTCGATTTCATTGAATCAATAAACGATTTGTATGAAGCAGTTAATCTACTTATGTCATCATCAAAGGTAAGTGCGTCGTAATTGAATTGGTCCAATCGGGATTGCTTGCCCTGCAGGATAACGTAATTAGTAGTGTCCACTGTCTTCTTTAAAGATGGAAGATAGATAATATATCCATAAGAGTTCCGGGATGGATGTAGAGCGTAGCCAGGAATGCCACGGGGATGTATTTTCGAATCAGGATTGTGATTATTGACTACCACAGGTTGACCAAATGGTAGTAAAGTACTGATGTCAAGTCCCGCTAAACCCGCGTGTTGCCGTGCAGATTTTTCGTTTTTAGGTGAAACTAAAGAGTTCCTGACTATGGTTGAGAATTCCACTGCGGAAAACCATAAATGATTTGGTAATCCACTGCATTGAAGCTGTGTGCGACAATCGTCTAGTAAAGTACGGTTCAACCGTTCAGCTACACCATGAGCTCGAGAGTCTGCTGTGGTTGTATAGCATGCAGTGATGCCTTGTTGAAGAAGGAATTTATGGAGAGTTTTGTTTGTGTATTCAGAACCACGGTCCATTTGTATAACCAAGACGCTGGCCTTGAATTGTCTTTCAATGAAGGCTAGTATTGTGGTAAATACCTCGAGAATAGATTGTTCGCGACGATCGTGTAATGGATAAACCCATTGGAATCTTGTTTTCTCGTCGGTAAATGTTATGAAGTAGGATGGTGCACTTTTTGGCAGGTTATGAACAGGACCGAATATGTCGGTATGCAGATATTGGAAAGGTTCATACGAGTTTTGGTATTTTACTCGTGATCCCTTGACATGTCTGTGTTTAGTACTTTTGCCGATTAAGCAATCTGGGCATTGGTATGTAGTAGCTTTAGACCAATCGACATCTGCTTCCTTTAGATATGTTATTGAGTTATTCTTTAGAGAGTTCCGAATGGTTTGAGCATTAGCGTGGCCAAGCATGCGATGAATCAAAGGATAGGGATACTTGTGTGAGGCTTTATCAGTACCGATATTGTTAGCTATTGGCATTGATAGGTTCGAGGGAATCAAGTATTTTTTGGATAGCCAGTAAAAGTCCCCATGTCGAACGATAGGGGCAAGTACGGTGCCGTCAACTCGCTCTAGGGTATTTTTGGTAAAACAGGCAGTGATGTTTTGCTTAGCTAGCTCACTCAAACTGAGTAGATCATGAGCTATGTTCGGAGTGTGTAGTACTGTTATTGATGTTTTTGTATTGTCTTCAAATTTGAATTGGAGATTACCAATGGCGTTGATTGGTATTTCCTTTTTTTGAGCATCGATTGCGCTTATGTCAATATTAGGCGATGCTGAGTGTATGTGATGAGCGGATCTGATAAGGGTTTGTGATGCACCTGAATCGATAAGAAGATGTCCAGGAAGTTCATCATTTGAATGATCCGTGTGGTTTACCTTGGACTCAGTATGTATCTGGCCTAAGGTGAAGGTCATACTGATTGTTCAAGTGTATTGTTTTATCAGGTGATTCGTTGATCGAATCATTGTTCTTGTCAAAAGAGTTATGAGACGTGGACACGTTATTAGTTTTGACCGTTCTTGATTTTGAGTTACTTGCTTTTTGAGGGTTTCGGGTTACAGTTTTGGCTTTGTTTATATTTGGAGAGACTCGAGAAATGTTCTTGTCATCTTTAGGAATCCTTGGGTAAGTAGGCTTACGGCGTTCCGATTCCTGTTGTTCTTCATATATGGCATGAATGTCCAGGAACAGTTCTGCGACTGTCATGTTTTGGTGGCGATGACGTGTGTAGCGTAAGAATCTGTATTCCCCAGAGAGACCTCTCATAATTAATTTACATGCGAGCTTGTCATTGATAGAAACACCATTATTGTTTAGTCTCTCGATTGTATTCGTGATCTTTGTTTCAAACTCTCCTGCTGGTGTACTGCCATTGTAGCGGAGATTAGTGATCGTTATCAGGTCATGGACATCTTGATTGTCGGATTGCATTTTTTCAAAGCTTTTCGAAAGAACCTTCATAATATCTGTATAATCAACAGATAAGATGTCTTTGACCCAAGTAGGTAGGAAATGAGATGGAGCAAACGTTTGAAAAGTGTTGTACAAGAAGGTATGTTCGTCGTATGTTATCTGCCGTATAGGTCTTCCATCTGTCGTCGGGATAATGTCACCGAGATTTGAATTTTGTAGAAATTTAACATAAGTTTTGATCCAATTAAGAAAATCATTTGATGATGTTAAAATTGGTGGTGGTCGAACAGATTTGTTGACGGGTGTCACATCTGACTTCGTTGAAGGTGGCTTGGTAAGTGTGTTACTGGGCTCGGGGGGTGTGGCGCTCAAAGGCGTTCCTGTAGTTGATGTGTACTGTGGATACTGTGGTTGTGGCCCAGGTGGATAGTACATGGGCGACATTTGATAAGGTGTGTACGGCATCGTATATGGGTGACCGTATGCTGGCCAACCAGAAGGATTGGCTTGATTTTGAGTCATCATGCACTGCTGTGAGTACGGGCCATTCTGTGGCAATGGTACTTGAGCAGTGTGAGGAGAGGCATGATGAATGTTCTCTGAAACATCTGTGGGCACAGGTGTTGTTTCTTGTTGAGAATTTGCCTTAGTGGAAAGCTTATCATATTCGTTGATTTTGGAAGCTGAAACGTCTAATGGATCTTGATTCGTGTGGACTTCTTTAGAAGTAACCGAAGCACAGGCGCTACCATGAGAGATGGGTGAATATTGAGATAATTGTTGGGATTCCATTTTTTATAAGGCTGTAATTATTGGTATATGGTTATACTAGAAGTTCTCCTCATCTTTCTAAGAATCCAGAAAGAAGAGTCAATAATTCTACTTACAACTATTCTTACTCTTTCTGTTCCTTTTATACATTTTCATTCATTATCCTATTACATTATCAATCCTTGCGCTTCAGCTTCCACTAATTTCGATGACTGTTTCTCATTCTTTATGTCATCTTAAAACACCGTGTATGATAATATACTAGTAGCACGAGTACTAGTCGATGGTCGATAGTTGTATTTCGTTCCAACATACCACCCATAATGTAATAGATCTAATGAATCCATTTGTTTGTTAACAACTTGAAAGTTTTTATCGGAAGAGGTTTTGTCAATGTATCAGCAATGTTCTTCTTGGTCTCAATGTAGTATAGGTACAAATTATTGTCCGATACTTCATCTCTGAGTCTCATTGCTTTAGTGCCGAAGAATCTGTTCCTAAATTTCTCTTTATTTTTGGATGTAACTATACTGATTGTAGATCTGCTGTCAGTAAGTAAACATTTGATGATTGGTTTCTTATCTAGTTCTTGCACGAGATAACTTAGATTGTTTAGTAACGGAACGGCTTCACTGACTGCGTGTATTTCTGCTTCTGTGGTTGAAGTACACGTTAGTGATGCTTTTGTTGATTCTCCTCCAATGACTTTACCATTGAGTAAGGATATGTTACCAATCTGGGATTTGTAATACGGTTGGTTTCCGTATGAAGCATCGCTTATTACAACTAATTTGTTTCCTGATTTCGTAGATCTGTTTTTGTGCCATATTAGTTGTTTATCTCTGGTATCCCATATGAACTGTATTAATTCATATGTCATGTCTAAAACTTGTTTGGACGGGAATAATATATGTTGTGCGAGAGTGTTAATGTAGTACAGTAGGTCGAATCTGAATTTGTATCCAACGTACGATGCTAGGCCAATTAGCTTTTGCATTTCATGCACCTTCATTTTGTAATCTTCTTCTTCCAGTTCTAACTCTTCTTGGTCTATGTAAAGACCAGGTTGCCCTGGAGCGGCAAGTTTCCTACCTTTCGGATTCAAAGGTACGTTTAGGTTTGGTAATTTCTCAGTTAGTGAATTCTCCATACCTAGTTTCATGTACTTACCCCTCTGGTATTTAATTTCTAGTCCAAGAATGTCATATTGGATTTCTTCATCACTTTCACCTAGGTTTATGATCTTAGTGTCATATTGTCGTTTTAGATTTTCTATAATTCTTTTGTTTGAGTTCAAGTCTTTGCTGAATAGTATCATGTCATCAACGAATAAGCAGATTGTTACTTGACTGTTTTTAAACACACATGACCATCCACGTACTTCTTCCATATCACATTTATCTATCAGATATGACTTGATAGTTTCATACCAGTTTGCACCACTTTGTTTCAAGCCGTAAAGTGATTTTCTCAATCGTATTAACTTGTTGTTCATACCTAAATGTGGCGGAGGTCTTATGTATAATTCTTCTTTGATGTCTGCGTACAAGTACGCCGAGGATATGTCCAGTTGTGTGACGTAGTGGTCATTGTCTAATGCAAGTGACAGAGATGTCATCAATGCATAATGATGTACAGTATTAGACTGCATTCCTGAGTCGTACGTATCAGGATGTTGAATGTCGCCTCTTGCAACAAATCTAGCTTTGTGTGTTCCATCTCGTTTTTTGTTAAAGATGAACATTGAGTTTATCACCTTTTTGGTGTCTATTTCATTTTTGTCATAGTATCTGTTTGTGTCCCATGTGTTCATCTTTAGCAATTGATTTACTTCTTTATGGTATGCTTGAATGTACTTTTCCTTTTCCTCGATATTCTTATTATATGTGATTGCCTCATCATATCTTAAGGTTGTTCGTATCGGTTTGATTGGTTTTGCTGCTTTTACAGCTGCGATCAGATGTATACGTTTCTTTGATCTTGGGGGCTGTAAACTACGCATGCTCTTGTTGTTCCATGTGTCTCGTGATACCTCAATTTCAGTTTCATTATCTTCTAATGATCTTTTCTTACTATTGATAGTAGCATAGATATTAGATTTACCCATACCACCCAAACTGGAATTAGTTTGACGAGAATTGATCGGTGGAATTTCTTTAAAGGCATCGGGGAAACAGGTAGGAGATTCTGGAGGTAAGTCGGGAATCGGAAGATCTTCTGTAATATATTCCTTGATATCATTTTCAGAGTAGGTATCTGGTGTAACAATAGGAGCATTATACTTTGGTATCTCACTTCCCTGTGGGGGATCAAATAGTGGAATTGGATAGTTTATCAAGCTTTTCTCGGTAGCCTGATCATTGAACTCTGATATAGTCTTGTTGTTTGTACCACCCAAACATGGCGTTGTGTCGTTTTTAGGATTAGTATTGATTTGGCGATGTGAATCTGAATCGCTCACTTGATCGTGATCATTGGATTTATTCGACTGTTGCGTGACAGAGCTGTGCACGGGGATATCGATTGATACATCTGATCTATTCATACCACCCAAACAGGCATTGTCTGGATCAGGAATATTGGGTATGTTATGCCTCTTCTTTGACGGAAGAATATTTGATTCAGATATATTAGGGTCAACTTCTTTGGGTGCACGAGCATTAGTTGTAGGTACAGATTCCAATCTCGTTGGTTGAGTAGGAGTTGATAGCGAACCAGTTGCAATCAGATCTGTGGAACTGTCATCTCCCCGGAGTTCAGTGTCATGATCTATCTCAGATTGAAAATCATGATTAGGATCCATGTGAAGGTCGTAGGACTGTTCGATTTCATTTGAATCAATAAACGATTTGTATGAAGCAGTTAATCTACTTATGTCATCATCAAAGGTAAGTGCGTCGTAATTGAATTGGTCCAATCGGGATTGCTTGCCCTGCAGGATAACGTAATTAGTAGTGTCCACTGTCTTCTTTAAAGATGGAAGATAGATAATATATCCATAAGAGTTCCGGGATGGATGTAGAGCGTAGCCAGGAATGCCA